TATATATAATATATATAATATTTAAAATCCAAGATAAATTAGTCTTAAGACTATAAAGATATTAAATTAAAACGTCTTAACGCGAAGAAAGACGGTACTACTCGATACTTAAGTAAGATTTAGTTTTACGAGTATCCGCTCGATTCTTTTACTTTTTCCTTCTTTATTTAGATCTTTTTTAGATTTATATACTTAAATACGCTTAAACGAGAGGAAAAGGTTAACTATTAAGGGAGATCGAAAAATACGTAGTCGGGTAACGAAAAGAAGCCCACTTTACCTGTTTTGGAGCTCAGACCCTTCTGGCGAAGGACTTTTCTCCGAAAAGGACTAGTGCGTATGCACTGTCACGTGAGCCTCATGGGTCTGAGAACTGAGACAACAAAAATGGGGTCCACCAAGTTTCGCCAATAATAGGTCCTGTCCTGGGAAGGGATGTGCAAGGTAAAAACAGCAGAAATCATCCCGTCAAGGTGCGGGTGAATTGAAGCGTGACTTCAAGCGTGAGTCGTAGGGTAAGAAGAAGTGAGAAGAGGGTGAGTCGCGAGCAGGTCGTCTCAAAAGCAGCACGGTCTGGGTGAGTACCCACGTGAGGTCCGAGCAGATTTCACTACTTACAAGGTAATTTGTGCCGCTAATGTTGGTGTTGAAGGCACGGAGTGGTTCATCTGCCAGTGGTTCATGAATGAAGTCTCGGCGATAGCGACGTGACGAGAAGGGCGAATCAAGCACGCTCCTCTACGCAATGGAGCAAGCGTCTAGTTACGATGATATATATCTGTACAAGAGGACCAGCCGGAATTCTGCTCTTGCGTTTCTTCGGGACCTCAACCCATCGCAAAATGGCATTGCCATTTCCCTCAGTACATCGCCCATCGCCCATCGCCCACTTGGAACCATGGTGATACAGTTGGCGAAGAGAAGAAATGTCCGGCACGCAGGTGACGTTCCCTCCACATGGACATGCCCTCGAAAGAGCACATCCACAAAAAGAAAGGAAAGCCTTAAAGTGCCTCAAAGTGGTATTCGGTCTAGTACGCCAATATGACCTACCAGCCTATGACACGGCGTATCAGGGATACACCGGGAGGCGTTTGGCGGTTGATTAATGCGTTCATATCTGTTATGAATGTGTGAAGAACAGGAGGAAAAGTTGGAGTTGCGAGGCTGAGGTTTTGACATTCGGATTCCGAACTAGTCCGCCTTTGGCCTGTACATCTTGGCGGAATTTTCAACTTGTTCAATTTCTTGCTCAATCTTGATGTTCTCCTTCTCTTTGCAACTCATGGATTTTGACCACTTGCAACCATTGTTCGAAACCTGCTCGAAACGATCCATTATGATGGTCAGGCACGAGAATATGTCGCTATCGCAAGATATCATTGTCAGGCCATCTCTGCCGTTGACTGACACCACAGAAAAATCTGTGAAGACTCGCACAACACCACGCTCGGAAGCATCTTGACTCTTTTCCTCCATGATCAAGACGTGGATCCAGGGACCTTCCAAGGTTCCAATTATTGCAAGTGGAAGAACGATTTTCAGGCTTCTAGCAGGGCCTTGTCTACTCCACCCTGTTTCTTCTTTTCACTTGTGAAGACGCAGGACTATTTTTACGACAGACATTTCAAGAATGAAGAATGAACAATTGTACATGCTTCAAATCATGCAAACCCTTTACAAGATGAACGGTGAGTTAAGTCCCACGATCCCTTCTACTTCCAGAAAGGTGCAGATCTACCATTTGATCTGGAGTGTTGCGAGTTATTGTCAGCGCCTGCCTGGACATCTTCTGGAGGTGAACCTACAATGATATATCAAGGAGCCTTGAGTGACTGTCCCGCCAAATGCCTCCATTGAAGCAAGCGGACATCCTCGTTCCGAAAACGGCCTCTCTTCCCTGAAGCCGGCTTGAGGACCGCTCACGAAATGCCGGGGATTCGCCTCGGAGGCTTGGTGTCCCATCATCGCAGTCAAGACACGAGATGCCTCAACATGCGAATGACTTGGTCGCTGCAGCCTCGGCTTCCTCTTTTCATCAACATCGATGAAGTCGTCAGGAACCCTTCCTAATCAAGAATTGCATCCGCGATGGTGCACGCTAACAATACACTCTTTTTCTCGTTTCTTTACTGTGGTGACTTACTTGGATCTGTGTTACCGCAAGCCTGCAAGGGCTGCAAGGGCTCAATTGCTTGGTCGGAACTACTGCTCCAGCATTCCTTTTGCATATACGCTCATCGTCTCATGCTCTCGTCTAGTCGCTCGCCCTCGATCCACGTGCGCACGGCCCGAAGGTCAGCTTCCTGTTCAGCCTGTCCATGTTTCCTATTTTCTTCAGCATCTTCTTAGTCTTGTTTGGCGCCGCAACCTCTCACACCTGGCCACCTGGCCACCTCGCATCTCTCGGCTGGTCAGTGTCTCCAACTGTGCCGTGCAGCTGTGCATATTCCATCCATTTGTGACGCTTCCCTGCTAGGTCACGGTTCTCTCGCGCCTAAAGAGAGCCAAGTCGTCACATTCAGGTACAACTCTAAGAGAGACTAATACACGAGCCTCTCAATGGACACCAACAAATATGCAGCAACGGCCCGACCAAGTGAGCTGACCCATATCTTCACCAATCAGGACAGTCCAAACGACCCCGGCTGGAAACCGCCTTTCATCGTCCATGATGGTGGAGAAGACTGCGGTCACCACAGGCTGTTCGTCAATCAGCCTACTAGTGAGCGTCCCAGCAAAGGTGGCCATGCCGTTTCCATCGCCGACATTTTACAGGCTCGAAGACGGAAAGCCTTCCGGTATGATGCCTACAGCTCGACGGAGTCAGGTTTCTGGATGCACACTGCCCATATTGTCGACATGCAGGCAGTTCAGACTGTCACTCATACGATTCCGCGATATTTCTTTCGAGTTCTCTCAGAGATTTCGGCTGGTGTCAACACGAATGACTGGTTCCGAAGCGAGGCAGTAAGGCAAGGTCTGGGTGCAGCGATGGAAGACACCAGTGAGGCAGACATCAGAGAAAATCTGAGGGACCATATGCATGAGAAGAAGGATGGATTTGCCAGTCAGTGGATATCGTTCACGAAGTCTCTCCTCGTCGCGTTGAACCGGGCTGTCAGGTTGAAGCAGAAGGGGCACAAAAACATTCGCCTTGCTATCGTTGACACATTCAAACTTGACTCCGAATCGAAGATCTTCAGTGCAAGAGCGCTGCTCAAGGCCTATGATATCAATCTGTTCTTACGGAACTTGGAAGGCGCCGAAATACTCGTGTGGGGGGAACTGATCGCTCCAGCAGCCCTGATACCTTTGGAGGAGTATCTTCGAGGTGAGCGTGTTGAGAATGGACTTTTTGAAGAAGGTTTCCGGCAGCTGCAACCTCAGCACTTTAAGCCTCTAGGAGAAGACACCGATACTATCCGAAAACAACGGTCCGGAGCCCTGAATGCCAACTTGAGAGCCCCATGTCACATCAGGCCTACCAACTACTCAACTACCCGAGACTCGCAGCAGAAGAACAGAAGGGTCCCGATGGCCGCAAATATCATGCGCAAACAAGTTGACGTGGTCAAGAAACACTTTCCCTTGGAGTTTCAGTTTCCAGTCTTGATCGCTCTTTTGTCTTCGCTACTTTACAAGTTCGAACGCGATTCAGTGGTTGAGCAACTCGAGGTGATCAAAGGTGAGTTTACCTGCCATAAGTGTTGCAATTTTGACCAGCTGCTAACACTTTGACAAGACGACCCTATGATATTCAATTATGACTGCTGGATCCGACCTTTCAAATCCCCCGACTTACCTGAACTCGACTTCCATGACATTCTGCTGAAGGAAGCTGGCGAATCCCTGGGACTGAAAGTGTTCTCTCTGGACGTGTTGTTGAAAACAGGAAAGGCCCGGCGCTTTTCGGTGCCATCCACGCCACAGACGATACTTCCAAGTTTTAATCAGACGAATGTGGACGCTGCAATTTACTACGGGGACAAAGCAATAACGGCGATGAAGAAGAGGAAGGCCGAGGAAGATGCACAGGCTAGAAGCGCAGCAGACGCTCAGACAAAAAGGCTACGCAAGGCCGTCCGGCCAACAGAAATGAAGCTACAGGATATCTTGGACAGCATCAAATGAGATCGAAGCAGTGGAGAGACACAAATATCAGCTCGGCGATGAAACGGGCGCAATGCGCTGATGAAGACCATGTGAAATGAGGCTTCCGGGTATGAGAGAGTCAACTGCGTGTATATAGGAGACATATCGCGTTCAATCCAGCGTAGCATCATGAAGTCCATGACCATACGATGAACCTGCGAATCGGCACCAGGGAACGTAATTACCCGCAGTGAAGCTGCTTATTCTCCCTTCTGTCAGAGTATGCTGACTTGTGATGCCTGCGAGAAACCCTCAGCCGGTCCATGAGATGAACAAGGTTTGCGAATTTACTCTTTGCGAGGACAATCTACTCTTCAATGGACGATTCGATGTCTCCTGCTTCAACGGTATTTGTAATTCACGTGTCAGATATCAAAAAGCTAGTTCTTACCGTGTGAAACGGTTGCGACATAGTGAGTTCGACGAAGTCGATATGCTGAGCGTAAGGCTGCGGCCACCGGCCTTGCGAGTTAGTAGCTTCGGAGGCTCCGGGCGCAAATTCGGCGGGCGCCCATACCTGGACCTATAGCCGTCATTCTGCCCTACAGCAGGCTTTCTATCCCTAAAGCTGGTGCAGGGACGGATCTCCCTGTGGCCGTGGTTGGGGTAGTTGTCTTCACCCTGAGCTTCGTATAGCTGGTCGTGGTGGTCCTGGTCGGTATGGCGACGAGAGACCTGGTAGCGGTGGACGTGGCAAAGTGATCCCTGACATCAGACAGTCTATTGGTGCCTCAGGAACTGGCTGGTACGACTCCTGTGTAGTGGTGGACGGCCAGATTCTTCTCTTGGCCCTGCTGCTTCCCCCCCCGGCGTGTATAAAGAGCTCTGTTTCCCTGCGATGGTGTTTTGAGTCTTCTGCTTCTTCATTCCATTCTCCTTCTTCTCGTCATCTACTGTTAGTGTTCAGTCTGAGCCTGTCTTCCCGTTGTCCGATCCCATCCACGATCTCCATTTAGCTATGGACTCGAAAACGACTCCTTTCACCACGAAGATGAAGAGTAACCTCTAACCATTTCCTTGACCGTTGCTTCCCCCTGTCGACCTTCCTTTGTTATGTCGCCTCTTTACTGGGAGGGTTCTTGCTGATGAAGCCTTCGCAGCCCACGCTGGCAACGGGGCCGCATTTGATTATTCGATTCAACGCTTCCTCAATGCGCCCGCCTGCGAAGAACCTTTCTTCGCCGGTTGCGACTCTCGTAAGAAGCTTAAGGGGTTGTTGCCTCAAGTGGACGCCATCGTCACCAAGTTTGCTGGTCAGGACGTCGCTGTCCATGGCAAAGATGCAGGTATGCAAACACTCCTCTGACGACTTGATTCCGGACATAGCTACCTCTTCTCACCTACCCTTTTAGATTTTCGAGTCCATTATTGAGTACCGTAGTTGATTCTGTGATCCCGCAGCCAAGACTCGTCTTTGACTTGGTTTTTTGAGGTTCAGAGCTGCCCGCAAGTACCACTTTTTCACCACTTCACGGCGACGACAACTCTAGTGCAGAAAATATTGGCTGCAGTCGGTCAGAGGATTCCCACTGTTCATTTTAGATTCTTCATCGTTGTCGGGAGTACGTAGAAAAGTAGGCCCTTGGATGTCTCTGTTCGGCGATGGAAAAGGGAATGTTGTGTTGGTATTTAATTTGGATGCAAAGGGCGTTGGCTGGAATTGTTGAAGTTCCACGTGGAAGGTTCACCTCCCAAAAATATTAGCCCGACACGCGCACTGCGCCCATGGGTAAGGGCATGTTCATTTGGGGCTCTGAGGAGTGGACAAGGCCACCACAGCCACCACTTTCTACTGGCCAATGGCATGCCTTACGAGCGCATTTGCGGAACACTTGTCTTCATTTTCAAAAAGGCAACCTAACCGAAGCAATCTGATCTCGTGCCTCTTTGAGTCTACCATGCCAGTATAGACGCTAAATTTTTGTTCTCGCTGTGAGGTTCCGGAAAATCTGGCGCGTTCCAGGATTGTTCCCTGGCGCCTTGCACCAGGGTCGTAACCTCGACGTACCGCCGCTGTATTATGACACTGTCGAATGCTAGATTCATAAGAACCCTTCTTTCTTCCACCTTGTCCGATCTTGAAACCGAAACCTCCCTGGTTTCAAATGATCATTATCATACACATCTCAGGCTTCGATCCAACAACATCAGACCGTTTGCCAATCCGATGGCCCCTCAAGGTAGCATGATGAGCCGCAAGTGTCGGACCACAGACCTCAATACTCCAATAGTGCGGATGGGCACATTCTTGGTGCGCCATCATCACCCGTGTCCCGTGTTCCGGTAAGAGAGTACATATATACGCGTTTCGAAATCGCAACGACCACTTCCTGACCAGAAATATAAATGTCCTATTTCCTATTTCCTATGGCACCTTTTCTTACCTAGCCTGGCTCCTTCGTTCCTTCGCCAGCATCTCTGAGCATCGTTCACAGAATCTTCACTCAATGCGTGGCTGGCCACCGCAAACACATTCCCACATACGACCCATTCCCTCCAAGGCGGTCACCATGGCATCAAGACGCTTCTCTCCCGTGGCTTCTATCCTCCTTTTACTATCGATCCTGGCCACAATGACATCCGCTAGCGCAATTTATTCTCCAGTCAACCTCAACTTCCTCATCCCTCGCCAGCAACAAACCAATGCCACGTGTAGCGAATACTCGACAATCGCCAACCTCTCCATCGTCGGCGCGAACTCCACATATCGAGCCGCTTTCCTTGCAGCTTCACCCCAAGGCGGCGATCCGGCCCGTGCGCCACTCGATACCGCAGAGAAGGAGCTGCCCGATCTTCAATTCGACACAGCGCTCAATACCGAATGCGGCAACTTGACTGAGATCGCCATCAAGGGAGCCGCAACGAACTTCACCAATGGTGTGGTATTGCAATTCAAGATCAATTCTGCGGTGCCTTTAGGGGCTAGTGCTTCGGGAATAGCAATGATCGCTGGGATAGTTGTAGTTATGGTCATGGAGATACTGTAGCGAGATGGCTTGTGGATGGACTCCTTCAGGAGTGGTGGGTTTGAGTCAGATATGTCAGCCAGGCTTCATTGTAGTCAGTCAATCACTGTCCAAGAATGATCAATCCGGTACTGGTGGCTCGGACAAGGCTGGACGGCACGTTTACCTCAAAAACCCCTGCTCGCATTCAGGACCCCAAGCGTCTGCGGGATTGCAGCGAGATCGCAGCGAGATCTTTACCACTCCTCTGAGCTTCGATTATCTAGAAGACGCGTATAGTCTGTACCTGCAAGCCTACCTTTTGAGGGTTCCGCGTATGCATCGGAATCTAAGAGATTAGAGCTGCCGCCATCATAGCCGCCGACTCCAACGGACGAGTCTCGTGAGTACGCCTGCATGAACATTGCTGACCGCCACACCATTTCGCTTATCTTGCCTGAAATCAGTAACCATAGTACCGAAGCTGGATTTTTAGTTCCAGGTGGTCGAAAGTGGCCTGCCTTGTCAATGACGGGCAGAGCGGGCAGAGGAAAGTGCCTCTGATGGCATGAGAACGTGAACGTTTGCGGAGTGCCCCGGATCAGCAGGGAAAATTCGGACGTCCCATGTCGTTGGGTCACTTCGGTCATAAACTGACGAAAGAACATGTGAGGGCCGCCAGCGTGCCAGCTCCTTACGTCGAGATGGGGGAAGAGCAAGACGCGCTCCGTCAAACAGATTCGTCGAAGAAGGCTAACCTTCAAGCATAAGAAATTCTAGAAGAAGCTTCCACGCATCTCAACGCCATATAATTCAACGAATGGTCTAGAAGTTGCGAACACGCGGAAGTGGACGGATGGATACACACACGAAAGGAAGCTGTCAGCTTTGCTGGGCAAAGACTTTTTGGATCTTTCCTGAGTGGAGAGTATGGAGATGCTCAGATGGCACTAGGCTGCAGAACCGCATGACCCATGACAATATGAGCATAATGTTAGTAACCGGGAAGATCGTTGTGGGTTCATCGCAGATTCCACAAGCGTCTCAGCCTGCGCAAGGAAGCTTTGGATTGTTGGAGAACGGCAGCACCGGAATAGATGGAAATCGCCTAGGAAGTGGCCAAGATTCCAACGAAGAGGATAGTCCGGAGATCAGGAGGAAGAGAAGCGAGAGTGGGATGCCGTCATACATTCTGTAGATGAGCCGGAGAACTAACTTACCAGGGCAAAAACTGTTGTCCATGGATATACCTAGACGTCCTCCCATGTTTTCAAACACCACTCGAGCAGTACGAAGCAGAAAAAGTGTGTTCCTGAATTTCCGCATTCCCAGAGAATTGGAATTGCATTCAGGGAAAAGTTAATTGTAGGAACCTGAGACGTGGCGATGAATGATGCAGGAGTGAGAAAATGAATTGGGCATGTGGAGTTCCTGGAGACCCCGGTAGTTGTTCAAAAGATCATGATTTGACCAGGCGACACGAAGAAGGAAAGGTGCACCAACAAATCAAGATCAAGCACAGACGCGCCTTGCCATCTTTGTCCTGTTCGACCGCTTGATGGATTATTATTATATTGCACAGATTGCGTCTCGTTCGCTACCGGCTAAATTCCCCATCATTGCTACAGAAATACAAGTCAAGAGTGTCAGCATCCGCGTGTTGGGACATTCAAGGTACGAGCACACAGTCTTTCGGTGTCTGCTCGTCGGCAATCTTCTCTTTGTGATGCTGGACTCGTATACTCTTTTCTCCATCTCTTCCGCTCAGATGATGACCATCTAAATGGGTAGTGCCACCGATCAAACCACTTTTTTTATAGTGTGGCGTGAGGTCTTTTTTCCCTTCTCCTGCTCCGCTGATCCGTTCGACCGTGTGGGATCTTCCCCTAGTCATCGAGTCACAGACTCTCACTCGATCTAAAACTCCACCCACCCACTGCACAGCAATATCAGGCTAAAGGGGACAGACCACATACATCGACATGGCGCCCATGCAACGATCCAGTCTGAATCGGTCATGACATCCTCAAAACAGACTCAATCCATGCTTGCCGTCATTGCGCGCGCCATAGTGTAATGCTGCTTTCCCCTCTCACTCCATCTTCGATCGTCGCATTCCCAGGATAGTCCTTGTCATCTGCCCGCGTGACGGCTGGTCCATTCGTCCTTTCCAGGGTCTTTTTCATCCCCAGCTGATCCCGGCATTTGTAAAGCTCCTTCCCCAGAAAATCTTAGCTTCTTGTCATCCTAGTGCCCTAAACAAGGTAGGGTACATAAACATTGCCCACCGCCCCCCAATCCCCAGGCGCCTGTGTCTTTCCATTCCAGATTTTTCACGACGCGAGGAACCGTTTCCAGTCTGCACCCGTCCGCCAGCACTGTCGAACCTGCGCTCTCTTGCAATTCATCTCAACTCTACGTCTATCTGTAGTTCATCATGTCTACCAACCAAGAGCACACCGACCTCCACAACACCGCCAACCTTGCAGCGGGTGGCAACGCTGCACCCAATGGCAACACCAACCACCAAAAGCTCGAGGAAGCTACTCGTGGTATGAGCCATGAAGAAAAGGCCACTGCTCAACAAGCCGCCCGCTTTGGTTATGGTCCCCTTGCTCATGTACGCACCAGTGGAGGCGACATGCTTCCTGCCTTCGGTGGTGAATTCCAACCCGGTCTCTACAAGCCCGTCGAGGGCCGCAAATTCGCCAATCCGGCACCCCTTGGTCTTTCTGCCTTCGCCTTGACCACATTTCTCCTCAGTTTGATCAACCTCAACACGCGAAATCTCGCCGGTAACAACAGTATCATCATCTCTCTGGCTTTCGGTTATGGTGGTCTTGTCCAACTCCTGGCTGGCATGTGGTACGTGCAAGACTGTATGACCGAGTTCCGCAGCGTTCTAACCGATATCTGCAGGGAAATGGCTGTTGGCAACACCTTCGGTGCTACGGCTCTATCCTCATACGGTGGTTTCTGGATTTCTTTCGCCATTATCCTGACACCGGGTGGTTTCGATATCGTTGCGACAACGGAAGCGGCTGGTGGGGGTACTTCTCTACTCAATCTCCTAGGGCTTTACCTGATTGTATGTCCCTGAATCGCAGAGAGACCTTATTGTTTCTGTGACTGACCTGGTGACTTTAGGGCTGGTTTATCTTCACCTTCCTCCTCTTGATCTGCACGTTGAAGTCCACCGTGGCTTTCTTCTTCCTGTTCTTCACCCTCGATATGACCTTCCTTCTCCTGGGTATCGCCTACCTTTGTCCCTCAGCTGGTGCTCCCAATGTTGCTTGCACACGTGCTGGCGGTGCCTTCGGTACTCTTGCTGCTTTCGCTGCCTGGTACAACGCTTTGGCTGGTATCGCTGATACTTCCAACAGCTTCTTCATCATTCCTGTGGCACACTTCCCCTGGTCTGTGAAAGGCCGGGCTAACCGTGCCGCCGCCAGAGAGGACGAACACAATGCCTAATCGTGTTCTGTTCACCAGACAGTATCAGATTTTCAACAGGAGGAAGAGCGAATGCAGGGCATGCGCGGTTTCAGTTGATCAACAGGGCTTCTTCTGATGGATGAAGAGTTTTATTACCCAGAAAATGTCTGGATCGGACATGGGGTGCTACGATCTCTTTTGGATACCCCAAGATTGCGTGCGTGGCGTGGCGTGGTTGTGGTTCACGAGTTATTCGCTATTCAAATGCGAAATAAGACCTAATGCGATGTGTTGACGTTCTTTCAATGCCATTGTTTTTTTATTGAACCACAAGATTGCTCGAGCTTCAACCTCCTGGAGAGACTTTCGCGGAGATCGAATGTACCTACACGTCAACAGCATGAAGCAGGACGTCATGGATTAGTTCTCCGTGGTGGTAAAGTGTAAGTTCGATGTTGTCGTCACACTTTATCCGGCGTCCGCTTGTGGAGGACATTTAGCGTCCGATTTACATGTAAGCTTTTCGACCCCAAAGGACATGACCAGAACCGTGCTCAAGGCTTAGGGCCAAACTAAGGAGGCTCGTAGTGTAAATTGCGGAAGCCGCAAAGAGTGATTGGATTTTTGGGGGCTGACTTTGCGATTTCGGGGTTTCTTCCCCAGCTTGGACTCTTTGAATGGGGGGAAACAACACAACGATATGCAGCTACCTACCAAACATCGTACCCTCGACTCGATCTTAGAGATTGCCTACATTGCCTAGCCGCTACTGAAAACAGTGAAACAGAAGACAATGAGGTCGGTGGCAAGGTACGAATACGATAGAGGACATGGCATCCCACGCGACATTCGGTCTGGATGGCTGGCCGGTGTCCGCGATATCACGTTACTGCACACCGTGAGCAGCATAGGGTATGCAAGGATGTTGCATTACCAGAGGCACACGGTAGTTTAGGAGATTGGGAGAAGGACGGCGCAAGACCAAGCCTCAATCTGCGTCTAAATGTCTGTTACATGACCGCATTTTGACATCGATCAGCAGAACTGGGCCCAAGGATCCTATTTTCCACTTCGATACTCGTACTCGTACCTCGAATGTCAGATCTAACAAAAAGCAAGTCGACCGCGAACCGCTGGGCTAGCTGGACAGTGGACAAGTCAACGCGGGGTTGTGCCGTTCGAGGTGTAGTTTGATTGGTAGAGAAACCTCCGAGGACTAGTCGGTCTATTTACAAGGGTCGATGAATGACGTCGATTATAGTAAAAAGGTCACAAGGCTTTGCTATTCACTAGTGTCTTGAGAGACAATGCGAGCGTACGAGTCTTGGAACACTACGTCGTGGAAGTTCTGCTTCTGCCAATCTATTCTTCATCTATTATCAGGTGTGCGAACGCCGCTGCCGTACCGGCGCAGGTAAATCCGCGGTCATTCTACTTGAACCGAAGCATCATAAGAAGATTAATACCGAGTACATACAGTGTATGCTGATTTCCTGTTTCGAGCTGACTTGTACCCGCGCCATTCAACGATGTCCTCCATATCAACATTGAGGGAAGGTGCACTGCACTCTCAGAGATCCGTCGTGGTAGCAGTTTCTTGCTGACTATCAGCTCCGCCTCCCACGGACATGTTCCGCTGAATTCCTACAATGGTGACATTCACCCCGGCCACTCATCTTCCAAGTCTGGCTGCCTGCTGCTGACGCCAGCGGGCACTGCGTGATCACCATATCCACCTGTAAGCGGCATTTGAATCAACAGCTTGACACAGCAGCCAAATCCATGTCCATGGCACTGAACCGGAATTCCATCATATCGCCAATCTCACAGCACCGCGAATGCGCTAACATAGCTCACGCTGCTGTCCCGGACCGTCTCTACGTCGCTGCTTCGTTCATACCTCATGAACCTGAATCGCCTTTGCGTACCCTTGCTGTCTACCTCTCCACGCTCTTTCTCTTGGCGCTCAACCTCCTCCACACCCGCCATGAAGACACCAATGGGATGTCTTCCGCAGACAGTATTGCCCGTGTCCTTCAACACACGTACGAACTCAGCATGTTCCCCTGTGGCAATTGCGCACATGCACGCCCGGTCAGCGTGGGCGATGCTTTCATATATTTGCGGCCCACCTCTGGGGATCTTGGTGCCTGACCTGAGGTCCTGACCATTACCCAGTGTTGGCGTCTTGTGAACGTCTTCATTGACCGACTCTTTTGCCGTGGTGAACTGTCCCCGGACTCCATTCGGCAGCATCAGTGGTGACAAGGCTGGACTGGGCGCATCGGGTAGGTAGTATGTGTAGCCAAACCTGCTTCCCCAATGGCAGAAATCAGATGATATGACGAACGCATTGCCCTCATCTGCAACGTATGGAGCCAGCATCTTTCCCAGTGCGGACTCGGTCGCGGGATTTGTTGCACCGACCATGATCGGGACTAAAGGAGGGTAAGAGGTCTCGGACTCGCCCGGGTAGAGTTTCTGCAGGAGACGGTGAATGTAGGGTAGTTGCATTTCTCCGCTGTGTTCGGCTTCGTCGACTGGCCGGGACATCGTTGTGAACTTGACCGTACGGCCCTGGACGGTGGTAGAGAGTGTAGAAAGTTGTTTGATTGTGTCGAGATCGAGAGGAAGAGGTGTTGGAGACAGAGGTGTCTCATATGCGTGGACGACAGGCAAGGCAGCTGTGCTTAGATGATGGTGGTGGGACGGATGTAGGATGAAGATGCGCTTCGCTTTCGACAGATCGAGACATTTGTAGGCCCATGCTGCACAAGGACCTGAATATGCATAGCCCGCATGAGGTGATATGACTGCTCGAGCCCCCGGGAGTGGTAGTGCGTCGACTCCAGGAAGGACATCTCCCTCAGGAACCTTGGACATCCAATGATCTAGTTGTGCTGCCAACTGTTGTCCATTGTCGGAGTACCACGAGCCTGCATGGGACGCTTCTCGAACAGACATCGTGGTTGGGAATGTAATGACAATAGAATGAGAGGGCTGCAATGTTTCAAACTCCAGCCAGCAGAGCCTCAACGATTATCTCGAGGATCGTCGGCAGACTGGTGGTGATCAATCCGATCAGAGGGGCATATGTCATTGCGTGCAAGGGAGACGTGGTGGGGGCGGAACGCTAGGTAAGTACCACCTAAAGTGCGAGTAGTCTGGCGTGGGCATTGTCTTTTTGTTGCCTCATTTCGAGCATCTGCTTTACTCAATCACATGCACGCACGCTGCAAGCGCTTGCACACGTCCATACCGCATCTCTTTTTGCAGCAGCTTCATTTTATTTGCTGTATGATCACCTAGCATCACCATCTCCACGGATCCCGACCGAGACAACAACCTTGACCAAGTCGGGCGGGCCTTCATCCCCATCGCGTTCCGACGCGTAAAGTACTTTCGACACACGCGTCATCATTCGTCTTCTTCCACCACGAGCCCAGCATTTCTCTACACTGTACAGCAAGTATTTGCAGACTAGATCACGGCAAATATATCGCATCAGCGACATGGGCCACAAAAGGAAAGCATCCACCCTCGGCGAGCCCATATACACCTACCACGGGCACCTGCACACAAGTCCCACCGCACCATCATTGACCTCCTCGCCCTCAACATCGACAAGCACACTATCCCCGACAAACGGCACTGCATATCCCTCCTGGAGTATTAGCGTAGTCCCCTACCTTACGTCTCGAACACGCAAGAGATACCGCGACGACAGGCCCGAGGAAGAAATCATCCACGAAAACACCCTGAGGAAACTCTACGATGCTCAACGACTACACCTCGACGAAGCATTGCCCATGTGTGAAGTATTCAATCTCGAAGAGCAGGAGCAGTATGAGCCGACACAAGAAGACGCAGAGATGTCGAACGAACCTATGCCTGAATTACCACGGTCCGTCCAAGGCAGCCAAAGGACGATTGAAGCGTTCTTCGGCGGGAGAAGCAATACTAGTCAAGTCAGTCATACGAGACTGGATGTGGCGCACTCTCACACTACTGCCGCCCGAAATCCACAGAAGCAGCATTACAACTGTTCGGACGCGATGCTTGACATCCCTGGGCAGGAGCAGGCTGATCATTGGTCGAGGCTGGGATGGACGTGAACGAAATGAGGATTGGATATGCACGACATAAGGAGTCTTATTGCTTCGATTCACTCCGGAAGTGCTAAACGTGGACCAAGGGACGTCGGAAGGTAGACGACAATAGATGTCTGTGTACCTTGTATGATTCATGGTTGAAGTAAACGGTGGGCGGCTGGTCACAGTCGTAGAAGACGCTCTCACCAACTCGACGCTTGAATGATAAGTCTGGGCCATGACTGACGCGGAATGTCCGGCTTGTTAGCATCCTAAGCCATGCGCTCAGCAACTTGATGTTTGGAACTTTCATGTCTGTCAACCCTTGTGAAATCGAACTGGTATCCTATGTACGGCATGGCTCTGCGCGTCCGAAAAGGTAGTCGACATTGACGAGCTTCCACATGAGGAGAGCACCTTAAAACTGGCTCGTGAGTCAATGATCAAGGCTTAACGCTTGTCCAGTTTTGCAATAGCACTTGCAAGCTGAGTATCTGTGTACATCCACACATTAATAGAGAGGTATTGACAAAGTAAAACATGAGCTGGGGATCGGCTCACACATGAACAACAAGCCCGTATGCCGCCAGAAAGAAAGGTCCATGAATCACACTCGCGATAACTTTGACTCCCAACAAGCTAACGCCTCGAAAATCAACCCTCTGCCCAACCAAGCATGATGCAATCAGCGCCAAAACAAGAGCGCCGTAGAGTCCCAAATCACCAACGCCTGACCATGCCAATGCACTCGCCTGTCATTCGTGTCGTCGTGTTCCAGTGTGTTGCAGTCATGCTCCTGTTCACGTTGCCCGAATACCCCTTGGGCATCTGCTGGGGTTTAAGGCCAAATCGATGACCATTGCGCCGATTCATGCAATCCATCTCGCCCCAAAAAAAGCCCCCTGACATCTGCTGATACCCCTCGAGGTCTAGTGTAGAGTGACCTATCATGGGGAAGTAGACATGGAGGAGGTCCTTCCACCGGCCTGTCCCGATGAAGTCATATTGCGAACCGCCGCCTCCTCTGTGGCGTGCACGCGCTCCATGTAAGCTTCCTCATACATTGTGCGCAAGCGCTGTGAGTGAGCTCTGGCGGTGTGTTCCATATCTTTCTGCGACTTTTTGAAGGCTTCCACGGCCATTTCCTTCGCCAATCTCGTCTCCTGGCATCTTCGGCTCAGCGGCTCCAGGTCAACCGACTCACCGCGGGCGACTGCTACTTGAGCTTCGGAGAATAGTCGATTCGCAATCACATCATCGTCCATTACTCGGTTGCGATCCTCGTATGTTGCTCTAACCTTGCGTTTCAATGCGTCGGATTCCAACAGCTGTTCCTGCTTGACTCGGTTGAGGCTCTGCCGGGCTTCTTCAGATATCTCAGCCGCATGCCCCAGAGGCGGTGGACGTGATCCATAACCTCCAAGGAACATGGAGTCTCTTGCACGTCGATAGGCCGCGCGATCTGGTCTTGCACTGACATTGAGCTCGATCTTCGAATCGGCTTTGAGAGATTCCGGAGCATTGAGATCAACACCATCATCCCAATTCTGGTCACTGACTGGGGCCACCACGCCATTCAGAGCACGCCTAGCATCGATACCACGTCGACATTTCATGCATGCCCGACTCTTTGTGTATGTTTGCGAATTGACCCAGGCAGACAAGCAAGTGGCGTGCATAGCAGTCCCACAGCAGCTGATGACCGCCATAAAGTTATCGGGTTCGAATTCGAGTTGACATGCCGGGCATTCCTTCTTATGCTCCCCTAGCTCTTGAATGCTTTCAGTGGTTGCTCGACTCAGGACCAATCTGGTGACCGCCTTGGGTGGTGCTCCTGCTATGGTCGGAGCTGACCGTCTAGAGAAGGATATCCCGTTGGTGGATGCATTTGGTGTGTGCGGCACTCTGTTCGGGTCGGGCGGGATAGGATTGCCTGGTATGGTAGGATCAAAGAAGAAACCAGAGCCTTCTGGCATACGTGATACAAAGTCTCGGATTTGCTGCTCCGAGTAACCAGGAAAGTGCCGCCAAAGGTCATTACGAAAACGATGAGGATTTGCCATTAGATTTGGTGCTGTTCCTCTGTCGTAGTCACGAGCTGGATTGCTGGTGTTGGAAGCGTCTTGTGCTGATTGAGCAGGCGTAGGAATGTTTGGCACGTAGGCTCGTGGCATCGTTGTCATACCACGCATTTCCGGAGGGTAAACGCCTCCCAATACTTGATATCCAAAGGGTTGCTGGTCTTCCCAAAGAGACTGTACGTCGGCAGGCATCTGTGAAAAGCCATCCCCAGGAGCTACGGTGTATCCAGGTTGAAATGCGTACCGAGCAGGTAGAGGGATGGTGGCAGGACGAGGGGCCTCTGGCATAGTGGGATGCTGAGGACTCATTTCTGAGGTGATTCTTCGACGTTTGTATTTGTGTTCATCAGTGGTCTCTTTATCGGAGCGTTCCTGAGAACTGGACGGACTGTAATCGTCGTAGAGTGGTGGAGATGCCATTGTATGATATGATTAGTCCATGCAATGGGTTGGAACGGAGACGTCTTGATGAAACCAGAGCCTTGTTGTGTTTCAATAGCGATCGATCTGGTTTTTCAAAGAACAAAGATCGGTTGAACCTTAGTTGTCTCACGTTGGGTTGTGGTGAACTGTTTGCCGTCACTATAGTTTGCCAATGATGACGGCAGGCAGTTTGAGATTTGAGAGATTGAAGTCGGTATGCTGCGGGGCAATTGAAGTTGACTGGTTGTGTTAGTCCACCAGACAATTCCCCTCCCTCTCTCTACTTTTTAGAAGAGTTTGCTGAGCAAAGTTGAGGAAGAAACATGAAGTTGGTAAGTTGGATGTGGTGAAAGTAAGGTTGGGGCTGGACTTGTGGATGGTCATGCGAGGTTGACACACCGAATGCCTGGCGATTGACCGGGGTGGTAAGCAGCTGATTAGTTGATGCTCTTGTTACTCCAAATCAAGGCGGCTCGGTTGCGTTGTTATTGGTGGCACACCCTCTTGGAATCTTGGATCGAGTATCGGATCTTGAGCCGCGCAATGAAAGAAAGTGGTTGGCAGTGTACAAGGTAGTGAAGGAGGAGACTCTCGGTTGTTGAGGTACTGTACGATTGTCAGTCAGTGAGTATAGAGGGGTTGTGAAAGGCGGTTTCTTGGTACTTGGTATTTTGTTACCCTTGACTCGACTTGACATCGACTCCCTGTCAGACAATCCTGCAAAAGCAACGTTGGTCGCCTCCTTTGGACTTGACCATGCAACCTCGCCTCATGTGACACAATAAGCAGGTCAAAGACGAAGCAGTTCCAGGTGGAGGGTGAAGGTAGAAGTTTAGATGTCAAGTAGATCCAGGGAAAAAATTGTACATGCAGTGCAGTGCTCGACAACGCCGACGAAGGGTGGTGAGATAAGTCGCTTAGTCGTCGCTCCGGAACCTACAAGAAGAGGGCGAGACGACTTTCGGTTGTCGACATCGTCACTGCACACTCACACAGGAAACGACTTCGAGTGGCAATCAAGACCGATGACATGGCACAAAGGAGACAGACATTTGTTCGCTCTTTTGTGCGGCCAGGCACAACCAGGCACAACCAGGTTAGCAATTGCCTGTTCCAAGCCAAAGATCTGCCTTGCAAAGTGCGCGGAACTCCAGCAATGCACTACTCAGTCGCCTGGGTCTACTACTTCTTACTCGGCGGAGTAAGAAAAGCGTTGCAGACTCAGAAGAGTCTTTGTTCTGTGACAGCTGCCATGAGTACTCAAAACCTTCGAGCATCTATGGGTGAATCTATGACGAGTCCGATATCAAATGTATAGGAGTCATGAACACGATCCAGTTGCGATCACTCGGGGGGGGATACAGACTCGCAGATCTGTGGTGTCCTCAGCAGAACATTTGAGCGGCTCCAGTCTTGTCTCTGAGCATAGTTTGGTTTGGCAGGGAATCTGGTGTCGCGGAAGAACCCTCCCACATGCCCCCCCGGCCATCTTCTGGATTCCCTCCAGACCCGGATGGCCTCTGCCTGAATGGACAGGTTGCGGGGCTTGAAAATCTTTGAGCCCATTGATCAAATTCGTGAAAAGAATCAAAAAACATGTCTAAGATAGACACGGGTCTCGCCTACAAGTATGCATGAACAGCATTGTCGACCCGAGGTTTACCCGATGGCTCGCCGCCGATGTCAACTGTTCTTTGCTACGGGGGAACTTCATTCTCTCTCTCTGTGTTTGACAGGTGCATGTCTCTGCACGCTTTCTCGTCATGAGACAGTAACTCTGGACACTCGGACTCCTGGCTTGAATGATGAACAGGTTTTCTTCAGACTTCTCGTCCGTTCTCAGGTGTTCTCTCGGATGGGTTGGTTCGCCATTGCATTTTGCACTCTCCTAGCTGGTTTTGTCCTGTACCGATTTCTTGTTCGAGAAAATGCGATAGAATTGAAGGGAATTGCCGTGCTACAAGAGACTTCAAGTCCCAGTGAATCACAAGAAGAAAGAAGCACAGCGACTCAAACTGCGCCCAAGATGACTCAAGAAACATCTTCAAACGGGATTCCCACACTGTTCGAGACACCTCCTCTTCCCACGAAAGTAGTAGAGCCAGAATCCGTCAACAAAGCCAGGCCATCACAGCCAACGGTATCTGTTCCTGAACAGCCTACCTCGACCAAACCACCGAGTCCGCCACGTCTCAAACCTCCTACCATCGGTCGCATGCCCGCCCCGCCACGGCCTGGTAATGGCGCGCTTCGCCCGCCACCCTCCGCAGCTGCGTCTTTGCGAGTTCCTTCCACGAAAGTCTTGTCAAATGCCTCCATGGCCCCAAGTTCGTCCATCATGCCACCCGGAAAGCAGGTCTCACGAAAGGTCATCCTCGAACCAGGCCATTCGCCCCTGGACTGGGCGGCCCTTACTTCCAGCCCGAACAGTCAACTACGTGGTAAAGATGTCCCCGACAATTTGATACGAGTCACTCCAGCACAGCTCAAGCAGCAAAATGGTCGCAAAGGAAGAGATGCCTGGACAGTGTATCAGGGAAAAGTGTACAACATCACACCATATGTCCCGTTTCATCCTGGCGGGAAAGGCGAGATCCTGCGAGGCGCGGGGAAGGACTCGGTGCAACTGTTCATGGAAGTTCATCCCTGGGTCAACTGGGACGGCATGCTCAGCGAGTGTCTTGTTGGGATTCTAGTCAATGACGAAGACGAGGCTGACTCCAAGAGTGGCGGCCTCGATGAGATGGATTGAATTGACATGCATTTACCGGCGCAGAACGGACGGGAAGGCTTGAGATGGAGACATGACATAGATCTTGTGATACCCCTTTAGAACGACTCATGATTGACGGACATGATTGATGGGTATATGTACATGGCAGAATGCATGCTTTTTGTCAATATCTTCAAGTCCTTTTCTATGCGTGAGAGTGTCCAGTCCAGATCCAGTCGTCCCTAACGACAGACCGGACGAGGTTTGTAGCCACTGCGTGGCCTTCCAAGGCCCAATTGTCCAGCGTCCGTAGGCACATTCACAACTCATCCTTCTTGACGCCTTTGATCCCCATCAACTCCGTCTCGAACACGAGCACACTGTTCCCCGGGATGGGCCCAACACCTCGATCACCGTATCCCATCTCCGGAGGAATAGTCAACCGTCTCTTCTCGCCAATACACATATCCACAAGACCCTCGTCCCATCTTGCCACAAGCTTCGTCAGCACAACATTTCTGCCCGGTGGCAGCATCTTGACTCACCCCTTGATCACTCTTCCTGCACCAAGCTGGAACGGTAACGGCTTGCCGCGAGAGTAGCTCGAGTCGAACTCCTTGCCTGTGCTCTGTAGCGATCCAGCGTAGTGTACCTCGATGTTGTCCCCTTTTTGGGTCTTGCGGGTGCACTCAATCTCAGGGGTGAGGTACTCGATCTCTAGCCCGGAGGAAGTGGCTAGCTGGACGAGGGACAGCGTTGCTGCGACGAGGACTGGGAGGAGCTTCATTGTGGCTTGTGAATGACGATATGGAAGCCAGAGAACTATGCACGAGTAAGTTTATATCAGGAGTATGTTGTATTTGTAGACAGCAGTTCTGAATATGCTGAATGGGACTTGTTGGAGATGCTTTCGAGAACCCTGGAAGTGGTTGGCTGGGCATGCGGAGTGGAAGCAACATCGCGCCCTCGACATCGTAAGTTACTTCCTGCTCATCAACGGACTTTATTGCTTGCCTACAAGAACAATGAAGACAGGCGTAAGGTGGTGAATCTCTTCTGGTAACAACAGCAGCATAGCACATATGAGATGTTCAACTGTCGTCAGCGCAACCGATCTTCGACGATTGTCTCTTCGACTTCCCTCAGCATCCTCCCTGTTTTCCAGTCAATCAAACCACGGTGAGACCTTTTCGCTCACTTGCATCCCTTTCTCCCTTCCCAATGTCCCGATATGCAAGACCAAGACTTGTTCCTGAACCTAATCCATTCCTCCACCCTCCATCTATCCCCATTCCAAGTTTCTTTGGTGGTCCAAGTCTTCCCTCTCCATTATTTCATGAACATGCCTTGATAGTTGACAGTCGCAAACAGTTGAACGAATGAGAGAAAACAAAACCCAAGCGCACGATTGCTGGAGCCCAGTGCCGATCCGTATGAGCACTTCGCAAAAAGAAATTTGTGAATCATGCAGGTAAGGGTATCTCACAGTTTGCTGCTGTGAGGAAAACAGAATGAAAACGTGCTGGTTGATGGAGTTCGAAGGTGTTGACCGAACCCGTGACAGTTATGCTGATTCGAAGTAGACACGATTGAAACTTCAAGTCCAAAGCTGAAAGATCGATGTGTCCCTCAACTTGACTCCCTGGATCACATGATGGTTGCAAGCAGGAATCAGTCCCAACGACGGCCAAACGTCTTCGAGTACTCGATTTCTTCCGGAGTTCTCAGGTCAGGTTTGACTTTCTGAAAACGTCGGCGTTGCCCAGTGGTGAGTCGCTCAGGTTTCGGCTCTTCTTTCTTGCCTCGCTTGCCACGCTTGGTGGTCTTCTTGGGCTCATCTCTGGCAACGTTCAAACGCTTAGTCGACTTGCTAGCCTGACCTTTGGTGTTCTTGGTTGTCTTGTCAGCCTGACCTTTCAAAGCTCCTGGTGCATTCGCCTGCTTGTCCGTAAGCACGACTGAAGATTGCTTGCGAGTACGTGGCTCGGCAAGTTTCCTAGAGGACTTGGTGGTCTTCTTGGTCCGCATGTTCTCCTTGTCCGATTCAGGGCGTACAACATCGTATCTCCGCTTCTTTGCGGCATTCTCTTCATCATCATCGGCGTCCTGTGGCTTGGATTAGTATACATGTTTGTGCGGCACGAAGTATAAGTCCTTACTCTCTTTCTCTTGTTGTCGCTCGTAGCAACATCCCAGTCGTCCTCGTCGGAGTCCCACACGATAGGTCGGACTCTCTTCTTCACTGGTATAACAACCTCGACATTTTCGATGGCCTTTTTCACAGTCAGTACGGTCAATGGTGCATGCCATCAGGACATCACTTACTTGCACCTGGTCCTTGCCTTGATTGTCATTGTTGACAGGCTTCTTGTGATCCAGGTGACCCTCATCACAACCCGCAGTCTTGGGTTTCTTGCTGGCTGGAGTCTCCTCGTCGGTATCACTCCAGACACGCTTCTTGCCGGTTGAACGCTTGTCAGGGGTAACATCAACTACAGGCATCTTGCTCTCGGTAGACTTCTGATGAACGTCCACCTTGGTTTCCGTCTTGGTGGTTGGGGTCATGTCCTTGGGAGCGGCGACCTTGAGCTTGATCTTCAAGCCCTGGCCACTGCGCTTCTTGACGACAGTCTCCTTGAAGAACAGCCAGCTGCCGCCACTGTCATGCACCTTACGCTTCTTCGTAACAGTGAGGTCGTCATCGCTATCAAGTGCGCGTTTCGCGGAGACAGTAAGGTCCTCCTCGGTGGTGTCGCCATCCATATCGCGAGAACGTTTCTTGGAGACATTATCGTCCTTCTGAGTGGCACCGTACTCCTTGATGTCATTGAGATGGCCAGGCGCCTTGACCGCACGACGGGTTGTGGGCATCGTCGAGGCACTTGCAGCAAGCAGCTGTGGAGTAAGACTTCTCACAGTGGGTAAGGGTTTGGTTGCTTCATAGAGGATTGGAGTCAGTATTAGGCCCTTCCACGGCACGGCAAGTACTCAGAGAAGGAGGTGTACCGATTGGTTCTGACTCTTTACTGGCCTTCCTCCATCTCTCTATGTTTGCGTCGAAGTAGATCCCCATGGCTAGAGGAGGAGGTGACTTGCAAGGGTATCTCAATGGAAAAAGCAAGTGAAGTCGAAAGCCCAAGCAATGAGGGAGCTGATTGAGGCTGAAACACAAGCTCCAAGCGCAACTACAATCACAGAGCTGTATTCGAGAAGACCTGAAGCAGTTTGAAGCAGTATCCTTAGTGGAAACAAGAAGCGGTGATGATAATGGTGGAAGATGAAATTCAGAAGCAGGATGAATTGATTACAACCACTTCAGGCGCGAATTATCAGGAAGAGGCAGTGATCACGGTGTATTCACTTGCATCAGGACCGCGTCGTATCAATGGTTCAGCCATTTGTTGCAATATTGCAAGGCAGTATGTATTCACCTGTCTCGAATCTCCTTGGCGAAGCACAACACAATTCACAGTCCTATGCGAGGCTGGCTACGAGCACACAGCTGCGGCTGCAGGCACGACGGAAAGGAATCAAAAGAAGAGATAAGGGATAGGTTCTTGTGTTGTCTATCTTGCCTCCAGTGTGTGTCAGCGAAGTGGCCTGCCTGTTCCTGTCTCGCCAGGCAAATGTACGATCAGTATGTATCCCATACCCCCAAAACTTCGCTGATGTTGTCCTGTCTGCCAATAGGATTTGTACCATGTCTGTATGGTACCCATAAACTCCATGCTCAATTACCCGATAACCATTTCCAGTGCAGACGGTGGTACAGTCAAGCACCTGTCTCTGTAGATCAATCTATATGTGCAAGTCATTTTCCCCATGTCCTCCTGAACTCCAGGCTGTCCATTGCATAAATGCCCAATTGCTGTTCATTTCATTCCAGTCGTACGCCTAAGTTGTTTCTCCACCTCACTGCAGAAAGAAAGCAGAGTGTTGTTGTTGTTGTTGTTGTTGCTGCTGTGCAGACAGATGACAATCACAATGCCTCCTTGGGAATGACGTTCTCCTTCAAGGCCTGTTCGGCCATCCACTCGGCCAGAAGTTCTGGCTTCTTGAGGCAGGACTTTTCCTCGGCACGAGGAGCGATGAGCAAAGCTGGCATTCTGGCTGTCCTCGTGATCGTGACGGAGGCGTAGCCCTTGGAGCCTGATGACCTCAAGGAGTGCTTCTCGGTCATCTTGTAACTCCTCGTGTTGGCTGAAGGACGCACCAGGTCGTAGCCCTTGTCGACGTTGTAGGTACTGGCGTTGCTGTAAACGTCGATGCCGTTGCTATTGGCGTGGGGGGCAAACAACGATGGACGAGTTGGCTTGTGGAAAAGGGATGACAACGGAGGGTTCTTCTTGATGATCTTTCCCTTTGCTGGCACGGCGACCACCGGCTTTGGCTTTGTCTCAATGCGTTGTGCAAGCTCCTTTCGAGAGCGTTGCGCCCTCTCCAAGGTTGCCTTGATGGCATTGACCTTGGTTGGAGAAGCCATGGCGACCTTCTTGATGGCAGGCATTGTGTCTGAGAGTTGTATCGAGATGAGTGTCGAGAGATGTAAGAAGTGGTGACGGGGAGGGTGTCGATTGTAAGACTGTTGTAGTGTAAGTGGTGTTGATGAGGAGGACGTCGTTGGTAGTGCTGTTGTGTTGAAGTGTCGTTGAGGGTTGTCGAGAACGCTCAAGCCTGGTGTATGTGTTGTTTGTGGTACAAGAGAAGAGGAATTTCTGAAAAAAGGCAGAGAGAGGGAGATTATATGGGAGGGACGAAAAGAGGTCCTCACTGATTCTAGGATTTTCATGAATAGAAAGTATACACCGATTCATGGCACGGCTCCACTAATGTATAGCAATTGTATGGGAACAATAGCTATTCATTGCATTCCGACGGTACAATCGACGCGAGTGGCCTACCTAATTGGGTGTGTGATACTGACCAGTGGAACGGCAGGACTCACCTTCTTTGGGTGTGGCAATATGGTACAACACTCTGCACTCAAGAGCCATGCCCACACTTGGCCAACAGAGGTTTTCAGGGATAGCCGGGCCACAGCTCCAAGGGTACCGCTCATGTTGTTGCCTTTCATAGTGATTGCATTCAAATGAACGCTGTGTTGCACGTAGGCGATAATGCCAGAATCTTATGACTGTCATGTCACTGGCAGACTGGGTCGAGTGACGCTCATGGCGGATGAGCATCAAATTGGCATGCTGAAAGTGAGATAGAACCAGAAGTCTTCTGCTCAAATGCCCGGCATGGCCATCCGCAGTAGTGTGCGCGCCTCTCGGGTAAGGGAGCTTGCAAGTTTGGTTTTCTGCCCGCGGCCTGTACGCCCTGCATATTGTCCGGTACCAAAGCTGTGCCTGGAGTCTGAGGCACTCGCAAGTCGCGCCGCCGCCGACTCGGTTTCGGCATCATGGACACCCGCCCTCAAAGTAAAGTCAACATGCGCTTGGAGTAGGTCGAACTCGCCGTGAAAGTTCCGATACCAGTAGCCCAGCCGTTCGAACAAGCCTTTCCAGCCTACAGAGGAGACAAGCGATGCTTGAGTTCTACTCACCCAGAGAAGATCACAGCGCTGGATCGATCATTGCTGCTGATTATGGCGAAAACCAAGTAGAAAGGAAAGATTATGATCATTCAACGGGTCAAAAGTACATTTTTATGCCAAGCCCACACCTCTTCATGCAGGGACCGACATTGACAGGTCGGACAGATCGACAGACTTCAAGATCATCAGTACAATTGAGCCGGACTAATAGTACTAATCTTTGTTGTGAGCTCGAATGGCGGAGATCACATCTGGGGAAGATTGCGTTCAGACTGAGTGAGAACATCCTCGTGCTGTGATGAAAGCAACATTCTCCTGCGAAAGCGCAACTACAACACATGCTAGACTTGTAGATACAGCTCCTCTAGGCAGGTCACTCTCACCTTCCGAGCCATCAAATTTGCACTCGCATCGGTGTACATGACGCTTTCAAGGCAACTCCCGCTGTGCTCTTGGTTCAAGCTGCCACCGTTTCAAACCCTGAGAAACTCGGCAGCACCAGCCTGATCTCTTTCACATACTCCGGGATTCCACCAGCGTAGTTAACCTGTTCAAACGCCTTTCCTGGCACGCTACCGCCCATGTACGTTGACCTCGTGGTTGGAAGGAGAGTCTTGTCGCTTAATTCGTTGATACGCTGCTTCCACTTCTCGCTCGCTTCGCGCGTAGGGTTGACGTATTTCCACCCCTGGCGATCAATCAATTTGATGGCATCACGAATCCAGCGCCCTTGAACTTCGACGCTGGACGGACCGTTAGACAACAAGGTTGGCCCGTGTGGTCCATAAAGGTGAAACATGTTTGGATAGCCTGAGATAGTTGTGCCGAGATACGTGTATGCGGCCTTTTTCCATTCATCGCGCAAGGTCGTGCCGTGAATGGACTTGAGACCCATGTTGGTCATACCGCCTGTCGTGATATCGAAGCCTGTGGCGAGCGCAATAACATCGAGCTCATGGTGTTTGCCATCTTTTGTCTTGATGCCGGTTTCAGTAAATTCAGCGATCTCATTGCCAGACTTGGTGCTGATATCGACGATGCTTACGTTGTCTCGATCGAGGACTTCATAGAAATTTTGTTCGAGGCATGGACGCTTGATACCAAATGCGTGAGGCGGCTCAGCGGGACACAATATCTCGCGTTTCTCTGGATTCTTGATGCGTGTCATTTGCTTCCGGCGCCAAAAGTCGTATACACACCGGTTCGCCTTCATATCAAACAGATAGTCCTTGTGTGCGCCCAGCCAGAGGCCAAAGCCAGCCTTCTTCCACAGGCGTTCGTACACAGCTTCGCGTTCTTCGGGCGAGTCTTCGAATGTGTTGCGCTCCTCAAAATCATAGGTAAATCCCGCAAAGTTCTTCTCGCGCATACGCAGCATTTCGTCAAGGGTTGGATAAAGTGCTTCCTGCTCTTCCTTGGTCAAGTCCCTCTTTCCCATCGGCAAGGCGAGGTTGGGTGTTCTTTGGAAGACGGTGAGCTGCTCGACTTGAGGTCCCCATTCCTGTATCATCTGCACACCGGAGGCACCGGTGCCGATGACCGCAACCTTCTTTCCACTGACGTCCACCCCTTCAGGCGGCCAGAAAGATGAGTGGTGCATTATGCCTTTGAATTTGTCCATGCTCGGATAGTCAGGGATGTAACGCTTGGCAGCAAAGCCAGCAGCGATGATCAAGTACCTGCATTTGGCGGTACGTCCGTCAGCGGTCTTGACTACCCACTTTCCGGCATCTTTGTCGAATTCGGCAGAGGTGACCACGCTACCAAATGCGCAGTCTTTGCTCAGACCGCACACTTTATCGACGTGGTCAAAATAGGCTTGTAATTCGTGATAGTCTGGGTAGTTCGTGGTCCAAGTCCAAGTCTTGTATACTTCCGGGATAGCAAGCTGGTAGATAGGTACTTCCGAATCGACTCGGGCACCTACGTGTTCAGCTTCCCCATTTAAAAGAGGTGTTGGGCCATACCTGGATATACATTCCAGCGCCACGTACCTCCAAAACTGGTACCAGCCTCATACAGAACAGTCTTGAATCCAGCTTTGCGCATCTCATAGAGCAGGAAGGTCCCACCAAAGCCAGCACCGACAATCAGAACATCAATGTCGAGATCATCTGCATATGGTCCATCTGTGCGAGACCGTTGCGCGTACTCGAAGAGATCTCGGTGCAAGATACGTTCCGGTTTCTGTTGACCGTCAGACGGGTCTCCCATATTGTGTACAGATGCTGTGACTGGGAAAGATCGATAAACAAGACCACTGGACGTGCAAGCGAAAGGTGCTAGGTGTCAGGACGTCGAACCATCCTTATACACTGAAAGCCCCGCCGCGACAGCCGACGGCTATCCGGCGAAAAGGATGTTAGCAGCAGCTCCCCTTGTTCTGGACAAGGTGTTTGCAAGGATGCACCATGGTAAGTCCACGATTATCTCCTCATCCTGGCAGAAGCGGAGCCGAGTGCATGAATAGATGTGATTTGGCATAGGACCTCAGGCGTCCCCGCTTCCCCCTCAAAGTGTCACAACCATCCACTGGGGATCGACGAAATCTGGGGTACGTAAGGGCAATGATGTGGGCTTGGAGTTAGCGGGATGCTGTGTCGATGTAGATTGTATGACTCGATGTGTTCGAGCTTTGTGATCTGGGCGGCCTTTTCGTCTCCGTATGCCCACCAGTCGCCAATGACTTCTTGAGGGCACAACTAAAGAGCAGGGCTTGAGGCCTGGCAGCATAATGTAAGGCCGTTCGCCCGGTGAGAATAAGACAGGCATCCTAAGCCGAGCATTGGTGGATGAGAATCTGGACCACGTTCAGTAAGACTGCATGAAGTCAATACTGGTTAGAGCAATCAAAGGCATTCCGGCAGTGTTCTCCTCGATGCGCCCACCTCTGCTGTTTCAGGTCCATCGTCTTATCCGACCGTCAATCGAGTCTGGAGATCTCGGCAACGCGCCTGAATCTGGATGGACCATTCCGATCTTTGTAGATCTGATAGTTATGGGTATGCACCTGCATTTACCATGGACGTTACCCACGGGCTGCGGCTCAGAGCAGACTTGGGCGCGTCGACAACGCCTGTCTTCAAAACATACTGTTCTCCTCGTGATGGCAAACAATGAGAAAGAGGGATAAACAGTAAGGCATCTCAGAGTAATTAGGTATACCATACAATATAGTATTATTCGAGGTTGCGTACAAGAAACAGCCGTTAGTCCTGGCGACGAAGAAATGTCAGGTGAACATTCTCATCACGGACTCAGAGTTGGGGTGGGAAGATCAACGAGTAGATACCGTTGATAGTCACTTGCTGATGACCTGAGATTGCTTCAGGATCACCAAATGATTGTGAGGTTGCATAAGTTACAGTAGATCCGCGTCATTGGCGAGAAGGAGGAGAGAAAACACAGGGGAAAATGATGATGGAATTCCAGGCTTCTCTCAGGTGAAAAGGCTTGAACTCCGGCCTTGTTTCTTTCGCTCGCTTGCGTCCAGTTTCCTGCGCCTCGCGTCAATCTCCAGCAAATGGAGATCATCACCATCGATCTTCATCCGGGCTGAATACGAATTCGTAAGGCACATGGATCTCCATCACACAAGTCATTTCACTCGTATTCCTTCGACGTCGAGTCTCCTCGCAGGCCACCGCCCTGTCTCCTGCTCATTCTCCATAACCCGATGAGCCTCGCTGATGTCCTCGACATCTCACCATGACGCGCAGGAAGCGTACTCCTTCGCCCTCTGCATCCCAGAAACGCGTGGCCTTCGAGATCCCCGCCTCACTACAACACTTCTCCACCATATCACGCTCCCTTGCAACGGACGTTGAGTCTCACGCGCCCACAACGTCTCTAAACAACACTGCTCAATCCCAACCTCGACCTAGTACGCAGCCATCGCCGCAGTCACGGCGCCCATATACTCCCCTGACAACATTCGTACCACATAAGCGGTCGTTTCCTGATGCGCAACCCTGGCCTCAGCCCGTCCCAAAGGCCAATGCATATTCGGCAGTGGCTAGGCATATACCAGAGAACTCTGCAAGTCATGCGGTGCCTTCAGATACACCTTCAACGGCCACTGCGACCTCTAGCACTCAAGCACGCAGTGTGAGCAACCCAAACCCGGCTCCATCTTCAGCCAAGGAGCCGGCTCTCAAGCCGGGCGAAACACCTACATTGAAAAGCCATCCGAACCTGATTGCATCGCTGGTAGCAAAGAAGAGAGCGGAGAACGAGGCTATAGGGTTTCGAGAAAGATGGGCACGAAAGCAAGCGGAGTATAGGCTATCGAAGTCGCCGGCAAATCAATTGAAGAACGAGTTGACTACCGAAGCCGCTCGCAGCGATGGTAAGCAGACACCGTCCAGATCAGTGTCGAACCCTCTACCTGCACGATCCGTTCCTCCTGCACCAATGGCGAAGCCTGCAACTCCGCTTATGCAAGATACTCAGACCCCTGGCGCCGAAACAGTATCAACGCCTGCTACAGATGACTCGAGGAGAGAGAAAGAGGAGTCGAGAGATCAGAGACAGAACGACAGCGATTCGCTGTTTGGCTCCCCGTACTCTTCTCCGATAGTAGAGTTCCTGGAAAGGGCCACTGATGATGCTGGATTGAGGGATACAATGGGATCCAGCATGGCGACGGCTTCGAGGGCGGCTGCAACTTCTGTAACAATACCGCAAAGCCGTGAGCACCCATCTGCTTCTAGCCTTCAGCCACACGGTCCTTCTAAGCTGTCCGAGTCTTCGTCGATCCCTCCCTTGTTCTCCGACAAGCCTATGGGCAGTCAGCAACAACCTCAGCCTTACCATAATACTCAGCATGCACAACCCAATATGCTCAACAACTCTCCTTCCTTGATGCAACGGCAAGCGCCACCAAATGTATCAATGTCAGTTCAGAACACTGGCAACCAAACTACAGCCTATGGTTCACACCCCAGATTAGCCCTCAACCAGCCTCGCATGCCGCCCTCCACTTCCTGGTATCCAGGCACTCAGAGCGTCCCTGCATTTTACGGCCAATACTTCAACACTACAAACAATATCACGAGTACTCCGACATCAGTATCCGGGTCACCCAATTTTGGGACGTCACAGGGCTATGGGAAGTCTCCTTCACCTGGTGGCATGACTTATCCCGGTTACCCGATGGGAGTCAATCCATACATGATACAATCAGTACCTCCACCAGGGCCCATTCCGACGTACGGGGCAACCGTGGCGGCAGCCTCGGTGCAGCACTCGAAAGTGCCTGGTGCAGGATTCATGGCTGCCCTGGACATGGTAGCTGGAATTAATACAAAGTTCAAGATAGCGACCAAGGATGGCTTCGCTGTACCCAAACGATAGTAACGGTTAGAACGATCGGTGTGATACGTGAGGTCTCATTCCCAATGGTATGGACGACCTTTGTGCTGGGGCTGGAGGAAATCACGATAATGACACTGTTATATTTACGGCCTGGTTTGGCATTAGAGACCATTTTTTATATGAGCATTAGCGATTAGCGATGGCGCTAGTGTGTTCTGGGGCATTGTCCTTGTATTATGTTTGTACAGGTTACATAGGTAGGTATGGACTATAGCGGCGACACTCGCCTGGACGGATACCAATGCTTAATGTCGGGTAACGACGCCCAACACGACAATATCTTTGGTTGTGATTCTGAGCATTGTGTGAGCGCAAGCTTTCCGGATTAGGAAAATGGCATAGGCCGTCTCGTCAAGCCCTCCACCAAGTCGCCGATCAGCTCTCGCTTTCGCTTGCGTCTGATCTCTGAATCATCTAGAGGTGCGTCAGTCGCAGTCGTCGCCACCTGGGGGGTCGGTTCTGAGGTCTCAGCACCAGCACCATCGTCCTTCTCGTCCTCGCTTCCCTTGGACGTAGGCACCCATGCACAGATCCGTCCGTCGCCGTGCGCAGTGTACATTTCGATCGCATTACCAGCAAGTGCATTCACGCGCCATAGCATGGTATTGATCCGACCTCCGCTCGTCAGCCTCGCGACATTACTCGTGCCTGCACGTCCACCGCCGCGGTTTCGCTTTGCGGCCTGGACTTCAGCGAGTTTGACGCCCTCTGTGCGCAGGATGCGCAGTAGATGGCCCTCGCGCAAGTGATGCTGGAAAATCGTGCCGCGGCCGTCGTCGTTGGGCCAGAATAAGCTCTCGCGACCTGGCGCGTGGGTGCCAACGGGCGAGATCAACGGTCCGATTTCGCCCTGTCGCTCGTTGCGGATGCGCGGGCCAAAGTGTACGAGATCGTTGCGGCCTGTCGCGGCGTCCCAGACGCGGATGCGCTGGTCGTGGCCTGCTGTGACGAGCTTGTCACCCGCGGGTGTCCACTGGATGCTGGTGACAGGTCCACTGTGGGCAAGGGTTGAGAAGTCGAGATGTAGACTCCGTGCGCCGAGGCCGGTAGATGGAAACTCGCCTATCACGCCGATTGCATCGTCCTGGTCGAGGGAGGCGAATGCCGCGTTCGCGCGGCGGATGTCGAAGAAGAGAACTTTGCCGTCGGCGGAGCCTGAAGCCAGGATGTGCGATTGTCGAGGGGACCAGGCGAGAGTGTTGATTGCACCGTTGGGGCCGGAGAGGGAGTGTGTTGAGAGGCCGGAGCGGAGGTCGAGGAGGCGGATGGCTGGATGGGCAGTGCCAACTGCTATCAAGGGTGATGAGTCTGGTGAGGGTGAGAGTGCGTGCGTCCAAGGGATGAAGTCGAGATCAAAGCTGTGGATTGGAGTGAGGGAGGTGGGCGTTATGGCTGTCACTTTGAGCGTTTTGTCGTAGCTTGTCGTGAGCAGGGTGGAAGGTGTCGGGTCGAATGGGTATATTGAGATCGAGGTCAGGGCGTGCGTGTGAGAGGACGGCGTGCCTCGTGTCAGGGATGCCTTTGGCGAGTGAATTTTCGGGATCGATGAGTCAGAAGAGTGAGACTGTGTCTCGCGCTCCTCGAGATCCCAAAGGCGGACGGTCGAGTCTGCCCCGCCTGATAATAGGTATCGGCCTTCGGTGTGGTCGATTGCCAGACAGTTTACGCCCGCTGGATGAGCAATCGCCGGTACTTGTGAGGTACCATCATCGCTGGAGTCAGGTTCCGACCTGATGTAGGTAAAAGTGATGTTCTGGTCATGAGCAAGGCTATCAATCAAGCTCTCGTTATGATGCCGGCGAAATGATGGCGTTGAGACTGTGCCGAGGCACCGCGCCAGATGAAGTTGATTCATGCATTAGTTCGAGCTTGGTGATGCTCATGTGAGCGTGCGTTTACGCAGGCTCGAGGCTATGGGATTGAGCGCTTTGTGAGATGTTAAGACAAACGAAATCTGGAACTTGTCGTGCACTGAGCGGTTTCCGTGTTGCGTAAATCAGATCTCAGGTTCGCCGTAACAGATTTACGGTAGATCATACGGCGTTCCAGCCGACGTGCTCCGCATTTTTCGAGCCATGACCAAGTTCTTCAACTTGCAGCATCCTCCAGAGGAGATATGGTGTTAGAACTGCACATATGGGGCCCTGCATTTGATCTGCCCTCTATTGACGCCCAGTGTCTCGCCACCACCCTCTATTTACAACAGTGTGTTCCTCAAGACGGATGGGTTCTGATCCCATCGAGCGAGCCTAGGGTGAGCCCACTTGGGGAACTCCCAGCCTTACGCAATGGCGACACCTGGGTTGCTGGATTCGGGACGATAGTCTCGTATCTACGGGATACCTCGGACGGCAAATGGGACCTCGACAAGAACTTGGACGAAAGTCAACGAGCCGATAGTGCAGCATTTTCATCCTTCATTGAGTCCCGGGGCCAGCCTCTACTCGATCTAAGCCTCTATGTGAGCAGCGACAACTATTTGAGTTGCACTAGACAAGCACTCGCAGACATCTTGACGTGGCCAAGCAGTTGGACCATCCCACATCAGTTACGAGACAAGGCGAAGACGAGGTCAGAACACCTTGGGCTGAGCAGTTTAGATGTGGACACTGCGCAAGAGGACAAGAAGGAAAATGTCGGGCTGGCTGCGCATATTCCTAAATCTTTGAGAAAGCCAAGGGAAACAGTCAGTGGGCTTCTGGGACGGAATGCGCAAAATACCAGATTTAGGCTGGACGCTGTTACTTCCGACTTCCTCGAGCCAATGGAGGAAGCTTTAGCAGAGAAGAATCATTTCTTGGGAGAAACGGTGACCAGCTTGGATTGCCTTGCTGCGGGCTATCTCGCTCTTATGGCAAGGCCAGATCTGCCTCAAGGATGGTTGAGAGAAGCGCTTCGGACAAAATATTCCAGACTACACCGATGGACAGAGCTTCAGATAGAGGCATCACTGGGAACACATATCGACGCCGACAAAGCTTTGGGTCGAAAGAAGGGGCTGGATTCGAGAAAACCAGTCCTGCCCTGGCAGGTCCCTGGCGACAAAAGTCTGGGGCAACTCTGTTACGCAATCATCGATGGATGCGTTAGCGCTTTTCCGGTGATAGGGTTGACATATACTGTTTCGGAGGTCAAAGGTGACCATGCTAGCAGCGACGGTCGATACCGACGGAAGCAACTGAGACTGACTCGACTTCAACATCGAAGAGACTTGTATGTCGAGATTCTCGCCTCCACTTGTGCCGTCACGGGTCTTGTGGGCTGGCTGTGGTACAAAGGCATGCTTCAACTCCCACGGCGAACGCCCAAGGGACGGACCTTTGGCGAAGCAGGTGCTCTGTTCGGATTGGCCTAAGACAGGTCGCCTCCTTGTCACAGCCACCTTTAGCATATGAAGTATGCGGTGGGCGGACAGACCAGGACACAGGGAAAGAAGCGTCTAAGCACAGATCTTGACCGCTGCGCGACCTGACCCACAGCGTGAAAGACTTGTCGACCCTCATCTGGCACCAGGGATGCCAGCACGTACATAATGATGTGGTGGTGATATGATACATCATGGTGGCGGAGAAGTACAAAAGTGAGGACACTTCAAAGGCTGCTGCAGTAAGCTTGCCAGAATCTCCGGTATTGCTGGGATATCCTTCGGGAATGACTGTTCTCAAGAAAAAGACATTTGCAGTCCCTGTCTGGCTGCATGAAGAGTGCTTTTTGCGCCAACAATCTGTTGGTTCGATGTGAGGCTGCACAATGCTTGATCTGACGGGCGCCCAACAGTCAATAACAAAGTCGTGTCACCACTATTTAGATCTCGTCTATGACACCTTCCAGACATGGGAATCTGCATGACCTTGGTATGCTCCCTACCCTTCACCTCGGCCTAATGCGGATGTCAAGGGGATGTTTGGTACAGTTCAGAAGGTTTTTTCGCTCCATTCCATCCATTCGTTGTCCACGTTCGACCCAGTCTCTTTCCATGTCTTGGTGCGACGTTTCTTCGGGTCCCTTCCGCATATGCAAGACGTGGCAAATCTGACATTCGAGCAAGTCGGCACCTCTGATCCAAGGCTTTTGCACCTGCTAACAAACATGATTACCTCGTTCTTCTATCAATTTTTCGCATACCTTGGTCGGTGACATTTCCCAAGCAGAACTCTTTTGTCCGTCAACATGGCAACCTTCAGACCCTTCGCAGAACTGATAGCGCGGCAACAAACATCCAGTGCCACGCCGGCGTGTGCCGTAGGCAACGAGTACGATGGGCGTGTTGGTCTACGGGTGGCCGCCCTCTTCATCATCTGGATTACAAGTTCATTAGGCGCGGTGTTCCCAATATGGGCAAGGCGAAAAGGAGGGCTTAGTGTGCCTGACTGGGTGTTCTTCGTTTGCAAGCACTTCGGCGGAGGTGTGATCGTGGCAACGGCATGGATTCACTTGCTGGCCCCGGCAGAGGACGCCCTGAGAAATAGCTGCCTAGCTGGGGTCATAACGGAGTATCCTTGGGTTGAAGCCATTGTTCTTCTTACTATGTTCTTGCTGCTTCGGGTGGAATTGCTGGTCACAAGATACGGGAATTTTGGCGGCAGACAAGACCATGATCATGATCACGACCAAGTCCATGTCCATGACAACACAGAACCACATACACTCGAGGCGACCGCCAGTGCTAAGCCGGACACAAGCCAGATCGCACCATCTGAGAAGCTCGAACCGCCTGTGGTCGATCAAACAACGCTCGACCAATTTGAACCTCCAAGCAGTCACGCACCTGGTGAGAAACACAACGACATCGAATCTGCGTCAAGCCCATTCAGTCTCGAAGACTATAAAGCCCAGATGACCGCCATCTTCATCCTCGAATTTGGGGTCATCTTCCACAATGTGTTCATCGGTCTGACTCTTGCTGTCTCAGGAAAGGAGTTTGACACGCTTTTCATCGTTATTGTCTTCCACCAAATCTTCGAAGGCCTCGGCCTTGGGTCAAGACTAGCAACTACGCCATGGTCGAAAAATTCCAGGTGGACGCCGTATATGCTAGCACTCGGTTATGGACTCAGCACGCCCATAGCCATCGGCATTGGACTGGGTGTCCGGAAGAGCTACCCTCCTGGAGCTCAGACGACCCTCATCGTGAACGGCATATTCGACTCCGTGTCAGCAGGTGTGTTGATATATACTGGACTCGTCGAGCTCATCGCGCACGAGTTCTTGTACAGCAGCACGATGAAAAAAGCGAAGGCTTGGACAGTCGAAGCAGCCTTTCTGACAATGTGCCTAGGAGCGTTGGTGATGGCACTTTTGGGACGGTGGACTTGAAGTGCTCAGGTGTGCGGTGCAGATCCAGAAACAGGACTCTGAGACCGAGTCTTGTACCATCCTCAATCATATTGCAAGTTGCTCAGTCTTTGGTGATAGGGGTAATTAAATCGTCAAAGCTGCAGGCCATGACCTGGGCAATACCGAATAATGTCTGATGCTTCGCGATGTCGTTCTCGTATTGCTATCCAGGCTTCATGTGAAGATATCTTGACAATCGTCTGAATAACCTAAGCCGTTCCCCAATAGTCATCTTGCATCATCGCCGGCGTTCAGATGCCACGTTGAGTACGGATCTAGTCAAGCTGATAGACCGCTGTAACCACGCGCGGCCTTGATTTGAAGGGTCCTTGTTTCAGGGCAGCAAGGGGCTCGGTCGAGGGAGTTGTTGCTTCTGGACGACGACGACGACGACGACGACGACGACGACGACGCCTGCAATGACCGGCTGATCGCTGCAAAAGGTGGTTTTGCGGCTGAAGAGCGAAGAGGCTTGTCCTAAACAAAATCATGTAAGGCTTCTCTCCTGATCCAGAATGCCAAAAAGCCTGACATTATCGACCGTACAATTCTGAGCGTCTTTGTAAGTGACCCTCGGACTCAATTCGGGCGCTGAACTCGCAGACTTCGCCGGACCACAGCCACCGTCACCGCCACCAACACCGCAGCCGAGTTGTGGTAGTATCTCTATCTCCAGGGTTTCGTCTGATGGTTGTATCCCACGCATACTCGCGATGATCATGGCTGCTTGGGCACAGGACGTGCTGTTCGGCCCGACACAGCAGCTAATCAGATCTTGTTGATCTGGGGCATTGACCATCGTATTATCGTCTTCGACATGATCGTCAATTGTTCCACTATAGGAGTAGAGTGAAGCCACGTCGCTTCCTGCTGCTGATGGTTGAAGTCCACTCGCAATGTGAGGCAGCTGCTCTATTGGTCTTCCTGTGGAAGATGCATGGGCTATATCTGGCCCCGATGAAACGGAGGGATGGTTGACCGCTGCTGTCGTCGAGATTGTATCGTCTCTCACTGCCGGCGCTAGCGGTTGCGGTTGCGGCTCGTGTATCTGTGGTGGTGATGGGTAGTGCTGTTCCACAGGCTTGGATGAAAGGGTTGTCGTAGTCGGATACCCTGCTGGTGTTGGCTCGTTGCTTGGATGCTGGTAGTCAGGATGGCCATGGCCATTCGCACTGGCATTGGCTATGCCCGTAGTTATGAGGCTCTCCAGCTCAGCATTCCTTGCTCGCAAGGCTTGAACCTCCTCTCTCAAGGCGCGATTCTCGTCAGCAACGCGCCTTGCAGCTCTCTGGACATGCTCTGTGGCTTGTACGCCTTGAGTCTCGAAGTCGCGCACTTTCTGCTCCAGCTCGGTAATATAATCCTTGCGCCTGGCACGGGACGCGCGCTGGTTGATAGTGTTGCGCGTTGGCGGCGTGCTTTGCGAGGGGGAGGGCATCGTTTTCAAACGCAAGTAATGGGCGTAATGATGTGCGCCGTATCTTGAGTGGTGCAATCTAGCCCGTTGGCTTGTTGTCGCACAGTCCTCAACAACGTCGTCAGCGCCGACTGTCGCTGGTGGTCGCCTTCGTGGTCAAAATTCGACCTATTGCCTTCATGCAGGGTTCCTACAGCGAAAGCCGATGATCTGCAAGCATTGAAGGTTCCAGATGACGCTGTCCAGGGCTAATGGTGTGATCCAATGTGGTTTGATGTCAATGAAAAATGTCTTCATAGCAATTGGCCCGTTCGTTTTCCCTCAAAATGTCAAAGATCTGTCACCCGGCGATTCCGATTAGTCGGCAGGCGTGCTTGCAGAAAAGTGGGCAGTCTGACCCTGGGAGTCCGGTGGGTTCAGAGGGACGGAAGTCCTCGATTTTTCTGCGAGTTCTTTCGTGTGCAGCATCGGCTGAGCAGGGCTCAGTTTCGGAAGGCCGTCGAATCCATAGCATAGACATACCAGATACACGGCCAAGCCATCGCGGTCACTATCCCTTTGGGATCCAGGTTACGTGGTAGATGTATTCGCTGTCTGACCCTGCTGCGTTTTCTGGGCCTCGGCTTGTCGGGGAGCCACAGCCTTGCGGACATATCCTGTCGTCTATTGTTCTACGTCATTCGTCAGCAGTGCCTCCTATCTGCAGAGTGTGTCTAAGACTCCTTTCCACGTGCTTGGTATGCATGGAAGGGGATGAAACTACTGGAAATCTGGTCATAAAGTTACACCTGTGACTCGAGCATATGGCATGGCATACATAGAGTCATAGACACATACGACCAATGGCTTGTGGGACAGTGACACCTCGTCCTCGCATATGCACTACCTCAATTCCAAACTTTTCACCGAGTCCAAGTCCTCTTTACAGCTTGATTGAACTCCTGGGTCAACGTCAAAATTGTTCTGCACAATGAACAGCTCGACCGTCTACCAAACCGTTGACAACGGCTACTCTTCCATCGCCACAGAAGCTTTTTCCAGCCCATCCCAGCCCTCCAAGAGCGCCCAGATAGCAGCCTCATTCGGCTATTCTACAGAGCAATTGGCCGCCCTTCCAGCCGGCACAAACCTCGGTCTATCATGCGGCAATCCACTCGCCACTGCTAACCTTCGCCCCTACGAAACGATGCTGGATCTCGGTTCCGGCGGCGGCCTAGACTGCCTCGTCGCCGCAAGGCAAATGCTCCAGACAGATCCCTCGCCAACGGGCAAGATCTACGGCGTCGACCGAAGCTCCAAAATGATTGAACTTGCCAGACGAAACGCAAGCAAGTCGGTTTTGCCCGACCGTCTCGTTGAGTTCATCGAAGCACCTATCACGAAGATACCCCTGAAAGACGCCTCAATCGATCTGATAGTCAGCAACTGCGTTATCAACCTGGTGCCAGACGCGGACAAGCCTATGGTTTTTAGCGAGATGCATCGCCTTCTCAAACCAGGCGGGCGCCTCGCCGTCAGTGACCTGCTCGCTAAGAAGGACATGCCAGACCACGTGCGTAACGACGCAGCTTTGTTGATCGGTTGTATTGCTGGCGCGAGTCTCGTGGATGAATACCATAGGTGGATGGTCGATACCGGTTTCGAACAAGGCAGCATCGTTTTGGCCAACACCAATTCAGATCTGAATGTATATCAGAAGCAGACTGCGCCGTTATCATGCTGTAGTTCCAAGCAGTCTTGTGAAAGCAGCCGGAAGAATGCGGACAAGCTCGATTTCAACGAGTGGGTTGCCGCGTATCAGATATACGCCGTCAAGGGAAAGCACATTTCCTAGCCGACACGTAGGAGAGAGTCCTGACGAATGTCAGGTCGTGTGCGTTATCACCTGGCGTAGAAACGCAATCCCTCCAAGTATTATGTAAGCAATCATAATCATAATCGCGCGACGCAGCTGGTCCGGTCTTCTGGCTGTTGTAGTTGATAGTCGACATATAAACCATCCAGTGTACGTCCTGGATGTCAAATATTGACATTATCATTATTTGTCAGGATGCCTCTGTACGACGTCGAGCATGTTACGCCCCTGAGCGCAGATCAACAGCAGTCCCTGGCCCTTGCGATGACTGCCCTGCATTCAACCCGGTTCAATACACCCAGAGCGTTTCTTAACGTGCGATACACCGATGTCTCTGGTCAGGTTGTGTTCCGAGGTGGCAAAAGAGCCAAATATAATCGCATCATCCTGCGCACTCGGGCGGGTGAACAGCGGAGCAAAGAAATGTATGATGACCATTGTCGAGACATCATTGGAGTGTGGGAGGACACAGTCGGTAAGGAAGGTGAACTGGGTTTGAGGACGGTGTGGGTTATGGCTGCATTAACGACCGCCGTAGAGTGTGGCATTGCCAGACCAAGAGTATGTGGTTGCCCAGTCTCTCCAATCCGTGGCTATAGAGCAAGACAAGGACATTGGCCAAGACTCCATGCTGACTACCTTCCGTGTCGGTAGGTAGGCGAAGAAGGGAAATGGTTGGAAGACAACTTGGACAATTTCAGGAGACTGGCTGCAAATGGCGACGAAGAATTTGTGGACCTTGTCCAAGAGCTCGACTCGAGAACATCGACCCTGGCGCATGAGAAATGAGCCTGATTTCGTCTTTAACCCTATCTCGTTAGGATAGCCCATGAGCAGAGTCATGGTCATCCCCAGGCCCCTTATCAGCTCTTTTCCCCCTCCCTCAGATACTCGGGCGAAGAACACACACCCCAGTTAGCCTCGCTTCTATCCATCAGCGGCCATTAAAACCCCTGTCCCTTTGGAACTGAAGTGAGGCTCGCCCAGCGAAGCCCCCTCATGTATATATGCTAAGAAGATATCATCGAGCGTGGCTCCAGCCTCCACTCTAAATTGTTGCTCTCAAAACATTGTTGCTTTTCGGTTTTGTGCCCATGTCATCTCATCGTCATGTCATCGTACAAGCATGAAACTGTCGCTGTAGAGTCGCGATCTCTGTACAAATAACAAATGTTCCAAATACATCAATCAGTATGATCTTCCATACATGCCACCTGCGGCGGAGGCATGAGGAGACATGTAGCCGCCCATGGGACCTGAAGCAAGCTGCTGTGGTCGGGGAGCTCCAGGGCTCGCTGAGGATAGTTGAGGGCGATGGAACATGGCAATCAACCTCCTACCGGTGGAAGGCTCGATCTCGGTTCCGTCCCGGGCAATCTTGACCTCTCGGTTGGCATTCCAGGGGTTTCTCAGTCCTCTTGTCCTGTAAAAGGGTAGGCGCTCAGTCGACATCCACTTGATCTTGAAGGGTTTGCCAAAGGTTTGTGGCGTGGCGGGACTGCCTGACTCGTATCCTTCGCCAGCAGACACGTTACCCTCGTCCTCTTGAGTCACTTCTTTGTCTTTTCCATCGCTCTCTGCTTCCCAGAAGATGGTACCCCTAGCTGAGTCGTCAATTATGCGCCCTTTCGGGGCAGTAGCGGTGGCGGGTGTGGGAATCGTCAAAGGGAGGTCTGATGGGCTGGGATCTGGAATTTCAGCCCGAGGTTGATAGTCGATGCTGGCTGCAGATTCGTCGTCGATGGCTGACTCCATTCTGGCGTAACCAAAATACTCGCCAGACTTATTCGCAGAGAATATCAGATATACATTCTCAGCTGACTGCATCTCGTTAGCTTCTCCACAAAAGACTTCAGTGCTGTTTGCTCACATTGTAAGCCTTGTTAAGTGCATCCTCATTGTGAGCCTGCGTGGCCCAGATTCCGCTGTTCACACTTCGTTCGAGGTCTTCCACAGTCAAGCTCTTGACCACGAAGAACTTCTCCTTGACTTTATCGACGGAATCTGGCTCTGCTGTAACAACATCCCCTGCGACTGTCTCTTGGTGTGCACCAGATTCTTCCGGCTTCTCGTCGCTCTCACCTACACCGTCAGGCAGCTGTGCTGCTGATTGAACGTGGCTTTGGGCTGGAGTCGCTGGAGATGAACTTCCACGACGCAGTCTGCAAACAAGACGAACTCCCTGAAAGCGGGAGTCATGGAAACGAGTCATGGCGGCTGCACAACTGGCTTCTGTCCTGTAATTGACGAAGGCGCAGTTGCTCTTCGAGATCAAGAACACACTCTCAATGTCGTCTGTCGCGTCCTTGGAGAAGTGGTCCTTAAGGTCGATGATGTGTGTTGCAGGAGGGAGATTGCCCACCCAAAGTGCGTGACCAGATTGTTTGGGTTTCCTGGGCGGCCCTCTGAGGGTGGATGTGGTTAGGGAAGAATTGGAGCTGGTGCGTCTTACAGCTATTCCGGTTAGTTCTGGTCTGTTGAGGAAGGAGTGGTATGCCCTACCTGGATTGTGAGACTGCTGATAAAAGTTTTGCGCCTGCGGCTGGGTAAGGCTGCTATCCAGTCGCAATTGCGGTATTGGGTATGCGCCCGCTACTCTCGTCCCGTATCCTGCTGCGTAGGCCGGGTTGACGAACGCTTGTGGATAACCTCCTTGCTGTTGGTGGTGCGTCGCTGTGTTGGGAGCCGAAAACATGGGCTGTTGTAATATGAACGCTTGGTTCTGGAACTGCTGCTGCCCGCTGCTTCCTCCCGGTGTCCCGATGAATTGTGGGTATGCTGCCGCATGTGGCTGACGAGGCGGAGTGCCTTGCGCATATTGTGAAGGATACTGCTGAGCGAATGCCTGCGAGTAATTATGGGCGGCTTGTCCAGCAAATTGCGCGCCCTGGTTGTACTGATACATCATGGAGTGGTTGCCGACGGCGGGAGATTGATATTGGTGTTGGAACGAATGTTGTTGAAGTGGTCGCAACTGATAGTCGGGCAGCGCCGCTGCCATGCTCGACATGTCGAGAGCTCCAGGGACAGCAAATTGCGGCATGCCGAACTGTTGTCGTGGATACTGCTCAAATTCCATAGTGGCTGTTTGTCCAGAAGGGTTTGTGGTTGGTAACGAGTGATGTGGCGATGGATCTGTGATAGCATGGTTAGTTGCAACACCACACATGTAAGGTCAGGATAGCGAACCTGTCAGGTTGTCCTCATTATCTGTCAGTACGGGATCTGGTCGAAGAGGTGGCTCATCACCCATCCCTAACCCCTCAAATATAACCGGAAGAGTGTAGTACTGTTGAACCCAAAAGAAGGCCATCAGTCAGCCATGTCGCTTAAATTGTTTGAGATAACAACATGAGGAGACGAAACACCTGAAATAGACATACCTAAAACCTAAAGGCTGTATCGATACTTCTTCCTCGTGAGAAATAGGCTGAGCACGGATCAGGAGGGTTCCGAATCAGCTTCTTGAAGTGTCGATGGAATCTGAAGAGAGTGCCTCTGGATATCTGGTGTGTGTTCCGAAAAGGAAATGAAACAGGTCGGTCGGCGCCAAATTTGGAAGTCAACGTTCTGAACAAGGGTGTTCTGTATGTTTCACAGGGCTATATGAGGAAGGCTTCTTCCTGTGGCAGTGTACAATAAAAGGGATTGTAAAATCATTGGTTTGACCTGGTCGCGCAAGGAGAGCGAGAGTAAGAACGGGATTCGCATCCAAAGAGGTCTCAGACGTGGCCTGACCTGCATGAGAGTATCTAACTGGTGGCAGCAGCGATGCACATTATATTAGAGCCATGTGGGACTCAGCAAGTAGAATTCCACCAGAGTGCCAGGGTCAGATAGGCTAGTGGCCAAAAGAGAGGAGGTATGGTGATTGGAAAGAGCCGGGATAGGGGCCCATGTCGTGGAGTAGGTGATCAGGATTAGGAAAGAAGCCAACGGTATGGAAGTATGCGAACGACGCTAGCACGAAGCTCAGGAAAAACCCGAGAAGGTGATCGTGCAACAGAAAGTCAATTCGGATCCTTTCGTACCCAGCCTGGCAGTCCCCGGTAGCGAGGACTAAGTTTAGGTGGCTCCTTTCTTCAGATTGTCGCGCGCTGGAAAGACGATGAAAGCTGGGTACCTTTATTGGACGGAAATATGAAGCGATCTCATAAACCTCGAAGAAAATAAAGGCGGATAATTCACCCATGGACGCGGCCACTATAGGATGAACCAGATCGTAAAAGGCAGCTGATCTGGACCCGGCAATCTGTCTGTCCATTTTGGATGGAGATGGCTGAGAAGAAGCGTGAATCTCGAGGCTCTCTGAATGCCTGGTGGACCCAATCAGACCATCCCTGGTTTGGTTTTGAGCCGAGGCGGCTGCGTTTGATAGACGTGTGCCACGAACTTGGTCAAGGTTCACCGATTTTTCTTCCCGCGAGTAGTGGGTCACTCCAGAGTAGTGGCTGTGTACACATCTCGGATGACCAAGCCGGGCTTGTCGACATTTACCAGGGTGTCTCCGGTTCGGTCTTTGACCGACAGACGATCCAATGATTATCGCGGTTCATCCAGAAGGACTGCGCTTCTTCCAGGGTACATGAGGTCAGGCTGTGACGGATCAGTGGACTGGATCATCATGGCTCCGGGGAGCAGAAATTTGCCTATGCATGAAAATGACCCGCACAGCCACGCATTCGAAAGTGTGGCGATATCAAAGGGTCAGGATACCACCGGAAATGTCTTCTCCCAGCGACAAACTCCAATTGGTCGAAAAGTAACAAGCTTAACCATCGCTTAGTTAGAGGGCTGATGACATCCCGCCTTAGTCCGTGTCGCAGCGCAGGGACCACCCTTCTTCCGCGTCCCTTGATCAAAACGGTCCGACTGGTATTTCTGGACAAACAATGAGTTCCACAGCTTTGGAAGTAGCGACCGAACAGGAGCCTTGCAGAGCAAAAGCATCCTAGCCTGCGTCAGGATAACCTGAGTCTCACCAGAAGTGATATTTTCAGCTGACATCGAGCAACAAGTATGGATCAAGTCAGAATTAGTGGAGAGCATGCGACCGTTTGGACGTTCTGGATTCTGCAGATCACTGACTGGCATGGTTAGGCTGAGGCACTGGGGGCTTTCGGTGCCAAGGGTACGGGCAAGCCACAGTGCCCACAAACCACCCGAACCGGCTTCGGCGGACGTTCTGGACGTTCCGTGGAGACGTCGACCACCATGTCTGTTTCATCAAGTCGTCATTTCTTGTGGTACCCCATGCGGTCACTCGAACGCCAGATGTTATCGCTGTCCATTGCAATATCAATACTGTCCTGTTCCTGCGTCTAAGAATAGACGGCTTCAAAAGTACGCGAGTACATGCTTTCGCCTCAAAACCGCCGATCCGGCACAGGAGGCACCCACTTCGGCCATGATCAACCAAGATGACCCAAGGTACCGGAATGTCCGATATGCTGCTTTTGCAGTTCGATCCTCAATAGGCATTTCCAACAGAAAGGAACGTCATTTAAGCCATGTCGCTGAAAGGTGACATCTAGGTGACATAGGTATCGCCTGAGCTCTAGTGGAGAGCAGGGCCTGCATTCCATTGTTCAGTATGAATCCTCCACAATACGAGTACAACCTCAAAAAGGGTATCCCAACCCGGTGGAAACCAAGCATGCGCCGGCGACAAGTCATTTACAGACCTCGGAAGTTTGCGAGGTCTGTGCACGGGAGTGTCCACCTCGTTCTGGTTTGAGGAATGAGACGACAGGAGCCAGACCAACTGGGGACATGACGAGCATTATCGTCACTGTACGTATGTGGGACTATATCAAAGTTGATGGTAAATGTTTCTATTGTTAGGTGAGACGCAGGTACTTCCTGGTTGATCTGCTCATTAGCGAAACCACCACTGGCGATATTTTGGCCGCTTGTCTGATATCTCTGATGTGAACTGGATTGGTATTTTTGGGAGAGATCGTAGTGGCAAAAGCGCCATGGTTAGGGTGAGTGTCGATCAGGAGAGATAGCAAGTTGGCCAACGAGGTGTTTGAGGCTAAGGGTGAACCCAAGTCGAATCGAGAGTTCGCTAGTGCGTGGCTTTCAGACCCTGGTTGTGGCTGTGTCACGATCAGGCCGAGTTTTTAGTCGGAATTCCCCAGATTTCTCTTTGCGGCGGATGGGAATTTTCGAGGCTGCAAGCTTGCAACATGGGAATTTTTTGTGTTGCGCAATTTTGCATCTGCCGAGGATGTCCCCATATGGATTAGTGTCTTCGGAATGGAAAAACTAGTTATCCGTGGACCCTGAATTTGCGTCATTGTTACTGTTCTTGTTCCAACCTCACTTCCTCGGCGCTGCTCCTGACACGTATGCAGCTCGGAAACCACCACCAGCCTGCACCCTGAACTCGTCGATCATTTCCATCTCGCAATGACGCATTCAATCGCTTACTTTCAAATGTGCTACCTGGCTCCTCGATACTGTTGTAGACCAGCCGCTGTTACCAAAATAGCACAGGGTCCATCCCCGTCTATTGACAAACGGCTCCTTCAAGCCTTCGCGACGAAAAAATGAAAATGAAGCTATCCCACTAGGTGGGAGAGAGAGGTACCTTAAACAGACCCTTAGCACCGTACCAATCCCAAACCTGTGGCTCGCTTCCGAGTGGTCTACGTGAGTCTCCGCTAACCAGGAACAGCCCTGCGACCTCACTTACCTTACCTTATCCGAGACTATACGACTATTCTGATCGAGTTCGCCACCAGCAATTTGCATTGTCTCCCCCCAACGAACCCCGTACTCACTGTGATGCACCAGTCTACATGATTTAGCGGCTAATAGGCTTCATCGTTGATGATTGACTCGGGACACTTTCTCTCCGCCGGCGTTGATGATACCATGAAACCCAGAAAGAGTGCACGGCGTTGAGCACCACCTCTCACAGCTCGGTGTCTCCGGCAAAGGTACTGCAAAAATGCACATTGGGAAGTGATCATCCTCCCAATTGTACCAAGCCACAATGCCTCGTAAACATGTGCACCTTTCCAAGGTACTTTCGATCAAGGTCCTTTCTTGGTGTACCTGTCGTACAACGAGACGTAAACTGTTCTCAGAAGTACAATGAGACCACATCGGCATGACAGGCAGTACGGACCGAAGCAGTGTCTTCCAGGCCTACCCTTAGCCTACCGTGTCTCACACCTTCTACCTAGTCAATGATTTGGAGAAAAGGTAGATGGGTGGCAAGGCTTCCAGTCCTGTTCATTGCTTCGCGAAAAGCGAACTGCATAACAAATCAACCAATCAGATCGTTCAGAAGCTTTGCCATCCCAACATCCCCGGAGTACTCCTGATGCCACATGGGAAGATGTCTGTGCCTGAGGCATGAAAATCCCCAACCGTCGTTGCGGACATTTCTTGGAACACCTCGACTGTAGTCGTGAATGGCTCTGCAACGAGATTCGGATTCGGTAAGTGAGACCAATAGTGTTCCTATCCTGATGTCTGTGTACGTGTCCCATGAACATCAGTCAAGTAACCATACCAGATCGTCCTTGGTTGAATGGAGTTACCACATGCTCCACTGCAGTGAAAAGTTCTTCTCACAGTCCGTTGCAACTTTGATCACCCTGCATAGCCAAGTCGTGCGGACGACGCAGTCATCCAGGAGACAAGCTGAATGGATGTCTAATCTATCGCCACCAGCATATTTTGCGACAATAGTTCCCCGGATGCCCGCATCCGACGAAGGAGAGACAACTTTTCTGCCCACAGATCAACTAGCGTCGTCAAGTTGCTTCTATACCGGCACGCAACAACGGCACACGACTCGCCATCTCACCCTATGGCCGTTTGATTTAGTCGTGTTCGACAATGATCACACCCTTCAACCCACACTGGCGGATCTATCGGCCTCACTCCGATCTATTGTTGCGATCACTGACTTTGACTGGCTCATGGGCTTCTCGAATGTGGCATTGAGCCTGTCTCCCCTGCATGGAAGAAGCGCGCCAGAAGAGCTCCCCGTCCTCGAGAATTGGTTCTTCGCGATATTATTGCTCCTTGCTGCGCCCATAGAGCTGTCGCAAATCTGATCTTGAACTTGATGTGGACAAAGACAGGTACGATCGTATCTGAGTGGTTGAAATCCTGATCTCCTAGCACTTACCCAGTGGTACATCACGATCTAAACGCTTTTTCACCAGCCAATCCCACCAAGGACCCTACCCTGTCGCCAATGAGGTCTCCATTTGTGAATACGATCAAGGACCCGCCCTGCAACCGCAGAGAGGTCCACGCCTTAATATTCTAATGCAGAAGCGTATGGAACTTCCAAAATGCATCCCACTATCGAGGTTGGATCAGCAAGCTCTTTCCCCATCTGCGCGATGCTTGCGGGCTCCATGTCTGAAGAATTCCTGCTAGTCCATCAACTCGACGTGCTTGGTACGTTGACACTAATACTCCTGGGTTTGACCCCCTAGAATGGGTATGCATATGCACGAGGCGGATTAGCGCCGTCCTCGGCGCTGCACTGGGGTTGTATGCTTCGGGAGCAGCCACTGGGTCGTTGCCGTTTCTTCCACAAAGACCGAGCAATCCATCTCTAGGCCCTGGTTGGTGGGCTATAGGGCACCACTTTGTCACTACTGACCCAGGTATGAGCGCCCATTGCCTCAGTATATGAGGTCAATTGCCCTAGCCGCACAGGTGCAGTTTTTTGGGCAACGCTCCGACAGATAACTTCGGTCCTCGAACAGGCATTGTTCGAATCCAAATCCGTTGGGAAATGCGAAAAGGCCACCGTCGAGTTAGAAAGCAGGCCCTTTGCTGGCTCAGATTCCTTGGCCAGTCAGCCTGCACGGCTCATGTACTGTAAGAGAATTCCCCTCTGTTGAGACGCCCTTGCAGGCCCCTGACCATTGAGGCCGATCCACATCAGCGGCGGGAGCACCAGCGAGCACGCACCAGGACTTCGTGCATGATCATGCAGAAAAAAAGAGTTTCCCTGGTCTCCCCCTATCCTCCGATCAGGCCCATCTTCTCAATCTCCCCAACCCCGAGGTGGCTGCAGACGCCGACGTTTCGCACACTCCCACAACCCTTTGATCATCTCCGCTTCTTCGTCCTACGAGTCCTGACACAGAGCCCTTGCATAGAGTTGTGCGAGATTCGCTAGGTCACTCTGCCTCGAATCCTCAACATTGGCGCTAAAGGTTTAGCATCCAACGTCGACCGCCCCACTCTATTTCACAGCGAGCTGCAAAGCAAGATCCCTTACCCTTATCGAAGGCTTAGGAAGTAATACCAGTTGAGCAAAGCGCGCTGTGAAAGAGAAAGCAAACTTTGATGCGGCGCCAGTATACTATGGACGCAGACTAGAGAAGCTCTATCTTGAAAATGCCAGGAGAATTCTACAGACCTTGTCGTCGGCACGCCGCTTTACTCAGTACTTTGACACATACTTTTGATTAAGGGGTCAAGGGTGCCGTAGTTACTTCCTGCTCCTGTCGGGACATTGACGGGCAAGGTACCTGGCAAGGCTGGATCGCGATAAGGTGGCAGACTGATGTTTGGAAGTTGGAAGACTGGGGTCGCAATCTGAAAAGCTTCACAAGACACGCGTTGGTCTGGCCCGAAAGGTGCTTCTATTATCTCGGTATCCTTGACGGGACAAGTAGGTCGTCAGGCATGGTAATCGTTTTTTTTTTTTCAATACGACGAATGCGTATATCCTTGGTCTTGTGGTTGGCATGTGCTATTCCCGGAAATCAGGGGTTGACCAACAGCGACGACGACCTGCTATCACACTATCCTTGATGACCACACGGTGGCCTTGCCATTGCCATGGACCCCAGAGATAAACTGTACACATGTCCCTTAAGTGCTACGAGTATCTAGGAGACGATGGCTCTTACACCACTCACCCTCGTGCAACTTGTTGAATATTGTCGTGTCAATCCAATCAACATGCCCTATTATTAGAGAGTACCATAATATGGTTCGTACCAACGACATCGGCCTCCCTTTTCGTTGTCATGAGCGAGAATGAGCTCCTCTGTTCTCTCACAGGGTTTGTCGAAGCGTTCATATGGACGCCTACTGAGCCTGCGCCAGGTCGAAAGACCTTGAGACTCAACCCTGTACATGTCGTTTGAGTCGTTACCCCATTCGACCTACACGTTGAGCTCTTGTGCAAAATATCAGTCGACACGACATATTGATTAGAATACCTGCCCACAGGGCAAGTCGATTAATACTGTATAAAGGTGTCTCTTCTCCAATGCCGCATTTCCAAGAGACGGCGCCGTCCAGGGCTGGTAACCTTGATTCAAAAACTCATGCATCCAGCAGCTGAGAGGTCCTCAACAGAGGAGTATCCTCTCTCGCGCCCTCCAAGTTCGCAAACCTGCTTTCAAATGCTCCGCCCACCACGATAGACATGCAATCGTGCCAGTCATTATAAACATCATCCATAAATCCGCGCTCATTTTTCAAATATACAGTCCTCCTCCAGAGGTGCCAATGGTATTGCATGCGTCGCAAAGTATCGGTCTCGCGAGGTCGACCTCGACCCTTGCCTTATAACGGTGCTATCGTTCTCCCAGCCCTGCGACTTTGCCAGCAAATCTTGCACCGGCACTACCGCGTTTCTGCAATCTTGCGTGGCTATCGGACCCCGATGGTGATATTCTGGGCAACATAGGAAGCGGACCAAGTGTATCCCCATGTCCACCATTGGTCGTCGTCACACGGGAGGTTCGTTGCTCGATATATAGCTGCGCTGCCTGAGACAACGGTATAGCTGGAGGGTCCGTCGGAATCTCTGCCCCGTTTTGAATTAACATTTCAGCCATTGGGAAAGCCTTGACCGTTTGCGTCGCTGGTCTGTCAGAATGAGATGAGACCGGTCGAGCCGGATCAGCAGCTGCTAAAGCCAGGAAAACCACGTGCGTATTTCTCGAGCGATCGTGAGCATTGACGTTGGCGCGTTGAGCAATGGCTTGCAGGACTCCTTTGATATCGTGTCTCTTAATTGACGTCAGAAGAATGTCGTCTGCCGTACCGTATTGTGACACGGGCTCAACAAAAGCCCGCTCGACATACTTAGAAGTGATGAATTTCAGCCTCTGGTCCCGAGTGGCAGTAGGACCTGGCTTTAGTGAAGGATTCAGCAAGGACTCCCAGATCATGTTGCTAATGCGGTTGCCAATGAGCATCAGCAATTCGACAATATCGTTAGTAAAGGAGTGCACGTCCAGAGTTAGCGACCGGATCTTTGACACATGGGTGCCTAACGAGCGATGGATTCCACCACATTCGATGCACAGGATGATGCCTAGGTTGAGCGATACCCATTCAACTTTTGAAGCGGAGCCACAATCAGCGCAATATAGATTGCCTTGGTCATTGTTCCTGATTTGGTCGAGCAGCTTAGAGGGGTTTTCCTCATAGCTGTTGCTGGTTGTCCTGATATAGGTTGGTCTGGCCCCCACCGTGATCCGCCGTGAGACTCCAGAGGCATCCGGGCGCTGAGAGTAGCCGTGCGGTCCAGACTGCGAAGAGCTTTTTCCGGTGAGCATCGATCCGTACTCACGTCCTGAAACGACCCTGGTGCTCTGCTGGGATGCATGACTTCCCGCTTCAAAAGCATTCTGTAGGGCGTTGTTGATTGAGTTGATCCAATTGTTCATCTCGTCTTCGGTCGTGGCTTGGTATACTCGCTTATACTGAGGAGTGATAACTTCGAAGCAGAACCTCCGCTCAGCATCACGGGCCATCCGTACTGAAGCCATGCGTAGGTCGATCGGCTCTCGATGCAAATCCAACTTGTCCTTCCAGTTGCTGTACTCGGAAAGCTTTCCTTGATCAAGAACGATCCAAAACCTGAAGGGGTCAGTACCAACTTCACAGATCAAGAATCGAACTTACTTGTGCCAGGCTTGTTTGTTGATGCCTTTGGGGTCGATATGAGAACCAGGTTTGCTGAGTGCCCACAACAGCCCTTCCTTCCGAAACTGCCCGTTCACTGTCTTGTCGGAGGTTGACACGGAGCTCTCATCCAAATCACGGATCCCCTTGAACTTGCTCGGGGTTGGCACCATCGACGACCCTCCAGGCGAGGTCGACAGTACAGTAGGCGGAATACCTTGCAACGCAAGGTTTCCGGATGGTGATAGTGTTTGTGCTAAGGGGCGCCCGAACTGTGAGCTGGTACTGTCTGCTCTACTGAGGTCGGTGTCCGAGATGTAACCCGTGTGGCCGTTCTGTGCAGGTAGCGGAGTGCCAGTGACGGATTGATGATTCTGCTCCGCTTCAGCAGCGACAGGTCCATTCTTCTCCAGATTCCTGCGCTTCTCTTCCCGCTCGGTTCTTTGCAAATTATATTCTTTGTCGGCATCGGTAACCTCTTTAACAAGCGCATCCAGCTGTGGGACCAGAGTTTCCACCTTCTTGGCAGTTGAGAGAAATGACTTTGCTTGTCCTTCAGCGTACTTGGTGAGCTGGGAAAGAAGTTCTTGCTCTTTGCGTCCGCCATGCAGATCCTGCATAAACGTCGAATAGTCAAACCTTTTGAGCTCGAAATTTTTCCTCTTGCTTTGGTATTTCGAATCACTTTCCGCCCGCTTCTTGTCCTTGAGAGAGTCCTGGCGCTGGCCGAGATAACGACTGACATAGGCGTAAAAGTCTCGACTCTCGTCTTCGAAATCCTTCTTCTTGGCCTCGGCCTGTTTGATGTCCAATTGGTAAAGCTTGGATATCGGGTCGATAATCTGCCTTTGCAATAACGAGCTGTTTTCCTTCTCATACTTCAGTATTCTCTGCGCGATATTTGTGAAGTAATGGTCGAGCGCTGGCTTGAAGGCCGTGGCATTTGATGCAGACGCCTCTTGAAGAGCCCTTAAGAAGTCCGCCATTGCCTGATTACACTCGACTTGCGCTTGCTGAGCCGCTTCCGCTTTCTTCAGAACCTTCTTGACTTGAATCCTCATGGAACCTGTTTTCTGCTCTAGCGATTTCATGGTGGCTCTGAAGACTGGACCATCTTCAACCGCGCTAACATCTTCTCCTGGTCGCGGGCATTGAACGTCAATCACAGGAAGAGACGGCGCTAGACTAGAGGCTGCAGCGGCTGAAGCGGTTGTGGTGAAATCTGCGGCTGGCACATGTGGCGATGGTGGGTTTGGCAGGTCTGCATGTCCCTCGGAGTCGCTTACTGTGGACTGGAATGATTGATTGGAGGGCAAACGGTGCCTCTGGGATGGAACTCTGAGTTCGAAACTCGGTGAAGTCAGGGGTGTCAAGTTCGAAAGAGCAGCATTGTTGACCCAGAAGGAGAAAGATGCCAAGGTATTCAGCCTGTGGGCTCTTGAGTCGTATTCAAGGAAACTGCAACAATTGCGCCATCCTCCACCCTTGTCCTCGTGGATTTTGGGAGGTTTCCATCGCCAGTTCCATTCATATGATATAACAGGACTTCCATTCGTCGCGAATTCCCCGATGAATTGCACATTCTCGTTCTTGTGGAGGTTGGGGTCAGCGTGAAACTCTCTTGTCACAAGATTGTCCAACTCTTTCGCGTTCGGCGCGTAGGCAAAGGTGAGTCCGGTAACGGTGGTGTCAACAGACGCGGTTGCGGTGGAAGGCGTAGCAGGCAACGGCCCTGAGTTCTGTCGGCTTGTAAATGTGAACCGCACATCGAGCTCATCTTCGAGATCTAGTCTAGGTAGAAACGCAATGCCCGAGAAATCAGGGTCCTGGTCAAATGTCAGAACAATCAAGACGAGGGTCCAACGCAACGAACCTGAACGTAGGAAATTGGTCGGTAGTCTGCTGCATCTGGTTTTCCAACAAGGCGCGACGCCGGGTATGCGTTCGGGGTTACATGCAGTAGGGCTTTTCGGCGCCCGTTCGTGATGACAATCGAGGTAATGGAGACTGAGTATGTGAGACAACGTCCAACACGAGGTAACAACGCACATACAGCGCGCTTGATCCTTCAGATATAGTATGGAGCCATCCTCAACTTTGCTGCCGATATTTCCCATTGCTGACGGCCTGCGTCAAGGCTTAAGAAGGATTGACTGTTCGCCAGGTTGGGCGATTAATAGTGGTAGGGAATCTTGTGATCGTAAAGGTTATTCGAATCATAAAATGCTCCAAAAGCAGAAGAATATTCAGACTCTGTGATAGTAAAGACCGCGGTGTTTCACTGTCGACAGACTTGACCAGCCGGCGCGGAGGGAGTTGTTGCGTGGATATTGAGAGCGTGTCAAGTCTCCGCCGTCCACAAGTCTGACTGCGCCTTCTACGACGTGAAACCCGCGCGACTGCCAAGGGTCCACTACTGTATATTATTCAGCTGATCTTTGACCTGCAGTTATACCCGCCGTTGCATTTCACTATCTTTTTGATTTCACGAGCCAATATTGAATGCTATGGCTGAAACGGTATGAGAGGCGTGCACCGTGCCATGTGCGCGGCACAGTTTATTCTGGTCGCCTTATCGATGGCTTGACGGACCGTGATGTTGCACTACGCACGGAGTATCGACAGGCGAACAGCAGGCGCGACTTGTGCGATACGAACTGTAGCCACCTTCCGTCAGATCGGTATCCACTGCATTGAGCACTTCAGGTCTCTATGTCAGGGACATGCATGTGTGTCACGCATGTACGAGTGCCTAGGCATCTGTATACTCCAACAGTGTTGAGTCTGTCAGCATTTCTCGTAACAGTGTCAAAAGATACTACGCGTCAACATCGACGTCATTCATCGCCAACAATCCATAGGGTAAAGCATCCTTCTGAGTTGCTTTCCGGTTTACTTGATTGTGGTACAGTCAATCAATCGCCTTAACCACCCTCAGGGTTTCCCAATGCGGGGGACCGTTGTCCATATACAAGTACTGAGCAGTACTGTGCGCGTTTACACTTGACGCGTTGAAGTTGACTTTAGGTAAGCACCCGCTCCGGGAGCCATCTCCGGACTCCCTGACCTCATCGGGGCCAAATTGTATATATGTCTCCCTCTCGCAACACCTCGCGAAAGACAGTATAGGTCGCAGGCAACCTGACCGGCCATCATCATGCGTATTGCAATCACTGGAGCCCGCGGCACCGTTGGTCGTGAAGTCGTGAAACTCTGCTCCCAGGCCGGTCACCATACCGTCCAAATGTATGCATTCAGGAGGACTTGCACCATTGGACCATTGACAGCTAATTGGATAGCAATCGGAGTGAACAGGAACACGATGGTACCCAAAATTCAGAAATGAGAACAGCCGATGCCGCAAGCGACTACGATGCCACGGTCAAAGCTTTCAGCGGCTGTGAAGCCCTTATACACCTTGCAGCAATTCCAGATCCGGTTGACAAGTCGGACAGCCTTGTCCACAATAACAACGTCAACGTAAGTGTGCTCGACGTGCTGACCACCCACCATTCCTAACGACCGGCAGTCCGCTTTCAATGGTTTCCGAGCGGCCGCAGAAAATGGCATCAAGAAAGTCTGCTATGCAAGCTCCGTCAATGCAATAGGGCTGGCTTATGCCAATCAGCCACTGGAGTTTGACTATTTTCCCATTGACGAGGACTATCCCCAGAAACCCACTGATGCATACGCGCTTGCCAAAGAAGAAGCCGAAGTGCAGGCCAGAGCTTTTGCACGCTGGTTTCCGGGCATGAACATCGCTTTGTTGCGCATTCACGAAGTTGCCCCTCTCAAGGATGTCCAGAAAGAGCATAAGGAGAATTGGGATGAGGCAGCGGTCAAGCAGTTGTGGGGTTGGGTAAATCCTGTTGCCACAGCTCGTGCATGTATCAAGGGACTTGAAAGCGAAAAGTTGAAGGGCGCTGAGATTTTCAACATCATTGCACCATCAACCACCCAAGACACACCCAGCAAAGAGTTGGCTAAGAAGTACTTCCCAAATGCAAAGATCAAAAACGACTGGGGCAATCATAATGCAGCATTCTGGACTACGGACAAGGCTGAGAGAATATTGGGATGGACGCATGACGAGAAAGAGTAGAAGACCACGACTACTCAAGTAGCCGTGTATGTGAAGATGAGATTAGCGAGGCGTTATGATGTCAATGTGGAAGCCACAAAAGTGATAGAGATACTAGTAGTAGGATACTCTTCTACCGACAGCCACTGTTCGTACAGGATACGAGGCTGCAGCCTTGCACGTGATTACTATGGAGCCTCGGAATTGCCAAGGCGATTTTTCCAGATCGAAAAGAAGCCGCAACTGTGATAGTCAAGTTCGCGTGTGTTCGGTAGGCAACAGGTCCAAGATGAGTGAGAGGGATTGATACAAAGCATCAGTGTGTACAACACAGACTTGGATTCAAATTGTGCTTCGGCACCCTCCAGCCGTCAATAAACAACATGTCTGCAAAGGCGGCGCAAAATGCGCCAGGTGCGAAAGAATCACAAAATGCCGGCACTCCAAACCAAACGTATGTGTCTTCATACCCTCCTTCGGGTTACGTTGTTGACAAACTTTCAGATTATATCTCAAAAACTTGGATGAGAAGACCAACAAGACAGAGCTGAAACGCGCTCTCTACATGCTTTTCACCCAATTCGGTCCGGTTCTCGACATTGTCACGGCTCGGATTGGATCTAAAAGCCAGAAGATGCGCGGGCAAGCTCACATTGTATTCCGAGACATCCAGACAGCTACGCAGGCCATGCGAGCGCTGCAAGGTTTCGACTTTCTCGGAAAAGAGCTGGTGTGTATCGCAGACAGTGTACAGAAGCCGCTGCTAACCTCTTTCGCCAGGTCATTTCTTACGGCAAAGGACAGTCTTCCATCATCCCGAAACTTCGCGGTACTTTCGAACCTCCTACTGCGGCTGCTGGTACTGCCGAAAGCACAGCATTACAAAAGTCCATTTTCAATGCTCCTCCTTCCGCGATCCCCAGTAAGCCCGTGGAGAACGGAGTGAAGCCTTCCGAAGCAACTGCGGCCGTTGTTCCTCACGGTACGAAACGGACACGTGAGGAGGAAGACGAAGAAGAAGAGGAGGACGTGCCAATGGAGGAAGATGAAGATGATGCCCCTATGGAAGATTCTGATGACGACTGAAGTGTCCAGCAACTACGCCACGAGGCTGATATCCCTTGGCCAACAAGGCGAGGCCTCCCAGCATCCGAGCGGTGACCTTTGACAACCTTGTGCATTTGGTCAGATGCACCATACTGCGACAAGCGGGCCTCCGTTGGAGAAGGTCTGCGCATTCCTCCATACCCGCATTGGGGTTCCTCACGCCAGAAGTCTGCTGGGGACGTGCAAACCAACGGATGAGCCGATCAACCCAAGCCAGAGGATGAGATAGCCCTCTGGATTCAGACTGGTGGTCGGCCTAAGCGCTGAAAGAGCTTCTGGGGTGTTGCATGGATGTATGAAGTATGCCGGCTGGTCCGAGATGGGGTGATGCTAGAAGATCAGCCTCTCAACTACTGGTGGTATATGGCGACTTACTGCCATGCTGATGCCTCCCATCACACCAGTGTTCCGCAGCGATGTTTGGGAGGTTCGGGGTACCATCCAGTCATACATTTGGTCAAGGTTCAGCCTCATACTATACGAACTGTGCTTGCAGGAAAAGTAAAGCACGGGCACGCAATACACTGGGGACAAGGTGACGGAGAAGTCGACAATCAAGTGTTCCGAACGCGATCTGCACGGGAGCTATCATCGGTCAGTATGGTCGCGGATTCTGCGCAGAGATGCATACAATGTCCGTAGCGCATAAGTCTTCTGCCACTCTGTCGACCTCTGCACATTCTTCAGGTGCCTCGTATTCCGGGCTGTGTATCGCCCTCCTCTGCTTGATTATGAGTTCTTTGCCAGTCCACTTCACACTCAGCCAGTCCGTGCCATCCAGCTTGTCGAAGCTTCGATCTTCTAGAGCCTTGCATCCCTCTCGAAACTCATCTTCCGTGATACTCGGAAATGCCTGAAGTGTCGTCGTCTGTTTCGGAGTTGCCTCCATCCATCCTCGTCCTACTTGAAGAGACTCTGTCACAACCCCGCTACAGAACGGAAACGAAGAGACCCTGCGGACCGGAAATGTTCGAAGCAGGTCTAAAGTGACAGTAGTCGAAAGGCAGCGCCAAGGATCATGCGACGCGGTGCCCTCAAAGTCGAGACGTGCCGGATGATCTACAATTTCTCCGAATGCAATTGACCCCTCGACGTCTCCGTCCAGGAACAACATATCAGTCGCGGCAGGGTTGCACGACAGCCACCCATGGCAGTCAAAGCTCTCCGCGAAGCCCCTCGCGACTTATCCGACATCGCAGCGCAGGAAGAAGGCCTGATCTTGTCGCATTTCACCGCGGACGATGCCCTGGAAATAGGCTTGTCGATCCGCCATCGCCTTCGCGCCCTCTCGCAACTCTCAGCCGTGATCAACATCTCGCTAGCCAACAGTGACAATGTCTTGTTCCACGCCGTCTCACGCCCGGGCGTTCAACCCGATAATGATCTGTGGGTGGCCCGCAAACGAAAAACAGTCAAGAGGTGGGGCGTGAGCAGCTGGTTCATGCACAATAAGATGCATGGCGACGAGGAAGCGTTCAAGAAGAAGTATATGCTCGGCGAGGCGGCGGGGCAGTATGCGATCCACGGAGGCGGTGTGCCCGTCAGAGTACGCGGCGTCGAGGGCATCGTGGCGGTCATTGTTGTTAGTGGACTGAAACAGCATGAGGATCATCAGATCGTGGTGGAAGCGCTGGAGGAGTTCATCGAGGCGACGCGCAACGAGACGGGACAGTAATCCTGTGTGGCTCTACGGCTTCGACTTTTACTTTACGACGATATGGGAAACAATTTTGGAGGACTAGCATGGCGACTGAGTCCTGTTAGGTCAACATATCGAACAATCATTTTAATGACTGCGAAAGGTTTCGAGATTGCGGTAATATTAATCGAGTTGCATGATACTACGGACTTCATTGGAGCCCAGCGGCTGTGTCCAATGCTGCTGACTGGCTGGGATTTTCTGGGAAATTGCAATTGCACATGAGAAGACATGGACTTGTGGTTAAAAACGTTAATAGATTGAGGATAACACAGTCATGAAAAGCACCATCTTGTGTCCAAGGTGCAATCAACTACTCCAGATCAACATCCTAGTCATACATGTCGTGCGACTGAGTAAGGGCCGGCCAACCCATCACTCATCAACCCAAAAGCTCTCATTTCTTGCTGTCCATATACATCTTCGCCAGGCTTGTCACCAGCGGAGCGACAGTCTTGTAGTGCTTTTGGCCTTGTTCAACTAGTCCCCCAATGTCGTCGATAGAGAAGGCTTTCTTCTTGCCCTTCCTGTCACGATCTCTGCTTCTGTCGCGAGAATCGTAGCGTCGGTCTTGGTCGCGGCTGCTGCGGTAGTCTCGGTCCCGGTCCCGATCGCGGTCACGGTCACGATCAGATCGCTTGGAAGCCCCCGCAGCAGCATAGCCGTCATCACGTCGAGAGGAACCACCGCCTCCAGTACGACGGGTTTTGTCATCGTAGCGGTCATCATCTCTTTTGCGTCTTCCGTCTCTTTCGTCCGATCGGTAGCCCCGATCACGCTCGGCAGGTCTATCGTCTGGACTGCGGTAGCGACGTCGCGGGGGATCATCGTAGGGATCGTCCCGTCGACGGCGTTCTGGTTCCGCATAGGTTCGAGCACGTCGCGGCGGAGCTGGGTCGAAATCATCGTAGTCGTCCTTGCTTCTCGGCTTGCTAGACCTGGCTCTCGGGTCGCCGCTCGCTCGTGGCACAGGTTCGCGGTAACCCTTGGAACGACCGTAGCCAGCCCCCTCACCGCCCCGGTTACGGCGTGCGTCTGAATCCCGCTCATCATCTTCATCATCAGGAGTAGTTCGCCTTCTGGGAGCGGCGGTATTAGGCTTTCTTGTCTTCGTGTCATCATCTCTGTCGTCCGGATACTCTCTGTGCTTTGGGGGTGCGGATCTCTTGTCTGCGTCTCTGGGCTCGACATCTCGGGGATCGACGTCTCTTCTGCGTCGAGGCTCGTCTGGGGGATACTTGGAAGGCGAAGTTTCGTAGCGAGAAGCGCGGGCGCCTGAGGTCTTTGGGTAATCTTCTTGGTCGGGATACCTCAGTCCATCGTCTTGGTCATATCGAGGGCGGTCCCGCCTTGGGCGGGCTGCATAATCATCGTCGTAAGACATTGTTATCGAGTCATTAAAAGGACTAGGATGGTGAGGAGGAAAGAAGGTTCAAAAAAGGAGATTGCGGAAGAAAGGTTAATATGGAGGAGGGAAAGGTGTTTCGGATTGAAATCAGCAGACAGGAAAGAGTTCGGGTTCAGCTGGATTGGATGAATGGATGAGTGATTGTTTCGTGAGTCGGAATCTCCTCAGCTGCCTTGATCGTGGCTCTGGCCGCCCAATTCTGATGGCGTCATATGCCACTGGATTTCTCCAGTACCAGGACTGAGATTGGGTCGCTGCTGCAATTGTGCTCCTTTTTGCTTGCTTCGATTGACTTCTTTTTCCTCGCTTATCATCCAACAATATTCTAGGCGGGATAACGCGGGAAATGCACGGCCCATGTGCTGAGGGTTGTCACTGATCTGATACACCCCGGATCGCCAGCCAAGTTAGGGCCAACGGGCGCAAAGTGCCGCCCCGGGCCTTGGATCTGGCACGGATTGGGCACCAACTCTAAAAGATGTCACCTGTGCCCGGTTTTAATACCATGACCGTCTACTGGGATTACTGCAAGACAATGTCACAGGCACAGGCACAGGCACTGCACAGGCACTGCACAGGCACCTGCACAGGTACAGTAACAAGTTGGGCGCAATGCACCTGCATGGACCCGCGAACCTGCTGATGTAGCGTCTTTTCGACATGTGTCACTGATCGGGCATAAGGGGCATCTCACGTAGTTGTCATGCCTCGCATATTCGGTCGCGTGATGTCACAGGACACGAATTTATAACTTGGCCAAAGCCTTGCAAGCAGACCGTCTATTCTTTGCCATCAACCCTGGAAGTCACCAAGCGTGTCATCGGCTTATGAAATACGTACTGTTGACTGTTGAGACCCCAGCAAGCTCGAAGATACTGTCACATCCTGTTACTCGCCGCTTCGAAGCCTAGTGAGCCAGAGTCTTGCTACCTGACCTGCTTCCACACGTCAATTGCGACCTGACCTGCTTCCAAAGGCTGGTCACTGCTGTTGAGTCCACATCGGCAGGGTACACCGTTTTGCTAACATGCATTGAGCCGCATTCATGTGGCCAAATGGCGACCTGCTCGCATTTAGGCTAGCCTAGAAAACGGAAGCAGATGCGCCGTTTCGTGAATAGCTGCAGCTATTGAGGATCGATAAAGTCAATCCGGTAACCGGCTCTTCCCATCCTTGAACAGAGAAATGAGACAGATTTCTGAGAATGAGCAATAGAAATTTGCAGAATTATCAGGTTGTGTACGCTTGAAACTCTCCCATGATGCATTCGGGCCCCTTAACTATCAAACGTTCTTCGTTGTCTAACTAAGGCAAGCTCAAGATATCCTTTAACTTCGCCAGCGCACCAAACAATTGGTTGTCATGATACTTCCGGGCATTGATCTGCAAATCGATCGGAGCCCCCTCAAAGTTGGACTCTTCCCACAACTGCTTGACGTGCTTGCACTCCTCACTCAATGGTTCATAATCGTCGGCATATTTCTCGCCGGCCTCCGTTGTCACGGGAGTCGGGAAAACAACACCAGGATAATCGACAAAATTATACAGAGAAGTATAGGTCCAGTAGAACGCGGTGTCGTGTGCAGAGGCAGGACCAACGAAAGCAGGGCCAATAACCACATCGACGTCTTGAGCATTCCAGTTCTCCGCGAACGCCATTCGGAAATTGTCCCTCTCTTGTCGCATGTAGGCTACTGCGGTAGCATTCTGCATGCCGTGCGGTTTGGCGTCTTTCCAAATCCACTCGCTCAGTGGGTGGATGGGCTCTCCGCTGGAGGTGATGGCTTCTATCGGTCCTGTTGCACCGTCCGGCCAGTACATTCTCCGGATCTTCTTCCACGCGTCGGCAGCGGCGTAGGGCGTGAAGTCCTTGACCTCAAGGATGTCCGCGTACTTGGGGTCGGAAAGGGTCTTCTTCGCCCAAGCGATGGCTCGTTTTACTGGGGGTTGAGGGTCGATGAAGCCGTCGTTGGCAATGATGCCGATCTTGAGCTTCTCGACTGGTGTCTTCAGGCCGGTCCAAGGAATTGGAATGAGTCTTGGATCTTCAAGATATGGCTTGGCGTCGAGGATGGTTTTGACGAAGAGCTCCATGTCTTTCATGGTGCGGCACATAGGGCCAGTCGAGCAGAGAATGTTGAGCTCTGCTGGAAATGGGCTGGCTAGAAAATCCTTCATTGGCAGGGTGTATGAGGTCGGCTTGAACCCATAGATGCCGCAGAAAGCGGAAGGTCCACGGACGCTACCGCCAATGTCTGTGCCAATGCCCAGGACTGAGCCTTTCATGGCGATAAGTGCTGCTTCACCACCAGTGGACCCGCCAGCAGAGAGGTCGATGTTGAATGGGTTCAGGGTACGACCCCAGTGCGAGTCGGTCTCGAGATGCATGATTGTCTGTGGTTGATTGGTCTTGCAATAAAAGATGGCACCTGCTTTGCGGAAAATGCTGATCATTTGGCTGTCTTTGTCGTCCTTGACGATGGTGCTGAATTCACCCTGTGACGAGTACGTTCCGGCGAGAACCATGTGTTCTTTGACACTGATCGGGAGACCGTGCAGAGGCCCGACAGTCTTGCCATTCTTCTCCAGGTATTCGTCAAGCTGGGCAGCTTGCTCGAGTGCCTTTTCCTGGAAGAATTGGGTCAAGCAGCATGTGAGCTGGTGGACGATGACCGCGCGTTTGCAGAATGCCTTGGCCACAGCAACAGCGGTGTACTTGCGTTCAGCAATGGCTGCTGCCAGCCCGACAGCGTCATATCCTTCGGTGATTTCGAGCTCTTCTGGTGTCAGAAGGCCACACGTACTAGGAATTTTCGAGACATCCTTGGGAGGATTGCTGATGATCTCTGAAGGCAAGTAGTACTCCGTTGGGAATGACTCTTCTAGCGTCCGTAGTAGGGCACTTCGCTTTTCCTCGAATTCTGGTGTGCCCTTAGGGACAGCCTTTGGCTGAACAACGGCAAATTGTCTGGCCACCATCTTGCAATAGATTAGAGAGTTGGCAGGTGGTTCGAATATGATTCTGGAGGTGGAAGTTCACCGTGCTGTCTTCAAGAACAATTTACAAGAACCTTTTTGGTGGCGCTGTGAAGGTTATCTGCAGGCCCGTCATATGTGTTATCTCGTGAGAGCTTTCGCGGAAATGTCCATGAAGCGTCGCGTCGATGGCCGCATGTAGGGCTGTGTAGGAGGGGTTGTTTGGATAACGGAATTAGTTCTCATTGAGCCAGCCTACCAAGATTGACGAACTTCTGGATGTCGACAAGCTCATTGAGATTGGCTCTGCTATCGATTGCCCTGGCGAGCGGGAAGTAAGCCGTCCTTCAGTATGTGGATGATCGATTAGCTTGTGGTCAAGAGCTTCATGGTTCCCCAATGTCCCTCCAATGCGGAACAGAATATGTGGCGTCCGTCGCGATGCTCGACCAATGAGAGGTATTACCGCTCCAGAAGCGAGTTTTGCAAGTAACTTGATGTGGATATAGAATAGCAAATCGTGGATCTTTCGAGGTGCTCGCTGACTTATCTTCTGTAGGGACAGTCACTGCTGACAGTGCTGAGTGGCACTTCCCTGATAGGGTTCTTCCCTAGCTCAGGAGCTAAGACATTCGCGTACAAAGTCGTCCGAGTAAACTTTTGCTTATCGGAATTGAGAACTCGTCGAGATTAGCCAACTGGTACGAGTAGGCGGATGGCTGGGGAGGAAAAGCTGTGATTGGAATAGATTTGGGACCCCAGTCGATGAGGATTTAAGCATACCGGGCTCATGCCATCGACCCCATCATCCCCGTGGCACAGTACCTCTTTAGGTACAGTACAGGAGATATCGGACACTGACCTCTCATTCGCAGATGAGCACGGAAGTGTCCCACAAGTGGCAGCCGATCAATTGTTCGTTTTACCGCGTATCTTGCTACTCTCATTCTTTTACCTATGTGGACGGACACCACGTCCCCCGTGAACCTATTGGGGTACACGACGCTTCGCCTGTCTCAAGCAGTCCATTTGCATCAGCAGTCAGCCACCTGAGAACCCGACACCCATGTCACGGAGTTCTCCTGCGAGATGGACAGGTGGATGTTATACTCCTCTTATCACGCGGAATCTGGAGAAGGACAGTTTCGGCTGCTCTTGCGAGTGTGATATTCGGACTAGATACTGTCGGCTCATGCGCAATGCCTTCAGGTATAAGTACCCCAACAGCCTCCCCCCGACAATCACTTTGCCCCATCCCACTTCCCACAACAACTTCTGGTTGAAAACACCGTGTGCTACAATCCTTGTTGAAGATATGGCTGCCCACTCCGAAAACCTGGCGGGCTCCGTGCCTGGCACAGTACACCTCGTCGATCTGGATCACACCATGCACACCCGTCACGCCCAAGGTGGTGATATCGTGCTTGTTCCCACACCATCGAAGGACCCGGACGACCCGCTCAATTGGACACCTCGAAGGAAGTACCTTTCGAGCTTGTGTTCGAACCTGTGAGTTTCCTGTCCACGTTGCCTTCGTCAGTGATGCTGACCAATTTGCAGCTACACCTGGTTCACCGGCATGTCTGTGTCAACCGTCTACTCCGTGCTCGTTCCCCTTTCGACGAATTCTGGTGTCTCAATATCTACGCTCAATGAAGGAACAGGATATATGTTCTTGTTGCTAGGTACGAACTCACTCTGGCAGGCGGAGATGTACTGATCATTGCTAGGTTGGAGTTTACTCTTTTGGCAGCCATTTGCTTTGAGATACGGCAAGCGTCCAGCATATCTGATCTCTATCCTCGGTTCTCTGGTGAGTTCGTCCCTACCGACGGCACTGGAGGCTCACAGCTAACTGTTGTTCCAGGCAACAAGTGTTTGGAGGTAAGAGTCACGAGCTAGGAAAGATACATGTGCATGGCGCTGACCATACCAGTGCCTACGTCAAGAGCGATGGAGAGTGGCTGGCAAAATGTATCGTCCAGGGCTTTTTCAATGCCCCAATCGAGGCACTTCCCGAAATCTCGGTGACTGATATCGTACGTGCCTCCACCGCAGCAGACGTCAAGTTAGAGCTGTGAGACTGACCTCCATTAGTATTTTACACACCAGCGTGGCACGTGGATGGGCATGTACGCCTTCACCCTCGCTGGCAGCAACTATTTCACACCTGTGCTCTGTGGATTTATCGCGGAATATCAAGGTAAGTGTTTCTTGACAAGCTGGCTCGTTGTTCCCTGAACTTTTCTCTTTTTCTCATGTCATCACTGGGACATGGTGAGGCTAACAATCCCAGGCTGGAGATGGGTGTTTTACTGGCCCGCCATCTTTCTCGCCTTTGTCTTCGTCTTCCTGTTTCTCTTTATGGAAGAAACGAACTACGTCCGCGCTACTGCCGGCATTGTGGAGGACACCGACTCACCACCGCCAGAGTCTACCATGGGAACTGATGCAGAAAAGAATCCCACTGCCAACGCCAACTCTTCCAGGGTTTCGACCGAGGACGGTCTCGTCACGAAGCCTCCGAAGACATTCGTCCAGAGATTATCGGTATGGAACCCGACTCCAGGCGATAATATGATCCAGCGCGCAATTCGAAGTCTCAAATACCTTGGATGGCCGGTCATATTCTACGCCGGCTTCTCGTATGGCTCATATTTGATCTGGTTCAACGTCCTCAATGCCACGGCATCCATCATTCTCGGTGGCGCGCCATACAACTTTTCCGCTTCCATGGTTGGTTTATCCTACGTCTCCTGCACCCTAGGAGTCATCATCGGATCTCTTATCTCAGGCAGACTGAGTGATTGGCTGACCATCAAACTTGCTCGTCGCAATAACGGAATAATGGAAGCTGAGCACCGTTTGTGGCCTTTTGTTCTTTGCGTCATCTTCGTTCCTGGCTCTCTCATCCTATGGGGTGTAGGGGCAGCGCATGGAGTACACTGGTTCGGTCTCATCTTCGCGATGGGATCCCTCGCATGTTCGACAACATTCGGTGTGGCCCTCAGTGTTAACTACCTGGTTGACAGCTATCACGAGATTAGCGGTGATGCTCTTGTGGCGGTCATACTGGTGCGCAACACCATGTCGTTTGCAATCAGCTATGGGTAAGTCTACTTTGTCAGGAAAGTTCGATGCAGTTTGCTGATGAAACACCTAGTATAACTCCGTGGTTGACCAATCTTGGGTACCAGAATTGCTTCATATCTGCCGCCTTTATCGGTATGGCCGCATCATCAGCCTTCTTCATCATGATCAAATGGGGCAAGGGCTTCCGTACAAAGAGTGCGCCGAGATACTGGGAGATTGTCGAGGCCAATAAATTGAAGGCCGCGGAAAGGTGACCGTCGGAAGAGACGTGCTGAGCAAGGTCATTAGAAGTGATTGATCAGTAGGTGTCGCACTACAGTAGCAGTGCGCCCTGTCCCGTCCTGGGTCTTATCTAGTGGGTACCGGGGTCCTTATCTGAGGAACGCGGGGTTGCAATAACCGGGCCACTTCAGCACCACAAGGCAATTTGTAGCGTCAATCTAGCCTAGAGTCTAGGCAGTTTAAAAAGGCCCGTTCTCCTCGGTATCTTTCCTCTTTCTCCTCTTCCAAACTACCTAAGTCGGCGATGGTTTTGTCGCCAATGACCTGCATTTCCGCCTCTATGGGTTGACTTACCTTCTGTGCGCCTGATTCGGTGGCAGAAAGGATGGGCAGTGGTAATCAGCCTGCCAAACTACGAACTAAGACTGGGTGTCAGATATGTAAGTTTCGTTCAACGCTTGAGCACTCCTTCACATGCTCATGCCGGATCTGCAGGCAGAAATCGCAAGAAGAAATGTGATGAAACCCGCCCTGCTTGCCAAAGATGTGTTGCTCTTGGCCTCTCTTGCCAATGGCCTACAGCTGAGGATCTGGTCGATCGCCGCTGCACGCCGGCTCGTCGGCAGAAATCCGTGTCTTTGTCGCCAGTGTTGTCAAAGACGAGACTGCATCACGTCCATGATCGTGTTGGATCCGTCGCTGGCGGTCCAGCATTTGAGATCGACTCGAGACTCTCTCTCCTCTCGGAATCAGTAGCACACCGCGCACTAAGCCGCGACCTGGAACCAGTCATTGCTCGCCACTTCGTCGACAAGTACTACGATTTACTGCTCTTACCAAATTGTCATCCTGATTACTACTGGGGATGGATCAGCGATATCCAGAGGCTGATGAGGGAATGCAAAAGCCTTCAGTATTCGGTGCTCGCATGTGCTGCGTCGCACCTGCACTATATCGATGACTCGTCACAGATGCAGGAGCTTGCGCTCACATACTATTCACATGCTCTGCGAGGACTGTCCGAACTTCTGGCACAACCCGGGCAACTTGAAAGCCATAACGGTTTGCTCATGTCGGTGATCCTGCTATATCTCCACGGGGTACGTACGCAAGATTGCCGTTCAATCTCAGATGTCGTGCTAATATCATTACCATTCGCATAGTGCATGGGCAGGGGCACCTACACTGATGTACCGCGCCATGTAAACGCCGCGATACGGATACTCTCGTTGCGACTTATGAGCCACGACGAAAGCATTAGCAAGCCATTTGACAGGCTCGCTGTCGAGAGTGTCCTCTACCAGATATTTCTCGTTACGATGGGGTCATGGTCGGACCCGATAGAGCTCGACTACCACTTCGACGCTCAGTTTTGGGTGCAGGCCGAGAGATTACTGACGTTGTCAACGTTGTTCCCCGACCGTTCAATGAGCTACAATAGTCCTGTGCTCGGCATTCCCTTGGGACTCTTCAAGCTCGCCTTATCTATCAAGCAACTATACCAGAGTCCGTTCCGGAGCGACCTAGAAACTCTAGAGCAGTTTCGCAGCGAATTGGACAACTGGGAAGGGGCGGTCCTTTCCGATCAAGATCTGGACCCACTCTCGCCTGATGAAGAGCGTAATGATGCTCATCAGTATTACAGAGACGCCGCGTACCTATACATACTGACTGCGTCGCTGCTGGTCGAGCAACTTTCCGAGCTCGGAGAAAAGACTGGACCTCCTGAAGCAGCATCCAGCGAGTGCTGGCAAATCAGAAAAGTATGTCAGATTCTCAGTGCACATCGAGATGATGATGAGTGGGCACGATGCTTTATAGGTAATTGGCCGGTGTATACTCTGGCATTCTTCATGCAGGAGCCGGCAGACATGCGCCTCCTCTGGGAGGACTTGCTGAAGAGGTGGAATCTGACCAAGTTCGGGCAAGTCGCTCGGTTCCGCACAGACGTCGAACTGACGTGGGCTCGACGAGGACTTACAATGTGATGTTCCGAATTTTGCATACGGTACCTGGCAAGTGGCTAGGGAATCTGAAGGACCAGCGCCAGGACATACATATAGACACCGGCTGGCAATGGGCGTGCTTTTCATGTACAGAAAAACTTAGTAGCATTAGGATCCGCCTATTACCTTGTCCTGACAACAGGCTGTACTCTACACACATAAGGTATCCCACGGTGAACTCCAAGACTCAATTGTCCCTTCGGCAATTGTCTAGTAGATATCATGAACGAGGACGTATCGATCAGCAGCGTAGGCGTACCACTCGTGGCACGACGCACAGCCTCGTGGAGGTGGACCTCCAACACCGACTGATTCTCTGCAATACTATTGGCGGAATGCCATGATTCCGCAATGTCATCAACATCCGGAGCAGGACATGATGAAAGTCACACACAGTGCGGCGTATTCGTGTTCCACACCTATACCGCTCCATGGTCGATCAACAGCCAAGCACGACTCCTACACTACTCTCGACTCCCAGTCGCGACACTCACTTCTCCATGCGCCCATCCACTCGCCTACTCCTCGCATCTCCCACGGCCACTGCTGCACGAATCTCTTCCACCCGAACCCGGAACAAACCTCCACCCCTCTCCCTTGACCAATTTATCCAGAGACAGCGCGTCCTCGGGCTGTGGCGCACCATCCTGCGCAGCTTGTACAAAATACCCAGAGACACACGTGGTGAACCTGTTGCCTATGCGCGCGGCGAGTTCGTGCGGAACAAGCACGTCAGTGAGGTCTCCCAGATAAGGTATCTGATTTCGACCGGGAAGGTCGAATTCGATTCGATGCAGAGGTATATTGATGAGCTTGCTTCGAGGGGACGGTGAGAGCAAGAGAATATCATGGGACGGGACGGTGAAGTATAACTACGAGCACTTATAACGTGGAATGAGGTGACCAGCTGAAGCTGGCGTGCACCCGGCTGCTCGGAGCTGTGAAAAGGGTGCAGATCTGGCTCTGACGGTCCTGGATGGGATGTGGCTTTATCGACTGCATAGCTTGCGGCGCAATAGTCGTGAGTTGGGGACTGCTTGCCTCTTCAGAACGAAACTCCGAGCAGAACAGGAGATGTGCACGAGTACGCAGAAGACGCCAATCGTTGGGTTATTGGCACACAAGCAGAGCGTTTGAGGAAGATGCAACGTTCGCTCAGCAAGGCCACGCGGTGATCACCGAGAAGATGAAGTGGGGAGAAAAGAATAGATGGGGCCTTAACAAGCAAGAACGCAGCATTGTTCATCGCTTTTGTACAGTCCGACATGAGACTATATGCCCTGGGCACGCAGCAGAATCATCGCAATGTCGACAATTGATTAGAACCTCCTCCAAGCGTCTCTCGTCCTCCTTGCCCACATTCCTGGTCCCCATCCCACACTCGTCACTTCCTCTTTGACGCTCTTACTCCAGAATTTCCAATCCGCCTTCTTCCGCTGCTCAGCATCGGCTCCCTCGGCTTGTGTAACCTTCTCCTCGAACGCCTCCAGATGGTCCCTTCCGGCATCGATCAGTTTTTCTGCTTTCTGCTTCGCCTCGCTGACGGTCTGTCTGGCCTCCGTGCTCGCCCTCTCGATACCCGCTCGCCACGCTTTATCTTCCTCGTCTCGAGCCTCCAGTTCCCTAAGCCATTTCTCCCTCTTCTCCGCATTCTTCTTGTCTTCCAGCGCCGTTTCAAAGACCTTACGCTTCAGTCTCTCGTCCTTGTAGAAGAAACTGCCCGCTACCAGCGCGAGCAAGGTAAAACCCTGAGCGTAAATACGCGCGCGGAACATTCTGTTCGTCTGGTGATGATCGCCTTGGCGGATGGACTTTGTGGCCATGTATAGAGCGTAACACGTTGCGGCGCATCCAATGGGGATTAGGGGTTCTTGTCGTATTTTGCGCCATAGTTTCTGTGTGCGGGACTCTTCGAAGAACTCGGCGTCGAAGCTGCTGGGGATATTTGAGCTTGACAGCGGAGAGGGCGCGTTTGGGTTGGACATGATGAAGCTATCACTGGTATGGGGGAGTCTCTGGGACCGGATAGTCTAGGTGCGTGATGGATGGCAGTCAAGGTCGTGTGCAAGCCGGGCGGGGTGGAGTGGTGCTGCTCGTGTTGTTAGGTGCAAGTCGTGACGTCGACGTGCAGGATCGATCAGACCAGCTTGCGTGCGGTCTACTGTAATTCAGGTGAGTATGCTGAGTGCAAGTGCAATTCTATATCGCAGTCGCTGACACTTGAGATGAGTCAACTTAGGTGAGCACTGATGATTTGTGTTGGAAGTGGAGGGTCTTTGATGGTTGATCTGTTTGCTAGAGGCAAAAGATGGAGCCCGCGCATCGGCGAATAAATGCCCAATCTCACACCCTCTCCTGCAAGGCTGGATGCCGCTCTAATAAAGAATATCCAGCCTTACGCTCCAGGGGCTATGGGGGGTTTCCTGTTCCTGAGAGGGCGGTGCGGGGAGCTCGAGATTTTTTGTATCAGCATATCATTCCGAGTCATACACGTACAAAACATACACGCAGATTTCACGACTCACTCCTCACCGCTGGACCAAACTGGTTCTAATTCAGCATGATGAATGTTGAGGAACCTCATGTCAATGGGACCACCACGCCCACCACACCCAAGCGGACATCTGGTCTAGCGATGACTGAATACACCGCCAATCCGACACCACCCTCCGAACGAGCAGACACACCTTCCTACGATGTTCCTGCAGACTTCCTCCTTCCAAACGGTCATCCCGACTACTTGAGATTGATCCTCACCTCCCGAGTGTACGATGTGATCTCCGAGAGTCCTCTCTCACACGCTATCAACCTATCCAATCGCCTCGAATGCAAAGTACTCTTGAAAAGAGAAGATCTCCTGCCAGTCTTCTCCTTTAAACTACGAGGCGCATATAACAAGATGGCACATCTGCCACCCAAGAGCAGATGGAAAGGTGTCGTTGCATGCTCGGCAGGTAATCATGCTCAAGGCGTAGCCTATTCTGCCAGACATCTTAAAATCCCGGCCACAATTGTTATGCCCCAAGGAACACCAGACATCAAGCACAAGAACGTCAGCAGGATGGGTGGAAGTGTGGTACTACATGGGGCCGATTTTGACTCTGCAAAAGAACACTGTCATGCTCTCGAGAAGCAACACGGTTTGACCAACATCCCTCCATTCGACGACCCATATGTCATCGCAGGCCAGGGAACGATAGGAATGGAGTTACTGAGACAGTCATCGTTACAGAAGCTGAAGGCAATCTTCTGCTGCGTAGGTGGCGGCGGTCTTATCTCCGGGATTGGTGTCTATGTCAAGAGAATAGCACCTCATATCAAAATCATTGGCGTTGAGGCCTCGGAGGCCAACGCGCTCGTAGAGTCTCTGAAACAAGGCAAAAGAGTCCTTTTGAAAGACGTCGGGGTTTTCGCAGATGGTGCAGCTGTCAAGACAGTTGGCGAAGAGACATTCAGAATATGTCAGGAAGTGGTCGATGAAGTTATCGAAGTCGGCACAGATGAGATTTGTGCTGCCATCAAAGACGTCTTCGAGGATACCCGATCTGTATTGGAGCCGGCTGGGGCGTTGTCCCTGGCAGGACTGAAGAAATGGGTTTCGCAGAATCCGTCAGACGATGTGGGCAGAGAGCTCGTGGCAGTGTGCAGCGGTGCCAACATGAACTTCGACCGGCTGCGCTTTGTCGCCGAGCGTGCTACATTCGGTGAGCAAAAGGAGGCTTTACTGTCTGTCACAATTCCAGAACGTCCGGGTTCTTTTGCGCAACTAGTCGAAGCAGTCTTGCCTCAAGCGGTCACCGAGTTCGGCTACCGGCTCGCAACCAGCGACAAGGCACACGTTTTAATGGGTATAACAGTATCATCAGCGGGAGCACGAGCGAAAGAGCTCGAGTCGCTCTTCTCAAGATTGTCAGCTGAAGGCATGGAAGCCACAGACATTTCCGGCGACGAGCTTGCCAAAACGCATATACGCTATCTCCTTGGTGGAAGATCAGACATCAAAGAGGAGAGGCTATTCATGTTCGAGTTCCCCGAACGCCCCGGTGCGCTTTTCAAATTTCTGCGGACTCTGCGACCTGGCCAGAATATCAGTTTATTCCACTACCGCAATTACGGCGGAGACATGGGTAAGATCTTGGCAGGCATTCAGTGTCCTGAGTCAGAAAGGGATGAGCTGGAGGGCTTCCTCAATGATATCGGGTATCCCTTCACCGAGTGCACCGACAGTGCCACGTACAAGATGTTTCTGCGCAATTAGATGAGAAGACAAAAGCACATTGGATGAGAAAATCTTTCGGATAGTGATACCCATTGTATGGCGCTTAGGAGGGACGAAATACTGGTATTTCCTCTGGACATAGTATAAGCGGTGTACGTGGTATATTTAGGATGAACAGCACAACTTAGTCGAATGGTGATCTACCCCGTCCAAACCAATATGCCTCTGACCTTCTCTCGCAAACCGAGTGCCCAGTCGACAGCCTATCTGACATTCTTCGTGCGGAAATCCTTAAACCCAGCCTCTTCGAGGTCCGTTTGCAAACGACCCGGCAGGCCTATATGATGTAAGACCACCTCTCTGCAGTTCTTGTCCATCTCCTTGGCCGAAGGTGGCGTCCAGGTCCCTCTCAAGATCTGATTGATAGCCTGAGCCAAGAACGACGCGTTCTCCGTATACGCCATAAAGCCGTTGGACATGCTGATGTAAAAGATACCCGGATGCTCCTGGTCATAGAAGCGCAGGTAGAACGGTTTCGGGATATCCGCTGCTGCAAGAGAGTCATATTCGCCGGCTGGCACGCCGCCCGGGAGGAAGGATGAGTCTGTTGACCAGCCGGTGGCCGAAATGATCATCTTGGGGTAGAGCACGGTGCCGTCGGTCAGGGTGACTTTGTCGCCGTCGATCAATTTGATGCGGCAGTCATTATGGATTTTGAATTGGCCTTTCTTGTACGATGGGAGCAAGTGCGTGCGGAGGATGTAGGCGACTTTGCTGGAAACAGGATCTTTGACGGGAGGACGCCATTCCGGAATGCCATGTACAATGGCCCAGATCAAGTTCAGGTAGTAGAGCAGCGCGTCGACGACGTAGATGGGCAGGAGTCGGTATAGAACACGGAAGACATGTAGTTCGGACCATCCGAATTGCCACATCCATGGCCACCACATGTCTGGCGCACCCCTGAATTGACAATTAGCTTGCTACTTGATGCTCCCTGCTCTCGGAAAAGAACGTACCAGTGGGCAATACGAGCCACCACGTGGACGTTGGTGGCTTTCTGCGTGATGCATGCCTCTTGGACCATGTCCATGGCCGACGGACCAGCCCCAAGCACAATTAAATCCGAAGTTGGAAGTTCAGAAGGATCGCGAATCTCGTTGTTGTGCTTGATTGGGAACGTCGCTGTTTCTTGACCGGGCAGCTTGGGGACATATGTGTGGATATTATGGCCCCTAAAGTCATCTATGAGTATATAGTCAGCTTCAGGAGGAGGAGAGAACTTACGTGCACACCAGGACACTTCTCGTGAAGATAGTCGTCGTGACGGCCTCTGCCAACCCTTCCACAAACGGTGCAACTTTGACCTTGTGAAGCATGGGCTTGACCATTTCGACTGAAGTCACGTCGTGCTGCCACAGAACATGCTCCTTCAAGCCAAATTCATTGTGATAAGCTTCACAGAACTCGGCCACTTGGTCTCGTGGTGCTCGTCTTGGGGGTTCTTGTTGAGGGAACTTGACGCCGTGAACTTGGTACTCGCACTTCAGGTCCTGTAGAGTCGAGTAGGCCGGGATGTGGCCGGTCCAGATGCCCCCGGGACCCTCTTGACGGTCGATGGCCAGGACGGACAAGGGAGGATCGTCGCGGAGAAGAACCCGCAGAGCGACCATTCCAGAAGGCCCGGCGCCAACAACGACGGCATCGATTGGGTCCTCTGCCGTCGAGCCAGCGATGCCGGAGCAGACTTGCTCGACGGTGGGCGACTTCCTGTCCCTGAGTCGGAGATTCATCGTTGCAGAAGGCAGGATACGGATATTCAGAAAAAGATGGCATCTCAGGCAGTGTCAGATAGGTCATCATTCTCGCTTTATATCTACTTTCTCGAAGCACCAGCCTTCATCCACCTCCCTTATCGGGCGCGCGGACTCCAGTCAACGATCTCCACGAGTTCCTCTTGACGGGTCATGCGAGAATGCGGGCGAGCGACCCGGTCGAGGGCGACGACGGCAAGGGACGCTGATATCCATGACTGTGTAGGTGGCTCAGCCGTCCCGCCCCCCTTCAACGCTACCAGCCGCTATTCCCAATCCGCTAGTTCAGACCGATCGCAAAGTTTACAATCTATCGACAATCGTTTGTTCCAACCAGACCTCATATCAAGCGAACTCGGACACTATCGCCCATCAGTACCAACTACCGTCGCCCCGATGAAGCGACGAGTTGCTTTCAACAATACCGAGGCCGTAGAACGCTACGCGAGTGGGATGCGCTTGCAAGACGCTAGCCTCTAGCATCCAAGGCGACCGTCGCTCCGGTGGATTCAACAAGTCGCTGTTGATAGTGCCGAGGAGGACGAGGAGCGTTATGTGATTGAACAGGCCTGCGGTACTCTAGGAGGCCGCGGGTTGTTGTACTGGGACCCCTGGCCACACCTTCTGTTCGACACTATGTCTCCTGTTACGATGGCTTATCTTTCAGTTGCTTAGAGCCTTGGGTGTTGTTGCGCATTACTGAAGATAAAGGATGTCTACAAAGACCCGGCACAATGCCTCTCAGGAGCTTTCAAGTCTCTGTCGTCCATCCCCGAGAGAATGTCTCCCACGGAAGTTCCCACCAACGCTCTCATCGACCAGACTGACGATGCTGCTGTTCTCGCGGCATTGGGTCATGAAGAAGAGCTCAACCGTCAATTCTCTTTTTTCTCCCTAGCAGCCTATGCTATCATTACTGCCAACGCCTGGGTAAGCATGACTGCGGATGACTTAGCCCGTGGTTCGCTGACCCATCAAAGACATCCATCGCGGGATCACTCATCACTGCTATCTACAATGGAGGAGCACCAGGACTGCTTTACGGCTGGTATTGTGACCAAGTCCCTGCTCGACACCTTGCTAATCAGCGTAGGATCGTGGACAATTTCTTCTACTTCTTCATCGCCTTGTCTTTGGCGGAATTGGTCTCGTCCATGCCCACCTCGGCGGGCGTCTACCACTGGTCTGCAGCTTTGGCTGGCCCTGAATACTCCAAGATCATTGGCTTCATGACTGGATATATGAATGTCCTCGGCTGGACATTGGGACTCGCCTCGTTGTTCGCCGTGACAGGTCTCGAGGTTACTGGTCTGTACTCGTTATGGCATCCGGGGTATGAGAGCAAGACCTGGCATGTGTTCGTGGTGTTTGTCGTTCTGAACTGGATGTTTGCCGCTTTCATCCAGTTTGGGAACAAGTGGCTGCCACTATACAACAAGATCGGACGTAAGGGCTACCCTCATATACCCTAGACTGGGCTAACATTGGCAGTCTTTTTCAACATCGCGGCTTGGCTAGTCGTCCTCATCTGCCTTGCGTCGATCCCACCGACTCATTCCACCAATGCCTTCGTATGGACCGACTACAGCAACCTGACTGGATGGCCCAATGGGATGAGCTTTATCCTTGGCCTTGTGGCTCCAGCCTTTGCTATTGGTACTATTGACAGTACCACGCACATGGCGGAAGAAATCCCACATCCCTCGCGCAATGTGCCTCGTGCTATGTTTATTCAGTGGCTCGGTACCTTTCTTCTGTAAGTAGTGACCTATTTCTGTTGTCTTTCTGACAAGAAAACAGTGGCTTCCTCTTCCTGATTGCACTATTCTACGTCGCCGGCTCGCTCGACACGATTTTGGCTGCGAATCCCACCTTCCCAGTCGCCAGTATCATGAATTCGGCATTCGATAACAAAAACGCTGCGTTCGCCTGTGGTCTCATCATTTTCCTGGCCTCGCTCCCCTGCTCGATCGGTGCTCAGATCACAACCGTTCGCTGCACATGGTCATTTGCTCGTGACGGTGCCCTGCCTTTCTCGAGCTACTTTGCAAAAGTCGATGAGAAGAACGTCATGCCGGCGAGAGCCAATATTCTGATCGGTAGGTCATCGGGTTCGAGTCGGAGAGACGTCTGCTGACCAAAGGCTACAGCCTCAATCTCTACGGCCTTGGGAGCCATCTACGTCGGCTCAACCATTGCATTCAACGCCTTGGTTGCTTCGTACGCGGTCATGTCCACTACGTCTTACGGCATTGCTATTGGTGTGCACCTGTTCACCGGCCGCAAGCGGATTATTCCAGGCTGGTTCCATATGGGCAACGGCCCATTGGGCTTCTTCGTCAATTCCGTTGCCATGATCTACATCGTGGTGACTAACGTCTTCTTCTGTCTGCCCTACTTCGTGCCGCCAGTCACTGCTGCGACGATGAACTACACTTCGCTTGTGTCTTATGGTCTTGCGTTGCTGGTTGTGGTCTGGTGGTTTGTTGGCGGCAAGAGGAGCTACAAGGGACCCAAACTGTCGTCGCAGACCTTGGAGGCATTGGAAGGTGTTCCGGTGGGCAACACGCTTGCGGCAGAGCCGAAGGACGGTGCCAGTACGGTGTACAGGGGGAGCAAGACGGCTGCAGAATTTTCCAAGGAGACCTAGACGAGTCCGAGAACGGTTGGGTGTGGTGGGGGATGTATGGGTTTAGACTAAACGGGTGTCTCGAGGCTGTATGCGTTTGGATTTGTTTGTACGGATTTCCTGGCTCACCTAGATCCAAGACTGGCGAACTTCACTAGCAGGTCATTTGTAGATGAGTAGGTGATTTCGAATTGCCAGAAAAGACCAAATGCCGCTCTTTGCAGGCACGTCCATTGCCAAGTCATCCCGGCCCTTGACATCGATCCGCCATCAGTCAAGGATCAGGTGGTCAACACGTACCCTTTTGTCCGCGCCGATGTCTTTCCAAGTCAATTTGGGATGGCGGAAAGTATTGTGCACTGGTGCAACAGACAGGCATGCTCTCTTCATCTTCACCGCCGAAGTGGATTAATTATTCCCGAAGATAAGGGATTGCTGCCGAACCTCACTACGCACTGATGAATGGCACTAGCCTCGAACCCGCGCAAAAGGGTAGTTCAGTGCGATGTCGGGACCTTTGTGTGATTGGTAACACAATGGTTGCATAAATCTGAGATCGGCCATTTGTTAGCAAGTTCCACGTCAATCGTTCCGATCCACGTGCAGTTCTCGGTAGTTCAGTCTGGTCGGTGTTGGGTGATTTCCTGATACGATATACTACCAGGCTCCCAACCACCAGATTACAAGATGAACAGAACTTGCCCGTAGCGTGTTCACTCTCATCATGAAGAAAGTGCAAATTGGCTATGGAGTCGACGTCGATGCTGTGTCCGGCTGGATCGGGTCATACGGCGGCGAGGACTCGATTTGCGATATATCTCGAGGACTGCAGGCGGGAGAAGTCAACGTACATCGACTGCTCAAGATGTTCAAGAAGTATAACATGACACAAACATTCTATATCCCGGGCCACTCACTGGAGACCTTCCCGAAAGAATGCGTCGCAATTCGAGATGTAAGTGGTGCTGGAATTGTCCAGAGACAATACGAAGCATGCTGACTCCTGAAAAGGCTGGACATGAGATGTGAGCCTGTGAAGAGAGATGATATGCTCATTCGAGGTCTGACGAACAGGGAACAGTGGACTGCATGGATACTCGCACGAAGAGCCGAACAAGCTCTCTGCACAGCAGCAGGAAGACATTTTCAACCACACGTATGAGTTGCTCACCAAGTTCATCGGCGAACCTCCCAAAGGCATCGTGACACCAATGTGTCAGATCTCAGCGGCCTCGGCACAACTTCTCGTGGATAAAGGTATCGAGTATGATCACAGTGCGATGCATAGAGATTGTGTTCCATACTACCTTCGAGTGGGTGATCAGTAAGCTGCTTCCCCAATACCTACACCTGGAGCAATGGCTGATCGCATGGAAAGATGGGAGAAGGTTGACCCAAGCAAACCGGCTTCGTCCTGGATGAAGCCTCTTGTCCGTGGCAAACTTACTGATCTGGTTGAGATTCCCATGAACTGGTTCCAAGACGGTCAGATGTGGCTCCGTCACTGTTATACCGAGTGCTGATGGACAATTCAGATTTCATCCCTCTGACATTCGTGCAAAACATGCCCAACTGCGGCGGATGGCAGGACCCCGATACAATCATCAAGATCTGGAAAGAGAGGTTTGAGTACTTCTACCGAGAGTACGACTATTTCATCTTTCCCATGTGGTACGTCTTACCTTTCCATGGTATCCTCACCTCATTTCTCGCACGACGCTGACATTCGACTTCCGGATAGCATTCATCCTGATGCCAGTGGTCATCCGCATGTGATACTGGCACATGAAAGATTTATCGAATGGGTGAACACGCACGAAGGAGTCGAGTGGGTTCCGATATATAAGATGGCCAGGACCTTTCGAGAAATGTATCCAACGAAGGAGGAATGGCTGAAGGCAGAAGAAGCGAATGGAACCACGGTTTGATGACATAGAGACATATACCATGGCTGAGGACTGTATGATTTTGGGAGCTTGATATGTCTGTATGACGCTGTCTCGATAACAGAAGCCGGTTTGCAGGATGTCGTTCAAAGCATTATCAACGTGATGGTGCTGAATGCTCAAACCTACCAGTCGTGAGAGTTGTAAAATGGGATGGAGTTTAAAGGGACGACTTTAACCCTAACTTAGACTCTTAAGTGTCAGCAGAACAGTCCCAAGCCCAAAAGACCTTAGCTTAGGGTTAGTGCCCAGGTAGTGATATACATGTATAGCCCGACTGGCTGGCTCACCAGGTAATAATATGGTAGATGTCCGCCTATCATAGTGCCTAACACGGCCGCTCGGAATGCTACGCCCTTATCTCCTGTTACACTGTACGGAGATACTTTCCTATCTCTCGTACAGATAAGCTTGAGACGACCGACAACGGCCAACATCTTTCCCACGAAGTTTCAGGTAGGTCTTGCCTTCGTGCATACATCCAATATTACCGTATCCTCTCAATCGGCTTTTCCAGTTGTGTACCGAGAAAGAAAAATTCCCATGATCATACCATTTCAACAGTTCAGTGCCCGCATCTTCTGTGATGGGCGATTCCCCAACCTTCACCAAGACACGGACAGGCTGTGCTGAATGCAAAAGGAAGAAAATCAAGTGTGACGAAAAGAAACCCACTTGCACCCGGTGCAGGCGATGTCCCGATCGATGTAAGTATGAGCTTAAACTCTCCTGGACAGGAGGTAGGCGATTCAAGAAACCGCGGAAGTCGAGGGTGTTGCCGGGTGACTTTGATGAGGGCTCTGCTCGTGCCACGCTTTTCAATGCTTTTCTGTTCGACCGGACAGAACAAGACGACAATGGGGCGGAGGACGTGGTGGTGGTGAGACCAGAGGATTTCGGGCAGCATCATGGTTCGTCGAGCGTGTTAGTAGGAGAGGTCTCATCCGGTTTGCCATCGTCAGCAACCAGCTGTGACGTGTGGAAGGCTTCGCGGTCGCAACCGACACTCGTGATGACGGAACCAGAGGACGACAACGTTGATGGTGCCGTTGGAGTCGGCGGAGATGATATTGGGATAGACGACACCACTGCCGCCGCCCTTGTTGACGATGTTGGATTGATGTCGCTGGCCGAATCATTCGAGTTTGTCCATCAGCTACTGAACGCTAGCGACAGCGACTATGTCGGCATTGACGACGAGATTTTGCTTCAGGCTCAGTCAGAAGCCAATAGTCCTTCGCGCCTTCTCGATCACGTCCCTGCCCCTCTCAACCATCCTCTCGTTTTCATGCCGTCCCATCTGCTTTCCTCATCCGAATCACGCTTCTTCCTCCACCACTACCACGCGCACACATCGTCTGTAATTTTCCCTCTATCACCTCAATGCAACCCTCTCCGAGAGACACTCCTTCAGGCCGCTGTCACCACACCGCACCTACTGTCCGCTCTGCTCGCATCTGCCTGCAGCCACTACACTCGTCTACGAGGCGACTCGGCCCCAGACATGGCCAAAACTATCTTCAAGTTCACAAACCCTGCACTTGCAGGTCTACGTGCCGCTGTCAACGATCACAACTCTGCGCACAAGATGGAGACCATCTCCACCGCTCTGGCGTTGTGCACCAGCGACGTCATCTCGGGGGACCTCAGTATGTGGCGCACACATCTGCAAGGCGTGAAGAACTTGTTGTTTTCAGCCATCAGACGCGACAAGAACGGCAACGGCTCCAGCTCCAGCACCCAAGATTCCCACTCGCTCACAAGCATCCTCACCATCACGGACCCTACGCAGCTCTTTCTAATGAAATGGTTCGCAACGCTCGACATCTTCGCCGGCGTCTCAGGCTTACGCAAAAGCACGATCCCGGACGGCCATTACTGGTCTAGCACCACGCCCGACCACAGCCGAGGTTATGTTGACGAGTTCACGGGATATTCAATAGAACTCATGCCCCTGCTGGCGAAGATCGGACGGATGGCACGCATCCAGCAGAAACAGGCCAAAATCGCGCTTGCGGCGGCCACCGCGTCAAGAGCGATGGACCCGACAGACTCTGAAGACGAAGAGGCTGCAGATGAAATGCATGTCCGTAGCCAGCTTCGTCCCGAAACGCTGGAGGAGATCCACTCCATTGAAAGCCAGCTACATGCGCTCTTCGAACGTTCGGCTCCCCCTTCACTCATCACGCAACATCACCAACGGTCACCCTCCTTTTCTGCTTCTTGCGAAGGCACTAGCACCCAACCACGGATGACAAGAATAGACATAGCCGAAGAGATGCGCTTGACGCACCGTATCTTCGTCTACGCTGCTCTCCTCCACCTTTACCGCCGCGTGCAAAACCTGCCCAAATCCCACATCAAGCCCGCCCACGCCGTCTACATGATCCTTGAAACCTTGGACAAGCTTCACGCACAGTCGACAGCGAGTATTTTGATCTTGTGGCCGGTCTTTAGTGCAGGATGTGAGACTGATGATGCTGAGCAACGACAAAAGATTGAGGATAGGATGAGGATGATGGGAAGATTTGGAATGGGGAATGTGGACAGGGCGAGGAGGGCGATGAAAGCTTATTGGGAAGCCGGCGCTGAGGGAAGGTGGGATTTGTTTATGGAAAATCGGGGGTGGGATATTGTGCTTTTCTAAGCCACCCGGTCGTTTTCTTCTTTGTCCAAAGTTCCGATTCAAAAGATATACATATCACCCTGGCTCACAGTATCTTGTGCCGTGGCAGTTCCAGCTCACCTGCAAGGCAGTTACTTAATCTGCTTGCCACCCATGCATGGCCCATGTACTCGTACGGTTCCTTCATGCTCATTAACAGGGGACTATCACAGCTCATCTCTCCCACTGCTCCCAGAAGAACCCCCCAATGGCCCCTTCTCCACCATGGCGGAAATGACATCCACAATGATATCCGCCGCGGCAATCGAAGTAATCTCAGCATTGGTATCATAATCCGGCGCCACCTCGACCACATCGGCTCCCACCACATTCAGGTCCTTGATCCCCTCCAGAATCCGCTTGAACTCCCTCGTCGTCCACCCGCCGGCCTCTGGCGCCCCCGTAGCTGGCGCTGCACTGGGATCCAAAACATCAATGTCCACGGAAATATAAGCCATCGACTCCCCGACCGCCGCGCGGATCTTGTCGATAATGCCCTGCACGCCGATGTCGTCGATGTCGCGGGCGTGGATCAGCGAGAAGCCCACCTCGGCGTCGTTGGCGTAGTCGGCCGGCGAGAAGAGTTTGGTGCGCAGGCCGCCGTGCACAGAGCTGTTGGCGATGCAACCTTCTTGCGCGGCGTGCCAGAAGAATGTGCCGTGGGTGAATTGCGATTGTTCCGACACGACGCCGCTGTAGCCCTTTGTCGGGTTGAGCGAGTCGAGGTGCGAGTCAAAGTGGATGACGGAGATGGGGCCGTAGACGGATTTGAGAGACCGCAAGATCGGGAGCATGATCGAGTGGTCGCCACCCATGGAGATGAGGCGTGGGTGTGTGACTTTGTCGAGGGACGGTGGGCTGGAGGAGGTTTGGGTGACGGGCTTGTGGAGGAGCATGCGGTAGCCTTGTTCCATTTGTTTGTATGCGTCTGGTTCAAATAAGTCAATAGTGTCTGTGGGAAAGTTGTCTCTTTGCCCTGGAGGCAAAAAAGTATTGAAGACTTACGCGCATTATCATATGGTGTGACAGGCACGTCACCACAATCGATTATCCTTGCCCAGTTCTGATGCCAGTCGAGCCCGTAGTTGACGTTGTATGTCCGGCCGGGCTTTTCTTTCGTACTTCCAGACCTGATGCCTCGTGGTCCGTATCTTGCGCCGGGCTTGACGCTGACAGTGGTATCGAAAGGGAAGCCAAGGACGGCGATGTCAAAGGCACTGTCGTGTTTGAGGTTGAAGCATCGTTCCCAAGGTAGATGTGCGAAGGTGACAATGTTGGAGAAGGGGAGATCATAGTCGAGGTCTTCAATAGGATATTCGAAATTCGGCCCAACATTGATCTTGCCCCAAACACTGCCCACCTGTACTGACCCCAGCAACGACATGATCCAAACAGATTTTAATAGCGCCATATCGAATGAGATTTGAAGTAGAGCTGTGTGATTCTCTGTGGGAGCAAAGTGGAAGAAGGGAATATGACCTACCTTTGTCTTATGCAGATACCTACCACTTGATAGGAGACACTCTTGAGTCGGGCAGCCTACGAAAACAAGGACTCATAAGGTTGCGGCAAAGCCCAGTCACCAGGTATGGTGCTGATGGTGTCGGCATTAGTGCCCCCGGTGGCTTCACCGTTCCTATCTCAAGACGTATGTATCTGACGCTGAATCGAACAATTGATCGGTTGGGATATGCGTGATAACGGATTGACACTAATGGTCGACCGACAGCAGTAAATAAACCGACCCTTCCCTCGCTCGCACACGAGATATGCCATGCATCGGACCGATCGCGTCGCAAGAGATACCATCGCAACGAATTATCTGCAGGTCAAAGTGAAGACCGTCCATCTCGCATCGAATCTCGCTCGGCGACGGACAGGGTTTCGGATCGCTCCTTTGACCTGTTTAGGACTGAGTCGAGGTCGGCGTCGAGTGGGTCATTCTCCAGGGGACTTCCTCGGATTCCATCGTCCAGGGCTCTGATTGTGCTTCTTATCCAGAGTCGGGGTTATAGTTGATGCGGTCACCTGAGGAGTAGGTGGAAGGTGGGAGTAGTTGGAGGTGTAGATAGATTGTCTGGATAGATAACAGAGGTTGATAGTGACCGGCGGTGGACGTATCACGTGACCATCAATTCACCCTTGTCCTTCTCTGTCTTTCTTTCTCATGAATATCAATTGTGTTCATCTACAAGTTGTGCTTGTCGCAACCTCGCACCCTCGGACTACGGCAAACGTCTTGCGAAGTACGGCCATGGCGCGGCATCGTCGACATGGATACCGAGTCAAGTCAGGTCGAAGAAGTTGACGATGATGACCCTGCATCGCCCACGACTACTGATTTTCGTTCTTCACCACAACGACAGCTAGTGGACGAACTGCGCAACGGGCTTCAGTCTCCTACATTGTCAATCATAGAAAGGACCATACCATCAGTGATCGATCAACCTTTCGCGCAAGGCGAAAATGCCGAGACTTACTTCTCCCGGCAGAACCGATATTTTGGGCCAGCATCTACCTGGAAATCCTGGACCGAGGAAGAGAGAACCTTAGCACAGAGCCTAGATCGGGTACGCAGCCAGGACTTGGGTATCCATTTGATCAACACGTCTGCTTTGAAGAAGAAGAGCAGAATATCGCGTGCAGAAGGGAGATGGAAGAAAGTTAGGAAAGGCAAGCAACGAGCTGCGTCGGTCCTCTCGACGACGGGAGATGATCCGGAAGAAGAGGCATCTAGCGGCGCAGGTGTATTTTCAATACCGAAGTATTGGACAGCGTGGCCCATGCCTGCTGACGAGGTGCCCAGGGAGGAGTTGCTTCCACGAACAGGTACAAGGCAGGGAATACGATTGGATGGTATTTCGCGGCCGAGTGCAAGCTTGGAAGATTGGATTGTTGCAACTGCTACCAAAATAGCCCGAGACACTTGGAATGCACGACGATGGGAGCATAGGTCTCCAGTGCCATTCGAGAGGGACATGAAGATAGATCATGGACCATCCAAGGTCGAGGTTGATGACGCTGGAGATGACAGCTTCGAAGAGACCGACTGGGAGGAAACATCAGATTCCGAATCTGAAGACCCGGACTTCCCGGTCTTCTCATCTCGACCATTCCCACCGTCAGAGTCTGCCGGGACGCAAGAGGACGCACAGTTCAAAGCAGAAAGAGAAGATGGAACCGCCACTCCAGAGCGCAGACCAGTCCCGCTGGCGGACGACGAACAAGCTAAGCGGCTCTTCCTTCCTAGTGCTCGGCACATCTTGTCCAAAGTTGACGATCTATTGCTTGGTCTACATCACGCGAGGTATGCTTACGCATCCAAACCAACGGGCAAAAGAAGAGGCCGATATTCGCATACGCCTGAAGAGCATTCGGCAGATCAAGATCGAGAAAAAAGCAGTTCTCTTCCCGCGAGCGATTCGAGGAAACGTGCATCGTCGGCAGACACCGCAATTCCGAATGTTTCATCAGTCCTGGCAAGATCTTCAAAAGGACCACGCCGATCTCAGAACCTAGCGTTGCGAGGCTGGAGCGATGTTGTTGGTATGGCGTCCCTCACAGGATGGGACCCGGCAGTAGTGGCGCGAGCCAGTGAGCGCTGTGCAGAGCTATTTGGCGAGAACATGCTCTTTCGCACCCTCCATGAAGGTGCGCCTACGGAAGGCAACGAATCGTACTTTACGGAACATCTTGCCTTCGAGACCGAGGGATCCGAGGAACCAGTCGAACAAGAGCAAGAGAAGTTGCGGAGATGTCCTCACGAGTCATGTCCGAGACACACCCTCCCTTTCCGCAAACAATGGCGCCTCCAGAGACATTTGGCGGAAGTACATCGGCCTGGTAGGACAGCCGCGCCACCCCGCAAACCTAGACTGGTGCAGTCGAGAAGTACCAGTCTCGAAGTTAGTGACGTCGAGATAGACATGCTCGCACCACCGGATGCAATAGTCTGTCCTATGAAGAGTTGTCATCGTGGCCAGAAGCCTTTCTCCACGGGGAGAGCGCTATACGATCATGTCCGGAGAATGCATCCACATGTGGATGTGCAGAAGGTGAAGCGTCTGGAGGCCGCTAGACGTGGGGAGCGTAGAGGGAGACCGACAAAGGAGAGACGCTTGAGGAGCGTAGACCAGCAACGGTGGAGTCGCAGGATTGATTTATCGACCACTTCTTCGGATGCATGATGGCCATGATGGTGTATGAGTATCTGGGGCTAGAAGATCAGATGTCGCTACCAGATGAAATCGTGAAACGATCGACATAGAGCTAATGCTTGGGACGAGGCTCGGGATAAGTTTTGTATAGTGATTGGTGGAGACCTGCTTAGTAATTGACGCAAGGCTTCACTTAGAGATACCACCATTGAAGTCCACCTTCGACAACTTCCACTGTACAACAATCCTCAGGCTCCCTTCTTTTTCGTGTTGGATATCGTGGCTGCCGCTTTTCAGCCAAGCTAATGTCCACGAGAATCAAAGTCCCACTGCAGCAAAGTCGCGATATTAGATTCGAGTTGCTCTTTCCACGTCGTGGTGGCGAAACTGCAGCGCCCCGACTGTGACTTCACGAGAAGTTGAGGTGCAACAGGTTGGGATCTCGGACCCAGACCTCCTGACTGTTCCAATGGCGATATCAACGACAAGTCCATCGGTTTCGACGACTCACGATTCCAGCAATGGTAATGGCAAGGCCGGACTCAAGCCGATGCGGAAGGGCACCAAGTCCTGCCTAGAATGTATGTACTCGGCCATGTTCCAGTGTCTTTTACCTTTTCACTGCTCTCCCCTTCAATATTCTGCGTCTCCTTTATTGGATTATGACAAATTTGCTCGATGGGTTGTCGTCAGCGTTTGCACGCATTGACGACGGTCCGCCCGGCCCGGCCGTTCTTCCTGCCTCAGGCTTTCCATTTCAGAAATGCATTCATCAATTATTCCCATGTCGCGCGACCGTCCCAGCCCTCTCTAACGAAATCAATCATACAGGTCGACGACGCAAAATAAGATGCATTTATCCTGACGAGGCAACCGGGAACGCTACTTCGGCCCTCATCTTGAAGGTGGATGCCAGTCATGCCACAGAAGACAGGACGACTTGCATAGAATGTCAGACCCATGACCGCCGTTGCGAAACCCAAGGACTCGTAGCTCCTGCTGCAGAATCGTCCTGTTCCCTCTCATCTCCTGCAACGAAAGCGCCAAGTGCAGACCGTTTACCTGGACGAATCTACAAACGTAGGAGGGATGCCGCGGAGGAGGACGAAGCAAGTTGCCCGTCACCACATTCGGGTGGGGATCAGGACCTGCCGCGCGTGAAAATCCTGGTGAATAGGATAGATTCTGTTGTCCAAAGACTTACCAGGGAGCGGGAAAACGCTCCAAGTCCTGGTCCGAAAGCAGCACGCACTCGAAAAGCCAACACGACCGATAGTCCAAGTTGCTCCACTGGAACGAGTAACCGACCCGTGTTAGTCCACCACGATAGCTATTCACAGCGTCTAAACGCAGAAACAAATGGGGCGGGAGACAAATTCTCTCCAGCACTGGCATCAGACTACGATGTGAACAGAGCAAGTCCATTGCTCACCCAGTTGTTTAACAACGAAATGGTCCGTAGAAATCCTCACGCCCTTGCCACAAAAAAACCCCCCCAGGTATTTGGGAATCTTTCTGCTGACACGTACCCCTTCAGGTCACACAAACGTCGCTATCGCCCGCCGTCCTGACACAGAAAGTCCAGACTTTGACGTTCTCCAATCTCAATGCCGATTCTGAATCGATGTCGGACGTCGAGAAATTACGCTCGACAATCTCACCCGAGCCGTATCTACTAGAGGTCCTCAGCACCTCGACAACATGGTGGATTGCATGGCGCGACCAGTCGTTCGCGTTGCACGAAGTCTTCTTCAATGGTAGTAGCCCAAGAAGCGCAACGGCTTCAACATTCAGCGATATCACAGATGCCAGTGATGATACCGAGAATACCGGTGCTCCTTGGCCTCATCAAGAGATAGCGCCTACCTCTCTCCATGATTTTGTCTCTGGCAAATTGTCCGAGGACAATGCGATCTCGGTTGCCACGGGTTTGCTGTGTATCGCAATGTCGTTGCAAAATCTGAAGCCTGGCGTTGACGACATTGACCTGAACATTTCGGCTTCACCGGCCGATATTGCTGAACGCATTCTGCTTGCAGTCGACATAGTGCTCCTGTCGCCGTCGTCCGACCCTACTTATATGCGGGATCCTGCTTTACTGCTACTTTATATGATGCGGGCGAAGATGTATGCTGAGTCGAACCAACTCCGTAAATCCTGGCTGTCAATCCGCAAAGCAATTGAGGTAGCAAGGGAGTGCGGGTTCACTGATTCGCACCCATCGTCGGCTCAAGAAAGTGGTGGGATACCAACCATGAGTGAGGTCGAAGTTACCAGGCTGCTTCACCGCCAGCGATGGATTGGCTCGATACTCGAACTGGATCGTCTGATGAGTATGGTCCTCGGCTTCCCTCACGCGCAGGACGATCAGTTCTCGGATCGATTAGCACTTGCAGTACTCAAGGGCGAGGTACCAACGTCTGCTTCCGACCGCGATGAACTGCCTGTCGACCTCAAAATGCGTGCTTTACGTCGTGTCGTCGCAGTCATTGCAGGTCGCGTAAATGACCGTAACGCCAGCTCCGAGTCAGATGATGCCAAACAATCCATGACCATGAGCATTCAATCAAGCTTAGACGAGGCCGGGGCTGCGATGCCGATTGAATGGTGGGACATTGCCACGCACATGGAACGGCCTGATCGATATGTGACATACCAGCATCTCATCGCACAAATGTGGTTCTGGCAAGTGCAGTCTTTCCTGCATCTGCCGTACATGATGAAGCCCGGTCCTCACTCTCAAGAAGAACATTATGATGGTGCCGAGGACGCAGCACTATTGTGTCAGAACGATCAGTACCTGCAAAACCGGACCCTATGCCTACAGGGCTGTAGGAGCATGCTTCGACTATTTCACTTATTGCGCTCCGATCCTTCACTGGCAGTCTATATCTGCCCCTGCGAAGACTTCCAAGGGATCTTCAATGCTTGTATCCTTATGGTCGGGTTGCTTACTCGCTTAGCATACTGTCCGGCCATGGAGCCTCCTTCGCAAGCGACAAAAGCCTTGCTTCGTGAAGATCTCGACCTAATCGAAGACATCAAGGACATTCTCCGCTATCGCGCAGCCCAACACGCTGGCGCAATGAGCAGGCAGGGTCTTAAGGTTTTGGAAGAGTTGGGTCATTTCCTCGACATCGATGGTGGCGACAATGCGCCTAGGAGACGTACAGTGGTACTGCCGTACTTTGGCGCAATTCATCTGGAGATGAAACCGGGGCGATACCTACGCGAGAGGACACAGGAGCTTGGTTTCGACGAGGCAGAACCAGGAGCGCCACCAATCGACTCGGTTCCGACAGTGCCCGTCACTGGTGCAGTCGGCTTGGGTTTTTGGGACTCTACGCAGAACATGTCAATCACTGAATGGGAAGGGTGCACCGACCCGTCTTTCCAGTGTTCGCTACCCGACGCAAATCTAGATTGGGATCAGTTCCTATTCGGTGATGAGTTAAGCCTGAACTGGAACTTGGACGTCGCAGAGTGGCCTTGGCAGAATGACACTTTTGATCCAAGATGATTGAGACGGAAAGATCTTGTTCTTGTCAGAAAAGCGCGCATCTAAGTCGCCGCGTGTCTAAGTCATGAAAAAGTACAAATGAATCACCCGAGAAGCAACAAAAGGCCGCCACAGTCGATGGTGCACCGCTTTCATGCGAGCATGTCCAGCATGCGGACGCACGTCCCCATGCTCTCGATGCAAAAGGAAGCTGCCGAATCGTACTCGCCCACTTAAGCCGTCTGCCTTTTGAATCCACTTGACTGCCTCAACCATTTTTCGAAGTCCTGCATCTCGGGAAACTTGTCCCTGAACTCCTTCGGATTTGCGCCAAAGCCGGCAGACTTGAACCAATCAAACATGACACCAAGCTGTTCACGAAGCAGGAACTTGATGAGCCTGCCCAGAACGGGATATGTTGTAGGCATGTCAGTTCCAACGACTTTCGAAAAGGCATCGTTGGCTTCCTGTGCCGTGAGCTCATCGGTAGCAAAGGAGATGGCGCGACCTGAATATGAGCCTGGGTTTTCGAATATATCCGCAGCAAGGATGCCGATGTCAGCGGCAGATACCAGTTGTAACTTGCTATCTAGACCGTTCAGCTGCCACATCGTTGCGAAGGCTCGTCCGAGGAAATCCGGCGTCAAATTCTCCATGAATGCTACCGGCCGGATAATAGTCCACTGCATCTTTCCGTCGGCATGTTTCGATACGTCCCGGAGATGGTTTTCGATGTTGAACTTCGAAGCAAAGTGCTTGACAGCGGTTTTGTCCACGTCCGATCGCTCCGGACCACCTCGATCTGCAGAGGTATATACGAAATGACGAACGCCATTGGTGACTGCTGCGTCGACAAGGGCTTTGCCCTGCTGTTCCTCCACCTTTGGCCTCAGGGGCACTTGGACGCTGAAGACCCCATGGAATGGTACTGGTGAGGACTTGAAGATGGCTTCGCAATCGTTCAGGTCGCCTTGTAAGACGCTGACGTTAGGTTCGCGTGCGAGGGCTTGAGCTTTCGGGCTGCTTGGATTTCGTGTCAGTGCCACTAGATGAAAGGGCTGTTTTGGTGGAGAGCTGAGTAGGGCGGACAGGAGGGCTCCGCCTTGCTTCCCTGTTGCACCAGTGATGAGGATGCGCTTGAGGTTAGACATAGCTAGAAGGTAGATAAATGGTGGTCTGGCTTGGATGATTGATTTGACTGTCATTCGATACCGACAGAAGAGGGATGAATATATCTTTATACTGTACATTGGTCGGCCACGGCGCCTATCTTACTCATTATGTTTTGGTCCGATCTGGGGTGCTTTCGCCCGAAACATGTGCGGCTCTGCGCTTGTCGCCCGATCTAGACGTCATGACTATATTGATGGATGAGGACAAAAGTTGCTCATTGGAAGATCTCAACGTGTTCCTACGAGAGAAAAGAAGCGGCCGGCTGAGAACGAGGGGAACGGACGAATTTGTAGAGATGATTGTGAAAGACGTTGGAAGGAGGTCGGAGGTTTCTAACGCCGACATGCCGTGGGTCGCTCCAAACATTTTTCCTCCGCAGGCGCAAAGCGGATTGTACTTTTTGCACGCGCATGCGCATTGAAACATGATCACACAGTCTCATGTCCACCAAAATCCCAGTCCGTGCCGTCCCTCGGTCGTTGTACGTCTGTCGTAGCTGTCTTCAACGTTTGCGCAGCTATGATGCAGTCCCGGCAGCCTTCGCTACCAGTCAGAAACGAACGATCAGCAGGAACCATGTGCGCAAGATCCAGGACGCGGAGGAAGAATGGCGCCGGAGGGCTAAAGAGATCGAGGCTGGCAGGATGAGGTCCTTGCTGAGTGTCCTGGAAGAGAGAGGTTTCATCAACCAAGTCGTCGGGTAGGGATTTTGTATACTCGGTGCTTCGTCTGGCAATGCTCTAATTCTGGGACAGGTCGAGGGAAGACCTGGAAAAATTACTAATACATCGTCGAATTGGTGTCTACGCCGGGATTGACCCTACAGCAGCCTCTATGCACGTTGGACATATGGTTCCCTTCATGGTGCTCGGCTGGTTCTACATTCACGGCTATGATACACACTTTGTTGTAAGAATCTTCTTCCAAGGTTGCTGCCCACAAGCCTCGCTAATCGGATACTAGCTAGGCGGATTCACAGCTTCAATTGGTGACCCTATTGGACGGACGAGTGGGCGAGAAGTCATGACTCCGGCCACGCGAAGAGCGAACATTGCGTCCATGCATGCCCAACTCAAACGGCTTGGAGCCTCGATCGAAAGCTACGCGGAACGGAGAGGGTACCAGAAAGAGTGGGCGTGGCGGAGAGCTTTAGACAATAATGCGACATGGTGGGCAAATACATCTGCACGGGACTTCATGTCGATGTTGGGACGGCATGTACGCATTGGTCCCATGTTAGGTCGAGACACAGTCAAGACTCGAATGGAGAAAGGCGACGGCATGTCCTTCGCCGAGTTCAGCTACCCACTCGTCCAAGCCTGGGACTGGTGGCATCTATACCAAAAAGGAGTGCAACTACAAATCGGTGGAGCGGACCAGTTTGGGAACATCCTTGCCGGCGCGGAAGCCGTCAAGATGATCGCAAAGGACTCGCAAGACTACCAGGCGGCGGCTAGGCAAGTGAAGGCCATCGATGGGAAATATGATGTCGAGGTGACTTCCGATCCGCTCGGCTTCACTGTGCCTCTTTTGACCACGGCTTCTGGGGAGAAGTTCGGTAAGAGCGCAGGAAACGCTGTCTGGCTCGATCCGCAAATGACCAGCATCTTCGATTTGTATCAGGTAAGGCTATGTCCATCATTGAACGATTGAGCATGAAATATTGACACATCCTGACAGTTTTTCTTACGGTCTGCCGACGCTGACGTGGAGAAATATCTCAAGTTATTCACCTTCTTGCCCTTACCAGAGATTGGCCAGATCATGCAAGAGCACGATAAAGACCAGTCGAAGCGTATTGCACAGCATAAGCTCGCACGTGAGTTCGTCGAGCTGATCTACGGACTCGGTGCTGCGGAGCAAGCCGAAGCTGAGCATCGAAAGCTCTACAGCAAGACGCTCACGATCAGCGACCTCGCTTCGAGTGTGGCAGAAGCGAGAGCTGGCTCATCAGAGACTCCTGAATCGAGGACAGAGGATTTTGTACATCCGTCGTTGAATAAACATGCTCAACCACTGAAGCGAGAGGACAACACTCAGACTCGTGTCAAGTTGCCCAAAGCCTTGGTTATTGGCAAGCCACTGGGACAGATCATGTGGGCGGCTGGTATGCTGTCCTCGAGAGCAGAAGGACATCGCTTGATCTTGGCTGGGGGCGCGTATGTTGGCGCGACTGCAGCAAAGGGCCAGATGGACGATTCTCTGAGCTTTACGCCTATCCAGGGTAACTCTGCGGAAGAAGCGGCCAAGTATATCATTGACGATCATCTGCTGATATTACGAGTGGGCAAGTGGCGAATGAAGATCATCACCATCATTCCTGACGAGGAATACGAGGCATCTGGATTGACGTGTCCTGCTTGGGAACTGCTAAAGGCTGCTGAAGCGGAAGCCTCTGCGACAGGTACACAGTTCAATTCGGAAGCCAAAGGCGACGACGCACAAGCAGTCCAAGCACCCCATGCAGAGCAGGCTAGAGTCGAGGACAGCGCAACTGCTGAGGGAAAGGGTGTATGAAAGGGTGGTGACAGTACTGAGCGCCATCGCTGTGTAAATGTACAAGACCTGTATAAAAAGAGGCTATCTTGCCCGTCAGTGTAGGATACCTAGTTAATGACTATGCCAATCAACTCTCGACGAGAAGAAATAAGTCGTTGTACGCGTGCTTGTACCTAGGTACCTGCTAGTAAATGACAAGGCTGGCGTTGAAGGGGAACTTGTGGGGTCTGTCCCCTGTACTCTACGCGTAACTTGCGTGGAACTCGAATTGACACGCTAGAAAGTCGAGACGCGATTGCATCACATTGAAGGAGGAACTCCCCCATATCTCCATTTCTTTTTTGGTTTCTGTGCAACTCAATCCATCCTTCAACACCACTCATTCACCGGCTAGACATACGCGCTCTTTGGCCTTTGAAGGCCTCCAGTGCCATCGTCATGCCCAAGAAGTCTTCCGCCCCCCCTTCTTCCACTCCGGCGCTGAAAAAGACGCCTTCATCTGGTGGCCAGAAGACGTTACTAGGCTTCTTTTCCAAAACACCTTCCAGCGGTTCTCCCGCTCCGCTACCCGTGTTACCTGCGAAGAAGACCGCGACTGCTCCCGCACCTCTGAAGAATCGGTCAAAGTCAGCTGGAATAGCCTCTGGGTCTTCGTTGACGCCTGTCCCTAGTAGCGATGGTCCTCAACCGGAAGATGAAGAAGAGGACATTAAGGCGAGTTCGCCTCCTGCCAGAGGTCTGCCGTCGCCAGTGTCAGCTGACGAAGGGCAGACTAATGGTCTGGACGATCTGAATGCTCGTGGAACGCCGTCACGAAAGGTACCGTCTCATGACATCTCCGGAGAAGCAGTTTGCTGACATGGAACAGGCGAAGAAAAAGACCATCAGTTACGTCGAGTCCGATAGTGAAGGTACTGATGATGATGTGTTCAAACCCAAGCCTGTCGCCCGTGCTCGACCTACGAAGCGGAGGAGACTCTCAGATAGTGCCGATGAGGATGTCTATCAACAGGAGAATGCGGTAGAGCAAGAAGATGATGGTACGCGGTACTTGAGTAGTGGTCGGACTGCTACTGACCATCACAGACATGGACGACTTCATTGCTCCTGACGACTCAGAAGACGACGTGAAACCCTCTAACAAACGCAAACGGCCCACGAAACCGGCTCCACGAAAAGTCTCGTCCCACTTTACCCCTTCGACCGATGCGGACGCTGGCGACGTGGACATGGGCATGAACATGGATTTGGACCTAGACCTGCCAGATACCTCGACTGCTCAAAAATGGACATACGACCCCGAGAATCCGCAACCACTGCAGCCACGGTCCTCGAACATTCCCTCCAGAGAACCCGGCAGCAAGAAACAACGGGCACACATGACGGAACCAGAACAACGACATGCTTGGCTCGAGGACATCAGAGACATTGATAGGAACAAGCGTGATCATCCTGACTTCGACCCTCGTACATTGTACATACCACCCATGGCATGGACCAAGTTCTCTCCATTCGAGAAGCAGTACTGGGAGATCAAGCAAAAGTTCTGGGATACCATTGTCTTCTTCAAGAAGGGAAAGTTCTACGAATTGTATGAGAACGATGCTACCATCGGACACCAGTTGTTCGATCTCAAGCTGACCGACCGGGTGAATATGCGGATGGTCGGCGTCCCGGAGTCGAGTTTGGGTTTGTGGGCGAACCAGTTCGTTGCCAAAGGATTTAAGATTGCTCGTGTTGACCAACTAGAGTCGAAACTTGCCAAAGATATGCGTGAGCGTGATGAGACGTCGACAAAGGCTGGCAGTAAAAAGCCTAGCAAGGACGACAAAGTCATCAAAAGAGAGCTAGCGTGTGTGCTCACCGCGGGAACCTTGGTTGACGGGACCATGTTACAAGACGACATGTCCACCTACTGCGTTGCGATTAAAGAGTCAGAGATCGAAGATTTGCCGGCATTTGGCCTTGCATTCGTTGACACAGCTACTGGTCAATTTCACATCACACAGTTCGTGGACGACGCCGACATGACCAAGTTCGAGACGTTCATAGCACAGACCAGGCCACAGGAGATCCTGCTCGAGAAGGGCGGTATCACAACGAAGACCCTACGAATACTCAAGAACAACACTGGTCCTACGACCATTTGGAACTACTTGAAGCCAGGGAAAGAGTTCTGGGAAGGGCATATTACTGCCAAGGAGATTGAGGCTTGTGATTACTTTCCAATGGACTGGCCTGAGGTTCTTGAACAGTCCAAAGACAAAGATCTGCTGATGTCCGCCCTTGGTGCTCTGATTCAGTACTTGAGGACACTGAAAATAGAGCGAGATCTCGTCACACTAGGGAACTTTACCTGGTACGATCCTATTCGCAAGGCGACAAGTCTGGTCCTGGATGGCCAAACACTTATCAACCTGGAAATATTCGCCAACTCCTTCGATGGCGGAGTCGAAGGCACTTTGTTCCAACTGTTGAACCGATGTATTACTCCCTTCGGCAAACGTATGTTCAAACAATGGGTCTGTCACCCTCTGATGGATACGGAGAAGATCAATGCACGTCTGGATGCTGTGGACTCACTCAATGCTGATACCAAGGTTCGTGATCGATTTACCTCGCAGATGACGAAGATGCCAGATCTGGAGAGGCTGATATCTCGCGTTCATGCTGGTACTTGTAAAGTCCAGGACTTTGTGAGAGTACTCGAAGGCTTTGAACAGATCGACCACACAATGTCTCTGTTGCGTGATGGATCAGGAAAGCCTCAAGATAGTGAAGGGGTCATTGGCCAACTCATATCTGCCATGCCCGAACTGGAATCTCGCCTCAAATACTGGATGGATGCGTTTGACCGCAAAAAAGCAAAGGACACTGGCGTTCTCGTCCCTGAACGTGGCTTCGAGGAAGACTTTGACGAGTCGCAAGACAACATTGATGCTATACAAGAGGAGTTTAATCTGCTTCTTCGGCAATGGCGGAAAGAACTTGGTTCATCTGCAATATGCTATCGTGATAACGGCAAAGAGATCATGCAATTGGAGGTTCCTACGAAAGTCAAGGGCATTCCAAAGAATTGGGATCAGATGTCGGCCACGCAAGCAGTCAAAAGATGGTATTTCCCAGAACTGCGAGCACTCGTTCGAAGGCTTCAGGAAGCTCAGGAGACGCATTCTCAAATTGTCAATCAAGTTGCCCGTCGGTTCTATGCCCGCTTCGATGAGAACTACGATATATGGCTCGCGGCGGTCCGCATCATAGCTCAACTCGACTGTCTCATCTCTCTGGCAAAAGCAAGTACCAGTCTCGGCCACCCGAGCTGTCGACCTGAGTTCATTGAAGGCGATGAGAGTACTCGTTCTACGCTCGACCTCGTCGAGCTTCGCCATCCATGTCTATTGACACAGGTGGACGACTTCATCCCGAACGACGTTGTCCTCGGCGGTGACACGGCCAACATCAGTCTTCTGACTGGCGCGAACGCAGCTGGCAAATCAACGGTGTTGAGAATGACCTGCATTGCCGTGATCATGGCCCAGATAGGATGTTATCTGCCTTGTCAATCTGCGCGTCTTACGCCCTTTGACCGCATCATGTCCCGACTTGGTGCACAGGACCACATCTTCGCCGCGCAGTCGACCTTCTTCGTCGAGTTGGCCGAGACCAAGAAAATTTTGTCCGAGGCCACGCCCCGCAGTCTCGTCATCCTGGACGAACTTGGCCGCGGCACTTCCTCTCACGACGGTGTGGCTGTCGCCCAGGCCGTTCTGCACCATCTCGCTTCACATATCGGCTGTCTAGGCTTCTTCGCGACACACTATCACTCGCTCTCCGCGGAGTTTAAGGGACATCCGGAGATCGTGGCGCAGCGAATGAAGATCCTGGTTGACGACGAGAACAGGCGAGTCACGTTCCTTTACAAGCTTGAGGCAGGAACTGCCGAGGGTAGTTTCGGCATGCACTGCGCGAGTATGTGCGGAATTGCGGCGAATGTGGTCGACAGAGCTGAGGAGGCGGCTAGGGAGTGGGAGTATACCAGTTTGATGGCGCGGCGACTCAAAGCGGGAGAAAGTGACGGTGATGAAGCTGAAAAGCAGAAGGAGGTGCCGCTGGGGATGTTGAGTGATTTGGCATGGATGCTTGATGAAGAGAAGAGTGGGGAGGTCACTGACCGTGGAATCGAGGCGCTGGTCAAGTGTATCGAGGGTTTGTGATGGATTTACATTTCTGTGATCGGCCGATGTTTATGCAGCGTTGCAGCAAGTCTGATAAAGTCTGTGCTATATCTACAGCTGGTGTTTGAGTAAGGGGTGTGATGGGAACAGGTTGCTAGAGGTTTAGGTGGGCTCCGCGGCCACTTATGTGTATGCTGTTCGTTTTGATATCCTGGAACTCTGAGACCGTACCCAGCGAGGTCGTTCCCATGTATCAAGCACTATTTAGCTCGTTCTCAGCACATTGACACACCGTATCTGTATCATGCAGCCAATTTCGCATGTATTCCTGTCTTTTCCTCCCCTGAAAACCAGCCCATTTGTTCATCGCACCCAATATCATTCCGCGGGTCGATGAATATTCAGCTCAATGTTGACAATGGTGGTTGTCATTGTGCCATCAGTGCCGGGATAAGTCCACGCAATTCTGATCACAATGTTGAGTCACGCCGTAGCCGGAGCGACGATGTCAGTCACGACGGTAGCGATGACTTGTTTGTTGTCCTGCTCGATCTGGCCCTGGCTGTCGCCGTTCGCAACTGCAGCGGTAAAGACGGCAGGCTCTTCACGATGTTCCTCGGTGACCTGAGCAGCAGCGGATCTGGTGACGCGATTAGATGGATTGGGGATTTAGAAGTAGAAGGATACGTACCCGTTGTTGTCAGGAATGATAGGACTAACCACCTTCTTGCCCGTTAGAACATTATTCGCCAGCTGGGCGGCGGCGGCAAGCTTCTCCTTCTTTGCTTTTTCTTCTTCAACAATGGCCATAGAGACGGCAGCAGCAGCTTGATCAGTTTCCTCACCATCGGCAGCGGCGATCTTGTTGGCAGCAGACTTGCGAGGAGCAGCTTTCTTGGGCTTGGTCGGGGTGGGTGGCTCAGCACCGTCCTCGCCTTCTGGGGTAGTCTTCTTCTTCACCGGAGTCTTGCGTTGTTTCTTGGGTGGCTGTTCTTCCTCTTCGTCACCACCATCATCACCGTTGGCGGCAGCTTCGGCTTCCTTTTCAGCTTTGGTCTTGCGACCTCGCTTCTTGCCGGCGGAAGTGGTTGATGCTGGCGTGTCGGCAGTCTTAGGAGTCGACACCTGACCTTTCTCAGCGTCACCATCCTCATTCTTGACAGTAGTAGCAGAAGAACTGCCATCAGCATCATCGTCTTCCTCCTCGTCCTTGACGGTGACCTCGGGCTTGGCAGTCTTCTTTCCTGCTTTTGGAGTGGCAGCCTTTCGTGGTGTCTTGGGCTTCGCGGTAGCGGTCTCACCATCGGCGTTAGTGGCAGCAGCAGTGGCTAGCTTCTTACCGAACAGCTTGGTCTTGACTTTGTTCCACTGTGTTCTAGCTGAGCCGGAATCCTTCAAGCCAAGCTCTTCAGCCACGGCGTTGAACTCGATCTTAAGAGATGTCAGTAACAGCGACAAAGACGACGACACGAAATGATATCCTCATGATAGTGGAAGCAATCGTGGACGTAAGAAGTGGGTTCGCTAACCTGGAGATCACCTCCTTTGACGTTACGGAGGCAAGTGACCAGTATCTCAGTCTCACGAGGAGTCATAGCCACCGACTTGTTGGATGAAGTGTCTTCCGCCATGCTGATTGAGTGTGGATAGATCAAGGATGAAGGATTGTGAATGAGAGATGGTGGAAAAGTGGTTGTCACTGATGAAGAGGTATGGTATGGTGGAATCAGGTAAAAAGGTGAAGGATGTAAAGGTGAGAAGAGGAAAACGAAGGTTCTTATAGGAATGCCACCGGATGCCAGAGGTGATGAATATGGAAACCCGCAATATGAAACCGAAGTGAAAGACAGGTGAGAATATCGTCAGTCGAATTATGCCGGCAAGAATGGTCAACCTAGGTCAAAAATTTAGGAGTCTGTGTCCCTTTGGCCGCCGGGCGGCGCTCATGGGCAACGGCAAGAGATGTCCCAGTCAACTTGACGACCTCCGCCGCATCAAACGATCTTTCTCCACTTACTGCCTGACCCCCTGTTTTGTCTCGGGCAGATACTAGACCTCACATAGAAGCGATGTCCGCCTCGGTCCCAACGTCATACTCACAGTGGTTGTCGGTTCGTGCTCCTGGATGAAAACCGTCTCAACGTTACAGGTGGCCGCCACGTCACCGCCGCCATTTAGCCAGCGTACCACTTTCGATTCCTGTCAGTCGCTCATAGACCTTGCTCCATATGCCAGGAGTGACATCCATGGCTGCTCTGCCGGTTGCTGATTCTGGCCGTACATAGAATTGACTCGGATTAGGTCGCAGGAAATGACCGTGTTCGACCAATGGCCCTATCCATTCGAAGGTGACGGGCCTCAAGGAGCTTTGTGAAGGTCTAGTGTGAGCAAGTCTTGGGGACACTACGTCAGTCAGACACGTAGCCCGCGTGAACCTCATCTCGAGTGTGGCATCGAGGGGCAAGCTCTTTGCATATTCCATAGCCGCCTTAGGAGAATGTTGCGCTGACTGGGGAAGTCGTAGGAAGACCTCTGTCACCATTGGCCTCAGAGTCCAGTTGATGAAGACGAATGGAACGAAACCTGCCAACCATACTTTAGGGCGCTGTCAGTAATCTTCCCTCGCAGACATAACAAGGAGGTACATACAGCCGGCGACGACCCAGAAGGAGCTGCCGTTGACCCAGTGAGCTGGTGCGACGATGACGGTGACGAAACCGAGCACCGCGATGGCAGTGAAGCGTAAGAAGGTCATCATGTAGATCCGGGCATTCCCTAAGCTGTATATCCGTATCCTCCTCTTGTATACTAACAGATTGTCAACTCGCGTTCTTGCGGCTTCGTGTCAGGACATGAATACCTTTTGGCTCCGGCCGAGGCGGCATTCGCCGTGTCAGTTGCTCGATATGCAACCGTTCCTTTGGCGAGAGCGTCAAGTTTGGAGTAAGTTCAGCCTTGGGAATGACCTTCAATGGTACTTCCACCTTGCGCTCGGTGTCGAGCGAGGTCTCCTGCTTTTGACTCGGTACAAGCTCGGTTCCAGCGTCCGGCTGCTGTGGGACTGGTGTTGAGGCATCGTCTCTTTGCTTCTGCGCTTGCAACTTCTGACTGTGTATCACCTGAATAGGCAGGTTGTTCTTCTTGCTCTTTTGTGACTTCTTGAATAGTGGCGGGCATGTGCTAAATTCGGTTCTTCGTGTGGTCGCATGTTGTCTGCTACAGACCTGAAAAGCATAACGCACTTCTGCTAAGAGGACTGGCGGCAAGCCTCGCATAGCTCAGGTGGACGACCCAGGTCGAGCTGGGTGTTGGCATATGCAGTCAATGGCACCTTTCCAAAAAAATATTTGTCCGACGCGGTCGCTGCTTGTCCGAGCGCGATGCGGAATTCGAGGAAACTGCGCCGAGAAGTACTCCAGTACATCGACGACCATCCTTTCACCACTTCAGTGTCCGCCGTATGTTCGTCCTTTCTGACGGCGTACTAGAGATGATTGACTTCCGGATCCCTTGACCTCGCGCAACATGTGGCAGCAGCTGTCAAAATGGCTGCTGACCGCCTTGTCATTCCTTTTACTTGACGTCCTGGCATACGCTCCTCTCTCCGATGACACACTCGTGAATCGTCTCCCACGGCCAGACACCGCCGACTTCGACATACTACAAACCGGCAACCTGCTAGCACCGATATTGATACCTAGGGTCCCAGGCACACCAGGCTCCAAGCAAGTCTTACAACACTTCGTCGACTTCTTCAACCAGTCTCTCCCCGATTGGACAGTCTCCTTCCAGAACTCGACATTTAAGACTCCTACGCATGGAGAACAGGAGGTCCCTTTTATCAATCTGATCGCGACTCGAGATCCTCCCGGATCGCAGCCAGGCAATGTCGGCCACTTGACATTGGTGGCACACTATGACTCGAAATATCAACCCGAAGGATTCATTGGTGCAACAGATTCCGCAGCACCATGCGCCATGCTCATGCACGCAGTCAGGTCGATCGACGCTGCCTTGACAAACAAATGGAACTTCATGTCTGCGCAAGGAGACCTGGATCCCGATTTCCAGGAACTAAAGGGAATACAAGTGCTCTTTCTAGACGGCGAGGAGGCTTTCCACAGCTGGTCGTCCACCGATAGCATATACGGTGCCAGGTCACTGGCCGAGGAATGGGAACACACGATGCACCCAGCGACAAGTATCTACAAGAACTACTTGGACTCAATCGACCTGTTTGTCCTGCTCGATTTACTAGGCTCACCAGAAGACCTGTCCATCCCATCATGGCAACACACCTCTCACTGGTCGTACGTCAAAATGGCCGAAGCCGAAGAACGACTTCGCAAGCAAGGACTGTTCAAAAGCAATCCGGATCGAGTATGGCTTCCGGACAAGAACAAAAAGGAGACGGACGTGTTCAACAGCTACATTATGCAGGATGACCATCTCCCATTCATGGCCAGAGGAGTCCATGTTCTTCACCTTATTCCCTCTCGGTTCCCCTCGGTCTGGCACACCATGAGAGACGATGGCGAACACCTAGATATAGCTGTTGTGGAAGACTGGGCTCTTCTCACCACTGCGTTTGCGGCCGAATACATGGAGCTGGAGGGCTATTTCGAGCAGCAGCCATCCAAGAGGGTCAAAAGAAACGATGATGCTATAAGTAAGACCGAATTATGATATTGACTATGACCGTCTTTTCATCTCCTCGCCCTTGGGGGCAATGCATAATATTTACAAATCATCATGCAAGCACGAAGCATCTTCTGGCGACCACTTCGAGCACCTCAAACAGTCTATATTACCAGCACTATCTCTGAGTAGTGCCAATTATTTTCTCCAGTTCTGCTCGTTCACCCGATGTCTCAACCATCTCTCTGAACACTCCATCCTCCTTGGACATTAAACTCCGAGGATCATCATACTCGAGCACCTTACCCTCACCCAATACAAGAATCCTGTCGAAATCTGCGATCGTGCTCAACCGATGTGCAATCACAATCAACGTACTATCCGTGAACTCTTCACGGATCGACCTCTGAATCAGGGCATCGGTCTCCATATCCACCGCGCTCGTAGCCTCGTCGAGCACCATGATCTTCGGCCGTGACACGATCGCACGGGCGAGGCACAACAACTGCCGCTGTCCTTGGGACAGGTTCAGACCACCTTCGGAGATTTTCGATGACAGCGAGCGGAATATGTTTGTATTCGTATCGGTCGTCACAGCATGTCCGTTCGGAACAGGTGTCGCGCTTCCACTCGCTGCTACACTCGCCGACGAAATGAGGTGCACTCTGGCAAGAGCCTCACGAAGCTCCTCGTCCGAATGCTGGTCAAACGCGTCGAGGTTGCTCCGGACTGTTCCCGAGAAGAGCACCGGATCCTGCGGTATGATTGCCAGCCGTGAGCGTAAATCGAACAATTTGATTTTGGAGATGTCGATTCCGTCAATGACGATCTGTCCAGACTGTGCCTCCAGGAATCTGAACAGAGCCAGCGTAAGGCTCGACTTGCCGGCGCCTGTTCGCCCAACAACTCCAACGCGCTGGTTTCTTGACACGCTGAATGTCAGACCCTTCAGTACGGGCGGCAGATCTTGCGCATAAGCCACGACCAGATCATGGACCTCCAAGTTGCCCTCCGTCGGCCACGCCGCTGGCGCATCATGACCGCCTTGGTTCTCAATTGCTATGTTGCTGTACTCGACAATCCGCTCCGTGGCATTCATATCCAGCTCCAGATTTGAGTACTGCCTCAGGATCCAGATGACGCCTTCAGACAGACCCAGAGCGAAACTCAATGCGAAACCAGCCAGTGACGAGTCAATCGACCTGATACTCACGATCAAGGCCGCCATGACTGCAGAAAACACTGACCCGACCATATTTAGCCGCCATCCCATCCATCGATTGAACAGCGTAAGATGCCAGTAGGCGCGGCAATGCTTGTCAATCTTGGCGTACATCTTGTCGAGATAACCGTCGGCCTTGTCGAAAGCCCGAATTGTCCCAATTCCCATGAGAACCGAGCCGAATTGCTCGAAAATGGGGGACTTTGCGTTACTTTCGAGTCTTTTGACCTCGCGTGCGCCCGCGAGATACTGAAGGGCATACCAGCCAGAGATAGAGAGCAGTCCGACTGCGAAGATGATTGTGAACGGTGATACGAAAAGCCCGGCAATGACCACAGACAAGACTTGCACTATATTGTGTAGTAAGAACCCCAAATCCATACTGATGCGCGAGTCGACCATGTTGAAGTCTGCGGTGAACCGGTTGAGGATCCGTCCCAGGGGCACAGTATCGAGCCATCGAAGCGGGGCGCGCAGAACGGCGAAGGCTAGCTTCTCAAACAGAATCTTCGAAGCACGGATTGAGGCGAGGAATACGAAGAAGTAGCGCACCGTGCCAACAAGCCATGCCACAAGCGATATCCCCAGATAGACACCTAGGTAGTAGCGAAGATCCGAGTCGATTTTAGTGGCCGCTAATTGAGATTGGATGTGCTGGTACACACCAACGGATTGCTGCATCAGCCGAGTGTGGAAGACGGACTCGGTGCGATAGGAGCGCGTCCATATACTGATCCAGTACGATCTAGCAAGGTAGACCACAATCCAGAAGGCGAAGATTGTCAGAACGAAGAGCCAGAAGCTATAGCCGCCGCAGGCACGGATATAAGTGTCGTAAATCTTGTATTTGATCGCGCCGGTCTCGCGCTTTTCTTCTTCGTTGAATTTCTTAGGCGCGTTTGATTGCTCTGTATCGTCCGCACCGGCATGGGAGCGATGGCGATTAAGGTCAGGAGGTGCATCGCTCAGGGCTGATTTCCGCCGCGAGCGGTTGGTGAGCATTCTGTTCAGACCGCCGCCGTCGTCGATAGCAAGCTCTTGATCTTTGTCGGCTTGTTCTTCTTCCTTCTGCTGTTCGTCCTCGTCAACGTCCAGGATCGAGTTCAATCTCCCACTCTTGCGTAAATCTTCGGTCCGCCCTGCCTGCTCGACCGTGCCATTCGCCAGCAGAACTGCATAGTTCGTCTTGGGTAGACAGAGGGCGACATGATGGGTTACCAGGATTCTCGTGCGTCCTTGACCAAGCTCACCAGTCAATGCCTGCTCAAACAGGTGTCTCCCTACATGCGCGTCAACGGCCGAGAAAATGTCGTCCAAGACCAAGATGCCAGCTCTTGAGTACAAAGCTCGGGCAAAGGATACTCGCCACTTCTGGCCGCCACTGAGATTGATCCCATTTGCACCAATGTCAGTAAGCTCACCATCCTGGAGCATCTCCAAATCCTTGGTTAGAGCGCATGCCGTCAGAACCTTCTGGTATCGATCATTGTCGAGCGGAAGGCCGAAAAGAATATTTTCACGGATCGTCGCGTTCTCAATCCACGGGATCTGAGCTACAAATGCGATCGAAGAGTCGATCAGCCAATTGCCTCGATTTGCTTTCCCATCATATCTTGCAGCAGCCTCAGGTGGCTTAGGTACCGCGATAGTGCCATCAAGAATGTCAGCTTCGCCAATGATCGAGGCAAGCAGTAGACTCTTGCCGGATCCAGTTCGCCCTGATATCACGCTCAACTCGTTTTTGGGGAAGTCAAGGTTGAGATCGCGCAGCTTGAACTTGTCTTCCTCCTGCTCGGCATCGTCTGAAGGCCACCCTACGACAGCATTCTTGAACGCGATTGTATTGCCGGACCGACTGTAGTCTGTGCGTTCAGGAGCATCAAGATACTCTTGAACACGCTTCGCAGACACTATTGCGTCGAGTAAATCTGTAACCATTTCGGGGATCACAGCCAACGTCATCTCAATCGCCTCAAAAACGGAGATCGTCGTAAAAGCGACAGAGGCTGTCAGCTCCTTGTTGATCACAGCGTATGTTGTAAGGGAGATCGCCGCGAGCATGACAGGACCAAAGATCCAGATGCTGATAAGCGTCGTGTCGTAACAAAAGACTTGCCATTGTGTTTTCAGCTCTTTCCTTCTGGTCTCTAGTATCTTCTCGTACCAGTCTCGCTCAAGGGCACTGAACTTGATCTGTCGGATGCCTTGAAGAGCTTCTGTGACCACTGCCATCTTGTGATCTCGGTGCTTCATGAGGTTGTCTTGTGCATTGGCATACCGTTTTGAAGTGTATATATTTAGTGGTGTGATGATAGCCGGGGCGGCCAAGCCAGCAAGCAGCGGAATAGGACCGATCAGTTTCGATAAGAATGTGAAGGCGACGATGAGTTTGATGGCGGAACCGAGAAAGATATAGTTCCATTGGGCGAAGTCGGCAATTCTTTTCGAATCGACACCGACCAGGTTGATTGTGCTTTGTCGAGATTTCTGGAAGTCTTCGTCTTCGTCTTCCTCGGGCACACGATCTTCGCCCTTTTTGCCGGCATCTTTGTTCACAACAACCTCCCCATTCAGAGCTTCACCGTTGGCGTCTGCTTGCTCCTTCTTGCCTGCAGCTTTGACATCTTTGCGTCTGAGAGCTTTCCCGAATACGACAGCCGAGAGTTGTTCATACACGGGAATACCAAGCCTCATGAAGCATATGAAGAACATCCAAGATTCAAGCCAGGATGAGAATGTCACGGCTACACCCAGGGCGATCACCAGCAACCACGCCGTAAAGCCAACGTCTGCTCCTTGATCTCGAGCTTCAAGAGTGCGCAGGATGTAGAAGAGGGCGATTTGTGGTATGAAATTGGTGACGGAGCATATTGCCTGGAAGGTCCATTGCTGGATAAAAGCCCACTTGTGCGACCAGAAGACGGTTTTCCACAACTTGGTTGTCCTTCCTACGCCTTCGAATTGTTTTCGCAACTCTCTAGAACGCACCTCGTGATCGATCTCTGCTAGATCGTCGTAGCCAAGACCTCTGTTCTTGACGGCAAAGGAGAGAATTTGCGATGGCCATGAAAACGTGAATTTTCCTAGGACCGAAACCGTGTTCTGACGGTCAACGACCTTTTCGTTCCAGAAAACATCTGGCCGCCGAGGAATGGAAAGGCTTGCAAAGAGCAGCGTTATGCCGCAGACGATCTGGATAATCGACAAAGCAAGGTGCACTTTCCTTGGAAGAGGATCAACTTCCGACTGCCACAAGGAGAGGTTCTCGAAGCCGACTGCAACGACCAGAAAAAGTGCAGAGGTGGCGGAATAGATTCCTAGGTTATACCGTTTCAAGGACGAAGGTGTGACAAAAATGGTGACGGTTTGCGACAGAAGTAGCAGCTGGCAGCTGTCAGTGAATATCCCGCCACACTATCATGAGAGCATACTTACCCACGTTGCCAGTTGAAGCCATTGTTCCAACGTCAATGACTGATGTGATCGAATACTTGTCAAGACAGCGGTAGCCAGTGCATCCAGACTTGCGACAATAGACGTTAGTATCAAAATCCATCGTGGTATTATGTCGGAATAAGATGCTTGAGACTCGGCTGTGGCAGCTCCATCTTCATCCTCGTACAGTCCAGTAAGGTCTTGATATTGACTTTTCTTCGCTCGGAATCTGGCGATGAACTGGGTGGCGGACGGAATGGAAAGAAGTGCCACAACAACGAGGCATGCTATGGAAATGGCAACCGAGGTCGTTGTACCATGCTCCGTCATGACTGTCTGCGTTGAAGGATGTCCTGAATCTGGTCACATTTCGTGTATAGAATGATAGTTTGTGACAGGGAGAAGATTCAACTTTAGTAAGTGGGGTGTTGGTGGCCGACGTAGTACTAGATTAAAAAGTGGCCCGGATGGTGGGAGAGTATGACGAGAGACACAGTATGGATCATATGGGGTGGCTATTTCATTGTCTGATATCGGATTGAAAAGGTAGCGACTGCCCCCTGATATACTCCAAATCCTAGCAGACAAAAGAATGTTCTTTCCTCGCATCTTCCTAATGCCAGTAAAAGTCACATATCATATCGTTGTCACCTATGACATAAGGTGAAGACGAGATTTGAACGGTTGTGGAAGGTCTAAAGAAGCTGCCGCTGCTTATCGAAAGCTCGGTTCGGGTAGGCAATATACCTGGGTGGCATTCTGACTTGCCATTGGTAAATCGTCAACATCTTCCCCAGGAAGCGGTCAATGCGAATGACTCACATTCGATTGGCTTGCTTTGGAGGGGCTGCTGCATGGCACAGTGCATGGCTCGGAGAAATATGACTTGGAGAATTCTGGACGAAGTACCCATCGTTGAACAGACGCACACAATGGGTACGTATTCCAACTACCTAGACATCTGTTGATCCAAGCATACAATACATATTGACGCTAGGTACTATCCACGCCTATGCTATCTATCCCAAACCCAGTATACACAATCACGATCATTCCGAGTCAATGATCACCACTTCGGCTTCTGCCTCCCCGACACTTTCAAACCTAAGCACATCATTGGCGTTGACGTGAGTCACATATGCGCCGTCACCTTCCTTCAAGGTTGCATCTTCTCGCCCGTCTAGTCTGATTTTGGCCTTGCCCCCCTTCATTTCTGGCACATGGATGTAGACTTTTCGATCCGACTTCGATGACACAGCATCTCCGCCACCAACGTTGTAGCTGAATGTCTCGCCCACAGGGATAATGCCTGCGCTGAACACCAAGTCGGCGTGTACAGGAATCGTTCCTTCTCGAGCGGGCACCGCAGCCTTCTCCTCCTCCAGTGTGGCGTTTGGACCAGCTTTCAATGGTGTAATGATGGTAACAAAGCCCTTGCGCTTCTCCTCTTCAGTGAAGGTCGTGGTATGATAGATCGGTGGAAGGTTTCTCTTCCAGGGAAGTGCCCATATTTGTAGGAAATGCGTCCACTCTTTCTTGCCTTCACTATCTTCATTGAACTCGCTGTGAGAGATGCCTCTTCCACCGGTGGTAAATTGGACATCACCGCGGTGCATTCGGAAGAACTTGTCCTTGTCATTGCTCTCTGCGCCCTTCTTTTGCATCGAGTCACGGTGTGTCAACTCTCCAGAGAGGATGTAACTGAAGATCTCTGCATTCTGGTGGAAGTGGGTGGGAAACCCCTCTCCTGGCTCGACTCGATCTTCGTTGAGTACGCGTAGAGATCCGAACTGAGTATATCTTGGATCGTACCAACCGGCGAAGGAGAAGGTATGCTTTGTGTCCAGCCAGCCGTGGTTGGCGGTACCTCGTGTTTTGGAAGGTCGGGGGACAATCTTTGCGTGAGACAGATTTGACATTGCTGTTTTCAGGACGTTGGATGCTCTCATAGACGACTGTTCTGTAGTGTTGTTGGTGTTGGTGGTATTGCTAAGCATGTAAATGGCTGTGATTGCGCTTAGGAGTGCTGTTATTATTGCGGTGAGTGTGGTTTTTTGCTGAAGCAAATTGGAAAACATGGAAGAGAAGGTAGGAATAAATACTTAGACCTGAAGGATGGCTAGATCATGGTAGACGAGACGAGAAGAAGGACTGCTTGTGCATTATACAGGTCTTGGTCAATAACCGTGCAATTGGAATATGGGTTACCCAGTGGTTACCCAATCCTTGGGTAAGCGAGCAGAGGCTTTGTGTTTGCGAGCGCGGAATTGAAGAGCGGCTTTGAGAAAAGAGATGGAGCGCAGGAAGTTGACCAATGACCAATGACCATCGGGCTTTGTCATCATGCTAGAGTGGACAAATGATCTCATGCTCGGCTTTACCCCCAAAGATCTCGCCTCGTGTCGCCTCGATTCGGTTGTCATTCTCAATCACCACCACCATCTCCTTCTATTCGATGCAGTCCTAGGATTGATGAAGAGACAAAGGGATCAAGTCATCGTCGAAAATCCTTTTGTAAAGCCAGAAAATCAGTCTTGGGCAGTTACGCCTCCGGCATCTCTCCACAGAACAGTCTCTCCACCACCCACCAATCCTCGACGCCGCAGCCGATCTGCCATCCAATCTCTCCCTACAAAGTCCGACACTGCGGCTGTGGAAGCAGGTGAGATCGAAATCGACGATCATGTCTCTTTCTTCTCGTCGAAGCTCCTGGCAGCGACCAGAGCTTCTGTGCAAGGGCAACCAAGGCTGTCGCATGACGAATGGCTGAATCTTTACCAAAGAAACCTCCACGACCGTGGCCACCATTTTGTCGTTCATCAACACGATCATCCAGTTGCCGGTACTCACTATGACCTCCGTCTGCAATGCAATGCCACCAGCTCAATCAGTTTCTCCATCCCGTTTGGCTTACCGGGAGATCCCAATAGCAGGAGACTCAACCGCAACGCCATAGAGACAAGAGTCCACAATCTATGGAATCACTTGATCGAAACAGCTTCTTACGAGACTGGCACCATGCTCCTCTGGGACACGGGTGAATATTTTGTTCTTCCGCACTCATTCGATGCCGACCCAAACGCAGACGCAGCAACCACCGATTCTGATTCTGATTCGCCCAACTACCCCGAGTCAGAACCAGCCAAATTGCATCGTGCCTTTCAAGGTCGCAAGATCAAGATTCGTCTCAACGGCACGCGTCTACCTAAGGATTACACCCTCAGTATCCGCCTGACACACGAGAACAATGCCCTCGCGCAACCGAAACCACCATCGTTCAAACGTCGCCGGAAGGTCCCGCCACCAACAACTCTCCTCCGGAAAGACACAGCGGACTCGAAACTAAGTTCGAGCCAGGGCTCCAATCCAAGTCGAACGTCAACCCACGACCGCTCCAGCGTCAGTCCTGTAGAAGACAAACGCATTCCGCGGCTAGGCCGAAGTGTTTCATCCCTGCTTCGCACAGCATCTCCGCCATCATCCAGCCGGAATCCTCCAGCCCTTACACACCAACCCGCCAGTTCCGCCTCAGCCCTGGCACCAGAGCCGACCGACAATAATTCACCCGCTCCCAAAGAGGATAAGACCAATAAGTCCAGGGACGAAGAAGACCAACAAATCCGCGAGAGAAACGCCTACCCCGGCGCAACCAACACCATCAATAGCGTCCATCAGCGCCGGTGGTTCCTATCCATCGACCGTGAAGCATCCGGCTTCCGCCCAACCAACCGGATTGAGTTCGGTCGTCGAGTCTGGGAACGTCCGCTCGAGAAAGACTCCCCGGCCGGAGACGGGTTAGGCGGCTTTCCATCTTTTTACGTGCGAGGCCGCGACGTCGAGACAAGCATTTTGACGGGTCGACTCGCGGCGGACGTGGCAACGGATGAGGGGCTGGTCAATTACAAACCTAGAGGTGGATGGAGGCCAGTCACCGACTGATCGAAGTCTCTTGTGCCTCCGAGCAGATACATGAGATTGTTCATCATTCATGTATGCATGAACGCTTCCATGAATTTGCATTGCACGATCCAATTTGGTATCTTGAGCTAAAATGAACCATGTATATACCCCTTGCCACAGCTTTTGTTCATCTTCAATTCCCCGATCCAGAACCTTTCCCAAAGCCGAGCGTCATTTCGCAATACCACGCCACGCTGAAAAGCCAATGAATGCACATTTACACACCCTGCGACCTAAACGGCTCATACGCCGTCTGTTGATGTTGATGATGGTGCTGCTGCAGCGGCTGTTGGAATCCAGGCGTCGCGCCCATCGAGTGTAGCGGCACGCTCTGGTGATCGCTCGGTCCCAAATACGGACTTCCCACCCTCTCATACGTATACGGCGTCTTTTCGGCTCTCGTGCGCCTCGCTTCATCCCTGTTCTTATGGTACGGGCTGCGACCCGAGCAACAGCACACGCTCAGCAGCCAAAAGAAGCCTGCGCCAACCGCGAATGCAGTGCCAATCCACGTTACGCTCAGGACTTTCGTGCCTATCGTGGAGACGATCCCATAGTCCTTTTTCAAGGCGCCGTTCAGCGCCCCTTTGAGTATGATGTACACTGCGGTGACAGTGACGCTCGCTCCAATCGTCATCAAGGCCATTGCCGCGGCGCAGAACGTGGTGAAGAACGAGCCCCACCGTGAGAATATCGCAGAGATGCCGACGACCAATGTCACCGCTGAGGCCGCTAGCGCAACGACATACAGATAGAAGATGGCCTTGCTGGCGGCGTGGTACGCGGATAGGCCGTCGCGGAAGGTTTTGGGCAGTAATTCGTCGACGCTCTCGCCCGTGCTGTTTAGGCCCCAGACAGTGACTGGATTGAACCAGAAGTACGCCTTTGGGTCGGTACAATTGGCGTAGGTATCGTTGCCGTTCCAACTGCAGTAGCTGCGCATGTATATCGTGTAGTAATCTTTCATGCCTAGCGATTGTTTCGCCGTCTCCAGCGCACCGCCCAGAGCCGTGCTATTGGACCCATCGATCGTGTCGACGATGTTCGCGGAGGAACTTAGTGTGAGGTTCGTCAGGTCGATCTGTACCACACATTGTCAGCATTGCCAGAATCTTAAAAAAGGCTTGAAGCCATGAGTAGGGGGTTTACCTTAAGGAAGTACAGATCGTCAACGGTGTCGTTCCGGTCGTAAGTGCCCGCGATGAAGACAAGGACTAGACATACTAGCACCGCTATCGACAGGAGGAACGGTGCTGTGATGCAGCATACTCGGCCTGGGTTGACCATTGTGCTCTGTTTGTCGGTGGGAAGAGAAGAGGAGAGGAGGAGAGGAAAACTGCTTGTGAGCGACCCGATCGACCTCAGCTGCGTTGCAGTCGTAGTCGCAGCTGAAACTGCGCTGTCTAAACAATTAAATTTGGAGGCTTGAAGTGGACGGCGCGGTTTCAGGCGTGCGGGGAAACGCTGAAAAGCGGAAGTTTGTAGGCTCAATGGACACTTTCGAGATGGGTGACTTTTGTTCTGTGTGAACTCGTGTTGACCGTGTCGTAGAAAAAATGAAGGTTGTAAAGATGAGTGAGAGAGAAGTAGGAATAAGTAATATGGTTATCCCCTTTGCTTGTATGATAGCAATCAAAGAATATAACCTTAGGTCAACTTCTTACGGGGCCGGTAAGCACTTGGGGCGTGGTCGAATTGACTTTGACTAAGATCGGTTACCGGTAAGGGGTTCAGCTGTGTCCAGGGTCTTGAACGAGAGTTCAGTATGTAGAATGAAAGATCAATCTTTGGACCTTTGCTTGTTTGATACGAGAGATATCGTCGTCGGACAAGGAGTTGAAGACTTAGAAAAGATCCCGAATGCTGTCCAGGCTGGGCACGTAAGGGTACTTGTATGAGGTCAATCAGCACAGCCCAGCGATACTCGTTTTGGATTTCAAAGTGGCACAGCAGTTGAACGGGGCGGCCGCCGGAGCAAGCCCGTTTGTACATCAGGTACAGTGCGAGTAGCGGTAGTGGCTTAGCCGGGCACTGGACCGTTGATATTCGTGTACTCGTGCTGTGTAACTCGTCGGGGTGATTTTGGCCATAGCGTGACTTGTGACAAGTCCAAAGAGGCTGGAAAGACTCGCACACCACCTGCCAGGTGTTAAGCCTTTGCAGATCCGCAGCATACGCAAGCCATAACGACAGCAACCACCACTGCGGCAACGCCGACGAACAATAGACGCGTATCGAGTATATCAGTGTGGCATGTGACCGGCTTGAGAGACGTCCTCCGGCTGTTGATTACCTGGTACCTACCTGTCTATTCGCCATAGCTGACATGGTAATTCACCGATAAGCATGTTACTTGTGCCTGTTTGGACAGCGGAGCAAAATATAGCCAGACAACTGCGTGCTGATATTCGAGGTATTCCTCAGAGACGAGTCGTTGGCATTTCTCAGGCCAGGTTGAGCAAGTCCTTCATCTCTGCTGTTCAGGGCAAAGTCAACAATCGTGCAAACTCCCCATGCGTGTAGTCGTTGGCCAGGCCTAAGAACCAATGAGTAAAAAGTCCAAGTATAAGTCACCATACTGTAGTAAGCACCAAAATCTATAATTAGGTAGGATGCCATAAGTAATACTCCAGACTTTGGCACTGTGCAGCTTCCAGCCACTGGGGGCGGCGGCCCCGACTAAACGATTCGGCGATGCGTTTTCGCTTCAGGACCTCGCCTAAGCACCTTAAATCTAAGGCATCCAAGCCCCAGCATTGACACGTGAGTATCAGGTACCATGCTGGGGTACACTACCTACTTACCAGTCTTCCACACAGAACGTGTACACATATCTTCCAACCCACATCAATAGGTCATGGCTTCTATTGAATGCTGCACCTGTACCTCATGACACCACGCATGTTCAGACTTCGCACCTCGGAACAATTTTCAACGGCTGCTTCGCCATTAGGTCAAGGTTAGGCATGGGAGAGACAATACCAATATCACTGATTACTTCCCATTCATTATGCTAGAGACTACTCTACAACAACAACAAAAAGCTGATCCATGTTCCTGCATTTCCGCCTTGCCCCGTTTTCCAGAGATCCCGTTCCGGGTTCTTGTTTAACCAAACCATCACATTACGTCTTTGTGGACCGTTGTGGCGCTTTGATTTGAACTCGAATCTGGCATTCATGGAAAATATGACGACAGAAAATCTCCTTTCAGCTCTTTTGGAGCTTGACACTTCCCGCTTCCTCGTTTTTTCTTGCTTTCTCGCCCTGGGCCGTGCTCCATCCTCTCACTAACCGTTGGTACTAAACTCAATCAATGTCGCAAAAAGGTATTAGGCGTGGTATAGGAAGGAAACTCCTGTCGTGCGCCAACCAAACATTCACCGGGGGGTATTTCTCATTTGTCGCCACTTGGGGGGTGTCAACGTTTCCGTTCGATTCGCATTCGTTCAATTCGATCTCGGTTGCTCCCGCTGCAGGCTCAGTGAAATTAAGCTGGAACTTGATGTTGACCTATAAGTCATTTGTTACTCTTTACTCTGGAGACCCATACGCTGCATTAGCGACAATCCTCCGCCCGACTCACCATTAGTTTCCTCGTGCTCTCCCTCACCCTCTTCTTCCTCTTCCTCTTCTTCCTCATCTTGTTGGTATTCTCCGTGCTCTCCAGCTGGCACCCAGCTGTCGCGGTCGCCCTTCATGGGCTGATCTTGACCGGCCAAGTCAACACCCTCACGCTTGCTGGCGTTGTTCTTCCTCCGCTGGCTCAGAGTGCGAGCACGAGTGGACAGCTTAGAGCTGACCTGAGCGTGGCCCGAAACCCAGTTGGTCAATGCATCCTCGCAGTCTTGAATAATGGCCTTGGAAGCTTCGTAGCCATCGTAGGCAGGGCGGCTCTCACCAGGGGTGACAGGAGAGTCGTCCACCAACTCTAGCAGGTGCTTTCCGTAGCCTGCAATGATGGCGGTCTTTTCACAGTGTTCGCGGAGAGCATCGAATTGGTAGGTGAAAGCAGCCTTGAGCTTCTCACGGGTGATATTGGACAATTGAGCTTCGGCGACCAGGGACTCGGCTTCGGCGCGGACAAGTTCTTGTTCCAGGACGACAATTCGAGGGCTGTTGGGCTCCTTGTATTTGAGCTGGGCAATTTGGTCGGTGATCTTCTGCTTGCGGTCTCGCGATGGCTGGACTGAGGCTTCGATGTTACGGATGGACTTGATGGTTACACGGTATTGGTCATATCGGTCGACGAATTGATCTTCCAATTCACCAATCTCGTAGATGAGGACACCAAGCTTGTCAGTAACGTCGCTAACATCTTCGTCGCATCCTTCACCCCACAAAGAGAGTTGTTGCTGCAGGAAATAGTCAGATTGACTGCGCAGTCTTAGTCAACACACAGGAGACTTACGGCGACTTCCATGCGTTCACGTCCTACAAGCTCCATGCTGCGCATGACGTTCTTCTCCATCTTGACGAGTTGTGACAGTTTCTTTGCAAGGTCTGGGCCGAAGGCACCGGCGGTACCTTTTCTGAACGCATGTCCTGGCGTGGATGTCAGCATGAGTACTGCGACATGCAAGAAATCGACGTACCGAAGTTGGATCGACCGAAGAGTCGACCACCCTTGGTAGAGGATGGTGGCGGGGGAGGATTCTCGATTTGAGAAGCTGTAGGAGCGCGCGACTGGCGCATAGAGTATGTGCGATGCATCTTGAGTGTGATTTGTAGTGTTGAGTTGAGGTAAGAGGTTGCTCGTGCTCAGGTCAATGGAGCAGGCAGGCGCAGTGTAGGTCAATTAAGAGACTAAATTGCGCGCGATAGTATTAGCAGTGTGCCAATGAATAGCTTTCGCGAGAGTATGGTGAGTATGCGACGATGAAGTGATGCAAGTAAAAAAGTGAGGGAGGTTAAGAGGATGAGGATGCAGTGAAGTCAGCTAGGCTAAAAAGCCAAGGTAGGGGAGAGGAATGGTGAGGAATCCGGAAGTAGATTGATGACGTTGGCGGATGGGTGCGGGAGCTGGTGGACGTGGGCACAGGGCACATGGCACAGGCACAATAGGGCACAACATGCACCTAAAGCCCTTAGACTTTCACATCCCGTTGCGCCAGGCACCCAACACCAAGCACCCAGTAGTAACAGCTCATGGAGATATGGATTACTGTACAACAATAATGCACATGCACTCCGTACCCCAATTGTCGCTTCTCACCAGGCATCCAACCGACTGAACGAGAGACTATCCAGCAGTCGTCGCTCAATCTGTTGCTGGCGCCCATACACCACAGCACACGACGTCACCATCCACTCCACATCACGAGGTCGGACGCAATCATCAGAGCGGAAAAGAAAGCCAAGACCAACTCACCCAGAGATGTGTTTGTACCTGGAAAAGTATGGTACAGTGTTGTGATATGTCAAGTCGTTCAAAAGCTTGGGGCAAGAAAGCTGCAGCTAATAGAATCAGGGTAGTTGAAGTGTGTGTGATCTTTGTCCAAGAGGAGAAATGGTGACGGCTTAATAACAGCTCACGATGCAGCTTGTAGTGGCGCTGGCCTAAGAGTGGCTTGAGATCTGGTCGTCGAAGCAACAAGCCGCCCACGTCATTCCATCACGGTTTCTCTACCTCTGGCAGAACAGAAAACGGCATCATTCAGGCTTTGAGACACCCAAGAGGCCCATCAAAGTCAATAATTTATTGACCTCCTACTATGGTGCTAGAGCCCTGTATGGAGTCTCTACTACCCTGCATGGAGCTCCCGGGAGACGTACCACTTTGACTATCTCACCAAGGCTAGACCACGCACCAGCCCAATAGTGATCGGCAATAAACAGATGCAATGCAAATGCAATCCACTCTGGCACAGCTGAGCTTGGTTCATCAATCAATGACGATCAGGGGGGAACATGCTGCTAACGGGCGCCTTACTGGTGCTATGACGATGTTCGTGGCTGTTCCTCGACTTGCCAGACTCCACCGAATGCACGTCGCAAGGCACCTTCCGATCGGAGAAATCAGCAAGCGCTGAATTGATAAAAAGTCATCAACACCCTCATCGATTCCTGGGAGACGACCCTGCATTCCCCATAGTCTCGTTCTGCCTCCTGGTCTGCCACGCCAGTTGTTGAGCTCTACCTCCAAATCTCTTATCATGAGGACCGATTTTTCGTTTCCGCCTCGATGTTGAGCCTGCGCCGTCGAGATTCTTGTTGGCCACCCTGTTAGACTTTCCCCCGTGCTTCAGACGGCTGGGTTTATCGTCCTGCGACCTGCTCCTGGCATTGGATTTGTTGACCTTGCCTTTCGAGTTTCCTGCACCTGGCAATGGGCGACGGCTTCCGGCGCCTCTTATATTCGGTGCTGGTTCCTCGAAAGGATCTAGATCCGACTCCTCGTCTTCTCCTTCCTCTACTTCACCGCCCTCATCGGTCACGATACCATTAGTCTCGTAATCCGAATCCTCAGTATCGTCGATTTCCGGTGCTTTGGACAGCTCATCAGCCGAGCTCTCTGTTTCGGGGCGGTTCGCGGCAGCACTCCTCGAGTTACGAGGAATCTCGGGACTCTCCTCGACTGCCCTCTTCCTTTTGGGGTGACGAGTCAACAATGGGGACTGACTGCTCTCTTCTCTGCTATGATCGCCTTTTTCGTCGGCCAACTTGTTTGCTCCGGTCGACCTGGCTGCGCGTTCTGTTCCCGTGGGAATGAGTCTTCTGACACTGGCTGGCTTCTCGCCAGGTTCCCAGAAATTCTTAACCACTGACTCTGGATAGTTGTAGTTATATAAGAGTTCTTCGCCAGCCTTGATAAATCGCTTCGCGAAAAGACCGACACGGACCACTCCACTGCACCACAATTTCTTGGGCTCGACATTGATGTGTTCGTCGCGCTGGGAGTTGTTCATAAACCTCATCTTATTGCCGTTATTCGATGCATCAATCTCTTGGCCCCGATTGATCACGAAGAGATACTCCTGGTTCAGGACGTGATACATGGCGCCACGTCTGTCGCCTTCAGAAATGCTGATGACTTCTCCGGTATACTCCCCAATGAAATCACCACTGGCAATGTCGGCTCTGCTGTACAGACCGTAGCCTTGCACTTGACTCGGTGCTTTGGTGGTAGGTGCAGGGAGACCAAGCTGGATGCGATTGTTTCTGCACAGCCCCTTCCGAATGTCATCTCTGTATTTGTTGGAAGAGTCCAACACTTCATGAACGCCGCATCGCCCACACAAGTAAGGGTCGCATTCACGATTATGCTTCCAACATTCGCACCGGCTGTCTTTGAAGCAGATCTTGTTGCCGCGGGTGGTACAGGTGCAGCCCCGAAAGCGTCGCTTGCACGCTTCATCGCATCCACAAAACCGCTCACAGTGCACCCTACTTTTGAAACAACTGCAAGCCGGATTGTTGTAGCAGGGCCCGGTGTGTGAGCATGGTATAAATGGAGGTCGCTGATCCAATTCGGCGCTCCTCGAGACATCAATATTCGGTATGACTTTGGGTTTCTTTTTCTTCTGAACATGGTTGGACTGTCGCTGAGCAGTACTACTGTCAGACATTGGCTCCGCATCCATGACGGGATGAGGAACATGGCATATGTGCCACACCAGATGCTCGAAAATCTTCATACAACTGACGTCCTTGACGATTCGTGAAATGAGACAAGGTCCACGCTTATTGTTGAGGTAGAATTGTAAGACTTTGTCGACCAGGATCTTCTCTGATGGTGAAGCAAAGGGTTGAAATTGCATGTCGGAGACCTTCGAATCTCGCCGATTGATAGCGTCCCAAAAACATAAGTCGCTGCAGAGCTCATCATCCGCCAGAACATGCCTGCTTCCTGCAGTCGTACGAAAATCCCCACTGATGGAGCCGTCCTCTTGTCGCCCTAGTATCTGTTGCAATGATTGAGTCGTGTCAACGCAGAACAGTCCGCATACGTGGGTGTCGCCTTGCTTGCGTTCGCGGGTGGGAAGACACATGAACTTTCGGAGATTGTGATCACCTTCCTCGTCGTTCACAAATGCTTTGAAATCTTCCGGATCTCTGCCTCCGTCTCCCTCATCAGTAGGCTCTTCATACGATCCATGGTCTGGACACTGATGGCGGAAACAGATAACACAGAAACCCAATCCCTTGGTGTCGACAGATGTGGGATCCTCATACAGTGGTTTCAGGATGCCACCCATAGTCACATGCCATAGACTAACCCCTGTCATCTCGTGAAAAGCGTAGGCTGCCAAACCAGCAAGCGCGAGCTTGTGATCGTCTGGCTTTGGCAGGCTGTTGAATGTTTCCTTATGAATCTGCCAGAAGGTCCATTTACTCTGATTGTCGGCCAGTTCGCAAGTACAACATCCCCTGGATTGTTCTTCCGACCATGCCCTTGATGCTTCCGCAGACCATTCACATCTGATCTCGCGTGGATCCCACAAAGCATGAGTGAAGAAGTACAGTACATCGCCAGCATGTATTCCAAGGGAGGAATAAAGTTCTTGCGCCCAAGGTTGCCACAACCATACGAGCTCCTGACAATCTCGTTGAGCCAACAAGCTGTCATGGTTGTTGTTGAATCTTTGCTCAAGCTCTGCATACTTTTCAGTCGCTTCAGGGTCTTGGACTTCGTCTTCTGCATCGTAAGGCCGGTACTTGGCAGTGCGATAATTGGGTGCCAGAAAACTCGAAGAAACCCTACCGATCGCTTTGTACTTTGGTAACAATGTGGCTCCCGTCCAAAATGAAGTTTCAGTAGCGCGGAGGACTAACGCTTTCCTACTCTGTGGCTTGACGAATGAAGCTCCCTCAGTTGGGGCACCACCTAACGGTGGAAGTAGACCCGAATTTGATCGTCTTTGGTCCGTCAGGGCTTTGAAGGGATCCTCTAAAGTCGAGTCAAGCTTGGGTCCGGGGTCCTGTTTCATGTCGATGGCCGCCTGCCGAAGATCGGCTTGTACTGTTTTCTCGCGCCATGCGAAAAGATCTTGACGTAGCTGTTCCATAATGATTGTGACTGTCTTAAGTTCGGGTTCAACAGGCGTTGCTTGCTCTGAGGTGCTCGATAGATCGGATTCTATACTTTCCTCTTCGTCGACGTGGCCGTCAACTAGGTGAGGTAAAGAGCCAAATTCCGGCAGAGACTGAGCCAGCACAGACATTCCGAGGTCTTCCACTCGTAATCTTGCATTGCTCCTTCGAGAAGCATCGCTCTGGTCGTCCAGCAGTGACTGACGAACGACGAAGGGGTTGGAAGCATCTGTGGATCTGTGCGCGACGGTGGCAGACCGTGGCAGAGCTAGTTTCACGATCTTCGACAGCCGCCGCTCGAGCGGAGGACGAGTGTCTGAATAGGAACAGAGGATGCCAGCCTTCCTGCAGTGTGCACAGGGCGAAAGTTTATCACACGTCAATTTCTGTTCGCTACAATTCGTGCAATCAACCGCATTCAGTTGGCCGGCTGGGGTATGCGCAGCACGTCTGGCAGTGCTGGAGGCGGTCTGACCAACCGTGACGATTGCTGAAGTCGAACGGGTCTTGGTGAATACGTTGTCTGGGCTTCGGGACGCTACAGCCTGCACATGCTGACGGGCTAAATCGCTAGCGACAGTCTGACTTGGTATTTCGATCCGGTTCACAAGCCTTCGGGTAATTTCTTCCCGGAGCGTCTGGCCGGCCTTATCGTGGGTGACTTGATTGCCGTTCGTCTGTATGTTTTGCTTGCCCATGCTCTGCTCAGGTGGGCTGCGATCGAGACCTATCTCAGCACGCTGTCGTTCGCCAGTCTGTTGGTGAGTAGTAGCGGGAAGGTATACGCGTTTAGACGACGCTGCTGATGTCAAGAAAGCAGAATGTCCATACCATGGAACTCGTCCGGCGCCGATACTTGTTTCAAAGCCCGCACTACTCCTCGAGGGGACCTGGGCCTGCTGGCGGTTCGCAGAGTTATCTGAATCCCGGGACACTAGTTTGTACCGCCATGCCGGTGGTGAAGCGATAGACTGTGCCGCAGACATATCGTGAGAAAGTGGTGATTGTGGTATGGACCGGGATGTCGCAGCGTGTGATGAAGAGGTGGCTGAGTGAAGTGAAGTCTGCGCACTTCCTCTATCTAGCGGGGCTTGTGGTTGCCTGAACCCAGGCGTAGATGGCACAGCCAACGATGCAGGCCTTTGTGAACGTCGGTTCAGCAGGCGCCATGGATTGATGGAATCTTCGTCGTCCAAGGTCAGATCTATGGGCGCTTTCCGACCATTCGTTCTGTTAGATACTTCCTCCTCGGAATCACTTAAGACGATTACGTCTTTATCACCAGAAGTGCGGGAGCTTCCATGGGAAGGCTGTCGGGGTGATGAGAACGGGAGCCTGATTGAGTCGCTGGGCCGCGAATGTGATTCTGGGCGAGCAGTCCTATCTTCCTGCCCCAGCCGCCTGAAATTCGACGACGGTGTAAACATGTTCGATGAAGCTCATATTATTTCACCACCACTCATAGTGACCTGTCTTTGACGCGTCACAAGACGCGACTCGGCGAAGACACTCTTTGTTCACCTCTGCCTTGCCCTGTAAATTTGTCGACGGTCATTTTCGTAACATCAGGCACTTGAAAACTGAATCTTTCTCGCGTAAAAACGTGAATGACCTTGTAAAGGGTTAGTGAAGGTGGTGAATATGAAGATTCGATCCGTACTTAGGTAGTTAGCAATAACTAAACCGGGGACGGCGCCGCGGGCAAAGTTGCAGTTAAGTGATTCCTGCCGACTAAAGGGGTCTTGGCAACCCTCAGCCTGGTAACGTTAACAACCGCCCATTCATCGCTGCTAAAGAATAAAATTTCCCTGTCCCAGAGCTCACTCGGGTCATTCTTCAATTCAACTACTCTAACTTATATGAAGTACGGCTCGCCAGACTTCAATGCCATGTGTCATCGAGGTAAGCCTACACACGCGGTACGAAATCTCTACTAAGAACATCCAGTCCCAGGCATCATGTCTACCCGTTAGCGCTCTTGAATATACAAGACTCCGGGATGGGTCGTCCATTCTGTTCGCTGGACAAGGTCCATATTTGATCGTATACGTCGATGGAAGCAAATTGTTGTCTCACCGCGTCTTCGAGACTCAATCGGTCCATGGCATCCGAATAGCTTCAGAACCTAAGTCTTGGGCCAAGGCGGACCTCTTCAATGTCGTTATCTGGGGCGGTGGTCTGGTGCAATCCGTGAGGCTGACACTAGACACGAACAAGCACCGCACGAGGTCTTCAGGTGTTCAATTGGTTTTAGCCACTGAATTTGATGCGAAAGACTGGATTCTCGACGCCGTATTTCTGTCCTCCAGCATCTTCCTGCTTACAGCACACAACGTCCTTGTCGATATCCCTATATCTTGTCGAGAAACCAGGAATGGTCTGGCTTGCGAGAAATCTTCAGTCATCCACGGGCCCGCCGCCTTCCTTTACTCTGGTGACCTTTTGATCGCCTCTTCAGATCTGATCATCGTTGCTGCTGGGACAGTGTTTGGTGAAATTTTAGTTTGGACATGTTTCCGAGACCCCGACCGTGAAGTATGGCTTACGTCCACAAGACATGTCTTCACTGGGCATAAGGGTTCCGTTTTTGGTGTTGCTATCTCTGAAGTGTCGGACTTGATGAACAAAGCTACCCGGTTGCTTGCGAGCTGCAGCGATGATCGCACAATCCAGCTCTGGGACATCAGTGACTGCGAGGAATTGTCTCACAAGGGCACCCCCAGCACCACGACAACCAATACCGGTTTCGGAAGCATCGAAGAAGGCGAAGAATGTGCATTGACGTCCGCTTGGGGCCACAGCTCTCGCATCTGGGGCGTCGAGTTCGTGACGAGCACGTCAAACAATGAGGCCCAGGAAGTGCTGCTTCTCTCGCGTGGAGAGGACGCCGTGTGTCAATTATGGTCTATCAAGGGATCTAAAAGCCAGAAACCAAACGACTTGCGCCTCATACCTGCAGCAAACGTACGGCATCATCTGGGTAAACATGCCTGGTCCATGTCACATGGTCTGAACGACCAGGATCTTACTGTCTTCACTGGCGGTGCAGATGGGCAGATCATCTCGAGGCATTTTGGCCGTCATGGTAGCCTGGCAGCTGGTCCGACCACCATTTCAACCGTCTTCAAGAATATCACCGGGTCATCTCTGGCGCTGAAGCATTATTGCCCAATAAATCAAAATATATGCTTCGCAACAACGGATTCTGGTGATCTGTTCAGCATAACGGCAGAGCAAGGAGAGCTGAAATGCAGCCACATCTACTCAAGCCCGCAAAAAGGGGCGATCTTGCTGTGCAATGTTGAATTTTTGGGGGTGGTCCTCCTTGCTCAGCAGAGAGGCGCTTTGTTTGCCGCAACACTGAACCACGCGGATCCGCTGATGCCATTCAAGCTGAGCGTGCCTTCTGGTATCTGCTGGATGCAAGTTGCCTCTTCGCCCGGCGCTTGTCAGCTGCAAAGCGTTGCTTGCGTTGTGGCGGCCCTGACAAACGGTGATGCAGTCATTATCTGGTTGACAGTCGAAGGAGGATCATTGCATATTAAGCACAGGACCCTTGATCTTCCTCAGACATTTGTCATAACAGCTTCTGCGTATGATATTTCGTCAGGAGCACTCTTACTGGGTTCTCGTGCGGGTGCTTTAGCAGTATATCCAAATCTATCAACAGGCACAGAGCGTATTGACGAGCCGTTTTGTGTGCGGCATATCCATGGCAGCGATAGTGTCACATCCATCAGCGTTTTGGAGTCTTCGCGATCTACCCAAGGCTTTTCCGGATTGCACATCCTTACAACGGGTCGTGATGGTACGTTTGCTATACATCAACTTGACCAAGCTCGGCTGTCTCTGTCAACTGTCCATATCTCTTCGCCCTCTTTTGGACCAAACATTGAAGGAGCATACCTTTCCCCGCGGACTAACCCTTCAGATACAGAGACATACGATCTTGTCTTATACGGTTTCCGCTCAACATCTTTCGTTGTTTGGAACGAAACTCAACTTTCCACTGTCATGTCTGTTGAATGCGGTGGCGCCCACAGAAGCTGGGCGTACAACGATTCAATACTCTCCACAAGCCCTTCTCGGCGGCGGTCATTGACCGAAGACTTTGAGGTCCTCGAGCCAACCAAAACATTTGTCTGGACCAAAGCAGGCAAATTAAATTGGTACTCAATGCAAGAACCTGGCCATACCTTTATTCAGAGAGGTGGCCACGGACGAGAGATTAAAGCTATAGCCCGCAGTTCCAGGTGTCTTCATGGAAGACCTCTTATTGCCACTGGAGCAGAGGACACCAATATACATCTGTTCTCAATGGATGGCGACCCAGGGAAAACCAGCTTCCAGAACATAGCAGTCCTCAACCGCCACACCACTGGTCTACAGCACCTCCTTTTCTCCCGTTCAGGCACATTCTTATTCAGCAGTGCAGGTTGCGAAGAGTTCTACATTTGGAAGCTTACCTTTGATGTACCCTATTTCAACATGGGAGTGGTCTTGTGGGACATGATGCCCAAGGAAGAGGACGACTCAGACGCCAGAATCATGAGCTTTGATGTACTGGAGAGTAAGCCTACTCCAGCTGCGAGCACAAACAACCATCAAAGCCCCCTTCCCATGGAAGAGAGCTATACGTTGGCACTGGCATATTCGAACGGCAAGTGTAAAGTAATTCGGTACATTCCGTCTTCGGCACGAGACCAAGGTGAATTCGAGACCTTACGGGAGATCCAATATGGCAGTTTCTGCGTGATGCAAGCTTTCTTCCTTTCACAGAACCAGAATCAGACTCAGATTCTATCAGCGGGCACAAATGGGTATCTGAATCTGAGTGGCGTGAAGGAGGCTATAGCGCTCACTGATGGCGGCAATCCATTACAACATGTATCGCCATCTATAATGGAAGTCCACAAAGTGCACCAGAGCAGCATTTTATGCATGGATGTTTTGGCCCTGGATTCGAAAACGAAAATGTACCTCGTCGCTACAGGTGGTGACGATAACGCCTTGGGTCTGTCACTTCTCACACCCATTTCGGACTCGACAGAGGAAGTCCACCTGGACGGTAACAAGCATGACCTTCTTCGTCATCGTCTCCGGACGATTCTCATTCCTCGAGCCCATGCTGCGGCAATTACTGCCTTGAAATTTGCAAGCTTGTTGCGCACGAAGACTGGATACACCGTGACCGTTGTGAGTGTAGGCAACGATCAACGAGTGAAAGTTTGGAAAGTCTACGTCGACTTGAAGAGAGCTATGTCGTCCTTCTCACAGCCCATGGACACTGAGGCCGAGAGTGACGGGCTTTTTAAAGGCATACAAATCGAAAGGCTAGGCAGTGCTTGGACGTCTGTTGCGGATGTAAGCGGTCTCGAGGCCATCACAGAAAGCGAGATCAACGAAGCCATGGGTGATCTGAGTACGGATGTTACTACTGGGGAGAGCCATGAGGACGGTTGCCGAGTCCTGGTGACCGGGGTCGGCATGGAGCTGTTGAGCGTGAAGACCCATGGCAATGATAGTAAAGAAATGCCTACCTCATAGGAGTCTAAACCAAGCAAAAAAAGTAACACTCCCAGGGAAGTCCTCGTCTACTCACCTAGCTCGAGCACATTCGCGTCGATACATCCACCACTTCAACACCACCTCAAGTAGTCCAGCAAAAGGGCAAAAAGAATAGTTCCTATGGGGATCGAACCCATGACCTTCTCCGGGCCAAGCAATTTTTGTAAAGGAGATGTGATAAACCACTACACCTATAGAATTCTGTTAAATTTCTGTCGATAGATGGACAGCGGGAAGGTGGACTCACTAAGGAACTTTTTGTGATAAATTTTGTGTGTCAAATCGGAGCTCATTTTTCGTGTATTGAAAGTATGATCTTATGTTAATGTGGTTCCCCGCATTACGAACCTCCCCCTCCTCAATATCTCCAACATTCACCTGAGGGTCTCCGGCTACTCTCCTTTCATCAACCCTGCGTCTCGGGTTTCGAGTCGGCATAGACGGCTTCGATTGCGAGGCATGTTGAGGGAGCCAATGATGTGATCCTCGGATGGCGACAATGGCTTCTCGAAAGATGACCTCGGGATTGTAGCTCCACCTGCTTGAGCACCGCTTTCTGTTTTTGGTATATATTCAGGAATCTTGTCCGCTCCATGCGTTTTGCTTGCAGGATGATACCGTGTTGATTGATGACTATCCTGCTTGGAGCTCCTTTACCTGGAAATCATCACCTTCGATATTACCAGCTTCTCTTGTAGGACAGACTTGCTGCCGGTGGATACAGCTCTAGGCCACAATACAGCACCATGGAGTACGATACAGCAATCGTGAAAGCCCCGCCAACGGTAGACAAAAGCTCTGCTGAAAAGACCGACGTCGAATCTGCTCGAGGACATCTTCGGGCAAAGTCAGAAAATGTCGACGTGTCGGTCCTCAATGAACCCATCACATTCGCATTCTCTGGCCGAACAGCAAAGAACAGATTCCTCAAGGCTCCAATGACAGAGAGATTGTGCCACTGGAACAAAGAGGGTGAAGACATCGTTAGTGCACACTGTCATATCCCTTTCCCGATAAAGATTGACCTCGACGTATAGTCTGCCAGGGGTGTGCCCAGCCCTGAATATATCAACCTGTACAAGCGCTGGGGAGAAGGCGAGATCGGCGTCATCGTCAGCGGAAACACAATGGTTCGTTATGACGCTGTCGAGGCTTTTGGAAACCCGATCCTTGTTGACGACCACGACGGGCGGGTAGCCAAGTTCAGGGAGGTGACAGATGCTGCCAAAGCTCATGGCTCGCTTATCGTTGCGCAGCTGTCACATCCAGGACGACAGGGCACCAGGTACTTGAATCCAAACCCTATCAGTGCGAGTGATGTCCATTTGGCTATCAAATGGGCAGGCAACGAGTTCAATAAACCCAGACCCATGACAATCCCGGAGATTAAACAGATGGTCAAATACTGGGGTGAGAGCGCCTATTTGTGCTACAAGGCTGGGTTTGACGGCGTGCAAGGTAAGCTTGACTCGAGCACTTGAGAGTATTGTCCATTGATGGTTCAATTAGTACATTGTGCACACGGCTACCTCCTGGCGCAATTTCTCAGCCTGTCAACGAACAAACGTACCGACGAGTATGGAGGAGACTTGAACAACAGATCCCGGATCGTGTTCGAGATAATCGAAGAGATCCACCGGCGCGTGCCTGATCCGTCGTTCATCATCTGCGTGAAGCTCAACTCCGTCGAGTTCCAAGACAAGGGCACAACGCCCGAGGATGCGCGAGACATGTGTCTCAAGTTCGAAGAAGCGGGCGTAGACTTTGTCGATCTTTCAGGTGGGACATTTGAAGCTCGAGCGTTTGAACATAAGAAAGAAAGCACGATTAAACGGGAGGCGTACTTCATTGAGTTTGCCGAAATGATTCGACCTTTGTTGAAGAAGACCAAGATCTATGTTACAGGTGGATTTCGGACGGCGTCAGGGATGGTCAAGGCTGTTTCAGAGGGATCATTGGATGGGATCGGTATAGGAAGACCACTTGCAGCAGAACCATATCTATGCAAGGATTTGTTGGAGGGCAAGATCACGGGAGCAATTGAGAATCTCGTGCCCCTGCCTTTGAACACACAGTCCAGTGGCACGCAACTGCATCAGATCGGGCAAGGGGATGATCTGATCAGTGACTGGAGTGTGGAGACCGAGGTCAAGAGATGGGTGGAGGCGCATGAGAAGGACACGGAAAGGAAACTCAGCATCTTGCCCAAGGTGGATAGTTCGGGTTTCGCGCCTCTAAAGGCTGAGGCTGGGTTTGCCTATCTGCAATCTTGAAATGCGCCGCTAAGAGAAATTTGTCCCGGGCGGACACAAAACAACCCGTAAACACGGCAAGCATAGAACAGTAGTTGCGGTAGGGGCTTTCGTCTTTTCGTGGCTGCTGAATTTTGTATCATTTCATGTTCCGGCTCTGATCTGTCTGAAGGGCCACTGCTACCTCAAAGCAATTTCTGACGCCGGTAGCATCTTTCCTCGAAACCGTCCCTGTAGCAAGTATGCATATGCTTCGCTTGGTTCATACCGAAACCGCCTTTGCAAATCACCACTCAAGCCCTGCCGTCGCTAATACCAATCTAAAACTTTTGGAATGACTTGACTGCCTTTCCAGTTCGGGGCAGCACACGGAGAACGTTGAATCGGACCTAAAAAGACAATCAGCGATCGTGTCTTCCTGTGTCAGAATCATATATCCTTACAGTCTTGCTCAAAGGTCTGCATTGGCCAACAGTGACTGTGTCACCCTCTTCAACACGGAAAGCAGGGGAAACGTGTGCGGCAAGGTTGGCGTGTCTCTTCTCGTATCTGGCGTATTTAGGAACGAAGTGAAGGTATTCTCGGCGGATGATCAGGGTTCTGTGCATTTTGGTCGAAACGACTTTGCCGGTAAGGATACGACCTCGGATAGAGACCATACCAGTGAAAGGGCACTTCTTGTCTGCAATGAAATATCGCATGTCAGTATATATTCGTATTGTAGCGCATGTAATTTTTCGATCGCTCTACTCGACTTCGTTTTCTTCGAACGACAATGATAGAGGGCTAGAGTCTACTGACCGATGTATGAGCCTTCAATGGCAGTCTTTGGTGTTCTGAAACCCAGTCCAACATCTTTGTACCATCTTCGGCCACCCTTGCCGATACCTCTGCTCTTTGCCGACTTCGCCTTGGAGTTCAGGAAAATGTGAGGTTGCTTCTGGTATGCGCGCTCGGACTGGACGGTCAATTCGGTCGCCATGGTTGCGGTTGTTGGCAGAGATTGCGCAAATGTCGTCGAACTACAGATCGTGAGGTTGGTCGGCTCGAATTTTGACTATCTCCAAGTGCGAAATTTTGCCAAGATATTTCATCGCCAAGCGCTTCGTTATGTCAGCATTATGCATCACGTGCCGGCGAGGACTCTTCGTGTTTACCCCATGCTCTATTGAGTTTAGACTTGTACGCGATTCGAGGTGGACGTGAACCTGGTCTGTTCAAACCAAACATCATTGTTAGCATGCAAAACACCCTACCTCGTTTATACACATCCCTTTCTATGGTCGTGCTACGGTTCGAGCCACTGTAGCAATGGCCGACCCTCTGTCTAATACTAGATCCAGCAAAATCAGATCGCGACAGTCGATTGCGCATTTCCCGTCGTCGAGGAACTCTGCTCTAAAGGACAATGTAACAACCGATATTGCTGCCTTGCAGGCTCAGCATAATGTGTCGCCAGCAAGAGGAAAGAGGTCGCGGGGAAAGAGTATCGGCCCTGGAGGACTAGAAGCTTTAATAGAGTCAACCGGTAACATCATCAAGGTAACTTGCAAGTTGTATGTCTGGGCAGTCGCATCGCTAATTACGACCAGTCAACAGCAGCTGTCCAGATCAAATCTATCCTGAAGCCTTCAATTCCACTCACGCCGCCAAAGGTGATACCTACCTTCGATGAATTACGAAAACGAAGCACGGGAAAGGGCCGGTCACCTGTAAAGACTGCCGCAGAAGATCTGCTCATTGACTTCTCAACACCTGGACCGACCCGGCGGGAAGGAGCTGAGACTTCAATGTCAGGCACAGAAAATGTGGCAGACCCGTTCAGTCCAATCACGCGACGATCGCCTCGAAGACAGGAAGTCGACAACACTGAAACTCGTGAGCGCGAACGTGAGGAAGAGCGAAAGCGCAAGGCAGAAAAGCAAGCGATTCTTGAGCGCAGAGCTGCGCGTCGAAAGTCGTTGGCGAACAGAAGAGTCTCGTTCGCTCCAGAGGCCACATTGCATACATGGAGTGTGATGGAGCTTGCTGAGGACTCGACTACAAGCTCGGCTTCAAACTCCACAAGAAGACAGTCTTCAATGACAGTGCAGCAGTCACCAGTAAAGGTGGCTGGACCCTCAGAAGCGCATACAGTACCGTCAACTCCTGCCGAGCAAATTGACGACCCAATCGTAACAGATTCACCCGAACATCAGCGAAACCTTCACCAACGGAAACGTCGAAGAAGAAGCTCTGGTGGTCCAGAAGTCATGCTGGATGCTTCCCAAGATGAAGTCTTCTTCTCTAGTCCATCAGGTGATGAGACTACAAACAGCAGCCCTGTGCGCATCGAGGAAGGCATCGAGTCGTCTGAAGATTCGGACAGTGATGGCGACACTGCGATGAGTATGGACGATGCTACTAGTCATACGGTAACCTCTCAGGAGTCAGGGTCAAGCACACATTCTAGTTTGGAAGCACGTCTACGTGAAGCAGCGGAACAAGCTGGGACAGCTGGTATACATTATGACGAGCACGGAGAGGATATGTCGATGGAGATGGTTGATGGAACAGTAACAAACGCATTCCAACCATGGGCGCGAAACCAGAAAATGGACCATGCGAATGACGCTGTAGGTGACCAGGGAAATGACATCAATACTGTTGGTCGCGCGCAGCCTCCAATCTCGGAGATGGATGCGGTTGAAGAGGTTGAAAAAGAGTCGCAAATCCCATCAGAGGACATGAGTATGGATGTCACCAGAGCGGTTGGTGCCATCTTAACCCGCGACTCTCCCAGCAAGAAAGAACAGAAGTCTCCAAAAGGGCGGCGAAGAAGCATTCGTCCTCGCCGATCTTCGGGAGCCGAGTCCGCATACGACGAAACTATGGAATTTACAAGGATGCAAGGAGGAATCCTTGGAACAGTGTCTCATGCAAGTGCTGCTGATACAACGCAAATGCGTGGCTCCGACGACGACATGACGATGGAGGTTACAAAAGCTTTTGGCGGGGTTTTAAGCAGTGCTGCTCGCCGTGAATCGATTGCCTCTGAGCAAGACGAGGAAAATGAGACGATGGATATGACAGCTGCTGTTGGAACGATACTACCGCCGATAGACGAGGATACCGAACCACTGACCGACGCGGGAGACCAGACTATGGCAATGGAGATGACCAAAGCAGTGGGCGCAATACTGAAACAGTCCCCAGCGAAGAAAAGAGTGGCACGACAATCTATCGTGAACATGCATCATCCTTCCATGATGGAAGAAGAGCAAACGATGGAAATGGAGATGACAAAGGCAGTAGGCGCAATCCTACAACAATCTCCCTCAAAGAGAAGAGTGGCACGACAATCACTTGGGAACATACAGCATCCATCTGACACGGAAGAAGAGCAAACGATCGCAATGGAGATGACCAAAGCGGTCGGCGCCATCTTGCAACAAGATTCGACCACAAGAGGCAGGCCGGCGGAGCAGCCTGCTCGAAGTGCGAGTACGCCATCACCAGCCTATAATGCTGAACGGACAACACCAAAATCCACACCAAAGTCTCAATTACATATGACATCTGTTGCCTCCGAGACTGGAAGTCCAAGTCGTGTCTTGAAGCCGCAGATGTCCGGGAGATCTCAGAGGAGTACACGAACAGCATCTACAACCCCACAAACAAATCCGAAGACTAATACACCAGTGAAGTCACCAAGTCGACTCCAAGCGGAAACTCCGTCAAAGCAGATTACACCTCTTCCACACCGAGCTGAAACTCCTAACAAGACTCCCTCATCGGCCAATGTGACACATCGAGGTGCATCCCCAAAGAAATTGTTCAGATCTGAAATCAAAGCTAGGGCTTCCCCAGCATCGGTCAAGCGAGAAGCCAATCTCAACGCTAAGACGCTTTTTTCCCGAGATGCTGAAACTGGCCAACAGACACCGAGTGTTGTTCTTCGTGCTCCGAGGCCACAGTTTAGTAGGCGAAGATCGAGTGGCATCGGTATTGATCGAGACGGCATCGGGTCACACAAGGTCTCTGAGATACTTGACCGAAGAGCGTCTATCGGCGAAGCAGCAGTGGAATTCAGGCTTGGTAGTACAGAAGCCCGGAAATTACGATTTGAAGATCCTACCCAGCTGGAGCAAGAAGTGGAAGCGGAGCGAACCGAAGAGCACCGCCAGGAAAGTGGCCGATTCATCATGGAGCAAGAGGCAGACGGCTCTCAAGAAGAGACTGGCACTTTGCAGATAAAAGAGATGATCGAAACTATGTCTCCAAAGAAATCGAAGGCTGGCAAAGGCAAGGCAAGAAAGAGTCTGGCTGTTGGTGGTGCTAAGGGTCTGTTGGGAAAGAGACCCGCAGAACTGGACATGGACGACGAAGACGATGTTGAGTCGACCCCAAAACGCCTGAAGGCTGTGTCTCGAGAAGGAAGCCCGGTAAAGAAGATCCACTTACCAAAACCACCAAGCAAAGACGAGACAACAGGCAGACTAAGTGCGAGACTACAACACTCACTTGGTGCCATGGCTGGCGTCGATAATTTGACGCCGAAATTGGGACCTCCATCGCCAGGCAGATTTACGGCAGCTGCAAGCCCTGCTGCCATTGGACGCTTCAAGGACGTTCCCGTCGCAGAGGAAGAAAGACCTACCTCTTTTGAAGACAAGCTTGATAACGTTGTTGGCGCCATTGACGTCTCAACCGCTCAGCTGAAGGATGGCTCTGACCAGCAGGAAGAGGAGAAGATCTCATTGCAAGAATTTCTCAACATGACAAACATTCATTTCATTGAACTGTCAACAACCAAGAGAAGACACACCATGGCACAATCACTGCAGGCCAACGGCGCCCCAGAGAGTGCTGAGACCTCCAACACGGAAACGAACTTCGTTGCTGCCGCTACCACATTGCCTATGCTGGAGTTGTATCAGCACGCCACGCGAGAGTTGAAGTCGTATATCTCAACAGGGCGCAAGATCATTCGCACAATTGAAGCAGAGACTTTGGCCGAGCAGCCACCACTCTTCCGCGAGTACCTTGACGCACGTCCAGATGTGAAAGTCGTCATGGACAATCAGTTTCGCAATGGCAAGGCGAACGCAAGGCTACAGAGCAAAGAGGGATGGTATCAATGGCGTGGACAGCTTGTCGAGGGTCTCAAGGCAGGTTTAGAAGGCATCAAGCAAGGTATGACGGATGACTTTGACCTGCTGCAGCATCAACAGCAGGTTTTGGATGATGTCATGCCTCGATTACTTCAAGAGCAGGATCGGCTGCAGAACCGACATGTATGTTATCAGCAGAACGTGGAAGAACTGGACAACATTGACCATGAAGCGCTGGCCGACTGCCGCAGTCAGCTGCGCGATGCTGATGCGCAATACCTGCGAAAATCGACATTGTTGAAAGCTCTGCAACAGCAAATGACAGAAAAGGATGAAGCACTTTCGGCAGCTGCGGAAATCAAGACCGAAATGCAAAATCAGATTGCTGAGGCTGACCGGGTCAGGGACGAGCTTAAAGGTTGGCCTGTTGCTGACGTTCTGGCGCTGAAGTCGAGGGTTGACAACATTCAACAACAGACTGGTTGGCGACTCCTGACTGCCGAAGCCGAGGTCGAAGAGCCTGATGAGTTTGGTCCTGCTCTCATCATGCGGTACAAGGATGAGCTACGGTTGTTCTTCTACCCACAAGCTTTCCAATGCAGACCTTCCGATGGCCACCGGCGCAGATCAGGAAGGAAATCTGCGTCTGTCTCCGGTCCATCTGCCCCGATCAGCTTACTCTTCGCGCCGGGTGAGGAGGACGACATCGAAGCTGCTCCGCAGGAGCTGCCCACAGAGAAGCGCTTCTTTCTGCAATTAATTCGAAGCCAACTGCATGGCTTTGCGATGATGCCCAAAGGAAGCATCACACCGAGGACATTGCTATCGACTGTGTCGAAGGGCTGGGAGCTTGCATGCAAGGTGTCTAAAGAGCTGAAGCTCCTCAAGCTCACTGGCATCACGGTAGCCTCGATTCTTGGAGACGAGAAGCTAGGCGTCACGGTCATGCTGATTATACCTGGCCAAGGTCGAGTCAATATAGGGTTCACCATGACCGTGACTATCCTCAATGACGGTGATTTCATGACTAAGGTGAGCGTCACGGCTGATGCGATTTATGGGTCGGCTGAGGACACTCTTGCTGGAAAGAACAGAAAGATTCAAACTGCGCTGGGGAAGGAGGTTCAAAGCAGTACATTGGGAGAAGGGGCCTGGATCAATGCGATCCATGGGTTTCAAGACTGGCTGAGCAGCCAGGGCAGAGTCAAGGAGGGGGAACCTGAGACGACGACGACGAATGATGATCAGGTCGTCGCTGCTGCGGATACCCGTCTGGCTCCTGCCGCTGCTCTCGCGATTGCAGAAATTGGCCATGCCGCTACCACCAGTGCGCCGTCTCCGCCTGTACCTGCACCCGCACCTGTTGCAATCAAGCGCTCACCATTGGCGCCCAAGCGAACAAACATGGTACAGAAGAAATCTTTGCCAGTGTCGAAGCAGCGATTGGAAAAGCTCAATGCCCAGCAGCTCTCGCAGGCGCTCGACAAGGAGAACTTCAACCCGTCGCTTTCCGTGTCGAGTAAAGGTATACCAGCACACAATGAAACGAGTGATTGGGAGAGGGAGTCTGCCAGGCCAGCGATCCCGCCGGAGATGCAGGAGGTGATGATGCATACGCCTATCAAGCGTGTTGGAGCGTTGAGAAGAAGTCCGATTTGAGAATATTCATCACGAATTACGAAGCGATGGCACAATGCAAGGGAGTAGAGACCTGATAGGATGCCAAATACAGCGACAATCGCATCATTGTTCATGTTTGATTAAAATGCGTAGAATCATTGTTCTTCATTCCGCGTGCATTTTGGTATCAGGAGAGCATCGGACCTAGCTCTTGTAGGAATAACGTTAGACCTCTGATTCCCATCAGTAGGCACCGCTTCTGCCACCACCGCTGCCGCCGGCATACCCTCCGTATCCACCGCCGCCACCACCACCACCACCACTACTGCTACCACCATATCCTCCATGTCCACCGCTCTCATCACCCGCCGTGATAGACTTGGTCGCTCCCGCGGCGCCACGGCCCTGCTTCTTCTGCTGCGCGGCCTCATGCTTCCTCAACTCCTCCGGCACACGACTGATACTGCTCTTCATAAGCATTTGTTTCAGGTCGTACAACACCTCCGAGTCCTCATTGCCCAGGAATGTAATGGCCACACCACTCTTGCCTGCACGACCTGTACGACCGACACGATGGGTATAACTCTCGATATTGTGCGCCATGTTGAAGTTGACCACAAGACTGACATCAGGTACATCGATACCACGACCTGCCAAATCCGTCGCAACGAGGACATCTGTCTTGCCGTCGCGCACGGATTGCAACGCAGCCTCACGCTGGTCTTGCGTTTTGGAGCCGTGTAGTGTGACGGAGCTGAAACCCATGTGCTTGATGTCGCGGGCGACGGCGTCGCAGTTGCGCTTGATGTTGACGAATACAATGATCGGTGGACGAAACTCGCCGGACGCGAGGATCTCGTTGAGACGTTTCTTGCGCTTGTCTTCGCCAGAGACGAATTCGACGCGTTGCTCGACCGTCTCGACTGCTTCGCCGACATTGCCGATGGTTACGATCGCCGGTCTCCGCAAGTATTTTCGTGCGATGCGTTCGACGGCTGCGGGCATAGTAGCTGTGTACATCATCGTCTGGCGGTAACGGTCCTTCCCACCAAGAGCTTGGGACATGGCACGGGGGTCTTCAGCGATGTCTGAGTCTGGTTTCTCGTTGGTCACGGGTAAGGCGTCAAGGATTTTGTTGACGGGTTCTTCGAAACCGAGATCGATCATGCGATCTGCTTCATCCATGATTACATAGCAGCATTGTTCGAGGACGATGATGCGCCGCTCGATGCAGTCGACTAGACGACCAGGAGTGGCGATGATGATTTCAGCACCATTGCGCAGATTGTATGCTTGCTCCTCGATGGAGTGGCCACCGACTATAGAGACAACAGTGAACCCGAGGGGTGTGGCGAACTTTTTAGCTTCGATTTCGATTTGCTGTGCCAATTCACGTGTCGGCGCAAGGATGATGGCATAAGGGCCGCTGTTCCGCCGCATGTCGTCTTCATCAAGTCGAGGTAGTTCTGCGATGTAGACGAGTAGAGGTAGTAGGAATGCTGCCGTTTTACCGGAACCAGTCACTGCCACACCAATAAGATCGCGATTCTGCAGGGCGATAGGGATGGCAGCTCTCTGAACCGCCGAAGGTTCCACGTAGCCAACTTGATCAACAATGTCCAGTAATCGTTGTGGAAGGTTGGATTCTTTCCAGTTTCGCATGGGATTCGGTATGCCGCCACCTTTCGTGGCAATGTTGAAATCTTCCTTGAAGATTCGCCAATCTCTCTCCCGCATCTGATCCAGTCTCTTTTCACTCCAGTGCTTGTCGATGGCCATGCGATTAGACTCTTCCTTCCGTCTCCGCTCCATCTCCAAGATCTCCTGGGCGCGTGCTGCTCCCGCCTCACCATCTCTCGACTGCAACGCCTCCGCATACTTGCGGGCAGCTTCATCAGCCACCTGCTCGTCAAATCCACCCAGTCGACCTCGGCCAAAGAAACTCGGCTGCGCTCGGTTGTTGTAGATAGGGTTGTAGTCTGGTGTCGTGTCTTCCTCCGCGTTCCATTCAAAGTTGAACTTCTTCTCTGTAGTCCGCCGTCGTTTCTTCATAGCCGAGAATGTGGAGACATTAATATCTGCGCCCATATATCTTTGCCGGATCAGTTCAGCTTCTGGCTTCTCACTCTTGCCTTCATCCGCTTGTCGCTTTTGTGCCTTTGAGTCGCTGTTGCCGAACGCTATTGACTTCGGGGCTGGGGGTGGCGTGAAATCTACACCCCTGTTTGATTCTCTTGACCGCATCGCGCTAGGACCGGTGGGAACGTCTCCATTGCGAAAAGCCTTTGGGCCTGTCGGGGCTGAGGAGTGCTTGGGTCTTTCGGGCTCGTTGGCTGCATGGTGGGAGCCATTGCTAAGACTACCATTCTGGGGTTTGGATGACTTGGCCGCCTCGACTTCTTTTGCCCTCTTCTCCAGGGCCAATCGTTCGCGTTCGGCTCGAGATAGGAATTTCGGCTTGCTTGCTGCAAGGTCGGCCTCTCGTTTCTTCTTCAGCAGATCCTCCACACTTAACGGCGTACTCCTCGCTTTCATCGTCGTTGCCCATCCTCTTTTCTTGGGCGGGATCCCCTGGCCCATCGTGGGTGTTTCAGGAAGATTATCTGGGGGAGGCGGGACATGATCAAGCGGCGGAGGCGGTATATGTGCGTCGGAGGGAGGAGGGGGAACATCGATCCCGTGGTGGCCGTTGCCCATGTTGATGGTGAGCTACGAAGAAGGTGGTTACACGAATCGACTTGCGCACAAAGTGATTCTCATGCCTAAGAGTCTAAGACGGTCACGTAGGGTAGGAGCGGTTGCGAGTGGACGATGTGGTTTGGCAGTATAAAATAATTATTGCGGAGTTGAAGCCGCGCCTGGTCCCAGAAAAAGTGGCACCGTCTGACATACAGTAATGCGTATTGAAGACACAAGTTCGCAGTCAAGCTGATTCACAACAGCGGAAGCCTCGACAGCGAGACACGAGCATTGTACATCAGAGCTGATGGGCTCCCACAGGCCAAAGTCTAACGCTGTATCAGCGTGTGTGAAGGACTCCGGAATGACAACAAGAATGGCATTCACATGAACCTGATGAGGTACATCCGTCAGGACTGTGCCACTTTTTTTGGGAACAGCCTCGAAGCCTCCTAGAAAAATGTCGAACGGTGAAGATATGGTTCGCAGTGAAGAAGATATTTTACAGTGACTCTCGCGCTCTGATAGCGCCATCTTTAGGTATCCCATTTCCTCATGCCAACCGTGGACGATATTCTTTCCCACGTTTGAAACAGGATCGCGGTCGAACAAAGATACCATACGGAGTACACTCTCAGAACTCGTGCAATCATTTTCAGCCAGCCACTTCCAACAGTAACATATGTACCGATGGTGCTGGATTTACTTCCGTGGCGTCTTGTTATTGTCATAAGTGCTGTAGTCACCATTGTACAGTCCGGAATTCCCTCCAGCGAGCAGGGACCCTGCATTCTGGTTGCCAGCGACACCTGGCGCATTGGCCGACCACTTGTCAAATTCGACCTTGTCCATGCCGGTATATTTCTTGATCTCCTCTTCTGAAAGCTTGGAAGAACCGTCAGGGTTGCGCCCGTTTTTGAAATTCTGGAACGCCTTGTACTTGTCGCCGAGGAAGCCCATCTTGCTCGCAGCTGTTGCAGCCTTTCTAGCTTGGTGATATGAGAGAGAGTTGCTCTTATTTCAAACGCTCGAATTGACGGTTCTTCGACTGTATAGAATACAGCGGATGCGCCCCAGGTCGCAAAGGCTCCCTTTTTATATCTCACACCTGAGGTGCCAACCCGAGGCTGTCGATCCAATACGAGGATTACCCCATGATTTTTTGCCCTTTGCGCCGCCACGGGGCTCTGGGGTGTAAAAATAGTAGCAAACGACATCTGTGCAACCACGATCGACAACGCTTTATTTCGCGCATTCGATTTGTCCTGTGACACATTCTCGTTGCTGCCCCATGTAACAGACAGAAGAAAGTTGCAGCGCAGAGGTCAATACAATATACGAATATGTCAAGGAGACTCACTCAGAATACTGTGTATTCTCCCTGCGGCACAACCACAAAAGCCTACCACCGTCGTTTTACAACCAGGTCTATTGTGGCGCAAGGCTGAAAGTACCTCTTCAGTCGTACACGCTGAACCCTGCTTTGCCCCTGCGAAGTATCGTGCCATTCAACGTCAATAACGACAGCACCAAGTCGCTGGCTCACCATGTCACTAGACATGGCTACCAAGTACATATTCCACAATGTAAGTCCCCGGTCCATGGTCCCACAAAAGCGTATTATGACACCGCCTCCATATCAGGCCTACCTAGGTGCCGGGATATTATTCAGCAAAGCTGAAGCATCGTGACATTGCGGGTACCTTTGAAGAACAGTTGTGTCATGGAGTACATCGACAAGGTATCATTGTTTGTACCTTACATCCCATCTGAATCGCGCCCCAAAACGAATATACTCTAGTACAGCCACAATGTCCACCTCCAGCACCAACCCAATCTCCATCTCCAAAGACCTCGCCTTCATCCTCACCGTCAAAGTCTACATCAACCCAACCCAGACAACCAAGTTCTTCGAACTCTTCAAACCCGCGTACGACCACGTCCTCGCCGAATCGGAATGCCGCTTCTTCATCGTCAACACGACGCAAGAGCCCGGCTGCATCTCCTGGGTCGAAGGCTGGTCCAAGGACGTACAGTGGTTCATGGCCGAGCAGATGACAAAGTCGTACTACCAACCCTACCTGACCGAGTCCGAGGCAATGTTCATCAAGCCTAGAGAATTCGGAATCCACACGCCGCAAGAGGGCATGTGCCACTTCAAACTACCACTGTCTCAAACAGATTAAAGCGCCAGAAGGACATAGATAGACATGGCATGTGTTCAGCATTTTCCGTTCTTGATTGAATAAAACGACACTCAAGACCTGGGTATACACAAACTAGCCACTAGCCTAGTGAGCCTTTATCCGTCATCAGAGCTTTATTTTCCGGGCATTTCCTATGGTAGTCATTGATCATCAATGAGAGAAAAAGAGATCCGCTCCCATGCGCCGTGCCTTTTGTCACGCCATGCCAGTGCTCAATTATCATGACATTACTGCGCCCATGAAACTCGTGTAATAGTCTTCAAGGTCAAGTGAGTTACGCTGCAGCGGCCGTCATCCTCACGAATACCGGACTGGAGCGGGCTAAGAACAACGTTAGCGACGCTGCCCCACGAAGGTCGAAGAAGGTCTTACCTGTCCATTGACCGGCAGAAGCGGCTTGCCTGAGTCGCCCTGTGGCGCTGGCAATTTCTGAACCGAGGCCGGACCGTTGATCTCACGATCCAGGTTCATGTATTCCTTCGCTGCATCTTTCGTGCCTCTCTCCAACAGGTACTTCATGTACGTCGTGATGAGTTCCTGCACGGTTGCCTCAGGCAAAACACTCTTCGTGAGGATGTCGTCCACGACTCGTCGTATTCGGTCGTACTGCGACTGCTCCGAGCCGGCGGCGGTAGGCTGCTCGATTTCGAATCGCAGATAATTCGTCCAGAACGCCGCGCTTTCCAGATACCAATGCTGGTTCTTCTGGAACAACTGCCGGGCCTCTTCTGCCGCTCCCTTGACCTTCCACAGCAACTTCGCCCATTCCGCAACTAGCGCTGCTTTGGCTGTCGCATCGATTGCTTGTGACTCAATATGAGATTGATAGACTGCAATGGCTGAGTCCAGTCCCGAATGACGGCGGTTGACATTCGCGAGGGACACTATCGTCTGAACATGTCCCGGTAGATTGATCAGAATTGCCTCGTGAATGTCCTTTGCCACATCTACTCTTCCACTCATCTCTTCAAAGTAGGCATACTGAAGCCTGGTCGTGGGGAGTGCGATCGGCACGAAGATGCACGATGCTCTTTGGTAGATATTTCTGACTTCTTCCTCCTTACCCTGCTGAGCCAGCATCCACCTCGCGTACCGCAACCAAAACTCGTCATGTTGAGCGCAGGTGACCAGACACCGTTCATATAAGAATTGTGTTCGTGTATAGTCACCTTCCGATTCTTCAAAGTCAAGATACTTGCGCCAATTGGTGAGTTGACTCTCATCCAGCTCTGTGACGTGGAAGTATGGCCGCTTGATCTCGGACTCATAAGTCCATCGTTTCGTGGTCTCGGTCTGTGTCCGCCTGAAGAGCTCAAGATGATAGTTGTCGATACGAGCTCTCAGCTCTCGTTCCACTTCCGCTTGGTTTCGGCCGGCCTTGTAGCCAGCACCTTCGTTTTCAAGATCCATTTGCAGTTGGGTGAGCGTGCCGGGAGGGGCAATAACGGTCAGCGGCCGTGATTGGGCCCATTGTCGGTACTTTTCGAAGTAGCGAGCATACTGATGCATGGGAATCAGGATAATCCTGCCCAAAATGGTGAAAATCCGGTCAACCCCTTCCAGGCGCTCTTCAAACTCGATGTATTTGTCCCAGAATGGATGTGCGAGGAAGTCTAATCCAACACAAGCTGCGCCTCGCTCGAAAAGCCTGATCGTAAACGGATTAGTATTGTGAGAAACTCGGCAAGGGGTCAGGAGGGAGGTGGAGGAAGCAAACATGGCTGACGTGTATGTACGTGATGTGACGGTCCTGCAACCATTCTGAAAATAAAAGCCTGAATCATCATGGTGGGCACCGGGCCTCCTTCGGGCAAAGCAAATCAAAGCGCCTGACTGATGATCTGTGAGAACCAACTTCAGAGGGGTATATGGCTTGTGACGATCTCACCAATCTTGAGATGGCCATCGTCGCCCAATCAACACAGTTTCCGACGATCATATATCGTGCTGTGCCTAGATCTCAACAACAGGGGGATAATCTCTTGTACACTTACTCTCGAATAACGTCGGCATCGTGACTGGTTTCGGTCTTGAAAGAACAGTAGTTGGTCCATAGGTCGACCGAATTGGCGACGCTTGCAATTCCACGTTCGTAGACCTGTCATATCTTCAGTATGCGATCTCTTTCTCAGGCTTCAAACAGTCCTCACCATCTCCGCCGCTTCCGTTCCCGCTATGGAGAATTCGAGGTCGGCATACTTCTTCCAGTATCCGAAGAACAGTGGGAACTTTCCGAGCAGACGATCGTAGATACTCCGAACAGTGGTGATGGCTTGGGAGCTCGAATTTCGGTTGATTCCACCTTCCAACAACTCGCCTGCCCGTACGAGCTTCTCCCATATTTCGAAGTTGTCTGGGTCATCATTCTGCAGCGTCCCATCAGCTTAGGCCTCTTGTACTAGGCAAGGATTTCTCATACCACTTCCAGCAGGAGCTTTCGCAACTCTGCGCTCTCTTCATCGTTGCCTCCATAGACGTCCATGAGGCCGTAGCCTGGTTGTAACGGGTGATTCGTTCTCGCCAAGTGTAGACAGGGCCGCTCAACGGTGAGATAATGTAGGGATATTCGGGGATCGTTTCGTTCGTCGTCACCGGGAACAGACTATTATGCTGGATAGTATATAAGAGAAGATTGTGAATGTCGTCGGCTGAAGACGAACTCAAAAGCTCAGAAGATTTATTCGCGCCAAGTCCAGACCTGCGGACGCTGCGGAGCAATGCACTGCAACTGTAACTGGCATGGGAAAGTTTTTGGAGACTTTCACAGCATCAATAACCAAACACTTACTCATCACTCTACTCGATTGCCTACGCATGAGCTGAGGCCGACAGCCCTTTTGGTCAAGGGGCAAGTGCAGATAGGACTTTTTCGTCAATTGGCATTGGGCTAGCACTGAGACGAAACTTCTCCCGCCATGGCTACGACTACGGCAGCGGCGGCTCCAGGTTTGAAGCTGCCTAAGCGGTTACTCGATTTCTTTGCTCGATACCCTCCCGAGCAGTATTCGGCGAAAATCACAGGAATAACGCTCCCTCTGACGCGAAAAGAAGCGAAAGAAGCCGCCCGAACACGAGGAGTAAATACGGGCGCTCCTGCTCCTGTCCAGACGGACCACGCGATCGCAGATATCGAAACCTCGGAAGCCACCGTCTCTATACCTACACCTGCACCTTCATTTGCGCAGACGAATTTCCCACCGAACCCGTTCTTACCGCGAAAGAATTTCGAGACAGGACGTTGGGCGGGCGCGAGGATTGGTCTACGGCGGCAAGCCGAGCTGGTCAAGATGGCCAAGAAACTAAAAATCGAAGAGCTGCTTCCGCCGGGACGAAAATCGACCGATTTCAAGCAAGCGCGATTACTAGACAGAGGCTTGAGCGTCAAGGGTACCGGAGAAGGTCAAAAAGTCAAAGGACATAAATGGGAAAGACATATTGGGGCGACTCTGGAGAAGAGAAGGACTGCTATGGAGAATATGCCGGAGTTGGTACAGGAATGGAAACGGGTAGGACTTCAAATCTTCTCTTCGCAATCCGAGCAAGAGCGTATGCTAACATTTCGATTCTCTAGCGTGGCCATGGCCGTGGATGGAAGAAATATCCCAAATAAAACTTACTTGGATCTGGATTTTGTCACGAACTCAGTACAGTACTTCGTGACGCGATTTTCTGGCTTCACAATCAGCAGTCTCGGAGCGAGGCGTCACCGCACCGAGTCCGGTAACCGGACCTAAAGATCTGGAATGAAGTGTTTTGGGCGGGATTTGTCCCAGCTAAGTGCCAGCCTCCGCTCCGGAGCATTCGACTCTCGGCCTCTGCTGGCATGTGGATAAGCGTTAACAGGAGGGAGGTCTTTGAAGTGTATATACAATCTTCCAGACAGCTTCACGACGACAAGCTGTATATTGGCTGCACTAGGTTGTGGCCGTGTAAGATAGGATCATAATATCCCCGTGAAGAGTCTCAGAAGAGCATGTCCTGTCTCCTTGGATGGCTGAAGCTCTATATTCTGATCAAAGCCGCATAGTGGCAAGCAGGCCAGACGGTGCTCCGTCTGTTGCTTTTCGGAGTGGGGCCCACAAGCAGTCTGCTGCTGGAAAAAAGTCCCTCGACGGCGGAAATGTCAGACGCTGAATCTGGGTTCATCCGTTATATCAGCACCTTGCACTGTCTCATCTTGACCAGCGACACCCATAGAGCTACCAGCATTGCAGCTCCAACGAGCATGATCAGACCACTGAAAAGTTGCAGTCCAAGATAGTTGGTTCCATCCCCGAGCAGCGCGCCAGCGATGGGACTACCTATCAGTGAAGCAATGGCACCAATCGACTGTGCCATTCCAAGTCGAGTTCCGAGTACTTTCGGATCAGGACAGACCACCGGGAATATGCTTGGTGGCAAAGGTATCAGGGCGCCACTGAATCCACCTGTAGACTGTTAGCACCGGAAAAGCAGCCGAATAAGGCATCTATGCCAGCGGGCGTTTCCTACCATACAATGCTGCGTATGCCATGAAGGATGCCTTGCTGTGTGTACCGGTCCAAGCCAAATTGAGAATGGCAGAGATGGTGCCGCATGTGAGCCATGGTATCATGACACCGGTCCGCAGCGCTGTCGCAGAAGCAATGAGACGGCCAACGATTGAGACGCCTTGAGCGAGCACGATGGAATAGAGAGCCAAGGATTGAGACATCCCCAGCTTGTACTGGCCGTAGCTAGGTATGTAGAAGAAGGGAACAAGGTAGCCGGTGAACAACTGCTGACGTTAGCGTGATGACATGACTCAATTGGGTAGACAAATTGTACAAAAAAGTTTGCCCACGTGTATAACCAGAATGGCACATCTTTGAAAGCGCTTTTGTCGAAGAGCTTTCGCGCGGTACCCGAGGAAATGTCTCCAGTATTGCCGGTGCCCCAAAGCAATAAGGGAAAAGCTGTCAAGTATGTGCCAATCATGATGAAGCCCATCACCCTCACGGTCCAAGCAAAGCCGATCCGGTGTATGAGCTGATCAAAGACAATGGTGTAGATTATCCCTCCTGTTGGATATATGAGCCATGATCCCGCAGACTGTGTGAGAGGACGTTCTTACCAAATGGTGCGCCACAGGAAACCAGTCCAAGTGCCACTGCTCGCCGCCTGGAGAAAGAACGACTGGTGAGTGCGATACCGGGAATGTACAACACTCCACACCCAAGGCCTGTGCATATTCCTTGTGTCAAGACAATCTGGTAATATTGAGTGGACAGACTCAGCATCATGATGCCGAAACAGGTCACCACCGCTCCCCCAAATAGCATGACCTTGTAATGGCCGAGGTCAAACAATGGTCCGGAGATGGTCCCAACGACAATCAAAAGGTAGGATGCGAGAGTGCCAATCCAGGAAATCTCAGAAGAAGTTTTGCCTGGCAAGAAAGTCTGATAATAGTCTTGAAACATGCCAAAACAAAACGTGAAGCCCCTGTAGATACATTCGTCAGTCGCTGGCAGAGCATAGGAGGTTCGGCTTTATTTACCAAACGTTAAAAAAGACCAGCCAGCATCCAAATACTTGAAGCCATGCTCGTAGACCACCGTCTGGGACAACGATTGGCTGCAGCGTTACTGGAACGATCCGTTTTTCTTCGATGGCGATGTCCTCTGGCGTATCAGGTTCAACTGGAAGTGCCTCGATACCGAGCTTGGAGACTCCGTTGCCCGGCCTTGCCATGGTGGCCAGACTCACACGAATGTGCGGCGATAAACGACACCCTTACTGGACCTCCTCCGTGCAACCTCCACCACAGTCGAGAACAGCTTATGCAAGAACGAGCGGAATAAGATGTGCCATGAGAAGCGAGACTGCGAGCCGTTACGGATACTCACGCGTCAACAACAACCCCTGGATCTTGAAAAGTAGAAGAGGAGGGCCGTCAAAAGTACGAAAACCTGGGGCATCGATTCGCATTTTTAACCAGGAAGGTTCGCGTGAAGTATGGAGAAACGGCAGGGCAAATCGCACAATGCCGTCCTGTACGAGGAGGATGGACAGGTCATACCGAGGCCTAGTGAGCCTTCTCGGCCAGTCATAGAGGGGAAACTTCACCAGAACGCCAAAGACAGCATCGTAATCGGAAGTGGCGTGCCGTGAGTGGAGAAGAAAGAGACGAAGATCAAGTCCGCCATCAAAATGGCGTGCCAACTGCCTCCTGTTCCAGTACCGAGGGTTTCGTCCTCAAAATTTTGTATGAGCCCTTCCGTGTCTACAGCCGGAGAGGCAGACACTCCTTGGAAGAGACACGTCTACCTGAGCTGGAATCGATCATGTTGTGGAGTTGAAATTGAGCCATCGATTGTGTACAAACTGCAGATGGACCAGGCCCTGCAATTGCGGGGGACCACAGCTTCTTGGCGGCCGGGGGAGCGTTCAACTCCGTTCAGATTTTAATTGCCGGGTCTCAGGGTGTTACTGTAGACTACTTGAGGTCTTCTATTCATATTGCATTCCCCAGAAGCAGAAAAGGGCGTGACTAAAAGACCGTCAGTTGGCGGCATGTACCATGCGCTGATACGCACGCATCACATAACGTCGAGGAAAAAAGTTGCTCGCCTCAAGACAGCTGCAAAGACACACCAATGTTTTGCGCTATTGAGGTCAGGAGGCATTCCTGGCGTAATGTACGTCCGAGGGAACGATCGCTCTCAGGTCCAGAAATGGGTCGACACAGTCCATGATTTACGCTACAAAGACTACCAACTGATGGCGCCTGTGGCAGCCGTTTCCGACTCCACGGCGGTCAAACAAGCTGCAACTGCCAACCTTGGGGCTTTGGAGGAGGTTGACACCGTCAAGGAAATGGGAGCCCAGATGGAGTTACGAGGGCTGCAAAAGTGGTGGCGCATTGCCATGGGATTCGTGCATGAATAATGAGGCACCGTGCTGAAGCGACTCTTGTCGAGGCTCGACCAGCCTGCTGAGAGTAATCGCTCTACTACCGGCACGCCCATGCCATCGAAGGATTGGCCCACCAGTGTGCCAGAAGCTCGTATAGTACAGCCGGAACCTTGCCACCCAAGCGCGACCACTTAACAGCATATCTTACAATTTCTGGTACTCCAGCTTGCCTTCCAGCTTCTTCGACTCGCCCACCTTCCTCACGGCCTTGTTGAAGTCGTCCTGGTTCACAGCATCCCGGTAATCCTTGATGGCAAAGAGACCAGCTTCCGTCACAACATTTCGCAGATCGGCACCATTGAGCCCATCACTCATCTTGACCACGCTCTCAAAGTCGATGTTGCCTTCCGTCACAACTCCCGAGGTATGAATTTTGAGAATCTCTAACCTGCCAACCTCATTGGGCAACGGGATTTCGATCTTGCGATCCAGTCTACCCGCTCTGAGCAGAGCCGGATCCAGGGTATCGGGTCGGTTGGTGGCCATGATGATCTTGGTCTTTCCCAAGTAGTCGAAACCATCCAGCTGGTTCAGCAGCTCCATAAGCGTTCTCTGAATTTCTCGATCGGCTGATGTTCCTTCGCTAAATCGACGACCTCCAATTGCATCAATTTCGTCCATGAAGATGATACAGGGCTCGTGTTCTTTGGCATAACCGAACATTTCTCGGATCAGTCGAGCCGACTCGCCAATGTACTTGTCGACAATTGCAGATGAAACAACTAGAATCCATGTCAGTGTGGAGTTGCATGGGGGTAATAAGGGCAGACGCGCCTTTCAGGAAATTTGTGTCCAAACTGCTAGCCACTGCTCTTGCCAATAATGTCTTTCCAGTTCCAGGTGGTCCGTAGAGAAGTACACCCTTGGGCGGTTTGATTCCCACCCGCAAGAAAAGCTCCGGATTCTTCAGCGGTAGCTCGATGACTTCACGTAGTTCTCGGATCTGTTCGTTCAAGCCACCGATTCCAGCAAATGACACCTGTCCGGGGTCTTCCAAGGACATGTTGTAGACTAAAGGATCGACTTCTCGTGGAAGCATGCGCATGATTGTAAGTGTGGTCATGTCGAGCGCCACTCGCGTGCCCTGCTTCATCTTCGCCTTATCGACCTTGGACCGACATCCGACGACGTATCGAGGTCCTGAGGACGCTTTGACAATGACTACAACGTGTGAGCTAAAACCACTGACCGCACAGTGATAGACATACATCTCTCTTCATCAAGTTGTTTCAGGACTTCGCCGATGATCTGACCGACACTTTGTAGTGCTTTGATGTTGTCTTCTGTCGTCTCAAAATCGTTCTGGAGACCTTTGATATCCATCCGCAGCGCTTTCAATTTTGACTCCCATTCTCTGGACTCCAATAATTTGTTCTTGTATTGTTCGAGGGCCTGCTGCCTCTCCGGATCGCCGCTCCCATCCATCCTGTAGGACACCGAAATAAGGGCGAATTATCGTGGGCCGAGTATGAGATAGACAGAGGTGGAGGGATCTGGAGGGTATTGATAGGAGAGGACTATTCAGCAAAGGGAATGGTGAGCCAAAGTTTGATGTGTTGACCGGGGAAGCGGACGTCGAAAATGGTCAATTGTTGATGATGGATGGAAGCTTGCCGCAGGTACCAAAGACACGCGCGGCGAAGGCCAGCGAGCGCAAGGCTGGAAAACGATCCGACAACGAATGTCACGTGGCATGACTAACCTCAATGTCCTTAGGCTCTTTAGGCCTCTCGGCTGCCCTGAAAGGCGGTGACGCGAAGCCCGTGTCAGCCAAAAGGAAAGTGTGACGAGCACCTGAGTTTTGGAGGGGTCAACGCCCATCATGAGGGACATCGGCCTCCGATCTGACCTAATGGAAGGGTTTGTAGCATTTGCTCAACATTGCGCGTGCCCCACCAAGACAACAAAAAGTTGAATGCTCTTCAGTTCTCTGAACTTCTGCATCTTCCTCAAAAACACCTTTCTACGTACAGCAAGAAGTGAATCGCTCATCTAACCTCTTCTTCAACGTAAAGTCATACACACTAAGCAGGCCTTCGCTGACATAACATCACACCACATCCAGTAAGTACACATGCTGTTTCCCAATGTATCCGGCCCAGTCACAGCTTTTCCACGGAGCTCTTTCATATCAATGTGCTTGAAGACCTCTCACTTACGGATCTTCCTTTGCTTCACTCTTCTCCAACGCTCTTCCTCATATCCCCAGCTTCACCCGATGTTTTCCATACACTGACCCACCACAGCCATGCCGATAGTCAAGATCCACGCCCGCTCCGTCTACGACTCCCGGGGTAACCCGACAGTCGAGGTTGACGTGGTCACCGAAAGTGGCCTCCACCGCGCAATCGTCCCTTCGGGTGCCTCTACTGGCCAACACGAAGCCTGCGAGCTCCGCGATGGTGACAAGTCAAAATGGGGTGGAAAGGGTGTCCTCAAGGCTGTCGAGAACGTCAACTCAGTCATTGGCCCAAAGCTCATCCAAAAGAACATCGATCCTACAGATCAGACTGCAGTTGACAACTTCTTGATTGAGCTCGATGGAACGGAGAACAAGACAAACCTTGGTGCAAACGCAATCCTAGGTGTCAGTCTTGCAGTTGCAAAGGCAGGCGCTGCCCAGAAGGGTGTCCCGCTTTATGCGCATGTCTCCGACCTCGCAGGCACGAAGAAGCCTTACGTGCTCCCAGTCCCATTTATGAACGTTCTCAACGGAGGTTCCCACGCCGGTGGTCGTCTGGCCTTCCAGGAGTTCATGATCGTGCCCGAGTATGTGTTGCGAAGCTCTGTTTGACAAGCCATACTAACACTTGCTAGCCAAGCACCTACGTTCTCCGAGGGCCTCCGTTGGGGCGCTGAAACATATCAGAAGCTGAAGGCTCTCGCCAAGAAGAGATACGGCCAATCCGCTGGTAATGTCGGTGACGAGGGTGGTGTTGCTCCCGATATTCAGACCGCCGAGGAAGCCTTGGATCTCATCACTGATGCCATCAAGGAGGCCGGTTACGAGGGCAAGATGAACATTGCTATGGATGTTGCCTCCAGCGAGTTCTACAAGGAGGAGGAGAAGAAATATGACCTGGACTTCAAGAACCCTGACAGCGACAAGAGCTTGTGGATCACCTACGAACAATTGGCCGATATGTACAAGTCTTTGGCAAGCAAGTACCCAATCGTCTCTATCGAGGATCCCTTTGCCGAAGATGATTGGGAGGCGTGGAGCTACTTCTTCAAGACTTCTGACTTCCAGATTGTCGGGTAAGTCATTCCGCTTCGCTTCTCGCCACAATAACGAGACGCTGACCACGTTTTAGTGACGACTTGACCGTGACCAACCCCAAGCGTATCAAGCGAGCTATCGAATCCAAAGCCTGCAATGCTCTTCTCCTCAAGGTCAACCAGATCGGAACCCTCACCGAATCTATCCAAGCAGCAAAGGACTCGTACGCCGCCGACTGGGGTGTGATGGTATCTCATCGTTCCGGCGAGACGGAAGATGTTACCATCGCCGACATCGTTGTGGGTATTCGAGCTGGCGAGATCAAGACTGGTGCCCCAGCACGATCCGAACGCCTTGCCAAACTCAACCAGATCCTGCGTATCGAGGAAGAGCTGGGATCCAATGCCATTTACGCAGGCAGCAACTTCCGCAAGGCGGTTACTTTGTAAAGATGACCACTGGAGCCAGGTGCAGCCTTGCAAGGTTGTTATCTTATTCAGACAGTGTAGCGCGGGACACCTTGCTCTACACAAACGATTAAGCATGAGAAACCTTCCAATAAGATGTCCTCGTGGTAATGATTCAAATTCATCTAAAGCTCACCTCATCAAATTCCTTTGTGAGGTTCACTGAACCGCAATATCCACGTGTGAATGTTCTAGTGAATGTCAAATCGGCCGCCTCCGCACTCGGGCCGCCTCTGCCAGGTCAAGGAGCTTGGCATTGGTTAAAGAAAAAGGATGGCTCTGGCTCTCGTTTCCTTCTCAAACAGCAACGACTAAAAGTTATCGCATGTGCGCTGGGAGCAGTTGTTCGCTTCTGACAGACGGATAGTCTTCGCATAGATCACAAATCGAAGTCGCCTTCTTCTGCGAACACAATGCCTCCCTCAAAGTGGGGTGAGTAGTCTTCCTGCGCATTGTGGGGGAATTTGCCTCATGCACCTTTATGGTCTGCACAGTCATGAACTCGTACTAACATGAATTCAATCAGACGACGAGTCCGAAGAGTCTTCCGATGAGGAATCCGTAGACGTTCCTGTCGCAGTCCCTGTTGCGACACGACGCAAGTTTGACGACGAAGAGGATTCCGATGATGTGCGCCCTCCCACCGTTCCGCTGGATGGGCTTGGACGCTAACACTCTCTTAGGTCGCCGACAACTGGGAAGAAGAGGAAGACTCTGAGGTAGAAAGAGAGAAAGCTGCCAAGGCTGCAGCAGCCAAAGCAAAAGCCGATGCAGAGGCCGCTGCCAACAAAAAGCCAAAATCACAGCGAATAGAAGAACACCGGGAAGCCGCAAGACGACGACGGGCGGAGGAAGAAGATGACGAGGACAGCTCAGACGAAGATGAGGCAGAAAAACGCGCACGTCTGCGACAGACAGAACAAGATGCCGACCTCAAACACGCTCAAGATCTCTTTGCTGGTGTTGGCATGGGTCCCAAGTCTCGTTCTGCAACCAACAAAGCGGTGATAATCGAAGACAAGGAAAACCCTGGCCAGACCATTGATCTATCGACACTACCTCTGTTCAAGGCTTCCACGAAAACACAGTTTGATGCTTTATCAGCCACCCTCGTACCTCTACTCACACAACTATCCTCGAAACCGCACTACGCCATCTGGGTGCCCAACTTTGTGAAACAAGTCTGCGCGGATCTGCCCAGTACAGAGATTAAGAAAGCAGCAAGTGCACTGACTGCCTTGAGTAACGAGAAATTGAAGGAGGAGAAAGCCCAGGATAAAGGTGGCAAGAAATCCAAAGCAGCAAAGACCAAGACAACTCTGGCTGCGACACGAGACATTGGCAGGGGTGCCGCTGATACCACGAGCTACGATGATGCCGGCCTTGAGGATGACGACTTTATGTGAGGTTAGAGCATGGTCTGCTTTGATATGCTATTTTTTCGGGATGTTGCATACGCATTACCGGTTCAGCATAGCCTTGTTGATACGACAGAAGCATTTCAAGATAGATGATGCGGCGTTTTTAGGGGTAAGATGATTGAGAGTCTACAATAGAAACAATCTTCTCCCGTTCTTTGTGGCTACAGCCTCGTAAAGATGGTATTGGCGCTAAGACTTCAATAATGGACACGCTTATGTAAGCCTGGCTTTTACAGACATTCGAGTGCAGTACGATAATGTGTAAGATCGATACTTCTCTTTTTGTTCCTTCACTTTGCACTCCGCTGATGCCATCCCAAAACATGCTAAGAACCTGCTGAGTCTCACGGCCTGGGCTTGGACAACTTCATTCGACCAAAGGTAGCAGCAGTTTTTCTGTGCACCTATGTCTGGGCAAAATCACCACCCATGCCGAGAAAAGAGGTGAAGAAAGAAGAGACAGCCGCAACGTTGAGATTACAAACTGCTCAGTATGGGCGACGATACTGAGCTTCGACTCAACATTGATCGTCACATCAAGTACTGGAAGCGGTGTGCACAGATTCTTCCAGAGCCGTACGCAACAGGAGAATCAAGTCGGATGAGCTTCGGCTTCTTCATAGTGGCTGCTCTGGATTTGCTCGGAGCCCTAGAAACGGCCATAACAATCGCGGAGAGGCAGAGCTGGATCGAATGGATATATACCTGTCAAGTCCCCTTCACTGGTGGATTTCGAGGCTTCACAGGCACGATGCTCGGTAGCATGAGAAGTTCGCACAACTGGCACTGGGACCCGGCCAATCTGCCTAACACCTACTTTGCGTTGGCTACACTAATTATACTCGGAGACGATTTGAGTAGAGTCAGTAGAGCGGAATGCATGCGATGGGTGTGCAGTCTGCAGAGGCTAGACGGCAGCTTCGGCGAGTTTCTGGGGGAGGGCAATGCGGTCGAAGGCGCAGACGATATGAGGCTCTGTATGTGTGCTGTGGGCGTTATGAAGATCTTGCAAGGGAATCCGTTGGACAGTGGAGACCTTACACTGGACAAGGCTAAAATACTGCAATACATCGCGAATTGTCAGAGTCATGAAGGAGGACTTGGTCAAGCACCCCTGCTGGAAGCACACTCTGGATTGAACTACTGCGCGATTGCGACACTCTCCTTCCTCGGTCTCCTTCGACAGCCACCGATGCCTGTGTACGAAGTCGCAAAGGAAGCTGATGTCGATACTGAGGCCTGTATCAGATGGATGCTCGATCGGCAGACTATGTGGGTAGATGAAGATGAAGACGACGAAGACGAAGAGGATGACGGCAAAGGTGACGATGGTCAGCAGGATGCACCCTTCAAGACGGCCGCTCCGTGCAACCAGTCGGATTCCCAAAGAGTCGTTGCCGGCTTTTGTGGCAGATGCGGCAAAGTTGCAGACACTTGCTATTGCTTCTGGAATGTCGGAGCCCTGGCTGTGAGTTCGACCCGAAGCCTGCCAGCCGATGACTAATACATACCAGATCCTTCAGCAACACAGTCTTGTCGATGTTGATGCATTGAGAAGTTACCTCCTGGAGACAGTTGTACATATGATTGGCGGCTTTGGCAAAGCACCCGGCGAGCTTCCTGGTACGTTCTCATGGCCAGTATCATGGTAGTGTTCCCTTGCAGTGCTAACAATATTCAGATTTGCTGCACTCCTATCTCGGCCTTGCTACATTGGCCATCTATGGCGAGCCTGGTCTCAAGGAGCTTGATCCTACATTCTGTTTCAGCAAAGATGCCGTAAAAAGGCTGCAGCATGTTGCATGGCGACAAAGTTGACATTAAGCAACTCATGCGGCCGGAAGAATTGCCCTGGGCGGCCTAAAGATTGACGAACCAGGCGCAGCATTGAACATAAAAGGGGTCGTCCCGGTCGGAATGGGCATGCGCCTTGGCCACATTTTGTGCCACTTTCCCCAGCAGACTTGTCGCGCAACACCTACAGTATTCTCGATCTGTCCATTCTTAAGATTTGCGAGGTCTCTGGATGGTCACCATACGGCGAGATACGCTCCGCCATGTGATCGCCCAAAAGTTGCATGGCTGGATGATTTGCTGTTCATTGGCTATCTCTTGCCAAAACGAGATCTCAACGCTCCCCGAGCACGACGACATGAGGCATTTCGTGCCCACGGTGAAACCTCCTATGATCTGAGAGAGTCAGCCACCACCAACAGAATTTACAGCTAGTTATGCCCAGGCAAAGAATTGGCTCTCAGGTGATGGACAGGGGAGGCTGAAGCGTGGATTCTGGGGAGCAGCCGAAAGCATCACTGGCCAGTGGCCGCCGAGCGCGATCCCCCTCCCCTGTCAGCCACCTTTATCGGTAAGCACTACCTATTCTTAGTGACCATGCCCTTACCGAGAACGTCAGTCACCATGCAAGGCCACGGGTCCTTCATCAGCACATTATCGTGACCTCCGTCCAGGCTCAAGGTTTTCATATTCATTGCGACTATTATTTGAGTCTTAGATCTCGATTGTCGTGTACACTGCGAATCTGGCCCCGGCAGGCTCCTAGATTGACCAAATTTTGCATCGTGTGTTCCTCAACAGATCTGATAGTCAGCCGGGACATAGTTTTTCGATCACGACTTCTAATCGTCGAAGGCCCACGAAATGCCGAAGCGGACGTTATTTACCAACATTACTCCTCTCCCTCCACAGGTATCACGCGAGGTCGCGATCGCCATGCTCCACAATCATGATGAAATGATCGAACTGAACCCAATGGTCATCGAACACCACCCTATCAAGACCCCGAGAGACGCCCCTGCCGACGAATTTCTGGACTGCGTCTGGCAGGAACTTACTGACAAAGTCAACTATCTACCTGGTGGGATGATGAAAGGAAAGGTGACATACAGGGCCTGCTTTCACGACACGCCTCACGGACTGCAAACCCATATATACGCGCCGACTGGCCTAGACATTCGCGAGAAGTGGTCGATAGGTGGAACGTTACCTGGCGAACCGCCGGAGCCTCGAGAGCTGGGTGTTGATGTCCCCAGACAAGGCTTGTACCTTCGTGAGGATTGTGATATGCGATGCAATAGGGTATTGTCAGGATTCGTGCGCAAAAACCTCGACAATGCGCACAAGGTGCTGATTGAGCGTATCATGAAGAAAGCAGAGCGAGTGGAAGATTTTGTGAAGACTTCGGCATATCCAATGACGCCAGCCAGTCCGACTATGCCTTTTCAGCCTGGATCTGTTATGGCTAATTCGCAGCTGCTTCAGACCCCTATCACTGCAAAGCCGATGTCGCCTCAGATGCTATCACCACAACAAGATCTTGGATGGCAAACCCTGGCCAACCACCCTGCGTACCGAGTCGACGACAGACGAATTAGCAGCTATGGCCCGCCAGCTTATCAGCAGACTACTCAGCCGCAACGATTAAGTTACTACGCATCAGTAAATCAGTCACAGGGTGCAAAGGAATTTCGGGCTGAACTGGAAGGCTCGACATATCATCCCACGCATCTGACTCCTCCTACTCAATATAACCCTTCGTTAGACAACCGTATGAGTATGGTGTCTGAGTTGTCTAGTCAGGACGCAACTCCAAGGGGTTCGCCCAACCCGCAGGCATACTCAGACCGATCGAGCATGATCTCAGAAATTCCTGGAGACAACAGATGGAGTTCTCAGGAATACAGAGCAGGCAGCAACCGGTCGGAAGGTTCGGGTCGTTCGGATCGGCATAGCACGATATCCGAGCTGCCTTCTCAGCAGCAGCAGCAGCAGCAGCAACAATAACAACAGACTGCAAGAAGTTCGTCTCCGCCTCGGTCATGACGACCAGGCTTTCTCTGGAGATGTGACGAGACGTACTGCTTGTCTGCTATGAGTGTACAGCTTGCGAGCGTGTTTTCGAGCATGGCGTTCCGGAAAAACATTGATTTGGGTAGCCAAGTATCTTGTCTAGATCACTGAGAAGATCAAGTAGCATGAATGGAGAGATTTGCACAACCCCATCTCACGTCGCTGGTATGTTGTCATCAACTGCGTATCATGTGTACCGTTGGTCATCAACGGCGCAGACGCAGAGTGACCGCTTCTCATTTTTGCAAGGCATGATCAGCAGGTACAATGGTACCTAAAGTTAGTACGCATAAAGTAATACTAAGTTTTAAGTGTTGTTGATGTTCTTTTGGTGTGATGGAGAAGATGATCGTCCTCGTTGAATTGCGCCTAAAGGAAAGCCTTCTCCCCTTCTGACCATTGACCTTCCGCCGAAGCAACCTCCACTATCCGTCGCTAAGTAGAATAGTGTCAATAGACCCTGATTTTCGCTGCGTAAAGTAAATGATCTCGAGACTCCTAAACTCTGTTCCTCTCTCACGCATCTGACGTTCACGCCTCTGATGAGTCGCCAAAGACACCGAACGAACTCTTCTTGATTTCAATGCTTCAAATCTGCTCCGCAACTACAACGTCGGAAGCCCTCATCGCGCACTAGAACCTCTTCTATATCACCGCGCATCCTGATCAACGCCGCTGATCGTCCACATGTTATCCTTACCTACGACGTACCGCATGAGACCGCATCTCCAGACAATCGCAAGGGATGCAAGCCCCCAAGACTAAAGTGGAGTTGCAACAACACAAAGCAAAAGTAGGAACTCCTCGTTCGCGCATGGAGAGAGTCAGACAAGACTAACACACAACCTGACAGCTCGCCAATTCCTATTCAGAATTACTCGAGTGAGGATAACGCCCATCTGTCGACAGCATGCCGCTGACCCTTTCCTAGACAATTCTCCTCGAAAGACCTCAAAACTGTTGGAAACTATAGCCTTGGAAAACTCATTGGGAAAGGCTCCTTCGGCAAGGTCTATCTTGCCCGTCACAATCTCACCAATGGTTCAAAGGTTGGTCGTGTATATACGCAAAGTGGCCTCCGTCGCTCATGCTTGCAACAGGTGGTGCTCAAGGCGTCGGACAAGGATGATGGAAACCTCGCAAGGGAAATCCACCATCATCGACAGTTTATACACCCCCATATTGCGCGATTATACGAAGTTATAATAACCGAGACCCTTGTGTGGTTAGTTTTGGAATACTGTCCTGGTATGAAGCGGAATATTCCCCTGGCAGGAATGATATACTGAGAATAACTAGGGGACGAGCTATTCAACTACTTGTGCAAGAATGGACCGCTTCCAGTCGAAACAGTCCAGAAGATCTTCACTCAGCTGGTCGGTGCTGTTGCGTATATCCACAGTAAATCGTGTGTCCACCGAGATCTGAAACTGGAGAACGTTCTGCTCGATAAACACAACAACGTCAAGTTATGCGACTTTGGCTTCACCAGGGAATATGAGGGCAAGTCGAATTATCTCCAGACATTTTGCGGAACAATTTGCTACAGCGCGCCGGAGATGCTGAGAGGTGAGAAGTACGCTGGCGAGAAGGTCGATGTCTGGAGTCTTGGTATTATCCTCTACGCGCTTTTGAAGGGCGAATTACCATTTGACGAAGAAGATGATGCGGCGAGCAAAGCAAAGATTCTAAAGGACGACCCAGTCTACCCAGACACATTTCCCGAAGCGGCCAAGACATTAATATCAAAACTCCTGTCGAAAAGGCCATTACATAGACCGACTCTTGCGGACATCCTTGTGGATCCGTTCCTGGCTGAACATGCCCCTCATCAGCAAGCTATCTTGAAGCTCTCCCAGCCGGCTGCATTCACAACACAGTTGGAGAAAGACACGCTGGAACGAATGAGAGCCGTTGGCGTCGATATCGACAAGGTCATTGAAAACGTCCTTTCGCAGAGATGCGATTCGTTGTCGGGCTGGTGGGCGCTACTGATAGAGAAAGAAAACAGGAAGCAAGCAAGACGAGATCGAAGGCGGAAGGAGCAGGAGGCCGAGTTGAAGATTCTCAGGCGTCTAAGTGGCGCAAGTGCTCGTCTGGAAAGAATTGCGCCAACTCTGACGGAGGTCGATGAGGAACCATCTCCGGATGGCGAACGACGTCGAAGCGGTAGCCGAGGGAGAACGCGCAGGATCAGTACACCTCAGATTCTCATCAGCGATTTGCCGCGACTACCAGAAGGAGATGTTATCCAGTCGCCCAACTCTGTGCAGACTACGCCGCCGCCGCCACCGATTGAGAAGGACTCAGTACGCTCACATAGTGGTTCTCGACCTCCTCCCCCACCCAAGGAACGAAGTCGCCGGAGCAGTACACTTCAGATCGTCTCAACTAATCCAGATGTTCTCGGACCTGTCAACGGGATCAAGAAGCGACGGGATGGGAAGCCTCGCAATCGACAGTTCTTCAACCAGCTTACGGCATTGAAACATTGGTTCGTCGAGTCTACGAAACGAGCCAAATCGCCCAGTGATCTCCATTCCAAAGACCACAAACTCCTCAACGGTCATGCGAATATGTCAACGACATCACACACGCACAATGCTCAAATAGACAGAAGCAGCAAAGGTTATCTTTACGCCGCTAATTCACGCAGGTCATCGTACGGATCCGCATTGACGCCCGTCGTTTCCAACTCGAACCAGGTCGTGGCGATAAAAGCGCCCCGCGTCGATAACACTGCTCTCAACAAAGCTCACCGCAACTCGGTCTCGCCGGCACCCCTTACGCCTCGATCCTCTTATCACCTCCGCGGTCGGAAGTCTACATCCTCATCAGTCTCTTCCGTTCGAAGTATGCCGCGGCACGCCTCCCACAGCAAAGCGTCGTCGCAGAGCTCAAATAGCCTCGACACAATACACAGTCCAGGCACGCGGAGTGCCGCGAGGTCACCTCACCCTTCGGTCAAAGTCCTTCCCAATACCCCGCCAGTGAGCCAACCTAGGCCGCTATCCGGCACGAACATTAACGATCAAAGCACGACGACCGGGCCGTTCGCCTCTGGCCTCATGTTCGCCAAGCGGAAACGCTCGCCGTTCAAGGGTCCGATGCTGAATCCCGCGTTTTTTTCGGGGGGAAGTGTGCCAGCGGCATTTGGAAGTCCGGCGATCATGGCGGGAAGACACCGTGAAGGATCGGATGGTAAAACGAATCGTGCTTTGAGGGACGTTGTTGGACGAAGAGGTAGTGGGAAGAGGAAATCTCTGATCATTGAGGAGGAGGAGGAAGATGGCGAGGGAACGCTCCGGGAAGAGGATGAAGAGGAGGACATTGAAGAGGTTGAGACGTTCCCTGCGATCGAGTTGAATAAGGGGGAGAAGGTGGAGAGTATTACGATATGGAATGAGGGCGTCGAGGATGCGGATGGTACGGAATCGCCGATGACGGTTCGTCCGTGAATGTTTTGATATGAAGGACCTGAGAGTGGTGCCACAGATTCGGACCCAAGGGTCGCCGGGTTTCGTGGTATCTGACGAGGTGTGATGAGGTTTGGACGGAGTTCTCTCTTCTTCGCGGCACGACTTTCTGAGCATTAGCGAATTTGGGTGTATGTCCCTTCATTGGGAGTGGGTCTATATGAAAAGAAATAATTGTATATATGACATGATGATGGGCTGTCAGGATGGTGTTTAGTGGCTGGTCTGGTGTGGGTATGTAGTATAGGGTACGGTATCTACTGGACAATGGAAGAATTGTTGACTCAAGTTCCGCACTGATCTGCGTAGAGCTGTGAGCCCTCGAGTAAGATATATCTGGCGGGATAGGGAGTGAGAAGTGGAACGAGACACGGCGGCTTGTAAGAGAGTTTGGGCTGAGCAAGCTCGCTGTTCCTGCTCTGTGTCTCAATGTTGGAACAACTCCGTATCTCGACCTTGATATTGTATTCTTGTGCACTGAACTGTGATGACATATTGGGAACAAGAAGGAACCCATGCCATGCCCGTCTCGGACAATCAAGTATCCTGTTCTTCAGGTACTCAGCTCGGTTCTCTCACGCCACTGAGCTTGACCGCGAGGATTCACCCATGCTGCAGCCGGCGTGCACGTCCAATGCTCCTTTTTACAGGTGACTCAGCTCGCAGTATCTGTCCCGTTCTCCATTCAGCCCCTCTTTTGGTCACACTAGTGCAAACATGTGTCCTTCACACTTCGTGTGTTGACCGTGGTGTGTCCTGCGGCCTCGCTCAAACTTCGTGATCGATACGTAAGGACTGTGCGTGTTCTTGTCCGGACTGTGCGGCGTTGACGAACAGTTGCTGTGCTGATAAGCTGAACTTCATCGTCCTCGTCCTCGTCCTCTATAATGTCGTGAAGAGTATCATTAGTGACACCGTTGGTAGTTTTGACAGCGGAAGGTCGATTCGTATCTTGTGGTTTATTTGCCTGTGGAGTACTGGCTGGCGAAACTACGGGGTGAAGAGTTGTAGATTCGATTGTGGCGTTATAGTCAACTAAACCCGTATTGGCGTGCTTCTTCCGTGGTTGATGGCTTGATGGATCGTTGTCGTCGGTAAGATCGATATAAACCGAGGAGCGACGACGAGATGGTACGTTAGTAGTTGGCTGACCTTCATTTCGGCGTGTGTCTGCATGAAGATCCAAGGACAACGCGGTCCTCTCGTCGCCAGCCAGAATTGTCGCTTGCTGAGCCTCCAGTACTTTGAACGCATTGAATTTCGCTGAGGACCTCTGACCTAGAGTCTTCTTTCCAGCATCTCTATCGCCGCGTAGTGTCTTCGTAGGCTGCCACTCGGGAATGTCGAGCACTTTTGTTGTCGATTCGAATTGGGATAACTCGACTTTCACAATGTCCGCGGCTCCGTCGTTAGTCGTCGAGACTGGTTGAGTTGTTGCCTCTGCAACGCCGATAGTACTTCCAGCTTCAGCTTCGCCCATAAAATCACCTCCTTCCCCAGCAACACCGAATAGCGCACCGGTCTCGAATAGCTGTGCATCCACAAGACACTGGACTTCTGTTTCGCCCAGAGAGGTCCAATTATCAGGGCCAGTGCGCAATTGATCTCGAGGCTTATCAAGCCGTCCGCCAAAAATACCGTCGGACTTGTCGCATGGTGAATCTTCCAGGATCTGTTGGTCATCATCAGACGAGGAATTGTCGGCTGGATCACCATAGTCTTCGCCGTACACCCCTTGAATGAAAGACTTGTACCGAGGCGAACCCTTGAGGCAATCCAATTTCTTAAATGCCCTTGTGAGCTTGTAGCTGACAACTTCACGATAAATATCGTTCATATCAGTATCTTGTAGACACTGAAGAAAATTAGTTGCGGCTCAATTAAAATGAACGGCTGTATACTTCGCCTAGGACCAATCCAGCCTTGTAGCTTATCCTCTTCATATCTTCCATTGTCTTGTACAGTTTCATGGCTGCTGCTGTGTCTAGTGTGCCAACCAACAAGTCACACTGAACGGAACACCAAGTAAGAAACTGTCTTTATGTCAGCACAATGTTAGATGCTCTGGAGTGTAGCAATACCTCGCCGGTGCCAGTGTAGCCTTTCCGACTCTCGTGGGTTTTGCTTTTGTTATCGTGGATCCTGTTAAGATCTGAGAGGCCGAACGTATCGCAAATTGTCTTCACAAGCCATGGACCAGCGCCCTCGCCGAATCTTCGGATGAGATCCCTCTCCAACACGTTGTAGTCCACTACAGCCAGTGACAGGGATGTCTCACTTCCATCACTTTCCACGATGAGGTCGAGTGCTCTTTTCGGATTTTCAGTCCATGAGAGGAATGGAGACGGGAACGTCTTATCCTCGCACAGGTGACTCCTTGCCATGCAACAAAATTCATCACTGGTCCACAATGGAGGTGGCGCGTCTAGTATCTTTTCTTGGCCCAGGAAGCGCCGCGCAATAAGCTTATGCTGTGGAATGTAGGCGCGGAATAACAACCTGGGTCTCGTTGGCACGTACCTCCCTTTATCATCATATCTGATTCTCAGGAGAGGAGGAATCTTATCCGAAGTGGCGGCGAAATGGTGGCGATCAAGATTTTGATATTCGTTTTCGTCAGGATTGGAGTCGAGCCGATAAGAGCCGGGGGAACATGAGTCGATGAAGGAGAGTGATACAGAACTAGTTGTGATGGGCGTGGCATTACTTGCCGGCGTAGTTGTTCCGGTAGGTTGGCGTACATGAAGTGGTGTCGAATCCGCTGGGGAGGGGGTTTGTATGCTTCTTCGCTTTCTGGCTGGAGGACTATCCTCCTCTTCATCAGTAACATCGGCCCAGTCGTCGGATCTAGCAGTCAGAGGACGCTTTACTGGAGAAGCATCGCTATATCCATTGCGGCCAGCGTAGCACTGTAGTAGGATTCCAAGGTCTCGAGCAGCTTTCTCGATAACAGAGGCTAGGCCACCATGTTTCTGGTAAACTGCAGTGGGTGCCATAGAGAGTATCGCTCTGAACTCGTTACCACGAACAGTACGCTTTAGATCGGCAATCTGGGACGATATTTCTGTGACCTTCAGTCCTTCTGCAAAGCCTTCTTCGAGCAGCTGATCCCAGTGAAGATGGTTGAATACCTTCGTCAGCTGTTTGTTCGACATATCGTACAGCTTCTGCGCCACGGCGAGTAGCTCTCGGTCTGCGGCCGTCCAGACATGCTTTGGAACTTGTTGATTCAGTATGTCACGTAGCGGCTGATCCTCCATGCTCATTGCGATATGAGGACTGTGACCAATGCGGTCTGTGTTTCCCGGTAGGCGTTGTGAGAAAAGGACAATATCGGCTCTCACTTGTTAGGACCACGCGTCAAGAGGATTGAGGATCGCGAGGATTGATAACATGAGCAGGAAAGATGGGGCTAGTACCGAGGAGATCGGAAGATGGAAGGGTAGTGATGTGAAGCAAAGGACGACACCTGGTGCTGAGCCCAAAGTAAGCTGGACAGCTGAATCGAAGGTGAGGTGAGGTGATGTTGACTCGCTACAGCAGAGGGAGGCCATTTGAGGCGCGCTAGACTCACACGTTGCCTAAGCCATGCTAGGCGGCGATTGGATTGCCGACCTCTGATCCTCAATGTGAGAGAACTGGAGGTATAGTTAATGTCAACTTCAGGCTGACCTGCACGGTCACAAAAAGGAGTACATATTATGACTACGGACTTATATTGTTCCGGCGAATGCCAAGCCTCTAAGATAGTACTGCTGCTTCGGCGTCGTAGTTAAAGGATGCTTAGAGCGCCTACTCCTGGAACTTTGCGGCATTCTCCTGGAGGTGCCGCCATGTGGTCCATTGAGAAGCATTAGTCAGAATCCCCCTTTGCGGCATCCTTCGAATCAGATAAGATGGAGGAGGCAGAAGCCACACACTTCCTGGAATCCCTTCTTGGAAAGACGTTGCATGTGACTGTGCCAGATGGTAAGGCTACTCACCCCATGAGTTACAAACCACATCATAACGATGAGACCAGAACGACTTTTCACAGGTACTTTCCGGTGTACGGATAATGTAAGGCCATATCCTCAGCCTTACCGAGCAGCGGTGGAAGCTGACAACTGATAGGATAGTAATATCATTCTTTCGAATGCCTTTGAATATCGGACGCCATCAAAACATGCTGAAAAAGTCGCCGTTGAGGAAGCAAGGGAAACCGGAAACGCAAGCCGAGCTGACATGACTTCGAGATTCGTGGGACTCATTGTCATCCCAGGCAAGCAGATTGCGAAGATGGAGGTTGAGGAAAGACGGGAGTGGTCTGGTGGACAGTCTCTCTCACTCAGGACGAAATGATGAAAAGCTTCCAGCTTCCAATGTAGGACCCAAAGCACTGGCTTCTCTAGGTGCAAGAAGAAGTCCCAGTTGGTCGACATGGCGTCTACCATATCACGATGATATAAGGCGGGCGTGTACACGAGACACGAGGTACACTACTCCGCTAAGTCCTCGGTCCGGATAGCCATTATTTGGTTGGCGAGGGAAGGAAGAGGAGAGAGGAGAGCCGTTGCAGTGTTCCAGGTGCCGGTGGTTGCCTCAAGTTTGGCGCCAAGGAAATCTAGGCGGCATGCTCGATGCCGTTTGGACCGCTTGGGTCGCTTGGGAATGACAAAGGTCGCCCGCCCCGGAATCAGCAAGTTAGGGTGATGGGGAAGGGCAGGGCAGGCCAGGCTCTCAGGCTTATTTAGTGAATGTTAGCAAAGGACAGAAAGCATCGACCACAAAACACCGCTTTTAACACAATCTGTACCTACCCGACCTAACCTTACCTTCTTCCACCTTCTCGTTATCTGTCTATATTTTCTTGCTTCATCCACAATCACCACGACACCGATTCCCCGAACGCAGTGGTCTACCGCATCGGTCCGCCACGTGTGCCCCAGGTGAGTCTGGCTATTATCCAATTCTCCCACCGGTGACGCAACGTTGTTTCACCCAGGGCTCCATGCGACATCTGGGCCTCCTGGCCCGGGCTATCGTAGCCTCCTCCGCCCTAAATCGCTCAACACCATCCTCAAAAACATGTGCATGGTCATTTTAGAACATCCTAACTGACTTTCTGCAGGGCGAGACAGACGAAACTTACACGCAAACCTCATGAACTTGTCGACCTCCATTTCTGGAATCCCATCAAACCCAGCGATCCCTTCAATCGACAACAACCCTCAATTTTGGACCCGAGTGCGAATCAATCTGCCCTGAGCATACGACACGTGTGCTCCTTTCAGCGTGCTTCTGATCAAGTCGCCAAAACGCATTCCTCAAAGAGGTTGCTTATCTCGCTCCTCAAACCTCCTTGACCTTTCCACCACTGTCCCCGACCTTCCCCTGTGAGGACGCCCATCGTCATAAATAGCAGAATATTCAATGGGCCAACAACAGTCGAAGAGCAGCGATGGAAGCAGAACCCCGATAAAGAGCTCGTCCTCATCCAACCTGGTCCCGGATACTTTGCAGCAGTATCCTTCCATATCCAAATCTGACACGAAAGAGAGCACATCAAGATCGATAAGGTCCTCGATTCGTAGCAAGATCAAGAGTTCGTCAGAGGACAGAACCAATGATAGCCCGAGAGCTTCAGGCTCTACTTTGGCCGGGGTTGACGGATACAGCAATGACCGGGGAGATGCTAGTTCGATTGCCAGTGGCCGCTCAGGCTCCTCGCGTGTCAGTAAAATCACAAATACAAATCTAGTCGACTCTCCAACCTCACCAGCGGATGACGATGAAGCTCCCTCACCAGGCGCAGCAACGCCTGCAAGGCCACCGTCACCTACCTCAAAATCGGTCGGTAAAGGCCATAAATCAGTCGACCGAGCTCAACGCGCAGGGGAGGTCGGCGCCGTGTCAGAAGATGCACCCCACCAAGCCCATCACCATTCCTCGACGCAGAAAGCTGGCGATTCCATTTTAGTGAAACGCGAAAACCAGATCAATCCTCGAGCTCCAGAAACCAAAGCTTCTTTAAGAGCTAGGCTGGCCGACTTGCCCGGCGCATCCCCCGGCGGAGGAATGGGAATTGGCGATGTGAGCGACATGGATTTGGACGATATGATTTCGCGGCTACTGGACGCTGGATACTCTACAAAAGTGACCAAGGCCGTGTGCCTCAAGAATGCCGAAATCACTGCAGTCTGCACGGCCGTTCGAGAGGTGCTCCTTTCTCAACCAGCTCTGTTGGAGCTGAACGCACCTGTCAAGATCGTGGGCGACATCCATGGACAATACAACGACTTGATCCGTCTTTTTGAGATGTGCGGTTTTCCACCGAACGCAAACTTCCTCTTCCTAGGAGACTATGTCGATCGAGGGAAGCAATCTCTGGAAACCATTCTGCTCCTCTTTTGCTACAAACTGAAGTATCCGGAGAACTTCTTCATTCTACGAGGAAACCACGAATGCGCCAACGTAACTCGAGTTTATGGATTTTACGACGAATGCAAAAGGAGGTGTAATATCAAGATCTGGAAAACATTTGTTGATACTTTCAACTGCCTGCCGATCGCTGCAATTGTGGCCGACAAGATCTTTTGTGTTCATGGAGGACTGTCGCCTAGTCTTTCTCACATGGACGATATCCGGCAGATAGCCAGACCCACGGATGTGCCTGACTACGGTTTGCTCAATGATCTGTTATGGAGTGATCCTGCAGATATGGACCAAGACTGGGACTCGAACGAACGTGGTGTGAGTTATTGTTTCGGAAAGAAAGTCATCGTCGACTTCCTGGCTCGGCACGATTTTGACCTGGTTTGTCGAGCTCATATGGTGGTCGAAGATGGTTACGAATTCTTCAACGACCGACTACTTGTGACAGTTTTCTCCGCTCCAAATGTAAGTGGCACACCATGTTCATACGGTTTCACGCTGACTTGGATCTAGTATTGTGGCGAGTTCGACAATTGGGGCGCAGTAATGTCCGTCTCAAGCAATCTTCTATGCAGCTTCGAGCTTTTGAAGCCCTTGGACTCGAGTGCTCTGAAGAGCCACATCAAGAAGGGCAGAAATGCCCGACAAAATATGCTCAACAGTCCGGTATGTCACCTGTTTCTAAGCTCCTGAACAAAGCTAACCATTCTCGCAGCCAGCACAGGTGTCAGCCCAAAGTTTTTAGACAAAACACTTCCCAAAGGCAAGCGACCGACATCAGCAGAGCGTGTCGTTATTGCCCTTGCTGCAGCTTCGAGGCGCACCAGCTGGTTATCTTGCTCTGAAAGACGAGCATTGACGATCGACATCGTATCAGTCTGTGTGCTAAAATCCACGTTTTCACACGCTCGTCGTAGCGTGCTGCACTTATCCTCAGTTTGACGGCCGACAGGCGTTACACAGGCCTTCTTCCCAGACTTTGTCTCTTACGAAGGGAAACAGCCAGAAGAGGCTCTTTCGCGGATGTCTATGGGTCACACCCATATACATCAACAGATAAGGCATGGTCTTGATAGCGCCGGACCAGCCTCAAAAGGCACGATTTGAACGCATGCTTGGGATGTGCTATTCTTACAGGACCTCAACGACCGAACGGGCTGGAAAGCTCCTCGAGGTGATATGCGAAGATGATTATGGTGGAGTCTACTAATGTGATGGACATGGCGCACGATGGCTCCATTCGATGGACTGTACCGAATATACTTGATTGAGTCGATACTTGATTGAAAGAAGCTCCTCTTACCAGACCCCATATTCATTGTCCGTGTTCCGCGTGCTGCAAAGAAGACTGTAGAAGATGCCTGTCGCGTGATCAAACACGCTAGAGAAGGGTGAGCGTAGGTCGTGGTGATGGTCGTAGAAGGAATTAGGCTGCTGAAATGGACATGAATGGGCATTCACGCGAAAAGAGCCCGGCGCGTCGCGTGGGAAGGGAAAAGCGGCTTCGTTCCCAGGGTTCACTCCAGTTCAGTTTGAGCTTTGGAGGATCTTCCTGAACCAACCATTTCTCCACTTCGTCCAAGCAGCAAGGCAGCTATACCGCACCTGCACTTGCACTGCACCTGCACCGCACTTGAATTCATTCCTGTCAGGCCGTATTCAGGTTGCGGTTTGTTTCGTTTCCTGAACAGTTGTGGTATACTTTCTGCTATGAGAATGCTGTGTTAGCATTGAGTCACCCTCATTCACCTTGTGACTCGTGTATCATCCCTCCTCGATCTCAGCATCCTTCACACTGCATCCTCCGCCGTTATTACCCTCCAGTACTACGAATTCAGCAGCATCGACTGCCATCCACACAATAAAAGCTTCACATTTTCTGGCACAGATAGGGAAGGACGTGAAGATACCTGGTCACTCTCGAAATATCTGCTGGGATTTTGATTGTCCACAAAGTGGCCTTGCAGGCCACCCTCCAATGCCATCATGAGAGCCGGTCCACTTCTCATAACCTGGCACAACGAAAACCAGCCCATATACTCTGTCCACTTCGATCCTCGTGGTAAGGGAAGGCTTGCAACTGGTGGAAAGTGAGTGATTCTGTCAGATAGGCCACTGCAATCTGCTAACCATTCCAGCGATAACAATGTCCGAGTATGAATATTACTAGCACTGACCCGGGTATCACAAGCTAATCATTGACAAGTTATGGAGTATCGAAGCTCAGGGAGACGAGCGAAAGGTCACATACCTATCCACACTTACCAGACATACTCAACCGGTGAATGTCGTACGGTTCTGCCCTAAAGGTCAGTGCTTTCATCATAGGTGCAGGCGTTTGCTTACACTTCAGCAGGGGAAATGCTAGCTTCTGCCGGCGACGATGGAAATATTCTCCTCTGGGTGCCCTCCGAAACATCAATGACAGCCTTAGGTGAAGACCATGCAGACGACAAAGAGACATGGAGGATAAAGCACATGTGCCGGACATCAAGCGGAGCAGAAATATACGACTTAGCATGGTCTCCCGATGGTCAATATTTCATTACTGGAGGTGTTGACAACACCGCCAGGATTTTCAATGCCCATACAGGTATTTCATAGCATCACCCGTGCCGAGAGGCCTTTGCTGACCGGACCAGGTGCAATGATTCGTCAGATAGCGGAGCACAACCATTTTGTACAAGGAGTTGCCTGGGATCCTCTCAACGAATTTGTCGCAACACAATCCTCAGACCGATCAGTCCATATCTACACCCTGAAGCTCAAAGATGGTACGGCGACTCTCTCGACACATGGCAAATTCAACAAGATGGATCTGCCTGCCCGCCGGATATCCTCAAACAGTCCTGCTCCAGCCGAGCTAACACATCGAGCGTCCAATGCTAGTGCCAACAATATTTCCATTGCTTCTCCCGCCCCGTCAAACCCTGGTACACCTCTAACCACACCACATCCCATGGACCCTCCCATGCTTACGTCTAGTCGACGATCGTCATTCGGTTCATCTCCGTCGTTCAGGCGATCGGCTTCTCCGGCTCCCTCGCTACCACTACCTGCTGTACGTCCAGAGATCTCTTCTCCCAGTTTGAATGCGGCCATGGGTCTGGCTGTGAAGAACACAAACATCTATCACAATGAGACAATGACCTCATTTTTCCGCCGGCTCTCATTCTCTCCCGAGGGAAGCTTGCTTTTCACACCTGCAGGACATTACAAACAGGCATTTCCCAGCGCAGCCGATCCGATTCGATCATCAGAAGACATCTCTAACACCGTCTACATCTACACTCGTGCTGGTTTCAACAAGCCTCCCGTTGCACATCTGCCAGGACACAAGAAACCCTCAGTTGCCGTCAAGTGTTCTCCGATTCTCTACACCCTACGTTCCGCTTCGAAACCTACCAACCACATCACCATCGACACATCCTCCGCAAGCGAAGAAATACCATTGTTGCCGGAGGCTATAACACAGGGCTCCTCAACGTTCATGGAACCGCCGCCGCTTTTAGCTTCGACTTCGAACCTTGAGGCGATGTCGGCACCTTCACCTCGAACAGTGCCCGATAGCGAGTCTACCAATCCAACACCTACTCCTGCATTTGCCCTGCCGTATCGTATGGTTTACGCGGTAGCGACACAGGACGCAGTGTTTGTTTATGATACTCAGCAAATGACGCCTTTGTGTGTGGTTAGCAACCTTCATTATGCTACGTTTTCGGATTTGACATGGTAAAGAATGATCATTCCTTCGCGGCCGCGATCATGTTTCTAACACCTGGCAGGTCAAACGATGGTCTCACGTTGTTGATGTCTTCTACTGACGGATATTGTTCAACCTTATCTTTCGCCCTAGGCGAACTAGGTCAGGTTTATAGCGGAGCTCATCCGACCTACAACCACCCTGTTGTTTCAACAACCATTCCTTTGCCGACTTCCTCCGCCAACTCTACGCCCATGCCTACCCCTACGGCCACAGCATCTCCTTCACTGATGAAAGCTTCTCCGGTACCTGTAATGCCTTCTCACCCCTCTCCAGCACCGTTCATTGTCCGTCCCGGAAGTCCGGCAAGGTCAAATTCTCAGTCATCGATAGCTACGATGGCTTCGTATCAGACTTCGGGTATACCCAACAGCGCAACTCCCACGATGGGTCACGTGCCTCTAGTCACGGCTGCAAACTCAGGACCGCCAGTGGCTATCCCACCTATGTCGACACCTCCACAGACGCCAGCTAGTGTACATGGTGGCCACCATTCTGCGACGAGCTCGATTAGTGGTGCAGTACTGGGAAAGAGGGAAGTAGGTGCTACAAGTGAAAGTGAGCAGGAGGAGACCAAGGCAAAGAAGAGAAGAATAGCCCCAACTCATGTTGGTCCTTCCGGTTCGGCGGCAACCTCAAAAGAGGAAGACAAGAGCTAGGCCTTCAGATGAGAAGTGTGGCTCTGTCTCGACTGGCGGATATCCGCTCTACACGGCGCAGAGGTGGCTTGTTGCTCTTTGACAATGTTCTAGCGTGGCGTCAGGCTTTGAAAATGAGGGCCGCTGTGGCGCCCTAGGTATCTTCGGTGATGGGACGGTCGCTTGCCTATGTGTCGCAGCACAATATCATACAGCGAGTGCAGTGTTAGAAATAACTGTCTGGAGTGCAAATCCACCCCAATTGCTAAATTGAATATTCGTGCACGTGACCGCGCGTCTGCAGTGACGTCGATAATCGATCGTGGTTCAAAGAGTGAAGCCGTACAATGTTCCGAGGAGATAATCGTTTGACTTGTCACAACCTCTTCGCACTACCAGAATTCGTTGCAATTGACTCACTCAATGAATCATACAATCCCTTCTGGGTGAGCACCCCATTGCGCGGGACGCATCCGGCCTCTTGACCAGCGACAATGGGTGTTACCGGTCTCTGGACAGTAGTTGCGCCCACAGCCCGGCCAACCCAACTCGCGTCTCTCAACCGGAAGCGCCTCGCGGTCGACGCCTCGATATGGATTTACCAGTTCCTGAAAGCTGTTCGGGACAAGGAGGGGAATGCCCTCCGGAACAGTCATGTGGTCGGCTTCTTTCGAAGAATCTGCAAGTTGCTTTACTTCGGAATCAAGCCTGTATTCGTGTTCGACGGCGGTGCGCCAATCCTCAAGCGGGAAACCATCAGAAAAAGAGCGCGAAGACGAGAAGGACGTAGAGAAGATGCCGCCCGAACTGCGGGAAAGCTGCTTGCAGTGCAAGTGGCACGGGCTGCGGAAGAGGAAGAAAAAAGACGTCGAGCGGAGCGTGAGCGCACACCTGTGGAAGAAGAGCTGCCGACGGACCAGGAACTTGTGTATGTGGATGAGTTGGGTATGACTCAGCAAGAGCGACAATCCGGGCGACAGTTTAAGAAGAAGGATCAATATCATCTGCCAGATTTAGACGTTAGCATTGAGAGCATGGGCGCGCCGAACGACCCACGGATCATGTCGCAGGCCGAACTTGAGGACTATGCCCGTCATTTTCATAGTGGAGAGGATGTCAATCTGTACGACTTCAGCAAAATCGATTTCGAGAGTCCGTTCTTCTTGTCGCTTCCGCCTGGTGATCGCTACAATATTCTCAATGCCGCCAGACTACGTTCGAGGCTGAGGATGGGATTTTCGAAAGAGCAGCTTGACGGGATGTTCCCTGACCGCATGGCGTTCTCCAAATTCCAGATTGAGCGCGTGAGGGAGCGGAACGAGCTTACGCAGCGGCTAATGCATATCAACGGGATGTCTGACGATATCATCAACCAAGGAGGAAGGATTGCTGGAGAGAAAGGAAAGGAGTATATCCTTGTTAGGAACGATGGTGTGGACGGTGGCTGGGCACTCGGTGTAGTGTCGAACAAGCAGGGTACCAAGAAGGAGAATGCGATTGACTTGGAAGATGAAGAGAACTCTGAGGGCCCCACGGGGGATTCGGCTGAGGAAGAAGAGTTCGAAGACGTGGCGATTGAGGGGTTGAACCGTATACCCAAAGCTCTGGGTAGAAAGAGGAAAGCGGTTGATTATGATACGTCCTACGATGCTGTCGAGGAGATTGCAAAGAAGCGTAGGGCGGTGTATGAGGCGAGGAAGGCCGGTGCGGCTGCACCAGCACTGCGGGAGCCAGTGCCAGAGGCGCCTCCGACTACAGTGCCTCCAACCACGAATGTGGACGAAGATACCTTGTTTGTGCCGGAGGACAAGGAAGACGATGATATGGATGAACTGTTTGAAGACGTTCTTCCAATTGAGCCGGAGCCAGAGGAAGACGACGAACTACAACGAGCCATTGCCATGTCTTTAGAGAAATCTACAGATGCGGATGGTGGGTTCATCGTCGATGACAGTGCACAAGATCGCGCAGAAGAGGATGACCAGGACGATGGTTTTGATCTACAAGCAGCCCTTGCAGAGTCCCGGAAGAACAAACATAAGTCGAAGACCAATGTCAGAGAACGCAGTCCAGCGCCGAAAGAGAGCCTTCCCGCGCCACAGTTCAACGGCCCTCTGCCTTTCGAATCCATAAATCTTGGCCAGTCACTCCTGGGAAAGAAAAAGTCGGAGAAGATTGAGGAGGATTTGTCAGGAGGGTTCGACCGCGAACTTGGTGATGACGCCTTTCGCAAAGAAAGACCGCCTCAACCTATGCCGGATTGGTTCAATGCAGCTCCTAGCACGAAAGATCTCAAACACATTCCTGAAGATGCTGAAGATGAGGATGTTACTCCAGCTAAGCACGCTGGAGTCGACATCACTAGTAGAGAGAAGATTCGTCGCTACGACACAAAGGAGGTAATTGACCTTGAAGCAGAAGATCAGAACGGCGAGGAAGATCGTCCTATCGAGGTTGAGGCGGAAGCAGAAGAAGACAGACCGGTTTTATTCGAGCCATCTCAGGATATTCCCACGGAGCCTGATATGCCGCTGCCGGAGGATTTGCCTGTGGTAGATGAAGAGGAGGATGCTGAGCGGCGCAAACGTGAAGCTGAACGCGAGGAGCGTTATGCAATGGCTCGTCAAATTGCCGCCGAGAATGATACCCAGGAAATGGTCATGGGCGATGTGGCGGAAAAAGCTCAAGCTGAACCTCCTCCGCCTTCGAAGGTGCCTGATTTCAATCCAGACCCGGCCCCAGCCAAGCCAGATACAGCGGAAGGTGAACCTGCAGTATCTGAAGGTGATGAAATCGCATGGAGCGAATCAGACTACGAAGCCGATCAGCCGGCAACGCCAGGCTCGCTGGGTACAGTCAACGAGCAGCCCGAAACAGCACTCCCAGCAGACGATGAAGATGAAGGCGAGGACTTTGAGGACGTTGACATGGAGCCTGAACCTGTCCCTGTCCCTGCTGTTGAACCTGCCGCGCCGCCATCTCAAGTGTATGACACCGTCAGTGCATACGTCGAGACTCCCGTCCCAGCCGCTCAAGAGCCTGCTGCGGAGGAAGAATATGAATACCTCTCCGAATCCGAAGAAGAACTCATGCGCCAATTGGCCATCGAAGCCGAAGAACACGCCCGCTTCGCCTCCAGTCTGCACAACCAAAAGACCAACGCAGACGCGATCAGGGACTACGAGAACGAACTCAAACAACTAAGGAACCAACAAAAGAAAGACCGCCGTGACGCTGATGAAGTAACACAAGTCATGGTGCAAGAGTGTCAAGCTCTTCTACGCCTCTTCGGCCTTCCATATATCACAGCTCCAATGGAAGCCGAAGCCCAATGCGCCGAACTCGTTCGTCTAGGTCTTGTCGACGGCATCGTTACAGATGACTCCGATATTTTCCTGTTCGGCGGAACGAGAATCTACAAGAATATGTTCAACGCAGCGAAGTTTGTGGAATGTTATCTCGCGAGCGAATTGGAGAAGGAGTTTACTTTGGATCGTCGCCGACTCATTCGCTTCGCCCACTTACTGGGGAGCGATTACACCGAGGGCATTCCTGGCGTTGGACCCGTGACTGCTCTTGAGATTCTCACAGATTTCGAGACCCTGACTGAATTCAAGGAGTGGTGTTCCAAGGTCCAACTTGGTAGGCCGGCGGATCTGGAAGATCAACTTACCACGCCTTTTCGGCGGAAATTCAAGAGTACGGTGCAAAAGAGGTTGTTCTTGCCGAATGCGTTTCCGGATCTGAGGGTCGATGAGGCGTATCTCAATCCTGAGGTGGATTCGGATCCGGAGCCGTTTGTGTGGGGGGTGCCGGATCTGGACAAGCTTAGGGGATACCTCATGGCGACGATTGGGTGGAGTCAGGAACGGACGGATGAGGTGTTGGTTCCGGTCATTCGGGATATGAATAAGCGGGATGTGGAGGGGACGCAGAGTAATATCACACGGTTTTTTGCCGGGGGTGTGGGTGTTGGCGGACGGGGGATTGGTGGTGCAACAGGGAGTGGTTTGGCGGTGGGTGGAGAGGGGCCGGGGCCTGGGACTGGGACGGCTGAGGGTATGGCGCCGCGGAATAGGACTGGGAAGGAGTCTGGACGGATGAAGAATGCTTTTAAGAGGTTGAGGGGAGAGGCGGAGAGGAAGAGAAAGGGGTTGGACTTTGAGGAGGGAGATCAGCAAGGCCAGCAAGATGAGGATGGCCAGGATGGTCAGAATGGTCATGATGGTGGTCTGGACGTGGCTGAAAATGCTAGTGGTGATGATGGCGATTTTGCCGAAGATGAAGCGCCCAAGAAGAAGACCAAAAGTAAGACGAAGGGGAAGTCAAAGAAAAGGTCAACTTGATAGTGGTAGCAATGTGCACGGATATGCTAGAGGTGCACGCCAATATCAACGCCGTTGACGTTGGAGCGCACAAAACAGGCCCTCAAACATGAACTTCTAACCGCTTATTGAGATCAGGAAGGGCGTCGTCTCCGTCGACAACGAAATGTACGTAACCTGATACTCTAAGAACACTCCAGGCACAATGGCCAACGCCTCGCTATCAAATGCGGCCAAGTCACTCCATGATGCCGACATGCCTATCTACTCAAGGCCTGCTCATTCTGGACATCAGCTCCAAGCACATGTCCCCAGTGCACCTGTCCTCATTGCACCCGTCCCTGTGGTACTCGTCCTGCATCGAATACGATTTGTACCCCTCTGCATCGCAATCCGGACACCTCCCAGTAACGTGACGCGACCAGTCATCGATGGCTCTAGAGGTGTACCCCTTTCTTGATGCGACTTTCTCCTTCCAGTACTCGGGATCATTGGGCACAAAGCGGAAGCAGGCGCGGCAGAGATGAAGATGTGGTGGGATATAATAGTTGGCTGTGGTGAGTTGTCTGTCGGGCTTCTGAAACAGGTAGAAGAGGAGGGTCTTGTCGCGCCAGCCGCGCCAGCCAGCCATTATGTCTGGATACGACGCGACGTGGGCCATGGTCTTGCAGGTGAGGGCGAGACAGACTTGATGATGGGGGGTCTTGACGTGACGGAAGATCATCGTCAGGACCTCTGTCGGGAGGCTGGCGAACGTGGAAGAAGGTTGGGAAGATGCTGATGCTGCGAGGACCGTGGCAGGGACGAAGAAGGGGTCATAGGGGTTCTGTCGAGAGGGGCGAGGGGGGCGAGACGGTGTAGGGACCCGAGATATAAATGGCCCAGGCTTCCACTGTGCTGAAGGCCGGTCTTTCGACGCATCATCCTTTGACCATAGAACGATCTCTTGCTTTTCCTCGTCCACGTCGTGATAGTAAATCTTCGGTTGGAGACTGCCATAGTCCTGGTCACTGCTATATGGAATTTCGGCGCTCATTCTGACGGGTACGTGTGCGTAGTGGGTCTGATGAGTTAGTGTTGATAGAGGTCACAGAAGAAGTTCTCTGACCAGTAATCTGTCTGCAAGAGCACCTGGAGAAGGGGGATGAGAGGAAGAAGGGAAAGAGAGAAAGGACGAGAATGACGGAGACAAAAGAAGAGCAAAGAGAGAAGAAGGTTGGAAGAGACGAAGAGAAAGGAAGTGGTGAGGTGAGGACTGTGGAAGCAAATAGAGTGTTCAATATCTTGGTTGAACCATGGCCAATCTCGTGCAAAGCATGACACTTGACGGTCCGGCATCGTTTGTCGTCCTGACGGACGGTGGTCACGATGGTGGTTGTGTTGTTTAGTCATTGTTGTTGCGTAGTCTGCATGCCAAGTTACCATTAGCGACTCAAGAGAACCAAAGTGGCAAGGATTTGCGAGGTCTTACTTGTCTTCGCTCGCACATGAAAAGTCGTCGTCGCTATGACACATCCAGCAAGTCATAGGGGACGGCGTCCATGCAGGCGTATCGTATTTTTGTGTTGCCAGATTCATGGTGATCAGTCGAATGTGTGTAAAGTGCAACTTGGACTATTGCATATTAAAGGAAGAGACAGAAAGTCACAAGTCAGAAACTCGGACACTCTGCCCAGTGCGCGTATGAATGAATGTGGAAGGAGCGAGACAAATTAGTTCGTCTGTCATCGGAGAACCCATCGCTGTCTGTGTCCAGGAGGCTATTGGGACTCTGTCTATCCATCTGGTAGCTGTATTGTGAGATTCGAAAAGGGTGAGAGGTATGTTCCAGGTTGTTGGATGGAGAACTCGTAAAGCAAGACAAGCCAACTCTTGTAAACTCTTGTAAACTCTTGTAAACTCTTGTAAACTCTTTGGTTGGGTTTAAGCTTGTCCTTAGCGTTGAGCTTGGCCGATGAGCCAAAACTCGACAAGGCTGAACTCTCACGCACATCAGGGTCCTGTGGTGTCTGGTAATATAAAGCAATCGGACGGCTGTCCCAGCTGAAACTCCTTCTTGATATGAAAAGCAAGGTCGCCGCATGGTGAGCTGTGATCTCTTGCTCATCAAATAGCAGCTTGGCTGGCTCTTAGCGCACCAACAACAGTGAACGAGAGGATCGGCGATATAGCATACGACAACTACGACAAAGGTCAGTGTTTGGAATCTAAGGCTGGTTTTCCCACTTCGTCCTACCGTAAGCAGCTTCGAAATGTTCCTCTCCTCGGCCTCGTCCGCATCACTAACTTGGATAAGCGTGATCAATTTCATCGCTGGGGGTCCTTGACCACTGTCAGTACCACAACTGGCCCAAGAGAGTGTAGAAGAACGTACCAGTCGGCATCAACATCATCGCAAACCACAACATAGGATCCTCCCCAAGGATACTCGTCCGCGTTGCAAGTGCGTAGATAAGCGCAATCGATGCGACTGGCCAAATCACAAATCGTATAACCATGATGAAAGCCACCGTGATCCACGGCAGTTTCGTATTCGCTCGGGTCGTGGCACTATTCCTCCTGGCATCCCGCATGGCAGTATACAATGAAACCCCCGCGACGACCACCGGCAAAGGGACAAATAAGCCACCGATGCTTTGCCAGGATGAAGTCAGCCATGCAGTAAAGATACCACCTTGATAGGTATCGTTGAAGAATGACCGATGGAGAGGTCGAATCAGTCCGATGATGGCGCCGAGGATAGCACCCAGCAATGGCGCATTGAAAAAGTCCGCGATGAAGAGTAGCCACCATTTCGCCCTGGGCCCAAGCTTGACCCAATGCCTCTTCGGCACCACAGACGGACGGCGCTTCATCTCCTGCGAAGGCGTTGCCGCAACAGACGGTCTGCGCTTCGAAACCAGAAACGTGTTGGACGCAAACGAGACTGAAGGTCTAGAGTTCAGCAGGCCTGTCTGCTCAGTGGCTCCATGAGGATCGAGCGGATCAACTTCCTCGTCGTCGTCGTCAGGGTCGGCGTCGTAAGCACCAGCGCCAGCTTCCAGATCACCATGCCCATTCACTTCGGGAGCCTCCTTGTCATGCTCCGGCGGGTGCTCAGTGTCGATCAATCGCGGTCCAACGGCGAAGGTCAGACAACTGGAGATCGTGGCGAAGACAAGGAAATACGACTTTGCGCGTTCCACCGCCTTAGCAGTGCTCTCGTCCGACACGATCAGCGACTGTAAAATGCCGGTTTGTTGCAGAGCCGCAATGAGTAGCAGCGGGTAACTCGTCGTGTTGTTGAACATGAGCGCAACGGTGGTCCAGTCGGGCATGCCCATCCACAGGTGGGCCGCAACACCGATCAAGAACGATATCAAGTGGCAGATGATGGCCCAGATGAGGATGATGCCATAGCGTTTTGCGGAGCCAGCGTGCAATTCAGAGCCGATGCTGGTGACCAGCAAAGCGGGCAGAAACATGCGCACGCATACTTTGGAGATGGCCTTGGTGTTGGCCGGCGTGAGTAGTTTGAGATGGGCCGCGATACCGCCATAGAAAATGACCAGAAGTACAGAGAGACTGGCCTGGATGGCGGCGAGGAACGAGTCCAACAACCCGGTGGGAGCCATGTTCGTGCGGTGGTAGAGGTAAGATGAACAGCCAAGATCAAAATGAAGTCATCGTTGCAGCTCGAAGTATTTATGAGCTTCCAAAACGAGGAGCAACATTGAGTGATGGTGCCATCGATGAGGAGCTTGCTAGCGCTGGGTCTATCTCGTCTGCATACGTAGGTGGTGGCCTGTGGAGGCATGATTAGACGTGGGGCAGTGGGCACCCGGCATCCCCAGAAGTGCCTGAGATACAGTACATGTCCACGTCGCTATCTTAATACATTCCTAAAAATGCCTACGATATTCCATATGCAGGAAACACGGTCAGGATTTGAATTGTGAGAATCTCTCTGATGCTCAAGGGTATCTCCCAAGTCAAGTTAACCATCCTGTCATAACCCTCTGATCTGCCCAAGGCAATCTTTTCAAGCCATCCAGTCATTCTAATAAAAATCCTCTCAATCCTAGTCAAACACAATCTCTTCGTTGATGATGGGGAAATAAGGTCCTGCCTTTTCCAGTGGTGGACGAAAATACAATAGCTTTGTCGCTCAAATGCTTTGGTTGGTATGGAGAAATGGAAGGATCAACAACTCGCCCGGCCTGCTAATGGGGTATTGTGAAACGAAAAACAATGCGAAAGGTGAATGAATTTGGTGACATCAACGGTCGTCGTAGCCAACGGGCTCCTGCGTGAGCCTAACCACCTCATAGAAACAGCATCGAGCTTTCCCTACGCTTAGCCTTGACACTGGCCGCATTGTCAGGTGCTAACATGTTATTGGCTCCTCCGTATCTGTTAGATCCCTGGCCAGTCTGTGTTGGTTGGTACCGTGGTTGTATAGGCTGCTCATGCGGTACAGACACGTAGCTTCGAGTCTCGTAAGAAGGCTGGATTGACGAAAACCCGAATTCTCCAGTGTCGACGTATTTGTCGGGGTCGCCGATATTTTGAGAGCTTGGGGTCATGGTCGCATTCTGGGAGAAACTGCTCTGGTTGTAAGCAGGCGTTGGCAGGTCAGAGAACATCTGCCGTCGAGGTGATCGAATGTCCTCAGGAGTCAAGGAGCCTTTCCGCTCAAACTCTGTGGACTGGATCGAATCTTCTTCGCTGGGTCTTTCAAAGATGGCCTCAAAGTCCGTTAAAAACATTGCAAACACTGGTGCTGGAATGTTGAGTGTGGGCGAGAAAACGATGCCTACGTTCTTGACGCTCATCTTGTTTCGTTCCGAGTTCTGCACCACTTCGAGCAGATATTGTGAGAGAGCTCGTAGTAGATGGAAATTGGCAGGCGGCAGCTGATGCACCAAACCATTGTACGCCGCAATCTTCTGCGGCTTCTGATCCAGTTCCAACACCTTCAGGAAGTCCAGATGCAGTTCTCTCGTCAGGATAGTGGCTGGCAATTCCCGAAGATATGTTTTGAAGAGGGAAGCGACCGCATGCACATCATAATCTTCCTCTTCCTCTGCAAGCAAGTCGATGTCTCCTTCAGTATTGAACCGCTCCTTGAGAAGTCGAATGACAATGTTCGATCCACTAAGCCGGAACAGCCCTTCTTCACTCGAAGCATTCCTGACTCGAAGGAACTCAATGCACCGATAAACCACCGCAGGAAGATACACATTCACGTCAACAGGAGAATAGTATTCGACCGCCTCTTGGAGTTGCATGCCAAATACAGGCCTCACATGGCCGTTTCGATGAGCGCTAAGCTCAGCCCGTCTTGACTGGGGGTGGGACTGTTGCTGCACAGGAGCCAACTGCTCATGCGAAGGTCTTCTGAAATGGGAGAAGAGGTTACGCTTCTTTTGCTCCCGCTCCTTGCTGCCACCGGATACTGCGTGCTTGTTTCCCCACAGCCCAGCATCAGGAATGACAGTCGCATTCATGGGCTTTGAGATGAGGGACTTAGGCGTTGGACCAGATTCGGGAGCTAGGTCAGGGGTGTGACTGGACGTGTTTGACGGTGATGAAGACTCGCCGAGAGATTGATTGAATTGGGGGCTTCCGGCCGATCTTGGATCAGCATCTTCATGTATGCCTCTCTGAACGGACCTGACGTCCTTGCCATACGAGGCCTGGATGCCGGCACCATACTGCGGCCGAGCCTCTGCGGGCTTTTCGTCGATGTAATGCAGTAATGTCTCCACCCATTCGTCTCGTTCGAAGTCATTTTCCGCGCATAGTACGTGACGCACATGGCTGTTCATGTCCTTGCGCTTGGGCTCGAGAATAAGAAACGCATGCCGATATTGATTCTCGCTGTCAACCTCACTTGATGGAGGATCACTCTGAGACTGTTTGCCGATCCGTGCATTCAATAATTTGATGGTCCCCAGATGGGCACCACCTGGTGCTTCGAAATATCTCAATTCGGGACTGTCAAGAACAAAGTATCTTGATTTCCATCCTCCGAAGTTTTTGCCTTTCTTTGTGAGATAGCCTGATTTGGTTGGAATGCCAGCATATGAGGATTGGACTGTTTCGCTTTGTGTGTCGTCGCCGCTTTGAGCAGGAGGCGGAGGTTGCGGCTCCAACACGTCAGTAGACAAGAACCGACAGATAATGGTCGCAGCTTTTTCATCCATGGGTGTGTCAAGTAGACCTTCGAAGTAGGTCTCTATCGCTGCTCTTCGCGCATCAACCATGGCTGGAGAGTGGCCAGTGAACAGCCTTCTGTCGGGTAGTTTAGGCAGGTCCTCACAATATGGTCGGAGTTGCTGATCAATGTTCGGAACTGAGCTAGGCATCTTTTCGATGCGCCAAAGCTCACGAGAAGTTGCTCGCTCAAAGACTGATAGACTAAATACCGAGTTCTCCTCCACCGCCTTGAGTCCAATTATACTGTTTCTTGAAGGGCGCAGTCGCGACGAGGCTACTTTGATCTGGATGGAGGGTAGAGCGTTCGGTGGTAAGAGAAAGTCAGGCCAGGTCGGGCTCATGAGCGAACGGTCCACTGCTGGTATCTCATTTTTACTCAGGGGAGACTCATTGCGGCTGGGGTCCACGATACTGGTATTGCTGTCCACTTTCGCCAGCGGTGAAGGACCGACTCGTTTTTGGCTGTCTGGCGCGGGAGCTTGCTGACCTGGGGTGGTGGGGGCAGGCAAAGCTTGTTTTGGTGCTCGTGGAGACAGGGGAAAGTTGCTAGCCGGTGCACGCGGCGACATAGGAAGTGAGCCCGGTACGAGGGTGTTGGCGAAGGGTCGAGGGCTCATGGGAAGGCCAGGACTTCGTAGAGGATTTGAGAGCTGTGCAGATGATACTGAGAGCGTCGAGGTTGGAGATAGATGATCGATCACCGCTGGCGGCTTCGGCAGGGGCTGTGAGGGAGGCAGTGTTGGAGGTAGATCGGCTGGAAGCTGAGGAATATCTTCAACCATGATTTCTCCCGCTTCACCCTTGGCCTTTTGTTCTTTCTTCGATTGACTCCTCGCTTCTTGTTCTTGGATGGCTAGAAGCTCCCGTTCACGATCGTCTTCTTCTCGAGTCTTCCGCCTGCCTCGTTGCAGAAGTTCTCGGTCTTCGTCGTCATCTCCGTCGCTGATTACTACTTCTGAGGCAGCGAGGATTGGGTTAACAGACGCATCATCCTTCACCGGACGCAAGTCAAGAGGTCTGGGTGGAGCCTTTCTCGAAGCTTGGAAAGACTTGGTAGGCTTTTCCGAGAGTGGTGTCGCTTCGGTCACAGAAAAGACTGGTTGTGCCAGATGTGTTGCCAGGCTTTGCGTCCGTGGTGCCTGCTGCAGATGGAGTGGTGGCGGCATCATTGCTGGATCGATCGGTGAATTGTCCATCCGTGCACTGGATGGTTTGCTCGGTGTTTCCTGCTCTGACTGGGGCAGATCCAGGCCGACCACATGATTGCCCTCACTCAAAGAGCCTGCATAGTCTCCTTCGGACTGCGGCGAGTCGCCAAGTTGAGGACGGGGTTGATCATCTGGGCCAACAGAAGGCTGTATTTGCACCTCTTTTGCCTTCTTGCGATAGCGATCTCTTTCTTTTGTCATACGCTCTAGATCCTTGTTCAGACCCAGGAGTAAGACCCTTTGTTTGTCCACGAGTTTCCAGAGCTGCGCATTTTGTGCCGCAGCTTGGCTCTTATCCCTCAGGAGATGTGCTATCAGAGATTCTGCGGATCCTGCTGTGGCTATCAGGTTGTAGACATCCTCATGCGATGGGTCTTTCACCTCCCCTGGCGGCTTTTGCGGCAGCGAAACGCCTGAGATATTTGAAATGGCGGAGTCTATGGATGATGTTCGCGGCATCATGGGAGGGGGACGTGCCCCTACTGAAGACGCAGTGTAGGATACGGCAGAGCCGGACAGAGCGCTTTCCACCTTTTCCTGCGGCCCCGAGTCGCTGGTCCCGCTCTTCGTCCTCTGGAGGGTCAGCGCAGTATTATCGCCAGGTATTGCGGTCGTCCGAATCTGGGGTTGACCGTTCAAGGGGCTCTTGCCCTTCGGTATGTTTAGAGAGTTGCTCTTCTGAACGTCATGAGAATCCGTCCTCGCCTCGTGCAAATTGTTGACCTCCGGGGCCCTTCCTTGTTGACCGAGACCTCCGGACCTCGAGCCTGACGAAGAGGTCAAGTAGTCCCGTGGGATGAGATTGTTGTTCAGCACAATGTGGGCAGGCTTGCGAGAGGCTGCAATGTAGGCATGGGCGTCCGCCAGCGGAGAAGACGAAACATCGGCGGCTGTTTGAGCCAGACGAGTGTGTGGCGATCGAGATGTGGTGGTGCTGTTGCTGACGGGAGACATTTCGGGCAACGATTATTCGCGTGCATGAGGCACAGGCGTTGGCGTCAAGCCATTGGTGAGAGGGAATACCAGTTGGCGACCGCTGACAGGCCAGCTGTACGGAGCGGCGTGTGAAGGTGGAGGGAGATATTGCGATCTCACAGAGGGTCCAACGCGAACTGTGTCGAAAGGTTGTTCGGTCGTGCTCCTGAGAAAAGTAAAGAGTGAGAAGGACGTGCTCCAATTGTGTCTGTAAGCGCCGAGATGAGATGCGGAGGGTTTGGAGGCGGTGATGATTGGACACGTCTTTTGTTAAGGGAGGGTGGCTCCTCTTCTGCAGCTTGGTGCAGCAGGGGTTGAAAGAGTACGGCCATGCTCGTGGAAGGGGTGGATACAAGTTGTCATGTGTATCTGGTCATCCCCTGTCTATGATCTGGAGATCGTCTTGCCTGTTGAATGATGCGAGCGAGGTGTCACAGGAGTGCGCCTACAATCGCAGGAAATTATGGAGTACGGGGTACTCTTGATACCCATCATAATGCTTGTCCTTTCTCTACCTAAGTACGGAGTACCCTCTGACAGTACTATACTACAAACCTGCACTCCCTCATCGTACAGGAAATAGTCATAAGGATAATATTCACGCACTCACCGCAATTTGCAGAGTTTAATCTCCTAGTTTCAGGTCGCAAGTGAAATTCCTGAACCAATCCTCAAACATCCAAGGCACCGCTTGAAACAAAACGTCCAGCGGCCGGTTCGCCGCGGGGGCAACCCTAAAAAGAGCTGAGCCCCATATTTTAGGCGTTAGCCCCAACTGCCTAAGGAATGCGCGCGGAATGTCTGACGATGCCATCGCTAAAGATGTGACATGAAGCCCACTTTGACTCCGGTAAGAGTTGGCAATGTCCAGCTGCATCGTATGCATGTAGAGCAGCTGAGTACGTTACCAGATCAAGAGTGACCTCCCTATAAAAGGTCGACTGTTTCTTGAGGCGTAACGGAAATACCAGGTAGTTATTTGCGGCTCCGGTGACATTCGGTTGACTCCCTGAGGTTCACACTTAACCTATCTGTGGCTTGATCCCAGCAGTGGGAGGACCAAAAGGTATCTTCGTGAAGCCACCAACCTTAGTTGAAGTGTGTACGAGTGGAATCACCTTGAGTTCCCTTATGCACACACTGTCGATCAGTGAAAGTCTAGAATCTGAAGAGCCGAGGTGTGGTTGTTTGAGAATGGAGATTATTACTGTCTCCTTTATTCTGCCGCACGCTTTCAGGCTGGCTATACCATAATTTGACTTAGTAGGTTTATAGGCATGGCGCTGAAAATGCATGGGTGACTGGATCGTGCGCCGTTTCAGCTGCAGGAACCCGAGCCCGAATTCTTGACAGTTGTTCTGTGTGATTGGCTTGAAGACAACCCAATAATCATAGTGGCACAAACCGTCAGGGGCTTTATGCACTTCATTCATGCCGATGAGAGCGCGCCCACACCATTTAAGAATGCGATCTTCGAAAAGGTTCTGCACCTTCTGTCCCATCTCGACAATCTGCAAGATGGTTGTCTGCTGACCAAGATGTCCTGAAGACCACACCCGACCCTCCATCTCCTTGGTAGCCGAGAATCGCGGCACTTGTCCCTTTGTGGGACGATGCATGGCGCCTCAAGATACCATAGTATGATGAAGCCTTGCTGATGGCGTTCTCCTGCCTGTCGACGACTTGTGACAAATCTTGATGGATGCTGACGCCAGGCTCTGCCCTCAGCCATTAGCGAAGGACTTCCTGCTTGGTTAGAATGTAATGATATTGCTGTACCTGTAGCTCTCAAGGTCGTTTTCGTTTACTCGACGTTCCGGGAGTTGAGTCTGCGCTAGCATTGTCCGACGAACCTCCAGACCTGAAGTCGATCGTCCTCTTTCCTGCAGCCGAAAGAGTCTTCTTCATGGCCTGGTCTTTGACGCGTAGCTCATACTGGCTTTCGAGAAGTGCTTCCTTATAACCACTTGCAGGGAGCCCTAATGGGTCAAATGTCTCTCTGGGCAACGAAGTCCGGTATTGGTCTTCCTCCTCTAAACCGGCCCGCGCCATCAAGCTGGAGAGCAGACCGGGATTGCGGAAGGGCGGTTTACTTGCCAGGTCCAAATTGAAATGTACACCTTTTGCCTTTAGCTCTAGAAATCGCTTGAATTTTGCATCCATGGCTGGATTGGGCGACCCAGGCGGAGAAGACGGTAGCGAGGTCATGGGTTGTGGTGCGGCAGTCAGATGATGGATGATGTCCCGATCAGACATGGATTCTCGCATCTCCATAAGAGAATCTTGCTCGCTTTCGTTTGCCGTCTGTTCTGGCATAATTGGCCCTACCATAGGTCCATTGTCCATATCCGCCATGGTAGCCATGGGACTTGGCTTTGGCTCAAGCACAGGCGGAGGGATGCCATCTCGAAAATTGTTTCCTGCCTGGGTAGGTTTACTGGCATCCGCGATAGATGTCGTTGTCACAGCATTCTCGACTGTGTTGACATCTTGTTCGTCGTCGCTGGACTCATAGCCCACGAGCGCACTCATATTTGTGCCGAGATAAAGCCAAAGGCAGGGCTATCAATGAAGGCATATACGATCGTATGGTCCTCACGACATAGCGAAGAGGAGTGGTATGGTGCCATCAGGTACAAGTAATTCGAGCATGACTTTTTTGAAGGCCAATTGCACTGGCGGTAGAAATGCTCCGTAGTACCCTGTACGGTGGAGTTTTGCCACAGGCGGCAGGCGCATACGTCGACTGCACTGCGGCCGGCTTCACTCGATGAATCTACATGGCTCTTTCACACCTTACTTGTTCTTCATAACCACCAACACATTCTTTGCGCTATGGCTTCTCTGTCCAACTTCGGGCAGATGCCCTCCGACCAGCCTGGCTACTCTTTCTCAAACGCCGGCTCATCTAATGAGGCGTCTGGACAAAGACAGCATGCCTTCTACCCGTATGTCGAACAACATCCGCCTCTGTTAGACTGGATAGCTGACAATTTACAGATACGCAGACAACGGTGGCTCGACGTTAGGAATCACAGGTGCCGATTTTGCTATCCTTGCAGGCGACACGCGATCAACCTCCGGCTACAACATCAACACCAGATACGAACCCAAGCTCTTTCGAATTGGCGACGACGGTGACTCCTCCTCAAATATTGTACTCTCAGTGGTGGGCTTTGCAGCGGATGGACACGCGTTGAAGGAACGACTGGATGCAATTGCCAAAATGTACAAGTACCAGCATGGCAAACCCATGAGCGTCAAGGCATGCGCACAACGACTATCAACGATACTCTACCAAAAGCGCTTCTTCCCATACTACGTACACGCGATTCTGGGTGGATTGGACGAGGATGGAAAAGGAGCACTCTACAGCTACGACCCAGTAGGCAGCTACGAGCGCGAGCAATGCCGAGCAGCTGGAGCGGCGGCCAGTCTGATCATGCCTTTCCTGGACAACCAGGTCAACTATAAGAATCAGTACATTCCAGCCTCCGGTTACGGTCACGAGTTGCAACAGAGGCCAATCGAAACGCTACCCCAAGATGTTGTCGTTGGACTAGTCAAGGACGCCTTCACCAGTGCCACAGAAAGACATATTGAGGTTGGTGACGGGCTTCAAATGCTCATCATTACAAGAGATGGCATTGCGGAGACCTTCACACCATTGAAGCGAGATTAGAGGAGAATGAGAACAACGGGAACCCTGCTGGCACCGAGTGTTGCGTTTGTATGCATAATCTGGCGAAATAGGGATGAGCCTAGGTTCCAAGGCGAAATGCATTGATTTGTCTCAGCCTACCATGCCTTGTAAAGAAAGACTCTGCATCTCACATGAAAGCCCAAAGGAGCCACCTAACTCCTGCTGCAGTGGAATAATTTATTCAACGCCGACATAAGATCTTCCCTTGGCCGTGCCCAGTCGTAAAACATGCTTCATGCGCTGCAACTCAAAATCTTTCCTTCATCCGGCTGGCTACCGTTCTCAAGTTGCCATACACTTTTCCAGGCGGAGCACCCAAAATCAAACTGACAACTGCTTCTCTCGCTATCCTGATGTTCTGGAACCCTCCGAGAATATGGATCTTGCTGTCCGCCAACACCACTCTCGTTTTACTCGTGTTCTCAATGGCAAATTTGGTCTTTCCATCTTTTCCGGCTATTCGACCGATTGCTCGTCCCAGATGCTCACCGTGGAGAGTCTTGACGTCTTTAATCTCGAATGTCTCGATATACAAATCATCCAGTCGCAACAAAGCAATGGCGTCATCCACATCGAAGCCCAAGGTGAAAGCCAGTACGAAATCCGCTCCTTTCTGGAGTGCGCCTCCGTCGGTAGTGGCTTTTGACGTCCGTAGTTCAACGGCTTTAGACTTGATATTCATTCGTACTTGCAGTTTCAAGTGTTCGACGAGCGGAGGGTAAATTTTGGGCCAGTTCGCTTTCAAGGGCGACATGCGGTGTGGAGGGATGGGGACTTTTCTCGACTGTATTCGTACGGATGTGGGTGAGTCTGTTTCTGAGGCGGGCGCAAACCGAGGTCTTCCTTCTTCGTCTATCTGCATATTCGTGTCGTCTATAGATTGAAGGGCGTCTGTGCTTTGTGGCTCTGTGACAATTTCAATATCGAGATTCTCGTCGACAGTGTTTTGCAGTGCAGAGTTGTCGTGCGCTTCGGTGTCAGCCAGCGCTTCCGGAGCGCGCTGTAGCGCTGTGGGAGCAGGCATTCTGGGATTTTATTGATTTGATACAAGGACTCGCTGGTGAGTTGTTGAAGCAGAGTCGTCTGTTGCAGAAGAGTTCTGGGTCTTTACTCTCATGCGGTGGTGGTGGTAGTGGTGGCGGATCGGCGAAGGCAAAGAAATCTTTTTCTCCGCACGGGCGAATGCAAGGCGCAGGTGGATCAAAAAGTTGACGGGCTTTGATGGGTGCAGGTGGCTGAAGTTCGTCATGCTTTTCTGCATGTGAACCTGCACTTGTGTATACTTACAAACGACTGCATCATCATCATCATTATCGACGATTACAACGACACCGTCTTGGGTGGACACTGCTCCAACATCCCCTACCAAAACACAATGATCAGGGAAATATGACGGACGTCTTCGTCCGAGGCATACGCCATGTCTCGAAGTCTGCTGCCCTTCCAACCCGAACGACTCGAGTAATACAACTCCCAGCCTTCGCTGAACCCAGTTTCAGATACCATTTACCGCGACGGATATCCTTCTTGACCATCCAAAAAGTCCCGTATAGTAGAGGACGCAAACCGAGCAACGATGTCTTGCGCCGAGAACTTTTCTCCACCAAGTCGCCTTCTCTACAGTCGCGACAGTCACTATCAATACGCACAGCAGCGGGGGCAGGTACCGTCGAGGCACACCCAAGTCTGTCCCTGCTACACTCATCTATCAAGCGAACATGGAGGCCCAGTGACGTGGCAAGGCTGCTTTCGAGAGGCTTTCACGAGACGCATAGATGTCTGAAAGAGCCCGAGACAAAAAGAGAAGGATCCAAGGGTCATGAAGTCAAGACCGACCCAGCCAAACGCGGCGTACCACATAAAGATGCGTCGAAACCTGCTCCTGGCCAAGAGGAGCCACATCATGAGCACTTTTACGACAGAATACACATGCCGCAATTCCATCGACCAACAAAGGAAGAACTGCTGTCCGCAGCCACGGGATTTTGGTCTCGACTACGAGTACGCTTCAAGTGGTTGACGATCAAGAGTACCCGCCCTTTCAATATGGACGAGATTGTGGGCTTCATCTCCTGGATCGCCTTGGGCCATGTGATTTGGATCGTCATCGGGACTACAACATTCGTCTCATTGGCAATATGGGCCATCAACACTGTCTTCGCCCAGGAGACGCTGGCAGGCTGGATCGGCAACTACCTCACCAAATCATCCGGACTACAGGTAGTCTTCGAGTCCGCCATTGTCCCGAAATGGGGGGATGGGGTCATCACATTCAAAAACGTCTTTGTCTCCAGACGGCCCGGTCAAAGCAAGTCCCGCGTAACTAAAGGCTCACCGCAGGCAGCAGCACATGCATACTCTGCCGAAGATCCAGTGCCTCCGGAAGAACAGAACTACACACAATTCGACATCACCATCGGAGAGATCAACGTGACCCTTTCCTTCAGCAAGTGGTGGAACTCAAAAGGTCCACTCCAAAACGTGGAAGTCAAGCACGTCCGAGGTGTCGTGGACAGAACCCACGTGTATTGGACCGGCGAACGAATCGATCCCAAATCATACCGCCACGAGCATCACCCCGGCGACTTCGAAATTGAAGCCTTCAAAATCGAAGACCTGCTCGTAACAGTCCTCCAACCAGAAGGTTTCAGACCCTATCCCATCAGCATCTACAACGCCGACCTCCCTCGCCTGCGAAAGCAATGGCTATTCTACGACTTCCTTTGCGCCAACAGCATGACCGGCGAATTCGACCGGTCCTTATTCACAATCCACCCGCGCCAGATCCATTCCTACACCGGCCTCTCCCTCGAGACGAATGCCAACGACCCATCCGACGAGCCCTGGAAAAAGCAATCCCGGATCCGAATCGATGGAATCAACATCGACCACCTGAACCGCGGCGCAGGCGGTCCTTTATCTTGGATCCACGAAGGCAACGTCGACATAGTAGCCGACGTCATGATCCCCAACGACTGCGAAGAGTCCGTCATGAAAGTCATGACCGATTTCTACGAGCGCATGGAATCAGCCCTAACATCCAAGAAGCATTTCGAATCACCGCAAGCGGCACCACTAGCCCGCGACGATACTACCGGCGCCTTAGTCGACGCCGGTATCGCCATGACTGCGCCCACCAGCACAAACCCGGAGTTCAAGGCCACTCAGGACGAAAACAAGCGCTTTCTCGTCATGGATTTGAGGATACACCTGAACGATGTCCGTGCCGTGGTGCCCCTATTCACACGGGATTTGTCTTATATCAACAACGCGCTCATAAGGCCGATAGTAGCGTACATCAACTCGCGGCGCACATTCATCCCTATAAACTGTCGCGTGGTGAAAAGACTCTCCGACTTTGACGGAAGTTGGACTGTCTTCGATTCCGGGCTCATGGATGATCTGGGCGCGGAAGTGTACGATGCGTTTGCAGGGGACGTCACGGACGAACAGGCGCGTATGAGACGTTTCAAGAAGGTCGGCCTGTGGAGTTTACAGCTTGCTGCGCAAGCAATCTTTCTTGTAAGTGCTTTCTCCTCCGTTTGATCGGGTTGGTTGCTAACATCTTGTCTTCACAGGGTATGGCTGGCGGTGTTGCATAAGCACGCGCCGGGCTAATGAATTTATCTTACGAACCACTCTTCTCTGGGGTACGGTAATGCAAGGTGCAAAAAGTGTGTCCTTGTACAGTACATAATTTTGCAAGCGGATTCCACAACATTCGATTTCAGGCTGGAGTTTGCAGGTCTTGCGGATTCACGGCGTGTGTATATCACAGTTCAGCGTTCATAGATATGGTGTCCTGCTTGATGATGCTGCTGATGAGGACTTTACAATCCACTGTTGTTCTAAGAGGCGTACGAAACCTCAAATGAGACGAGCTGAGCCTTTTGCAATGCTCTCGAGCAAGGTTTTGACCAGTCTTCCATGCTTACTTGCCTTGTTTTGCCCGATGGTGGAAAATGCGAATGGCTGTTCCTCGTTCTCCTTTGGCCTCGACCAGCGAGCATAAGCCTGTACAAGATCACCACCTAGGCCTGAGCCTGCGTCTGAACCTGGGCCTGAGCCTTGGGCTTCCCCTTCTCTTTTTCCTTCTCTGGCGACGGTGTCGGTGTATGTGTCTGTGGTTGAGCTTTAGGCTTCGTGTACTTTCTCTTTTTGGGCGCTGGCGGCGTATCAACTTTCTGCGCCTTATCCAACTCTGCCTGCTGCTGCTCCGATTTATCCGCGATCTTCGAGAGAATCGCCCACTGAAACTCTGGATTTGCGAGCGCAACTTCCTTCATGACCTTATCGGCTCGGTACAGCGAGAACTTGTCACTCGCCATCTTCACCAGTACCGCCCAAAGATCGGCGTCTTGTATCTCACATATTGTCCGCTTCGGTCGGGCAGCGCTGTTGCCTCCATTGTTACTGTTCTCGGGCGTGGCAATTGCTGGTGCTGCGGCTGGGCGAAGCAGAAGATGTGTCAGACTCGGCAAGAAGGCGGCACTGTCCCAGCCAAATTGATACTCGATCTCGCTGACCGCTAGCTCCTTGAGCTCTTCGATTCCGTATTCGTCTGCAACAAGGTATATTTGCGCATGCAATGAGTCTGGCTGATCAAACTCGTCGCCTGACTCTGGGATGAACAGATCGGAACATTCTGATGGACTCGTGCGGCCTGAGGTCATGATTTTTTCAATAGATAGTTGCGTTTCTTCTAGACCCCTCGCGCCATACTTCCCCGTGTACAGCCACAGGATGAGGTAGCCGATGATGATGGGATCTTCATTGTCGAGCGTCACGCTATTGTTGGCGATATCCTGCTCAGCTTGTTAGGACGAGCAGGTAGAACATGAGCAATGTTTCGAACTTGAGGTTCTCCATTGCAGATCTTCTGGAAGAAGCTGGATGATCTGGCAAGCTTGCGGCTGTGGACTTTCCAGCTGTAGTCACGGACAGCAATGGTGAAATCTGGTTGCTGTTGTCTGTTGAGCTGAGAGACGAAACTGCATACCGGTCAGATCGTATGACACGCAAATTGTAAGCTCGGAGGGCGCGTACGTGGTCAAGTCGCTATCCTCGTCTTCCATCTTCAGATCTACTAGCTTCCAGGCTCAAAGATGCGCAAGTTGAGATTCAAAGAGAGAGGAATCTCAAGGACCGGAGAGAGCAAGATTGTGATGATGATGTTGGGGCGATGCGTTGAGAAGGAAGGTACGTGGGTACGTGGGAAGTGACCATGGAATTGCATAAGGTCGAGTATGCACGCATGGGTAAGATCCAAAAGAAAACTGAAATGATCGCGGGTTGTCAAGGTCACGACTGAGCATGCGAGAATACCTTGAAAGAAGAGCGCCGAGCATCACAACGCCCTTCAAAGCCCAGTTCACCATCGCGAGGTGGGTGTGAGGGTCAGTCGTGTGCCGTTCCCCATGAAGCGCCTGACGAGCTTGTGCGTACACAGTCAAAAGACAGAATCTCCAAGGTGGTCGCGCGTGATGACAAGAAGGGTGTGAAGATGAAAGGCGGAATGTGAATGTGTGCACACCTCTAGTCTGCTGGTCCATAATCTTGAAGTACAACAGGTCTGAAATAGGTATGTCAGGAACTAGGGGACCTCTTCAAGCAAACATCAACCGAAGCAGAGTTTGACAGGAAACAGCCGTGGTTCTTCGCTCTCGCGCGGAGAATGCTCAATGGCATTGTAACTTGTGATCTCCGACCATGGTATGAGTGCGGTCGCAGACGTATGTTCTGTTCGAGTCGCGCTGTTGATGTATAGGGGTGTTAACGCTGGGGGATTGATCATGAGCCCATGAAAAGCTTGGATTAAATATATTTGGGTATCTTGGGAAGAGGAGGGAATTAATTTACAGCATCACTCACAATACTCACTTGGTGGAATGGTGCATGATCTCATACAGACATCTTGAGACTTCTCGTCTGCCATTGCTCTGGATCCTGCGCGATCCAGTCCTTTTGCTCACCCAAAATGCATACAGACTTCAAGTCTGCAGGCAGCTCCACCAGGTATTTTTGCGCAACTCTCTGGACATCCTGCTTGGTGACGTCTAAAAGACTTTCACGCATCTTCTGATCCATGTCTTCAGTGATGTGGTACATGAACTCTTTGCTCCCTTCGCCGCTGACACTTCGGGGGGCGTCGATGCCTTGGAAGATACTCAGCTTACTCTCTTCCAATTCTCGGCTGCCCCAGTCCTTGTCTCGGGCGTATTCGCCAGCCCGCTGGAAGACACTCAGGGAGTTTCGCGGATTTGGATCACGGTAGGAGGACATGGTGAACAGCCCGCTGATAGGACTGGCACTTGCTGACGCACCGTAGGCGCCACCTTTCTCTCTCACTTCGGGATGCAAGAAGTTGTGGACAAGAAGTTGACCAAGCACGGTCAGTGGTGCTTTGTCAGGTGAAGAGTACGGTGCTGTCTGTAGGCACGTTCCAGTGTATGAAACCTGGAAAGGCAAATCGAAGAAGGTGCGTCTTGAGAGTGAAGAACCAGAAACTGCGTCTGAAGAGGAGGCTACGCTAGTTTGAGACCCTTTAGGTAGCTTTCCGAGTAATCCCTCAATCAACCTGCGGTTGGTCGCAACCGAGTCAGGCTCGCATACGACACGTAGTGACAAGGCGGACGAGTTGCTGATGGCGATTGACTGAATCTGCTGCAATTTCTTGATGACCTCTTGTAGACTTGAGGGATCACGTCGGGCAGCATCCAATGCTCGGGCCGTGCTCTCTATTTGGGTGAGTCCAGATAACTGATCTTGGATCCTTCCTCTGCGGGTGAGAGCAGCAGAAGCACTGGTTACGGCAAAATGATGCCCACTTTCAGAAACCGCATCTAGAGCGCCAGAGGTCTTTGATTCAAGAAGCTCCTGGATGGCTGCGGCGGCTTTGGCATCTGAGAAGTCGATATCCAGCAGTAGTGTACGCATCAGGTCAAACATTGCCGGAACATTCCTGTCCAAAGCATAGCCATCGAGAAGCAGACCTTCATTGTATTTGTCCAAGGACCACGGCTCGGGTGCGACGAAGGGGGCAATAGATATGCCACCAGTCTTGAGTAGGATCTCAGCCTCGAGATCTCCAACGGTCTTTGTCTTGGTTCCTAAGCGCATAAGCGACTCTGTAAACAGCGGCATAAGTAGCCTCAGTTCTTCGGGTACATCGCTCAGCAGATGTTTTGCTTGGAAATAGGTGATACCGTTTGTGGATGTTTCGCGCCACAAGCTGTTCACGTTGCCTATGCTGGCATAGTATCGTGGTTTCTTTTCCTTTTCGCGAGCAATATCGTCGACATGCAGAGTAGGGAGCGTCTCAAGGTGTTTGTACTGGGAAGACTCTTGTTCTTCAAGCAGCTCAAGCTCTTGTTGGCCGAGTTTTGAGATTGCGTCTTCAGGTGAACTTGCGCTTTTCTTGACGTTCTCCAATATCACCTTCCTTCGTTCCTCTTCCTGACTTTCCAGACGTGAACCATACGAGTCCGACGGTTTCATCGTGAACTGCATGCAGCTGTCGTTCAAGAAGTACTTTTGTACCAGCCCCTCAAGATAATTGTCATCTTTCACGCGGAGCTTGAACGCATCGATGATCTCATTCCAAGCCAGGGAATCCATGGGATTTACTCCATTGAACCATCCAGCTAGGGTCTTCTCCAGAAGCCCCATACCAAAGTTTGCAGTCTTGTGTTTGAGGCTGAGTTCCAGTTGATGCATATAGCCTTCAATCTTGTGAGGTAAGAAGGCCTCTTTGGCTTTATCACGAAGAACAGTCTGAATCATTTCCTTCAGGCCAGAAATGTCTTCATTTCTCATTCCGTCAAGACCAATCGAGATTGTTCCAATCCTGGTCGAACTATCATAACCAGAGTTCGGACTGAAGTTTGTCCCTAAGCCAGACTCGATCAATCCTTGATATAGTGGAGACCCATAGCCACTCGTCAGCAGCGACATCATGATGCTCACACAAAACGTCTCAACAATGTCCGAGCTGGGACACCCCATCCATGTAATGGAAGATTTATATTGGCGGTCCGGCGGTTGCATTGTATCCATAGGTCCTAAAACTTCGAATGAAAGGGGTCCATTGGACAAATCGATAGGTAATTTGATATCTGAGTCGGAAGAAGCTGGCTCAAATCTCGAAATGGTCTCGTTGACGTGCTGGAGATGCTCTGCAAGGCTCAAACTGCCGTATGAGAATATCTTTGCATTGCTTGGATGATAGTGCTTTCGCGAAAAATCCACAAGTTTTTCGTGCGTGAGGTCGGTCATGACTTCAGGATCACCGCCCGAGTTGAAGAGTGAAGGAAATAGGTGCTCTCTGAATCTGATATAGAAAAGATAGCTGGCATCCGACATCTGTCCCTTCATCTCGTTGTAAACAACGCCCTTGAATTGTACATTCTCTTCAGTCGCTTCCTGTCGGGGATCTTCTGGTCCAAGACGCCAGCCTTCCTGCAAGAAGTCCGTACGTTTGAGGAGAGGATGGAGCGTCGCATCCAGATACACTGAGGCCAGATTATGGAAGTCCTGCTGATTTGTGGTTGCAAACGGATATGAGGTATAATCGGAAGAGGTGAAAGCGTTCATGAAGTTGGCAAGCGACCGGGGCATCATCTTGAAGAAAGGATCCCGAACTGGGTACTTTTCGCTTCCACATAGCGTAACATGCTCTAGGATATGTGGCAACCCCGTTCTATCTGTCGGATTCGTCTTGAAATTGATCGCGAATACATTGTTCTTGTCGTCGCGAGCGACGTGTAAATACTCTGCCCCGGTCTTCTCATGCTCCAACTGCAAAGCCGTCAAGTGCAACTCCGGGACATGCTTGATTTGTTTCAACGTAAATCCATGTATGCTTTCGCCCGGCTTCGGATAAGCGCCAACATCTGTAATTGATGCATAATTTCTGGCGTGTATCGGCACAGGATGTGCTATTGATTTCGACGTAGGTCTTCTGGCGCAACGGTGAAGGCCATGGCGTACAACGCCATGCCTGAGCATGACAAGGCCTGCGAACGAGCTCTAGTAGGGTCGCACACCAAGGACGAAGTCGGAACGCAGTCCACGGAGTCAGTGACAGGCTATGGTGGAATGGCAGAGTGTTGGCTTGTTCCTGCTTGGTTTAGGACACTGGGAAGAACGTATTCAACGGAGAGAAAGCATGCGTGATGGCGACTGCGGAAGTAATAATTCTAGATCCCCTTTCGTCACGTGCGACGTGCAATTGCCTCACCTCGTGTATGTCGTTGAGTGGATTCCCTTTCAGTCTTATTGTATGCAGAGTATAGACACATTACTATACCGTACCTCTCCTGAAGGCGGCGTGCTGTTGTGCGGTGGTTGTATTTCGAACCTGCTCGGGAACTTCTGCGCATTATTGTATGAGTGCACGAGTGCTTGGCCCGGAGCAAAGATCTGCGCATTTCCCTCTCTCCACCACTCACGATCTTGAACGACGACATTGACCCTGGCGGCCTCAATCTGTGATCATTACCACTCACCAAAGTGCACTTTCACAGTGTTTGCTTCAAAGTTTGCTCTTACCCCCGACCGAATCAACCCCGACATCCATCTCTGCAGACTTTGTGCTCCTTGTCAGATGTTCATGAAACCAATCGCAAGCGAGCGATCACGAACAGGTGCTGGAGTTGAAAAGGTCGTTGGAGTCTGAGGATAGATATCGACAACTTCAATCGTATGGCGACCACCGCTCAAAGTCCGATCTCGCAAACTACGAGCATTACAAATGGCGATATGCAAGATTTGCCCCCGCCTGCGCCGGCGGCAAAGAAGAGCAAGGCGAAGAAAGACAAACAACTGAGTGCTGAGGAAAATGCGAAATTGGTCCAAGCACGCCTGTCGCAACTAGAGCAAGAAAAGGCCGGTGAGAAGAATCAACAGGCCGAGGTCGATCGAGAAGTGAAGAAAGCGACACGAGATCTCAATGAATTGATCAACAGCGTTGAAGGGCCTATGAGCCGGCTGGACCTGGTTCAGAGGAAATATGAAGAGCTTCTGGGAGAAATGAAGAAGCTGGAGCGCGACTACGCAAAGAACAAGAAGCGGGCAGATCAATTACAAAAGGAACAGGACAAGTCCAAGTCGGAGCATAATAAGACGGCGACTATGAAAGACAAACTGGAGAAGTTATGCCGGGAATTGACGAAGGAGAACAAGAAGCTGAAGGATGAGAACAAGAAACTTGAAGAGACGGAAAAACAGGCTCGCGAAACGATCAACGAACGACTCGATCAGATGCTCTACGATGTCCAGGAAGTGATGAACTCTAAAACGACGACGCATTCCGAAAACCTGCATCTTGAGTTAGACGAGTTGTATGTTGGACGTCCTGACAGTGTCATTCCTATACTGACTGCATTATAGGTTCAAGACCCGGTGCAAGGTATTGGCGGATCAAGCAGAAATCCGGGAAACGCACTTCAAAGCCATACTTCGCCATAAAGACGCAGAAATTGCCCATCTTCAAGCGAGGCACGAAGTTGAGCGCCGTAGGGCGGATGCGGAAGCTGGAAGGTGTCGCACACTTACCAACCAAGTCTCTACATTCTCACACACTGAAGCCGAGCTACGGGGTCAACTCAACATCTATGTGGAGAAATTCAAGCAGGTTAGTACTCTCTTACCCCGAACATATTTTTATCGAATACAATAGCTGAAACCTTGCTCACAACACAGCAGGTGGAAGATACCCTCAACAACAGCAATGAACTTTTCCTCACGTTCCGGAAAGAAATGGAAGAGATGTCCAAAAAGACCAAGCGACTGGAAAAGGAGAACCTGAATCTGACTCGAAAACACGACCAGACCAACCGCAATATCCTCGAGATGGCGGAAGAACGGACCCGAGACAAGGAGGACCTTGAGAGGCTTCGAAAGCAGGAACAGCAGATGCGGAATATCATCAAAACCATGCAGGAACAGGGCCGCGGTGGACCGATCCAGCAGGAGATGGTGGACGAAGAGGGCACGGAAAGTGAGTACGACGAGGAATATGAGGACGAAGACGAAGAAGAAGAAGAAGAAGAAGACGACGACGTTAGTTACGAAGGGGAGGAAGAGTTGGCCGCCGAAATCAGCAAGCCTGTCTTCGGGCCAGTGCCTCCGCCAGAAATGGTCGCGAACAAGACCAATGGGCAGAAGACGCCAGGTCTGGCTAATGGCATCAGACACTGAGGCTGCAGGATTTATTGTTGCCACCAGTACCTCATGCTCTTCGTACAGCTGCGGACTAGGAGCCTCTCCATGGGCATCCTGGGTTTCTAGCACACATTTGACAATTCACATGCCGCTGTACTTGTATACCCTTGAAAGACTATGACTTGCAACGGGCTTCATTATAGTTTACTCCGCGGACCTGCGATATATGTGTTACCCAACCTCAGCATCTCTACAGCCTCTGCGACCATCTCTTCGACAACCTGCCTTGCAGGCTTAATATCCTTGATGATAGCAGCGACCTGGCCCATCAGGAACGGCATGTCGACCTCATTATCCTTCTCCAAATCATAAGCGTAAGGCACTATACCCTTATCCGTCAACTCCTTGATCTTCTGCGGCTGATCCTCCCACTTCTTGACATAGTCGTTCAACTTGGCTCGGAGCGGTCGCCCAGATATCACGATCGTCCGGATCGTATCTGTGAAATCGGCGCTGACGACGGCCTCTTTGTGCAGTCTACTCGCACCACTCTCCTCCGCCGCGACGAAACGGGTGCCTACCCAGACGCCTGCGGCGCCTTGCATCAGACTGCTCGCGAGGCTGCGGCCGTCGTAGATACCACCAGCGGCTACGACCAGGGCAGGTTCACCAGTCAGAGGGCTTTTGTATTTTCGTGCAACGTCCACCACGGCGGGGATGAGGATGCTGTTGGCGATATCGCCTGTATGGCCTCCGCCTTCTGTGCCCTGCGCGCAAACGATATCTACGCCCGCCTGAAGTGCCTTCTCCGCGTGCTTGGGAGCGCCGACCATGTTCATGACCAGGATTCCTGCCTCATGAAGACGTTTGATCGTGTGTGCTGGGGGGACACCGACTGCGCTGACGAAGATCTTTGCGCCGTTCTTGATAGTCACTTCGATCAATTCGTCGAGTTGGCCGTGTGTGTAGTCGTGGTTGGTTTTGCGTGCGCTGCCGCCAATCTGTGGGAGTGCGAGGTCGACGCCGAAGGGAAGTGACTTGTCTGTTAGATTCGACTTGAGTTCGTCGATGATCTGCGACCATTTGTCAACGTGCTGGGTGTGTACACAGCAGGAGAATACGGACCTCTTGTAGCTGTTTCGGGGTATACCCGAGTCCTCCTATCGTCCCGATTCCGCCGGCATTAGACACTGCCGCAGCCAGTGGACCGCCAGATGTACGGGCCATGCCTGCGAGCATGATGGGGTGCTTGATGCCCAGAAGCTTGGTCAAGGGTGTGCTGAGCACCGGCGGCGAAGACATGGTGACAAATATCGAGTATCACGCAGTAGCAATAGCAAACTCACATGGGAGATGAACACAGAGCACTGAATATCAGCATCGTTGACTGACTATCTGGGGTACTTCTGGAGTTGATAGACAGTGTGGGGTTCGGCTGCGCAAGTCGAACGAGCCGAGGCTGGTCTGGGCCACTTCACCAGAGAGCGTGAAGTACCATCTCTGTGTCGCTGTGGACGAGTGGTGTCGTGTAGGGATGATTTCTGAAAGGCTGGTCTATACACCTTGTGAGCGAAGGTTGATGTGTGCCGTGTGTGCTCTGTGTCCTCTACAGTTCAACTCGGATCCGGCAGAGCATACCGGACAGTCACGTGCTTGTAAGTCTACGTGCACCACTTTATACGCGTAAACGCGTCCCGCGTCACGTCCACATTTCATTACCTGGTAATTGTGATTTGCAAGAGCAGTCGTGAACAGACTCTACGCCGACTTCCACGTTATTCACAACGCCAACTCCGCGTGCAATGGCGCCCATCAAAGGGCTGCTTCGACCGTGGCAGAAAGAGGAGGAATTACAGGAGCACAGTAGAGCACCCAGCGCCTACAGTCCCCTCCACTCCTACCGTCTGCCACGAGGAGAGAACAGACACTACGTGCAACAATATGGCGACATGTACTTTCTGCGTCTGGCGAAGCTAAAGCCTGTTGTCGAAGCAATCGCTGCGGAGGACTGGGAAGATTTCGAGATTGCAGGTGAAAAGGCGCAAAGAGTAGAAAGAGTCTTGGACGTTCGGCAAGGTCAACTATGCTGGGTTGCGGGAACAATATATATGGACATGCCCTTGAAGCCCAATATTCTGGAAGACATCTCGAAGGAACACTGGGTCGCCGGACCTCCGCCGCGCAACCCTTACTACTCCGAGGATGGTGACACGCAAGTCATGTTGGAAGATGAATCCGGTCGCCTGCGGCTCACCGGAGCAATGCTCAAGAATAGCCTGCTGGTCACTGGAGTTATCGTCGCTGTGCTCGGAACCGAGAATGCCAACGGCGACTTCGAAGTGTTAGACTTACACATCGCAGACTTGCCTCCGCAGCCTAAGAGGTGGGAAAGGGACGAAGAGGAGGGAAAAATGGACGTTGATCAGCCAAAGAAGAAGATTGCGATCGTTAGTGGGCTCGACATCTCAGGAACAGAGGCAGATACACTGAATTTGTCGCTCCTGGTGGAGTTCCTGTTAGGAGAGGCCCTGGACGAGGAGGATACAGAAGAAGCCTGCGCAATTACCCGGTTGATCATAGCTGGGAATTCCGTTGCGTCGGACTTGGTTGTCCATCAGACTTCTATCGAAGATGGTAAGAAACCTGGCAATCGGAAATACGGCTACGATGCAGCCGCCTACAACCCCACGCCAACCGCCCACCTCGATCAATTCCTTGCCGAGCTTCTGCCCAGCATACCCATCACAGTATTACCTGGTGAACAAGATCCAGCGAATATGAGTTTGCCGCAACAACCTATTCATCCTGCCATGTTTCCACATTCTCGCGCATATACATCTGCCAACATCAACGATCCCGAGGACGAGGAAGCTGGATGGCTAGATAGCGTGACGAACCCGTGGGACGGCGACATAGATGGCTGGCGATTCATGGGCAATAGTGGTCAACCAGTCGACGACATTCTCAAGTACGTCGAATATGGTGGTCCTGACGGAAAAGGGTCCGATGGGCGGCTGGAGGTCATGGCCAGTATGTTGAGGTGGCGATGCGGTGCACCCACAGCACCAGACACACTATGGTGCTATCCATTTCAGGATCGAGATCAGTTTGTCATCGAGCAATGTCCGCATGTGTTCTTTGTGGGCAATCAACCTCGATTCGACACGACGGTGATCGAAGGCCCAGGCGAGCAACAAGTCCGACTAATCACGATTCCACGATTTCATGAGACCGGCGAAGTTATACTTGTCGATTCAGAGACTCTTGAGGTGGAAGTCATCAAATTCGACGTCCATGATCCTTCACAACTGAATGGGTCATAGGACGTCCACCGTGAGCGCAAGGCTGAACGTTGTCGGAAAACTTTCCGTCCCAGCGGGAAATTTATATGTGTTTACTCCGCCGATCGATCTTAACTTCACATTCAATACGACGCCGACATGGATATAGGAAGACATGCGCATCAACGAGCATACTGGTGAGTCAAGCAGTGCTCTGCTCTTTGTCAGTCTGACATTACTCAGCTGTCTCGACGACGAAAGTCCTTCTAGTGCCATACTCGGCGCACCACGTACCAAAGTATCATGAATGGATGAAGGATCCTGTATGGCCTGCCACACAAATGAGACTGTGCGTCGGTCTGATATGAATAGGATATCCAAGAAGCCACAGCTTCCGAGCCTTTGAGTCTCGAAGAGGAATATGCAATGCAACGAAGTTGGCGTGCCGACGCAGATAAAATGACCTTCATTATCTGCCTTCCGGCGTCCGACCACCAACTCGGGACTCCAGCAATCCGCGATGCAGCACTTGATATACCGTCCATGATCGGGGATGTCAATTTGTTCATATCTACGGCCGAAGACGAAGAGGGAGCAAGCAGCCAGGTTGTAGCCGAGCTCGAGCTCATGATCGCCGAGCGAAGCGAACACAGGAAAGGCTATGGGCGTGGCGCACTACTCGCTTTCCTGGCATACATCATCAGGCACGAGATGGATGTATTGCGGGAGTTTAATGCTGGTCAGGACTCTGCTGTTGGGTCCCCATCTCAATTCGACCATCTAGCCGTGAAGATCGGCCAAACTAATCACGGCAGCATCGCACTCTTTGAGGGTTTGGGTTTTCGCAAAACGAGCGAGGAGCCTTCATATTTTGGAGAGTACGAGCTGCGTTTGAGCAGGGCTGCGGTTCATGCGCTGGTGACCAGTAACGGCTCTGGCACGCCGTCGCTGGATGGGTATATGGAGGTCGAGTATTTATATCGCGCTGGGAATGTAGATATGGATACTTGAGGCTAGCTGCCCTGAATGCAAGAAGTAGGGACAACTTGCGAGAACTGAACACATTACTGCATTCTCAAAGCATCGATAATGATTTATTTCCTGGTCAAGACCAGCACATGCTTTAGTTTCTATACACTTTTTTCATCAAGCATGCGCCTTTGCACATTCTGAGTTCATATGCACGAATGTTTCTAGGTTGATTGCTGGGAACAACGTTCACAGGATCCCATTTCTCGTACTCTCTCTCGTACCGGTCTTTAGAGCTCGTGCATTGTTTTTCTTGTCATTCTGCTGGGGTATCCGACTACTTGGACCCGGTGAAACACCATTTCTTCCTGACCATCTATAGCACTGCAGGCTCTTCTGGTCGTCGACTCATTGCGCAATCATGCTGAAGGGGTGATTTACGCCTTCTTGGCCTTCTTGGTCTTGTTGCTGATCTCTTGGAATGGCATGGCTGCAGGAAGAAAAGAGGTTAGCACGTATATCGTCAAAGTAGCTGTCTCGGCCTGGCCTGGGTCTTGGTCGTCTTTCGGTAGTGTCTTTGGGTTGTATTGTCCGCTTTCTTCGCCAGTCTCTTTGGTGTGGGTGCTCAACTCTTCTGCTCCGTTGTCTCTCCGCCTCTTTTTCACTCTCGCACATTCGTGCTTGACTCTTCCAGCACAATCCAATCCCAAATGGCAGCCCATGACCACGACCACCAAGACCACGATCGAGTCCGTAAAGGAAGTAAAACTTACTAGGAGGCAGACTCTGCTTAATCTTGTCCGCCTTGTCCGAGTCCTTGAGGATCAGGGTGTACAAGTATCGCTTGCATCGGATCTTCAACTTGATGTCCTTGCTCTTGGATGATTTCTTCAGACGAGCACCTGTGACACGAAATTGTCAGCGATCAGATTCATGATTGTGCCAAACGATTGATCTCTTCTCATTTCGACATTGGTAAAGAGATGGTTGTAGACGCCGGGGCGGAGAAAAAACGTACCTTTGGCATCCTTTCTGCGCGCAATCTCAAGGAATTGCTTGATGTCGGTAACTTCGGAAGGCATTTTGACGGAGTGCGTGCTGTACGTACGGCAAGAACTCGAGGTGTTGATATGTGGGAATTCGAAGGACTTCCGGTCGCAGTTCATTTGGGTGCATTGTGGGCGATATTCAAGACCCCACAATTTTTTCACGTTGCATCACGTGTGTGGAATCTCCGATGAAAGTCCAGCCTTGCGAGACGATTATCCCATGTCTAACACACGAGTATAACTGTGGAGAAGACCTTGTGCATCGCTGTTCGAAGCACACTCACACTATGAACCTCCCAAGGCTAGAGTCGCCGACCCAATGCAACGCTAAAGTCCATATCATGACGAGAACATCGATCGCTCAACCCATCTCTATTTCTTACCGAATCCTTTCAACCATTTCGGCATCTTCTTCTTGTCTCCTCCTCCCTCATTCTTGCTCTCCTGCTTGCCGAGATTGACTTTCACGCCTGGTTCCCGATCTTCTTCAGCAGCCGGAGTGTCCTGAACTCTCACATCCTGAGCTTGCTCCCGGAGCTCTTCCCTGAGAACAGACTTTGTCCTTCTGGCCTCGATGCTGGCTTTGTTATCATCCCAGCCGAAGACAACAAGTACTCGACCCTTGAGCTGGATATCTCTGATCAACCTCTTGCTTTCGTCATCCGGAACAACTTCGTTCTTTCCCCTTATGCCAGGGTTCCTCAGCAGGAAAATGTCTGAGCGCCACCTCTCTTCTAAACACTCTCTGACGAAGTTGTATAGAGCCGCTCCCGTGTCTGATTGTCCAAACTTGGCGCTCACTGCACTTTGATCGGGAAACCTGATTTTGATCTCCACCTCCTGCACTGCCGCCCATTTCGCTGCGTCTTCCTGTTCTTTTGCAGCCATCTCGGCGTCGGTGGGTAACCTGGTATTTCTGCCATGCTGTTGGAGGAGTTTCTGGTGAATCTGTGCATGTTCAACAGTAGGTGTGTAATCTGCCTCGTTATATGGCCTAAGTGCAGCTGATGGCGTGGTTGAGCTTGGTGGCCGGTACACGGAGACTGGCCGACTTGTTGTTGACGGTACGGGCTCCGGTTGTGAGGTTGTGGTTTGGGATTCGGACTGTAAATCTGGTTGAGGAGCTTCTTCTGTGGATTCGGACTTCGCTGTCTCCACAGATTGTTGTGCCGAAGTCGATGGGTCACTCGACGCTGGCGCTTGCTGTTGCTGTGGTACAGAACCGGCCGGTCCTTCGACAGAATCAAAATATTTTTGTATCTGACCCATAGCCTCTTCAAGCGGTGTTTCCGTAGCTCGGAAACTCAGCCGTAACAGTGCCGTGCCGCTGTTCAGACCCAATTGTGCCAATGACTTTTGTAGATCCGTGAGTGATGACAACTCTCTGTTCAGTACTTGTATGACCGGCTGTTCATAGTATAATCTCCCTGCTCCTGAATCGCCTTGGGAGGTTGACGGCACCCCTCTGGCCGTAAAGTTACGAGAGCCTCCCGCTTGTCCTGCCACTCCAGCTTCGAACTTCCGGAGCACTAGCCATAACGTTGTGGTACTGGGGAACTTGTCGGTAAGTCTGGCATTGGGTAACCCTCTCGCTTCTGATTCAGGTAACTGTAAGGCTATCGAGACCACACCTGCGGATTTGGAGAGTTGTACGAGTTCGAGTTTGGCACCTGATGACAGTCCAGACAGCCGTATCGTCCTGGAAAGGTCGACATTCTTGTTAATGTGTCTGCGCGTATTGTCAGCCCTTGTGATCTGGCAATGACTGCTCTGCATGACGCACTTACTTCAGTCCATACTGAGCGGCGTTCACTCCCAGCTTGCCGCACGCCTCTTCTAGCACTTCACTCAATGGTTTGTTGGGAGTAGTCTTGATCGTTGTCCGTCGAGCGGTGATATCGATCACGACAACGTGAGATGCCATGCTGCTTGAGCGGGCTTGAGCGGGCTTCAGCCTAGCAGCTAGAGTAAAATGGAGGAACGGACGATAGTGACTGTGGATCTCTTCTCCAGGAAGTGAACGTGAAAGTGAACTGAGTAAAGAGCAAATGTTTTGAGTGGAAATAGAAGGGTCTAGAATGCTTGATTTGTCTGTTTGGTGTTTGTCGATATTGGTTTGGTTTTCCCCCTCTGCGCCGTAGCGGCGAGGAATGTACGAAGTGAAGGCAGCCAAACGATGACATAGCGACTGCTCCGGGGCAGGAACCACGCCTATTGGTCCATGTGAGTACTAACTAACACTTTCCCCATTTTGAGCCTCCAGCACGCGTCTGCTGCATTTGCCTGGCCTCAACTGCGCTGGGGAGAAACGAATCGACATCGACATCTTCCTCACCACAACACTCCATCCGTGCTTCAGCAATTACTGCTCCTACTCAACACACTACCGCCTCACATTCCTGTTCCTAAGTCAAAATGGTAAGCTCTTTCCATGATGCACACCTCTTCTCAGCGATCCAATACTAACTATGTCGTCCACTAGGGCTCTCCCTTCGATATCAGTAAGCTCCATCCCATTCCTACACCTCCGACCTCTCTAACGAATTTCTAGATGGCGGTGCTTGCGTCGCAATGGTCGGCAAAGACTGCGTCGCCATAGCCTGTGATCTCCGCCTCGGTCTCCAATCCCTCACCGTCTCAAACAACTTCCCCAAGATCTTCACCTTCGGACCGTCAGTATATCTAGGTCTGACCGGTCTAGCCACCGACGTCCAGACTGTCAGCGACACCTTCCGATACAAAGTCAACATGTACAGATTACGCGAGGAGCGCAACATCGCACCCCAGACACTAGCCAACCTGGTTTCAAGCAGTTTATACGAGAGGAGGTTTGGCCCGTGGTTCGTCAGCCCAGTGCTTGCCGGAATCAACCACACAACAGGAAAGCCCTTCATCTGTGGTTTCGACAGTATAGGCTGCATTGACTTTGCCAAAGATTTCATCGTGGCCGGAACCGCGAGTGATCAATTATTCGGTACCTGTGAAGGACTATGGGAGCCGGACTTGGTATGTATCTTGAATTGCGTTGTTCGTGCAGATGTCTAATCCGCATTGTAGGAACCGGAAGACCTGTTCGAAACCATCTCACAAGCTCTACTCAACGCCGTCGACCGAGATGCTCTATCAGGTTGGGGCGCGCATGTCTACATCATCGAGAAAGACAAGGTCACGAAAAGATTACTCAAGGGACGACAAGACTAGTTTCGAGCGAAAGTCAGCGTGAAAGTGGTTATTGAAGTGCAAGCATACAGTTACTTAACGGGGGACGCGCCGACCTTGTATCTCGGAAAGCCATGAAGAGCTTAAATCAGTTGCGGACGAGTATTCGACCACGATAGAAGGTCCATATCCTGCCCGAGTCTGGTATGGGCGTCCCAATGGATCGAAATGCACTGCAATGTATGTACGCATATCGCAGAGGCGTTCAGGCTAGGGGGGGGTGCAACTATGGGCGCTACTTGGCTTTAGCCTTGCTTTGCAAAAAGAGCGATAAGGAAGGGGAATTGGTGTTACTTCGCCGGTCCGAGTCTCAAGGTCACAGACAGCGGTGTCCGATCACTGCATCCCATACCAGCAGAGAGAAATCGAATGATCAAGATCCATCTCAATCCGTGAATCAGCACTGCATAAGAAGCCACCAATGTAACGCCCTTAAGTAGTTTTCCAGCCTCGTCATGAACAATCTGTTCTGCCTCTGCGGCCGGTTATGTACCTTGACCCCAAACTGACGAGCTCATCAACCTCTATCTACCAGTCTCGCCTCGCTATGGATATTCCCCTTAAAAGATGCCAGAACGGAGTAAAGAGTGCCGCTACTTATACACCTTGACCTTGATAGCCAACACCCCATCCAACGCATCCTCCCAACTCTCCTTCAGGCCTCCACAAATAGTCTCCATAGTCACACCATCGCACAATTTTTCCAGCACGCCCTCGAGCTTTGTGAATGGCTCTTCGCGCCCGAAGCCCCAATCCACCAGTTTTCCCAGCACGCCCGGCGCGTTGACTTCAGCCTTGAGCACGCGGGCGTCGTCGTGGATTTGCGTCTCCAGCGCCACGACCAGATCTTGCAACTCCGACAGGACTTGCTTGTCTACCGTCGCCGCCGAAGTCTTGGTTTTGGACGACTTGCCGGAGCTCTTCTTGCTCAAAATGCCCAACAACGTTGCGACGACTTGTAGTGTCTCGAGCTGTGATAGACTGGTATGTAAATCGTCCCAGGTTGGCATGCGGACGTCCCCGACTACAATTGAGCCTGACGTGCGTGTCTTGTGGTCGTCGAGACTTGTCGACGCCCAAGTTTTGATCTTGTCCAGCGAGGCACTGATATTTTCAGAGTTTCCATCCTTGAGCAAGAGTGTCACCTGTGCGAGAGCTTTGTGACATTCGAAGGTGCCGAGTTCAGCCTTTGTCAACTCCGCCTCGAGACCGTCAAAAAAGTCAGTAGCGTCGACCCTGTTCTGCAACTCAAGCAGGTTCTCATACGCTTTGGCAGACAACACAGGCTGGCCCGTGAACTCGGCTTTCAAGTATGTCGCCACATTGTCGAACAGAGCCATAGCATTGATCCACTTCTCTTTGGGCAGCGGGCCACAACGATACTGAGCAACCAATTCCGCATCATCCTCACGGTAAGCCGGCAGGTAAGTGTAATCTCGCTTGTCAACGAGCGGCGATAGGGCTACAGGGAGCACCGTCTCCTCAGAGACCCCGAGCAGTCTGGCGAGCTTGCGCTCTTCGATGGCAAGTATCTGCCTATTCATGCTGCGCTCAATGTCTGACCGCATTTTCACACTGTTGTATATATTTGAGTAGCTGTTGAATCGCAGACCTTCACGGATGCCGCGGACGAGTGCTGTATCTGCGTTTTCTATGATCGTGAGGCCTGTGTCAATGGCGCTGGATGGTTCGAATGCGAGACTGCTGTTGCCGTTGCCGCTGGTAGCAGCAGGATGCAGTGAAGATATTCGTGTCAGTATCAAGTGTGCCACTGTTTCGTACTGCATGTTCTTAACGCTGAGCCGGGTGAATGTTTGCATGGCTAGAGACAGCAGACCAAGGTTGGCTTGCAGCAGGATCAAAAAGATGGAAAATAGGTAGTAGTCTTCGAATTTTGCTCGGGCAATTTGAAGTAATATTACGGCGAACAAGGTGTTTTGTGGTGAGTCTTTAGTAGGTGAGAGTCTGAGAATCGCCAGGATCGCAAGAATGGCTGCCTCAGGACAGGGAGATGTGGTGGAGGTCGATTTCTCAAAGACTTCCAATGCTTGTAGTATAAAAGACGTGAAATCCTCTGTCGGCATGTCCGCAGGCGTGAAGCCGTAGGACATTTTGAGGTTGAAAAGATGTCCAAAGCTCTCAGGGGCCTCGGATTGGGTTTTCGTAAATTTATCAAGGCGATCCTTGTCGAGCTGGCGTAATGAGGCTTTCAGGTCATCGTAACAGAATGCTTTATTTGAGAATGCCGAAGCATAGTCCTCGCAAGTCTGTAGCAGCGCGTCAGACGAGCTGTCGCCTTGTGTATGTAGCCAGTTCATCTTGGCCATTTGCGCCGCCCTTATGGTTGGCTTCACACTGCACACGGAATTCAACAGTGCTTGTGCTTGCTCTCGCTTGCTGGGAAAATTTCAGTCATGACCAGAAGACGATGTGGTTCAATTACCTGTCAGCACGAGACTCGGACTGTGCTTTTAGCCAGAGCTTCCATATTTGGTCGTCCGCTTGGAACCTGGACAGGAGTGTCTGGCATGCCGTGAATGCTTCATCCCACTGTTTCGACGCATAAAATGACTGGAGCAGCAAGGATACTATCAGCTGCGGATCTTGTCTGCCCACGCGAGACTCCATATTCAGCAAAGTCCCTTGCAAAAGCTTGACGGACTCTTCCGGATGACCTGTCGAATTCAAAACTTGGACAAGAAGCGCTACCTCTTCAGGCGTTGAGATAGCCTTGCCAGGCGCAAGTAGCTCGTCCTGCACGTTGTCAGTGTCCGTGAATACCGGTGAGCAGGATACAGACCTGACCAGCAGGAATCGTCTCGGCAGACTTGGATATCATGCGGTATGCTAATGTGCCAAACAAGGTTCTGTCCTTCTCGGGAAGTCCTTCTTGCATGTGTATCAGATAGCACATCATGATGTTCCAGAACTCGTAATTGCGATCCTTTGGGAATGACTTTCGTAACCCCATGGTGGCCTGTCGAATGGCGGCCCCATGTCAGTCCCGTCTCTTGCACTTTTGGAGTAGACCATGTATTCTCACACCTTTTGGGCGCTGAGCCAGTTATTGTCGGCAATAGCCTGGTTTAGCCACCTGATGTACAGGTCCTTGTCGTTCTGCTTCACAGTGACTGCTCGTTCCCAGAGCTTGGGTCCTTCCACTTCCCGCAATGACAGACTCTTGAGTGCATCTTGCATCTGGTATATGGCGTCAGGGTCGGTGATGGGAGGGTTCCGTTTACAGAGGTCAAGGACCTCCGTGTGGCCTCGGTCATGCTGAGCCTTCTCGGGATGGTTGACTTGGACGAACGCTTTCAAGGCCTGTTCACAGCAAGTCGTCAGGCGCAAGCCCTGGCGCTGGGATGAGAATGCCTACCAGGAATCGATCGGATTTTTCGCCTTTCTTGGACCATTTGTCGCAAAGCTGGAGCGCCTGCTTCCAATTCGCAGTTGCGACCGCATCTTGAATTGGACGGATCCGGCGTTCAGTGACGCTCGGATCGGACATGTTCGTCCTCGAGGATCAGCATGCGCAACAGCAAAAGGTGTGAGGGGAAAAGTTGCGGATTGAGGATGTAAATAATATTTTGTGGAGTATGGAGTATGTGCAGTCCAATTACTCTTACAATAGGACCGTATGACCCAATGCTCGAAGCTATGCATCTGAGATAGACTGGAAAGGTAATACTTTGGAGTAGACGTGTTGGTTATCTATTGCTCTTTCCACCAGATTATTCTTACACTGTACAATGGGCAATCGTTACCATTAAGCGCCGCACTCATCCGATATGAATCGCACCTCCCTGCGCCACGCTATGCTTTTTGTATGGTATCTTGCATTTATACAGCTGCCCTCGTCTTCGTTCCGCGTATATGGAGGTGCCTAGGTACCTGCACTTGACTGAAGTCTGCTCAAGAAAACCACCCTTTCTTCTCTGCTTTTCGTCTCGCCATCTGTTGTCACTGTGAGATTCTTGGTCGCATTGGATGTGGAAGTGCCGTACCCATTCCTTCTTGCAGTCACGGTAGGCCCTGTTTGCAAACCTGTGTCAGCCTGGCTGTGGCGAGCAATAACACCGACCATCGCTCGTGCGTTACATGTACCCAATCCGAGCGGTCCATTATAGAAAGGGACATCAGGCCACTTACTGAAAATAGTCCTGACACATATCTCGGTCTCCTCCGTTTCTGTTCATACACTTTATGCTTCGATTTGCGGCTTCCTGGCACGGGTCATAGTATTCTGAACTGCGCTTTCTGTCGATTCCATGAGGTTAGTATACTTGAGGCGGAGGACCGAGGAATGAGTAGCGCACGATTGGAAAGCGACTTTCGACTTCTCCCATTGATCTCCCTGGCCAGTAGACTCGCTCGACGTTGTTGAAGCTGCCATGTCGTCGATCGACAAAATCCCGTCCGGGACAAGTTGAAGATGCAGGCTAGCGATCAAGATGCAGCTAACCCTGTTCTCGATGGCGGCCCGTTGTTATCGATAAGCCTAGTGTCATTTTCAAGTTCAATTTCATGCCGGCTTTTGACTATAGAACAATACCCCGCCATTCGATCATCGGCGGTTGACACGCGACTCAGAGGTCCATTGCGATCATCGAGATGCAGAAGCAGTTCTAGATCAACCTCGTTCAACCACTCCTTGCGCATTAAGACTAGAGAAGGAATTACCCGTCAGAGCTAGACCATACAAGTCATCAACAGGAGAATATCGGTACAAGGTCGAGATTTACTTTCATCCTTCATAACTCTGTTCATGGCGTAGTCTTTTCCCAACAACATTGTTCGCCACGGTTATACTCATGACGGGTTTCGAAAGGCATCGTCTAGCCCTAGCCTGCCCAAAGCCTAAATACCGTCAGCAGTGCTCCCAGGCATCACCTAGGATCTGCCTTTATATCAAGCACGGTCCACCGCGCCTTGGTTGGTAACTCCATTGTGCGGATGAGACAGCCACAAGCGCAGCCGTTGTTCCATCACAAGGCGCATTCACCAACCTTATGACATGTAGGGGCGTCAAAGGCTGGCTAGATCTTTGCTGCGATAGTGCTCGACTGAGGTGGTCGGAGACAATCTTTGACGTGGTCAAGCCGTGACTGGTCAGCCATATGCCCAGGGAAGCTTTCCGGAGCCCGCCACGATACCTGTTTTGGTCAATAGATCCATTACATGCACCGCGGGGTCTTCCACACATGGAACGACCTGGCGAAACATTCCCGCTCCGGTCGCTGTCATTGAATAACAAGATTGTAGGGCGCTATAAGACATCAAGGGCTGCTTCCTGAAGTGCGGCTGTGACTCCGAATTTCGACATTGAACCGTCGGATTCTGAGATTTCTTTGCGGTCATGGGATTGTGAAACAAGACCGGAGCTGACCGTTCTGCTTGCTGCCCTCCTCATGGCCAATGAACACGGAGATGGTTCCGGGAAGTAATTCGCCTGGCCAAAGAATTCCCTGAGGATGTGCACATGTGAAAACGTCGCTCTTAGTCACCGCGGGGTGATTTTAGTCCCAACTGAGTATCAAAATCCCATCTTCTGGCGGTGACATGGCGGAAGCTGATAGTCTCCACGCGACCTCTTTCCGGACATCCCCAGGTCTGTTAGATGCTTCGCCGAGAACGGATATCCACTATATGACCCTCTTGATAGGCGATCGAGATAACGATATTGATAAGACCCCGAATCGAAGCACTTTCAGGTGGCTGAAGTATGCTGCCTTGTCAATGTTCCCATTGTTTCTGTCTGGTGGAGATGTGGTGCTGATCTTTGAGTGGTGTCTGTGTCGCCTTGCTACCTTGTCGAATCGTCTATTCCACAGTCTGACGTTATTTTGAAGTCTTAGGAGGACATACACCTTACCAAGGTTGGTTGATGTTTGCTGAAGCTTCCTCAGGGACTTCCATATAAGTCTCCACGCTTTGTCTGTATATCCATTAACAACGACGTTGCAAACTCAAAACTCAGACTCATCTCCGACCTTGACAGAATTCGTTGTTTGACTGTTTGAGTGCTTGGACATTCACTGCTGCATTCCTTATCCAGTCATACCTAGCCTCGTTCTGGTCTTCAAAATCGGCGTCAAAGTAATCAAAATGGCCTCAGTAGATGTCCTCCCTCCTCCTCCCACCACAACATCCTTTGGTGCAATCAAGAGAAAAAGATCAGTTTCGAAGATCGACATGGCTCCCAAGCTACCGAGACACATTCCTTTCGTGCCTGCACAGCACCTCAGATTCCAAAGTCCCGAAAGGATCTGGACTATGGCGGAGATAGGCATGGCAGACAGAGGCGTTTCGCCCAATGCCGTATCAGTGCCTTTCCCTCTCTTTACCGAAGAGGCGGTTCATCAGATGCGAGCAGAAGTCCTGAGCAAGCCCGTCTGGGATAATTGCAAATACTCCAGTAATCTCGCTCAGTGTCAGCTGAGAGGGTTTGCCCCAGAGTGAGTTGCTTGACGGCACCGGGCAATCACCATGCTAAATGACATAGGTATGCACCCTTCATCTATGACGTCTGGCATAGTCCAGAAGTCCTTGAAATCGTCTCCAAGATCGCTGGTGTCGACCTCGTTCCTGCAATGGACTTTGAAATCGCCCATATCAATATCTCCTCCACTAGTGACAAGGAGCAAGAAGTTGTAAAGCAGGCTTTCCAAGAGAAAGAGCATCGGGACGCTGATGAAGGCGTGTCGGGTTGTCCCTTCGAAGACGACCAGCCAATTGTCGATTGGCATACTGACAGCTATCCATTTGTCTGTGTCACGATGCTGAGTGACTGCACAAACATGATCGGCGGTGAGACAGCATTGCGAAAGGGCGACGGCGAGGTGATGAAAATTCGTGGCCCGGGCATGGTGAGTCAGGCCTTCGAAGGATCCTGTATGGGAACTGACTTGAAATCAAGGGGCACGCCGTCGTGCTTCAAGGACGATATATTGAGCATCAAGCGCTGAGAGCTCTGGGTGGCTCCGAACGTATCACGATGGTGACCTCGTTCAGACCTAAATCTGCCTTCGTCAGAGATGATACGGTTCTCACCACGGTGCGATCAATTTCCGACCTCTCTGAACTCTACTCTCAGTATGCAGAGTATCGTCTTGAGATGTTGGAAGAGCGTGTCCGAGCTCACCTCAAAGCAATCCGGGATCACAAACGTGCTCGTCGCAGCTTCGATACTGCGGCAACGAAAACTTTTATGGTTGAGCAAAGGAATTTCTTGGACTCGATGCTTCGGGAAATGGTCGATGATGAACTCGTCACCGTGGGAATCACGGATGAGTCTCACTTGTTGAGCGACGACTTGAAGTTGCACCAGCGGAAGAAGACACGCCTTCAAATCGAAGACAAGGTCTAGAGGCGGTTCGAACATCATGACGACATGAACTTCATTCGTGATATTGCACTGCATCTGATCCGTATAGCGAGTGCGTTGCTGCTTGTGTTCTGGTGTTGCTGGTGCTATGGGGACCTCATTATGGTCTCCAAATGAGATTTTGTCGTAAAGGTGTAGCTACTTGTACCTCGCGGAGACCATTCACACATTAGGCGCATACAGCTGCGCTCTGCTCACATGTAGAGAAGATAAGTCATTCGAGGTTGCTTGGCCCTTGTTTCCTAGTCAATTCGGGGGTCTCCGATTGTAACAGTTTAGTCGTGCAAAAAGGCAAGATGAGTCACTGTCATCAATACCTGCGGACCTCGATCAGATGGTCAGCGTAACATGGCAGTTCACCTCCAGAAACGACGGATGCTGCATGATCTTACCTTGACTAAAAGAGACTCTGACATGTTCATGCAGCAATATCAGTCCGAAGTGAATGATAATCAGAAGGAAAATTAGAAGACTCTCGGGGAGTAAAGAAGAAACTCCTCATTCCAATTGAGCTTGGCAGGTGCAAACGAAATGGCGTAGCCGCGAACCACTTTCAATCCCGCTTCACTAGCCCATATCGAAGTTGGCCGAGTTGCTGACACTTCAGACAGTAGCAGCGTCCTGCCAGTGATTCTTGAGATGTGTGAAACAGGATAAGTAGGTTGATCGTTCGATGAGGAAGTTCATCCCACCTGTTCCGTAATATTTTGTATATTTACAGTAGGTATCTAAGTACCTGGGTAGATAGTAGCTGCTCTGCTACCGCTGGGTGACACGCAGGTCATAAACCAAAGTACGGCGTTACACGATCACCAACCTGGATGCTGATGGCAGTCATCTCTTGTAACCCTAAGCACATATGCATGCCAAACCAGACTCTTCCATCTTTCCTCCGTGTCTTTGCGAGAGTGCTGAATGGCTCCTGCCTTCGTTTTGCACTTTTCTGATCGACGCATACCATCTGACATCGTTGACATGGTCCTAACATCTCAAACGTGTTATTAACTTCATCCCCGATCTGTAGACCGGTCCAGTCATCTTCAGCGTATGGGTTTTCGAATTGCCCTGCACCCGGATCCTCGGCAATCACAATGTTCCCTCGAAACGAGTCGGCAGCCACTGCTTTGCCAACACCGCCATTGTGCTTGATCTGCTCGTTGAGACGATTCACGCTTGACCGCGAGACCAAGAGGATTGGGCTCTCATTGGCGAGTGCGATTGATCTTCCGACCTTCGTGGCGTCCTTGCCCGTGCCAGGTATACGTACTCTGACTTGTCGAATCGTGCCGTGACCTGGAAAACGTGCCAATGTGCACGGGACACCTAACACGTCCGTGAAGAAGCCTGCCACTTCAGGAGATGTATAGACGTGTACATCGACATCTTCACCGCACACGTTCGACGACTTGTTGGTCGTGCTCTCACACGTATTGATCGAGGACATCGATCTTGGTTTTGAATCCAGACTCACTTCAAGCTTTCGAACTCTGGTAGAGTCCAGCTCAGCCGTAAGCCTGAGCACATACCTCTGCAGGTCGACCTCTGGTCGTACAAGAGCCATACGCGGAAAACGTTTCTGACTCATAGCAATATTTGTCCCTTGGTGTACGAGACACCATTCTCTATCCCATGCCAGGCCTTTCACACCAACATCCCAAGACACGCCCGGCGGGATTTTGTAGGCGGCACAGCTCTTGATGGGAAAAACCGCCAGACTTTCCACGATGAATTTGTTGACCTGCGGAGCTGCTGACAGATTTCCCACCGGCTCTGTCGTGCTTGATTGAATTGGATTCAGATCAACGTAGAACTCTTTCAAAAGGTCAACGAAGTCCGTTACATCCTTGGGGCTGCTCATGGCCCCTAGACTGACTCGAATGACACCCGTTGGTTTACCCTGAAGGACATCGTTGTCATCACCACACCTGTGCCCGGCTGCATAATTCCGACGCAGCTCGTCCGGCGAGAGACCAATATGAGTTGCCACCCCTCCAGGGTTGCAGAGTTGGCCAGTCCTAAACTGAATATTCTTGACGATTCCGAGCTTCTCGACCTCGGAATTGCTGATATATTTTCCATCCGAGTCTCTGAGGTTGAAAGCAATGACAGGCCCTTGTCTCGCGTCCTGAAGGAGTCCATTGTTGTATATGGTACAGAGTTGATGCCCATTGGCGTGGCGTAGATCACGTAATTGTGCACGTAACGTGTCTGCAAGATAGCTCGCGTGTCTCGAGACCCTGGACATAGAGCCATAGAGTCTTTTGTGCTGTTCCATAGCCAATTGTAAAGCGACGATGTTGGTAAATGGAAGCGTTCCATCCTCGAGCCGACTATGCAGCGATGTCTCCTTAGTTGCATGCCAAGCATCACCAGATACTGTGACCATGTCCACGGTACCGCCACCGAAGTAACGTCGCTGCAGGAGGACTTTTGCAGAATCCTTTCGGACTATGAGCGCACCCAAAGGTGGAAATCCGAATATTTTGTAGAAGCTGACCGCCGTAAAATCGGGAGCGGTGGAAGCGTCGGAGAGATCGAGTGCTGCGGTCGACACCAGAGCGGCTGCATCGAGGAGAGTGTAGACAGGCTGACTGTAGGACTTTCGCGCATGTAATATTCTTTGATTCCATTGGAGTGGCAAGCGCCGACCAGTCATGTTTGATTGAGCGGGATATGCAAACAGCGACAAGTCCCCGTTGCTGTTGGCATTTGGATGCTCAAGCCCCGACAACCAATCCTCAACCTCGCCGTCACCATTGAGACACGTGCTGCTTCTTGATGCAAGCTCTCTGACACCTATAAGGCTGGTGTGTGAGTCGATATGATATTGATATCTAAAGCCATTGTCGTTATCACGAAAAGCATCAGCCACAAGCTTGATGGCTGCAGTGGCGTTGGCAACAAAAACCACGTCAAAAGAATCAGGGTCGGCGCTGAAAAACCGCAAAACCTGTAGCCGAACATCGTCGATTCGACGCGACGACAACTGCGACGAGGCCGAGGCCGAATGAGGATTCCCAAATAGATTCTGTGTCAACTCTCTGGAATACGCGTCGATGAGACTTTTCGCGTATAATGTTGTCCCTGCATGATCAAGGTAGGTGGTGCTGGCGAGAGACGGGTACTCTGCTTCTCGGACCTTATCAATGTTCGTGATCAAGCCGGTGTCAGGGTCGATTGTTGCCACGGATTTGATGTCTTGCGCTGCCGCTCCATAACCACTGCCGTCCATCTCACGGTGGCCAATCCTGCAATATACCTCGACTTTGCGCCAGTGTCTTGAGAACTGTGCCCATTGACCTTGCGAGCAGATGGGACAAGAAGATGATAATAAAGCAGAGAAAGATGAGATGAGCGTGAGATGAAGTGGGCACAGATTCCCAAAAGGAACGAGGCAAATGGTACGAGCGAATGTACGAGTAAGACGGTGGTTGCCACGGATTGCTACTGATAAAGGTGGGGAGATCCAATGAGTCTCTGAATATTGGAAAATGTAAGAGAAGGACATCGGCCACCTCCGGCATGGCAGCCGCTGATTCCAATTGGGTGTCACCACCACCTTACCAGTATCACTCCACAGAGACCTCATACCCTCCACTCTTTTCATACATATACAGATCGCAGTCTGGTCTGGGGAAACCACCAATCGAAGAGGGCATGGTTTCTGTCACAAGTACACGATTCCGTGTACTGCAGTAGTAAGCTCGAACACGACATTGCTCATCTAGCAACTTTATGGCATTTGATCCCCTATCCAGTTCATCCGCCCAAAATCACATCCAAATGACTCACAGACCTGCTGAAAAAACATGCTGAACCGCTAATACATCAGTCTCCCTCCAGCCAGATTATGTGGACATCGTATGCAGCCAAACCAAGGAAATTCGTGAGGACCACCATACCAATCCTGCTGTGGTGTCCGAGCAGTTCCCGCCTCTTTATTTGTCGATTCAAACATAGGTGCGGCGTCGACTGCTACTCCTTCTTGAGCCTGAACGAGAGTGGCCCCTTCTGCTGCTATGTCTCGATCTCCTGACCTCCTTAACAACCACTCTCTGTCGCGATTCGTGACGGTGCAGGAAGAGCGCAAGGATGAAAGTGAAGAAAAAGAAGACCGTGTTCATGATACTGAATGCCCACGAGGCTTTCAGCATGGTGCAGTTCTTGTTCAGGTTGAGTGCCCATGATGAGCCACTGCTCCGACCATAGTATCCAAAGGGACCAAGATTGACGTAGATGGACCCGGTCGTGAAGTTGGCACAGTTGGCCTTCGAAATGCCTCGGAGCTCGTAGTCTGCGGCAACGAAGGCCCCAACGAAGCAGAGATCGATAAAAGCAACAAACAGAGCAGAGCGTCGAGTCGATCCGAGACGCAGTAGAGTCGCAATAGCCCAGGCGCAGGCTAGAACGGAAACAATGAAGAGGACAAGGATGAAGGACGGCGTCAATTGGTTGTTGCTGTTGAAGCCAGAAACGAACCACGCCTAGAACTGGTCAGTATGTTGACAGCGACCTCTAGGCCTGAAATGATGCATACCAGCATGCCAATGACCGGGATAAGCGTGAGGATCTCAATAATTCTCCAGAAGGAGAAAAGTAGACCTCCAAGCATCTTGATCGTAGGCTGTGTCCAGGCAAATTATGATCGTGTTCGTCAATTCTGGGAGTTCGAGGGCGCAGTTGTCTGTGCTGGTGGTCACGGCGCGATAAGGGCACGGAAGGACGGCTGCGGGGTATGGTCTCTGGGTGTCACAGGCCACTGGCAACGGATCTTGATGCACAGCGCACGGTCGACAACAAGAACAGAGCAAGGGATAAAGCGGAATTTCAAGAACCAGATAGAGAAGATCCGAATATGCGCAAGGATGTAAAAGAAGAAGAAGAGTCCTCTCTCAAGCGAGGAGGTTGGGGTTGCTCTCTGTTTCTCTCTTGATTTATGCTTTGATTGGGCGTGGCTGGTAACGAAAAAACCGGGATAAGCCATCGCCCGACACCTTAGTTAGACCACTTAATTAAAGGTAGTCGAGGCTGCTGCCGTCATTTCTACATGGTTTAATCGCTAGTGAGGCAACACACTCCTTGCCTTGGGTAATTTACTCGGGTCATTCCGAACTGCTAGATACCGTTACCCTACATTCCTTCTCTCGACACTGACTTTCCAGCACGACAGCAAAGAACGACGGTTTTGCACCAGGGATGATTGATTGATACCCTCACAGCTCGGCGGTCCGTCTTGACGTCTTCAACACCTTGAACAGCTTACATCGGGGATAAGGCTTGCGTCAATCACGATCGACGCTCAATGCAGCTACATATCAAACAACCACTGCTCCGACAACGAGATGGCCGAAGCCACGCAGCGTGAGCTGCCTCCCGTGCGCCATAGTCTATCAAACCCGTCCGACCAGGAGGCACTTGAGTTGGACCAAAGCCAGGATCAACCTTTTTCCACTCTCCCAGTCACAATCACAGACAGGCGCACTCCGAGAATTGTACGGTGGTGGAGAAGTCATGTCTCTCTAGGTGTTCCTCATGCGAAGTGCCGTGATCACTTGGGTAAGGACGACGCAAATGGATGATACTGCGAGAACTTGCGCATAATTGAGTTGTTGCTCTTGTCACACTGGCTGATTCTCCCCTCGTCGCAGCAAATGAAAGGACATTCCTGGGTTATCTTCGTACTGGCCAGGCGTTCGCCATCCTAGGGGTCATCATAGCGCAACTGATGCAACTTCAACATAGCCTGCATCCCAATCCGGTTCTTGGCTTCTTTGTCGTCAGTGTGCCATTATCGTCGGTGTGCCATGGGTCCGCTATCCTCATTTCTATCCTTGGAGCTAGTCGTTTCTTTCACTGGCAACAGGAGATGTCTCGGGGTTATGCTCTTTTCGGTGGATGGGAGCTCCATTCTGTGGCAGTACTAACTACCCTGGTATGTAGTGGCAGGCAGGCTAGGGTGTACGTGTTGACGAGATTTAGGTTATCGCATGCCTATTCTGTCTCGTGCTAGCTATCAGCATCAAGGAAGACTGATGTGCGTTGCCTTCATATCGTCAGGGTTCAACCAGGGCACTTCGGCGGTGCTGCATTGCATCACTGTGACGAAGATGTCCCGCTATCCTCCTATGCAACATAGCTTCCGTAGAAGTTGGGTTCCGATGCATGCCGGCAAGCAAGAAAGCTAGATTTCTTTGGTGAAGTGCAGTGAATGGGCGAGTGGAGTTGGGCTCGCTTGACATTTGCGTCCGGCGACGGCAGAAGCAGGCAGATTCCAAGGACAATGGCGATGCATTCGCCCTCTTTAGGTATGTGCTCCCATTCAACAGAAGGAACTCGTCCACTTTGGGCCGTGCGGCATCACTCGTTTCGGCGATGCAACTGCAAGGCAATCCAGCAGCGTTCAACAGTGCATGCTGAAGAGGTTCAACATGAGTTCAGACAACCGGAGCACAGCACCGCTGTGCAGCAAGTCTCAATGCACACTGCACCAGGGTAGGCTTCCGATGGACAGGTGAAGATTGTGGTCACTTTTGACCTGAGAACAGAAACTATCGACCTCACTTCAAGTTGATATTGGGTGAACTAAGTGCGACGGTTCCTGGGCGAAGGGTTCTAATGCTCAATCCACCAAATCAATCTGACCGCCACAGCAGGGTTGCGGATCCCGCTGCATAGCCAGTGGCACTGATGTCGACCTTGATGGCCGCTTGGTGGCTGCTATGTGCATATAAGTCTGCCTCGCTACTGGGGTCACACTGAACCTGTTGCAATACCAGCACATTTTCTGTGGTCATATTATCCCTAATGAGAAGGGCAGAATCAGCTATCATATGCGGCCATCGGTCAGACATCCTCTCAGCCTCTCCGAGAAAGTTCCCGTATGGAGGCTGTACTCCTGCAGGCTAAGCTGAGTCCAATGGGAGCGTCGCAGCACGCGCCTGTTCACAACCGCAGGTCACGTGCACTCCCTCCCCCATGGATTCGTCTTCCTTCTGAGCTTTTGACTACATTTCTCAAGAGTATCGGAGTGCATCGGCATGCTCTACAAGGACCGGTCGAGTCTAGTCGAGCCCTACGCCCAACACAGATTTTGAGAAGTTCGCTCCGCATGGCGCTGGTTGTGCTGAGCAACAGCGGGCTGGTGCTACAGTGCAGTCACCATCGGCAATGCGTCTCCAGTGAAATTTGGTCCCTTCGCTTGCCATCATCATACAGTCGAAGGTTTGCACCTTATCAGTGGAGCGACCTCATGGTCTTTTTTGCGAACCAGATGACCGCTAGGTCTATACTCCATGGCTGAGTGGGCAGCTGAGATATAAATGCCCATCGGATCCCATGCTCAGGACGAGTGACCTTGCACACAAAACCCAAGACGTCAGATATGTCGACCTTCTTCGACAGATTCGACGATCTCTCTTTACAAGGAAGTAACATGGAGTTTCCCAACACTTTGGGAGACAGAAAACCTGTCGTCCGAGACATCCTTGCCTCGTTCGTACGGGATTCGTTCGCGTCTGAGTACAAGTGTGATGTTTACGACAAGATCGACGAGAGCCAAGGGAACCGAGAGTTCAAGACCTGGGTAATTCATGATGACTTTGTTGGCACCATGATGCAAGCGGGCTGCTTTGACCGGATAGTATGGGAGGTGCTCAACAAGTGCCACCCACCAGACGTTCGAGCTCGGATATTCCTTGAGAAGCTGCAACAACGGTTCGCCGCAGGATTTGATCGCTATCAATCTCTTACAACCACACCGCCACTGGCCGACCAGGTGCAGAACACGGTCATGGTTATAGCTAGCTCCTTCATGCGGACTGCCGAAGCTGCTCGCCAGGACTTGCAGCAGCGGACGGAAGGAAGACCAGCGACTGTGCTTTGCTTGCTCAAGGTTCTTGGCAAGGTCTGCCGCTGTCGGCAAGACGTTGCTGCTGTACCTCACAGCAGCCTGTTCTATCACCTGATCGTTGGCGCACCTGCCGCGGAGTCAACCTTTCTGCTCGATGCACTCGAAATACTCGAGGATGGCTCCATTACAATGTCCGGCGAATATCTCAGGGACATCAGGGATCAACTCGTTGCGATTTCAGGACGGCTCCCAAATACTGTGCCAGTCGCCTACCGAAACAGGGTGGGTGAGCTTACCGGCGCTGTTCATGCTAGACTGGCCGGCCCTGCTTAGCGACCATGCGGCTCAAAAGTGTTACATGGGCGGAGAAAATCTCATATCATCATGTCATGCTGGAGATGGCCACATTTACGACTTCAATCGCCTGAGGATCTCCGGGTCATTCGACCGTGGGAGGCTACGGTTGTCGCAGGCTATCGCGATTGATCACAAAATGGCTTTCTGGCTGCACTTTGGTCTGCTACCTGCGTTCGCCTGTCTCGTTGTGTGTAGTTGTCTGCGATGGATAATTCTAATATCATCACAATTTTACGCCTGGCCTGACCTGCGCTGGGCTGTCCGAGAGGTTTGGTCCATGCATCAGTACCTAGGTACTCTTCTCCTGGTCACCAGCACCTCTCATTTGCAGGCACTATCTCGGCTCTTGACTTCGGTATATTTCTGTCCGTGCACGGCATTCCGCGGGGTATTTTCTCCACGAGGGGTACTCGAATCAATCCGCATGCCGCCCCAGAACGCCCAGCCCCAGGGGGTCCCAGGCTGTTACCTTAGGTTGGGCCGAGGTTCGCGAATAATAAAATGGGTATGTTTATCTTTACCCCTCCACCCAATGTTGTCCCTCACGCGCTCCGAGAAGCCACCTACGAGTAGACTCTATGCCAACTGACTCGACCAGTTCGAAGATCAATTCCCAGCGAGGCCTGGACGCCCAATGCCCGCCTGGATTGTCCCCCGCAATCCTTTCGCTGAGTGATGTAAGGCTGGACACTGTGGACAGGAGCCGATCCCATTTCCGGCACGAGCATTTCATGCCCCTCTTCATGAACGAGACCCTTCATTCCGCGGTGGTACTTAATATGAGTTAAGGGCACCGCGTTCTCATCCCCTCTGTCAATATCATACCTGCAGGTCGCTTGCTTTTGACTTCATCCACCGAAATCCTACCCTAGTCCTGCTACTGTCCTCTTCTCACACAACATACCGTCAATATGGGATCCGTTGAAGTACCTTCGCGGCACAAGGCCCTCATCTACGACAACCCAGGTAGTATCTCGACCAAGCTCGAGGAGATTGAAACCCCCAAACCTGGCGTAAATGAGGTGTTGATCAACTTGACACATTCAGGCGTCTGCCATAGCGACATGGGTGTCATGACCAACTCCTGGGCGTGGCTTCCTGCTCCCACACAAAAAGGACAAGTCGGTGGACACGAAGGGGTGGGGACTGTAGCTGCCTTTGGATCTGGCGCCGAGAGCTCTGGCCTCAAGATCGGGGACCGTGTAGGCATCAAGTGGATGGCCTCCGCCTGTGGAAACTGCATACCCTGCCTCGCTGGTGCCGATGCATGTTGTACCGCTGGCAAGATCAGTGGCTACTACACTCCAGGAACATTTCAGCAATACGCCCTGGCACCCGCTCACTATGTGACTCCTATCCCGGATGCTCTTCCCAGTGACGCAGCTGCTCCCATGCTCTGTGGAGGTACGGTCCCTTGCCTGTCTTTGATGTGATGCAAGGTAACTGATTGCTTTTGATGCAGGTGTCACGGTTTACAGCGCCCTCGTCAAATCCGGAGCAAGACCCGGCGACTGGGTCGTCATTCCAGGTGCGGGAGGCGGATTGGGACATCTGGCACTGCAGATTGGAGCCCGCGGAATGGGTTTCCGCATGATCGGTATCGATATGGGCGAGAAGGAAAAGCTCGTCAAGGAGTGTGGCGCCGAGGTCTTCTTTGATCTGAGCAAATACGGCCGGGATGACGAAGGCACCAAGAAGCTGGTCGAGGATGTCAAGGAGGCCACTGGAGGCGTCGGTGCCGCCGCTGTTGTAGTCTGCACCGCCAGCAATGCCGCATATGCTCAAGGCTTGAGCTTCCTCAAGTTCAGAGGGACACTGGTTTGCGTCGGTGTCCCGGAAGGAGACGCGGTCCCCATTGCGACTGCGGACCCCGCCAGCATCCTGGCACTGGAGAAGCGTATCGTGGGCAGTGCGGTTGGAAACAGAAAAGATGCCATTGATACTCTGGAGATGGCAGCTCGGTAAGCACGACCATTGTTTGTGGTCGAGTATGCACTAATTCTGTATAGGGGTCTCGTGAAGACACATTTCGAGACTCAACCTATGAGCAAGTTAACAGAGGTGTTTGAGAGGATGGACAAGGGGAAGTTGCAGGGACGAGTTGTCCTTGATCTTAGCGGTTAGGCGAGCTGGAGGACACCCATGTATTTATGAGACAATATTAGTGACGTCCAGAAGGACATGTCAAACAACTTCGCTTCCAAAATGAAGGAGTCAGCACACTGTTTACAGTACTCGGTGTCTTAGAGATTCGTAACCCACTTTAAGTAAGCAGGCATCAAACGCGTTTTGCACAAGGCTGAGGTCTTGACTCCATACGCCGGCCGCGCCCCAGATTGGAGCATGTGCCCCAGCTTCTGCGAACTCAGATCAGACTGCGAAGTTCTGAAAAAGGCATCCATCAATGAGCTCTTCCTGCAACGGGGTCGCAATCCCCAGTCTTATTCAAGTATAGTCTGACTGACTTTCTCTGCTCCCGGTGCATATCAATGGAGCGGCAAATATTGGCCTGTGCGACAAGGCCGTCACTCTGAAAGACAATATGAACCCCTACAATCAGCCGTACAACTATTCGCAGCAGACTCCTGGTCCACCACAACCCCCATGGCAAGCACCTCCACGCAAGTCAGGATGGGCCGATCCTAGATTCCAGCATACATCGCCTGTATCGCCTTACAATGCCGGCTCCAATGCGTTTGGGCCGCCCTTGCCTCCTCCCCCGCCGCCGCCGCCTGCGCCCAGCCAACAAGAGCCTCCTCAGTTTGTTACGTCCGCATGGGGAGTGGATTATAACCAGTCAACTACTTCACAGAACTACGATGTCAGACCTCCTCTTCCTCCCCGGCCGTCGAGTGCGACAGGTGCGGGTCGAGTCAGTCCGCAGCCGGAGTTCGCGCCTGCCTTGAATTATCACCACCAGCAAGCACCGTTGCCTCACGTTGGAAGCTACGAACAGTCGCAGCAATATAGCACCCCATGGAACGATCCATATCAGTCAAGACCTCCTTTCCAAGACTCGACGCTTCCCACACCTACACCGCCGCCTCCTCCGCCCCCTCCACGCCCGGCTGCATATCAGGCTGAGATTCAGGCTCAGTATAGTCGACTTAACGCTCCACCAACCGAATACTCGCACAAGCCTCCTTCTCATCACTACGAGCCACAGTCGCAGAACCCATGGACATCTCAAGGCCCTCCGGTGACCGCTCCTCCCTATTATCCAACGGCACCCTTGCCGCAGCAGGTGTTCGGTACAAATGACGGTCCCTTGGTTTCACCAATTGAACCAAACAATGTGTCCTGGAAGCAGGAAGGAAAGACACATACAGCACAGCCACCCAATGACTACCAAACATATCAGAAGCCATATGAGGGCGTGGCGGCGCCCTCACAGACGTTTGGGTTTGGCGGTCCTTCTGACTGGGAACACTATCAGCCTGGAGCACCAGCCGACATGTCACCGACAAGTCCTCCCCTACCGCCTCCAGCCACTTCAAGTCAAGGTCAAGCCCTGAACCCCGTGGAGCAAGTACATGTAGACCCTCCTGTGCCTCAGTCACCAAAAGAAACAGTAGAGATCGGGGTCCATAGCCCAGTGTCTGCTCGCAGACCCTCGCATCCGCACTCACGGACACATCAAGTCGAGTGGTCACAACCACAGAGCAACGAGAATCCGTCGTCTGCCCGTCGTCAAAGTGATCATGCATCCATACGCTCGGACAGTCTGAATGGCGCTGGCGTTATCGACAGCGTCATTCAAGCATGGAGCACGCCTTCGAAGTTGAACGGCGACCGAGAAACAGCTTCACGGCCTGTTTCTCGATCTTCTACACGCGATTCGTCGCCGGAGCCTGTCTCGAGGGTCAAGCCACTGGATCCCTACGCAGATCTGGAGCCAGAGTTCAAAGCGTCGCTGAAGAGATACGCTGCCATGCTCAGGAAGGAATCATCTGCCGAGCCTGATGAGGAGAAGTTCGAGGTATTTCAGACGTTCGTCACAAAAGAGCTTCGTTTAAGGAGTCTGCTCTATGGAGTGGAACTGAACAAAGCCACAAAGGAGGTCAAGAAAACTGCTAGCCTTGCAGATATGCAGGCAGCCCTGCCGCAATCAGTGGTCAAACAAGGACAAATCGAAGGTGTCGGAGCCGGCAACATGGAAATTGCACAGCCAGTGGCTTTCACGGCCCAACAACCGTCCCATCAACAACCACCAGTGGGAGATGTGGTGCCATCATCTCAAAGCCCCGCTGATGATCGGATAGAACAACAGTCCCAGACTAAGACAGAGAAGGTTGGCAGCGTCGTGCCTTCTCAGCCGCTTTCCTCGATTAAGCCGTCTGTGGCAGCACCCGGTCAACCTGTGAGCAATGCTGCTGCCAAAGACAACTCAGGAGGCGGCCTGAGTGCTATCGTAGAAGAAGAGGCTTACAGTCCGGGAGGACGTCCCAGAGCTCCCGTGATGACAGCAGCAGCAGCAGCAGCACCAACACTGAAAGTAGTACATGACTCTATGGACAACCCAGGTGCTGGTGTGACTTCACTTGCCGAGGAGGAAGCCTACAGTCCTGGCGGTCGTCCCAGACCAATCAATTTTGTCGGCAGAAAGCCTGCAGGACCATCCATCAGCATGTCATCAGAAGGCCAAAGTGATCCTAACCTTTCTTTGAGTGCACCTTCACCCAGCAACAATGGACCAATGGTCATGGAAGACTATGTTACACTACAACCACCATCACCGAGTGTGAATGCACCGATGATCGTGGAACCAGAGATGCCACAACCGTTGTCAAGTCGACCTTTGGATATGCAAAGGCCTGTCGTACCAATAAAATTTGAGCCTTCTCGGCCCGCATATACCCCTTTTCGCTACAGTACGGCTGGTCAGGATGAGAAGGCGCAGCCTTTGCAGCCCGCGGATCAAGCATACTCATCGTTACGGCATGCGGTGACAGATTCTGGGCGGTTGATGGCGCAGGAGACGTTACTCGGTCCAGTCAGGCCCTCTTCCACCACAGGAAAGCAGGAACATCAAGAAGCATTCATTGGTCTGATTAGAAAGCAGAGCATGGCCATCAGGCAAAAGGCTCCCCAGCCACCAAGTGCCATAAGAGCTGGAGACGATGCGGTCAAAAGCGAGCCTCCGCCGGCCATGCGTATAGGCACGCCAACGATTTTACCACCGCAAGACCCGTTGAAGCAGGCTGTGACTGCCTTGCAATCACTCTTGCCTGCGGACTTTTCCGTTGACTCTATCCAGCATCCCAAAATCAAAGAGCTAAAGACCAAAATTGTGGCTGTGCCCGATCAGTTTGGGTTCATCCGTGAGACTGTGGTCGAATGGGACCGGACCAACCGAGAAGTCCGAAAGCAGCAAGATGCCGAGAGACGGGCTCGTCAAGAGGGATCCGAGACTCACATTGATGGACTATTCAACGATAATGAGATCGGCTATGCAGACATTGGAGAGCTGGAAGCCGAATTCAAACTGTCTGAAGCTGATCGAAAATATCAAGAAAACCAAGGAGAGCTCGAGTCTTTCACGGCACAAGTATTTATGAAAGTGACCCAGAGACTCCAGAAAGAGATTGACGAGTTGAAGCCAGCCTACAACACGGCGATAGACCTTTTGGACCGGGAAAGCGAGTCGATGAGTCGTTGCTTCAAGCTGGAAGGCGACCGAGCAAGCATGTCCGAGGTCATGAACTGTGCGCTCAAGGTCTTCAATAAGATCGAAGTCCGGCATCGTAAGGTGGCTGAGGCGAATGTTGAGCGCGAGAGGAGACGGAAACATCTCGAGCTTACGATTCTCTACACGAACAACGACAAGGACGGCATGAAGAGTCTGGAGAAGGATTTTGAGGTCGCCGAGAAGGCGCAAGCGCTTCATGAAGCTCGTGCCAAAGACGAACGTGCAAACAAATTGATGGACAGCTTTGACCGGGCTACCGTTCGGGGACTGGGTGACAATCAATTGTTCATTGACGATGTCCTGGCTAAGCTAGAAGATGTCAAACGGGTCATCTGGTCCGACGAAGACGGGTCGCTGAAGAAAAAGCTCTACGAGCCTGGAGGAGCGCGAGATACGCTGTCACTGGCTCAAGATCTGGTCGGAGTTGTGATGGCAGATTCACGCAAACTACTCGCTCTGTCCAACGAAGGCGACGGCCTGCTGAACGATGCCGATTATGGAGTTTCGGTATCGGAAGCCCGAGTCGGCAATGCGGACAAGAGTACCTATAGCAGCCTAGAAAAAGAAAAGGCCAAGGAAGACGCGAAGCTAGTGGAGGAGATGAATACCCGACTGGCCAGTGTCACCAAAAGCCCTCAAGCTGCCATCGCCTTGACTCGCGAGGTCATTGATCGGATAGGGGATGACCCGGCGCACCAATATCGGATAAAGAGGGCACTCGAGGCGGCCAAGCAGCGTAACGCAACGGCCGAATCGCCCAAAACGTGAAGATGGGAATTTATTCCGTTGGATGTATTAGCCACATCGATCTGGAATCCCGGTTTCCGAAAAAAAGGATAATGTATATATTTATTGGCGGACATGGACCAAGATCAAGGATGCCACGGACGCACGGATGAGATCTGAGCGTCCTGAGGCGCAGGCGGCACGGGTGGCGGAGGCACCATTATGTTGGGTAGGTAATGGATGGGTGTGTCTGACTTGCATTTGTTTCTGCAAGATGCTTCAGGGATGTTCCTTGCCGGGGTTCGATACTATGATAAGGAGTGTCAAGACCGACGTTCTGGGGGAGTGTTTTCCCGCAGCATGGAGGGGTGAGGCTTGCGTGTCTGAGTGTTTTGGAGAGTGCTGTCAAACGTCCCTCCGCAGAGAGATGCATGGCCACAGACATGAAACCTGGGCGGACTCCATCAGAAAGTTGTGCACAAGGTGTCTTTTGCAAGCAAGAAACAAGGCCAGACTTTTCACTAGCCACTTGACGCTCAGGCCCTCCGGGGCACGCCTGTGGCTTCAACTGGGATGTGGCCTGTTTGGGCCCTCGACAAAGTTTCAGCAGCCCCACGAGTGCGCACGAGTTGACGAGTTACGACATTGTGGCTGACGTCTGCCCGTTTTTTGGGTCTGATGAGATTCCTCATCATGTGGTCACAGTTGAGAGCTGAAAAGACGATATTGACATAAATGCGAAACTCACGATCTGGTCGATGATCGGTCATAACGATGAAGCAATCGTGGCGACACGTGACGGGCAATGATGAAGATGACCATCGTGGCTGGCTCGTAACTTCGTACGCTATACTCGGAGCTGAAGCGGGAAAACAGTTGACGTGGGCGGCCGGGGGGCGGGCCTAGGTGCACTACGTCAAAGGGTTTTCAGGTGAGAGGGCGTGGACTGTGGCGATCACAGAAATAGATGAGCGATCGGAATATTCTTGATACAAACGATGTGGGTAGGCAATTGAACAGGCAGCCGAGGTCATTGGGGAGCAGGGGTTTGGCAGCATGTCTGAGACGAGTGCTCTAGCTGGTACAGTAGGGCGGTTAAGCTGCTGCAAGCTTTGTGGAGGAGAAGAAGAAGGAGAATGAGAAGGCCATGAAAATGAAAGCGCATCAAATTTGACATGCAGAATTGACAGCTCCAAGACCGAAAAGAGAAGTGTTGCTGGCTGCGTTTGACGAATTCGGGCATGAGGCTTCGTTAAAGATTCGGGTCAAGCAAGAAAATGGAACGAAAGCCGATCATGCGTGAGCGCGAGTGACGTCTGCAATGATCAATCGAAAGATAAAGTGTCATTAGCCGTTTATGGGTTACTCTCGTTAGCGCTACTGGATTGACCAGCCTCCGATGACATGTTTTTTGATGTAAATCGAGGGATTTGGATGAGGAGAATTGATCATCATCTACTCCGTATCCCTCGATATCTCATCGATCAGAGGAAAATAAACACTACGATGACCTGTGAAGCGACCCGTTGAGGTTTGTCTTGTGTGTTAGTAGCTGGTTGTAATAACAACTACTCGTATTCTGTGGCTTACAATGGACGCGTGTGAGTGCGTGTACCTATTTGGCTATTGCTGTATATCAAGTGTCATTTGAACTTCATTTACCACCTGCAGCGGACGCCGTTCCTGGGCCGATGCGGCGATGCGAACAGTTGATGATTGGCCGAGGAGAGAACTGAGAATCAATTGGCGTCAGTGATCAGCCCTTTTGAACTCTGTTCCTCAACACTGCCACAATCCAACTCACCACAAGTCCAGTGAGTCCACCACAGCTAACGACGATGAGTCGTCCTTATGCTCTTGTCTCATCATCTCGTCGTTGTCTCATCCATTTCCTTGATTCTCTTGACCTGTTTCTCGATCCCCCCCGTTCCATCGTCAAGATTGTTAGAGATCAAGATCAGATAAACTGAGTGGCGCCATTTAGCACCTAGCGACAAACCTCGGCCGCCTTGATCGATCTATTGTTCTACCGCAAGTGGTGCACCTATTATTCTCCGCATCTGCCCTGTCCAGGTGTCCACTGTCCACTGGCACTCCAGGGCCACAGACGCCCCATTAAATTCTTCTTCTGCACCCTGCAGAGGCGCCCAAGGAATCCTTCCGACGCCACTTTTTATCCATCCCGGCTTCCCATTGCGAAACCAAACCCAAAGAGACGCCCACGACGCCACCGGAACAAAAACCACAAAAAGGAGGGTCGCTGACTTTCCACCCAAGAGGCACAGCTCAGCTTCTTTTTGAGCTTGCTGCTTCACCTACAAAGTTATTTTTCCTGGTCAAGAGCGACCAAACACCCGGTCATCTTCTTGTTCCACTAGATATTCAACCTGTCAAAAAAAAGGCTGCTTCAATTGCTCCATTTCTTCAAGTACCACCCGTATCCACCGCCACGGCCCTGGTTCAACTCTGAAGGTATCCAATTGATGATACTCTTTGACTCGACCCTGGATCATCGTCACGCATCGTCACTCATCTAGCTACCGAGTCTAACGGATCAACTAATTGCACTGGTCAGGTCTCGTATGGTTGACTCTGCTTTCCTCTCCTCTCAACTCAATAATAACATACCACAGTATTCCTCCGCGCCTGCGCCAACCCTCTTCAACATTCCCCAGCTATTGACCCAGTACTACTAGTACTGCCGCCACTACTCACACTACCTGCTGATCAACAAAATCCATCATTTGCATCGGTGGCTGTCGAACATCAGCGCCTCCCAACCAATCCTTCCGCCCATCGCTGCCTCTTCAACAAATCGGGCGTCATTTCAACTCGCCTCGTCTCCCTGCCGTTTATTCCTTCCTCCACTGCTCTATCACCACTACTCCCGAAGCGACCGACTCTCGACTCGACTCGCTTCTGCCTTCCGAACAAATCATCGCCATTCTCACCTGCCTGGCCTTTTACTCCTCCAACAACGAACTCTTCCACTTAAACGTTACAGCAATCGGTCCTTCCTTTTCTGTCCTACTCAATCAAACCATCACCGTCGTTGTTCAAGCCCATAATACGAAGCGTTGCTGTTTTTACCACGCTGACGCATCCTGCTGTTGCATTCGTTTGCATGCGCTGCTGATTTCCGACTGTTGCGCGCCGCCCCTCCGCGATACCTGCAGGTTATTACCCTCGCAAACCGACCTCATTCTCGATTTCGACAAACAATTCTACTGCTTTCACTCAGGCGACCCAGCACTCTCTCATTCTGTCGATCGAGGCGTACCAAGCGACGGCATAGACAGCGAATTGCTCGCCGCAGATACAAGATCATTGTGCAGAACAGAACGCCCGCTTCAGAATCCGACCTCAGATCGATCCTGCGCAAACAGGCGCTGCGTCATACCATGCTGCGCATTGTCGCTCATCATATCTACAAGAGATAGGATTCAAAGTTCCAGCGGGGTTGTTGCGCCACTTTGGTCTGTCGCCAGCACAAGCATCGCTTGAAGCATCAAGTGCGGCTGAGAGAGTCCCAAGTTCAGCCGACTCTAGTTAACGTTAAACCTACCTCAACATATGTTTCGCACAAGGTATGCCTTTCAGAATACCTCAGGGTTCTCCTCACCATGTGCACCCACAACCAGCTCCACTTCCATTCGCCCTCAGTCCCGCAAGTGTCTCCGTCGAAGCGACGAAGGCAGTTGCGGCAGTAATTCCAGCCCTTGCTACCTGTACTGTTCATGCTAACAGTATGTTGATGTAGGCGATCCTAAACACATGTTTATGGCTGAGTCGAACATTGATCCACAAATATCCCAGACGGGGTCTTCGACAGCCTCTCCCACGTTCCTTAAACCAACAAGTCCTGTACAGCGTCACTCCAAGTTCAACCTAAGTTCCTCCGACGATTTTGAGCCCTCCTCGAGGCCTGAAAAGCGGCCGAGACTTGAAGCGCCTCTGTTGACTGCTGCTGCTGCTTTTGCTCAAGAAGCTCCGGCAAGATCACCGAGGTCTCCCTTGCCCTCATCTCCTTCGACAGGAACGAGTCCCAATCCGACTCGACAAGCACTGGGCGCTCTGATGGGCGCAAACCAGCATGCCACGAGCAAAGCTCCCGAGTTCGGCTCCAGTGATGCCCCTGACCCTACCACCGCTATCAGTCAGGCGTTGAGCGAGATTACGGAGAACATTTCAAAAACCTCCCCAACTTCCGCCGATATACCTACCAGCGGCGATGCTCAAACAAGTCCCACCAGCTTGTCCAGCATCGGGACACTGGATAGTTTGGCAGCCGCATCTGGTATGACCACAACTGTGGGGAGTCCTCAACCGCTCGAAGAAACAGTCCATCAGGTCGTGAATGCCGCCGAGGCGGGCTCAACCTCACCCTCGGAAGGATCAAAGGCGTTCTCTTATCCGGCGCTTCTGTTGCAACCCCAAATGAATGAAGGCGCTAGACGAGGGATGAGCTTGCCTCATTCCGGCACACGACAGGGTACGAGATCTCCTTCCAGCAAGAAGCACAGATGCCCCTACTGTGCCACCGAGTTTACTCGGCACCACAATCTGAAGAGCCATCTGTTAACGCATAGTCAAGAAAAACCCTATGTCTGCTCCACCTGTCAATCCAGGTTCCGACGGTTACATGATCTCAAACGTCACACCAAACTACACACCGGCGAGAGACCCCATATTTGTCCGAAATGCGGCCGCAAGTTCGCTCGAGGCGATGCCTTGGCCCGCCACAATAAGGGTCCTGGCGGTTGTGCAGGTCGAAGAGCCAGCATGGGCAGTTTTGGTGGAGACGATGATGCCGAAGGTGATGAGTCCATGGAGGGTATTGTGTACGGCGAGCCTGAAACGATGGACGATGAGGGACCGGCAGGCAGCAGCACCACGCCCCGTATCCGTCGTCAAGCTCCTTCTGGAGACGACACTCCCGACCCCCATGATGACCATGCCTCTCGAATTCCAAGCACGTACCCTCCTATACAGGGTCGGCCTCCGGGGGGAATGGCTAGCGGCGTGTTTCCACCTCGAACAGGCTTCAACCCACCCGCTGCCGGACCAAGCAATGCCGGTGCGCCCCCACCATTTCCACAGATGTCCGGCTCTTCATCTGGCTCACGGCCATCAATCTCAAATGCTGTGTACGCCCAAAACCCAATGACAGAAAGCCCAAAGCCGCTATCACCAGGTCAACAACATCGAGGTTCGGTAGCTGGAGGTGATGGTCGAATCCGTTCACCAAGCATGACACATTATCAGCAAGGTTCGTATAGTCGAACGACTGGTACAGGATCGGCATTGAGTGTACCAGCAGGACCACCTCAACTCCCACCTCCGAATGTGTTGAACCCACCAGACCCGAGATACACCTTACCTAGTCAAGGTGGACCTGCTCATCCTCCAACTCAACCTTCGGGACCTCCAACACATATGAGCGGTAGTGGGCCGCTGTCGTCTCACAGCAACAGTCTATCCTCCAGTCACCACTCTGCTCATGGAAGTGGCGAAGCGTCCAACATGTTTGCCAAGGAAGACAGAATTTGGGCATATGTCACCAATTTGGAGCAGCGGATCAACTCGATGCAGGAAGAGATAAATTCTCTCAAGCATCAACTTGTGAACAGCACACAACAGCAACAACAACAACAACAACAGTCACGAATATGAGGGACTTGTACACTTTATCAGCAACAACGACACCTAGTAGAAGAGTCAAACATGCGAACACGAAAAAGATTGACTGGTTGGGGAGAAAAACGTAAGTACTGGGTGTGTTTTCCAAAAAGGGCAAAAAGCATCAGCCTGCGGTCGGTTGGGCTTCTATTCATTTCGCTTGAACAACATTATAGATACCCCCCCTTGCGTCGCATCTATGAATTTTATTTCCTTTGGCGGGTGAGGGAAGAAAAACACAGAGAACATGAAATGTGTGAGGAGAAAAGAAGAGAACCCACTGGATGGGATTGCGAACGAGCAAGAGAAGAGATTGGCACTGGGTTGAGGGTAAATGACTACCAAGTGATTATGCTTACGTTCTTCAATGTGTATATGTACGAATATGATTATGTGTGTGTTGTGTATGAGCAAAGAGAACAGACATTCGTTGAGAGAGTATGAGGACTGCTGAGCAGCAGAGCAAAGAAAAAAGAATAATATCCTCGAATTGAAATGAATATCAACGTCACTGTTCGTCCCGCGTTTGTGCCAATATGTGGTGTATTTGTTCTTTGTAAGCATGAGCAGCAATAACTTCCGTTCTCGAGCCGGTGAGTGCCTGTACTCACGGTTGTAAAGTAGAAACGTAGAAACAGAATGTTCATTTGGATCGTTGTATATCTAAATGTCTTGTGATAGTATGACCAAGGACCAGGAACGCATCGTCTCTTCTCCAGTACTCTCACGTCTCCACCTCCATCTCCATCTCCATCTCCATGCCCAGGACTTTATGAACCCCCCCAGTCAGCGCGCATAGTAGTGGGAGTTATAAAAGTATACATATCACCATGCATGTGTACACCAACTGGCGCGATGACCGCGGCCGACGCTAAAAATATTATTGTGTGTATATCGTGATGCCGGAGAGGAAGGGCACAATCGGTGCATTGGTATATGGTATAATGCATGTACAACTCGTATGGTCCCAATTGAGATGGCTGTGATGTGCTGCGCTATGATGTTGTCGTGGTCATGGTGACCTTGGAACCATCCAAATGGAGAGGTTTTCAAGACGGAGCCGAGAATCCTTCGACATCGGTTGAGTTGCTTAGGGTTTCGAAGCGTTTGTAATTCTGCTCGTATTTGTCGATCTTGTTCATGATGGCGGCGTAGGCGTCGGTGCCGATGACACAGCGCAGAGGCGGGTCTTTCATCACGGCCAGTTCGTACATTGCTTTGGCGCCTTTGGCTGGGTCGCCGGCTTGTTTTCCGTGACGGGCGGTCATGCGTTCTCTGGCGTCCATGTCTGTTGCGTGTTAGTACCGTACGGATACGGGGTGAGGGATGGGGTGGAATGGAGGGGATGCTTTCTAAAACGTACGGTCATATGCAGGATGGCGGTCCGCAAAGGTCATACTGCGGCCAGGCCAGTCTGTTCTGCGAAACAGTCAGCAAAGAATGCAGAAGACAGCCCACGCTCATGCCCATGATCCGGAGTGGAGTTGATATCCGGTGCGCAAGGCCACTTGTGGGTTTGGTTTGCTTGCGGAAAGACATACCTAAATCCACCGGGCTCAACACAAGTAAACTTGATACCCCACTCAGGCTTGACTTCAAGACTGACGGCCTCTGTGAACCCCTCGACAGCCCATTTACTCGCGCAGTACGCGCTGAATAGCGGTACACCTCTCTGCCCGCCGATACTGGTGACTTGTTGAATCAAGCCGCCTTGAGGCGTTTGACGGTCACGCATCACCTGCATGGCCTGACGGGTGACGTCCATGAGGCCGAAGAGATTGACCTCCATTTGTTGACGGATTTGGTCGTCGGTGTACTCTTCGAAATTGCCGGCGAGACCGTAACCGGCGTTGTTGACTACGACGTCGACGCGCTTGAATTTCTCGAGGGTGGCGTCAAAGGCCTCTTTGATGCTGGCTCGGTCTGTCACGTCGAGGCGCACGGCGAGGTAGTTGGATGAATTTGTGCCGCTGAATTTGAGGGATGATGGGTCTCGTGCTGTTGCGACGACGGTGTCGCCTCGGTTGAGGACTTCTTGGGCGTATTCCTTGCCGAATCCTGTGGATGTGCCTGTGATAAGGAAGACGCGTGGGGCCATGGTGACTAGAGTGCAAGAGAGTTGGTTTGCCGAAACAGATATTTAATCTGGTGGTATGTGGTGAGTATGTATGGGCAGGCTCGTATTGAAGTCGATAAGCTAGTAGAGGACGGAAGTGTGTGGTGGATAACGATGGTGATAAGAATTGTTGCAGGAATGGGTTGCCTCTTACTTTGGGTGTCCCGATAGTGAATCTATATATGGTTGATCCTGCTTCGGGGTTTATCCTTGGAGCGCTTCCTTCACATAGACAAGTTGAGGCTCTGGGAAACCCTGCAATATATGTTTTTCAAACCCCTGAACCTGACGTCTAATCAGTAGTCAATGACCAAAAGAGCACACCCACTAAATTAATGATATGGCGTCACCTCGTTATTGACGTTTTATGACGATTTTCTCCGCATGAGTCTAATTTGATACCCCGACGTCTAGCAAATCTATTGTACGCGACTTACTTTTCAATCACTTGTCGTTGAACCGAACTTGAGTGTATCTGTGAAAGAGCGGGGAATTGGCTGACATACACATACCATTTAATCAGGGTTCGACGAGGTTTCTGCATCAGAAAGTGAAAAAGGAGAGTCAACGGAAGAACCGCACTTGCCGTTATCGATAGAGGCTTATTTTACGAGAAACACGGGGGGTATATCAACTCAATTTCAATCCATACTACCTATCACCTTACACTTATCAAACGTGCTGGTCGATACTTCACACGTGAACCTGATTGTGTCGGGGATACACAATCTCTCAATTCGACATTCGAGATGCCTGGCCAAGGTGGTGAGTGTGCCCTTCTCGAGTGCATTCACGTCCTGACCGTCATCTAGCGTACAACGACTCCCTTAGGCAAGCAAAGAAGGAGAAAAACAAGGCGAAAAGAAAAGAAAAGCGCGGTCATAGGAGCACTCATTGCCCGAGTCGATCTCCCCTACCAGAAAGTTCCACACAAGTCAAACTCACTTCAGTGGCGTATTGTCAATCTCCTCTCATCATCACTTGAGAACATCCATAGAGAACTTGCCTTCTTCGACGACACGGCAGAAAGGTACGGCCTGCAACTTGACACACCTAGCAGACATGACACAGCTTTCACTCCCGAGCTTGCCACACAGCAATACATTGAGATATTTCGCTCGTTCGGAAAAGATCCTAGCAAGAGTCTCCTCGAAGGAATGGTTGTTCTTTGGGCGACCGAAGCATGCTATCTGAGTGCCTGGACATATGCCTCGTCCTTCACACCTTGCCCGCAGAGCACGGAGATCAAGAAAGAAGATGAAGTCTCACCCACTTCGGACCTGGACGGTGGCGCTTTGCGTGAGGCATTCATACCCAACTGGACGAGTTCTGAGTTTCAGAGTTTTGTCAAACAGATTGCCGAATTGACGGATGTGCTGGCCGAGCAGGAAGCCGTCGCAGGCCGGGACCTGAAGCCCTTCGAATGGGTGTGGCTGCATGTTCTGGACATTGAGAGGAGGTTCTGGCCTGAGGTTTAAAGCGAATGAAGATGTTGCCGGTATCAAGGGACACATACACCATGTCATCGACACGACCATCGGCATTGCGCGGAAAAAAAGATTTCCGAACACAATCGGCCATCGGACGACTGCAATGACCGCTAGTCGGCTCCGAGACGGCCTAAAGCTGACGTCAAACGAGGCATTGGGGCCAACAGAAGGTTCCCAGACAGTACTGTAGGCTTGGGAGGCATTGTGGGTGGCAAGATGCAACGTGTGAGCTGTACCCAGTATGCGAGTTGTGTCGAAAGAGATGGGCCAGTCCTCACCAGCAGAGTCAAGCAGTTCCTGAACAGCGTGATGTATTCTCCAGTTACCAGCTTCACATTCTGCTGACCAGCTCCGTTGCCATCGTTGTCCAGAACATTGGCACTTGGTCACATCATGTGAGAAAAATCCGTCTAGCTGCTATACTGGCTGTGACCCTAAACTTGGTAAAACTCTGTCCGTACTTCATTTGTTCAATCAAAACCCCTAGTCCTTCGCACGTTATCTGCCTGCCACAGACCCATAACTGCACCTGTCTCGGTAACCCATTCTCTTGCACCATCGACAGCAGCTTTCGCCATGCCAGTATGAGTATTCTTCCTCCTGTGGCCTTTTGCAAACCCAACACCTTCTCTTTCTCCCGTCGCGTACTCCGACCCCATACTCGGCAAGACGTTCTCCCCAGCGCTCAGACTGACAAACAGGGCAAACGGCACGAACCAGACACACAGCCCGAAATACGACGCGATCTCAGTAAATGTAGGCTGGTCGTACGCCGGTGTCGAATACCAATCCCTCCTACTACTGGGAATCCCTCTATACCCTGTAGGGGCGCTGAAATGTCGGAACCACAGCCAATGATTGACAATGACCAGGACGCAACTCGCGATGAAGAACGGGTCGGAGAGTTTAACGATGGGGAAGTGCCGCAGATTCGTTGCGTAGACACCGTGGCTGGCGACTCCGAGGAGAGTAAGGTACCATGGGAACCCGTCGACTAGCCAGAGGAGGACTTGAGCGGCAACAACGCAGTAGATCAGCCGCTGGAGGAGTTTGGCTGAGAAGACGCTATATTCTTCGACCAGTTCGGAGAGGTAGTAGAGGCCCGATGCGATGCTGAGGGTGAGGAAGCCGAAGCCTAGGACTAGGCCTAGGTATCCTAGGAGGGGGAGGATGTACATGTTCGTGCGACTTCGCGTGTTGCGCACTGGGGGTACGACTATCGTTTATCGGGTTGGGGAGGAGGACGACCGCCAGACTATCACTGCAGCGGAGGGGATGGGCATACTGTGGTGTGGTCGTGGGTGGGTTTTGAGAATCCAAGGGAATAGATTAGCTGTCACTTTTACTTTGGAGATCGGGAGTGACGCTGCAGGAACAAGAGCCACCGAGGCCACTTGGGGGTTGAACGTCGGCGGATGCCGGATGGAGATACAGAGCTAGCCTTGGAATTGAGATATGTCTTGCTGCTTTTACAGCCTTGCTCCTCCCCCTCTCATATCCTATGAGTAGATGGAAGGATGTTCGGGCTGGGATCCTATTTTACACGGTGCACGTTGTGAGGTATCTGATTGCGTCGTTTGCAATCTAGCTGACGTGCAACAATGCCTTTGTACAGCTGTATTGTCCCTAGCTGAACCAATAAACTTCACCAAGGACTATGGCTGACGCAGTAGTAATCTGCATCAACAGTGGAAGCGCATTTACAAGCGCGAACTTCAGCTGACTGACCTTGATGCCCTTGTCAGCTAGCAACTCGCGCCACAGAAGTCCCGCAAGACTGCCCGCGAATGTATAACTGAATGCCCCAATATTACTACCCATGGCAACAGAATAGATCGCTGCAAGGAGTATTCGCGGATCTGCCAGTGCGGGAGGAGAACCGGAGAACGCAGAATCACGCATAATCTCAACCAGGATGATCGTGGCGCCGATATTGGTTCCGGCGAGCGGACATAGGAATGCTGCGCTGACGAAACCCATGAAGAACACTGTCTTGGCCGGCGTTGTGCATGCGTTCGCGAAACCTCGGGCGAATACGGCGATCCAGCCTCGTTGCTGCAGGCCGCGAACCAGGATAAATTCGCACATGGCGAATGGTAAGAGCGGGATAGGCAGGCGAGCGAGTGTTCGTGTTGTTCCGGGAAATCGACTGGCCAGGGTTCGCATGACTGACATGAATGTGGCGCCGTCTTCCTCAGGATATTTCTGCTGTTCCGGATTTATTGAGGGTGATGATTCTTGCTCGCCTTCTGCTCGCTCCTTGGAATTGCCCAGGGGATGCTGTTCGGTGGGATTGACTCCGGCTCTGCGAATGCCATCGGTTTCGGCTGACGGATCGGCTGATTGTTGTTTGGCAGCTGTCTTTTGTTTTCTGAAGCTGAAGATGTCGCTTATTATGTTGAAAAGGAACGCCAAGATACCTGCTGGCATTGTGACCATCCAGACTTCCACCGCATGACCGGGAACGAAACTAGTGCCGACGAGTACAGCAACGGTGACGAGCATAAGTGAGCTCAGCACGATGGCACCAGTTCGGTCCCGCAGCTTCAGCCAAGGATTGTCTTGCAGAGGAGTCAGTATCTTTGGGATCTTCTTGCGGAACATGGCCATCAATATCGGATAGGTCAGAATAGCCGGGATGATTGAAGGTAAAATGGTCCATTTTGTGAAGTCCGTCAGATAATTCAGTGAGAAACTCCCTGCGATGAGAATATTGGTCGGATTAGAGGACACGAGTACGGCTGAAGCGGTGTTCGCGGCCATGAATTCGCTGAAAATCCATGCTTCCGGCTCCAGCTGGGTATGCTGCGTCAAGTATGCAAGGAACTGGGCGAAGATTAGCGGAGTGAATCATGTCAGTAACTTTTGCAGACGCACAGGTGTTCCGGACAGAATCAGAGGGTCGTTGCCAACAATGCAAGCCGTGACTAGGAAGAATGAGTAGAGGTAGGTAAACAGCAAGCGGCCTGAACTGCCACCTCTCTTGGACACCCATAGCGCGACGGCTTCAAGTGCACCCGTACCATCGAGCGCGATGGATATGTAGGCCTGGACCGTTAGCTGGTGCCGACGGTAACGTCAATGTCGACTTACCAAAGAGATGAAAAGAACCAGGACATCATATGGTTTGATACTGTCGTCACCTTTGATTCCCAGCTTGATCGTGCTGCCATGTATCGTAGTTGTAGCCAAGAGCAATATCACAGCGATGACTGGGGCAGTCTTGAGCGACAACGAGAAATATAGCCGCCGACCAGCTAAGAGATCATGGTCGCGATGTGATATTATGCGAGACCATCGCAGGGTCGCCAGTAATACTCGCTGCAAAGATCGTGGTAGAGGGATGCGGACTGGCCAGATGACAAAGATCGAGACGATGCAAAACACTGCTAGGATGAACGCACTGTGGCCGTTCAGATGGTCTTGTTGCCCGCCATCGCTCATCTTACTGTCGGTGAGAGCGGCGGTAACGGTAAGGTCAGGTATCGGATCTCATGATGTTGGAGGATTATTACAGTCCTTCGCGAAGGAGATCGAGCCTCGCGGAGGCAGTGCAACCCTTCACAAACGAATGTGGAGGTTTGTAACTAGGTACCTAAGGTAACCGTAACCTCGTAAAAGAAGGTATCGGTAAGACACGAGGCTAACTTAGGGGCTAGGGCTGATCCCCGGCAAAATCAAGGGTTTATTTGTGCCTTCTCCACAGAAATTTATCCTCACCTTCTTAACATCTGCGCCGACGATGGATTCGTAGTATCTTCTCAAGTCTTTGCAGATTCAAATAACTCCCTCACTCACCTCGGAGCTTACCACCATGTCGCGACCTGAAGACCTCCTTCCCCCGGACCTCTACTACAATGACACCGAATCCGCCAAATACACCACCTCCTCCCGAATCCAAGCCATTCAAGCGTCCATGACCAACCGCGCCCTCGAACTCCTCGATCTCGAAGAACCCTCCCTCATCCTCGACATTGGCTGCGGTTCGGGTCTATCAGGCGAAATCCTCTCAGAAGATGGACACATCTGGGTCGGAATGGACATTTCACCCAGCATGCTGGACATTGCCCTACAGCGAGAGAGTGTCGAAGGCGACCTGTTTCTGGCGGACATGGGCCAAGGAATACCTTTTCGCGCCGGTGCCTTCGACGCCGCCATATCCATCAGTGCGATACAATGGCTGTGTAACGCTGAAACAAGCGACGTGAGCCCCGAAGGTCGATTACGACGATTCTTCGACGGGCTGTACGCAAGTCTACGTCGAGGAGGCCGCGCGGTGTGTCAGTTCTACCCGAAGAACGAGCAACAGCGCACCATGATAAGTAAGGCTGCTGTGCGTGCGGGATTTGGTGCGGGTATTTTGGAGGACGACGGCGGCACCAAAAATGTCAAGACGTATCTCGTGTTGAGCGTGGGCGGAGGCGATATCACCGGCACAGTGTCACGGATGGAGGGCGTGGACATTGAAGATGGCAGGAGGATGCGGGAGGCAATGCAACGGGGCAAGCACGGCAAAGATGGTGTCAAAGGGTCTAAACAGTGGGTGATGAAGAAGAAAGAGAAGATGCGGAATAAAGGCAAGATCGTCAAGGATGATTCAAAGTACACGGGGCGAAGGAGAGGACCGAAGTTCTAATGGAACAGAAGACGTTGGAAGGATTTGCTTTACGATGAAATGATACCACGACAATTAGGGCTAGAAAGACGCTGCACAACATGGAATGCATTTCGACACAGCGAGGGCCCTAGGCACCGTTGCACCACACTCATGCTGCAGACTGGCTCTTTGTGGGCCGAAAATGCATCGCGCCGAGTCCTGATGTCGGAAAATCTACAGCAGAAACACGCGGAGAGAACCAGGAGGGTTTACCCTAGCCGCCGCATTGGTGGTCGCAGAACTGCGGTCGACGTGCTGCGCAGAAATCATACCTCAAGCACACTACTGAGCCTCTGCCTCGATCCCGGGGCAAACAGCTGCGAGCAGATATCCTGGGGCTTTCTCGTCCAAGAAGCCCATGGCTGAGGTATAACTCGGCGGCAGCACCACGGTCATCACTCTCGTATGGTGTTTGCGACCTTGATGCAGGGAATCTCGAAGAAGAAAAGACCTGACATTAGACATGCCAGGAGGCTGCCCCAACGGCGGATTCGACAAAGAAAGTGGGAAAGTCCAAATAGATGTATTCCGGCCACACATACTCCGTCACCGAGTCCATGGCTCTCGAGCGCTTCAAGATACCCTTTCTTCTACGCCAGTCAGATGCAACTAGACATCGTTATGCAGGCCTGAATATGCCAATGTCCATACAATATCTCACGTGTTCCTTTGGGCTTCCTTAATGCCGTGTGCTGCCATAGGCAAAACACGCATCCCAACTCCAGGTAGATGCAGGGTTTCGTCTCTGCGGGCGGCTGTTTGTCCGCATAGCGAGAACTTCCAAGATCCAACTTTTTTAACCGTGCCGGACCATAGCCCAATTGTACGGCTTTGGTCCATAAGCGCAATGTCACCAAATCCAATTGTCAATTGCCACGTCCATGCGGCCTAGTCCTTGTGATCGAGTCGACGACCAAAAGGTATTTTCCGATCTTTTTGCGGCTCTTCGCGTGCCAACATTGCGCCATCGGCAACCTTCGCAATATTGTCCTTCCAATCATTCAAAAGGTTGGGTGCTGGTGACTCTTTGCTGTCGGCCACTGTCTCAGCGTCCGCTTCTTGCTCTTTAGCCTCGTCGTGTCCATGGTCATGATGTACACCAATAGCAGCTTGCTCAGCAGCTGCAGCGGCCGCAGCATCTGCCTTGGCTTTCTCTTCAGGGTCAACACGGACAATCTTCCCATCACTTCCGGGTGGCGACTCAGGAGGAGCTACAGTGCTTCTCTGCCAGCCCGTGGTGAAGACCTTGCTTCCGCTAATGTCGAAGTTGGGCATCGGGTGGGCCTCGGTATTAAACACGTTGCTGTCCAGTGGGAAGAACGAGTCGTCGGAAAACAGCAGGTAGAAATACTTCAGCGTCTCGGCCAACCAGAAACTCTCCATATTATCGCGTCTCTTGCTCTCCTTGACCGGGTTGTTCATCACCGTATCCAGAGATGTGTAAGCGTATACCTTGCCTGTCACTTCATCCACGACCTTTTCGTGCTCGCGGAATGCTTCGAACATTTCCCATCCCCATTGTCGATATATGGGATCTTTCGTGATCCGCCACATGTAAAAGAGCGATTCTACCGTCTCTGGACGTTGGAGGTTGTGCGCGTCGTTGGAGTGGATGTCGTAGTCTGATCTCCACGCCGCACTTTGATCGTCGGATAGTGGATCGGACACGGGTGGTGACCATTTTGAGTCTGTATGTCCCTGCCATTGCCGTGGTGGATTGTCTGTCTTGAAATACGAAATTTCAGGAGCGAGGCCGGTCGCCGTGACCTTGTACATGCCCCAGCAGGTCTTCATGAGCTCTTCGGCGAGTTTGAGGTTCTCATCGTGCTTCTTCGTCCATTGGCTGCCCAGCCTGGCTTTTGCTTCAGCCACAGTCTGCCCTTCCGTCACACCCAAGGCAATCGTGCCGGGCATGAAACACACGAGATGGTCCATCTTGGCGGTCAATGGTTTGTCGAGGCCGTCCTGTCGTTCAGCGAGGATGGTAAGTGATGCATGCTGTGAATAAGTGATCAGATGCTTCTTGATTCCCTCGAGGGCTTCGTCCCACATGTCGAGGTAGACGGTCTCAACTTTGCCGGTTTGGAGATACTGCTTGATTAAGTATTCGTAATAGCTGTCTCCTCTTGATCCCAGCCGGATGTTCTCGCCCCGAAATTCTCCTGTTGTTGGGTATATGAAGATGGGAAGGAGGCCATCTTCGCGTCTTTGCGCGTCAATGACTTTGATGATGTTTTCTGCTTTGTGCCAGTAATGGGGCTCGCCTGTAATCTTAGCAAGGTACTTCATTTCCAGCTGTAGCGTTGCTGCCTCTGCTGTAGAGGACGCGCCACCATCTTGGTGGGATGTGATGCCATGTGAGGTGTTGAGGTTGACAGAAGCATATGGAATGCCTGACGGCGATTCGTAGGCACCCAAAAGACGGTCCGCCAAATCGGTTGCTTTCTCGATATAGAGGTCTTCTCCGGGTTGGTTGGTATCGTCGTCAAGCTGAGGTGCGAGGTGGGGAAAGGCTGTAGATAGGTAGTATGCGGACAAAAGACCACCCAACATCCGGATGGTCGTCTCGAAGGTGTTGACATTGTGGTCGGCGGTGTAGGATAGCGAGGTAGATATCCACTCTCGTGCTTTGGCGACTTCAGTGGTCAGGTTCATCATCATAGCAGTATCCAACGCATCGACAATGATCCAACCCATACCGCCCTCCACCATCTTCTTTCCTTTCCGTGTTAAGGGATGATATTCGTCCATGCCCCATGCACATTTCTCGTATCCCGCCCATGAAGTTTTAAACACCTCTTTGACAGCTTCTCTTTGCTCCGACCAGTCATGATCGCTGAAGAACGAATGTTGATGCTCGGCCGGATCGTAGACTCGGCTTGAACTCCAAGGTAGCCAGCCCATCCACCACAGGAAAAGTAGGGCTATTGACGCGATCATGGCAGGTGTTCTCCTCCGTTGCAGTATGCTTCTCCTTCGACTTGAAGGATAAGTATTTGGTTTGTCCTTATACATTGGTAGACCCTTCTGTTGTCCGAAAATATCGTTGATCTTGGACGTGACAGCACCGGCTGTGCCGCCGGTCGCATGACCATTGCTCTTTTGACGCCAATGGGTGTCTTCGTATGCTCTTTGGCTAGTCGTGGAAAATGGGACATTTTGAGGTGCTTGGAAGGACATTGGAAGAGTATTCGGACCAGCCGAATCGCGGCGTAGTCTAGAAACGCCGGGTGAAGGGTCCGTCAGGAGAGGTAACCATTCATGATATACTGTAATTCAATGTAAAAATGTAATGTCAACAATGAACATACTATTATACACGCGTGTAGGACTTAGCGACCTCGATCCAACGGGTTGAATTGCGCCAGATGTCCTCATTGCGCATGCGACCCTTGGCTGAATACGCGGTCTTTATCGTTATCTTCACGTGGCAATCAACCCCTGAAAGTGCCGCCTTCTCCGCCTGGAAAGCCTGGTGAGGCACCTGCACGCCAGTAAAGTCTTCTAATTTGGGTATATTGGGTTCTAATGCGTCTCCAAGCACTAAGATAACACCCAAAGAAAAAAACGCTCCCCCCTGCTAATGCAGCGATGTTATAAATGAAATTCAGCAACAAGACGGTACCTCTGTCGTTGTTGTGTGAGGCAAGACCTTTCCCAGCGAAGCCTTGCCTGTCTGTAAGCACTCTGCGTATCCGACGCTCTCTGGCAACAATTGCTTCTCGAGTCGTCTCGTGGCCATCTGCACAGCAACGTCAAATGCACATTGCGTGCTGACAGGACTGGCCAAGTTCTTTCCCACGATATCGAAAGCCGTCCCATGCGCGGGAGTGGAGATGACCACAGGTAGTCCTCCCTGGACCGTAACACCACCAACAAATGAGAGCAACTTGAGTGCAATCTGGCCTTGATCGTGGTACATGGTGACAATGCCATCGTACTTGTCCCTCTTCAGGAAGATTGTATCGCACGGGAAAGGACCTTCCACATTGATGCCTTTGGCTCGAGCAGCTTGGACTGCAGGAGCAATGGAATCAATTTCTTGACGCCCAAAGTTGCCATTTTCACCATTGTGAGGATTCAAAGCACATACTCCCAGTCGAGGGCTTTCGATACCGGACTCCCACCTGTTAACGTTTAACACTGTGGGCTATTGCATGTATAGTAGTGGGACTTACCTCAACTGATGTAGTAGTTCGATGGCTTTCAAAGTTGACTCTTTGTTAATCATGCCAGCCACTTTTTCCAGACCAACATGACTTGTTACACGCGCCGTCCAGAGAGCTCCGGCAATGTTGATCTCACTCGTGGTTCCAGCATAGTCCAATTGCTTCGCAAACCACCGCAGTTCGTCTTCCTCAGTCATGCCAGCCAGGTGGAGAGAGGTCTTGTTTAATGGCGCAAATACGATTGCGTCTATATCGCCAGCTTTTGCCAGGTCGAGTCCACGTCGCAATTGGTGCAAACACCGCTCGCCTCCTTCCTTGGACACTTCTGACAGAACGGACTCACGAGACGGTGCAGTGCCATCGTCGAGGATTTGAACACCGTGCTGCCCAGCCTTGTCAGCAATGGGGACCTCAATTCCGCCTGCTGCCTGTATGGCAGACTCCAGCTCCGATCGATCGCCCAGCACAAAAATGTCTGCCTTTTCCAGGTTTTCTCGATTACTCAAGACTTTCGCAATCAGCTCTGGTCCAATGCCCGCTGGATCGCCGAATGTGACTGCAACACGAGGCCTGCGGGTTCGTCGAAGTTGTTGTACCATGATGGTCTATAATATGCTCCAAGAATTTCAAAGTTTGGCAATGAGGATGCTTGCGTATTGGCAAAGCTACTGTACGGAATGCCAGAAGAAGACTCAGGTCCCTTTCGAGATGATAAGTAAAGTTGGACCAGCGCGTAGGCGTAGTGTAGACGGGCAGAGATGCACTGATCAAAAGGCCTACTTCGCCGAACGGGACTGTGCCGACCTCGTACAATTGTACAAGGCTCGACTAGATCAATTGGTTGATCTCCTCAATGATCAATGTGGTAACAGTACGGGGTTGCACCGTCGGTACTTTGCCGGTTCTGTCTCTCCTAGCGTGATCGGTGTCTTGCCATATCCTCTCTCCTGACACGATCGGCAATTCGCCGTCCCTTTCTACACTGTTGCGAGCGGCCCGTTCCCGACAATACTTGGCTTGCAGGAAAAGTCGGTCTGTTCTGCACTTGTATTGGTCGGTAGCCGACACCAGCCCCAGTCCCCCAGGTTCCACGAAAGGGTCAATCTCCAGGGCTCCCCACAGCCCCCAGCCGATAGCCGTCTCGAACATTCTTGGCAGAAAAGAGAACTTCTCGCATACCACCCAGCCGATGTTGAATTCTCCTTGTTGGGCCGGCCTATGAGCAGAAGCCTCCTTCTATGCCCGGCTCGTCGGCAGCTGGGACTCTTGGAAACTCCTTGTTCTGTGCCGTCAGCTAGCGGGCCGAGCTTCAAACTATTCCCGAATGTGGCACACGACACGGAAAAACACCGACTGTATGTTGAACTCGTGATGATCAAGACTTGATGAGTTGAACAACATATTTAGGTCCATTTCCAGCATGCTATACCTTCGAAGATCATCATTGTTGAGGTACTGCCACTCCGATTGATGCCCAACAATTCACATACTTCGACAATCCAAGAGAGAAAACAGTACCTTCATCATGGCCACCACTGTGAGAAGTATGGAAGACCAGCTCGAGCGCACACCCTCCGCCGTCGAAGGTGGCAACAAGTCAGACAACAAGGACATGGACCTCCACACGGCCCACGAGCTTGAAATAGCATTTGTGCCCGACACAGAGCAAGAAAAGAGACTCGTTCGCAAGCTGGACTGCCGTTTGATTGTGGGTGGATCTTGAGCAGAATGGCTTAAACAAAGACTGACAGAATTGTAGCCATGCTGCTGGGTTTTGTACTTACTCGGCTACATCGACCGAGCCAATATTGGGTAAGCCTGCTCGTTAGATATGATCACAATCAATGCTAATGTTTTTGGGTCAGTAACGCAAAGACCGGTGGCATGGCAGACGACTTCAACCTCACGTCGAGCCAATACTCGATCATAGTCTTGGTCTTTTTTATCTCCTACCTAATATGCGAGGTGCCGGCCAATGTGAGTCTCGAATCAGCAGGGTACCCGTACATGAGGCGCCAATACCGTCCTCCTTGGGACGCATGCTAATCGGAGCTCTTGATAGATGATCTTGACCAGGGTCAAACCTCATTACTTTTTGCCAGGACTGGGGCTTGCATGGGGCACCCTAGCCGCGCTCATGGGAGCAACCAAAAACTGGAGTCAGGTAGCCGCCTTGCGGTTCCTTCTTGGCGTTGCTGAGGCTGGATTCGCCCCGGGTTGTGCATTTTATCTTTCCTCGTGTATGTGCTGCCCGGTCCCATATGCTGCTTTCATATGTGCTGATCATCGCAGGGTATCGCAAGTATGAGCTAGCCACTCGTTACGCACTTCTATATACCTCTGTACCACTTGCCGGCGCCGTCTCCGGTCTTCTCGCGGAATTGATCACAGAATACATGGATGGCTCTGGTGGTATAGCGGGATGGAGGTGGCTGTTCATCCTAGAGGGCCTTGGTTCCATCCTCGCAGCTGTGGGTACCTTTCTCTTGATGCCAGATTATCCCTCTACCAGCAAGCGATTCCTCAACGAGTCGGAGACACTGCTTGCTTGCAGTCGACTAGCCGTGGATGGCATTGGTCTGGCACAGGGCGCACACGGCGAGAGGCTTGGTCATTGGAAGGCTTTCAAGATGTGTGTTGTCGATTGGAGGACTTGGGCTCAATGCTTGATGTTCACCCTGGTCACTGGGTCGCAGACGATGCAATATTTCATTCCAACATTGGTCGGAACCTTTGGGTGGAAAGGTCATGTGGGACAATGTAAGTCGACACCACAGCGAGCTGATGCAGATGTGCTGACCATCAAGACCACACGATCCCAGCTTACGCAGCGGCACTCGTTTACGTCGTGTTAGCGTGCTGGCTCGCCGACAGATTCAAGATGAAGTGGCTTTTCGTCACTGGGCTATCCGGCCTTGGGTTTGTGTTGTTCATCGCAGTGATTGCATCTTCGAACCTGATGGCTCGGTACGTCCTTACGATTTTCGCTTTCGGAACTATATACGGGTGTTCGCCGCTGGTGAAGACATGGGTCGTGGATGTCATCCCCAATCCTGCAGAAAAAAGAGCAATTGCCATCGCTCTTATCAACTCGATTGGCAATGCCTCTTCCATCTACGGATCGTGGCTGTGGCCAGACAAGGACGCGCCGAATTATGTTCCAGGTTTTGCAACCACGACTTCATGGCTTGGCCTCTTGTGCGTGCTGTCAGTGGTCTTTGCCTGGCTTTTCAAGAAATATCCGATCCAAAAGCTGGATCATGTCGATGTCATGGAAAGCGAGTTGAGAGCCCAGCGAGAAGGCGACGAAGCCCGCAAGACGAAGGCCTGAAGTCACAAGGGCAGGTCTTGGGAATGCATGTTCTTCGGAGTGAAACTCATAGTGCGACTTCCTGGCTTTGGGGCAAGGGCGTCAAGTACATAGTAGCCACGAGACGGTAGAGCTGGCGCACTCTAGCCACTGCACACCACCGACGGGTGCTAGATGGGACAGCGCATATCGTATCTAAGTCTGAGTCGTACATTTGTTTCGTGCCCAGTGTTAAGTACCTGTTTCTGGGGCATCACATTTTAGCGAAGATGGTTGATGACGCCTATTTGATAAGCCTTGTACTCTACTCAACCCCACATATGTGAAATTCGGGGGGTCAATCCCTGGATCGTGGGGACACAATTTGTGGTCTGTCGGTACCTACTGTAAACTACCAAGACTCAGGACCCTTTCCCTAACCTGCCGCCAAGATTGTCATGAGAACTGTTTACTTGTCGTCCTGGTGCAATTGAAGTCCTGAGAAAGCAACGCCACGAACCGCAAGTTTGGCTTCAGTATTTTTCAAGTTTCATCGTCTGATTAGGTGCTCACTGAAGTGCCCTAGTAAGCATAAGCAGCGGGGCGGCCAGCCGCCTAATAGCTCTGCGACTTTTCGCATGTGTCAGGTTTAGGCATGGAGAATCACCACAGGCATCACGAGACGCCATCCAGAAATGCCGGATATATGCCCTCGCCCAAACGTCAGAAACAACAGAACAGCGATGATGGACAAGCAGACACGAGCTTGGTACGACAGAGCAAGGCCTGCTCGAACTGCCGAAAGCTCAAAGTGAAGTGTGATCCGGCCGACGACAGGAGCGGAGTTTGTTCGAGATGCCGGCGCCTCAGCCTCCACTGTTTGAGGGAGAAGCGGCTCTGGGCCAGCACAGATGATACAACACTGTAAGTTCGCCACGTGTCAGTAAGGTATCATGTTCTGATTGCGATTGCAGGCAGCTGCAATTGACCATCACCAAGCTGGAAAGAGCCCTAGAAGACGTCCTGGAGAAACTCGACATGCCAGCTTTGGACCTCTACGTGTCTCCCGATATCGTCGAGCCGATTCACCCACCAAGACCGACTCGACAGAACTCGGAAGAACCGCCAAATGATCGGTACAATGTATCATCCGAGCCCATGAACAGCCTCATTGAAGCAACCAATTTGAAAGGACTCCGCAGCGAGCTTCGATCCGCGAAACAACGGCGTAAGGGTGGCATGAGACGAATGGACTCTGATCTCATCTCAGAAAAGATCATCACCTGGGAAGAAGGTGAAAACTTACTCACTTTGTTCAAGGAGAAACAAGGATATCACCTATTCTCTGCCAACATCCCCACTGAATCGACCTTGGAGTCCATTCGAACATCATCGACGGTGCTATTCACTGCTGTAATCTTAGTAGCAGCTTTGCACGTGCCTGGTAAAGAACAACTCCACCAAAAATGCTACAACCGGTTCCTAGGTCTTGTGTCATCTGTGATGTTTGACAGATTTCACACACTCGACGATATCCGCGGCCTTTGCATTGCAGCCTTTTGGCAACCATATTTGAGCTGGAAGTTATCCGGTCTCAGTATCCGGATGGCAGCAGAACTCAATCTCCATCATGCCTTTTACGAGGCCTTCAACGAGCCAGATCTCACGGTAGAGGCTCGTAGAGAGAACCTCGAGCGGGCCCGTCTGTGGTACCTTCTCTATGTACTCGACCATCAGTCAAGCATCACTTATGGCCGACCATCCGTAATGTCGGAACTAAGGCCAATTAAGGACTACGAAATGCTATTAATGTCGGAATTCTGTACGTCAGCTGATCGCAGTCTTATCGCACAGGTGACTGGGCTCGTGGTTTTGAGCAGAGCCTTCGACCATTTCGGCTTGGAACCGAAACGTGCAATGGCCGGGGACGACATTTCTGTGCTGAATCACATGAGGTTCATTGCGGACATCCAGTCGTGGAAGGACAAATGGACCAAACTTCGAGAAGCAGAAAAACAACAGACTGGCTACAGCTTGAGAGGAATCGACTTGCACTACTACTTCAGTAATCTTGTCCTGAACTCTCTTGTGCTACGAGGCAGATCTCTGGACTCGATCTGCGACTTACCTGCCAGCTTACGGCCCTCAGCTCTGGGGGCTGTGGAAGCTGCTCACTCGATATTGCATCATTTCCTCACATCGTCAAAGTATCGTGAGCAAGTCGTGGGGATGCCATTGTACCTACACTCGATGATTGCATTCGCAGTGGTGTTCCTTTTGAAAATGTCACCTCGGTGGCACACCATTGGTATCACCATCAATCCACAAGAGCGGACCTTACCACTGGTCGAGGACGTGATTAGCTTATTACGAGGCAGTGAGGCCGGTGCCAACCACATTATCTACAGCATGGCCAACGGCTTTCAACGCATGCTGCGGCAGATAAGAAGGAACGATCCAACGGCCCAGACGGCGACGGGCAGAGGTAGCGATGGTGTCAGTGCCCCAGCTGGACAAGCACACTGGCTGAGCCATCAAACCGTTGGTCATACTGGACTGGACGCCGCTGCCAACAACATTCCATTGGATTACGATTTCGGGGATGGTCAGATGCTTGCGCCTACCAATGAGCTGCTTGCCAACTACGGCTCGCCCGAGAATCTCTATCAGTCTTCTTCTCAGATCAACTGGGGCTTCCAAGATGGTGAGCTCTGGTCAGTCGGCATGGGGTACGATCTCCTTGAACCTGGCGGCCAAGGGCTGGCCAGCACCGATTTTCCATTTCAATTTTCCATGTAATCTACAACATTTGCCCAGAGCTCAGAATGTCTGAATTGCCGCAACAGACTCTGCTGTGCTCTGCTTAGAGCTGACTGGTAGTATCCTTATAGTCGACATCCCTCTTGGGAAAATGACCCAGCTCCACAGTGAACTCTGCAAGTGTACCCTCGCCGCCCCAATACTCTGTGACGAACGCGCGGATCAAGTCCAGGCCGTTCAACAAAGTACCGCTGGTCCACAACTTGCCGTCCCGTTGCCAACGCTTGACCACCCAGTTCGTCTGCGGCGCCGCTTCTCGAAGATGCGACAAGAACAGCCTAGGAGCGGTCGCGGTCTTGTCTACAAACAAGCCCGCTTGCAAGGCAGTCTGGAATCCACCACAGATTGTGATGAATGCAGAACATGTCTCATAGCTCTTACGCACGAATGCGAGCTCGATCTCGTTCGCGTTGTAGCTCTGCTTGTGAGCGCCCATAATGACGATGTCCAGAGGCGGACATGTGGTGAAGTCATCCTACAAACGTCATTAGGATTTGCCCATTAATTGCAGCGCGGGAAAATGGGGACATACAGTAGGTTGCACACTTGCGCCTCCTGTGAGTCTGGCCGTCTTCCCAGTCTGATTGACCCAGTGGAAGTCCATGTCCAAGGCTTGCGCTTTGAGGTTGGGCGGTAGAAAGCTATCACCAAAGTCGTTGACTAAGAGTTTGGACATGCCGTACAGCAAGTCCACTGGAGCGACGTCGAGGATTTCAGTCTCTCTGTAGGATTTTCAGCAGGGAAGACTTCCAAAGTGTGCTTCAGCAAACGTACGAGTCCATCAGGACGACGCCAACCTGAATGGTGCGGTTGGGCTTCGCCAAGTCGAATGATCCGGCCATACTGTTAGCTTCCGAGTATGTTGTTTCGTTCGAAAAGATTGAGGAGGGTGCGTTCGTCTTTCTGAGCTTGAGGTGTTAACTTCATTGCCTGGACTCCCCGTGAGTTTTATAGACGATCCTCCCCTGGCAGACATCGATTGTCTCCATCCCCCGTAAGATTCAGGCAACAACGAATCTGGCTATGTTCTGGGCTTCAAGCCTAGTGAGTCTCGAAAGTATCGAGACTGAGCAAGTTCTCGGCGCGCCCCGCTGTCGTCGTCGGTACCATCTAATCTCAAGAATGCCATTCATGTCCACAGAAATGAAGCTGCCTGGAACCTCGGGATCCTTTCAGGCTGTCTGCTTGTGTCAGTATGGAGGCGATCGGAGCATGTTTACTCCACGTTGACGGGTAAAGTATGCTTTCCGACCGTTGGCCCCAGAGACCCTTGGTTAACGTCCCAATTAGGAAATGATGTCGAAACGGGAATAGTGCCGGAGAGAAATCCATCCGCTCACTACCTTGGCCACGTTCGACCCATCAAGGCTGTTCTCAACCTTCCGGCTGGTTATGATCCAGCCAGTGGTGCGGCGAATCGACCAATGGGCAAACATGGTCTCTTTGCATGGTTGTGGGGAGAGAAGCTCTCCCATCACGCCTGAAAGATTGAGGACTTGCGCCATAAGTCAAAGGGGTATATTTGCTGTCTTCCTATTACTACTATAATCCAACCGCCATCTTTGCTTCTTTGGTCTTGAAGACAGCCTCCTCAGTCTTTGCCTTGCTTAACAAGGAAGCCTTGCGTGGATTGTTTGCGGCGAAGATATCATTCATCTCTTCCAGCGTATGACCCTTGGTCTCCACCATGAAGAAGTAATAGTAAAGGGCCTGCGCGGTATTGGTGCCGATCCAAATGATGTACGTGTGCCAGGTGATCTTCTCCAGTGCAATAGGCGTCGCAAAGAGGTTCACTAGTGATGTCGCGCTGGTGCCCATGGTGGCGAAAGCGATACCCTTCGCACGTTGCTCGTACTTGAGGCATTCCACCGGGTACAATTGCTGAAGAGGCGTGTATGAGAACGAGAAGACAATGCCGATGATGAAGACAAACGCCAGCGACCCTTTAGCCGACGCCGAGTTTCCTTTGTCGTTGTACGCGGCCAGACAGGCCACCATGCCAACCCACATGAGCGCCATGACGGCACAGCACGTGATCAACATCTTGCGACGTCCAAAGCGGTCCATCAATGTGGCGCCGACAACGGCTGCACCACCCGAGGCGATCACGATGCCGAGGTTAAGATTGAGAACGTCCGCAGTCGACGTGATGCCCAAAGTGCCCAGCATCGCGGGCAAGAAATACGAGATCCCGGCCTGACCGGTCCACTGGCTGAACGCTGGCACTGCAGTAGCGCAGAGTATCACTCGGTAGAGCGATGCCTTAGAGTCGAAGAGCACGCGGTAGTCCCCCCAGCGCTTGTCTGCACCTTCCAGCTCGATATACTGTTCGAATTCGCGCATCTGCAACGTGACGTAGATGGACGTTGGGTTTCCATTGCCATGATACTTGATCAGCGTCTGGCGGCATTTCTCCTTCTGGCCATGCGAGTACATCCATCTAGGCGACTCTGGGAAGAACATGCAGCACAACAGCAGGATCGAGGGTAAGACCATTTGAATCCACGTTGGGACAAGCCAGGACTTGTTGCTCTCGTAGTGCAGACACCCACGAAGAACCGCGGCGGCAAGCACAGCTCCAACATAGTAACAGCAGTTGAACAGGCCGGTGATAGTTCCGCGGTACACAGGGTGCACCATCTCGACGATATACGCCGGACATGCTCCAGCAACGGAGACGCCGAAACCGATGAAGAACCGGCCCGCGAGATATTGCTTCAAGTCGTGGGAGGTTCCCTGCAGGATAGTCCCCATGATGATGATCAGGCATCCCGTTGCGATGCCAACGCGACGACCCCAGGTATCGCTCAGTGGACCGACGAATGGCAACGCAGAGACGCCGCCGATGCTGTACATGGCGGAGATGAGTCCGGCTTTGGCACCGAGAATTGTCGCATTGAATTCTTTCTGGAAGAACGGCAGGTCGAGGAGATTCCCCATGAGGGAAGCATCGTAGCCGGACATCGTGGCGCCCAGGAACATGCATCCACAGATGAAGTACAGCTTTATCATGTTCTTGCTGAATTTCTGGACCGGCTCGACGCCGGCGGCCACGGTGAGAGCATCGACACCTTCATAGTGCACGTTGGTGATGAGCTCTTGTTCGAGGTACTCGCTCTCTTGGACGTGGTCGTGACCATTGTCTTTCTCCACGGTGGTGGCCATGGCTGGAGATGGGTGCACTGGAACGGACTCGAAAATGTTGGGAAAGAAAGTTCGAAGCAAGACCGGTCAACCTGGGATTGGGTAGAGGGGCCTTTCAGTCCTGGGGACGACCTGGAGCAATGCACGACTACTCCATCCCCCGCAGATACCCTTTACCCTTATATAGATATAGGTGAAGACAAGGAGTACACACTGGCAAAGTCGGTTATAAAAATTGCCGTATTTTTTTCCGTTCAAGTTCAATGTCCGCGTCAATCTCCGTGGGGAACTTTAAGGGGAGATCTAGACACTTCGGCACACTGGGCTAAGTAGCCCGAGTTGACAGGGTTCCGCCGCCTCTTAGCTACATCAAGACCACAGGGTCCACGTCAACTCGGCTTCTTTGGTCTGTTCTTCTCTATCACGATATTCATTGCCAAAAATCCAGCCATAGCGGACACTTCTTACGGAGTTCGTATTTTCAATGGTGTGAGAGCCGAAATTCACCAACAATGAATCCTGTAGAACTCTTCCTAGAGAAGGCCACCGCTCCTGGGCCAGAACGGCAACTTCCAGGCGCTGTCCTATTGGCCGCAAATAAAGATGGTGAGTGTTTATTGAGAGAATGCCGCGCAGAAAGAAGGTTGTTGACATCGTCCCAGGAATCATATACTCAAAGTGCTTTGGGACACACTCTGTTGACCCAACATCACCAAAGGCCAGCAAGCCTCTCTCGATCGACACACCCATGTGGATTGCATCATGCAACAAAGTCATGACGGCCGTCGCGGCCCTACAGTGTGTTGAAAAGGGTCTTCTACATCTCGATGAGGACATATCCTCTGTTTTGCCTGAATGGAAGGATCCACAAGTTATCGTAGGCTTCGATGAAGCCACGGGAGAACCGAAGCTTCGAAAGGCTGAAGGCCGAATCACTTTGAGAATGCTCCTGACACATCAGAGTGGTCTGGGATACCAGTTCTTGAACCCGGAGATAGACAAATACGTCGCGTACCATAAACCCCAGTCTGCTCATATTGTAAGTTGTGCACAAAGTGTCAAGTAAGATACGCCCAGGCTGATACACATTCCAGCGTCACAAATATTTGTGGCCACTCGTCTTTGAGCCCAGCACTTCCTGGACCTACGGCGTGGGCGTGGACTGGGCAGGCCAGATGATTGAGCGTGTAAATGGTGGTCAAAGCCTCGATGCGTACATGCAGGAATATATCTGCAAGCCTCTCGGCATGTCTTCTACTACCTTCCGACCCAGCGAGATCCCCGGATTCAGCGCCCGCTGTGCCGATATGACTAATCGTAGTGCTGATGGGACACTGTCGACTACCTCGGTGGAAGCTCTTCGAGGGCCTGTTGGAGACGACGAAGGCGGTGGTGGCTTGTATTCAAGTCCTGCAGACTACATCAAATTCCTGACAGCCTTACTGAAGAATGACGGTACACTTGTTAACCCGGCCAGCATGGACCTGTTGTTCACACCGTGTCTAACGGAGGCTGGAGCCAAGGCACTTCAACATATCATGTCCAGCCGGTTTGCTGGAGATGCTGAGCCCGACGCGACTTTGACTGGTGGAGTAATTGCTCCGACGGAGGTGGACTACGCTCTAGGTGGTCTGGTCACTACCGCTGATGTGCCAGGAGGGCGCAAAGCAGGCAGCATGTCCTGGGGTGGCTTGCCGAATTTGAGTTGGGTTGTGGACCCAAAGTCCGACATAGCATTGCTCTATTCGAGTCAACTACTGCCGACAGGTGATGTAACAACTAGGACGTTGTTCAAGGGGTTCGAGGCCATGATGTATACATCCAAGTCCCAAACGTAGGTTATCCAGGCACTGATGACAGTTGGATTTCGTAATCCTCTGTCTGCGGAGAACCAGAACGTATGACGTTATCAAGCTCTACCTCTTTCGATTACCTGGCCTTCTATGTGGTTCAAGATGACAACTGTAGCATTGGTAATGTTTTAGACGGCAAACGGGGCAGCCTCTTTGTATGCTCGACGCTCCATACGAAGTCCTTACTCACACCTGCTACGAATGATCCTGACGCACATGCCCACCACGGGTCTTACCCGCTGAAAGAAAAATATTGCAATCACGAACAACCACACCCACAGACATGCCTTGGGAACGAGATGGCCTTGGATGCCGACCACGGCACGACTTTGCTGCCACTACGGAACAGTTAGAGACACTCCAGATGAGGAACGGCAAGAATCCGCAGTAGCGCACGGCGCCGAAGAATGCTGTTAAACCCCCCCAATTTCACCCCTTTCTGTGGCAATGACGAGGTCCCCCTTACTATGAGTAAACAACAATGGCGATGGGTGCGTTGTGTATTCTAGGCCTATAAACATATGGCCTGTACGCGAGAAGTTGGTAGAAGACAGTGTCATACATGGGTTCACGTCCTATAGGATGTCATCAGCACACTTCGCAAAATTCCACCCATGGTCAGTGGTGTGATGCGACTTGTCTCGGCTCGTCTCTGTTCGAAAGTCAAGGAGACGCAAGTATCGAGGTAGCATGCTTCTGACTCTTCGACTGGGACCACGCCTCTAATTCCGCATTACGTTAATGCGTCCATGGCACGTAGGAACTATTTAATCCAGGAGGGTGATGACACTCCGGGGTTGCTGGGTTCTGCAAGGTCTATTTTCCAATTATGTTACACGAAATCACGGCAGCCCTAGTCTTTCTCGGCTGCACGGTCCCACGGTCCCCGGCGTCTGTTCGTGGATGATGGAGATCCCCATACGTGCAGATCGCAGTGATATGTTTGTTGGCGGGACCTCGGTTGTGGGAGATTTCGTGGGACGCTAACTTAATCGCCTCAAACAAGTCGACCATCCGGCCTACTGTAGTGTCTTCAGGCCTCCAACTTACTCATGCTTCTGGTCTGCAAATCGATTCGTTCTAAATACTTATGCCAACCATAAAGTCCTATCTGGACTCCGATCGGGATGGGATACAAGGTGGCAGGCATCGACATCCTGCAACGTCCAATACCTTCAGTTGATCTTCCGACCGCCCGCTACGATGGCCTAAACCCAGGAACGAAACTTCTGCCAGCTGGATTCCAAAAAAGCCCTGATCATCGGCCCTTCCGCGCTAGTACAATCTATGAGAAAGACATCGAGATACCCCTGCGCGATGGGACCATTATTCGCGCAGATGTCTTCCGTCCCCAGGAGTCCGAAGGCAAAGTGCCAGCCTTGGTGGCATGGAGCCCTTACGGAAAGAGTGGAAGTGGTATGTTTGACTCGACCTCATGCTAGTTCAAAAGGCATTAGTTACTGAGATGACGAGGCCTCTTCAACTTGGGAATTGTCCCTGGTCGGGTTGGGGTTCCACAGAGCCGGCTTTCGGGATTCGAAAGCTTCGAGGCCCCAGACCCAGCCGAATGGACTGCAAGAGGCTTTGCAATCGTAAATGTCAATTCACGGGGTGCATTTGATTCTCAGGGCGATATCAGGTAACTTCGCGGACGACCTGTGTTGCTCTAATCACATCACTGAATCGACTACATAGGTGGTTTGGTTCGGGCGAAGGTCGAGATGGACACGACGCCATCGAACATCTCGCAACACTCCCCTGGTGCAGCGGGAAGATTGCCATGGTGGGAAATTCATGGCTTGCAATGGCGCAATGGTTCATCGCCGCTGAGAAGCCTCCTCACCTGACCTGCATTGCCCCTTTGGAGGGCTGTAGCGATGTCTATCGCGAAACGCTTTGCAGAGGAGGCGTGCCGTACTTGTCATTCTGGGCTTTCCTTGCGCAAAATGGTGTCTTTGGTATGACAATATGTCTACAAAATGTATAATTCCGTGTCGCTAACCCAGACTCAGGACGGAATCAGCAGGAGGATATTATGAGCATGCTCGAGAAATACCCATTCATGAACGAATACTGGGCAGACAAACGAGCCAAATTCGAGAAAATCAGTATTCCGGCTTATGTGCTGGCAAGTTATTCGACAGGACTTCATACGATTGGCTCGTTTCGAGCATTTCAAGAGCTTCCTACAGAGCACAAGTGGTAAGTATTTCTTGATGATGAAACTGTCAAAATGCGCGACTATGCTTGGACATGGCAACTCATATCGTATTGTACAGGCTTCGTGTCCACCCTACTCAGGAATGGCACGACCTTTATACTGAGGAATGTGTGGAGGATCTTCAGCGATACTTTGACCATTTCCTCAAGGGCGTCCAGAATCAATGGGAGAAGACACCGAAAGTCCGTGTAGCAACACTTCGTTTCAATGAGGTATCGTCAAATCGTCTCAAATTAATCTGACTGTCTTAATGCGATTATAGGAACCTGAAAAGTACCATGCTTTCCAAGATTGGCCTGTTCCTGACACCGAATACCAAAATCTCTATTTATATGGAAATGGTCGTCTCCTACCAACTGCACCGTCTGATCCAGCGACCAGGTCGTACCAGTCAGACAGCCCCGCGCTACAAATGGACACCGACTCAGAGGAGCTGTGCTTCGAGCACACTTTCGACGAACGCAGGTATATCATCGGGTATTCGCAGGCGATACTCTATATGTCTTGCGCAGAACATGATGACATGGATGTGTTCGTGCAGCTACGAAAAGCGGACGCAAACGGCAACATTCTACAGAACATCAATATTCCCCGCAGCGACCTACTGATACAGGCTCCAGATGTCGAAAGCATCAACCCCAACAAGTACCTTGGTCCAACAGGTATCCTGCGTGCAAGTCGGCGCAGGGTAGACCCACAACTATCAAAGCCCCATTGGCTGCTTCACTGCCACTCGGAGGATGAAAAAGTCACTCCTGGGCAGATTGTTAAGTTGGAGATCGGCATATGGCCCACGGGTATCGTCTTCGAGGCTGGAGAAAAACTGGTCCTAAAGATTTCTGGCCACCAGATGACATTGGCTGAGTTTGAGCCTTTGAGAGGGGCTTTCAAGACTGGCAACCAGGGACGCCATATCGTGCACATTGGACGGGAGTATCCCAGTCATGTGATTGTGCCATTCACACACATATAAGGGAACAACCCGAATACAGACCCCCTAGACAAACAGTGGCAATGCAATCATAGGGCAATAAGCCCAGACCCTTGTTTATCAGTAGCCTGCTTGGCAGTTGAGTAAAGGATTCCCGACTCTCGGCCATTCATGCTCACTCTTTGACTTCATGATGAAGTGGACGTCGACCCACACCACACTTTCAATAGGCTCGAAATGGTGGTCCCACCTACCCTGTCTTCTCCATGGGGTTCCCCGCTTCACCTTTGGCTCCTTGACCTCCATCTCGACTATATCAGTAGGTCATCTGCCCACCATTCAAGCATAATGTCGTGCTGGTGACGTACAAGGGCCATTTACTTCAAATTGCCTTGCCCCATTCTTCTGTCTTACAAACCATGGCGGCCACCAATATGGATGCAAATACACAGAATGATATGACCGCCCCGGCGGCCGCAGATTTTGCACTGGCTGAACACGTCGAGGAGCCTGGTAACTTGACGTAGGAAAGTGCTGAGAAAGAGCCTGAGTTGTATTTCCGAACCTATGTCGCGGTATCGGCCATGTTCGTCTACAACTTCGTTCGGCTGGCTGCACTCATTTTCCCCTCCTCGCTGTGAGTGGTTGCTCATTTCTTGTTCCTGGTTAAGGAAAGAGACTGACTTCTCATATTCTTGCAGCTATCGTGGATTAGACCTGACGTCAACGCTGGCACGAGTGAAACCTCAATCGTCAATGCTTTGACTGTTGGTCAAGCAGTGCTGAGGCCTATGGTCTCTTCTGCATCGGACACATTCTAGGCAAGAAAAGCCATTCTGGTTGTATCAACCGTCTGTGGACTTGTTGGGTCAGCCATAGCGCCTGGTGCGCACAACGGTGGTCGGTTGATTGCTTCTTCGGTCTTGATTGGCATCTCCTTGGTCGCAGCTCCTCAAATGAGCGGTTGTCGAGACTAGACACATAGCATCAGCATGGGAATTGTGTACATCAATATATCCAGGTAAATATGGCCCAGGTTATAACTGGTCCACAGCAATGAGTCTGGGTCAGCCTGAACGAGCTTACTGTAACACAAGGTAGGGCCGCCCACCTATCTTCAAGGGGGTTACGATGTGGCTTGCATACGGCCAGACCTACCTCAATCACCCGGATACTGCCTCGCACTTTTGTTCCCTTCCCCCTTGCCCCGGCCTGGTTGACGTGATGCGATAGGCCGCACGGGCTTTTTCATGTGGTTGTTCGCGGGGCCGCCTCTACACGCATTTCATGTTGAAGGGCTGGAGGCCGATGTTCACAACGACCTTCCTTTGCCACATTTTCTTGATGAAACTGCGTTATGGAGGGCGTTACTCGGCACCTTGAGCGTTCAAAATTGTGGAGCATCTTCACAAAGCATGCCGCGAGCATACTCATCGTTGCGTTTCTACTTCATCTACTGCATACTCGCTATAACACCCAGCTACGAAGATTCCCGGGTCCTTTTCTTGCATCCTTTACAAGTCTTTGGCAAGGTAAGGTTCTGACAAAACTTTGCGACCTCGCGCGCTGAGATGAATGATGTAGTATGGGTAGCTTCGAGCGGCAAAGCCGAAGAGTACTATATGGAAGTCCATCGGAAATATGGTGAGATCTCACACAATTTTACGTCTTAGAGTCACAAGGCTAATGATGATCTCGACGTACGTAGGTCCCGTGGCAAGGATAGGTCCCAATGAGATATCCTTTGCCGCACCCGCCGCAGGAAGAAGCATTTTCAAGACTGGACAAGGCTTCCACAAAACCGAGTTCTACACTGTTTTCCTGCCCAACAATATCAAGGACATTTTCACCGAGATCGGGGAAGACGTGCATGCAACAAAGAAACGCTATACTGTCCCTCCTTATAGCTTGTCGTCCGTTCAGCAACACACTGCCCAGATCGATGCATTGATGGTCAAGTTCCTGCAGAAGCTGGACGACTTTGCCTACCAAGGCGTCGCCTGCGATTTGGGAAAATGGCTCCATTACCTAGCTTTCGATGTCAGTACTGACACACTTGTGCCCAGTGCTGCGCTATCAGCCTTGAAATGTCCAAGTCGCTTACTTCCCTTCTATTTAGACATTGGGAGAATTCGCCTTCGCAAACCATTTTGGCTTCGTCGATGCCGGCACGGACATGAACAACACCATCGCAACTATCAGCGACTCCACATACGAGAGCGGCATTATCGCCCAAATGCCCTTCGTGGAGAGGTGGACACGTTCGATTCCAATCTGGAATTATTTGCCTTCAGGCAAGAATAAACTTTTCCTGCTATTTAACAAATCGACCGAAGTGCTCCAGAGGTTCCAAGGCAAAGAAACGGGCGAACGAGAAAAGTGTCTTCTGAGATCGCTCCTTGAGGCCCACCAAGCTAATCCAGACAAGTTCAATCTGAATGATGTTCTCGCAGTTTCAATGGGAGCTATGTGAGCCACGTCCTATTCTGACTTGGAATTAAGCTGACCTGAACTTCCAGCGGAGCCGGCTCGGACAGTACCGCCTCGACGATGAATAGTTTCTGCTGGCACGTTCTTTCTAATCCCCATGTTCTGGAAAGCTGGTTGCCGAACTGCTGCAGGCTCCTCTTTCCGATATTGTCCAATACCATGAAGCGCTGGAGCTTCCATACTTCCAAGCTTGTCTGAAAGAGGTGATGCGACTACAACCTGCCGTGGGTATGAACATCACTCGTCAGGTTCCCGCAGGAGGCACAGAAATCGATGGCGTATATGTGCAAGAGGGCACGCAAGTTGCCCTCAACGGGTGGGTGCTCCATCGTGACAAGGAAACATTCGGTAGCGATGCCGATGTTTTCAATCTGGAAAGGTGGCTCAAAGCGTCCGAACAGGAGCTGAAAATGATGGAAAGATCATTGTTCCAGGTAAGTAAGTTCGCTACAGATCAATTTCCTTCGTTCTCTAGTTTCACGTTGGAGCTGACCGAATAATCGTTTAGTTTGGCGGAGGCTCGCATGTTTGCATCGGAAGACATCTCGCATTGTTTGAGATCAACAAAACCTTGCCACAAGTCTTCCGACAATACAACATCCGGGTTGTGGATCCGACACACCCTCCTGCTCACAGAACAGGGTTCTTTTATATCCAAGATGGACTAAGAGTGTATTTGGAGAAGCGCTGAGTACGTTAGGGGATGCGATAGCGTCTGGACAATGTGTTCATGAATGCATGTAGTATTTTGGTTGCCTCATCGAGCAACCTGGCGGCTGAGCTTTCAACCCTTGACAACTTGTACAACTCGAATTCATGTATGACACCGCCCTCTATCAACTACCTGTGCAACTACCACGTATTTATCGGTGAGAGCGACATCGTTTACCCATTTACTGCAGCGCGATTTACCCACTGATCGACGACCTCGTCGTCGCCCTCAAACGGAGGTGTAATAAGCCGTTATCAGACTAGTAAAATGGTGCCGGAAACCATCGCGTATTCTTGCTGTTTATCATACCCCCTAGGGAAGATCTCGTCGTTGCCTCCGCGGCTTAATATTATACTACGTTAACGTCGAGATTCTTTTCTACTCTTCTAGGAGTCTATATAAACATGCTTTTCACTTCTTTTCCTTATCTTTACTCACTAAATAACTTCGTTAGTCGAAGATTATATATACTACCATTATTAATAGGTACGCCGTCGTCGCCGCCGTAGGAGGAGCTATCGACTATCGTTATCGACGATAAACTCCTAATGTTATTGCTACAAGGTGAACTGGCCCGCGTGGTCGACTTGGATCATGATCTCCGGATGCTTGTAGAGTGAGTATCCGTTGGTCACTTATACTCCGCCGTAGTAGGCTTTGGCCCTTGGCCGTCATAGTCGTCAGCCATCTCTCGAACAGTGATGTCCCGTAAAACCATGCAAGTGACCAGAGTATCTCGCCTATTTATTGGTGACCGGAAGAAGCTATGCTTGTGTCTATATAGCCTAGTTTTCCAGTCACTAGTGACCAGAATATATATGGCCGAGTAAAATTATGGAAGTAAATATATTTTGAGCTTAAAAAGGTGAAGTCGCAATTGAAACCCTCTCTGTACTAAGTTATTGGCAATGAGCACCTGAATCGCCAAGCTGAGTGAACGAATCTATATCTTTCCAACCACTGTATCTGCTTTTGAACTATGATGAATTTCCTTCAGCAGAGATCTGTGACTTCAGAAGGTGAACAAGCTTTTTGACTTCGACTCTCTCAGCTGGATGTTCGAGGATTCCATCATACCAGTAGTGATTTGATCTTTGCGTAAAACGTCGTCACCACTTTCGCGTTCAAATAGCCAGTTCAGTCCTGGTCTCTAAGCACCATTGGCTACAGTCCTTTATTACATTTGAGCCTTCCGAGATGGTCGACGGGGTAGAAGTGACTGCTTTAGAATCTTGGAAAGATTTGTGATTGCTTCGAAGGAGATATGGAGAGGGTATCTTGAGAAGCAAACTAGGAATACATATCAATGCAGCATGTTCAGCGATTCCCTTCGCCTAAGGCTCTTGCTGTCAGGAACAGGTCCCGACCCATTCTTTGTTGCCAATATCCGCACCAATTTAATGGTTACATTTGCTATGACCGCCAGTCATAACATTTACACACTACGCCAGCCTATCCACCCACGAGCATGTGGGCCTCTGAGACCAATTATCACGTACCCAAGCACGAGAACAGCGATACTCAGTCCTCCTGATGCTATCCAACCACCATACTGGGAATAAACGAGTGTTCCTGCCTTCGTTCCAACAAGCTGACCGAGATATAAGATAATCACAAACGCCGTGTTAACCCGATTTCGCATCTGTGGCTCCAGTGGATGCAGTGAGACTCTATTCGAGATCTGCAGTATTACCAGGCCAATATCAAGAAGAAGCGCTTCCAATATAGGACCGGCAATCGAGTGTGTGCCAAGAAAGGTTCCTAGAATGACACCGACTAGACTGACGCTTTTGCCTACCGCTGCGGAATACAGCGGTTCGCCAAGTGGTTGAACGAGGTATTTACCACAGAACGGAGCCGCGAACATGGTTGCGAGACCAATCAGGCCAAGGAGGCCGATTTGGCTGGAAGTATAGTTATAGATCGGTCCGGCAAGCAAGAATGTAACATTTGTCCAGAAAGATGAAACCGCAAAAAAGGTCGAGAAAGACAACAATCCTGCTTGGACCAGAATTGGGTGTTTGTAATAGAGAGTGGGAATTGACCATAAAATGTTGTGATATGTCTTAACCAGCTGTAAAATGGCGACAGAGTTGATAGTGCCGTATTCTGGCATGAAAATCATAAGCAGGAAAAGTACAAGCAACTGGAGACCGAGAGCGAGCCAGTATACATTTCGCCAAGACGTATGGTCAGTAATGAGGCCAGATATGACACGGCCGAGAAAGATGCCGAGTGTAGGACCGGTACTCATTATCGACAAGTTGAATGCGCGATTCCGTGACGTAGACAATTCCGATACCAGAGGGAGCAGTAGTTGCGTGACTGGAGTGAATAGCGCAGATAGAAAAGTGAACGCTACAAACGGAGTATACTCGTTTGAGCAGCACGCGCCAAGCCTACCGTACATTCATGTAAGCCACATAAGTATAGGACGTTTGTAAAACTGACTCACCAGAATATCGTCGTTAGTCCCATCAAGATTAGCGTGAATTGGCGCCTTGGGAAGAAGTCGGCCAGTGGTAGGATCATGAACAATCCAATGGCATTCCCCGCCTGGGCCATTGTCGGCACGTTAGCTATTTTTGCCAACGATACCCTGAAGTCATCAGCGAGGACGTCTAAAATAGGCTGACTGTAAGAGAGATTAGCGGAAGCGAAACCCGAGGCAAGAGCATAGAGTATCGTGAGTCTTCTAGTGAGGTGTGGCGGGATTTGAATGTTGGAGAACTTCCATCCAAGCCTCAGGAGATGCGGCACAACTTGAAAGACCATACTGTAAGCGTGTGTCTATCTGATGAAGTGTTTGTCCCAGTTACATGGATGGAAAGCAGCATATATACTTTTCCACAATCACAGCGAAGGCTGAGCTTCCCCGCACGAAGGTTACGAGTGGCAACCATAAGCGATCCATCGACTAAAATCGAGAGCGTGACCTCATTTTCGTATTCTTTTTAATTTACTCATAGACCACGACGGAAAACGAAGAGTCGTTCTTTACCACGGAGTACTCGCGTATAGCTTGCAGCGTTAGGGTTGACACAGGCGACTTCTGATGACTACCAACTTACCCTCCTGAATAGCGTAGCGGGCTGGGGGCGCATACTCATGATGAGCGTACAGGATGCTGTTGTGGGCAGTGTACAGTACGATACACTGCTCAAATTCAAATGTTTCGGGTGTACGGATATGAAGCAAACCCCATCCGAAGTACCTCGACTTCCGCACCCCTTGCAGCGCCGGGGACTGCCGGCGCGGCCATCACCGTGGGTGCCACCGCTTCAGCCTTACGATATATTTTTGGACTCACGACCTGAGGCAAGGTCGGAAAGAGTGGAATGGTTCAGCATTCCGAGACCGGGAGCCTGATTCGACCAGTACTTATTGTGCGAGTGAGAACGAGAACGAGGTTCGAACGACTAACCGAGGGACGAAACGCGGCGACTGGACGACTGAGGAGGACGACAAATTGACCAAATGGAGTCGTCTTGGCAAGCCATGGTCGTGAATCTTTGATCAATTCCCTGATCGAACCGAAGCTGCGATCCGCTCGCGTTGGTTTGTGGTTCTAGCACCCAAAGCAGGACCAATCGGGATATCTAGGCGCAGGAGTTCTCGGCCTTGATAATGTTGACAGTGCTCATTGTACCGCACATGGTACCGCACATGCAAGTCAGGCGGTGTCACTGCCTTCCCGTCCCGATTAGGACTAGCGTGACACATTTTGGCACTTCGAGGCATACACCTTTCTCGTAGCACTCTTAGTTAGTTGCCAATCAAGCAATCAAGTCAACAACACTATCGAGTGCTTACAACTTCTGGTAGTCGAGTATGCCAGTTCAACTTTTAGAATCTCCCTGCACGCCAATGATCTGTTTCCCGGAGTTCATATGGTCTGCCATTGACACTCCCCACGTGGCTTCTGGGCTTGCAATGCCAACCTGAAGGATCTTACCGTGACGACGAACGAACTGCCACGATTGCCTTGCCAGCAACTCGACTCCCGTCGTATCTAACGACGTGTGGACTCCCCTGCCTTCTGTGATCTTGAGCACTTCCGCCACAATATCGATTGTGGGATCGAATGTGTTGATCGTATGTGTCGCACCAATGGACTTTGCCAATCCTAGGCGAGAATCAGTGCGATCAATGGCTATGATGGTTTTACATTCCCGCATAGTCGCTGCCTATAATATACCGGGTGTGTTAGCATGGACTACAGTGGCATGGCTAAGTTTATAAGGAAGCAATAGATGGCGTGACCTCACCATTATAGCACTTTGTCCGACACCGCCAACGCCAATGAGGGCAACTTCTTGACCGCTCTGAACATCTGCGATGTTTGTGAAGGCCCCCACCCCTGCCTGCACACCGCAACCCAACCTCGTACGAAGGCTCCCTACAGTCTAACTACCGCAAGGTAATATCCGAGGCTGACCTGCTAGGTGACCTGCTGGGCTGCCTGTATAACGTTCCAGACCTCTAATTCTCTTTCCCAGTGGTCGTCACTTTGGTTCCAACATATCGCTCCGGATTTGTCCAGCAAGGTCAAGGACCTCTCTCCCTGGGATCCTGGCTGTGCTACATCATGTCCGGACAACCATTGCCCAAAGATCTCGATGAACCTCAAAGTTGACTCCTTGTCTTGCTCAGTGAAGCCTGCACGCCAACCGCTTGCCCACAGATTGGAGCATCCAGCACGTGGCATGTGCCGAGATGAGGATGAACCCAGTCATCAACACACTTGGCACGCCATTGTATGCGGAACCTCAACAGATTTGCGGCCGGGAAAGCTTCTATACCAGGCACTGCAATATTGGGATGTAGCAAAGCATGTGTCAAGCCACGCTGTGAGGCGTGCACTTGGGCATCGGATATCATAGTGCCAAATAAGTCTGCCCAAGTCTCTGCGTCATTCTGGTCCACTGGCATTGAATAGTGTGACACCAGTGCGTTGACAACGGCTTCAGGATAGTAATTGCGGAGGCCTTGGAGAAATGCGGCATATGACTTGGGCGGATTGTTCAGCCTGTAAAATCTGTCTTCATGCTCGACCTCGCAAAGAAGCAGCCGCGTGCCATTCCTGGCCAGGCGCGTGGCAAATTCTCCCGAGAGGACGGACGAAATAAGAGTAGGCGAGATGAAGGCCTTATCCGTTGACGCCCGGAATGTGTAGAGCTTCATTTTGTGGAGTGATGAAACAATGTCTGCCGATGTGACAGCGCGCAGCGAAGACAACTTCTGCGCTTGCGTTGCCGTCGTTGAGACATTCAAAACACCACATAGGTCGTCGAACTGCGCTGTAAGCGCTGGAGAATCCACGGGATTGGGTTGGACGGCAACAGCGTTAGACCATAGGTACGCACGCCGGATGAGACGTTCTGATGCTGGGCGGAAAGCATCATAGTAGAGCTGAAAAAATGCCGAATATGCGCCTGCAGATTGTCCTCCCACAGTTAGATTGTGTGGATCGCCGCCAAACAATGAGATATGTTTGGCCACCCATTCTATAGCGCAACGTTGATCCCAGAGCCCGTAATTCGAAGCGCTGAGGTCTTCCCCAAGCCCTACAAGATCTTCGCCACCTAGAAATCCGAAAACACCAAGTCTGTGGGTAGGTGAGACAATGATTCGGGGTGTGGAATCTGCTAAAAGGTCGCAAGGATCGTGGTCGCTGGATTGACACGCGCTTCCCACTTGAAGCCAACCCCCATGGATATGAATCTGCACCGGCCAACCATGACTGGGCGCTGTCTGAGCAGGAACCCAGATGTTGAGATAGAGGCAGTCTTCATCTTGAACATCTTCATCACTCGGCTCACCTGGAGGATTGGCAACCATTGCCTTGTCAAAATTAAACATGTGTGTGGGCTGCGGACACACAGGCCCGAAGCGAGTATAATCGCCCGGATCACCAGACGCATTGTTGAACGAGAAATCATCAGGCAGAGCTCGGGGACGTCTCCATCGAAAGGGCCCGACAGGCGGCAATGCGTATGGAACCTTTGCATATCGATAGCACAGTGTTCTCCCATTCTCATCAACGTATTTGACCCCCTTCAGTTTACCCCTAGAAGTCGATAGGACATGGCTCTGCAAAGTCGATTGTGTTGCGCCCATATTCAAGATCTGCTCTGCGTGACAATGTCGCACGGAGTAAAGTTGAAACTTCAGATAACGAAAACTTTTGTGCACTGCTGGCACGAAAGTTGATGAACCTCGCTAGTGCCTGGGCGACCCTTGTCCAGATTCTAGTCAGGGTGTTGGTCAGGGCGATATCGGTGGTGGAGAAGCCCGAATGCGAAGCGGCTTTGGGGTGGGTGGGGGGCATATTTACTACAGTAACTACTAGTACTGTAAAGGCTCAACCCCTGCTTCAATGTGGACGGCGGGGATGTGGGACTTTCCCCACGCAGTCTGACACAGTTATATCCCCAATAGCAGCCCAGCATGTGAGAGCAATATAGAGCCACATGTCGGTCAGGACACGATGCATGATCGACCTGTTCCCTTCTTGTCTCTGGCAAGATCGCTACTGACATGGGTATCCGGGAGTATATCAATGGAGGTGTTTGATGCCCTTTGTACATAATAAGTTGGGACGTAACAAGAAGTACGATTCGGTGGCAGGCGAATCCCAAGCCACTTCGATCATGCTGACGAGACTGTGCGAACACAGGAGCCACTTAATTTTTCATGCCAGCTACTGACTGATGAGACCGTACGGCGAGCCCATAAAGCATTTTTACTCAGGCTGAATTCGAAAACATGTTGAGGTCATCTCCCCCCAAGCTGAACATGTCTGGATGCCATCCATCGGTAGACATGTCATAAGTCAGTTGGTCCCACGCTGTAGCATCAAACACGTTAGACATGTCGTTAAAACCATCGTTGAGCGGCGCTCGACATGCACCATAAATAATGGCAACGACTCTCTTTGAGCGCGAGGCCGCCACAGACCACGGACTCATGGTTTCAAACATGTCTAGTGTCTTCTCGATCATACACCTCCATGTCCAGCTCTCGGCATGCTCAGGCTCAATGATCAGGCTCAGCAGAAGGACAAGACATGCCTGGTACAAGTACCAAGAAGCGGTCCAAATACGAATCTTGAGCAAAGGTTGCATTTTGGATGCGATGTAATCAACCGCCTGGCAGGCGATTGCTCGACACTGTTGGATGGCGTACTGCTCATCAGGCTGAAGAGAGATGAATGGTGCCGTTCGTGCCGCCCAGCTTAGCAGCGCCGGCCGGTAGAGCAGGAGACGAAGATTCAAATACCTATGTTGCATCATGTATTGCTGTGTGATCAGACGTTCTGCGCATGCTGGTGGAAATGGAGAGGGGGTTCCTTCGGACCAGTCTAGGACCTCTTGATCCAAAGCTTGTACACCGTTGCAGTTCCACGTATTGATATTAGCAAAGTGTTGTTGCATTCTGGTGGCGAGTACACAGAATTTCTGAGTGCAGGTGAGGAAGATGGCCAGAGCCAAAGGATCTTTAAATTCAGAAGGAAGAGAAACGTCCATTGCAACAGGATCCCACCGGCCAAGAGTTGGACGACCCAAAGTCATTCCTCCCCATGTGTCGAGGCAGAAAAGGCACCACCATATACGCCGTCGAGTCTCTAACTTGGCGTCTTTTCTTCCGCCTGTGGATAGACCACTACCATCAGCATTCACAGGTTCGCGGTGGAGGCCTAGAGCAAGCGCGATCCTGAATGCCGCTCCCATAACCGCATAAGCCATATTTGGTGAGTTTCGGTAGTGGAGATAACATCCTCCAAGGAGGCAAAGGGCTTGCAAAGACTCTATGCTGCCAATGCCGAGAAATTCGAAATTGAAATGTTCTTTTGCTCTTGAATAGTAAAAGTCGTCGGACTTGTCTCCTGGCCCACCACCAGCAACAGCCCCTAGTGCCAGAACCATATTCAGCAAGGCCAACCAGGCAGAGTCGCATCGAGTACCCTGGCTCCAATGATGACGAAATTCATCCTCGTCCAGCAGGGGAATGATCCCTTGCACATGCTCAAAGTATGCTTCGATGCAGATCTGCTCATCGATGATGGGTTGCGGGGTCTGCGCCGCCTTGTCATGATTGCCCAGATGCGTGAGAGGTGCTGGGTCGGTGCGATCAAAGACTTTTGACATTTCCTGCTGAATGGAAGGCTTCAATCTGAATATCGCGCGGAGGATGGCCCGAGTTGAGGATATGCCCATGAATGATCGGCGGTGAGCGTTAAGGGATAAACCATTTACATCATCGCAAGCCTGTGATTCGGGATCTTCCTGTTCCTGCACTTCGTTCCAGTCGCGCTCATCGCCGCTGTCAGGGACCTCACCGTCAAGTGGCGATTGATCCGACGATCTCGAGTTCGAAGCCTGGGCCAAAGTGGCAAGCTCGGCGCTGGAGAGCTGCATCAGGTATTCTGGGGAGTGAGTTGGAAAGAGCTTGCTTAGAATTATGTTTGCAGCTTGAGTTTTGCTGTGAGACTCGTCGGGTGCATCTTGTCCTCGTTGTCTTGTCACCGTGTCAGAAGCCGGGCTTGTCGATTCTTCAACAACGTAATGACCTCGGATTCGAGGTCTTGAAGCCATTCTTCGTCGCTTACGAACAACATATTGACAATCCGGAATTTCATAATACACACATTGACCGCAGGGTTGATTTCCGTCACAGCGTATCTTTCGCCTCCTGCACTCACTGCATGTTTTATTGGCTTTTGGCTGTGATATGGATGCCATGTGGCCTATTCAATTGTTCGAGAATGTCACTTGATGGAATGGGCTGAAAAGGTCATGATTGTTGGTAGGTGAGTACACGAGTAAAGACAAGAAAGCGTCGTGGGAGAACGTTGAAAGATGAAATTTCGGAGTGATGCAACTTCCCCGCAAAAGAGAACTTTAGGCATGCCTAGAAGCTCCTGCCCAGCCTGTCTAAGTAAAGTCAAAGGCCAGAGGGCTGTCGCTTACCCCTGGCGATTGCACCTGGCCATACCGCGCGGGGATCGCCGTGCGACGCGGGGATCACCTACCGTACCTTCATTTGCGGAGTATTTCAACTGGGAAGGGTAGACCGAGCTCCGACGTCAATACCTGAACATCGAGTCGCTGATCATGCTCCCCAGGTAATTCAAAGGATCGTTCCTTGATGAACTCGGCAGTCATATCATCGTCAACGATCGGCCCAACTCTTCCTATCCCATTGGATTCGCTTGATCACATTCTCACTAACGCGGGCTTTCGGACGGATATTGAACTCCAAATGACCCTTTCGGTGGACGAGTCTAGCACGGAATTATGAACGGAGACCCTTGATCGGCCACTCTAAGTACAGGGCTTGTGGCAAATCAAGCTGTCCTGGCCGTGTGGTTGCATTGTGTCTGCGGTCTCTAGGTCTAGGTAAGTGGCTGTCTTCCTGTGCGCAGGGACAACGTAAACATGCCCGGCTGCATGCAGAGGCAACTCCAGGTACTGCTACACACATAGTAGGTACGGATCATTCGGGTACCGGCTACCCACATCGACCACTAAGGCGGATAAGCCTGCCTGGTTGAAGGAACGTGTTTCAACGGTCACCATACTAGTACCTTGCATGTCTGCTTCTCTTCATGTATTATCGATGAACGTTCAGGACCGGAGGCGGGTTTCCCTTTCTATTTGATTGACGAAGAATTGACTTAGCCCTTCATCATCGATTCTCATTTTTCGTGACAGCTCCTGTGGTTTGCTAAAAATGTCTCTATCAAATACCGTCGAGCTGAACACTGGCTGGCAATTCAGAGAGATTGATCTGGGAAAGTCAGACTCATGGCTTCCTGTTCCTTCAATCCCAAGTGTGGTTCATATGGATCTAATACACAACAAAAGGTGATGTTGTTCGTAATATATGCCTAGATACCTCTGTGGTCTAACACTTCCACAGAATACCCGACCCTTCGCTTGATACCAATGAGCTCGACTGTCAATGGGTAGAAGAAAAGTCATGGAGGTATATGCTTGAGTTTGCTACGCCGTCTCGAAAGATTGGCGACAAAGCCGTTATTGTTTTTGAAGGTCTAGACACGGTCGCCACAGTCAAACTCAACGGCAACGAGATCCTGAAAAGCGACAATATGTTTGTAAGCCACAGAATCGACATCACGACTCAGCATCTCGATACTAGCCACAACACTCTTGAGATCGACTTCGCTTCAGCCGCAAGGTACGCACGTGGGGTCGAGAAAGACCATCCAGAACATTGGTTTATAGCGCACCAAGGAGAGTCCACGCGTATGGGACTTCGCAAGGCTCAGTATCATTGGGGCTGGGACTGGGGGCCAAGACTAGTGACAGCAGGCATCTGGCGACCAGTAAGGCTCGAAACCTTCAGCAGCCGTGTCGAAGATGTATCAGTGCAATACTCTGTGGACGAGAAGTCGAAGGACTGCCAGGGCATCATTGACGTGCACGTTGAAGCAAACGCTCAGGTTGACGTCTGGCTGGGGCTGCAGGGACCAGACGGGTCCTCCGTGTTGGAAAAGCAGATCACAGTCGAAAAGTCTGCGCAAGTACCATTTACCTTGCGGAAGGCTTCCTTGTGGTATCCATTCGGGTATGGAGAACAATCGCTGTATACCTTGACCTGCAACATCGTCCATGGTACTACCATCATTGACAACGTAAGACGGAAGGTAGGCTTCCGGAAGGCGGAGCTGGTCCAAGAAAAGGATTCATACGGAAAATCTTTCTATGTCCGAGTCAATGGGATTGATATTTTCGCTGGCGGTTCATGCTGGATCCCTGCTGATCCGTTTATTCCTCGAATATCTGCACAAAGATACAGAGAAGTGCTGACGGCCATGGTCGAGAGTAACCAAGTCATGACCAGGTAAGGAATTGTCCTCTCAGCCGGCAAATAATCCACTAATTGATCATGCAGGATTTGGGGTGGCGGAATCTACGAAGAAGACATCTTTTACGAGGTTTGTGACGAATTAGGCATCCTCGTGTGGCAGGATTTCATGTTTGCCTGCGGTTCATACCCAGCGTTTCCAGATTTTCTGGACTCAGTGGAGCGTGAGGCAAGACAAAATGTACGAAGACTTCGTCACCATCCATCTGTGGTGCTTTACGCTGGTGGAAACGAAAACTACTATATTCAAGAGACTTACAAGCTTACCTACGACTATGCTGGGGACAAAGATCCTCAGTCATGGTTAAAGTCCAGCTTCCCTTCACGGTACATTTTCGAGCATTTGCTTCCAAAAGTACTAGCTGAAGAGTCTCCTGGATCTATCTACCATCCTGATAGTCCTTGGGGTGATGGCAACCCCATCTTGGACGATACCGTTGGCGACATCCACCAGTGGGAAGGTAAGATCGGACAACCTTCCAGCACGCCTTCTTGCTAATCCAGTTGCAGTCTGGCACGGAGTGATGAAACCATATCAGATCTATGGCGAAATCGGAGGCCGTTTCAACAGCGAGTTTGGCATGGAGGCAGCTCCCCATATCAGCACGATTAATCAGAGTATAAGTGATCCCAGGGAAAAGCATCCATCATCATGGACCATGGACTTTCACAATAAAGCCGGTCAACAGCAAAGACGTCTTGCTTCATATATTTCCGAAAACTTCAAAGTCACAAACTTGGACCTGAATGTCTGTCCAACATTCTTACCTCTATCATTTTAACCATGCTGACTTGATGATGCAGAGCTGGGTATATCTTACACAATTACTACAATCAGAAGCCATGCACTATGCATATCGCAGTTGGCGTCGCCAGTGGGGTAAGCCTTCCCAGCGCCAATGCGGCGGTGCCTTGGTCTGGCAGCTCAACGACACATGGCCAGCCACTTCCTGGGCCATAGTTGACTATTACCTCGTAAAGAAGCCCTCGTTTTATGCGATGAAGCGAGACTTGAGCCCATTGTCTGTTGCAGTCATGCGGAAACACAACAACGACTGGACCAAGCTCTTTCCCTCGAGACCAGACACGATCGAATACGATCTGTGGGTTTCGAGCAGCAAAGCGACGCACATCGAAAATGCAACCATAGAATTGCGCTTTATCTCGATACGGACAGGACAGGAGTTTTTGCCCACGCAACACAAAACTGCCCGGATCGAAGCCAACAGCTGCACTACCATCTTAGATAACACCAAGCTCGATTGTCCACTTGACAGGGACGCTTTCGTGATCTTTGCGAAGTTGATCATCGATGGCAATGTGGTCAGCCGAGACTATGACTGGCCTCAACCATACAGATACCTTTCTTTTGAAGACCGAGGGTTGGGAGTCAAGCTCAATGAAAGCCGGAATCAGATCAGTATCTCCGCGACAAGGCCTGTCAAAGGCTTGATATTTGGAGAAAGGCCCGGATTGACATTGAGCGACAATAGCATTGATGTGATGCCTGGGGAGCAATACATTGTCGACGTCGACGGTCTGCAAGAGGGTGAGGCTTTGACTTGGAAGTACCTGGGTCAAGCGGAAGCTCCTACGTGCAAGTTATGAGCATGAACGGTGGATGCAAGTATAGAATATCGATAGAGTCTGGTGAGATGAACCGTTCTTTGAGGGTCGCTCTTGATTAAGACCGAGCTAGTCACGTCGGGCCATTGCTGGCACCGACGTCTTTTGTACTCTGTGTATAAATTTAGGACTCTGGGAGTGTCTGACCGTGTGCTGAATGCATAAAACTATTGATGACTACATTGTGGGCGCTATAAAATTGTCTTCTCGTCCACCGGACGTCCGGGTCCACACGGACATTCAAACGGGACTATCTCTTCCTGCCCTCATCAGGTCATTTGCCAAACCTGCCTACCTCCACAATTCGGGCATGGAGAAAACAAGCGAAGCATCTTCCCCATGGCACTAAGAAGGCTTGGAAGCCTCATTTATGGGGAAATTAGCCCCAGCCGCTGCTGTCCGGTGGCCTCGCGAGATATATGAGTCGGATCCGAGTACACTTTCACCATATATTCGTGTCTCAACCTCTCATCTTCCAACAAGAAGGAATCAGAAATGACAGTCAAGATGGTGACCCTCTCATGGACATCGATCGCTCTGCTGTGGTCAACAGCTCTCGCGGCGGCAACTGGCCTCGTTCAGACTACCAGCGGAAAGATCCAGGGACATTCTGCTCCAGGTGTCTCTGGTGTGACTGAGTATCTGGGCATCCCATATGTGAGTCAGAGGATAGTCTGCATACCTCGCACGACATGTTGACAGACAGCAGGCCAAACCGCCAACAGGGGACTTACGCTGGGCACCTCCTCAAGTATACAACAGTTCATCCCTGATTCAAGCATCGAAGTTTGTAAGACCGCCTACTACCTTGTGGATCTCACCTTCGAGAACTGTCTGATATATCCCAGGGGAATACATGCCCAGCACAGACTGGCATCGGCTCAGCCTCATCCCTCGAGGCCGCCGCCAAAGCTCTCAATGTGAACTTGACAACCCAGGGCGCGGAAGTGATCACATCCCTACTGGGCCAAACCGACGTGACATACAGCGAAGACTGCCTCACGCTGAACATCTGGACCAAACCCGGATCCGGTGACAAAGCAAAGGCAGTCCTCTTCTGGATCTACGGCGGTGGATATACCACCGGTACAACCGACAACACAGGCTACAATGGTAAATACATCGCCGACCAGGAGGACGTCATCATCGTGAGTGCAAAGTAAGCAACAACTCCACCATTTCTCCCCTGCCACCTCCGCATACAAGCCATCGATATTGACTGAGATCAAAAGCTACCGCCTCAATATATTCGGTTTCCCCGGTGGGCCAAACCTCACGCAAAACCTCGGCCTTCTCGACCAGCGCCTCGCAATAGAATGGGTGCGCGACAACATCGCCGCTTTCGGAGGAGACCCCAGCCGCATCACACTGTTCGGCCAATCCGCCGGCGGCAGCAGTGTCGACTACTACAGTTACGCGTGGACCAAAGATCCCATCGTCGCCGGATTGATCCCTGAATCCGGCACCGTCCTAACACCCTCAAGTCAAGCCAGTGCCTCCTCCGCCGCGGAAAGCTGGTACAACGTCACCGGAACCGTCGGCTGCGGCGACGCCAGCACAGACAGCACAACCCTCCTATCTTGCATGCGCTCCAAATCGTGGGAGACGATCCAAGCTGCGATCGTAACAGGATCAGGCCTGTCGTCTGTGACAGGAAGTTTCGGTCCGACCATCGACGAACAAGTCGTCTTCTCAGACTACGTCACCCGCACCCTCGCCGGCAACTTCATCCGCAAGCCCATGTTGATAGGCAACAATGACTACGAAGTCGGGTTGTTCAAGGTGATTTTCGCCCTACAGAACGTCACGTACTCCGAGACGATCTGGGACTTTTTGCAACTCGTCATATATGACTGTCCTGCCGCATACCGGGCCGCAGCAGGAGTGACATACGGCGTCCCGACGTGGCGGTACCGGTGGTTCGGCGACTTCCCTAACGAAAGACTGACGACCGTGCCTGATTCAGGCGCATGGCATGGTTCGGAAGTCCCCCAGATCTTCGGGACGGATATGGATATCCAGAATGTTGTGCAACGGACAACTCCCGAGACTGCCATTGCGAGTTATATACGCGGAGCGTGGGCGAGTTTTGCGAAGAACCCAAGCAGTGGACTTACGGCGTATGGTCTGCCAAGGTATAACCCTTTGGGATCGACGTTGTTGAGGCTTGCGTATAATAATCAGACGGGGCCGAATACTGCGTTTCCGGCACAGTATGATGCTACTTGTCCGGCATTGACTGTTTTGGCGGGTGCTTTGGTGGATCTTGGTGCACTTTGATGAAGCACTACAAAGTCAGGAAATTGTGTACGATATGTTCATATAGTCGTGTGTAACATCAATCGGGAGTGAAGGATTTTCTCCGAAAAGCCTCAACACGGTAGCAGTCTGGGTCGCGGGTCCGTATATCAGCAGACAGGATGAAGAGCTGTGCGGCCGAAGTATCTTCCAGTCGTGTCTAGGGTGGCTGTGGCTTGTTGTTGACCTAGAGACCATCGGCTTGCTCTTGATGCAGCAAGTACAACGCACCACCGACGAGATGCAAGCTCCCCGTGACCAACACTTGCAACTTACCACCTCGCTCGGAGCCGACTCTGTCCGCATACTCCAACGCCTCCTCAATCGAAGGCTCAAACCTAGTCCGTGCGTCAGAGTGCATCAATTTCCACATGTCGCAGTATTGCTTCGGTAGTTCCTTCAACGATTCGTCCTCCGGAGGCTTCAGCGTCTTATCTATGTCTTGTCAGCACAAAACAACGCGTAAACAACGAAGGCTAGCTCTTACCAAGTCGAACCATCCCGTCCCGTCGCTCTTGATACGTTGTAAACACCATCTCGGGACCTCGAACGCCACTGTGCTCAAGCGCTCTCGCTAGGGCTCTGAGTAGGGACGGTCCGTCTCGCTCTTCGGACACGTGCGAGAAAATGACCATACTTGAAGAACCCTCAGCGGTATATCTGGTCATCTCAGCGAACCACTGCACCGCCTGTCCTATACTCAATTCATTGTGCGCACCGTCGAGGTACCAAGTACAATTCGGAGTCTTGATAACCTCGAATCTGCCAGGCCACGAGAAGTGCTCAATACCGTTTTCAATATCTTCCCTTCGAAGCGCTTTCTCATCAGAAGGACTCTTCCTCGAGAGGAACGCACTGACCAAGGCGATCGCCAAGGAACAATTGATCCGCTGGACCGGTGCACGCAACGCATTCGCATCGCGAGGCACCGATTGGTCGACTCCGACGATCTCAAGCTGAACATCCTTCTCGTCTGCTCTCGATCGCAACACGGCTTCGACTTCGGGGTCCTGCGGCGCAGAGAAAGCAAGAGATCCGCTCTTGAAAATACCCGCCTTATGCCACGCGACGTCCTGAATCGTGGGACCTAGTTGCGCCAGATGATCGAGTCCAATCGAGGTTATGCCAGTGACAACAGGCGCGGGAACAATATTAGTAGCATCATACTCGCCACCATGATGAGTTTCGATGATCGTAGCCTGAGCTCCCTCCTTAACAAAAGTATGGATGGCCAGCAATAACAGGAATTGCAGGTATCTTGGTTGAGGCTGGGGTAGGTTTTCGTCCTCGGCATGTCGTACGAACAAGCGATCCCATATATCGTAGAAATACTTCGTAAACAAATCCTCCGAGATAGGTGTTCCATTGATTTGAATGCGCTCTCGAATGCACGTTAGGTCAGGCGAAGTGTACAGACCGACTTTCTTCGGGAAGCCTGTCCTCTTGCCATATTGTTGTAACAACGATCGGACGAATGCACAGGTACTCCCTTTGCCTTTCGTCCCGGCGACATGTACGATGTTCAAGGCCGCTATATCGCGATCCTTGGCGAGAATTGTCAATACCTCTAAGAAAAGGCCTGGGCGGACATACCGTGTACCCGATCTTCCGGAGCCAGTCTTTCATGCCCATCAAGCTCGGTGTCCCTCGGAGAGATGAACCAGCCTTGACCGATGACTGATTGGCAGTCGCGGAGGTGGACGTTGTGTTGGTGGCATGACTGGTCTTTGGCCTTGCTTTTCTCCGCCTGGTCTCAAGGAGTTTCAGTGCGTTCTACGCTCGGTGAGCTTGTGCTTGATCTCAGGTCAATCATTATTCTGGTGGCAAAGGCTCACCTCGTATGTTCTTTTGGAGCACACTCTCGTAGCTTTCTCCATGTCGAAAATCAGCTATTTGTGATTGTGGTAGTAGTGTGAACGATCGCTACCAGCACTGCGGAAACTTTACGTAGAAGTTGAGTTAAAAGGTAATGATGGTAGGTTTATCTTAGGGACACGCCAGAAGCTAGTGGTAACACTACCCGTAGGGGGTACGGCCCATGCCAATTCACGCCGACTCGGGGAACACGTTTGGCGTCTACAAGCCTAGTGAGCCTAAGGCGTCAAGGATTATATAGCGATCGCCTAGGTATTCATATAGCGGAACATTTCACATCTCAAAGAATGTCGCAAAGCATCAACGGATAGTTCTCTATCTCGGTCATTTTCGTGACCCATGTCATGACCTCCATGATCCTCTCCTCTTGAGGCCGCCATCATCTCTCTACCCTGGTTATCGCTCAGGCAACAGAGGCTTATACCTATCCAAACCGCCCTTAGCGGCAGTATCATCATCATCCTCATCCAATAGCCCAGCATTACTCGCTCTCCCAGAATTTGACTGTGTCCTAGGCGGTAATGGTGGCCCAGACTGGTTGGTCGTAGTCGTACTCGCCGAACTACTCCGCCTCAACGACGCCGCGCTATCATCTCTCGCCAGCCTCGTCACTCTCGACGGCGGAGGAGGCGGCACATATCCACCTCTCTGGCCGTTCGGACCGGCATTCTTCACCTCCGACCCACTCATAAATGAAGAAGTCGAACTGTTTGTTCCTGTCCGTCTCGGTAGCGGAGGCGGCTTCTCGTCTGCCGACTCAGGCGAGACACCGACATTCGGCTTCGAAACACTCGCCAACCTCGTAGGAAGAGAACTGACCTGCGGCACAGATACTTGGCTCGGCGCTGTTGTCAGGGTCGCCGGCTTTAGGGGTTTCGGAGGCGGCGGTTTCTTGACCGTTGTTGTTGATGACGACCGCGAGGGTGGTGACTCGGCGTCCCCGGCTGCTTCCTCTTGCTCTCGATCTATCATCTGGATTGTTCCGGTCGCCTCATCACGCACTCTCGGCGCAGGCGGCATTGGACGTCTCTTCCCATTCCCATCCGCACTGCCATTGCCATCCCATCGCATCTCACTCTTCACCGAACTTGGCGACACCACCCTCTCGCCCTCCCAAGCCGGAGGCACCATTCTCCTCGTCACCCTCGACGGCGGTGGTTCCGGTTTCGGTTTCGACGGTTTCTCAACCTCAACCCAGTCATCTTCGCCACCTCCATCTTTCCAGGGATTCCCTTCACGGTTCCTGTTCAGCACCATCCCATCCCGAGGCGGTTTCATAGTACTTCTGGCCCCCTTATTCCCATCAAGCCACCACTTCCTCTTATCGCTGCTCGCCGGCGGCAATCCCTCCTGAATACTCGCATATCCCGCCACACTCTCCACATCTTCTTCATCACTACCAACCTCCGAAAACCCTTCCGTCGACTCCCCAGCTCCCACGCCTTTACTCTTGACCTCCGACGCCCTCTTCGCGTACAATTTCCTAGTCAAATCGTCCTTCTTCTGCTCGTCCACGACCAGAATCCCCATCTCGAAAATGGCATACACAGGCCGGTGATCACTGAACCGCAAAGACATGACGCTGTCATACTCCAACTGCTTCATCTGCGTCCCCAGAACCTCTCCACCCTGAACCAAGTTGCCCTTATGATTGACTTTCCACAAGATCCGATCCGTCCAGGCAGGTATGCGCTGCTTATCACTCGAATCGAATTGATCCGTGCCGATATCGTACTTGTACGTCGGCAGGAACTTGACCCTTCCCTCGCGGTAAAAATTGAAACAAGCCCCTACCACCATCTGGATATTCAGCTGGTCGTTTTCGTACAGCTTGCCCAGCGCGTCATCCCTGACCTTCTCATTCCCAATGACAGCCTCATTGATCAGGCCCTTGACTTTGTCATACCCAAGACCAATGCGGTAATTGAAATCCCCAGCCCAAACCACAATCTCGTGGTCTTCAATGCTCCGGTTGCGCTGAAATCTTAATCCGGAGGTGATTGTGTTGTAGTCGCGATTGCGTTCCTCGTAATTAGCAAATCCCGCCGCCAAGTGCGCCGTCACAAAGCACACGGAGGTACTCTCTATGTCCATCCTGATAGCAACGGCGCCTTTATTTCCAGCAATACCGCTCATGCCGGTCTTCTTGATCGCACCCTCGACATTCTTGATCCGTTCAAGAATGTTCGAGCGCACGAAGACCAATAACGCCGCGCCGACCAATTGCCCGCTCCGGAGAAGCACATAGTCATCCTCCTTGGCGGGTGTCTCGTGGCCTTTTTCATCATAACTCTGTCCATTCAGACAATCCCGCACCGTCTTCTCCCACATGATTCGGCGGTTCGGGTCCGTACTCATGATCTGCTGGGGACTCAGCTCAACGATCTCCTGGAAGCCCACAACGAAGATATCCAGCTCTCGATCGCGAGCAGCCAGCCACGGACTCAAGTCCTCTCTTGTCCCGGAGATCTTGCCGTTCAGGTTGAACGTGCCGACCCCAAGTTTAATCGAGTCCCGCGTTTCGAACTCCGCCCGTCGCCTATTCACCTCTGCAACCACCCAGTCGTTGACAGGGTCAAACAGATCCACACTATTCTGCCCGACCAGTCTGCCCAGCAATAAGTCAACAGTATTTTGTCTGTTCTTGTCTTCGAAATGATTGACATAGAGCCGAGTGGCACTCTTCCTGGCATCAGCAATGGCGCCTGCGAAACTCATCTTCCCGTGTCGCGTGAACGAACTTTTCAACGCTCCGGTCCCGGCGTAGATCTTCGACAAGGTGTCGCCATTGTCGGCCCACAATGCAGAGTGCCGCATCCAGAAATCCGAATTGCCGCGCTCGCCTCGGTGTGACAAGAAGAGTTCGATGGCCATTTGACTGATGTTGCCTTGGATCAAGTTCGTGCGGTCCAGGCAGTCCAGACAATTGACGCGAAACACACCATTCTGCTGCATGATTACCACGGGTCGTTTGATTAACGTTCTCTTGCCATGGACGACCGACTCCTCAGGGATCACCTCCGACAGGAAATATACGAATGATTCCGCGCTGGCTTCGATTTCCGGCCGGATGGCTTTAGCTCCCTCATACCCTGTCGCACCTTTGGTGCGCTCGTGAAAATCGAACTCGGTTTCTCGAAGTAGATGATGTTCCTCTTCTTCACCTTCCACCTGTCGTCGAAGTGGGCTCCGTTTGACGTGAAGGCGATACCTTTCCGTCAGCTCCACCTCACCCGGCTTCATTGCACTGAGCAAGTTCACAATATGCACAGCCCCATACGTCCTTTCCAGTGTAGCAAAGTGTTTATCGAACGCAGGCTGCGTCGCTTCCGGTGACCGTGTGATCTGGATCTTCTGCTGTCCGGGGATCAAGCTGCTAGCACTCTCCCAAAATATGGGTATACTGCCACGGATCTGTGTGTAGGAAAAGCATAGCCCTGAAGGTGACCAGAAAACGGTCTCGGTCTCCACGAAGTTAGCAACGTTACCGTTGTCGTCGACACCTCGAGAGTTGAACCGGGTGCCAGCTCGCCGAGACGAAAGTCTGGAGATGACTGTTAACGTGGCGGGAAGACCAGGCGCTGTGCTGCGGATAGGGGATGAAGACGGCGGCACATGAAGACTCTTCACGAAGCCTCGGATGACCGATGTTAGAAGGCGAGAGCGGTCGAGGGCGATACGTTCATGGTCGGTAAGCCTGCTTCGGAATTTCAGGAGAGGATCGATCATGTATGAGTTCCACAAAAGACCTTCATCAAGGCTCGATATGTCAACAGCTGAGTCGACTGCATCCGCGCTGTACCAAATGTTAGCTCCGAGTATCATCGAACTCTAGTACAACTGACCGGTCTTGTAGTCGGCGTGTGAGATCAAAGTCGAGACTGTAGTAAAAGTTACCATTACTCAGTAGCTTTTTCACGGCATTGAAAGGATGTTCAGCTGTTGAGTCGGTTTGATCGTAGCCTCCACCATAATCAGCATCGTCGGTCTGGAAAGTTTGTCCAGGATACGGATTCGGAGCGTGAGCCTGGTCGTAGTCGGCACGGTTGAGGCAGTCTGAAAAGTGGTTAGAATGACGTTTTCGAAAAGTGCTGGGCCTACTTACAGAATTCCACAGCATAAATCTTCTGTACAGTCTCTCCTTGCCTGACTGTTGCGACCTCTTCTGAACCAGTGATGACGCAAAGGAAGACGTCGTTGTTGAATGTGATGAGTCCTAGGGTGCCTTTCGCTGTGGTGACAGCGTGGAATTGGCTCAGATCGATGGATGACTTTTCGGCAAACTCAACCATACATCGCGGAGTGGCATTGAACCTGCCCGAACTGAGCGACGGGAGGCTCGTTGCGCTTGAACTTCGTCCACTTTCTTGTGGAGTGTGAGCATGGCGAAAGATCAAGACGTACTCATCCGTCGCTAATGCCACCGTCCGGTGCGGGTAGTCATTGATCAACACTCGCATCAACATGGCGGCAAAAGCTACCGGCTGTCGCGTAGATCATGCAGCATCACCAGTCACATGTGGTGAGGTGATCCTGGAATATTTGACGGATGATGGATGGGTGGGCGAGGTAGATCCTTTGACACTTGTGGCATTCGGTCGCGTGCTAAGATGTTGAGGTACCTTGCCGATATCAGCTGTGGGATGATCGCGTTTGCCGTATTGCTCTTGTTCGACTCGGTGAGATCCAAGAGGTGAGATTCCAGCTTCTGTCAATGCAATGCGGTAGACAGTCTGGACTGATGGATTAGAGGAGTGTCGTTGCACGACGTTGGTCAATTATTGCAGTGTAGTTACAAGTCAGGGTTCAGAAGTGACTGGCGGTCAGCTGACACGCTGACTGAGACTTCTACGCAGATCCTGGTATGGGAAAGATATACAACAGACTGGCAGAATCTCTCTAGATGGCTTACTGTTCATGCATATTTGTCTCATTGCTCCAGCACCTCTAGATGGTGCGTGAAAGAGTGGTAACATGGCCGGCCATATCATCAACCTTCATGCATTTGGGGGTATCTCAAGCAAAAACCACATCAACCTTCAACTCCTATGAGTCTCAGATAAATATATATATCAGAGGCTCTCAGTGTCCTCCATTGACAACCACCGCATGAGAATCGTTCCGGCCCACCACAGGTTGCTCTTCTGTTTTCTCGATATCATCATCATAATCGCTAAGCTCCATACACATGTTTGCTCACACCCGCTAAATGCAAGTTTTCGTAAATCGTCGTCACATAAGAAATATTGTTCCAACCACTGAACCTGAAACCCCCGAGGCATGAAAAACCGATCCCGAGTCTTCGAGAGGATAAAGCCATGCCTCCTGATGTAGCCTATGAAAAAGGCTGCCCTGTGCTGATGCTGTGAATCGTGCTCAGTTGGTGCTCTGAGCTGGGAAAGATCCGAGAGAGTCGTCACTGTCGTACAAGTGTATGGTGTTGAAATGGATGAAACCCACAATGATACCACCCAAGTTGTCACTTTCTGTCGTCCCTTACGAGGTCATGCCGCCCAAGAATACCAATATGTCCAATTCACTCTTGTCAACACAAAGACAGCCGCTTACATAACGGTGCATGAACTTTGTTCAGCGGCACCGTGCTGCGATCGAGCGGCTACATCAGGCTTTTTATCACCTTTTAAAGACCGCCCAGACCGACTGGGGGTCCTCCCAGAAGGCCCTCCCAGCATCCAACTGGCGAGTCCACCTCCAGCAGGTTTCTTTTTCTTACCACCTGAATAAAAGAAGGATCAGTAAGGGTCACAGGGGAGGCAAATTATTCGACGTACTCTTCTTCCTAGGAGGATTGAGGATATCATCAAGATTCAAGATTCCGTCCGTGTCAAGGACTTCAGGAGGGACGGGCGGTTCATCCTCCTTCTTTGGTTCTGGTATCGGCCAGAGCATCATCGTAATGTGCATATCTGGTTCGATTGTCGATTCCCAGTAATTGGGCATAATGATCTCTTTGTCGGGCCCGATCAGATCGTAACGACCGTTCATCACATGCTCTGCAAGGTTGGGAACATGTGCAAAAGCCTGGTTGATGAGGCTTTCCATGTCCTGGGACATGTTAGTCATGTGTGCATCATTATTTTGTGGCCAAAACTTACTCTCCATCGGCAACATCTCTCCCAGGGAAATTTGAAACTCCTTCCGATGGCGTCCTTGAACCTGACAGGAGCCTTTTTCTCAGCAGGCGCGGCGGCTGCCGCTTTCTTCTCTGCTTCTTCGGCCTCAGCTTTTGCTTTGGCAGCCGCTTCTTCCGCCTCCTTCAGTTTCGCTTCAGCTTCTTTCTGTGCAGTTTCGGCGGCCTCCTTTGCAGCCGCTGCAGCCTCGGCGGCCTCTTTTTCTGCTTGAGATTTGGCGGCCGCAGCAGCATCGTCAGCGATTTTCTTTTCAGTGGCGGCCTTATCCGCCATTGCTGCGGCCTCCTCGGCAGCCGCCTTTAATGCTGCCTCAGCTGCTTCTTTACGAATTTGCTGCTCTCGGGCAGCTTGGTCAGCAGCCTGCTTGACCTGTGCTTCGTAAGCTCGGAGGGCGTCTTGTTTTGCCTCCTCACGAATGCGTTGTTCTGTTGCCATACGTTCAGCAATGGCAGCAGCATCAGCACGGGCCTTGGCCTCCGCGGCCCGCATGGCGTCTTCTCGGATCTGTCTCTCCTCTTCAGCGCGAATGGCATCCTGACGCGCCTTATCCGTGGCTTGCTTCAGCGCTTGCTCCCGATATCTGGCTTCTTGCTCAGCTGCTGCCGCATCTGCCTTGGCCTTTTCAGCCGCTTGTGCTTCCTGGCTTAATTCCTTCTCCTTCATCAAGTCTGCAAATCGCTTGTACATTTCTTCCGGATCGGTGTCTTTTTTCGCATCGAGCTTTTCGGCTGAAATGTGCGCAGAGCCTGGTTGTGGTGATGGCACGACAGGTGGCGGAATCATGTAGGGGTAGGGCATTTGTTGAGGGTATTGCAGATATTGTGGTTGATATTGCTGGGGATTGAATTGAGGAGGATACTGCGGAAAGTAGCCGCTTGGAGGTGGTCCACCATAGCTGACGATGGAGGGTGCAGCGTAAGGGGATAATGTGTATGGCGAGCCGACTTGCGAGGGCGCAGGGTGGCCGTATGCGCCAGGATAGCCAGATGGTGGGGGAGATTGCATGTGAGGATACTGAGGTGGATAGGGGACCGCCATGGGTTGGGCCTGTAGGATCATCTGATTTGAAGGTGGCACAGCAGGATATGGATAGGACCCAGAAGAACTGCTGTGGGCGGCATACCCTGGGTGGTCATAGTAGGATTGAGGGCGAGGCATGTGATGATGCCTCAGTTCTGGCCGAGCCAGGAACTCTTCTGTAGAGTCGCCGCTAATGGTGGGCGCTGTCTCTCGCAAATGGCTTGTTCGACTGTCAATAGGCTCTCGAACAGACTGTTGACGCCCGGCGGATTGTCGTCTCGAGTTGGGCCTAGATGCGTATACTTGTCCCCTGTCGCGGTCGCCTACTCTTGACGCCGAATCGGACCCATCGCGTTCAGGGTAGTCGTGGGGATAATCCAATTGAACAAAATCATTCGGATGTGATGAGGACCCACTCTGGCTCTGGCTTTGATGTATGACAGAGTATTGAGGGGAGATCTCTGCCGGGGATACTTGGACGCCGGTTTCGTGGAGGTCGTCGTCTTGAGAGGCTTGAGAAGGAGAGCGGGATCGAACGTGGGTAATGTCGATGTGGGTATGGCTATGGTGGCCGGTAGACCTGGCAACGTAACAGTCAGCACCGACAGATGAACTTTGGTAGACAACGCACCCCATGAGCAAAAGAGTGAGGTCAAGGAATTACCGCGTTCAACCTGCCCCTCCAAGGGAAGGCTGAACGAGATAGCCTTGAGGTATTGTTAGTTTTTAAGGGATGCTAACCAGGACCAAGATGCAGGGCTGACTTTGAGCTGGAAACACCGTCCGTTCAAATGGCCAGATTCCAACGTAATGATAGCGCGCGCAGGTCTTCTTCAACAATGTAGACTGTAATGGTGATTGTGCGAAAGCTTGTTGAGACCTGGTGACCGGCTGCGAAATACGAAAATCCGAAGGGGTGGATCCGCGGGGAAAGAAGGGACGGCCAGCGGCAGAGGAATCAGACGCGACGAGCCGAGGAGCAGACCGTCGCAAAGGAATGATGTTGGCCCGATATCTTGCAACAATTCAAAGAATCATCCCCAGTAGAGATATGAAAAGGTGGTGATGTTGTTGAAGCCGACCGGTGAGCGAGAAAGCAAGGAGGTGAGGCGAATAGAAGAGCGTGGTGTCGCCTCAATAGAAGAGCGTGGTGTTGTTTAGCGACAGGATGATTGAACTCCGAGATGCGACGAGAGGGGATTGTGTCAGAAAAAGTGATGCTGGTGCCCAATGCCCAATGGATGGATCCTCTGTTGCCCAAAGCCTGTGAAGGAGTGGAAAAGCGCAGGCAAATTCAGGCTTGTTGGCGGCAATGCGGGCAGATGATGATGATCGATGCCCGGGATGGTGATGAGTGGGGCAGGGCAACCTTTTGTTCCCTTCAGGCTTTCCACTCTTTAGTACTGTAAGATCCGATCCCACAACAACCTTTGCAAATGAAGTACCCGACAACGATGCACACAGATGCGCGCCGGTCGAGATATCGATCTTTGTGTCTCCTGATCGTGTTTCCCGGCAATGATGATGCAGAGCTGCCGATAGCGATTTGACAGTGGTGGGTGAAGCCGACCCAGTGGCTGATAACTGCAGGATGTTGCCTTGATGAAATCAATCAAAGGACTCGAATTGCCCGGTCTTGCTCAGTTGTCTTTGAATATGGTACACGATGATAGATTTGGCTGGCCTGGTCTTTCGGATAATACGTCCTTCCTGCCTCAATCACCGCTGTATGCAGTGGCAGAAATAACGTGCCACTACTTTCAGAGGCCGATCGGAGACCTGAAAGAGATTTTTGATGAAAAGAGGACGAACTCTCCCAACAGTTGAAGAAAGAACAATGGCGGCGAAAGTGTGTTGGCCGGGAGGAGATGATCACTACAACAACCTGCAGTCTTGGGCAACCTCAAGTGACGCAGTGTGACACAGGAATTCCTGCCGGGGATGCAGAGGATCTGTAAGGGATGAGGTCCAATAAGCGCTTCTTACGCGCGGTTTTCCTTTGGGTACGGCGAAGCTTGGGATAATGAGACATTGGGGACTCCTTTATAAGGAGCTTGAAATATTATGCTGGTATAAGGGGATTGTTTGAGGAATATTCCAAGGCTGGAGTGTTAAGAAAGGCCTACATCGAGAGTTGGCCCTTGAGTAACTGAGCAGAAAATCTTGTAGTCTAAGTCAGATCGATTGTGCTATCTATCCAGAGGGCCAGGCGACTCGATTATATCACCTTGAGTGCCAACGGGTTGCCCTTCCTGAGTCAAGACATTGAGCCTTTCTGACTGATCTTATCAAATCACCGTCAATGAAGTGTGGTGATATTCCCAGCAAAGTTCCTATCTCTTGCATAGACAACCTGAGGCCTGTGTCTTCATCTCAATCCGAGGTCCATGAGTCGCCGTTCGGGTGAGGCTTGAAGTGCTCTAAATATGGGAGGGTGGCGAGAGATCCACGAAACTCATATTCATTCGTCCTGGGTGAGCTCTCGCAGCGCCTGGGGCATCCGCAGAAAGACTGCCACGTTGTTGCCGCCAAAATGGTGCCCAACTTCCTTCTTCATGCATCGCGCTAGTAGAATGGCCCGCATCATACATGCCTTCCTCACGAACCACCATTCTCCACATGAAACTCTCCGGTTTTATGCAGATGGTCTGTGAACCGTGGCCGGCCACATGTCTTGCCGGGTGGTGAGTTGGGACACAGGTGGCGTTGAGACTGGTGTTTCATTTGTAGAGAACTGATGTTTGGGAGTCATCGTATCGCGGTCCGGTGTCCGCGGATGCTAACGATCCTCAACGTTTCGACTTGTTCAGTAGATCTTGAGCCGCGATGACCTCAGCGTGAGGTGTTCCCTGTGATCTTCGTGCACTGCGGTCTTTGATGATAGCCTCCAGTTTCGTCGTTGCCAACTGGCTCAACTTCTCCAGCTTTTCCGCAGAGATAGCCACGCTGGCGTTGGCCTTGGTTGTCTTATTAGTTTGCAGGAGCTTGTCCGAAGCAAGCTTCAACCCATAAAAGCCACGTAAATAGTCATCGCAAAGTTCAATGCTCCGGCTGAATCGTTTGACGGCTTGTGATAGGTGGCTCTGAACCTCATTGGGATCGGTCGAGGCTACACCGGTTAGGTATTCCAGCTCTCCGAGTCGTGCATGTAAGTTCCACGCATTGGGTGTGATGAGCAGCGCCTCTTCTAGACAATATATTGCTTGGGAACTGCATCCTTGTGATTGATAGAGGTCGCTCAGTTCACACCAAGCCTCCATGTCTGTAGGAAACGAGTCGACGAATTCCACCAAATCCGTAATCGCATCCTGGGGTCTTCCAACAGACTTGACGAGAGCTATCCGTCGCTTGAGCACAGGCACATTCATAGGGTTATCTTCCAGGATTTTGTTATAGTCTTCCAAGATAATCTTCATGGCCGCCATGTCAGATGCTCTCGCTTCTTGATATAGTCCTTTAAGAGCCATAACTCTCTCATTGTTTGCACCAAACCGATCAGTCAATCTCTCCACGCAGAGATATGCTGACTTGTCATCACCCGTCCGCAGACACGCATAAAGCAGTTGCTCGAGGTCGTTCCATAGCTCTGTGGAGTCCGCAGAACTAAACATCGACAGGGGAAATGTAGTAGTTACGGAGGAGGACTTGGCTAAAATCGATGGAGCTCTCTGTGCTATCTGCAGAGCAGCAGCTGGGTCAGAGGCGTAGTTGCTGACAGTATCGGTCGCCATTGTGACGGAGAGGCGGAATTTTGTGGGATAGGTTCGGTTGCGGTTGACACACCCTGTTGGCGTCGAGTGTCCTAGACAATTCTGCGACTGTCGTGAAGGCTACTGTAGCAGGTTGGAGGATGTTGCGACGTAGGATCGTTGGGGGTTGCTTGCGGATTGAATTGTATGTCACTTAGGTAAGCCTGGGCAGGTACCTAGGTCTCGTAGTCGTTGCTGCTGCGAATGAGTAATTGTCTTGGCGACGAATCGGAGTCGTCGAAAGTTGATTGAAGGCAACCTCAAACACATCATGATCATTCCAAGACCCTCATCATTGGCTCTGGATATCAACACCTTACGCGGCGAACGACGAGTCGATTTGAGGAATCATCGACGAGGGGATGAGAAGATCACAGCGTCCAACATTCGAGTGATGGATAACATCTCTTCCGTAACATGTCTTTCAATTTGAGTGTCGCGTGAGGAATCATGGTCGCTAAGATCTCCGAGATATCGTCCAGTACATGCAGCTCATGACGACTGCTGAAATCCAGCCAACATGTTCGAGAAATCGCTGGTCGACCTCATCCGTGGCCTACGGAGCCACAAGGGCAATGAGGGAGAATACATCCAAGGAGCTCTCAAGGAGTGCCGGGGCGAGATTCGGTCCCAGGATCTCGATGTGAAAGCCACGGCACTCTTGAAGTTGATCTACTTGGAAATGTTTGGGTATGACATGACCTGGGCCGCCTTCAACGTCCTGGAGGTGATGGCTTCACCGAAGATCATGCAGAAACGAGTAGGCTATCTCGCTGCAGTGCAAAGCTTTCGACCGGAGACCGAGGTTTTGATGTTGGCGGAGAACCTACTGAAGAAAGATCTGACATCTCCCTCGATACCAGTTCTGTCGCTCCCGCTCACTACCTTGCCACATATTATAACTTCTTCCCTCGCACTTTCAATTCTGTCAGATCTTCTTCCCCGACTGTCACATTCTCAACCAGCGGTGCGGAAGAAAACCATTGTCACTCTCTATCGACTGGCTTTGGTCTATCCGGAAACTCTACGAGTGGCATGGCCAAAAATCAAAGAGCGTCTTCTAGACGAACAAGAAGATAGTAGCGTTACTGCCGCCACTGTCAACGTTGTTTGTGAGCTTGGATGGCGAAGACCTCAAGACTTCCTGGCCCTGGCGCCGAGGTTGTTTGATCTCTTGCTGGCTCAAAAGAACAATTGGATGGGCATTAAAATCATCAAATTGTTTGCAGTCTTGACGCCTCTCGAACCCAGACTGGTCAAAAAACTGGTCCGGCCACTCACAAAATTGATCCAGGAGACAACAGCCATGTCATTGCTTTATGAGTGCATAAGTGGGATTATCCAAGGTGGTATTCTAGACGGAGCTGAGTCTGGTGTTGACGTTGAAGAGGTGGCCGATCTCTGCATATCAAAGTTGAGAGGCATGATAGTGTTGGATGGAGATCCCAATCTCAAATACGTTGCACTCTTAGCTTTCAACAAAATCGTGGGCACTCATCCAGCACTGGTATCGATGCAACAGGACGTTATTATGGCATGCCTTGATGACCCAGACATTTCAATCAAGATGCAAGCACTGGAGTTGGTTTCCGGCATGATCAACAGCGACAGCTTGCAAGGCGTGGTCAACCGCCTCATGAAACAGCTTGCGAATTCGCCAGCAAACGAGGCGAATGGTCATTCGGACGAGGGTCTGACAGACATGGAACAACGACTAGTGCCCGATAAACGAGGGTCGGAAAATGCTCACATATCTGACGAATATCGGCACGAGATCATCTCCCGAATCCTGGACATGTGTTCAAAAGACACGTATGCCAGCATAACAGACTTTGAGTGGTATATCGAGATACTCATCCACCTTGTTCGACACCTTCCAGCAGACAAAGATATTGGTTCGTCAAGAGTGTCAAGCGAAGGCAGCAGTTCTCTGGGAGGTCGGATAGGAGGGCAACTCCGTGACATTGCCATTCGAGTGAAAGAGCTTCGTCCAGAAACGACCAGGGCCGCCGAAACGCTGGTGCTAATGTCCAATCGGACCATTGTTTATGCTAGACACGGTGGCGGCCAGAGTCAGGTCCTTCAAGCCACGGTCTGGATCTGTGGGGAGTTTGCAGAATATCTGAGCAACCCATACGAACTTCTCAACTCACTGATCCACGAATCAACGCATGATCTCGTTTCGACCACTCTGGCAATTGCCATCCAAGCTATTCCGAAAATCATCTCCCACATTGCTCTCACCACGAATCGCGAATGGAATGTCTCCCGAGGTACGACCATGTCGTTGATGCTGGCTCGAGCTACTGAATTCCTGGAGACACTCTCCTCGCACCCCAATCTGGAGGTACAGGAGAGGGGCGTTGAGTTTCTGGAACTTCTTCGACTAGCCTCGGAAGCACTGTCGAATCAACCCAGCGATAGCAATCAAGCGCCACTTCTTCTCACGTCTGCCATTCCGAGTCTTTTCTCCGGGATGGAGCTCAATCCTGTGTCAGCAGCTGCTCAATCAAAAGTACCTGTGCCTCTGGATCTGGACCTCGATGAACCTATAAACCCCTACCTACCGTCCATTCTGCAAGCTTCTCAAGTGGCCGACGAAGAGGATTCTGGTGACGATGTCTATCACTCATTTTACCATGATCGTGAGCCTGCTCAAGCTATTGCGTCGCTGCAACCTCAACCTGCAGCGGTACGATTGAGCGAGCCTACTGAAAATGAACCACTATCCTACCAATCTGCTCCTGACTCTCCCGCAACCCTAGCAAGGCGCAAGGCCGAAAGACTTGCCCGAGCCAGGGACGATCCATTCTATATCGCACCTTCAGACGACACAGACCCACGTATCCACGACATCATAAGCAAAACGAACGGTGACGAAGAATTAGATGTCGACTCGATCCCAATTATAGACTTACATATCGACTCTACGCAAGCACGAGCCGCTCACGATGGCATACAAGCCTCAGAACGTTCGGCAAGAAAGAAGAAGCCGGCACGAAAGTTTGTGGTGGCAGCCGATGAGACATTAGAGTCACAATCCCTCTCAGGCTCTCATCCGACGTCGCACTCCTCCACCCCATCTGGCAACCGGCACCGATCGCTCAGTCCGAGCGGACAGCACCATGGCAAAGCTCCCGTCCGTCCCGTCCGCAGTATATTAACCGTGGACTCGTCGACGTTGCAACGCTTGATGTTGGAAGGACCGCCAGAATCGGAGATGGACATCCTCCGCCGTGAAGCAGAGGAGGCGGAAATGGCGGTTGCCCTGCGCGAAGTGGAGAGGAAGAGACTTGAGATGCAGCGCGAAATCGAACGAAAACAGACGATTCTAGGCGAGGGAGTGGATGCCGAAGGGACGGTTGTCCGGCGGAAGAAGAAGAAGCGAGCCAAGATCGCGGATGGGGACGCCGCTACGGCTCAACAACAGCCGGAAGAAGGTGTTGTGAAGAAGAAAAAGAAGAAGGTCAAGACGAAATCCCAGGGTGATCAAGACGCTGGTGCCGAGGCTGCGCAGGTGCAGGAGCAGGAAGATAAGGCGCCGCCAGAGGACACATCATGATGTCGGGCATAACGGGGTATCTGCGATAGCGCTTGCACGCGATCACTTGGTGATGACTGCATGGCACAAAAGGATATTGCATATACAGTAGCTTCAAGCCCGCCGTTACAGTCGCTTGAGATAGAACTGATCTCAAGACGCGGCTATCCCGGCTGTTCATACTTACTGTAGCTATCTCCATGTAGATCTTTTGGTCCGCTGGCATGTGACGGCTTCAAGCTTCAACTTTCTACTGCGATACTCCATACTCCATACTTGCGCTCAGCTCACTCTTGGCGTATCACTGGCCTGCATTAGAGCGAGAAGAATGCACGTTCATCGGGTGCCAGAACCCTAGTGTACACGCCAGAAGCCTTTCTCAGCCGCGCCAAAGAGTTTCCAGAATGTCAAATAGCCATTCTACAGTACCTAGGTAGGTAGGTAGGTACTTAAGTTTGGCCCCCTGCTGAAGTCCCCCTACAAAGTCCCCCAAAAGCCCCGGAAATAGCATCATACTATGGCAGTAGCTATCCGTATCTTCGGACGAACTTATCATCATACCTATGGTAAATAGTCCACTCACCTTATCACTTGACTATCATTAGCATCTGGGCACCGGCATGTCGCTGCCGAAAACAACCTCGCATTTGTGGCCGCCAAAACAACCCCTCTAGTTTAGCTACCTAGGTAACTACGCGTAGGTTTGTAAACGCATGATGAACAGAAGTCCCGCGCATCACTATCCACCATACATCATCTATCATATGACGCATTGTCCCGTTCTCTTCTTTCTGCCCCCTGTGTGGCCCCTCGAATGACGATGTGTGCATTGCACTCACTAATAGACGCCAGATCTAAAATCGTCCCTGTTTGTGCTGCACACCATCGGCACTATACTCGATCATCCACCTTTTGGCCCCAGGGACGACGCAGGTCAGGATATGACAAGACAGGGACGATTCAATCACGATTGGAGGCCACACACAAGAAGCCAATTAATCTCCTGGAACATTTTATTACTCGCATAGAATGTTGCATTTCGTGCGATCCCCCATCTTATCATCAACTCTGACGTTCCCTCCATTTGCGTCACACCGGTAGTGTTTATTCTCTCAAGGGCCGACAAAGAGTCAAAGCGCGGATTTGGTTCTGGGAGTCTGCCCCGGCCCTCTTCCGTCGCCCGGGTGGTCAAGGCGTTTGGCGGCCCCCCCAGCCCTAAGGAAGAAGCCTAACTTTGAACTCCACTCCACCCAGGCGTTCACATCACCTGGCCCGAATTGTGACGCTCCCAAGCCACCACCCGTTCTAGCGTCCTTCTAGAAGGGGTTGAACAAACGTGCAGCTGCCTTCAACGACCATCATCCGAAATCCACTGCGAACCACCGCCTTTTCATCAATCGCCAGAAGGCTGCCATTACCTCGGAGTGAAACTGTTGTGGCCTGTGGCCTCTAAGTGAGGCCCGATTCTCCAGGCAGAACAGGCACGTAGGTCCCGCCTAAGCCTTTTGAAGGAACGCCTGTTGAGTCAGAACTCGACCTTTTGACCACATCGTCATTTCGTTTCTGTTTCTTTGAATCGTCTTTGTTTCCGTAGTTTCCAAGGTCCGTCCTTTTCAAATGAAAACAAAACTCGCATGCAAGGCGCAGCATATTCTCAAAGGTTTGATCGAGTGATGCTCTTCCCCAAACGCCATACCTATCTCGACCGTGTGAGTACGGCCCCCTTGTTTTTGACTCACCCTTTCCATCTCGCCCCAAAGCATCCATTAGCCTTGTTGAATGGTTGCCCACTTTCACAAGGCAGTCGTCGCCAATCCGCAGTTCTTGCCCTCGTCTCGTCCAATCATCGGTCTGATCATGTCCTGCCTAGGACGAATTCGTCTTCGAGGCTTCGTGAATAGTCGCCCGTTGACAATTCAGCCTTTTGTTGTTTTTCGTTCATCTCGACCCCTTCCAGACCCATTCTTGTGATGTGTGAGGGCTAGATCATAGCCCATATCGTCAGTTGTCGGTGTTGTTGTTGCCAAACCCCCATGCCAGTTCAGCTTGTCCGTTTCACCCCGGCGAGTTGGAAATCTGCCCTATCCCGCTCACAGCCTCCTAGAAGATGATACTTCTATCCTTCAAGTTTCCACTATTCAATCATCTGTCGTCGCGCAAAAGTCTTCTCAACAGAACTTCTGAAATCGCTCACTCTGTGACGGATATCCACCCTGAGGACATCGTTTCAGGCACCAGAAGGTTTGCTGCCTGGACAATCAGTTGCCTTTGCCTCGCCACCGCCAATGCTACTGTAGCTCCCGGGCACTTGCTGCCTCTGCCTCCCGTGACTTGGAGTTCGGCCATTTGAGTGTGGCCCATCTCTCATATGGGACCTCGTCTTCCTTGTCACGACATGCACTGCCGCGCAGCATCCGCCTCTTACCTTGCCTCACTCTGGGACATATCCATTGGGCAAATGTGTATTTCGCGCATTGGCATTCTCAAACAAGTCACCCGTCAAGAATCCTATAAAGTCACACAAGACTCAGGACCATTCATCTTCACACCATCACCTAGCAACAGCAAGTCTTCAAACACCATATCAACCAACCATAAACAGACCTCCACGATATCGTCAATTGCGAAACCAACAAGAAACATGCATACCGGACAAGCACCACCTACCGCGTGGGCATCTAAACCGCCAAGGGACAACCCACCACCGCCACCGGACGATGGACGTGAGTCAATCCCTTCTCTCATTTGTTGGTACAGCAAGCTAACATATGTAGCAGCATGGCGACGAGGTGGAAAGTGATATTCAAGCTGGGATAACGGGATGGGGCATGGACTGACAATGACATTGAACGACAGTAAGATCAATCTGACAAAGCAACAGAGAACAAACCTGACTGACGTCGAATAGCCCTCTTTCTCCAAAGACGTCAAGCGTCATCCACCACCTTCATGTCACAGCATCAGTTCACATCGGAGTGTTATCTCACGCGTTATCGGGAAGAATGTTTTTGGTTATAGAGACACCCTTGTACAGTTACAATTGTTCAGACAGACAGAGCGATCTAAGCTTCCACGAGTCGGCGTTCTGGAGATGTGAAAGACTGTTTGATTAGGAGGAAGTGATGGAAACTCCAGACGGTTCACAGTTGCGGTGTCGTTCATTGTTTTGGGGGTGACTAAAATTGACGTCATCGACCCATTACTGTAAGGATGTGAGGAGCAGCAAGCTTGTTGATCTGTACAACACCCTTATGATAGATTTCGACCCTCAGGTACCCATGAATGCCCAAAAAGGGACAATGGGCGTTTCTTAGCCATGGCTACATTGTCTTCAAACTATGTCCCTTCATGCAAGACGGCATTGTGCTATTAGCCGGGAAGCGTCCTGGATTGGCTGCACAGACCTCAACCGGAGAAGTCGCGACTTCTTTACCGAGTAATCCTGCCCAAGCTCTAGCTGCTTCCTACTGGGATTGAAGAATCGGAAGCGTAATACTTTCCCCTGTACGTGGCTTATATTCAGTGCTTTGGGGACGCCAGACCAACCCAGATTTCTTCTACCAACAACGGATGTCTATCGACTTAGAGTGAGCAAACTCCATTCTTCAAACCAACAATGCAATGCTTCTAGGCACTTCGCAGTACCACTGTCGTCAATGACTCTATGCTAAACAAGTCTTCGAAGAATCAAGAGCCGGGGACGGGGACTAACCTCTCCGGACTTCGACGTCCTCGGATATCTCGTCCAGCCTATATCCATGGTATGTTGCGGACAAAGTCCTGCTGTAGCTGGATATCGTGCTCGGCCCAAGCGCAACAACAATAAATCAATCATTACGAGGCCTTGAGAGCCTTCGCAGACAGGCTTGGGCACTTCCCAATTGCCAGCGAAGCCAGCTACGCGCATCGGGCTGCACTTACGGAGTACATGCAGGCCTAATGCACGCCCCTCTGCCCGGGCTGAGCCCGGGCAAGACGAATACCACATGACCGCTTGTCCATCCTCCCAGGAATAAGAGTATCCTTCTTCCCCAGGCGGATGTTCTCACTCTTTCCAGCACTCCTACAACTTGCCGGAGCGCCTCATTGGTCAACATGGCGTTTCAACCTCTTTGTCAGCATGGCTTCTTTTGGGAGTTGTGCCCAACTTGTTCATTCATGCAGACCTCCTTCGGCCCATCACCAGTCTCCACGAATCATGTCAGCCAGGGCAGTTATGTGCTGAACATGCTTTCCTGTTGTCCGCACGGCACCCTTGAACAACACCTCTGCCCATTCTGTCTGGGCATGCTAGCTTCCTCTTACCAGCAGCCAATAGCCTGGATCAACAATCTTGGAAATGGATCAGACTCGTGCTCTCAGTAGTTTCCAGTCTCAGACTAGACCCACTGAGATCGGGTGAGGTTGTTTTTTTTACACTACTGACGGGTGGGTAGAGGGATACCTAGCGCAACGACTCCGTTGAAAAGCGACCCTTGCTCAAAGTCGTTTTCAAGCAAAGGTGACCTTGACCGACACGTGCGCGAGCAGCACACCAATCCAAAGAGGTTCCTCTGCCCTGTCCTCCCCTGCGACCGTGGAAGGAGAGGCCATGGCTTCGCCCGCCGCGATCAACTCGTCAATCATCTTACCTCGAGCAAGCACAAGATGGGATACGACGAAGCCAAACTTGCAGCTGCTAGACACAATCAAGACGCTAATGCTGCTTAGCAGAACTCAGCTGCACATGTTGTCGGCGCACATTTTCGGGTTCATGTTGGCACGCAGGGATTAAGGGTTATGATTTGGGAGTGGGAGTATTCGCTCAAAACATCTTCCTGCCACTCATTTAGTCCTTAGATCTAGTTGAGCCACTCATGATTCATGTTCACATTGTTCTCATTGTCATGCTGCTTTGCTCTATGTAGGCGCTTCGACATGCACGCAAGGTTCCAGCCTGCAGCTCTCACGTGCTAGAAGGTTCGTAATGCTATTCATCATTCATTACTCATGAGCATAGTTTGCCCGAGGATAATACAAATCATCTCCATAAGATTGACCTCTGGTTCATTCGACGTTCTGGAACAACTTCCAGCAAAGTCGACGGACATTCATATGCCGGAACGTGCCCAAGTCCAGCTCGCCCAATGCAAAACTTGCAGGCCGTTCATGGACTAAGACATCATCAGCATACCTGTTCCCCAAAGCAGGCGACAAGAGGCATGACTTACCGTATTGCCCAGCTAGATCACGAAGCTTCCCATTGAGATCGAACTCACGAGCATGCTCCTCAAAAACCGAGTCCTCCGCAGGAGAACTAACCGGCGACCTGCTCGACCGCCGACTCAACGTATACTTGTGGAATTGGACGAGATACTCAGCCACGACCTCGTCCATCTGCTCGATGCTTGCTCTAGCATCCTCAGCCGCATAGTCCCTCCCGGTCTCCCGCGAGGGCGCATCCGCCAACAACACAAGCGCATGCTGCGTTTTCGCCAGGTATATCAACAGCACGAACGCGAGACACAGACACAGATCCATACTTGCGGGTGTCGACTTCTGGCCAACGGCAATTTTAAACATCATCTCGTGCAGCGTCTCTGTGATCTTCTGCCCGACCTCTTCCGCCATGGGCAGCACAACGCCCTTGATGAACCGGTTGATAGTGTCCGGCACGACGCGCGCATCTTGAGGTAATTCGATAGGTCGACGAGATTCTAATCTGCTTTCCAGCGCGTGAACGGCCTCCGCAGGGACCCTCGCACGCGTCAGCAACAGGTGCTCGAACCACAGCAGACTCAGGGCCTTCTGGAGGATTCCATGCTCAGGAATGTCGGCGCGGTAGTACTTGCCCAACAATATCAGGATGTCAGCTTGGAAGTCCTCTTCCTCTTTGGGGAAGTATATCGTGGCCCAGCGGACCCAATCTTCGGGACAAGCTAGGACTTGCACGAACAATTTCATGATCTGCCCTCTCAGGCTTTTGACCCGGCTGTTTAGTTCGCCGGGCTCGATGAAGATATTGATCGGCGGACTCCAGACCCGATTTCGGCCATATGTCACAACGCCGTCCGCACCCACGAGCGAACGGTATGTATGTTGGACTTCTGGAATGTCTAGTGGTAAGAACTCTCTAACCATCAGTGCCAATTGTCGCTTGCCGACGTTGATGTCCAATGAGATCTTGAACTGCGGCTGGTTGGAGAAAGTGAATGAAGCATTTGCCAGATAACGGAAGAGGGATTCGGTCCGTAGGCGCTCGGTCAATTCGACTATTATTGTTAGGAGGTCTTAAGTCTTGTTTCCATGCTGGCTTACTGGGAAATAGTATTGATTTGATCATTGGCCAGTCTGCACGAGCCCGGATACACATCCTGGGCAGCTTCCTCCGCTCTTTTGTGGTACAATTGTGGCAGGAGGGAGAAGCATCACACTAATGAGTCAGCTTACTATCAATCGTGGTAGTTTGCCACATACCTTCTCCCTCATGATAGTACAGCGGAGACAAGCCCCCAGTCTGCGGACTTCGCTGGCCTGCGTTCTCCCAGTAGGTGACAACGGTCCTGTTCTTCCGCCGCCTGCTCTTTCCCGCGCATCTTGTCCAGGGACAGCTTCTTGAAGACCCTCCATAGGGTCTTCCATGAGGAATGGGTCCTCTTGACGCAAGAATTGGGGAGCCCATGGCCCATGTGTTCGGGGGTATCGTTGCTGACTGCTAGATGAAGGGGCACTATGAGAAACGTATACAGGAGATGTGATGAGAAATTGTTGAGTATCGTCGGTCAAGGCACGGCTGTCAATGCCAATTAATTCCACTAAAGCATAGTCAGTTATTGCCAGCACTTGTATACCCATAGTAGACAAACCGCCACTCATCTGAACATCAGCAGGGGCAGAGAAGTCGGTCGTGGGAAAGCCCCCATAGTGCCGGTGCGCGCTGCTCGGGTGCTCTGCAAGTTGGGCGAAATGATACGCCGAAACATTTGAGCTTGTTGGAGTCGATGGTCTCGGTGACAGATGCCTCGCACCCGCCAATCGACTTGTATAGCTTGTGTTGACAGACTGTGCAAAGCTGTCTCCTGATAGCGCGGAACGACTACTTTCGGGGCTTAATGGGACCGTTGCCTCGAAGCTCCAACCTTCGGTGACAATGTTGTCGGGCCATGGACGGTTCGGGTTGAGGCTCTGCGTAGTGTGATAGGCACAGAGAGAATGGCACATTGGCTGACCGACTTGTTTGGGAGCGACCTTTGCAAGAGGCTTTTGGCCCTGGCGGTGTCCACTCTGCCGCCGGTGGCGACCCATTCTGGTTGAGGCTGAGGTTTTCGCCTACCTCAGCCCTATTTGTGGACCAAGGCAATGGTACTTGGGGCGGTGTGGTGGCCTGGTTTCGATTCAAGGCAGAAACTTAGAGAGTCTTCACCGCAAGTGTACAGAACTGGGCTTTGAGTTGCCTGTTCGCAAGATAAAAGAAAGAAGGGTGGGAAAATCAGGCAACAAACGGCTCAAGGAGGGGTATATGAAAGGGCTGCGAGAAAGGTTTCTCCTAGAGACTGGAAATCGAGGATGATGAGACGGCGCTGTGCATGCGTCTGGGTGCATTTGATCTGCTCATGCCAGTCGACCAAATGCTATGGAGGAGGGGTAACGCAGTGCCAGCACAAAGCCATTGAAGTGATAAGGGAGGGATAGTCCGTGTGCATTGAGAGGGTGACCTGGGACTCTGGAGGACAAGAGAGTCACTCGAGAAGTGGACTTGTCAAGCGACAGCTGGGTGTGTTGAGCCGCAATTCGGCTGTGCAATCCAATGAGGTGTGCAATGATGGAAACTGCACATGGGAAAGAGCAGCAGTTCAGCTGCAAGGCTCACTTAGCCTATTTGGTCACCGGTCAGATATCTACCAGTCAAAATCGTTCAATTCTGGCACTATCTCACTAGCGTTGGATGAGTGGTTTGTAGTCGCAGGTCATGTTTTCGTCTCGCAGCAAGTGGCATGCAGTGAATAGGCGAGACTTACCGAGCAGCCCGCTGCTAGAACATCTGGCACTGTCAAACCAGACAACAAGGATTTCCAACGACATGGAGAGCGGCGACTTAGGAGTCAACCTGATATATCTACAATGCCATTGCGATCTAAGGCCTCCTGCATATGAAAGACATTGGAGAGCTCAATTCTGCAATGCTGGACAAAAGTTGCTGCAGCCATATGAGTCCATCTGGACCCGACAAGCTATCGCCATGAGGCTCGACCTGTGTGCAGCCATAAGATCTCGGCTCGTATCCCGGTCAAGCTACGACAAATGCTTGAAGACGATGAAAACCGACGTTCAAGAACACTCGCTGTAAACGCTCACACAATGATAGCAACAGATCTCTTCGGCAGGCGGCCCTTACTCAGCGATAGATAATACATCTTTCCAGCACGTCCCCGACCATTCAAGGGGGCAACTCGACAGCACCTATAGTACCTGTTGCTCTTCCGTCCTTTTCAATATAAGTAGGTGAAGTCGTAGCTGCCAACTCTGATATAGGGGCGCTGTATGCGTCATACTTGGACGTCTCAAGCATTGGGTCTGGTATCTCTGTTGTCCTTCTCCTCCTAGCTCTTGATCGTTTTCTTACCATCAGCAGCGCGGCGATGACAAGAAATGCGATCACTGCCACGGCGCCGACGATGGTACCAGCGAGAGCTCCCGATGAGAGCGAATTTGACTTGTTTGTCGAAGTGCTCGTCGAGCTCGGTGTTGCCTGCTTCGTAGCAGTCGACGATGCTGCTGTGGTGCTGCTGGTGGCTGTCTGCACAGTCTGCATCAGTGTCAGTATCACATCTCGACCACACAGAGGAACGTGACCTACAGCGACCGAAGATAACGGTTCCAGCATTTCGGCGCTCGCATTCCCAGCGGAATGATTGATTTGAAAGGTCCAACGCGAACCCTCATCATCCGTATTCATTGCTGGGATGATCTTGTCCGTTGTGGTGTTGGTGACGCTCAGATACTGATCTTGTTCGACACCGATATTCACCAGCTTCCAAGTACCATCTGACCACGACGTGATATTCCATTGCTGAGTGAGATCGCCCGTTGCAGGAAGGAGCTGAGGTTGTGTCGTATCACTGGAGTTCAGGGCAAGCTGGTATTCTGCACCATAGTCATAGTTGCGAATGAAGTACACCTCATCCTGGTAGAAAACCTGCCAGTTCTCTGAAGAATAGCTTCCTTCACCCAACTCCAAAGCATTGGGCGCGTCTGGACCAATGCCATCGTTCAGGCGTGTCCCAATGCCGTATTCGTCAGTGTAGAGACGATAATATGCCGATGAGTTGAATTGACTTGCCATGTTGTACTCGACCCTGGTAGAATGATGGTGCCACTGCAGGACCCAGCATGGAAGCGGGAAAGAGATATACTTGTAGATAGTGGAAAGGGGCGTGCAACGGCTTGTCTCAGTTCTCAGACCGCTAAGAACAGAGTTTATGACGTATTAGAGCTTAGACTCGTTTGGCAAATAATTCTGCTGAATTTTTTGATTGGCTCGCCAATCCTGCCATACAATGCAACGGCATGCCGACCGGAAGCATTTCGAGTCGGCGTGCTCCCATTACCACAATTCCCATAATAAGTCAGACCATGGCGTCCATCTAAGTCCTTGCCGGACCATTATCATAGCAGAGAGGATGTGACAAATTATCAATTGACCAATAGTGAGACGATGCCTCATGCTGCGGTCGACACAAGCGTCCGGGCTAGAGATATGTCCCGCTTCCAAATATACATCCTACCTTTATCTTAGGACGAATCATCTCCGACTGTGGCGCCTATTAGGTAGACCCAACAATCACCTCACCAAGTCTACCTACGTGTGTACGTACATAGTAAAGGTTGGTCGACGAAAGAAAAAGGCTCCAGCACAGTTGCTAATTCTGTGAACAATTGACGCCACGGATTCCGTGACTCCATCAGATGCCAAATGCCTGAAGACTCTTCGAAGACGGTTGGAACCGTGCAATCATATTCTGGTCGACTTCGATATTCGATCTAGCAATCATGCTGATCGTAATAAATGCAGGGTATTCTTTTCATACACCCCCCCTTTTGATATCCTCCTGGTGAACGCCGTGGTACTCCGTGTTCAGCCCAGACCAGCCACGAATCCGCTGAATGCAATAACATCATGCTAAGTCGAATGACCACCCGGCCCCTCGACGAATAATCCAGTGTTCACTTAGACAGTGTACTTAGCTTTGGCTCTGGTGCTGCCAGCATGAGCGGCATCCGTATGACCACTGAATTCAAGCACATCGCTGGGGCCAAGTTGCAGGACTTCCTTGAATCTTTGACCAATTTTCATCAGTGTGTCCTTGCCACCAGACTTGCCAGTCGTCCGTGTCCACAATCCAATTCTGTAAAATCCCTTTCGAACATTCACCACAACGCCCATGATCTCGTTGTCTCCCTCATCTTCGAGAGTCTCGCCAATTGCAGCCAGCTGAGTATGGAGCCAAAGCTCGTCGATGTTGATCAGCTTCTTGTCCTTGAACTGGTATGACCATTTGCCGCCGTGTTTGTTCTGTGGGTCTTCCCACTCTGGTCTTACTCCTTTCTTGAAGAGATGATAGTCTGACTTGAGACTGAGGTCGGAGCAGGCGGTGATGTTGTTCTAGACAAGGTTAGGATATGGTTTAATATTGAGCATGGATACCACCATACGTAGACACCCCAAAACTCCTCAACGGTATCGAAGGTAATAACTTCTTTGAGCAAGTCGTTCCAGTTATCACCCTTGGAGGAAGGTGGCTTGGTGAACTAGCATGGATCAGTAATGCCAATCACTTCCAAGGATGTATACTAACCCAGAGACTCCATGCGTTCAGAAGAGGGTGTTTGACATTGAAATTATTCACATCGTGGAAGACAGTCTTGATTCCGTCGGTTGCTGATGGCGCAGTGTTCTCGTTGGAGACAGGACCCGGGACGGGCTGTGGCATCTCGACTTCCGCCATTTTGAGTTGATGCGCGATAGGTACGGTTTATAGCTGCAAGGCGAAACGGTATATGGAGAAAGAACACTTCAGAAAGTAAAGAATTGGAGGAGTTGAGGTGATTGAGGGAGGGAATAGGTGGCGGCGGTTGAGTGTGAAGTTGCACCGAGACTGGAAGGCGCTGTTTGTGGTAGCGGAATGGCCGATAAGGAAACTGCACTTCACCGACGGGAACTGAGTGCGAAAAGAAACGGGGACAGGCTCGATGGTGTTCGTCGAACTTTTGAACCGTTTGTAGAAAATCCCGACGTCTGGTATGAATCCAGATGCGGCTTAGCTTGCTTTACCTGGCTGTTCCCTCATCCTGCGGGTTGAGTCGGCACTCATATCCTGGTTCTACATGCCTTCTCTTCTACATCACACTTCCTGATTCAACTGCGTTGGCCAGACTGTCGTTCTGTTTCTTGCCTATTCTCAAATGTCCAATTTCTCGATAACTTGACTGATGCGGGTGGTATGTCCATCTCAACTGAAGACGCGTTCCTGTACACGCAAACACAATGATCCCGAATGCCGCTGGCTCACTACGAGCTGTTCAAATAACTCAAGAAACAATTCCACCCAAGACTGACAACGTTCACAACCAGGACCCGATGTTCCAGAGGCACTAACTTGAAGTTGACGGCCTGCACAGCTGGCCAGATAGCCCAATTTGCCTTGAGCCCTGACCAATAACTCTTCTCGAGTTTCTCCTTCGGATCGCTTCCTTCCATTACCGCCATGCTCGACAGAAAGAATGCAAGGTTGCACGTCGCAAACACGGTCTGATCAGCCGCTACTCGCGCGGCAATAGTCGCATTGTGCGACGAAAGATTTATACGCTTCTGAAGGAAGCCATACCACTTCGTGGCTGCTGGTCCAAAGACGCCTGGAGAGGTCAACTTGGCACGAAAGTGACAGAGCAATGGTCACTCACATCCGCCATAAAGAACCATTCGTCCTGTTCGAGTGATGTCGTGGTTTCTGAAGCCTTTCTTCTCGACCGCTTGTTGAGCCAGGGTATCACCAGCGCCAAACAAAACCTTTTTGAGTTAGCCAGCGATTCGGACCTTGACCTTGCATGATGTACATACCGCCGTTGTGAGAGCTTGAGTCAGCAGCGGCCGCTTCGCCAACCTGGCCTGATACCTGAAGAACATGAGCATTGATTGGCAACAGATCGTGACTGTGCCGTACCATTTTAACATGATGTTTTGTCTTTCCTCCCTTATGCTGCGTTGATCTAATGTTCGAAATCAAGGCAACAACATACCAAAATAGTATGCTATTGCTGAACCAGGGCGAGCACAACTCAGACTCTTAGATAGCAAATGCCACAGAAAGCAGGGAGATCCTAGCACAGATACCAAAAACACAAGTGCGTCATTTGCCCGGCTAGATCTCACAGGATCTCTCTCCCATTCTCAACCAATCACGCCTGGGCCCATTTTGCCTCGGTTAAGTTTCTTGACTTGGCCGCTCGTTCAATTAGCGCCATCACGCCAAACAATTTTCCTTGGCAGAAATTTGCAGCGCACACTCGGGCCGGCACTGATCAATCGATTAGTTGTACTTGAGATTCACATCCGTCAACTGCGTTGCGCCAATAATCCCAAACCAACCTCTCAGCGCAAACAATCAGACAACATGGCGGACGCAGCTCCTCGTGGACGTGGTGGATTCGGTGAACGGGGTCGTGGAGATAGAGGTCGAGGTGACCGTGGCCGGGGACGACGAGGACCTCGTCGTGGAGGTGCTAAGTCAGAGGAGAAGGAATGGCAACCAGTCACCAAGTTGGGCCGTCTCGTCAAGGCTGGAAAGATCCAAAGCATGGAACAAATCTACCTGCACTCTCTCCCCATCAAGGAGTACCAGATTGTCGACTTCTTCTTGCCCAAGCTCAAGGACGAGGTCATGAAGGTGAGCAGCATCACATTGAAAACGACAGCGTCCGGACCAGGTATCCTAACAGCTTTTGTCTAGATCAAACCCGTCCAGAAGCAAACTCGTGCCGGTCAACGAACTCGATTCAAGGCCATCGTGGTCATTGGTGACAGCGAGGGTCACGTCGGTCTCGGTATCAAGACCTCCAAAGAAGTCGCAACTGCCATCCGCGCCGCCATCATCATCGCTAAGCTCTCTGTCCTTCCTATCCGACGTGGTTACTGGGGTACCAACCTCGGTGAGCCTCACTCTCTTCCCACCAAGGAGTCCGGCAAGTGCGGTTCCGTCACAGTTCGATTGATTCCTGCTCCTCGAGGAACTGGTCTCGTTGCCTCTCCCGCTGTCAAGAGATTGTTGCAGCTTGCTGGTGTCCAGGATGCATACACTTCCTCTGCTGGTAGCACAAAGACGTTGGAGAACACACTCAAGGCTACATTTGTTGCGGTCAGCAACTCATACGGTTTCCTGACACCCAACCTGTGGAAGGAGAACAAGCTCATCAGATCTCCTCTGGAGGAGTATGGTGATGTTCTGAGAGAAGGCAAGAAGTACTAAGCGGCGAAGAAATGCTTAGAAGGGTGATGATCAGTTGCATTTTTCAGCGAAGTTCCAAAACCGCTGTGCATGGCGTATGGACAGCTTAAGATGTCTGTACGTGAGAGAATTCTATGATTCCAATATGACCGAGAGCATGCACGCATGCGGTTTCCTCGAGTGCTGCGCTTGTTTATCTGCCGCCCTACCCAATTCAGAGCTGAGAGACGTGCTGTACAAATTCCAATGCTATATGCGGACCCGCCCCTCGAGACTGCGACACTTGCGACTGTGAAAGGCACACTACCACGCGTCAATTGGTAAGTCTTTGGGAGACAGTACAGACCGGCTTCTGCCACAGACTCTTTCTTCTTGATAGAATTACTCGGTTGCAGACATTCGCAGAACCATGTCTTTAGCCCAGCAGGTTTTGGCTTAGTCCTCCATAGCCATTTCTTCCAGAACCTTTACGGCGTTTTCCAACTCTCGTATTCTCTGTCCAACTCTGCTCTGTATCTCTTTTCCGACTTCGGGATCGCTTTCCTTAACCGCCCTTTCAAAAGCTTCTTTCAGCATTTGTAGCGCCTCCTGTGCGGCTTCTCGGTCATCGGCCGCATATACTGTCTTTTTCTCGGTCTCTTCTGCGGCGATCTCGAATTCGTCTTTGGCCGTGGAATACAGGTCGGTCAAATTTTCCATCAGCGCATCAGCTGTTGGTGATTGAGCCGAGCAACGCGAAGAAGTATGGAAGGCAGAGCTTCTCGGTGATAGCCGACATCGGGATGCGGCGGGTATTGCTGCTAATAGCGACGGTGAAGATGGCGTCCTCGTCGTGAATGAACATGTACATGATCGTAATGAAATTGCATTAGACCTCCGAAGACATTTTGCGGCGCTTCTCGAAAGCATCGTGGACAGACCCGAAAGGGTAGAATATAAAATTATTCGTCAAAGCAAGTCAAACACAAGCGACACAGGTAGACGGCTTCCTCAATATGATTGATGTTTGCGTTGAAGTGCAACAGCAAAAGCGCACGAGAAGAAAAGTACGTTGGGGATGAATAACGATTGTGGAGAATCGAGGGCGTAATGGGTGCCGGGTTTATCTTTCAAGTTGCATCGGAGGCTCTGCCAAAACTCACCTCACCGATAAAAATCTGGGGAAGAATGGTGCCTGACTATCCGGAGCTGATAAGATCAAGATTCCCTCCTCCTGTTCTTTCTCGACTCCCTATTCTCGCTGCCGCATATCCAGGCTCCGAAGGCCGCTTGTGCAATGGCAGCAATACCTCAATTGTGACGTGCGACAAACCTACATGCCTAGGCTTCTCGGTTTCTTTTTGCGGTGTTTTGTGACACGATGACGTCCGTTCACTGTGGTTAGCAACAGCATCAAGCTTCCTGCCAATCAGACGTGCTACATCTGTGGCTGGAGCTTTCAGGTGAGTGAAAGCATTAACTGCGTCATTCTTGATCACTCGGGGAAGCGATTCCTTTTGTACCTTCGCCTTCAGAGCTTGCAGCTTTTTATTTACCCTTTACAACTTTTCACATTCGTCTCCCCCATACCTACTCACCTGAATACCATACTCCTCTAAACCTTTCTACTAAACCCCGTCCAACATGTTGGCAAGCACACCCAGAGTGGCCGTCCGGTCGACGCGAGCTCTCAGAGTCCGCCAACCAATTCCCATAAGAGCTCGCCAACCTCGCAGATTCGCGTCTACCAACTCGACCAACACACAAATACCGAGTGCTTCGTCAGCTTCCTCCTCGGCCTCCGGCGGCGGAAGCGGGGCTTTGGCTGGTGGTGTTGCTGGTGGTGTTGTAGCCCTCTTGGTGGGTTACTCATGGTATCACTTCTCTGGCGCAAAATCTGTGGTCAACAGCATTCACCAAGCCAAATCCTATGTCAACTCTGCTTTCAAAAAGACCACCGACGCCGCTCCAGAGCCCAATCAGGCAGTGGAGTGGCTCAGAGACACTGTCAAGAGCTACACTAAGATGATCCCTGGAGCCTCTCAATACGTGGACAAGGCATTCGAGGACCTCGAAAAGGTCCGACAAAAGCATGGAGATGAGGTGGACAGTATTATCAAGGACACCTACAACGAGCTCAAGGGAGTTACCAACAAAGGTTTCAGTGTCGATGCTGTCGAGCAGGCTTGGGACATTATTCAAAAATGCTTTAGCCGGATCGCCAGTCTTGCTGTGGACGCCGGGCAGGACATTATGGACAACCACCCTCAATTGAAGGACAAGTTCGGTAGCAGCTTCACCCAGTTGAAACAGATGGGTGACGAGTACGGACCGGAGGCCAAGCAAAAGGTTGATGAGACATACCAACAAGTACGCGACATCTTGAAGGGTGGCATCGGCTTCAGCACCGTTGGCGAACTACAAAAGCTCCTGCAGGACAAGACCCAGGAGCTCAAGAAGTACGGCGATGCCGCCTGGCAGAAAGGGTTCGAACAAGCCAAGCCTCTCTTTGACAAGCAACCCCAACTGAAGGAGTTCATCGAGAACAACAAGGACAAGCTTCTACAAGGCGACTTGGGTCAACTTTGGAATAAGGTGCAAGAGGCGGTCAAGTCTGGCAATACTGATGATGTCGAGAAGTTTGTGAAGGAGCAGGTCAACTCCATGTCGCAAAAGGCTGGTGGTGGCATTGAACAGTACCTTTCGATGATACCTGGTGGATCAGAAATTGGATCAAAATTGCAACAACTACAAGAACTAAGCCAGAAGCATGGACAGGAAGCCGAGAAGCTGGCCAAGAGTGCGATAGATGACATCAAGAATGTGTTGTCAAAGAAGGTCGAGGAAGGACAGAAGCTGAAGGAGAAGGTCGAGAAGGACGCTAAGAAATAGTGGACGATCAGCCCAAAGGCGTACCCAAGCCTTGATGACATTACTACTTCTTGCGAGTAAGCATCTGTACTAATACAAAAGAACTGCTTATTCAAAAGCAATTGATATTGAGATATGGTCGGTTCTAGTCATTTTCGCACTGCTTTACTACTGCTCAGCCTATAAAATCCTGCTCAGGGCGTACTGTTGAGCAAAAGCCGAGTTTGCCGCGATCTATACTCGTCAGTGGCCATTTCCAAGGGGTTGACAGAACTTACAAGTTGAGCAGTTTCATTACTCGCCACCAGACCAGCGTCACTTCCCACTCCCGACAACACCCTTTTGACTGTCTCCAAGTCTTGCGGCTGCCCAATCCCCATACTATACCTGAATTCCGCCATGGTGCCACGCTTCCATTCGATGAACCAGCGATTAGTATCAAACTCGCACAGAGTAGTGCGGTTGCCCAGAGTATAACCTGCCTGCAATCGGCTGCTCACTTCGTCGATGAGCGCCTGTGATATTTGGGAACGGACCGCCGGGTCTTGGGGTAACGCCATATGAGAATTTCCGTTTTCGAATCGAACCAGGAGGATGTCGTGCTGACCAAAGGCGACGAAATCAATACACTCGTCCTTCCGGGGGTGGCCCGTTTCCAGCTCGTGGATGAGAGACTGCCAGGTCGAAGGGAATGCAGAGGGATCGGGACCCCATATACATTGATTCGAGTCGTATCTGATGAACCAGCTTGTGCCGTTGGGCGCGAAGGCTACGAACGTTGCGCGCCCACGACCTGCTCGTGCAAGGCCATCTGAGGCAACTGTGATGAGCTGGGTTTGGAGGTATGGAACCATCTCGTTGGGACATCGGGCCGACCCTGTTCGCGGTGCCTTCAGTCAGACACAACCGATACTTCGTAGACGTTGTAGGGTGAGGATGGGAGCTCACAAGCACGGTTCATTGTCATGGCCCAGTGGTAGCCCTTTGGGCCTGTGTGGAAGGCTTCCAATTGCATGGCATTCCATTCGTTGTTCTTGAACTTGCCCTCATAATCAGGCGGCAAATTTTGACTGGATCTCAGGTTTAGTGATTACTTGTAGCAGAGGTCCCGAGGCTGGTATTCGCGGGGTTCGGCTTCCACTACTTACTATTCTAGCAAAGACCCGTTGCCAACAACAAACGAATTGGGCACATTGCCCCAGGCAAAGAACGTGACCATTGCTGCAAGGTCTACCTCCGTACCTACCTACCTGTAGGTATCTTGATACAGAGAGACCGCACCACAACGACAAGTTCAAGACTGAAAAAATGGGATAGGACATACTTCACGCTAGATCATACTAGTACCTTGGTAAGGCGCACTGGGAATCTTTGTACAGCTTGTACTACTCCAACAGAACTGCAATGCGTCTGATACTGTGACATGTTTGATCTCAGATGGTCTAGCGGTGGCTTTACCACTATTCTCGATGCTCGACACGTCGTGAAATTTGATGACCTCCTGGTACTTCGATAGAGCATAAGAGGGAATGTAGTTGAAGATTACCTTAGTCTTTTGACGTCATATCGCGGAATTATAGTCGCTTGCATCGGATGTCTTTTGTCATGTTGACTACGTCGAGTTGTTGACGAGTACTCCGAACAGAGGTTGTCAAGGCTTGTCGTCGCTCCCAGTTTGACCTTGAATGTCCTTGAGTCGTCTTGAGTTGATTGCAAGACATTTTCTTCCAAGCAGAGCTGCAACGACTGGTACCGCTGTCGCACAGATGAGTACATCACAAGCAATACCAGGTCGACCTCGACCGAGCACAGTGAGCGAGCATCTTGCCGGCAGTGCTGACTCATGGCACGGCAAAATCACACCAGATGGACCGTTCCCACCCCAAAAGGGTCGCTATCATCTCTACGTCGGATTGTTCTGCCCGTTTGCCCACCGAGCGAATATCGTCCGGTATCTAAAAGGCTTGACGGACATCATCGACATTTCCGTCGTGAAACCATACCCAAAGGGCGACAAAGATGGCTGGCCGGGTTGGCGGTTTCCAGCTTCCGACGACGAGTACCCTGCGGCGACGGTAGATCGGTTGTTCGGCAGCAAGTTCTTGCACGAGGTGTACTTCAAGGTCGACCCGGAGTATAAGGGACGTTACAGTGTGCCTGTGCTGTTTGATCGGGAGACCGGAACGATAGTGAACAACGAGAGCGCAGAGTTAATGAGGGACTTGCAGACGGAGTTCAACACGCTTTTACCGGAGGAGTATGCCAAGGTGACGCTGTATCCTGAGCACTTGCGAGAACGGATCGATGAGGTTAGTGAGTGGATGCAACGAGACCTCAACACGGGAGTGTACAAGGCTGGATTTGCGCCTTCACAGGAGGTATACGACAAGAACGTGCTGCCTGTGTTTGCGGCGCTGAATAAGATGGAGAAGATGGTTGCTGAAGGCGGTGGGCCTTTCCTGCTAGGCAAAGAGCTCACAGAGGTTGATGTCAGGTCGTATGCGACGTTGATCAGATTCGATACTGTGTATGTGCAGCATTTCAAGTGCAATTTGGGGACGATCCGGCATGATTATCCGCAATTGAACAATTACTTGAAGAACTTGTACTGGAATGTTAAGGGGTTCGAGGAGACGACGGACTTCAAGCATATCAAGGAGAATTACACCAAGAGCCACGCTGATGTGAATCCGAAGGCGATCACGCCGAGAGGACCATACCCGGATATCGAGGATGGGTATGAGCCGGATCTCGAGAAAGTCAGGGTTGGCGGTGTGTCGATGCCTGAGGTCGTCGAGCTGGAAAGGGATTTGAAGTGAGGTTCACACCTCGACCTAAGGTAGTTAGCTCGATGAATCGAGGTGCCGGTCTGTCTTGAACTGGCCATTTGCCATTCGAAGTCTCGGAACAGGGGCCAAGATCGGCGGTGAGGCATCTCGGCCTCTCAGGGATAGAGAGATGCGCCAGCAAATGACCTGCATCTTCTTGACCGCTGCGAGAGAGATGCAAATGCAACCAATTGGTTCCATAATCTCCGATGAAACGACGATGCTCTTTGCATCGAGATCGGTAACTTGGATCAGGGAGACGAATTGTTAGAAGCGGACCATTCAGAGAGCCGTTGGCTATGTTGAACGACTTGCAAGCGGTATGAAAGGCGATTCGATGGAGCATATGGTAACAGCATTGTATGGAGGTTGCATACCTAGAGATCAGGGGGTGAAATGTTGCAATCCTAAAAAAATGGTCCATCACTTTTTAGGCCCTCCCAAGGTATTGATTTTGGTAAGGCGTCGGAGGCTAGCGGGCGCTTGTTGACCGCCTAGAAAGCTTTTTCGACAAATTCTCCTAGGCGCCCATATTAGTATCTCTAGGGGCAATCACATGACTTTACTTCTTCTTTGTTGTTGTCGACATCATTGTTCTTCGAAAATACCGCCTTTTGTGGCTGTGAAAGTGTCAACCACGCCATATCTCATTTCCCCCATCATATAATTAGGTCATCGTTCAAGTCAGTGTCAGTGTCAGTTCTGATGAAGTTGTCCCCGAGTTGCGGGAAACATGTCCAAGCTCGAAATCCGACTGGAGAACCCATGCTGCAACCTCCAACAAGGCCAAACCATTCCCGGTCTAATCGGCGGCAACAGACAGCTAGTAAGGTGTTCAATCAACCCTACTATCTAAAGTCTGAATCACACCGATGTCAATGTGGCTTTGGGTGGCTTTGGGTGGCTTTGTGGCTTAACCCTGTTCAGGGTAAACGCGGTGGAGGATAACGCGACAGGCCTCGACATTGGCCGAACATTTGTTGATTTTGAACCTCGCTTCATCAACGTCTTTCCGCATGCAATTCCATCGACTCCCCAAATATATGGCAGCAATTGGATCGTGGCAAGAAACTCGATCAGAGTGCCTCAATTGAGGTGCGTGTGCCGTTTGTTTGCGAACCACATACCAGAAGACCGTGCTGGAATGCTTCTCGACGTGGGCGGCACCCTGGTACCTTATCATTTTGTCCAATTTCACTGGCCTCGCAAGATCCATTTCCCCTGTCAGATATCAAAGCTAAAATGAGCTTGACAAGTTTTTGATCGACAAAGGACTCCATCATCACAAACGAGCACATCCCGGTCGAAGCTTAGTCTCGAATTCTCCCGAAGCCTCATCTCCTACCCCAGCCAAACAACATGCTCCAGTTTGCAGGCTTGCACGGTCGGTGGAAAATTGTGCCCGGCGTTTATCAGACATCGTTGCTTCGCTGCCAACCATGGAGGCCTGATCTCGTTTGTTCGATTAGCTGAAGAGCACCTGGAACTACCTTACTTTCGCTTACCTCACCCTTCGATCTGGGCTTGTGACTATTTCCTTCTGCCGAAAAACATGTCTTTCGCCATCTTGATAGCTGATACGACTTATCGCCAACCTTGACCTTTCCCTCCCAGCCCGTGAGGACTTACACTTTTCGAATGATCCTGCCAAATCGAGCAGCGCAGGCAGGAACGGAGGAAAGAGGTGGAAAGAAGCATGGAACCACCTGTCCGAGATGTACACGCATTGCCTGTCATCAAGTGTTCGTCCTGTGATGAAGGTGTTGATATGATGGCCATGGGTGACCACAAATGTGCCACAACAACTCAGGGTAAACATTCATGGCATCATGCGTTGATTGTCGATGCTAAAGCAGTCTGCAGTCGCGAGTGTTCCTCAAAGTCTTCCTCGGACGAAATCGTTCAGCGGCTTGAGACAGCAACAACAATCAAGGCGACCTCCTTTACCGAAGATCGATCCTTACGCTGCGGGTCTGTCCACCCTCTGACATGCTATTATGCCCATCGTACTGATAATGATACAGTTCGGCCACCAGTCTGGAAAGGAGAGCTCACACCTGCCAGTAGCGGACATAGCTCCTTGGTCTCACCTGCTTCCGCAACGTCTTCGTCGAGACCTCCATGGCCACCGACTCGTAAAGGATCCATGCCTGAAGCTCGACGGCCCCCTTCACCTGAGTTGACGAACCTAGACTGCGCCTTTCCACCATTTCCGCTGCCATCAAGAGCTGCAACGACGAAGAAGCGTGACAGGGCAGCCAGTCAACGAAGCTTAACTCATCGATCAAGATCAAGAGGCGCACCAGAATCAGCTCGTGCAGACAACTTGTCAAGGAAGGGATCTGCAAACGATAGTGTGCAGAGTACGTCTGAAAGCCGTCTGATGGGAAAGCGTTCACGTCCATCGACGCCCTCAAGCAGGAACGGGTCTCTCAGTACTAAGAGCGACAGTCGTCAACAAAGCGTCGACATAGTACCTCAAGTTCACATAACCCCCATTGACGAGCTCGCCACCGTTCCGGTACCAGAAGTGCACATACCTGCCGAGCCAAAGCCTTTTTTGCTTTCCAGAACATATACCGAACCACTACCTCTACGCTCCCCATCCATGGATTCTGGCCTTAGTGCTTTCGATTTTGGGACCACCGAAACCAACACAAGTCCGCCAACAAAACCCACTAATGAATCAATATCTAATGCCCCAGAAATCGAGAACAAACCCAGGAGTGAGACACATCCATCGTATAAGGCAAAGAGACCACCACCCCTTGCAAGCCAGCACTCCGAACCCACGATCAGCAGGACCAAATCCCCTATGAGCCCGCAACCTCCATCCGCAGGAGTCTTTGCGACGACTTTTGGAAGGCTGTTCGGCCGCCGCCCGTCTAATTCTCCAAACCCAAGCCGTGACGTGGCCCGGCAGGCTCTGAGTGATGAGCCTGAAGTATATGCAGATGGTGCTGAGCGGTCATACCTTCTGAGTCCCGATAGCGAGACAGGGCGGTCGTACCTTCTTAGTCCTGATAGCGACAAAGAGTTCCTCTCAGCAGAACCCTCACCGATCTCGTCGATTCCCGAAACATCTCCTGGGCCGTCACCAATACATGAGGAGTCGTTGAAAGCTCTCGAAGGAGTGATACCTGCACCTGCAGCTATCCCCGTTGTGGTCATCGAGCCCACACCGGAAAAAGAGTCCACGGAAACGGCCGTGGTCACACGGCCAGAGGAGCCTCTACGCTTTCCCAGAATTTCCCGAATCGTGGAAGAACCCCCTTCATTCATTAGCGAAACCAGCACGCGAGACTCCATTGACTCTGCTTCCTCTTACGGCTCCGTTGGATTCTCTGAACGTACCACAAGCTCGAGCTCCAGTTCACCACAGCCCGAGCTTTCCCCAACCAAGCAATTCTCTGACCTAAGTGTCGCCGATATGCCTGCACCACTACGACCTCGGATTCCCGCACTATCCCCTGATTCGCCTACTGATCCTAACCTCCAGCATGGTCGACTTTCTCCCATACTGGATGTGGCAGATGAGCCAAAGGTTCCCGCCGACTCGTTGCAGCCCCTGTCTTTCGACTTTGATGTAACCCCTTCGCCACCTGCAGCGCCAGTCCTGCCCAGAGCATCTACGGAACCAGATATGTCTACGGTGCGCAAACCCAAACATGCAAGACCAAACAAGGGCGTATGCCGCGGCTGCTCTCAAGTCATTCTGGCATCACAAAAATCGGTTTCGAGTGCAGACGGGCTACTCACAGGCCGGTATCACAAGGAATGCTTTGTGTGTCGTACCTGCAAGGCTATGTTTCCTACCGCCGAATTTTACGTCCACGATGACAAACCGTACTGTGCGCAACATTATCACGAAGTGGCCAACTCCTTGTGTGCCAGTTGCGGCAAAGGTATTGAGGGGCTTTATATGGAAACCGCCAATGTCGCTGGCCGGGGCAAGGAGAAGCATCACCCGGAATGCTTGAAGTGTACGACGTGCAGAGTCCGACTGGACCACGATTACTTCGAACTGTCTGGCAAAGTGTACTGTGAGCGAGATGCCTTCCGACTGGCCAGTCTGCCCAAGGCTCGAGAGAATGCTCCCAGTCGACCAAGTCCGCTTGTCCGCGAGTATATCAGCAGCGGCCAAGACGGACTGGTAAAGGGCAGGAACTTTCCGGAACGAAGGACGACGAGACTTCTGGCCATGACCTAGACCTAGATTTTACGACAGCGACTGATAGATCGGAAAGGAGTTTGGCGCTGCATAGCCGAGAAGTTGTTTGGGACATTCACGGACATTACGATCTCGCCCGCTGTTGCAAGGGTTTGCACAACATCAGATTTTTGGAGCGTTATTGGAAGCACCTGAGGATGTGCTGTCCTGTTTTGGTCGCACTAGTCGTCAGTGCGCAAGAAGAAGCCATGGACCTGCGGAGCATTTGTTTGCTGGATCAACAGAGCTCTCAGTCGATGACTGGATATACCATTCTACATAATGCCTAGTTACCAATGGAGCTGCAGACAAGCGCGTTCCCATCAGTTTTGTTTCACTGCAATCGTGGGATTCTTTGCCCATATTCTGAGCATAGCGATATCGGACGCGTTGGTAGATCTTATTGATGTTACACGGCAGGCTCAGACGAATTCTTATGCTGGTCCAGCAGTTGTTCATCGCAAACAAGAAGACTGGGAGGACTACCCGATGGCGTAAGGCAACCGTGACATACATGCTTCCGTGGACACGATGTTGATCTGGAACATTTCACGTTCGTAGCGGCAGCCGACCAGCATGTATCTATCTCGACCCCCAGAAACACGATAAGGAAATAGGCATCTATATCCGGTGAAGTGGTGAAACGCAGGAAATGCGTGTCGAATCATAGAATGGCCTGAAGATGCGTCGCGTGACCGACTACTGGGCTAGACCAGCACTGAAGGCGGATTCAGAGCGCTCGAGATTGGTGGTGCAGTATCTGCCGGATATCAAGAACATATCCGGAGGCAGTCGGATGGTCTCGAGGGACAGCAAGGGAGGGGCTGAGTGGGTGAGGAGGTGCAGCCTCGATCCATCAAATTGCTGCAAGACTGATGCGGTCGATATGCAAACATTCGAGACCATCAAACTCTGATCAATGATCATCAGAGACGATTAGGAAAGTCCCTCAAGTGATGAGACGACGGTGTGAGAAAGGAACAAGCAGGCAGCAACAATATGTACAGAGACAGTACTAGTGGTATAAGTGCAGTAATGTGGGTGCTCCACGGGTCCGCCTCCGAACATTTTCTTATCGATAGCCAAGGCTTACTATTGTATCGTACCTCGTATAGGTGTCGATGTGCTGTATCTCACCTAATCTTTTCGGCTTTGGGCGGGCATGGCGGGCAACAGTAGTACTCCGTAGCAATTGTTAACTGGTAATGATAATTCCCTAGTGCCCACAGTTACTCCGTAAATGCCCACAGTATCAGGCGGTGAGTATTGTCGACTCCGACCACTCGTACTCCAACAAACAGATAATCTCCTTCATCTTCCGGGAATCTCCTTCTCACTCTTTTCCTCACTCTTCGTCACAAACATATCTCTACAACAATTGTCAACTCAGCTCGATTCAAAACAACCCATTCAGGTCACTGCCCGGCCGTGACCTTACCGTCAACCTCAAGTCTAGAAGCTGGATCACTTCCGAGTGATCCCTTGAACCGCCAAGACGTTTTCCAATCTGTTGCCTTCGTAAGTACCACCAATTGATGCCCCTGTCGTTCCCATGCCAGTCTGGTATTGGTACCTGCATCGAGCCCTGGATCATGTACTCATCCCGTTGTGCCTGGCATCATGACATATACCGATTCAGTCCATTTCGTCTCTCATGCAGTTGACCGTCCCCGACGACGTCCATGTCTGTTTGCCTGGCTGGCCTCGATCCAAATCTTCCCTCAGATCCAAACAATGTTATCAAGCATGGCTTCTGACATATCAAATTCCTACAGGTCTCACCACCCGTTCAACGGAAGCCGCTGCTCTTCCCCTCCTGGAGGATCAGCAAATTCGCCCAAAACACAATAAATCGCCCTGCCTATAAATTAGACACGCCTTTTATTCAACTCTCTGTGACCATTTCTTTGGCCATACACATCACTCACCATGGCTCCTCACGCAGAAACGGGCGTCGGCTCCATGAACGGGTATAGCACCTACGAGGCACAGACACCAAAGGATCTTTTCACTGTCAACTCTCCCAATGTGAAGTACACCGACGACCATATCGAGAGCAAATATGTCTATCGCACCACCGCCGTCACCAAGGGTCCCAATGGCAAGTACACGGCATCCCCCAAGGAAGCCACCTACGACTTCAAGGTCGACCGCAAAGTACCAAAGGTTGGTATGATGTTGGTAGGCTGGGGCGGCAACAATGGTTCCACGGTCACCGCTGGAATCCTTGCCAACCGTCGTGGTCTGACTTGGGAAACTCGGGAAGGTCCTCGTGCTGCCAACTACTATGGCTCAGTCATCATGGGCTCAACCATCAAGCTCGGCACGGAAGTCGAGACTGGGGAGGAGATCAACGTCCCTTTCCATGATGTTTTGCCCATGGCTCATCCAAACGACCTTGTCATCGGTGGTTGGGACATTAGCAGCATGAACATCGCTGCATCTATGGATCGTGCTCAAGTTTTGGAACCAACCTTGAAGGCTCAGGTCTACAAGGAAATGGCTTCCATGAAACCCCTGCCAAGTATCTACTACCCCGATTTTATCGCAGCCAACCAGGAAGATCGTGCAGATAATGTCCTACCTGGCAGCAAAGCATGCATGGCTCATGTTGAGCAGATTAGAACTGACATGAAGTATGACACCTTGTATGACCATCACTGTGTAACGCTAATGCTATGACAGAAACTTCAAGACTGAAAACAATCTGGACAAGGTCATTGTTCTTTGGACTGCCAACACCGAACGTTATGCCGACATTATTCCGGGAGTCAACGACACTGCCGACAATTTGTTGAAGGCTATTGAACAGGGTCACGAGGAAGTGTCACCATCGACTGTCTTTTCCGTGGCTTGCATTCTTGACAACGTTCCGTTCATCAACGGTTCGCCTCAAAACACTTTTGTGCCTGGTGCTATCAAACTCGCCGAGAAGTATGGCTCTTTCATTGGTGGTGATGATTTCAAGTCTGGCCAGACTAAGATGAAGTCGGCCTTGGTTGACTTCTTGATCACCGCTGGTATCAAGTTGACCTCCATCGCCAGCTACAACCACCTTGGCAACAATGACGGCAAGAACTTGAGCTCTCAGAAACAATTCCGATCCAAGGAGATTTCCAAGTCGAACGTGGTGGATGATATGGTTGCCGCCAACTCTGTCTTGTACAAGAAGGACGAGCATCCGGATCACACCGTGGTCATCAAGTACATGCCAGCTGTTGGTGACAACAAGCGTGCCTTGGACGAGTACTACGCCGAGATCTTCATGGGTGGTCACCAGACCATCAGCATCTTCAACGTCTGCGAGGACTCGTTGCTCGCATCTCCTCTGATCATTGATCTGGTTCTGGTCGCAGAGATGATGACTCGTATCTCCTGGAAGACGGAGTCTGCCGAGGAGTACAAGGGCTTCCACAGTGTGCTCAGTATTCTCAGCTACATGTTGAAGGTAAGATAAACCTCCCATCATCTAGCCAGTGACTTGGACATCATGGCTAATTTTTGTCCAGGCACCACTCACACCTCCCGGCACTCCCGTTGTCAACGCCCTCGCGAAGCAACGTAGCGCACTAACCAACATCTTCCGTGCTTGCATCGGACTCCAACCCGAGTCAGACATGACTCTGGAGCACAAGTTGTTTTAGCCGCGTCGCAAAGAGGCTAAGGGAGAGACGCTTTCGGCCTTTTTGGCAAAGGCAAAGGAAAATCAGCGGTTGATGTCTTGGTTATACCCTTTCGGCATGTTGTTGGGGGTGGCTAGACTGCTTTTTGACTTTTGCATTGCGAACGGCGAAAGAGTAGTCCTAGCTGGGGCTTGTATACGAGGGAGTGTCCTAGATTGCACAGATTGTTTTTTGTTTTTCGCGTTTGATTTATGACCAACTCTTGTCACTCTTTTGATAGTACAACCTTAGCAACACAGACATATTGCTTTACTATCCATTATTCATTCTGCTAATCCCTGGTAAAGACCCGCCGACCTCAAGCGGAGGTTCTTGCACACGTCTCACACATCTGAGAATTCGCCACTGTTTAACGACTCACCGATCAGATCTACAGGCGGATCTATTGTGGTGAGGCTGACATTTTCGAGAGACTGCTAATTTCTATGGTAGGCATGTAGACATCTAACGGCCTCAGCCTTGGGCCGTAGCCTCGCAGCCTCATGACTGTCAGCCCCGTGACATATCGATCCATACCTCAACACATGACAGCGTTCGTGGCTATGCAACCCACGGCATTGAAGTTTTAACCAACAAATTACCTGGGTTGCTTGTGGAAGAGCAGATGCAGATGAATGGGCTGGAGCAGAGTGCAAGTGCGACAGAAAAAGCAGGTAGATCTCCCAACCAATCGCTGGGTAGACATGCGTTTTAGGTCAATCAACGCAGACATCAATAATCAGTATTACTATATTGTATTAACGTACTGTACTAGGTAGGTCTCCGCCAATACTCCAATTCCCACCAGTCGAGGCTGGCTCTGGGGTTTCAGGATACTCTCCAAGTGTTTCTCTTTTTTTCCTCTTTCAAGACATAAGAAAATTTGCTGGATCAGATCGCACTTCTATGTTATATACACATGCGAGATCCTGATCCTACAGCGACAGCGCGAACAGGAACGGCAGGACCAGCGCGACGAGCGTCAGCCAGTAGCCTCCTATCAAGGGGACTTTGGAGCTAGATGCGGCGCCGGTGAATGTAGATACAGCGGCTGAGCTCGTCATCGTACCGGAGTCTGAGGCAACGGCAGTGGCAGCGGTGGTAGCGGTGGTGCTCGTTCCGTTGGCGTAGAACTCTGCAGGCAAAACAAGAGTCGCGGCGCCGGTGGGTAGAGTGGAACCGTAGATTGTGGTGGTGCTGTTGTTTCCGAGTGGTAGGATGATGGTGATTTGCGGCCATTCGGTCGCGGGGATGGTGGTGAGGGTGTAGCTGTAGCTTGCGGTTGTGGTTGTGCCGTTTGCGGTGGTTGTGTATGACGTTGTTGTTGGTGTCAGGGTCGCTGTTGCTGTTGCTGTTGTCGAGTTGTATGTGGCGGTTGTGGCCGAAGTGATGACCGTGACAGGAGTGTTGGTGGTGGCTTCCGTTGTGACGGATGTCACGGAGCCGTAGGATGTCGATGTCGTGGCGTCACTTGTGGGTGTCACGGTCGTTTCTAGTTCGTATGTTACGCCGGTGTATGTGGCTCCCGCGGAGTTGACGGCTGTTGTGGTGACGGCAGTGGTCACGACGACGGTGGCGTATTGCGCGCAGTAGTCGAGGAACTGCTGGAATTGGGGCGCGATCTGGACGAAGTCGGCCGCGCTGTCGGACTTGTGCACGCTGATACACTCCTCGCACTGGCTGAGAGTTGTCTCGAATGCGGAACCTGGTAGACAGAGCTTGGAGTTTTTGCCGTTGGATTGCGCCTCGACGAGACAGTTGTTACACCAGGGGTAGCAAGCTCCTGGAACGCTGGTCTCGGCTTGTCGAACGGCGAAGGTCGCAGTGGGTAGTTCGTAGATTGTCGATGTCATCGTGAAGACCTCGTTGACTACGAAGATCTCATAGTTCAGACCGAATCCTTGTGGGTCCATGTTGAAGAAGCTGTCGATCGCATCGTATTGGAGAGCTGGGTCGGTCAGCGGCGTGTTGTTGCCATAGATGTCGATGTTCCAGGTGTTGGGGAGGGTTGCGGCTACGACATCGGCGGGGATACATTCGTTCGGTGCGCAGTAGAAGTATGATTCTGGAATGCCGGCTTCGAAGTTACATTCCTCTTGGAGAGGCTTGCAGAGCCAGCCTGGCGGACAACCCCATCTGATTGGATGTTAGAAAGAAGTACAAAGCAAAATGCGACTCAGGATGGCGGATGCGAGTACTTACGTCCAGTCAGTTGGGTATGGTTCGTTCGCCGTGTAGGTCGGGTTGACTGTGCGAGATGGACATAATGTTATGCTCGTAACTTGTTCGGTGGTCAGGAACTCGGAAATGATCTCCGTCGCGGAGAGAGTGGTAGGTGTTGTGGTCGTGGCGGTTATCGTGGTGGGAGTTGTAATGGTGGTAGGTGTCGTGACTGTGTCAAATATCGTTGTAGGTGTTGTAACAGTGTCAGTTATGGTTGTGGGAGTTGTCACTGTCGTGGTCTATTGCTGTCAGTATCTGTCTATCCTCATCTGCTCGCTTCGACTTACCGCGGTCAAGACTGTTGTGGATATGATGGTCTGGAAGATGGTTATCGGGATGGTTGTAGAGGTGATATAAGTGGCGGTGGTGACAGCAGTCGCTGTTGTGGTTTCTGTTTCAGTTATGGGTAGATATTCGGTGACATTGAAAAAGACTGTCGGTGCTGGTGGACAGATCTCGACGATCGTTTCGTTTATGAGAGTACTGGTCGATACGGTCGACGGCACCACGACTATCACGGTGTCTGAGGAGGTCTGAGCATGTGCTGCGGAGGTGGCCAGCGCAATGCCAGCCAACAGTTGGTGCGACGGGCGCATCTTTGGAGCTTGTCTTTTGGATTTTGTATCTGATTTTCTTTCTTACGACGATCTCATGCTGCGACCATGCGTCGTTCAAGGGAATATAGCGAGTGAGTCAACGAGCGTTAGGATGGTAACGAATGATCGAAACGACAGCGCGATGGCAATGCAGCCTCCTCAAAGGTCCCTCTTCTGGTCGACGTCGAGGTTGAAGAGATGTCAAGATGCGAAGGTGTAAACGAAATGCAAGAAAGACTTGCCGTCATGCATTGGTAGCTCTCCTAGGACTGGTCCAAGAAGCGTACGCATACACTCTGACCTTCGGGAACCCGTGCTCTGTGCAGAAGGTGACACGCCACATGGCAATCGGCGCATTTCCTGACATCTCCTCTCTCACCGTTGTGCCAGTTGCAGGCATTCTGGATATGCAGGTCGGTGACGTTCCTGGCTTTGGATTTACCATGCCTTGCCTGTTGCAGATGGTGGCTTGCCAATCATGACAGAATCAGCACCACCAGTACGAGGGAGTACCTGGGATGGGGCCGGTGGCTTTACCAGATCGACTCTAGTGGAGGGACCGATGATGGAATGGCGGAATGGAGGGATGGGAAAGGTCGTTGAGGAGTGGAATAGGTTTCCTGCTGCCATGCCAAGTTCCCAATGGCCTCGGGGGTGGATCGAAGTCTATACCAACCACTCGACAGCGTTCATCGCCGCCCCCGGCTCATCGCTCATCGGCTGGATAAGAAAAACCGGTTTTGTGGTTGCGGGATGGAGCATTAGCGTCAACGACCATGCCAGAGTCAATGCTGAACCTTGTTCACCAGCGCACTACGAGCCGCCAATGTCTCTGCCGGAGTCCTCCTTCGACAACTCACATGTCCCAAAAGCCTCGCTTAGGTGCATTCATGACAATGTTTATGCTGGTTTCAGATTTTCAAAGAGACTTCAGTTGTCGCCGACTGCCCGCCTCTAAGGCCTGAATTGACACTGATCAGCCAGACCGTCTTTGTGCGCTTGTTCCAGGCTTCGCATTCGAGAGGTTGCATCGCTCGATTTCCAGCGGCCACCCTAGGCTAGCGGCAGACAGCCTGGAGCCGGTTCAGTTTTTTGACTTGTTACTCGCTTCTGCCCTTGTTCATTTTGCTATGACGCACCCTTACATTCAGTCAAAGTAACGTTTGCTATCAGGCTCATTTGGGCATTTCAAAGACCCTGAATGTCGACAATGGCTTGACATGACCCCTATGTCCAATGACGGCTCGAGCAGACCACGGAGATGATGCCCTTGAGCGGTGTCCTCGAGTGGCAAATATTGGTTGAACAGGTAGGCATCTGCTCGTCAACTGTTTCATGTTTTCATCTTCTCAGTCTTTGTAAGAGACAACAGTGAGTACTGCACGCAGAAACCGTTCACATTGTGTGGCCATTGTTTGTCGGATCTAGAGACTCGCAATTGACTCCAATGTCGTCGGACTTGCTATAAGACCTTTCGAGTGATGCTTAACAAGTCGTTATGAGGTCATTTTGCAAGAGTATACTACTTGGAGGGGCAGTGTTGGGAACGGTGAATGCGCAATCAACCACAGAGAATTATACGATATGTAACTGGGCCCGATTACGAGCTGGTGTGGTAAGAGATGCGCTCTACCTTGATGGCGGTGAGCTATGGTGGCAGACTGCCTTCGTTGATGGCACGACACCGGTGGTCAGCAGTGATGGGAACGTGGCCGGGGATATGTTTCGACTGAATTTCTCGCAACCCTTCGATACTGCAACAACAAATCTATCTGCTTTGTTCTCGCGAATGCCAAAGGCAGGAGGAGCAGGAAACAACATTGCCCCTAATTATATCGATGGGACTATGTTCGTCAATGACGATGAGCTTTACTTATACGGGTCAGTACATAAATGCCTGCCACTGTTTTGATACTGATATAAATAGTGGCCTTGCTCCTTTGACAGACTCATCATCGCCGCAGAGTGCAGATGCTGTCCTAGGCTACGAAGCTGATCAATATGGTACATATCGATCAAGTTGGACCCCAGGATTCTACCAGGGGACCCTCCCAGACGGTGTGACCAGGTACATCACTAACGGTGCCGGCGTGTCTGCTCCAAGTGAGAACTTGGGCTTCTATTTCAGTGGTATGCGCTCGCCGGATTGGGGACCGATCTACTATGAAGACTCTTCAGCAAATGTGACGGCAAACACACTCATCGAAATCGATATGTCGGTCATGAGGAGCGAGAAGTGGACGAACACTACAATTCCAGATAATATCCCCCTCCGCGCAAATGCCGAACTCGTTTGGATTCCAGTTTCAGGCAGCGGAGTTCTCGTCGCGATAGGAGGCGCCGCCCAACCAGAGGAAATCTGGGCATCGGGATTGAACACGACACAGACCTCAGAAGATGAGTCCCAGGATCCGGGTTTCATGACATCTCTGCCTGTCTACGACATCAATTCGACGACCTGGTATCTGCAAAATACTACCGGCACTGGTCCGGGCGCGCTGACGGAGTTCTGCTCGGTCGTCGCTGCAGCCAACGACTCTTCCTCGTATAACGTGTACATCTATGGCGGATACGATGGTCTCAACGCAGATGATGAGCCGTCCGACGACGTCTGGATCCTTTCAATCCCTTCGTTCACATGGGTCAAGGGTTACAGCGGGACTACTTCCCACGGTCGTTCCGGCCACCGTTGTGTGATGCCTTATCCCGACCAAATGTTTGTGGTAGGCGGTATCCATCAGAACCAGGCGGAGTGCGTCGCTGGAGGTATCATCCAAGTCTTCAACCTGAACACACTCGAGTTCCAGGACACGTATGACCCCAACACCTGGTCCGAGTATAAGGTACCCGATGTTGTCTCGAAGGTCATCGGTGGCACCACTTCTGGTGGTTCTACGCAAACTGCCACCTGGTCCGACAGCGCGCTCAGTGGCATCTTTTCCACAAAATACGCACGAGCAATCACTTCATACTACCCCTACCCATCCGTCAGCTCGACCAACAGCAGTTCATCTTCTTCAAACAGCACTACATCAAGTGGCAGTGGATCCAGCAGTAAAAGTGGCGGTGGTGGAGGTGTCAGCAAAGGCGCCATCATCGGCATCGCCATCGCGGCAGCTCTTATCTTACTACTCATCCTACTCCTACTATTCCTCCTCGTTCGCCGCCGCCGCAGAGTCCGCAGCAGCGCATCCGAGAAATCCAGCGCTTCCAGCAACAGCCGCATCACACGCTGGATCAACGGCGCCTCGTGCGCCCCGACAATGAAACAAACCTCCCCAGCATCCTCCGGCGGCGAGGTCCAACAAGTCAGCCACACTTCAATGGAAGACGACCCAACACCACCCTTGAACGCCAAGCGTCACGAAATGGCCGGCACCGAACGACCCAAGCCACCCTACGAACTTGCCACGCCCTACAACAACGACGGTCAGCCGCGACACTCAGCTGTTCAGGATTACGGGTACTCTGCCGGTTACGGACACACGTACTCCAACACGCAATCCAGCTCGTCGGGCGAAGAGTACCGTCCTTCACCCATGACAAGCTATAACGGCAACGGAAACGGCACTTCTCCGCTACGCACAGTACGTTTTCCGCCAGGCAATAACGCTCACACACCCGCTCAAGAGGTGTCCACACCAAGCGAGCCAAGTACTCAAAGTGAGTACAGCACAACAAGCACCGCCACGAACGAGACCCCGCCCTGGCCACTTACCCCCGCGCAGAACACATGGCGCAACAACCGCGGCCAAAGTCTACGGTTCGGCAACCACGACAGAGAAGGTAGTGAGAGCAGCAGCGTGCAACCGATCATGGAAGAACCGGAAGAACACGCTGGTGCCCGTCACGGAACGACGCACGCTGAGGGCACAGGTGGTCAGCGCTTTTCGTATCAGCACACGAATGAGAGTGCGAGTAGTGGTGTGGGCACATTGCCTTCGCCGGGCGGTGACGGAGAGGACCACAGACAGAGTCTGTATGATCGGATGGTGAGTCCTGTCAGTCCGACCGTCGGACGAAACCAGTGGAGGCAGTGAACAATGAGATCTTCTCGTATGTATTTATAGAAATGATGTTATGGGCGTTATTTACGATCGGCAAGCGAACCCAACGTGGGAATGGAATTGAACTGAAACACAACAGGCCAGGCGAGTTGAATATATGTACATGAGACGCCGAGAAAAAGTCGCTTTTGTGTAATCTCTAGTGACTTCCTCAGGGGCGATGAGGCCCGGAATATATATATATTTCTATCACTACTGTAGTTTTGGTGGTTGAACAGCACATGTTTCCAGTTGACGATCATGTGCGAAATGGGTATTTTAGTCTGGGTTGGAAGTTTCTAATACTTCGAGAAAGCCACCGACGAGGTGTAGACTACCTGTTACTAGTGCGGTGACTTGATCAGGTTGGCCCTTTTCATGGGTTCGGTTGGAACTCGCGAAGTTTCTGACAAGCGCGACGGCTTCCTCGATTGTTCTCACAACGTCGACCTGTGCAGCCGGGTCGATCTGCTTCCACGTCTTGGCCAGGTGATTCTGCACCGAGAGCGATTCAACGTCCGACGCATTCGTGTTGACGGACACGAGGTCAGGGCGGAAGCCAGTCTCTTTGAAAGTGGTGTTCGTGCAGAAGATGGCGTGAGTGAAAGGATGGGGGTCTTTGAGCGCTGTTGATAAGGTGTTGAACAACGCTGTGGCTAAAGAGGCTGCATCGCGGGTTTGTTGATTGAAGATGAGGAATCGTGGTTGCGGGTGTGACGTCTTAGACGGTGTGTCGGTGGTGGTGGTGGTTGTCGTCAATTGCAAGGCAAACCATTGCCCGGCGAGCTCGATGCTCTCTAGAGTATGACCGCCGTCGATACACCACCGAATACCAGCCTCGTATCGTGTATCACAACGTCCTGGCCACTGGACTGTTTCTAGTCCACGCCTGACCCTTTGCTCGAAGTCTGGTACTTCAGTATAGCCCTGTTGTTGGAGCCACTCTTTCGCAATGACCACGGCAAGGCTTGCATTGGTTTTCTGAAACTCCGCTTCGAGCCCAAGTTTGGTCTTTCCGCTCGCGATGTTGGGATCAATATCAACGTATACAAGTGGACTGCCTGTCTGGTTGGAGACACGCTCCAAGACTTGTTTCGCCTCTTCAGGCTGAGTGGTTGGGGTAAAGCACTTGATTCCAGACTTCATGATACCAGCCTTGTGCCACGCGATTTCGCCTATGCTCGAACCTAGGATTGCCACATGATCAATGCCCAGACTTGTGATGCCTGTCACCACTGGGGACTCAAGGACGTTTGTGCTATCATATGCACCACCGACCCCACACTCGATCACAGCAGTGTCGACCTTCTCGCTAAGGTATGCGTGAAAGGCCATGATGTTGAGGAATCTGAAATAGGCTGGCTTCGCTCCTGGGGCTTCAGGGTCTTCACCTGCTGCTTTTGACGCATTTTCAAATCGATCCCATGTCTCGAAGAAGTATCGTGCGAATTGCTCCTCGGAGAGAGGTTGCCCATTTATCTGTATTCTTTCGCGCACAAACCGTAGGTGAGGAGAAGTAAATAGTCCAACTTTTGATAGCGAACGTGGTCCTCCGGTTTCGTTGAAATGCGTCAAGATGGACGAGATAAATGCTGAGACGGAGCCCTTTCCCTTCGTTCCAGCGATGTGTATGGCTTTCAATGCATTGAGGTCTGAGGGCTAGCAGTCGCTGGGTCAGTCGTACGAACTCGTCAAGCGTTTCGCCGCAGGCTCACTTGTCGCATACTTGATATCCAATCTTTCTGAGCCACTCTTTCATTTCTGGAATGGACAGCTCATTCATTTTGCCGCCAGACTTTCGGACGGCGTCAACAATTGCAAAGTTGGATTGCAGCGTATTCAGAGCCGCAACGGCATCCTATGAGGTCGGTTACTTCGCTTCGGGCTCGGGTCGTCTTGTCACTTACTGCGTACGTCCGCTTCATGGCTGCAGACCTTGTCGCAAATGTGCGACTCCGAGGGACTAGGTTTGATGAAGCCCTCAAGGGCCATTTTGGCACCATAAGGTAAACGGCATCATGCCATATGCTTATGAAGAGGTCGTTTGCATGCGGCGATCGATATTTCTCTGAACTTGTCCGAAAATGCGTCGAAGGGCTCGAGATGCGCCGGATAAATGTCATACGGTGAATTCTAAGCTGATTGGACGCATTTCTTCACATGATCTCATGCCGTATGATGCTAATGTCAACATGTATCTTCTAGACATGCAATATGCAGAGTCCTACAGATGAGTTAAAATGGGTCAGTCGCAATCCGCAGAACCCAGCAGGGAAGTGCCGGTTGGTAAGTCGATTCAATCGCTTGACGAGGCTGAATCTGATCGTATCAAGAGCAATTGAGCCACGAATTGGCTCTACGCTTTGCGTCCAAATGTTACTCACACCTGGAGATCGCTCACTACAAAGACAACTTCAAGACCCTAGCCGACCATCAAGAGGATCTCGAGTATTGGAAAGAGGACACCTTATGTCGCTTTCTTGCTTTACCCGAACCCCTCAAGGCTGGGCCAGTCATATACCAGATGTGCACCTATCTAGGAGCATTTCCATTTCCAGCTCTCGCACCATGTATATTGACCAGAGAAGCCATGCTGAAGATCGTGACCATCATGACCGGTAGGTACAAGAAAGTCTTGAAACGAGGCGACCAGGACAAAGCCAAATTGTTATTTCGAAGTCTGGCGGTGTTCGACCGAAAAGCCAGCGTTTCTTTACCCAAGGAGAAACCGGACATGGATGCACTTGTTCGTGATCAATTACCCGATGACATGATGAAGGAACGAGAAGTACAAGAAGGCATGCAGTCTCATGCTTCGGGATTTGCTATCGACGAACCCGCAAACGACGATGAGGACGAGGATGACGATGACCTGGCACTTGCTGCGCTGGACGCACTGGACGCGATCGAAGTCTTCAAGCAAGACCAGCGAACAGATCGCAAGATTCATCACGCCATGATCCCTGCAGACAACCTCAAGAAGCTAATCATGTTTCTACTGCTCATCGCTGGTCTCGAACCATTGACACCACTTGGTAGCTACGGAGACAAAATGGACTCAGAGAAACTGCAGGCGCTGAATGTATCAGCCGATGCCACTGTCGCCGCATTCGACCCCGACGCGCACAACAATGGCGTCCGGTACGCGAACTTCGTCAAAACTGTCGCTACAGCGATCCCTGAGCTTTTCGACCCTCTCAACAACCTCTTCGAACATTTCTTGTTTAGCAAAAACATCAACTTGAACAAACACCGCGACACACCGGAACCCATCATCACCATCGAACCCAAACCCTCACCTATATACCGCAACCCCGAGGACGACAGCTATTCCATATTCACCGACACACTCCTCTCCCAAATGTCCATGTCCCTCAAACTATTCAACCCGTCAGGCTCGTTACTCAACATCTTTGCTTCAGGCGCAAGATTCAATCGCCTCTACTCGTCCTCCTCAGATGGGACATCCCTCAGCTCCTTCTCAAGACAAGTCATGTCCTGGCAATCAGGCACTTTACTGCTCATTTCGGGCAGCCTGAACGATACGCCCGAGCCGAGCAAGACGATAACCCTAGGCGCATACATGCCCGAGAAATGGCACGACCCCAGCTCCGGTTCCGGCTCCAGACCACCACCATCATACGAGGGCCCGAAACCATGCCTCTTCCAGCTTCAACCGCGCCAGGCAGTCTTCGCCGCGAACCCGTACAACCGCACAACCCCGTGGTCCTATTTCTCAAACAAGACGGGTATAGCACTAGGCTGCGTCATCCCCCAGCAATCACGGACGAACGCGGCTCCTCTTGCGCCCGTTCTCGGACCCGTAGGTCTGCTGATCGACAGGGACATGTCGACTGCGACGTTCCAGCACGACGGCCAGGCAGGAACAGGCGCGTTCGTGACCGATCCGGGTCTCGAAACGGCGCAGACGCACCAGCCCACGACCGCGCAGCGGAAGAAAGTCGAGTTCGACATCGATAGTCTCGAGGTCTGGGGGATCAGTTTCCCCGAACAAGGCGCGGGGGAGGATGAACTTACGAAACAGAAGAAGCGTCTTGCTTGGGAAGAGGCTGAGGCTGCGAGACGGCGTGGAGTCAATTTCGGTGGGGATAAGGATGGCGCGAGAGCGCTGCTCGAGATGGCGGGCTTAGTAGGAGACAAGGCTGGGACCAGAAGTGGTGGATCAGTATAGCGAAAAGTGTGAGAACATATTGTCTAAGCATTAAGTATGGTGCTAAACAGATAATCCCGTCCGTCGTCGAAACCGTTTCAGAACGGCCCTTTAAGTGTAATATAATCTCACGATGGCATCGGCGGTACTCGGCTCTGAAATCGTTCAACTTTGACTCATCTGTTGGGTTGGCCTCCTGACGTGTGAGCCGACAGCAACGCTGCCTCTTTCGTTCTCAATTCCCACGACTCCCTGCAAAGCGCCGCCAATGGATCGCCAAAAACAAAATCTCAACCCATATCCAGCTTCCTTCCTGGCCACAGGCTCCGACCATACGCCTGCTAGCTCAAAACGAAAATCGACAAAGCGGAGTGATTAACACTGGCAACCACCAGCTCCTTGCGTTGTGGTTGATTCAGGTCGCAGGTCCACTCCTGGGCGGGGGTTCGATCTCAAGTTGCGGGGCCCGGCTTGATCAAGAGGAAGTTTTTTGGCAATGGCTGTGAAGAGTTCGTGTACGTTGGTCGCTGTCTTGGCCGATGTCTCGAAGAATAGCAGGCCGGCCTCTTTAGCATAGGCTTCCGCGTCGGCGGTCTGAATAGCACGCTTATCGGGATGTTCGTTGACCACATCGACTTTGTTGCCCGCTAGAGCAATGATGATGTTCTCGTTGGCTTGTCTCTGCAGCTCTTTTACCCACGACTTTGCTTTGTCCAGCGATGCCTAGAGACTGCGTCAGCAATGATTCCCGGCTATTGGTGGCCAAAGACGTACGGCCTGTGTGATATCGTAAACAACAACGGCGCAGTTTGCATTCCGGTAGTACATGGGCGCCAGTGATTTGTATCTTTCTTGACCCGCAGTATCCCAGATCTCAAACTTGACCGTCGTGTTCTCATCTAGGGAGATTGTTTGTGTCAAAAAGGCAGCGCCGATCGTGGATTCGCGGTAGTCATCAAATTGGTCTTTGACGAAACGAAGCACTAATGAGCTCTGGAGGAAGTCAGACAAGAGTGCGCTGTCGGACTCGATTGGAATAGTACCTTTCCCACTGCGGATTCACCTAGAAACGAGTCAGCCTCCTTATCAGCATCTCTATGCAGTCCTCAACATACCGAGAAGCACGAGCTTGAATTGGGCAAATCGGCCGCCTGCGCCAGGTCGACCAGCGGGAGCTCTTGCGGCCATATTGGGGTGGGCTCTATCGAAACACTTGTCGTTTCCGCGCTGAAAGGTATATGTGTCGGTGATGGGTGTAGAATGTGGCAAGTACGAGTAGTAGTAGTGTAGCGGGATTGAGGAATGTTTGATGGTGGAATGGTATGCCTGTAAAGTTGTTAGTTGGAGGCTGTTGGGGTGACGGCCCGCCAGCCAAGGATGACGACGCAGGGCAAATCAGGTCCAACCAAAGCAATAATGCGGCTGCGGCTGCATCTCATCTGTACTTGTTGTAGGTCTTGTCTGTCTGCGCAAGCCACCAGCGAATTCCACCGTCGCATTCTCACCCACAGCTACGATCCAAAATGATACTCTAGTGGTGAGACAACGTCTCTCACCAAAGCTCTCAAGCTCCCATAGCCACAGCAATGGCAAACCTTCTACCTTTCCGCGACATCAACGTCCACGCTTCGACAAGCCACTATGCCTTCACCTCACCCTCGACCCCCTCCGCGCCTACTCTCGTAGTGGAACGCCCGTCGGGAGATATCAGACTCAACGATGGAGCCCTTCTAGGTGCCAAACGTGTCTCAAGCATCGCGGGTATACTAGGAATCATCAAGCTCAAGCTGGACAAGTATGTTATTGTCATCACCAAAGCTCAGCCTATGGGCAGGATAAGAGGCCACATGGTGTACAAGGTCGTGGCTACAGAGTTCCTCCCTTTGCGAGAGCGAGCAGTCCACGATCCTGACGAGGACACATACCTTTCCTATGTCAAAAGCCTGATTGCGGCTGGGCCCATGTATTTCTCCTACTCCCACGATGTCACTTCCACCTTTCAACGCCAGTCACAGTCCGATCTCTCACAACCATTGTGGAAACGAGCTGATGACCGATTCTTCTGGAATCGCTTCATTCAGACCGATCTTATCGACTTCAGGACGGGAGGTGGATCTGCAGGCGGACTGAGGGGTCAGCAGCAGCCAGGAGCTGATCCATTCATCTTACCTGTCATGTTTGGTATGTTGGAGATCAAACCAGCCACTATCAAATCGACCAGCTTCACATTTGCTCTGATCACGCGGAGATCCAGATTCCGTGGTGGTACCAGGTACTTTTCTCGGGGTATCGACGAACAAGGTCATGTCTCCAACTTCAACGAGACGGAGCAGATCGTCATCTTGAATGATGTCTCCGGCCAGCCGACGGGATATGCTGGCAGCCAGGGCGTGCAGAAGACTGGGCCACAGTCGGCCGAGACTCAAATCCTAGCGTACGTCCAGACCCGTGGAAGTGTGCCCGTGTACTGGGCCGAAATCAACGACCTACACTATACGCCCAAACTCCAGATTCGTGGCATCGAGTCAGCTGTAGATGCCGCACGCAAGCATTTTGACGAACAGATCAGAATCTATGGCGAAAACTACCTGGTGAATCTAGTCAATACGCGAGGAAGAGAAGAACGTGTGAAGAAGGCCTATGAACAAGTGATTCGAATTCTCGTCAAGTCTCCAGAAGAGTCAGTCAAAGGCGGGCGGGAGACTGATGAGAGGTTCCACGAAATTCGCCCAGATGAGCCAAGCCAGAATATGGACCGATTGCATTATGTGTATTTCGACTTCCACAATGAAACCAAGGGGTTAAAGTGGCACCGTGCCGAACTTCTGCTGGACGAGCTGATGGATGGACTGAGGAAGGGTCAATACTTCCGCGGCGTGGAACTGCCCGGCAATCCGTCGGGTGCCCTTGAGATCCGATCATTGCAGACCGCGGTCGTACGCACCAATTGTATGGACTGTCTCGACCGGACCAACGTCGTGCAAAGCATGCTGGGCAGATGGGCCTTGACCCAGCAACTCCAAGATCTTGGTATCTTGCAACAGGGAGAGAAGGCTAGCGACGATGCTGCACTTGAATTGCTGTTCCGCAATGTGTGGGCGGACAATGCGAACGTCGTGTCCAAGTCGTACTCTGGAACAGGCGCATTGAAAACCGACTTTACACGCACCGGTAAACGGACAAGGGCCGGCATGGCGCAAGACTTCAACAATTCAGCCACTCGATATATACGCAACAATTTCTTGGACGGACCTCGACAGGACGGTTTCGATCTCTTCCTCGGCACGTATCTTCCGTCTACTTACGGTGTCGGGTCGTCCACGACGTTCAAAGACCCGAGGCCGCTCATCCTACAAGCCATTCCCTACATCTTGGCGGCTTCGGTATTCATCATTTTGACGGCCCTTCTTACTCGTCGTCCTCCTGAGGCTGCGGTGTGGCCACTGCGACTTTTCATCGTACTTTGTATGGTGGTTGCCGGGTGGTCTCTTCAGTTCATTTATTCGCATGGTCCGATCTACGTCAACTGGCCCAAGCTGAATACACCTCCATCGGCCACGGAAGCGTTTCATGATACTTTAGCGAGGGCTCAGAAGGACAAGATCATTGGACATCTGATTGCAGCGACTGGTGGAAGGGACCGAAGATCTCGCAATATGAGTTTGGCCAACATGGGCTACATGGAAGAAGGGAAGAAGAGAACAGAATAGAGTATTGTTGGGATGCCGATCGTGACGAACAATGCAATGTATGTAGCATGGCTAGATTAGACCAGCGAATTGAGCAACAATGATTTCGGTCAAAGTTCCCTCCACCGACCAAGCTCGTAGCCACATGTTGCAGTCCATCTCCAATCCCAAATATCTCACACATCCACGAGCTACGGCAGTGATATAAGATACCTAAGTTAGGTACTCAGATCAGGTCTGGGGGTTGAGTGGGATACTAACTTAAGGTCAACCCAACCTGCCTCATCCAGAAATATGACAGACAGCCCGGCAAGACGGAACCGCTAGATTTCCTCCAACAACAACCACCTCCCTTCTCTGACTGCTACTCGTTCTCAGAGCACAATTCTCGCTCTGATTGTCAATTGCATGAGGCATTTATCTTATATCCCACGACCCACCATGCTGCAACCTTCAGCCATCCTCATCAGTGTATCAAGCTGAATCCCGTTGTTGGCTTCAATCGGCACCACTGGTTGACACCCCACGCTCGCTACACCCACTTCAAAGGTACGTGGATTGTGGCACCCGTGTGCACGATTTGCCCTGAAAGATCTCAACTGCTCTCATCTGTCGCCCATGTACTTACGCCCTTACATTACTTGCTTCCCTGACCAGGCTCTTTCATCCGTATCTGTGGATCGACTGGAGTGGGTTCCCTGCGCCGTTCTGGTGTGGTGGACGGGACGAGCATGGCAGTGCTGCTAGACTCTTCAAGTACCTCTTTGTGCTCCCGCACGTGCATTCCTTCACGGTTCCTGGTGTGTATTTGAACCTCTGCGTTCCTGTCCGTACTTGCTTCTCTATTCCCATTTTCGCTACTCGTATTTGTCCTCCTCTACGGTGCTTTCTCTTCCTTCTTTTCGGGGCCGATCACTGCGAGCTCCGCAGCCACAGTCTCGACATCTCCTGCTTGAGGTGCTTACCTGCCTATGGCTCGACCACAAAACAATGTCGACGATGCCATCCATCCTGTGCAGTCTCGTGGCGGAGGTGGAGGGGTCTATACATTGAGGAGCAGGGAAGCCACCGGTGTTGGAAGCCTTCCAGCCAAAAACCGTGGCTTGCGCCCGGAACTTGATGACATCGACGCCGAGGCCAACGAGGCCGACGAGCGAGACATCAAAACAAAGCAGGTATGTGATCTTGACCGAAGATTTGAACAGTATAGTGCTGATGCACGCAAGGGCTTCTCCGGCTGGAAGTTGACTTGGCTTGCCTACCAATCCGTAGGAGTCATTTATGGCGACATCGGCACCAGTCCTCTATACGTGTATTCATCCACTTTCACAGCTGATCCTAGCGACGCTGACCTGCTTGGCGCTTTGTCGCTGATCATTTGGTCTCTCACCATCATGGTTAGCGTCAAATACTGTCTCATTGTCCTGCGGGCGGACGACGAAGGCGAGGGAGGTACATTCGCTCTCTTCTCCCTTCTGTCCCGATACGCCAATATTGTTCGCCGCGATCAACGCGAGGAACAAATGGTCAGAATGAAACGTCACGTCACCTCAGAACTGGGAAAGCCGGCCCGCACGGCACGAGATTTCATGGAGAGATCCCGTGCAATACAATGGTTCCTGAAGGTCGTCGGTATCCTAGGTGTTGCCCTCGTCATGAGTGACGGCGTGCTCACACCGGCTCAGTCAGTCCTAGGTGCAATTCAGGGCATCGAAGTGGTGTCACCTGGAATCAGCAGTGCCACCATCATCGGCTCTTCCTGCGCAATTTTGGTCGCGCTGTTCTTGGTTCAGCCGTTTGGCATCACCAAATTGGCGAGCACCTTCGCTCCTATCGTCATTATCTGGTTACTGTTCAATGCGGTCTTCGGTATCTACAACCTTGCTCGCCACGATGCGTCCGTCCTGAAGGCTTTCTCTCCTTACTTTGCGGGAGCCTACCTTGTGCGAAACAAGCAAGAAGGTTGGAAGAGCCTCGGGGGAATTCTACTTGCGTTCACTGGCTGCGAAGCACTCTTCGCCGACCTCGGAGCCTTTACTCAACGTGCTGTCCAGCTTTCATGGCTGGTCTTTGCCTTTCCTTGCCTTTTGCTTGGCTACATTGGACAAGCTGCCTATATTTCCGATGACCGCAGTGCCTGGACCAATCCGTTCTACAATACGGTTCCTCCAGGGTGCTTTTGGCCATCACTCATCATTGCCATCCTGGCGGCTATCGTTGCGAGTCAAGCTGTAAGTCTTCCTTTGCCGGAGCGTGTGCCGTTAGAGCACAAGTCTCTCGATACAATACCCTGACCATCTGCAGATGATCACGGCATGCTTCCAGCTCCTCACACAAATACAAAAACTATCATACTTCCCACAGATCAAGATTGTGCACACATCGAAGACCTTCCACGGCCAGGTCTATATTCCTTTCGCAAATTGGCTACTTATGATTGGCACTGTCATTGTCACTGGCGTCTACACGAATACTACAAACCTTGGCCATGCGTATGGTGTCTGTGTGATCCTTGTAACATTCATCACGACGAATATGGTGGCCGTGGTGGCCCTGATCGTTTGGCGCGTCCCAGCGATTATCGTGGGGATTGTGTGGCTGATCTTTGCTCTCTGGGACGGTATGTTCCTGTCTGCTGCGTTGACCAAAGTACCTCAGGGCGCCTGGTTCACTCTGGCCCTCGCTATGGTCCTGGCCTGCATTTTCGTCTTGTGGAGATTTGGCAAAGAACAACAGTGGCACTCCGAGGCCTCGGACCGCTTCCCTCCCTCGCACATGCTCCGTACTATTGAAAGTACGAGCGATTTCAGCCGGAAGCTCAAACTCACGCCAGCGTTTGGCGGGCAGGAGATCACCCACATCAATGGCTTTGGGATCTTCTTCGACAAGGCTGGCGCTCCCTCCACGACGCCCACGGTCTTTACGCACTTCCTTCAACGATTCCACGCAGCTCCTGATGTCATTGTCTTTTTCCACCTCAGACCGCTGCATGTACCCACCGTTCCACCCGAAGAACGATACAAGGTGACATGGTGCTACATCGGGAATGAAGGGGACAGCAAACGCCCTATGCCCAATTGCTTCCGTATCATCATCCGTCATGGGTACAATGATGAAATCATCACACAGAACTTGGGCCTCCTTCTCTACGAACAGATTCGAGACTTTGTCATTCGGGACGGCGTGCACGATCAGCCCTTCCATGGCAGCGGTCCAGTCGACCCTGCGAAGAAGGAAACTGTCTTCGGGGAAAGAGTCGTGAAGTCACCGAGGCCTTCGTCCCAGCATTCAGAAATCGCAGAGCGGTTGGCCGAGTTGCAGCTCGCCTATGACAGTCAGGTCGTCTATGTGGTCGGGAAGGAGCAATTGCGCGTCAGGCCTGGAACCAATATTGTCAGAAGAGCTCTGCTGGAAATGTTCTTGTGGATCAGGGAGAACACGAGGTCCAAGGTGCAAGCATTAAACGTGTCGGTGGACAAACTTGTAGAGGTGGGATTCGTGAAAGAAGTGTGAATGGCCTAGTATACTGTCCGACCAAGCTAGAGGGAGTTCTTCGGACCTCTATCTTGACGTGAATGGGTTCGTGGTTCAGCCTTGTTAGCCATCAAGTGATATACGGGGAAGCACAATTGAGCTTAGAGATAGTACTGTGGATCACTTATACTCGGCCTCGATACATCTCCATCTCTTCGTCTCTCCATCATCCATTCCCCATGGTTACCATTTGTGGCAGGCAATCTACACATGCAATGCTGCTCTTGATTGCTGATGATGTCGTCGGTACGGCAAACCCTGCCTGTAAAGGCTAACAAGCCAGGACAGGCATGCGCACATTGCCATGCTCGTAAAATCAAATGCCACATCACGCCCTTTACAGGTGAACCACTCGGGCCTTGTCCCAACTGTCAGAAGCTGGGTATTGAATGCAGGTCTGTTGTTATGTCCCTATTCTTGAACCACTCGCTGACTTAGCAGACCTCATATACGCAAGCGAAAGAGGGACAACGATGTTCCGCAGCAACTCCCTTCCCCCACCGCCCATGGACGCCTAGATGACAACAGTCTCAACATGGCAACCTCTGCAAGTCCTCTCGAGTCTAGCTACCTGGGTCGGTCCGACTATCTTGACGCTCATGTGCCTATCGATGAGGCCCATGCCTCACAATATCAAAAGTCTCCAGACCCACGTACGACTTCTGCGAACCCCGAAACCACGCTTCAAATTCTCGACACTGAATCACTCGTCCCCCGGTCTATGCGTCAAAGCTTGCTCTCCAGCTTCCTGAAGAGATGCTGGCCATGGATGCCGTTGCTCTCACCAGACGCGATTCGCGCGATGTTCGAGTCAAATGCACAGCCCAACTTCTTGATGCTGTCAATTTTGGCCGCTGGGAGCAAGGTTTCCCAAGCTCCGCGCGCCGCAGAGCTCGGCGCTCTCTGCTATCAGCGTGCCAAGTCAGTCTTCTACTCGGGCGTCGAGAATAACACTGTGCATGTCATTGTTGGCACAGTGTTTCTACAGTGGTGGAATCAAACAGGTCCAGAACATATTTCGGTCGACAATAGCAGCTTCTGGCTTCGAATGGGGGTGGCCTTGGCCCACCAGATCGGCCTTCACAGGCAGCCAGACTTCCGCCATCCTCAGTATCAGTTGCGGAGGAAATTGTGGTGGGCACTCGTGGTAGGTCTACATCAATCGCCTCGATATCACGATAATCTCTAACATCGGGCTAGTCTAGAGACAACCAGATTGCCACCAGTCACGGTCGTCCGCGAGCTATCAACCTGCAAGACTCCAGTGTGAGACCGCTGGACAAACGTGACTTCAACTCCTTCGATGAAGACGCTCTCTTGTTTGTCAACTTCGTCCAAATCACCCAAATACTGGGAGACCTGACGCAACATTGCTTGCGAGGCGACCTCACACAACAAAGGCGGATAGAAACGGAGAAGACGCTTTTGTCATGGCTACACAGTCTACCGAAAGTCTTCCACCTTTGCCACCGTGAGACGCACGCTCTGAACCCGTATACCGTGCGGAGTCGACAACTGCATGTTCCTTACTTTGTAATCCTTATTATCCTCTTTCGACAAGGTGCGCCAGACCGCTGTCCATCCGCCATCTCAGTACTCGCGGCCAGTTTCATATCTGGTATCTTTGAAGAGTACCTGGATTGGGGAGACATTGCATTTGTGTCACCGCCCTCCATCTTTTATTTGCTTGTGGCCTCACTGCTTCAAGTGTCGTCTCACCGATTCGCACCTCTGTCATTTGCGGCGGAGAAGGAAACCAGAATTACAGATCAAGCTATTGAGCACCTGAAGAAGCGGTTTCACACGGCTTTTGGCGCTGAGCGCGTCATCCAGTCGACCCGACGATTGGCAAATCCCGAGACGGTATCCAACCAAGCTATCCAACTCCGCGTCGAAGCTGGTCAGGAAGACTTTTTCTCGGTGTTTGGGCCCGATCTGTGCTCTCACTGGAATGTCGTATTGAATCCTACGCCACTTACACGAAGCGCCGATTCACCAGCGGTGAGCATGCCTCCGGTGTCTTCGACGCACGCCGACATCAGGAGCCAAAACAATCTGCTCGGCGCGGACGCCACGTGGGGCAATACTTTTCAGGATCCTCAGCTGCCGATGCAAGATTTTTCGTACCTACCCGATCAAACAGATTGGACATTGCATGTACCTTACGCCAGTTCTAGTCAACTGGACCAATCAAGTCAATGGTGGTGGACGGATCTTGTGCCATGAAAGAGGAGGTCAACGCTCTTCAACTTTCGAGCTAGCAGGTCCACAGCAATGGCCAAGGTCTGAGCAAGCCGGCAGGCAATTTGCAATGACAGACAGAGCAATGCACACTGAGAACCTGTGCCGATGGGCGAAACATGGAGTGGAGAAATCGCCGCTCAAGGCGAGTCGAGCTTCGGCCAGTGCGCAGATATCCGTGTTTCGAGCGGCGATATGTGGATCTCTCGGCGATTCGAACTCGGCCTGCCTCGTGCGCCCAGAGTAGACGACTTGGCGCGTTATGAGAACGACATTTTGCTTTCCCCAGATTAGCGGTTCCATACGGGGCAGGCATAAAGTCCAGGTTCTCCCCGTGGAGGAGCCATTCTTCTCTTTGAACTGTCTCGCTAAGGTCCAACCTCAGACCGGTTCTTTGCGACCCTGTTCACTCCCTTGACTAGACTTGGCCTTGAAAATTCTAGACCGTGTCTTTCTGGTCGCGTCAATCTGACCATGGCCGAGCCAAAAGTTGAGCAACGTCACGTCGAAGCCAGGACGATGAACAGACAGAGCGACGTGAACAGCGATGTCGACATTCAGGCTGTCCGAAAGCAGAGCATCGGGCCCGGACTCGACCCTATCGACGAGGTGAGCGAACCCAATGCTCTTATCCATATTGATCACCCGACTGACTAATGTTTGCAGACCGCCGCGGTCGGCTACAAGGAGTATCGTGAAGCTCTTGACGTCGAGGTCTCACAACGAGATGTACGTATTATCTCGCCCCATCGACGCCATTCGTGCTCATGTCAATCCAGGATCGTCGCATTCGGTGGAAAATTGACCTCATTATCCTACCCATCTTCCTGATCACTCAAATGCTGCAATTCATGGACAAAACTGCGCTCAACTACGCCAACCTCTTTGGGTACCAAAAGGCGCTTGGCCTCAAAGGTCTTGACTTCAATTACTTGTCAGGAATGGTCTATGCTGGCTATTTCTTTGGTCAATACCCCTGCGGTTGGCTGATCGGTCGCTACCCTGCACAGCGTGTGCTGGCCATCTCCTGCTTCATATGGGGTGTGCTGGTCATTCTCCTCACGCAATGCCGCAGCTTCAGCTCTGCGTTGGCCGTCCGATTCATCATGGGCATCTTCGAAGCAGCAGTCACTCCTGGATTGACTTTGATGACTGGTTTCTGGTACAAGCGACGAGAGATCCCCCTTCGACAGTGTATCTGGTACAGTGCACTCGGATTTGGAGGCATTGCTGGCTCGTACATTTCTTTCGGCGTGTCCAAGCTCCCTACGACCTTCACTCCGGAGCGATGGGAATTGATTTTCTACATTCTCGGAGGCGCGACCTGTGTCTGGTCTTTTGTCATATTCTTCATCCTTGCCGACACTCCTAACAATGCTCGCTGGCTCAATGAGCATGATCGCATCATCGCTGTCAAGCGAGTCTCCGCCAATCAAGTCGGTATCAAGAACAAGACCTTCAACAAGAAACAAGCGTTGCTTGCCTTCTATGACCCAAAGGCCATACTCATATTCATCTCGGTCTTTGCTGCAGCCATTCCTAATGGCGTGGTGAACTCCTTCTCGACCATTATCATCAAGGACCTTGGCTTTTCGACTACAAAGACTACCGAATTGAAGTCGGTTGGAGATGCTGTGCAGGTTGTGGCACTGTTCATTGGTGGTGCCATCACACTGAAGGTGCCCAACTCACGACTCTTGACTGCCACCGTTGCCAATGTCTTATGCACGCTTGCCGCAGGACTGATGGCTTTCCTTCCACGCCACCTCACTTGGGGTCGACTGGTTTGTTTCTGGCTCGTCAACTCACAGTCCGTTGGCTTCACCATCTCCCTCGTTACCGTCAACAGCAACATGGCCGGGTACACTCATCGAAGTATGGCCAGTGCTTTGGTCTTCACGGCTTATTGCTGGGGTAATTTCGCTGGACCTTTCGTGGTGAAGCCAAGCCAAGCGCCAAACTATATCGGTGCCACTATCGGTTTACTGGTCGGCTACGCCATCAAGACTGTGTGTCATTTGGCATTACTTGGTAAGTCATTGCTCGCTGCCGAATTAGTGTCATTGACTAAACATGTGTCTGTAGCCTACATGTACTACAGCAACAAGCGGCGCGACAAGCTGTATGGCATCGCGGATAACGCAGCTAGTAACGAGGCAGGTATGCAGGACAAGACTGAGTATGAGAACAAGGATTTTAGATACGTCTTGTAGGCACCGAGGTGCCCATCGCACCGTGGCCCAAGGGTCGTCGAGTCATGTCAACCACTCTCGCGACAAACAAAATGCTCATATACAATGAGAATATATACTATATGAATCTTGAGCTCCAAAACAAGTTGAACACCTTGCACAATAACTCATGCAAGTATCACGCGGTACTGTTCAAAGCGAGGAGCGAAATTCTACAGCAGGCCGGGCAACACTGGAGACCGTGGTCGATGAATGGCATTATGGGTCATAGTCGACCTGCCATCAGGACCCTCTCTTACCTTCCTGGTCTCGACAGCAGGTCATTTTGGCAATCTATTGTAGCCAAGTCAAGCAGTCCAGAACTTCTTTCGGGAACATCGACCATGTGATGCTTCTCTCCACTACTGCCACGAAACTAGTAGTTGGACTACTAGGTAGTGCAACGCGGCGCGGCGATATTTACACTTTTCGCCCTCTTGATGTCTCCAAAATCGCCGTCGACCGGGAATATGGGGACAGGGGTCTTTCAGCCTCATTACTGGAGTGCAACCGCGGCAAGACGAGCGGGGATCGTGCATAATAGCAACAACAGAAGACCCTTTCACCTGAATGTGTTGGAACAGCCAAGTTTAGATCAAAAGTCCAGTCAACAGTGTCGAGCGAATATCAAGGTCAACTATTCCAAGGTCCATCGTCCCAGACATTTTATAAACCATTGACCGTCAACGCACTTGGCATTTCCAACACGCTACTACTCACAAACAACTATGGGCTCAATATCACCACCTCGAGCATTCAACTTTGACGGCGAAGTCGCCATCGTCACTGGCGCCGGATCGCGTCTTCCTGGTTAGTCATCTTCGTCCCCCTTTCCCAGTACCCAAGAGCGAGTCCGTTGCAGAGCATGAACACCTATCATTCCCGTTGTTCCTTCTACTGTACTGCTATCATGTCTCCCTCAAAACACCATCACTGTCCTGCCATTAAGCCTCTCCTGTCACACTCCCCACCACCACCTGCCGTCAAACATCTCACCAGGTTAATCTACAGGAGAAATCGGCAATGGTCGCGCCACAGCCATCTTGCTCGCCAGGCAAGGCGCCAAAGTCGCCCTCCTGGATCTCAACACCGAATGGGCCCAAGAGACCAAACAGATGATCGACTCCGAAGGAGGGGTAAGCGAAGTCATCCAAGTCGACGTCACGAACGAAGACAGCGTAAAAGCCGCCGTCGCCAAAGCCATCGAGATTTTCGGAGCGGTGCACATCCTCGTCAACATCGTCGGCGTGGGCGGTGCTATGGGCGACGCCACGGCTTTAGATCTTACAGCCTGGGACCGCGACATGCGCATCAACGTCACGAGTATGGTCCTCATGGCGCGACACGTCATTCCTGAGATGCGCAAGAACGGCCGCGGCGCGATCGTCAATATGTCCAGTGTGAGTGGTTTACTTGGCGGAAATCCGAGTCTGTTGTATCCTACGACGAAGGGGGCGATCATCCAGATGACCAGGGCGATGGCGGCGCAGCATGGCCCCGAGAATATCAGGGTGAATTGCGTTTGTCCCGGCATGGTGTTCACACCGATGGTCAGGGGGCGCGGTATGACGGAGGAGATGAGGGAGGCGAGGGTGAAGCAGAACCTGTTGAAACAGGAGGGCACAGGTTGGGATGTTGGATATGGTGAGTCAAGCGTTCTGTTAAATTCCTCTCCCCTTTGCGAACCGTGTTCGTTGGGCCCTGGATGCTGGGTGCCGCATAGTGAGTGCTGGTGCTAACAACTCCTTTCAGCGATCTTGTTCCTGTGCAGTAAAGAGGCGAGATGGATCACGGGACTTATCATGCCGGTCGACGCGGGTACTACGGCGGGGAAAGCAGATAGACCGTCGCTCAAGGCGGATTCGTTGGCTGAGCAGATGACTGGGATACCGAATAAAGCTGATGGGGAAACGAATGGGAATGGGCACAAGATATAGGGAGAGTCAGGAAAGGGGTAGAAATGAGATCTGCATCACCACCAACTAATACTGAAAGGGCACGTGTACGCGACACATCGACGATATGAACTGCCTGTCCTCGTTCGTATTTGTCCAATATGCTGGCTGGCTGGCATGAAACTGAGCAGATCGGGTATATATATCGGTCGCGTTCAAATTCACCCAAGAATCAACAATCAGGATTGGATTGTTAGCTCAAGGGTTAGAGCGACCAGGGGAAATGGCAACAAAGTCATACCAGGCCGAGAGGCATGTAGGACAGGAGCCCTAGCCTGCGGGTCGTAGGTTCGAGTCCTACACAGTCCATCACATTTCTTTTTTTTTTGGTTCGTCTTGCTCTTCACAACTCTGTGGTCCTTCACCGCTGTATAACCTTCAAGCTCTCCGCCTAGCAAGATGGATACCGACATTGCCTCGAGAGTTTCTTGGCTACCCGGAAACCGAAGCAGCCTGGACAGTACAACAGCGGCCAGCCTCAGCCAGCCGGGCCTCCACAGAGAGAACACCATACCTGGTCCTGTGCAGGTCACAACGTGTGAGGCTTTGGCCCATTTCTCTCGCCCACATTCAAAGCCACAAGGAACCTGCTGACACAATTGTACGCAGCGACAGTGCCCGTAATCTCGACAACCTCCTGGTCGTTGAACAATTTGTTCAACCTGCCAAACAATTCATCCGACACCTTGACGTCGGAAGTCATGGCATCTGCGTAGTGCGCCACGACGAGTTGCTTCTCTGTCAGACCGTCCGCGTCACTTGTCTGTACAGCAGGAAACGGTGGAGGCAAGTCATCTCTAGCCAAAATGTCCATGCCCTCGTCACTCACGCCACCGGCTTTAGCCAGTGGAGCGTGATGGTGCCATTCGTACCACGCGCCGTTTCGGATGGCGACGCGACAGATTGCGATTTCGCGGATGTCGTCTGGCAGTGTCAACTTGGTGCGAACGGCGCCGATGAAGCTGTTCCAGCCGTCTGCGAAGGCCGGGGAGTGCAAGAGTGTCAGGTCGAGAGGTTGGAGGGGTCGTGGATGTCGTCTCTGACGGACTCTATCGACGACGGCGGCGGCATCGGTGTTGGAGAATTTGTTGGGGTCCGCCGGGTCGACATATGGTAGACGCATGTTGACACTGTGGGATGAATGCTATGGCATCAAGGCGAATGCCGTAGATGAGGTTGGATATTTGTGCTGTTCAAACCACTGGCACGGTGTGATTTGGTAACTGTCCAGGTCCCGATCCACGAAGCCACGCTAGCAGGTTCACTCAGTGCTAACCATATTCTAGCCTCGATCAACCATACCGTTAATGGGTGACAGGCTGGCTCATGTGACATGCAAGTGTACTGACCCCAAAAGCTGCATCGTGCGGCGTCCAGAGCGGTCCGCGGCGTGATATCAATTATCGCCGCGTGGTGAACAGAAAACGCCGCCGCGGACCAAACCTTGAATGGCACGGGCGTTCATCGTGCATTATGGTCACCGCATCCGCTCCGCAATGCCCAGACGATCCAGGATCATAGTGCTTGTAGCCGAGGCCGCACCCCCGCTTTTGGAATCGAAAGGCTTGTTGCTCCAAGATCTCGAGACGCTTGCCTTTGACGTGATGCGAGGGGTTCAACGCAAGATCTGACGACCAAGTCTGGACAACTGGAAGGACGTTAACAATTCCTTCGTTCAAGGTTTCCGTTTCGTGCGCCGCGCCGACCAGATCGATCCCGCTGCGAAAGGCAGCATCATGGCCGACAGTGAAGGCTACATCGCGAAGCCCTCTGCCGATTGCTGCTTGAAGGGTTCCATCCACCAAGGCGAACCGAGAGGGCGTTTCGAGACTGTCCACGGTGTCGAGACATACATTTCGAGTCCTCAGGGCAAGAACAACGGCAACATCCTTCTCTACTTCCCAGACGTATGGGGTTTCTTCCCGAATGGCTTCCTCATCATGGACGGATTCGCCGATGCAGGTTATCTAGTCTTAGGGCTGGACTATTTTCGAGGCGTGAGTCTTCTCAGGATCACGATGATCCAGATCAGTGCTGAAAGGACTGTCAATGCAGGACCCGGTCTGGAAACACCGCAAGAATCGTAACGATCGATCAGAATCAGATTTCGACTACGAAGCCTGGAAGAAGAAGCATATTGCATTCGCCGACGAAACCGTGCCAGGCTGGGTCGAGGCCGTCAAGTCTCAATTTGGCAAGCCTCAGACAAAGTATGCTTGCGTTGGGTGAGTCTCATAGGACCCCCTTTACAGTCCGCGTGTTTCTGACGCCATGTACAAGGTACTGCTTTGGAGCACCGTATGTCTGCAACGAGCTGGCCGGCGAAACGTGTGCAGCAGGCGCATTTGCGCATCCAGCATTTCTGAAAGATCATCATTTCCGTCAGCTGAAAAGTAAGACCCTCGTCGTCTCATCGTCTCTTCTGACCTGTGCCCATAGAGCCGCTGTTTCTGTCCTGCTCGGAAGTTGACCATACATTCGGAGAGGAAGCTCGAAGAGAAGCCCTTACCATCTTACAAGAAGACAAGAAGACGTACAACTTTCAACTCTTTTCCGGTGTCGAACACGGTTTCGCCTTGCGTGGGAACATGGACAATCCTTATGAGCGTACGTTTCCTGATGTGCCAGTCCAATCTAGTAAGAAGATCGCATATGACTGACCAAATTCCAGGCTATGTCAAAGAAGAAAGCCTGCGGAGCATTTCTCAGTGGTTTGACTTTTGGCTGTCGCAGTAGCAAAAAGTTGTTCGCAGTCCATCACACACCAGTACCAAATTGTGCCATAGATTATCGCGAATGGACTTTGTAAGACAAGACCGCTTCTATTGCCAGGCGCGCGCCATGCTACAAGTCAGGAGGGAGCAGTAAAAGGTTCTGGGCGTCAGCCATGATGATCTCGGCTTCTTGCACCTGTTGTGCGATGAACCTTAGGCCTTCCTCCAGTCGGGCACAGCTAACGTGCTGCAAAGCGAGATTGACTTGATCCAGTTTCGTTTGTATAGCACTGAGATCGCCCTTCACTTGTTCTTGACCGATTTGTTCTCTAGCAGTATCCCGACTGGTGAATTTGTAGGTTTTGCTGCTGGGGCCTTGTGCCACGACGCGCTCGAGCGGCAGTGTGTCGCAGGAAAAGTCGTCGTCGTCGCCAACGGAGTCTCGCGTGGAACGTTTGGTGGTGTTATTACTTCTGTCAGGATTGTTTTCCGGGGTTTCGACTGGAGGCAGAGTATTTGTGGTACTGTCTGAGGCTGTAGTGGTGGGTGCGAAGACCGTGGTAATGGTTGAGACTATGGTAACGGGTGTGTTCGTGATAACAGGTGCAACCGTGGTGATGGGTGAGACTGTGGTAAGAGTCGATTCTGTGGTCATGTTTACGACCGTGATAACAGGTGTAAGGGTGGTGATGGGCGTGACTGTGGTAAATGGTGTGACTGTGACGACGGGTGACACAGTGATTATGGGTGAGACAGTGGTAATCGTTGCGACTAGAGTAATTGGTGAGAACGTGGTAATATTAGAAGCCGCGGTACTAGTAGATGGCGTGGTGATGTCTGAGGCTGTAGTACTAGTAGATGCCGTGGTACTGTCTGAGGCTGTACTACTAGTAGATGGCGTGGTACTGTCTGAAGCCGTAGTACTAGCAGATGGCGTGGTGATGTCTGAGGCTGTAGTACTAGTCGACGGCGCGGTGTTGGCGGTAGTCGTGGTGCCATTTCCCTCGGGTGGTATGCCGGGCTCAGTGGTCGACGGCTTCTTATCATGGGTAAAGGGGTTGTTAAGAGGTTTCTTCGGCATAGGCTTGGACACAGCAACGCTGGCCAGGAGTGCCAGAGAAACGAAGATGGAAATCCGCATCTTGAACGAAATGGACTCTGTTGCGCTGAGAGTGGCCGGCGCGTCGTATGCAACCTGGCGAAGAGACTGAAAGGTGAGCTTGTGTTTGCTTGCTATCCTGAGGTGACAAGTGAGAATTTGAGTAGGATTCAAATTTTGGTCACATGAGGAAAAAAACGCTGAGTTATATATTCTCGGCTGTGACCATGTTCTCATCAATTAGGCGGATCGTGTGAACCGCTAAGGGTAAACTTCGAAGGTTATGCCTCATTTTTGGATCGTACCAATTTTTGAACATTGGACCAGCGCAGCCTAGCTGAGGTCAACGAATAGCAACGTGCAACCACTGCATAGCTTTTCATAATTTGGAGGAGCCTGTCAACCTCAAATGCTGAAGGGGCAATTTCGAGTCGGATGTGCCAGCTTTTACGTCCTTACGACGGCAAGGTAACTTTGAGTGATCCAGTGGTGATTCTTGCCTCTCGTAGCCTGGACTCGGCCCTGGAGAGTACTCCTGCTTTGCTGTACGGAGTCATTCGTTGCCTCGTCGATGCTTCTCGCATGTGATGCACGTTCAAAGGCCTCCGATCATGTTCTTCATCTTCCTGCTTTTGACCGTACCTCTAGTTCGATGCCCGAGTCTACTCTCCCTCGTGTGGTGCTGGGTTCACGTCGCAGGCCTATGACTCTTTCGACTGTCGTCCAGAAGTCTGACCTCACTTTCCAAAGACTTGATTTCACGCTTTTTCTGATCCATGATGTCTTCAGTCTCCAAAGTCAACCACGCCCAGTAAGCGATTTGGTAGGTCAGGAAGGCCAGCGTGATGGCTTTGAAAAAAGCTCGACCATGTGTCTTGTAGAAATTGATCGGTTTCTCTGGCTGCGGCTCGGAAGCGTATCGTGGGCCGGTTTGTCTCAGTGGACGAGTCGTGGTAAGAGTTCGGCTCGACCAGACAGGTGCAGTGCCCTGCTTGCTAAAGGGTAGAAGCTTGGGTCGAGCCAAAAGACCCATGGTAGGGCGACCCCGAAGCTTGGGTAAGCGAGATGGCAGCATGCTGTGGACTCGATACTGGCAATCGCAGTACATTTAATATCCAACAACAACCTGAAGTACTAGATACTTGAGGTCTGGCTCCGAGAAAGTCCCGTTTGACTAGTTTGTCTTGTTTGCATGATTATTTGTCCAGTTTGGCTATTTTGCATCATCCACGTGACACGTCTACACGACGTTTGTTTTCCTTCGCGTCGTTACTTTGCTCCCCAACATGTTCTCCTATCACATCTTCGAGCTGCTCGAATGATGCTTTATGTGCCCAGTAATGTTGCAGAACCGCCGCTCATGAAGCTCATCAGCGTGTCATCGGCCTAGTGTGCATTTATCGCCATCTACAAATTGTTCACAACGTCTCCCAAGGTCCGAGTTTCTGCTATCGCCCAACAAGACTTACTCGCCTGCGATGCTACCTCTTGCCCCAGCGCCTGACCAACCTGATCAATGAACTTCTGTTCCAACTGTTCATCCGTCATAGGCGCCTCCAAGCTCCCTATAGCATGCTCGATATGCTTGGTTAATTTCTGCCCGTCTGCAAACTCAGCCACAATCTCCGCCTCGTCCGCTCCCAACTTTTCATCAGCAACTGCATCGATCTTGTCCCTGATCGATGTGACTTGCTGACTCGTCACGACTTCATCTTCATACTGCGCTGGTCCAGCTTTGCCAAATACCAGCCCGACGGCTCCGCCGTGATAGACGCTGAACTTGGCTTGCAAACCGTCCTTCGGCGTCTTTTTACCGGTCAATTCGAGTACGAGTGGATGGACCCTGGTATGGATCTTCGTGATGTCGGAAACTGAAAGCCCCTTTTCTTTGATATCATCATGTAGTTGAATGCACCCGTCTATGATGGGATGCACAACAATTCCACATGGGAAAGGTTTGAATGAGTTCTTTTCGGTCTCCCAAACCTTGCCCAGCGAGTCGATTTGCTCAGTGAGGTTCTGCTTCTCGCTGACAACATTGGCCCAACCCCGCTTCGCTTCCAGAGCTTGTAACGAGCTGGTGTAGCCGTTGGACGCCAGGACCGCCGCCATGAGCCCGTTCTGGGCCGAACGGCCTACGTGGAAACATTTGGTATCCGAGCCGAACATCTCACGTAGTCCGGTCACTTGCGTTGCTGCAATGCCAATAGCGTGAGCCATTTGTTCCTCGGAGAGATTGAGGAGTTTGCCCACGGCGACTGCTGCACCGATGGAACCTGTCGTGCTGGTTATGTGCCTGTGGCGCGTAGTCAGAAGATGGCTTTCAACGATGCAAGCGGTTCAGGCCTGTTCTGAGTGCTTACCATCCGATATCATAGTGCTTCGGCCAGACTGCCAATCCGACCTTACACTCGGCCTCGATGCCAGCTACGAGCGCCAGAAGGAACTCCTGGCCGCTCACTTTGGTGGCCGATGCTTCAGCTTGTGCCAGCAGAGCACTTGCTACGGGTCCGGTAGGGTGAATGATGGTTTCGAGATGTGTATCGTCGTAGTCGTGCACGTGGGACGCGATGCCGTTGATCAGCGCGGCGTGTGATGCGTCTGCTCGGGTCGGTAAGTCGTCGTTGCTGGTTCGACTTGCGCGGCCGAGGATACTCGAAGTGGGAGGTCCGAAGAATGGAGACAGCGCTTTTAGTGCTTTTGTCGTGGTCTGGTGGTTGGAGCCGCCTAACGCGCAGCCTGTCCAGTTGTAGAAGCTTCGTATAGCAGCCTGTTTGACTGGAGGCGGTAGGTCAGCGTATTGAAGTGAGGTCGCCCATGAGGCGAGTTGTCTTGTGGCCATATCTATTGTAGCGTTATGCTTTAAAACAACGTGAATTGTGAAACACGTATGATAGTGCCCAGCTGTTCTGACGCGGATTATCCTTTTGCAGGCACTGAGAGGCGTCCAGCTATCCTCCCTTTCCACACAAGGCTCCCTGGATACTACGGACGCAGGTCACGCAACTGGGTGTAATGAAGGGCCATGTTTACCACCGACATCGCTCCGAGGACTGACTCCTCATTTCGAGATGGCGACCCCACGGAGTTTGAGCGCGGCATCACTGCCGAGCAAGAAGAGCAAGACCCCGCAGAAGCATGGGTAAACACCGGCCAAACCCGCTTTTTGAGGGGAAGGGCACAGAGTGATCTAGGCGTCGTTTTCGGACGGGGAACAAAGCTTTACAATTGTGCAAGTGCAATTGATACCGGTACTTCTATCCCGCGATGCTCCCATGTACAGGCTAATGCAGGGGGCATAAGGCACGAGGCTGAGGACCCCTGATGAAAGCTTAATATGTGACCAGCGACCCAAGACGATCCGGCACTCGTAACCTTGAAGTCATGCAGCGGATTTATGGCTCACTACCCCCGCGTGGCATACATTGAGGAAAGACTTCTTCGCTGGTACCTTTCTCTTGTCCACCTGAGGTTGGTTGACTTGAAGACTTTCTTCTGCCGGCGTATCTTTCTGGGCCCGAGCATGCCCATACCGAAGTCAAAGTCTTGCCGGGCAGAAGCTGCGCCGAACTGAGTCGACCTGTACCCGCCTCCAACGCCCTACGTGCTGTAGAAATGCAGAGTCGCGTCTTAGCAACTGTGTAGGTTCAATTGTGCAGTGCCAAAGATGATCTTTGTCGTAGTACAGGCCCGTACTTGAACATCAAATAGGGAATGCATGCCATGGCGCTTGAGACTAGTGCCAGAATCAAACCCGCATACTGACTACCAACATTGTGGAAGAATTGCGCTGCAAAAAGTGGAGCGACAGCGCCCATGGTGTTCCGAAGAAATGACTGGCCAGCCAGTGCAGAGCCCGCATTGTCCTCTCCATCTTCCTGCTCTCGTAAAAATCGTCCACCCACGGCTATACCCATTGACCGCGACTTCAGACCGGAACGTCTTTTGGAAGAAGACGACAGAGGCCTGCGTCATTTTCGAGTGCGTGCGGGTAGACCAGTACCTTATAAGACTTGGTATTGCAATAGCGGATGGTTCGGCTATAGGTCGCGGAACCCGGCGGTCCGCGTCTCCACAATTTGGCCGCTCCTTTACACCTCGCAGTACTTTTTCAATGCCAGATCTAGATTGGTTGCAAGCAACATTACGCTGTACCCGATGTCAGGTACTTGCGAGGTCGGCTGAGAGAGACTCCATTTTACTCTCTGTTGGACAATGGTGCCAGAGATAGCTATGGACGTGAGCATACTGGTGGCCTTCATGACTTTCATATCATGGTGACAAGGCGAGTGCTTGCCCATCGTTCTTCTATGGTGTAAAGCGCTAGTCCATATACGGTGAAGATTTCGCTGCAGGCTTATCGGGGTCGTTTGGCGGGACCGGTTTGCGCGATTGTAAAATGTTGACATGCATGGTGATGTTTGTTGAGATTATGAGTGATATGAAGCTTGTCAGGTTACTGATTACAGTGAGACCCTCCACTTATACCACTCCATACGACTATCCCTAGCCTAATTGGAAAGGCTGTCATTACACAAATATAACAACAATGTTGACCCAACCTGTTCTGTTTTGGCTGTTGACAACGCCAAAGGTCCAGGAGTTGGAGTCTCGGCAGCGGAAGTAGCGTAATGATCGTGCTCTTGAAGAAGCGGTTGATTTGTATGGTCGGTTTGGCCCAACAAACCACCTTTCAGAAGCTTAACCCAAGTTGTCTCACATATTCCCAGACGATTTCTTGAGACGTTTCCTTGCCTCTTGAACTCCTAGCCTTCGCTTTCTTATACGAATGACTCTTCCCGGGCGCCTCTGGCTTTGTCAGATCTATCACTTCCAAAATCGTCGGGTGAAATGGATGCGCGTGGACCTGTCGGAATATGCGAGTACTGTCCGTCGACTTGAACAGAATACCAGGCTCTGCGGAGGCAAGACCTTTGGTCTTGGGTAGTCCGAAACAGACCAGAAGGTGGAGACCGCCCAAACGCCGCCCACAGAAAGCCGCCTTTTCCTCTCATGTTCCGGGCTGTTGGATTGAGGATTCAAGGGTTCGGCACATTGGCCATGATGTAAGCAATATCATAGGCGTATGTGGCCATCACGGTTGTCTTGACTCGAAAGTAGGTGGCGGTGGTCTCGGAGACAGCGTAGTAGCAGCCTGGTCCAACCGCAAGGTCGTTGATTTGAGGTCAGACCATAGACCGCTCACTACAGATCGCTGAAGGTTCGGGGCAGGCTGCCCACGGCCCCAAGGGCACGTGGTATGCTGTAGGCGAAGTGCAACAATCATTGCAACGAACAATCTCATTTACACGCCCTCTTCTTTGCAAGGGTATGACTGAGTGTCCCTCAATCCTTCTGCGCGGTCTACTTCTGATAATCAACATTGCCTCGGAACATTGAAACCACCGACAAATCCGAGGCAAACCGAAGGTCGACCCCAACGTATCCGCGCTCCAGATAATAAGGCCTACAAGCTCTATTAAAATGGAAATTTGGATCGGCGTGGTCATCAGGGGAATATCTCGGGGGAGCCATCTCAGATAGGTAGGGGATCTATGCCGTGGTTACCAAGGTACCAAGGGTGACAGGTCGTACACACGTTAACCCTATACAAATGCCATATAGATATCATATAAGCTTCCTATAACTTTAGGGAAACTACACCACACTATATCTTCGATCACATACTAGTAGTAGTGCTCTCAGGTATGGTGACTCCAAGAGTATGTTGCTTGGTCCTTCTATCCTCGGGATCGAGTGCGGGAAGGTGTCTCGATGGGCTTTTGCTGGATTACCATATCATATATTTTGCCAGCACGCTCATGTGTTGAAATTGACGAAACTGCAATACGAAGGGCTATGAAAGAGTGTTTGTTGTAGAGGCACAGGCACGAATATAAGTTTGAGTGTGCGCCTCGGCCGACTTTCCCAATACAGGCGGATAACGTGGCTTGCGAAGGTGAATCGTGACACAGACACAGGGACAACTTCATATCTCTCGCCATCCGTATCCCTTTCAACCTGCTCACAGTTTCATGTCAAAACAGCCAATCAATGAAGCGTCCCCACAGTGTCGTGGGCCGCTTAACCTCGTATTCGACCTCGCCTTCTTGAAGGCGGCCGGACCACAGATCGATCGTGGATCTGTGGGCGAAATGCAATGTCAAGGGTCAGGAGTCATCGACACAGGGAGATCAATGCATAGGTAGGGCAACACTAACCCTTGTTCGATGGAAAAGCTTCCAAGCAATAATGGGTACAACAAAGATCGGGATACCAATATATGAGGCGACAAAGGTGGACGCCGACCACCTACCTCGGAGGAACACAGCATAGCCGGTAACCAGGGTGATGATACTGGAGCCTAAGAAACCCACCCATGCGGTATACGGTTGTAGCGGCGACTTCCAAGGAAGGGTGTCTCTGCTGACACCTTGGGCTTTCATCGCGGCGTGAAAGCGAATGTAGGAAAAGCACAGCGTTGCCCATGCAATCAGACCAGAGACCGTGCCGAGACTCTGAAGCCAGGCCCAGGCTTGCGATGCGCCGCCTTTGCCGAGACCTACAGTTTCCGTCGTTAGCCGACTGATACTTGCAGTGCTTGAAAGTTTCAGCAGTGACTTACTCAGATACGCCAATGGACCAAAACACCACACCGTGATGACAGCAACGTATGGCACCCCTTTCTTGGTCACAACGCCAAAGATCTGCGGAAGCTGGCGATCCGTAGTCATGGCCAGGACGGTACGTGAACTGACCCAGCAGTACGAGTTGCCCGCAGACCACGCGGAGATGAGAATGCATGCATTCACAATGGACGGCAACGCGTGGATCCCGGCGTCCTTGATAGCAATGACGAACGGAGAGCTATTTGCGTTTCCCGAACCAGAAACAAGGGCAGGATTCCTCGGGTCCACAATCATACCAATAAGCAGTGCGCCGAGAATATAAAAGAACGCAATACGGTAGGTTACCCTACGGGCAGCCCTGGGGATAGCAGGGTGTGGATTCTCGGCCTCGGCCGCGGCGACGACAACAGTCTCAACACCGATAAAGCTGAACGCAGCGTTGGTGAAAGCTGCCAGAAATCCGAGAAAGTGCCCTATTGGGCCTGTCACGCCGTTGAAGTCGGTCCACGCGCCGGGGTTATTCCAGTACCGGAATCCAATGCTCTGATGATTCGGACCACCTCCGGCCGTGATGACAATCGACGCAATGATCAAGCCGAGGAAACATGCAACCTTGATGCCACCTCCAAAAACTTCGCTGTCGCCATAGAAACGAACATTCATAAGGTTGATAGCGAGGATCAGTGCCAGACCAACAGTGATGACCACGGCAGGAGTCAAGTCGGTCCAGTAAGAGACGACAATTGCTGCAGCGGCGATCTCCTGGCCGATGGCGATACAATAGCAATATCCGTAGGAGATGGCCAGCGAAAAGCCGACAGCCGGGTCGATGAAGCGGGTTGCCCAATGCGGGAATGATCCAGCAACGGGGAATACCACTGCCAACTCAGCGATACTCTGCATAACACACCACAGGACCGAGCCCACGATTATGTATGCCAACAACAAGCCTGCTGGCCCTGCTTTTGCGTACGCCGCGCCAGTGCCAACGAACAGACCAGTGCCGATACCGCCACAGAATCCGATCATGGTGACTTGGTAGTTCCGCAGGCGACGCTGCGTGCCACCGCGGCCGCCGCCACTGAGATGCAACGTCTCGCCAGGCTGAGTTTCAACGCCGCCAATCTTTTCCGCGGGTTCAGGTTGGATAGTTGCCTGATCCGGAGATTTGGCCATCTGCGTCGAATGGCCGATATGCATATTGGTGAGCAGGTAGCCTTAGGAAGACTGTTGTGAGGCTATTTTTCGCCAGAAGTACTGAGGTACCAAAGTCATGGACAACAAGACCTTGTCGGTAGAAAGCATGGTGGGTCTTTATGTTGCAGGCCTCCTATATACCCATGGTTTTGGATGCGACTGAGTGACCATGACAACATCTGCAGCAGGAGAAAGCGGAATGCGTACGTTTTCCGTAGTTCTGTGGGGCGAAGCGTCCTTATCAGTAAGTCAGCGAAGACCATACGTCTATTTGGCGACCTGCGTTCCCTCATCCGTGCTTAGCCTTATCGATATTGACGAGGCATGCTCACACCTATGGACAACTACGGGAGTCACGGCACCGTGGTGGTTCGACCAGGTTGCTGCTTGATCCATCAGATCCATTATTCAAACCTTACACCAATGGCCTGTGACTACTCCATATTGTACGGAATATCGGAGTCTGGTCAACCTCCGAAGTACTCACGACTAAATAAATGCTACCTCTAGTGTGCAGTAAACACCTTTTTCCTTAGCAAAGTCTCATTCACGAATTCAAAGAGTCGCCAACATAACATGGTGAAAGTCTCGCACGACGAAAAGATCCTCGTTGTAGGAGCCGGAGCCTTTGGCCTCTCAACGGCTCTGGCATTGAGACAGCGCGGTTTTACCAATATCACAATCATCGATCGTTATTACCCACCCGTCCGAGACGGCAGCAGCAATGACATCTCGCCCATCATTAGATCTGATTACAACGACCCCTTCTATGCACGGCTAGCGAAAGAAGCCATCGCGCTCTGGAAGTCCGACATATACAGTCCACATTTCCATCAGAGCGGTTTCCTGTTGACTTCGGAAGTGGCAAACGACCCTCATCTAGAAAGACCAAAGATGTCCTGAGAAGCCAGTCGCAGACCTTCCGAGAGTTCAGCAGCACCGAAAAAATCAGGCGTACGATTCCAGGCTTGAAAGATCTTCAGGATCCATTGAATGGATACTTCAACCCAAGCTCCGGTTGGGCCGACGCTGCCGGGGCGATCAAAGCCGTGGCAGATCGTCTCAGTGATCTGGGAGTGTCGTTCATCACAGGCCCGCGAGGAACGATGCACTCCCTAATTATCGATAGCAAATCCCAAGTCACAGGAGTCAATGTTGTTTCTGGAGACCCATTGCGTGCGTCCAAGGTGATCCTTGCGACCGGTGCATGGACCAATCGATATCTGGATCTGGAATACACTATAGTTGGATCAGCACAACCCGTGGGCTTCATTCAGCTCACTCCAGACGAGGCCCAGAGACTTGCCGACAACCCAGTCGCGATCAACATGACTTCAGCCGTATTCTTTTTCCCACCCAGTCCAGACAACATCCTCAAGGTGGCTTACCACGGTCATGGGTTCGAAGTCGAAGACTCAAGTGATGGCAAACAGGGTCGGACAGTTTCAGCACCACAGCGAGATTCCGACAATGCGGCATCCAGCTATCTTCCTGATGATGCCGACAAGTACCTGAGGGCTGGGTTGAGGAAATTTGTCCCCAGTGTTGCTGAAAGGCCGTGGACTCGAGGCCGCTTGTGCTGGTATACAGAAACTCCAACGGGTGACTTTATCGCCGATTACCATCAATCCGTGGCTGGGCTGTTTATAGCCACAGGTGGTTCAGGCCAGTAAGTTGCACTTTGGGCTTCCGTCCCCCTTTCCGATGGATGTTTTGGCTGACGATTTTGTAACAGTGGTTTCAAATTCTTGCCTGTCCTGGGACAGTATATTGCTGATTGCTTTGAGGGTACTGCGTCAGCCGAAGTACAACGAAAATGGCAATTGCCCAGTCCAACCAGGACAAAACAGAAAATCGTCGCAAACGACGGCAGCCGGCGTGGTCCCCCGCGTCGAATGCTTGACGGGTTACAGCAAGCGAAGTTATAGTTGAATGGTCATATTTGACACCCCATCCATCATAGCGAGCGACCACTGGTGTTCATCAAAAGTAAAATTTTCAGAAAAGAAGTCATCTTGGATATACTCGTCCATCTCAAACGTGCCAATTCCTCCACGGGGAAACTCGTTTTCGGTAGAATTGTTCGTCGGGAGATATCTTTCATCTTGATTCTCGACCAAAGGGTGGACGAACTGGATATTCAGACGCATGCTGGCGGCATCGCTCTGGTCGTCGCCATTGTCGGTGGCTGAAAGAGAAGGGTCAACAGGTGCCATCCGGGAGACACTTGAATCGAGAAGAGCCAATAGTATCGAGGGACGAAACGTAACGGTTGTGCTTTCCCCGTTGCCTTCGTTGCGGCTATCATGCACTTTGGCCTGGAGATCCCGGAGGAGCTTTAGCTATTCCAATCAAATCAGCTTTGAGCCGGTGCCTTGTCCAAAGAGGTATTGTGTGGTGACGAGGACTCAGAGAGAAGCAACATACCTTCTGGGCGATATGGGGCCATTTAGCTGACATGCGCGCCAAAAACTGCTCACACTTGCCCAGATCTTCCTTCGCTTTATGTGAGACCGTACTGTCACGGGCAAATTGAAAGAACCAGAGAACTGTAGCTGTCCCTGCAACCATATGCCCTATCAAAGGGTTGGTGAGCTCGAAAGGCAGACTGTCAAAGATACGTAGCAACCTTGCTACCCATCCTGAGTTGTACAGTGCCCTATCCACCGTTTGTTGATAATAAACCCTTGATCCGCGGGCTCGCTCGTCGCCATGCGTGGTGACGAGATGGATGAATGGGTGGTTTAGAATTGATGGAATCGCATGAGCGGCTATCTCCATAATTGCCCAGGGTGCCCAGTACTCTTGATGCTCGAGCAGTTCAAAGGCCGATCGCCCCGGAAGTGCCACATTCCTGAGAAGGTGTCTTGACGTAAATCGCGCTTCACTTTCGTGCATACGAAGACTCAATCGTGAAATGATTGAGTTCGGCAACCAGGGGCTTTCCGCCTTGCCTGATCGTAGTTCGCCAAGGGAAGAACAGACATCTCCCCAGATGGAGATCATTTCAATGCAATGAGCCAGTATGCCAGGGTCTTCGAGGCCTTCATCCAGGTTCGGAGGGCCAACAGTTTGGCTGTTAGAATCTTGGGCGTGAACGGGAGGCGGCCACGGTGCACTGGAAGGATATTTGGGCGCATTGTCACTTTCTCCGGATTCCCCTGGCTGATGAGCGAAGGCTCTTTCCAAAATGAAAATGCTCCAGTAGCATCGAGACTCATGGTCTTCATCCTCGTGTGCATTATCCGGCTCTGGTCGACTCAAGGTCCGGAAAGCTTGTAGCCGGCTGGCTGTACCAACGGTCATCCAGGCTCTTGCTGGCTTGCCCACTTTGTGTCTAAGTCAGCATTCCAATCTAGCCACAATAGGGGTGGTCGGCAACCTATCATATCACTCAAAGCCAGTAGACACAGGGCTTCCAACACTTCCAGCGTAGCTGTACCTTCAGCAGCCAGTCTGGTAACGACTTGGTGACTCATCCCAGAATACCGTTGGCCAGCGTCAGGGTCATGACCCGCCGAAGGCGCTGGTGTTGAAAGGGTCAAGCAGAGAGCGAGAAAACTCCAACGGAGAAAAGGAGGAGACTCTGCAAAACGATTTGACAAACCTTGCAGGTTGAATAGGGGCAACAGTTGAAGGTGCACCTTCGTCCTGTACACATTCACCGCATATTCCAGCACCTCATGAGAGGAATCGGACCTAAAAAAGGAAAGTCAGGACCAAAGTGGCCCTCTAGAGCGCCCGACAATGAGTAAAGGACTCTTACTGTATTTGAGACGTATTTGACGGTCCAATAGAAGGGTTAGGAACCGATCCAGGCCTCTCTTCCACGTTGTTGTTTCCACTACCGGGCGCATTGTCCTGGCATGCATCTTCATGATCAGGCGAGGTGTCAGAAGTCGGCTTGGTGAGCGAGCTGCCAGGTCAGTAAGGGCAGAACTGAATGGGAGCGAAAACGTTCCACCAGGGAAGATCATACTTAAGAATAGCGTAAATGTCACCGATCTGTGACTCAAGGAGCTGGACTCGGTCCTTTGAGGCTTCCTGTTGCATCGCTGTCAAATTGTCCGTGCACGAGGGCCGGCAGCAAAGCTTCGCAGAGCAGTAATACCTTGACACCTTATCAACTCCTGCCGTTTGTTTCGACTGATCTCTGGGAAGGTAGACACATTGTCGGCCAGCCCGTTGGCACAGGGAGCAGACCGGCCTCTCTGCAGTGCATCGTGCTTTCCTTCGGCTGCCTCGAGTTATCAGTCACCAAAGTACCTCGTGGAATGGAGAGGGATCCCCTACCGACACGATTCGCAGGCACGACGGCTTCGTAACTCCTGGTGAATGGGACTTTCTGCCATGTGCAAGGAGGCTAGATTGGCGTGGAGTGAACGGAATTTCTATGATATTCCGATAGGAAACTCCAACGGAAAAGTGTTGCACTGGAGAACATCATATTCCGAAATTCCTGGCGAAAGGGGATAAGCCCGGGGTTATTCATGTACACCGAAGTCCGGTGGAGAGACAGATAGCCTATCGCCTCGACCAATTGAATGTTTGTCCTGTTCTGTTTCTAACATAACGATCTGAAGTCAAGGTGGTGGGGGAATGCTAGCGCTCTTCTCGACGCCGACAGACTCATCACCTACTGGCCCTGGCAAAGAGTGGCAGTTGCCCTGTTTTGTTAATGCATGGCCGAGATGTTTAGATCTTATCTCATATCAAATCTTATCTTATCTTCACATAACCTCAGTCTTGGCATACTCCAAACGTTCAGGAGACGTCGCCTTCGGATAATAAGGGGCTGACAGCAACCCAGGCCGCGGACCGTGTAGACACGGAGTCATCTAAATTCAACATCTGTCAACAACATAATCCTCAAATCTGTCCTTGAACAACTTGTGACTCTTCGCTAGATTTAACTAGACAAGACTTGATCACTCTCACATACACTCATTTGCGACCTCACACCTTACTTTGCAACTTCGAAAGCAAAGCCAGAACATCTCACTACTCAGTCGCCATCAATCAGTAAGATCACTCCCGCGAACAAGCACAGGAACGGCACGCGACTCCCTTACAGCTTGCACGCGACATATCAACATTTACGACTCCCTCGCTCCTGGAAACCATTAATATCTGATTTCGATCGCGTCATCCCCCTAATCAGACAAAATGGTCAGTCACACTCACCACCGAGCTTCGCTCACTCTCTTACAATACTCACAATGGCCAGGCCCAAACACCAACCCAACGCCGCGCCAACGAAAAACACGCCAAATCCGTTGAAAAGCGCATGGGCAAACCCGAAACAGCCTACAAGAAGAAAGAAGTCAAGAAATCCCCAGTCAGCATTGGCATTGTCGGTAAGTCATGCTAAACACCTACCTACCCTAACATCCTCAACGCCGAGCCCCCAACCCATTCGACGGCGGTCCCGTTACTAACATGACTCCCCACAGTCCTCCTGGCCTTCGTGGTCATCGCTCCATTGCTCATCGAGCAATTCAAACTATTGCCTCAGATCTGGGCTTTTCTGATGAACATATTGTCCAAGATCGGTCTTGTATCGAAATGAAAAGTTCCTCTTATCTTGTACTTTAGCACACTAGCGGGGGAAGGCAGGATCACCTTGCAATCAAAAGGCCATGGGATGATCCCACGAATCCTCCCATTCTTCATCAGACCAATTGATCACTACAGTACTCTCAAAAATTTTCATGCTCTTTCAGGTATACTCCTATTGACACTGCAAGGCTGTCTACTCTCCAGCAACCCCTAATAAGGAATCCCATTCGTGATCAACTGAAACTCATCATAAACCTTCGTCGAGACATTCCCGGCACTCTTCTTGATACATCCCAGCATAAACTCCGCCGCCTCCCTCTCCGTCTTATCCAGCACAAACCGGTTCTTGAAATTGTGCATCGTCTCGGGCTTGAAGCACGGCAACCCGGAATCCAGCATCAAACTCACAAGGTGACTCAACTTGTCGCAATAAGGCCTGGAACACAAAAAGGCCTTGATCGTAAGCTCCTCGAACCACCGATAACTTTGTGAGGTGTTGGGATCGTCACCGCCCATCACGGCGATCATTTCGGGAGTGAGCTTGAACGGCGCCCTCTCAAACTTGACACCACCGGGTGCAATATCAAAGCAGAACCCAAAGTCAATGTGCAGGATATGCCCCTTGTCATCGATCATGATGTTGCCGTTGTGCCGGTCCTTGAACTGCAAGAGGTAAGAAATGACGGAGTAGGCGGCCATGCTCTTGACGAATTCACTTCTAGCCTCTTGATACCGGATCGAATGCTCGCCTCCGTACTTGGTCACAAAGTAATCATGCAGACCATTCACCGCTTCACGACCCAGCATGTCGCGACTGATGGAGTTGGGCAACACATCGATCACTCCGCAGCCGGGTGCTGTTGCGGTAACTCGATAGGGAAACACATATACGTCGAGCCCGACCGAGTTGAAAATGCCGCGGAACGCTGCGATCATCTGTAGTGCAAGCACATCCTGACGACAGTCGTCTCCCACTTTGAAGATGGCGCTCTGCCACACTTCGTATGTTCGCCTGTCTCCATCGTCGAGTGCAATGTCGGAAACGTCGCTGGTGCTCTGCCGACTATGACCCTTTCGTGGTATATTCGACGTTCTCATAGCGGTCTCCGGGTTTGGGGTTACCTCATCGTCCTCCTCGTTGGAATCCCTCGTTTTCCGGATCCTGAAAGTGGCCATGTAGGGTGCCTTTGCATGTGACTGTAGCGGCTTTCCAGATTTGCGGTCGATACCGACCACTACTCCATCAGGATTACTAGGGAGGTAGACACCCACTTCCACTTTGATCTTGCGAAGTTCTTCCTCAATCTTGGCCTTCTTTTCCGGCTTGCTCTTCTTGATGAAGGGTTTCAACTTGCCCGAAACATCCGTCACCTCACCGAAAAAGGAAAATTCTCGCTCGTAGAAATCTCTGTCGGGGCCAGAAAAACTCGAGATCAGACTGTTCATGACCTTGTCCAGGAGCGGTTTCATAGGGTCGGGTTCTTGAGAGTCTTCGTCTTTGTATGCATTGGCCTTGATGTTCCAGATGATCTGATGGGCAAACAGTTGCGAAAACTTTCCAGTTTCGATAATGTATCGCTCAACATAACCTAGAGTGTCGTAACGCAGAGCCTGTACAATCTGCGGGACATAGAAGAAGGTCACATCGACAGAATGGCTTTCGAGTGCTCTCATGGCATACTGAAGAACAAATGGATGGTTTCCGAATGCGGGCAGAAAGTAAGTCACCGCTTGCATTGGATTAACGGGTGACCAATAGAGCAAGTATTTCAGTTGAAAGGAGACATCAGAAGGCAACTTCTCTTCGAGCAACAGGTCAATCGCATCTGGCTCGTTCAGTGCTTTTGCGGGGAAATTGACAAGTAAGAATCGTACATCGCGACAAAGTTGCTCGTTGTGAAATCTGGTTAGCATCTGAATTGCCAGAGATGGATTTTCAAGCCAGGCAGTCCGGAAATATGCCACAATTTTCTCATTAGAATAGGCTTGATGACCTGCGTGAGTACGCGGTGACAACCAAACGTTGAGTCGACTGATTTCGTTGTTTAAGAGGGCTTCCAGAAGGTCGTGCTTCTGTTGTGGGTCTTTCCTCGTGGCGGAGGCTGGGAGAATGGGCTGATTGCTGGCTTGCAACATGACCAGCACATCTTGCATGAGTTGGACTTCCGCGTTCAATTGGACGCGGTTGCCACCAAAAGACCAGGCAGGAGGAGTTGCGAACCAATGCAGACCAGTGGAAAGGATGAGATCCTTCAACTTCCATTGAAACAATTTGCTGATGCAAGTGCTGAATTTCAGGACACGCAGAGCGAAATGGACAAGAGAGAATTGTATTTCACGGAGAAGTGGGTGGCTGTTGATCCGAAGGAAGCCGTGAAGAGTGCGGTCAAGCATTCGAATGAATGTTCGTTGAGTGTTGATACTCCCCAATCTGATGGAATTAAAGTGGCTCTGGAAGAACTGTAACAGTCTGAAGTGAGGGGAGATGATGTTGTGAACAGTCAATGCTTGCTTTTGAATGGCGACCTTGTCGGTTGGCGCGAACTCTTCCTTGACGTAGAATGGATCTAGGTGGTGAAACTTGGGACTGAAAATGCCCGCTTTTCGATCGATTGTACTTTCCCAAGCATGGGCGGCCTCGGTCAATATCCGGGGCTCCATTCTCGGATTCTCATGAATGACACCAAGCCAGAGCGAGATGCCCAGCTTGATTGATTCCTTGGTGAAAATACCAAACGGTATGTTGACTAGATGATGCACAATTGCCGTCTGTGATTTCTTGCTCTGGCATAACAGCGCGGCTGCACGACGAAGGACGTCCTTGACCTCAGAAGCCTGAGCATGATGCTTTTGCTCAACACGTCTGTGAAGGTCCAGGAGTGTGTCAAGTAGTACATGGGTAGTGTCAGTTGATGGACGCCCTATCGAGGACCGACGCCCCGTGGAGTCGTCAACATGAAGATGGCCTGTTTGGTAATGTGGAATGCCGGTAAATCGATACTCCTGTCTTGTAGTATACTGAGCCATGAAATCCGAGCCCATATTGATGTTGATCGAGTCAGCTTTTCTATCAAGTGCATTGAGTCTGTGGTCCATTGGAGGTATCATCGAGCCCACTTCGAGGGCAAACGACCTTCCCAAAGATACATGACCATAAGCACCAGTATCGTCGAATTCGGAAAGATATGTCTGAAGGAGGCCTTTGACATCCAGAGGTGCCACGCCCATGACCATGGTCACCCATTTCTTTGCATCGTTGTAGAGCGTGTTCAACGTGCGCTTCCGGAAAGCATAATCGTCTGAGAGTTCGATGGTAACCTTGCCCCTAGTCGAGGTAAGGAAGGGTCGCCATTCGTACTCGTCAACATCAGCGTCAAGACAAGCGGACCACATTAGGGACAACAGTTCCAACAGAGCAAACAAAGCCGTCTTCTGACAAAGAGATGAAGGCGCAAATGATATGATATAATTTGCCATGAATCTCGCCACGTCCTGGATTTTATAGCTTCGATGACAACAGCCACTCAAAATCCTAGCTAGCTGTCGTGACACATATGGCGCGCTGAACTCGACTTCGCTTGAGATAATCACTTTCTGAGTATATCGCTTCACGATCTCGGTCGCGATCGAGCTTAGACAGTGGCCCGTATGGCTGTTCAGCGTAGTTGGGTCTGTGAAGTAATCGAGAATTTCAGCACAGTTGCCGGAAGTAGCGCGTAGACTCTCGACCAGAAACACGGCGTTGAGAAACACCACTTTCTGGTAGCTTAGCTGTCGCACTTCCGATTCACTTTCTGGAATGACCGCAATGAGGTTCTTCTTCTGATCTTGAGTATGTTGTTGACTCATACCCCTGCGAAGTACGGTGTTGAGTTCAACGTCCGATTCGAGGAGCTCGGCACGATCGTCGTCGACAAGTGGCATGGAGTTCATTGCCAATAGGCGAAGTTCGTGATAATATTGTTGGCCAATCCTTGACTGAAGTGTGATCCCATGAACGGCGATATTATACCACACTTCACGGACCATAGCAACAATCTCAGGGTCTTCCGTAACGGTGGCTTCCTGGTTGGGAGCAGATCTTCGCGCAGCCAGGATAGATAGCGGCCTAAGAAGAGGCGCAATCTCCTTAGCGGCCTGTTCAACCTCTGCGGATTGCTTGAACTCTCCTTCAACGACATCTCCTTTGCTCAAAATTCGCTCCAAAAGGTGCATCGCAAAGATCTTGAAGAGGGGTGAGCGGTTATCCATGTTCAGGGCAAGATATTCCTCGGCGTTTCGGACCGCATTGAAGATGATGGGATTTTCCTGAAGAAGAGTCTCATGATGTAAGCGTGAGTAAAGTCTCAACAACGCTCTGAACTCGTTCTCTCTGCCGGAAATGGCAAGTTTCGCTGCTTCTTCGACAACACGAGCATCGACGACGAGGCTGACTCTCCCAACCTTTTGTACCATCATCATCTGCACCAAAGCTATTATCTTGCTGTCCTTGCTTTCCGTGGCTATCACAACTATGGCATGGGCCACGTTGCTGCAAACCAGAGATGTTTCTTCATCACCACTCAGCGAAAGTGAGATCACGCTTCCGGTTCTCAGCTTGGAGGCTGATGATATAGAACCATGGTGTCCATTGACCTCCCCTAGCGTCAGAGGATGATGTGCCTTCTCGGCAGCTGCTTGTGAACTTAGAACGTTCCCAAGCGAGTAGATTGTGGTGATAACGGCATCTTGCGACAACATTTTCAAAATGTGTGACAAGCTCTTCGCGGCGATCGCAACAGCCGCTGGGCTAGACGTCCCTCGCACAATGAAACGCAGGAGAACACGCGCAAAGTTGGACGCTTCTTCCGGCATGAATTTGGCGACTACCGCCACACTTTTCAGAGCGATGTCCGCCAGTTCTGTGTCCGCCATTTGTACGTGGTTTGCAATCGAATCCTCCAGCCACGAAAACAGGTCCTCGGGGTCCGCCAAATCGTCGTCTAACACCATGCAGTGAAGAAAAGCCTCCAAAGAAAATGCTTTGACAGTAAAGGCCAGACGCTGCTGCCATGCTGAACTTAGTTGTAGGTAATCCGAGCCGTCTTCTAGGACACGAATTTGTTCGGTCGTGACGTCCACCAGATACTCGATCATATCAGCGGTTACCAACTCATCTCTGACTCGATTGAAGTGCGTGGTGTCGGCTATGTATTGATCAAGGATGTCTCCAGAACGCACGGTACGCTCATCAGTAAGCATTCTCGCGGTGCTCGCAAGGACAAGTTTCATGAAGCCTTTCTGCAGCATCATTGCTCCGACTGGAACGCCTTGGGCAGCAAAACGTTTCAAGTACTTCCTCCAGTCTCTAGCCATCAGTTCATGTGATGTCGATGTACGTATTGCGGAAGAGGCAGTTTCGACGGCTATCAGAAATTGTTCAGACAAAGACTCTTTCAAAACCCGGATGAGCTCGACTCGTTCATCGGAAGACCAAAAGTCCTCGTAGCTCGCCGCAGCATCCAGGAAGCCGACCAACGATATTGTAACTGCGGCGACTTCTTGGGCATCATAGATATTATCCTGTTCTTCTTCTCCGATGCCCACAGAAGCGAGCGACGCTGCCGATCGGGACCAGTTGTGGAGGTAGGATTTGACGGTTTCGGCCACGGTGCGTTTGAGGGGAGGAAACCGTATGCCCAGCAAGAGAAGAGCTTTAGTGAGCTCGTAAGTGAGAGCTGCCCATGGCGCTGGCTGAATCTCATGGAGGAAAGGTGAAGACGAAAAGTGCTGGCAATAAGCTCTCGGAAGATAGGCTGTCAAGTGCTTGACAAGGCGGTCGGCGTGGGACAAATCGTGCAGGTCGGGAGCGCTTGCGCAGAGAGCGAGCAGAGCGTCGAGTTCATAGGGAGCCATGCTACTCGCGGAGGCCGGCGCAATGGCTCGCTTGACGCCATCGAGGTAGCCATTGCCCTGGTTGGAAGGCTGAGCTATCGAGGAGGTCAATCGACGGAAATCTGACTCCTTTGTTGCGGATCGTTGGGCAGACAAAGTAGCGAGCTTGCAGAACGCTTGCCTGCGCAGGCCTCCATGGCCGCTGGAAATGAAGTTAGTATATTGTCTCTCTCGGAAGGTGATTTGTGCGTACACATCCATCTGGTCCTTGCCAGAGCGCGCTATTTACGCAGCTCTGGTAAGACAAGTTCTCCGTGGCGGTGCGACAGCAGGCATTGGAGAATTGTCCACGATTCTAAACAAAAGTCGGGAGTCCCCTCTAGCTACGATGTTGTCCCCGTCGCTTATTTGGAGGATAGAAACTCGGTTGGAGACGCGTGATGCACGTGGGCGCCGCGCAGTCAACTAACGGCGGGCCGTACAGGTGAGCTTGAAAGACATACTTTTAGTTAAAACAACCGCTTTGTACAGCACCTAACTTACCAGGTAGGTTTCTTGTGTTCAATGTTGTCGCATTCAGTACCGAACAGCTTTCGTCCAGCCTGCGCAGGACAACGGCCGTGTCCCAGGTTCACTGGTACCTGCATCTGACACGATGCAATCAATGATGGCATTCTCACCATGGTCAGCATCGACGGCTGCCGCGAAAAGATTCCCGCCGGACAGGAGTTCCATGATTCTATCCGAGTTGCACTGTCGTAACGTGAACATGACGCCAGAAGGCTAGAAATACTTGTATATTCCCAGCTCCTCCCGACTTACATACACCACTTGCAAGCCAGAGCACTCCTCTCAAGAGTCTCAAGGTCGATGAGTTTCGGGCTCTAAGCCAACTGTTGCAGCAATGTCTCCACGCACGAATGCCTACCTGGAGACTTTCTCGGAATTTACAGTGTTTCTCAATCGTATATTGGCATGGCTCGATTTCGCGGTACATTACACGAGTGGCTATCTCCTGTACCTCTTCTTGCCTTGGACTGAAGCTGCAGTATCATACTCGTGCAAAGAAGCGGTACTCCCCTTCCGTGACCATCACCGGTGCCAGTCAAGGTGAGCGAACCTGCCCGACATTCGTCTGAGTGGACGTCACCTGATGTGATTGCAGGTATTGGCCTTGCCACCACTCGGTACCTCGCCTCAAAGGGCTACAATTTTTTCGCAGCGGTTAAAGAAGAGGTTGGACTACGAAGCTGGCCGAGGACATCACGGACCATGCTCACAAAGATCTCGCGCCATGCATTCATTTCGTCGTTATGAACGTCCTCGAGCAATCAAGTATTGATTTCACCTTGTCCACCATCTCTTCCACCGTCTCCAAGACGCCGATTTCGCCCCTGATTGCTCTCATTAACAACGCAGGCTATTGCATGATTTCACGCATGGAACTTACGCCGCCCAGGGCGTTGCACGACATTTTTGATCTGGACTGCTTCGCATACCTTTCGACCATCAGTGCTTTCCTCCCACTGCTCAAGCAGAGTTCCGGACGGGTCATCAATGTAGTGAGCTATGGCGCCTAAATCAATCCACCAATGTGGGCACCTTATGCTGCCATCAAGGCAGGTCTGGAAGCGATGACCCGTGCATGGTGACTCGAATTAATGCCTTTTGGTGTTGGTATGACCTCTGTTCGACCAAGCTGGACACGTACAGCTGATATTGGTCCCAAGATCAGCTCAGCATGGCGTGGTTACAGCGATCAAATCGACAAAGGCGCGATCGGGGTTAATTCTTTGGGCGAGGTGGCCAAGTCCGAGTACGCTGTAGGACATCGAGAGAAGGAGGTGTACAGTAAGATCATGCACAAATGGTACAACATGACCATGGCCGCCGCCGAGGGTGTTGCGGAGCCTGCTGAAGCTGTTGCTCAGACAATTCACGACGCCCTCAGTGACGTGTTTTTGCAGCCGTACTATCCGGTTGGCTATGATGCCTTGCTTGGGCAGATGGTCAGAGATCTATGCCCCGAGAGCTTGTATGAGCTGAGAATGATCAAGACCTTTTTGTGACACGACTGTTATCGATCAACCGTGGAGGCGATACCATCAGGCTATCGTTCATAGATGGACAGGGCGAGTGTTGCAAGTCGCTGACGGCGAATGAAACATTGCATTCTTTGTGTAGATTGTGGACCACACAGAGGCCTGTCGCCTTCGCAATGGCTATGTTAGACCATTGTCGGCGCTGGGTATGAGTAATAACGAAGTACCTATGTAGGTAAAAACAGAGTCAATGTCGTCAGCCTTGCTGCAAGTGTGCCCCCTGATCCGCATTATGTAAGCTCGGCGTCATTCTATTTCTTCCATGCCTTCCAAAGGTTCCTTTTTGACATCGGCCACTTTCACTACAGGCAGTGGTACCTTGCAGGAGAGTCATACAATGCGGTACTCGGGACTTCAAAGAGAAGTTTTCAAGCTATATCGACAATGTCTACGAGCGGCAAGCAGGAAACCGGAGGTGCGTAAAGCAAGTGGTCTGAGTCTGCAGCTGGACTAATAGAGGTATCAGACATCAAGGCAGCATTTTCGAGAAGCCGCACAGTGAGTAGCCACCCCTCAACAAACGTTGAAGCTCTGAATCTGATGACATCCTAGACGAGAGTTCCGAAGGAATCAAGATGTCGACAAGAAAGATTTTTCCGCCATTGAGGCACTCCTGCGAATGGGCTCACGCAAACTCGAACTCTACTCGTCACCTGGTGTGAGAGACATTCACTGAGCCACGACATCTTTGACACTATTGCACGAGCGCATCGGCCAGAGCCTTTTCAGAGTGCGAGTCGCCTCTATGCTGACAATTTGACTAAATCTTTGCCACGAAAACCTCATCACGTGACTCGACAGAAAGTCATGGCTGCTCACAGAAGCAGTTCGCCACTTCGCGAAGAAACGAGAAATAGGCCGGCCATGCTTGCGTCGCCCAGAAGCATCCAGCATTATCTGGTATTCCTGCTTGCTCAGCGGCTTGATCCTCCCACTATCTTCCATCAGGCGACATGTTGGGCTATAAAGTCTTGGTCGACGCAACCCTCTCCTGCCCTCAGACAGAAATCCAGAACAAGTCTTATGCACTCCACCAAAGTCCTCATTCCTCAAGCATCAAGAACCATTATCAGACAAGCGCCTCTCAACAAGAGAAAGATGTCTTTCCTCTTCCCCAGAATTGCTTTCACTCCAGCCCGCTGCGGCCCAGCCCGGCACGATCTTGCACCACTATTCAGTCTCTTTGATGACACCATCAATGAGCTTCAAAGAGCCACTCAACAACCCCGGAGGCAGTTCACTCCTCGCTTCGATCTGAAGGAGACCAAGGATGCTTACTCGCTAGAGGGTGAGCTCCCAGGTGTCGAGCAACAAAATCTCAACATTGAGTTCACCGATGAGCACACTTTGAGGATCAAGGGCCGGACCGAACGTCACACCGAGTCTGGCCAACGCCCTCAAGCCGCCGTCGAAAGCGAGAAGAAGGCTGCCATCGAAGAGGCTCAATCTTCAGAAACCAGCAGTGTCAAGTCACATCAACCTACCGTTGAGGATGAGGAACCAGTACTCGTCGACTCGTCTGCTGCCTCAGAGGAGAACTCCGAAGTCGTCGCACCTAAACCTGCGCCTGTGGCAGAACAGCCCAAGACGGAACCTGCACAGCCCGAACAACAGTACTGGGTATCTGAACGCTCGGTTGGAGAATTCACCCGCAGCTTCAACTTCCCAGCCCGCGTCAACCAGGATGCAGTTCGTGCCTCTCTGAAGAATGGAATCCTCAGCATTTTGGTACCAAAGGCCCAGGCTCCTGCTAGCCGACGCATCAACATCGAGTAAAAGAATGGCTGGCAATGTACTTCTATCTTTGTACAACATCTGCATGGCATAGCATGGAATAATGGACCTATCAACATAACGAATGGCATAGCTTGGCGTTAGCAACGGGCTTGTACAGACATACTACTAAACCAAGGTTTGGGAGGTGTTATTTCTGGGAACTCGGCTCCATCGGTACATCAACAGCATCTACTAGGTTAATAATATAATACCACAGTTGGTGCTCATAAACATGTTCATACATTGTAGTCTCTTTCTCCATTTCTCTACGATGATGTTGTCCTGTGTCTCGATCATCTTGACCTTACCACGCACATGCTCAATGTCTCTTGGAAACCTGATGGCTGGTATCTGCACGCCTGCAGGACAGTGCAGCCACGCAGTGCACGGTATCGGTGTGGGCACCAAATTTGGGCCCGATCATCGTCATCTGCTGCAGGAATACGGAGTATACGTAATTGTAGCCTCTTTGCTAACCAACAAGTGTCCGCAGTGCCGCCCCGATTCTGACATGTCGCCATCGCCCACCGCTACTTTTGCTCGTTATGCTTCTGCCTTGTGGAAGATCTGTCCGTGTGGTAGGGTCGGACAAAGTTAGGTGTTTGACAGGTGCAGCGCAGGTTGGTGCCGGATCTTTCTGACGGAAATGTCAAAGATACCAGTATCTATGACTCTTGCTCGAGCCATCTTTTGTCCCAACTGCGCCATTTGTGGCTGCCTTACTTTCAGTGATCATCGGATAGCCACACCTCGAACCTGATTCTGCAACAATGGAGGAGATCAGAGACGAGAGTTTGCGGGATTGAAGGAGGTCCGTCTCTGTATCGTGTTGCTTGATTGGACCCGCTAAGGCTGGCGAGACAACTCCGCAAGCCACGGCACAGTACAAGTGTGGCGCAAGGAGGGAAGATGAGGTCGCTTGTGCTTGATCGGGGGTTAGCGGTGGCTGATGATGAGCTCTAGGCTGGCCAGAAATTGAAAAATCTGGGTTTAGGGGCGCAGTCTCGCTTGTTCTTGACCCTGGTCGGCGTCTGGGGCTTTTTTTTGGGCCTTGCTTGGTGGGTGCTGGGCTACCGCCATATTTATCTCACAGGCAAGAGCCAATCATCTGGTTGGCTTCCAACGAGCAGGGGCCTCATGCGAGACAATGCATTGACCTCCATCGATCCTCTTCCTGCCGCCTCGAACTCTCTTTACCAACTTTACCATACGTCTGGGGAGGAGCAATATTGAGAGAAGGTGGTGGTGATTCTGCTTTTGGATCGTCTGAATTGCTCTTCTTTGCTTTATTCGAATGTCCGCTCGCTCGTTTCGTTTGGTCGACTTATGACCACAATAACAGCCCTTCGTTTCTGAAACTCGACTCACTTCCGGTTCCCTGATTGCCACGGGACCTGTCACGGGCGAGAGCATTGACCTCTGCCGCACCTGTCATTCTATTGCTGCTGCTGACCGACCTCTCTCGACTGTGGAAGCCGTATCCTCTACATACACTTTACGTCTGCCTCGTCGCATGAGCACGACTCCATAATTGTCTTACCACTCGACATTGTGAGCACGCACCTTCGACATACGTATGCGCTCCGCCAGATGATGCCGAGCATCTAGACGGCACCAAGAGATGGTTATAGAGACTTGATCGTACCTCGTGCATGGGAAGCTAGAACTTGGTTTCCAAAGACACATTATCTCGCTACTCCACTAAGCAGCCTGACTGGCTTCTACGTTATGCGGTTCACACGGCAAAAGTCAGACGTTGCGACGGACGTTATTCAAGATGAACCCGAGGCACGTCGGAGAAATCGTCTGTCGAAACCTCTCACAAGCAAGATAACAACGAGCATATCCACCACCAATCTTCCAGAGCCGATTCTTCGAAGCAAGAACGTCAATACAGTCGAGTTGGCCACGGCTGGTCCACTCTCTAGCCATCCCAGCAATGCAGCTTTACGGCAACATGTTCGGACGGAGGTCTTTGACTCGGATCAGGACTCGCCGAGCAAGTCACTGCGGTCGGAGTCCAGCTGGGGTGTCGCCTACATGGTCAGCCAGATCGACAAGAACACTGTTCAAGACTCAGATGGTCCGCAAGAGCAGCCTCCGGTGTCGCCTCTGAAGCCGAAGAAAAGGAAATCCATCATCCTCCGGCGTTTGTCTTCACGGCGTTCGACGTTGACTCGATCGGCCAGCAACAGCAGGCTAGGCTCGTTGAAAGACGATGCAGCATCAGCCTCAACTCCATCTTCCTCCATTGATCGTATCGTGGACGCTCCGTCGATTCCTCCTACTCGTCGAGCATCCTTCACCCCTGGGACCGCCACGAGAAAGCCATCTCGAGTATATGCGGAAGAGGACATCACAGAAGAGGCCATGGTGGAGGAGAAACAAATACAAAACACCGTGGATGTGGATTACTTCGATTGGCAGCCTCCTCGACCTCCGGCAATGGTCGGGAGGGTTGGGACACCTGCGGACCTGGAATACTCGCATCTGGGAGGCTTTAGGCACGGTTCGTTGCAGGTCGTCAACGGACGGGCCTCCCCTGCTTTCAGCGAGATGTCAAAGTCTTCGAAACAACTTTTGTCCATACCCAAACCCCAAAGGACTATTTCAAGCAATTATGGCGATGTTGACGACTTTGACCACGCGATTCCCTCGCCCGAGATGTCATCCCTGCCCGGCACCCCGAACATGCACAGCGAACGACGGAATCTCGACTGGGAGAGCAGTAATGAACAGTCCCCGCGGGCACACCCGCTTCAGAACATGGTGTCCCCAGGGTCCGACTGGGACGTTGATGGTGATCAGGACGCGGCATCGGTGATCGCACAGGAGTACATGGCAGAACTCCCACCAAGTCCGTTCTCCGAGCGAAGATCTAGCTCGTTGCCTGGATCTGTCAGAAGAAGTAGGTCGGATGGTGTGCTGCGACACTCCTCGTCGATATCGTCATTGGAAGAATCCGCATCTCGTCAGGCCTATCTAGGAACCGACTCCCCTGTGGATGTACGGCGAAGATCGCCATCTCCTACTGGTTCCGTGGTCTGGAGATCGAGAGACCGGGATGGTGGTGACCGAGGCCGTGGGATGTCACGTACTGGATTCCAGGATGAGAATGTTCAACCTCGCGAGGACAGGAGGAGTTGGTATTCGTCAACCGCATCCCAGGTCGAGGGTTCCCAGTCAGGGCACGAGTTCCCAGTCCAAATGTCTCCTCCACGACTTCAGCCACCTCGAGCCCCTCAAAAGTCTGATAGTGGCTACAGCTCGAGTAATTCATTGCGTTCAGTGGAAATGGCAAAGAGAATATTCCCTGCGAAGAAGCAAGCTCTACAGAACGCATCTGCATCGGCACTGAATATTCTACCACAACAGACTGACCAAGGATCTCATCAACTCGCGCATAGACCATCGTTTCTGAAGTCGCGAAAGACCTCACCTAATCTACGCACTCTTGCGAACCTCGACTCAGCCGCATTGTCGACGACTACCCTACCTGCAGTTCTTCCATCGGATACCAACTCTACAAAGTCGCCTAAGGTCCGCAAACGATTGCAGAAAAAACGTCCCCAAAGCCAGCCTCCTGGAAAGGTGGCTGTCAGTGGCACTCATTTCTTGGATGAAGAGACTGTTCCACAGATCCCCATCGAAGTACGAGAAAACCTTCGCGTTCGTGCACTGGAGGTGCCTGAGCTCAAGCAAACATATCAATCGCATCACCAACTTACCAATCAACCGAGTATCTCGAGCATGGACTTGCTCAAGGTCGACATAAGATTCCCTTCGCCTACGCCAGAGCCGACATCATCGGCAAAGAGATCACGAAGCTTTAGTCGTCCACGATCATGGATTGGTCGACCCAGAGAAGAGAGGAGAGATTCGAAGCGCGACTCCGGGATTAGTCAGATCGATGCCATGGGTATCATTAACGATTTCGGGACTGTTGCCTCCTCACTTGGTGGCAGTCCTTATGACCTGGCCCATGCAAACATGGTCTCTGAAAACACGATGAACCCATATAACATTTCTACCGTCGCCCCTCGTCCAAGATACATGATGGATGACAGAGCCGCTGCGGAACTTTCCAGAATCCGAAGCAGGGCTGTCCAAGAACGTGATGGTGCGAGGGCAAACCGGAGGTCATCGTTCAATGACCGAGGGGGCATTCCGGGGAGGACGTTGAGACCAACAAGTTTCGCCAGTGATGCTCCTCCCATCACCCCTGACATGCTTCAGAAGGCGTATCGGACATCATCGGAGCAGAGACAGTGGTCAATGAGTCATGTCTCGGCACCACCTCCACCAGTGCACTCACCAAGGCCATCATATGTTGACTATGATGAAGATACTTCCCAGATGGCTGTTGCCCCTCCACCACCCTCGCACTCCCCTCGGCCTGTTGATGTGTCGCCAGATCCATGGGCTGGACAAGCCGCAACTTGGAGAGCTCGGAGGCAGTCTATTGGTGCTGCATTGAGAGACCAACCCCAAAACTGTAGTGGAGACAAGGACTACAATGGTACTCACCACGAGCAAGAAGAACCGATCTATCCAGAGATCCCGCCACGTCAGTACCAACATCGAAGAACGCAAACGATGGAAGCCCGCGGATATGCCGATCACACTCCCCCGCGCGGAGACTTCGAGTCGTATGGGCGACCTCATGCAGATGATGTGCATCATGGCGCGTACCAACACCTAAATGAGCACGATACAGCATATGTGCGGCAAACTCGGCGGAACTCGGTGATGCAGAACTATGAGCAGTTCTATAGTCATCCTCAATGGAACCATAGGCCAATGCGTGGCCCACCACTACCACTTAGCCCTGCACAGTACATTAATAGGCCTCCCCATCCATACTCGAACGCGGCTAGTGCGCGCAGTCAATCTTCACTTGCGGAAGAACTACAGCCTGATCAAGAAAGGCCACATCCGCCGCCGCAATTTGGTCGGTACTCAGGCGGACTGAGCTTCGACTATGAACCTGGGAAAGGCTTCGGAGGATCGACAGGGACAAGGTCATTCAGTGGAATGGCTGAGGCAACGCGACGGGAGGTGCCTCTAAGGGCCAGTTTCGGCGTTGATTTGGGCGATGTTCCAGTTCTGCCACACAGTGCCAGTTGGGGACGAGGATATTAGCTGGAAAGGGAGAATACATCGTGGTCGACAAAGGTCATCGTCAACGCTTGTACAGTACATTGAATGAGGGAAAGAGTGCTGGCTTTTGGATGGAAAGAACGATCATGGCGCCAGACCTATAATTTGCACAAAGGCAGAGGTGTATCACCGACATACTGCAAGGAAGGTTCAGTTGCAGAAGATTGCAGCGTTTTAGCGATCAAGTGCATTTGTTTATATTCTCCAGCTTGGACATTGTGACAGTCAGCCTCAATCGACTTGAGTGGAGAGGATTAATTTCTAGGATAGACTGGGTGGTGAACTTGTATATCATTCAACCCGATATGAATCATTTGATAGAACACAAATCCACAGTCTCAAGTCACGCTTCATTTAGCCACGCCCTCCTGATGGATATGTAAAAAATTAGGACACATCTAGATCTCAGATCTATTATATCTTCAATACCGAATATCCCCAGCAGTAGAAAAACTTGATAAGTACCCAAGAATTATAACATTTTGTGTACAAAGAGACCTCTATATAGCCATTGCGATTGCGATTGCAATTGCGACCGCTTTACTCAATGAGATAGAGGATTTTGCCCAGACCCTTGCGCACCTTGGCAGGTTGCTCAGCATCAAGGACCTCCTGAAGACCAGTCTGCATGTCGATCTCGGCCGGGTCCCAAGCCCACTTGTCATTCCAAAAATAGATGCGGTGGCCAAAGTACATGATGAAGAAGATGGGGATGCCGATGTAATCGGTGAAGAAGGAGGCGACGGACCACTCGCTGGGGAAGAAGACGGTGAAACCGTTGATCAGACACAAGAGCGTGAACATGATCATGGCGATCCACGCGCCATAAGGCTGGATCCACGAACTGTACGGCGTCGGGATGCCCTGGACTTTGCACGCCTTGCGGAAGCGCAGGTAGATGATCATACAGCAGACCCAGGAGGTCATGCCCCATGTGTTTGTCAGGTTGACGAACCAATTGAACACGGTGGATCCCGAAGACGCGACGTTGAGGTATGCCAGACCGCAGAAAAGTGAGCTCGCGGCGACCGCGACGTACGGCACACCCCAGCGGTTGCAGGTCTTGAAGATACGTGGCGCGGAACCCTGGACGGCCAGAGAGTAGAGGGCGCGCGAGGAGATGTACAGGAAGGAATTGCCAGAGGACCATGCGCTGATCAAGATGACGGCGTTGACGATGCTGGGGAGAGTGCTGATTCCGGCATTGGCAATGGCCACGACGTAGGGGGATGCTTTGGCACCGGCGCCACCAGCAGTCAAAGCCTCGGCGTTGCTGGGGCATGTCACGCCAATGGCCAAAACTCCCAGGCAGTAGAAGATGACGAGACGGTAGAAGTAGCGGCGGGAAGCGATCGGGAGGTTGCGTCGAGGAGACTCCATTTCACCGCCGGTAACGACAAGCAACTCGGGCGCGAATGTGAATGGGAAGACGGACAGGACGAGAGTTTCCCAGAAAGACACGAATCGTCCGGTGTTGCCCTTTACGATGAACGCGTTCGCTGCGCCGGGGTTGTTCCAATACCGGAAACCGAGACGGTCGCCGGACGGACCACCGCCCCAGAAGAGGATAAAGCTGAGAAGCAATAGACCGATCATGAGGATGACTTTGGTGCCGGCGAACCAGAACTCGGTTTCACCGTAGAAGCGTACGGGCAGGAAATTGAGGGCGATGATGACGACGAGCATAATGGTGATCCAGACTGCGATGTTGACGTCGTTGGGCCAGTAGCTGATGACCAGACCGGCGGCCGTGACTTCGTAGGGAACCAAAATGCCAAGGGCGTACCAGTAGAGATAACCGAGGGCGAAACCCATGGACCTGGAGACGTAGCGGTAGCCGTAGTATGACATTGTGCCACCGTGGACGGGGAGGTAGGCTGCGACTTCGGTCACGGCAGTGACGACCATGTAGACTAGGGCGGTCATGATGAGGTAAGAGGCCAGAATGAAGGCTGGGCCGCCGACATGCAACGTGTAGCCGGATCCGACGAAGAGACCTGTACCAATGGTACCGCCGAGGGCGATCATCTGGGCATGTCGGGATTTGAGACCACGTTTGGTGATGCGGTAGCGCTCGTCGAGGAGATCGGCGGCGATGACGGACTCGTCTAGCGAGCCTTTGCGGACTGAGTGCTTGCGGTCATGGCCGCGGCCTGCGTCGATGGAGTGGCTGTGGCCGACGATTTCATCGCCATTTCCACTTCGGTCGATACCAGTACCCTTTTCAGGGTCGCTGTAGCCTCCATTTCCGCTGCTTCCATGGACGCCCTTTTCAGGATCGCTGTAGCCTGTGGTGACGGCGTCGTATGTGTTTGCCATGGTGGGCGAAGATCAGCTCAAGGAAAGGAGTGTATGAGCTGTTAGAAGATAGAAGATTCCCGTAAGGTGTTCCTCAAGGAGGTTGTATTGATGTATTGCTGGCCCTCACTAAGACGAGGAGACCAGATTGAAGTGAGTGAAGAGAGAAGAACGAGGCTCGGACTTCGTTAAGACAGAAAGAGGGTCCTGGCGAGATATTTAACCCCTGCCTGCCAGATGCTGGAGTCGCGATCTGGATTGACTGCACTGTGCAGTAGCTCGATGGCGAGCTGAGCGCCGTGCGTGCGGCCATGATGCGAGCTGACAAGGCCAGAATGGATATTGGAGCCTTCGAGGCTAGTGTGGTTACGGGGACCAGACCCATGGCAGGTAACGTAGTACTCCGTCTTGGGTGCTACTACTGTATAGGAAATGTATGGGATGTGTATGGTTGCTGATAAGGGAACTTCTGGATGGATCTGCTTGGCCCGTTGTAGTCCTTCTTGGCTGGGCCTATGAATCCACTTGGGGGGTCTCCTTATCATACATGATCTTGGATGTGACTGGATATGTTAACGGGATGGATTTCCCCTACCGAGATATTGTTCCACGAATCCACGATAAGCCTCGCTCAGACCTTCTGTGACTAAACAGTATTTGGATACTCGAAATCACTGCGGCCGCAATGTGGCGTGCTTCCAGATCGACAATCTCATTGAGCCGCCCCAGCTCTCAGCCTTTCTGGATCTTTGCTACAAGATGAGTTAGGCACTTGTCATTAATTGTCTTGGCCAGCACTGCACTGCACTGGCGTCGTCATCAACGTGAGAGTCCTGAGATGGTCATTGTCGCCTGATATTGCTTCAAATTCATCTTCATCTTTGATGACCTTGGTCAATGAGAAACCTGGATTCGGTAGACACCCGAAACTCACGACTGATTCTAGGAACGGAGCTTCATCCTTGCTAGTTGCTGAACTATGCTGCACTCACCCATGAACTTGGTTAAAGCGAGGAGATGAGCTACTTGCGGGATGCCCGGACACGTGCGGAAGATGCTGCCTGAGTGCTCATCTCCGACACAGCGGCAAGAACGGTGGCGAGACTTCATCTTGCAGTAGCCAGGAACTGCCGGCAGACGCAGTAACTTTAGCGTGTCAAACTGATCCAAGGGAGCGGGCAGAGCAGACTACAAACTCAACCATCGGTCAGGCAAGCGACGCGACGAGGTGTTGGGAACAGCAATCCGGAATGTATTTCGAGGACTTCCTCGCTGAATCTGGCGATCAAGCATGAAACTAGCATCTACTAGCAGTATAGGCCACACACCATCCGCCCGCTTCAGGACGGCCCGTCGCAGGATATCCCAAAACTTTCCCAGGTTGATGACGAGGAAGCGCACTTTCCCGACTACCTGAGATGGTCGTTGCATCTGGTTTCCGATCTACGTCTTTCTCAGAGTGGGATGAGGCGAACGGCATGTTGTCGATGAAGCGGCTCAAAGGCCATGGAGATCTGTCTCGACCACTTTCACGGGAGACATCTCAAAGCATCGACTCCACGCAGCCATTGATCTTTTTCATCGTGGGCGTCCAGAACAGCGCACTTCTCCATCGACTCAGCGCCTCAGATCAAAAGGCTGGACCTTTCCCCCATTCTTGATACGGTGTCACACCTATTTGCCTGTCCTTATCTCGAGACGGAGAACTCCAGGCTGGGGAAAATGCCAAAAATAAGCCACCCGCGGTCCCCTTGATATACTGACTGCGCGGCTTGTAGAACCATCTGCAAATCACGCCACAGTCATGTCGAGGCCAGAAGCATAGCAACCTCGCCACATACCGGGAACCTCGTTCCATCAGCCTTGATATCGTCCAAGGTTGCCCCTGTCCTGACTGTTTTGACATCTCGTTCTACGCAACCTCGTTGATCGAATCTAGCAGCTCAATGTGCCAGGCAGAAATGAGGTGTCAAATCCTGCCGTTTCTCGAAAGAGCACAAGGCTTTCATCAGGGTGCCTTACCGATGACTAAATTACTCCGAACTCTCAGGGGCGGGAAAGATCCTCAACTTAGGAACAAGGTTCTTCAACCTGTCCATGCAGTATGTCCTTCTGCAGTGCATACCAGAAATGAGCGGACATGACCGTTGATTCACCTGTTGCGGGTAAGTGCGCTGCTCTAACAACACGACAGCTCGCTTCACAATGATATCTCCAGATTGGTTTGTTGCCTACCGTTTGCCAGTCCATTCCCATGCTTGACCCGAGTGCGAGAGAGAGGGCGTTAACAATCATATTAACGTTCATTATGCCATCCGAAGGTAAGTAGGTCGTTGGCAAAATATCGTCGCACGGTGGTGTTGAAATCATGTCTTCAGGTATGACGATTCTGGGGCTGCCCATCGCCTTATGGGTCGTGCTAGCAACAGCACTATATGCTGCTACCGCGTTCACGCAAAATGCCGTGAAGCTCAGGAAGATCCCGGGCCCGTGGTCCTACGCGGCAACGACCTACAGATTGGCTTTGGATGCATGGCAGGCACGTTCAGTCCACGCTATCCTGGATTTGCATCGACGTTATGGCCATGTCGTACGTATTGGACCAAAAGAGGTGTCTTTCAACAGCTTGTCCGCGTTGAGAACCATCTATGGCGCTGGAAGTGGGTTTGAGAGAACCGACTTCTACCGTATGTTCGATGTCTATGGGCGACCAAATCTCTTTACTTTCGGCTCCGGCAAGCTACACCGCGAACGTAAGAAGCTGGTCAGCCATATCTACGCCAATCAAACGGTGCTGGGATCCGAATTCTCTGGCATGGTGCAAAGAAAGGTCGGAGAATATCTTGGTCTGCTCGAAAAAGAGCCAGGCCACGCCAGCGAGATATTCCGGAGTCTGCATTATTTCTCGTTCGACGCCATTTCTGAGTTTGTTTATGGCCCAGATCACGGGGGCACGACTGCCTTGACTGGATGCAGACAGTCTCAAGGCTTGATCCAGGACATTCTCAACCCCGCTAGAAGGAGACTGGCCTGGTTTGCCGTGCATTTCCCGGCATACACGAAATGGATCACTACCCGAACAGGAGTCTTGGAGAGACTGTTGACTTCACTTGGTTTGATGCCCATGAAGAAACCCTTTACATACTCTGGTATCCGTCAACACGCTTTGCAAGCATTTCACCGGTTCAAACAGGCTCCAAAAGAGGTGCAGGCAAAAGCCGCCGAGACCACTGTGATCGGTCGTCTGTTCAAAGTGCGCGAGGAGGCCAACTTGTCGGATATGGACATTGCATCAGAATGCGCCGACCACCTCCTAGCCGGAATCGATACAACAGCCGACTCACTGATGTTCATGATCTGGGCTTCGTCTCTGCCTCAGAACAAACAATGTCAAGAGAAATTAAGGGAAGAAGTGTTGCAGATTTCCGTCGCCGATCAAAACGGGATTCCCACGCCCAAAGATCTGACGCACCTCCCATATCTGAACGCTGTCGTGAAAGAAGCACTGCGCCTGTACTCACCGCTCCCTGCATTCGAGCCTCGCGTGTCGCCGACAGACACGCTCATTGACGGGTTCGAGATTCCGGCGGGCACAATCGTCGGCATGTCCCCATTCTGTCTGCACAGAGACGAGGCTGTCTTCCCCGATCCCCTGTCCTTCAGGCCGGAGCGGTGGTTGACGCCCGGTGGCGGCACCCTGGTCCCTGAAAGCGACCTCAAGAACAAATATTTGTGGGCGTTCTCGAGTGGTGCGCGCATGTGTATCGGGATGCACCTGGCCAATGCCGAGATGTTGACGATGCTGGCTGCGTTGTACCGGAAGTACAGCACGACAGCAAAACACCCGGACACGTCACCCGGTATCACGAGCCGGTTCGAGGTCTTTTACGACGAAAATGCGCCTAAAATGGAGGAGCATGAGTGTTGGATTGATTTCAAGAAATTGGTCGACGGTGCAGCCACCGAATGAGGGTTGACATTCAAGAGGCCTGGTGACCAAGCCACGTGTATGCAGTATCAGCCAGACAGACATCAAAATCATCGCTACCTAATTTCAACTACTACACAGTGGTACTTGCAAGTCAGAGCGGGATCTGGATCTGTTACGCGAACTACCACAGACCAGTGACCACGATACTCGTTTCCAGCCCTCACTGATCAAGCAGTTCGATTGGAAATAATCCTGAATTGTGCGCGTAGATGGCAATCTGCATGCACTTTGCCGACCGCGTATGCAGGTTCATTCCGAATAGGTGATCACCACCACTCTCAAGTCACTCCACGAAACAACAACAACACTACTACTGCGTACCTGTCACACAAGGACGAAAATCTACTTGACGGACGCCTGTGTGCTTTTCTATTGCTCAAAACACAAATTGGAGAGGCCCGGGAAGATACATCAACAACGGTTTGACGTGGCGCTACCGCCTCCAGCCGGCCAATGCGTCCCTGACAGGTTCAGAATCCCAAAACACACCTCTTGGTGAACAATGTCATTAATGGCATTCCCTGGACTATTGTGGATCGACTTCTTCGCTTTCTTCCATCTTTCTGGAATTTGCGCTACAGGCAGGGAACAACACCGCGCTAGGATCGTCCAGAAATGTGCGTCACCGAGGTTTGGACCTACAACGAGTGTGGTTGTCGCTACAACCATAGCGTTCTCTGTCGCATGAACCGGGGAATCTCATCGCCAGTTTTCGCGCCGAGTGTTCTCTATTCGACGGAGGAAAGGTTACAGGAAAGGGGAGTGGACGCCGACGCGACAACCAGGCAGATCAGAGGACGCGCGAAGCTTGCAGAACCTAAGAAATGCCCTCATCACAGCTTCGTCCAGAAGACGTTCCTGAACCCGATTTGCGACGACTGTCTGCTGGCGGAGGTCACTTCTGCCGGTCAAGATGTAGGACCCCCGCTGATGGCGCCAGCCTCCAACGCCTCAAACGAGGACGGTCTAGTCTGGGACAGCGAATTCAAGGTCGAGATTCAGAGCCAGACTTCAATTGAGAGTCCCTCCTCGGACGCGCCGGTCATTGTCGATTCTGAAGGTGCCGACGATACTGACAGGAGAATTCTCGAGAGTCACGTCGAGATCACGGTTGAGGAGGATAGTTACAGCGTTTCGGCAGAGGATCCTTCTTCACCTCTGTTAGCATCATCTCAGACTGGCGGGAGCTCACCTTCATCTTCTCTCATGACCTCCCCTCCAACCTCGACTGAAAAACAGCAGAAGGAATATCGCCTGTCGCCACCTCTTAGGAGGAAAAGATATGGTCTGACTTTCCACGATGGCTTTTCGACGGATTTCGATGACGGTGAAGACGACGAGGACGACCCTCTCCATGCCATCAGATCCCCGTCGCGTGGGAGGCCGGCCATGCGAGGTAACGGCAACGGCACTGGGGCTCAGCGAAGCGTGACCGACCCCATCACGGCTCTTCCGCCTGTCGAAAGCAAGATGGGCCGGAAATCCCTGTCCAGAATGAAGAGCTTCAGATCGATTTCATCGGCATTCCGCCATACTCCCAAGTCAAAACAGCAAGACACACTCACCGAAACCGTCTCAGAGAAGGCCGTCCCAAAAAGATCAAGGTCACGAAATCCTTTTCGCGCTTTCCGAAAACGCAAGGCCTCCCATCAGTATACGGAATCGGCTGACACCATGCCCATTTTGCAAGGTCACGGATCTCGCGACAGTCTGCACGAGCCAACAGGTTCCTCACAGGACAAAAAGACTTCAGCTCCTCCACCTCGCAAATCAAGTCTAAAGCATTGGAAGCCTGCGAAAGACAGTAGTCGAAAGGAAATTGGCAGCCTTCCGGTAAGGCAGAGCTTGAGAATGGAGGCGCTTGCACCTCTGAGTCCCACAGGTTCAGCTTGGTCATGGAATAAACCTAACGATCGTGACGAGTCTGAGCGGCCAACCCTGACTGTACCGTTGGAGGAGGAGGAGGAGGAGACGCCCTTTGACGCGCAATCCGTGTTCAGTGACTTCGAGGTTGAAGGCACAGCAGCATTCAACATGGAAAACGCGGCAACGCCAGCTTTGGTGGTTCCAGCTACTCCTGACTCATTCAAAGTTAACCCAATGCGGGCAATGATTGAGGGTATCGAGGCATTCGATTTAGGTTTTGACCTTGGTTTGGACAATGGTTTCCCCAAGAAGTCGAGACCAGAAACAGGATTGATGTGGGATTACGAGGATCAAACGCCGCAGGTGCAGTATTTGGGCCTGGCAATAACGTCATCCGAGCCCGAACTCGTTGAAACGAAGCAGGAACAACCTGTCGATAGATCTGCCATCACCAAGGCAGGCCCGACGGAGCCGCCTTCAGTACCGCTGCCAGCGCTGCCGCAAGAACGATATGAGGAAGTGACGGATGTCAAAGCTGCTGAAGCCGGGCCACGACAAGTGCAACCTGCCGAGACATCCACGGAGCGTTCGAGGGAGCCATCACCCGAGGATTCGGAGCGAATCATTTCGATGTATGGGTGGTCGACGAAGGATCAGAACAAGGAAGCGGAGAAGGAAGACGAAGTCGTCCTGGACGTCTCTGATGTCGCCGTGGTCTTGCGGCGGGAACCGGTCATAGAAGAAGAAGAAGCTCCGGAGACTGAAGAGTCCCAGATTGACGACGAACCGAAGGAGCCCGAGCAGTCGACCACAACACCGCCAGGCTCGCCATCTCCGGCAGCGAAAGCACTCGTCGCTAAAGCACCCAGACACCCACCGCGCAAAAGCTCGTTGAAGAGACTCACCGGATTCAATCATGCGCATATGCCGTTTGCGGAGTTTGACTTTCCCGTGCCACGCTCGCCTTTACTTCAACAGGCTTTTGAGACCGAAGATTCGGAGTGATGTTTTGGATGACTGATGACTCATGTTGATTTACGCTTTCTGTATGAATAGGCTCCGAGTGTAGCAATGTATATCACATTTTGAGACTTTGCTGGGAGGCAGCCATTGTGATTCAGTAGATGATACAAACCAGGCGAACCGACGACATGGGAGCCTTATGACTTCCTTGAGATCGATTGATATCCTGTCGCTTCGTGGGGATGTCTGTACCCGGCTCTCATGGCACCATCGAAAAGCAATGAAAGAGGTAAGAGATGAAACGAGTCAGCGCAAAGGGTTCAAGTCGCGAAGATGATACGTGGACGAATGAGAAAGGACCATCACGTGTCGTGGGATTTGTGGGATGGATTGAATTGTTGACGGTTCGTGGCGGCGGAACCAAAATTAATTAATTGTTCCTGTCCCTGACCCTCCCTCAGTGTTGACTTATCGTTACGAGCATTCTATCTACATTCCTTGGACTCGATCCTCTACCACCTCTTACGGACAATCAGGTCACTTGCACGTCCTCTGGTGTCCGACCGTGGTTCTCTGCCTTTTTGTTGATCGCGACTGTTCCCTTCAACTCCTTCGCAACGGAGTGGTCTGCCAGATCAACATAACCCTTTCCTTGTCGAACACACCCACACCTCTTTCGCGAAGCACACGACTCCTGTCTTTGTATGCTGCGCAACTAGCCGTCAGAATGTCTGTCCTCCCTGCCGACGTGCAGGGAGCATTATCCCAACTCCTGCAAGCCCTCGCATCACCAGACAATACCCTCCGCACACAGGCTGAAGAACAGTTGAACAATGACTGGACACCCAACCGTCCAGATGTGCTCTTGATGGGCTTGGTGGAACAAATACAAGCTGCTCAAGATCCGTCGGTATGGTTGGAAATGCGAAGTCGTCTGGGTCAAAATGCTAAGTACAGTGACAGACACGATCATTTGCAGCCGTGTTATTTCGAAAACAAGCCTCCAAAACTCGAAAGGTCCCGGGCTCCAACGAGTCAAAAGAGCTTTTCCTCAGCCTAAGTTCCGATGCCAAGGGTGCTATACGGTCAAAGTTGTTGGAGGGACTCGGAAGCGAGCAAGTAAACACGGTGAGGAACAAGATTGGCGATGCGATTGCAGAGATCGCCAGGCAATATGTCGATGCCGGTATGTTGGGACGATGGTAACGCATTGTCGCTCGGGCTGACATCTGGATTGCAGGCGAGATGTGGGTCGAACTGCTGGCTGCTCTGTTCTCAGCAAGCCAGTCCAATGATGCAGGGATGCGAGAATGCGCTTTCCGGATATTTTCCACTACACCAGGCATCATTGAGAAACAGCATGAGAGTGCGGTGCAAGATGTCTTCGGTAAAGGCTTCAAGGATAGCAACGTCGAAGTAAGTACATGCGCACCTAGTCATGTCGTGTTGAGTACTGACTGTTCTCTAGGTTCGACTCGCAGCCATCGAAGCCTTCGCATCGTTCTTCCATTCTATCACCAAGAAAGCTCAACCGAAATACTATGCTCTGATCCCCGACATCCTTAACATCCTGCCACCATTGAAAGAGTCAGGCGACACCGAAAACCTATCCAAAGCATTCGTGTCCCTCATTGAGCTCGCCGAAGCCGCCCCAAAGATGTTCAAAGGTCTTTTTTCGAGCCTAGTCAAATTCAGTATTTCTGTCATCCAGGAGAAAGATTTAGGTGACCAAACACGGCAGAACGGCCTTGAACTTATGGCGACCTTTGCTGAGTGGGCACCTGCCATGTGTAAGAAGGATCCATCATACACCAATGACATGGTCACGCAGTGCCTCAGCTTAATGACCGATATTGGTATCGACGATGATGATGCTGCCGAGTGGAACGCGCAAGAAGATCTTGACATGGAGGAAAGCGACATGAACCACGTCGCCGGCGAGCAGTGTATGGATCGACTGGCCAACAAATTGGGAGGAGAAGTAATTCTTCCCTCCACCTTTACCTGGCTGCCGAGGATGATGCATTCGGCTTCCTGGAGAGATCGACATGCGGCTCTGATGGCCATCTCTGCGATCTCCGAGGGTTGTCGAGACCTCATGATCGGTGAGCTGGACAAGGTGCTTGACCTTGTGGTGCCGTCTTTGAGGGATCCGCATCCTCGAGTTCGATTCGCAGGATGCAATGCTCTGGGCCAAATGAGTACCGATTTTGCAGGGCCTATGCAGGAGAAGTATCACCAAGTCGTACTTTCAAACATCATACCTGTCTTGGATGCTCCCGAACCCCGAGTCCAGGCTCATGCGGCGGCTGCGCTGGTCAATTTCTGCGAAGAGGCTGAGAAGGCGATCCTGGAACCGTACCTGGAACCATTACTGGGTCATCTTTTGCAGCTCCTGCAGTCGTCGAAACGCTATGTTCAAGAGCAAGCATTATCAACGATTGCTACCATCGCAGACTCTGCCGAAAGCGCGTTCATCCGATACTACGATACCCTCATGCCACTGCTTTTCAGTGTGCTCCAAAACGAACAGTCCAAGGAGTATAGACTACTCCGCGCGAAAGCGATGGAATGTGCAACTCTGATTGCCCTGGCGGTTGGCAAAGAGAAGATGGGCCAGGACGCCATCAATCTCGTGCAGACGTTGGGTAATATCCAGCAGAATATCACTGACGAAGACGACCCGCAATCTCAATATCTCCTACACTGTTGGGGTCGAATGTGTCGCGTGCTCGGTACAGATTTCGTTCCTTATTTGCCGGGTGTGATGCCACCTCTGCTCGAACTCGCCTCTGCCAAAGCCGACATTCAGCTGATCGACAGTGAGGATGATGCGCTGGATCAAGAAGACGGCTGGGAACTGGTGCCACTGAAGGGCAAGGTCATTGGCATCAAGACGTCAACACTCGAAGACAAGAACACCGCGATTGAGTTGATTACCATATACGCTCAAATCCTAGAGGCCGACTTCGAGCCTTACGTTGCGGACATCACTGACCGGATAGCACTGCCTGGTCTGGCTTTCTTCTTCCACGACCCAGTGCGAGTGGCCTCTGCAAAACTCATTCCTCAACTTCTCAACTCGTACAAGAAGCGATATGGCGACCACTCATCTCAAGTTCTGGAACTCTGGGCCAAGTGCTGTGAGAAGGAGATCGAGATCCTCAGCGCAGAACCGGCGATTGACACGTTGGCGGAGATGTACCAATGTTTCTATGAAAGTGTGGAAGTGGTGGGAAAGAACTGCTTGACGCAGAATCATATGGAACAATTCATCCAGTCCTCCAAGTCCACACTTGAAGAATATCAGAAGCGTGTCCAGGAGCGCGCTGAAGAGAAGGCCGAAACAGCACAAGCAGGGGTTGATGAAGACGATGATTCCCTATCTGTGCAATATGCCATCGAGGACGATCAGACTCTATTGTCGGACATGAACAAGGCCTTCCACACCATCTTCAAGAACATGGGCGTAGGGTTTTTAGAGTCTTGGCAGAGACTCATGCCGTTCTACGATAACTTCATCACCAGCAGTGACCCCACCCAGCGTCAGTGGGCGCTGTGTATCATGGATGATGTCCTTGAATTCTCTGGGCCACAATCATGGCAATACAGCGACCACATTATTCAACCTCTGATCAACGGCATGAGAGACGAGAATGCCTCGAATCGACAAGCCGCCGCATATGGCGTCGGTATTGCCGCCCAGAAGGGTGGTGAGCCGTGGTCAGAATTTGTTGCCGCCAGTCTAGAAACCCTACTACAGATCACCAGAGTGCCCAACGCCAGAGGTGAGGACGAAGTATTTGCCACCGAGAACGCCTGTGCGGCCATGGCCAAGGTTCTGCATTACAATTCTTCCAAAGTGCCCAATGCGCAGCAGGTGGTTGAGCAGTGGCTTGATACGCTGCCTGTGGTTAATGACGAGGAAGCGGCTCCTTATGCCTATTCTTTCGTCGCTCAACTCATTGACCAGTAAGTTTGATCTTGTTACTACCGTTCTGGACTTTGGACTGACCCTATCACAGACAAAACCCGGCTGTGTTTGCCAAAGCACAACAAGTGTTCCACCATATTGCCCTCGCATTGGAGGCAGAGATGATTCAAGGTCAGACGGCGAAGAAGGTTGCAGAGAGTGCCAAACAAATGGTGGCTCAGACGGGAATCAACGCGGATCAAATTCTGCAGACTTTGTCGCCTGATGGGCAGGCCACAGTTCGAAGCTACTTCTCATAACACCAATGCTTGACGATTGAATACGGCCGGGATCTAAGACTTGACTGTAAGCGTAGCATACCCAGGTCAATAGGGGGAGGGATAAAGCAAGAGATGGTCTTTGATTCTTGAATGTCTCTACCGCTTGATATGAATGACAAGATATAAGTCACCACCACTACCAAAGATCAACGATGCGGTAGAGTTAACTGATGTCTGGTAAGACCGCAGGAGGTGTCTGGAGGTCATAGTACAGTTTAGACCCTGGATGAGGCTGCATTCGGCTATTTTACCCTTTTGACTTAAGCGGCCTCTTCCGAGGAAACGGCTCCTAAAAATAAGGGATCACAGGGACCGGCCGCGAGCACGCAATCTTGACTACAGTACTCGTACACTTATCTTTAACAGATGCCACACCTGCTCCAGACCGCCATTCACTAGAGTTCATTCTGCGGAAGGTTGACAGATCATTGGACCAATTTGAGCGCGACATACCCCCACGAAGTACTCACGCTACAATCTGATTTGTTTGCGATCCTCATCAGGAGGCCACTTCTCACAGGCGTCTCGATTACATGTGGCCCCCCTTCTACGAGAGCCAGTGACACCCTCCTGAAAACACCGCATGGATGACCACCACCGCCGCCTCCGATAGCAGCGATTCCACGGCGGGCGACCACCTCATCTACACTCCCTCCGGCACCGAGTCGCCTCTGCCTTTTGTCTCCAAAACCCTCAACCCTCACTCGCACCCATCCACCGCGCGTCCTCCGAGCCCCGTACGTCTAAAGTCTTTACCGTCTGCAATCAAACACGAATTCCGAGCCGAACACCAGGGAGAATTTCACTTTGACACGAATGTCGAGGAGGAGGACGAAGAAGACGAAGACGAAGACGACATGTCTGTAAAACCCTCGATGCACCGGCCTACGGGCCCGCACTCCCATGTCCCCCTTCTAGCAGAGGACAAACTAGAAAGCAGAGGACGACCAGACGGTCCCAGTCCACGAGGCTCGCAAAGATTACGCACCACACAATCCTTCGCGTCCCACCGAAGTACATTCCGCTCCAGATCCCCTTCGTATGCGCAGCCCGAGGATGTAGTCCGGCGGAAATATATGTACGCCTCGTTCTTCCTTGTCTTGAGTCTGGTATCATTTGTCGTCCAGACCGAGACGGCAGTATATATCCAGCATGACCTCGGATGGGACAAAGCATATTGCATGATGTACCTGACACATGGGTCGTGGATATTTCTGTGGCCCATACAACTCGCCATTATACGCATACAAAAACGCAAATTGAGTTGGGCGGCGTTTTGGCGGCGGCATGTCCAACTGGTCACGACAACAGCACAAATGGTCGAGAGTCATGATCTTGGAGCCGCAGCGGGAACCAGATCAGTCAGTCCGTGGTCTTATATGATCAAGACCACGGCGTTTATTACTACATTTCTCACAATGGCCGGTGGGTCGTGGTACGTCGCTGTCAATTTGACCAGTCCCTCAGATCTGACCGCGATATACAACTGTTCCGCGTTCTTCGCGTATGTATTCAGCATTATGCTGTTGCACGACAAACTGAGGTTCGACAAGGCGTTGAGTGTCGGTCTAGCGATTGTCGGTGTGTTGGTCGTCGCGTATGGAGATAAAGAGGAGGCTGTACCGGGTAAGGAGAAGGGTCCTGGGTCGAAACTTTTGGGCAATGTTGTCATTGGGATCGGGAGTGTGGCATATGGATTCTACGAGGTTTTATACAAGCGCTTCGCATGTCCGCCTGAGGGGACGTCTCCTGGCAGGGGCATGATCTTTGCGAATACCTTTGGGAGTATGGTCGGGTTGTTCACGCTATGTGTGCTTTGGATACCATTGCCCATCTTGCACTTCACGGGCCTTGAGAAGTTTGAATTTCCGACCGGAAGGGCAGCGGGACTGTTGGCCATTTCCACACTGTCGAATGCCGTGTTCTCGGGATCATTCCTGGTGCTTATGAGTTTGACAAGTCCTGTGTTGAGTTCAGTGGCGGCTCTGTTGACGATTTTCTTGGTCGCGATTACCGACTGGATCATTACTGGGAAACCGCTGAGTGGCGCGGCGATGGTGGGCGGCGCGTTGATCGTCGTGGCGTTCGCGATGTTGAGTTTTGCGACGTACAAGGAGATGAAGGAGGAAGAGAGGGCTCGGGAGGAGGATGAGAACAAGATTTTTGATGATGAGGATGAAGATGAAGATGATGGCGAGGAGGAGATGGATGAGCTTGGACGGAGGGGGAGCTAGGAGTCATCACCTCCTGTGACCCAGCATTCTCTTTACCGGCGTTTGGTTACCGGCGTTTGGGACAGGTCTGGATGTGCACGAGTGAATTGCATTGCACGAGACGACCAGGTCTGATAGACTGATATGGCATTTTGGCGGCGTCTGTGGGGCATTCTAGAGTACAGGAGTGGTTGGGACGACATCTTGCGTCGGCATTTACACATACATGCAACGTCGTTTGTTCATGAAGCGCCTTGATGGCGTGTTGTAGCACTTGGAAGGCAGGGCTGGGTTGAGCTTGTTTACTTGAAGGAGTTACCCCTACAGCGATATATCCCACGACCTGGTTCCGCATTCGCTGCCAGGGGGAAATGGATGGTCAATTCGGGTTCTACTATAGCGAGACTCTTCACGAAGCAGTGTCCCCCGGACAGGTACATGCACATAGCATACAAGGCGACCATACCAGCCGATCTAAGGTATCGCTTCTCTCCAAGTCTACCAGGATCTAAATTGAGAGCCTCCCGGCTTGTTAGATGCGGCAACGATGATACAGTCACAAGGACTCACTGGGTAGGTGCCAAGCTGGGTTCTAAAAATGTACTTGTAGAAAAATACATCAGTGAGTCCATGTTCGCGGTCTGTGCAGACTTGTGCCGTTGTTCCCACGTAGCATTTCGTTACTGCAGTGCAAGTTCGACGTCTTCTAAATATGCTCACATTCCAGATATAGAGGCCATATTTTTGCCTGCAGGGAGTACTCTGGTCTGGCTATATAAGACGGTTGTTTTCGCGGCTAGGTAAGATAAGTAGGTCTTGATTCTGACGGCTTGATCTGTTAATTACATTACCAACCATAACATCCAGTTTTACTATCGAGATGTCTAGTCTGACTCTGCTTGCCGTGTTGCTTGGCAGCGGCATCTACGCTTCAGCCTTACCTCAACCCGACGCACCGGGGTCGGAGACGGAGACGACTGCTGCTACTACTGCTGCAGCCAGCCTCGCCCAGGAATGCACCACCATCTCTCCAGCAGCTGGGGGTAATGGTAATTGGGCATTATACTTCTCGGGAATCGGCTTAGAGAGAGAAGATGGCCACGGGTTGTACAGCAATGCTGGCAACAAAGAGCCCGAGTACGCGGATCCCGCTGAGATTTGCACGATCGCGACGCAGAAAAGCGAGTGTGCTAACATAGCTGCAGAGCGTGGGGCGAAGCAATTCGCACTTTCGTTCGATGTGGAATATGGGCAATCACTTGGGCCATGGCGTTGTCAGGTCTTCGATTTAGACGATGCGAGTCCGGAATTGTTTGAGACTGTCTACGACGACAGCGTGTATGTCTGGGCATGGACGCTCGAATAGATGTCTCGATCGAAACTATTGATTGGTGTTGCTGCGACTGCGACATACTTTCGAATTTATGCTCCCCCGAGCAGCCGAGATATACAATCTAGTCTTTGGCACCGTGCAAACAAAATCATGTATGAGATTTCAACTGAGGAGAGAAGTGTTTGGAATTGAATCGGATGCGCTGACGTCGGATCTTGGATATCTTACCTCGAGATAGTCCTCATACGTGTTCTAACAACGTTGAATATATGCTGGTTGAAGTTCAAGTGTCTACCGGTAGGTAAACCTCCAAGGAGGGGTAAGGCGCGTGCCTATAAGCTTAATTATAACCTTAAACTACTAGTATATAACCTTAAGCAAATCAGTGCCAAGACCACCTGGTAAACATAGACCTCAGATCCATACTCCGTACACCTACCATGGTTTCGTGAAAAGCGTAATGAACAAGTCAGTGCATGTCAGCGACCTGTGCTTCGATTGCTTACATACCTTACACCCATGTTACCGCAGAGATGTCACTTCAATCGAACCCAGATACAAGGGAGCCCAGCCATGAGCTTCTCCTAAAGGTAGTTACGTTACCTAGGTGGTATTCCAGCTCGAGGAGGGCAAGTACTTTGGTCTGGCTATATACCTGGTACCTACACGGTAAGGTGTATATATATGCGCGCTCGCAGCTCCACGTCCAGCCTTTCAAGAGTAAGGTCCTGTACAACGACACTTTACAGTAGTATCTTGGAACGAACTTACTCTGTCTACCCAAGTGCCTACCATAACATCCACTTCCAATTACTGTTCAGTGTCGAGATTTACCACAGCACGTCTCTGACTCTACTTGCCATTGGAGGTACCCTCCAGGGACTACTTCACAGCACTTACGCTACTAGCTTACCCGTAAGTGAGACACGCTTTGAATATCCGCTCCTTGTCACAGCTGCCGAAGACTGCTCCACCATCTGGCGCGGTACCTACGGGTATTTCCACCTGTACGTCACGGAGGAAGCCACAATCAGAAACGATACGCATCACACCCTGAAGTACACCTTATCGTATCCGCGTGCGTTGGTCAGAGAGGTTTGCGGGCTCGAGGCGCGAATGGGGTGCGCGGAGGAGGCTGTTAAACTCGGCGCGAAGCAATTCTCGGTTCAAGAGGGACCGATTAATCACTCCACGGCTACCGCCGAATGGACCTGTCGGATTTACACCAAAGATGATCCCAATCCGGAGTTGTTCAGTACTTACGACTGGGACGCCAAATACGTCTGGGCTTGGACGCTCAAGGACCACGAATAGGATGCATTCACACGGAAACGGATGCAGTGGGAGTTCACTACAGTAGTTATCGCTGCGATGTACGAGCTACTGCTGAGGTCACGCAGATGCCAGCAAACGAAGCCCAGATCAGTGTACCGAGAAAACCTCAAAACCTCTCAACTAACGGCACTGTTAAAATCCAACTATATTATCTGACCACCAGCTTGTTCAATGTGGACTGGCATGGCAGGGTGGATGGACTCCGGATCGATGGTACAGAGACTTGTTATATCCAGTGCTCATTCACCTGCACATACGGTAACGTATATTGTTCTTGTACATACCGAACATTATTGGCCTGTTGGAAATATAGAATCTTTTCACTACCACAACACCTCATGTCTATCGTGACTTGTCTATGAATCATTTTCTCGTTGAACCACTGTTCGTGCTTTTAAGTAAAAAACAGCTTCTTCTGTTTGCGGCCATTGGCGGCGGTATTAGACAGGCCGGATTTTACGCCTGTTGAGGCTGAAGCCTTCCTCTTGGTCGAGAGGCGGGGCTTGGGTAGGCCCGGCGCAGACACCGATAGTACATCCGGGGAAGCGCGCAAAGGATCAGGACGAGCCTCGGCCACGGCTTCCTTGATCGTCTGCCGCGACAGACACAGGTCGATGTGACCGTTGAAATCTCGATCATTTGCTGGCTGCGGGAGTTGGCAGATTGGACAGTCCCATTGCTGTTCCTGTTCCGCGCCTGATTTGTTGTTGGCGGCACCTTCGTTGCGCAAATGTCCGGCTCTGGCGACGGGCGAATTAGGCTCGCTGCCGTACTTGTACCGTCCGAACGGCTCGTGCCAGTCTGCTGTCGAACTTTGCGGGTCAAAGTCGGGTTGCTCCTGGCTCAGCCGTTCGAGCTCGTCGAATTCTTGCTGTCGCTCTTGGCGGGCTGCTTCCTCGAACTCGGAATCCGGCCAGACTTCCCACTCCCCATTTTCTTGGTCTGCACTTTTCGCATTAGAAGACCTTTGTCGAAAGAAGTTTGGTTTGTCCTTCCTCGTACTGATTAGATGCGTGCAGCGTAGACCCATCAGACGCAGTCGGAAGTCGGGCATATCTTTCTCGAGCTTCGTCAGCATTGGCAGGCTGAAATTGTAGAGGTCATCTGCGAGATGGACAGCTCTTGGAGGTGCAACTTGTCGAGTAAACACCTCGTACGTGTGAAGTTTGACTTTGAGCACGAGTGTCCGTCCTTTCACTTCGACGCGTGCCATGTCCTTCTCCAGCTCCTCCGCAGTATGTCTTAGCTTCTCTCTAAGCTCGTTTTTGTTGCTGATGTCCCGGAATGTACTTTCTGTGCCGACGCTCTTTCGTTCATATTCCTCAGCTGGCTGCACTATCGTTCGACCCAGGCCAAGGTGTGTCTGCATGAGAAACTGAAAGGCCTTTTCGCCAAATAGTCTGTGCAAATATGCCCGTTGAGCGTAGATATCACCACATGTCCTGATGCCGATTGCGTCGAGCTCGCGCTCGAAAACACGCCCAACACCATTGACTTTGCGAACAGGGAGGGCTGAAATGAACGATATGACCGCCGCTCTGTCGTTGGGTATCCTGAATTGTCCATTCGGCTTGTTCTTGTTCGAGCAAATCTTAGCTAACTTGGCGTTTGGTGCGATGCCTGCGGAAATGGTGATCTTGCATTTCTCGTGGACTTCTTTGCGAAGCTGCTCAACAGCGGCGTCTGGGTCTATGTGGTGAGTATCACAGTATTCTGTGATATTCACGTACGCTTCGTCTATGCTGGAGCTTTCGAAGCGTGGATCATATTCTGCCAGGATGGCTCTCACTTCTTTGGCTTTGGCCGTGTACTTGTCGAAATTGAGCGGTAGGCATACCAATTGTGGACATAATTTCTTCGCGACGAAGCCTGCCATAGCACTGCGGCAGCCATATTTTCGAGCCTCATAATTGCAGGTTGTGAGGACGCCTTGCCCAACAGCCATAGGCACATTTCTGAGTTCAGGTCTATCAATTTCTTCAACAGCAGCGTAGAAGGCGTCGCAGTCAATATGTACGACATATTGGGACAGGTCTCTCGAGAGCTCGAGGGATGTAATGTAGTCGTCTGCCCGGCGTAGATCGGATTTTAGGTCAAGTTTTTCCAATTGTGCCTTTTGTTTCAAGATGCGTTCAATCTTTACGGTCAAGGTCCTGTCCTTGACTTCCTCATTATCGAAAAACTTGGAGCCCTTCGAGGCATCGTAGATGATTTCAGCCACCTTCTTCTGGTCGACTGCATCTTGCCCGGCTTTCGTCAATGATGGTCCGAGAAGGGAGTGTTTTAGGGAATGATTCTGCGAAGGCTGTGGTGCAATTGCTGCCTGAGGAGGAGCGTCCACAGGGACGACCTCGTCGGCAACATCGAGGGCGTCGTCTACATCTCGTAAGTTCATCGCAGCATCGAGATTGTCGTCTGCATCATGACCGTATGGCAACTAGGTACCTGGTCGTAGTGCGTCGGTTACGAGATAGCGCGAGTCGGGGGATTTATTATTGTGCAGGGTTCAGCAGTGGACGCGGGCGCGACGTAACAGCGACGGGGAATTTGATGATGGCGGCAATAAATAATAGACATCACCAGTTTTGGGTCTAACCAACCGTGGCTCCTTAAACAATGTGTTGACGATCATACTTCATTCAGCCTCTACGATTGAACCACACTCGATAACACTCGACTTCTTCTACGAAGGCAATACGCTCAAGTGTGCGACGATGATAGCCTTCTGGCAACAAACATCCACCCATCGCGTTGATGTCAAGCGCATCATAACAACAAAGGCCATTGCCGTCGGCCTCGCCCCTCCCGACGATGCCCGCAGATAAACAAACCCGAGCCAACTCTTCCAAACCACTCACCCCCGCCCTCAGTTCGAATTTCCGAAATGTCAAGAGCCCATTCACACCGAGGCTGCAGGGCTCGCCCTCTCCGTCGCCTGTAATATCATCGCGCCGGGAGCCTTTCGCGAGAGCCAAATCTCCTGGGAAAACAGAGCAGGTATCAACACCTCTAATTCACAATATAACACCACGATCAGGAATTAGAAGGTCAAGGCCGGGTACAGAATCGCCATCTACGCCTGCTCCGGTCCGAGATACCAACAATGGGCCACAGACGAGGCCGTTGTCTCGAACTGAGGCTGCGAAGCCTGCGAGGGCGCAACCACAGGGACTCGGCATAAACAGCCCACGACTTGCTGCAAGTAATGGGCTCGTAGTCAAGAGTGGGACACCTGCTGCCTCCGTTGTGACTGTTCACAGAAGAGTTTCCGGAGCGAAGAGCAATGTGGAGGGTAATAAAGACATCTCATCCAAATTCTTTCATGCAAGCGAGGCCAAATCAGCGGTGGGAACTCCTGTCGATGACCCTTTCCCTCGGGCCAACTACTTCGCTCCATCACCACAAATACCTGCTGGTCTTTCCAATCAACAGAACACAGGTATAGACAAGAATGTTGCCCTTGATGAGAAGTTCATCAGGGCTGACGATCTCCCTCAAAATGCCGCTTCGAAGCGACCGCCACTCCCTCATGTACAAGCACGGAAGCCAGATACACTAGTTCTCGATAGGAGGCGTGAGCGAGCTGGATCTTCCGCGTCAAGCCAACCGAGCCCGCCTTCATCTCCCAGAAAGTATAAGCCACTGATCCAGCAACCTACATCACCACGAAAAACACAGTTTGGAACAACGCCATCTCCGCCTGGACCTCTCCGCAATACTATCGAAAGACCTAAGAGCACCATAGGTGCCGGCACTGTCACCCAGCTTGCCCCTCAAGCAGGACATCGCAAATCCGTCAGTGCTGGTTCGGCAACAGTGAAAAGTGAGAGCAAAGCAGACACACCTCGAATGCAAGCCGCTCAACCACTCGACCTCCGGTTTCCCCCAATCGGTTCTCCACAACTTCTGGTGAACAATACACTCTCCCCAGAGACACAAAGTCCGCGATCATTCAGCCTTGCCTCCACAAACACAGTTCCCGCTTCTGTGACCAGTGAAACCGACGCTTCAGAGATCGCAAAACCTCGAAGCAGACCCATGAGCATGGTGGATCTGGATTCGGTTACGTCACCAGTCCTGCCGCAGAACGACGGTGCTGCGAACGCAAGAAGGGAACGCAAGGTACTTGACCTAGAGATCTCCAATTCGTCCCTATTAGCCATCAACAAGACGCTGGAACGTGAATTGCGCAAGCAGAGCGGCGAGTTGAGAAGGTTCCGACGTCTTTCTCGTGCTGGTAGACTGTCTCTAGCGACCAATAGAACAGTTTCAGGACAGTCTGCTTACAGCCTGGACACGGTTACGGAACAGGATAGCGAAAACGTCGACAAGCTATCCGACCTAGATGAGGGAAGCGATTTCGACGACTTTGACGACTTCGAGGACGAAGACGACTCTTTAATATCTGAAGACTCAAGTGCTCTGACAAGCGTCTCGGCGCGCGCGCGACAACGGGCCAGAGACGAAAGGCGACTGATGCAGGATCTTAGCAGACATCATCAATTGCTTGCCGAATCGCAGAAACTTAGTTCCACGATCAAAAGGTGTTCCACGATCACAGAGGATTTGATCCGTGAAGGGAACAAAGCGTTGGAGTACCGGGTTGGAATTGGCGACGTTCAGATTGGAGGCCGCGTGTTGAACGACGATGAATTGGACGAGCGAGGTTTCGTGGCCGGATCAGAAGAGCCAGAGTCAAGGAAGGGCTTGCTGAGCCCCGGCCTGGGAAAGGCCAAGTTGACGGAGACACAGCTCTGGACTGATATTCCCACGGCGGAACCCACGAACAATCGTGATTCCGGTATATCATCGTTGGAAGTGATGTCGCCGGTTATTATTCAGGGAAGTAAGACGGGGTGAGAGGCCCCTGATGTCCTTGGGAGGTAGGGTGTTTTTGGGAGCGTGGATCAAGGCGTTTGCTTGATTGAGAAATGGTGCAGAATATGTGTTTTCGTTTACCCAGCATTGGTGGTGCATAGCAAGCGTTGGAGTTGTTCTTTCTTTTGTCAAAGATCTCATCATCATTCAGAATACAAGGAAGACTTCGATCTTCCTGTAACAATTACAACAAGCGATGGAAAGGCGCAATTAGGGGCTGCATGGCAGAACACCTCTCCTCAGATATACATTAAACATTCAACGATCGAGAAGAAATTGAAATCGTGGTATCTATATCTCGTACATCCAAGGCCGCTCTGTATCCTGGTGTAATTGTCGGACTTGCACAACGCTACGAGTACGCATGCCAGGAAGGACATGCGGTCGAAACTCAACCAGCACGCGGTAATTTGCTGGTTGCTAGCTTCATGACGAGGTGGCAGTGGCATGATCATGCCCAGTATGGTGTTTATCCTTCGACGAGGGCTCCTTATCCTTTTCTTTCTCCTTTTTCTTTTCTTGCTTCTTCATCGACTCGGCCATCAACTGCTCGAAGGCCATGAAGTCGCCTTCCTCTTCGGGATCGCGTTCAGCCTGTATCGCGACATTAGCAAAACATTGTCCAGACAGGGTGCAAGAAAATGGTGTTAGTACCTTTTGATATATGGTGCCGCACAGGACCAAAGCCTGCGCGCGCTCGACCCGCTTCTCCAGCCTGACGGTCTTATCGTTCAGGATCCGGTCACAAACTTCGCGCAAGACACCCTGAATCTCGAATTTTGAACCACGCCAGGCCGCCGCAAGGATCTTACCCGTGACTTTGCGCTCGTACTCTGCTTTCTTCTCGTCCGTCCAGTCCGCGCCGCCCTTCTCTTCGAGTTTGGCCATTTCTTCCATGGTTAGTTGCGCGTCGATGGCAGTTGAGATAGTGTTCCAGGTTTCTTTCGCGAGGTTGCCCTTGTCCTTCAGCCGTGAGAAAAAGCCTGAGATGCCCAGGAATTTTTGGGATTTGAGAAATGAGGTTGCTTTCGATAGGTATGTTTGCCCAACGGCGTGGAGGATTTCTAGACCAAAAGACTCCATTTTGAGGTTTTCGACTTCGAGTCTGGTCTTCTCCTGGAAGGCCGCGGTGACATCTGCGCCCTTGTCGGTCTCTGTCCATACGCTTATCCGGTCGATGAGTTTCTTGGCTAGAGTCTCGACGCGCTCTTCACGGGCTTTGCGCCGCTCACGTTCGTAGGCCTCGAGCTTCTCGCGCTGCTCTTTCGTTAGACCGCCTTTCTTTTTCTTCTTTTGGAGGTCTTTCTCCTCTTGGCTGAGGCCTGCTGCTTCCATGCGGGCCTCTTCTTCGGACTTGTCCATGATGGCTTGCTGGCCCATATATCTTCGTTGCGGTGTACTCGTGCCTGACGATTGAGCGGCGGATGTGGATGGCTCTTCGGAGGTGCCAACATAGGGTGGTGGTGGAGCTGAAGTTGCGCTTTCGGCTGTTGAGTCTTGTCGAGCCTCCTTTTCTTTGGCGCTCATGTCAGCTGCGGTCGCGGTGGTAGCCTCTTGTTCTCTCGCGTCCTGAACGTTCAATTTCTCCTCTGCGCTCTTCGCGAGTTCTTCCTCCTCCATTTGTTCCATTGTAATGTCCATTGTATGTGTCAGGTCCTTGAGAAGTGTGAGTTCGCCTATCAGGTCTACGAATGCATCGCCGCCGAAGATCATGCTGAAGAACTCTGCTGGATCTTCGAAGCCTTGACTAGGCATTGCTTTCTCTTTGCCATATTTGTCGTATGCGGCGCGGGTCTCTTTGTTGGATAAAACTTGGTAGGCTTCGCCCACGGCTTGGAATCGTTCGTGTGCAGTCTCATCGCCGGGGTTCTTGTCGGGATGTGTGGTGATGGCGAGCTTCCGGTACGCCTTTTTGATTTCTAGTTCTGTGGCATCGGGCTTGACGCCTAGAGCATCGTAGTAAGATGTGTCGACGACCATGATCGCGGCGGTGGGCTGTTTGTTGTCACCAGCTAATGGTTATTCCTATGCTTGACCACTTTTTTTGGTGATCGACCTGGCTATATTCGTGGTTCAATTATGCAGTCTGCTGCAGACGTTGTTACGTGGAGACCCTGGGTGCAGGATGCGTCAGAGCAGGAATCGAGAGAAGACTTGTAGCATGTGACTGCGTCTGATGCGAAGAGGTGTGATTACCCAAAAATTGGAAGACTACGAATACCGATTAAGATTTGGACTGCAGCCTTGAACAGCCGCAGAGGCCCGTAAAGTCAGGTATCCAAATCAGCCACTGGCAGCGAGGTGAAGTCATACCGATAGCGAGAGCTTAGCCACAAGCCACGCCTAAGCCACGAATCCTTCAGGGCTCTCAAAGCCTGTCAAAAACCACAGCATTGATGCGCCGTAGGGGCCATTGGGAGAGCCGAGGTCGCTATGGAGGCCGTTTTCGCAGCCAAGGCTATTCAACTCAAGTCTGTCACTGGTTACCAGCATCGTACCATTCGGGTCTTGCTCTTCTCCACACTTCGCGCACACCATGGTTTGAAGAAGTGACAGTCTACAAAGTACAATCGCGCGCGCGACCCATTTCTCAGCTTGTCATTTTACAATCCTGTCGCTCTTTACCTGCCTGAAAAACAGAACATCTGTTACGTCGAAGTCAATAGAGTTCGTAGCGCTCACGGTCTGATCATCTGTCAACATGCCAAAAGCCAGCGAGGTTCTGTACTATCTGGTCCATGTCCAAGAATTACGCTCAATCATTCAATGGTAAAGTGGTCCTGGAAACGTTGCGCTGTTCGGAATGCTCATTATTGTATAGGAAAGTCTGGCACAATGCGGTCCACGAGCGAGACGAGACCAAGGAGTCGGAGTCCGCGAAAATCTGCTTTGAATACTTGAACAAAACCAGTCGAAGTTTCAGCGCCGTCATTCAAGAACTACACCCCGAGCTCCTTCTACCTGTCTGTCTTTTCTACCTCATCCTACGCGGACTCGATACCGTTGAAGATGACACCTCAATTCCTGCGAAGACCAAAGAGCCTGTATTGCGAGATTTCCATCAAAATTTAGAGGTCGATGGCTGGCACTTTGACGGCAACAGACCAGAAGAGAAAGATCGCGACCTACTGGTGAACTTTAGATATGTCATTGAAGAATACAAGAAGCTCAAGCCGGCATACAAAGACGTTATTCGGGATGCCACCAAAAAGATGGGAAACGGAATGGCAGATTACTGCCTCAATGCCGAGTTCAACGCCAACGGAGTCGATACTATAGAAGCCTATGATCTCTATTGTTACTACGTTGCAGGCTTGGTAGGAGAAGGATTGACGAGGATGTTTGTCGAAAGCAAGTTTGGTCATACTGCACTTCTCGAGAGACCTCAACTCCACAGATCCATGGGACTTTTCCTGCAAAAGACCAATATCATACGAGATATTCGTGAAGACTTTGACGACAACAGGAAATTCTACCCCAAGGAGATCTGGTCAAAGCATGTGGACAATTTCGAAGACTTGTTTAAGCCCGAATACAAGGAACAAGCGCTGAATTGCAGCTCCGAAATGGTTCTTAATGCTCTCGAGCACGTGGATGAATGCCTCTTTTTCTTAGCCGGCCTCAGGGAGCAGAGCGTCTTCAACTTCTGTGCTATCCCTCAGTCCATGGCTATTGCGACGCTGGACTTGTGCTTCCGCAACTACTCAGTGTTCCAACGGAATGTCAAAATCACAAAAGGCCAGGCCTGTGAACTCATGATTCAATCGACGCAGAATCTGCAAGTGGTATGTGATGTTTTCAGAAAACACATTCATTCCATTCGCAAGAAGAATCGACCACAGGACCCCAACTTCATGAAAATCAGCATTGCATGCGGCAAGGTGGAACAGTTCATCGAGTCGATTTTCCCAACACAGAAGATCGAGGATGTGCTGGCCAAGAGCAAATCCGAAGACGCTCAGGCACAACTCGCAGCCAGAGAGAAGGCTGCTTCCTCCGATAATGCGGATACGTGGATTATGATGGGAGCTGTCTTAACGACGTTGTTGGTCATCGCGTTTTCCATGGTAAGCACCCACGACCGTCTTGTTCTCGCGTTTCGCTAATTCACTGCAGTTTTTCGTTGCCTGGATGTTGGGCGCCCGATTTGATGTGGCATATGCAGAATTCAAAAACTCCTTCAGTCAGCTTACCAGTGGGAACTACAGTCATGTCACCAGCGGGGATTTCCTCCAGGGCTTTGGAGAAGATAAACCTGCTGCTGCTGCTGTTGAGACTGTCGTCGCTGCTGTTGTGGCTACAACTGAGAGTGTAGTCCACAGTGAGCTTTGAAAACGTCCTGTCAGTCCGCCATATGGGTAGTTCGACATTGTACATTAATGAGATCTTTCGACAACACTCTTTGCCATTCACCTTTTGTTTTGTTTGGCAGTTCAGGGAAGAAGCAGCGAGGCTCTTTCGGACCATTATTTTAATGTCATCACCAGAACAAGCACGGATGTCAAATTGCAACTCAGGCTCTTTCATAGCTGTTGTTGTGCCGAAGAAGTGCTGACAATGAACCACCATAATGCTCGAACATGACAATTGACAGGCCCGAGAATGCGTTTCTCTGAGGTGTCTTGTTACCTTCGAGCATACATCTCCGTACACCCCTGTTCCTGGCTTGTAACCAGCTTTCTGTTGTTGACTGCCGGATTCAGGTTCATGAAACACGTTTTGGTTGTCGATGCGTTGTTCTAATTGCCGGCCTCGAGGATAAATGATCCAGGTGCAGTGAGTGAGACAGCATTTCAAGGTTAATGAACGGAGTTGGTGATGACCGCGCGTTTGCCTTGGAGCTTCTTCTTTCACAAACTGCAAGTCGACGTCACGCTGCAGATTGCCACTGTCAAGTTGTCCTTCCTGCGCTTCTCTTTTCATCCATTTTTCATCCATCTCACCAACCTCCACTTATTCTTCTTCTGCAAACTGCAGCCCGACGCAACCGTAAGAGCCAGTCAAAAGAAGCACAAATTTGGTGCCACTGTTCCTCGGCATTCCAGGCTTTCCAGCCTTCCAACCAGCATCGGCAGATCCAGACGCCCCCTTCTCCCTTTCCTCTCCCTCCCGTGTCCCTGGCAGATCGCCGTCATCGACACAATCTCCATCAAGCCAAACGCGCAACGAGCCGAGTTGCTTGTTCACGCTTGTTTCCCCCAGCATCTCAAATCAAAACCACCTGACCTAACTACGGCACCCGCCTCCTCCCATTTTTTGGTCCGAAACTGCCTTCCCGTCCAGTCCCATTTTGCCATAGTATTCAAACACTGGAAACATCCAATGGGCCTTTGAAAAGTCGGTGTAGCTGCCTTAAAATGACGTTTTTTCTCTGCTTCACATAATAGATCCTGCGCATCTACTTATTGCTGACTCCTTCCACCGGCCTTCCAGCGACAGTGTCAATTCGGTCAGGTACAAAGCATAACCAACTTTTGGCACACACAACATTTAGAGATCGACTTTCTCTGTGCATACAAACCATGTCGCCTGCGCCGCGGTGCTTGATTTCATCCAATCGAAAATAGGTTTGCTTATCAATCCGCCAATAGCCTGTCGTCAGCAGTTCGCTATCTTACGCCCGGTTTCTACCTTCTGCGCTGCAGGTCGGTTGCGCCCGACCCTATCTTTGACAGCTGTGTAACGAATCGTCGATTGCAAAATGGATCAAGCTCTGGGATTAGGCTTGAATGCCATCCCGTTTGCAACCCAGCACTATGACAAAGTCTGGGATCCTATTCATCACAAATACAAAAAGGCGCGCGGAAGAGTTCCCAAGGACGATCCGAACATCTACGAAATGGGCGCCCCCGAAGAGAAGGGCTTAGTGCTTCGGCGTCGTCGGGATGTTGCCTCGGATGAAGAGATCGTGGAAGTGGTCAGACACAAGGGCGAGATTCTCCCAAAGCGGCCTGGTCAACCACGCCGAAGAGCCAGCTCGATGAACAATGCTCGAGCAGGGGCGGCAGGCGCAGGCGCTGGTGCTGGGGCTGGAGCTATGGTTCCTTATCGAGACCGACGCAACGACTATTCAGACTCCGAGGGGTCTGTTCCACCACGATCACGAGTTCGAGCAAAGTCACAATCTGGACGTTCCCAGCAGTCTCGACGCCGGCGCGGCTCTTCAAGCTCCTCTTCGAGCCTTGCGTCCTCAACTGAAGAAGAAAAGAATTGTAAGAAGCTGGCACGCAAGAAATGGATCACGGCTGGGCTTGCCAGCGTCGCTACTATTCACGCTGCTTCAAAGGTGTATTCCTCGATCGAAAAGCACGACCAACGGATACAGAAAGTCAACCAAGGAGAAATATCGCCCGAAGAGGCCCACAAACAACAGCGTGCTGCGCGTTGGCAAGATGCTGCTGCTATCGCTATAGCTGCACTTGGTATCAAGGGTGCGGTGAGTGAGTGGAACGAGGTCCAGGAAGAGCATCGTGAGCACCGAGAGTTGTTAGAGCAACGAGAAGAGCACCACAAGAAACGGCTGGAGCGTGAACGCCGCAAGCAAGCCAGGGACCAGGGAGGTTACTACAAAGGAAGGGACGGTCAATGGTACTATTCTGGACCACAGCCTCAAAGCAGTGAGAGTCGTCGTGGTGGGGGTGGAGGAGGCGGTGGTGGAGGAAATGGAGGGCGAGGAAATTACGACGATTCCCGTTCACGGTCGCGTGCAGTGAGTCGTGGTCGTAATCGTTATGATAGTGACTGATGTTTGGGTCAGGGTACGAGAAGCCCGCCACCAAGGTCGAGGAGGGGACTGGACAAGCCAGAGAGAACTCGATCTACAGTTGGCAACTTTGGAGTTGGGCTCTTGGACAATGAATTGGATGTCTGAATTTGCGGCATGGGCGAGCATGGCGTCAGCAGCAAATGTGGTTCTTCCATGCATTGTGGCTTAGAGCAAAAGGGGCTCGACTTGCATTGGCTTTCTGCGTAAACGATGCTACGATATGAGATGAATGATTGATGATCAGAATGAGATAGATCGGATTGGATCTTGCCTTGCTGCTCTGTGTTTGATTTTGTCTTTTTCGATTGATGCTGATCAAGAGTTGATGACACGCGACGCAGGATGTCCGGCCAGACGCAAGGTGTTCGTGAGCTAAAGCTACCTGTCCAGAGTGCCCCCGCTCTCTGCTTCGCTGAGGATTTCCTCCTTGATCTAGATGGAGGATGATTCTCAGACCATCTTTGCATGCTATGGCACCAAGCAGGCCAACGAGATCGGGGACTTGTTGAACGAGGCGCCAGAGTTGGTATGCGCAGACGGGCGCAAATGCGAATTCACAAGGCCAACGCGCCAACGACATGTCTCTAGAGGCCAGCGAAGGCACAGCAGGCGTACAAGTTTTTCTATATATTTGGAAATGCGAACAACAGTTGGACAGGAATCTGAGCAGCTAGAGTAAAGGGGCAAGGCTGCAGAAAAGCAGCATAAGAGGTTGAAAGAGCGGCGTGAAGATTGCCTTTAGCGGGGTGCGTAGCTTGGCATCGGCGGGCTGCGAGTTCTTAGGTCCGACTTGCGGCTGCACTGCAACTGCAACACCTCATTGCGCATACGCCGCCGCCCTCTCAAGACGAATCAAGTGGCTTCCCACCTACATCTAACCTACACTTCCACCACCGACTTGTCCCAGTCCTTCCCCTCTGGTCTCTTGGAGGTGTAGCATATGTTCCAGACCATCTGATAGAACACAACAACCAGCAATATGGCGGAACCACCCATTGGTAACTCGATCGCAGGCCACCACATTCCCTAATGCTGACACAGGCACAACAGTTCTCGATGGGGGTACCGGTTTCCTCAAGGTCGGCTATGCCGCTCAAGTATGCCCGTCTATGATCTTTGGACAACTGACTGTAGCTGACCATGGCCAGAACTTCCCCGAACATCAATTTCCCTCCATAGTTGGCCGACCTATACTACGTTCCGAGGAAAGAGCAGGCGACATTGTGGTAAAAGACATCATGTGCGGTGACGAAGCTGCCGCAGCAAGATCCATGCTGCAAATAACTTATCCCGTAAGAGCTTGGCCTTGTGCTAAACCATTGAAAGGGCAGTCCAGCTGACGTGCAACCGGCATACAGATGGAGAATGGAATCGTCAAGAGGTGGGACGACATGCAGCACCTCTGGGATTTTACTTTCAATGAGAAGCTCCGCGTCGACACCACAGGCCGCAAGATTCTCCTCACCGAACCACCTATGAACCCTCTCAAGAATCGTGAACAGATGTGCCAAGTCATGTTTGAGAGGTACAACTTTGGCGGAGTGTACGTGGCCATCCAAGCCGTGTTGGCGTTATACGCCCAAGGTCTGAGTTCCGGTGTCGTGGTCGACTCCGGCGACGGTGTCACCCACATCGTGCCCGTCTACGAATCCACCGTCCTCAACCACCTGACACGCCGTCTCGACGTCGCCGGCCGCGACGTCACCCGCAACCTGATCGCACTGTTACTGCGGAGAGGGTACGCCCTAAACCGAACAGCCGATTTCGAGACGGTGCGCCAAATCAAAGAAAAGCTATGCTATGTATCGTACGACCTGGGTCTAGATCAGCGCTTGTCCGAAGACACAACCGTGCTTGTCGAGTCATACACACTCCCCGACGGCCGTGTAATTCGAGTCGGCAGCGAACGCTTCGAGGCCCCCGAATGCCTCTTCCAGCCCCACCTCGTGGATGTCGAGCAACCGGGTATCGCCGAATTCTTGTTCAATACCATCCAAGCAGCCGACGTCGATGTCCGCTCCTCTCTATACAAAGCTATCGTCCTCTCCGGCGGAAGCAGCATGTACCCTGGTTTGCCATCGCGGCTGGAGAAGGAGCTGAAACAGCTCTGGCTCACTCGCGTCTTGGGTGGCAACCCGGAACGCCTCAACAAATTTAAGGTGCGCATAGAAGATCCTCCGCGAAGGCGGCATATGGTCTTCCTGGGCGGAGCGGTCTTGGCGAATATTATGGCCGACAAGGAAAACATGTGGGTTTCCAAGCAGGAATGGGAAGAGCAGGGAGCGAGAGCGCTGGAGAAGTTGGGTCCGCGGTCGTGATCTCGTCAACGCCAAAACGAGTGTGCCCTTCAGAAGTTTAGAGAACTGCCCCGGCCTACCGTTACGACATGCAACGGCCGTCGAGGGTGACAGGATCGAGTAGATGATGTTCATGCCGCTCAGTCCATCCGGCGATGAGAACCTTGTGCATGCGAAATCTCAATAGTGCCAGACGCTCGGCGGACGAGGCAGCAAGTAGACGAGTCATAAACAAGACCGAGATGGACGGACGGCATCGAGGAACGCAAAATGACGATGACAACGATATATGAGAAGTCAGGCTTTGACATCGGACGAATGTCACCGGGTGCAGAAGCGTTGAAGCATAAAAAAGAGGAAAATTCACTTTACAAAGATGTTTCATTGCCGTGAAGGCTTCTGCTGTCGTAGGGCATGCTCCAGGAAGCTCTCATTCTTCCATCCTGAATTGTGTTGCCCACTCCGCCAGTCCCGCATGCCTTGGAATAGCCGGCGCACGGATATCTGCTTGTGGTATTCACCGCCGCGAAGTTGAGGTTGGACTATGATGGAATGTATTCGTCTGCCTGCTGTGGGTTTGTGGCAGGGCATGCTCGCTAGGTGGGACAGGTGCCCACTGGACCATTATGGTCACTCTGACGGGCACGGCGCTTGCTTGTACCTCTCAGTAGATACCTTCTAGCGTTTGCGTAAGTCGCCATCCCCATTGTGATTTCTGATGTTCACCGCGGGAGAGTAAAAAGATCATGCCAATAGTAAGGAATTATATGAGCACGTCTCTGCTGATCATCTTGTAGTACGGTGATCCGGTTTGAGTGACTCAGGTCCGAGCCAATGAGATGTGCAGCCTGACTGGGGCAGGCAATGGTATGAACCGGGACTGTCATGATGAGATATAGCAGCGCGGTAGCCTCGCGTATGAGTGTTGATACAGGGGATCGTTTAAAGTCTTGTTAGATAGTGTTGAAGGTCAACCTGGCTGGGATGGATGGAAAGAAGGGTCGATATACGTGTTCTGCAATGTCGGATCCTGGTTCCAAACTGCCGTCAGGCCGGGCTGCACCTGTCCTGACGGCGGGTACGAGAGATCCGGCGCACGAGGATCGAAATCGTCATTTGGAGATGGCCAGAAGCCGAGGAAATTGTTCTGAAAATCGCCCAAGCCTTCAAATTCCTGAAAGGCAAAGTCCATCTGCAAGGCTTGGCCCTGGATTATGGAACCAAACGGATTTTCAATCTCTGACCCCCCGAAGTCTTGCCAGGCAAAATTAGAGGGATCAAAAATGGTGGGATCTGCTACCTGAGTAAGCATCGGGGCGATGACGGTCGTCGGGTCCGTCTGAGTTTGTGTGGGTGCTAGCAGATTAAGAGGCGGATAAGATGCACTTTCATCCTCGTGGTTGACATTGCCATACTGGAAATGCGACGGTTGTTTCACCGAAAGGTCCTTCTCCGTTGGTGGAGGTATGGAAGGCAAAGCGTTCGAGGAAATAGGGGCTGGTAAAATCACCGACGTCGATATGCCATCCACCTGACTCTTTGAGATCATTTGGCCAACTAGGAAAGAGGCCGAATCAGCGATAGGCCAAGTCTCGCGTAACTGCCACAGGGCTCGAATACAGTTGTGGAACTGTTGACTCTGGAAATCTCGAGAGTCTCTGCCTTTGGTCTTGATGTCGACAAGGAACGAAGCCAGTGAGAAAAGCATGAAACTCACAGCAAGAGGCTGAAGGAATTTGACCAGGTTGCGCTCCTGTAGCCATTGAGTCGTTTCGGCTATTTGCTCGACAGCACCATTAGCCATTGATGCCGATACGGTCGATGTCGTTCCCAGCAATACTTGCGGTCGATTCAAGGTCTCGACCGCCATCAAGTAGGTCATCCGCAAGAATGCTTTGTGCAGGAAGAGCACGTCTTCTGTGGATTTGTCGTGGACATTACTGCTTACAGTCGACAGGAGCAAGCAGCTGTTCGGCAAATCTTTGCACCAGTGGTCCAGATCGTCCTGTAGAATTGAGATCTGCTCATGGTCAATCTGAGACATTCTTGGCTTGTATAGCATCGTCGCTTCGGCCGTGGAACCGCCGAAGACTCGCAGGTGGTAGAGAGACTTCATGATACGACCAATGCACAGACAGATGCCAATATTAGCTATACATATCTGGGCCAGATTCTTCCTGATTGCAGTGTCTGTGATGAAAGGACAGTCTCGAAGTGCGGGAATGTCGGTGGTAATGGGTTGTGTTTCGAAGTCGTAAAGTGTAAGCGGGGACAGGTTGATTTCCTCATCCTTGAGTCGCATAGGTCTCCGCATGCTTGCTGAGATAATCCGATCTCGCAGTACACAGGTCCACCAGAGTCGTCTCCAGAGGCGGCAAGTCTTCGAGTCTTTCTTCGAGTATGTGACAACCTGGTTGACGCCGATGCTCGTAGCAAGTGATATGCACACTCCGAGCCAATGCCAGGGGTCTTTCTGATCGTTCTCGGACACGTACCAATAGTTTCCAAGCAAAAGAGATTGGATCAGAGGAATCCGGTCGGCATCCCAGTCAAAGTCATAGAGTAGCTTGACCTTCTGAAAGTAGTCACCTCTTGCCGATCGACGATCACTATAGCCAGATTTCAAAAGGAGCTCCAAGTCCACAAAGGCAGTCCCCGCGAACATGATTGCTTGGAAGAGTGTCAGGCTGATCTTCGGGGCTCCCTCCTTGCCATCAATGGCGCCGAGAATGTCTTCGAGGTCAACGATAGGCATGTAGGGGTAGACATAGAGGATGAAACATCGTAGAAGCTGGTTGCGCAGCTCGGTATCTGGTAGGCTTAATGCCCCTCGACGTGACAGGAATTCAATGTCGTCCGATCTGATGGTTGGTCGGACTGGACGAATGTACGGTGGAAGGTCTACCGATAGCCGCCTTTGAATCGATGATCTGGATGCAGTTCCCGCGGGATCGATCTGTCGACTCAAGCTGTTCTGGCTGTTCACTTGATGCAAGGAGGGAGAACTCCCGAATAAGTGGTTGATGGTAGGACTATCCGTTGCATCTTCTTCATTCAGTGGTCAGTCCTGTATCTCCTCGCCGATATTTAATGCAGTGTCACCTTTGACTTGCCGATCACCAGCATTTTGTATCGATTCTTGGTCATTTTCGCTTTGCGTGGATGGAGCTTCGGAGGCGGATTTTGACCGAGCTTGAAGTAGGGATGGCAGCGAAACGACGCCGCTCAACTGGCGCTTTTGAAGTCGGAACTTCCTACTTCTCCTTGACTCGATGACAACGCACTCGATGCCATCGGTTTCGCAATTATGGCAGGGGATACCGGACTTGACGAGGTCACATTTGACTTTTCTTGATCTGCAATGGTGGCAGGCTTGGGAAGCTCGTTTTTTCACGACGCGTTCCGACCTTTCAGCAAGGTCTGCCTTGTTCGTTTGCGTGCCCATCGAGTCCGACCATCAACGCGGCTTCGCATCGGAAAGTGTGTCGAAGAAAGATCACTGGAAATATTGTTGAAGAGATGAAGTTAGATGTCAAGAGTAAAGACATGATGAGGAAGGAGCCGAGGTCAGCGCTGACTAAGACGTGGGATAAGCCTTTACTCCGTGAGTTTCTTATCCCCGCAAAAAGACATCGGGGGGTTCAACCTTCAGTTACTGTGGTATATCGTTGTTGTGTTTTTGACACCTCTTCCAAACGATGCACTTCTTTCGGACCACCTATAAATGTCTTGGTCTATACAGCCCATTCTATGAAACACCGTTGATACAGCACATCTAGACCTCCTCCACGGGCCAGTTACACACCATACACCACGTCGGCACGCCCTTTTGTCCATCACCCTCCACCCTGCCCTTAGGATACGACCACACAATCCCAACGACGCTGAACCCGAAATACTGGTAAACATCTCTCGCCCGCTCGTTCGCGGCAACCAGCCAGATCGGTAAGCCCTCCTTTTTGGCCCTAGCGACATAAGGCTCAATCACAGCCCTAACCGCGCCTTTATCCTTCCTTAACGGATCGCGCGCCATAAGCGACATATTCCAGTACTTCTGCCCCTTACTAGGCTCACCCAATATCCGCACCTTACAGTCCTGCATATCTCGCAAGAATTGCGCAAAGATCGGACGCTTCAGAGCGATCTCATCAATCTCCTCATCCGAGTGCCAAGATTGCTTCGCCGTCGCCTCCGGTGGTTCCCAGCACACGACCGCCGCGAACCCACCAGCCTCGACCACACTGGCCCCGGCTCCCACTTTGGCCTGGATGCGCGCTAGCACGGCGTTGTACAGTAAGTCCGCTGTAATGGGCACCGAGTCGCCCGTCTTGTCCTGCTGAAAGAGAACGTTCAACGCGTCCTCAACGGTGGCCCGCGCACTAATGTCCGCGAGTCGGTGCTGGTATTCTTCGGACTGAGATGAAGTGATCGGCGGTGTGGTCGTTGTAGTTGCGCCATTCACCTCCACCGAAGTAGAATTCTGAAGCGACGTCACGGAGATGTTCGCGCCGCTTGCCAGCGGGACATCGAGTTTATCTTCGGCCAACATAATGGTAAGGTATGAGGTCTATTCTTCAGCAATGTTCGCCCTGAGCTGCTTTCGTACGACAGTCGCCCTGACTCAAGTTCCACCACTGAATGCCGGAGACCGCAGTCAAATTTAGAGATAAGTAACGACTGTGTATATAATCTACCTTTTCTCGCACAAGGAGTAGTTATCATGGAGAGGAACAGGAATCTCGGCCACAGCAGACATCATCTTCACAATAATATAGCTGTCTGCCCGAATGGCGACGATGTCAGCCTGAGGAAAACGGTGACTCACCTTATCGTCCTCGGTAAGACTTGCTGCCAAGACTGCACAAGGCTGAGATTCAGCCTTGTTGCCGATACAGCCTGACCCCTGTTTTACTTGTACTTGTACGAGGCTTCATCTATGGAACATTCTGCGCCTCATCCTCCGACTCGTTCTTGTCGCACCATTTCGGAGTGGCACAGTTCACCCTCGGGAAACATATTTGCCAAGATCACAATGCTGAGCTTCCAGAAGATGCATCCTGGTACATACTTCTACTTGGCGATCCTTGGGTGGGCAGCTTCCATTCATGATGCCAGCTGACGATGAGCTCAACAGGCTTCCCCGTGGTCAAATACACGTTGCATCCCTGTCCGTGTGGCTTTGATTGGGCGAGACCATGCTCAGTAGACAATAATCACTTCGATCTCCCACCAAAAGCCGCCACAAACATCAAATACAGGCATCAATGTGACAGGGGGCCAAACCGACTTACAGGCTACTTGCCTGCCTTTCTGTTTCTGACTCGCCAAAAGAAAGAATCACGCCCTGGGTCTATCGGAGAAGACCAAGACCTCGTCAGTAAGTCATTCTGGCGACCAGAATGGCCCTCATTCCGAGACGGCGCGATACGTCGTGGAGGACCTCACCGGAACGCAGTGTGCAAACACGACCGTGTATAAAGACAACACACATCCACACAGATCACATGTTATTCTTCTGACGAGCATACAGCGTCCATTGCTGGCCGAGTACTTGTCTTTTTAAATCTGAAAATCGACAGCGCGGCCGACGATAATTCGATAGGATCATAGTCTACTTCTACCTATCATAGCTGTCCATCGCGGCATTACAGTAAAAGAGTAGGAACTGCTACAGTGAGAGGCATGGCAGCGTAGGACACAAAATGATGAGTATAATCACTGCTGATGCTTTCAGGCAACGATATCTGTTAACACAATCAGTTGTAAATATAGCATCCAGTGCGCAAGGACCAAGTATAGAAGATCCTGCGATGACGCGCGTGTTCGTCGGTCACACTGACACAGACGGACAGATGATGAGCATCCGAAGAGTATCAGGTCCCAAGCTTTTCAACGACAGTCTGGTATATCTCATTCGTACTCTACAGTCAGTCTTCATGGCGCGGGAGGCAGGCTCGACGGATAATTGATACTGCTCTGTCTGAATAGGAAGGTGACGATGAACAATAGCCTGAGAATCTGCAATGTGTGTCAGTTTGTTGTTGAAGCTGCAACTTTGAAGACATGGATCAAACGTATGCCACAGGCCTCCAAAAGACACTGATCTGCATGGAGTCACTCGCAGCTGACTGTCTTTCGCTGGCAGTCCATGAGGGAAGACAGACGTAAAAGAGACAGGCAAGAATGGAGCAACAGGACTCGAAAAACTAGCACAGTAATTCTGTTTGAGCGTTACAAGCCGGGAAAACGATCCTGGCATCGATCGATTTATCAATGTGACAGCAAATAGAGGCCATTCGATGATCACGCACCATACCCATAACGAGTGCAGTAAGAACGCCGGCAGTCTTTCCAAACCCTTGCAAGAGAAGGTAGGGGTGGAGTGTGATAGCCGTTTTGGCTGCCTTGGAGGATTTGCCGTCCAGAGAACTCACTCGTGCTGCGACCTATCGCACCGGTAAGCCACGACCAGGGTCGAGGAGAAATCCATCGTGACAAACCCAACCATAGGTTGGATTTCTCCGTCGTCTTCAGCATGAACGACGAGAACGGCTCAACGGTCAGAATGCATGGTCGCCTGGCCCGTTTGGGCACTGCGCCGACTCCACCATCGCTGTGAGGCTGTCCAGTGGTGTGCAATCCGCCTGCCCCCAATTAGCCCTTGCTAATTCCTAGACCACTGGCAGTTCTCATCTCAGATTCCTTTCCCATCGAAGCGTACGAGATGGAGCTCGCTGCCCACTAATCCTGGGATCCATATCTGCGACAACGATCCGTCAAGTGGTTGGGTGACTTGGGTCGCATGATATTCAAGTTTCGCACGATGACGATGTTTTACTGATCCCAAGCACGCCGGCCAATGGACCGCGCTTGCAAAGAGACGATCGCAGGCTTGTCGTTGCCCTGTCTAACCATCCCTGTCGCGAACGCCGAAAGCAGCCGCGAGGATCACTGCGTGAGGTGCTTCCTAGCGTGGTTATGTTGCAGATTACCTGCTTCTCTCCATTGACCCTGGTCAATTGTTTGCACCTCTTTCCATGCCGTTGCTGTTGGAAGTCAGGGGCTTGTGGCTTCCACGACCAAGCGTGAGGACCATATCTGTGACGACGTATGGAATACGATACTGACCAGCGACAAGCTCAGCCTCAATAGGGGTAGCTTTCTGGCGGTCACGGATATGTTTCGTTCTGGGGTCTGTCCGCGGATTGCCTGGAGTCGCGAATACGCACTCACCTGTACAGACTTTCCTGAGTCAAGAATAGGCGTCGTTCGAGACTTTCAGTAACCTTAGTGCCTATGTCCAGAAGATTGCGACTTGGTGTACCTAAATCTTCATCGAACAGATCCTGTATCAGCAGTGCAGATTCAGATCTTTCCGATGTCGCATGGATATCGATACATGTGTCAGATCTGATCATGTTGCTGCGCAGATGCATCGCACGAAGCGAACGCTGGCACATGTTTCCATCGACAGACACAGATTCACAAACACAGGCAGTCGGAGCATCGTACGATGGTGGCGAAGGCTGAGCCGAAACAACCTCGCTTCGAGGTGAACATGGAACCATCTCCCAGACACAGAAACCCCAAAGAGGTCAGACTGAAACTAGCAGACAAGTAGGATGTCAGACCTGGTAGTCGACACGTGCACAGACTCAACTACTGGCCTGACGGCGCAACCATTAAATGCCCATTCGTACTCAGTAGAGTCCCCTCATGACTAGCATTTGGGTTTTGATATGTTGCCATGTCAAAGTCGCAAAGAGCCCCTCTGTGCGTGCCCCGCTTGTTATGAGGAAACCCCTAGAATGCTCATTACGGGAGGTTTCGATTTCTGGGCTCCGGCGTTGCTCAGGGCGATTTTGTCAACGTGCCAGTTTTCGAGCATTGCCAATGCTCATATTGAGCAGTACGGGAGACGATACTCGTTGCCTCAGCATGAATATCTCTCGTGTGGCGGTTCTGGGTCTCCGGATGCTGACTCGCGCAACGCAATCATTCATTTTTGACTGCCAAGTGTGACAATTGAGACACCACACCAACAGTAGCCTCAATTCGCCGACAAAGGCACAACCGAGGGGTAAGCTTGGATGCTTAGCTTCGGCCCTGTGATTCCAATCAATTCCGTGACCAAGTAGGAACCACCAAAGAATCGTACATTGGAGACACACGTCGGCCCCCTGAGTGTTACTGCTGCAGCGGGTCCCACCGGGATTAGAAGCGCTGGTGGTCGATCTTGTGCAGGGGATTTCCGGGTTCGCTAGCATGGCATTAGTGGTGAAGATGGACTGACATGAACGAGAGCCAAGCATTGTGGTTGTGGTGCCTCGCACGGTTGAATGTCCATTTTCGGTCACCGATCACTTCGCTTCCGATGTCACCAAAGACACCTCATCTCGGTTGTAGTCCCACAGGCAAAAGGGCAGAGAATAGAAGACAAGTCGACGCGAACAGAGCAAGTTCAAGAGAGCGATCCTCGATCGCGCTTATCCTCAACGGCTGTTAAGGTCTAAAGCTTGGACCACCAGATGGCCAGCCGGAGATGGCGCCGCACGGTACTAAGGCAGACTTGAACTTTCTGACAGCATGAAACTGGAGTTTTGTTGATTTCAGTCATCGTACGAGTACGAATTCAAACCTGTAACATGATAATGGCCCAGGTGCTAACTGGAGGGTCGAAAAGAAATCTAGTAGGAGGAGCTTTCAGCGCTTTGACGTGATCCGCAGCATTGGGTGCTGAAGGATTTTTCCGAGCATGATCAAATTGTGGTTTTGGCGCTTCACAAGCCTTGAGATAGGCGGGGAACCGACGGCGAGCTATCGAGTGCTAAGCCTTGAAATCGTAACCGAGACATTAAACGGTTCGGCACCAACTTCTGATTTCTTGAACAAGGTTAATGTCTGGAAGCGACGTCTTCAGGGTCCTTAGAGGCTTCAGATTATCGATGTCTGAAACTGACAGTGACTGAGACTAGCATGTTGTTGTACCTTGACCAACCGTCTCTGACAGAACGTCTTGGGTAACTAGGGCATGGCCTATGATTGTTGTTGTGCTTGATTTTGCCGCCATTGCCGGGGGATGAATCTATCATTCGAGTCCAGACCCTAAAGGATCAATGATGGCTGTTGGTGTCAGTCATGGCAGGCGGCAGACGGATGCCCGATTCTACTAACTTAGTCAGTGGATGCACTTGGATACGAGAGCACTTCGCTTTTACGCTTCATTGGCCGCATCGAATTCGTCCAAGATACAAGTCGGGCTTCTGTCGAACTACTCGTAAAAGCTGGTAAATGATCGTTCGGGAACGCGCTTTTCCGTTGTATCGAATAAGGAAAGGAAACAGGAAAATGCCCATCAAACCTGCATGGGGAAAATGATGAAAGAGCATCGCTGACATGCGCCTGCAGACCTAGGCACGGAGTACCTGTTCCTTGTTCGCACTGTGACGCAAGTCATGCACGCTGGTCAATCGCTCCTCCCTTACGTACAATCACCGTACTAGTAGAACAATCATCTTGCGGCTGCTTCATGGTCAGTAAAGACATGATACGGTATAAGAATCTTACCATTCTGAGGCGTGCTTGACAAACACAGCATATGATGCAGACCGCGTGCCTAACACGCAGTACTGCTTCTCATCTCAGATGCCCTGACGACGCCACTGAGTGCGGAGGTATCTTTCCGAGCAACTATCAGATCAAGGCAAGACGCGTCCGGAGATCCCCCAATACCTTATTTGCGCCCCGGGTGGTTTCATGCGGCCTTAGAGGGACGCAGGCGGACCTGTTGGGTACAGTTCAGGGCCTTCAAGCCCTGCCATGTCCCGCGTCCTTACCAGGGGTTTGTCTATCACAGTAAGTCATCTGCAAGTGAGTAACGCCAGCCACAGCCAGCGCCCTCTTCCGTGCGCCAAAGGACGGGGAATATGTGTCCGTCTGCATAGTTTGAACATAGAAGAATGAGGCTCTGTTTCGGGCAAATAAGACGTCCACGCAAATCAATATCGCATCCTTGTTTGTGCATAGCCCGAGCCTTTCCGTCCCCGGCAAGAAAGACGGTCCAAGGTAATCGGTGAGCTGTCAGGTACTTGTGACAAGCGCTGCTATTAGTGGTTATCATCGAGGCAGGAAGTTCTCGGCGGGAACAGCACTGGCCGGGGCGAGCAGTTGAAACAGGTCAGGCATACTCGTACGGGGAAAAGCGCTGATCGTGGTGTGGACGATGGACTGGCGGCGCTGCTGATCGCGGGCGATCCTGAGCATCCCTGCAGCCTCAAGTCAATTCCAGGCCAAGAAGGCTGGTCTGGCCAAGCGCCGTTGAGATAATCCATCTGCGTATGGACAACAATATGTGCCGAGAATCGGGCCATTCCAGCTTGTCCTGTTCAAGTTACTCTAAGGAGGAACTTCCGGGTGACAAACCTCGAATCCTGTCTGTTGCTCGTTACGAACATTCAGAAAGTGGCCTGACATGAACATGACACCGCCCTACCCACTCTTGTTCCCTGCATTCCTAGTCAGCTTCTAACTCGGCCACCCGGTCTCCATTACGAAGAGCTTCACGTCTGGAGATCGTGAGACACGCATACGGCTTGGTGAATAGAAAGAGGCCAGGAATGACAAAGCGGAGCGCAGGAAGGATACCAGGACTTGTAGTTGGTAGCATCCTGCAGCCATCTCGATCAGGTCCATCTCGCACGACCATCACCAGATCGACCTTCAAGTAAAAGGTTTAACACTAGGTAGCTTCCAGTACTGGGGTCGGGACAAACAGGCGAGACATTCTATAGCAGAATCTTAACGAGGAGAAGCATACTCTATCCCACAAATCAATCCAGGCCGGAAATGCATTTGTCACCAAGGGACCATGTAAAGGGAACAAGTCAACATTTCGTATAATATTCATATTTGAACACAGGGTCACAAGACACAATGGGAGAATTGAATTGTCTTTCGCTATTGCTTGCGGTAAAATCCTTGACCATTCGTAATGAATCCTGGTCCGAATGCGCGATCTCACCCTGTATTGCTGAGGAAGCCAGAATTGATGCTCCTTGACAAACAACCTCCCCTCCACTTATGCATGCCACCGTGCCCTTCAATCTTTCCTTGATGTTCAATTCTCCGTCAACTAGATAATAACAAATATTCCTAACATATTTTCATGGAACCAGAATGCTCCAGAGGCCTCTAATAAGGCCCAAGCGATTTGGGGTATCAGAGACGATCCCTTTCCACAGGGACATAAAATCATCACCCATGCACCATAAAAATGCCTCTGAAAAGGCATGTGACTGCGCAATGAGACGCCTGTTCCTTTTTCCCGAGGGGTTTCGCAGTCCCGATGCAAATGTATTCGTCTGTACAGTCCCCGTCAACCAAAAGATCGCTTTCGTATAGCCGTTGATGGTGTAAAAGTCGACAGACAACCAGCCTCCCACAATTCCCATCCACAATATTGTTCGCAGAGAAATTCTTCAGCCATATAATCGTAATCGTCATCTCCTAAAAGAGATGGAGTATGTACCAACAAGTGAATTCGTCATGTTCGTCGATCTCTCAATTGGGTCGACGAGCCTAAGGTCGTGTGGCGTCAAGGTGCTTAGGCCGAAGGTTCGACCCAGTCAAAGCCGCTGCCTTGTTAACTCCCATTTTTCGTGTCAACTTGGCGTAATGTAGCCCACATGCGTTGCACAGGGTGCGCGCGCCATCGGGTCCTCTTCGCCATTCTGGTGTTTCAGCACGGTTGCAACTATGGCATCGGCCCGGAGGTGCAGCCTTTTGCTGGACCTTGTCAGTTAGCCACCTTTCCCATGAGAATAAGAACAGTACTTACACCGCGGCGTTGTTTTTTGGCGTCCCTCTCGCCTCGATCACCCAGCGCGGGGTTTCTATACCCATCAGGCAGACCATGGTATTCTTCCGCTTGACGAGCACGACGTTCGGACAAGGCGGTCTGTTGGGCAATGACTAATTCTCGCAGATGCGACAAGTTTTCGAAGATACGATGTGAATGACGGAGGACGTCATCCATCTCGTTTAGGCTCGGGAGCGCCTCGTGAAAATAGCCTGAGCGACTGCCATGATGAAATCGTTGAGCCCAAGTTCTGGCAAAGTCTAAAGTCCGAGCAGATGCCTCATTAATCTGTGCATGGTCAGCATATAAGTCAGCCACGAGCATAGGATATTCGTACCTCATTGAAGCCGAGTTCGGCGTCAAACACATCAAGGTGTCTCTTGACAGTCTCACTGAACTCGCTGAATTGAGCCTCTTCGGCTCTCGGGTAAGCAGATCGTTGCAGGTCGTTTTTGCCCTCCGCGCCGAACTGCACTGGCTCATGAGGTGGAGGGATATTCAAGGACGCTGGCTTGTTTGTGTGTGGGAAAGGGTATGCTTGCTTCGCCGGCTCATATGCCTGAGGCGAGGTTGCGGGGGCGTGCTCGTTATGATTCGCGAATGAGGTGTTCGTGAGAGATGTCGAACGGAAGGCAGGCGGAGGATGAGCACGAGGGGATCCAGGATAGCCAAAATGTTGGGACACCGGTTGACGAGGGTCTGTGTTCGGTATAGGGGGCTTCTCCAAGGGCGCAGGAATGGGCTTTTGAGTCGTCCCGAATACATCCCGCAGAGCTGGTGGCGGAGCCTGAGACTGGGAGAATGGGTTGGCGGGACCTCTGGGACCGTCCGGAAAGGTTTGGCCAACGGCAGTCGATGGAGTTGAAAGAGGTTGCTGTTGTTGTTGCGAGCCGGCGGACAGAGACCCGGACAGAGACATTGATCTGTCCCCCAGAGCTTCGTGGATGGATGGTAGAGACTTGCGCAAGCCAGGAGATTCCTTCTCATCCCGCGTCGATCGTCTAGTTGTGGATTCTGGAGGAGAGATATAGCCAGATAGACCAGACGCTGATCCTCCCGTAGATGGTGCGTACGAAAAGGGTTGAGGTGGTCCAGAATACATTGTGGCCGTTGGACTGGTTATGGATGCGGTCGATATACTTAGGCCATTCATTATGGAAAAGCGAGAATGACCATTCTTGTCATTGTTGATAGCCTCCAAGTCGAGATGGCTGATGGGAGGTAATGTGTCCCTACAATTTTATCAGCATGGCCATACATAATTGACGTGAGAAACACTGCGAGAACCGACCTTTGTCTGGGACCCATGTCCATAGTCGCCATCTCGGCGGTTAGGAATGTCTTTTGCCCCTCGACGTTGTTGGATATTTACGTCCCAAGAGAGAATTCAAAGACCATGTGAACGGCTCAAATGGCGTAATTTCCTTGTGGTCGTATGTATGTATGTTGCCGAGAGGATTCAAGGATCTTCCGTCACCACGTAACGCAACCTTCCGACAACGGAACCGTCGCACCAATGAGCACTTCCAGCAGAGTCTTCGAAGCGGATGAGGATTGTTTGCGTGTGTTCGATGAGCGACTGATCTGAAGTCACTGGTAATCGTATGAGAGTGGTGAGAGAGAATGCGGCGAATTTGACTTTCCGGCCGACGGGTGCCTTCCCTTTGATACGAGTGCTTTGCACAGTCGACAGCCCCCGTAGTAAGGAGTGCAGAGGAACCAGCAGCGTAGAAGAGGTTCCAAAATGCAGGTAGACCAAATGAGTCGATGGTTGTGTATAGATCAAAAATGCAGCAACTGCGCAGGATTGGGTGATGGAGGATCGGAATCGAGAGGTTTAGGATGGTGAGTGGTGACGGGTAGCAGGCAAGAGGATGGAAAGAATGAGCAAGTCTTAGAGAGCGAGATGGGCGGAGAACAGATCGAGAGATCGCACTAGCATGGGGCCACTCTTTACAACAAATCCAGTGGGCGGCTTTACACCAGAGTCTGACGCGGGCATTTCCAGTCAGTCGAGGTCCCAGAAACCAGCGCGGCGGCCTGTCAAAGCCTAGGAATCTGGGAGAGTGGACTCGGAGGGGTTCTTTGGGTTCTCAGATAGCGTTTTGGGCATCCTTACCACAAGTCAATGCCCGCTCCTCGGACGGAAAAAGCGGATATGTCTTTTTGGGCATTCGACAGGGGCTTGCCGGTGGACGATCATGATGAGCGCTGCACTTCGATGCCGATGATGATGATGATGATGCGTGGAAGGCGCAGCCAGTACGAGCACCCTAGTCAAGCCCCCATGCAGGCTAGATTCATCACCCAGGAACAGGGAACTGGCCCTGGCCCTTTAACTTTGGGCCTACTGTGTTGGAGGTGGTGCTAGGCATGGTCAGGTATGGAGACCAGCGCCCAAAACTTCACAGCACCAGGTGAAAGGAATATCGGGCCCGGGAATGCACTATAGGGTCTACTACGAGTACTCCGTACTAAGGATACACTGCACTGGCGCCTGTCGACTTGTTGACATCTGGGCACTACTCTTTCTCCAGAAAACTCGTCTTCACTTGCCTCTCGTATCTATCGATGTCACAGCATCCACAAGACCATCACAAACCACAGTACGTGATGAAGTGCGAAACAGACTCCAACCCATACATCTCCCTGCATCGCCTCTGAGCCCCATACCAGCGTTTCTGTCCCCAGAGGCTTAGAGGGACGCGAATCATCAGATTCACCACTCCGGAAATGGCAGAGTCGGGGGCACAAGGGGAGGGGCAGAATTGGGAATAGGGAGAAGATGGTGGTCGCAGCTTTCTCGTTGCGGGAAAACAACTCCCTCATCCATCGCTCTCAAACATCGTCGCCTAAGCGAGGCGCCCTAGCCGGCACTTCCAAACTTTTTCTAATAAGGCATGGGACCTGCTGACCTCTTGAGGTTTAGTGAGTTCCCTTTTGTCGACAGTACGGACCTCCCCTCCCTCCCTCCATGTACGAAGGTAACCTATTCTTTGTCCCGACCGCCTAACCAATGCTATCGAAATCCGCATGACACTACCGGTCTCTCCACCAAACTTCCTTTCTTGGGGGCCTCCTTTGCGATCAAGCCAGATCCTTCTTCCCGGTGCTACAGATGTTGATACCTTGTGGTTTTGACATGGCCGTGTCTTGTTGCCGCCCACCCTTCCTGGTTCAAAACATCAAGCTGTTCCCTGAGGTCGGAAGGAATGCAAAATTGCTGACTCCGGCGTCGGATCGAATGACATCTCTTTGACGGCTGGCTGAGAAGTCAGTGTGCAAGATCTTACAGACAGCCAACGAGCGGCGATTTTGGCGGGCGCTACACGTGGAGCATGAAGCTAATCGGTCATCTACCAGATGTTCCCCTTCCCAAGGTTTGTACACGATCGTCCGTGCGACGTATCAGAAGAGTCTGATCTTCACACCCTGGCGCCATGGAGCATTCCCTGGTCGAATCGAGTGGTCATGATTGTATCATTGATTTCTACACTGTATCTATTCCGCCACACATTCAACCACCAAACCTCTGCAACGCCATCCAAGGTGTGCTAACTTTCCATGCTGGTGGCTGCCTACAATTATTTTCCAGGCAAATCCAGATCCGTCACGCTCTAAGATTCGGCTATCTCAAACTTTTCGATCGAATCTCGCTTAGAGATGTGGCTTGCCCATCTCATGAATGCTCGTCCACCCGGCCTGCCATCCAATGAATCCAGATACGATGTCCACGGATGTCTTGGTCCTGAACCTCAGGGTTCATCTCGGCTAGGTGCAGAGACATTCAACATGCCACGCATGCCCAACTCTCGGGGTTGAAGCGTGGCAAAATCTTGGAATTATCTCGCACCAGAGAACGCCGTAATTTTGTTTTGCATGACAACGTCGAATTTACCGCACAGAAGCTTGATGAACAATCCTCTTTCTCGAGTTTGGGACGATGATAGCCAACGATTCAGTATCTCCCCATTCATGTACGCGCAATGGAAACTCGCATCCTGACAGCTGTCAGCGAGTTCCTGCCCGGAGAACTGGAATTTGAGATCGATGCTCGTAGCCGCTTCCGTTTTGGTTTCTGTGCGACCTCGAAGAACGAACAATCAGGATGAGTACGCGTTGATGAGTCAAGACCTCAGAACCTGGTGGCGCGACTTCCTACCTGACAGTCACGCCGCTTCATGGCTTCACATCGAGAAAATTGGTGTTTTGATAGCACCGGTTTGATGCATCTAGTCAATTCGGCAGCTTCTCCTGCCTCTACGATCTCATACACACAGGTATCCCCATGCCTGGCGACCCTGACAAGCCTACGGAGCATCTTTCCGATACTCGTCGCTCAAACCTCAGTCGTGCCGTGACCCTGAACTTTAAGGGAGTCCTTGCCGAACTGGACGATTTAGGCGCCCAGGTGCGATCACTGGCAAAATCGGCAAACAATAATAATCACGGTCTTTTTTCCGCGCCCAGAACGTGACCTTGTAACCCAATACCCGCTCGGAGTATTTGTTGCAGAGCAAAGGGATGATCAGATTGGCGTCACAACCGCGGCACGCAGCTCAATGTTAGGCGACAACCAATCCATCAAAAGTGCATAGACAGGCTATGGTTGTGGCGGTCTTCAAAATCTGGCGAACCCAAAGGCGTATCAAGTCCATGAACTCTTAGCAGTCGTATTTGGATCTTGCAAAGAATGGTTCACTCCTCTGGTTGCAACGGTCAAGCGCCACCAGCACGTGGCGAGAGCAGATTCCAACCCGTCCAAATCGCGATCGAAGACGGATTCTGGGCGGGATCCTTTCCCAAGGTCGCCTAGGATGGCCTGGGCAATCTTGCTTGCATGGATACACCCCTGTGGCAAATGATCTCATGCATCATGCTGCATGTTTAGCGCCCAGCCACAAGTCGAGGGCCGTGCCCTTTTCCCCGACCGAGGTCCGCACCAGGTCTTGTGTATGCTTCGTCGTACACAACTACCATGGTCAGATACTGTGTAAATGGAATCACCTCGCAAGCGACGTTCCACAAAGGTTGCAGAACTTTGACGACACAGCCAATGCGACCACAAGAAGAGAGGATGTGAAGCACCATGTTTGGGTTGTGCGGCCAGAATGAGCATCACTGAACTTCCCGACAAGAACCATCAGATGGTTGACCCTTCAACATCTCCCAGCCCGAGTTAGTCAGCTCACAACTTGCCCTCGTTTGCTGCTGGGGTGCATCGTGTATGCAAACATGCAAACTGCTCATGTAGCTTTCAACGCTTGTGCATGTTTGGTTCCGGCGACCATTACTCTATCTCGTGTTGCTCTTGTTCCCATGGTGTCGCAAGCCATACATCGGGCCAGTCCAGCGGACTCTGGGCGCTGCGGCACTAGACAGGTATATCATCACAATGTCAGACTCAACGCTCTTTGTGCCGGGTACTGGATGATCTGAGGCAGTGCTCGAGCAGTTGGAGAAACCCAGATGGAGCTGGGGTGATGACCGAGGTCTAAGTTCTACACAGCCCTTGACCTCTGTGTAACCCAGATCAGATACCCCCGCAACCAGTCTCAGGTGAGCCAAAGAGACTGGGCAGACACTCTGGCCGGCGGTGATACTTTGTTCAACCTAGAGGGTTTGACAGGGCTCTTGCTTCTCCTGCACAAGACCGCTTTAGGATCATGTCGGCTTGTGGCTCATCTGCATGACGCTGCCTAACAGGTTGCCTGACTGAGAGCGACCTTGACTATCGACGTCACCTTCGACGAGCATGTCGTCGCCTAGGTCTCGTTTCCGGAACATTGTCGAGAAAATGGATAGTCGGTCTCGGATCGAGTGTCTCACCATCCTTTGAGCAGCTGGGGTGCAAATCGCTTCTCTGCTGGCCTACACAAAGAAGCGTAGGTTAGCCAAAACTACCCCATGTCGCAGGTTGAACAAGCTGGAACTACGGGATACGAGGTAAGCAAGCCAGAGGGAGAGTGGGACAATCTGCAACAAGATATTGCCATACGGACCGCAGCTGTCAAATCTAGATGGCGCACCCCGGGTGAGTCCCAAGTCCCTCAAGCGGTCAGCTCTACAGAGTAAGTGATGCACGAGAATTGTTTGCTTCTGTCGATGTCATTGGGGCTTTGTTTTGAATTGGTTACACAGCACTTCCAGGGCATTGGACGGAGAGCCAACCAGCAACTAGCAGATCAGTTGTCATCCCTGATTCGGCAACCCAGAAGTTTGCTTCTTGGAGACACGACGCCATTGTCACAAACATTGTGCCGGAGAGGCTTCCAAGCCGGTTCGTACGAGCGCACATCTGAGAGACCTAGCGAACCCCGTTGACTCCCTTCTTTGAGACTTGCCCCGGGAGGAATCACGCAGCCAAGATGGAAATTTCTGCCCAACCTGTCCTCTCCAGGCAGCTGTGGCTTCCCGAAGCGCATTTCGTAGTGCCCCAATGATCATGACGAGCATCCCAGCTCGATATGGAAGACGAGATCTTGTCGGCCCCAGAAAACCCGTCCGACCTGCAGATATGACAGCGGGAGCCTACCTGGTTGCCCAGAATCCTCTCTGGACGTTCGACAGCCCTGCACAATGGATACTGTGTGTTTGAGCGTTGGTACGCGGTATCATTGATGCCTCCCGGGGAGTCCCCCTCAGTAGGCAATACAAAGTCGCATGCGGACATCCGGCTGACGTTCTCCTCTAACACATCGCCCGGGATTAAAACGCTGATATCTTTGGTTTGCGACACTGTAGATCCTGGCTACGAGTGCCGGCCAGTTTGGGCCAAATGTCGAAAACCTCAACACGCACATGCAGAATATCAGGTGGGTACTTCTCAGAAAGCCTTGCATAGGCAGGCTACTGCTGTCGCTGGAGAAGGTGGGTAACTACCTGCATGGCTAAGCATTTCAGCCCTCCTGCGTCGATTGATCGAACAATGGGTAGCAGAAGAACTCTGGTCAGGCATAATGTGCCATCTTCACGACTTGGGGGAGGCCAGAGTTTCCTGATCTTGTAACATCAGGCAACTTTTGCTCGTGGACACAAACGCAGGGCTGGACCCCGAACGCCACCAGCATATGAAGATGACTGGGGAGATGGCTGTTATGAATGCGGCTGATCTCTTTCATGACCAGCTGAAACGTACGGCACCATGCATATAAGTGCAATGACAATGTGTTTGTTCGCCTTTCCTCGTTGGGGAGGGGTTCCTCGTAATCTTTGGAGAAGAAGAGATCATGAAGGGTATATAGCGTTGCAAATTCATGCTCTTCGGATACAATGAGGGTTGAACTCCTGTGGCATCGTAACAAGCCAACCCAATCTTTATCCGTGTTTTATCATCAAGTGGGGCATCTCACATTGTAGGTTGCTCATAGTGAAGTCAGAGCATCAAGTCTTGATAGGAATTTTGGTTCTCTGCTCGTTCTAGTGATAACAGCATTGCTTGCTGCATCGCCCGGGTTTACTCTTCTCATAAAGAGTCTGTCGATCCAAAGTCTTCCTCCAAACGCCGAACGCCTTGCTGATTGAGTTGCTCATATACACGTAAATTCATGGGGAGTCTCTTTTCATTTCTTTGCCGGTGGCTGAGGTTTATGTCCCGATTTTAATTCTTCCCAAAACAGTTTGACGAAGTGACCGATGCCGCGGCCGGCTTCTTCTTCGGCTGGATTGAAGAAATACGTAAGTATCTTGTTTCTTGCATATTACAGCACTCTTCGAACCAAGTCTAGAGATGTATTCGGAGAAGGCAGTGATTGAGGGGGCTTTCGACGTACGTTCGATATGTGTCCCACCATAATATTCGGGTGGTTTGCCATGTTGTAATTGATGGACTGTTTTGTGGACTTTTTGAACACCACGATGGAAGGATGGACTGTTAAGAAGCTGGGGGTGTGGTCAGCGATGGATCAGCGGAGAGCGACCGAATGTGTGCGCACTGTTTCGATGAGGCGTTTCTGCTGTTTGTTAGAGTCGGGATAAAATGGTGGGAGAGGCAGGGCAAACCTCGATGTGCCACAGCCACCAGGCCATCCTGGTGAATGTGTAGGTTGTATGCGCGTGGGCGACGGAGGCTAACTGTCGAGAAGGGTACTGTCGATGGAAGTTCGTCGTGTATGACTGCCTCAGGACTGCCAAATGATCTGGGGCGAGGATGGAAGACAATTGTAAAGATAATGCGGCGTCGGCTTGTGAATCGAAATGATATAGCAGAATATGGAACGTTCTTGTCTGCCAGTGGTGGCGGCCGCATCGAAGTCAGATGGTAATGTTATTTACTGGATGTTACCAGCTAAAGTGCCTGATACGTGGATTGAAATGCTGTAAATACGACATTCATTACAGGCTCCCCCTACCTGCCGCACTCCCACGACACGCACGACGTTCCTGCAAAATGAGGTCAACGATTCAGCCTCGACCCCAGGAGTAACTTAGTTTTCTCAATCATTGGAACCATGCATTGTCGCTTATACCCTTGGTCCAGTCGTGCAAGGCTATCGATCGATCATCGCTTTCTTCCATGATCGCAGAATAGCTTATTACCCCGTACCTTTACCGAAGACGACCGCATGGGAAACTCTTGAAACCGAAACCCCTTGGATCTCGGTAATCAGCTCAAGGTAATTGGCCGTCCGTCAACTCATCCTCGACCCGACATCACTAGAAGCCTATGAAGAAGTTGTTCCTTGCTGAGTCACTGACTTTCACCATTGTGAAGACAGAACTGGAAGATCAGATCAGGAAGAAGTGCTACGCCTGAAGTCAATAATATCACTCCTTATCACGCGATATCAAACCTCACTTCCTGCAAACCACCGGGTCAGGGCTTCCAAACTGCTTCTTTAGGCAGTCAAACGTCGTCACTCCTTGATACATTCTCTGAGAACCACAACGACCGCTCCCAGGTCCCTTACCGACAAAGCCGGCGCCGTTTCCCAGGATCTTTCAGTACCTGGGGAATCTCCTAACTCAGTCACCCCGAGGAGACCCTCGATATTTCAACGTTTCCGCCTCCATTCAGGAAGGAGGACCAAGACAACTCCGAATCTAACCATCCGTCCCACCACCGCCTCATCTCTTCCAGCCAGACCGGCGGATGTGAGCCGCCCTGGCTCGTTCCATTCCGATGTTGCCTCGGTTGCCGTGATAACTCAAATCATGCCGCAGTCTCTGGCTATCAGTAATACTCCATCGTCAAGTTCAATCAAGAGGCAAAGGTCTCAAGAGCTCCCTGTGAGTGGGTCCAGACCGCCTTCGTCTGGGCAGACACCCCCAAATGCTGCGATCGCCGAAGGCGATCTCTCGGGCAGAGGAATGTCCGTCAAGATACCTCCTTACCTGGATAAGAATCGAGCAAGTGAGTATACGGCATGGCAGTGTCTCTCTTTCGGTCGTGCAAATGGCCTACAAAGTGCAAGTGCTCACAGGTATGCAGAGATCTCCGCCGCCTTCCAGGATCTAGAATGGAAACAGCGCTTTCGCCTGCAACACGCCTTCCATCATCCAGAATCCCCCTTCCGAGTTGATCGATCGCATACCGTCATCAGCCGAAATCGGTATGGAAACGTGCAGCCATGGGATTCAGCAAGGGTCAAATTGAAGAAACCAATTGGAGGGTCGGACTATGTCAATGCTTCGCCCATCAAACTCACCAGTCATGGTAGCAAGCCTAAACAACGTAGTGTTGTCGCCCCAACGTCCTCTGCTGACCAGATTGCGACCGATTCGGAAATTGAGTACAGATATGTTGCAACTCAAGGTCCAAAGGAAGGCCAGTTTTCTCATTTCTGGCATATGGTCATGCAAGAGTCTGACGAGGTCGGAGTGGTCATCATGCTCACGCAACTGTACGAAGGAAACAAGGAGAAATGCGCACAATACTTTCCGGCCGATATGGACAACCCTACCATAGTCCTTCCAGCCCATGAGGAAGAGAATGAAGATGAAGGAGACTTAACGGACGATGGTGACCCATTCTTGGACTCCCCTAAAAGTAGCGCCGATACTGATAGTTTGGGAACAGATACTGAGTCCGACACGCCACATTCCGAACAGGCCGCGACCGATGGCGTGCAGCGCCAGTGTGGCACAGTCAGTCTGCTGTCTTTGACCTATGATGCGAGCACAGGCTGCGAGGTGCGAATATTGGAGTTGAAAATCGAAGACGAAATCAAGCTCATCCATCATTATCTCTTCAACCATTGGCCGGATTTCGGGAAACCAGAGGCGGAAGATCGAAGAGCACTCATCGAACTCACAAAGGTTTCGAAAGCTGTGGCTGGTGACTCCCCTCGCATCGTTCATTGTTCGGCTGGAGTAGGCCGGACTGGCACATGGATAGCCATGGACTATCTCCTGTCGGAGTTGGAAGCGGAAAGACTTGTTGAGGCACCATCATATATGTCACTGTCAAAGGCAACGTCGTCAACATCGGTCAATAGAAGTGGTACCTGGGGAAAGAGTGGGCCTCCAAAACCAAGTACGCCTGAGACGAGGGAGGAGGATGACCTGATCTGGGAGACGGTTAATAGTCTGCGTGAACAGCGGATGATGATGGTCATGAACGAACTGCAATTTAGCTTTCTTTATGAAGTGCTCAGAGACGCCTTCATGGATAAGTATGCCCAGAAGGAGACTGGCCCTGTCGTCAAGGACGTCCAGGAGCCCAGTCCGAAAGTGGCGAGGAAGGAGTCGTCGCAACGTGGGATGTATGAGAGCGTCCAAAATGAAGAAGCCGAAGAAGACGAGGATGCTATGGATGATGCTGCATCTAATTCTGAAGCGGAAACGGAAATCATGGAGAAGGACAAGGGTGAACAGGCAGACAGCTCTGGCAAAGCCGCCGAGCCGGAAGTCGAGGACTCCTACGCTGTGGTAGCGCCGGCGGCGATACGTGAAGGACAAATGAAGCAAGAGCAGAACGAAGTACGCGATCACGAAGTGAAATGAATGGGGAAGAGACTAGGAGTCGAGCACTTCAATGTTAACGACAGTGATAGTGCTGGTGATTGTTGCATGACATCGTGGTGTGTATGGCAAGGTTGGCGTGGGCATTGTTTATGAGCATTGTGTCATCTTGAGTTGGATGGAATCAAGACCGGCAGCGCAGTGGGATATGGGACATATTATGCTGTTATGCTGTACCGGTGATGTTCAGAATGTCAAGCACATGACAACGGAGAACATGTCTTAGATCTCTGGTCCCCCCAGTTTAACGTGAGAGGATGTTCCCGTAAGCCTGAGTCATCTCCTTCCAACGGTGCATTTCAAGTCGCATCGAACTACTCCTCCTGCAGCCACAAGCGACACCAAGCTGGCCAAGAGGGCAAGCACAGGCGGCCGGGTAGCAATTTTTAATCTCCAAATCCAAAGCCTTTTGTGCATTTCGTGCATGCGAAGTGGATTGTAAGGTGTATGTGCGCGACGATCACCCATGGCACCGTCGCTGCACGTCGTCTCGCACGGTCACCTGCTGATTGACGAAATTTTGACACAATTACCACATCTGGGAGGGTCGACAGCCCGTTCGGGCAAAAATGTAGCTTCGAACAGCTGGGAAAAGAAAATTAACGGTAGGGAAAACCGGAGGCGGCTCCGGAGTGGGGTGCTGGGTGGCTGGCTTGCAGCGGCTGGCGTTTAACGGGCTCGGGGGTCAAGGGTTCAGGGGTCACGAAGTGGCGGTCAACGGCTTGAAGATGGCTGGAAGAAGTTTTCGAACACATGTGGTTTTTTTAAGGTTAAACAAAGAGACCGTGCGAGGGCCCAACAACGTGGCACCGGGTCGTGGAAGGGAATTTTCTTCTGTGGGTGGTTCGTGGTTCGCCGTTTGAATAAGCACGGATACCCGTAGCTCGTAAAGGGAAAAGAAAATGGAAAAGGAGTACAAAGTAACGAGATGCACGGACGCCGGGACCACAAAGACGGGAAGAAGAAAAAACGTGAGACGGCAGGCTTGATGGGCGGGATGATGACATGGCGAAGATGACCATGTGCAGTCCGGCGCCACGATGTCACATTTTGGGCGTGGACGGGAGACCTCGTATATGCACGGACGTCGGTGGTGATCTACACCTGCACGTGGATGATACCTCGCAGGCAGTACGAGAGAGAAGTGTGGGTGGGCAAGAATAGACGAACACGAGTATTGCATGTAAGCAACACAATCAGTATATAGGTAGCCTCCTGCAGAGGACACGACTATGCGGTGAACATCTAAGGCGGCTGGAAAGTGTCCACGATGGCAAGGTAATTGATATTGCATTAAGCAGAAAGGCGAGAGACAGAACCCATCACGAAAGCGGCGTTGAAAGACCAGAGCATGACTACCTAGGTATGTATGCGGATGGCGGACGTGGACCTGGTCCAGCATGAATTGTAGGAGGTCACTCATCAAATGACAAGGCTGTGATACTGCACTCCGTCTATGTTCTAGTTCGCTGCTGTGTGAGTATCGCTTCGTTGATACGATTCGAATTGCGAAAGCCCCAGAGAGTCCTTGCCAAAAGTATACTGTACGTCGGTAGTGCCAACACCCTCGTCAGACACCTTAGACCTTCTCGATCTGATCTCCAGTCGGCCCTGCCTCGCCCTTGACCGGCAGCATCGACGTAACCCCAACACCACCTTCCAGCAACTGGCGGTCCAACTCCTCTCTCTTCTCGGCACTAAGCTGATTGATATCCAAAGCAACCTCGTCGCCGAAAAGACCTGATATCTCCTCGAGACTAAGCTGCTTCGTCTCAGGGAAGAACTTCCACATCAAGCTGGCGCCAAGGAGCGGCAGGATGATGAAAACAATGTAGAACTTCCAGCCGACTGATGCAAATGCCACGGGCGCAGTCTGCGTGTATATCAGGGTAGCTGTGAAGAGACCGGCCACACTGAAGCCTGTGCCCTGGGCGCGGAGCGGAGTCGGGAAGATCTCACTGCAATACACATAGCTCGTAGCGTCCATAGAACCGCCGTAGAAAAAGACGAAGAGAAACAAGAAGAACACCCCGAAGCCGTTACCGACTCGGTTGGTCGTTCCGCCGAACGTGGCGACCATGGCGGTGAAGCAGATCAGAGAACACGCGCAGCCGGTCTAGACAAATGGTCAGTGACTCTTTCAGGAAGCGCCGGATGTGCTGTACGTACAAGACCGATGAGCATGATGCGGATACGTCCTAGACGATCCAAGAACAACGAGTTGACAAAGTTCATGATCGCGGCTAGACCATTGTACAAGCCGTTCAGCAGCAGTGGCAACGATCCAGTAATGCCGAGGGATTTGTAAAGTAGGATCTGGTAGTTGTTGACGACCAAGACGCCTGCGTGTATCACGTCAGCAGGATTCCTCTAGGCTGATGGAAGATGCAAGTGTTACCTGTGCTTTGCGCGATGAACTGCGTCCCAAAGCCGAGGATCAGCCTCTTCCGCAGGCTGGGCTTCTTGAAGAGTGTGGCCCAGCTCTTATTCAGCTGGTCTGCGCGTTCCAGTTCGATTTGCCGGCGGATCTGTAGGTACTCTTCTCGAGCCACGATCTCGTCTGGGTCGTCGGGACGTGTGTGCAGCTTGCGAAGGACTTTGAAGCCGTCCTCATGGCGGTCATGGTCGATGAGCCACCGAGGTGATTCTGGAAGCCTTTGGAAAAGTGAGCAAGACGGCGGATCGCGAAGGAAATTTCAGGAAAACATACCATGGTGATCCAATGAACAGCAGAAGAGGAGCCACAATCTGAAGGCTAAGACAGAGCCTCCAGCTGACTGTCGCGGTTGCAAAGTATGTGCCAAAGCCAGCAAAGCCAGCAGCGCTGTATCCGATCACGATGAGAACCCCATGGGCACCGACCATGCGGCCTCGCTGGCGGGCTGGCGAGATCTCGGACTGAAACACAGGGATTGAGGTGTCTAACATGCCAACGGCGAAACCATTGAGGAAGCGGGCGATCAGAAACATGGCCTGTCGATGCCGTTAGCACACAGACCAATGGTCTTAGATCTTCGACGTACAATGGCTACACTGCCGCCCTGCAAGGCAGCCGAGATGACTGCCACAGCCGCTGCGATCTGAATGGTTCGGCGACGACCCAGGTGGTCAAGAAGCCAGGGGACGAGGATACATCCTAGGATGCCTCCACCAGAATAGAGCCCATTGATGGCTGTCTCTTGTAAGTGCGAGCGACCGAGGTATGGTTGTCTGACTTACCTCCGGTAATCTGGTTTCCCTTAGTATCATCTAGGTTGATGTTGAAGTATTTGAAGAAAGCTGGGAGGCCGATGACAAGTCCTGTGATTGCGGAATTGAATCCGTATGTAAAACTCCCAAGGGCGACGAAGAAGACGATGAGGAAGTTGTATCGTGTTGATCCTGATCCTTTAGCCATTTTGCGGACGATAAATCCAATGATTAAACTGCAGAGCAGTACCAGTGACAGAAGAGCAAGGCTTACAACAGCCGCGTCCTTCGCGATTCAATGCAAGACTTTATCATTTCTCGGACGTTGGGGTCGTTCGGCCAGGTACTTTCGAGCTCGGGGGATAAATGCCGGTACCTCGGGGCGCTGGGGTCCCCAACCTTCCCCAACCCTAAAACAACCCAATATCTGGAGATCGCGCCATCATTGATTGATAAGCGACGGTCAACACGGGTTGTCCCCGACGCCAGAGGACATGCTTGAAGCACGGGGAGAGTACGGATACTGCAGTGATCAGCACGTAGTAGAATTGTGCCATGCTAGCCTTGCTGAACGAGCCAATAATCGAGATTGCAGCCACATATCCGCATGTGAAATCGATCAGCCTCGGGCCACGATACCTAGTTTCCCCTCAATCCTGCAAAGCCTTTGACATTTTCAAGTGGCTCCGATTGCTCGGCAAGGAATTGTGATCAGCACTGACCATCCCCAAGAGTTGGGGAACCGAGCATTGGGGACGTTGCCATGTGCCCTCGGATGATGAGACGAGTGGAACAGACAAGGATAGGACAGAAAGGACGTGGACATACTCCCTGAGAGCACAAGCACAAGCCTAAGCCGACACAGCACTAGATATCGTGGTGAAGCAAGTCGCCTCAACGCGAGCAATTGAAGATGTCGTCAAAGCTAAAGGGAAAAGTCATCATCGTGACTGGAGGCGGACATGGATTCGGAGAGGCAATGGCAAAGCAGTTCGCCGAAGAAGGCGCTCAAGTAGTGATAGCCGATATCAACCCAAAGACAGGAGCCAAAGTCGAAAGCGAGATCAACGATAGCCATGGACCCAAAACAGCACTGTTCCAGGAGACCAACGTCACCAGCCAATCTTCTTGGGAGAAGCTCCTTGAGGCCACGCTCGGCGCGTTTGATAAGGTCGATGTTGTGATTAACAATGCTGGAACTACTTACCCAAAGAAAGAATCTCACACTGTCACCGAGGAAGAGTTTGACAAGGTGATCAATGTCAACATGAAATCCATCTTTATGAGCGTTGCAGTGGTCGTCCCTTACTTTATGAAGCAAAAGGCTGGATCGATTGTGAATATCAGCTCTGTGGGAGGCATCCGAGTCAAGAATGGACTGGTAAGGGTTGATGTTCCGGTTGAACCTGTAATGCTGACAAGCATCCGTTAGGTTTGGTATGGTGGCACGAAGGCGTTTGTGAACAAGGTAAATTGGTCATCTCGTCTGGATCCATCGCTTTTGCTGACGCACGTAGATCACAGAGGGCCTTGCCTCTGAATATGGGCACTCTGGAATTCGGGTGAACGCCATTTGCCCAATCCTGGCATATACCGACTTGTAAGCAAGGTCTGCGGCTGATTTGGGACTCGGACTGACCCGTTGCAGAGCACAGTCGTTCATGGGTGTTGACGACACACCAGAGAACCGAGCAAAATTTGAAGCTTCGTTTCCCCGAGGAGAAGCGCTGAAGCACAATACCTCCTTAGGTTATGTTGCGAACGCAGCTGTATATCTATGCTCGGACGATGCCGCCTTCGTTTCGGGGATTTGCATGCCTATTGACGGGGCGGCCACTGTCTATGCTGCTGGAGGTAAGTATGTCAGTCTCTCGCAACGCTGTTGCTAACAGGAGCGTCAGTTGGCAAGTAGGCCGATGTGTCGACGATGCAATCGGGGCGAACAAGACCGCGCCATTGACTCATGGGGTTGTGAGATGAATATCGAACACATAGTAGTCAAAAATCAATGCAATCGTTCCTTGCTCGCACTCCGTACAGGTGACAATAATTCGATGTCCATGCGCCTACCTGTATGAGAGTCTAGTGAGATCGTTCCTCCACGATATAACTGCTCATCTCACGCTTCCTTTAAAGGGTGAGGAAATTGTGGTCGAAGATGAACAGGTGAGAAGTGACATCACTCGATCAGTTCATCGGTCACGTGAACATCCACTGAACTCGGGTATGCGATTTCCAAACTCCGACTTTTTGAGACTTGTCGTTTCTCCTTTGTAACGCGTCTTGCTTCACATGGTGCTTCACCATTGTCAGTTCCATTTCAACGACCTGCCGGCCTCCGTGTGAAGTTCTATTTGCGGCTACGAGTATCAAAGTCTCACCGTGCTTGCCTCTGATATCATCTCAGAGTCCTGCGCAGATTGACCTCGTGTCAGGGCAACGGCTCATCCGTTTCTTCGTCCAACACATTGCTGCAACCCCGTTTGCATAGACGTTGCAAAGGATACTGCTGGATGGCGCAAATATGCCACCTCCCAACTGAGTGCTGTGTTGAAGTCAGATCAGACATCAGCAATGTTTGGCCCAGCTCACACTGCTGACGCGACCGCCAAATGACAGTCGGGACCCATCTTGATAATGGCCCTCCCTCTCGTGGAACGCGCGACTGACTACGCCTATATTATCCTCCAGAATAGACAGCAACAAGTGAGTTCCTATGGTGAGGTTTCGCAGTTTTGCAGCAGAAAGCGCCCTGAAAGTGCCAGACTAAGACAGCGCACTCCCCCTGAAGGCTGACAGCCTAAGGAGCCCCACGTGAAACCAACCATCAGACATACCACGCTTCATCTTCGAAACTCACCCTCGGACCTTCCACCATCCGCCCAATCTTGTCCAGATGTTATAAGAAACTCCCAAGACCTACTAACAACTGTCTGGGCTCTCTTTTCACGTTCAGCATATCCATTCCTTTCCAGTTGATTTTGGTTTTTTGTGTTCATACCGCTGGTCGGCCCTTACGACTCTTTCCAAGCTTGGTCTTTCGTTTCTCGAACCACATTTCAGCATTACAATCGTTCTCAGACCTCCAATACCAACATGCATTTGGAAACAACCGCTGTGGCTCTGCTTTATGCAGCAAGCTCGGTCTCAGCTGCCGCCCTTGGAACAAAGATGTCATGGGGCGCCGAAAAGACGGTCAAAGAGAGTGCAGACTTCGGTCTCTGCATCCCGACCATGAAATTCGAAGGCGGTCTCGGTGAAAGAGCCGCTTCAGACTTCACTTTCCTGCCCATGGACCCATTGTGCGCTCGAGGTCAACAGGAGGCACAGAACCCAAGTAAGCCTGGTCGAGAACGTCTCGGGACATAGATGCTAATTCAGGGTAGACATCATTACCAACAGAATCTGTGATCAACTCAGCACGGCTTGTGGTGCCAATGAAGCGGCCAAGGAGCTTTGCAGAGACGCCCAAACCAAGATTCGATCATTGGGTACACGCAACAAGTCCACTGCCGACACCTGGAACACCCTGCTCGGCTTTGGTGGTGCTCTGACCAACCCCGACGGTGGAGCTCCCTCGCCAAAGGACTTGAAGAAGAAGAGAGATGTCGAGATCACGAAGAGAGAGCCTGAGCTTGAGCCTCTCATTCCCTGCTCCGCCTCGGTCTGGATCGACAACTGCACAGGCTGGCCGAGGTCCAAGAGGGACGTCGAAGCTGCCCCAGTTGTCAAGCGAGAGGTCGAAATCATCCCTAACCCAGTCTACAAAAGATCACCAGCTGCAGATTTTGACCCAGAGGCCATGAAATCCGAATGGCAAAAGAGAGCCGATATCCCAATGATTCCTTGCAGCACCGATGTCTGGATTGATGACTGCACTGGCTGGTACTGAAACAGTCAGGGCGTGGCCAAGTGTGGAAGACTTCAGCCTTCTCAGTCGAGCAATTTTTCATGTATGATAAACAGGTTGCTGGTGGCAGCGGCTTTGATTCTTGGGGGTGGACTTCGTTTCAAAGAGCTTGAAGTGGTTCGTGGAGGGAATAGAATCTTGAAAACGGTGCATTTGGACTGCGTCATTCTCCACCTTGTTGCGAGTTTCCTTGGACCGCCGCCAGTACCGTTGTGTGCGCATCTTTAAGAGCTGCGACAAGTCCATGATTGTTCTGCAATCGTCTTCCCTGACCAAAATCGACTTGTTGCCCATTGAGGTCTGTCACTCTGCCACCGGCCTCCTCCAGAATAAGCGCACCACCGGCGTGGTCCCAAACGGGCTCGCGGTAGGTCTCATCACGCGGAATGCGTATCATCGCGTCGCAGTTGCCGGTAGTGATAGCAACGTAGCGCATCTGTAAAGACAAGACTTCTGACCCGGGCCAGGTTGAGCCTAAGTTGGCCGCAACCCGTCGATGTCGTTGCAGATCAGTGGTGCGACTTTTCGAGGAATCAACGAACTTGAGCACCGGCCCAGTTCGTGCTGGTTGCTCAATCTTGCGTGCAGGTAGCAATTTTCCCTGCGATAGCGGTCTGATATACGAACCGTGTCCACGCACAGCCGAGAGCATAACGCCAGTTCCGTCCTTCTGATATGTAGAATCGCCCACCTCTCCTCGGTCGACCTGGTCAAGCCCAAGATTGGGGCATCCCAGAACACCGACACGCTGCACTCCATCTTCGACCATTGCCAGGGCTACGGCATACTGCCCGCCATTCACGAAAGCCTGAGTACCATCAATCGGATCGAGCACCCAGACCCTGCCTTTGCTTCGTCCGTCACTTCGACTTCCACGATCAATCGCATCAACCATCTCCTTTTTGGTTTCTAGATTACCCAAGATCAGATTCCCTTCGTCGTCATCAAGGCATGTCGTCCGCACCAACTCCCACACTCGCTCGCACAATTGAGCATCCTTCCGAAGTGCGTCCGCCGATTCCTCTCCCACGAATCCATCGTCAGGGAAGTTACGGTGTACTGCGTCAATGAGTAGTGCTTGTGCACCAAAGTCTGCTATTGTGACTGGGCTGTTGTCTTCTTTTGTCAGCGCCCCCTTGTCAACATTCGACAGGACAGTTTTGGTCAAAATCACGGCACGTTGCACCGCAAGAAGGGCGATCCGATATTCGTCCTCCCATCCTGATGCCGCTACCTCCATCTCTATGACGCGGAGAATCAGGACGATTTCATGCGATGTATTATGTTTGAACAGTTTCTGGCTATCCACAAAGAGCCTAAGACGGGCAATAAATTCACGTGGAATAGATCTGTTTTGCAAACCGGATGACTAAAATAAGCACGACGCAGAGACACCTCAACCATTCACCCTTCACTTCATTTTCCACAATGCATCCTATCAACGAGATCGAATGACATTGACAATGAGGACTGCCGTCCTTGCCAAGCCATGGCAGGCACACCTACGTGCACCGGCCATGTTGATCGCTATGGTGGCCTAACGGAGCGACTTGAGCTGGCGGTCCCAGTGCGTCCTCCTGACTAATGCTCTGCATGGCAAAGCTTCGTAGGCTTTACCCTGGTACACCACACAAGGCTCTTTCCTTCTTTCTGGCAAGTTTCGTCTCCACTGGCTTATTGCCATATGCTCGGAAAGTCGTCGATATGGCAACCATCTCGAGCACTGCCATCCGGCGATTCAGCGATGTTCAGCCCCCGTCAGCACTTATCGGAGCCCAGATATGCCTACAAATATGAATATAGATGAAGAGCGGATCAACACCTATCCTCCCCCATGCCAAATGCCATTTACTGATAGCAACAACTCCTCGCCAAAACCAGATCCGATGTCTCTCGCATCCGCAGACGCAAGTAGCTGGCAGGAGCTCGCCCAACTCATCCTCCAATGTCTAGGCGCCATCACCTTGCTCAGGATACTCTACCATGCCGTCGACGTTGCGCGTCTCTGGCTACTGCCTCCGCATTGCGACATCCGCCGCTACTATCGACCCAATGCTTGGGCATTAGTGACAGGCTCATCAACCGGCATCGGCCTCTGGTTCGCCTGGGAACTCGCGGCTGCTGGCTTCAACGTTATTCTCCTTGGCCATAAGCTCGACGAGTTGCATGAAGCACAAGCTCGAATCGAAGCCCACTTTCCGCATGTCCAAACCCGAATCCTAGTCATGGACTGCAGCAAAGCGACAGCTAGCGAGATCAACGAACACCTAAGGTCGGTAACAGACCTGAACCTTACCGTCCTGATAAACAACGTCGGCGGCGTCATTACACACCAGTCACCCAGAATCAAGCCGCTGACGGATTACACTCCTGAAGAAATCGACTTGAACATCAGTCTCAACGCAGTCTTCATGACGCACATGACGCGATTCCTCCTGCCCGTCCTCGCGAGCAATCGATCCGGTCCATCCCTAATTCTCAACATGAGCTCCGGTGCCCAAGAAGGTATTCCCGGCGTGTCCATCTACAGCGCGACGAAGAGCTACATCACCGCGCTCACCAAGAGCGTCAACCGTGAGTGCAAAGCCGCCGGGGTCAAGGTGGACATCATATCGATCGTGCCCGGCGAAGTCACCAGTCAAACTAACAAACCCGCCCACGGTTTCGGGGTGATCGACGCCCGACCCTACGCCGAGATGGTGCTGCAACGAGCTCCGGCGGCAGCGGCGAGAGGTGTCATGGTCTTTTCACCGTACTGGGCGCACGCCCTGGCGTTTTGGGTCATGCGAGTCCTGCCTGAATCGATACGCCTTAGAGCCTTTGTGGCGCTCGTTCTTCGAGACAGAAATGTACCAACTCAAGACGATACAGATACCCACAGCGAGAAACCAGCAAGGACTACGGCACGCTGAAAAGCCCATGGCGTACCCGGTCAACATGTCAGCAGACCCGCCAGTCCGTGGAGCATATGTCGTCAATTTCTAGACGGATCATTGATACCAAGGCCCCGGGATTTTATTCATTCCACAGCTCATGCTCCTTGACAAACTCCTCCCATTTCGTCAACCGCTTACCAGCTCTCTCAACCTGTTCAACAGTCCAGTTAACCCCAGACTATCTACTGTGCACACCAGACAGTTGAGGGACTGTATGAGGGGGCGCAAAAAGCATAAGGGAACTTCCCATAAACTCTCGCATTCAGTCATCAGAGATTCTGCAGCAGCAACCTCGTCTGCCTCACCGCTGGGCAATCTGCCCAGAGTCCGTGGAAGGTCTGCAAACAAATAGTGGTCTGGACCTCTTCATGGCGTCCGTAAGAGAGAAACTCCCTACGGGGTGGGCAGCAGTTTAGCACAGTACTGCGTATTTAGATATGAAAGCATGAGGAAGGAGAACTGCCATGTGCCGAGAAAGGGGTTTCGCCTGCTCAAGAGGTCCATCACATCACTCTACTAGTACTGGAAGACTTCAAAGTACAAAGTACGTTATTGAGGCCGACCCCTCATATCTGGCTTTACTTTCTCATGTAATGTCTTGTTCGGCAGACCTTGACCTGATATCCGGACATGCGTGCTACATACACACATGTTCCGGATCTTCTATAGCCTGAAGAGATGGCCATGTCACAAGAGTGCAACGAGCCTCAAGCCGCTTTTTCAACCCAAGCTCGATTGCCGCCAAAACCGACAGTGCCCGCTCGTGAAAACAGTCTCGAAGCCTGCTTCACAGTCGTATAGTGTGGTTGTGAGCATGAGCATGAGCATGGTTCTCAATAACCCGAAACGCCACAGACGCATATGTACCTCCTGCGCCGACGTCGATATATGCGCCCAAAATCCCGCTAAACATCCCATATGTCGACCCTTGTGGCACAGATTCATGTATTGACGTCTCTTTTTGTTCCCATGTTGATTGTGTACATATGCATATCGTCCAACGGGGGTATCTCCAAAGCAGACTCACCGACTTAGTAAGTCTTCCGCTTGGTCGCAAAATTCGTGATATAAAACAAACATCCAAACAGTGACAGTATTTTCATATCACTATCCAAGCAGCCCCACCAACAATAAATCCAATGACCAAGACGGTCAAAATGCCGGCCCCGGCCCTGTCTTTTGTGGTGATCTTGGATGTGGTCTCAGCTGGATCCGACGTTGCCGTTGTACCTGCATCAGGATCGCTTGAAGAGGTGGCACCTGTGACCTTCGTGAGAGGTGTCATACTCGAATCGATCAAATTTGCGCCAACGACTGATAAGGCGGCCATCTATGATCATGTCAGTATCAAAACCCATACAACCTGTTCTGCGACTTACCTGCTGACCCACCCCGTTGGTGCCATCCCACGTCGTGGTATACCATTGCAGTCCACATTCTGCATCGGACACATCGCACTGACCAGCAGCACCAGTGGCACTGGCAGATAGTTTTGTTTTGATCGAGTCCATAGTGCTCGGAACAAGCAGACCCGTTACAGCCAACCACCGGGCGAGGTACGCCTTGAAACTCTTTTGATCCTGGTCGCAGTTTTTCGCGGCTTCGCACTCAACTTCGAACATGATATTGCCGCCGTACGTGGACGGGAAGAAAAGCGTGAAAGTGCTGTTGAGAATGGTTTCGACACGATCCAGCCAGACGGAACTTCCATTGGTGTAGTTATACATGTATGCCGCACCCATGAGCATCGTGCCGTAGTTGTAACTCCAGACATAGTTCTGTACATCACTGCAATTGTTGTCGGTGTCAGTGTTATCCCAGATGTAGAATATCCCGGTGGAGTTATCCATCTCCAACAATGGACTCGACTCCATCCAGTCATAAACCTCTTCGGCCCAGTCGCCGTAAGTCGAGTTTCCAGTTACGTAGGCGAGGCGAGCGGAAAGTTGAAAATTTCCACCGTTGGAGATTGAGTTCTTAAGATTGTACCCAGCATTGAAAGAGTAAACCTGCCACCTGAACCCACCACCACAGTAGGCAGTATCCCATAGCGAGCGTTGAAAGTTGAATACTGCTTGAGCGAGCGATAGCCACGACGGGTCGTCATCACCAGCTTCGGGAAAATTCGCCTCGACGGCGTCCATGGCTGAGAAGGCCCAAAAGACCTGATCGTCAATACCCATACTCCTTGACTGATTGGCAGGGTTAAAGTTGTTATCAGATCCCCGCTGGAATTGGAGCGCCTGAGAAACAACGGAGTTGTAGGTAGTATCGTTGGTATACTGCCAGTAATTTATTAATGCTCCCCACATTGCACCGGCTTCCCACCAACAGTAAACGCCAACAGTGTTTGGGTCGCAGCTCAAGGAGCCAGGCAGTAATCCAGGAACTTCGCCAGTTTCATTTCCAACATATGCAGTCATCATTTCATAAGCAATGCTTGAGGCAGCAGTTTCTATCGAACTGGTCGAGCTGATATCGAGGGTGAAGGCAGCCGCGAGCGGCGCCAGGAGAAGTAAGGGTGAGCACCGCATTGCGGAGGTTCCCTGGAGGAGGGTCTTTGTGTAGAGACGAGGTGTGATCCTCTGCTAAAACGAGGGCCGGATGTGTATGATAGAGGTGCGCAAAGATGAGCGTCGAACGAAGGTGAGCAGCGCGCCCGAAGTGGTTCAGAAGTCGGACGTCGAAGGTGAGGTACACTTTTCGAAAGTTAATCCTATGAGATATGGGATGTGTATATGTCTTCGATATAACGGCAAGGAGGTCAATGAAGGTGGTAAAAAGATGGCAACATGAACAGTAACAACGACGAGGCAGACAGATACTCAGACAAGATGGAGTGAGAGAGAGCAACGAAAACCGGGTACAAGGCAGAGAAAGGATCGACTGTCAGCAGTTGCTATCCGTACGAGTAGGAAGGAATTAAGCATGGGTGAGATGGATCATGGCCATCCAGAATCCCCGCATGATGGCTAGTGAAGTCGTAATCCTTGTTGATGGGCTGCGCGGCCGACAGAGAACCCAGAAAGGATCCCATAAGGAGGATGCTGGTGGATGGTCGTTGGGTGGAGAGGTCGATGGTGTAACAAAATTAAAGTCGACGAGACGAGGAGACGAGAGTCGTTGTTTTCCACACGAAACGCGTGGCCTGAAGACCACAATACTCCACCGGCGAGACGCGGGCCTCTCTCCAGCACCTAATAATATCGCGCTGTTCCTCTCTTATTGCCCCGACAAGTACCGAGTACTTACGTCTACTTGCGTCTACACTCACCTACATCTGGAATGATAGAATGTACCCCGAGTGTTCAGAGGGACTTTCAAGAAGCAGTCTGAATATACAAATCTCAAACAGTCTGCCCCTCAAACAAGCTCAAACCAAGCTCTGACAAGGACGAAAAAGCTCAAACTGTGACAGTCGTGAACCACCGACTAGACGCTCGCCTCCTATTCCGTGCATCAAACTTCCGGGACCTCAGCACTGCCACACACTCTCTCTTCTCCGAGCTCCACTCGGCAACCAGGCACGCGTGTGCCCCCTACACCGGAAAGGACGGAGAGCGATTTATGAACACAAATGGTTGTGTCCGTGGACAGCGAAGTGGTAGGCCACAACAACACTCTTCGAAGCCCTTCAGCCTTGCATCGATGCTTTGACTTGAGATAATAATGTAGTCATCATGGGATACCCGCGTCAATTCGTAAAAACTTTTCTCTCTCTATGATGAGCCTAACGACCACCGATTCTGGGCCCCGGATAATTTGGGTACACAGAACATGCCTGTACAGAAGTTGACAAAATTCATAGTATCATACCATTCATTGAATGTGTGCCTGATCCAAGGTGACCACGCCGTCTCCCACCGATGCTGACTCTCCCATAAATCCACCACTATCAGTATTGGAAGCAAGGCTACCTTCAATTCGTCGTTTGGCGTCTTGCCTGTCTTCGGCAGTGATGTCACGCTCATCTTTCTTCATATCCGGCTTGTATGATTCAACGTCTGGCGAGTGACCAATTGACATGCCAACTCGAACCTGTAAAGAGAGATTAGTAGATGTCCTTCAAGAATCTCCCACCAGACTCACCAATGTTTCCAGAGCTCCAAGGCTGTTGTCCACAAGGTCCTTGTCATAAACCATTTTGCCAGGCTCAAAAAAGACCAGGATGGTACTGCCGCCAAACTTGAAATAACCAAGTTCTTCAGTTCGTTTGACACGCTCTCCCGGCTTTCGAGTGATCACCGTAGAACCGACCATCATTGCGCCAATGCAGACATACATGACTCTGCCGTGGCAGACAGAGTCAATCGGCGTCACCACGCGAATATTCTCACCATATACATCCAAAGCTGACCTGATGGCCATGGGGTTCACCGTATAGTATTCGCCATCAATCAGTTTCGGTGTGCCAAGAGTACCATCGACAGGTATATGGAATCGGTGATAGTCTTGAGGTGCAAGTCGGAAGATACCCATGCTGCCTCCTTTGTATCGTTTGGCCTCAAGAGGATATGCATCACCAAACAGCTTTTCCAGACTATAGTCTCGGCCTTTGACCCAAATCCTGGTCGCATCATCGATGGTGTTGAAGACCACTGATCGGCAATCCGCCGGCGAGACAATGATTTCAGGCCGATCCGGTGCACTGCATGGCCGCGCAGTCGGCTTCAGCGCTCGGTAAAAGAATTCGTTGAAATTCCTGAATTGCTCTTTTGGAAGAAGAACCTCAGACATGTCCAGACGATGGAAGTTGATGAAACCCTCAATTTGGCTTGCCGATGCCGGATCGTCAAACTTTCTGCCTTGCTTGACCGATAACGACTTCAGCATTTTCTTGATTCGTCTCTTCTCCATTTCACGAGACCCTAGTGCTTTGTAAAGCAATCGAATGCCAATGCGCACATACACCGACATACGTTCTTCGTTGATTTGCCCCGTAGTCCGATCTTGGACCAAAATATTCGCGCTGTTAGCACCCAATTTATATCCACCATAGCTGATCTTCGTGATGACTTTTGAGTACCACTTGCGTTGCGCTTGACTTTGTGTGACAAAGCCGCCCATCACCAAATTGTTAACCTGTCTCCAATCAGAGCTAGCGCAAGTGGCGATGTGTGTAATGATATCGGCTTCAGTCCGCTTGTTGAGCTTTGGTTGATGGCAAATGGGGCACTCGCGGATCTCAATAACGTGCTCCTCGCCATCACCTTCATCCCCGAGGTCATTGTCGAGGAGTTTGCCCTCCTCACCAGCAGCCCCAGTATCCCCTTGTTGGATTGTCGGTATGCTGCCAGGAAGTGTCTCCCCCTTTGTGACGTTGGGGTCTTCCTGCGGCGCCTGATTTCTCGAAGGTGCCATGATACTCTTTATTTTCTCGGTAGTAGTCTTCTTCTGGCTACCCTTCTGCAGTTGCTCTTCCAAACAGATGACAGCTTGATCAAAAGTCAGGTCTACCTCACCAGCATCATCATTCTCTTTGGCAAATCTAGAAAAGAAGGCATCAATAGTCGACTCTTTCAAGGTCGAGCCCAGGGTGTCTAGCATCGTGGTGAACTCGATTTTGCTGATGCGCTTGCTGTCGTCAGCATCGTATTGTTTAAACATCGCTCTCCAGAATTGCTGCCTCAAGGCTTTGTAGGGCAAATATCGTGCGCGAATGTGCATTTCCGGGCGATGCTTGGCTTCCCATCGCTCCTTGTTTTTCAACTCCAAGGGAATGACATACGAGATCATAGATGGATCGTCTGCCGGCTGTGGAGATGGAATGTCATTGGTTCCAGGCGGCTTCAGCGTGTTGCCGTTGCCTTCCGAGGGCGCACTCGTTGGAGCTGCAGGGCGAGGTGACTCGTTGCTGTTGGTAGGTGTAAGTGATAACGATGCTTGAGAGTCGTCGCGTTTTGCACCCGGACGTGCCAGCTTTTGGAGGCTACTAGCCGAAGACGTGCGCGATAGCGGTAATCGAAATTTGGATCTATTATGTTCTTTCGATATCATAGCAGGTGAGTACTCTGGAGGTTCAGGAAGATCGTAGAGACCGGTGTCGGGATCTTCTTCTGGGGCTGCCTCGATCATCTTCGAAACTGGGAATGACGTGGAAGCAACGAAGTCGTTCCCCGAAAAAGAGTCTCGATCGATGACCGTGAATGTCAAAGAATAGCCAGTTTCATGTTGCAAGATCTGAAAGACCATCTTTTCATTAAAGATAGGGTTTAAATTGTGTCGAACAACTCTCGTTCTCAGGACCTTTCGACCCAGAGCCGTCACGACGAAGGGGTCCATGTCAAAGGAAGTGCGGGTCATATTGCGCTCCGGAGGGAGGTCGGTGATTTTGACAATTTCCAGGAAGATAAGGCCATTAACATCGTTGACCGCCCCGAGGAAGTTGTAAGCTCTTGCAGCCATGGACTTGCGCCGGAGGCGGGCAAGCCTCTTCTTTTTCTCCTTTTTCGCTGCAACGCCTCCTGTCTGTGAAGATTCGGTTTCTGTGACCGACTCCAAATCGTCGTCAAGGTCATCCGCATCGTCGTTATCGTCACCAGTGGAGAGGTTGGTAGAAAGGCGAGAAAGTTCGTCGTCTTCTTCTTCGGCCCCAATATATGCTTGGAACTTCTTGCGGATCTCTTCTGGACTTGCTGAAGGGTTTGCTGAGTCTACGATGGAGAACTGCATAAAGACTTCTCCAGAGACGGTACTATGTTTCTTGGTGCTTGCCCTTCGAGACTTCAATTTATACCACCTCGGTTCCTGTTGTATCTTTCCATTGGCGAAAATGTCCTCGATAGGTATGTCGAACTCTCCCATATAGTCTTTACCGAACCGGTCTCTGTCCCAGCAGATGCATTCGAGCAGTGGAACGCCGGTCAACGGCATGTCAAAGCATATCTTCCATTCAGGGTTCAGGGTCTTGCTGATTGAAGGTGTGGACTGTTTGGCGGTGCCCAATGTCACGATAAGATACTAAACGATCAGACTGGATCGGACGGCGGTAAGGAGGTATAACGTACAGGATCAGATGTGCCAGACTTGTCCTTGGCCGCTAGGTTTCGTGCCTACCTCTCCGGTTAACTGAGTTCCTCCGCAGGAAACTGCCCGCAACTGTACCTTTATGACATACACCTTGAGGATCAGAAGTTTCTGATCCGGGTGCGGTGGTGTGTTGTTCCCACTCCCATTTCGTGGAGCCTCAGGCCTTTGTGGTCCATTGTTTTGTGAAGAGCCGCTGTGATCTTTATGCTTGCCGAGGTGGCTGAAGCCCCTTGGAAGTGATAGGTGCACCATGCCGCCGGACTTGGACAGAGGATGGTTCGGATACAATCAAGTTAACAGCAGGAGTAGAGTAGGCGTGAGATACTCTGTTGGCGGTGTCTGCGCCCCTGGCGGTCTTCAGGATGTGAGGGGATGGGGCAGCCTTAAGGTTGCATCTGGGGCGGAGGATCTGACCAGGGATAAACGAGGGTGAACAAGCAAACCGTAGATAGGATCGGTGTGAATGTGAGCAAGATGTATACTAGGATGTCTGCGAAGGCTATATTGCCTTCGCAAAACAGGCTGATTATTGAAGTGGTTGAGTCGTTCGTACAAGTACTCACAGCTACTCGCATCTGTTGCGATCTGATCGGTCAAGGGCAGGCACAATAATAGCTCATGATGCCATAGGCAAGATCGACCGACGTTACCCCTCTGGCATCTGCCGACCCGGGCGAACGAAAGCACGAACACGAGGGCGTCCACAGAAACCTACCTACCTAGGTACCTAGGTATAATGGCTGTCTTTTAGACTACTGGTCTGCCGCCCATCTATCTACCTACCAGGTAGTTGGAATAATGAATTCCCTCCTTCATTGCTTGTGCACATCTTATTCTCGTCCAGCCGCCAAAAACCTTGAATGCTATGATCGAGCTTACCAGGGAGCCAGATACAAGGTGCTCCCAATCAATACCGTTTCCTGCACATTACTGCAGCTCGATAGATACCAAAAAGGCACATGTGAAAGTCAAAAGGTCATGGGAAGTAGACTCTAGGACCTTGAAAAGACCTGTCTATTCCGCACGTTGCATGCACCGTATGACCGGTATGCTGTGGCCCTGAATTCCTTCGATGAAGCACCTCGTTTTACCAGCGCATGCTAAGAAAAAGGAGACTTGGTATTGCAGACATGTTCACAATTGTTTCTTGCATAATCTCAATACATTAATCTGTAACAATATCATGTCCCTTCACCTACAACAGCGTCTGCAAATGATAAGAGAATTGTAGAGTGCCAAAAGCGGTAAGGCTTGGCGGTTGCACCCTCGTCAAAGTAAACAGAGCCAAAGGGTCCGCGATGTAGGCCAGGGCACTCCGCATAACCATAACGACATTGCTGTCACAATCTCGCGCGCAACCACCATTTATGCCTGAACCCTCGATACCTGTGCGCTGTAGAACGGATCGCTCGTTAGACCAGCATCATTATCATGGACTCCCAATTCACCTAATGCTATTCCATGCGCATACGATTTGCGGACCAAGCAACAACACGCGACCGGCCGCCGACGCCATACCAAAGCCGCTCAAATGACTGCGCTCGTCGCACGCCAACCACTGCACCCTCTACCAATGTCATCTGCTCAAAGACCAGCTCGAAGATTAAGTGCGCGACATCAAGAGAAGGATGACGCGCCTGGCTACTCAGCTGGCGCGCATGTTAGCCGCGGCTCCAGGACAGTGGCAAGCACAACCGATACAATTCGGGTACCAACAAAGAAGGAAAGCAATGGACCAAAAAGAAAAATGGTATATGACGAGGAGGACGATGGCTTCTTGTTCAAACGCGTCAAAACGAGTAAAGAAGAAGTAAGGACGTCTGTGGCAGAGGAGAGCTCGGGGCAAAGGCCAAACCAGAAGCAACAGCCAGCCCAGCCGATTGAACAGAAGACCCAACCAACACAAGTTCAGAATATCCCAGATGGTGAAGACGAACTCGAGTCGCAACCCAGGAAAAGCAGGAAAAGACTTTCATTCTCTACACCAAACCCGAAAGAAGCTGGACCGGTGCGCCGTTCAAAACGTCTCTCAAAGGACAATCAACAGCAAGATGGTACGCCCACGACCACGCGGGTCACCGACCCTGAAAGGCGCACATTTCAGAAAAAGCAGACGAAAGAGCGGTTCAAAGAACAGCCTAAAGAGCAGACTAAAGACCAGGCCAACGAGGAACTTGAAGAGCAACTCAAAGAGCCAGTCCGAAAGCCTGGAATACATCAGCAACCCATACAGGAGCCTTCAGCTGGAGAGCCTCTAAAGGCTTCGCCTAGAAAACCGGCCAGGGTATCACCCAGCAGGAGCCCAAAAGAACATCTGAAAGAGACGATACCTACCCAACACGAGGACCATTCAGCAACAAAGATTGCGCTCCCATTTGCCGATACACCAGTGATCAAGCGCAATAAAGCCATGCGGGAAGGCAAGAGTGGAAAAGGCGAGAGAAGGAGTAGCTTGGGGACGCGAGGGCGACGAGCCAGCTCTTTGATTGAGTCGGGGAGCTCTAATGGTGAGAACCAAGACGCCGTAGCTATATCGCAGACAACTGACCGAACCCAGCTCTTCCACATACAGAAGTGAATATCCCGGACTTCTACAAGCACATCGAAAGCGAAGGGCTTCCCGAGCCACGACGAATGAAGCAGCTCTTGACGTGGTGCGCAACGAGGGCTCTCGATGAGAAGCCGGTAGGGACGGACTTTGAAGATGCCAGTGCCAGATCAGCTGGTAGGTCATTTTTGTGGCGTCCAGTGTAATGAGGCTGACATGTCTATAGCTCGAGTAATTCAAGAAGAACTGCTGAAAGATCTGGCGAACAAGTCGGAGCTATCGGACTGGTTCAACCGAGAGGATCTACCTGTGCAGAGAAAGCCGTTACCTGAGCGTCCGAATCCGAAAAACGTCCAGAACACAGAGAAGATTGCCGAACTGGAAGAACAAATCAAGCGGTGAGTACGTCCCTAAGGTTGCAGACCGTACACGGCTGATCACTAGCAGACTTCGAGCAGAAAAGGAGGCATTAGAAGGCCTGCTTCGACCGCCTTCAGTGGTCAAGTCGGAGCAGTTGAAAATAACAGTTCCATATCAAGGCAATTTGCCGTTACTCGACGGCTCACTATTGTCCGAGGCGGATGTCGCAGCCCTGGAGAACGTCCAGAAGAACTCGACGTCTACAGATGCGATATCACACAGGCTGAATGCACTGTACGATTCGCTAGGGCCTACGATAGACAAGTTCGCAGACGGAGTACACACGATAGGCCAGTTCCGCACGGTTGCAGATGACGTGGCGAGCACAGCGTTGGCTATTTGCGCCGCGAAGCTCGCACAGCGAGAGAAAGAAGGCAGGAGAAGGGCGCTGTCGGAGGTACAAGGCTCGCCGCCCAAGGATCTGGGCAGTGTGTTACGAGGCTTAAGTAGGGCGGACAGATGACCCCGACCCCGACCTGGTTTGCATATTGTATATGAATGAATGCTTGATGAAAGATGTCCTGAGCCGGATCAATGTTTGTATCCATGATGATTGGGCGTCTTCCTTGTGGCTTGGTGACAATAGAGTGCTTCGAACTCATGCCCTTCAAGCGCACGCCTCACTTCTTTCTGTTTGGATCACGGCGCCTGTCCCAATGCACAGAGAAAGTGGCTATGCTCTGGCGGTACCTGATGTCAACACATCCACCTGCGCTGAGTCTCTTCCTCTGATAAATGGCCATTCAACCCGTCTAGATACCATGGAGAGATCCATTCTATGCTCTAGTTGCGCCACCGTCTTGACCTTCGCTCATGCAGTCAGTCTTGTTCGTTTCTCGATTGAGCCTCCCAGCACCGTTACTGCAACGGAAGAACCGCGATTATATCCATTTCTTGCTGTTTCCGATTTTCTGCAACTGCTCATTTATTTTCTCCAACTCAGCACGACGCGTTTCCTCTCCCATGCGGTAGATCTGAAGATGTTCCTCTTTCATTCTTTTGAACTCATCGTCCAACTGGTGGTGCCACGGGTACAGGACAAAGACCTGGAAACACAGCGCCGAAGAGGCGATGACGAAGTTGGTCAAAGAGACTCCCTTTGTGAATATGGGCATGGTTCCAGAATGTAGTGCAGGATTGTACTCGATTCGTGTTCAAGAGACAGGGTATCCTGCTGCAGGAGCCGATTAGATAAGATACGAGTGAACCCTGGAAAGATACAGGGGACTTACGCGCATTCAAACCGGACAGTAAAGCGTGATTGTTGTCGCGTAGCGAATTCAGTGAGACCAGAATGTCAATGGGCGAGTCTTACCATGAAATTCCTCCCAATTTGTTTATGACTCTTACACGCGCAGAAGAGAAAGAAAGGAAAGAGAGAAACGAAAAGATACTTCGTGAAAAGGTCGCCGATGGATAAGAGCGCAATGCGACCGAAAGTCAGGAGACACAGCCCCGATGTACAGTATTGTATTGTATTGTATGTGTCTGTATTTGCCACGTGACTACGTGATGGACGGCGTAGAAGCCGGTGGTATCATCCTGGTCATTATTGACGACAGGTTGCGGGTACTTGTAGATATAACCACTGGGTACCTAGGTAGGTAGACATCAACTTGAATCTCAGCGGCTTCCTCAAATTACAGACAGTGCCACCACTTTTACTGGAATTGGGCTTGCTGGGCCTGCTTTTCGAGTTGGCGCAACTGCCTTCGATCGTCGTAACAGCCAAGGAGTCTGACGTAGTCCCAAGACTTTGAGGCTTTGCATTGTAACAGGAAATCGCAAGGCAAGAATTCCACCATGAGGCATAAGTAGTAATCCGTGCGCAATCACCAGTCGCATTCACCTTCGTTCATCCATAATCTACAGGCACCACCGAGAACCCAGCGCCAACAGCACAAACATCACGACCAACGTACTCGTCGACTCAATCATAATCACCTACCCGTAGGCGTATCACTATGCCTCTCATTTGGACAAAGAACTGGGGTGGACGACACGGTGGAGGTGGTGTTACAGTCGATCGTCATGGCATGCGAAGGAATCCTTTCAGATTTTCGTGCGGGAAATTCAGCTGCTTCAGATGAGTCCGCTCATCACAGAAGCGAATCCATAACAATTGGCCTGAGCGACGGGGGCAGCAACTGGCCTGGGAAAGCTTGAGGAAATGGCGTTTGGCACAGTCACTTGAGGGAACAAGTCTGGAGTCGAGTGAGCTTTGTTGACACATGTTGGAGGAGTAATGCTTCACGGAAATGAAGCCGAGAAAGGACATCGAGAAACATCGAGGTGGTGGTATTTTTAATTCCAGCAAAGAAAACGGCGGGTATCTCTCACACCAATAAAGACCTGATATCCTGTCTTCACTTTGGCCAGAATCTGCACAAGTCTCCGAAAGCAACAGACCCATGACTCCATCATTTTCATGCCTGGAATGCGCCATGGTCGCGACACCCACAGCCATATATGCTCAAATCGCTTTTGACATGTCTGACTTTTCGAGAACGACATCTTAATCCACAGCTACCTTCTTCAGCGGTTCTTCGCTACCGACAGAGCTTGCCGAAGGGGTGACTTTGGTGTCCTGACTCGTTGTCACATCATCGTCTTCCTCCCATGTTTCGTCCACAACGTTCTCATCCCAATTGTCTAGCTCTTCGTCGACGGTTCGAGGTACAACGCCGGTCTCCTGTTCATCATCGTTCGGCTGGCCAACTGCCTCTCCAAGCTCCAGGTCCTCGCCCTCGATACCGTCTCCTGACAATGCAGAATATTTTGCTCTTCTTCGTCTTTCGGCTGCGCGTCGATGGTATGCACTGCAAAGCCCCAGTGAGGCCAGACTTCCTAGGACATTTGCTAGAACATCCCAGGCATCAAAGTCCCGATCATTTGGGAGCAAACCTTGAGCTACTTCGCTTCCGACTCCTAACACCAAAGTGCACACAATCAAGGTTATATGAATGACTCGTTTCCGACCCGTATCGAGAATAAAGTAGAACGTGGCTGTGAGGGCGAAGAAGCATATGAAATGGAGAGCCTTGTCGGACTGTGGCGGAATGTATGGTCGTGCTGCTTCTGGAGTCGAGGGCAGCGATGAATGAGGAAGCAGGCCGAGCGAAGAGGCAAAGACAAGGATGACCACAAAGCCGACTTTTAGCTAGAGTTAGCAACTATTCATCCAGATGTCTGCCCAGGAAAGACTTGCTTGCAAAGGGAAACCGAATGCGCATTGCCATGTCGAAGGAGGTCCGGAACAGGGATGCTCAGTGTTGTTCCCTTGTGGTGCAGATGCAGAAACGTCCGGCGCAACGCCAGCTCTTCAGAGACTAGCACATTGAAGAGATAGATAGGTTGACTGTTGAGGTTGTAACAACGTCCCTGTGTTGTCTGTGGTGCCTGACAGCACTACAAGTGCAAGTGAGTGAAGCCTGGGACGGAGGCCTCCCTGCGATTAAGGGCCAGAAAGTTACTTTGCGTTTGGCGGGCTCGGCAGGCGCGAAATGCACTCGATACAACACTATCTCAACTTCAAGCCTCCTAACTGCGCGACACCACCCCGTCAGATCACCGAATTTGTCCATCTCGCAACGTCCCCCATTTATCGTTTCTCGATCCAATTCCATCGGATCCGGACTCTGCGACCTCGAGTCATCATCTACACACTTTTTCAAGCGTGTCGAAACCCTTTCTTCGCCGTCGCAGGGCACCGTCCAAACTGGAGCGACTGCACCCCTCGCCCGCCGCAGATCGGGGGTTGGCTCTGCCATGTCCTTAACATGGCCGCCCCCAAACAGCCAGAAACCACCGGACGATGAACCTCTCATCCATTCTTTACATCGAGACACTCTCAACGGGCTGTTAAGAGCGCCCTCTCGATCTCATACTCCTAATTCCTTCAGACTGCGTGGTCTGGGTCCGGGCTCGCAGTTCGGTCCACCTGCCGAACCCGAAGCCAACTTCGAGGAAGATCCCCAGGTTGTTCGGTTTCGCGCATTGTTTGAAGAGACTGAGGGCAGACTTGCAACATTGTTCGATGACGGTGGTCAAGTCATAAAACATGAGAGGCCCGACATCGACGATGCGCTTCTCCTCGAGTCCGCGCCGCAAGATGCGGACTCGGACCCCGTCCATCCTCCAATATCAAAGAAGCGCAAACTGGACGAGGACGATTATGACGATTACGACGACGAAGACGAGGATGAGGAGCAAGAAGTAGATACTGCCAGAGCCTCCCCCTTACAAGACAAGCCCAACAAAGTCCATGTCATCGCTGACGCGACCTCGTCGCCGCTGGCTCGCCCGGTCCCACCTTCTAGCATCGTGTCCGATCCTACCAAAGCAGGTTCGAAGACCGGTGTAGCCAAGCAGAAAGAGGATGCGGAGGATGCCCGGAAGAAGTTGGAAGAGACGAAGCGCGTGGAAACAGAGACAGTCAAGACCTTGTCACGGACCATGTTCTTCACACTGGAAAATGATCGTGATGCCATGCTAGATCAACACCGACTTGATGAGGCAGAACGCCGCGCAGAGGCAGACGGAGAAGGCCAGGCCAATCGCCAGAATGCAACCATGCAGCAGGGGAGTCTGAGTAAAGCGAATCTTGGCGCATCCAGTCTCACACTCAAAAACTTGATAGCACGGTTGGACGAACATCGCTCCATGGTGCACGCGACAGAATCCGAGCTTCGTGCACTTATGAGTGAGGTGCGTAAGAACCGAAGCAAGTGGGCGAGCGAAGACAAAGTCGGTCAAGAAGAACTGTACGAATCGGCGGAGAAAGTACTCACTGAGTTGAAAGCTCATACGGAGCATTCTTTCCCTTTCCTGAATCCGGTCAAAAAGAAGGATGCTCCTGACTATTACGTTGTCATCAAGGTGCCAATGGACCTTGGGACCATGACCAAGAAGCTCAAGCAGCTTGCTTACAAGTCGAAGAAGGAGTTTGTCGACGATCTCAATCAGATATGGAAGAATTGCTTGAGATTCAACAGCAATCCGGACCATCTCTTTCGGAAGCATGCTCTTTTCATGCAAAAGGAGACCGACAAACTTGTTCCTCTGATTCCAGATATTGTCATTCGCGATCGCGCGGAGGTTGAGGCCGAGGAAAGAAGGCAGCAGATTGCCAATGGTGAGCTCGAGGACGAGGCAGAGGAGAGCGATGATGAACCGATCATGTCGTCGCGTGGTAGAAAGGCGCCGAACAAGAGTGCAAAGAAAGGTGGTCAGTCAACATCGCGGAAACATCCGCCGGAGACAACACCCATTCCGGAAACCAAACCAGTCATGCAGTCGCTCAGTTCTGTTCAGAATGGTATTAGGGCAGAATCAGAATTTGACGGGAGTCAAGGGCAATCCACTCCTCCGCCTGGCATCTTGACGCCCGTTGGAGCGCATGGTCCAGGGAGCATTGTGGGAACAGGCAGTGAAGCTATGGACATGGATCTACCTGGCCTTCCGTCACAAGCGCCTGTACCCGAGTACGAAGATGAGGATTACAAGCTCTGGAAGCAGAAGACCAAGAAGGAGCGGGCGATGCTTGCCGCGGCCCGACACAAGCTGTTTCGTGGGGACAAGTTGAATGCGGAAGAAACTGCCTTGCTGCGAAGCAAGGCTGGTATGCGTCGTTGGCAACGCATCCAACAAGAAGCCGCTGGGAAGGACATCTCTGAATTTGGTGGAGATGCAACCGATCGTGATCAACGTGGCGACATCCAGGGCCAGACACTAGCCGAGGGAATGGAAGCGGAAGATGAAAGTATGTTGCCGGACTATTATGATCCACTGGCAGCAATCCCAGATCTGAACACCCGACTGCGATGGGAGCAAGACTCTGAAGGACAAGTTATTGAACACTTTGAAGAGTATTTGCGCTTGCTGCCATCAAAACAATTTGTTGCTCCAGACAGCAAGCTAGTCAAAAAGATGGACGCCAATATGCGACAAATGCAAGAGACACGGAAAGTTGTTTCAAAGATTGGTGTGGTGAAACAGATGCAGCTGCAGTCCCAGACGTATCAGAACCAATTCCAGAAATATCAACCGGAACCTTTTGTGGAGGCAGACATACCCAACCACGTCATGTCGGACGCTGGGCCTGTGATGGCTCCATGGGTGTGCAAGGCTGCATTTCAAAGATCTATCGGTAAAATCTTCTTCTACGCAGGATTTGAGGAGTTCCAACCTTCGGCGATGGACGCCATGACCGATATGGCGGCCGATTTCTTCCAGAAACTATGCAGTACTCTTCTCAATTACCGAGAAGACTTCAAGGTTCCTGTGACAACGCCAGTGTCAGCAGGAGAGACGACCAGCTACAAGCTCCCCAATACTCTTGAAGAGGCGCTTCTCCACTCGTTGCACTCTGGCGGCATGTCTGTCAACGATCTCGACCTGTATGCACGTGAGGACGTCGACCGTATGGCTACCCGCCTCACCACCATGCATGATCGGATGAAAGCACACCTTACAGATCTCCTCAGACCAGCTCTGACGGACGATACAGCCCATGGGCAGGGAACGTTCGTAGATGGTGGGGAGCAGTTTGTCGGTGGTGACTTTGCTGGGGACCTTGACGAAGACTTCTTCGGCTTCCGTGAACTCGGCTTGGACAAGGAGTTTGGAATGGCCAGTCTTACTGTTCCATTCCACATCTTACAGAATCGTCTTGGCATGAGCAATCAACAAGCCAGTACAACCGACTCTGTAGAGAAGATCTTCAAGGAGCCTCCTCGCTGGCCAAAGATCACTCTCGACAATGTGGACGAGCAGGTTGGACTGGTCAGAGAGTGGTTCAGGAAGCGCCTGCGTGAGAACGGCGATCGTCCTTTGGTCGAGGATCTGGAACTTCCACCCAAGCAGAGGCCTGGTTACGGACGTGCACGCGTACCAGCCAGCGGAAAGATTGGCGATGGCGGACTGAAGAGCAATGCCAGCCCACAGAAAAAGGCACCTGTCAAGAACGCCGGCGCCCCCAAACCTCCAGGCGGAACAACTCCTGCCGATAAAGGGAAGAGGAAGTCTATCGTCATGAATGGCACTGGTGAGGATACGACTCTGGTCAATGGTATCAACCCTTCCACGCCTGGACCTCGTGGTGACGGGAGCCCAGAGAAGAAGAGGCCAACACTCAAAGCAAAGGTGACAATGTCTGATCTGAAAGCCTCAGACAAGGACGACACGATACCTGCCACGGAGAATATCGACGAGACATCCGAGATGAATGGTATTGCTAAAGTCAATGGTGTAATGGACGGTGACACGAGTATGATGAGCCCGGAGAGTCTATGACGCATGTACACGCCATGTTATCGACAAAGTACATATGGGTGAGGTCCTGATCAAGGACTGAAGCTGGGGGCTTCTATACTGGGGACGGGTGATTTGCATATTCGGTTTTGGTTGATGAAGTTTGGTTTGGATGACTTGATACCCAAGGGTCTAGTGGGCGGGATAAAAACGGTGATTTGGGGTGCGGTGTTCATGGTGTTCAACGTAATGGAATCGGCTGCGTACCTTGTCTGGGTACGTAGAATGACAGCCTGGTATATATGCCTGTGCGTCTCACGATCTGCGTGTCATGGTCGAGGGGTCATCAAGGGAACGAAAACGACGGCATTCATTGCGGCCTATAACGAGCCTTGGACGACGGTTCTGGCTTTCTTGCCCGTATTATATTATATGGTGTTTGTAGATATTCTGCGTACCTACCCTACTTGTAGTTGGATATGATCGTACTGATACACAACATGATGAAAAAGAACGCGGGAGACATTATGAATATGAACTTGTTATGGTAGCACCAGCCTCAACATAGACCTGTCAGAAATAGAGGTGTCTCGATGATGCGCCGGTCTCAGAAACAGCTGCCTTTTCCGGAGAACGAGTATCCTAGACACAGTCTGGACGCGGGACGCCGTACCCTGATCGACACTGGTTGTGGTCATCAGTAGGAATGCGCATTAGTCATGCCCTGCCTGTGCCATTGACGCCGTCGAAAGTCTAACGAGGCTGCGTTCACGTGAGAGCCGAGGATGCGAAGCCGAAACCATGCATACTCATTCCGCCCAATGGAAGCTGCCTCGATTGGCACGTACAATTCCGAACTAGACTCAACAATCCAAGACATTCCCTTCTGCGCCGATGATATCTCTTCAGACCTGATTACCATACCGAGTGCTGCCCGAGTCCATCATCACACTACCCAGCTGTTCCCTGCCCACATCGCAAACCCAGACTACACATGATGTCTGACCTTAGCTAAGCGGAGTAACGTCCATTGGAATCGGCGAACACGCCTCGGAACAAGGTCCGAATTGAACTACAGTCGTTGTCAAAGAGTAGAAAAATTTGAAGGTGTTATAAGTGAAATCGCAAGTATAATGGCTCCTAAGAAGCAGCAGAGTAGCTTAAAGCGGAACCGGGTATGCACCAGGCTCATATATCTGCTTATGAATTCGGAGTCTGACTGCTTCTACAGCACAGCACCGGCGGCGACGACCAAGAAATAAAGAAACCTCGCCGATCGAACCGGCTGTCTTCCCAGCCGCAGAAAGAGCCTCACACACAGAAAGACCCCAACAAGCAGACTCCTATAAAGAACCAATATCTCCCCTCCCCTCTGACGAACCACGAATCGACAGCTACCGAGCCAAACTACAAAGAGCAGACAGCGACACCACCAGAGGGTCGACCCAGTCAGATTCGCCATGTCACTCCCCTATCCTCCCCTCAACTCAATGCTCTATCCTCGCCGCCGCAAGATACTCAAATCCTATCACAATTCATTTACCCCCCTCGAGACATCGAGCGAGATTTGGACGACGACGATGGGAACTGGGGATACCTATTCCCATTAAAGGAGACCGGTCACCGGTTAATCATGAAGCGCAGAGCATTTTGTCCCGCACCGTCACACCCTCTCGAGATAAGCCGAGCAACAGTCAAGAGTAAGAAGAAGGGGGAGAAACAGCTTGAAGAGGATGAAGAAGAGTACGAGGACGAGAAACGTATGGAAGGGTTTCCTGCCGGAGGATACCTCATTGGCAGACACCCCGAGTGTGACATGATTTTGGATATTCCCACCGTATCCAACCGACATTGTCTGTTATTCAACGAGACAAGGAACGGCGACTCGATCGCCGTCCTCGAAGATCTATCCGCCAATGGAACTTTCGTCAACGAGGCGCTAGTCGGTCGCAACAAGCGAAGAGAACTTGAGGATGGCGATGAGATCACCATCCTGGACGAAGCGAGGTTTGTCTTCCGGTATCCCAAAAACCGAGATTCAAGTGCTTTCAATTCGCAATACCGGATCCTGCAGCAACTAGGAAAGGGCCATTTCGCGACGGTCTATCTCTGCGTCGAAAGAGCCTCCGGCTTCAAATATGCCGTCAAGAAATTCGAGAGGCGGATGGGCGAGTCTCAAAAGTCTCAGACAGAGGGACTACAACAAGAAATCGCCCTCCTAATGAGTGTCAGCCACCCAAATGTTTTGTGTCTGAAAGAAACATTCGACGAACAAGATGGAGTGTATCTCGTGTTGGAACTTGCCGCCGAAGGCGAGCTGTTCAACCTAATTGTGACGAAGCAAAAATTGACCGAGGAAGAAACACGCAAGATCTTTATCCAGCTGTTCCAGGGCACAAAGTACCTGCACGAACGAAACATCGTCCACCGAGACATCAAGCCCGAAAACATTCTGTTGACGGATAAGAACCTGTCCGTCAAGCTCGCCGACTTTGGCCTGGCCAAGATCATCGGCGAGGAATCATTTACCACGACGCTCTGTGGGACACCAAGCTGTAAGTACCACGTCCCTTTTCTTACCGACACATGCTAATCTCGTGTCCGTATTAGACGTCGCGCCCGAGATCCTCGAGAACACACGTCACAGAAAGTACACCAAAGCCGTCGACATCTGGTCTCTCGGCGTGGTACTGTACATCTGTCTATGCGGTTTTCCACCCTTCAGCGACGAACTGTACAGCAAAGACAACCCCTACACGCTGGCCCAACAGATCAAAATGGGCCGCTTCGACTACCCGTCCCCATACTGGGACAGCATAGGCGACCCAGCCCTCGATCTGATCGACCATATGCTCACCGTCGACGTGGCAAAACGGTACACAGTCGACCAATGTCTCGAGCACCCGTGGACCCGGAACGCCGTGTCCGCGAGTATCAACCCCTCAGACTCGACCGACGGGTTGACCGGCGCGATGTACAGCCTCGATTTTTCCAAGCGCAAAATCAATCGAGAGCGCACCCTGCTCGCGAATATCAATGATATCAAAGTGAGTAAGGTCGTTGAAGTCAAGGGTGCGCATGTACCAGGCGGACAGGACAAGGGAGCACCTGCAAAGGTGAAGGTCTGGGAGAAGAATACTGATGGAAAAGTCGCTATTGCGACGGACACTGCACCAGAAAAGAATAATAAGAAAAAGGAGGAAGATCCTGCGGCGAATAGGCAGCAGGAGGAGTTTATGGGAATGGGTGGGAAGGGAGATATGCAGCTTTTCGGCGACGATATCTCGTCGAGGTATCTGCCTCAAGAGGTGCCGGATACGCAGAAATCGGCAAAGTGAGGCGATACACGATTTCTTCGACATGGCGGGATGGTCCTGCTTTTCAGTTCATGGTACGAGGTATACTTGCCATTTGATCTGGATGGCTTTGGTGATATTGGTATGATAGGTTATCAGGAGCGGCACTCTTTTTCCGTTGTATATACTGGGATTTCACCAGGGGTCATCACAAGCCACTCCTTTTCGACCATTGGGGACGATGCATTTATATCAATGTCCAAAAAGTATGTACAAAGGAGTATTGTATGAGAAGCAATATGGATTGGAATTGAGTCCAGCATATGTAATGGTACTGCATGCTTGCCCACCTCAACGTACAGAGATCGTGCATTTACCATGTTTTCGGGAGGTTTAAGCCTTGTCCCTTTTTCGAGACAGGACGCCACAGCCAATGTCTGTCTGACCATACATTGTCGCGTGCTCATTCTGAGTGATGGATGCTTTCGTATCAATAAGCATCTCGCCGCCGTTCAGAGCCATGAGACACGCGCAATGGTATGTCGGGATCTTCAACAGCTCTCGCCCACCAGTTGTTTTCAAGTACCAATTTGAACATGCGGATAAGAGGAAGATCTTCAAAATCCGTGCGGTGACTGGAGCCTTCAATGATGTCCTGGACGTTTCCCAGAATGGTAAGCCCAAATTTGTGTCTCGATGTAACGAGGTTAATGACGCCATCGTCGTAAAAGTGTGCAGGCGGTGGCTTCCCTGTCGAAAAGCTATACACAAGACTGAGAATGGTGTAATCCGCTTCCGTAGCGTCTCTATGCATCACACATCTGAAACGGTCTCCTGCGGACCAGTCTTTGCCGGTTGCAGTATCTTTGACAGCTTTCTCAACAAGAGGCACCTGCTCTCGGGTCATGCAGATCACTTGGAGCCTCTTGTCCTTGACACAGCTGTCATCTACCGACAAAATCTTATTGACAGACCACGCAGCCAACCTGGCCTCGAAAGGGTTCTCGAGCTGATTTGCGTACCGCCTATAGGAGTTGATGAGATGGACCGGGTAAGGCTCTGACGGTCCTGTCAGTAGACACCCATCACCATCGGGGAACGACACGACGGTTGTGTCCCCAGCGGGCATGACTCGTGGCGGTTCGTGTTCAGTGAATGTGTTTCGAATGATCTGACCATGGTAAAACAGTTGCTTCGAAAAGTGGCTAAAGGTGTCTGAACGATAATGCGCCGAGAGTCGGTGAGCAGGAATACCGGCTTCGAGGGAGCGCTTGAAGAGGGAATATCCATCCTGCGCCGAAAATTCATGACGGCGACGGCGGTTGTCCTGGGGGAAATGGGGAATGAAGCCAGGTTGATGTCGGTCGCCGTAGAGATGGTACTCGCGCAGAGTAGGGAATGATGACATGATGCCCAGCAATTCGATGTCACCTACGCAGTTTGCGCAGTCTATCAACAACGCGTGTGGACGAAACTGAGCAGACAAGCGCGACAAAACAGCAGCTGACGGCGTAGCGACGACGATGACGGCTGTATCAATGTCTCCCTGCAAGATTGTCCATACGCTCCCCGAGTAGCGCCCAATCCAAGCCACCTTCTGTGTCATGTTGAAATTTCGAGACCAAAGAGAGAAAAGCTCACAGACGTGTGCGTCAGTCGGACCGATAATTAGTACTGGTCGAGATCGAGTACTGCTCAAGTTCTGATAGCTTGAACCAGTCATCGGCTGCAGGATTTTCTCGTGTAGACCTGCTCGTATGACGGCCGTGAAGAGGAGGATCAGAGTCTTTCCACAGCCTGCAGGTCCATCAATGATGTTGAGACGTTTCCCTCCAAGGCTATTGCAGACAGCCTGTGCTTGTTCTTCACTGACTTGCTAAGTCAGGGTCTCGCTGAAGCGCTGAACGGAGTCCTCGATCTCAGTTGGCGTCTCGGTGTCATTCGTATCCGTTCCCCCAATGGCGATGCCGAGCAACATGCGAACAATCTCGCTATCAAAAGGACTACTGTCAGTGCTCTCCAGATCGCCGTTCATCCTCGATAGGGCCGACTGGAGTGCCGACACACGCTTTCCCCCGTAATCTTTATATACTGACGAACGAATGTAGATTGTTTTGGCAATGGCGAATTCCAAGACGTTATGGTATCTCGTCTGGTGGGGATACCCACACGACTGCAGTATCGTCCTTTGCATCGTATGCATGCTGTTTCGAACGTCGGCCAACGCTGCCGTGATGTATTCCGGAGGACTCTGTGCGAAAGGGTCATAGATAAGATATGGAAAGTACCAACCCAATTTGTTTCTGACTATGTACGTCAGAGATTCGACTCCATGCTCGCTGTATTGCTGCGCATCGTTCAGCGGCGGGTCTTCGTCCATAACCCAGCACAAAGTTACGATCAGACCAGAGCTTATCTTATTTGGACCACAATCCAGTTCCTGCAGGAAGCTGATGTTGAACAAGAGCTCTAAGTCGTTTGATTCGGTGCGCTCCACAATAGTATCTAGGCCGTGGGACTCGACACCATGTGTCATCCATCGTAGACAATGGACTCGCGACAAAGGATGTTTATCTCGCGACCGGATGGCTTCGGAGAAGAAGGCTGATAGCAGACTTTTGAACCATGTGCTCGAGTATTTGTGCTTTTCATAAAGTTCGACCAGCTCTTGAGGCGGAAAATATATGATCCTGCCACCTGCGAACGATTCAACTGTCCTGCCATCCTCTAGGATCAGATCTCCAGGGACGAAGCGAACAAACGCCGTCGCCTGCTCTGATTGACTCAGGGCTTGCTCAGAGACCTCTTTGCCGGGCTCAAGGTTGACAATGACACCGAGTTCGATCATGGTTCTGCTGTCGTGCCCATAATTAAATTTGCAATAGCTGAATGAGTTCTCGGTTCGGAAAGGCTTGGTGGAGGTGACAAATGTGGCGTCATCGACTTGTCCTTGGTTGCTAAGACTTCGAAGAGAACATCGGGCAAAGAGAGGTTCGGTGGCATATTCGGACCTGGGAACATTGTGAAGGCCGCATGGGTGCTCTCGAGTTCTCTTTATCGTGTACTGCACCAGTTTATCCATATCGGGATTGATAGATCCAACCTGCATGATCCAGCAGTCGGTAAGAGGAAGTGCCGATGTAAGTTGTGATGTCTGGTGGCGCATTTCGACCTTGGTCGGTTTAATACCATGAGCAGCTCCTGCCAGCATATTTGGGAAATGAAGGGACGACAGGAACAACCGCATGAATCGCCATCCTTAGCAGCGATGGTCTTGTCGCAATTGGTCGGAAGACACGGCAGAGCGCGTGAGAGGTGCCAGTGCCATCGCTTGTTTACATTCACAGGGCTGTGGACCACCTTCTCCACATCAACCAGGCCTCATGAATATCTCATCCAGTCCCTTCATGTCCGAGAAAGCCATTCGCTTTGCCTCGATATTTCGACCTCGAAGCAGATGGCGGCCATTCCGCGTCTTCGTGGTAGCAATAACCTGCGACTTTGATGCTACTAGGCCTTGGTGACCATCGGAGGACAGTTTTCGTTTGAGTGATGATGCAGCACTTGCGCGCTCGACTTCATTCTCGGAAGATGCCGAGGACACAGCTTCATCAGGCGGCTGAGTGGTGGGTGATCTGCGGACAGACGGTGGTTGTTTCGAGGTTACCGTTGCACTCTCTTCCATCGCGGCCGATTTCCTCGCCTTTTTCGCCAGTTTTCTGGCAGCCTTCTCTTCTCTCCGTTTCCTTCTTTCCTCTTTACGTTGTCTCTTTTCTTCTTTCATCCTTCGCTCTTCAGTGTGAGACTCGTCCTTCTCTTCGGACTTCGGTGCATTTTCAGGCTCGACTTGCTTGTCCTCTCGCTCTTTGTCTTCGAGACTTCCGACCAATACCCCACCTCTTACAAAGACCATACCTCCCCATCGGCCTCTGGCGTACATTTCGAGTTTTCGATCTTCGATTTTCTTCTCTACTTTTTGCAGCTCCGCATCGCTCTTCCCATTCAACCTGCCGAGGAGTCCTTGAAATGCATCGAGACCGTGCCTTTGAGCTTCGACGTCCCTGCCCTTCGTCTTGGCGCCTAAACCCAGGTTGTTGTCTTTGAAGAGAACCCCAACTCGGGCAGCGGCCAGTCGGTCAACATCGTTTAGTCCTAGGTGCACGCTGTCACGGTTGCCCAGAGATTGACCTTCCTTCCAGCCTTGCTTGGTCATGAGGCGCTGGCCGAAGGAGGAGGAGGATTGTGACCATGAGAGGTTGCGAGGGTCGTGGGAGAGTTTGACTCTTCTGTGTCAGTGTTAGCCATATCAGGATCTCAGGGACCAGTGGTTTAGTCGAGCAACGACGTGGAAACGCTGCGTAAGAGTTGAACCTACTTTCTAGGCTCTGCCAACCCCATTTTGTCTGAGGATTCGCAAGGATTTTTCACTACCTATTTAGTTAAGGCACTTGCAGCGGGTGTGGTTGTAAACTCTTGAGAAAGATAAGATACGAATGGTACGACATCGACCAAAAAATTCTGGCCAAGAAATGCGACCGGCGGGCGGCGAGCAAAGCATTGCCGACTCGCCAATTAGGCTAGACTTACCTTATGGTACAGACAGTACAGTACAGTATGGAGTACTTCTGTAACTCTGGCCTAGCCTACCGGCGGGGTCATGGGGACGGCATCGTCGACCCAGCACCAAGCAAACCACCACGCCAATTACCCAAAATATTGTAGACCCAAGCGCCAGGTTACAGCGTGCAATTCATTTGACCCATATTGTGCACTGTGATCTCGGTTTGCTGAATGTTTACCAGAGTTGGCATATTCCTCGCACAGCTCTTCTGAAATTCCTCTGCCTCACAATGGCGGGCGCCAATCGATAGCCCAGTCGATCCGGTTTGACTTTCAAAGGCAGCCCAACATTCGCAAGGCTCCAGAACGTGCACCTACTGGCATTGTCCACAACCGAAGAAGCTACACTACTCAATGGCTGTGGATCAACCGGAGACAGCGTCCGAGGATGGTGGCCAACAGCCACCAGCTGGACCCCGACGCACTGCCAGCTACAATGCCGAGGAGGGCACTCTGGACCATCAGCAAGACGGTCTCAATGCTCACACCAAAGTTCGAGACGATGGTCGCGTGGACATCACAATCACCCAGACCGACATTGAGATGGCCAAACAGCTCGAGCAGATCTCATTGAGCCGGATCCACGAAGAGCCCACCACGCCTCAAGGCCCACCACCTCCTTTCCTCGACGACATAGGCAGACCGTTCAGACCACCACCGCCCCTCAACATCGTGATCCAGGTCGTTGGCTCACGAGGCGACGTACAACCCTTCGTTGCATTGGGCCAGGTCCTCAAGCACCAGTACGGCCACCGCATCCGGCTAGCAACGCACGGAACGTTCAAGAAGTTCGTCGAGGAGAATGGGCTCGAATTCTTCGACATCGGTGGGGATCCGGCTGAGCTGATGGCGTTCATGGTCAAGAACCCAGGTTTGATCCCAGGCGTCAAGTCGCTGCGCGAAGGTGACGTGGGCAAACGACGTAAAGGAATGGCCGAAATCTTGGAAGGATGTTGGAAATCGTGCGCCGACGCAGATGAAGTCCCTGCCGACGAAAGCGAAGAGCCAAACGGCAGGAGAGCGAAGCGGAAACCTTTCGTCGCCCACGCTATCATTGCCAACCCACCCAGTTTCGCTCATATACACTGTGCACAGAAGTTGGGCATCCCTCTGCACTTGATGTTCACGTAAGTCTTTCCTCTTCATGACTTACAAGTCACAAGATGCTAACGACTACAGTATGCCGTGGTCGCCAACACGCGAGTTCCCGCAGCCCATCGCGAACATCCACACATCAAAAAATGCAAGCGGTCAACTCACGAACGAAATGAGCTACACTCTCGTTGACATGATGACCTGGGAAGGACTAGGCGACATCACCAACAAATTCAGAAAGGAAACGTTAGGGCTAGGCTTAATTTCTCAGGCTGCCGCGACAGACATGCTATGGCGACTGCGCGTACCATATACCTATTGCTGGTGAGTGCCTCTGTCATGTGATGGTCGGTAGCTGACCCTCTACAGGTCACCCGCACTCATCCCCAAACCCAAAGACTGGGGTCCCAACATCACAATTTCAGGCTTCTACTTCCTCTCCCTTGCATCTAACTACCAACCCGATCCCGACCTTGCCGAGTTTCTCGCAGCAGGCCCGCCCCCAGTCTACATCGGCTTCGGGTCTATCGTGGTCGACGACCCGAACGGCATGACGAAAATGATCTTCGAAGCCGTCCAAAAGACAGGCCAGCGAGCCCTCGTATCCAAAGGGTGGGGCGGCCTCGGAGCCGAAGATCTCGACAAACCCGAAGGTGTCTTCATGCTCGGCAACTGCCCGCACGACTGGCTCTTCCAGCACGTATCCTGCGTAGTCCACCACGGCGGCGCCGGCACAACAGCAGCCGGCATCGCACTCGGCCGACCGACAGTCATTGTCCCCTTCTTCGGCGACCAGCCCTTCTGGGGCGCGATGGTCGCTCGTGCTGGCGCAGGCCCAACGCCCATCCCCTTCAAGGAACTTACCGCCGACAAGCTGGCTGATGCGATCAACACAGCGCTTGAACCTTCTAGTCTGGAGCGCGCACGCGAATTAGGCGACCGGATCAAGGAAGAAAAAGGCACCGAAGTCGGCGCCGCCAGTTTCCACCAGCACATGAACGTCGATCGAATGAGATGTATGCTTGCCCCGAACCGGCCAGCGGTATGGTGGGTGAAGACCAAAGGTCACCCAGCCAGCGGTATCCGATTGAGCACATTCGCCGCGACGGTTCTCAGTAACGAGGCCATCTTGGACGCAAATCAACTGCGTTTGTACCGCGCCTGCGAGTACGCCGTCGAAATGGGTCAAATCACCGGTCCCAGTCAGGGCCCGAACCCAGTCCTGAGCACTGCAGGTGCATTCGCTCACGATCTTATCCATCTTCCCATCAATATCGCCAAGGCGTGGGCCGGCGTCGTGTACGAGCCTTACAAGGGTGCCCGAAAGGGAGGGTGGAAAGGGTTTGGGAAAGGTCTCGGCCGAGGGATCGGACACCTTCTCATCCGAGAGCGTGCGTTGACATTCGGGTCCAAGCAGTTCGGGATTCGCGCGCTCTACGATACTATCCGAAAACAGTTGGCCGATGATAAGTTGAGTTTTATCCTTGCCGTGCACTTTGTGCAGGGGTTTGAGGAGGTCAAGAACTCGTCCGAGGGCGAGAGGATGGATGTAATGGCGAGATGGCATGAACTTGGGCTGAATCTGGAGTTGGTTTCGACGCAGTCGAGTAGAGGTACTGCGCCGGATATCTCGAGGTGGACGAGTTCGAGTTCCACCCCAAATAGTCCGCTTGGTGCTCCGAAATGAGGTGGCCGAGTTCGAGTGGGACCCCAAATAGTCCGTCCGGTGCTTCGAAATGAGTGACCCCAGAGCGACCGTGTCGGAGCAAGAGATCCGGAAGGAGATGATATTGAGCGAATTTGGTCTATTTGTAATGAAGCGATGTTGGATTCGGCAAAGCCATGTAGATGGTAGATGGCGCTTTGTGTCAAGGACGCCCCTAATGTTGCGATAGTAGGCATTTCCTACCTAAGTAGTGTTCTCCATGGCATGACAAGATTGGCTTGCACATTGGCGCTTATTCTTTCAGGCTTTCACTTGCTTCTTAGGGTCGACGATCCTATCTGCGTGAATGTCCTTCAACCTCTGTATCCGTTGTATGTTCCTCATCCCATAGACCGAGAAGATCGCACTGATGACCACACACGCCCCGGTCACCATGACGAAACCGTACCTCGCCTCCTCGACGAAGTTGACCAGATTCATACCAAACAGACCCGCTACCAAAGTTCCAGCAGCGAGACCGAGTGTGTGGATCGCAATCTTGGCTTCAAGAAACATGATCTGATTTCTTTGCACGGCCAGACTGGATCGGAATGTGTTCTCCTTCTTGCGAATGACGCTGTTTGCTGCACGCGCGGACTCGACAAGAGCGTCAGCAGCCGTGTGGTACGCTTCCAGCATGTACTCCGCCTCCTGGTGGTCGGTGGTCTCATGGGGTTTGCCCGCCTTCCGGTCTGTTAGATACATTCCCGCCAGATCCTCGTCTGTATCGAGGACTTCGCGCAGCGTGTCACGCACGAGACGGGCTTTCTGCTCGATCTTGCTGAGTTGGCGTGAGTGCTCGAAGAGCATGTCGAGGCCGACTGCCGCCAGACCGGACTCGAGTTTGAGGTGTGCCGCGCTGTGTTCGGCGTCCTGTCGTGCCTGGAGGAGGTCCTCACGGAGAATGGACAGGACGGCCATCAAGGCTGCTTCGACGGCGCGTAGTTCGTAGGGCAGCTCGGGGACTTCGGCTGTCTCTTTGACTGACATACGCCGTTCGAAATCGTGGTACACTGCGCCATTGGGGTGGTTGTGCGGGTCATGCAGATTGATCAGGAGAGCTTCGTCGACTTGAATGATCATGCAGAGGTCGAAGAATTGGAGGAGGATGGTGGCGGGACGGACAAGAATGCGTGTTACGGATTCAGATTTGAGGTCGATGTCGCGCAGATCGCGGTGCCGAAGCTCGAATTGTTGGGCTATTTCGGCTTTTGTTAGTTGTTTGTGGGGAGATACGAGGGACCCAGTGCGGTCGAAGTAGGCGCAAGAGATTTTTGTATCTCTGTTGTTTGAGGGAGAAGGATCGGGAAACTCGAGTTTGGGATCTTCTGCCGAGACATCTTCGTCATTATCTCTTGCGATTCTTGAGACTTGCCACGCAGAATTCGTAGAGAAATGTCGTTGTGGTGAGAGTGGTTTGGCTATCTGAAAGCGTGTCGAATGTGGAGGCCTGCTGGGCAGGAGGCCATACGTGGAGGATATCGACAGAGGCGCATCCTTGCAATTCGTGCATATCCTTGTTGGCCGAAAATGGTGGAGGGTTGAAGCCACAAACTTTATCGTCGTTCGCATCTTCGCGAGCACAGCAGCTGTCAAATTGGTATCTCTTCCAACGAATAACTCATGGAGTTTGAATCCGAGTGAGGGACTACTCGTACGAACTGGTATCTGTGGGTGATTAGACAGAGGTCATCAATGTTTTTGAAGCTGGTGTTTATGAGCCTTGTATGCCGACGTCATTGGCCAAGCAGGTTTAGAGGATCTCGGATCTTGAAGCAGAACCAAGCACTCGGGACGGTGGGTTTATTCGGCCAGTACTTTTGATATTTAGTCAACTGTGCTGAACGTGGTTCTGTTTCATTGCGGACGCAGATCAATACCGCGATTGCCTCTTGCTCTGGAAGTAGGATATGCGCTTATGCAGTCTCCAACCTCATGGCGTTAAGAGAATGATCTCCTCCACGCAGTCTTTTTCTCGACATCTATCATAAAATCTAGCCCGGCACAACGCATCTGGGGGAATCAGCGTGCTTTTCACTTGAGTTGACGCCTGATCCAAGTGCGCTTGATTGGGTTCGCCAGTTGTATTCGGTCAAGGTGTCGAAGTGCGATATGCCAGCACGCAGACAACAGTAGGCAAAAAGTCAACAAACAAGCCAAGTGATGCCGAAGGACTCGCACTAAAAGCTTTAACTTAAGCTTAGCCACCCTAGCCCTTCCAAGCCTCCCAGAATGCTTGTCAGCAGTTAAGCCTTTCAACCTTGATCCCGTCCCTCCGTGCTGTACCACCAATAGGCGGGAAATCCAGCTATCCACCTATCGCAGACTCATGCATGAACACGCATCCTCGTACGATAGTGTCTCAGCGAGTCAAGTCCCAGCGTGAGTGGACAGTGCCACGTAAGTCACCACATCTAAACTTATCGTCGTATCACCATGGACTATCAAATGATCGCGATTCGTCGAGGGAATCGGTGAGTCGGTGTGGTGAGCAGGGCCTAGCCAACCAAACACACCACGGCGAATGTGAAACCTGAGATTCCGATCAAGAGTCAAACGCCAGTCCAGTCAAGTCCGCCTGTAGAGTACGGTAGCGTAGCTCCAATCTCACCGCGTGGTCCAGGGGCGCAGACACACTCTAGAGAATGCATGGCCTGACCTGAATTGCAGTGACCAAGTTTCTTAACTTCACTTCACTTCACTTTATCTCAACCCAAAACGCACACCGTACTTTTCTCATCTTCCATCAAACCCACCTAGTCCATCATCGAACAATCTCTGATATCCACAGAACGCGATCTTACTTCCAACAACAAACCAGATCTAACCTCACCGAAATGGACGCCCGAACTCCAACCCAAAACACCCAGAGCATTGCTCAACCCGAGGTCAGCACGGAGACTGTCGTTGCTGAACAACCTGTAAGTATTTCCCCTCAGTACCCTTTGATCGAGAAACTCGAAGTCCTGCATGTGCTGACACGATGATAAAGAGCGGCCCAAAGGCAATGGACCCCGCCCAAAAGGCAATGGACCCCACCCAAGCTCCCGTCGGTCTCCGTGGTGGCGGTGAGGGCGAGGATGTGTGCTGCGGACTGTAAGTACTTCAGATCGACCTTGCAAGTCATGCCCTGATCACGCTGGGTATCCAGGTGCGCTGGATTCATGTGCTTCGAATGCTGCAAGGATTGCTGCTAGACGATTCTTCACGATGATCGGAAGTGTAAAGTCAAGGCGCTGAATGCAATAAAGGGCAAGGCTTAATTGTTAGGAATCCCGCCTAACAGAGTATAGTGCAGGTCACGTGCGAGTCACGTGCGGAGACCGATGCATTGGGCAGGCGCCAAGGCGCCATTGACAGAGCTTTCCATAGCTGCGAGCTCCGTTGGGATTCAGGAGTCTTTTCTTCTCCAACGCTCGACTCGCTGTCCTTTCGGTACCTAGATAGATAGCTAGGTATATATTCCACTATGCATTGTCCTTCCTCGCATTCCTGACATAGTCGAGCGTTTACCCTTATCTCCCTCTACGTTGCGCCAGCGCACCGCCTGCGCTATGGCACCGAGTACGCGAGCGACCGTACAACCCACGACCGAGGGCGAGGGCGCAGAGTCGCTTAGAGAGCGACATACACGGCTATTAGCTATCGTGGAGGAGCAGAGACTCCTATAAGAGTGCGAGGACTTAGAAATAGAGCTCGGAGGCGGTACGCCTACGAGTAGTGCGCGATCTAGAGGGAAAAGACCTACGTTATAGTCGTTTAACTAATATAGGTATCGTCGACGTTTTCCGCCGCCTATCTATAAGGCACTAAGCCTTAAGGAATATCGTGAATTCCTATTAGGCTATGAAGTGTTTTTTGACGACGAGGACGACGACGAAACGAAGTACGATTAGGTAGCTATCGCCGTATCGTATTTTAGAGATCTTACGTTATCTACCTAGGGTACGCTCGGAAAATAGGGTCGGAGACCTATTACGTAAGCGGCTTTCGAGCAGTACTATCGCGATATAATTCAAGATCCTACGAATCGCATAGCTAACGTATCCTTAAAGCTTAAGGATTTACGCTAGGGCGATCAAAACGTTCGTTCTCTTGTTGCTATGATCGAGGGCCTCGAGGATAAGCTGCCTTTACTATCGGCAGAGGAGCAAAAGGCCTAGGTTCTCGTGAACTGTTTGAATCCCGATCTACGTACGGGAGTACTACGCGAGTTGCGCGCGGTTAGCACCCGTACGCAGGTCGCCACCGCAGCGCAGAGGTTGTCTGAGTTGTATGGGAGTGGCGTGCCGGTAGGAACCACTGTGGTGGTACCAAAAGGCGAGTCACGTGAGCATTATCGACAATTGAAGGCTCGAGGATGAGCTCGTGCCATTTCGATTCATTGCTAGACAGCCATAGCCAATATTACCACATCTGAAGACCTTTGCCTCCGTTAATGCAATCCAGTCTCGTCCTGCTGTGGTCTCGATAGCCGTCATTACATGCTTGTAGCTCCTGAACGCAGAACACTTCTTCGACCATTCGTAGTAACCTTGGTATTTGTTACTATTCCCGTGTCGCCACCTCAGTTCCATTCCACGTCCCACCGGACGCAATCAGCGACTTCAATACTGTGGTCCGTACCGCTTTGTGAGAAGCACCAGTCTCTGCCTGAACAAATATCCTTGTTTCATATTCAATAACGTGTACGCTTGATGGACTCCGTACTCCTTGCTTCGGTAATGATGAAAAAAAATCGTCGTTCTTAACCTCTCAGATTGAACCACTCAACCGATCGATGTAGTCTGATTGTTATTCTTGTAGACTCCACCATGTACCGCAATTGTGATTCCCACCGCGAGGCCCACCATAGCACCAATAATGACCAGGGCAATCAACAACTTGACCATCAGCCTTTGTCTGGGGGGCAATTGCTTTAACCACGCACAGCCACGTTGTTTAGGTTTTGTCAAGCATTGCTTCTTCTTGTCCTGAATTCGCGATCTTCGGTTTTCCGAACTTTGCGCGTCTCGCTTCTCTTGAGATACGCTCGGTGACAGATCGTTCATGCCAGCTTCGAGGTCCCGTTGAGACAATCTAGGCGTTGATTTGCTGACATCGAAGGAGGGTCGAGGAGAGTCGTGCTTGTAAAGGTAGAAAGGGGAGGTTATTTTGGCAGTTTGGCAAGGGTCGTAATCGGCATCGGATTTGGTTTGCTCGTGGGAGATACGAGGCTGTTGCTCAGTGAGCTCGGTAGCTTCGTGGACTGTTTCGAAGGCCATGTTTGACTTTGTGGAATTGTTAAATGCAGATGTCGAATGAAGAGGTGCAAGTAACTGAGTATTGATCTGTTGAAACGAACGCCGGCGGTAAGGCTAAAGCAATGTGCCGAGTGGTGTGTCGATTAAGAGTCCATCTGAGGAAACAGGCTGTTGGTAGCAAGAATGTCTCGGGATGAAATGATTCAGTTGAGATGTTTTGGATCAGGTGAGGTGTTGAGGGCTGGTATGGCAAAACGACAGAGAGTCAGTGGATCGTGATTGCACTCTGTCTTTCTTATGGGGTGATCCGGGGAGGGAAGTCAGTGTATCCAACGGCACTTTCTCAAATCAAGGCGGTGGCGGGTGTCTCAAGCATTCAGCCAGCGCGTCACAGGGGGATAACGAACGGAAAGGGACACCCACTTTAGGTGGATTTACAAAAATATTGACAGCGGGCTGTTGGCAATAGAGGCTGTGCCATGTGGCCCATGTCTCTACGATAACGAGCAGATTGCATGTTCGATTGGAGCTGAGCAGGTCACTGGAGATGCAGGTGAAATTGAACAGGCCTCAGACATGGGCAAATTTGATGCAAACCTTAGTGGGGATCAACAAGACGGTTGGGAACTTCCGGGGGGCTAAACTCGCTTTAGGCTAGTTAAGACCGTCAAGCCGGGGTACCTCAAGGCCTAATGCCCGCTTATGGCCCAATTATGGGTACAAGTAACTTCGTAGTGCCAGGGCCTCGATCAACAACGAGATCAGCTCGACAAGGGTAGGCTCTTCACGGCTTGAGCATAACTAACGATAGCTGAAGCATCTCTGGTAGATTGTATACGAAAGATGTGCTCGATTGACATGGCCGTGTAATGCTACCCGTGTCGCCACAAACAATGATCTATTACACGCGTGACGAAATATATGTCAAAACACGATCGAAGGGACAAACGCACGGATGGGCTGAGTCCGGGTGGTGCTTGTGCAGTGTCCACCCCTGTGCCCACAGGGCAGATGAAAGCTTGATTGAATCTCGTTCCTGAAAATTGATACCTCTTTGGGGTATGCCCTGCCCATTCGTGCCACTCCACGGAGTTAGTCAGTTACTCAGCCACAGTGCCACACATCCATGAAATCTGTCACTGTCACTCCATCCACCTTTTTCCAAATAGGTCTTCTAGAGTGCGACGTCACCTGAAATACACATCACCACAAATCACCGTGACCATCTGGCAGGACGATACAAGCTGACCTTGCAGACTTTGAACTTGAAATCTTCATTATCGTTTTTGCTCGATAAACGACTGCTATGTTTTTGTGAAAGCGGCCACACATCAATCATGACTCTCGGAAAAAGTCCTCCCTCACGATATGACTTTTGTCGCACATGCCACGGAATATCCCGTTAGCCTCAAACAGATTGATCGGAGTGTCGAGCTCGGCAATCCTACCCTGGTCCATGACACAGATCCGATCGTAATTGATGATGGTCTTGAGACGATGCGCAATGCAAAGCACTGTCTTGCCCGCAAAGCCAATTCTCATGGTACGTTGAATCTTCTCGTCCGTCTCGAAGTCGACAGATGAAGTCGCCTCGTCACAGACAATGATTCGTGAGTTCCGGACCAGTGCTCGTGCCAGAGCCATCAGTTGTCTTTGACCAAGAGAAAAGTTCAAGCCTTCCTCTTCGACCTGGCTATCAAGCTGGATGCGGTTCGCGCCACTGTTTGGGACGTTTACATTCGAAGTCGACGTTGCCGCAGTTTCGGCCGTATGAGGTCGACCAGTCTTTTCGTCCAGTGTAGGCATTTCTTCCCCAACCAAATCAGCCTTCCGAAGGGCTGACCATAGATCATGGTCTGAGTGCTCCTGGAACGGGTCAAGGTTTGACCGAATTGTTCCTCGGAACAACGTAGGATCTTGTGGAATGATAGCCAGGCGCGACCGCAGATCGTAGAGACCGACGGAGGCGATGTTGATGTCGTCAATCTTGACCTCACCACTCGATAGCTCCGTCAAACGGAAGAGGGCAGACATGATGGACGACTTGCCAGCGCCAGTACGGCCGACTATGCCGATACGCTCGCCACCTCTGACATGGAAATCCAACCCCTTCAGTACTAAAGGTAACTCGGGCCGATACCTCATTTCCACATTGTTGAACGAAATAGCTCCCGACTGAGGCCACGAATCCGGCACTTCTCGCAGCTTCAGTGGTGCCTCTTCCTCCAGATTAGCGCCGTAGTAATGTATTCGTTCCGTAGCGTTCATGTTGTTCTCGACTTCCGCCAACTGTCGCACCGTAAATTGAATCATCTGTACAATAGCCAAAATGTATGATAACACCAACCCTGCTATGCTAGGATTGACGTTGAAGCGGTCCGTCACCACCAAAATGCCAGTCGTAAAAACAAGGATGTTTCCGATAGCATCCAATCGGGTAGAAAGCCAACGTTGATTTCCAAATGTTAGATAGTATGCCGAGTTCATGTCGTCAATTGCTTCGCGCATTCTCGTTGTAAAATAACGCTGCAAGCCATATGCTCGGATCGATGCCGTTCCAGATATGGACTCTGAGAATCGCGCAAACACCGTAGATCGAAGAACTGCTTCGTGCCGTTTGATCTCCCGTGCCGACGCTCGATAGTAACTGGAAGCAAACAAAAACAATATAAATAAGGGGCCCAGTGCCACGGCGAAATAATGGAAATACGCAATGATCAAAGCAAACACCGACGTAATCATGGCCAGCGTGAGGAAATACATTCTCATGGCGTCCGTCAAATTGTTGTCCATCGAATCCACATCCTTGGAGAATCGGTTCGTGATTCGACCCAAAGGTGTCGTATCAAAGAAGGACATTGGCGCACGCAAAACCCGCGTCAAGGCATTCTGCAGCATTGTTTTGCTTGCATTGGTACCGCTCGTGGACAGGATCGTAGCAAATACGAACAGCAGGATCGCTTGCGAAACACCAAGAGCAGCATAAACGCCGATGTAGGCGCCTTCCGAAAATCCGAATTTGTTGCTTGTCCACCAACTGAGCCATAAGCTGGTAGCAATGTTGGATCCCTGCGACAGGATCAAGGAGATGAAAATCAACGGCCACAGAAGGGGCGAGCCTGACGCCTTGATATATGCTTTCCAGACTGTCCAGCTGACAGACTTGACGGCACGCTCTTCCTGTTGCATGAGTGCTTTGCCCTTTTTGGTTTTCTTTTCGGGCTTCTTTTCCGTGTCTTCCTCTTCTTCAGTTGGTTTGGCGACATTGACATCTTCCTGAGCCGTCGTTGCCATTAGTTTCTGAAAGTCGACGCTCTGCTCCATCAGGTTGTCAAAAGTATCAATAGCCTGAATATGGCCATCTTCCATCCAGATGATGCGATCGCATCTGGAAAGGACGTGAAGTTGATGGGTCGCAAGTATACGGCATTTATCCTTCATGAGCCCACAGATCGCTTTGTCCATAATATGCCGGCCAACGTGGGCATCAACAGCCGACAATGGATCGTCCATGAGTATGATATCAGCGTCGAAGTAGATAGCTCGGGCAATGTTCAAGCGTTGTTTCTGGCCACCAGACAGTGTAATGCCTCGTTCACCAATTTCTGTTTGATCTCCAGCAGGAAGAATGTCCAAATCGGGTCTCAGAGCACAAGCATCGATCACGTCTCTGTACCATCTTCCCTTGTATGGCTTTCCGAACAAGATGTTTTCCTTCAACGTCGCATTCTGAATCCATGCGTATTGTGGACAAAAGGCCCGAGACGATGCCATCTTCACCTTCCCGCCTGTCTTTCGCATATCACCAGCAAGTGCGGCGAGCAGAGAAGTCTTGCCAGAACCAACTGTTCCAATGACAGCCAACAACTCATTCCTACCGACAGCGAAATCGATGTCATGCAATTTGAATGGCTCGACTGCTGTGGTCTCACTCGCAATGTCTTCATCGGACGCAGTGGGCAACTTTTTATTCTTCTTTGCCTCCTTCTGCGCCTTTTTCTCGGCCTTCTTCTCAGCTTTCTTCCTATCTTTCTCTGCTTTCTTCGCAGCCATCAATTCACCCTTACTTTGGAAAGCTCCCGCTCTCTCCTTATCTTGAGTCGCACCACGTTCCCACGTGAAGGAAGCCTCGTCGACTTCAACGGCGGGCTCCATAGTGTCGTCGAACGTCACGTCATCCTTCTGCTCTTCGGAAAGAAGAAACTCTTGTATACGCTGGAGAGAATTTTGTGCGTCTGTGACTTGACCCAGCACCAGTGGTAGCAGATTGAGTGGCATGCGCAAGGAATTGAAAAGCGCAAGTGACGAAAAGACTCGCGATGGTTGCAGGCCGTGATCGGACAACGAGTACGTGATGAAGGCCAGCATCGAGGCAAAAACTGGCATAGACATGGCCACTGCGTTGATGGCATTCCTGATCGATAGCAACACCTGGATGGCTCTGATTTCCCGCGTCCGCAATTCCTTCAGACGGGCGAGAAAACTGGTTTCCCACCCGAAGAATTTGACAAATCGAACAGAAGCTAAGATTTCCTGAGTCAGAGTGACACGCTGATCAGTGATTTTGTTGATCTTCTTTCGCTTCATCAGTAGAGATTTGATGGCTGTGGTCAATAGGGGCAACATGATCAATAGCAGAGCATAGCCTGCTAAGGCGCTGTAACCGATGTTGATGCAAAGCACCACCAACACCACAATAACCTGTATTGGCGATGTCCACATGATATGGAACATGCCTGAAGCTTGGTCAACACGGTACGTATCAACACTCATCAAGTTGACAATTTTCCCGTTGTGCCACCCGGTACCATCTCCGGAGACTCCTGATCCTTTGTCCGGTGTGACCTTAGCTCCACCTTTGGGATGTAGCTTCTTCGATAGGGCACGAGCAAGTACCGGTCGATTGGCGGGCTTTTCAGCATCGGTGGTCTCCATACCGTTGGAGGTCTCTTCATCTTGAAGAGCCTTGCCGCCAGCCTTGGCTCTGCCCGAAATTACGAGAGACTTCTCGAAAATGGCATTGATCAGAACCGCTCTGCACTCGCCACCTACCATCATTCCACGATAGATGAAATGATTAGTGGACATTGACTGGCACATTTGCATGAACGTAATCCCAATCACAAGACCAATACCCTTCCCAATGTTGGGTGCAGGCTGTCCCGTCTGTTGTGCGTACCATGCGTCTGAGGCGAATTGAATCAGGTAACGTGTGGTGAAAGGGGAGAAGACTTGAAACAGAGCCGAGAACAATGCACAAGCGCCACCTAGCAGGAACTCGCCCCGGAAAGTATCGAAAAGTGCCCAAAGGAGCGGATTCCGTTCCCCTCGAGCAACTCTGCGTTTGAAAGCCGGCATCAAAAGATCAATCATCGAGACGGAACTTCTGTCAGGGTTGACAAGCCAGATGTCGTTTACTTCAATTGTCCGCTTGTAACCTCGTACCATAAGCGGATTCATCCACTGAAAAGTCACGAGGCTGAGAAAGCTGGCGTTGTATTCGGGACAAACAGTTCTCTCTTCGGGAACAGGCGGTGGAGCTCCACGACGAAGCGGGTTTATTCTGTGGTGCCATGGTGTCTTTTCCGGTTCTCTGGACTTTGTATGCACAGCAGCACTGGCGTCGGTAGCCTCGGTGGCAGTGGTAGCCGCAGATTCGATTTTCTCAAGACGCATACTATCCTCGCTCTTCCCACGACCTGTCCTTCGCAAGTCCCTGGGGGCTTCCAAATATTGTGTCGGCTCATCTCTTTGCGCCAAATCTTCCTCTTCGACATTGTCTTGCTCAAGTGCGCGTTTGACGTCTTCGGCGTCGTCCGACGAACGCGCCATGTTGGCCGACATTTGGGTTGTTATTGCAGAGGCAAGCGGAGAGGTGAGTGGGCAACGTCGGTGAGGTTACCCATGGTGATGATATGGGTTAACGAGCAAAGGCGACTATGGCAAAATATGTATTCGGGACGACCTGCAGCCGGACATGACTGATCAGCGACTCGCATTACTGTCGTAATAGAAACTGCAGTCATGTTGACCGGCAAAGCGGCAAACGAGCGCAGCAGGTGGGTTTGCACGGCCCTGGTCATGGACATTTCGATGCCCCGCATTTGGACGGAAAGAATGTCCATTACAGGCGTGTCAATTGGACGCAGGCCCCGTAGCGACATGCTTAATTACAAGCAGCGAACCAAAATTGGGCACTTCCAGCGCCTAGGCAGAAGCTTGCCATCTGCGCATCTGACTACCCGCCCGAGATGCTTAGCGATCCCATCAGGCAACAACTCTTGCAGGGACTTTTTTCGCCTCCACCCCAACAAGCATTTCATCTACGCCGAAGAATCAATTGAAGATGTTGCCTAGTGGCCTTAAACGATATGGTTGAACAACTCATCGACATGGTGGTTTGCTTGCATCAGTCAGATTATTAATCGTCGACATATGACCGCGACTTGATGTCTCACGGAAGCCTTCGCGACAGGCTTCCATTCTATGAGTACTCCCGTGCAGAACACACACGGAAATAATGCATGACGAGCACAACCTCCGCATGCAGAACCCCACCGTGGCCAGTTCTTTTGCTTCTCCCGGCAAATAGAATGAGAAGTCGGGCTGCGTTTCGCAAACATTCCCGACATCGGTTTGGTCAAGTTGCGGTGAGTCCATTGATCTATTTGGGAAAGACCCCTTACCCCAGAAATGGGTTTTTCGTTCAGCTTTCACTTAGATTTAATATGCGGACTTTGGCGACCTCCTCGGGTCCGAAGACACTCCTCCTGGTCCCGTTGGCACTCAATCGGGTTGAAACACTTTTATCTACCGGTTGGGATAGTGTTAGTCGAAAGTTGGGCGCCAGCATGTCTGATCTCGGACACCGACTGAATCTCAATCTTTCCGAAAATACCTAGGTGTTCAGACGTCGGCCGCGCAGACCAGTCAAGTGCATGTATGTCACCACGGGCGGAAGTTGTTGTTCACTGTATATGGCCTCAAGCAAATCAGGGCTCATAGTAACAAGCTTCATTTTAAAAGTTTGTCGATGTAGCAACTTCTTTGAGCAGGTTTGTACCTCGTCTCAACTCATCCACCTTCTCATCTATTCTCTTCCAACTGTCTGGGCCAATGATGATCCTGAGGAGCCCTTCGCTTTTGATGAGTGAACCAGCGTCCCCTTCTCCCGTGGCGGCCTCAAACATCACCCTCGCAGCCTTTTTTGGATCTCCCATAGCCACCTCCGGCAGCCGTGCGATTTGGGCTAATCTCTGGCCGACGATATGCTGGCCTGCATACTCTTCTGACGGCGTGATAATTCTTGCAGAATTGGCGCTGCTAAAGTTCGTTCGGAAAGCCCCTGGTTCTATGATGAGCACTCGAATGCCAAAGGACGACACTTCGACACTGCAAGCTTCGGAGACAGCTTCCAGCGCAGCCTTACTCGCAGCGTAAACACCGCAGGCTTGGCTGGGACAGAATCCCTGGGTGCTCGACACGTTCAAAATGACTCCTGATCGTCTGCTTCTCATGCCCGGAATTACTGCCTGCATGATTCGCACGGGTCCGAGGAAATTCGTCTCCATCTGCGTCACGAGTTCTGCGTCGGGGGTATCCTCAAGAGCACCCAGTACGCAGTAACCCGCATTGTTCACCAGAATGTCGATGCCGCCGAAAAAGGATTCAGCTCGTTCAATTGTTGCCTTGATATTCTGGTTGGACTGCGTGTTGTCCAAGGTGAGCCATTTACTTCCTTGTTCCTCGACCTCAGACACCAGATTTGGGGTCTTGGAAGGGTTTCGAGAGGTTGCTATGACTTTATGTCCCTGCGAGAGGACGTAACGTGTCAGGGCAAGTCCGATTCCGCTGCTTGATCCTGTGATGAGCCAAACTGGCTTCTTGAAGTTTCCAAACATCTTAAAGAATGAAGACCCTGCAATCAAGCTCTCAAACTTGGATTACTTGAAAGATCCCAGACTGGTTGCAAGTGAGTATGAGAATTGATGAGCCTTATATGTGTGCTCCTTGACTTCTTGACCTTGAGTTATTGGCACTGATGCTCCGCTGGACCATTTGATTCGCCTCTGATATGCTCAGAGAGAGCATTAAGGCGCACTACGTCCGATATGTCTGAACCTAGCGCGACCTGCTGACAACGGAGATAGAAACCTGTGCGGTCATAATTCCGGTCTCGATTGGCGCGTATGTTTACGTATCCCCTGCGCAGTAGGATTGGCACTTTTTTTCTTGGCATTCACGACACGCGTTGTTTACCCCAACTAAGTTAACTTTTGTATGCTCCTACTATAGTAAATATAACTACCACTCGGCGCTCTGAACGTATAAAACACCCAAAACTTATTTGGGAGCAGGATATTGCTACTCCACGCCTAAAAGCTAAAAAAGAGTAAGAAAAACGGCTTCCTGCGCCAAAAACGCGGTTAGTTGCCGAGACGGCTCTATCCGCTGTTAAAGATCTCGTAGACTAACTACTACCTAAGTATACGCCCTTAATAAAAGTTAAATCAACGGCATTTATTATCCGTTGGCTAGAGAGGGACCCGTTTAGCCTTTTTATACGTTTCATTAGCGAGGCATCGCTCATGGCCTTAGTAAACGCGATAAATACGCGGGCTATTAGTTAAATAGAAGGTACCTAAGGAAACCTTCGCGGTTGGTCTCTACTAACGCGAGAGGAACTTCTCTATTGGCTAGGTCTACTATTTTATATAGATAATTATATAGATAAGCGTAAATAGGACTAATAGATAGAATTTAGTAGCTTCATAGAGTAATTTATATCGTAGGTACGTTAAGAGTAAATCTATCGATTTATATTCTATACTATATAACCTCGATAACTTAGCGACCTCTAGTAGTACAAGATCAAGCTAGTTTACTTAATCGTACGTACTAATTGTTACGAAGCTATTACGCCGTTATCGTAGCTTACTATCGACGAGTGTCAGGAATGGCATACTAGCCGAGCCGCCCGAAGGCACAGGCCCTAAGGGCGCCTATAAGGCACACCCTTCTCGCATGAGAGGACTTAGCTTCTCTTATGCTTCGAGTCCTGTAATACCTGATGGTTGAGGGACTCCTAGTTAACTACTGAATACAATACCTATTATATTGACTATTACTCTATCTGCCTATTACACTAGGGTGTTCCTTACATTCTCGAAGCATCTCACTACGATCGGTCGGAGTAAGTAATAGTCGTAGGCGACATAACGTCGCCTAGAAAGGGCGATACCGAGACAAAGGGTATCGTCGACGGAGGTTAGGTCATCCCAGGCGGAGTCTAGAGTTGACCCAGGCGAAGACGACCTATAACCTACCAACGCCGGACCTGAGTCGCGTGGAGGTCGCTAGCAACTCGTAGGCGAGAACAATACGCCTCGCTCTTCGGATAATAAGGACGAAGAGAGTAAGGAGTATCAATAACTCCTAAGGAGAAAGAAGAGCCTCGGGGTAGACCTGAAACGTAAGCGACTTAGGGATAAAATCCTCGCTATGGAAGAGGAGAGTACCGGTAGAGAACCGTCGCGGTATATAGAAATCGAAGGCACAACGCTACCGAGTCGCAAGCGACTCCATAGCTTCTCGGAAGGCGTAGAGGATCAAGAATAGTTACAAAAAACATTGAAGATAGTAAAACCTCCCCTAAAGTTTAATGAGAAGAGTATAAAAGCTCTACGCGACTTTAGCAATAGTTAGAAGACTATATTCGATATAATTCCTACCTATATCGTTCTAGATTAGGGTTATCGTATACGAGCCGTAGCTAACGGCCTTAAGGATCGCGCTTAGATCCGATAGCGATAAGATCGTAACGCTACGGCTACGTTCCCTATCTTATAGACTAACTTTATCTTATAGTGTAAGGATACTATTAAGAACGCTAATATACGTAAGGGGGAAGCCCTTATATCGCTAGTGACTCTTAAGCAAGAATCGTATTAAGCGGTGCGGGACCTAGTAAATACGATAGAACTCCTAGAGGGGGAGATCGGCTCTCTTATAGAGGATGAACGCGAGGGCTAGAGACTATTTTATACCCTTACACCAGGCCTACGGGATACGGTTCGACGGGACCTTAAGCGCATTACTTTAAGAGCATAGGTCTTAGCCTTAGCACAACGCCTAGAGAAGATAGTCGTAAGGGAGAAGTATAAGACTAGCACGAGAAGTCCTACTCCTACGATAAAGAAGACAATATATAAGTCGTAGGTAAGGACTAAGCGAGTCTTACCCTCTCTAAGCAAGAAGGTTCGAATAGGCGAGGAGAAAGAAAAACTAGCGCCCTTTAAAGGGGAATGCCGAAACTATAGAAAAAAGGGCCATAGGGTAAGAGACTATTGGTCGCGTCCAACAAAACAGAGTGACGCATCCTCTTCGCCTATGAAAAAGAAAATAAAAGGTAAAGGCAAGGAGTCGAGCCAATCAAAAAACTAAAGAGTAGCCTACTAAGTGCCGTAGTAGCGCTAGGACTAGATACTAGTAAGAGAATCGTAGAAGACAGCGATACGCAAAAGTCGCTTACCCTCTAAATTAAGCTAATAGGTCCCCATAGGGTACGAACGGCAAAGACGCTACTCGATAGCGGGGCGTAAGCGAACTTTTTGGGATACCTATTAGTAGCCGAAATAGGGGCGCACCCTACCGACCCTAATATTCGTGTTCGCACGGTAGCCGACTAATCCATTCGAGTCTATAGGTAGTATCGCCTAGAAACTCAAATTGCTAACTCCTATAGAACTCGTAAGCGACTCGACCAAGACTTCCTTATAGCAGAACTTATATCCTATAACGCTATTCTAGGGTTCCCTTAGTTAAGGGATATAAACCTCCGAATAGATTAGTTAAGCGACATATAGAGCTTCCGAGACGAAGGAGACTCGTAGGTAATAGAAATATCGCTTACGGAGGTATAGGCTAAGTTAAATACCGACTTAGTTATGATAGCTTATATATAGCCCCTTCCCGAGGAAGGCTCGCTAGAAGAAAGCGAATCGTAAGCGACTCGCCTAGAAGTTATACTCGATAAGAGACTAAAGCCCTTCGAGTCGGTTTTCTAGGAACCTAGTAGCGACCCTTTCGCTACCGATACTAGGACACGACATAAAATCCCTGTTTAGGAGGGCGAAATAGTACCCTATAGACCTATTTACCCCCTAAGTAGCAAGGAGTTGCGAGTCCTTCGCGAGTATCTTAATTTAAGCCTAGAAAAGGGGTAGATTCAACCGAGTGAATCCTTAGTAGGTGCCCCTATTCTCTTCGTACCTAAGGCCGACGATAGCCTACGACTTTATGTTAACTACCGTAGGCTTAACAAGATAACGGAGAAGAATAGGTACCCTCTTCCCCTGATTCCTGAAATTCTAGATCGTCTAGGTAGCGCCAAAGTCTTTTCTAAATTGGATCTTCGAGACGCCTATTATCGTATTCGAGTCGTAGAATAAGATCGTTAAAAGACTACGTTTTGTACGCGATATAGCTATTTCGAATATTTAGTAATGCCTTTTAGTTTAATAAATGCCCTAGCGACCTTTTAGGGATATATTAATAAAGCTCTTCGAGGCCTTTTAGATAATATCTATATCGTATATATAGATAATATACTTATCTTTAGTACCAACGAAGAGGAGCATAAGAAATATCTACTACTCGTACTTAAGAAGCTAAAGAGCTATAGCCTTTATATAAAATTGTCGAAGTATAAGTTCTTTAAGCAAGAAGTTGACTTTCTAGGGTATCGCGTAGAAGTCGACGATATCTCGATAGACCCTAGTAGGGTCGCGGCGATCGAAGAATAGCCTAAACTAAAGACTTTCCGGGAGATCTAGGTTTTCTTAGGATTTACTAACTTCTATCGAGGGTTCGTTTATCGATACTCGGTAGTAGTAGCTCCTATTATAAACCTCCTTAAGGGGATAATCGCTAGCAAGAAAACAGGACTATTCGAGTGGACCGTAGACGCTTCGCATACGTTTCGCAAGCTAAAGAACTACTTCAAGACAGCGCCTATACTAGCTCACTTTGACCCGGAGAAACAATCTCGCGTTGAAGTAGACGCCTTAGGCCAAGCTATCGGCGGTATACTAATATAAGCCTACGAGTCGCAAGGGGGTCGCACACTATGGAGGCCGGTTATATTCTTCTCTCGTAAAATAAATGACGCTAAGAAGAATTACTATATAGGAGATAGGGAAATATTAGCTATTATGCACGCCTTCAAGATATAGAGACATTACCTTAAGGCCCCTACGACTAGCACGATTATCCTTACGAACCATGAAGCGCTATAGAGTTTCATGACTACGAAGGTATTAAATAGGCGTTAAATACGGTGGGCTAAAGTACTAGTCGTATACGACTTTTATATCCAGTGGAGACGAGGAAAGAATAACCCAGCAGACGGGCTTTCCCGCCGTCTAGATTATATAGTAAAAGAAGATCTCCTAGAAAAGAGTCCTCTAAAGGCATTACTTGAATATCGTATACTAATTAAGGAAGATAAGGACGAAGGTCGTATACGAGTAGACAACGACGTCCTTATGGGAGTGCTTACTCGGTCGATAGTTCAGAGCAGCCCTAATCCGGCTGAAAGTAGTTATAATATTGTAACTCTACTAACTACTGAATCCGAGGTAACTCTCTAGCCAGACCTAAGTAAGGTAGAAGCGGATCTAAGTAGGAGGTCGACTAGATCCTAGGCGAGCGCACCCGTAGAGGGGAGCAATAGTTCTATATTAGGTGGAAAGGTTTTAGAGAAGCTAACGACTCCTAGGAACCAAAAGAACACCTTGCGAACGTACGGGAAAAGATTGCGAGTTAGAGGCGAAGAGCGGGTGAATAGTTCTATTTAACGCTCGACTTACGCTCCTATACTATACCTCCGCGGGGCGTAGGCGAGGCCATAGCGAGCTCCCTACGAAGAGCAAAACTATCTGAAAAATCTCGACTAACGCCCTAACCCTCTATACTCTATAAGGGGTTGTAGGGGAGTCCACTACGAGCGGTATACCCTCTACTCCTAGGCCCTACCGAAAAACACAACTCACTAAGACTTTGCTTTAAGTCGTAAGCGATAAGCAACTATCGTAACTACCTATCCTACTACCTACGGGTTACGTACGACTCTACTCCGAGTTAGACGATAACGACGATATCGTAGGCTTATTATTACCGAAGCTAGAGAAGGTTGCGGCCTCTATACGACCTATACGCGACTCTAACGAAGCCAGAGAAGTAGTAGCCGTAGTGACGGCATTCTAGAATTCGTTAGTGACTCGTAGGCAACTCGTAATTAACACTTATAGTCAAATAGGCTAAAGCCTAGATAATATCTATATTAATAACGATAGGGGGGGAGATAGGAGGAGCAGTAGTATCTCGTACGCTAGCCGTAAGCGACCGTATTAATAGCGCATTAGGCGGAGCTAGTAATAGGCGAGTCGAGATAGGAGTCAAGGGCGAGCCGGTAGCGATAGGGGCAGGAGCAGCACGGGCGGCACGAGTAGTACGGTTCACCTCGCGGGTGTAGGCAGTTATTTCAAGGTCGAGGACCCTCGCCTACGTCTCGATAGCGGCTATGGTAATACTAGCCTCACCCTAAACAAGGCGACGGTTGGTCGCGAGCAAGTCGCGAGCACGACCCTCTAAATACTCCGGAACCTAAAGCGGTTAGTATGCGATTACTATATAATATATATGCAACTCATAGAAGCGCACTGGACGATGGTCCGATTGCTACCCCGGTAATACCGGCAGCGATTATAGCCCTTAGGATACTCGTAGTTGACTCGCTAGCTAGCCTAGCCCTGGCCGCTACTAATAGGAGTATTGGCGGGCTGAGCGTAGAGGCGGCGGAGGTATCGCTAGTAGGGTAAACCGCGCTTAACTCTCTTGCGAGTCTTGCGAGAGGGGGTAGGAGCATTATCCGGGGGGCCTACCGTAGGTTAGTTGAAGAGTCGTATGCGATACGTATATGAACTTACTACGTTTCTCACTACCATCACCGGGAGGACGGCCACTATCGGTACTACTGGCAATACTACTAAGGCTAGGGACTATAGGCGTAGCGATAATAGCCGACACTACTGCGATTAGTAGGCAACCCGATTATAAACTAGTGAGTACCTACTAGTTAAGAAGAGGGAGCTGCTATAAAGAAATTAGTTAGTATAGGCGAAAACTACGTGACATGAATACGACTTATAGTTAAGTGTTTTAAGATTCTACACAAAACATAAAGTTAGCAACGTGAAATAAATCTCACGCGAAACGACTAAGACTTATAGATAAGCGGCGACTAAGAGAATATAAGAGCTATAAGTATATTAGTTAGCGGAGAGTTCTATACGAGTAATGCGTAAGTATATACCGAGATATTATTGGTATTGCTATTATATAGAGGAAAGGAAAGAAGAGAGGGAGAGTCAATAGATATAAGTAGTACTCTAAACTATATAGACTCGCTAGGTTCTCGTATATTTATTAGGTACGATATAATCTATAAAAACTTATTTATTAGGGCGAGGCTACGGGTCACTATACATAAGGCTGCGAGTCACTATATATAAGGCTACGAGTTACTATATACGAGGCTACTAGTTATAACCTAAGGCTAAGAACTACTATATAAGGACACCACTAGGTAATGCTATACTACTAAGCCCTAGAGTATAGCTCTTACCTAATGAGATAGCGGAATACTTCTCGAGAACGAGAAGCCCCGGAGAGGGGGATAATTATTAGGAATGGTATACTAGCCGAGCCGCCCGAAGATATAGGCCCTAAGGGCGCCTATAAGGCATACTCTTCTCGCATGAGAGGACTTAGCTTCTCTTATGCTTCGAGTCCTATAATACCTGATGGTTAAGGGACTCCTAGTTAACTACTGAATACAATACCTATTATATTGACTATTACTCTATCTACCTATCACACTAGGGTGTTCCTTATAACGGGGCTATAATCGCTTACGATAGCCGATCGATTTATACGCTTAAAGTATTTAGTAAACTTATCTTAGAGGGCTATAAAGCGTAAATACTCGGTATATAAGGAGGCTACTATTATAATTAGCTACTATACTCACGCTAGGTAAGTATCGAATACTATATCAAGGGTAAATAGGTACTATTCCCTTAGTATAGCGCCGACTATTCTATTTACCTAGCGGAGATATTTCAAGTGCCTCTAAGGCTCTATTAGAGACTAATAAATCGAATTCCCTAGCGAAAATAGCTATTATTCCTAGATAATCTATTTCTAAATATCGAGGTCGTATATACCCTCTTACTACTCGACGTAAATATTATAAAGACAATACGAAAAAGGTTAACTAGTTTACTATAGATTTTACTCGACGTTAAAGAGATTAATAGAGCTCTTGAATACGACGGTCTTCTCGCTAGTGTTATTAACTACGCTCTTTGCTTTGCCTAGTAGAATAATAACGTTGTCCTTAGTATCACGATAGCTTACTCCGTACATAAAGAGGAGGACTTTATTATATAGCTACGACGGCGTCTAAAGGACTTGTTAACTAATGCTATTATAGCGCGAGAAGTATTCGGCGATAACTAAATTAAAAACTATCGTATTCCCTTGTTTATCGAAGACTATAACTACGGTATAAACGCTATCGATATTACTAATTAATATAGGCACGAGTTTAGCTATTATCTTCTCTACGAGTAACGTAGTTAGCGGCCGTTACTATACTAGCTATTTAATATCTACCTCGTTAATAGCTTTATTATCTAGCGTAAGTTTTAGTCTACTAAGAAGCGAGCGAAAAGACGTAATCATAAGCGATTTAAGAAGTAACTTATACGTCACCTACTCCTTCGTGGTATAGGCTATAGGCTATCTCGAATACTACGGCGACGGCGGTATACCTAGGGTAGTAAGTACTCTTAAGACTACTAGTAAGGGTATTACAATACGTAGACGTACGCCCCTAGCGGAGGTTATCAACGAGTCACGACCTAGGGCGCGATCAAGGAACGTTCAAACGGGTTATATGATCTGTGGTGTCAACCTATGTACTCATGGACCTTGCTATACTAATTGGCATAAAGATCTCCTATTAAAATGTATGTAGTTAAGCATGAATGGTAGTACAATAGCATGAGGGAGTACATGAGGTTGCATAATTGGGAATGCCAAGAAAAAAAGTGCCAATCCTACTGCGCAGGGGATAGCACCGAAGGATGAATATATCGAGACCATGATCAGGTCGAATATGTGATGGTGACTATAGTGGAAGCACCTTGAAGCCATTAACATGGCGATGCGTAGTCAAGCATGGCCTTCGTGATCATGGCGTGAATGGCTAGCCGAGGCATTTTGTCTGCACCATCCGAGATCCAGAGAAGAAAGAACAGTGGCCACGCTGTAGCCATCCTGGCTGGCCACCTCCAGCACGTTATTACATCAAGTCCAGGATTAAAAGGTCGGTTCTCGTTCAGATATTGCTCAAACGTTCCAGAGTAGAGCGGGCTCACGATATATGGATATCTCCATGTTCTTGGGCGCGGGATAAAACCGGAACCGGGGATGGTCAAATGTCATTCGCACTCGACATTGACCTTGGCGTAAGTGCAGGATTATTTGGAAGCCGCCTGATTGGCTCCGGCACCCGAGACTCAAAGCATCACCATTGATTGCCACTACTCTTTACTCGGCTTCTTCACTTCAATCACGCAGTTCATCTCAAGTCGCCTCCACTCTCCTCCATCTTGCGTTCAGTCTCGAGCTGCAGAATCGCTGTCGGAAGCCAAAAAAACACAATGGCAGCTCTTCGCACCGCGTCGCGCCTGGTTGCGCCTACCCGGTCCGTCTTCCGATCTTCCTTCGCCGCAAGATCCTATGCCACCGTGACCGAGAACTCGTCCTACGATACCTCTGCAAGCCGACCTCCTATTTCCGAAAAGAAGACCGGCACCGTCGAGGAGCCCGCGAAGGATAAAGACAGCAAAATCAAGACCTTCCACATCTACCGATGGAATCCTGACGAGCCAACCTCGAAGCCCAAGATGCAGAGCTACACTCTTGACCTCAACAAGACTGGCCCTATGGTGTTGGATGCTCTGATCAGAATCAAAAACGAAGTCGACCCGACCCTCACATTCCGCCGAAGCTGTCGAGAGGGTATCTGCGGCAGCTGTGCCATGAACATCGATGGCATCAACACTTTAGCTTGCCTTTGTAAGAGTCTACATTATTGTGGCCGGTGGTACGGTTGGCTAACAAAAATATCAGGCAGGATCCCAACCGATACAGCCAAAGAGTCGCGTATCTACCCTCTGCCGCACACCTATGTTGTCAAGGATTTGGTGCCGGACTTGACCCAATTCTACAAGCAATATAAGTCAATCAAGCCATATCTGCAACGAGACACCAAATCACCAGACGTGAGTATTGCTACTATGACAGATCGACGAGCGAGCTGACGGAAGAACAGGGCAAGGAGTACCGACAGTCTCGAGAAGACAGAAAGAAATTGGACGGCCTTTACGAATGTATTCTGTGCGCCTGCTGCTCGACATCGTGCCCATCGTACTGGTGGAACAGTGACCAGTATCTTGGCCCGGCCATCCTTCTGCAATCCTACCGATGGCTGGCAGACTCGCGTGACGAGCGGACGGCACAGCGCAAGGAAGCTTTGGACAACAGCATGAGCTTGTACAGATGCCACACTATTCTGAACTGCTCACGGACGTGCCCCAAGGGTCTGAACCCGGCAAAGGCGATTGCAGAGATCAAGAAAATGATGGCAACCTCATGATTAGGCGACGGGCTCTGCCGAGGAGATGGTGGATGAGCATACGCCTGTAACCAGCTCACAAATGGATTTTTGCACTGTCTGGGGGCCTTGCGGCAACGACGTGTATATCAATACAATGCTTGATGCGATTGCTTTGAGCAAGAGTTTCAATGAACCTTTTTTCACTTTATACGTTATCCATAGTCATGTGCTGAACGAGGACAACAGTCGCTTGTTTGATATGGTCCAAATCCCACGTCTCTTTTCGGGAAATGCACTTATCTTTATCGGCCCCAATGTTTCCGTCCGACTCCCGGCTGGAAATTCTTCGAATGACGGTCAAAAGATAATTTCGAATGATCCATTTTACCACTATGTCTTTGGTGTCAGACAGCTGTGCATTTCCCACGTACGATCAATCTACCTAATCAAGAACATCATCAACATTCGCGCATCCTGATCCCACTATCACGCATTCTGCATCTTTTCGGAGTTATATACACCATGGAAGTCCCTGGTCCATCCTTATCAGGCTTGCGAGAATGGCTGGATTCCCTAAGGCCAATGCCTCTTGGGAGAAGACGGTATCCGAATAGAGTCCCAGTAACGTCGCCGGCACGACAACAACAGTCCCTCACTGACACCGCACTTGACCTATCAATGTTACGCCCTGCCGCTTCACAAGAGAACGCCACAAGTGCTGAGACATTTCTGTATCTTGGATATGGCTCCAACCTCAGTGCGGAGACGTTCCTCGGAAAAAGAGGCATCAGGCCGCTGTCGCAGGTCAATGTTGTGGTACCCAGTCTCTCATTGAGCTTCGATCTACCCGGTATCCCATACTCCGAACCATGCTTTGCCAACTCCCGTCTCCGAGACCCTTCAGGCGCCGCACTCTTCTCCGATGACTTACACGATCAGGACTACCATAAAGACCGCTGGCACAAGGGCTTGGTTGGTGTTGTTTACGAAGTCACAAGAGAAGACTATGCTCATATCATCGCCACTGAAGGCGGAGGCTCGGGTTATCAGGACGTGGTTGTCGAGTGCTTTGCATTGAGCAGAGATCCTACAGAGGATGTTCCATGGACTCCCTCTGGTCACTACTTCAAAGCCCACACACTCTTCGCTCCCAGTAGTGGGGAGAGACGGCCGGATCAGTCATACGCTCAACCTAGTCCCCGATACCTCAAGCTGATCACAGATGGAGCTGTCGAGCACGATTTGCCTCTTGAGTATCAATCTTTCCTCCACCAGATCCGTACATATCATCTCACCACGGTCAAGCAGCAACTCGGCTCTTACATATTCTTGTCTGTGTGGGCTCCGCTTTTCCTGTTCTTTCTGGGCAGTGCGCCATTGTTCGCTCGACCTGACGGGACATATCCGAAGTGGCTGGCAACCTTTCTACGGGCAATGTTCACCGCGGTTTGGGCAAGCTATGATGGCTTTTTCGAGCCAACTTTCGGAGACGGCGAGAGGACTATTGGCGATACCGAGGAGGATGATGATGACGATGACTGCTTTAAGAGAGGTATAGACGAGAAGGTGCCGTTGATTGAGCAGGTACCGCAACCTAAATATGGCTCGGTGACGGTGGTGGAGGTAATGGTATGATGACGGCTGATGCAGTGGCGAAGAATATGATTGTATGTGATGAATGTTCAGATTTGAGGTCCATTGCGGTTTCCATGCTTGCTTCATCATCCCCGTTTGTCGATGGAGGGCTCTTGGCGGCCATTGGTGCTGAAGGTTCTTGAGGTTATGAAGCCTTTCGCTCCCAACGTGCTTGAACTCGTGAAACCCAACACGTTGACAATCTGTTCTCCGCTCTCCTTGCTCTCAGACGAGCACCATGTCAGAATTCAATGACGGCGGAATGGACCAGACGTCCTCCACGGCTTCAATGGCAACGCTCGTGGACTACTTGAAGACGGGTTTTCGTCAAAGAGGCCCTGTGAGGCGAGTATACCTTCAACTTCCGCACATTGCCATGTACTGACTCGGAATCCTGCAGTGTTCCAGATGACATCAAACAACTGTACAGACCATCCTTTCAGCCTACCGAGAGCCATGACCTTCGCGACCTGCAAAAGATACTAGAGGATGGCCGCCCGAAGAATATACTGCGCCTTGTCCCATCATCCTTGTGTTCGGTTATCTCAATCGTCCTATACTATCCCAACTCGCAGGCACAGTCTAAGTTGCTCTATCTGTTCATGGTAGGGAAATACCGCTTCGCGCCACGAGTGTGCTAAAGCATACAGGAAACCGTTCGACAATACAAGAATGAAACGGTATTTGGCAACCTCATGGCCAGAGTGCAGACGGAGCCGGTCACTGCTGAGTCAATTCGAGAGAGAAGCCAATACGTGAGCAAGAAGCTGGCTGCTTGCGTCCTGCACCACCTCACGAATGATGGCAAAGATATACAGCTACGTTGGAGGGTGAGCAGGACTCAGTTGCAAGCGAAGAAGAATGCTGATACGGTTTACAGGCGGCTCAGTTCCTCTCTGTTATCCTTCAAGATAATCCGGCCGCGGGAGAAGTTGTCATGCAGTCGCAAGAATTGTACGCACCTCGTTACGCCTGACGTCCATCGCTGACAAAACCCAGCCACAGGTTACCCTCTATCCTCGAAGCCGACCAGAGCCATGTACTACGTGTCCTGGTCGCCGATATTGTTCGTGAGCTGCTTCACAACGGTGCGGAAAGAGCGACCTTGAAAAGCTCACCTGGGTCGCAAAGAATCATCGACGAGTTCCCTGTGGCAAAGGAGGCGGATTCGGTTTGGTTGAGTCGAGCAGTTGAACACCTGAGCGATACCGATGTTGGGCGTGCTTTTTCTGAACAGTATGCTCGCAGCATAGTCATATCGAAGAATCTTGACTGACATCGAGCAGGACTGGGCGTATCTTCAGAGTGCAGCGCCTACAATGTGGCGACAGCGCATCCTTCCAATACTCTTCCGCTTTCATAGCGACAATCGTGAACGACATCACGTTTCTCATCCCGAATGGAGCGTCTATGCTGACACTGCTCTCCATTCCTTTGACAAGCGACCTGTCGATCACGTCGGTCGCATCAGAATCCGAAACCTCCTTTTCGAGCATCGTTGAGGTCCAGTATCTCGAAAACAATGGCTACAGGATCACTAATGGGAACAAGAGCGCCATTGACAGTATCACTATCACATTTTGTGACGAGGAGTCGGCAGATTCTTTCCGAAGGCTCAGTGAGGAGCGAAAGAGTACAAATGACAAGCATGGAAGTGACGCTCTACCTGAGGCTGGTCAGAAGGTGTCTAAAGTCCCGAGCAAGCGCTCTGTGGCGGTCCTCGATATGTCTCAGACCTCTGATGACGAAGACCATTCGGGTGAGCAGCGACCGTCTCAACGTGACGGCCACTCTGGAGCTGGCCCGGACAACGAGCATGTCGACACGGAGTCGATTCCACGTCCCATAGTGGGTAACAAAAATGGCAATGGCAGGTTAGCGGAAGCTGCGTTGTCGACATCATTGACCTCGCACCTTCCTCCTGCTACAACTTCCACCAACCAGAACCTGCACCCCGCAAATTCGGATCACTATCACACACCACAACAAGCCAAACCCAGAATACCTTCTCCTAAGCCGTCTTTAACAATGTCTGCAGAGCCCGTTTCTAGGTCGACCCCTGCTTCGGCCGACCAGGCTCGGCTCTTTCCTGACTTGAAGAACTCTACTCGGAATCACGACAAGAAGAAGAAACAGACTTTCAGTATTTCAACCAACATGGCTCCTCTTGATGACGCTCGATCGAACCAACCAGCGCAAACGCCGACGCCGGCTCCCGATTTGGCGGTGCTGAAGAAGAGACCATTGAGCAAGGCGGCAGCCGAGAACGCCCAGTCCTCAGAGTACGATTTACCAACTGGTGATCAAGAGCCCACCCAGCCAAACAAGAGGGCCAAGACCAAGGCTTCTAAAGAGCCTGCGAAGAAGACAGCGGCCGCCGAGTCACAAATGAGGAGCACGAAGGCCGTTGTCACCGAAAAGTCCGTCCCTAGAAAGAGCAAGGGAAAGCAAAATACCACAAAATCGCCGGACAAAGAGTCACAGAAGACTGCAGCATCCACGCGAGCTAGACGCTCTGCCAAAAGTCAAACCTTTGTCGCACATTCAGACGACAGCTCGGATGACAGGGCAAGGAAGCGACCTCCTGCGCAAGCGTCGCTAGAAGAGCCTTCACAGGCTGATGCACACGGAGAACACGCCGAGGACTCATACCCACTGGAAAAGAACGCTGCAGAGGCTGCAATTCAAAGTGCAAAATTGAGTTTCACGTCGAACCTCAAGACTCTGGTCGCGAAAGAGGCTGCCGAGAAGCCTGGGGTTCCTCACAAGGCTATATCAGGAAATTCGGACCGAAGAACGACGACTCCGCAACGGGCGATAAAGCCTCTCAGTGAAGGATCAATTCCTTCAGTGAGTGAAAAGGTCCTTCGCAAGCCTTCACTCGTACACTTTGAACTACGAGGACCGGGCAATCAGGCTACACCACCAGTGGTCTCGGCGACTAAGGTCACTCAGAGAAGTACAGCAGGTGTATCAGCCGATGCTGAAGTCAGCACGTCAAAAGCTCTCAGTGGATCTGCGGACGCACAAATGACTGGACCAAATGTTTCTGAGATGCATGATGGTCTGGTGGACAACGATCGTGTGATGACGAGCGGCAAGAATGTGACCGTGCTTATGCATGGAGATCAGGACGAAACCAATGCTGAAGTCCAAGATCCCGAAGGTGACTATATGGCGCCTCAAGAGGATCAAGCTGATAGTGTTGTTGGTGTGACAAGCGGCCGACATTTTACACACCTAGAGTTTCAAACCGAAGGCAATCTCGAGGCTGGCGCAGCGGAATCTAAGAAAACATCAATGGCTGACAATCCGCCTCAAGGCGATGCTGAATCTGCCGACGGGGAAGAACCTGACTTGGTCATCCAGGAAGTCCGGCTCGAGAGCAATGTGGACAGTGGTATCGCGAGCGTTATCGACCCAGTGCATGCAGAACATGCAGAACATGCCAACAGCAGGAGCACTGCGAAAGGAGAATGTCTCGAACGTGCAGATTCACCGATGCAAAGGTCTGAGAAATCGGACGAAGAGACGGACGAGCGTCCTTCCCCAGTCAGGTCGCGCTCTTCAATGGAGCAGGAAGTCTCCGAATATATCCAGTCTGAAAGCTCTGATGATGCGATGGAGATGAACGTTGTCTCTGCTGAGCACCCTTCTAGCACTCGTCGGCGGTCTCCCATGCCACAAACGCCTGCCCTTGACGACATCCCTCCTGTCGATACGATGACAAGAAAGAAAGAGTCAATCAGATATCAAGACCATAATCGTCGATCAATTGGGATTAGCACCATTCTCGATCAAGAATATCCTCAAGCAGAAAGAGTCATAAATACACACAAGATACGGTCGAGCTTGCATTCAGGACTGGAAGATGTCTCAATTCAAGTTGAGCCACAGCGTGCAGCTCGTGGTCAAAGGGACGGCATGGCTGCGTTGGCGACAGCGACCATCACCACGAAAGTCCAAGGCTTCGAGCCTGTGCGTCAAAAGGGAACAAGCACATCGTTCGAGCGAGGCAACAGTATGGGTCCACCTCCGTCTCGCAGCACTCTATCTAAGCCACAGCATCCTGCGCGAGGTGTTTCACTCAAGACGAATTTGCATCCAAGTGCTACAGAAAAGAACTCCAACAAAGTGGTGCAAGATCCGGCTCCACTACAACACAATCATTCCAGCGAAGAGCCGAAGCCCACTCCCCCCGTGCCTGTGCGCATCAAGAAAGCAGCGATTCCTTTGGCTCCGTTGGCGGCTTTTGCGGCTGAGGCCCCGCCTGGAACGCCGCTCTCTTTCTGCACTCGTTGGGACATGGAAGCGCGAAATGCTGCTGTGGACGCGACAGATGGAGAAACGCATGTCCCCAACAATAAGGATGTGCCACATAAATCAGGCGACACTAGTCTGACGCTGATCAATGGGGACGAATCCGTTGATGCTCAACGGTCAGCACCATGGCCGCGTCGACGTAGACGACTGCGATCCATATCGACAGATGATATGTCGTCAGTAGTGTCACCTTCGCGAGGTGAAGCTTTTACCGCCGACCGAAAACAAGCAACGACAGATCTGAAAGTTCGAGACTCTCAGCGTGGTCTATTGGATGCGGTCATGGAGATTACCAAGGTAAGATTAACGGCTGACCAGTCTGAAATAGGCTGACTGTTGATCATAGGATGTGCTCTTCCGGTTCGGAGAAGAAGAAGACGCCATTAAAACCAAGGTCGACGAGCTTTATCGAGGAGGAGATCAAATTGTGCAGACCCTGACGGACAGCTGGAACGAGCGTCTGGCCCACGAACACCGAAACATGACACAAAAATTCGCAGAAGAGAAGAATTCTCTCACAGAAGCCTGCGAGCTTTTCAAGGAACAAAATACGGACTCATGGCAAGGTGTTCTCAGAAGGACAGATGTCAAGACGAGCGTGGAGCAGACATTGAATAAGTTGACTGCCAAGATCGAGGCATTGAGAAGCAGGCAGAAAGGCATATAGCCTGAGGTATCGTGTGCATGAGCGTGTATGCACATTGTTAGATATCGCGATGCTGTATGGGCTGCAATCAATTGCAAGAAGCGGAAAGGCTGGTTCACCGCGGTAGACAGGCGAGTCAACTTTGTAGTGAACAAAAAGTTCGAAGGGTTCAGATGCTTTTGTGTTTATAAATTTGGTGCATTACGTGCCGTTTTTTTGCCTGTACCAGATGCAAATGCTCAGAAGCTTGATCCAGTTGCCGCTTGAGCGTTCCAAGACTCCGGTATGTCGACCTTCTCGACCTTTGCATTTCCCTCGCCATCTACGAGAACCGCATGATTCTTTTCGACTAGAGACCACTCTCCAGATTTGTAGGTGGTAGGCTCACTGGCAACAATGACATGCTTTCCATGTTCTTTGACGTCCTTGTGGGCATTGGGGTTGTGCTCACCGCCAGGCATGTCTGGGTATTTTCTGTTGAGTGTGATGCCAGCCTTGGTGGACCAATACAGCGATGGGGGCTGCTCGACGGCGTGGTTGCGCAGACGCACAGCGACAAGTTGTTGTCCATCGGTGACGCACACGTTGAGCGAGCAGGCCTTGACGTTTTCTTTGCCTAGGACTTTCTGCTGGATTTGGATGACAGATTCAAAGGCCTTGACGAGAGCGTCGAGCATTTCTTCGGGCTTGTACTGGCGTTCCCAGGATTCTGGACCGCTACCGACGGATTTGGTCAGGTTAGTGATGTACAGGGCGGCGAGATGCTCAGAGTCCGTGGTGCCGTGGATGTTCTCGTACGCGGATTTCTCGAGTTCATCGAGCATGGGTCGACGCACCTCGGCGAAGTCGGAGATCAGACCGTTGTGCATGATTGTGTGGCGGCCGAAGATGAAGGGGTGATTGTTGATGGTCGTGACGCTGGTGCCGGTGGCGGCGCGGATGTGTGCAAAGATGGCGGTGGTGGCGGTGTTGCCGCATATACTGTGGAAATTGGCGTCGTTGGTGGGCGGTTTGCTTTGCTTGTAGATTGCGGGCCGGATGCTGTCGGTGTTGGCTACGAAGGAGGAGCGGGCGGGTGTGTACCAGGCCATGCCGAAGCCGTCGACGTTGAAGAGACGGTTGCGGACAGTGACTTCTTGTTCGGTGGTTTCTTCACCGGGCGTGTGGGAGAAGAGTTTGGGGAGGTAGTGGTCGTGCACTTGTTTGGCTAGACCATGTTTCTTGGGATGTTAGTGGTGGTGGAGAGAGGGACGGGATTTTGCAGGGACTTACAGGTGTGATGAGGACGTCTTCGAGGAGACATTCCTCGTCTGGGGAGATGTATGCGAACCAGCGACACATCTTGAGGGTGGCTAGGAAGATGGATGGGTATGGGTATGAAAGGGAATAAGTCGTTTGTGAAGCTGAGTGTTATGGGTTGCAATGCTCTCAGACGCACTCGTAGAGATGTTGATGTGAGGATTTATTGAAAAGAAACAAGGAATACAGGTAGAATTCAATTGAAGTTGAAAGAACTTTGCAATGTTGTTGATTTGTTGGGTGGTCTCGTCTATGGATCTGCTGAGAAGCTCTCAAGATGATGTGAATATGCAGGTACAGTACCAAGGGACACTTCAAAACCAATATATCTTCTCGGTTTAAGACACGTAAGCACCTGATCAGCAAGTTTTGGGAACAGGGTCTGGTGGAAAATCCATAACAGAACGTCATCGACATGAATCGGGAATATTAGGCTACGAGGCCAAGCTTTCGCAAAGCATCGTGTGGGGTTCAGGGCGATTTACGCGGGTCAGGCTAGTGATGGCAGGTGGCGCTAGGCGTCCAAACCGACTTCAACTACCTATATCTGAGATTCTTGTACCAGACAGTATATTCATCGTTGCCCACCACCTAGAAATCGTCTTCGCCAAGCCGTACCGACAACGACCCTTACTGCCACTTCTCTTCACTTTGCGTCGCCTCACTTTCCCTTCCAGAGGACTTTTTTCCGCAACTTCGCCAAGCTACAATGATCTTGGCTTGAATGTTACTGGGTATAAATATCTCCTTCTCTCCTGCTTTTCTTTTCCTTTTTTCTTCATCATCAATAAAGGGTTGGCATATAGAGAGCCCATCGCTTTCCGTACATCCACGCCAGCATCTTTCGAGGCGACCGCTACCACAAACAATGGACAAAGGGCTAAAAAGGCCGAAATCCAATAAGAACAAATGCCTCGAGAGTGTTGGCACCCTTTGAACATGTTGGGACGCAAGTCTCTCAGTTCACCTCAAGGAGATCGGATGAAAATCCACCAGAACTCAGACCGGATACAAATCCACCAGAATTCGAGACCGGACGCAAGTCCAAACAGACCGGACGCAAGTCCAAACAGACCGGACGCAAGTCCAAACAGACCGGACGCAAGTCCAAACAGACCGGACGCAAGTCCAAAGAGACCGGACGCAAGTCCAAAGAGACTGGATGCAAATCCAAGGGATGAACAATCCCATACACAGGAGACAAGTTTTCGGTCGAGAAATCATTCGCAAGAGTGTACTCCCGATTCCCTGACTTCGCTCCTGATGTCATCGCCGGTATCTCTTGAGGCAGACTGCTACCACAGACACCGGACAAAGGGTCAAAAAGACAGAAATCCACAAAGAACAAATGCCTCGAGAGTGCTGTGCACCCCTTGAACACCTGTGACGCAAGTCACAATGTTCACCCTGGAGAGTCGATGAGGTTTGCAAGAGAGCCACGAGAAAAGATTGGGCCGGTTATAAGAGGATTGCGAAGAAGGCTGGGCAGGATGGGAACCGTTGTCGAATGCCAAACAGATTGCAGAGGTTTGTGCGCCCCTTCTGCGTTAACTGACGTCTCACAGTTCTACGATCCGGACGACTTGAGCGAAACAAACGACATCCAGCAAGATATGGATTTCTGTTCAGCGAGCGACACTAGCCAGCACACAAGTCCGCACTCTTCCAGCCTCAACCCGAATGTCCAGTACCAGACTCATCAACAATACCTTGGTGGCCCGGCATGTTGCATGGCAAGTGAGTTCACGACTACATGTGACTGCTCGTGCACAGGCTAAGTCTTATAGCAGGACCTTGAACATCCTGCCTCACATCACGACTCGACAGATTGCATTGGAGGAATGGCAACTGGGTGTCTCGCTGACGGTGGTAGAGCAGAAGGATGTGGAGAATCATATGTAGGATGTGGAGCATCACTGGAGAGGCTCTTGGAGTCATGGTTGCAGCTGCGGTTGGAAGCTTTGCTTGGAGTGGACGGAGTGTGATCCAAGCCTGGACAAACGCACTCAATCAGCTGTGCTTGATGTATTGGGATGTTGGCATTGAAGGAGAGCGGAAGTGAATTGGGCTGAAGTCTGGTGTCAGATGCTGAAAGCCATGTAACAGCATGCAGGACTCGTTGTCATTGGAGCAAAGCTAGCGAACGAAATCAATTGCGTCCCCAATCACAGGCATACATCTCTCTGCTCATTCCTGATTCAAGGCAGAATGTCACAGTCATCTTATCTGAATGGTGCTGACCTTCTGCCTCCACCTTAAAAGGGAGTCGGCAAGGTTGAGGTCTTACGTTTGCGAATCTATTGGATGAGCCCTGGACCCTGATGGGCACTCGTACAGCTAAGGAAGAAGGCCAACCATAGGGCCTGAATAGAGTCTCCACCAAGTCAGCGCGCCGGCGTACAACTTTTTATTTCATCTTGGCGCTACCCATGAGCTTTGGAAAGAGTCCGCATTAGCTGCGCCGTCTCCATCGACAATCATTACATCGCCTCGCAGACGGTCACGATGAGTGCATCTGCTGTCCGCGGTCCGTCTAGGCTGCTGGGCACTGTCCTGCGGACCTCCGCATCTTCGCGAGCCGGAGCGTGGGTTTGCCGACGGTGCGCATCTACAGCCACTTTGTCAAACTACTCCGCAGGCTCAAAGTCGTATCTGGTGCAACGGTCGTTAAACCGACGATGGCAACAGCGGCGGGGCGCAGCCGGTGCAGCAGCAGCAATGTAAGGAACACAGTCAATGCTCAAACTCGGGAAACTAATCAATGCCAGGCTCGAAGAGGCTCAAGACGACTCCCTGTCCCAGGAGACGATCATACATAACCTTTCTACACAAGAGGCCCATCGTCTGTCAAGAGTCAGGAATATCGGTATAGCAGTGAGTTTATTTACCATCGCAGGACCGTCCACCCGCTAACTTGGTAGGCGCATATCGACTCTGGCAAAACCACGGCCACAGAACGAGTCCTCTTCTACACTGGTCGCATCAAGGCGATTCACGAAGTCCGCGGCAAAGATGCCGTTGGAGCCAAAATGGACTCTATGGACCTTGAAAGAGAAAAGGGAATCACAATCCAGTCTGCTGCAACCTTCTGCGATTGGGTCAAGAAAGAAGATGGCAAAGATGAGACATACCACATCAACTTGATTGACACACCAGGGCATATTGACTTCACCATCGAAGTCGAGCGAGCTCTTCGCGTCCTTGACGGTGCCGTGATGATCCTGTGCGCCGTGTCAGGTGTCCAGAGTCAGACCATCACAGTGGATCGTCAAATGCGAAGATACAATGTCCCCCGGATCACTTTTATCAACAAGATGGATCGGATGGGTGCCAACCCATTCAAGGCCATCGACCAGATCAACAAAAAGCTGAAGATCGCCGCAGCAGCTGTTCAAGTGCCCATCGGTTCCGAAGACGAGTTTAGCGGAATTGTTGACCTGGTCACAATGAAAACATACTACGCAGAAGGCGCTCGAGGCGAGATCATCGTGACAAAGGACGAGATCCCGGCCGAGGTTCAAGAGCTTGCTCGGGAGAGACGGGCGATGCTGATTGAAAGCCTTGCTGATGTCGACGAGGAAATGGCCAATCTTTTCCTGGACGAGCAGGAACCGACCGTTGAACAGCTCAAGGAAGCTATCCGACGTGCCACAATATCCCTGAAGTTCACACCCGTCTTTGTTGGCTCTGCCCTCGCAGACAAATTTGTCCAACCTATGCTGGACGGAGTCTGCGATTACCTTCCTAACCCGGCCGAAGTCTCCAACACGGCACTAGACCGCCGGCAGAAAGAAGCTGCTGTCAAGCTGATCCCATACAACGCACTCCCTTTTGTGGGTTTGGCTTTCAAGCTGGAAGAATCAAACTTTGGCCAACTTACCTACATACGTGTGTATCAGGGCAAGCTGACAAAAGGATTGAATGTGTTCAACGCCCGTACCGACAAACGAGTCAAGATCCCGCGAATCGTTCGAATGCATTCCAACGAGATGGAAGAAGTGACTGAAATCGGCGCTGGCGAGATCTGCGCCGTGTTTGGCGTAGAATGCGCTTCCGGAGACACCTTCACTGACGGTCAGCTCGCATATACCATGACTAGCATGTACGTTCCCGAACCTGTCATCTCGCTCAGCATCAAGCCCAAGAACAACAAAGATCTGCAGAATTTCTCCAAAGCGATTGCACGGTTCCAGCGTGAAGACCCCACATTCAGGGTACATTTCGATGCCGAGAGTGGGCAGACCATCATTTCCGGCATGGGTGAACTACATCTTGAAGTGTACGTCGAACGGATGAGACGTGAGTACAGCGTCGACTGCGAGACTGGACAGCCCCAAGTCGCATATCGCGAGACCATTACTGAAAAGGTCGAGTTCGACCATCTTCTCAAGAAACAGACCGGTGGTGCGGGTGATTATGCTCGTGTCATGGGCTGGATGGAACCTACGGGCAATTTGGAGGGTAACCACTTCGAAGAACAGGTTGTGGGAGGTTCGATTTCCGAAAAGTTCTTGTTCGCCTGTCAAAAAGGATTCATGCAGGCTTGCGAGCAAGGCCCTCTGATCGGCCATAAAGTCTTAGGAGCCTCGATGGTCGTCAATGATGGTGCAACTCACATGACTGATTCAAGCGAAATGGCCTTTAAGATCGCGACGCAGCAAGCATTCCGCAAGGCTTACATGCAGTCACAACCGGTCATTCTCGAGCCGCTCATGAAGACCGTTGTCACTGCTCCTACAGAGTTCCAGGGTAATGTTGTGGGTTTGTTGCAGAAGCGAAATGCAGTTATCAATGATACCGAAGTCGGCGTCGACGACTTTACTGTCTGGGCGGATGCCAGTCTTAACGGCATGTTCGGGTTCAGCGGCAACCTCCGAGCAGCGACCCAAGGTAAAGGTGAATTCAGCATGGAGTTCAGTCACTACGAAAGAGCACCCATGCAGCTGCAAAAGGAACTGGTCGCAAAGTACCAAAAGGCTCAGGCCGAGAGGAGCAAGAAGTAAATCATCTATGAAAAATGGGTGTCCAATGGAGCCAGACCTGGTACAGCGCTGGAACCCTAGTCCTTGGGAGGTTTTCCGCTGGTGGTTCCTTCGCCATCGACCTCGCCGGCAGCACCTTCGCGCGTCAGTATCGCAGCAAACACCTGAATGCGGAGGGCTTACAAGACACGCCTGACAGGCTTCGTCGCTGCTTCGCCCATGCTCTGATCTTACCCTTGGACTTCATATAGTCAGCGGCGCTGTGAAACTTGCCCTCAATGGGGTTCATCCCGGCAACTAGTTGCAAGTCCATGGGGGTGATCTCGTACAAAGTATGCGACAATCGAACCATACAGGAGCAGTTTCGCCAGAGGTACGATTGGATTGTGGTCGAGACCCGATTATGGTTTCTGTTTCGATCCCAGGCCTTCAGATATCTTTGCATTGTGTCGGCTACCATCTCCAACGACTGAGTTGACTGGTTGGTGAAGACGTTCTCCCGCTGTTTGACTGTTTCTCTCGCAATTGCAACCATGCCGTATAGTATAGCATTTGAGCTACTTTGCAAGTCATAACCTGACTTGCCTGAACGAGGAGAAGACCACTCCTCCTCCAGGACTGATATGAAACGCCGAGTTTTCCCTGACCAGAGACATAGCGGCTGTCCATTCTTCTTCACGCAACCTCTATCAACACCACAACGTCGATGTGGGCCAGAGAAGTTCTATGTTGACGCTCTTGAAGAGTTGATGTGGCTTTTAGGGCGGTGCCGGCCGCCTTGTTACTTGATGCCATCGTAAAACTCCAAGAGGTATCTTGTGCTGCATCTTTTCGAGACGTACATAAGTATGTTCTCCCTCCCGGTTCCTAAATCGATCTTACAGTTAACCACATATCACCTTCGCATCCTCACAACATGCATTACTCCTCCCTTCTATCCATCTTGTACGTTTGTCATGCCACTTCTGGTGTGCTTGGTCGTACTTTGGGCCGAAATTTGGGGCTCAGGTCGCTCGATCAATCACCTTATGCAGGGCAAAGACAGCGTCGATCTACTCAAGCATCTTGCAACGACACGATTGCTCCAAAGGTCATGATTGTCAGCACAGTGAGCTGCTCAACGCCCCGTAGACAAATGCCGTCGCGCTAATATGTGGGTATTCAGTTCGCCCCTGAAGCCAATGTCTGGTACGACACTACGCTCAACCTCCTCGCGAACAACATCACTGTCACCGGACTGTCCCCTGTCTGGCCTGACGTCCACTGCTCTGTGGAAGGAGATGTTTGCCAAGTTACCTCAGGACTGGGTAGTAAGTACTATCGCTAGGCAGACCGGCCTCCAGACCGTTGATCTTATAGTACAGTTGCCAACGCAGCTTCCTCAATGCAAGCTCTTTGGATGTCACCGCTTTTCGACTTACGAGGAACTTATATCCTCATTGCTGGAATCGCTGGAATCAATCCCTACGAAGCGACTACCGGCTCGGTCACGTTTGCGGACTACGTCGTAAACCTCGATCTTCAGTACAGCTTTTCTCAAGACGAGTTGCCTACCAATGATTCCTCCATTTTCTTTCCTCTTGGCTCGGAGCAACCTGACTCCAGCAACCCAGACGACTACCCCAGCGATTGGTTCGGGTGGGAGGCCTTCGAGTTGAATAAAAAGCTAGTTTCATCCATTGTGAACATCGTCTCGAACGTTCCTTTGAACGATTCTGCAGAAGCAGTGGCATATCGCGCAAAGTACGACTTTGCACCCGCCAATGAAGCTCCGGGGGTTTTTGTATGTGCCAGTGGTGCATCAAATCTCTACTGGACTGGTGCGAATACTGGGTTCGCTTTCTCGAACTATACCAGACTCATAACGAATGGTTCAGCTACTTACTGTGCCACCAACACTGAGGATAGTGGACTGCACGAAGGCCTCATCCGCGGTGCTATAGCAGGACGACTGGACTATAGTCGCGTCATCAACATGCGAACAGCCAGTGATTTTGACCGAGCTCCAAACAATGTCAGCGCAACCCACCACCTCTTTGATGCTCCCCAAGGGGGCTATGAACCGAGCCTGATTAATATACGTCTCGCTGGCATGGCCATTGTGGACGCTATCCTGGAGGATTGGACAACGACTTACCAGGCTGGAATAGAACCGGACAATTATATTGGAGACGGTTTTGGATCCTTGACAGGCCAGGAGGCGAAGAGAGACATTGGGTGAGCATTCTTTGTATTGTCCTGCGTGAGTGGAATTCTGCTGACCGACATTTCTTCCAGACCTCTTGTTCCGTCCCATGACTCGTAGTCCCCTAGGGGCTTAGACTGGGAAAGGGTCGTCTACTTGTCTTCAGTTGCTCAACGCAACTCACTCTTGTGTCCTCTTCAGAGACGGCCACCCAAAGCCAGCTAACATAGCTTCAGAATAGCCATTAAGTGGATTCAACTCCTCCTTGTCTTGCTCTGGATGTTACATCTTCCACTGTGGGACATGAGTACATACTAGAATATTCCGTCTCTGTGACAGCTGATGAGACGAAGGGACAAGCAACAAAGTTTCAACGGCCGGGAAGATGGCAAAACATAAAAAGGCAATGAACAATGGCGGGTACCTAGTAAGAGGGTGGAAGAAAAGAGAACGTTCTGACGCCAGGAAGGGGCCGTAGGACTGGATACTTCACGACCAAGAAGATCAAGGCATGAGAAGTTATAAGAATCGTAGGCAGGACGTTTCGCTCTCTTCTGAGATACGACTGTTCGGTCAGTAGTAAGGTGCATGAATGAGGGCCGGTTTGTCCAATCAGACGCCCCTTCTGGCCACGTATGTATCACTGTACTGGGGTATAAGCCGCGCCTGTTGTGGCCGATATGTTCGAGCTTGATCACTCTTGAACCTCGTACGGACTAGAAGATGATAAAGCACGTCTAGGTCGAACTGCATCCAAAATAGTGGCTCCTGTATCTGCACGAAATGAGCTGAGCCACCTGACGCATTGTAAGTTCTCATCACGCATGAGGCCTGGTATGAAGGTCCAAACTCGTTTGCTAGATCATGGCTGATGATGACAGATCCGGCTACACAATTATGTCGGTGAGTACAGAATCCCCTTGGTGATGAGTCTCCTCCTTTTGGTTCTGAGTCAGCAGTTTTTCTTAATCAAGGTCACCCTATTATAGGTGCGTGCCGCACAGCCGTCAGCTTGTCCATGGCCCCTAGTATCTCAGCCTTGCCAAGTACGCCTAATGCAACAGGGCTTCCCCACAAGTCATCTTGTCCAAGTTAATCTGGTGGTAGCTTATTGATCTCAGCAACGGGCAGCACCATATCAAAGAAGAGCCAGCGTCAACATTGGAGATAGCTTTGGTAACGGTGAGATCCAATCACCCCAGCCACACGAGTCCTTCAAAGTGCCAGCCTGTATGGTTGTTAACACTATTAACACCCGCAGCGTACATCATCCTTCAAGTGTCTCTGCTGACAGATGACCGCAAACGAGATGCTTGTAAGCGTCTGCTGGAATGGAAGTTCCACACAGATCTCTCCAATGCACGAAAGACTTGTCCTAGATCTATCAACGATTCTGACGAGCTAGATCTCAGTTGCAGATCTCGCGGAGAGAAGCCTTCTTGCTGCGGTCGAAATGGACACTTCTCAACCGCAGTTTCGTCTCCGTCAAACTCACGGCATAGAGTCAGCGGTAAGCGCTAGATGCCGGGGTGACAACTTCGTACTCCGTGTGTGCGATCGGTCATTGAAAACTACTCCATCAGCTTGTCTTCCCTCTTCTACCAGGGAATGTCTGGTAGCGACCAAAACCTGTTGCAAGTTAACCCATTTGATCCAGTCAAATCACAGATGAACCCATATCTCAGGTTTCACGAAAATGTGGCGGGCTCGATACCGTCCAGCTGCTGCTTGGTGGGGTCCTCCTGCACACGCTGCTGGTCGGTCACGGTATGAACAGCTACCTGATTCTCGATGGAGATCCCATCATGGCTGGAGGCATCAGACCCAACCCAGCGGTCACCACTTCAGACGTGCTCCGCCAAGGCATTTCTTCCAACACCACCCTCCAGAGGTGCCAGGTACGTCTGGATCCAAATGGTTGGGGGCACATCTGACCCTATCACGCAGCTCAAGAGTCTTACCCAGACGAGACCGAACTGGAAGAACAGCCCCCCTCGAAAAGCGAGAGCAACCGGCAGATCAAAGCGTATGACCAAGCCGAAGCTGGGACACCGTGGCTCGGGGGAGCCGGAAGACGCTTCCCCATCACAAGCTTCATATGTCTTGCAGTTATCCTCGCGGCAACTATCATCGTTATCGTTGTTCTCCTGGAAGCCGAGAACAAGGACATCGACACCTGGTGTCCGCCAAAGATCATCGTCTCAGGAGCATCATGCCATCGATACGGCATCAGAGTAAGCACGGTCATCGCCGTAAGTTCGTTCATTTCAGTCAAAGCATTGGCCATCATGTTCATGGAAGGCGTCGCCATATCATGGTGGGTAGATGCTCTAGCCGGTCAGAGGATCAAGAACCTGCACTATCGGTGGAAAATCAGCCAGTCTTTCATCTCGGGCACCTTCCGCGCGAGCTGGAGTTGGATCGTCGTCGCAAGTTTCGCAGTCACCACATTCGCCGCCTTAGAAGCACTTATGCAAATGGCGAGCTCTTCGGCAACCGCCTTCTCGACATCGACCGCCGACATGACAGCGACTCTGGCCGACTCGCTACCAGCCGGATTCTCCGGGGTGATCGCGGCCATTGGCCACGACGAGTTCGGGACAGTGTACTTTACTCCGCCGTTTATCGACATCCTGCAAAATCACAGCAGTCAGACACCCATCTTGCTCGACATGCAGGGCTGCGACACCACGGCCAATGCCTCCTGCGCAACGACCCTGACGGGCGTCGGCTTCCACTACACATGCAACGCCAGCCGCAGCGCGTTGCAAACACCTATTTCCGACTCCGACAACGGCACGGTCTCACAACCCGAGAACACTGTGTTTGAGGTCACGTTCATCGAAGACCTACAGTCCACTTGGGCATTGTACATGAACCTGGCATGGCAAGACTCACCAGGCTCCGAGGGCGATGTGATCGCGAACCGCAACTGCACTCTCGTCCCTGCGCTGGTCGAATACCCAGTTAACGTAACGCAGCGGATCGTCACGCTACAACCACCCAATTCAACCGTAAACTGGACTTCTGGTAAAGGATCAGTAAACGACAGCAGCACATACGCAGTCGACAGGGTCCTCAACGACCTCCCAATCCCATCCTACGACGCCGCGGTTCAAGGATCCGTCAATCTCACGCCAGGCACGCACAGCACCCTAGGCGGCATTGCCCTCGCGTTCCAAACGCTCTTCGACAGCAGCATCAGCGTCAAATCCGACGTGACAGATTCCGGCAGCGAAGTGTCTATCACAGGCTCCTTCGCAGCGGCCTTTGCTCATTTCCAGTCCGGCACAGGGAGTATCGACGACACTTTGAACAATACCTACGCCTCGCCCGTGGACTCGCTGCTCAGTAATATCAGGGACATCATGTTCCGCAGCTCCGTCGCCATCGCGGCGCAGAACATCACTAGCTTTGCGCGGACCAACAGCTCCAGCAACGATGACGGGTCCGACCACGAGACCTCCGAAGTGCCCGCGAAAGCCGTGACAGCACAGGGAACGTACCAGCTGTATCACACCGTGTACAAAACGAACAAGACAATGCTGGGCATCAGCGTCACGCTTGTGCTGGCTGCTGTCTTGTCCATCCTCCCCTTGTTCTGGGGCTTCTGGCATCTAGGACGGAAAGTCAGCCTGTCGCCTATCGAAATTGCTATGGCATTCAAATCCGCGCATGTGGACGGCCAGTCAAAGGGGCAAGGAGACGCCGAATTCTTGCCCGACTACGGCTCAAATTTCAACGCAAAAGAGTTGGTCGATTTGCTGGGTGAAACTGATATTAGGTACGGTGAGATCGCGCCGAACATGTTGGGTATGGGATTGCGGCATTACACTATGGCACCCAAGGAGGAGGAGTTGTGTTATTGACAGATGCCATGGCAGATGAAATATGTCCTTATACAGAATACCATGGTTGAGCATTGTCAAGAGCCTATTTTTCACCATACACGATATGGCACTAATCGAACATTGGAACCCAATTTGATGCCAGGCATAAAATTGGTCCAGCCTTCCCTCAGTTGCCTTTTTATCCAACCAGACTGAAAGAGAAGAAACTCCTGCTTGCCGCACCCATAGACCGTCGTCAAGAAATTTCGCTAGTAATCATGTCATGTCATCGTTGCTTGTGGAACACACTCATCTTCCAGCTTCAAGCTGCGAAGGTGTGGGTTGAACTTCCGGAGCAGCCGAGTCGTTCTGGGTTTGTTCTTGTGCTGGGTGATTCCTCCCCAGGAACCTTAGTCCAGTCAATCTGGATCTCCAACTCTCGGGTTGCGGTTGTCTATCAGTAGCAGCATTAGGTCTAGCCTGTTGCGCTATCTGATCAGTCCGCTGAGCCCGAACCACAACCGGAAATCCGTGTCGGTCACGGTCATGGTAAACGATATTCAAGAATCGACCAGGAATAATCATGGCTGGTCTTCTGCCAGCGCGTCCACCTCCGATGATCGAATAGGTCGCAGCAGGCGGCTGTACGTCAGCGTTCGTACCGCTCCTGGTTAGACCATCACCAGCTGCACCTTCAGGCCGAGGTTTGGGGACATAGTAGTCAGCTTTGCAGAGGGGACAGCAAGCGCGTCGTGACGTTAACCAGGGATCAACACAAGATGCGTGGAAAGCATGACCACATTGTAAACCACGAATGTCATCGTCATCTTCAATGGTGTCGATGCAGATGGCGCAAGCATCTCCTGGATCAGGTAATTGTTCTGCCGGTACTGCAGTCTGGATCTGTTCATCGTCTTCCTCCTCCTCGTTGGTTGTAACTTTCTGGATCCCAGTACTGGGCGAATCTGCTTGAGCGCTTCTGGGCCGGGTAGGTGTGGTAGGCCGCGCACTTTCTTCGGCGACCACCTCCGGTGTACCATGCTCTGGTCCAGCCTTTTCCTCATCGACCGTCGAGAAGGTATTCGTGTGAGCCAGGTCTCTTGCCTCGCCACCGTCTTTTGAGTCACGAGGGTGATTGTGTATACTCGGTGGTCTGGAAGCAGTGTTGATTCCTCCAGCAGTCGACAGGCCGGCATCAGCTCGATTGGATCGCCACGTTTTGTATTTTGTCAAAGGGAATTTTTCATTGACCTCATCCATTGTCATCAACTTCTTTTCGCGTCTGCGACGATGTTGGCGAGGCATTGCACCGAGGTCGACTCCGTCGGGGTCTTCTCCAGCCATACGCTGTCGATTCCGCTGGTTATAGCGAAAACAGTACTTGACACCGACGATGATCCTGGCACATATTAGTTTGATATGAAGCAAATGCCTCGGCTGGCTCACCATAGATTCGTAAAAACGACACCAAATCCCAGGGCGACGAAGAAGAGAAGTGGGGAACTAGGCCCATTGCTCCCATTGCTTCCTGAAGTGCCAGTACTGGTAGCCGACGCTGTAGCGGCAGTCGCCGCTAACGACGTTGCGGTAGACATGTTGGATGAGATGTTACAGTCAGAAGGCTCGTGATCAGCCTGCTCTCGATTATGGCTGGACTAGCGCTGATGGCAGCACGCACACCTGCGCTACGAGAATAAAGATGCTTCGAGTCGATACGAGTGTCCGATGGTGATCAAGAGATGATGTTGTAAGTCGGAGGGGCGTGGTAAGGCCTGATTTCAGGATGCGGGTCTAGACTCAAGTGACGATGTGCGCAGATGTTTCGAGGGAGCGGCAGATGATTTCAGGGAGGCGAACGGGAGGGAGTAATGACGGCTCAATCGGAGTTGCGCAACAATGCCAATCTGCCAGTGATGGTGGTACCGTAGGATTGTCGGAGGGGGATTGTCGTTCTAGAATGGAGATGAATGGTGAATTGAAGGTATTGTAGGAAGGAGGCAGCCAAGAGGCAATTGAGGAAGGATAGTGAGATGGTGTGCGCAGTCGGGGTCTGTCCGATGCAGAGGGAGAGGGAAATGTGAGAGAAAAGCAGGAAGTGGAAGTGGAGGGACGACCGATAGGATGGAAAGGCTGGCATGGGAAGGTTTCAAGGCACAAGCACCAATGTTTAGTTGCAGTGCCGCCCGGAGGCCTTTCCTGAGTAGGAGGGTTAGCACCCACAAGACCCTGGGTGATAAAAGCCGCAGGGACGCCCGGTTGACCAAGGTAGGCATCGTCTAAGCATCATGATCTGGGGCTAGTTAGGTTATCGCTTAGCTGGTAGCCAAGTGACATGCCCGCCCCGAACAAAGCTTGTTCCAGCACAGGCCTTGATGTCCAGCGGAACACCTCGGTCCATCCATCACTGAAGCTGTCAATGACACTCCTTTGGAACACACATTCAACCAGATAGAATCAAATCCAGCGATGGTGATGTTCATGTGGATGATCACTACGATTGTCGCCACCAGAACTCGTGGCAAGGAATCGAGCGGAAATAAGAACGATTCATTGACTTACAATGTGTGTAACCAGATAGGACATCCCATCCACTCACACTACACTCTCTCCCGCTCTCGATCCCTCCACCTGCAGGAGAGACACAGGTATTCACGAATCAGATCTCTGCCCGACTTGAATTTACCCGTCTCTTGAATCTTGTCCCAAAAGCCCTGCAGCAGCCCGCGTCGTCGCCTTCCCACATAAGGAAACATCACTTGACCAAGATCTCACTTGCGCGCATTTGCAGCTCTCGACATACTCGAAGAGATGCCAATCTGTATCGTCGACAAATAGGACGTACGAGTAACTGTAGGAGACAATTGTCATCTCATATTCGTGCGACCTACGCTCGATTCCAAGTGTCGTTGCCGTTAACCGAGTCTTTCGCCACAGTAGTCTTGACCCACTTAGAGGTAGAGGCGGCACAGGGGGGTTCGCAAACACGAATCTTCCAAAGCCACACAGCAATGCCAAATCGTTGTCTTCAAGCTTCAGTCACGCGTGCAGAAGCTGTGTGGTATGAAAAGATCCTCATCAGGCACATTGTAGGTGCCGCGTGGCAGACATACATCCGGAGCGATAAGCTATCAAGTGTAGGTTTGTATAGACCAGAAGGTGGCCCAGCCACATCTTTTGACACCAGGTTGCTGGAACAGCCACCGACATGGCCAACATCCACATATTAATGGATCCCTCCGGTTCCTTCCCATGTGGTCATTCCTGGTACTTTCCAGATGTGATGTTCAGGATGTTTGCAATTAAGCGTTGTGCCTGGCCTATTCAACAACTAGGTATCGAAGGTCCTAACTAACCATCACGCCTCGCTTATATCAAGTCTCAATTCATAGACCATCATAATCCGCGCAACCTCGAAATGACTCTCAGTCATTTGTCAATATCAGCCAAAGCATACCGTCCGTCACTTGCGCGTAGTCAATATACACCAGCAGTAAAGACACAGGTCCTGCCGAGGAACCTTCCCGTCAGCGTCAATGGCGCTGCATTGGACCGCAAGCTGCGAGAACTCATGGCTTTTTGCTTCTTTTCCCAGCACCACCAAAATCAACGAAACCCCGGATAATCAAACACATTCATGTCCTTTTGTATGGTCCCAGCATAACACCCAAGTCATTCTCGCCACCAGCGCCATGCAAATCATTGAACAAAAGAAACTCGGATTCCGGTCGTGTAAACAGATCTCGTAAAATAAATCACTCATCGGAGTGTACATAGAAAAACAAGGACAGGGGCCCATCAAGGTCGAGATTCGTTCGTGTGTGGACCAGATGGGCTTCCCTGGGGTTTGGGTGTGACTTCTTGCTCGAGGTCAACGACCTTGAGCGCTACTGGAGTGGCATCGGCATCGACGACTGCTATCTCAGCCACGTCAGCCACGGTGGTTCCAGGCTTTTGAGGGAAAATGACAGGTGGAGTGATATGACCTTGGCTGACACGACGCTCAGTCTCTTGCCCTGGATGTGAGTGTTGCGAAAACGGTCTGTCCAGCTTCTTGCGTGGTTGACTTGCAATCACCTCCATTGCGGACGGCTCCTCGGGGATTTGCAGGTTTTCCAAGCGTTCTTCCAGAATCTCCAGAGAGCGCCTCAGAGTGTCAGCTTCTGCCGTTCTGTCTTCACCCATCGAGATAACACTCCCGCGACTGTTAGTGCGCATCATTTCAATCCCCAATTTCGAGGTCGGTCGAGCAGACTTGCCCTGGGGTGAGCGCGCCCTAGCTTGCACATCGCCAAGTTCTTCATCTTCGTCGTCTCCCTCCTCGGCCGGACCGGTAGACTCTTGCATGCTTTTTTCCAACCGATCACGCTTCAGCTTGACAGCTTCTGAGGACTTCTGGCGACGAGGCGTACGCAGACCATACCCGGGAGGTTCCTCAGTCATTGCGGTCGGAGGAGCAGACTCTGTGTGAACCAGGTGAGGGAACCCACTCCGAACATAGGGTTTTTCTCCTACCACAATATCATCGGAAATGCCTAATCCACCTTTAGCCCAGTCATCGGTAGCTGCTCGAGACACAATAACTGGAATGTCATCATTTTTAAGAGATTCAATGTCACTGAAGAAACCGCCACTACCGATCGAGTCCTCTCGACTGGATCCCTTGTAGGAGGATTCTGGCATGGTCGGCGCCAGGCTGGACGCAACCGAACTAGGGCTGTCTTGCGTCTGTGCAGGATCCGTGCGAGTCGTGATAGGCGGAATAACCAGTGGCGCGGCAAGCTTGAAATCTCTGGGCGGTGGTTTCCATGAGCAATACTTGCAGAGCATTTCAGACAACTTCTGTAAGGTCGGCGGCTTTTGCATGAGGGTATCGAAATGATGGACTTCAGGCAGGTCCTTGAGATAGCCCGTAATGCAGACAATCGGTGTCTGGGTGTTGGCACTTTTAGTGTCTCGAATCATACGAGCAACGTCGACACCGTTGATAAGTGGCAGCTTAAACTCCATGAAGATGATGTCAAACTGAATCTGGCTCACAGCTAGTCGGAGAGCATCTGGACCATTCGCAGCCGTCACAGCCCGGCATCGTAGCTTCTCGAACAGTCTCTCCATGACCATTCGAGACACTGGGTGATCTTCACAAATCAACACGTCCAGTGGCCGATAGACAGGACCATCTAGAATATTGATCTGCGACATTCTCCGCGAACTTTGTCTGCGACGTTGCACTTTGAGCAAGGCTTTTGCTTGTGCCGCTTCGTTATCCGAAGATGAAGGAGAGATATCCCGCACAAACAGTTGACTCTTGCGTTTATAATGGCCAGGGATAAAAGAGTCTCGTGCGGATTGTCCATCACTCTCTTGCGAGCCAACTGTTTGTGAGCGAGTTCGTCCCTGAATGCTCGATTGTCGCTGGTGGGAAGTCATGGCTTTGGCGGGGGAAACGGCAAGTGCTCGTGCGGATTTAATTGGGGAAGATGCCAGAGGAGCCCCGTGCCTGATCGCATCATGTGGTATCTCGAAGAAACTTCCGGGATTCAAGGAGCTGCTGCCCTGGGATGATCCAGAAGTCTTTCGTCTTTCATGATGCTGCGCTGAGAATTGGACAAGCAACGGCGAAGATGGCTGCGAGGGACGACTTGGAGACGAGTTGGATGTGCCTCCCAAGCTTGATGGGGAGCCCGGTCTGTGGCCTTTGCTGATGGACAAAGCTCGTTTTACAGGCATTGGCATCATCGGACTACCTTCCAATGAAGGAGCTGGAGACCCCATTGCAGGGCTATTAGCCGCGGAAATGGCCTGAGAATGATTTGAATATCCCCGTGATTGAGCTTGCATGGCCTCCTTCCTCATCTTCTCCACGATATCCTTGTTGGCCTTTTCCAACACGGGCAGGTTTTTGAACGTGAAATTGCCAAAGTCGTCGGCAATCACAGGCTCGCTCAGTCTTCGACTCCGAGAATCGCGGGCAACGTGAGGAGGAATATGAAGCGGCATCAGACCTCTTTTGGCTGAACTTGCTTGGGACCTGGCACGGAATAGTGCATCATGGGGACGATTCGGATATTCACCTGTAGGCGGAGTCGTCCCGGCTGGGGAGAGTTGATCTTCGAGTTCTTCTGGGAAGGAGGATAGAGTAGCGCCGCGAGCATCGAAATACTCTGTATCTTCGGGATGCTCAGGATTGGGAACGAATTGAGCCTCATCCTCGAGTAGAGTGTCCCAATTAATGTCAGCAAACCACGGATGTGCTTGAATTTCGGCGCCTCCACTTGGGTACTTTTCGTCCTTGTTTGCACCCAATCTCTCATCGGGATCTAATTGAATGAGTTTGTTGACCAGATCTTTCGCCGCTGGGCTGACATCGAAGTCTTCATCATCATGCCAGGCGATTCGTCTGTTGAGGATATTATCGAAGACTTGTTCCGTACTTTCGGCGTTGAAGGGTGGTACTCCGTAGAGAAACTCAAACAGCATACAGCCCAGTGACCACCAATCACACATTTCATCCTGTCCAGTGCCGTTTATGGTTTCAGGTGCTAGGTAATCTGGAGTGCCGACGAAACGCCGACCATTGTCGTCAGGATCGAATAGGGGTGGTAGCACCTGGGAAGAAGCCGGTGGTGGAGGCTGTGAGATATTGCTCATTGATTGAGACAAAGGAAACAAGTCTGGCGATGCACTACCTTGGCTGTAGGACTCGTCCTCGGCGGCCGGAGGACCACGAGGAATGAGTTGAGGTGGTGCATCGCTCCCCTCTTGGACGCCTAGCTTTTTGAAAAGGTGATGTAGATCGAAGCTCGAGCCACTGCGACTATGGCTGCGTGTTCCAGAACGGCTGAAGGATACTTCTCGGCTCAACGAACTTTCACGATTCAAACTGAAGTAGGAAGGCTGGTCGAGGCCACCTGCGAGCGCAGGTGTCATCAACGGCGTGGAAGCAGGTGAATGGGGGCCTTGATCGTCGAATGAAGCAGATCTTGACGCAGTATTAGATCCAGAGCCTGCACCTGCTTGTGTGAAGGGCCCTTGCTTCAAAAGATCGGGCGCAGGCTCGTCCGGTGCCTTGAGTGCACGCTTCTGTCGGCCTATCAGACCCATACGGGAAAGACCAAAGTCAGTCAGCTTCAGATGTCCCTTGTGGTCAATCAGTAGGTTGTCCGGTTTCAAGTCGCGATGCACAATGCCTCGACTGTGAAGATGTTCAACCCCGAGGACCACCTCTGCGATATATTTCTTCGCCCAGTCTTCGCTTAGTCCACCCAAGATCTTGATCAGAGATGCACAGTCACCTCCGTTCAAATACTCCATCACCAGGTACAAGAAGTCTTTGCTTGAAAAAGTCCAATACAGTTTGGCAACAAAATCGCTTTCACCCTGCCACATCATAATTGCACGTTCGGCTTTCACGTTTGTGACTTGATTTTTGGCAACCATGTCGGACTTTCGTAACACTTTGATGGCGAAATATTCACCGGTGCTTTTCTTCTTGGCCAAGTATACGCTACCAAATGCACCCTTGCTGATGGGTTTGACAACTTCAAAGTCCTTGATTGATGGAGGTTGTGCTCGCTGTTGAGGATGACTGATGGAATTGAGCCTAGGAGACGACGGCGCCTTATCGGACGAGTGCATAGAAGACTGCCGCCGGTGCAGTATAGAGCCCCCCGTCGAAGGCATATATTCGCCTGCCGTCAGCAATGGTGATACAATGGGGGACTGAGCGGCGATTTCACCACTAGGGATTCTGGATTTGTTCATTCGAAGCGGCGACGGCGGAGGCGGCGGATACCTCCCAGGTGATTGCTGACGGTGAGGAGAAGCTGAGTTCAGTCCGTGAATGTGCAAACTTCGTCTTTTCCTGTCGCGTGAAGTTGCCGATCGGCCGTTGTCTGATACTGAAGCAGGAGATTCCGTTCTCCAAGTGTTTGATACAATTGAAGACGATGGCAGACTACTGTCGCTGTCATTGGCATCGTCGATGTACATCGATCGTCTGTTGGAAACTGGCTGCGGCTGTGATATCAGGGTGCTCTTGTGCGATCTAGGGGTTGGACATTCGATGGGACTGCTCGGACCAGTCGAGACTGCCTGTGATGAAGAGCGTCTCTGCTCTGTCGTGGCGATTTGATGCATTTCTCTTGGGTTTCGGAGGGCAGAAGCCATGGATCGCACTCCTGCATACCCTATGGTGCGGTTGTTCTCTGCTTCGGTGGGCATTGGCGTGGCATCTTCATCTTCTCCGGGGCTCTCAAGTATTCCCTCAAGCGCAGAGTCGTCTTCTGCCTCGCTTTCACTGGAAGACAGTGACTCTCCTGCTGCTGCCCGTTCAGCTTTGATCAATGCTTCACTGATACAGGCATCGACCTCAGCCATATATTCCTGACGAATTCGTTCCGAATACTCGAGGACAGCCTGATGTCGCCGAACAACGTCTACCTTCTGGCGGGCCAATTTTTCCGTATCTACACTCAAGGCAGCCAGACCAGGTTCATTCTCCAGGCTGCTTGGAGTCTGCCATTTGTAGACCTGGGTAATCCTTGACTCGGATTGTGGCGACTGGGACCTGAACTCGTCCTCGTTACTGCTCCTGCTGTCTTTCACCGAAGGCACACTAATCTCAATGGCGGTATCACAAAGATCGAGAATCAACTCGACAATCCGGACCAACGGTCGTCGGACCACAAATGACCGCGCGCGGGCATGCCCCAGTCCGGCGGCAGAGGGACTTCTTGACCTCGCCGGGCTCGCAGCATGAGAACCTGCTGCGGACGAAACAGCAGACGACTGAATGGGCGAGGGACCGATTGGCATACCCTTGTACTCTGGAGCAGCCATATGAGCAGGGGGGTTGTCCCCAGATTTCCGACCCTGGCGAGCCTCAAAGGCGTCGAGCACTTTGACGATGGCATTTCGATGTTCCGCGAGGCTATCCTGAATCATCTGCACATCCATCTCGGCCTTGTGTTCCTGAACACATAGATCCGAGTGTTTCTCAAACCACCAAGGTACGATCGAGCGTTCGCAGACACGACAGAGGATAGGCAGGGGAGGCGGGTGATTTTCGGGGTCGTTGGCCCCTGCCTCTGCTAACTCTGTGAGATATTTTGCCAGGATCTCTGCCCCTACTCCGAGTACTTCAACCAAGGTCCGCGGAAGAGCGATCTCGATGCGTAAAGGCTCCTGTGCAGGCTGTAACATCCACATAGTATGCGACTCGCCTCCAGAGGCCCTGTCATATACCATAATACCCTGCCCTTCCAGTTCCAGGGTAGCCCGTCCGGACTCGTCAGTTTCGATATTGTCTTCGTTTGGCTCTGTGCCGTCCTCTGTCGAAAGCATGGGGGCCATGTCTGAAGATGTAGGAATCTTGACGGCGAACTTGACAAGTCGACTCTTGGAGTCATTGGACCTCAACGCTTCAATGGCCGATTCGAACACATGAGGATCGTCGCTGATGAACTCTGAAATCTTGTGGCCCCTCACAGCGTCAAGCTCTGTGCCAACCACGTCCGTCCAGGACGGGCTGACCCATCGTATGTGACCATCCAGGCTCAAGTCGAGTATGATGTTACGCGTTTGCTCCGCCGCGTCTTTCAGATCTTGCGTGCCTTCTTGAATGTCCTGACTAAATGAACGTTCCATTGCATGGCGAGTGAGGTCACTCCCGAACCCGGCGTCGCTCTTGATAGCAGCGATCGCCGGGGGCCTGAGGAACTGCTGGGCTGAGCCATCCTCTGCCATTACTGCCGCACTTTAGGCAGTGGATGCCGTGTCCGAGCGAAGTGTGGAAGCCGTCTTAGGGAACCGGCTGCGATCTCAGGGACTTAATGACCCGCGACGGGAGTCAAAAAGACCCTTACTACGTCGACATTTCCGCAGCGAGCCGTGATGAACTCTCTTCTAGTAGAAAAGTCGAGAGGGTGGTCTAATGGGGAGGTTTGTCCTGCTCTTGAACGCTCTGTGGGGACGTATGAGGAGGGCGTTGGCGATTGACGCGAGGAGGAGACCCGGGGAGGCGTGATTGTCTTGTCCTGGGAATAGAGTGCAGCCAGCTCACACGAGGAGCAGCAAGATTGGGAGCAAGTAAGAGAATAGGTCGACAACAGCGATTGATCGTAGTTGTTCTTTGACAAGAAATGTTTATTGTGGTTGTAGACCAGGGTGCACGGCGGAAATGCGAAATACTGCAGCAGGAGAGGCTTGCTGGCAGTTAACTATTTTTGCCGGCAAAACGTAACTTGGACGTGTAGGCGAGTTTAGAAGGGGTCCAGTTCAAGAGTGAGTGGTCTGAGAGGCCGCTTGCTCAGGGTATGGAGACTGACAGTTAGAAGCGGTATCGCAAAGCCCTCCCTGGAATAAAGTCGAGGTTGGGACTGCAGACTGCGCCTGCGGTCTGAATACTACAACCACATGGTTTATTTCTGCTTTGAAAGCAATCCCCAAAGACACAGGCATGCACCTTCGACAACCTTTGCGTCCGTGATCCTACGCAGACTAATGCATCTCTTCTTCTCTTCCACCCAATGACATCGTGCTTCCTGCCCGGCAAGCAAAGACAGCCCCTAAAGAAAGATCGAGCACGCTTCTTCCAGGCCTGTTCAGGCTGTTCACCATTTTTGGTTCTCCAATACGGGCGCTCATTCGTCCTTGAACCACCCAGCTGGCAGAGCCACCCTGGAATATGCTTGTTTTGCTATCCCCCCCTCCTTCAGCATCTCTCGCTGTCCCCCTGATGCCGGGCCTACCTGCTGCACGTTGTGCTGACAATATCCGTAAACAACACCTCCCCTTCTCCACCTTGGTTCATCGAAGGTTGTTCGGCTACAGTTAGTTTGCAACCATACCCGTCTGGCGACGGGAAGAGGAGGGGCTGAGTTGCGTCGTTGTGCATATCATTACGTTCTTCACACCTCATGGACCTCAGGAAGCAGCATTATTGATCCGATGTGGTTGCACAGAACTCTACGCGTATGCTGTCAACACGGATGCTATGCCTTGGCCAAGCGCCGTGGCCATCAGATAAACCGTGCAGCCCAGGTTCGTGCTTGTGCACAAGCTCTTCAAGGTTCAGACGTGGATGAAACAGCAGGTCAGCGATCCTTCGTCCAATAAGGCCTTCACCTCGGGACGTTCTACAAGACTCTTGCAGAGTTGCAGACGAATTGTGAATGCTGCGTGATCATGGTATTTTCTCTTAACGGCGGAACTGCAGATCCCCTGCACACTGCGTGCATAGCCTTAGAAGTCTGGAAAGGTGTTCAATCCTTGCACTTTCTATTTACCCTTTCACCACACTCCTCGAGATGCTGAATGCGAAGAATCTCGCTTGGCCAGCAATTCTCGATATATTCAAGGAACACCTAGGCAACGACCAGGAGGAGAGCCTTAGTAGTGATTGTTGTTGGTTATGCTATTCCCCAAGCCAACACCAAATAATCCTTTTCCTCGACTTCATTTGCGGGCATCAGACACTCATTTCGGCTCTCTCATCAAGGCCAACTTTTCGAGTCCTGACGGATTTTAACGGCGCTCGAGAAACTATCACAGGCCACGCATAGGCTCAACTCTCACGGTCTCACCTGACCCGTCCGCTTGGCTTCAAAGAGAGGGCGCCAATCATTTCACCCCATGGCTCTACGCTACTGCATGGAGGACCACATCCCGCGATGCGCGAGAAGCTCGTGGTTTTGCACCTAGGCAAAATGCTAAAAATGCCGATGCAATAATGAATCGTCCTGGTCAGAACCGACACAGCCGGTAGGCCGTGCAGGTCCCAAGATATCTTCAGCTAACTGGTTTAGAAAATAATGACACGAGCAGAATTTCTTTCACAGCACGTGAGGGAGTTCCTCAACCACCTCAGGCCCAATTGACGACATATGCTTACATCTATTACCCTCCTATGTCTGTGCATCCTGACGCGTTAGGAAACGCGTTGAGGGTGTGAAAGGCGGGGAACACATCCTCAGGTTCCTACGAGTACAGTCAGTCACAGATACGAGTGGTCGTCGTCTGCGGTACACTCTCCATTGCACCAGGAACTTGCCTGACCAGGATGCGCCGTTACTTCCCTGGTTTGAAGAACTTGTTGGCAAGGAAGAATTGGTTCTTCTTCTATGCATGACTTGTGTCCGGCAATCCATCTCCGTGTATATGTGGAGACGTCCAGGTCAATGCCCACCCCCTTATGGGTCACATCTTCTGGCCTTTTATGACTTCTTTCCTCATCAGCCGGTACATTGTGCCTTCCGAAAGCTTGCTCACTTCGTGACTCGTAGAGGTTTGCAGCATTGTCAGGAGCCGTGAACATTTCATGTCCATATTGAGCCAGTCCCTGATACGCCTCACCCATGTCTTGATCATCGACAGTCAGAAGAGGGTGTACCCAGTCAAGGCTGCGCTATGCAGGTCACCACAAGAGAACATTGATCCAGACTCGGAACAGGCGCCATCCTTCTGCTCGCAGACTTCCGGATGATCCGGCCTCATACTTATTACTATGCTTTTCTAGAATTGTCATGTACATGTCCACCTGGCGAACGCTTCCCACCCATCGATCACTGACTCTTCTTCTCGACAGACCCTGTCCTCCTCTTGTCCTCTTCCGCTGCCTTGAACTCCTTTACCGCCCTGGCAAGACCCTCGTCAATCGACACAATAGGCGTGTACCCCGTCCTCTTCTTGAGCTTTTCACAGCTATAGTACCGGTTCATGATAGCGTACTTGGCCGTCTGGCGATTGAACTTGCCCTTCCGTCCCGAAAGCCAGTTGAAAACTTCAGCTGCGGCTCCGACAAAGGTCGCCATACCCGAGGACACCACCCAGACTTTTTCTGGCTTGACGACTCTCCCATACGCCGTGTACAAGTAATGAGCAGCATCCCAGAAGTACGTAGGCTGGTCGTTCGTAACATTGAACGCCTCACCATCGACGCGCTCATGGTCCAGCACCACCGCTTTCCCCTCTCGGCGCCGATGGTACGTCGACAACAGTGCCTGCGCCGCGCACAGTAGCCCATACACCACATTGTGCACATACGTGTTATCAAACAAGTTACTCCCATCCCCAAGCTGGATATGTAATTGCCAATCCGGCGCGACGCTTGCTGTAGTCAAAATCCCACCAGAGAACCCCCCTCGATCCCCCTCGCCCACGATCCCCGCCGGCCGCACCGCGCAGGTCAACATGTGATTGTACTCATCTTTGTCATTCGCCTCGAGCGCCAACTTCTCCGCGTAGACTTTTGTTTCCGAGTAATACTCGACCGGGTTGGGACAGACGTAAGGGTACCGCTCGTCCGCGTTGATCAAGTCGCTCACGGCGTCCGACAGAACACTGCACGAACTCGTGTGCACGAATACCTTGCATGTGCTGCCCCAGTCGCCGTGTTTCCCACCCGCAACTTCCAGCAACGTCCGCGTCCCGTCGATGTTCACTTTCCTCAAAATCGCAGGCGGTGCTTCGAACGACGGACTGGCAGTGTTGACGACCACATCGGGCTTGACGGTCCGAAAGACCTCTAGTAAAGATTCGACGGAGGTGATGTCTCCTTCGTGGTACGTTGCGCCGGGGAAAATGTGCGTTGTACACCGCAGGTCAAGGGCGTGTACTTTTGTATCGCGGGTAGAAGGGTATCGTGAGCGCAGGGAGGGAAAGGAGAATGCTTGAGACGAGCCATTAGCGATTGTTGTTTGGCTGTGGTGGCTGCTACGCGAATGCAGGTCCAGCTCCTGCTCCTCTGAGGGGAAGTTCAGCAGCTGATCGACCACTCTCGACCCTAGAAAACCGCAGCCTCCGACGACCAGGATTGTGCCGTAAGACCGAGAAGGAGGAGTCTGGCTAGACATATTGACACAGCAAGCTCTTGAGTTGACGTTGCTTGATATAAAGTAGTTGAAGAAAGTCGGGTCTGTCCCTTTTGACACTTTTTGTCTGGGGTGCAGATCGGTTTCGGTTTCCCTTAGAAAAGTGGACCTGCTGGGCCGTTTATAAGGGGCTCTTCAACCCTCAGCCAGCCGTCTTCCGAAACAGCCCACTCTCATGTGTCTACGATGCGAAGAACAGCAGAGTCGATGTCGGTGGAAAGCATATATTTGCTGCATGTTACGCTCCACAGAGGGAGGACAAGGCTACTTGTACCTAACTGCAAGACTACCTTTGGTCGCAGGTCGGTCGCCCTTGTTTTGATCTTGTAACGGTATCTGGACTGCTTCGCGTGGGTGATGCAGCACACATGCCGTGCAAGCCCTTGAGAGCCCTGTATTGAATCATTGCCATTGCTTTCCCTTCCGACGCGGTTCGCCTCAACGCCATCCACACGCTAATTGTGCAAAATGTCAACAGTCTGAGGAAGCCTCTTGACTCATACGGATTCCTCGGTCGTACGCTGTGCTGACCTTCTGACTTGACGGTAATATTTCTTCTTGTCATCATCAGAGCCCCAAAGCAGCTTCGTGGCTTCGGGGTGTACGATCGTCCGAGGGTCATACGGCGGAGATTCCTCTTCTAATGCCTCTGCAATAGCCTCGACATGATTTCTGAGCTCGTCCGGCCGGCTTGGGAAGTAACACAAAACTCCATCTTTCGAGACTCGGTGGTGATAGATTGGTGTTTCAACTTTGACCCGAGGCTGCTCGTCCGGAAAGCGAGGACTGATGTTCATTTTGATCTTGAATATTCCACCGTCCAGATGGGTGCTGGGTTTACCGAAGTATGTCATAATCCAGACATACGGATTGCCGTTCTCCAGTTCAACGCTGATATTGTGGTGCTTCTTCCTCTTCAAGTAGTCGGCCAGTTGTTCCGATTGACGTTGCACTCCAGCAGCCTTGGAAGACTCTCTTTCCTTCAAAGCTAGACCTTCGACAGCCCAAGATTTGGTTTCGTCTCGAAGCACTTCCTTGATGCGGACCAGTTTCTTGCCGAGAGCATTGTACTGGAACTTCCCGTCCATGGTATTGCCTCCTCCTTCGAACGGCATTTTGGTGAAGTCGGAACCATCTTTGTGTTTCGGGGTGTGCTCGAGAACTGTAGACATGTAGTGCTCGAAATACCATAGAAATCTTCGTTTGTAGAGGTCTTTGAACGGCTCGAATTTGAGTTTCGCCTGTGCCTCGGCCACGTCTTCGTCGTTCATCTCGTCGCCTGCTTCTTCTTCCTCGTCAGACGACCATTTCGGAGAGTCTTCAGGAGTTGCAACACTTCCATCAGCCTGAATGCCCAGAGCATCTTCCAGCTTCGCGATGACAGCGATTCGCAGTGTTTCGTGACGAATCTGACAACATCAGCAATCAGCTCGCATCGCGTTATATCAATGTCTTACCTTGGCACAGTAAAGGTCGTTCATCTTCTGGTCGTCTCTGCCCTTAGCATTCTCGTAGCCAGGTTCATTGCCATATGGGGTGTTGGACATCAAACTTTGTATGGACCACAATATTGACTCCAGCCCTTGTGCAGATGACCATTCTTCGCCCGGCTTCTCACCATGCCAAGTACCCAGAATGGAAAGACAGACTTTCCCACCGGCATAGATGTTGGGGTTGAACCGTGTTCTTCCTGCATTTGTGGTTTTTGCTTCGACTTTCGGGGGTCTGCTTGGGTATTCCATGCCGAACTTGACGGTGAACTCGAAGAAGCCGAACTCGTAGGGAGTCCCATGAGGACCGATGATCAGGGCTTTGAGATGGCGCACGTCGCTTTCCTGGCAGGCTACCGCTATAGCTGCGCACCTTGTCAGCAAGTGATCTCAAAGTTGCTTGTACAGCCTATGTCTTACACAAGTCGCTTCCCTGTTGGATCTGAGCGATCTCCTGTCTGGAATCAGTGCTTCATTCTGTCTCCCAAATTCAGGTATATTCTCACCCTTGTTATTCTCAAGATGGTTTGGTTAGACATGGTGGGCGCGTGTGACTGTGACCACGATCAGAGGAAACGAGGTGGCAACCGCAAGTAAGTACTCAGTCAAGAAAGGTATGAGACGAAGAGGAACATTGCCCGCGCAAAGAAGATCTGAAGAGAGGTGGAAGTTATGAGGCTGTGTTTCACAGCATGAAGAGCAAGCAGTCAAAAAGCGCCTGCAGCGGAACGCGGTATCCTGCATGTGCTTTTGCAGAAGATCCAGGTAACAGGCGTCTGGTAGCCTGTTGAAGTTTGTATCGACCAGTAGAGAACAAAGCTTGTCTCGTTCATCAACAAGGCATCATTCTGGTTCACGTGTGCGCGACTGGGCTAGGCAACCACTACCCAGCAAGAGCACCCTTCGCGTGGAAGAGAATGAACGTGGTTCCTGTAGAGTACGAGACGGTTGGTGCCGAGCAGACGCCTAAACAATGAAAAGACTCACCGGCCGATAACTGGCAACTTGAACCCCCCACTGACGCACTGGTACCCATGATGGAGCCAAATAAGCGGGGGAGAGATCGCCCTAACTAAATCTGACTTTGACTTCTTTATCCATGTGGTCTTGTTTCTGTCTAATAAGTCCCTACGTTGGTGCTTTCTTTCAAACGATGACATCGGGGAAGGCAATGCACTCATACTGTTCGAATGTCATCAATACGGAGGTTTGCTGCCATAGCCCCTTGCTGTGAGCACAAGACTCCAATCACGTGCGAGGCTGTGATCTTCGACTCAGGACGGAGCCGTGTTGTTATGTTCTTGATCTCGTCCTCTTCGAACTCAATCTAGTCACCACCGTCTAACATATCGCTGCGGCTTACCAGCTTAACCTTCGCTTGGTGCTACATGCTTGCTAAGACTGAGTGACCGGATCATGCTGACACCTTCCAAGACAGAGTCCGTAGCATGCCGGAGATCGTGGCTAAAGACTGCTGAGGCTATTGCTATGGTATAGCGATCAGAGCCGTACATGTACGGCCTCTTGCCTTGTTACCTCATCAGCTAGCTTCCAGACACATGCTCTTGTTGTCGAGCACGAGTGGTGTATGCACTCAGCTACAACCATGAACCTCCCATGGACATTGAGGTACGAGACGTGTCCGCACCTGACATTCCCGACTATCTCTTTCCTGTAGAACCTTTCGTGCGACTGCAGTAATTCATCTCAGATGGCTGCCAGGAGTCCTCGTTGCTCACTGGCCTGTCATCTATACGGCCTGGGATCAGCCAGTCCGGAACGCGAAAGCGAGTCGTACGGAGAAATCATTCCCGCACTGAGGGGTGCGAGGCTGCGCCGTGGCTAGCTGAAGCAACCCTGCAGCACATCCTTCTCTACCTGCATCCAGATACGCCACACGACACACCAAGCCCGACATGAAAGAACTTGTTGACCTCTGGTTCGTGTTGATATTCATGCACATTTCAGCTTTGCATAGGCGTATACGCTTACCTTATGAGCTGCACCATGGTCACAAGATTGCATATCCTGCTGCTCAAGCTGTGAGCTTCATAAGAAGGTAGGGTTCAGCCCTTGATCGCGTGAGCTCCTTCTACCTTACGAGCACGATTGAGGTTTAACAATACAATGGGCCTTTACATGCTTGGACGCCAGCCGCCCAAAATGTCTGTCAACACAACTAACAAGCAGTATGCCACTGCTACCACAGCTGCCACATCACTCTCAGAGAAACAACCCGATCAATCATCCGGTAGCAGCGGTACTCATGGCGCAGCATACGTAAAGTACTGCAACACGCTTGGAATGGGTATGAGATTCCACCGGGCCTTCATGCAGTCTGTTCACAAACTGACAATCTCACAGACGTAGAAAAGGGCACGACCTCCTTCGACGAGCGCATCCGTCGCGACTATCGCTTGCAGTGAGTCAAGCTCGTCCCACGAATATGTTTCTGTCATCCTAACCACCGATCCTTCTTTCTCAACAGCACAATTCAATATTGGATGGTTGCCTCCTTAGCCAACGGCATGCTCTGGGCCCAGATCATCATCGGCGCCGCCATCACAGCTCTCGGTGCATCTCACGCGCCAGGCTCCAAAACGGCCACGATCTTCCTGGGGGCCGCCAGCACCGTCATCGCCGGCTTTCTAACGTACTTCAAGTCGCGAAGCCAACCGAATCGATCGCGGCAATTCCGTCAAGCACTAAGAAAGGTCCGCAATAAAATGGATGAAACAGCAAATCAACTCGACGAGACCACAACCCCAGAAGAAGCACACGCCCGCGCCTTGGAAATCCTGAAACTATAGTAAGTCAACATTCACGTCTCCTGCCATGAGGCCAGTGCTTACCAGAAAAAGCGACGAAGCCATCGCCGAAGCTGCAGCAAATTACCCCGACCTGTGGGTCACGGTCAACGACATGCGGAAGTACTTGCACAGCACTAGCAACAGCAACCAGACCTCAGACTCTGACTCGAACGCACCGGTCCCCGATGCCATGGACGCCGTAGTCAAGCCTGATATCGTTGCGCCACCAACACCACCACAAATAGCCCCAACAGCGCCGCAGCCCGCTGCAGAACCATCTGCCACCAACACCACGGCCGAACCTCCCCCAGAAGCTTTGTCGACGCAGAATGGGGGCGCAGCGAACTCACCACTGATATACCATGGAACACTCAATTCCCCCGCCGTCTCTGATGGGTCCCATCCCCAGCCTTCGTAGCAGAAAGACACCAACAGATCCCACAAGAGTGCGGCGACTGTCGTCGCAATGCCTGACCGATAATTGAACGGTCTGTTGTCGATTGTGTTTGGTCTGTCAGGTCTTGCACGGGAGCTTGCTCGCGGCGGCTATTGAGTAATACCCTGCCCGGTATGGTGCACTATAGATTTCCTGTGGCATGCGCAGTGGCAATACGGAAACTATAATTATGAACGCGCATGGTGCTTTTTGGGCCAGCCAGGATGGTCGGCTTCGCCAGTTGGATTTTGGAGGTGAAAGTAGGGGCGTATCTTTACATGATAAAACAAGCAAGAATGTCGTTGAGGAGACTAAGAATGCATCTACGTCCTTTGGGGGAAAACCCAAGTCAACCATCGCTTCACTTCCTCATAACTCTATGGCCTGATCTCGCTTCGTCCCGGCGAGTCCATTCTATAATGTGCAACTAATAAATCAGTCCGGCAGCGTATGTACACTTCGCCCAAAAGAATCATGGTCGCATCACCAGGGTATAAACATGCAAACGGGCATGTGAAGGACGCATGCCAGGAGGTGTAATATCGATATCCAGTCCCTCATTCTCATACGCCAGAACACCAGAACTTCATAAAAGTGAAGACTCTAACGCAAGGCTTCAACATAGTTGCTACAATGCCGCCCCTAAAATTATATGCATCGAAGACAGCAGAATATCAATATGTGCATTTCGTGATAGGTGCGTTCAGGATTTTGCCGGCCGAGCCGTGCTCTCACTCCACTCACTGCTCTGTCGAGCTTCCCTCGACATTCCGCCGAGGTGTGGTCGATGCTGGACAGGGTTCAGGCCAGGTCGATTCGGTAACTCCATATCAGGGGGAGGCTCCTGAGCCTCCAGTAACGACTGGATCAGGTTGGGGTCAGAGCTAGGGCTGGCAAAATCGACATCAAGTAATTCCTCGGGAGGTGGTCCAGGTATGTCGTACATAGGGACAGAGAGCGCATCCAATGCAATAATCGGCGACGACGATCTTCGAGAAGGAGGCTCACCATCCTGATTGAAGTTGAAAAGGGAAACATTTTCCTCAGTCAGCGCCATCGGAGACTCGTTTATGTCGATGCCTGGATCCTCAGGCGGAGTATCTTGTGCCCCCGATGGCAAGAGATTCGGAGGAAAAGCCTCGCCAACCGTGACTTGGGGTGCGACGCTGGGATGACCATGACCGCGGTCCGTGGCAGACAACAACTTCGCGTCCCGAAGTACCCTAGCCTTGTCTTCCGCGTCCGCTCGTCTTTTGGCGCGGTCGCCCTCTCCTTCCCCACCTGGAATCGTTCTCTCAAGAATGTTTCTGGAGATGCTCGACCTGCGAGCACGCGCTTTCTCTGCACCCGAGACAGGCGGTGCGTCTAGATCAACTTCGCTGTTGTGGGTTTTTGCAAGGAGCTCGAGGGCAATGGCCTCGTGGTCTGTGCAAGTCGACGAATTATCCGTAAGTGGCCCTGCATAGGTATGTTGCGACGGCCCTATGGTATCTTGAGACGCTCTTCGAGATTGGGCGAGAAGATCTCGCCCACTCGTGATCCATCTCAGTATCGTCTTTTCCAGTGCCGGTCTCTTGACAGGTTTTGCCAGGTAATCGTCCATGCCGGCCCTCTCACATTTCTCTCTGTCGCCTTGGATCGCAGACGCAGTCATTGCCACGATGGGTATACTGTTGATTGCCTCAATCGTTGTGAAAGGCGCATGATGTCTCAGCATATGTGTGGCAAGGTAACCATCCAGAACGGGCATTTGGACGTCCATGAGAATCAGCGACGGAATGGGATATTGCGCCGCTTCCTCAGAGGTCAGATTGGGGGAAGTCGCTTTAAGTAGATACTCGAGGACCTCCCTGCCGTTCCACACCGCGCTGGCAGAAAATCTAAGGGCTCTGATAAATCTAAGCGCAATCTGCTGATTGACAGGGTTATCTGCATCTGATCAGTATTTAATTCGTCAAAAGGGTCATCGAACATACCTTCAACGACAAGTATATGGAATTTATCCCTCTCTAACTCGGGCGTGGGGGTCTGTTGTCCAGAAGATTGGGCTGTTAACGAGGGGCGGTGCTCATTGAGAGGAGCTGGTGAGGTTGTGGGTGCCTTGCCAGGAGTAGAAAGTCCACGAGTTGCACGGGTATCGTCCCTCGAAGATCCGGTCATTGATAAAGATAGTTCAGACTGTAGCCGATCTGGAATCATACCGACTTCGAGTAGATCTGGAGTGTAGCCCGCTTTATATTCGAGCCTTTTAAACGGAATGGTGAAGATGGCTGTAGTTCCAGCATCAAGCTTCGATTCAAGACTGATGGTCCCGTGCATCAGCTCAACAAGGTTTTTGGATATTGTCAGACCGAGCCCTGTACCGCCAAAGCGTCTAGCGGTGCTCGAATCTGCTTGACTGAAAGGTCTGAACAGCCTCTTCTTGACTTCCTCCTCGATTCCAATACCGCTGTCTTCGACACAGAATTCGACAGTCGTCGTATCTGCAGTTTCGGCAATGATTCGTGCGCTCATTCTTACATACCCATCTGAGGTGAACTTGATGCTGTTGGTCAATAGATTCGTCAAGATCTGTCGTATCCGGCCGGGGTCGCCGAGTAAGATGAGATCGTTTAGTTGCGAAAGTTGGATGTCGCTAATAAAATCCAGCTCCTTTCGCTTAGCGGCATAAGAGAGCATTTTGGCAACATCTTGAAGCACAACGCCGAGGCTGAACTGTACCTCCTCGATATCAAGTCGGCCGGATTCGATCTTGGAGAAATCAAGGATATCGTTGATGACGGTCAAGAGAGAGTTCGCAGACCTCTGGATGTTCTGAGCAAATTCGCTTTGTTCCTCGTCGAGCGGAGTGTCCATTAACAATTCAGACATGCCCAAAACTCCTGCGATTGGAGTTCGAATCTCGTGGGACATGTTCGCAAGGAAACTACTCTTCATCTTGCTTGCCTCTTTCGCTGCGGCCTCATTTGCCAGCAAGTTGATATTCTCGTGCTCCTTTTGACGCAGCTGGGTAACTTCGGTACCTATCCCAATCACTCCAATAATAAAATTCTCATCTCCATGGCCGTTAGCATCCTTCTTCCCCTTCAACGGAACGAGTTTCGACCGGAACCATCTTGAGTTGACCTCGTTCTCGACAATCTCGAGGCTCGATTTTCCTGTCAGAATGCGCCTGAGTGCATCCCTGAAGTCGATAAGGGAATCATCCTTGACGTATTTGCTGTACGACTTGTAGATTGACTTTCCCACAATGTCATCCTTACCGTCATCGTCAGTGAGGAAAGAGCCTTCGAAAAAGGTGACAGTTTCGTCGCGGTTGATGATGAACAGACTCATTTGCGAATGGGTCAGTACGTCTATCAGGTTTTGACGAGCTCTTTGTCCTGCCACCTTGGCATCAACAATATCCTGTACATCCGTGATACTGCCAATCCATTTGATGATCTTTCCAGTTTTCTCATCACGCAGTGGTACGGCGCTTCCAAGCATCCACCGATATTCACCGTAACGATTTCGACAACGATAATGTACTTCGTATTTGTCACCCGTGGCGAGGGAATGTTGCCAACGGCGCTGAGTTTCGGGCATATCGTCGGGATGGAAAGGAGCGGTCCAAGCGAAACCCTCAGTGTCGGCTGGTCTTAGGCCGGTATATTCATACCACTGCTTAGAAAAGTATTCGTTGTATCCGTCGGCTCTGGTCGTCCAGCAGATGGCTGGCATTTTGTCGCATACGATACGAAACCAATCCTCCTTGTCGGCGGCTTGAGAAGCGATTTTGTCCGTGTATGATGTGACATCCTTAAAAGCGATCATTCCGGCTAGGAATTCCCCCGACTTTTCATCAAAGACTGGGTGCCCGCTCACATCAAAGGTTGATTTTTTACCGCTTTTCTCATTAATCAAACCGATTTGCCAACTGGTGAAGGCTTCTTGCGTTCGGCAAAGAGCGATGATGGGATTATCATCGTCCACAAGTTCGTGTGAAAAATCGGCTGTCCACGGCTTGAACCTGGACAGAAAATCATAGGACTCGTCCGATGTTGGATCGCTATCAACAGCCAGCAGTCGCCGAGCGGCCAAATTAGGAAAGACTACGCTCTCATCTTTCCACATCGCTATCAGAGGAATCTCGATGGCCCTCAGCATTGCATTTTTCATTTTGAGGACTTTCTGGAAATTGCCAAAAGCCGGCGATTGCACATAATTCGTCGTCGGAGCACTGCCTGGAAGCAATCGCGAACCATCGGTCGAGTCAACAGAGTGCGACGCAAGGGCTGATAGGGTAGCAGTCGAGCTCGGGGTGTTGTTGTGAGAAGATTGAGAGGATTTCGTGGAATTTGAGTTTGAGGAGGGATTGCGATGTGCCGCAATTGTTTGTGCATGAGGACGATGTGACGACGAGTGGCTCCCGATGCTCGTAAATGTGAGAGTATAGAACCGCTGCCCTTCCAGGGTCCATATACTGATGATCATCCGACATGTAGCGCGGCGAGAGCGGTTCTGACCGGACATTTCCCTTCTACGGCCATGATTCGTGTGGTTCTGGCCATTGAATTGGGAGGAGAAAGCCACATCGACGACAGTGTCCTGGCTTTTCCGCGTCCTGCTCCGAGTAGGCGACCGGCCTCTTTGAGGATTTGGTGTCGACGTTGGGGTAGAGTCACCGCTCTGTAACCCTGGCAGCAGTTCTCCTGGAGAACCTCCTCCTCCCTCAGCAGAGTCCAGGCCAGTAGCAAGGTTATCGAGAAATTTCTCCCAACTGACCCAGATCGGTGCGCCATCTGAGAACATATCAATCCCTATCTGGGACAGTGTCTGGCCTTTCAATATGTCGGTCACGGTAGTATTAACACCATTCTGATCTATTCCCAGCAGCCTCCCCACAGCTGAATTCGCAAGTATCACAGTCTTTTTGGATGAGAGGACAAGCAGAGGTGTCGGTAGGGTGGACAGAGTCGCAAGGGCGATGTCAGTGGCCCCCGAGTCGGGGAGGGGCCCGATGTCGACGTCGTCTGGAGTTGCCGGACCTTCATAGTGGAACTTTTCGATGGGAATCCCCGTGAAGGCTTGCGGAAGCGTGCTCTGAGATGACCCTACGACCTCGTGGGTTCGTGAGTCCAACTGCGATCGTGGAGAGCCTGGGCCATCTTCCGCGATCATGGCAGGAAAAGAGCGGCGGAGGCTATGGACGCCCTGCAAGCAGAGAAGACGGCTTGTCGTGTTACGACTCGAGTCATTCGATAAAGGTATCGATGTTCCGATATGAGGAATCCTCCACGTTCCCTAATACCGCATGAATGGATCGCGATGGCATGGAGAGGGTTAGGGATCCAGGGCGTGGCGTTGCCAAAGCGGTGGTGACGGTGCCAGAGTTTAGGGTTGACTAGGCGGCGGATTCGATGACTTTCTGACTTTCACCCAGAAAAGTCTGTCGGATGAAGGGGAAGTCAACGCAACTATTCAAGTAGGAATAATAATATTGAAGATGAAGAGAAGAATCCAAGAGACTGCGCAGGTTGTCAGAGGCAGGAATTAGTAAGAGCGCAACCCGCATAAAGGCACAGTATCGTCGGTCAAGTGTTGGACGTTGATCAAAGAAAATGAATGGGCCATGGGCCAAGTTACGGGGGCGGTAGAGGCGCGAAAAGCCTTCCAGGTTCACGCCCGAGTCCCAACCAAGTCCTCAAAGTCTCCAGTTGCACGTCCAGTCGTCGTTCTAGAACTACGCGAACTACTACGTCCCGTGCTCGTCATGATGAACATCCTGTGACGTCGATCCCCCATTACTACTACTGTACTCGATATTGTCTAATGGGCTATAGAATGATCTGAAATACCTCTCAATATCACCTTTCGAAGCCTTGTTGCTGTCCACGACGAATCCATCAAATAGTAATATCGCTTGTCTTCAATCATGCTCAAAACAACAATGCCATGTCAATTGCCATGTTTCATGCCTCACGAGCCTCTTTGTCGCTGAGGCCCAATCAACGCGAGTTGGCGGTTTGACTCCATCGAGCATCGGCGATGAGCCTTAAAGATCCGCACTGTCCACACTGCCAATGCTCTCCACTCGAGCCACCAACAAATGTGGTGGAAATTACATGCGGCTTATGAACGATCTTCATCAGATTCATCTCTGGAAGACGGTGAAGATCTTCTCTCTAAACTTGGTTTACAGATCTTGCATCTTCCCGATTTTCCCCAGGCTCCAATCCAGCATGTCTAGCAGGAGCCATCCCCACGCCAAAAATGATTAACACAATTTTTCGGGTATTCGCAGAAAAGACTATCAATTGGTAGAGGTATGGGCTATGGCTAAGCAGGTGACAGCTTCCATTCTTTCAATATGATTAAGAATTGTCTTAAACTCTCCAAGAGACATACGATTAAAGCTTTCTGGGACACAGAGACATTGGTACTACTTGCGGATGACCATTTCCGAATGACGTCACCTCAGTCGACAAGCATCTCTTCCGCGAACGGCAGACTATTTTACTTTTGGCATGATACAACATGTTTGTTTGACGACAATGCAGTTGAAGAGCGAGATCAAGCGAAGTGAGCTAGGCATCTGCATTAACGGTAAGTTGAAGCAAGCAACTTTCTGGAAGGTAAGCAGGGCGAAGGTTTGATATGACTGCGTTGGTAGAAAGAGAAGGAGTATGTTTCGTGTTCTTGAATTATTGTACAGTCTATTCATGAGCGTCATGTCTATCTTCATCCGAGCGGAGTTAAATCGCCCAGTCCTGTCCATGAATACATTCTGAAACAGCAACAAACCGTCCGTTCTCTCCCAGGTCAATAATCCGGCAGAAACGCCAATTTAGCAGGAAAGCAGTCGTCCAACCTCATTACATCCAACTCAATCACTGCGCTCCATCGCCCTCCTCAACTTTGACCTCCTTGACTTTGCTGCCCTGGATCAACCCCTGCTCGGTTTCCAGTCCGACATTCAGATCATAAGATTTGATGAACAGGCTTGCAACGAGGCAAACCGCCGCCAATGCAGTAAGCACAATGTACACAGTGCGCAGACTGTCCGTGTATGCGGTCTTGAGCTCCAACTTTCCCTGACCCGACGCAGTGTTCTTGATGATCTCAACCAGAGCAGCAGCATCCTTGGCCAATTCTGATGCTTGGGACGCGTAGGTCGGATACGCCTGCAAATTCTTGACCATCTGATTCTGGAAGATGACTCCGCCAATCGCCACCCCAAGAGCCTGACCGAAGCTGCGGAAGAACACAAACATGGCGACTGCAAACGCCATGTCCTTGGCGGTGCTGGCGGCCTGGAGCGCGAATTGTAGCGAGGGGAACAGTATGCCCAACCCAAGGCCAGACACGAGGTCGATGAATATCCACTGCGGGACTGACGTGTCTACGTCAAGAAGGATAAGCAGCCCCAACCCGAGCACCGACACGCACCAGCCAAGCCAGACAGACCAGCGATATGCCGCAGTCTTCGTGATCATCAGGCCCGTCACGACGGCCATGGGCGCGACGGTGAATGTAGCAGGGAACAAGGCCACGCCCGAAACGACAGGCGAGTATCCCTTGACCGCCTCGAAGTACAGCGGCTGGTAGTATAAGATGCACCAAAGGATCATGCCGTGCAGAGTTGTGGTGGCGTATGCAATGTTGGCGCTGCGGTTGGAGAACACAGATAGTCTCAGCAGTGGTTCAGCTGCGACATAGGCCTCGAAGAAGCAGAAGCCTACGAGACCCAGAGCGCCGACCAGTAGAGGCACGAGCGTTCGCCACGACGACCATGAGTACATGACGCCGCCCCAGGTCAAAGGGATGAGAAAACTGGTCATGCTGCCGACAAACAGGACAGAACCGATCCAGTCGACGCGACGCAACTTGGCGGCAATGCTCTGCGGGATGACGTTCAGGCGCAGAAACAAAGGCACCATGACACCGCCGATACCGATGAAGGGCAAGTTGAGCCAGAAGATCCAGCGCCACTGGACATCCGCGAAAGCGCCGCCAATGATGGGGCCAGAGACACTGCCGATGGACCACATGCCTGCTATCACGCCGGCCCATTGGCCTCGCCAGCGTAGAGGGACAAGGTCGGTGACCACGATCTCCGTCATAGCAATGATACCACCACCGCCGATACCCTGGACCGAGCGACCGGCGAGAAGGAGGCCGAAGTTGTTGGACAGGGCTGCCATCATAACTCCAACAAAGAACAGCGTGATCGAAACCATGATGACTGGCATCCGGCCGAAGATGTGGCTGAATGACGCAAAGTTGGGCTGGAAGACCGTTGAGGCTAGCAGGAAGGATGTGCCCGCCCAAAAGGCTTCGATGGCTGAGCCGTGAAGCTTCTTTGCGATGATTGGCAATGCGACACTGATTGATGTGCCGTCCAGTGCTACCATTAGTGTCAGGACTGACAGCGCAGCAAATGCCATGAGAAAGCGCGTTGAGACATTGAACTCGGGAGGTTCGTTCGTGTCATTTTGCTTTTCTGAGGATATTGACACCGAGGACGGGGTGTTCTGGGACTGAGGGAGTGGTTGTTGCGGTGTCTCAGTGCCCTGCGTGGGCAGGACGCCTGCGGTCTGTGTCGCCATGGGTGTGAATGTTCTTGAGTACTGACGAGGACAGGAGTGCAATATTTTGATCAGGAAGTTTTGTTGCTTGTTGAATGTTAATCAAGATTTGCTGCGTGATCTAACCCTTGAGGACGTGCCCCCGACGAATGTTTTGCAAGGTATCTTGGTGTTGTTGTGATGAAGTTGTGGAATAAAGAGGCGCAGGCACCATCTTGATATACTTGGTACTATCTCCATCGGCCAATTCATACTTGGCGTCCTGGACGAAAGTGTTGCCCGTCCGAACATTGGGCGGCCAAACATTGGATCGTGTCGCTATACCGAACCCGTTTCGGGCGTAAGAAGGATTGACAAGGCTGAGAAATCTGTACCCGTTACACGGTGATGATTGGCTGATGATAGCGACCTCTGGGGTAATACACCCCGACTGCCCGGCGGGGAGATATTGAGCCGACTACGTATTTCGTATTGCTTCGGCGTCTGTCCGTGGCATAACCGCACTGCAATGCTGTAGGTCTGTGACTGGTACTTACATTTGATGGATCATTGAGCATGATTAGGAAACTGTGAAGCTCCTCTGGCAAGACATGACTCCTTTACTGGACGTACTCGTATACACAATGTATAGTATACGAGTACGTTGACAGTGGTCTCTCACCACCAGTATTGCCATGTGAACGGTAGTCATCGATACATCGAATAAGAGCGATGTCCTCCTCTCATAGAGTCATAGTATGCATTGCTCGCGCTCAGAGATATCATCATGCCGCTACTGCGTAGTATCTTAGACGCCATGCTGCATGGCGCCGGACAGTCGTAGGCGCTAAGAGGTTGGCTTCGCGTGGCCAGACATGTTCATGTGGTGACATTGCCCACGAGTGGCTGCCTGTTCTGAATACATTTTGGACCGACCGAGATCTTGTCCGACCGAGTCGGCCTCTGTGGTCAACCAGAGCGAGTCGGCGCAATTATTCACCACGAACAGAAGATTAATGATCAAGTTGGAACGGAGACTCGAGTCGGAGGAACAATTGCGCCGTCTCCCAAATCACGTGATACGCGCTTTGTGGTACAGAACCATTCATCACAAAGCAAGTATACAAGTTGAGATACTTTCCGTATCGCTTCCATACACATGTAGCATCTAGAATAGATGTTGACGACGTCTGGCAAGTCGTGTCACCACGAGCCCCGAATCTGACCTCATATCACCACAGTCGACCATATAATCTCATCATGGACACCGCTCCCTGAAATCCATGGAATTGATACATTTTGCAATCGTCGCAATCGATGGGAGGTTCGCTCAAGCCATGAACAACAAAGGTCGGCAAATGGCCAAATAGCAGTCGGTCAATGAGTCAATGTAGGCCATTCACATCATCCTCCTTCCCTGTGTGAATATATCACATTTGGCCAACGTTGCGACTCATTATGCTCGCAATGCTTCTCGCTTCTGGCCTTCGACGCTGTCCACTCGATTGACCCTGACTTTCAGACATTTGGGCCGATGCTTCAAACCCGTAATCGGACTTCTTCCCCGTCTTTGGTCTTTGCTCAGACTTGTCATTCCAATCTTCTTCAGCGGCAATGTCATAGGACTTCATCCTTTTGTTCCTAGCTTTTGTCGTTTCTCCATTGGATACGCTGTCTTCAGCCTCATGCGATTGAACAACGCGGATAGGCTGCTGAGTAGGATCTTCAATCTCGGTTCGGAAGCACATGTTGAGGGACGGCCACGGAAGACGGTAGAGAGATATGCTAATGTGGTCCTCCGACTTGAAATGAGTGGGTGCGATTTGGCTCTCAGACTTCACGCGGGTTTGATTCCGTGGGTATATGCGATCGAGTTAGTAGTATATATCTCAGTCAGTAGCAGCAGGCGAAGAAGGCAAAAGGCACATCGACTGCCAAACATTTGGCCATGGGGACCCAAAGCAGCCTAGAGCATTGCGCACCGGCAGCACGGCACCATGCAGTCGTGAAAGTCACCAGATAATGACGCGCACTACGTTGCGGGAAGCGACTGATATGGTCGCGATATCAGGATAGCAAGTAGCGAATGCGAAGGAGGCGATGGAATGGTGTGACCCATAAGTTTTGTGGTTGCCTTGACCCCGCAGTTGCCAGTGATAAGCTTCTTAGGCGCATCTTCCAGGCCATCTGGCCCCAGAACTTTTACTGTCGCTACTGGCCTGCAGGGTATCTACAATACAAGTCACGGGACTTCGCGAACCGAGGCAAGTACGCGACCTGCCTCAATGCGCGTCACTTGCTAACCACGCGTTGACGACGACTCAACCTCCACCGTCATTCAAACATGGCCGCGCAGCTCTTGAGCGGGCTCAATGCCGCTCAAAGAGCTGCAGTCACTTCCAAGGCAACAATCTTACAAGTTCTAGCACCACCAGGTTCCGGCAAGACCAAGACCCTGACCTGCAGAGTCGCCTATCTCATTGCCCATGCAGGCCTCAACCCACAGAATGTCATCTGCTGCACCTTTACCATCAAAGCCAGTCGTGAAATGCGAGAGAGACTCAGAGGACTTGTTGGGTGCGAACTAGAAACCAAGCTGGTGCTTGGGACTTTTCACTCCATCTGTCGTCGCTATCTCGTTGCATATGGCCATCTCATTGGCATACCCAAAGGATTCGGTATAGCAGATTCCTCCGACAGTCTCAGCATCATCAAGCGCATAGTCAAAAGCCACAACCTATCAATCGAGCCGAAAGCTGCAAGATCTAAGATATCGAAACACAAAGCCCAGAATAGGAGATTGAATGATTTGCCCAAAACACCGCCAAAGCAGGTAGAGAAGCAAGAATTCATCACGGTTTTTCACGAGTATGAGGCTGCTTTGGCCACATCTAAGCTTCTGGATTACGATGACCTGCTTTTACGCTGCGTCGACCTCTTGCGAGCCTTTCCAGGTTGCGTCTCCAATGTACAGGCTTTGCTGATCGACGAATTTCAAGACACAAATATCGTACAATTTGAATTGATGAAGTTATTGGCAACAGCCGCGCGAAAAATCACAATCGTTGGTGATCCAGATCAAAGCATCTATGGCTTCCGGTCTGCCGAGATCGAAAATCTGCGGCGTATGAAGACTTCATATCCTGAGACGGTCGTTATCAACCTTGAAGAGAACTATCGCTCTGCATCAGCTGTGTTGAAGCTTGCCCAGGACGTCATCGAACAAGACACAAATCGACCACCTAAACGTCTGAAAGCCACTCATTGTCATGGTACTCGGCCTGTTCTTCGACGTCTGCCAAATCCGAACGAAGAAGCGCTGTGGATTGCTTGTGAGATCAAAAGAATGACAACAATGACTGGGAGTCTTCTTCAGCATTCGGACTTTGCCATTCTGCTTCGCTCTGCATACCTCTCCCTGCTAATCGAGAAAGCCTTGACTAGTTCAGGTATACCGTACCGCATGGTTGGTGGTCAACGGTTTTTTGACCGCGTTGAGATAAGAATCATCATTGACTACCTCCGCACAATCAGTCATCCAGACAATAATCAAGCTTTGGTCTCAATCATCAATGTGCCTGCACGCAAGATTGGGGACAGCACAGTTGCAGGACTCATGAAAATGGGTGAAGAACGAAAGTTGTCCTTGTGGGCGGTGGTCCAGAAGGTCCTTGCAGGAGATCTATCCTTTGAGAAGAAGCTCACCAAGCCTGCTCAGCAGGAGCTTGGACGCCTTGTTACACTCATTCAGAATGGGAGAAAGAAGCTAGAGACATTGCTCCCGGCGACAGTACCCAGCAACCTGATCGATTTTGTTGTGTCAGCGTTGGACTTGGAGAATTACCTGAAGACGAAGTACAAAGAAGACCACGAAGACCGGCTTGAGAACGTCAAGGAGCTGATCACTCATGCTTCCGAAGTACTGTTGCAGGCCTCTGAGGAAGAACTAGCAACGATTGATGGTTTAGAACGGCACGCTGCGAATGGTGGTCAGGACGTGCTTGCGCAGTTTCTGGCCAACATTTCTTTGTCCACTGATAAGGACAATTCCGGGGAAGGGAGCGACAAACCTCGTGTGACCATCTCTACCATCCACTCTGCCAAAGGCCTGGAATGGCCAGCTATTTTTATTCCTGCTGTTTATGAAGGTTCAATCCCCCATTCACGATCCGAGGATACCGACGAAGAACGACGGCTGCTTTACGTCGCAATGACTCGAGCTCAGGCTCTTCTGACCATGAGTATACCTCTTACGCAATCCAGAGACCAGACAGAGTCCTCATTGACTCAATTCCTACCCTCTAAGGTCCACCACCATCTGGCACAGGCAGGGCCGCTGTTTAATGACAAAACGATCGCGGACATTGCCAAGATTCTTCGCCGCCAGCCTCCATCTCAGGAAGATCTTGTGAAAGGGCTTCAGAGCATGGGCGGAAATGACAGTGCAAATGATGATATCTGGCCTGCTGATGGTAGTCGACGACCGTTCGCCATGTCTCATTCAGATCTACAGGCAACACCCGCATTTGGTATGCCACTTGCAGACGCTGTGGCTGCTGCACAGAAGCAACCCTATTCGAATTTCGCGACTTCAGGTTCATTGACAAGTTACGGAATGTCCACCACAATGAGTGACCATGGAGCCTTCTCTACATCCAGTGTGACCATGGGATTCACTACCGCAAGTCATCAACTCAAATCCAACCCACCTGCTCTGGAAAGATCTTCTTCAAACCCGGACCCGCCGCGAAAGAAGCCAAAGTTAGCAAAGTCGTCCTCAGCCCAGGATAGCATTGCGACTTATTTCTCGAAAATGGGCAGTCAGCTGCCGCCACAAGGCCGAGTGGTTCTCCCAACACTCAGTGACCAACAACTTTATGGCTCACGCCAGCCGCCCGTTATGACGGCTTCCTTTGATGGATCGCACCAGCCGCCTCATGCAGGTGACAAGCCAATCCCAAAGGAATTGGCAGCGCACAGACTTCATCACTTTGGAAATGCTTTCGCGCAGAAGCGACCATATCCACTGAAGGAAGCAAACACAAACGTCAAAAAGCGTTATGTGAATCTATACAGCTCGTCGCCTCCACCTCCTGATCTCAATGAGGAAACGAAGCCTGCTGCTGGTGACAAGGAGAACCCCATTGCAATCGATAGCGTAGCCACCAAGCAAAACGAGACACTCTCAGGCCAGGTCAGTGCTCCTCTGAAGGACTACGTTCTCAGCCAACCTGCAACAACGATGCATACAACCAGTATGTCCACGATCGGCCGAAACGGATTACAGATTGCTGGTTCTGGCCCTACCATGAATCGGGGGAAGACTTTGGGTGTCCGGCGAACATTTAATGGATGGGATAATCGGAAGAACAAATGATCTAGCCCCTCCATACGGTGTGGTTGTGTACGGCGGACCTCGTTGCCGGTATTGGTTACATGAGCTATGATGTTATGATACTTCTCTTGCAGTCCGTTCTGGAGCTTCGATCAAGGCAGGTTCGCTTAGGAGGATCAGGACCGTTGTCATGGAGCCACTTATCCCGATGATGGCTAACCCAGACACCTTTGTCATTGTTAGAAAGTAGTATTCCATGGACTTGAAGACCACCCACTGCAAAGGCCATCCGATTTAGAAACCTATTCTCGAAGTGGTCCAATTTGGCTGCTTGAGTCTCGGAAAAGGTGTTGAGTTGAGCGGAAAGGGTGTTGAGTTGGGCGGAAAGGGTGTTGAATAGGGCAGCAAGATTGTCGCCGAGTCCTTTCATTTGAATGTTCAGATTAACATTAAGGTGCTGAAGCTCTGGTCTCCATCCGAACAATTCCTTGTTCAAGTAACTGAACTTCTGATCAAGAGAGGATGACGAACGAGCTTCAAGGGAGGGATTGCCATATAGCGGTCGTTCGCGAGTTCTGAAGGTTCGGGTTCTGACTGTAGGAGATTGAGGTGTTCTCTTCCGTGCAAGATTGGTGGTGAACCGCCGCATTTTTGCGATGTGTACCGTGCGACTACAGTATGTGGTCTAATACGCGTTCTTGTGATTAGAAGCGAGCTGGACAGAATAGGGTGAGAAAGTTGGATACAAAGAGGAAGGGGTGGACAGAGCAGGAAAGTCAGGTAGACGTACAGGAATTCGGCATGACCAGTCGTTTTTCGGGTACTTACACTGGCACTGGCAGTGGTAGTGGTAGAGTTTTTCTGTTCATGTGCAGATCAAAGGACCGAGTAAACTATTGGTGAACTACACAAAAAGCGAACAGTGTTTGGAACGGTAGAATGATAGGCTTGATATCCGAAGAAAAGTGTCAAGTATTGAAATAGTCAATTAGCTGTCTGGGGTATTCAAACGAAGTAACGAAACCTCCCCTTCGCATATTCTATCAAACACCACACATTATCTCTAGATCACTCATTACACCATCTACACCACGAATGCAAGAGCCGCCGCTCCTGCACCAAACAACGCCAGGACATTCAGTCCGGTTCGGTCCGCAGCGCCAGTGTACGTGGCGACCGAGGGCGTCGTGCTGGTTGCGTCGACGGCCCAGGCTCCACTTGCAGTGCTGCTGGCACTTCCTGATCCCGACGATCCCCATCCATCGGAGGAGCTTGCAACGCTCACAGCCACAACTGCAGTGGATGCCACAGGTGCGACGGTAAGTGTCTCCTCGACGGTCGCGCTTGGGCTGGAGGATGCTGATCCAGACGCTGAGGCTGATGCTGAGGCGGATGCTGATACCCACGACGAGGCGTCTGCTCCCCAGCTGTCGCTACCACTTCCGCTTCCACTGCCGGTCGCGCTGCTGCTTGCAATGCCGCTGCCACTGGCGCTGGCGATATGCCACGTCACCGTCACAGTCTCGGAGCTAGGCTTGCTGCTTGTCGACGCTGGCTTCGTGGTGGTGCTGGCAGTGGCGGTGCTCGTAGCTGGAACCCAAGGGATCGTGCACACCACAGGCGTTGTCACGGGCCATCCTGAGCTTGGTGTGATTGTCGTGACTGTGACGGGGATTGTCGGCGTGTACGAAGTCTCGGTGCAGCTTGTGATAATGGTAGTCGTCTTGGTCGTGTAGCCTGTCTCACAAGGCTCGATCCAGGTGGTTGTCAGCGTGATGGTTGTATAGGAGTCGCCGTCGGACCAGTCCAGCCAGGTCTCTGCTGCTGCGCTGGTGGTGCTGGCAGTTGTGTGAGGTTTGGTCGACGTTGTGGTTGACACCTCCCAGTCAGCCCATGTGCTTGGGTCGGTCGTAGTCGTTGTTATGGTGGTCCAGTCAGCCCATGTTCCGGCCTCGGTGGTCGCGGAGGATGTGGTCGTGCTGCTTGTGGTGGTCGACTCGGTCCAGTCTTCCCAGGTGGTTTGGCCGGTGGTGGTGGCCTGGCTTACGGCGTCCACGTCCGCGCCGTTGCTGGTGGTCATGGTCCAGAGGCTTGAAGTCGTGGTGGTCGCGCCTACTGCACCTACGGCATTCCCGTTGGAGGTGGTGGTGTTGGGGTAATAGGCGAACGAGCTGAAGCTGGATGTTGTCGAGGTGGTGGTGGTGGAGGTCGTTGTAGGGCTGGTCGAAGTGCTAGTACTGGTGGTGCTGATCCCGGTGGTAGATGTGGTGCTAGTGCTAGTGCTAGTGCTAGTGGAGGTAGTGCTGGTGGTAGTGCCAGCCGTAAACAAAACAGTAAAGGTCACGATAGTACCATCACAGTTATCACCAGCGGCGTCAACGGTCTCGATCTGCAAGTCAGACAGGAGACAGAATTCTCGCTGAGAAAGAGTAAGCGCGCCAGAGGCGTCTATTGACCAGACGTAATCGACGGGTTCGGTAGTAGAGACCTCAAGGAATGCAACCGCGTCGTCAGAGGTAGGGCTAGAGCCAAGGAACTCAGTGCCATAGAGGATAGTACCGTCGTCGCCAGTAACCAAGGTAGCAGCATTAGCTTGGCTACCCAACACAGCGATATCCTCGGCGCTGATGCCAAGGTAGTAGGTATCACGCTTGATCTTCTTGGTATCTGGAACGGTAACCACGACATTGAAAGTTTGGCCAGCGGCGAACGAGCTCCCGCTAGACGTTGTGGAGGAGGTGGTGGTCGTCTGGCTCACGGATCCTACGGCGTTGCTAGTGGTCGTGCTGCTGCTCGTGGATGTCAAGCTTGAAGTAGACGTTGTCGTCGAGGTCGAGGTCTTCGAGGTGGTTGATGTCGAAGTGCTCGTAGGAGTGGGCTGGACGTCGTCGAGGTCGAGGTCTTCGAGGTGGTTGATGTCGAAGTGCTCGTAGGAGTGGGGCTGGACGTCGTCGAGGTCGAGGTCTTCGAGGTGGTTGATGTCGAAGTGCTGGTAGGTGTGGGGCTGGACGTCGTCGAGGTAGTCTTCGAGCTGGTAGTCGTGCTCGTTGGCGTACTCGTCGTGCTCTTGGTGGTGGTAGAGGTGGTAGTGCTGGTAGTCGAGGTAGTGGTGGTAGTTGTGGACTTAGTGGTGGTAGTCTTAGATGTGGTGGTGGTGGACGTGGTGGTCGTCGTGCTAGTCGTGGATGTGTACACCTTGACGTAGTTGACATCCCAGTACGCTTCAGAGAATTCGGTTGGGTTGTCGCCGTTATAGACGGAGCACGAATCTCCGTATTTCGCAGCGCAACCACTGCTGGTCCATGTTGCACCAGCCAAGTCACCTGTGAAATTGTCAGCAAGGGATAACCAGGACAATGGTGAAGAAACTAACCGCAGAAGGTGGTGTCGAAAACGATCTGGTGGTTTTGGAAGTTGGAGTCAATGTCGCAGTCCGGTCCGTTGAAGATGGAGAATGGTAATCCCCAACCGGTAGGATCCGGTTTACCAGATGAAATGTCGGATGGAATGCTGCCTCGAGGGAAGAAATACACCTTGATAGCATCAGAGGTCCAGAGCATTGCGTAGACACCACCACCATTGTCGTTGAAGGTACTATAACTGTCTGACCCGCCATCAAAAGCACCACAACCAGCACCGTTGGTGGATCCGTCGTCGTAGTAGTCGCAGTCATCGCCGTTCGAGATACCAGTCATGTTGTTCGAGCTTTGAGAAACAGTGCAGGTACCGCCTGTATGTGCCGATGACAGGTCCGCCGCTTGGATGTTTGAACCCTCGATGATATCGACCTCGCCCTCCGAGGGCCAGGTGCCTCCACCCAGAGTCCAGAATGCAGGCCACACAGAGCATCCATCGCTGGTCGTTGTGGTAGGAAGATGTATGATATCGGCAATGAAGAGACCGTGTGTCCATCTATCATTACTCGAAATTCGCACGCTAGGTCGTCCAACGCCGTTGACGTTGTAATAGTCGGCGCTACCATTGTAGGTGTGTGTGTCGTCGACTCTCATCTGAACCGAACCATCGTCGAAGGTGATCAAGCCTGAGCTCGAAGCAGTGTCCTCGTCCACATAGCTGGGAAAATGTCAGTGTCTGCGGAATCAAAAGGCAGTGGATCGATATGCCATACGTGACGAAGCCGTGACTTGGATCAGCCTCCTGTGATATGGGTCAGCTTGTGTCCGATCTCGCGCCAAGGGTTTCTGCCTACATCAAAGAAAGTGAAGCCATCAAAGAAACTTGAGCCGGAATATTCGGTATCCAAAGCATAGTAAGTGGAAGAAGCAGCGGAAGCCGAAGCAGCGAAAAAGGTCAAAGCAGAAACGAGTGTGGTGCTCGCCCCCAGAAAGAGTGATGAGGACGGCATGTTGAACGAGAGACTGAAAAGCACAAGGTAAAGAGCGACGGCGACAAGAAGCACGCAACAGAATGGAAGGGAAGGGAGGAAGCGTGAGGCATGTCTGGTGGTATATGTCAAGCGACCGAGCGGCAAAGCGCCACACCCACCTCGAGGGCGACCTACCGAAAGCAACGAGGTGCATTGTCGTGATCCGAATGAGGAGGCGCAGACAATGGCAAATTGATTCTGCTCACGATACGGAGTCCCGCCGAATTGGTTTGAAGTGTTAGAGTGACATGAGGAGCCATAACAAAGGCGCTCTGAGATCAAGCCTAGACGAGATTTGCGTCGTTTTGACTTGAGGCTGGCTGAAGCACAGACGAAGTAACAGCGGGATGGCGGTGTCGTTCAACACTGTCGCAGAAAAAGTATCAGTCGTGGATAAGAATAGCCGAATGCCATGATAGTCCAGGCGCCAGCAGCGGAACATCTGCGATGAGACTGGTGCTAGGCGAGCCAGACCTGGTACTAGATCATCTGGTGCGCACCGTCGAGATTGGGTGAAGAAGAAGCACAAACTGAAAAAGGCTAGACGTTGTAGACAGGAGAGGAGATCGATATTCGCCATCAGGGGCCATTGGAGTCCAATTTCAGCCTTGTCGTAGGGGAGCCAATGAAGATGGCCACCTAGACGGCGCACGACCGAAAAAGGAAACCCCTCAATTTCCCCCGACTCGTTTTGACAGCTTTTCTTCGTCGCTTCCATCGTATCCGGCTAACTTCGTATCCAGGAGATGGCATCACAAGCCTCATTAACGCCTGCCTACACGTGCTCGCGTCAAAAGGCTTGCATCGACAAGCAAGAATCAGGAAGAACAACCAGAGGCGCAATCGAGTCCACAGCTAGTCCATCCCAAATTCGAGACTCAGATTCGATCTCTGTAAGTGTTCGCGGTCAAATTGAGGACTTCGGCGTTCCCGACGAGGATCTGGTTTGCGTTATGAAAGCCTGAAGACAGTGAACACCATGGCTTGCGTGCGTGGCCCGGGGAGAATGATATGATCAATGACAGCATTCGTTGTTGATGCGATGGTCACAGCGGCGTCGGTCAGTGTCAAAGAATAGATCATTGTCTTCTGACGTGCACTTCTGACACCTCACTTCAACACATATATATTCCGATGCCCACTGAGGGCAGCATCACAGACTCGGCCACGCAAGCGACTCCAGTGTAAACAGCGCCTAGCCGCACGGGCGCCGACTCTCGATGATCACGCACCTCGGCATCAAAGTACGGTAAGTATCAGCCCCAATTGTTGCGCGCAACAAGGCGCGGACCGTATCTTACTCGGCACAACGACTCTCGTGAGGTTTTACCGTCGTACTTTATCCACCGCAGTATCGCCCTCGCGACCGACACGTTCGTTCCGAAGGGCTCCATTCGGCTTGTTGTGCTGGACACAACCGAGAGCACCGATCTTGCTCGTCGTAGGAATTCCCATGTATTGGCGAATCTTCAGTTTCAGTTTGTCGAAGGTGCGCAGGTCGAGACTGCGTGGGTTCAGGATTGACATGCAGCCTCCAGGGACAAGTGAGGGTCCTTCTTGTTGAGAGGTGCTATGATCAAATTCCAGACGGATCAAGCTTGGGAGTTCCCTGGGTAGGTCTGTCGCGCACCTGACGGGCACTTCATTGACCATACCACTGTACGTCCGACTCACAAGGAGTTTGGACGGCTGAGACGCCTAAGATGCGACTCGGGTAACTTGCCTATCTGGTCCACGCGACAACGCAAGGCAATTAAGAGGCAGAGCGTGACAAGGCTCACACAGATGCACTTCTAGACAGCATTGAAACGTTGCGGTCATTGATCGGGAACTCGGTCTGGATCAAGGGCTTAGAGATGTGCAACGATGCGCCTGGCATCTTCTGTACAGAACTCATTCTTGCTCACTGGCATAGCGACAACACACCTTACCAGGTAAACAATGATGTCCAAATGGCAGGCACCTGAATCACAGCGCCTCTAAATCAAAGACTCAACGTTTGTTGACCGCCCTTTCGACTCCGTCGTGATCAGGTCCATCTCAAGAGCGTCCTCCCGTAGGGTATCCTGCATCATCCCGCATTTCTGTGGCGGCGGTCTCTTCAAGTGAAGCGAGCCGTGGGTTGTCAACTATTCTCAAAGCCCACTGCCTAGTACTTCACTTGTGCTTCACTTAAAAACTCATCTGCCCTTCTACGCAGTCGAGACATTCATCACATCAAGCCCTTGTCCTGACATTTCAGCCCTTGCTGTGTTGTCTCGCTTAAAAGCGCTCTCTACTTACACAGTGGTACACCCGTCTCAACAATGGCGAACCCGTACTCATATATGGGCGACCCCCGGCATGTCGATCTCGTCGAACACGATCATGAGAGCAAAGAACCCATCTACAGCATTCGAATGGTCCGGGCTTTAGCGATTGTTACCATGATCTCGCCACCTTCCACGGCTGACTTGTTCCATCCCACAGACGACGAGGCCGTCGAGGAGCAAGACATGGACGCCGAAGATCTCCTTTACCAAGCGTGCGATCGTACCACTATCCCTACAAACCCTCGCGCAAGAGAAGTCTTCGGCTTCGACATCTGTCAGTCCGAGCAGCAAGCGAGCTGTCTCCTAGAGGCCTACAGAATGGTCAAGAACAAAGGCATCCATCAGAAAATCCTCGGCTCGTGGCGCACAAAGGCTACATTGGAAGCTCACGTTGGCGCCATCGTTCAGGCTCCATCAAGCACCCATGGGCAACCCTCAATGCACGCTCACGACCCTCTCCAAGCATTGCCCATCTTGCGAGTCCTTGATCAAGACATGCAGAGTAAGTTTCTCCGCGGGTTGGAGGCACACTCCACGTCAAAGGCTGAGTACTAACCAAAATTGACAATTCAGAGACAGCCAAGAGTTGGACAAATACGAACGACTGTTGAGAAGCAAAATGAAGGAATACCCAAACTGTATCAAATGCGGTGCTGTGCATGGCCCTGTCGACCAGGCGAGTCAGCAGACACTCCTTCGTTGCGGAAGATGCAAGAAAGTCCGCTACTGCAGTAAAGAGTGTCAGACGGAGGACTGGAATGTTCATAAGAGCGCTTGTAAGGAAGCTGAACAGGCTGACAACTGAAGGGGAGTTGGACTTGTGGCAAGCGAGTATGTGGGATGCAAAAAGGTGCGCTTTACAATGAGTTAACAGTAGGGCAACGCAGCGGCAACTATGCAGGTTGAAAGCTTGAAGCATTTATGATCGTGTCAACAAAGGCCACTGTGGAAAACGTGTTTCGAAGAGCAAGTATTCGTCTTGCAAGGAACTGAGATCATGGCAGGTGTTCAAAGAAACCTGGAAATCATTGTCATAACACTATGCACTGCTGTGTCTTCCTTGCTATGAGTGCTTGTCGTGCACTACGACTCTGGGAGGCGGAAATGAATTTCCACCCCCATGGGAACTTAGGCGTACCCAGCTATCAGCTACGGCCTCCCTAGCCTAGTGACCCTATCAGCTACCCCGCCATAACAAGAAACGCTATATGGAGCTAATCGCAGGTTTAACTTACTTAAAGCAAACCATGATATAATCTTCCCCCGCGAGGCATGATATTTATTGCTGTCTTTCTCCATTTCCAATTCGACTGCCGACCATCTCCATGCCCTGGCCAGGCACATGCAATATGCCGGCAGCGGTGAACGGCCAACCACAACAGCACAACCAACCTGCACCCTGACCTAAACCAGGCGTCACTTTTCCGCGAGCCACGTTGTTTGTTCCCAAGTTTCTGCACAGCTTACCACGTACATGTATGGTCCCTCAAGAGCCCCTCTCCATGCGAGGCACCCACGAGCAACATCCCGGTAGGTCGGCCTTACAAGTTGTTAGGACTATGCTACACTTGCAATTCGCCTGATCCAGACACATTGCCTTACTTGCTAGCCAGCCTTACCATCATCGAAGGATCGCAAGGCTGTTTTGTTATTTCTGCAGCCTGAGATCACCTTGCTCGTGCTTTATAACCCCTCACTGTCTTTTCTTGTCTTCCCAGAAAATCACCTGGCGCACGACAAACTTTTCCCGGTGCGAGAACTCGACGCCGATAAATGTGGCGTGGGAAGGCCAGGCAGTCCGCAACGGCAGGCTGGCGGCGCGATGAGCAGAACCGCATGATCTTACTACTAATTCCCCCACAGGTAGGTACCTCAAACCAGGCTTTCACAAGTACGAGGGGGATCCGCTGACAACCAGGTACACTTCAGGTCAGACTAGACCACACAGAGAAAACACCTAATCACCGAACATCTGAGCCAGCGAGACCTGACACCGCAACCATAACCACTCTTCCCACCGAACTCATCCACATCGTCGTCGACTATCTCCATCCCGTCGACCGCGTCTGTCTAGCCCTCACCTGTAAATCCTTGGCCTCTGCCGTGCTCTCGGCTCCGCGGCTCTGCCCGACGACATGGTCCCGCTTCAACGACCAGCGCTATAGCTGGCTCCTCCCTGAGTCCTACAGCCTCATTCTCCGACTCGCGCACGGTTGGATACCGAAAGACAAGCTCCGCTATTGCTGGAAGTGTCACAAGATCCTGCCGCGTCAAGCAGAGTACTTCCGCAGGAGACTGATCTACAAGAAGAATCCGAAATGGGATGCGAAGTTACAAATCCAGAAGTCGACGTGGGAGCACATGTCGAAACGTGATAGATACAAACATTTGATTGAGATGTGGTGTGGCTCCCCAATGGAGGACAGTAGCAGTGTATACTGCGACTTTTGTCGGGAACAGAACCCTGCTGCTCCCCTGGTTTACCCTGTTATATGTCCTGTTTGTATGGAACAGGAGTTGACATTCCTCTGGAAGATACCGCGGAAGCCGTGGCTCAGAAAGATGCTAGGGAAAGTGTTTGTGTTCATGTGCAAGTCTGTCGGTGTGGTGATAGGTCTGGTGCTTGGAGTCATCGTATGGACGATCCGGTCGGTGTATACCCAAGGTCGCAAAGGCTGGAAAGCAATATGCTGCTGAGGCCCGGGCAGCGAGTTGGCCAGATATGAGCTATGACGCATTTGCTATTTGCAGCGAATTTCTTACAGCAGGAGAATAACTACTGTACGTCTGCAACGACAGAGAAGAAACTGCAAGTCAAATTCATTCAATTGCTGAGACTCTGACGCCGGAGAGAAAAAAAGCAACTAATGAATCCAAACATGTTAATCGGGTATTCTTCGAGTTCAAGACCTTGGTGCCTCACAACGACAGTTGCTCTCTCATCGACGTCCGTTTGTCCGCCCTTGACAAAACACTCATCGAACCTCATGAGGAGCGATATGATCAGGATCCTGTCCCAGTTGCTCATTGTGGTCGTGCCCCATGGTCACGGCATCATAGATCGCAGTATGACCGCCGACATTGGTACTACCTGTAGCATGACTGTGTGTCGAAGGTCCCGCCTCTGCTGAGGCAGCGGTGCTCCTCTTGGTCAAAGTGTCGGACGTCGAGATACTGCCAGTACGCCCTGGACCGCCAAAGCCCGTGTCCCCGAAGTTGACCGGTGACGGTCCCGGGAAGGGTTGGGGTTCCGGTCTGCTTTCGATGGGAGCGAGCATGTGGCCCTGGTAGCCGCTGTGCGTGTGCGATGCGGAGGGTGCATGGGCATCAGGTGCGACTGCGGAACTGCGACGACGACTCGCTGCTGCGGAGGCACCGCTTGCGACGCCCGATATAGAAGTGCGGTTGCGACCGGCAAGGTGGGCGAAGGGGTCGTCCGAAAGCTGGAAGAGGGATTGTTTGCGTTCGCGCACTTCGTACTGTTCGGCGGGAGTCATGTCGGTCTGGCCGACTCCGGATATTTCGGCGTCTAGCAGCACAGCATTGTCAATTTTGTGCTGTGTCAACAGACGGTAAGTATGGATACTGACTGGACACTTTCTTCCTGTTATAGTAAGGGTCATTCGCCGGCTCCATCCCTCCTTTCTTGCTCGTGCTGAACTTTCTCACGTCGACGCCGGTCACGCTGTACTTGCGTTCGCGATTCAGGTACTCTTGTTCGGGTGTGAGGCCGGTCGCGCCTATGTCGTGTATCTCGGCATCTGATGCTGGTGTCAGTGTCCTGGATTCTTGGAAACGGGTTGAGAAAGGTACAAACTTGAGATGCGTTTACGACCATAGTAAGGATCGTCTTGAGGCTCTAGACCTCCTTTCTTGCTGCTGCTGAATTTCCTGATGTCGCCCCCAGTAACGCTGTACTTGCGCTCGCGGTTCCAGTATTCTTGGTCCGGAGAGAGGCCGGTGACGCCGACGTCTCTGATCAATTCGTCTACGAAGCAGATTCTTAGTGGCTCATTCAAGTGGGAGACAGGTTGGGAATGAGCATACCAGGAACGGGTTTGCGGTTGTAGAATGGATCTGCTGTCAAACCCATCTTTCAATGTCGCCGTCGTGAAGGCTTGCGAGATGTGTCCAGCAAGAAAGCACACGCAAGATGAATGCTTCAGGTGATGGGGATAGTCGCGTGCAAGGCCGCTGTATGTACAACGAGTTTTGGAGGGTTGAAATGAATTGCGATAACACGAAGGGGAAGGAAAGGCAAGGGGATAATATGGGAAGCACCAGATCAGTGCAATCAACTGCTATGGATGGCTAGGCTTTGGCCGGCTATACCCTCGTATCTTTCATGTCGTGCAAGCGTCATACTACATGACCGCTTTCTGGTCGTAAGATCTCATGACGGTGATCGTCAGCCTGGTATCGACCCCGCCCTTGACCTCCAGAAAAATGAGGGAGCCGGCGCCTAGGGTAGCCCACATGTAACTTAATCTGGAGGTGGGCATGGGGAAATCCGTGGCGAAGGGGATTTGAGCCTATGAACGCCTGAGAAGCTCCTCTTGGAGTCTTGGAGTGCCCGGAAGACCCCATTTGTGACCCATATTCAAGCGAGACGCGTGGGCCATCATTGACGTACCTGGGGTATCTCTCATCGTCCTCGTATCACCAGCTACTCCGAAGTCTCAAACACGATTCGACATACTGTTGTCCTTTTTGTGCTGAAATGCTGGCTCGGGTCTCGAAGGACAAGTTACAACGGTGAAGCACGTTGCAGATGTGCAACCCGCGTCATCTTTTTCATGCTGGTCGTCACCGCGAAGTGTTGTCGCCGAAAGATGTTCCTCGCGACCGAGAAAAGGGCCGATTAGAAAAGGCTTAGAAAGCGACCTCCGAGTCCGACGCAGATCAGGCGAGGAAAAGGCCGCCATGAGCCAGCCATGCCAGCAATCACGAAACTGCGCGATCAGCCTTATTTCTGCGTAAACCTACTTATCTGCCTCGTCTCGGGCGCCGCAATGATAGAGGATCTCTGGGAGCAGCTCATCAGTTCAGGACAACGAGACAAACAAATGCTGTGATGAAAACCATGCAGCTAATGTTGTTCTACCGAAATAAGCATGGCCTTAGAGGATAATCGAGAATGGCCTGCCATCTGATCTGAAGTGAGGCAGATATCTTGTCAAATCATCGGTGGCTGATTATCAATTTATCATCTTCAACGATAGTAGAATGCATGGTGCGAGGAGCGTTTGTCCGAGAAGCTGTTACTGTCACAGTAAGTTAGCAGCGCTGTGGGCTCTGCTCGGGATTTCGATCGACAAGGAAACCCTCGGCTTTTATGGCGGAACCGTGGATCTCCCGCACGAGAAAGAATGGGAACTCTTCACACCTTTTTCTTTTCTAGCTTGCTAGATCGATCTCACGGTATCTAACCGGTCATCACGTCCCGGGGATCTGTTCTTACACCACTGAAGCCTTTTGTGAGGGCTTTCGTTATCGAACTTGAACGTCATAGTAGCGTTGCTCCTGATGCGGAAAGAAAGAACAGGAGGTGTCAGCGGAAGAAGTCAAAAAGAGTTCAAGGACTTTGTTGCACAACGACAGGCAAAGACTGCAGAAGCTGTGGAACGATTTCAACAGACGAGAACTCGATCAAAGTGTTAAGATTGAAACGAGGACACTTTCCAAATATCAAGCAGAAGAGACGTGCAGCCAGTTCTCGACGTTGGCGTCTTGCCTGCTAAATGGCATACTCTATATGGACAACATGGCTCCTGCTGGAGGGCAGGTGAAGACTCGGAAATATCGTCTCTGCTCAATTGAGAACCGCACTGGGAGTGCACCCGCACCGGGGCAGTGACAAAGTGAAGATTGTCAGACCGCATCTCATCTTCTAGTGACTCTTAATGGACAACAGCCTCTCCTCCTCGCAAATGATTCGGGATTCGTGCTTCTTTCCCTGCTGCTGTGTGGCCTTGGAGTCTTTCCTTTCCTTCACAGTTGTCTGCTCCTTCCCTGCTTCTGCAACCATGGAGGTGTGTAAGTACTACCGTACCGGCTCCTGCAAACGTGGAGATAAGTGCAAGTTCTTACACGATAACAATGGCGCAGCGCACACTGAATCATCAACCCTGCGCGCAAACGCCGAAGACTTCGTTACTCCCGCTCCTCGTATGTGCCACTTTTTCAGCAAGGGTCGATGCAGAAACGGCGATGCCTGCAAATTCTCTCACTTGCCGCTCAACAATGAGGCACCGCAGTCTGACCAACAGGAAGGGTCAGCAGCATCGGACGATGTAAATATGTTCAACCTGACTGCATGCTCATATACTAATGTTAGTAGGTCTTGAGACATGCCGACCCTGCCGTCCGAAACCCTAATATTCAATTGAGTATGGAAGGAGCAGTTGTGCAATTCGGCCCAGGTGCTGAAGTTCAAGATGTGCGATTTCCGGCCCTGGAGGCATTGGTGACTGGCAAGCTTCGGGGTAATACACCAATGACAAAGGTTCAGATTCGTACAGTCTGCTGTTCCTGGTTCAATGCTTCGAAACTTGCGTACTTGCACTACAAGAGTCCCACATGGGCAAATTCTGCAGCAAAGCGGTTCGAGAAGAAGTTCGAAGGCAGACAGGTTCAAACCAAGATCATACCGCCTCCAGCTCATCACGGAAGCAAGACGTCGATATGGTCTGTCAAGCTGGGTAATCTGTGCGCCGACACCAACGAGGCACAGCTTCTGGATATACTGAAGAACCTTCGTCCAGAGAAGATGGCTTTCGGCAAAGCAACGTCACATACGACCGTGGAGGAGGCCATTTACTCGGTCAAGCAGTTGCTCTCCCAATCTGGTCTGAAAGTGGAAGCCTCTGACGCCATCCAAACACCAAGCGGGTCAAAGACGAGGTTGTTTATTCGGTTCAAGACGTTCTCCGATGTACAGCTAGCCCTGGACCTCTCCGGTACACTCCCGCCGAAGATGGACTCAAAGGTTTACGTCGAACAAATGACCACCGTCAAGATTCCGGTGCTCGAAGAGATGTATAGCGTGCTTGGTTTCGCGATACAGAAGCTGCAAGAAGAGAAGTCTGATGGTACACAGATTTCGATACATGATGATCAACGCCACAAGCCGGTGAGCATACGAATCTATGGGCAGAAGTGCAAAGGGGTTGCCAAGGTCAAAGCTGAAGTGGAAAAGCTATTGAAGGGCGAAGTCGTGCTGCACGATGATAGTACCATACTCTGGGACGACTTCTTCGGTATTTCCGCTGGCTTCTCCTACATACGTAGTCTCTCGCAGCCAGGCAAGCTCTTTGTTTATCGAGATGCGCTTAGACGACAGCTTCGCCTGTACGGTTCTGCCGACCTCAAGCAACTTGCGCGTCAAGCGTTGTTGACCTACCTCAAGATCCGTGGCCAGTGTCTACATTGCATCCCACTTGATGGGGAACTCTGGCACACAGCTCTCCATGGTGGTTTCCGACAAGTGATCAGCAGATTCGGGAAAGAGAAAGCAAAGCTGGACATCACTCAGACGCCTCGGCTGCTTGTCATCCAGGGAAGTCCAGAGGACGCTCAAGCAGCCCGAGAAATTATCGCCGCGGTGGCAGAAGATGAGAGCATTGGCACCCGAGACGAGGAAGGCAAAGAGTGTCCTGCGTGTCTCTCTATGGCTGAGAACCCGGTCGAACTGAGCTGTGGGCACCAGTACTGTCGAGACTGCTTCGAGGATCAGTGTCGGGCCGCTGAAGTCGGGCGACTACCCATCATTTGCTATGGCGATGAATCGAAATGTCAAAGAGCCGTACCTCTGGCCGCGTTGCAAGAGGTTTTGTTGCACGAGCAGTACGAAGACCTGTTGTCTTGGTCGCTGAAACACCATGTCCGCTCACATCCAACCACTCTATCTTACTGTCCTACACCAGACTGTCCAACGATATTCAGGCTTACGGACGAAGCCATGGCGTTGCCTTGCGAACATTGTCTGACCTCGATATGTACCAAATGTTGCACGGCCAGCCATGAAGGACTTCCATGCGACGCCTCAGACGAGGAAAAGTCCGTAGAAGGCCGGAAAAATCAGCAGTATATGGAGAAGAACAATATCCGGACATGCTCGAACTGCCGAGCTCGAATCTCAAAGATAGAGGGCTGCTACCACATCGCGTGTGTCTGTGGGAAACATTTCTGTTGGCTGTGTGAAGCGGTCTTTGACAGCGATCCCGAGTGCTACGGCCATCTACGCCAGGTACACGGTCGGATCAGCGACGAGCATGCCCATCTCGATGATGAGAACGTTGATCCCGAGGGCGAGGATGATGACCTTGATATGCAAGACCCTCACATCCAAAATCTGTTACTTGCTGGCTTAATAGCCATCGGTCGATGAGCAATCCCTAGTGATTTGAGAAGGAATGTGGAAGTCATTGCAGAATATGTTGTAGACATGACTGCATGGAGGAAATAATTGCACGTTCGTCTTCACGAGACTGAACAGACTTTATTGGAAGCGAGTGTTTCAAGATGATCGGCAAAGGTCAATAGGTCCAAGGTCAACTATCTGAGTAGGCCAAGCCAGTGTTTACTAGAACATATTGTGAACCAAAGGAAGTCCATTGCAAGCAGGTATCATGAATTGAATACCATCAAAGGTCAACTATGAGAGTAGACCAAGCGAGTGTGTAAGAGTACATATTGTGAACAGGTGTAATACAACGCAATCAAAGGCTTAGACTTTGTATTGACACATAGTACGAGGATATCCTCGATAGGGTACAGCTCTGCATCGAGAGCACGACCAAAATTTTGAGAGGCCAGATGACAGACGCGCCTGGGCGGACCATTCTATCTCTCCCAGCGATAATAAAACTCCTTCTCCCATAGACAGAGTGACATTCTTCCTGCCTTGATCCTGGGTAGGATACATCTTGTACCCCTACCCAGAAAACCCCAACCCGAAACATAACCTCCTTTTGGCCTTCTAGTCAGACTCGAAAATAGTGAGTCAGTGAGTGTGTGACAAGATCCGGCAGTTCCGACTTTTGTGATTCTTCCTCGAACGCTCCGAATTAAAGAGCCTTTGCAGATATCCGTACTCTTTCATGCCTAGCATACTGTCCGATGAACGCTTGAAACAACAAATTCTCACAGATGGTGGTGCACAAATAGAACACTCTAGTGTTGACAGAACATGATGGTGGTGGCATAATGGTCATTCTAGTTGGCTATGACTAATTCTCAGATGATAGGACTTAGTAGGTCTCACTAGCCCATTCGTGAGAGTGAGAATATTGAGTCATGTATTGCTGACCAGCGACTGCACCGGGGCTAGGCGTGGGAGGAGCGAAGTGGTTGGGCGCAGCACCAAAGGTCTTCTGGGTTACGCCAAACATGTCGCCTTCTGGAGTGATGGGAGGAGTATAAAGACCGTGTTGAACCATGGATGGGAACTGAGGCTTCTGAGGAGTGGCATAGCTCTGGAAGTATTCGGAACCCGCTGGCTTCACAGTTACTGATGGTGGAGTGAGCTCGTAGGTTGGAGTTAATGGCGTGCTGGTCCGGGCAGCGATGGCGGCCTTTTGAGCGAGGAAGTTTGTCAGGATCCGAGATACACCATTGAAGCGGACCGAGGCGTATTTGCGCGACATAATGAGAGACGGCTCATGGATCTGCTGTAGTAGTTCCATCACGGTAGTGCTGCAAAATTGTGCAGCAAACTCATTGGCACGGGCCTGAGGTCGTCCCAAGATATGTCTGGCAAGCGCGAGCGCCGAAAGGGCGAGAGTCGAAGATCGCTTTGCCACGAAGTCTCTGTGGTAGAGAGCAATTTCTAAAATGTACAAGGTCATGCTCTCAGCCTCGGAGTCGTAGACATTGTCCTTGATAGCCAGACGCATGAAGGAGTCCACAGTAGGATGGCCGATAGCCCAGCCTAGGGTCGACAGCACGTGCCATTCCATCTGCAGGAACATATCATCATCGTAGAGGGAACAGCACATGGACTTCAGTTCTTTAATTGTGGGGACCTTCTCTTTCTTGTCTCCGTATTTGGCAGCGATGAGCAGTGCTGCACAACCAACGAGTTGGTAGTGTCGCTTGTACACGACTCTCTTGGAGCAGTATCGATCGAGGAGGTTGATGGTGAGGAATAGTGTTTCAGGTATAAGTTGAAAAGCCGAGTGGGCTTCCACGAGGAAGTCAAGGAGGTACGGTCTCATGTACCATGCAATTTCTGTTTGGATGTCAATTGCATCAACATCGGGCATGGTCTCAAGGTCCATCTTCAACATATGCTCGAGCATGTCTTGTTGGTATTCTTCGGCATCTCTTCTGGAGAGTTCTGAAGCGATGAGGTGCTGTCGATGCCTTGCAACTTCCTTGGTGTGGTCTGAGGTCTTCATGAGCTGTTGAGTAGGCTCGTCGAAGATCTCGATGATGCCGCTGTCGTACCCACTATCATTGGAGCCGAATGAGGAGATTCTGTTGTAAGCCATGGTTGAGGACTGGTCAAATGGAGTTCAGGTATCGATGAAGGTCGTGTGAAAGAAGGTTGAAGGGACTCTCTGTTACCAGCAGGGCGAAGTTGAGACGACGGATAAAAGTGAATGACAGTCGTATGTAAATTGTAAATGTCAAAAAGGAGTGAACGATCGGATGCAATCAAATGTTGCACGAGACTGGAGGTGGCCAGGAACCAAGTATGATGTTCTTCTAGACTGGGAAGTACCTGGATCGTGCGCAGGAAGGTCAGCCAACCCAATCAGGGAGCAATGAGGTGACATAACGTACCCGAAGGGAGGGAGATGGCACGCGGTTGAGCAATCGTGTTTCCAGGGGTCAGCACGAATGCTTCATTTGGTCGAGGACTGGAATGGGAAGGCAGATTGGTTGCTCGTGCGTAGATGGCTGCGAAGGTCGAATGAACGCCTCCGTCTCGGTAGAGCTTGGAGCCCCTGTGAGGAATGTGGGTTTGAAAGACCCCAGAAAGGATACCAGCTTTGGCGTTCTGAATCTAATTGAGGTCAGTTCTATTGTCAAGAAGAGATAGCTTGGAGCTCTGACCTTGATTCAAAAGCACCTTGACTATTCTAGACTTGTTGAGCTTGCCCTGGTAAGATTGAGGCTAGAGCTAGACAGAAGGGCGGTTGATCTGTTTTGCAGTCAGTCAGTAAAGCGTCCTCTCCAATGTGAGTATGAAGATGAGCATCAGTTCAAAGGAATCCAGATAGGCCAAGCCGGGGCCAGGACAAGTGAGGGCGACGTATCCGGGACCCGTGGATGTAGTTGACCTCCAAGCTCTGGCATAACCTGGATTCCATTCCTTGCAGCGTCGTCGAGGGGTTTGCCCTTCCTCCTACCTCCTTCTTTATTGGAGAGGTTGTGTCATCGTCATACCGTCGAGCTGATATTCTTCCTCTTGCATGGCCTCCTCGAGCTTCACCATCCCTTTCGATCATGACAGGGTCCCCCGATCTCTTTCCCGAACCCCCTCTTAGCGTGCCATCTCTTGACCCTGCCCATCCTGCATCCACTTTGGGCAACGACATCGAAGGGCTACCGGCATGGTTGACAGTATCGAGACGGTTGAGGGCGGCCAGCTGAGGCAGGATTGGGGTCGATCCCAAGGCTTCAGCTCGAGATCTCGGCCGTTGTATCGATGAGGATGAGGGTGAGAGTCACGTTGGTTGAGGCAGAATGTTCTGGCTTCTCCGGAAGAACGATATTTCTCTTGCATGTGCACCATCCTTGTACTCGACCACCAATGCAAGAAGGTAGCTCACCTTTCTTTCCAAAGACCCAACAGACGTCCTTGCAGCTTGCTTCCAAGAAACCTGAGAATGACGCTATCCAGAACGTTCGATCAAACGAAAGCAAATGGACTGCAAGCAGGCTTGATGGTGAAGACCTCGGGCAAGGTTCAGGAGGTAAAGGTGAGAGCTGGGAGGGTATGAGAAAGGAGTCGTGAACATTCGAGATACTCGAGATCAGATCGTGAAGTATCTTTTCGTCCAACGACAGAGAGGGAGGAAGGGAGAGGTATAAGAGACGAGGTCAAAGCCTCATGAGATCCCTGGTGAAAGAACGGTGGTGGAGAGAGGGAGAAGGAGGAGCAGGAGATGGATGGACACTGTCGAGATGAAGTGCAGCAAGACGAGTGGAGAGTGGAGCGTGTGCAAGAGGGTGACAGGAGGAGCGGTCTCGTTGGCGGTGATTGGGTGGTAACAACGAGCTCACAAGCTTGCAAGGATGACAGGGATCCAAGATTCACGGGCGACGACGACGACGTGCAGCGCAAAGCTACCAGACGCCCAGGTGCAAGCAAGCTCCAGCCCAAAGGCAAAATGACAGAAAAGACAGCTCAGCCAGGCGTGAACGAAGCCGTATCATACAGCCCCAATCTGCTTGACCACTTACAAGTTGAAGTTCTGGGCCAGGCCGCATAGGGGTCTCCCCCCATTTGTGACCGCGGTTGTGGCAGATGCTCATTTGCTTGCCGCCTGTCTCTTCGGGCATTGGCCCTTATTGCAACAGCGCGCTGTTCTCCCGCACGGTTGTTCTTCAGGCACGCCTCCAGAGCCTAGAGTGTCTGATGCCCAGACGACAACCACTACCAGCAAGCTCCTGTGACTGCCGACCACCTGTTTCAATCATGGACTTACTGCTCGACGTCCACAACTTCTGTCAAAGCTTTCATAATTTCTTGTCAAACTCTTATGCATCTCATCTGTTCGACCTTATCTATATCATTATTGCACAGCTGAATCGACCACAAGGCCTCGAGTATGATACTTGGATGTTCGTGCTTACCCGTACGAGTACAGTTTGGTCAGGTAATTATTCGTCTGATCGGCTGCTTGTACAGCACATCAGCACTGGTCGCGCGGCTGGTGGCTCGAACAAAACCGCGTCAAGTCGCGTCCATTGGCCCGCTTGGTGGACAGAGTTCCTGGTTTTTACCCGGCCTAATGCAAGCCCATTCTGTGGCCAGTTGCTTGGGGCAAAGATGGGCCAGACGCCTTGAACGAATGTCATTGCGAGCTTAGAAACATCATTGAAGATTCCCCTGCGGATTTGACGTGAGATCTCTACGGCGTCAGCGAACTACCAAATGCTAAAAGCCCCCTTTGCGAGCAGACTTCATTCTTGAGGCCTTTCCGAACTGCAGAGTTGCTGTATCAGAAGCAAACACTTAATGAAGCAGTGCAGGTTACAGGACTTTGTTCGTACCTCCATCCCCTCTCTACTGTGTTGCAGTTCTCTTCGGGAAAAGTCCAAGGACCCCAGGGATCGTGCAACTTGCCCTTACGCGACAGGGATTGACCCCGGCCCACGCCAAAACCCCTGCTGATATCGCTGCTTTTTTTTATGAGATCCAGCGATCTACTATGTACCCCGTTGTTTAATCTTGCTCTACCGACATACCATGAACAAATCCTGATGTACCGGATTACTCGATCGTGCGTCCTAGAATCATGGTCCCCAACCCTCCAGGTGAACTCTGTGGCCAGGTCCGAAAGCTTACCGTGGCGTTCTGCAAGTGGCACATCACTTCTGTCAACTTACAAGCCGTCCTTGCTACTTTGGGATTCCTCATCTCTTTCCTCGGAACAGCCCAAACTCATAGTCTGATACTAGGTTTTGTACTCAAGGGCAATCCTCGTCAGCATTGATCGATACTATGTATATCAAGCAATCATGGCCCGTTGATGATACCGACGAGCTGGCCCAATTTCTGCATCGACTAACGCAGTAGAGCCTGCTGCCGTTGACTACACGATTATACGTGTTGCTCCAGTCATGCTCCAGTCGACTAACAGTGCATCCAGTCCTGCAGTGGCTCAGGTAACCACCGGCGGCTACATGTCCGTGTAACTTGACATGCATGCAGCATCTTCGACCGTTACTCTTCGTGACCATTAAATGGACCAATGCTTGACATCACCAGCGGATGATGCTCGGCATGGCGGCGGGCTCTGCACGTTTGCGGGTTTTCGGACTTTTTTTTTCACATACTCCCCATACTCAATGATACTTATGAATCAATAAGAGTCTCATCATGATGCTGATCTCGTAACGATTATGCCATGAGCCCCAGATCCGCGCACGCGACCAGGTCCAATACACGTCTCGTAGACGAAGAAAAAATGCGTGTTCACGAAACGCGGCGACGGAGATGAGGTTGAGACAACCGAAAATGGGGGCTTGAGGTTTAAACATGGCAGTTCCCAGCAAACGACGTCATATGGTTACTGATCAGTGACTTAAAAAGACTCGGAGCCAGGTATTGCTAAATTGCAGTAATGGCGAGGATGCCGTCCTGACTGCTAAGCCTCTCATCGTCTGTATCATTAGCGATCTGCTCTATCAAATTAACCCAGTCGTACCGAAGTCGAGTTGTACGTATATCTGATCGTCGTGCACGAAATGCCCAGAACAACTTGACTGGAGCTCGAGCCTGTTACTGGCTCTCTGTTGCCGCGTGCCCCTCTCCGGCTGGCTCGAATCCTACCGTCCTACGGATCCCTGACTATGTTTTAGGCCATGTCGGTACTTGTACAGTACGTACTGTAGCAACTTCGGCCAAAACAGAAATCAAACGCTACTGTCCTAGATCTGCGTGCCCTTCGATGGAGTCTTATGACAAAATCTCTCCCGAGCATGGAGCATTGGACGGAGATAAGGTCATAGCACAACAGACGCGCAAAATCTCATGACACGCGACAAACAAATTTGCCAGAAAGTGATTGCAGCTGGAACGCGTGTGGAAGATGGGCTTACCGTAGCTTCGTTTCTAAGCGAGTCCACCCCGGACCAGATCCAACAAGGCTCAAGCAGAGAGGAAGCAGGGGTTCGACGGCGGCAATTTTATCATCCCCGATATGCTACCCGTAGGGCCGTTGCCCCTGGTTTTGTCGTCACCGCAGTACCTTCGACTTGTGCCAGATGAGAACATTTGAAAGTCTGAAAACGGCCACAGAAAGCTGAAACGATCAACGTGGTCGTTGACAGCTCCGTCTTCGGAATTTGATATGCTCTGTGCTCATTCTGCACTTCCACTCACCCAATGATTGAGCTGCACCTCAGGGACACGGCTGGCTTCCGCAGAAGCTTAAAGTCCCTGAGTTTTGAAATAAGAGGAATCGACAGCCCTTCAAACCCGACACTAACCTCTTCGATTCGAGGGCAACCACTCGTTATCGCGGAGAAGTTGCTGTGATCGAGCTTGCTTCGAGACGATTCAGGTCCCTTTCCATCCGTATTGGCTCTGTCACTCTCTCAAAACGGGCACACACAGACAAGTGTACGTACTTAGTACTGAGTATGGACCCGACGACTATTCGACCTCAATATAAGTTGCCGCTTACCACAAGTGTAGAAGTGCATTCTTTGTCACCTTTTAGGAATAGGTCTGGTTGATCTCAACCCTTTGACAGCTTGTCGGAGTGGTGATTTTCGGTTTTGGGGTGAGTTGCTATACGTCCGATCCCAACCTCATCTCGACCGTCAAGCATCCTCGCTTCCGCTGGGAATTTCCCACAGCACCTGTCAACGAGGTCAGGGCATTCATCCGAATCGTCATGCATGACATAATCCTACTCAATGTGGGAGAACTGACGACGATGTCTGCCTCTGTCTACTTGCTCATTGACCATCTATCACTCATGCCAGAGGTAAGTTTTGCATACTCTACACGAAGTCACGACGGCCACGGCTCAATGACTCTGAGATGAGAGTTTCACGGAGTCGACCTCAAGTTCCTCAACCTTTCTATGTTCGTTGCCACCACCACCGTCTGTGCGTGCGTCTTGCCCCGACGCTTGTACAAGTTTCCTGTGGTTTGTACGTGGAACCTCGCTTTGACAGGCGTAGCTCCGGGACGTCGAGCACGAACATCGAAGAGCCAAGCGTGTCTGGACCTCAACGCTGGAGCTCATTCCTTTTTATCGACGGACGCACAGGGTCATTTCCTGTTGCTGAGGTGCTGGGAAACGACTGAGAGATAAGGAGACGACTGAAAAGAGCATGTGTCCATCTCCCTTATTCCATGGAGCAGGACGCACACGCGTTTTGTTATATGTGGCAGTCGTCTAGCGATTATCCGATCTGTTGACATCTCACTAACCCCTTCGCTTGCTGAGCGCTCATTCCCGGGCCCGGCAATTCTTGTGATTGTTTTCAAAAGATAGTAAGTGATCGTCTTGACTGCTCGTATTCTGCAAAAACGTCCTGGTGATGACGGCTTGTTCCGGGAAAATGAGTATTGGCGAAATTGGGCGCCTCCTGGTGTTTGACGGTGCTTTGGAGAACAACAGCAAATGTTCTCGAGATTAGGCAAACAGGCACGGCAAGCAGCCAACGCATGACGAAAACAGAAACAGAAGATATTTTTACAACTTATCTAACTCCATTGATACCCTTGTGGGAGTGATCAACCTCGTCGTCTGCCACTGCTGCTGCTTGGTCTAGCACCGCTAGTGACCGCATGTGCACCCTTCTTGAGAGCCTCATCAGTAGCATATGCAGCGTTGCCCTTCTGACCAACACCCTGAAGACCCGGCTTCGTGTCAACTTCCTTTCCGTGACCAGCGGTCGTCGGACTGTTCCAGTAGTAAAGCACCTGCGCCGCGAGCACAGCGTTCAAGACAAATCCAGCCACAAATCCATACAGAATAAGCTTATCATCCACCTCCTGCAGCGTAGTGAAAATCCGACTCAAGCTGCCAAACAAGTAATTGAACACGGCAAACGCAGACAACTGTCCCGTCCCACCCGTACGCCAGATGGTAAGAATCTGCGGCAATTTGCTAGAGATACCCAACGCTCCAGCAAAGGCTTGCAGGCTCGTCATTTGTTGAGTGCTGACCAGCGTGTCCGAGACGATCAGGGCGTACACCACGCTTCCCACTGCAGCGACAAACGCACCCGCCTGCGCCGTCTTGCCCGAGTACACCAGGATCAAGACGCTAATGACCACATCTTGGATCGCGATCAGACTGGTCTCGCCGTATGTGCTGAACGGGAAGCCGTTGCGGACGTTATACGCCAATGTGATGACGAAGCTTGCTGTTTCCAATAGATAGCTAGTAAAGGACAGGCCCTCGGCCGATTTGGACTGCACTAGCTTGATGATCTGGGGGACTTTGACGATAGCAGACGCGCCGATGATGGCGACGCCCAAAGCTTTGGAGATCGCGAGAGATACGCATTCCGGGTGCGAGACGACGTCCAGGTCGAGAAGGAGCGCGCTGTGGCAGGGATCGCCTAATAGGCCGACGGCGAAGTCATTGATGGGTCCTGGGAGGTTGGAGGTAATGGGCGCGAGGTATGGTTTGAGCGGGTTCAGAACCAGCTCTTGAACTTTGTCCATCTTGCTTGAACCGATGCTTCGGAAGTAAAGGCGAGGGAAGTGTTGGAATTGTGGTTGACCCAATGCTTGCTTCAAGGAATGCTTGATACAAGTACACAAAAAGCGCGTGTCGTTAGGGCCAGGCTGGCCGCAGGACACCCCGCATCACTGACCAGAAAAAGGGGTCGATTCGTCTTGGCAGGAATGTTGCACGTGATGGCTTCAGGGGGTTCAGCCTCGGGGCTACTTCAGCGGAACGTGGACGACAGACTGTGCGTTGCATGAGATTGAGATTGATAGATTGTTCTACATTCTTACACATGCTCATGGGGAATCTTTGACTATGCCTTCAATGACACTGGAGGAGGAAGTTCAGCAACCACCTCGTCTGTAACCGTGAGGTGGTATGTCGCCAGCTGCTCGGCCGTCAGTTTCGATGGTGATTTGACCAGCTTATCCTCGCCATCGGCATATTTTGGAAAGGCAATGACATCCCGTACGCTTGCACGGTCGGTCAACATCGCCATCAAACGATCGAATCCGAGAGCGAACCCTGCATGCGGTGGACACCCACTTTTGAGAGCGTTGAGCAAATGTCGAAAGTCCTCGACACGTTCGTGTGACAATCGCAGGACGTCTCTGAGAATCAGCTCTTGCATCTCAGCATGATGGATACGGCGAGAGCCACCACCCACTTCAACTCCGTTGATTACTAGGTCGTAGTGGTCGCCGATAACACCGAGCGGCTTGTTGATCAGCATTGACAGATCCTGCCCTTGCTTTGGAGCCGTGAAGGGATGATGCGTCGAACAAATTCCTGCCGATCCACCTTGACCTGGCTCAGATTCTTCTGTAGGCGAGAAGAGGGGAAAATCAATGACCCAGAGTGCTGAAAAGCCGGACGGTGCAGGCATTAAGCCTTGAGATACGGCACTTTGCAATAGATCCCGACGTAGATTGCCCAGAATGGTAGATCCGCCTGTGAACGGTGCGTTGGGCCGAGTCTGCATGATTATGATATCTCCGGGCTCGGGCTCAAAGTCCTCTTCGACCTTGAATGCTGCCTCATGACCGAAAGTAGCGAGACCTCGTAGAGGTCTGCGAGGATCGTAAATCGAAACGCCCGGCATGCCATGGGGGTTGTTTGTATATATCCCCGAGGTTGGAGCGTCGAGGAACGTCCTTACAAATTCGGTGCTGGCGCTGGGGTCAGTCCCCTGCATGTCGACCTTGAAGAGCTCAACGATAGGGTCCTCCAATGAGGTCAACATTCGCTTTGTACTGTCTGGCAGCCAGTCATCAATGCGTTGGATCTGAGAGCCCAGGCGAGTGTCTGGCTTATCCGAGCCATATCGGGCCATGACTGTATCGTATGATAGGCGCGGAAAATTCAGGGTCTTTGACTCTGCGTTCTTTGCGCCTGTCGCACTCGGTACATACGTGTCGGCTCCAGTCAGGGGTTGGATGTTTGGTACGTTTGACCAGACGAACTCGCGTACAATCTCTTCAACCACCGCCATGACCTGCTCGGCTCCAGCAAACGACATTTCGAGATCAAGCTGAGTGAACTCAGGCTGCCTATCTGCCCGCAAGTCTTCATCGCGAAAGCATTTGGCGAACTGGAAATAACGAGGCACTCCGGAAGCCATAAGAAGCTGTTTGTATTGCTGAGGACTTTGTGGAAGCGCGTATCCTAATCCTTTCTTCCTAGTTGGGACAATGAATTCTCGTGCTCCTTCTGGCGTGGATTTGAATAAAAGAGGTGTTTCAATCTCATCAAACCCCTTGCTCAGCATACCGTCTCTTATCTTTGTAGCAACTTTGCTCCGTAGACGTATTCGTCGGCGAAGGTCATGGTCGGTCCTGAACTGAAGATTGCGCAGCTCTGGGGGGAAAACAGTGTCACACTTAGCAACAAGGTCAACGGGAAAGGTGTTGAGAGGCTTGATAGAGTCGGCTTGTAGTTCGAGATGTGTGATCAGATTGATCTGCCCGACGAAAGGATCGAGCTTTGCAATTGTGTTGTTCTGTTCCTGCTGCTCCGGTTCCTTCTGAGTTGCAGCACCCTTACTTTGTGCTTGGGTGTTCTTCTTCGGAGGTGCAGCCCGAGGCACGATGGAGCCGATTATCTCAACAGGAGTGTGACCTCTGACGTCTTTCGTATTGTCGGGTTGTTCTCGAGACTCAGGCTTCTGTTTTGAAGAAATAACCTGGATTGCGAGCTCGAGTCGGGGATCCACCAGCTGCAGGAACTCGAACTTCCCAGCAGCCCTTTGTGAAGTGATGTAGCCTCGTATCTTGATACGGCTCGCCTGTTGCGCATCGTTCGAGGACCGGCTGGGTTCGATCTTCGACAGGTTATCCCATGTGGTGGCATCAGTGGCAGAGAGAGAACTGCGCTCAAAGTGTCTCAGGCATTCAAGTTGCCCCTGCGTCAGACCAGTATCCTGCGATGTATCGGTAGTCTGCCCTGTCGTTCTCTGACCCTGAGGAGACTTCTCCCCAGTACGCTGCCCAGCAGTGGTGCTCGAATGTCGGATGCGGAGACAGGATTGACTGGGAACCCGTCCTGACTGCAAGTGCTGTGGTTGAACATGGCCACGCACGTATCTAGAGATTTCAATGTAGCTTTCCCGCAGTCGACGAGACCGTGCCGACCGGGAGAGAAGCATGTCCTGCTTTGAGAAGGCCAAGGACGCTGATTGTGAGAAGTTGTGCCAGAGACGTTGCCCGCATTGTACATAGTACCAGGTCAACTTTTTTGAGGAGCGCAGCCTGTCGCGTCGGCGTTTGCGCTCACAAAGTGCCGACGGGTCGCCCGCTCTCCGCACTACAAATTCCTCGCTGCGGTTCCTCAACTTAGTTTTCTTTTTCTTCATCCTTCCAAGTTTTGAAAATGTGAGCGTTGTCCTTCAAACGATCGCGCAGAATTGTACTGACTGTCTCCCAGATGATGAAAGCCTAGTGTGTATCCTATGATTTGTCTCTGCCCTGAAATCAGCAAGCTCTCTCTTCGGAGCTCAAGTGGCCTGTTGATTGACGGGCTTGAGACTATGATATAGGCGTTCGGCACAACCCATCTTGTTACATTTACGGACGCGATGAAGGCATCTCTGACCCCAAAGTTTGGAAGGATATCATACAATTTTACTTTGCTGTGTCTGACAGCCATGTGTCGATGAACATGAGACAGTGTTTCTGTCTGGCATCGGCCACTTCATCTGGCTGATACGGTCGGAATGCCCTCGTACTTCTCTTCCATGAACGATGTCCAGGCCGCGAGAGCAGCTTTCATTTCAGCCTCCGATCCGCCAAACGCTACCCGGATATACCCCCGAAACTTCTGGCTGTCACCGAAGCACTTGCTCGCTGGACAGACGAGCAGGCCTGTGTGTTCTAAAAGGGCCAAGCAGAATGCTTCATCATCAACAGGCTTACCCATCTTGTGAAATTTGAGCATCGCTGTCGTGCCAGCAAGAGGCCTCACCCACGAACAGGCCCAACTGTGTTCCTCGATGAATCCTTGAAGAAGATCCAGGTTCGTTCGACATAAGGTAATATTCCTCCCTAACAACGCATGAATGCATCTGTCGCTTGTGGCTTCTGCCGCCACAGCTTCGTCAACTTTGGACGCTGCGAGCGAAGCATAGACTATGCTCCTTGCGCAAGCATCCAAGATATCTAGGTCTTTTGAGGCAACCCATCCTGCTTTGATGCCGGCCAAGCTGTATGCTTTGCTCGTGGTTCCAGTTACAATTACCCGCCTGTATCCCATATTGATTGTCGAAGGCGGGAAGTCGGCACTGGATGGCGATATTGAATGAAACAGGGGCCTATAGCTCTCGTCCGCCAGGACCATGATTCCTTTCTCTTCCGCAATCTCGACCAGGGCTTCGAGCGTTGGTTTCGACACGATTGCGCCTGTCGGATCGCAGGGACTTTGGATAACAATCATCTTTGTGTTGTCTTTGATCATCTGCTTAAGCTCCTCGAGATCGATCTGCCACTTTTTTGCCAGCTCAGTTGTCCATAGCGTTACGTCTGCTCCTGAGGACTTCGGGATTTTGTAGAGTAGTTCGTCGACCGGATGCTGGCAGATGACGTGGTCTCCAGGAGCCAGAAGGGCTGAAAATACCGCATAGTTCGAGGCGCCAGCCCCGTTGGTGATCAGTATATTCTCCTGCGAAACTCCTGCAGAGCGAGCCGAGTAGAGATTCGCCAGATTTCTCCGCAACTCGAGGTTGTTTGAGGGGGCTTCATTTTGCTCGAGACCGAGTGTATTCAATGCTAAACGTTCCTCAGATTCCTTCCTGCCCTCGGATATATCGACCAAGCCGGACACAGATATGGAAAAGACGCCTGATGAGCATAGGTCATGTTTCGCTGAAGGCTGGTGCTTTTCCGCCCACTGGAATGGTCAGTTTGTGAGCGTATATGGGTTTGGGTCGTGCTGCACAATTCACTGTACCTCAATCGATTCCAATGGAGGATATTTCGTAGCCATACTTGCCTGCTTCGACCACTCTACACTGAGGTGAGCGAAATGCAAGACAATGTGATACGGACACACACTAAAGACACTGAAGATTCATCGTCAAACGCCTCGGTTGTGCGGAGACATTGGTCTGATGATCAGCCAGGCACAGGCCTTCAGTGGTTGGTCGATGCTCGTATCTCGTGTTCTTCGAGATTCGTTCAGATGACGACCGCAGAGTTTGGCTGCGACGAATTGGAAGCTCGATTTCCAGATCCAGTTTCGGCGGCAGCAGACCATCTCCCCCGCTTGCGTTCATTCGCCTGCGCATGCTTCGTATCATTTTAACTGCCGCCTGTACTCCGGTATATCGCAATCATTTGCCCATTTGCTTCTGGTGTGATACTTATCTCTGCATTGCACTCTCCGCGTTCTGGGTCGCGGGTTGTTTCTGGCATCGTTAGGTAACCTGGACGACGCTCCAGACCGCCAGTACCTCTGCCTTCTGTTACCTGCGTTTCACAGCTTGCTGGCAAGCTCTCGAATGACAGGCACCGGCCACAACTAATCGACGCCCTGCACGTGCGAAGTCACCAAAAGATCTTCCTCATGCGGCTCCATGGCCTTGCCCCGGCCGTCCTACTCGTCGGCTACGCCCTGTTGGCGGCAGCTTATGACAATGATACCTCGCCAGCCCTGATACAAGAACCGTTTTACCAGCTGGCAGATGGCTGCCCGCCATGTCCACGCTGTTTCGATTGCCACTACGATGAGTTCAAATGTATGCAGTATGCGAACTGCAGCAACACCAATGGCAAATGTGTCTGTCCGCCAGGGTTTGGAGGAGACGATTGCGCAGAGCCATTGTGTGGATCACTGGCGGACGGCAAGAACAGATCACCGCGCAAAGGGGATACGTGCGACTGCAAAGAGGGATGGGAGGGCGTCAATTGCAACGTCTGCACTTCCGATAATGCTTGCAACGCCCTAATGCCTTTGGGCCAAGGTGGCACATGCTACAAGCAGGGAATTGTTGTGCATGAAAACTTTCAGATGTGTAATGTCACCAATAAAGCCATCCTGGATCAGATCGAACCCAGGATACCGCAAGTCACCTTCTCATGTAATGCGGATCAAGCAACCTGTAACTTCCAGTTCTGGGTCGATCAGAAAGAGTCTTTCTACTGCGCTCTGGACAACTGCACCTCGGAAGCGCACGACACCAACGTCCGCAACAGCACCAAATATACATGTGAGACCGTCAAATGCTCATGTATTGCGGATCGATTCCTATGTGGAGAGGATGGCTCAGTCAACATTGACGAGTTTCTTGAACAGGAGATCAAAGGGCCAGCGTCTTTTTACACGCAGCGCACATACGGCGGAAGCTCGAAGGACGGGAGCAGGTTTGAGGAACCCGCTATGAACAACCTGATATCCATGATCTTCGGCGACGAGTATATCTCTCTCAACTGTCGAGGTGGAGAGTGTCTGTACGAAACAGATGTGCCGGGATACTCGCGACCGGTCAAGGAAATCAACACGCCGCTCATTGCTGGAGTCATTGCCGGCTGTGCTCTTTTTGTTGTCGCGGTGATCCTGATATCATGGTATCTATCGCATAGAGCGGCATATCGGCGATGGGGCGCCATCCGTTTAGGTGATGGATCAGACGAAGATGCGGCAAGGGCAATGATCAACCATACTCCCATGCCATTGCAATTTGAGAATCTGTCTTACAATCTCAAGGGCAAAGAAATCATTTCCGGCATATCAGGAATTGCTCACCCTGGGCAAGTAACAGCAATCATGGGCGCTTCTGGGGCAGGCAAGTCCACATTCTTGGACATTCTGGCACGCAAAAACAAGCGAGGAATTGTCCTGGGCAACATGTACGTCAACGGTGAGAAAATTCTCGACACTGAATATCGCAATGTTATTGGCTACGTCGACCAAGAAGATTCTTTACTGCCGACACTGACAGTACACGAGACGATTCAGACCAGCGCGCTGTTGAGGTTGCCAGCCGATATGGGTTTAGCTGTGAAAGAGCAGCGAGTTATTGAGGTGATGCAACAGCTCGGCATCTACCACATCAAGGACCAGTTGATCGGTTCAGAAGAGGGCAACGGGCGAGGGATTTCAGGCGGTGAGAAACGACGAGTTGGCATAGCTTGTGAGCTTGTCACCAGCCCCAGTATTCTGTTCCTGGACGAACCCACGAGTGGTCTAGATGCTTTCAACGCGTTCAATGTGGTGGAGTGTCTGGTGACTCTGGCCAAGACATACAATAGGACTGTCATCTTCACGATTCATCAGCCTCGGTCGAACATTGTTGCCCTGTTTGACCAGCTCATTCTCCTTGCAAAGGGCAGAACCGTCTACTCAGGGCCATTTTCGAGTTGTCAGGCGTATTTCGATCACATCGGCTATACTTGCCCACCAGGCTTCAACATTGCGGATTATCTTGTGGATCTGACCATGCATGCAAGTCTTCCACGCTCCCCGATATTCGAGGACGCTCCCAAGGATTTCCCTGAACGGGACGGCGATAGCAGCACCAGAGCTGTGAAGTCAATAGCCAGCGTTTCGAACGTCAGTATGGACAGCCCGCACGAAGCTCCTACACGCATCAAGCCGAAAAGGCGCGTTTCCTTGAAGCAGAAACAAGATCGCCAATTGTTCACGCGCAAGAACACGGGCCAGGATACGCCGCCTACGCCGAAAACCGACGATGAGGATACCATTGTTAGCAAAGCAACGGGCAGCATGCGAAGCTGGTTGCCACTGTCAAGGCGTGATGGATCCAACCCACCACAAGTTTTGGACGATTTGGACGATTTACCGCCGGATGCTAATACCGACCTCGACATACTTGTATCGAACTTCAAGGACTCTGACATAGCGGAGACCACTCACGACGAGATTTTCACCTCGATCCAGGCAGCCTCTTCGGCCAATGGCCACACTGCAGAAAATGGCGAGAACGAAGCTGTCATGGGATCTATCAAGGGCTTCCGTCGCGTCAGCCTGCCTCGACAATTCCTCATCTTGTCAAGACGCACGTGGCGAAATCTTTACCGCAATCCTATTTTGATGTTGACCCATTATGCTGTTGCCATTCTTCTGGCGGTGCTTTCTGGTTGGCTGTTCTATGGCATCACAGACGACATTGGGGGATTCCAGAACCGACTGGGTCTATTCTTCTTCCTTCTTGCCCTCTTCGGCTTTAGCACACTTACCAGCCTGAACGTGTTCAGCTCCGAACGGTTGATCTTCGTTCGAGAAAGAGCGAACGGGTACTATTCACCCATCACGTATTTCCTTTCGAAAGTCATTTTCGACATTGTCCCTCTAAGGCTGATACCTCCTATCATCATGGGCATCATCATCTACCCAATGTCGGGTCTATTGCCTAAATGGGGCACCTTCTTCACATTCATCCTGATTTTGGTCCTCTTCAACCTGGCTGCCGCTGCGATTTGTTTGACCATTGGAATCATCTTCAAGGATGGAGCGGTGGCCAATCTCATTGGTAGCTTGGTCATGCTTTTCAGTCTGCTGTTCGCCGGTCTATTGCTCAATCTCAACCATGACTCTACTCAGACGGCGATACAATGGTTACAGAGGGTAAGAACACAAGCCTTGTTTTCTTCCACGTTACTAACTCTTGATGCAGTTGTCCATATTCCATTACGGCTACGAAGCATTGATTGTCAACGAGGTTGCCAAGTTACGATTGAAGGACCACCGATATGGGCTTGACATTGAAGTGCCTGGAGCAAGCATTCTCAGTGCATTTGGCTTCGACAACTTGGCTTTGTGGGGCGATGTTATTGGGCTTGGAGTGTTTGCTGGAGCGTTTATCATTATCGCATACGGGGCCATGCACGTATTGCTTGTTGAAAAGAGGTAAGAACAATCGCTCAAGAGGGAGGTGTATGCATGGTTCGTTCACGCATTGCATTATATGGAGTACATAGACGATTACGCCTTAGGTCAAGAGGCACGAACTAATACTAATGATGCTTTGCACCTACGCTATCATGTCACGAAGCGCTTCTCATCTGGAATCATCTCATTTCGCACCGGGCCATATCGGGGTCGAGTGCCTGGAGATGACCGATCTCGGAGAAGCTTTACGAACGAAATGCGGGGAGTCGGTTCGTCGGCTTCATTGGCCGTCACATATATCTTTCTCCAAGGTACGAGTACATACTTGAATACATTTGCATATCTTTCGACTCTTTCTGCTGTGTCGACACTTGCACCTATCCGGATAGCGTGCCGTGATCTACTGGGCTACTGCAAACGGCGGCTTCAACAGCAACATCACTGATCCTGGGACGGTACCTGACAGAGCCTCGATCGGCTGAGAGCGATCATGGCAACGCCTATTCGCTTCTGTCCGCGCTGCACACGTTTAACTATCATCACCGATTTCCGAATCAGCAACCATCGCAGTTTTTCCTCTTCGGCTCGAGCTTCGAGATCTGCCGATCCAAAAGTAATAGCAGAGGCTTTCCTAAGCAAATTTTCCAAGGGTCAGACCTTTGTACGAAAGCAGCTACTAGATGCAAACCAGCTACGACTCTTTTCGCTGACACTAAATCGGGCACATCTATGGCCCAGCTCGGTGTCTTCATCGACAGAAATCCTGGAAGAATCTGAGCCTGTCGCTGGCACTCCTCTTCCACCATACTATCATCTTGCCTATCTTACCCCTGCCCAGCTACCTGGGACTCTGGGACTGGATGGAACCGATGCTTCTTTCAATCCGGATGAGCCATTTACCAGACGGATGTGGGCTGGTGGATCGTCTCACTGGCCTGGAGCTGACCCGAGTGCGACTACTCAATCACTGTTGAGGGTAGGAGATACTGTCACAGAAGTCACCAAAGTCTTGAGCTGCGAACCCAAAGTCATTGGCAAAACGGGTGAAGACATGCTGGTGGTGAGAGTGGAGAAGGAATTCCGAAACAGCAAAGATGAGCTTTGCGTGCTGGACCGGCGTAACTGGGTCTTCCGCACAGCATTGGATCCATCAAAGCCCGCGCCGATAGTGCCAAAACCGGCTGAATTGTCACAGGCACAGCTCGATGAGGCTGCTAAGGGCAAACTTGTCCAAGAGTACAATCGCAGCGAGGCGACACTATTTCGGATGTCCGCCTTGACCTTCAATGCTCATCGGATCCACTACGACAAGCCATGGGCGACCGAGGTGGAAGGACATAGAAATGTGGTTGTTCACGGACCCTTAAATCTCATTGCCATGCTTGACTTCTGGAGGGACAACACCAAACAAGCAGGAAAATCGTCTCAAGATGGAGTGTATTACCCTAAAGAGATCGAGTATCGAGCCACAAGCCCGGTGTATGCACGAGAGCTATATCGAGTGATGATGGATCAGGATGCAGTGAACCAGACGAAGGCCGAGATCAAGGTCGTCAGCAATGATGGAACCACGTGCATGAAAGGGACTGTGACTGGATGGTAGTCTTCTTGGTCAGCTTGCTATCATCGAGAGGACCTTTATTGGCCTGAGGCAGGCTTCGCCAATTTGGGAGCGGAGTGTGTAGGATACTTCAGTGGCTGAGACTTGGGAAGATCTCACTGACGGTGTTTCCGGGGCCGGATCTGTTGGGGAAACAATAGTCGACTCACACCGCTTTTATATGTTGAGATATACGAACAGAAAGAGACTAAGAGTCTTCAAGATGCATGGTGAGACACACAGAAACGTCGTCTTACCAGGATCCTGCAGCAAGGCTTCGGCTTCGGCTTCCTTAACTTACCCTTTTTACCCCATGTTCCGTGTTCCCCTTTCTAATTTTAAGCTCCAGTTTCTCTTTCCCCGCGTCCCTTTGACTCAAACATTCTCCGCTGCCTCCATCTTGGTTTCTGCTCGAGTCCTGCGGCTCTGCTCCTTCTCTTCCATAATCCCTTCTCCCTGCCCAGCTTTCTTCACGATCGGTCCGTCAACCCGAGGCCGGACCTTCGAGATACGCGCATCGATCTCAAGCGCTATAGTTGACCAGAACACGACGTCGACGTAGAACCGAAACCCCATCTCCGGCAGACACTCCATTGTGCATACCGCTGCCCATAGTCTTTGGAAACCTCTCGTGCCTCCTTACTCGCCTCCCTGCGCTGCGCAAACCCGCCAAGCCATGTCGCTGGCGGTCGCCTTGACGACGCAATGATCCCTCAGACTCCCTCCGTCACGGTTCCCGCAGACAGCTCTGCCCAGCAACTTCTACGCCTCGGGAAGCCTTTCGTCGAGTTCCCGAGGTTCAGCATCCTCGATCTGCTGAACGAGAAAGACCATAAAGGCAGTCCTGTACCATTCTCCGAATGGCTCACGAAACGGCTACAACTGGGCCAGCCTTTCGTCATTGCCGATTTTGAAAAGCTAGATACATGGCCGGCTCCGAGCTCTCACGATGGACATCAACCTGGATTTGGTATCGAGAGGCTGATCGAGTTGAGTACCAAGAAAAACATACCAATCAGGAACTGCAGCACTGGCCGCGACCTGTCGTTTACTCTCAAAAAGTTCGCCGACAGCGCAAGGCAGTCCTTTCCCGAGTTCCAGAATCTATATGCACGAGACCTACAATGTCCTCCAGAATGGCTGGAACAGTGTCGCAAGATTCTACCTACTGAAGTCCAGTGGGGTGGACGTCTGGACCTATTCCAATGGTTGCCACAGTGTGCACGAAGCGAGGTCATGATGGCCTATGTTGGCAGTGAAGGGAGCAGTTCCGGGTTCCACCGCTGCTTTTCAAGCACTGTCGCTCTCAACTTGCTGGTCGAGTCGGACGATCGACCAGTCGTGTGCATTGGTACAGACTTTGCCTCGCAGAAGAAGTATGACTCTTTCATGTCGGCTCGAGGCGTCTCTCCTCATTTAGACTGGCTCAATCTGAGGACGGACGAGCTTCTAACTGCTGACTTCCCGCTATATGCCTATGATCAACGAGTAGGAGACCTCGTTATCTTCCCACCAGCCACCGCCCATCAGATCTGGAATCCGTCCACGCTTTCGGCCAAACTGGTGTGGAACATACTGCACCCGTTATCCCTCGAAGTCGGCTTTCAATATGTACAGGCGCCTTTTAATCGTTTATGCCACCCCGATGTAGCTCGGACAAACCTATCGCTCGCCTGTGCCATGCTCTCTTTGCTGCAAGACAACCAGCGGATCACCACATCGTTACCGCTGCCGCCGGATTTACCTTTACTCTCCCGCTTATTCAAGCAAATGGTTCACGACGAGTCTGTTGAATCCCGGCTTGTCACTGATATCACTTTGGTACCTATACAACCGGGGACAATTGCAACGTGCAATTTTTGCAGTACCGCGATCTGGAATCGCCATGTGCGTTGTACGGTCTGTGCAGATTTTGACCTTTGCCTGCTTTGCTACTTGAACGGTCGGTCTTGTGAGCATTCACAATCCTATGCATGGGCGGAACTCGTCCCTCCCGAGCAATGTACGAGAGTCCTCAATCGGGCGAGGGAAATACTTGGCTTTCAGCCCGAAGAGCCACCTCTTCCGGATCGGTGCAAGACTTTGGGGACCGCCGTTAATGATCTTATGCGGGCGAGATTGTCAGGATCCACCAAACTCTGCCATCTCTGTCGGATCGACCATCAGGAATGGAAAGGTCATAGGTGCGACAAATGCAGTGCCTTTTTCTGCTACCGCGGTCTCTTCCGACATTTTGACCAATATCCTGCGGATGTGCTGCGGCACAAAGGCATCTGGATATGCCCAAAGTGTGGAGAAACCTGCAACTGCCGTTGCTGCCACTTTGTCACAGCATATGTGAAGAGTGAGAAACCTGCCAGCAAAAGGAGAGTCAAAGCAGGCGATGCGAGAGGTAAAGTCATGGGTTTCGCCGATAATGTCTTTGACCAGAAGCGTAATCGACGGGAAAGCAACGGGAACACCAATCTTCCTGGCGTTGCTCAGATCACGGGCAAGAAGCGAACGATATCCTCGTCTGGTGATCCCGGTCCCGCAACTCCTTTGAGGAAGATTGAACTACCCACGCCCGAACCAGACTTCTCAACACATTCAAGGCTTTTGTCTAGAGAAGGTTCTGACCTTGTGATGGATGCATTCGGGACTGTCAACGGCAATCTCCCGACCTTGCTTCCAAGTATGAAGACTTTCCCAGATGGACCCGACTTTATGGTAAGTCCCTCTGAGGAGCGGCATTCCAGAGTCAGCAGTTCTCCAGGCATTGCATCACTTGCATCAACCGGGATAGGTGGTGGACGAATACAGAATAATACACTACCGCCGATACTGGGCCATACCACACAGAACGGCATATTCATACCGCAGAACATGCTGAGCACTCCGAGCACGGCTCACACGACGTCACCGACCAAGGCCGATGTTCTGGCGGCGACGGCGAACAAGGTTCCGACCGCTGCACTCGACGCATCGATCGTCGAATTGGAGACACAGCTTCGAAATCTCAAGAAGTATGAAGAGGAGTTTATTGCGTTGAACCTCGAAGATAGTCGGAAGATGCTCGCGACGCACGTTGCTGAGTTGGAGAATCAGATCAAGACTAAGCGACGGGAGAAGAGCCTCCTTCTGATCGAGAGGCTGAAAAGGGAAGGATTCGGTGGGTTGGCAGCGTCTGTGGGGAAAGAGGTCGGTTTGGGAATTGATGCTGTTGCGAATGGCAATGCTTGAGGAGTTGAACATACTTTATGTGAGGATGGTACTTGTTGATGACATGACGCATAATCTTTACGTCGAGCTAGGATGAGAGTACGGCGTTTTATACCCTGTACGAAGGACATATGGGTTAGGTATAGTCAATGCCAAATGCAGACTTTGGCGGCATCGGTTTGCTGATTATGGCGCAGCATGAGTATGGTGCCAAGTATGGTGTCCGCATACGTTCCGTAGCTTTCTCGTATAGGCGGAGGAAATGTGCCTAGCAATATGGCAACCCAGCAGGCGAGGCAGTGTGATAGTGCTGCGACACTCAAGCGGGTTGCGATATCAGTGTACCAAATGCATTTCCATTGCTAGTCCAGTCTCTTTTGGGCGGCCACAATCGTCCAACCTGGTTGCCCCAGCTGCCAAGCGTTGACAACCAGAATGGTCTAGCCTCAAGTTCAGCAAATCCACGTGTTTTATTTGCTTCTCCTTCAACGTTGACGGTGACCTCTTCTCACATTCGTCGTCATATTAAGGCATCGATCGAGCAGCTTTCCTGGCCTCATCGACCAGCCGACTCCTGCTTCTCAAACATGCCAGTCCCCCCTTCTCGGTGCTGTTGGTGTTCCTGATTGCTCATCTATCCGGCTTAGCCCCGTTTTGCGGCTGGTTTGGGCATTCAGCTAGAGCCTTCACCACGTCCCGTAAGCCTCCTCTGAGGTGAGACTGCGACCATTACTATTTCAAATTGTGCGACTATACTCAGCGAGTACCTCGAAACAACACAGATCCAGAGGTGACGACGGCGCGACCGAAAACACCTCTATCTAATCAGGTATTTGAAGTCTTCCTCAATCAGCTCCAGTTCGAAAATCTGCGGCGGAACTCTGTGGCGAAATCACTGACAGGTCTCGCATCCCAGTCCCTAGTATCAGTAGCCATCACGACCGAGGCCTGTACAACTTACATGACCGTTGCGACGGCACTTTCAGTCCCAAACAATTGTGAAAGCTCTTCACTCAACGAAACGTTACGATTTTGTGTGGTTAGCCTATCAAAAACGTTTCCGGTCTTAGTCCTAACGCGCCTGTCTAGGAATCTCACCCTCCTGCAGCGACTTCCAGCCGCCTGCCTTTTTTCCATCTCTTCTTCAACTTTTCTTGAATTTACTTACTTCTACACCCGTCTCATCACCAACATTGAAGCAGACAATACATCATCAACAGTCAACCCGACAACACATCATCATCAGTCAAGCCGACAATACCTCATCACTAGTCAAGCAGGCGAAACACTATGACTATCCGAGCAGTAAGTAACATTTTAAGCCTCAAGCAATGATGACGCGTCTAACGGGCGGTACCCGATATAGTCGAAAGTGTCCAAGCCCAGCAAGAGAGCTAAGCCGAAGAAGACGTCGAAATCGAAGAAGACCGAAAACTCAACGGAGAACCCCGAAGCAGTCAAGGTCACGATCGGTCCTGATTTTAGCGACGTACCGCCATTACCTCTCAAGCAAAAGATCGAGCAATTGGAAGACTATCTCAAAGACCCGGAGTGTGCCTATCAGACCATCAACCTGAACTTTCTGATCGAGTACTACAAGAATGGCGGAAGGCCTCCACCAACGGGGCACACTTGGTACATTCTGGATGGCAGCAATATTGTGAAGGAGCTCCCAAAGACAACCGGTCCTCCATGGGTCATATGGGCTGAACATGGCTTCCTCCTCGAGACCTCATCGTCTCCCGGTCCTACAACTCGATCGCATACTAAGCAAGTTCTCAGTCAATCCCAAGCGCTATCAGCGAACACCGATGTCTTTCCGAAAAGAGGTCCTCTTTCTCAATTCCGTCTAACTACAGCAATAGCTGGATAGTATCCGGGACAAACTACATTCCATCAGGTAAGGCACTCCAAAATCATTTGGATCCTATACTGAGTATACTAGCTCTTCGCCTGTATCCGCATGTCTCCAGCCTTGGGGGGGTAACCCGAACGCAGTAGTGCGGATAGCCATGATCAACGACACTGGCTCGGATAGGTATCGTGGCTTTTTTGGGTCTATGGGTCTCAACACTGCCAATGGGCTAGCCCGGCGCATCCAAATTATTCTTGATATGCAGATAACGACAGCGGATGGGACTACCCTGACCCCATGGTTTCAAGAACTTTGTGTGTCGCTCCTCATTCTCCTGGTATTGCAAATTATCGACTCTCTGGCAAGGGTATGCGAGAACACTTCTATTTTGCGACCGCACCTGGCAACAACCATCTACACTATGGGACGACGAAGAATGGTGTTGTACGAGCTCTTCCTGTTGTTTGAATGGTGAACGGGAGCTTCACCTCTGGTGGTTGGTGACTTGAAGTCTGCCTGATAGGTTCCCAGGTTGTTCAATTGAAGAAAGCATATTGGTTCATTTCCCGTGGTTGTCCCACTGTTGCTTCTGAGCGTAGACGTGACGGAAGTTCGCCCACGTGTCTCTCTTGGGATCGTTCAGGACTGTGTGATAATCCACCTGCAACTTGGAGCTGCTCACACTTGCACGAAACATGCTCTCAGGGTCCCAAGACCCCACGGATCAGACAACTCCATCGATCAGAATTTGACGAACGCCACTGCCACAGTACAGACAGCATTTTTACTGCATACCTGCCTTGATTTGCTCGACCTGGGGAGCCCACCTGCTGTATTCATCAGTCTTGGCACTTGCAAACTTCGTTCAAATCGACCAGCCGATGCAGGACCCGCACAAATAGTGGTTCATGAGCGTCTGTTCAAGAATGAGAGCATGAGACGAAAACTGATGCTATCAAGATGGGTTTGGGAAGACCTCGAAACAACTCAGACCCAGACGTCACGACAGCGCGGTCCAAACTACCTCTATCCACTTGGGCTCTTCCTCAATCATCTCCAATTCGAGACTCGGCAGCAATATCAGTAACATGTCTCGCATCTCAGTCCCTAGTACGATCGGCCATCAGTGCTCCTCAGACTGGTAAGGTCGAAGCTCCCAGAGATGAAAAGACACCACAAATCAGACAGTCTCCATCGATCAGACTATTCAACACTATCAAACACCGAATGGTACGCTCTGGCATTGATGTCTACCATCTTAACGAGACCCGCCTTTCCTGGTGCCTTCCGCGCAATGACGACCCACACGTTGACAGCATCGTCACAAAACTCCTCGAGTCACCCTTGATGGTTTCGGATGACGAGCTGAAAACAATCCTTGCCCTCGAGACCGACAAATGGACCACCAAAAGGAAAAGAGTTGGAGCACATCACTTCTACATTCGCTCCTACCCCATGGAAGTGTCGCTCTTCATAAAACTTTCCCAACTTCTTCTCGATAATGCTTGTCCAATCCAGAAATTGAAAGGTTGGTTGAACACCGCACGGGGCTTGCAAGACAATGACAAAATCTGGTTGAGGTATTGCGGGACCACTGAAGAATCTGTCTGGGAGCGTCAAGCCAAAGTCTACCATCAGAGAGACTCGTTCTACAGTTCCTTCTTTGGACTACTGGACTCCATGTTCCCGGAAAACATCCGTGATTCCAGCACGTATGAGTTATCGAAAGCTCGGATCGACTTTGACCTACATGAGCAGCATATCAATCTTAGAGAGCAAGCTCTGATAGCTCTTTTCGGGGTCGAAAATCTACTGAACGGACAGACTGGCGGCAAGGGGTGTACGCTCTCGCTAGATCTCGAGGACCAACAGTGGTTCAATCAACTACGAACGCAGACGTACTCCTTATTGATGTATCAGACATCACCAGTCTCGGAGTCTATGAGGAAACATATCCAAGTATATGTGCAAGATGTGAAGGCCTACAGAGACGAGGCTGGTCATATGTCCGGTAAAGCTGGTTCAGCACTGAGCAAAGACGTCAGCCGCATGATGGCTCGCCAATCACTGGCCCGGACAGCGACTATCAGTGGACGAGTGCCTTCTGCAATCATCGGCATTGATCCGATCGAGGAGAGCTTCAAGCAGGGACAAGGCTTCTTTGAGAACACCGGTTCGGCCAGCACGAATGTCGTTCGTACTATCATCAATCAGATGGTTGCGTGGGAACTCGATTTACGTCAGGTGGATCATACTCGAGTCCTAGGAGTGCATTCGCAGAACTTATTGCCGTTCACGGATATGTTTCCATGGCCAAAGAAAGAAGACAAGAACATTACGGCAGCTATGGAACTAACGGCAACATTCGTACAAGCACTGAATCCTATCAACATGTTGACATTTTCTCACATGGCAAGTCATTCTTTACTCACTGTCATAGCGTTTAAACTAACAATATGGTAGGTCTCAAGTGCAGCCGCGACTGGTTTCCAACATGCGAATGGAATCGACGTTCTCGAGTTCGTGGATACGGTCGGAGTTCCTCGGCTAGTCGAGTCAGGCGACCAACTCGAGCCGCTTGTTCATGTTCTCATCCCCAGCTATCATCCTGGCTCTCTGCAGCAGTACTCCGCCAATGTTCAACCTTTTCTGGCCAAGATCATTACGTACACTTTCTTTATATGGTGGATGGGTATTCACCATGCGATGACGATTTCTCGGACTCCTATGCCGGCTGCAAGACTCAGCGAAAGTGTTATGAAGGCTATAACTGAAGTCTGTGGCCCAGAAACAGCGTTTAGAAGACGATTCCGGACGCTGAAAACTCAGTTCCGTGCTGTTTTAAGGGAGCACCAACAACAGCTTAGGATGCTCAGAAGCATGATCATACCCCGACTTCCGCAAGAAAGATTGAATCACGGCTAGAGAAAGCGGTAGCTGGACAGGAGGTTGGTCGTGGCATGCCCAAACCGGTCCACACGCTAACGGGGACTGATACACATTCGCTGGAACTGCGTTCTTTGTCGTATCTTTGGGAGCGAGCCGAACAGCAACTGATTGTTCTGGTGAAGTCCGGTCGAGATTCAGGCATAATCCGTGGAAAGAATGTCATCAGGAAGCAGCTTGCTGAGCTCGCCCACTTGCTCGCCATCTTTTCCGGATCCAGCATAAGTGCTGACGAGGTCATGGCTGATGACCGAAAGTTAAAGGCCGCTGTCAAGTCCCTGAGAACCTGGCTTGATAAGAAAGTATACTATTTCCAGGCAAGTACAGAGCGAGATATCAGCACCGCATACAGGCAATATTTTGCTCTGATCGAAGAGAGGGAACTCGATCTCGCGAATGCTCTCAGATGGGAGCAGTTCCATCATAAGCCGGCCGCCATCCCCTGGGGCCGATATCCTTCCGGCATAGAAATTCACGTCCGAGCAGGAAAGGGCCATAACAAACGCGCACTACTATTATTCTCCTGGACCAATGCGGATGGCGAAGCTTGCAATCTTTCCAAAGTGTTCCTGCCTGACGGCACACAGTCACTTTTCGATGCAGATGCCAGAAAGATCTTCTTCTGTGCCGAGCATATTGAGATACGAGATGGAGCTGGTCATATTCTTGGAAGAGGCCGACATCAGAACATTACGGTGACTCGAGATGAAATGCTGGCCAAATTATCGGAGGACCCACGCAAAGAGGATTTCATTGCTTTCTGGGACCACCAGCTTGAGACAACAAAGGTGAATCCGAGTCGAAGTCCGACGTTCGACGACTCCCAAAAGTTCACGCCACGTCGTCCTACGGATTCTCACTTACGAGCGAAGAGAGTGGTACAAAGCGACTCCGACACGGTTTCCAGTTTGGATCCATCAAATACGATTGGTTTGAGGTCAGGAACGTCTTTAGGCTCCGTGTCTCCGAATACCCGTGCCACCAAAAGCTACAAGCCGTTATCCAAAAAAGCTTCTCGCAATGCAAGTCCTACAAAGCGCTCGTTGCGAGCAGATCCGTCAGCAGCGCAGCCATCCAAACTCGAATCCGGCACGAACAACATTCCGTCCAGATTCAGCAGTCGTAAGGCAGCTGAGCCTCCCTCCAACGTGGAAACGGCCCCCATTACAAAAACGAAGCTTGTACCGAAGGCCGCTCACGACGGTAGACCGCTCATTTACAATGCGGGTAGTGTCAACGAGGAGATTAAAACAATCAAGGATAGTCTGCCAATGAGACAAGCAGATGCTTTGTGGTTGTTGAACGAGTTCCTCAAAGCGGAGTATCCGCATGGTGGTGAAGTCATTTTGGCAAGTCCTGTCCGCTTTCCTGCCGTCGATTCAGTGTGGACACGTCTGGAAAAATTCTGCCGCACGTCTAAATACCGAAATCATCCATATATTGACCTCATGGAGAGCTGGGTTGAGCTCGGCAAAGGCGTTGGCGAAGGAAGAGCCAAGCGAGCCATTCTCTCACGACAGTTGACAGCAGCCTTCAATGTTCTGCGAAAGAAAGTGACAAGTAAACAGGTCTTCATCCGGCCTCAACCTGACATCAAGGCAAAGTGTACAAACGTCCTGACCGTGTCAGCAGATGTGAATCCAGTGGTTCTGGGAAATGACAAATGACGAGACCAAAGTCCAGGGCTTTCTTGCGGTGATTGTCATCAGACTACCTACGTAGCTTCCAAATCAGAGAATACTGCTGATCTATACCTGTTTCTTGTCTAACGGTTCCAGCCTCATCAGTCACCGGTTACTTGGATATTGGCATCTCGGTGATGCTTCCACGACTCCAGTGCTGCGCGGTCGCCGCCGAAAATACTATCTTCTTCACATCACCGTCACCAGTTGCTTCAATGAGTGCTTGCCATGCCTGCTCATTAACAAACTTGATTCAGAAACTCACCGAATGTTTCTGGTGGTGAAGATAAATCATGTTAAGCACGTTGAGTGGAGCCATGTTTGACATTTAATTTTCAGAACTCAGAGGAATGTACCTCTTTCATGACGGCGTCAGGTCCGGATAAGGTGAATATTTGGAACAATGCTTCCAAAAAACTCAGAGTCATCGGGGAAAGCATGGACTGCTGTCCGGTGGACATGATACTATAAGTATCCCCGTTGACCCAGCTCCACGTCCATTCAGACTCTACGATGTTGCTTTTCTCATCTCGACGGCTGTGAGCCATGGCACTCTGATTGGCACTTCGAAATAAATCCGTCACTATATATATATCGATTCGGGTCCGACTGCTGCGGCTTCTCCATCGACATGGCCAGCGCCACTTACGTCAATCGTCCGAGATGGTTGTTTTGGATAGCCTCCGGCCGATCATATATTGTGAGTCGGAGCTGGAAGATGGTGATGGCTGGCCTCCAAAGACCGAGAGAGAGACGCAGAACTATGTCTGTCCCCCCAAAGGGCAAGCCAGAACAAAGAGTCTGCTACTTATGGACGAGCCTGCAGCAACAGAGCACCTATATGCAAGAATGGCGGCGACGCATTATGCAGTTCCGAGGTACTATTGCAATGAGTATCGACAGCATCAACCGCCGGCGCCAGGGCAGAGCTACTGCGTGCCTAGCTCTTCCGCAAAGGGCCGAAAACGTGGAGGACGAAGAGCAACAACCGATTCGGAACTCGCACCAGACAATTCTTTGGATGTTGATGTCTTATATCAAGAGCCAGATCAAAATGCAAAGGCCAGATGGCGAAAGGAGATGTCACAGCCAGATGCATGGAGGTCCGCCAAAATGAACCGTGCCGCGGAAATCGTCAAGAAACGACTCTCGGAAGATTCTGGAAAGATCATCCTTTTCGAACTTTTCGACGCCAGTCAATTCATACTGACCAGAATGTGCGAAGCTCACGGTTGGGAATACGTCCAGTACACAACCTCAGCAGGGGATGACAATGCTAGGAAAAGAGCCGACAGTATGTTCAAAAATAATCCTTCCGTAAGAATCATGATCGCCTCGACAAAAATGGGAAGTCAGGGTTTCAATTGGCATATGGCAAATACGGTCGTGTTTTTGACCCTCGACCACACTCCGGGCGTGGTGGATCAATGCATAAAAAGAGCTGCCAGATTTCCCAACAGTAGGGACGTCCATGTTTTCACGACAAGGGCCCAGGAGTCGATCGACACGCATATCGAGCAAGATATTTGTGCGCCAAAACGGGAGCAAAATCAAAAACTACTGATGAGCAGTAAACTGGAGGGCTTCGCAACTTTCGACGAGATCTCTTCGATGGACGCGAAACAAATCGTATCGATGTTGGATTCTAAAGAGATGCCAGACCGGGGACATACAACGCTATGGGCTCCGGGTGTACTTCAATGAATCAAGGCATGCAGGATTAGATACCAGTATTGGTAGTTTAGGATTCTTGCATTTCTTGAACTTCCTTCTAGCTAGAAGAATACTGAACACTTGCAACCTGCTAGACTTGCTCATAGCAAGAGCTTGGTCCTTTCCTTTCTGGTCCTCTAACTAACTCGCGCACGAGTATTGGCTGATACTTCCCAGATCATTCGGCTTTCACGTCGCCGTAGGGAAAGCTACATTCAAAATCTGCGTCCAACTCGTTCACCAGAGCTTGAATGAAGGCTTCTGCTCTTAACAATTCGCAGCAGCTTTCCCAAGCTAACAGGACGAATAGATTGGTGGCGAGCTTTCTCACCTCCGACACTGTGTGGACGCTGGCAACAAGCTCGGTGAATATGGCGTCCACCCACTGAGGATGTTCCTGTGGCCGTTCAGTCGCCCATATATCCACCTCTCCATTCTGGTACTTGCCAAAAATCTCCTTGATTCTCGCAAGAGCGACGGATGTCTCTGTTACTGTGTTCCGCAACTCGTTTTTGTAGCTGAGTTGGAACCATACAGCAGTCCTTGAAAGTTGGCCAATGTCGGCGTCAAAGTTGGAAAGTCCGTCTTTCGTGCTGGTACTTTGTCTAACTTCTTCAAGACGGTCTGTCATCTCGCGACGCTGCTGCGTCTCTGTTTTGATCTCACATTTCTCCAGCTCAGCACCATCGGTACTTCTGTCCAATTTGCTCGAGGGAATGGCGTCGTCGGAATCCAGTGTTCTCAACCTCACACGTCCATTGTAGAGTGTTGCGCGCACTTTCGATGGTGCGAGAGAATGTTTTCCTCGTTCAGGCTACCTTCATCTTGTGAACTAGGTTGAAAACGTTTCTCATCACAGAACAGGAGTTGGTGTGCCTTGCCGACTGGAAGGAGGAGTCTTTCCACCACAATTCCCATGAAGATAGATGTTGGTTCAAATCCATGGACTCTTAGCCACTGCTGCAGAACTTTGCAATCATGGCCTTTGGCCTCCAATATTCTGCTCAGAGTATCAGATACTGATGCTGCCGGGTCTTGAAGTTTGTCCCATCTCCACTCTGTAGATGCTGTGCCTGGCACATAACCCTTGCCGTAGGTTGCAGTATCAAGTATTTTGATCAAACTGTCTCTGATGTTCCTGAGGGCGAAGAAGACTTGAGATATTGCCGTTTGACATTTGACTTGGAAAGTCTGCCTCTCGTACAGAAGTTGGCATTCTTTTTCAAGTGTCGAGACCAACAAGTGATGAGGCTCCATTGAACGCGGGGGTACTCTCGCTTCGCTCATGCGTGCGGCTCGTTTGGACAGGTCGATGTCTTGAATGCGGCTATACAAAGCCAGGAGACTCTGGTGCTGAGCTGCGGTTATGGCGCAAATCCCATTGGGTAACACGTTTGCAGAGGGTTTTCTAGAGTATTGCAGATCAAGTGGGACGAAATCTTCCTGAAGGGGCTTTCGCATACGAGTCTGTCATCGATAGGTCCAAGTTGCCTTGGAGTGACGCAGCGCAGTGAATGATCGCCGCACTATCTGCCATGCTGTACATGGCAACATATTGTCGCATCAATTGGCACACCCCTGCACCTCAGGCTTGTGCTGGCTTAGCTTGGCTTGGCATTTTGGGGGCCCACGTGGCCTTACCTACCTAGGCATCCTATCGGTATCATGCCCACCTGCGCTATCCTAAGCCGCCGAACACCCCACTCAACTAAAAACGCCAACGGGCTCGAATCCCTTCTCGATCGCAGGCTCCAATGATGTCGACCAAACTCTCCCCAGAGATTGACAGATCATCTACCCCGCCCCAAACTCGGTCGACCGACTTAAGCGAAAATCGTGATTATTTTGACAGTGACAGAAGAGGCGGAAAATATCATGGATCGTTCAAAGATCGAGACACGGAGAGTTCGAGGCGGAATGAGTATCTGATTGAGCTGCGCAACGCATTCGAGGACTTGAGAACCAAATTTGCCACCCTGGACGAAATACATTTCCAGAAGGGAGCAGAAGCTAGAAGCCACAATAAGAAGTCCCGGTCGAAAAAACAAAACTTGCTTCTCAAGCCCGATGGTTATGGCACTCCCCCTATCGTTGATCGTCAAATTCTGGGTCGGTCCATCCGCTTGGTATCAAACTAAATGGTCATTTTAACCGAGACACAGATTTCAATTTCATCTATCACGAGGAGGCACGCACTATATTCATGGGCCGGTTAGCAAATAACCTGGAAGTATGGACATCGATATCGCAAGACTCGCCAAACCCTCTCCGCTATCTTCTGGGAAATCAAGGTGGATCTAAGGTTCGAGAAACAGAATTGGCGCTTGTTGATGACAGTGCATATCCGATGCATGCTATAATGGAGGAGCTAAGCCTTCGTCGCGATTGTCAATACGAAGAGGTTCGAGTACTTGACCTGGAAACTGTCCTTCTCGCGGCCTTGTGTTGCTTCCAGGCAGGTTGGGAAGCAGGACAGAAGTCTGCATTGGCTCTCTGGGTTTGTGAATTCATCCAGCATGTGGTAAGTTATCGCGTTCTCGACGATCCGGCAGCTACTGACAAAATGACCGCAGCTTGCGAACACCTGGAGAAATCCTGCCCTGCCGCCGCCGCTGCCGCTGCTATCACCACCATGGACGCCATTGATGCAATGACCGGAATCAATAGCACAGACTTGAGCGATAGAGCGCCTGGTGCGCATCCTCGACATAGGCGTGGATCGCGCCATCAGGCGTCCGGACTCGGCTTACCAAGATGATGAGCTTCTTCAGAAGCTGCTGAAAACCTTACGAGACGGCAGTATGAAGCTGCCCAGGTCATTGGACCTTGGAGACAGAATATCTCTCCCTGACTGTGTGGAACGGGACAACAAAGTCCTGTACAAAGGACGAATCTAGGTGCCTAAGGACAATGGACTCCGCATGGCTATTATCGACGCGTATCATGGTCTTCCGGGCGCAGGCCACGCTGGGTAGATCGAAGACATACGCCACTCTCAACCAGACCTACTATTGGCCTGGGTCGCACAAAGAAATTGGTTGATTCGTACGAAATTGTCATACTTGCCGGCGCTCGAAGGCATTCCGCGACGCCTACACCGGTGGTTTGCTAACAACTCTGGGTACCTGAGCGCCCCTGGCTGGAAGTTGCCGTGGACTTGGTGGTGGACCTCCCTCCGAGCAAGACAAACGGTATCGTCTACAACAACATTATGACGGTCACGGATCGACTATCGGAGTGGCGGACTTTGTTCCCTGTACTGACATGAGTGCACGAGCGACTGCAATACTATTCGTTCGATACGTATACTCTCAGCACGGCCTCCCAGAGGGGACTGTCTGGAATAGAGGCACTCATTTCACCTCCGAATCCTCGGAGCATCTGTGCCAGAGACTCAGGATCGCACGGATAATGTCAATGGCTTACCACCCAGAAACGGACGGCCAGTCAGAGAACTCCAACCAGATCATGGAACAATACCTCCGGGCGTACTGCAACTACCTTCAGGACGATTGGGTTGATCTTTTGCCACTCGCTCAGTATGCGACGAACACTCACTATTCAGAGACGACTAAAGTAGCCCCTTTATACGATAATCATGGGTTTCATCCACGATTCGGTAGTGAACCACCTGCGGAGCAACCCCGTGCCAACAAAGGGGCTTCGGGACGCAAGGAAGGCTGATTCGTTCGCTGAGCACATGATGACGATCGACCAATCACTCCGAGATAAGCGAACTTACGCTGAAGCCAACTACGGAAGGGTATGTAAAGGGCGTCCCATTTCCTGATTACAAAATCGGCGATATAGTGTGGTTGATAGCACGAAACATGAAAATCGAGCGATTCTCAAAGAAACTCGATTCCAAGAATATCAGGCCTTTTGGATGATCAGCAAAATGAACGCACGCGCGTATCGTTGACGTACTATAATCTATGCGTGTTCAATCAACGTCTTTCAAATCTCACTTCTGCGCCCTTCAGCGAATGGATCCACTGCCGGACAACACCAAGGAAGTTCCGCGATCCACCGTCGTGACACGGGAAGGGGAGGATAACCTAGACACATGGTTCGAAGATAAAATAATATGGAAGTCACGGTGACACGCAGAATAAAGACCATACAGTATCTGGCAGCTGGTAAGAGACATAGAGAGCTGGAGGAGGACTGGCAAGAAGACTTTCCCAGGGTGCGACGATCTTGGTCTAGCTTTCCAACTAAACACGACATCTCGAATTAAGCCGGGCCCGCCGTCCGTCTGACACTATGACTAGAGAAAGAAAGTGAAACAAAAGGAGTCCAACGGGTGTTGAATCGGTGAGGGGAAACATCGAACGAGAAGTGAAGAAGACTGGGCGGAGGAATGCTTCTAACACGAATTGCTTGGAAGATGAAGTTTACTAGATGGCATCATTTCTTCTCATATGTTTATTCCATATGCAGCGATTGCCGAATTGGGAATGTTAACTGCAGCACTGGAAAAGACCAAAGGCAAGAAATGTTAGTACTGAGGAGAACAGTAACGGACGCGAAACGCTTATCGCCTAGGAGGAAAAACCCCAAAAAAAAGGTTGTGGAATTGACTCTCCCTCGGGGAATCGAACTGGATGCTTGTTAATGCCACACTGGAAATTGGATCCAGAGATATTTACCCCCGGTCTCCCTGAGAATTGTTAGTATTGAATCTATGAAGTGTAGTTCAAGATGCTTACCGCGACTTGTAAGCGAGCTTGACAAGCGGAAATCATGACCTGAATTGATCAGTATAGATCGATTGATTGAAATGGCTATTAGGCGTACCACTAGACCAAGGAAGAAGGTCGCTGGTGAACCCAGTGACTTGGCTTGATTGTTGGGAAGAAATCAGAGACACTGACATATGACAGACGAATATTTTGGCCAAGGAATCGTGCTTGCATGCCGCTTGTGGATCTCGACGTAGGGACATGACTGGTAAACCGTTGTGTGTTGGAGAGCTGCTGCGGATATTTCATCCTAGGAACAGCTTGGAGTCCACCAATCACCACCTTCACAGCCGAACCAAGTTCAAGGGGCTGACAGCTTGGCACCAAAATTGAAATTCGATGTCTGTTCGTGATGTCGAAGATGTAGGTCATGAACTTGTTGTGTTTCAAGGGTGCAACCCTTGATGGGTAGCTACCCACAAGGTCGATACATAGATTGTCGTGGCATTTCGTCTTCGTCTTTTCACTCTGTTGCTTAGGTGTGAAAGAGCGCCTTGTGTGGTGGCCATGTTTGCGGACCTTGAGTTTGACGTGCAAGGCATCTGGGGGACATGCCCGCAAGGGCGTTCGATGAGCCCCCTCAGTACGAGGAGCATCTGCTGTTTGGTATGACCGAGCTTGATGTTGTGGATGTGGCAGTGCATCGCATGCGATGGCAAGGTTGTAAAACCTTGATTCGTGCATGTCTCTGTGAAGCCGGGCTGCTGGGTCTTGGAAAAGGCCATCCTTCAATGTCAACAGTCCAACTGGGAAGCGCGCGGCGGTACATGCGATACAGTACGTCTCGACCGCTCGGTGTCTGGCCGGAGGTCGTACGCCAACAGATATCTCCCAGCTTGCTCAAGGGCATGGGTCCAGTTTGAGCTCTAGCCACCTCCTGCTGGAGGAATATCCTTTGGATCAAGCCTGAACAAGCAGTTGTCCACTTCATTCCTCAGATGCGTGGACACTACCACGGGCTTTGGGAGAATTTGTTCATCATTCTCAGTCGCCACTGTCGATAACGGCATGTCCAACAAACCTCACCTTGGGACAAAACGCCAATCACTTACCTTTTTGCTTTGCACAAACTGGCAATGTATACCTGTGGCCGACCTGCTCTTCGCACTTCCGATTTGCTTAAACGGATCATCCCTGTCTTGAAGAGTGGTAATGCACAGAGCACGCATGCCCCAATCCGGGCTGGAACGAGATTGCCAAGGCTCACCACACAGAATCTCCCTGGGATGGTATCTTTCCCCTGGTCGGAGGCAAAACGAAGGGCAAGTCACCTTCAATGAGCAGCTGACAATCCTGAGTGCAGAGCCGAAACGTGGAGCCATGGGTGCGTATCTGTGGTGCTGCACTCCGCGAAGGGGAGCCTCAGCCTTGCCACGTGATGGGTCCCAGTCATGCTGACTCACATGGTGTTTACCATAATGGAATTATATGTTTGGAAACCAAACTTCTTGTTAACAATTACTTAGATCTCGGATGGTCTAACGGTATGATACAAGCTTGTCATCACTGGTCTCTTGAGATCATATTATTCGCTTGTGACCGGGGTGTCAGTTAACACTAAAACCTCTCTACGTAAACTATCACTAAACAAGTTCTATAGTCGACTCCCCGTTCGAGAGATCTCATTTTCCTTTTTTTGCAGGTTGTTGAAAGCGTTCCATTTGGATTTCTGTCGTGCGAGTGCATCTTGTGGGCCAACGTAGTGGCGGGGCTTTTTTTTGCTGCATACGATGGATCCATTCAGGAGATTGGAAGAGAAAGACTTGCATCCCATACATATATTATGACTAAAGAGACCACACACGCATGGCTTTGATATTGACCTGTACATTCATAACCCTGAAGAAATCACCATCCGCTAACCTCATCCTCACCCTCCAGGGTCGTCTTCTGCAGTCCTTTCGCAATCCCATCTGCAGTCCTCCACACACGGAGAAGATTACCGCCGGCCACCTTGCCTGCATCCTTATCACTGACACCCATCTTCAGTAGTTCTGCAATCAGGTCGGGGTATTTGTCCACGCCTTCCAAACCTACCGGGGTCAACTCACCCATGCCGTCAAAATCACTTCCGAGTCCGACATAATCATAACCGATCTTCTCACCAACATAGACGATGTGTCGAGCCACTTGGTGCAAGGTGTTGTTCTTCTCATAGAACTCGGGAAGCACACTCGAGTTGGGCGGAGGTAAGCAGGAGATGAAGGCAGGAGAAAAGTTGATCATCACCAAACTTCCAGTCTCCTTGACCAAGTCCAAGATATCATCGTGGACGTTTCGTGGATGTGGGCAAAGCGTGAAAGCTGAGGAATGGGAATAGATGACAGGCGCTGCGGACGTCTTGTTGCTCAGTACTGCCTTTTGAGTCCAGTACGACGTGTGAGAAACATCGATAAGCATGCCGAGACGGTTCATCTCTCGAACAACCTGCCTGCCAGCCGGTGTCAAACCCCCGCGATGATATGGTGCCACGACAGTTCCCTTACTCGAGCTTATCAAAGCTGCGTCGGCAAAAGCATTGTGGCAATTCCAGGTAAGAGTTGCTGCACGCACACCCAAGGCGTAGTACAGACGAAGTGTGGACAGAGGAGCAGACTGGGGAATCTGGTGCAAGCCCTCAATACTGATGGGCGATATCAAGGATTTGGTGGCATGGAAATTGTTTAGTGCTGTAGATAAGGAGCTTGTTGCAGAGGTAAAGTTGTTCGGATATTGGTCTTGCAATCGACGGACCAGGTCAATTTGCGATAGTGTGTGGGCGACAGCTGAAGCATAGCTCTCGTCCGAAAAATCGTCACTGGCATTCTCTGGACAAACGACAAAAGCGCTCCAGAAACTTCCTCCTACCTGGCCTGCCTGCAGACGAGGGAGGTCAACGTTGTATTCCAGTCCTCCATGAGTAAACTTGTCTTCGAATGTCTTGTTATGTAACTTGTTTTTGTATGCGCCACGAATGAAGATGGCCAGATCGTTATGACCGTCAATCAAGGGCGTACCGTCAAGTATCGCAGACACTCTGTCCTTCAGACTTGTGGGAGGCTTCGTCGGAAGCGGTAGAGGGTTCTCATTTCGCAGCTTTGGACTTAAGAGTGCGACCAAAATGGCTACGAAGACAACAGCAGTGAAGAGAGATGCGAGGCCGTTCAAAGCCGACTTTGTAGACGTCGTGGAAAAGGACTGGGCATCATCGTCCTCCTCGTTCGATTCATTCCGGGCCTTCTCCTCAGCGTCGGTCTCTGAAGACTGTATACCCTCATAGCCTCTGTATCTCGAAAAGCCATAGCCTTGGATCTCCGGCGCAGGTTCATTGTGAGGAAGCAGAGGATCGACCTCCGTCGAAGAGGATGATTTAAGGAAGTCCATGATTGTTGAAGAGTTTATGTGTAGGTGTAGAGATTTGGCACCCGCCGCAGTCGACAGCGATTAATCGTCTGTCGTCCGCCACCACCTCGTCCTCTGCGATAAGTCATTCGATGTTCGAGCAATCAATTCGTCCGGGCGCATGACGCGACCTTATCGATAAGCAACTACTGTAAGGTGCCGGTTAATCAAAAATCCGGAAGACATAAATCCGCACAGCTCCGGTACAGCTTCATCGTTCATTTCAGACGCTCATGAAAATCGGATGCAGTATGCATTGATACCATCGAAGGGTCATGGTAATATCTGCTTTCTATGGGACCTACTGCCTTCGGAGCGATGTCAAATCCATCAATCTGTAATCGTAGCCGTGGAGTCTCCCAGTCATCTTCAAGCAGACCATACGATTCATACTCGTTGTTCTTGGGCTTACGCGGATTGATCGCCCAGTAGCCGATGTCAACATCTGTCTCTTGTAAGTACCTCATCAGGTTCTTCCAGTAGTGAAAGTCTTTTCGAGCAGGTCGACCTGGAGCGCCGATTTCACCAATCCAGACTGGTGCGGTATCGCTTGCTCGCAGGTACTGCCAGTTCTTGTCCATGTCTTCCGCAAATGACTTATAGGTTCGATACCAATATGGCAGTAGAGAACCCCATCCCGACCAGCCGTACACATGGGCCGAGTATACCAATTTGTCTTGGTGCTGAAGACGTACTGGTCGCTCCTCGGCTCCTCTGATGTCGTTGGCCGATGAGACGCCCTCAACGATGATCAACCAGTCTGGTTGAAGTTCATGCAGTCTTGCTGCTACGCGCTCCGCAGCAGTCGCCCAGCTGTTCCACATATATTGCCCAGTGGGACCCCGAACTTCATTGCGAAGGTCCACGCCTACGACATAGGTGTTATTGACATGGGGCAGCATCACTGCCATCAGATTCTCAATCCAGTCGTCTTCACTCTGCTTGACTGGGCAGAATGGACCAAGATTGTCGTTGGCCCAACCCATGTCGCAAGGGTAACCATCGCAGCACCATCTCGCCTGCGTTATATGATTGTTCACAATAACCGCAAGTCCAGCCTCGGTCAAAGCCTGTACAACGGCAGCGTATACGTCCAGCGCTCTTTCGCCGACTAGATCGTCGTTGGCGCTAAGAAGGCTCGCCTCGATAACAGGATTTTCTTGGACGATTTCGTCAGCATACGGCAGTCGGACGCTGTTGAAACCCAGTTCGCGAATGGTGCGTGCAATTCCACTCCGATTCCTCACGTCCAAGCCACCAGACACCATGAACATATCACTACCGCCATACCAATTCGCAGAGATCAATTTAATCCGATCACCATTCTTGTCGATGATATCGCGCCCTCGAGCTCTTAGCAGAGGATGGAAAAGCGGTTTGTCGGGGTCGATTGACTTGACGACGCTGGCTTTGATGCTTTGCGGATCAGGATAAACCGACAAATTCGCAGGTACGCCTCCCCGTCTCCAGACGATGCGAGCGGACAGGTACAGACCTGCAAATGTAACTATGAGCAAGATAAGAGGAGCTTTGAGTGTGGGCCACCATCTCCGTCTGCGTTTGGCTTGAGCTGCCACCACTGAAGCGAGCCCGCGCTTTCTCCAGAACCACCAGGTCATCGTCCCGTGGCAGGATAGTTGGTGGTTTTGTCTGCTCGCGCGCAGATCTCAGAGTTTCGCACATCGCACATTTTGTGCAAGGCCGGCGACCCGCGCGGATCCGGTCGAGTGAAGAGAATCATTGGCTGGAAGCAAAAGGTTCTCGCCATGCTGACTGCCCTAGGAGGGATTAAACCTCTCGAGGTATCGCAACCAATTTCATTCTTCACATTTTGTCGCCTGTCATATATTTCGGAGGCCACGCTTTTCTTTCAACGGTGAAGACATCCGGTGATGGACGATTGAATAGGCAAATGCCCTGATTTCTGTCCGTCGACTTCTCTTGAGCTCTTATACGCGCATAAATTATGCACGTGGAGTGTCGGCGACAGATTGCGACCATTTGATTGGTCGGTCGAGACAACACACATGCTCGCCTCGCTCGAGGGTAGGTTTGACGGCATGCCACGAGCCTCGTTCTTTGGTATACGCAGTGTGTCACTCCTGGCCAGGATTCATCCTTTGACTTGATCAGCTGGCCACTCAGTGTACGCTAAGGAGTCATGGTGCTACAACGCGCGACGGCGTTATCAAACAAGATGAGCCGAACCTCTACCAAGACTAACAAGATGGGTCTTATGATGGAATTGAGAAAGGGGGCTCAACGATTCAATGACACGTCCGGCATGTGTTCCTTCATTATCGCATCCCTCGCGTTGCAGGTGCGCTCCTCACCGACTTCTACCGCTCTACTTGAATTCTCTCTTTCCGAACACACACCTCCCGCTGAGAATGGCAGGATCAAGCATGAGCTTCCTGCGATGGTCACTTCGCTGCATCCCAGGCCTGGCTACCTTTGCCCTCATCGTTCTGTTGGAATGCGCATTGAAAATCGTGCAGACTGAATGGCTTAGCTTCTTCTATCCTCCATTCCTCAAGCACTCGCAGGCACCAGTGGTTGCCCAAGGGCTATTCATATCCTACTCAATATTCCTACATATACTTGCGCTACTCTTCCCACTGCGTCTTTGTGCTTCTGCATGGGCTGCCACGGAAGGGATCCGGGCCAGACACGGTCGGTCAAGAATCAAGAATGACGGCAGCCTCGAACGCGATATACCTCGCGATGGAACAACGAATAATGATACTCATCAAGATGGTGCGAAACATACCGGACGTGTTATCATGGCAATAGTGCTTCCGAGTTACAAAGAGGACATTGAGATACTGGAAACATCTCTGCGTGTGCTGGCTTCTCATTCCATGGCAAAGGCTTCTTACGACGTACGGTACACTGGGCGCATACAACAGGCGTGATAACTAATCAAGTCAACAGATCTTCTTAGCCATGGAGGAGCGAGATCCTAATGGCGTCAACGTTGCAAAAAGCTTGCTGCAATTGTTCTCAGGAAGCTTTCGAGGCATACAATACACCCAACATCCCGCAAATCTGCCCGGCGAAGCACCCGGCAAAAGCAGCAATGTCAGCTGGGCTGCAAGAGAAATCGAGCACAAATACGTCATGGAGGCGGATTGGCCGAGTGTGCTTATCACGGTGATGGACAGTCGGTGTCATGGCGAGCCCAACGTGGGTGAGGATCATGCTGATATAATTTTCAGGCGATACCCATATACTCAATCAGTATTTCGAATTCGTTTTGGAACAACACCTCCTCAAACGCCGGGAGGAGGCCTCGACCGACATGACCCTCTACATGCCTCCTATTGTTTTCGATCGCAATGCACACAAAGTACCCCGACTAGTGCGCATGGCCGATCTCATGTGGTGCGGTGCGGGATTGTCCACGTACGCCAGGCGAACGACTGCAACTACAGTGGCAATACCTACGGCGGCGTACACCATGCCCCTACCACTCATCTGCCTAGCCGAAGGATGGGATACTGGCTCCGAAGCCATCGGTGAAGACAGGCACATGATGTTGAAATGTTACTTCGCTACAAATGGTCGCATGAAGATTATGTCTATTCCAAGTCCAGTCAGTCAGTGCAACGTCACCACCGGCAAGGCTGGCTTCCGCGGCTGGGTTGCGAACCACTCGGCACGTTACGCCCAGGGACTTCGGCACATGTGGGGTTGCCTGGACACAGGATATGCGGTTCGCCAATGGTGCAAGATTGGGCCCCGTCAGATATCTCAAGGGCCGATATCACTAGATGAAGCCGCTGGCAGCTGTAGTCCGGACCGGGCAGACCGACCTCGTCATGTGGAGTTGCGCCTAAAGCTCAGTCAACACGCTCTTCAAGGATCCGACAATCGAAGGTTCACGTACAGGAATTTGGTCCTCTTCAGTCGGCTGTTCGAAGCACATTTTCTGCCTATCCATCTATTCCTTGTCCTTTTAGCATCGGCTCTGTATACAGCATTGCCATATCCAATGTCTTCCTGTCGACTTTTGACTGCAGCCTTGGACTTGACATCATACCTGCGCGCGGCTAGTTTTGGACTGATGACACTATACTTTGTCGTCTTCTACGAGAGGTATCACACTGCTTGCGTCCAAGCCAGGGCAAGTGAAATGAAGAAGGCCGGACTCTACGAGGAGTTGGCACACGAATTCTCCTACCGAAAACGATTGTCGATCACAACCGTCCTGGACTACTTCATGTTCCCAATCGCAGGCACAATGTTCGGCAGTGTGCCTCTATTGCAAGCAATCATTTCGCACTTCTGGACGGAGAAGCTTGTATATTTGGTTAGCGCCAAAGCGGTGAGAGTGATTGCGAAGAGCCTCGTTAGTGATCGAGAGTTGAACCGTAATCGGGGGGTGGTCGAAGTGTAAGGCTATATGCAACTGGGGAGCCTGGGAGTTACACATAAGAACATGGGGTAGACTGCACGGCGTTTCAGAGGGAAGTTGAGGACTTCATGACTAGGGGAGCAGCAAAAATATAGCTATACAAGTAATAGATGATATGTAGATATTGTCAGCCAAAGGGGAGGCAATGTGGTCACGTGTGGTCAATGATGACTACTGTTGTCGCGCACCTCCTGAATTGGGGCTCGTAAACTTCACATCCATCAACCGTCATTCATTCACAACTGTCAATCTGCCCGAGGAAGAGTGTCCAACAAGTCGATCGGGTTGGCGAAAATTCATTGGACGTTAGCCGAGACTTGGTGTGTGTAAGTTGCCATCCCAACTGGACAGTTCTTCAACAGGACCAGAGAAGAACGTCCGAAGCAGAACGCGTCTCGGAACACTGCACGGGCTCCTTGCTCGCCTGCAGCTCCTGTCGTGTGTCGGCCCCCCAGATCCACCTCCTCGATTCAATGACAGCCAGAGGCCTTTGATCTCGTATACCGAGTTCTGCCTTGCGCTGAATTGCAATCGTGCACAGTTTTCTTTGTCCAACGTTCTTGCATTTCTGGAATTTGTTTTGCTGACTGGCGCTTTCCTTTTGCAGACATGTCTGCCAACTCTGGAAATAGCGGAGTCAGAAACCTTCGTGCTATGTTCGAGAACAAAGCCAGTGACCAATCTACCTCTCCCCCGAGTCGAGGCCGTTCGCCAAATCCTTCAGAGATATCCAACAGCAGCAGACCAGTCAGCAAAGTGCGGGCGAGCTTTGTTGCAGTGGAGAGACCAGGCGAGAACGGGGGCGCATCAATATTAGGTCTTCGAAGGACGAGTGAAGTCAGCAACCAACGAGACGAGAACAAAGAGAACTTGATGGCGGACACTGCACCTACAGGCAAAGTGCCTGCCACAGGTGAAAGGGCACCTACGGAAGATATGTCCAAGCCTGAGAAGAATGATCACACACAGAATGGAACTATGGAAACTGGACTGGGCGACATCTTAAAGGGCTCTGCTTTTGCTGACAGCACACCCAAAGCTACTCCAGAGGCTGCAAACTCGGGTCAAGCTTCGACGCCTGGCCAAATACAACCGAAAACTGCTAAGGTGCCGGCAGCACCCAAGGACGAGACAAAAGCTGCCGAAACGGCCGAGAAAAAGCAAGCAACCAACGGCTCAAAAACAGGACCTGCTCCCACCACACAACCCCAGACCACAAAGACTGCAGAGCCTGCTAGGCCCGCCCGTACGAGACAAATCAACACAAATGCTTCCCCTCGGTCCCCCGTCGCCTCAAAGTCATCTCCGAAAACACCGACATCCCCGGTCGCCCATATAAGAGGAGGTCCGGCCAAGATCAAAGGAGTTATGGAGTCTGCGAAACGGGCGCAAGAAGCAAGAGTTCTCGCGAAACAGAATGCGGAAAAGGAGAGCAAACCTCAATCTACTGCGTCCAAGACGAACACCCAATCTGAGCCAAAACAGTCGTGGAATGCGGTCAAGAAAGAACAAGCCCCTGCTTCACCAAAAGCTGTCAAATCAGCCAAGGCCGTTGAGCCCAAATCACCAGCAAAACCCACGAAGCTTCCTGCAGCAGCTACAGCCCCAACAGCAGCATCAGCGGCCAGACAAGAGACACATAAGTCTCCTACGGAAGCTGAACATCGCAAACCGGCGGCAAAGAGACCGTCCACAGTGTCGACAAGACCTCCCAGGGCCAGTACGGCTTCTACAACGTCGATGCTGGCAAAAAAAACATCGCGCGCGTCTCTGACCAACGGGCATGATCGACCCAAGTCTCGAGTCAGCACCTACAAGCCCGACGAAGGTTTTTTGGCACGGATGATGCGACCTACGACAAGCAGTGCACAGAAAATGCATGACAAGGTCCCGGTCATTAGCCCTCCACGCCAAAGAGCCCATTCTGCGAGCAAACCCAAAGAGGCTTCGAAAGTGAAACCACCACCAAAGATGCATCTAGAACCACCTAAGGATGCCGGAGAAGAGATGAAGGAGGACGAGGACGACCATAGCATATTACCCGAAGTTGCTGTGCCTTCACCTCTTCAGGTGGTCAAGGAGGACCCGATGGCTTCACATACCCCCCAAGACAATAACAGAAGCGACGCCACCTGCACCTCCCGAGCCGGTTGAAGCAGCTGATGCTTCAAAGTCCGAGGCTTGATCAGCTGTCTACCATTTTCTGGATCCCATTTATTACCGATCCTGTTACTGCCTCATCCTAGCGATTTAGCGAGTTCTATTCGACACAAAATTGTTTAGCCAGGCATTTGACGTGTCCAATTGATATTTGTTCACTTCCAACCTGGTTTCTGAAGTTTCCTTCCAAAATTGCTGACATCAGGCTTTGTCCGGCACAGGGTATGGCACGGTCCACATCTCTATTGAGATACATTTCCGGCTTCACAATTTCTTATTCAGATCGACTTTGGGACTAGCCGCCTCTTATTCAAGTCGATATGCAGTATAGCCTCCCCTTGGATTTCATTATCACCTTGTGCTTTTCGTGCAGCGAAGCTTTGTACATGCACTTCAAGTCAGCTGTCAGGGCTGGGTTCTTTGGTCTGCCCTTTCTTCTGTCCTTCATTGCCATGTGCAGTCCAGAGGGGACGCTCCTGGCCCATGGTCTCTTCGTTCCGGGTTCTTTATGCATCCTGAACCTCAAAGAATTACCAAAATGGCAACAAGCATGATGAATAAGAGGTTCAAGTATTATTCTAATTAACCTGTTCACAATGTTGTCATATACCTCACATATTTATACAGGAAAGGCATCTCAAATATATACAAAAGACACTTCGACATCATGAAATTGACCGTATCAACAGCTGCTCTCATCCTGGCCCTGGTTTCGGCTCAGGTGGGCGCCATGCCTGCTCCTCAGACCACCCACGTTGGCCACACTTATGAGCAGGATCACACATACCACCGAGGCGGTCTCAGTGGCGGCAGGCCCGCCCATGGACCCATGCCGGACGAGGACGAGGACGGAAGTCATCTTGAGCGCCGAATCAACTATATCCAACACCCCTCCGCGAATTGGAAGTGGTGGCAAAAGCAAGGCACAAACAAGATGTTGGCCGGAAGCCCTGACGTCGGCGACATCGATGTCAAGAACGATGCCATTGGCGAGCGTTTGGGCTGGAAGCGCGACGAAAGTGCCGTGGACGAAGAGTCTCACCTCGAGCGTCGTATCAACTATATCCAACACCCCTCTGCGAATTGGAAATGGTGGCAAAAGCAAGGCACCAACAAGATGCTGGCTGGGAGCCCTGACGTCGGTGATATCGATGTCAAGAACGATGCTATTGGCGAGCGTTTGGGCTGGAAGCGCGACGATCTCGAGAGTGAGACCGTGCTTCGCGGCAAAGGTGGTCACGGTGCGCAAGACAAATTCATCTCCGTCCCCGTTCTCAAGGAGGATTAGATACGGACAACAGTCACAGAGCACGATATTACGCCGAACGACGCCTCGGTGTTGAATATCACGGTCAAAAGAAGCCCAGCTGGATCTGGATGCTCTGTTGTTTTGGGTATACGACTTCTCGGCGTTTCTCGCTGTATGCATTGTGATTTAGTAGCCATGTCATCGGCATAGACTCATTTTCTCAGCAGGTCTGATGGAGCACATATCTTATAGCGGCACATTCATCGAGCAGAGGCACTGGATGTCACTGTGAGGCTCATGGTAGAAATAGTGAAAACGAGCGGCAAGGCGGCTGTTGCTGGTTGTGACGTTGCCAGCGTTTATAGAACGCTTTTGGGTATCGTTGAAATTTGCTCTCAATTACTTTGCAAAGAGCCGCCCTCATATGGATCCCATTTCTATGCGCCCATGCAATCTTCATGTCCAATTTTTTCATCTCAAATTCTCCATGGCATCGAGCAGGTTGAAGTACACTATTACCCTAACTCCAACATGACTACACTTTTATTTTACTCCGCGTCACGCTTATCTACAATACCACACTAGAATGCCATCATGCTCATGCGTAAATCAGATTTAGCAGTTTATGCATGCCCATTCTGCTCAGCTGCATCCGAACCATTGACACCGTCCGCGCCCTTCGCGCCGAGCTTTTCTCTTCTCCTCGACACAGCGGTCGCGAGCAACTCGAGCACGGTTTCCGTGTCTTCCCAACCTATACATGCGTCGGTGATGGACATGCCGTATTTGAGACCGGCCTTGCCCTCTGGCGGTACTTTCTGGGTTCCTGCAGGAAAGCAACGTGGTTAGCACAGCGCCAATGCACGGAAAAAAGCCGCATGTTGATAGCGCGATTCGATGAACGCCTGTAGAAGGGTGTCCGACGTACCTTCATTGATATGACTCTCAATCATGACGCCCATGATACCCTCCTCTCCCTCTTCAATCTGCTCGGCCAAGATCTTGGCCACTTTGGGTTGATTCTTGTGCTGCTTCTCACTGTTTCCGTGCGAGCAGTCGACCATGATCCTCGGACTCAGTCCCTTGCTGACCAACTTCTCCTTGGACTTCCTGATACTTTCGCGATCATAGTTCGTGCCGGTAGTACCGCCGCGCAGGATGACGAAGCAGTCCTCGTTACCCACGGTACCCACGATCGCGACAACACCAGGCTTCGTGACCGACAAGAAATGGTGAGGATGCCTGACAGCGCCGATCGCATCGATCGCCACGCCCAGTGTTCCGTCCGTTCCGTTCTTGAAACCCACGGGGAAGGACAGACCCGATGCCAACTCCCGATGGAGCTGGGACTCGGTCGTCCGCGCGCCCACGGCGCCAATGCTCAGCAGATCAGCCAGGAACTGCGGTGAGATCGTGTCCAACATCTCGCTCGCGAGTGGCATGCCCTTGGTGGTCAAATCCACAAACAATTGCCGACTCAGTCTGAGACCTTTGTTGATCAAGAAGCTGCCGTCAATCTCCGGATCGTTGATCAGTCCCTTCCAACCGACCGTCGTGCGCGGCTTCTCGAGGTACGACCGCATCACAATCACCAGGTCATCCTTGTATTTCTCCTTGAGCTTGAGCAGGCGGTCGCAGTAATCGAGTGCGGAGACCGGGTCGTGAATGGAACAGGGGCCGATGATGACGAGGAGGCGGCGATTGGGGTCTTTGTCCTGGACAACGGCGACGCAGTCGGCTCGACCTTGTAGGACCGTCGCTTTCGAGGCGCTTGTCTGGGGGATTTCATGTTGTAGTAGGTCGGGCGGTGTGAGAGGATTGTAGCCGCGAACTGTGAGAAAGCAGGGTCAGGTCATGAGCGCAGACCAGGGATATCCAAGTTACGTACTCCGCCAATCCTCCGAGCTCTCTTTATTACCGACGTGAGGGTTGCTAATGTAGTAGGACTGGAAATATTTAGCCAGTGAGTCAGTACTTGAAATGCGGGGAGACTCGAGGGAAGATGGTAGGAGGCAAAATACTTACAGCCATGCTGTAACAAGAAGACGGGATGGCAGCAACTGGCTCGGTTTTAGGAACTGTCTGTACAAAAAGAAATACTCTCTCAACGATAATCAGAGGTGTAGCAAGGTGGAATCTGACTCTGTCAATGAAGAGTCACGGTGGAATGACATGGGCAAAAAAGTTTGGCGCGGAGAGTGACTGAGGGAATCCAGTCTGGACTTTTTTTGGTCCCTTGCATGACGCAGGCCGCAAAAAGACACTCGCCGATTGGATCCATATACTGTAGGCACAGTAGGCATTACACCAAAAAAGAAGACGGAAGACATTCGTTACTCGTATCATTATTGATGTCTATTTTCCGGGCCTTCTATAAAAATAATCCTCCTCCTCTATGCCCTGTCTACCAATCCTCGTCACGGACAATTGGTATTCATGCAATGCCCGCCTTTTATAGGATTAACCATCAACAGTCGACCTCACTTCCAGTCTAATCCACATTTTGATGCATCAAGAGCCATTGGTTTCAGTCCCCTCAGAATATCCATCATGGAACAGATCAATCAAACAACCAGCGGACCAGGCTTGAGTCGGTGACTATAAAACACATATTAGTAAGGGAACATACTCTTCAGAGATGGACGACATACCGAATCACCACAGAATGACCCGTCTTTGTTGGTCAATTCTGTCAATCCTTTCCATGGACTGTCCTTGATGGCTTGCTTGCATCCAGCAAGTCGTTGTGTCACTTGTTGGAATGACTCCATCCTCTCCTCTGGTGTCGTACGGCGTTGGAGATCAAACTTCAACAGTGCTCGCAAGAAGAATCCGGTTGGCCACAGCCACTCTGGACCTTGATGATAATTTCTTCCTTTCGACGTGGCAAAGTCGGTCGAGTCCTCCAAGTTGATGTAGTAAGGACGATAATTCAAGTCCGAGGGATCCAGGGTTCTCATGCCTGTCGGACCTCGCAGAATATCATCCGCCATTTTCAACGCGTGCAATGCTCTTTCAGGAGTGAAGAGATCCGGCGCAACAACCATAGCTATCGGAAAGTTGGCTCGGAGTTGATAGTCCTCATACTCCTTGCCAGATCGGTACAGGTCCTTGTAGATACCGCGACGATTGATAATCTTCGGGTCGACATCATCTTCGATATCGTCCTTGGGGTCCACCGGGATCCAATAACATTTTTCAAAGTTTGCCTTGATACGATCTGCCCAGTCAGAAAAGGCGATCCTCTCTCCTTGATCGGTCTCGACGCCTGAGTACTGATAGTGGCCAGCCTTGTGCAGCTCAGATACCCACCGTATAGCACTGTATGAGAGACCTGTGATCTCAACGGCAGCACCATCTCGTGGTGTGCCCGGTACACCCTTGCTGCCAGCTCGTTCACTTTCACCCATCTTGTCCATCCACGTACCACAGTTGTTCTGATTGCCACCAAAGATGATTCCTGTCTTCCAGTCAACGTGTACGTCAATCTGGAATCCTTCGGGCTTCATCTGCATGTCTAAGTCGGGTCCAGCATTGTACTCGCGGAAAGACAGGCCAAAAGCATGCCGCTGAAGGATTTCCTGGATGATATCTTCGACCGTGGATTCTTTCGAATATGCTCGAGGATCGTCATGAGGAAACCAGGTATCGTCATATGGAAGGAATCGGCGAGGAACCTTTTCTTGGAGAATCGACAAACCATCAGGAGCAATCTTGGTGTAGTCTTGGATGTTTTGTAGGAAGAACCACGGAGAGTCTCGAGAGTTGTATCGGGGAGCAGCGCCACTGCTCAGTAGGTTGGGTATCAGACCATGCTTTAACACGCTACCAAAGGCTTTGATGTGCTCCTTGGCTTCATCGAACCGACCGGTGCACAAAAACAGCCCTCGTAATGAGATGAACACATCTCGTCCCCAACATCTTGCCCAGGAGACAGAGAAATGAGGCAAACCAGCAGCAAGTGACGGGACGCTCTTGTTCGGCCACAACGATGCTGATTTGACGTATCCTGTTTGTTGGACGCTGACCATGGCCAAACTTTGGAGAAAGTCTTGACCTTGCCGAATGTTTGGGCTCATCAGCTCGATACCACGCTTGACCGAAGCATTGTACGCGATTTGGATGATGAGTGCAAAGTATCGTGGCAACAGGAAACTTGGGATTTCGCCGACCGCATCGAACCGTTCCTTCAACCACTTGGCTGGCTTGTGCAATTTGGAGTATCCTTCTTGTTTGGATATTCTTTCCAGACGGCCCACGATGAAGTCAAGCGCCCATTGTCCTTGACGTAGATGGTTGCAAAGAGCATGGCCTAGATCGTTCTTTCTCACAATAGGCTCGACCACACTCCACCATCCTTGAAAACCAGCATACACCAGAGGACCGTAGCCAGGGATGTTGTAGACACCATCTCGGCCATCACTGGAATCTCGTTCTTCTGCGTCGCACCGATATAGGGCAAAGTTGAGGTCGGTGAGATCAAGTTCGCCAAAGGCCTCTTCTGTACCACTCGCCAGGAAGGCGTTGAGACCCTGAGAATGTTCCGCTGATGGAACCCAGGTCTCAAAGAGTGCGATGGAACCAGGAGGGAAGAAATCAGCGACTCTGATCACAGTGTCGCCGTTGTTGAAGTCGATAGTCGCACCCTTGATCTTTCTCACCCTGGCCGGCAGACCGACGAGCTCATTAGGGTCCTCTAGTGCGGTTTTCTTCGCAGCATCAGTTTGGTCAACCTCCAACACCCAAGCACCCAACTGGCGTGCTTTAGTACCAGCAAGATGAACGGGACTCAAGCCACCGTTTCCATTACCGGAACCGGGAAATGCCGTGTGGGCTATGAGGAAGTATCCTTTGCGCGAATCTGGGTGCACTCTGTGAAGTGTGATGAGCTCGCCCTCATGATGAAGGAACGTTTCGTCGTAGCCATCCTTGCCCATCATAGTGTGGATCTGATTCATGAGCTTTTTGATACCAGCAATGCCTCCCTCACCAGGACCGACAAGGACTTCACCTTCAGAGCTGGCGGAGGTGTATGATCGTTTCTCGTGCACAATTTCGACCAGCTTAGGATAAATCTCGTCAAAGCCCATGACACTGCCGGTGGCACAAGCGCACATGTTGACCAGGGCGGCCGTCGGTAGTGTGTCTCTGGCATCTCTCTTTTGGGCGGGCATTTCGTTGTCATGAGTGCAATCCATGAAAAGAGCGTGTACGGGGCTTTCACGGATGTGCTTGACGATTTCTTTGGTCTTGGGCCCATTTCCGTTGACCAAGTTACTAACTGGTTTCTTTGAGCGCTGAGGAACATTGACCTCGAAACTTCCAATGGGACGACCGCAGTGTCGATGTACGAGTCTGCTCAGTTCTTGTGTGCTCCATGCTTGCATAGCTTCACGGATTAATGCACTCAGACCGAGTCTTTTGACAAAGACGTAATCCATCTGCTCATTGCCAGTGAACAGTTCTGCAAACACGGCCAGGTTGGGCTGGATCTCTCGTGCTCGATCGAGCAAATACTCGGCCACATGGATTGGAGTCGAGTGACAATTGTCAATCCGGAATGCTGTAAAGTATTTAGCCATCAGCTGGACGTATTTTGTCATGTGCTCCCACAGGAATGAATTGTCTTCGGGGCCTTTGCCGTATCGGAGCTTGACACAGTCGCTCCATGGTATCAGCTCCCGGCGTAGATAAGGCCTCCAGTCCGGACCGGCGTTGTCTTTCATGGCATCAGCAGCCCAGATCCATCCATTGACCGCGAGAGACAACGCGTCGGGGTTGTGTTTGGAAGTCGTCTCATTCTGGGGTAGTCGAGCAAAGTAGGTCTCAAACAAGGGGATATCCTTGGTGATGGGACCTAGTCTCGGACCGTGTTCGTCCAACCTGGTATATTGTATACGGCCTTTGAGCTGGTCCTTGATACTGGCAACATCGGCATCGTACTCGCGGTAAAAAGGTAGGTTGAGCTCATTCAGCCATGCCTTGACCTCTTCTTCGGCGGCCTGAATGTTCGAGTCATCCTCGTAGCGACCGTGCAGAGCCGTCAGCATGGCAGAGCCGATGTCAGGATCGACTTTCCGTGAATATCTACCGTCGATGCGTAAGCCATTCAAAAGACCGTGCTCCTTGAGGAAGGCTGCTTTGTTGTAGAGAGACCACGACTTGAGAGAGTCAAGACCTCCACCAATAGCGTTTTCAAACCCTCCTCGCGGCACCTTTGTGGAACCTCTCTTCCACGCGTCGAGCACAGCTTGAGCGTCAGTCCTGACATCGCATGCAAAGTATTCCCACAGACGAATCTTGTCAATGACATGTGGCTGGATGCCTGCAATGATGTGGTCAAGATCACTAGGAGTCTTGAGTTCAGTGGGAAGACCGAGAGACTCGAGCTGCTCGCCGTAATTGATGAGGGCGTTGTCGAGGGCCAAAGCTGATTCCAGCCAGGGAGCAGTCTCGACGTTGTAACCGGCTTCTGGATGTTCTTCTAGCCATTTGCTGTTGTTGGCTGTGTGGTTGAATACAACATCAGTGAGCCCTAATAGATCGTGCTCATCCTCCATGGACTTGATCATGCGAGCCACATCTTTCTCTCCACCAGGGAACAGCTGTTCGTCAAAGGCTAGTTGATCGTAGAGACTGTAAGGTGAATTGGACTCACCCCTCTGCTGTAGAGGTGTGAAGTGCACCATGTTGTAACCCCTCGCACTGATGCCTTTCAAGTGTTTATTCCAGTCATGTGGATATTTCCCCATAAACTTGGACACAACTGAGAAGATGCCCAAGGCATCCAGAGGTAGGCTGGAGCCGGCCAAGGACAATCTGGGCTCAATATCGACATAGTAGGTTTGCGTCCGAGTAGGTTGGGGCGGTTCGGCAGAAGAGAGGGCGAAGTCTGGCAGAGGAGTATAGGTGGTGTAGAAGGAGAATGCTCCGGCACAGGTGATTGGGATATCGATCGCCAAAGTTCGATTGAAGTCTGGATGCAGCTTGTACTCGCGGAAATGATTCCGATCAAAGGAATGACCAGGTTCAGGTATATTGACCCAGAGGCTGCCTTCTCGACATATTGAGCTTGCACCTTCAATGGCAAATCTTAACAGGTACGCAGGCTCGGTAGGTGCAGGCAAGTAGATGTACTCATTGGGTACATCTGGAGCACCGGAGTCGGTGAGCGGAAGGAGGTAGACCTGACGAGTACTCTGATGAGTCTTGGGAGCCATCTTGGTGGCCGGAGAAGGACTGGAAAGATTTTGTTGATCTATATCGAGTGCTGGCTATTGCATTGGCTGCAGCGTGGACTCGCTGTGGAAGAACGAGCAAGAATCGAGGAGGTCAAAGGAGAGACTTGAAAGGATAGAATTAGAGAATGCAAGCGATACAAATGAAAGACTTGCTGTGCTCAGCTCAACTCAGCTCAGGTATCTGGTGAGGTCTAAGAGGTGTTGATGGTGTCGATGTTGAAATGGAAGAGTGGTGAAGGGAATGAGAACATCACCACCAGAAGAAGCAACGTGCGACTGCAGTGGGTGGGGCTTATACAGCAGGAGCAAGTCCGCAGCGCAACAAGGCAGGAAGCGCAGTCTGGGACGGAAAAAGATGGGAAACAGTGATTGAGGTAGGAAAAAAGTTGGGCAAGTGTCAGGCCGGTTCCTGCATTCCGCTTTCCAAGTATCAAGATGCTTTCAACGAATAGCGGGGGTGATAAGAGCATTAGCTTGCAGCGTGGGTTTCGGCAGCAAGCGGCTCTAAGTTAGGGAAGCCTTATTAGTACTACTGTACCCATGCCTTAGGTACCTTAGAGTATAGTGCACGTTTCCCTGGAGCTTTTACCCATCCGTCGTCAGTGGCTGCTCGACTATGTAAAGCATGGAGACCGATCTAAGAATCCAAATCTCCCCCACCGAACTGACCGCCAGTGACATGTTCGGTGAAAGCATTGGCCATGCGGAACGTCTGTCACAATCCAGCTACAGCAGTATGCATCTGGTCAGACTCGATAGTTGCGCCGTCCAATATCCTGCACGGCCTGAAAGCATTGCTAGTGACTGATCCAAAGAAGAGTCGGTCGCATTGGTAAAGACTCTTCCTTTGTCCTTGCTCCGTCATCAATCATGTCATGAGTAAGTTCATCTAGTCCTCTGGTATAATGATGGCGGTTATTGAGGAAGTTGTGGGTTCTATCAGGCGCACATGGAGGCTTGATAGAATTCAAGCAATCCGTGTAGTAGGATTCTACTCTCATTCAGGAGAAGTGGCACCCTCTGACAAGACTACATCGACGATATCATGATTCGATGTCCGGCAGGTTCGCGATTGAGCCAGACTATGCGGTGGAACTGACGGCCTCCATCGTGTCAAGACTAGCGCATCATTATAGTGTGTGTGAAAGGTTCCGGAATCACAACAGAGAACAGTTTCTATTTGAGCTACAGACTTCGAGTCGAATAACGCTATTGCTATTCGTCGTCTTCGTTTTCGTCCTCTCCATCTCCATCTTCATCTCCTTCACCACCAGCTTTTCTCTTCTTGCCGTCAGGCCTTCTGATAGGTATCTTGATTCCCTGAGCGGCGAACGCCTGGCTCAATTGGGTGGTCTCCATTACCCCCGGAAATTTTTTGGCACTAAAAACTTTGAACGGCTTGCTGAAGGACGCAGCGAGACAGGGTGCTTCATTGAATAGCGGGCGGTTTGTGGCGATCTCCTTGTTGACACTGTCATTCATGATTAATTCGGCCAGGTTGATGAGGCTGAATTTCAACCGAAACCAACCCTCAGTTCTGACACTGAGATCCTGCAGGACGAACCAGATTCCAGGCTCCCCTTGATAATCCAGTTTGACGGCATTAGCCGCCGCACTTCCAATCAGGTTTCTGGCGACCGAGCCCTCTCTGGTCACGTCTTGTGAAGAACGAGGCATGGGTTGATTGACAAGGGCGTGAGTCGTGCTCGCCATCGGATAGCCGGCTTGGTTGGTAAGGGCGTGAGTCATGCTCGCCATCGGATAGCCGGCATGGTCGGTAAGGCCGTGAGTCGTGCTCGCCATCGGATAGGCGGCTTGGTGGGTAAGGGCGGGAGTCGTGCTCACCATCGGATAGGATGCTATCACAACCGAGGAGATGTTTGGCGATGTCTGTGATGGATGCTTGACGCAGTTGTCTTCTCGTGTACCCTCGAGATTCCAGAGGTCCACATGCAAGATGAGCTTTGAAATGTCCGCAATCTTAGTATAGTCAATCTCCTGCTCCGTCTCCCGGTCCCTGATGATCAATCTGATACATGGTGGTGGTGAGATGGGACGACGGTCCTTGTCACCAAAACCGCACATACGTGCCCGAACGGGTTGCTGGACCACCTCTAAGGACCAAGTCAAGTCCCCCCATATCCGCGTTGAGGGGGGCGGCGTTGGTAGGGTGTAGTTGGAGAGGTCGTTTTCATTTTCGCTGCTCTGAGGACTCGCCTTTGCAGGACTGTCTGTATTCATATTGTGTGAACGGTGATTTTGGATGTGTGGTGACTGAATGGAAAGAGATGGCCGGGAAGACTGATAGTTATCTTGGTGTGCGTGATACATAATTTCGAAATTGAAGGCCGGATGAATGAAGAGTAATGTAGTCCCAAGAACAGGCGATGGCGACCCAAAATCTTCTCTTTTTCAGTCGCTCTTTCTTCCGGGAGCGATCCTCAACAACATCCAGCAGAACGGTCCTTCAGTAACCGTAAGTAGCGCCCAACTTTATATCAAAGTGGCCAACCAATCTGCACGGTACCGAACGTCGACCACGAAGTTCTGACAAACTGTATGAAGACCTGAAGACCCAACCCCACATAGCACAAATGTTCCTCCCTTCGATGAGTCAAGTGCTTGAAGCAGTATCTGGTTGACCTTGCGCCAGCATTCGGGCCACGGGAAAAGACAAACAGAGTTGCGCTACCCTTGAATGTGACACAAGAATGCGCCGGAGAAAAAATCTCTACAGGTTGGTACACGATGCAAGACTTGTTGTTACGCAAGGTGACAACAAAGCCAGATGATAGGAATCGTCCTGGGGTGGTCGTTGGTGATTTCGAAAGATCGGAAGTGACAGACGGGATGAGTGACAAGTTTGACAACCAGACCCTCTTTTAAGGCTAGAATACGGCAGATTTGGTGAATGTTGGAGTATCCAGGATCATGGATAGAAACTGATCGAGGTTGTCCTGATGAGGCAGCGGAATTCAAGAGCGCCGGCCAGGAGGAAGAGAGAGGTTGAATCAGACAGATGTTACAAGGCTGGGGTTGGTGGTGACTTTGATGCAGATCCCGGTACAGCCAATGATGGCATCGCGGAACGATGGTGGACCTATAGGGCGAGATGTGCCTTGGGTCGATGTTTCCGTTATGGCTGGACACAGCAATGATAAAAGAAGTCCAACGATTGCTGGAGTGGGCGGATGATACTCTGCCCAAAAGAGTTTTCGGCTAGCTACTGGTATTATTGGACGGGGGAAGTCAAAGACTGACTTTCTATGGGGATCAACTAAGCCTCTTCTGCGGGCTGAATGGTCGCCTGCTGGCCACCGTGCCACTAGCTGTTTTTCGCTTCTGCCACAGATGACATGCTTATCGCATTATTGTTCTTTAGGGCCATGCTTAACTGCGATCTACGTACAACGGCGGGCTGTCAACCATACAGGCGACATTCAAAAAACCCTCGTATACCTTACCTTTTTGTTTCCATCAAATCACTGATATCGTCCCTCGAGGTTGTCGTTTGTCGGTCATCGATCGCTTCGAAATGATGACGGCTGTGCCCCGTTATCATGCAAGGCTACCTTCTTTTGTCTCTCTTTGACCCTGCCTATCACCAATCATTCTCTGTTTATGTATCTGCCAGACGCTGCAAGACCCCGCTTGTGGGCTGAGAGTCTCGCAGATTCATATACATAAGAAGTCCCGGAACGTCCTTGTTTCCCTCTGACTGCTTCATGGGTCTTTGTGGTGGCGTCCCTGCTCCATGGTCGACGTGTAATAAGAGCCGAACACGAGCCGTTCGCGGCGCTTGCGATACAGCCAACAGTACTCCGTATAGGTACCTAGGTACACACTCACGCGTTATTGGGACGTTACTTCAGATACTTTATAAGAGACCTGACGCCAACACTACTCGGTCCTTGAATAACCGTATATGCCTTTTTGGGTTGGTCTCGGCCCCTGGTTAGGGGTCGACGGCGTCGATCTCTCAGTCGCCTGCGTGCTCAACGCCTGCCACCTCTACCCGCATCACGACTCGGTAGAGCTTCCATGGTCTTTCGGTCGACACGTGCTTGAGTTCAGCTGTTATGAGAATTTACGCCGTAATGTCGATGATCGCATCGCTAATACCTGGCAGGCCTGCCGATTCATGACTAAGAACTCCAAACGCCGCTCACAGCAACAGGCACATCCCTGCGCCCTTCCTTGATGGACCTATTTATCTTCCCCAATAGGCTTGCTCGTCAAATTCTCCTTGGCTTTACCCTTAGCCTTGTCTGCCAGTGCTCGGATGCCGCTACGCTCCATGGAACCGTCCCGCTGAAATGATTCTCTTCGCACTTTCTCGTTGTACTCGCGCGCCTGTCTCTGTTCCTCCTCGCTTGGAGTGTAGAGATTTCCACCACCACCTATTCAAACCCAGTCAGTACAACCCTTTTGCCTTTGCACATCAGAGATCGTTGATTGTTGAGGACTCGTACCTCTACCAGTGTGATGTGTTCCCTCAGGCAGAATGATCCCGGGAACATCCACATCTTGAGCTCGTCGGGCTTCGTCCGGATTGTCATTCTTGGCCATATTGCCGGTTCCGCCCCTTCCTGTGGTGTATATGTGGGTTTTCAAGGTAGGCGTGGTCTGGGTGCCTGGGATAGGAGAACGATCTCTGGTGGTGACATTGCCTAGACGACGAGGCGCATTAGAGGTATTGTTCCAACTGCGGCACAACCTGGGGCGCTTCCACTCACCGGCACCACCTCGCCCATACGAGATTGGCCTTGACTCAGGCATGTTTTGAAATGGATGTGTCCTGTTGGAAGTCCGGCGACTGCGAGTACAGTAAGAGCCCTCAGCGGGTATTCGCCGAATGGCGCAACTTTGGTATGGGCTCCGGGATTGTTTTCCTGTTAGGATCTAGAGGTCAACACGCTGAATGGATGGGAATCAGATGAACAGAAGGACATGAGTCAAGCACAACGCAAAGAGACCATATGGGCGGAATCCCAGAACGGAAGGGAAACCCTGGCGCGTGTGGCATGATTTTCAATGATCTGCTCGTCTATTATCGAACTGGGTTGCATCATTTTTGACCTCAAGCTTTGACAGTCACACGTGCGGAGTGAAAAATTGGCGACGTTTGGACTCGTTGGTTGATGCGCAGTCAAATAGCGAAACTCAGACGTAACAGAAACGAGCCTCATTAGAGGGACAAGAAATGCCCAGCCTTAGCCTCTTAGCCTTTCTAGCAGCCAACAAGGCTTGATGACGAGTTCAGTCCAGGCGGCGGAGACGTCCGTTGCCTTGCTCTGGCAGCACGAAAAAGGGATACTATCGCAATACTCTTCTTGAGAACCCTGAGAACTGATCTGATACCGGGGATTGAGGAGATCTTGTACTGGATCTGGATCTGACTGCGGGACAGCAGCCAAAAGGTGTCTTCTACCCCAGATCTGCAATGAAGGGCGAGACGCACGGCGTCCATCTCCGCTAGGCCACGGGAAACAGTCTAAAAGGTACCGGTAGGCATGAAATGCAAATGACTCGCTAGCACAGCCTAAAGCGGCATGCGCTCGAGGTTCCTCGTGACCGCCGCAGCACCAGAACCCGACTTGCCGACACTTTCGTGTCCACGGACAGATTTGTCCACGTCTTGCTGCTAAGATGGTCGGAGGTACCTAGTCGACTATCCCTTGTAAACAGGCGATGAACGCCTTGCCTATCAGCAGGTGTTGCCCAAGCGACCTGACCCTGAGAGACCAAAAATGAGATATCGAAGCTACCTACACTCTGCCCATCATGTCAAGAGTAAAGAGGCCAATAGCCTCGGGCAAGCCTTTGCGGAGAGATCCCCTGGCTTCTCTGAAATTGGCAGATATGCTCATATCAAAACCAACTCTTCCTGCAGGTGAGATGCGCCCCGAGATTTAGGGTGCTGACAGGGTCGCTGAGTGGTTCTAGAGATTCTGACTGCAGTGGTTGACTACCTTGATGTACCCGATCTACTTCGCTTCGCGCGGACCTCACGTCGCATGCACGATATGGTCTATGATGACGCAAGATGGGTTTACCGACTGAGGAAGATGGACTGTTGGAATGAAGCAGATGCAAGGAAAAGGAAAGAGCCTGGCAAAACACCCATAACTCCTGGTGGAAGACCGAGCAGGATAGAACCAAATCTGGTGAACGGCAAGGGTAGACCAGAAGTGCTATTCGACGTTGACTCTTCTCCTGTCGTGCAACGACGGCATTCGAGTCTGCTTTCACCGCTTCGTCCACGGCAGGCAGCTGCTGATGGTTTCGATGTGGCTGAACTGGCAACTCCACGGGCACTGATATCCCCGGGGCTACCGGTCGATCCTGCAGAAGCACTGTCGGTGTTTCAACGGGTCAAGTCAGTAAGGGGCCAGGCTAGGCAAGAGTATGGCAGGATTTACAGACTTCTTGCGCCGTACTATATTGATTTGTACTCCGCATCACAGCCCATGGGAAGTCGCATTTTCAAGGACTTTTCTGTACCGGAGCAACAGGCGCAACTTTTGGCAAACGTACGGACTTTCTCCGCAAGCGACTTCTCACCAGAGTCGGGAAGCCGAGCCCGGCGGATCATGGAAACCGTGGAGCGATTTGATACTGCAGCCTTGCTGGAATTTCGACAAGGATACGAGTATAAAGACATTCGGGGTCAAATGCGGCAGTACGCACGTGTCATGCATATACTGAATGGTGGCAAGAGTGGCGTGGACCTATTCTTGCATGACAACAAGCTCATCAATCAGAAGGCTGCGCTAGGAAGTGTGTCCGATTGTATCGACTATTCTCTAGGTCATGGAGAACTGTCCCTTGAGAAGGTGAATGCCTACTTCGGGAGACTGGGAGATGCTCTCAGCCAGGAAAATAGCATCGTTGAAGCTGTATTTCCAAACGCTAGGGAAGTATCCCTATTACTGCTCGAGGAGGTAGCAAAGGAGATCCTTGCGCCATTTCTGTCACATCTGTTTGAGGACGCGCAGACACGAAGTACGTCAACATACCTTCGAATCATATCTGGAACATTCGCAGCAACGAGTCAATTCATAGAGGATTCTGCTCTGGAAGGCGCGGAAGAGTCCACCGTAGCGCGACGTAATGCGATTCTCGCTCAGATATACGGACAGCATCTGGAGAAATACCTGACAGAGGAATTGGCCTTCTTCCGACAAAAAGCAGATGCGGAAGTCGAAAGGTGGGACCGAGCATTATCGGAACAAGCAGCTTCTACTGAAAGCTATCTCATGTCCAACGTCAATCGCCAAGCTGACAAGAAGGATTTCATGTCAACTTTCAAGCAAGTTCTTATGATGCCCGTCAATATCCTTCCGAGCTTCTCCGGTGCATCTAGCGTCAAGCCAGCCGCCAAAACCCATATCGATGGTGTTGCCACTGTCTCATCCAGACCAAGTACGCCGAATCCATCCGCAATACGCGCGGTTACTCCTTCGTTTACGCCCGAAGCACCAACCAACGAACTCGCCGCCAAAGCAGCCATCATGAATACCAAACTCGAAAACATCCGGTCTCTGTTTTCCATTGAGATAGCACTCAATCTTGTTCACGCCGCAAAGTCGTCGCTCGAACGTGCCGCGCAATTCACTAGGCTTGCAGGCGAGCCAGGAGAGTCGGCACGTAAGCAATGTTCGGCTATCTTTGTTCTCCTGCTTCATTCCGTGGGCGTACGGCACGTTAAAGCTGGGTTTGACAAAGCTATCAATCATCTGTCAAACTATAATCCTCGTGACACAAACTCCAATTCCGACACCGATACAGTCCAGGTTGCTCCACTTGTAACGTTCCTGGAATTAGTCAATGTCGGTGACCTTATTCAGCAAATGCTGGACGTCTTCTACGAATCCGAGCTCGTCCGACTGGGAATTTCGAAACGCGACGACTTTCTCGATGTCAACATCAAGGAGAAGCGCAAGTTTGAAGCCATGCTCGATGAGCGTGTAGCCGCCGGTTTGGGTAAGGGCATCGACGCGCTAATGGATGAGGCCGAATACATCTGTGCGACCACTCAATTGCCTACGGATTTCTATCCCGAACTTGCCCATGCCGACGCCACGAACGGAACCAAACCCGGTGCCAATGCCATGGTCATGGACTTCTCAGGCCAGCCCACCACGACAGCTTCGCGCGTGATCGCTCTCGTTTCGCATCATACAGGCATGCTGACAGGCGCGACGGAGAAGACGCTCCTCGACGTGTTCACGGCGGAAGTTGGCCTACGCTTGTTCTCTGTCTTGACGAAACATATCAAGCGGCAGCGTATCTCGACGCTCGGTGCGCTAGCGTTGCTTTCTGACCTAACGGCGTACGCGAATTTCGTGGCGCAATTCAAGAACAACGATCTAATCAGCTACTATACCGCCTTGAGGGAGGTCGCACAGATCTATCTGATTGGTGGTGAGAGTGAGCGCGACGTTGCGGAGATGGCGACCATTATTTCGGACGCCGAGAGGTACAAGGGCGTGTTCACGGTGGAAGAGGTGGTTGAATTTGCTGAACGGCGGAGTGACTGGTTGCTCGTCAAAGGTCGCGTCGAGGGTAAAGTGAAAGGCGATGGATGCGTGGTAATGTAGGCGACGCTGACTAGAAAGCAAGGAGGCACAACCTCTGCTGGAGACTACAGAAGCCTCCGAGTTATACTCCCTGAACGAGACGAGTTGTCATTCCCGCGTTCAGTTCGGTCCATCTAGTGAACACGAAGGTCTTGAAAAGCGTTGGACTATGTCTGAGGCCTCAGCGTCTTTATCTTAGAGTCACACAAAGATTTCGCCGGCGTTGGATGCGTGACTCTGAGTCGTGAACGCCAGCAGAAGAAATTACAAGCCCTTGGCTCGAGCAACCGGAGTCTATACGATTACAGGGACGGTACAGTAACCGTACTGTAATGGAACTAAGGTAATAGACGGAAGACGGAAGTTGACTGACGAAAAGTCGTTAATCGGAAGCCTTTGATTGGTGCCAAAGAAACACATCGTTCAGATGACCGAGACCGACGCATCCGGACCAGGAGGATCGTTCTACCTAAACGTCTCCCCTCCGGAGTCCTTCTCCTTCTCCTTCTCCTTCATGCGTGGTTGATCATGATGGGAGACGGACTGCTTGGCGACCAGACCTGCGTCATCAGAGTGATGGTGTCCACAGTGTCCGAGCGAAGCACGACTTTACCCCGAATGTCCGCAGTAAAGAAACCCAAACCCGGTCGGTACAAGCCAATCATACCGTTCCCTTCTTATGCAGGACGCTCATGGTTCGGATGAAGGGACATCTCCACCCAGACTGTTCCTGCGGATGCGCGTGCACCGACGCCAACCAGGTAGATGTCTTTGGCAGCATTTGGAAAAGGCCATCGGGGCTTGGTCGAGGGTTCTGACCACGGCCATTATCGCATGACACTTCTCGTGGGCTTCGGGAGGTGCACAGCTGGCCCAGTACAATGCGTGCAGGCCTCAAAGCATTTCACGCCAAAGTCTATACCTTGAGCCATCCGACTAGTATAAGAGAGAGCGACAATCCTTACATCAACCTTCCTGGCGCACATATCTAGCTCTTGAACTCACGTGGCCAGTAATGAATTACTCTGATGTGAACACAGATTATATGTCGTCCTTCATGGACTTTGGTGTAAGTGTATGCTCAACAAGCAAGTATCATGACACTTTGCTAAGTGTACGCTGATAGTCTTACGATGAGAGTCAACTCCCACCATTCCACAACGAAGATGGCTTGCAGGCATCGACGAGTCTTGGTGCCTGGCCTGGTCAGTTGGGACCAACCTCCGACTTTCCGATGGCTTCGATCTTCGAACCTTTCAACCAGGGCTCGTTCATCGATCAGCTCCAAGACACTGATCTGGTCGACTTTGGTCAACGTTCCCACCGTGCATCTCCATGGCACATCCCGCCATACATATGTGAACAAGCCATCCCAACGTGCCAAGAGTTGGACATCTGGTGGCCATTCAAAACCATGTTCCTTCTTCCTCGACCGAACCGTCAAACTCGATTTGCCATTTTTCTGGTCGTCTGTCGCTCCGCCAAATGCACCATGGCATGATTGTGTAAAACAAAACCGCAAGGCCATAGCGGGACCCCGCAGAGGCATCAAGCCCAATGAAGTAAATGTGCCCCTGCAAGACTGTCTTCGTGGCCAGCTCGACACCCACCAGCCACCCAAGAGCCAACCCCCCAATGAGGATGGAACTAAGGTACCCGGGCCCGTCTTCTTCCTCCGGTTTCAACCGATCAATAGTGACTCTTGCCGATTGCCAGATGATGAACAGCATGAGAGGTAACTCAAGCAGCTCAGCGTAGTATAGGGCGCCAAGTGCCGGTTTTGAAAATGACGCTCTCACTGATCCGAATAGCGCTCCACAAGTGAACACTAGGACGAAGTAAAAGGCTGAGAGTCGAAAGCTTGAGCAATGAAGTGAAATGGTCTCATCGTGTTGGTGTGTGTTTGATATAATTTATTACTGCTAACGAGAACAATGTCAGTCGTAGGGAGGTGCGGGACACTTATATCTCTGAAAGCTGAATGCATCACGTTGTGATGGTGTGATACTCTGGTCTTGAACACCAAAACCTTGCAGCCTCGGAGTCTTCTCATTCAGGCACATGGCAGAGCGAAATGAAATCTCCCGAAGCCTGTATCGAGCCTCATTGGATACAATGATCACGACATATCCTTTGACATTGACCAAAAGTCTCTCAAACTCCAGAGGGTTCAAAAAGTCGATAAGCACTTGTTTAGAGTCTGTACCAATCGCCTCGACCCTAGATAAATTGTCTTTGATGTTAATGACTCGAGTGTTCTCGTCACGAGACCATATCACTTCACTAGACCTCAACTTCACTTCACTCGATCTCAATAATTCAGCCTTCATATACCAAACTCCCTCAAATTTGCTCAACAATTAAGGTGAAAGACTTCTTGGGACCATATCTTCAGTATCTGGCTCAGCACGACTCGTCACTAAGCTCATAGCAGGGCACCGAGACAAATTCCAGGATAAATCTTGTTTCTACTCAGGTACAGACTAAGTGTCTGGCTCTGGTAACGACCTGTGAATGAAGTTTATACGAGGCACTGGGATCCGGAGTAACATCTCTAGACTGGTCTGCATCTCTTCCAGTATCTGAACCATCTCACGTAACGTGGGCAAGAAATGCCGGCTGAATTCTTCGGCTTAAACAGGGTAGCTTGCAGGTGTTCAGAGAGAGGTGTCACGCAAGGAGTCTGAAACCTACAATTGTATAACCAAAATAAACCAAATAGGTTTCCTCGTCTCAATCCTCACAGGTTGAATGAGTTTTTGCTCTTTTTGCGGACTGCATTCGAATATTCGTGGTATCAGTGTGGTGCGTGGTAGGCGGTGATATTCACTCCCTCACGTGCACACGCACTCTGCTTGAAGGTGTGGTAGGGCCAGTTTTCCTTAGGGCGTACCAGACTTTCGTGGACTTGATGCCCCATCGCCTTTCCACAAGGAGAGCACAGCCGCATAATTGACTCTCAGGATAGTTGAAGTCAACAGCGTCGTTTCACTCCAGTGACGAATGGTCAGGATGGATCGAAAAGGGTCGCCATCTGCGTCAAACCCCACCAGATTCTCGAAGTCCATACCTTCGCAATGTCAGATATGTGGTGCCAGGGTATGGTAGGTCTTCTCCTCTAGCAAGTTCTTGGAGTGGACAACATGTTGATCATCTTCATTGTCCTCGATGCTTGAAAAACTGCAAGTATCATCATCATCATCGCCGACATCGCTTCCATCGTCCAGGAAGAAATCGTCATCGTCATCGTCCTCCTCCCCCTCCTCGTCAGAATCTTCATCAAGGACCTGTTGCTCGAAGACTTTCAAATTGCGATCTTTTGGCGACTGGTCTTCTTGCTCATTCGGGCGGGATTGTGAAGGCGCGGTCAGAAAATCTTCAAACGAATGGTCTGGTGCTCCGGTGCCGGGTATCCTGCCCTCCTCGATGTCGTATTCAACATTCGTATTAGGTAATAGAATGTCATCCGGCTCAGCCATATACTTCGCGACTTCCTGGTAGACGGAACAATGCCCGATCAGTTTCTTGAAGTCGATATCGGGCAGGCTCGACTCGTGCTGTATTTTCCAGCTGGATAGCCAGGACAGTTTGAATGCCATATCATCCATTGTGGGACACCTGGGGATAGTGGTTGGTCCCGATGGCAGAATGGTCGAGCAAGTCATCAGTCTTGGTCTGAACAGTAAGCATATGTAAGAGAGGCTTTCGATTAGGTCATATGGATCGGTTTTGACATTCTCAACTGACGAGCACGACAGCCTGTGACTGTTTCAAGTATCCCATCCATCTTCGCTATACCTTACGGTAGAACAAGCTCGAAGCAAAGGCATATTCGGCGCACACGACACTTCGCATGACAATCTTGTGAGAACGGACGTCAAGCGTAAGAAGCACTTGGCCACGCGTTCCTAGTAACTACAAGAAGGGAGAAACTCGTCCTCTAGTAAGTGGCCTGACCAAAGCACATGCGAGGCACATGCTTGTCATATGGAAACCATGACGTGCTTTTAGTGTCTGGATCCTGCTTGCTTTTGATTTGCTAGTCTCATGTTACTATCGTTGTATGTGGTAGTATTGCATTAGCGCACCGAGTTTTGACGACGAGGGTTCGTCTGCGACGTCTGGGGAAGGTTGTGGATTTCTTCCCGCGGTTTCCGTCTTGCTGGAGTCTCTCACCAATCAGACGCAGTTCTGTTTACGGGTAATGAATCCATGAGACATATCAACGAACTTCGTAACATGTTTTGGTCTGACAGACAAGGCATACTTCGCCCAGACATTACAACCACACAGCATTCCTTGAACCCTTGCCTGAAGTATCTCTGCTGGGGGACGGAAATCTTTCCGAAGGTCATGCATAGATACATGGGAGTACCATGGATCTTGCAAACAACCAACCACGCTTTCGTCCGAGCAGCTCCAGAATGGTCGACCGGGCTTGCGGACAATGTATGCCAAGTTCTTCACCATCATCCCCTGGTTGCTAATTCTCTCCTGACAAGCGCCTGATTGTACGCTTATGTAAATATGGTCTGACATTTACAAAAGCATCGAGCAAACAGGGCATCTATGTATGGCTCCTTCGGGTCTGATATCCGAGGACACTGGCATGTTCTACTACATCTCGTCGGCAACGTCACTTCTGTTTCAATGAAGAAGAGCTTCGTCGCGGGTAGGCTTCCACAGATCGCGCTCTTCTTATCCTGTTCCATTTCTCGATTGTTCCAATGTCAGGGCAGACGCTGTTTCTCTGAGGTATCATGAACTCACGTCATTGAGTTGCACCATACTTGGTCGGGCATTTGTTCAGATCGAGTGGTTGCAGCGCATTTTCAGTTGGAGAATAGGCCTGGAACTGGTCGCCAAGCCATTTGGAGAGACCTTCTACAGTGTACTTAGGCTGGTCGGGTATACTTCGTCCTCCCTGGAAGATCCGGAGAATCACTCATGGGAGCACAATGTGACATCTCAAACGAACAAGAACAAGCGAATGTTCAGAAGTGGGTGATGTGTCTCAGGCTGTGCGTCCATAACCATGCAGTCCTGACGACCTTCGGCACGGGAGAGAAAGACAGCGCTTGCGCCACTTCAGCGGGCCCCAATCTCAGACCCCGTCACGGCCGAGTTGGGGACTTCGATCATGCCGGTCCGTACGACCATTGTTTCACCCTGTACGACGAACTAGCTGACCACAACAGACGCTTTGCGCATTCCTCTCCATCGTTTCGTTACCCACACCATCGATGGACTGCTGAGCAGGGTTTTACGTGGATGATTCAGAACCTTCCCGAAGTACCCGACAGTTGTTATCCAACAATGCTAATACTATACAACGAGTCTATAACAGCCCTTCAAGTCGAAGCCACATTTTCAGCCTCATGGTTGTACTTGCATCAGCCAGCCTAAAGCCCTTGGGTCGACTCCAAAACTGACCTAGCGCATGCAACACAATGGTTGGCCTGATGACCTGGATTCCTGCACGATGTCGTTCGCAACGCTTGCTTCAGCCTGATTTGTTGTCCAGGCAAGGGTCCGGGCTACACAAGCCTCACTGCCCGACTTCTGTGCATCTAGGTACTGATGACGAGAACCAATGGTCTCAATGGAGCGAGGATCAGCCTGCAGCGACGTCTCGGTGGCAAACAATAATACCGTCACATATCAACGTTCTGAAAGGAGGTTTTCTCACATCAGTACCCAGACCACGCCTATTGACTGTGACTGCGACCCGAAACTGTGCCAACTCAATAGGCAAAAGCAGTCCTTCACAGTCCCGCTTGCAAAATGGCAGCTCAATACGTGCCAGTATTCTCTCATGATGAACACCATCAGGCTGCGGGCATAAATGAAGTGGAGATTCAGCGCAAGAATCAGCGGCTCTCCGGTACCCAGCTGTCGTCCTTGCACATCGACGACGACGAGAGAAACTTGACTTCGTCTCAGACTGTCGACGGAACTTCCACGCCTCCGAAGGAATCTTTGGCGAGCATACTTCACGATCACTGGCTCTGGGAGTTGGCGTCACTCTTTCTGAGTACTGCGGCTCTTGCAGCAGTGGTTGTGTTGCTTATCTATTGGGGTGGGAAACCGCTATTCCAATGGTCAAGCTCTATATCATTGAATACCTTCGTGTCTACATTGGGAACCGCACACAAATCTGGGCTGGCCTTGTTCATTGGAGCTTGCCTTGGCCAACAAAAGTGGAACTGGTTTCACCAACACACCGATCGCCTTGAAGTTCTGGAAACCTTCGCTGAAGCTAGTCGAGGTCCATGGGGGAGCACAAAGCTCATCTACCAACTACTTCCTCGCTGGTGCGTTACCTTGCCTATTGCTGTTTGCGTTTGAGTCTGAATGTCAGCGCAGGAACTTGTCTCACTTGGCCTGTTTAGTCCTTTTGATAAGCCTCACTTTCGACGCCTTTCTCCAAGCCACTATTTCTCTCCATGGGTCCATGGATCGCAGTACAGACATATACAGCATTCCAATGATCGGGCGAAGCACGAATGCTGCTGTCGGGAGCTTGCTAATCATTCCAGGCTCTCCGGAGGCGGTATATCCCGAAGGGAACAGTTCAGGGCCCGACTATGATGGCTTCACCACGTATCCCAGCTTGGGCTTAGTCAGTGCAATATTCAATGGACTGGATGACTCCTCTGCGGCGCAGCAGGACAGGGTAGGCTCCTCCTGAAAGACAGGTAACTGTACTTGGCCAGTATTTGCATCTGCTGCAATTTGTGGCACTTGCAACGACGTTTCGAAGTACATTTCCAAGGAACGTGTATACGGCTATCCCTCAAGTCAACCTCAGCTCCCTAATGTGGTCGCTAATGAAAGCTATACAAGCTTCGACTTACCTTACTGCAGCATCAAGAATGCTGACGGCGGATATCTCCCGGACTCCTCAGCTGACCCATCCCCAGTTATGAAGTCCATACTCACCGTCAATGTCACAACGGACTATCTGGAATCCCTGACCTTTAGCGATGCGAACACCACTTTCCTCATATTTATCATGATGAAAGCAGACCCAAATTATATCAATGGAAGTGCTGCCTGGGAAGAGTCCACCCCATCGGCCACTGAATGCGGACTTTCTATGTGTGTCAATGCCTATAATTCCACCATCCAGAGTGGCAGTCTGATCGAAGAAAAGGTTGCTTCCTGGCAGAACAGAGAGTCCGATTCATGGCTGCTGACCGATGGCTACGGGAAGAAATATGAGTGGTGGGACGAGACATATCCCTCATTCAGCGACTGCTACAATTTGTTCAGGAGCGACTTACAACTTTCGATACCTCCCACGGACTCGGCGCGGGGGTTGGGGATAGACACCGGCGAGCGCTTCAACATTACTCAAGGCACCATTGCGAGTATTCAAGACTGGATTGTGACCTGGGGGTTCGGCGTCGTAGACTCACTCTGCGATTTTGGGACGCCCGCCCTCATCGCCTACCCCACGAATGCGGAAAGCGCCCATCCCCTTGCAGAAGTTCTCTACAATTCCGCAAACCTGAACGGTACCTTTGCGGGTCTTTCCAGCAGCCTCACGAACTACATACGCGACAGTTCTACCACCAAAGTCCAGGGCGACACGCAACAATATGTCATCAAATTCAAAGTCCGGTGGGCCTTTCTCACAGTCCCTGCTCTCCACATTCTGGGGGGCATCACCTATGTCCTAGCAATCGTCTGGCAGACGAAGAATTCTGGACTCCCGGTTTGGAAAACCCGTGTCATCCCGTCTCTCGCCTTTGGCTTGAATGCTGCGGCGCAAGATCAATTGCGATCCGGACTGGGAGATCTCGACCTTGCAAGTCATTCCATCAGACGCAAAATGATGATAACTTTCGACACCACAGGGGATCGACCGCAACTTCGCTTGAGCGAATCACTAGGGCACGATGAAGAATCTGTCAAAAAGCATCTCAATTGGATCAGGCGCAAGGTAAATTGAAGACGTTCACAGCATGACATAACTATCGCACCTACTGCATGAGGCAACAAATGTTGACGTCTAGTCAAAGTCTGGGGCTGCGGCGAGGTTGAGGTTAGTTTTCTCCACCAGCTATTAATACCTGATACCCCGGCCTTGCAATTAAGCTCTCCCGGCTCCGGGCGGCTATACTTAATGCTTCCTAAGTGTCAGGGAACTCGCCGGCGCCAACGAATCGCGTGGTTCCGGGCTTGCGCAAAGTGACGTCGCATTCTGACCCCAAATAATCAAGACGATCAAGTCCAAGCGCAGGTCGCCTTGCTCGTCAATCTGACTCGTTCCTTCGCCTCAGCCTCAACCTTTCTCGATTCTTCCTCATGTCGTTGCCTTCTGTCTCTTGATATCTTGAACATTGTTGCGCTCAAATCCCTCGTCACGTCTCTCGTTAGCCAATAGTCTTGATCTACATTCTTCCTTGATCGCGTCAAAACATCGAACCAAGGGCACCAGAACAAAAGACCGCAAGAGAAAGACCTACGCGTATACTTTGGATCACACCATACCATGGCATTATAGAGGTACGGGGAAAGAGCAGGAAGACCCAGACTAAAGCAGGCCAGCCACCATGCTCCTACACCCCTTCTGTCTCCTCGCCATATCATATCTCTCGATCTTACCAGTCTGCTCCCAATCGATTTCGACCACCGTGGTGGTCGCTACAACGGTCACCAGCTACTACACTGCGGCGGCAGCCACGGCACCTCTATCCCCTCAATACACAGATTCCCTTGACTTCCGCACCTCGATCCTTAACTCCACCAACTTCTACCGCTACGAACACTCTGCATCGTACATATATTGGAACACAAGTCTTGCACAGTACGCGCAATCATACTCAGAAAAGTGTGTGTGGGAGCACTCCCACGGTCCCTACGGTGAGAACCTCGCCCGCGGATATGCCAACGTGACCGAGGCTGTGGAAGCCTGGGGTAACGAACGTTCGATGTATGATTTCAACAGCACCGATCCGACTGGGTTTACCGAGGCGACGGGCCACTTCACACAATTGGTGTGGAAGAGCACACAAGCCACAGGATGCGGCTGGACGAATTGCAATGGCAAGAATGGCCTGGAAGGCGTCTTCCTGATCTGCGAGTACTACCCGCCCGGGAACATCGTGGGAGACAACAACAGTTACTTCAAAAGCAACATCTCTCCGCAGAAGAGCGGCGGGGAATCCGGGTTCAATGAAGAGGCTGCCACGCAGGGTGCAACGGGCGGAGTTCCTTCTTCCACCACGGCAAGTTCTCCTAGTGCCAGCGCCACGAGCTCGGGTGGTGAATCGGTGGGCAATCCGAACCTCGAAGTCGGTGTGAGCAGAGTCTTTGCCACGATCTGCGTGACTGTCGCGGCGGTGTTGTTTGGCTGGGGCATGTCATGAGCATCACTCATGTCTAAACGAGACTACGATTTCCTTAATATGTTTGAAACGAGCGTCAATCTTGGTTGATGTCCCAAATATGGTTGACAAAGTTATATTTATGGTGAGGACGATGATACAACGGAGGAAGATGTTCACGCGAACCACTATCATAGCATCAGAAGCGATGGGCATAGCATGGCAGACGTCTGGGTCGATTACATTTTGATGTTAATATGATACAAGAAAGTGATTTGTTGCAATGTCAATAAACACCACGCTATGAAAATCCCGACTCTAGTAATCTACAAGGAACATTTGCGCGGCGCAATAGTGGACCAAGCACGTTGATCTTCGCCAGTGTCATCGTAACACCAAACACATCAGGCGTGAACGCACTCGGACGCTGCATACGGTTCACGAAGAGGCCACCTCCTTTCCCAATCGCCTCAGTGCGACGTTATCCAAGATCGTCCCCTCTCCATGCACGCCCTCGCCCTCATACCGGTTCCTGCTATCGAGCGCCATATCAACAAGCACCCTCCCCAACTCCTCCGTAGGCGAGTGCCACCCCTGACTACCAACCCACCGAATCGGCGCAATCAGCGCAGGCAAATACACGCGCTGTGCAGCGCTACGCTTTTCCCTCAACACCCCATGCCACAACCAAGGCTGATTCCGCCCGTCCACGGCCGCTGGCCGGACGCTAAACGCGCTCAATTTACCCGCAAAGTCAGGCTGTGCCGCGAGTTTGAGCAGCGCCGTCTCCGTCTCGCCCTTGACGCGCCCAAAGATCGGCGTGAAGCGTCCTGGCGTCTGTGTCGCGCCCATGCCTGACACATAGACGAATCGGAACTTGGATTTACCAGTAGCTTGCTTTGCATCGCTGTCGGCGTCCGGCAGGGGCAGGTCAGAGAAAGCCCTCGCCGCGCTCAAAGTGTAGTCTCTCGTGATCCGGACGTATTCATCCTTCGAGACGTCGTTTTGACTCACGCCAAGAGCCCAGATACATGCTTCAGCACCCTTAAGTTTGTCGAGAACTTCCGGAGAATACGTGTTGAAGTCCTGGTGCGGAATGACTTCTATCTGTGTGGTTCTGTTGGCGCGAGGCGTGCCCTCAGGTGGTGTGTTGGCGAGTAAGGGGATCGACGAATTGCGCGAGAGAATGCTCAGGCGCGTGATGGTGGTGTTGGGTAGGGACAAGATGTGTGAGAGTACGGATGAGCCGACTAGGCCGGTGGCGCCGGTCAAGATGAGATGGACCATCCTTCTACAATCTCAGACTCCCTCCCTTGGTGTCTGTAGGGAGTGGAAGTGGGTTTAGTGTAGTTGGACCTTAACACAGTATATGATCGAAGCTCAATAATTCAAGGGGCTGGAGAAGATATATCGTTCTGGCAAACATGAGTACCCCACATATCTTCAAATTGGTTGCTTTGCCCAGTCGCACAATGTGAGCAACAAATTCGTCCGAACCCGGATGGAGGGCTGTACTCTGCTGACACCATGCGCCAATGGGTGTAAGTCAACATTGATCGACGAGGCTGGTCACGATGATTGCGGAGATATTGACGTGACATTTCCAGAGACACGGAGTTTAGATAGCCCAATTCAGCTGTTGAGATAAGTTATCATGCAAGTTGCTGACACGAGTGGGGCAATTGGACCTTGGCCCGTTGACCACAGATATCTACGAGTGCAGCGGATCTCTCTTGCTGTGCTAAGATCAGAGCAAAACCTAATAGCACGGGCAGAAGTGTCATGGAATTCCCTGCTGCCACAGACTTCGATGGCGATGGACTCACCATGGCTTTTCACACAAGCAAGATCTCCTCCACAGTAAATGGCGGCAATGGACATCTCCTATCCCACTCGAAAATGCCTCTCCACTCCCATCCTACTCCGTCATGAGAGCCACCGACCACAATCACATGGTTGTTAGACCCCGGATACGGTAGTGGAACATTGCTCGGGCCTCCACTAGGGCATACCTGTAGGAGGATACCTTTGGCAAAACCGTCAAGGTGCAGCTCCTTTACCACACGCAGTCCCTCGATAACGGAGTCAATCTCGTTTGGCGGGACGGACGATCCAGCTCCAGGATCTGCTACGGAGAACTGAAATGTCAGCCATCTCGCACGGAAGCCATCAGTGGTGATCTCTCCAGATTTAGAATCACCACCACCATAGGCAAGATACGTCTTCTCGTGCACTGGACTTGATGCGCCTGCGGATCTTCGAGCCATTGTCGGACGGCAAGGAGCCCAACGTAGACCTGGGGTACTCTGGAGCCGAGGAGCGCTTGACACAAGAGCACCTGTCGAGACACTCTTGCCCACTTGACGCTTCCACATCTCCGCTGCATCTCCTTCGATGTCACCGACGAGAAGACTCCAGATCAACACATCGTCCTCGTCACGAGTAGCATGCCGATGACTGAGGAGAACCGTAGCCTCGCCGATACTGATGAATCCCTCTGCGATCTGGCGGTCTTCTTCAGTCGCAACAGAGCCTCCTCCTTCGAATAGCTCCATGCCGGTGATGTCGTCGGGTGGAAGTAGGTACGAGCGTGTCAAGAATGGAATGGCAACTTCAATTCTTCCACGCTGGTAAACGGTCTGCAGCACATCGTATAGCTTAATGACCTTGTCGTCGAGGCAGAGCAAATAAAGCGAACGCCTTCCTCGCATGGACTCAAGCAATGTCCACGCCCTCATGTTCCAATCGCTAATTAGCAAGGTCGCAAGCAGTTGCTCGCAAATCTTTGCGTCTGGATCGGAGATATCGATTGACATTATATCCTGATCACAAACCAGAGTGATGTTGCTGAGGGTGAAGATTTGGGTGATATTGGCGATACATTCCCACCTCAAGTCTTCTTCACTGGGTATGCACGGCGTGTCCATCCAATATGACGAGCAGCCCAGGGATGTTGCGATCTTGGTGTATCGCTCGTGCAAGCACATGTTGAATCCTGTGCCTTCCGGACTGCCTGGATCGGGCCTACCTCCCTGGCCGTGGCTCCAAACATGGGACACTGTGAGCGTTTCTTGCGTGACTTTACAATAACGCAAGCCGGATGCCTCCGTGGTACTGGTGTCGATAGCCTTCGGTCCAGGGACACCGAGAAAGGAGGAACGACACCAGAAAAGTCTCTGGCAAGATCCCCGGCATTCTTTTGCGTGCGTTGACTGATTTGTGACCTCTGTATGTTCAAATCGACCACAATTGACCGACGATACACCACTGCATTGTTTATTTTCAAGGTTGCAAATGGCTGACTTTGAGCCGAAGCATTCTTGGTACAACTGAGTGCATCGCCGAAGGTCTGTGGAAACGCATGCTCGATCCTCCACAAGGTTCCGATAAGCCCAAGCGCAGAGATAGGGTGTGATTTTGAGTTCCGTTTGCTGCACTTGCCGGCGATACTCGAAGATCTCAGGGACAATATTTTGAGCTCGAATTGAGTTCAAGCCTTGAATGTTGTAGTCGAAACCTGAGAGTTGACGACCAACCACAGATCGTAAGTGGAGCATCAAAACCCTTTGCCAGGACGTCCACAGGAAGGCACACACAATGGCCCATCTTTGACGATTTCCTCTGCCTTCATTTGCGAGGTCTAAGCTTGTTCTTAGAAGGAATATCGTCGCGTTGAGAAGGCGGACCAAAGGTGGGGGTCCATATTCACGAGCAAATTCTCGTTGAGCGGTGCAAAGCACTAGACGAAGAACGATCGTGTCGACGAAGTTGACCACCAGTAGCCTTTCCCAGGTAGGATCCGGCGAGTCATTGAGTGCAAGATCTCCCAGTGAGCCCGGTAGAACAAAGCCGTCATCGAAGGAACCCTGATATCGCAAAGCACCTAGAATAGTTGGCGAGGTCGCTGGCAGTTGCCCAAGAATGTCCGTGGCTCGATCGAAGATCTTCGTGTGCCTAGAGTCAGTAACAATACCCACCTATATGTGCGCTCAGTGTGGTAAGAAAGTGGCGGATTTACCTTCTGTTCGACACCAGCTTTCCCTCCGCGTGCTCTTCCAAGATTGCCGAGCCTGTACGTATCGCTATAAGTTTGGTCTAGACGCGTCACGTGAAGCGCAGGATCTTGCGTGTCTTCATACAATTTGAGGCACAACTTCTTGGCCTTGCCGGTGTTTGGAAGGCCATGTTGGGAGTGGTGGTCAATAAGTGATTGAAGTTCATACTCGCTTTTTCGGCCCTGGTTCTCGTTCTCTGGATCACTCCAGACGGCACGAATTCGGTCCTGCGAGAATGAGAGGCTGCCATACTGAAGCAACATGATGTCCTTCACGGCAAGGTTGGCATCTGACAAGAAAGACTTGGCTATGCTGCTTCATTGGCAAGATTATTGCTGTTACGCTGCGAGCAACAAAGTCATCCGTGCCTCGCGAAAGCGCTGTATCATGCTGATACGATGCTGCCTAGGATGTAGAATGGTGGAGGAGGCTGATGTAGGTGCTAGGCGGAAGTGGCCCAAGGTGCATCACATTTGCCAAGGCCTACCTACCATACTGAATCGTATTCCTGGAGATATCGACATCCTCAAATACCGGAGAGGAGATGGCCTAGATTCTGCTGGTCACAGTTTCTGCAGAGTTGCTGACACGAATGCTGAAATTGGATTCCTGACCCATCAGTCGAAATATCACCTCTACAAGTCTGTTGAGCACATGGCAGATGGATAGGGCACATGATATAGACCATATAAATCAAGTTGTGATTGATCTCGTGGATCGTCTATATTAGTTCTCTGTCTCGTCATAACATGTCTTGGACATCATGACTGAAAGCAAACAGAAGGAACAGCAGACGAAACTGCTGAACACCATCAAGACTAAAATATGTACCAATGCAAGTATTGTCGTCAACTCTGCCAGACGTCTTGATGAGCAAAGCAGCTGATCGACAGTCCTGTCCCGTATGTCCAACTCCCAGTGGAATGCAAAATCCTCCTTCTAGGAAAATCATCATGACAATGTCGTCAATTAAAATCATACAAGAAGCTCTGTTCATGACTTCCGTGTTCTCTTGAATGTCCGCATTCTGTGCAAGTGCACAATAAATCATCAACTGTCATTCACTTGCCCGTATAGTCCAAGACACCTGCCAGGCGGATTTCTTCGACAAATTTCTCCTCATTCCCGACAGTCTGAAGGTTCCAATGTCCAGAATGAGGTTGCCGATTGAAAGGGCCCCATCCAAGCATCTCCTGGACGTTGCGTCTTTTTAGGTCGACATCCCCTCGCACGTCAAATAATTGAGTCTGAAGGCATGACAGAGTTGCCACTGCCGCCCGAACAAGTGTTCGGTCGCCTTCAAACACCCAAATATCCCAGATGCGACAGAGTCGGTCCACGTCCAGACCATTCGAAAACATGGTTCGTAACATCGGTTCGAAAACTTCGTCTCCACTAAATCCTAGACCACCTTGCTCAATAGAGCCAAACAGATATTCGTGAATGCGCGGATACTTCATGGCCAGCGTCGAGACCGCGTGATTATATGTTCGAGCAGTCGTAGTAGCGTCATTTGTCTGGAATGCCAAAGGTATGGGCCTGTTCAAAGAATTTGCCAGCAGAATAAATGCGTCCGCTGGTGTCGGTAATTGCAACAACAGCAATGCCGCGATAAGTTGAATTCCATAAATATACCCCACGTCACTTCGATAGCATGCATAAGCTTCGCAAACATCGGCCAAATCTTGCCAAAGAGGTGCGTTCCTTTGGAACAAATTGAGCTCGGGAAATGCCGTCTCTGCGTCTCTTTCGATGTCGAGAAACAGTCGTTCGATGCTTTTGTCGGCGCTATCGAGCTGGTCGGTCGGTCGCTCTTTGATATCTTTAGCTCTTTGCAAGGCCTTCTCATAACTTTTGACGGTGAGTCCGAGAGGGTTGCCTATGGCCCTTTGCCAGACTCGGCCGCGAAGGTTAGGGCTGATACCACGCCAGCAGAGGTCATTGACTCGGTTGTCAATGGTCGAAATGTCCGTCGTCTCGTCAACATAGTACTGCCATATACGATTTAGCGACTCTCGGGTATCGTCCTTCTCACACCGCTGAACCTGCAGCTGTGTGCGGCGCTTCTTCTCTGCATCGACTGATGCCGCCATCATGCGTTGGTACTCCTTCAGATGTCGCCGTTCCTCTTTCGGATCCTTTGGTGGCAGCCATGATGGCCGCGTCCGTGAGAGAATAGCTTCCTTTTCTTTGGATATAGGCATAAAATCCAAAGTACTCTTCTGGATCGGGGGCAATTGTATGCCTGCACTTTTGGGCCTGGATTCAGATGAGTGCTGGCTATCCGGCGATGAGCGGCCGCTCAAAGCTTCGGCCTGTACTTGCTCCTTCAAATCTGCGTGGTAAACCAACGCTTCCGAGATAATTCGTGCCTCTTCACTAAGCTCGGCCATGGCAAGGTTCCACGATTTCGTCCGGCCACTATTCCTCAAAACGTTTAACCTGCGTGGTGAGGGTGGATCCGTTGCACTCAGCGTGGCTGATCTTGCAGGGGGAGGTCTGTTCTTAGGGAGACTTTGTGAGTGCATGTGTGGGTGAGGCGGTGTCTCCGGGGCTGTAATGGCATGCGCCAATGGTATAGGGCGAGGACTCTGAGATGGCCCGTCTCTGTCCGGACTCCCGCGGAAACTTGACCGATGCGACCGCTGACCGGATGGCAGAGGCGACACTGGGACATTCCAGAGACTGGCGTCATCTGGCAAGTCATCATCTGAGTCGTTGTATTCAGCTTCCAGTTCCTTGACTGATTTTCTCTGGGGTTGCCATGAAGAACGTCTGGAAGGAACTCCGAGTGACGATAGAGATGCCTTATGAGTAGGTCGCAATCCCCCAGCACTGAGCGAGTTGGTCGACATGGACGTCAATGGTCGTCGCTGTGGTGGAGATGTCGACCTCGTCCTAGGGGTTCCCTGTGCATGGAATGTTTCTGGGGTGGTGAATTGGCGCTTCAATGCCGACATCCTCGACCCCACCGGCTTAGGAGTGGCCGAATCCTGCATTCTGTGGGAGAACTTTATCGACGTCTGCAACTGTGGCAGCGCCTGCCTCTTCTCACCAGATGCCGGATCTTTCGCCCTCATGAGTCCATTTTCTGACCCAACAGACTGCATCGAAACATCCCGTGAATGGCAGTTTATCGTAGGAGTTTGCTTGTCATCTTCTAGCCCAATCTCTTCGAAGTTGATAGTGTCCGAGTCCAATCCATCAGGACTCGAGAAGGTAGAGGAATAGGATGAGGATTTAGAGGAACGGGATCCGGACAAGTCAGGAGGTGAGCCCGGTATACTGGTCGTCGTTGTTGTCGTCATGGTAATTATATGTACATTTGACAAGGTGGTTAACGAGCGTGTCTCAAGTTGTGAGCGGCGTCTTGTGCTCAGCGACAAGCCATTGAAGATGCAATCGCACGTAGAGTTGTGGGAACAGGTATCGAATGTTTCTGCGGTGGCCTGTGGGCACGCAATTTCCGGGCAACGAAGGTTGTTATTGACGGGACTATTTTTGTATCGAGTGCTCGTGCGCAATGACAATGCTAGTTCTGCATACTGGGAGTTTGTTGATTTTGAAGAAACGAGTGTCGGGATGCGCCTGAGGATGTGTTCGTTGTCGCAAAGGACGTGATCGAGGTCTGCCAACTGGAAAGGTGAAGCTCGAGGGTCGTAGCCAAGGTGCAAAGTTTCCAATGGACCAGCCCCTGGCAAAGATATCGGGATTGGTGGAGTTGATGCTGACGGTGACGGTTGGCATGATGCTGGCAAGGATCCATTTATCACACCATGTCGAAGATGGGGTCGGGCTGGCTGCGTTAGGGCTTCCTCCATGGCCGTTGACTGGCTGATGAGAGGTGGCCTTGCTCCTTGCCCAAAAGCCACTGGAAGCTTGTTGGAAAAGTTGGTGGCGGTCGGGGGCTGGCAGGTTTTCCACCGAGACCGTGGATGGCCACGATTGGGGAGGTTTCAATGATTGACAACGCTGCAGGTTGGCCCCACGGGCTGTTCGTCAAGACTTGTTTGGCTGGTGGTCCCTCTTTTTCCGGGTCGTTGATGTAATGTGTCTCTCAACAAGTTTCGCGGAGTATCTTTCGAGATGTTATATTCAAGGCGTTCAATACACGGCTGCTGCTGAGTCCGGTCGCGAACACGTTTCAGTCCGATGAGGGAGCGTGTCAGAGGGTTGACAGAACCATGTCGAAACTCGAGACTCGATGAAAGGGATGGTCAAATCAGCGGCAGGATGGTTTTCTGACGCATGTTGGCTGTTTCATGACAATAGAATGCAACTGTCCAAAAGTTTTGAGGCTTTGTGCCAGACGAGGGCGTCGGGGTATACGCTTTGATTTGTTGTCTCTTGATCAAGACAATGACCAAGGGTAGAGGTAGACGTTCATTCCCTGCTTCAGTCAGCAGGCAGGAGCGTTGCGTCGTTGATAAAAGATCTGGTGTTGTCGGTGGCTGGTTGTTGGTGTGCATTGGCGGCATGGCTGCAGGAGCGGGTATGCAACGCAGCGCAGCAGCAGCGCACGAGTCTAGAAAGATCCCGCAAGTTTACGTGTGCCACAAGTCTGCCACCCAATTTTTACTTCCCTTCCTACATTTCTACACATTCCATAACATCGTCCTGTTGTCATGGACACCTCACAGACACCAAATTTTGGACTTGTTGAATTGTCTCTAGACTCATGTCAATGTCATTGTGTCATCTCCATATCCGTTACTACGGGGTACTCGATAGTGGTTGTGAGTGTTTCGCCGCTTGTATAACATACACACTCAGTAAACATATCCTTTGAACGTCTTCTCGTTTTGGTCGAGCAATGCCCTCAGCTCTCTTCCCTGGATGTTCATGCTCGCCTCAGTATTCTCCCTCAGCATCCTCAGCCAGTGCAATACCTGCCCATATTGACTCTGTTTGCGCAACAGCACCCTTTCCCAAGCAGCGGCAGCGATCCAACACATCTGCGTCCGTGTAATCTGTTTCTGGTGGTTGTTTTTGACCCAGCAGATCTTGGTTGCTGCTGACACTAACTCTTCAATCAATCTCCTGATCAGGGCTTGTGAAGCGCGAATATCTTGTTGCATACTCGCCATATAACGATGCATTTTCATGGCCGACTCTGCAAAATTCCCAAGAAGAGTCGCAAGTACTTGCTTCCTGCTGTTGAGCGACATATCCAGCAGCATAGCATGCATTTGCAATTTCAAGGATGACAACACCTTTCGTCTGAGGGTGGTGCCAGGTCTCGAGCAACTCTCGATCGTCAGCCCGTTACCTACAAAGGCATCTTTCCTGTCTCTATCTTTTTTCAATCCCAGCGAACTCATCTCGATACTCAGGCCGCAATATGGGAAAAAGGTCCCACCGTGTATTCGCGGGACTTTCGTGCCCCGGATCGATACGTCAAAGTTGACAAGCGACTTTTCTGCGTTCACCATGATGCCATATCGCTTATCACCGTTGAGCATGACTTCAAGGAATTGTCTTGCCAATTCCTTTCTTGTAGTGATTAGAAGGAAATCGTCAATCAACCTCAGCAGCATGCAGGACTTCGAGTCCAGAAAGTCGAGCTCTTTCCGTTCAAAGGCTCCGTAGAAATAGCTGCAGAGGAGACTGCTGAGCACGGAACCTTGTGGTATACCATCGATCTGTCTCATGTGCTTCTTTCCGATCTTGACTATACTGTCTCCGACATGCTCTTGCAGGACCTTCAAGAGAGAGCTGCGAGTCAAGACCTTGTTGTTCCCTGTGTCCGCCAACACCACTTTCCGCTTTCTGATGGCGACATTATTGGCATATGCCTCTGAAAACACTGCGCTTTCATCTGCAGGACGAGCAGAACCGACATAGCGTCGCCTCAACAGGCCGGTAGGAGTGTGCCCTACTTCGTCTAGACATTTTATTTCTGTGTGTCTTGTTGTTCGATAAGTCGTTTCTGAGAGCAACCCTTTGACCATGGCCAGTAGATGTTCTTGCGGGATACTGTCAAAGCAAGACTTGATATCAACCTTGACGAAGAACAGTTCTGATCCAGATGGCAACGTGTTTTTGAAACCGGTCAACCGATCATGTATTTCTCCAACAGACAGTAATGCCGACCCTAGTGGTGTGGGATCATGTGCACGTTCATAATTGAGGGCGCTGAACACCGATGTAAGCTGGGCGTTGATGCTGCTACTCAAGGTTCGTTTCCCGCACACAACTTTGATCTGCCGCCGCCGGAGATTTGTGATGGGTCTCGAGCCCTGGTCTTTGGGCAAGAGTCGTAAATGGCTGTAGCCCAAAGTTCGCGATTGTAACTTTTGACGCGCTTCGCCAGGCTTTATGACTGAGTACATGCTCAACTTGATAGCGGCAAGGCTGGGTTCGGAGAGTTTACGCCAGACATCATGTCGAAAGTAGAACAAGCGATTGCGGTGGGAGGAGCTTTCAGTGACATAGAAGTTGGCTCGAATCAAGGGTATCAGTAGTGAGTCAAACAAGTAGTACACGAACTCATGTAACAGTTCTTGCCGCTTTGAATGATCAGACTTGGACATCTTCTGACCTTGCTGGCTCGGCGCGCACAGCCAGGGGAGTGCTCTCACTGTAATACCATCAATGGCCTTGTGCAGCGTCATGGTTTCGAACCGTCGCATCCGAACAAATTGGTGAATGTTCATCATGATCTTCGTGTGATTTCGTTGGCCTTCGATACCGCGGCCAAATGTGTCCGCAGGTAGCAAGCGTGCAATGGCTGATCGACAAAATGCGGAGACCGCAACGACAGAAGTCGAATGAGGGAGAAAGGACGTCGCGTTCTCATATGCATCGTTATTCGAGGCATGACTACCTGACGATGAGTTAGACCCGGCAACCTGAGTCGCCAGCGGTTCGGTGGAAGTCATGCTTTCAGCCTGCAACCACGTTGTCGATGCTTGCAACTGTGGATCGCCAATAGGACAATAATGGCGGAGAAGCTGACTATAGGAACACCTCTGATGGTTGTGTTGAATCTCCCTGACCAGACATATGATGGCTCCGCGCAGGCGGCGAGGCACCCACTCCGGTTTCCTCTTCGGCTTTGCCTCGATCTCTACTTCTCGAAAAGTGTAGTCTTTGAAAGGCTGTGCTGTTTCCGCTGGGTCAACAGTCGACGTAAAAACGTTGTGTAGCCCAGACTGGCGTGGGAAGACATATTTTGCGATATGCGCAGCGTGATCTAACCGAGCGACATCGGAAAACCTCTGCAGGACATGAGTGTGATGCAGCCCAAATTTGACCTTACCATGGACATTCAAGGACGGCCTTGCGTACAATATGCGATTTCTCACAAAGCGAATGTCTGATGGCCGCTTGATCTGTGGTTTCTCACGAACAGGCGTTGAACTGGTCCGAGTGTCCACGGGTGCGTTCTGCTTCAGTTCTGAGATCGGAATTCCGCTCAGCTGAAACAAGTTTCCTTTGCCCTTCGAGAGCCTGGTGAAAATGCCACAATCCAGCAGCAGGCTCGCAAAGATGACTTCCGCATCTTCGCCTAACTGCGGGAGGAGTTCGGACCATGCGTCTGATATCAAAAGTTTCAGATTATCATTTGGATGCTGCCGAACAACTCCGGGTAAGAAACTATTCCTACCACCATTGTCGCCTGTGTCTAGTGACGCTGACGCCCTCTGCAGGCCGTGGCAGAGAATATGGTGAGGTCGAGTCCCAGTGAAATTGTTTCGGAATAGCGACCAGATAACAAAATCCACGACCTAGATAGCCGGGGTCAGTACGTGTCTCAATATCGGTTGGAATCAATGAAGATCACCTCGTTTATGCAACATTGCTGTGAGTGGCCGCTGTGAGCACCGGTGGCACGTTGTTGACTTTGTGTGAAGGTGCAGAAGTCGACTTTACGTGTTTTGTATAGAGAGATTGAAGGTTCTTTCAGAATACCGACCAAGCAGGTATCAAGGACCGATTCCTCATCTTTTTTAAACAGTGAGAGCTTTCTTCTTCTCACACGTGATGTGGACGGCAGCCGTGTCAGCAGAAAGTCCCTCAGAGTACAGACCTTGATATAGAAGGACGACAGAACTCCATGATAGATATCCGGCGAGGCTTGGACGAATGTTGTATTTCCGGCGTCTGATGCATGATTGGCTGATTTTAGAAGTTTCGACGGGCGGGTTGATACCGTGTCAGGGCATTTCCGCTTTCTGGCCATGATCCCCAAAACATTTCCAGAATCAAGACGATGGCCCTCACAAATAGCTTCAAGCAACCTGGTGGGTTTTGCTCATTGTGGTTGTGGTTGTGGCATCATATGAGGGTGAGTGTTGACGAGGCCCAGGCATTGTTGAACGCGTCTGTTTCGATATCAACGCGAGTCCAGATTAACCAAGGTAAGAAAACGTGAACACGCGATTCGTGATTAGATTTCTCCAAGCGTGAACTGATCGACCGTGTCTTGGAAGGCGAGTTTGGTAGGCTCTCGGTAAGATTTCATTAGGCCTTTTTGGAGAAGGTTTAACGAAAGGTAGGTCGTGCTAGCCGGCAACTGACAGCCAGGGACCCCTGGGCCTAAGCTCAGGGCTACCTGTTACCTGTCTGCCTTTGGCTTTGGCTATGGCTGTCACCGTTTGCAATGAACGGCAGAGGCGTCGTCCTGATCAAAGATTGGGTGTCGCAAATCAATGGCCCAGCGCGACAATGTGCACCTGTCAAACATAAAAGCAGCAGCAATCGACGCGCTGTTCGATGCAGGGGAGTCCAAATCAGAAACAGAAACACCCTTTCTCCATGTGTCTTCTGTACCCACGATAATCAGTCCTTTGTCGGGCAGCAAACAATGGACATGGGAGTCAATCAGACAGGCATGGGTTGGATAAACTCCGCCGCCCGCAGCTAGTCGCTTCACCCATAACGTCCCCCATCCACTATTTGGACGCTAGTCACAGTAGTAATCGTATCCTGTTCGCTTGCTGGGCATTTCAGCCGAACTCACATTGCTGCGTGTACACAATCGCCGGCGACTCAACCCACCGTTTGGTATGTGTTCCCGTCATCTCTTTGTACACGCCTGTCGAGTCACCGTCCAACCTACACCTCACCGTCGTCAGAGTTCTGTCCTGTCGAACATCCTCACCGGGTGTACCTAATCACAGCCCAAACCCACCGATCTATCCCTGCGGTCAGTCCCGATCTCACACGTCCGCAACCGCAGTCTGCAGCGAAAGGCGCGACCTTGCGTGCATCTAACCGACTCGAACAGTCTTCATGCTTCCCTTCAGTGGTCAATTGCACCTTGATGCTCAGTCGGTTACCATCTCCGGAATTCCTGAGACCACTGCATTTGGGCATCTCTTAGGCTGGCTGTCACCGCTGTCAGACGTCGGCAGTTGAAGTCTTGTACAAAAGGAGGAGTTGCAAGTTGCAAGATACACTTTCTGACAGGACTAAGTGACTGCGCCCGAGTCGAGTGATTGGACTATGTTGGGTGTGTCAGGCCATGCATCTGCACGATAGACATCACCGTCCAAGAAGGAAGGCCCCGGCGTAATCTGGGGGCAACTGTCGAAGACATGCCTTCGGCGGTATCGAACCAGAACAATTATTATGCCGCACATCATCGACGACAATCCTCACAATCGCAAACCAACCTCCCCGACCAGATCAGAGATTCCCCGGTGCAGATTCAGTCCCCGAATCGGTCGCTAGTTTTTCTGCCTTCTACGGCATATTTACAAGCGCAGCCCACGACCGGTCAGACGTCCTCGACGCCCTCCCGTTCAAGGCCTGACCTCAGTCTGGATACTGCACAGAGTGTCGAGGTCCCCAACGACCCACATGACTTCTACAGACAATACCAGGATCCTTTCTCAAAATCATCCCCTCTAGGCCTTCACCAGGCAGCGATCCGCACGACCACGTCCAACCACGACGACAGGGGCCGAGCAGGAACAAGGAAGTCTAGCTTCGCATCAATACAGTCGACGGAAGAGAAAGGTACAAGGTCAGAGAGGAATTCAATTGGTTCACGAAAATCATTGGGCAGTCTGAACACATCCCATGGCGCATGGGACAGTAACCCTACAAAGTCTTCCACTGTTCCCAATGGTCTGAGATCTCGAAAGGCCTCATTCAAAGATCTTGTCGCCCGCTTCGATGCCTCCCCGGAAGAGGTGCCGCCATTGCCAATTCAATTCATCTCCCGACCTGCCTCAAGGACTGCGAGCCCTATGCCTTACGCTTCGGTGGAAGTGACAAACTCCTATGCAAGTGGTCTGCCCGCGACAAACAGACCAGATACCAAGGTGTCCGATTCCTCAAGGAGGACAGCAGGTGCACCAGCGCTTGCATTGACAAGCAGTCCTCTACCTGCTAGTCGCAATCGAGTGGCCTATCCAATGGAAATGGCGGGTTGGTCAGTGAATAAGACCACAAAGACAGAAGCTGAGCGGAAACTGTTGTTCGGCGAAGTACTTCCCACGAGCTCTAGTTCTCAGACGGTCGGATATGGCATACAACACGCTCGCCAAAGACGTGGTTCGGAAGGATCGCCAATGCACAGCCCGAATGCGATGTTTTCGACGAAGCCAGCCACTGCCAGAAATGGAGCGAACCCATCGTCCGCTGCGCAGTATTCATTTCAAACATATGTTGATCAGCCAACTGTGCATGCAGACGGTCTACATCGTCGCGCGAACAGCGATCTAACAAACCCGGCATTGCGCGTGATTTCTGGAAGGCGGCCTTCTTCAAGTATTGGAAGTGCTCAAGGGGGCCTCCAGTCCCGCATTCCTGTCAGTAAGAGGCATCAACGCATGGTCTCGGAACCTACCGATACATCACCGACGACTCAATCAAGCCTTGCCCGCCAATTACCTTTGAGAATAACTAGATCGGGACAGTCATCATCAACCCCGTCGCCCTCTGGTGAGCACAAACCTTCTAGTCCGCGGCGTGGGCCACAGACTCCGAACCAGATTAAAAGTCCCGGAAGGAGGCCTAAGGCGGCAACCGCATCAGGCGACAAGAGCTCATCACTGAGAGCCAACATTATCGCTCCACCACCAAAAGTCTCACCACCGTTAAGGAGCTCACGGCCTCGGCTACCCGTCTCTTCAGCCACTACTGCCGCCTCTCGTGCGAAGATAGCAGAGAGAGCCGAGAGGTTCCAGACCGTGGCTAAACAGCAAAGCGATGGCAAGTCATATCGACGTCAGAGACCTCCAGAATTGACGGACATTGATCTCAAAGCTCGGCGATTGAAGATCACCCAAGCACTGACTAGGTCGAAAGAAGGTCAAGAGCTAAAGGGTCATGGTGCTGGAGCTCGACAAAGCTCCACTAGCCGTAACAACAGTATAGCACCTTCAGACGCATCGGACAAAGTCGAGTCCTCTGGGGAGGGTAATGCTCAGATCCCTGCCGTTGTAGTGGATGAGCCGCTCGACACATCTGAAGAGGGTCTCTTTTATGGCCAGAATCAAGGACATCCAGACGATCAAAGAGCATTCACCCAAAGTGCCCTGAGAATCGTCGAAGGTGGTGCTTCAAGCGTCGCGGATGAACCAGATTCGCCAACTCTTGGTCACACGGAGGCAGCTTTCGATAGCATACCTTTCAGTCTCAATACTCAATTGCAACCCACCGAGGGTGAGACAGAGCCGCATTCCGCTGTAACGGAAGGGACCGTAGCGACAGACGCGACTGAAGCTACGATCATCGATGCGGAGCCTCAAATTGACCAAGATCGACTAGAAACTCCTGCACAATCTCTGCTTAACCAGGTTAACAGTTTGCGGAGCCAAATATCTTACTCGCCCTTGTCGTCCGCATCGCCAGCGTCTGCACCGACCTCTGATCATGCAGACGAAGTGTCTGTGCGGCTGATGCTTAGGGACACGACTTATCTGGACGATGACGAAGCTGTCAAGAAAGGCTATCGACCAATCCCTACTACAGCGGAGCCTCTGCCGATACCGCATAGCAGTAACAGAGCGTCTTGGACTTCTTCCATTGAAGAGGAAGAGCGTGAGCATATTGCGGAAGATATGTCCGCGCCAGACCTCACGCCCCAACGCCAGAAGGATGAAGGAGCCGCAACAATGGATTCTGACTCGTACTCCGAAGCATCTCTTGCCAGTGCTGAGAATGACTCTAATCGAGACGCATATGCCATGGATGCTTATACGATAGTGAATATCGTGCTCCAGCAGCGTACCCCTTCAGGAGTTGTCGACCAACAGCTTGTGGATGATATCTATCATCGCATTATCCAGGCGTCGCCCGACCTGGCCGACGCAAACAATGTGGACGAGGAAAAGGTGCAACGATTATGCTTGAAAGAACTTGAAGAACATCACACGCGGTGGGGCCAAAACGAGTCTTCACAGCCGCTCTCAACCGAGCCTATCCACTCGGAAACGTCTGTGAGTGCAGGGCACGTCGCGCCGTATGACCCTCAAAATGCAGGGAATGGAGCTCAGATGGCGACCACCTCTGAGTCTGCGGTTGCCCTTCCATCACAGAGTTTCCGATCTCACAAATACAAGTCAAGCCTTGACAGTGCTGAAGACTGGGCGGAGACATCTCCCTCTGTTACAGACTGGATTCAGTTCGCTGCCAACTCCCCGAAAGCACAACGACAACAATCGTCCCTAGCGCATGAGACATTGCCTGACGTTGCGCGAGAGATCTCGGACACCAATCTGATTGTACAACAGAGTGAGCATGTTGAGTCAGCAGGTTCTATTGCTAATGCTGGAAACTGGGATATTCCAAGGCCCCCATCACACTCGCCGCCTCCACCACCGTCTGCAGCCTTCCCTTCTATTGACCAGACATCTTGGTCCGCTCCCGGCGGTATCCAGCCAGCGGTCGTCTTTGCACCTCCTCCATCAAGACCACTTACCGCGGTGTCGCAAATATCTGGTAGGTCCAGTCTTGACCATCAGGTCATGCCTTCGAGCTCTAGCACGACCAGGCCCTCTACTGAAGAGCAAAGCCCCGAGCAACGGCGCCTGACTAAGAGGCGACATGTCCTGAAAGAGTTGGTTGATACGGAGTACAGTTACGAGAGAGACATGCGAGTTTTATGCGACATCTACAAGCAGACTGCTGTCGCAGCGATAAGTGACGAGGACATCAAGATCATATTTGGCAATGTAGACGCTGTCCAACAATTCTCAAAAGACTTCCTTGGCCTACTAAAGCAAGTTGTCAAGCCTGCCTATGTCATGGAGAGGTCTGATCGACGGAAGGATGGCAATCGAACCTCAACTCTACAGAGTTCAGCAGCCTCAACCGATGGCGTGGGAGACATGAATGACGTCGAGAAGGATGAACTCACTCGAGTCGGACAAGCATTTGAAGCGTCGTTGAGTGACATGGAAAAGGTATATACAGAGTATATACGAACTCGACATGCCGCGAATAAGAGACTGGAAGTTTTGCAGGCGTCAACCGCCGTTCGGGAATGGCTCAAAGAATGCAAAGAAAACTCGAGCGACATTACCAACGCCTGGAGTCTGGATGCGCTCCTTGTGAAGCCAATCCAGAGAATTACGAAATATCCTCTCCTCCTTCACCAGCTCGTGGAGACGACCGTCGAGACACACCCCGACCTCAGCTTCCTTCGAAGAGCATTATCCGAAATCACCGATGTCAATGGGCGCATCAACGAAGTCAAAAAGCATACAGAGCTTGTTGATCAGGTCCTTAACAGAAAGAGGAAAGAGTCCGACGTTCGAAATGGACTGACCAAGGCATTTGGGCGTCGTGCCGAGAAGTTGAGGCAGCATGTGGGCATCAATGAGATGTACGAGGATGAAGAATATGCCAGGTTGAAGATCAAGTACGACAACAATATTGCGCACTTGTTCCTGGTCTCGAAAGATTGTCAAGGCTATATTGACGCCATGAGACAGTGGGTTTTGCGCATGTGTGAATTGGCCGCGGCAGCCGAGGCCTGGGTTGACGTTGGACACACCAATCACTCACAAGCCGAGAGCAGACTCCGACAATTTGCTATAGTCGTTCGTGGGATCAACTCTATTGCTCTGCCCGATCACGTCGACCAGGTGAACAAGCGGGTTCTGGGACCCATGGAAAAGACTGCTTCAATGCTCGAGAGATTTCAGAATGACCCTAAAGGGCTGATCCAGAAACGGGACAAGCGACTTCTTGATTACAATCAATTCAAAAACAAGAAGGACAAGGGCGAGAAAATCGACAAGAAGAGCACAGAGCGCATGGAGCAGTGGGAGGCCCTGAACATCGAAGCCAAAGAGCGAAAGAAACGCCTGCTCCAGTCGACGGCTGATCTGGTCTTGTCATGCCAGGCCAACCTCGTTCAAATACACCTCAATTGGTTGAGTCTGATCAAGCAGAAATTTTCCGCCGCCATGGACATCCCATTGGAGAACCTCGACAAGTCTGACATAGTCAAGGATTGGCAGGAAGATTTCGACTACCAAGAAGCATCTGCACTGGCTCTGAGCATTTGCAACGGGTCTTTACTGGCTGAGGCAGGCAATTTGCTATCCTTCTTGACGCCAGGTACAACTCTGACAGGCGACGATTCTCCTCGTCAGCCATCATGGAACAGCGTCTCTAAGAGGTCGATCTCAATGAACGACGAATCGTTTACACTGTACCATCGGCAGAGCGAAGGCCCAGTTAGTTCGCACAGTGACGATCCCAGCGAACCGAGCTCCTTTTTCGCTCAAGGTCGGTTCCGTGCTACATCGGCAGCATCTGGAAGGCCCCCAAAAACTCCAGACACAAGTTCTCGTGGCGTGCCAGCATCGATACACACCGCAAACAGTACCAATGTCTCTCGGCCGGGCACCAGTCCTGGTCTCCTGCAGGAGGGTCCCCCTCCGCGACTCAGTTTCGAGGCGCCGTCACCTTCACTTGGCATCGATCTGACGAGTTCTCCACAAGCAGCGAGAGACAGACATGCCTCCACTTCGACCTTTTACTCGGCAGCCCCGGGCCCGAGTCAATCGCAACCTCATCTTCCCGGGAGTGGAGGAAGTGTGTTCTCGTCAGCGATGCCTATGGAAGACGACACCGAAGATCCTGGAGCACCAGGTCCGAGCGAAGTCCACAGAGCAGCTGGGGTACTATTCGCCGCCGCGAGCGTGTACGAGTTCAACATCGACCACTCACGGCAACAGGGAGGATTTCGCTACCTCACTTATGTCACGGGCGAGATTTTCGATGTGATTGCCGAGCACGGCGAGTTGTGGCTAGCCATCAACCAGGATGACCCGACGAAAGAGATTGGGTGGATATGGAACAAGCATTTCGCGAGGTTGGCGGAATGAAAAACAACGATCATTGGTATGACTGAGACATTATTGAACGAGGGTCGGCTGGTTCATACGGTCATTGCGGTTAACAGGGACAGTCTTGGATATTGGATAGCACGAAAGTCTGGTCCCAAGGGCTGGAACGGGGCAAGGAATGGGCGGTAGAGTCTTTTTTTTTCTCTTTGCCTCAGAGCGTTCGAGCGGAGCGGTGTCTTAAAATCTGGGCGTCGTCGGAATGGCGGTACGGAGCGGAATTGTAACAACACTACAACTTATGCATGACTGGAGCGAAAAGGGATGAGGTGGTTAGCCTTCGTGTACCTGGGAACGAGATTTTACGCAGACGAAAGAATAAAATCTTAGGACCTCGTGAAGCATTGATTTGGCTTCGTCACCTACTTACTCGTAGATGGGTGCCGAAGACTCGGTTGGAGTCCCCACAATCCAGGGCTACAACGCTGGAGGTCGATGGTCGAGGTGGGTGAGATGGTGATGGTGCAGTGACTGTCCGGTGCAAAGGTATCCGAGATAGACCGCGGTTGCATCAAGTACTTGCATTAAGTTCTGCTTCGGGCTGCAATGTCCCATCGACCTGACACGGTGCTTTACCTCCGAGCATGCTTGCATGGCTGATGAGCTGGAGATGCACCGAACTTGGGACAGGGAAGAAGGGTCCCAGGATGTAGCTGCTGATGATACTCGGTCTTTGTGGTTGACATTTATGATCCGCTTGCAAGACTGCATCGAGACAGCCCTTGCACGAGCGAGACGGCATCACCTACATAGTCATGGAGCCAGGTACAGATGATGGCGACAATTCGATTGTCATATATGCTAGTGAGAGAGTATTCAGCCATGCTCCGTTGTGATCGTAGTCAAATATGACATCGTTTCCTTGCTGATTGCAGCTCCGCTGAATCTCATCGTTCTGAACAGCCTCTCCCATTGTCAAGCCCCCGTCTAGACCTCCTTCGGCAGGTCTTGCCCTGACCCTGGACCACCATTGACAGTTACTTCTTTCGATAACTGAACTACCAAGCCGCATGTACTGGACCAGTGGCCGATGCTGGGACAGGAGTTGGACTGCATTGGGCCAGTGTCTCGGTACTCGCGTCTGTGACAGTAATCGTAGTGGTATAGCTGACTTCCTGCAACGGCCCGTTAGCATAATCTTGGTAGGTAGGCATGTGAAAGAGTGTTTCATACCACGAAGATGTGACCCAGCACGATGACATCGATGTTGTCACAGCCCTGACAGTCGTACAAGGATGAAGTGTATGTAGTCAGAGTGTAGTATGTGCTTGTTGGGCCCATGGTGATGACTGGATCGGTGAATGCCGTGTAGGTGCATTCGGTGCCTGATGACACAGTAGTGCCGTCCATGACGGTGGGTTGAGCGCTGCTCAGTGTCAACGACCATGAACCAGATTATCATCGACACACGCACGTAAGAGCTGCCATGCCGGCGGCAAATCGACTCAGACACGCCATGATCGCCAGAGACGAGAGCAACAGGTACGACATCATCGTGATGCTTTCAGATTCTGTGCTTGTGTGCAGGGAATGGTCTGCAGGCAATGGCAGATTCCGGATGAGAAATTGGGAAGACGGATTGGCAATGGCAAGGAACAAGGAATGGTAAACCATTATATCTGATGTTGATGCTCATGTCGAGGGAAGGCACCACCGCAGGTTCAAGTAACGCAAAGCAGAAGCAGCAAACTTCAAACTCAAGCTACCTGCTCACATTTTGCACGGGGCAGCCACTTGGGATCTAGACTCACCTTTTGTCACTCGACAACATCAGGGCGATGTGCTCACCAAGAGTAACGATATCGTCTGGGGAGAAGATGCAAATGAAGCAGCGAACTGCGAAAAAGCCAGTTGATGCTCATCGAGCCTTTTTTCAGATTAATTGTCATTGTATCATGCAGCCTCGAACCAGTTTTTTGGTCATGCAACTGCCTTGAATGAAGAGTGTTACTGTACAATTGGTCCATCGAGCACCATACACTCGAAATGCTGCGCCATAATAGGCGACTCGTCGTGAAGGGAAACCATCATATTTTCAATCATGCAGCACCAGTCATCCTTGAATATTCATTACCACGCGGGTCCGCCCCATCTCCACCTCCCATCATCTTTCAGATAGTTGTTCAATCTTGATCCGAAATGTAGCACCGTGAGAATTGTGTGCCGTTTAGTCGTCTTCGCCAATCTGAACCCAGTCAGCAGACGAATTTACGCTTCATCATCGTCACCAACTCGGAGAGTTCCTTGGCTGCCGAAGCCCTGAGACCAGAATCCCTCAAGCGATGGAGAAGTGCTCGACATGCTGTCATGGGTGAACAGAAGCCAGAAACCGAAAACTGGTTTGGCAAGAATGTCCAAGACAGCATAAGCGACAATCTCTTGGTCGACGTTGATGACATGGCCACCCTCAGAGAGACCGAAGATACTATCATGCGTCAGTGGTGCAAACGTCATTAAGGCTGAGTCGACTTACATTGGATAGATGGTCCACAAGATCAAGGTGAAGCCGGCAATGGATGCATAGAAGGTCTTGGTCTTGCTGTCCTTGCCCTCAACAGCGGTGCGGCCGTTGTAAGCAAGCTGGTAGATGATGACGAGGTAGGCGATGCAGCCCCAGGTGAAATAACCCCAAGTCTGGCCGCTTGTGGTACCGAATGAGGCAAAAAGACCGGTCAAAACCATGATCAGGTCGGCGATGATGGCGACCAAGATGTTGGCACCGTTAAGACCGGACAGGAGAGCGAGGTCGAGTAGGAGCAATGGGGTGGTAAGCGACCAGTCAACATATCTTGCCCAGTAGATTTCGCGGATATAGTCCTGGTGTGTGTCCGGAACCCTCTTGTGGGACTCGGTTACGGTGTAGGTGATGTGGCCGACGCCATCTCCAGTGGCCATGGCGAAGTAGGACAGGAATGCGAAGGTGGTGATCAACCCGGTGATGATGTGGAAGAGTCGTTTTTGCTGGAGACGTTAGACGTGACCCTGGCATATGCGTAGAAGTGAACACGTACCACTGGAACGCGGAAAGCCATGCCATAGAAGGCGAGCGAGGAGATAGCCATGAGCACAACGACGACCCTGGACGTTGTCAGTTTTACAGCTTCCTTCTGGCATAGTAGTCAGACATACCACAGAGTTCGCTTTCCCATGTCACCGGCCTCCTGGTAGATGGCGGGTGTTGGGATGATCGTGGGAATTGGGGCCACAGAGGAGGTGGCGGCAAGGCTTGAGGTCTTCATCATGTCTGGGTGGATGAGCATGTTGACGAGACTTGAAGTTATGCGTCTGATACTATGAGCGAGGTAGAATAGCAGTCAGTAGCAAGCTTGCAGACTGGAGGAAGATGGGAAAGGAAGAAGCAGGCAGAAGTCCAAGGGGAAAAGGTACTTCGAGACAACAGGGAAAAGAAGTGCTTATGAGGAGAATGAAACGGGCACTGCAGGACGCAATGGCAATGACAATGACGAAGTGCTGCCTTGAATGGATGCTTTGACAGCTTGGTTGGTCGACATCAGAGCTTTCCCCATCTTTTTCTTTTTCTCCCATGATTTGGATCCAATCCTTTCTCCCTCACTCAATCATCCCACCCTGGGCTGGCTACGCGAGAACTTCCGCCTGATCAGACTCTTTGCCCAGTTGCCGATTGACTTCTCACTGATTCTCACTAGCAGCTGCGTTTGACGCGTTCGTTGGTGGTGAGATTGTGCATGAAATGTCGCACGTTGCGGGGCAAGCTTCATCGACCAGGGATGTCCTCACTTAGCTTGTGTCTAACTAGACTTGACTGACCACTGGCGTTGAGGCCTGCTCCCACCAGCCACGCTCTTCCCCCAGCTGTCAAACTATGCACTGACCTTGTGCACCCACGGCCAGAGCCGCCACGAATGATGCCCCTTCATGACTAGCCGCCTCGATCGCTTCATCCAACGACAAAGTGAGAACACACCACGAGAACAGCCTGACAGCCTCCTTTGCCAGAAGACCTTGATCTATGGACACCACCACGATGTAAAACACTAGTCGCGTTCGCTGCAAGCTTGTTCCTTGAACGTCAACACGGCGGTCGCCGGTTGCTGGGTGTTGAACGCCCCTCTTACTCAAAGGCGGCCTCGGCGAGCTAGCAATGGGAGCTATCCACCAGAACGTCACTTCATGACGTCGAAGAAGGGAACAGCTGTTGTGCAAGGGTTTCCTTCATGCGGACTTTGATGGCAAGATCCCGGGAATGCTTGCAGCGATCGAGTACTTGCAGGACACATACTATTGCATTCACCTGCTTCAGGGCAAACAGAATGAAGCTGTTCTGCTGTGCCTCTAAGATCAGTAGTTGAACCTCCTTGACAGTCCATGTTAGTCATCGAAGCCACTGTACCCCGCATAATGAAGATCGGTCTTAAGGCATTTGTAGATGCGATGTGACAGATTCGGAGTTCTTAGGACCTCGTGATCGCCTGGCTGGAATCATGGTCGTGGCTAGTTCGGTTGATCGCGCTCTTTTGACTCTCGATCGATGGTTGTGAGAAGGGCATGTACAATTACAATTTTTTGGGTACAGGGGTATATACATCAATCTTCTGCGTAGCCTAGTTGGTCTTGAACTCTGCAACAGCATCTGTACAACGTTTGCATAGTGCAAGATCGCCAGAATCAGGTTTGTTCTCTGTTGGTTCCACCACATATTTCCAACATCGTGCACATTTTTCGTGGTGAGGAATAGCAACCACGACGTCCCCACAGGACCCCTTTGAAGGTGAATTGATCTGGCATGAGTATGACCATGGCGCTTCGCTCGTCGGAACTTGCCTCAAACACGGGTTGCCTGCAATGTTTGGGTCCAGAAGTACTTCAACATCGGATACCACCAGAAGCTCCTTCCAAGTCTCTAGAGGGATACTGGTAATGTCAATGTCGTCCTGTATGTTAATCGTAACATCAGACGCCAGCGATTGACCCATGAGCTTGCTGGTTCGAGCGACTTCTTGAGCACTCTTGACACTTGAATTGATGGCAATCACGGTTGGCAGGACGTCTTCGAGAGTCTGACTATACCACTCTTGTGGCAAGGGAGCCCAGACGCGCTTCAGAGGGTGTGCAAGCGCACTCTTGTAGTTCTCGGAGCTGTGTTCCCAACTCTCCTCCACCAGCAGAGGCGTGATCGGAGCCAGCATTTCCTGCAGATGGCAGAAGATATGATGGAGGGCGGTCTGAGCGCTCAACCTGCGGGCACTGGTCAGTCCGTCGCAGTAAATGCTATCTTTGATCGCCTCAAAATAGAAACTTGACAGGTCCATGGCTACCCATCGGTATATGCCGCCAGCAGCCTTGTGGAATTCCAGGTCTGTATACGCCTTTCGCACTGCCGTGCAGACACCGTGCAGGTGATGCATTGCGATCTGGTCGAGACGTGCCATCTTCTCGTAGGGTACGACCAGCTCTGGCTTGAAGTCGGCCAGCATGCCCAGCAACAATCTCATGATGAGCCGGTACTTGTCGAGGGCGTTGTGCGCGGCACTTACAACAGTGTCGCTGATTACAACGTCCTTGGTCCACTCGCTATTGGCGACCCACATCCTGAGCGCATCAGGTCCGAGAGGGTGAACTTCGCGTTTCTGTTTGTTCTTGCCTGTGCCTGTCATTGGGATGGCACCGCCTGTGGCCCCAAAGCCCTTGATGATCTGATCGGGGGCGATGACATTGCCGAGCGATTTACTCATCTTTTTACCCTGCGCGTCAAGGGTGAAACCATGTGTTGCGAGCGTTCGGAATGGAGCGTGCACATGAGCCGCCGAGTCTGACCTGTGCTGCATAGACTTCTGATAGGCAATGTTGGTAAGCAGACTGGATTGAAACCAACCTCGGTGCTGGTCAGTACCCTCCAAGTAGACATCGGCCAGAGGAGCCGGTTGAGGTGTCGGACCGTCTTCAAGCATCTGCGTCCAGCTCGTGCCACTGTCGAACCAGACGTCCATTGTATCTGTGCCGCGTACGTATTCTGAAGCGTCGGATGGCAAGCCAGGCACGATCCAAGCTGGATCATCAGGTGCGTCTGACCACCAGGCGTCAATGCCACGCTCTTTGATGGTGCCGATGATATGCGCGATGCTCTCGGGCGACAAGACTGCCTCGCCGGTCGACTTGTGGTAGATTGCCGGAATAGGCACACCCCACGCCCTCTGACGAGATATGCACCATTCGCTCCTGTTCTCCACGAAGCTACGAAGCCGACTTTTACCTGTGTCAGGCATAAATTTGACGGCTTCGAGGGCATTCCGCGCGTCACTCTTGATCTGGGACACATCTGCGAACCACTGGGCCGTGGCGCGTATGATCACAGACTCCTTTGTCCGCCAGTCAATCGGATATTTGTGCTTGTAAATATGCTGGTGGACGAGCAGCTTGTTTGCTTGTAGCAGTTCCAAGACCGCCTTGTTACCTTCCGTGAATACGTATTTTCCCTTCAACAGACTTGGGTCGCTGCTCGCCGCAGTCTCATCGAACTGTCCAAGGTTGTCAACTGGAGCCTTGACAGACACGACGTTGTCCTTGATCAATGGCTGCAAGGCCTCGTAGTCCTCCATACCATGACCTGGAGCACAATGAACGAGGCCGGTACCACTCTCAGCAGACACAAAATCTGCATGGACGATGGGGCGCTTTGCAGCCTCCATTCCAAACTGTGGTAGGCCGGAGTAGGTGCTCCTAAGAAGCTGTGCTGTTGGGATATGGTCCATGATAACCTCCAGTTGTTCTCCGATCGTCTCCGCAAGATAAGAGAGTCTATGCTGCGCCACGATGAGAAGGCCATGCGTGTCCGATCGCACCAGGGAATAGTGGAGGTCAGAACTAATCGCAATAGCTTGGTTCGCAGGAAGCGTCCATGGCGTGGTTGTCCATATCAAAGCATGGACTGGCTCGCCCACGGACAAGAATTGGTTGTCTAGCGGGAACTTAACCAACGCCGCAGTCGATACATGGTCATCCTGGTACTCCAGCTCTGCTTCTGCCAGCGCCGTCCCAGAGGAGGGTGACCAGTAAACGGGCTTGTGTTTCCGGTAGATCACGCCGTGCTTTGCCATTGCCTGAAAAACCGACAACTGGCGTAACTCGAAGTCTTTTTGCATTGTCAACCAGTGCTTCTCCCAGTCACCCATGACCCCCCAGGCCCGGAATCCGGCCATTTGCTTTTCCACCGTCTTGTAAGCGAACTTCCTAGCAGCCTTGCGAATGGCAACGGGGTCGACGCCCTGCCCTCGCTTCCAGCCATTGTGCTCTAGCGCTTTCAGCTCGATTGGCAAACCATGACAATCCCAGCCGGGCACGTAGTCAACTCTTCTGCCCTCCGCCAGGCGCGAGCGACATATTATATCCTTGAGGATCTTATTGAGGGCGTGACCGACGTGCAGATCGCCGTTTGCGTAGGGTGGGCCATCATGAAGGACAAAGGTATTCGAAGCAGGTCTTCCGTGACGCTGCCACGCATAAAGGTTATCGCTGCATCTTGGGAGGTATTTCGCGAGGTCTGCGGGTCGCGGTCGAGGTGGAAATGTCGACGTGGGCAGACGTAGCGTGCTCTTCAAAAACTTAGCTGCATCCTTCGCTGCTTGTGTCATGTCACGATGGCATCGAGCTCAACGCCCACAATGCTTACAACCTCTAACAGCTCGAGTGTTGACCAGGTGTGTGCACGAGTAAGTCGTGTGCGGAACATTTTCTTTGCATTAAACGCGAACCCCAATTCTGGTTGGAGTGTCTGGAGAACAATTCCCCGAGGATTCCGAGGTCATCAAGCACCCAAGAACAGGATACAGAGATTACAACCGTTGACAAGAATGAGATACCATTCAAGTAGGCCACAGCGATCGCTGCAGACCGCATGGTTCAGATCAGACTACAGATAAAGTGCTCGAACTAACGCTTGTACGCCGTCGCTAATATCAAAACTCTGCAAATATCATGAATGCAAAACGACCACAACCTAGCAACGACATCCTCCGGTCAACACCACAGTAAAGTTCGACGATCATGAGCGCGATGAGCCGGTCGATTTGATAAGCCCACTCGTGGGAGATACTCTGGAAGCCCATTCACTGCAGAAGAGTCAGCTCATTATATCGTCTTGCGCTGTCATAAAACTCACGTCCAGCTGCCATCATACAGCCTTCGATCATCATCTGATCCAAAATCTGCCTCCCTCAAGGCGGCTTCAATGACCGCTGCGGTCACTCCTGTGCCACAGCTGGTGATGATCGGCTTGCTAGGATCGAGGTTTTTGGCTTCAAAGAGCTTCCTGAGCTCTTCTTTGGGTAGCAATGTCTTCGTCTCGGGATCAAGGAGTTCCTGGAATGGTACGCTCGTAGATCCTGGCATATGTCCAGACTTCAAGCCGGGTCGAGGTTCTGGGTCTGCCCCTTCCCATCTGCCTTTGGAGCGGGCATCTAGAATCTGTATGTCTTCTGCACCCTCCTTGCCATGGTCATACCCGATAGTCTTCATCTCTGCGAATTTGACGACCATGTCGGTGTTGTAGCTGGGCACAGGATACTTGGTAATGTTGGGCACTTGCGGCGGCCCAGTCTCAACCGGATAGCCCTCCTTGACCCACAAGCGAAAGTTGTTGAGCAAATGGACTTTGGGATGACCATATACTCGCATAGTCCACGCAACCCTGGGCGCCGAGAACAATCCAAGCTCTTCGGTATCATAGATGACCAGCTCATCGTCCCTCCTCACGCCGAGCTTGGACATGGCATCTGCAAATTCTTCGCAAGTAGGCAACATATGTGGGTATTCAGACTCTTTGTCTTTAATTTCGTCGATGTCGAAGAATCGTGCAGTGGGTATCCTCTTCTTCTGGAACACCTCGGGTCCAGTTCTTTTCTCAGGATCATTAGGCATGAACCAGGCGGCACAGATCGGGACGACCTTGGGAGCCGTGGAAATGGATGTAGGGGCATTCTTGCTCAACGCTTCGTGGACTTCTTTCGGCGTGACCACGTAGGAAGAGAAACATAATCGCTGGAAGGAGGTCATCTTTTGGTATTGAGAAGTAAGAGGGCGACGAGCTGCTTGTCGCCAGAGAGGCAAGGAGAACATGATGGCAGTCATGTTGAAGGGCGGGGTCAGATTAACATCGTGATGTTCTTCCTTGGACACGTCAACTTCGATATCATTTCTGGAGCATCGAAAGCGAAAACCGGAGCGTAGAACGGACGACTGATGAACCTGAGGAATGGTTATCGTCGGGAGCTCTCTCAATTTCCTATCGAGCTTCCTTGCTACTCCACCCTTAGCCTCTGACGTGCTTCCGCGCCAAAAGGTGCGGCACCAGCGGCAGCGTTGGGCTGGAGACCTGCCACCAACGCCTGGCACCTGCGCGCGTGCTAGGGTTCAAGTTCTCCGATACGCGACATGTGCTGCTGATCCTGAAGGCGTCTCCGCGACCCTAACAAAACAATTCAACAAGTAACTCCTTCCAACAACTTCACATACGCCACTGCATTCATTTTACCTGTCACATTTTCTTTCGCATCAGCCAATTCGCGGAGCCTCTGCAGCATGATCGTGCTGCTCAACAATCGAACCTGTCCCTCCTAGCATCAGTCTACCTCCTTCCAGTGACTGTCCGAGAGTTCGCGATGAAGGTCAAAATCAAGAAATGGCACGCAGTCGCTACATGGCGGTGGGACATGCCTGAGGACGAAGTATGCGGTATATGCCGGGTACAATTCGATGGCACTTGTCCGACTTGCAAGTTTCCCGGAGATGACTGCACCCTGCTCATGGGTAAATGCGGTCACTCGTTCCACATGGTACACATAACCACCGAACGCTGGAAGAATAAAGGCTGACGAGTCAAAGCACTGCCTCTTAACATGGATCCAGCAAGAGTCATCCAAGGGCCTTTGCCCCATGTGCCGTCAGAGTATGTCCTTCTCCATACTATATCATGCTGCTAGGCTGACAGCCGCAGAATTTGAATGGAAGCAGGGCGCTGAAGGCGAACTTGAACAGCAAGCGACCTGAGATGGGACGACGACGATATCTTAACACACTTAGACTCTCTAGGCCATTAGGACGGCTTGCGATTCCATCGTTATGTCTGCGGCATCAGCTATAGTGGTACAGTCAGATGGACCCGTCCGGGGATTAGCCAAGGGAAAGAGCAGCACTGCCCGTAACAGAATGGCGCTGTCGTCAAATGTTGGGCTAGTAACGGCTGCATTGATGTGCTGAGCAGCCGCGCAATCTTCCACAATCTCGCCCAAAGTGCAGAGAGCATACTGGTCCCCCTTTTCCTGCAACAAAGATGAGGCCTGTTTAGTGCCCGACCATGTATCAGACAAGTCTGGCAGATGATCTGAAGGTGTGGAAACAGCCCCGACTCGAGGAAAGATGCCTCTCAAGCCCAACGGAGATGACAATGCTTGCGGACCGAAATGAGCACCACCGCCTTCCAATGCCTTGGCCATGGACCTGCGATATCACTTTTTGGTGTCATCCTTACTATCATGGCCACGCTTCCCGTAGTATTCGTCCCTAGGGAAGGCAAGATTTCACGTTAGTCCGAGGGAATGGTTGGGTGACAGTTGATCCAGTCGATGCGCAGCAGCGCGGACAACAAAAGTCAACACTGATGGCATTCGAGCTTACATTTTCTTCCCTCTGTCCGACTCCTTGCCTTTGCCTTCCAAACGGTCAAGAGATTCTTCGATAAGCCTGTTTGAAATTATACACGTCAAAAATCATGGCGTGGCAAGCAAGCGACAAAACGGTCAAAACGTACCCGATGTGGCCTCTCAAGGTGCCCTCAAGCTCATCCATGCGTGCTTCATGCTCCTCGTAGTTGAACTTGTGCCACGTCTGCAGATAATATGTCGCACCTCCCACGGCAGTCAAATTTGTGAGAAGGTTGAAGATTGGGAAAAGAGGGCTGCGGGTGAATGACATGGCTATGGAAGGGGGCTTGTCTTCCGGACTACTGTATGTACAGGTAAGAACGAGGATCGAATAGATGTGTTGGCAGATCTAAATTGTGTACTTTCGTGACAATTGATGTCCACATCAGGAGATGGAGTACAAGGCTGAGATGGATATGCTCTTGTATCAACACGTCATAGACTTCCATCTACGAAGCCAGCGAACTGACAAGAGCTCGAAGTGTACCCGGAGCTCAACTCGCCATTCGTTCTCGTGCAACTTACATAGTCTTTCTCAATGCACGTCAACATGAATTGTAGGTTGCAAGTGTTCGTCGTCTCCAGTAGGATTGTATGTATGGAAAACCTTAATTAGAAAAGGGGGCTACAGCCTTGTCAGTGCCTCAGCACGCCTCAGTAGGCTTCCCACTCCATCGTCGTTCCTGCATAACTTTTCTATCATGACCAAGTCCAGTTCATCGCGGGACTGCCACCGGTCCTAGACTGGCTCCTTCTGGGGGTACATCCATTTTCGGTTTGTTCCAGGCACGTTCAATTCTGAATGCCTTCGGAAACCAGTCAGGCTCCTTGCCAGTTGTCATCATGGTTACCAAGGCTTCGGCGCTACGGAACGCCATCGCCATTCCATGTCCATTCATGCCCACCGACGCCCAGAGGCCATTCTCACTAGGAACTTCTCCCACCAGTGGCAAGGTATCTGGCGTGTAGCAGGTTATGCCGGACCAGTCCCTAACCTCTACACTTTTTTCTCCCCAAGTTTCGCGGCCAAAGACCTCCGGGGCCGACTGCTTCAGATACTTCTCTATCTTCGGGTTGATAGTCGAGTCATCCATGATACCCATTTCTCTCGTTGGGGAAATAGCCCTACCCCCGCCATATACAATATCACCCGCGCCTCTAAGACCAGGCGCTCGAATCACCATATAATCACCAGCGCCACGGTCAATCCCAAAACTCTTACCTTGCGCCGGATGGCCCGAGAGATCGTTTTCCGGTCTGAGGGCCGTGACTTGGCTTCTCCCTGCATTGAGGAAGCCGGTATCCGCAATGCCACGGTGCAGTACGTTCGTATAGGCGTTCGTGGCCAATACCACTTGCTTGCCTCGGACTGTGCCCCTTTCCGTTTGAACTTCCCATTTTGCCGTTCCTTCGTGCCTCTCCGGCAACGGGTGCACCGTCAGTGCAACTGTGTTTGTTTGCAGGTTGAGCCCCTTCTCAAGGCTAAGCTCTAGCATTCGGCACACCAACAAATATGGATTCTGTGTGTGCGCAGGGTACGTCACGGCTCCCACGACGTTGGGCAAGCCTAGGTGGTCTCGCGCCTTCTGGCCATGCCATACGCTCCTCTTAAAGAGCGGCTTCACGTCGGATCTTTTCCGATAAGCCTCGTCCCTGAATTTCATCACCTCAAGGAGTTCGGCCCATGTCTCCTCGGTATAAATGGTGTCCGAGGTCTCTACATCCTGGAAATCGCACTGCACGTCGTGCTCCTGGACAAAGTTGGCGATGTCCAGCACGTTTTGCTCTTCCAGGTGCTCCATTATGATGGCCTCGTCTTCGCCGAAAGCGTCGGCATACTCCTTGAAGTTGAGCCACCGGCCTGCCCGACAGTGTCCGCCGTTCCGGCCAGATGCCGCAGAGGCCGCGGTACGGGCTTCGAGCATCAGGATTGAGAGCGTTGGGTCGCGGTGCAATAACTTGTAGGCGGCCGCGGCTCCAGACACGCCAGACCCTATGATGATGTAGTCAAACGTTGTTGTTGTTGGCAGAGACGGAGTCGTCCGGTGATTCGCAATGGGATGGGGCGGGAATTGCCAGTAGGATATGGTAGGATTAGGGACTGGAAAGCCTCGGGGCACTTCACCGCCGCCCATCTTGGATAGAGTAGATGTAGAACAAATTGAAGTGAGTAGCAAGGAGTGCTATAAACACCAGTAGCAATGATATATAGATGGCTTGGGAGGAATTCAGGAGGGTGTCAAGTATACTTATTGTCTTGATGTGTTGATGCAGACTGGAACGAACCGACGACATTCCTTCCTAGCAGCGACGGACGAACATCTCATAACTTTTATATTTTGCGATTGCCTGTTGCCTGTACATACTGGATGCACAATGATCAGCGTACCAGATATTCATGTGCCGCGTAAAGCGTATGCCAGCGTAAACAAGGTGACGTCGACTTTATAAGCGACCGTCAGGGACTAAGTTAGGGGATTTTTGGTTGTGCCAGTCGGCTTTGCCCAGGCGGCAGTTTGCTTAGGTTCTAGTTGGCTCCAGGCGCTGCAGTACGGACGTACTCCTAACTTAGATGTGCCCCGCAAAGTCATCAAACCGTATTTGGCACGCAGCCGGTTTTTTTGTCCGCAAACCATCCAGACAAATTCACTAAGGTTCGGAGAGTTCTCTTCAACTTCGACAAGCGAATTGTATCCTCACTCTGGCGATCCGCAATCCTCATAAGGTCCTAGACTTCACGATCCGACAGTCCTCGAAGTGTCCAAAGTCTTGAACGGTCCCAGTGCAGGCTTGATCACCGACTGCTGCAGATACCCTCTGATCCGATCTGAAATCTTGAAGATGGATCAAGCGGCCGAGCTGCCGCGCAAATGCCCCGGCCTCAACTGTGAGAATGATGCGTCGACCTTACAATGTCCCAAATGTAAGGAGATGGATGTGGACAGTTTCTTCTGCTCACAAGACTGCTTCAAGCGGAGTTGGGTAGGTTGACCTTCTTCGGTCCTTTGTGGGAGAGACTTGGAGAAAAATGGAAAGGACTGTGCTAACTTGCGCGCAACCAGGCGACACACAAAAACCTACACAAGAGTACGAACCCTCTCCGAAACTTCTTTGTCCCGAGTGTCGTTTCTAAAGTTGATCCAGAAAGCGGCCATTTCAACCCGTATCCTACATATCCCTTCACCGGGCCATTAAGGCCCGTCTACCCTCTATCAGAGAAGCGAGTAATACCGAAATCAATACCGCACCCCGAATGGTCACAGGATGGCATTCCGAGGTATCCCTACGTCCGGAAAAACAACATACAAGCGCTTGACGAGAAGGGGATTGCGGGCATGCGAAAAGTCTGCAGATTGGCAAGAGAGGTGCTAGATATTGCTGCGGCTGCTGCAAAGCCCGGTGTGACGACGGACTACATCGACGAGATTGTGCATAATGCATGTATAGAACGAAAGGTAAGCTGGCACGGTCAGTCCCCTGCATACATTTGCTGATCATGCGTCGCGCAGTCATACCCTTCTCCCTTGAACTACAATCACTTTCCCAAGTCTGTCTGCACCTCACCCAACGAAGTTATCTGCCACGGCATTCCGGATCAACGTGTCCTTCAGGATGGAGACATTCTTAATATCGATGTTACGCTGTTCCACGAAGGATATCACGGCGATCTAAACGAGACATACTACATTGGCGACAAAGCGAAGGCCGACCCAGATAATGTGCGGCTCGTCGAGACAACGAGGCAGTGTCTGGACAAGGCTATTGAGCACGTAAAGCCAGGCGTCAAGATCGGCGACTTTGGCGACATCATTGAGAAGCACGCCAAGTCTCAGAGTCTCAGTGTTGTAAAGACGTACTGTGGTCACGGCATCAACTCGCTTTTCCACTGCGCGCCTAATGTGCCACACTACGCGAAGAACAAGGCCGTCGGGAAATGCAAGGCTGGTATGACATTCACCATCGAGCCCATGATATGCTTGGGCAGCTACAAGGACAAGACTTGGCCGGATGACTGGACAGCTGTCACGACAGACGGAAGCCGATCAGCGCAATTTGAGCACACGCTACTAGTGACGGAAGACGGTGTAGAGATCTTGACAGCACGATTGACGGACTCGCCCGGTGGGCCTATACCTATGCCTGCGGCAACGAATGGGCATGCCACGAACGGCGATGCTACGAAAGCATGAGGTGAGGTTGCTGAAGAGTGCATAGCCGGATTTGGGGAAAGTGAACGTTATAGGCGCTAGCAACACCTTCGAAAACGATGCGCATGTTGAAGGCATTTTGCAGTACATGTGTGCTTCATCTGCTCAGCCTCTTCTCCCTGAGAAACCAACTTGCGATAGCCGCACCCGAGACGATTCCCAACATCATCCCATACCCATGCGTTATTGCATCACCATAAGCCTGCCTGACAAGCTTCCTGACTCCAGGCTCCAGCTTCTTGAGATAGTCCAAGCTTCTTCGCACGCCTTCCTCAATCTCCTGCGCGTCCTTTCCATTACCCAGTCTGCTGGCCAGGGCGTTCCTCAATCGCTGCTGGATGACCGTGGCGCTCAAAGAGATCCCAATAACGGAACCCAACGAGCGGAACAGGTAGGAACACGCCGTAGCTACCGCCTGGTCTTCTGGCGCTGCATTCGCGATCAGTGCAATAAGAGATGTGGTGACGCCAATCCCATTCCCGAATGCGCACAGCATGATACCAACAGTGATTGCGTACGTGTTGTTGAGCACGGGGCCACTGAAAATGAGGACAAAAACCATCCCCAATACTAACAAAGCGTAGGCGCCGACAGTTAACCAGTAATACCTGCCGGTCTTTCTCATACGGATGCCTCCGAAGAGGGAACCCAAAACACCGGAAATGATTGCCGGAATCATGCGCACTGCGGCCCCTGTGGCACTGAGGCCGTCGACGGCCTGGTAGAAGAGCGGCAGGTAGTATATGGCTGCGAGCCAGCCCGCGAAGCTGAAGAAGTTGCATAGATAGGCCGCAAACATAGTGCGCTCAAAGATGATGTGCCCTGGAGCGAATGGTTCCGCGGCCACTCGTGTTTCAACGTAGATGAGCACCCCAAAGAGTACCACCGAAGCAATCAACGGCACGTAGCTGATTGGGATTGACCATGAGACGTTCGACCCACGGTCCATGCCAAAGATAAGACCGAATACTGCAGCGATCAGCACGGTTGCACCCAGGAAGTCGATCCGTCGCAGTTTCTTCTTCCAGTCTTGCTCTTCCGGTGCAGGCAGTTGCAGAGTCAGCCATGCTGCAATGAACGCGGCGAGGCACAGCGGTACTTGACCGATAAAGGACCATCTCCAGCCCACGTAGTCGGCGAGAAGCCCACCAAGAGGGGCTCCAGTACTAGCTCCCGAGGCGTACACAATGTTGATTATACCTTGCCACAGACCACGATCTTTCAGCGGGACGATATCACTAAACAAGATGCTGACCACGGTACTCATACCGCCACCGCCGATACCCTGAACGACGCGGGCAGCAATGAGCTCGTTGATATTGCGCGCTAGACCGCAGAACAAGCATCCCAGCCCGAAGATGGTGTAGGCGAACAGTAGACATGGCTTCCGGCCAAAGATGTCGCTAAGTTTTCCGTATAGCGGCTGGAAAGATGTCAGGGTCAAGAAGTAGGAGGTAGCTATCCAAGAAGTCAGATTCAAGGCGTCGAGGTCGCTTCCAATCCGACCATAGCTGCTGACGATGATGGTCTGATCTGCGGCCGCAAGAAAGACGCCAATAGAAACCGCTGGCACGATGTACTTCAGCTGTTTGATGACATCGGGGTTGCCTTTGAACTGAGCGGCTCTGCTCTCATCGACAGAGTCAGTGCGGCCGATGGCGTTTTCGACATCAACGGGCTCGTCAGTGGCGGTGCCCGTCTCGACGGGGATTGTAATCTGGGTGCTGGACGTGCCGCCATTGTGCTGTGGTCCTAGAAGAGGGGATATTTCTGAAGGAGGTTCTTCCACGGCCATGGCAATTGCATTCTTGAAGAACAGAGACGGCGTAATTTTTTTGTGACTCAACAGAAGTGCAAACCGTTAGGCCCAATTATATTAGTGGTGAGACGGACCGTGAGATAGGCAAAATCTAGCCCTGATGAGGAAGCTCTGAAAGTCGATCAGCCATAGCCTTGCAGAGTCTTGCTTCAACCACATGCATGGCAGGAGGATTCTACAGATAAGAAAGACTCCGGGGTCAACGGCAACAAGAGCCGGACATCTTGGATGTATTTGGTCTCGCTGACATTGACATTGAGGACTGCGTTGTGGACGCTGATTTAGATTCATGTCGTAGTGAAAGACGTTGGCCTTTATGCTCCGCCGGAATATTACGGTGGTGGCCCTTTCCCCAAAACACGCAACCTGCCTGCACATCGAGGCTCAACATTCGCGGAGTAACAGTGCTTGATCTTCAAGCCACCACTGGCCGAAGAAGTTTACCGTTACGCAGTATACTAAACATGCTTCCAACATGGCATATCAGACCTACCAGAAGCCGCTGCTCATTGCGGTGGCCGGCGTCGCGGTCGTCTCTGTAGCCCTGTATGCATACACACAGTATTCCGACCAGCGAGCCTCAGAACCTAGCAGCCAGCCTTCCTTGCATCGCAGCAATGCTGTCCGCCGTCCTAGACACAGGCGTCACTGGCGGCGTGGCTTTGAGCACACTACCATCGACTACAATCCCACGGAACGAGCCTTGAACAATCTGGAAGAGCGAAACAGACTGGGACGTGGTTATGGCACATATGAAAATCCTTGGGTCTTTCCAACATCACAGGACTTGGAGGGGGTAGACATGAGGCTGATACCATGTAATCTGGACTCGATATACGACTATATCGTGCACCACCCGCCAGGATCCATGTCAATCAGTGACGGGGACAGTCTTCGAATGCACATTAATGGTATTTTCTTGCAAAACTTCTTGCTAGAAGAATTTCCGGAGGGCTACATCATTGGCGATGACACACCTATCATTGCACATGGCCTTGAGGCAATGGGTATCGATAGCGGACTTTGCTATGATTTCATTGAGTTGTTCGACGCGGGCAAGTCTCATGCTCTCAGTGTACACTGGAATCCCTCAGACCCGTTACGACCATCTGGGGATGATCCGTATGCCGTGCAAACGGATGGTGCAATAGATGATGGCATGTCTCCACAAGATGCGATCCGGGCGTTAGACCCTACCGCAGACGAAGACGGAGACTCCGAGATATCCTACAGCAACAACCAAGACGATCCAGAGGGCAGTCAGAACATGCTTGATCTGCTCTACCACATAGGCCGATCACAAGCACGCAGGGACGGCTACATCCACCGAGGCGTGGAATGCAATAGCTGTGGTGTTCATCCCATCCAGGGCATCCGCTATCACTGTTCAAACTGCTTCGACTTCGACTTATGTGAAAGCTGCGAGGCTATCCACCCACATGTCAAAAGCCATGTTTTCTTCAAGATCCGTGTTCCCGCGCCGTCACGAGGAAACCTCAAGCAGGTCATGCCGGTGTGGTATCCCGGTGACCCCAATGCCTGCCCGCTTTCTCTCGACAGGCAAGTGGCCCACCCCTTGTTGGAGCAGACAGGCATGGATCGCACAGAGCTGGAGTCCCTCTACGAGCAGTTCAAATGTCTTGCTGGACATGCTTGGCCTGATCCAAGCGGTATAAACATGGCCATTGATCGAAAAGGCTTTGACGCATATTTCAACCCGTCGAATGCGAACAAAGCCTCGGCCGCAAATCTGATCTACGATCGGATATTCGCGTACTATGACCAGGATCAGGATGGGCTGATCAGCTTCAAAGAGTACATACTAGGTCTTTCCGGGCTACAGGACAAGTCACGATATGCCAGGCTAAGACGCATCTTTGAAGGTTACGATTTGGACGCGGATGGTTACGTGGATCGTAGGGACTTTCTGCGAATGTTCCGCGCATACTACGCCCTTAGTAAGGAACTGACTCACGAGATGTTCCATGCACAGGAAGACTTCGGTCCGTTCGAGGAAGAGGTCAGGGAGGTTGTACGAGGAAGTCAACCTATCAGTGCCGCTTTTGGCGGCAGCACTCTCTATGGTCACGAATCCAGAACCGGTCAGGACAAACACCCAGGAGTCAACGGCGACCTTGAATTGTTGAGTGGATCCAATGGTGTATTGCAGCCGGACAGTGATACGCGGGGAGATCGTACTCGAGCTATCGGGAACGCTGCGCTGGGTGATCGAAGCAGAAACCATCCCTTTCGGTCATTCAGGAATGAGGAGGCAGGGGATGAGCCGGTCATGCACATTCCCTCAAGAAGCAGTTTCTCTCACTCCGGGCTGGAGGATCCTGACGAGGTGCCTGAAGAGGAACTCAACGGACAAGATGCACCTTTACAAACCTATGGCTGGCCGCCTATCCGCACACCAGAGCCGCAAGATATCACCGATGCGCTAGGACATGAGTTACCACTTGAGGATATCACCGATCCAGTGGATAGGTCCAGAGTGATCTATGCACAGGCACAACGTCTCGATGCTGAAGGAGACCGCTTGGAAGAGATAACCAGAACAAAGGCTGTGGAAGACCGCTGGCGCCGTAGGCAGTTCTACCTGGACGAGGAGGAAGGCATGACCCGACCGCCTGGGTATACTGAGCCAGACAGTTCCGACGAAGAGGACGATTCATTCTCTGACAAGAAGCACGCTCGCAATGCTGTTTCGAGCCCTCGAAGGCAGTCCATGCAATCACGCTCTTCATCCAGAGTTCGCTTTGACGACAGTGCGATCGATACCGATTATGAGACGCGCTCGAACGCCTCGTCTCGAAGTATACCCCTCAATGAGAGATGGGGTGGATATGAGCTCAGCCAGGCCGAACCAGATATTGGCAAGGACATTTTGTATCAAGCCGTCCAGCAGGGGTTCAACGAACTTCTCGATCCCCTCTTCAAGGACAAAGAGGATGAGTGGCTCGAGGTTTGCAAGACACGACATGATCGCCGCAAATTTAGGAAAGAAATGCGGAAGTTCAAAGAAGCGCTTGACGCAGCGAATCAAGAGCAGAGTGCCCCATCAACGAAGGCCAACAGACTCACAGTGGAGACATTACTTCAAAAGTCAATCCAGCCGAACGCACTGAAAAGGCCGGGTCCGGAACAGGGCGAGGTCGGCACGGAAGTCTCCGTTGAGTCCTCACCTGAGCCTGAAGATCACATAGGATTGATGTTCAGGAGCGTCTCGGGTCCAGGTATACCTAGAAATGCAGTCGACCAAGGTTCTGCATCCAAGCCACGTGGTTATGATCCTACCCTTCCGCAGTTTCGACCGGACCACGACAGTGAATCTGTAAGATCTCAGCCTGAGTCAAGAGAAAACCCTTTCTCGGGTGATCCAGCCAAGGCCCGAGCATTGTACGATTTCTGGGCATCTCATGATGATATTGAGAAAGAGGCTGTCAAAGGGGGCGGCGGTGGGAAACTCAGCTTTGCGGAGTTCAGACGGAAAATGGTGCATGATGATGAAGTGACCGAGGCCCTAGGTCAGCCAGACACAGGCAGGGCGGCAACAGACAACGAGACCTGGGAAAGCAGCCACGATCTGGGGAGACTGGCGTTTGTGGGCACTTGGTTGGAGATGGCCAGTTTCTAGAAGAAACCTTGCTCTCTTTTCGAGAATGGCGAAAGCATCAGTGGAGTGGAGAGGAATGTATATATAAAAGGGGGACGCATCAACATCAGTTTGCATTTCGGAAGGCGAGCATTCAGGAGTCGGTGACAGTCTTTTCAGTACGAACGTTATGACACCAAAAAGCACGATACCCGATTGTTTTGAGTGATGAAGCAGAGTGGATGCTAGTATCAATAATGATTCCACTTGAATCTCTACACTCTAGTATTGCTCTCAACCTACCTATGCATCCTGTGCGTTCCAGATCCGACATGCCCGCAGGCCCTAAAGGATTGTTACTGTTGTGTCTAACTTAACTGGCTTGGCAGATGAATGTCGAGAGGCACGAGTTCTTGCTCGATTTCTTCCATTTCTCCATGATTGTCATCTGCAGCAACATGCCAAATACACATATCGACGTTACAAACCACCCAAGCGTATCTTCAGTCCTTTGTCATGTTGCCCGCCCTTAAAAAAGCTTTCGGTGCGCGAGCGCCGACAGGATCGTCGGAAAATGTGGTTCAAACACGTTTACCCACAGGTCGAGACGTGCAGGACGTGGTTCTCGACCGCGTACATTTGTTTTCGCATGCTTTGCTCCTCTGCTTCATTCGAACCAATGCCATTTGTTCCTCCGACCAGATGCGAAAATGGCACAACAAACAGCGCTGGCTCGCTGGGGTCGATGTGAGTCGCGAGAAACGAGCGAGCAAATAAAGCCACTCCACGGGACTTCATCCGATGCTCTGAATGGTCGAGTTGAGTTGCCCCCCCCTTGTGTTAGGCATCGCGTTGAGAGAATCCCGTGCACACAAGCACTGGAGCATACATCTTTTGTGTCACCTTCTGCAATTCTGCTGACTTTCCCCTTGATTGATTTTCTATATTCACCATGCCCATTGTTGAGAACCTCGTCGTTGTGGGCGATTTGGACAACTCGAGGATCGCGTGGCATTCAAGTCATCATCAACAATGGCTCCCCTAACGTACCCCGTGCTGCCTCTGCGAACTCCGCGTCATTGGAAACGCCAACAGAAATGGATATCAGGTGTCGGCCTTTCTCATGGAGTCGGCAATTACTGCACTTGTGGAAAGCACCACCCAAAGAAACTTCTTTCAATGTGCGTGGTCTTTCCACGACACAAATTCGGCTCCAGCCGGTTCAACACTATAGTTTTGCTGGTCCTACGACTGTTCTACCATGCATCTTCTTTCGAGGCGACTCCCATCCTTGCTTCTGGGGTTCCTCCTACGCCAAAGTTGCTCAGTGCGCCAGTCCTCAGAGCCTTCGATGTGGAAACGGAGGACTGTGTCCAGAAGCGTCACAACCGCGAAGACCTGCCGCAGCTACTCAAGTCGTACGAGAGGTTGTCGACCAAGGACTGGAAGGCCAAACTCTTGGAGGACACTGCTCGATTCCAGCACTGGAAGATCTGCAACATCAGCTGGATCAAGGCACTTGCGTCACCTTTCTCACATGAATTTCTGCAATTCATTGCCGAAGACGCGGTTACCGGTCAGCGGACACGTATCGCTGCTGGGCGAGAGGAGAACGGAGACTGGGTGTTGGTAGGCTGGAACTGGGCCTCGGGCCAGACGCCATCTGAGCATTACAAACTTCCGCTGCCTCTGCTGAGTCTGGTATTTGACAAGCCCAAGAAACGACCGAATATGCATGAGCTGGCCGAAGTCTTAGCTGCGACGACAGATAGAGGATACTACCGAATGAGAAGGGAAATGTGCTGGTGGTATGCCGAGACTGTCCTGGAGGATATGAACGCAAAGTATGGCGGTTCGATCAAAGAGTGGCAGTGGGCACGGTACCGGTACTCGTTCATTGTCAAGACGAGTTTTATACGGCGTAAAGTACTTACGAAGCATGCGGAGGCGTTCAAGACACAGTTGGCTGAGGAGATGAGCCATTAGCATGGCATGCATTAGACTTGGGTTTGGCAGGACTTATTTGCAGCTTTTCAGCGGCACATAGACCGGCGTTCTCATGCTTGGAGTCCGCCAGCATCATCATTAGACAGAACGACGTTACGCTGACGAATATTTTGGATCCTAGCTTAAAGATGCCCGCGATGAATCCCACCGAGTATTGATAGCAGCCTTGTAGGTGGGACAGATAAATACCTAGAGCCGGACAGGCTACCACCATACTTAGGTCTTTCTCAAGGCTGAACCGAAAATTAGCCGCTCCGTGTCATCCAGCATCCAACATCCCACTCACCCTCACGCTCACCTCAATTGCAAACTGCGGTCGTAGATTCTGCCACCTTTACAACCCTTTCAACCCATTCCAAGCGATAGTAGAGAGCTACTCCTATCGCCCGGCCTCCCTTCACAATGTCTGGTCCAGAAGTCCATCACCTCTTCCACCAGCCAATCGCCGACCACTCCTTCTCCGCAGACCGGCAGACGCTCGCTGTAGCCAAAGAAAACACCGTCGAACTCTACGGCAAATCCGGGTCCAAACTCGTTCTGAAAGATGAACTCAAAGGCCATGACAAGACGGTCACAGGTGTCGACATTGCTCCCAACAGTGGCATGATCGTAACTTGCTCACAAGGTAAAGACTCGCCCGTCTCAGCCTCAGGCAAAGCACATTACTAACGTTTCTGCCTAGATCGAAACGCCTACGTCTGGGAACCCTCGCCTACAGGCTGGAAACCAACCCTCGTCCTCCTCCGAATCAATCGCGCAGCCACATTCGTCCGGTGGTCACCTTCCGAGAAGAAATTCGCCGTGGGTTCCGGCGCGCGACTGATTGCCGTATGCTACTTCGAAGAGGAGAACGACTGGTGGGTGTCGAAGCACCTGAAGAAGCCGATCCGGAGCACAGTGACGACTGTGGCATGGCATCCCAACAGCGTGTTGTTGGCAGCTGGGTCCACGGACTCCCACGCCCGCGTCTTCTCAGGCTTCATCAAGGGTATCGACGAGCGGCCCGAAGCGAGCGTCTGGGGTGAACGACTGCCGTTTAACACTGTGTGTGGCGAGTACCTGAACGACTCGGCGGGTTGGGTTCACGCGGTGTCGTTCTCGCCTAGCGGTGATGCCCTCGCGTTCGCTTCTCACGATAGTAGTATCACCGTCGTGTACCCTAGTGGTCCGGACCAGCCGCCGCGAGCGATGCTGAGTATTTCGACGCAAACGTTGCCGTTCACGAGTTTGATATGGAACGGCGAGGCCGAGATCATCGCCGCAGGGTATGACTGTGAGGCGTTCAAGTTCCGTGGCGGAGAAGATGGGTGGGAGTTTGCGGGGAGTGTTGAGGCGAAGACCAGGCCTGGTTTGGAAAATGCGAGAGAAGAGTCGGCGCTGCATATGTTCCGCCAGATGGATCTCAAGGGAAAAGTCAAGGATGACACGGTTTTGAATACGACGCATCAGAATACTATCAACACTGTGCGTGTGTATGAGGGGTCGGCTGGTGGTGTGCGCAAGTTCAGCACCAGTGGTGTCGACGGACGGGTGGTTGTTTGGACAGTATAGATGATATCAAAGACATACGCTCAAGCAGCAGTTCATACACAAGGTCGTAGTTGAACTGTCAGCACAAAAGCAATAGATTTGTAAATCATAGACCAGCTCTATCTGCTCTAAAAAATGCTACTTGTGCTTTTCATCCGCATGCATGCACCATCTTGTGTTGCGTATCTCACAATAGATCCATCGGCTCTTGCTTGACATAGCTTAGGTTCACCTGCTCGTGCTTGATGTATTCCATAAGATCCTCGTCCTCATCGCCGGCCTCGGTGTGACTGCCATCCGTCGCGTCCGTGTGCAGGGGATCAGCTGCATTGAACGACTGCTCCTGTTGTGCCTCATTCGCAAAGAGTGGCAACTCTCGCAGTCCACTTACCGGAGTTGTTTCCTGCATCTCACTGACGGACACTCCGGATCGAGATTGAGACAGAGGTCCAGCCCTAGCTTCAGCGTCGATGGCTCTCATCCTCACCTGGAATTCCACCTGCAGCCTTTTCAGCCAAGCTCTCAATTCATCAGGTTCGGCATCTCCACTTCTGCAACTATCCCTAGCTTGCACCAGCTGCTCTCGCAGATTCAGAAGCACCTTTCTGCGTCTCGCCTCAGCCGTGGCCTCCGGGTTCCGTTTCTGCGCCTCGTTTCGCTCATGCAACACTTTCGACACACCTTCAGCGACGTCAATGACCGGCCCAGGCAAGCCAACAACCTTGGCTAGCGCGAGACCGTAAAATTTCTCTTCCTCGTAGCCCTCGGCGACCTTATACCGCATCGTCATCTTCGCTAAGTCGGTGCTAATATCCGCGGCGAGATGCAGATTAACCACACCTGCACGCTCGCCCAAAATGCGCGCCAAATCACGGAAGTGCGTGACGAACCACACCAAAGCCTTCGAGTCGATCAAGGCCTCGGCTATGGCGACGGCAATGGCTAGACCATCGGTCGTGCTGGTGCCACGGCCGAGCTCGTCGATAATCACTAGACTTTGAGGTGAGACATTGCGCAGGATGAAGGCTGTTTCGCGCATCTCAGCCGCAAAGGTCGACACATTGGCTTCGATGCTGTCGTCCGTCGAGACTCGCGCGAACAGCTGCCGCGTTACGGGAAATGAGGCATACGTCGCGGGCACAAAGCTACCGATCTGTGCCATGACGGCTTGTAGTGCAATCGTCCGGATGTACGTGCTTTTGCCGCTCATATTGCATCCTGTGATGATTTGAAAGCGGTTCTGCTGTGTCGCGTATACGTCGTTTGGCACAAAGCGGTCTGCATAAATCTGTTCGCGAATGGGGTGCCGGCCAGCTTGAATGGCGAGTGTGCCTGTGACCTCGGGACGGATGTAGTCACTCGACACCGCCATATGGGCGAGGCCGGCAAGCATGTCGAGCAGGGCGACGCCTTCGCTGATCTTGAATAGAGGGTGGATCTTGGATCGGACTTGGTCCATAAGCTGTTGTATCGCGTGGTCGCCTAGGTTGATGACGTCGCTATGAGCGTCCTTGATCTTGTGGTTCATTTTGAGCAACTCCAGTGTTTGGAATTCCATGAATTTGCCCTTGCGGTAGGTGTTTATAAAGCTGTCTCGGTGCGGGTTCGCTTCGAAGTCGGCAACGGGGAGTCGAAGATAGTATTGCCGTGGGACGTCGAATTTGAGCTGGATATCGAGCTCGTTTTCATCTGACGCTGGTCAGCTGGCGACGCTGGCAAGTGGGATGAGTCTACCATTGAGCTGCTGAACCATCTGGAACACATCATTGTTGATTTCTTTGTAGGTTTGCCTGCAGACGTCGAGGAACCGGTTGACGCCGGCCTGCTCAACATCAGTATTGGCACCAGAGTGTGGTCAAGGACACTACTCGAATTGCATAAACTCTCTGGTTGCGCAGGTCTGTGGCCGTGGTCGAGTAGTGCACGTCTTCGTTCAGAGTGGTTTGAATCAGTGCTTCGACTTCGGTGTAATTATCTGGATCACATAGCTGAGTCTGATGTTAGAGGCGAGTTTGTTGCTCTGAGCGAGCGTCGCTAACCTGACGTATGATCTGCAAATCTTCACTGCTACAGCCTGCAAGTGCTTGCCAGATGGGCTTGATCGAGTCCACAAAGGTTTTCAGCATAAGCACCTGATTGACCGACTGCTCCATGTGTTGGATGTCGGGCTTGGTCGATATAACGACAAGCTGGAGAAGTCAGTCTGTGTTGGGATTAGAGGGTGTACCTGGCCCACAGCTGCAAGCACACGATCGGTGTCCACGAAAGACTTGACGGCTGATACGGGTAAATAAGTTGTTCGACATTTAGGAGATCGCCCATACCTTCTCGAATGGCAGAGAGCATGTATTCTTTTGTTGTCAGCTCTGCTAGAGCATCTTGCCTTTTAGTGATCTTCTCAACATCCGTGGATGGTTGCAGGACGTTTGTCCTCAGGAAGCGGGCGCCCATCGGCGTCAATGTCTGGTTGAGTATGCCGAACAGAGAATCTCGAGATTTGGACTTTTCACAATTTTGTATCAATTCAAGCGATGCAATCGTGGCAAGGTCTATCATCATGGATCCTTCTGACGGCTCGAATCGGGTGCGTAATGTCTGTGGTGCGAATGTCTTTCCCATTCCCATCTCGACGTATTTCATGACCTGCCATAATCAGCATGCCCGGATGCGGCACGTACCTGGGAACATACTGCCGAGAAGCAGCATGTTGCGAAGTAGTTGCCCGTGAGCGACAGCTTCAGAGATTCCACATCATCTGGAAAGGCGAGGTGCTGGACGTAGTCATGTCCACTTCCTTCGGACCAGTATTTTCGATCGATGTCTGTCATCAATATGCCGTTGTCATACACCTCAAGGTTTTCCGTCACAATTGAAACGAGCTTGGAATCTGCAGCATTCGACATGTAGAGAATTTCAGAAGGAGAGAAGACTTTGATCTTGAGACATGTGCGAGCATATGTTTGGGTGTCGGTAAACTGGCAGAGGACGGCTTCAGAAGTGGACAAATTGACAAAAGAGAGTCCAACAATAGGAGATATTCCTCGAGATTCACTGATTGCACAAACAGTTTCACCATCGCTATTGCCGGTAGAGGTCGCTGCTGTTTTCGAGCGTGACCTGGCATTACGTGGCCGTGAGTTGACTGTTGGCCTACCGGTGGTTCTGCTGGTGTTCCCTGATACGATTGACATAGCTCGGGCTCCCTTGATGAGTTTCCGGCGAGCAAAATCTTCATCGACACGAATGATCAGAATACAATGGAAAGGAAGAATGGACAACGCGAGTCGGAGAAGATAAACAAGACAGGAAAAGCATTCCGGAAGGTCAGCCGTGAACGAAACTTCCCCGCACGAGGCTGAGAAGAATGGCTGATGGACCTTAATTTTTTCGAAGACTGCGTCGCCGATCGACTTACTTTGCCCAGAGTCAACACCAAGATTTCAAAGTATTAGGCAGTCATGGCAACCCTGGTCCCGCCTCCGAGTAAACGGCAAAAGGTTGCTGCCTTGGAGAAGGCTGAGAGAATCGCTGAAGATGCCAGGATACCAGAAGATTTGGGCAGTGTGAGAGTGCAGTTTGTCGACCAGAGTACTGGCAAGACAACCGGTCCAGTGGTGGCAGTGCCAGTCAAAGATGCCAGTGTGAAGAACCTGGAGACGTTGCTGAATACGTTACAAGGAAATGTTAGCAGGAGAACATGCAACTCGGGGGATAATATGCTAACCTTACCACAGGAACCTGACGAACGACTACCATACCGATTCTTCTTCCGCAACGATCGTGCTCCTGCTGAGAACGAGTCGAATCTCCTCGATATCCAAAATAACATATACCATTCAGTATTGCGACCAGGTTTCAAGACCACTGAAGACAACATTACCCTACAGTTCATTCCGCAAGCTGTGTTCCGCGTACGGGCAGTCACACGATGTTCGGCGTCGATATCTGGACACGGCGAGGCAATTCTCACTACAGCGTTTTCTCCCGAGTCATCGTCGAGAATGGCTACTGGAAGTGGTGATAATACAGCGCGGATATGGGACTGTGATACTGGAACACCTATGCATACTTTAAAAGGACACACGAGTTGGGTGCTGGCCGTATCATGGTCGCCTGATGGCAAAATCCTTGCAACGGGTAGTATGGATAACACAGTAAGGTTGTGGGACCCCAAGACCGGAGAGGCTCTGGGTGGACCATTGAAGGGACACACTAAATGGATTACGAGCCTGGCTTGGGAACCATATCACAACCAGGCTCCTGGTAAGCCTCGCCTTGCATCTGCCTCGAAAGACGGTACAGTCAGGATCTGGGATGTTCCACTCCGACGGATCGAAGAGCACCTGGCCGGACACAAAGGATCTGTGACGTGTGTGAGATGGGGCGGCTTCAATCGCGTCTTCACCGCCTCGCAGGACAAGACTATCAAGATCTGGAACTCGAAAACGTGGAATTGTCTACATACACTCTCGACCCACACGCACTGGGTGAATCACCTCGCACTGTCGACCGACCACGTTCTGCGCACCTCGTTCCACGATCATACCGGCAAGGTTCCGGAGACAATTGACGAAAAGATCAAGAAGGCGAAATCTCGATTCGAAGACGCGGCGAGACAAGAAGGGAAGTTGGTCGAGAAGCTCATTTCGGCTTCCGATGACAACACCATTTTCCTGTGGGATCCATCTGCGATTCCGGGCGACTCCAATGCTTCGGTCAAGCCAGTCGCACGGTTACTCGGACATCAGAAGCAAGTTCTGCATGTGTCGTTCTCGCCGGACGGCTTGTACATTGCGTCGGCCGCCCTCGACAACAGTGTAAAACTATGGAATGCAAGGGATGGCAAGTTCATAGCTACCTTGAGGGGTCATGTTGGTGCCGTGTACTTGGTTGCATGGTCGAGCGACTCTCGCCTATTGGCAAGTGCTTCAAAGGATACCACGGTCAAGGTATGGGATGTTCGGACTGGAAAGCTGAAGGAAGATCTACCGGGACATAAAGACGAAGTATTCGCTCTGGACTGGAGTCAAGATGGGAAATGTGTGGCCAGTGGTGGAAAGGACAAGGTGGTGAAGTTATGGAAGCACTGATCTTTTTCTATGCACGAAATGACTGTCATCGTGGATTTTTGGCAACTAGACTTTGATACCCTGGGCATTGCGACGATCGGATCATGAAAAGTATTTATGTTCGATTTAAAGAGATCTGAATGTTTTCGTTGGTACACACAAACAACAGCCTTTGATCCACCCTTTAGGACCTTGAGCGACCCTCCTGACAACAAAACCAATGATTCAATCCAGCTCCGTTTGCTGTTTATCGCCTGATTCTGGTCTCCGGAGGAGGGTTGTACACGATCTTTCGTGTCTTGATGGGGGCCCACTTGTAACGCTTCATCCAGCCACTCAGAGCCAATAGCAACGAAGTAATGATGATGACCTTGACACCCATTTTCTTTCGGTCGTCCATTTCAGGTTCGGCAGTCCAGTTGAGGAATTCGACAACATCCTTGGCCATCTGTGACGTGGTGGCTGGCGTGCCATCTTCGTACTCAACGAGACCGTCGTACAGAACACGAGCCATGGCAATACCGGTACCGGGGAAGTAAGGGTTGAAGTTCAAGCCGGATTGCACAGTGGCACCAGCAGGAGGATCCTCCGGATATCCAGTCAACAAGCTGAAGATGTAGTTGCAGCCACCGTGTCGGGCCTTGACCATGAGAGATAGATCCGGAGGAAGAGCACCATTGTTCGCAGCGCGAGCGGCTTCGTCATTCTTGTATGGTGATGGGAGGTAGTCTGACAATTTACCGGGTCGTTTCTCGATTTCTCCTTCGTCGTTGGGTTCGGTATCGTATTCATTTTCTTCGGCGAGCGCTTTGGCTTCATCGACTGTCAACATTGTGCCAACTAGTGTTCGGTATGGGACACGCTTGATCGAATGGCAGGCGGCGCAGACTTCACGGTAAACCTGGAAACCTCTTCGCAAGCTGGAAAAATGTCAGTCGTGCTCCCGGCCGGTAGTGATATTCCTTTTTGGCATCCTTACCCTGCATGATCAAATGTCTTGTTCCAGCGTGCGTGTTCCCACGGGTATTGAGTTGGGTGAAGACTGCACCAGATTGTTAACCATTCGAACTCTTCTGCCTTTTTTTCGAGCTCACCCTTCTTCTTGCGGCGTCATAGCAAAGGCATCTTGACCATAAAGCTGATAATACCAAGCGATTGAGCCTACTGCAACTGCTGTTGCCGCCGAGGCACCTGCTGTGATGTAAAAAGGAGAAGAGGCGGTCTCGGTCGAGCTAGATGAAGCGGCACGCTATTTTGTCTGTTAGTTCCAACGTCCCCAGAGCAGTGTTTTTGCATTTGAAGAAGGGTTCGGGGTAAGACTGACAGTGGTTGTTCTGCGGACGACGTTTCGCGCAGCTACCCTCAATGGAGCAGTGCGAATTGCCGACGTCGCCAACATCTTGGCCAGAAGACGTACGCGCCCTCGACAGATGATGGACTTCTCGTGCAACGGGAGGGAGAGGGGGATTGAGCTCGTTGGCGGGAGCGTTGAATGAGAGGCAAAGTCCACAATCTCAATAAGTGGGATTGAAGTTGCAGAAGCTTTGAAGCTCGAATGCACATTTATTACTCGACTTCTGATTGGCTACGACTCAAAATGCCTTAGCTACCCGTGATCGCCGCAGTTCTTCCAAGGATTCCTCCTATGTTCAGTACGCAGTCTTTCTCAGTACACCATTTATTATCACTTGCCTACAGTAAACCCTCGGCGCACTGGATGTAGCCCATCTTCTCTATCGTCGTCGCACCCGGCGATGTCGCTGAATGCACTCAAGAAACCGTCTTGGAACGATCAATTCAAGAGCACCAACCAGCGCGATTTCAAGATCCAAGTCGTCATATCCCTCGTATTCGGACTGAGCGCATTTCTCTCGTTTTGTGTACAGACCAACAACTCACATCTTGTGGCTACTTCAATGCTAACACAGTCAGGTACTTCGACCAAAATGGACCAGCCTCTATCATGCCCGGAAGAAGCAGTCTGGCGCAGCCTCAGGACTTCCAGACCTGCCCAAGTCGATGTTCGGCTGGATACCTGTTATATACAGGATCTCTCAAGAGGAGGTCCTCGCTTCTGCCGGTCTTGATGCCTACGCCTTCCTCTTGTTCTTTCGATATGCCATCAAGTACCTGTCGGTCACACTCTTCTTCTCACTCACGGTCATCCTGCCGGTCAATTACAAATATACGGGTCAACCATTCTTCTCCGAACCGCCCTACAATGAGACGGATCCCCGCGAAGGATACCAGCCATTCTTCATTGACGGCTCGAAGAACCCGAAGAAGCCCTTGATCGAAAAGAACACCAGCTATCTTTGGATGTACGTGATATTTGTGTACTTCTTCACACTCGTGGCAATATATCTCTTGGTGCAGGATACCCAGAGCATGATTCGGGTCAGACAAGCCTATATGGGCACGCAGTCTACCATCACCGACAGAACGTTACGTTTGTCAGGAATTCCAAAAGATATGCGGTCCGAAGAGACCATAAAGGACTTCATCGAAGGGCTCGAGATTGGCAAAGTGGACAGTGTCATGCTCTGCCGAAACTGGCGCGTGCTTGACGACCTCGTGTCTAAGAGGATGACCTATCTGCGCAAGTTGGAAGAGGCATGGACAGAGTATCTAGGACATAAACACTCTGTGCGCCGTTCACGAGCTCGACAAAGGGTGAATGATCCCGTTGGTGATGAAGAGGAGAGTGGCGCGCTTCTGTCCAGGTCTGAAATGGACCATGCTCATGCTATGCCAGCAGATCGGCCTCGCCCAAGCGTCACCTTGCGGTACGGGCCTCTCAAGATTCATAGCAAGAAAGTCGATGCGATTGATTACTATGAAGAGAAGCTCCGAATGGCGAACGAAAGGGTGAATGCTTTGAGGACTGCGGAATTCAAGCCGACGCCCCTTGCTTTTGTGACCATGGAGACTACTGCGTCCTGTCAGATGGCTGTGCAAGCCATCCTTGACCCAAAACCTGGGCAGCTCCTGGCTACTATCGCTCCTCCTCCCGCGGATGTTGTCTGGAAGAACACCTATCTATCCCGAAACCATCGCATCATTCGTTCCTGGGGCATCATGGTCTTCATCGGACTTTTGACCGTTTTCTGGGCTGTAGCTGTCGCTCCTCTGGCTGGTCTGCTCAGCATTGAAGTCATTGACGAGATTCTGCCCGGTCTTGCGGCAGCTCTTGAAGACCATGAGATCATCCGCTCCCTGGTCCAAACCGGTCTCCCGACGCTGCTCTTCTCGTTATTGGCTCTGTCCGTACCATATTTGTACGACTGGCTGTCCAATCAGCAAGGTATGACTTCTCAGGGAGATGTCGAGCTGTCCGTCATCTCCAAGAACTTCTTCTTTACCTTCTTCAACCTATTCATTGTCTTTACAATTTGGGGTTCGGCAACGAACTTCTACGAGTTCTGGCAAGACTTGCGCGACATTCTTCGCGACACTGCCGGGATCGCATATGCAGTGGCAAAAGCCCTAGAACAACTCTCACCCTTCTACGTCAACTTGATTGTCCTCCAGGGATTAGGCCTCTTCCCCTTCAGACTGCTGGAAGTCGGCTCGGTCGCTCTCTATCCTTTCTACCTCATCAGCGCTAAAACACCACGAGACTATGCCGAGTTGGCCTATCCACCAATTTTTAGCTACGGCTTTTACCTGCCACAGACGATGCTCATATTCATCATCTGTATTGTGTACAGCGTTCTGCCTTCGTCTTGGCTGATCACCCTGTTCGGTCTCGTCTACTTCATCATTGGTGGATTCATTCACAAATACCAATTGCTCTACGCGATGGAACACCGACAACATTCCACTGGCCTCGCTTGGCCCATGATCTGCAATCGAATCATTACTGGCTTGGTGCTGTTCCAGGTTGCAATGACTGGCATCTTAGCGCTTCGAGGTGCACTGACTGCCTCGGTGCTTCTGTCGCCTCTGTTGGCCTTTACTATCTGGTTCACGGTGTACTTCCAACGCACTTATCTCCCTCTGATGAAGTTCATCGCACTCCGGAGCATCGATCGGCCCCCTGGCACTCCAGATATAGCTACGCCATTCGAATCTCCATGGGATAGAGATACTGATTACGGACGAACCGTTGACACCCACCCTGATACCGGACTTCGCTATATCAACCCCAACCTTGTACAGCCGTTAGAGACACTATGGGTCGGGAAGCCTGGAAGTTATCGCACGGATGACACTTGACCTGTATTCTTTATGTCTTTAAGTCTTTGAGCATAGCGAGAAGAGCGGACTTTTCTTCTTTGTTTTGTTGAGATACCCTGTACGATGCTGTCACTACTTGTGGAACTACCGATAATACCATAATTTGCGAAATGTTCCAGTCAAATTCTCTTCCTCGAACGCGTCTCTAAACTCTCCACCATGTGGTATTGTCACTGGGCCCTTCCCGTCGTCCAACAGGGGCGGTCGCACTCTGCAACTGCCCTTTCCATAGGAGCACGACTACCAGGGAGAAGGTGCGATCCGACCACGACCAATCCTGGCGACAATATCATCAACCTCGACTACTTTTGCCTTCCAGTCCTTTCACAATTCACCTCAAATTCTATCCCTATTGCACACATTGCTTTCCTTCATTGATCCTCCATGCTCTATTAGTAAATAATCTGGCAATCATCAAGCTGGCTTTCGAGATCCTCGTATCTCGAGGCATCGCTTCATTGAACGACTTCAACGCAGAGATGCTCAACCCAATGGGCCAGACCTTCCTTGACCGTCCCTTTTCAGCAACAGAAGCCTCCCTGCAACCGCCTTACGACTCCGTCTACGTCTATCACGATCTGACTCGGGAACGAGCAAGCTATCAAGCCATTGAGTCACTTTCTCACAATCAGTCACGCTCCCAATCCGTCCTTCATTGCGAGAAACGTGCTACCCAGTTTCGCATATCGCCCAACTGGTTATGCCTTATGAAGGATGACCTTCAGCAAATGGTCTGTTCATACCACGATCGTGACGAATCTCTTCCAGCATCATCCCCTTACGACTGTGGCTGCATACCATTATGTGGGACTACCGACCAGCAAGACAAGAGCTATCATGGAAGTCTTCCTCTGACCAGGTTTCGCGGAGTGTCAGCCAAAGCCTTTCTCATGCGACGACCTTGGCATCGAGGTCGTCGGGCCATCGAACGATACAATTGTCCTTCGAACGGCGAAATGAATACAAAATACCATGACTCTCAAGTCAGCAAAGCTCCGGATGCGCAAGAAACATCTTCTCCATGCGCACCGGCTAGGCATGGCAACATCAATATCATGGATGGTGCTTCTGACTCTCCTGATGAGACGCCCTCGCCTGCACGAAGTCGAGCTTCCAGCCACTCGATTATGAGATCGAACCTTGCTCGGCTTTGGCGAGTACGATTCCTATCAGTCGAGGATTTGAGATCTAGACAAAGCTCCACATCCCAAGCTGACGAGGGCTCTCTCAAGCGAGACAACGACCAGTTCACCAATCCTTTTGGCAATGAACAGACCCCATTGTCAAGCAGGCATTCGAGCTCCTCTGATGCGACAGCTTACCTCCGTCCCAACGCATTTGCCGGACATCGGGATACATTGGCGAGACTATCTCAGTATGCCTTCGTGCGTGGCAAGTACGTTCACGGGCATATCGAGCCGGACGGCTCTGCTTTCGCATCAGTAGATCTGACGCAGCAGCCACGTCTACATCTGTCGATCTCTCGAAAACGCTCGAGTGTCCATGCGGATATATTTCTCCCTCAACCGATTGTCGACGCTGTGTTGCAATATCTGTCATTTGAGGACTACAAGGCTCTTCGCTTGGTTTGCCGCCAGTGGCATGTCGGCCTCTCATTGCCTCGGTTTCCGGCAGTATTTAGGCTTCCAGGAGAGATATTGCAACATATCTACTCATACCTTTCACTCTGCGATTTTGATGCGGCTCGACATACCTGCAGATCATGGCTCTTGGCCAGTCTGGACAAGAATGTTCAAGAACCGTTACTCAGATCAAGTGGGTCTGAAAGCGCCCTGACGGCCGACATTCAATGGCTGACGGAAACCGACAACCAGAGAGAAGACCTGAGTCGTTCGTCAAGCCCTTTTGAGGATGAGAACCAGGTTGTCGTCAACAAGGAATGGGTCTGTTCGAAGAGGCTTGCCACTGAAAGCAGACTATCCCCGGAGTGGAGAGGTTCTCCTCCGTCAGATACCTCTGGATCCATTCCCAGGTTATGGCTGATGGAGGAAGTTGACTTTTCGAAGATCATTTCTCAGGATGCTCTAAGCGGCAGAACGAGATTCACTGTCTCGATCTGTGGAAAATTTGTCCTCGTTGTCTCACAGACCGATATCTCGTTGTACTCATTGTGCGAACCAGAACAATCAGTAGCCCCAGTTGTCCGCCTAGCTGCTGGCCTGGAAGTGCTGAAGGTGAGCATGGACACTAGCTCGGAGAGATTTTCTGTAGCGGCACTACTTTCGGGTCGTTTGGGAATGTTGTGGGATCTGCTTGGAGGTCCGCTCCAGACGCGATATCGGAACAGCTCTGGAGAGCCTCTCAACCTTGGCTTACAAACATACGTCCAGGGATCCGCTACATTCTCACCAAGGGGCCCACGCTCCTCTGAGTGGTCAGTCGAAGACGAGGAGTTGCTCGCCGCCGAACCGCCAGCCTACTCTGCGACGCCACCTGCAGTACTGAGCGGATCTTCCTCTACAGGATTTGTCCCGAGTCCACCAACCTTCTAGGACGAGACTCCGGAACGGGACGACCTTGAGGAGAACGATGCGGAGGACGACGAAGGCAGCGATCATGTAGGACTGGGCATACCTATCGAAACTCGAGCAACGGCTGTTTACACCGACCTCGGTAGCCCAGATGATCTCCCGAGGAGCGTGGCAATCTGCCCAAATCGCAAATGCGTGGCTTTCGGATGTCGTATGGGCATTGAACTCCACTGGATCGACGCCGTTACAGGAGGTAGTCTGAACCGCTGGTTCCCACTTGCCGCCCCTAGTGATCATTTGTACTTCCTTCCACAACGGCTGGGGATCGACTCGAGAAAGAAGCTACGATTGATTTCGAGTGCGGCAGGCCCAGTGGCCCCTCAATTGCTTCGAAGCGATAGTTCACCCGCAATATGGAAGTACTGGCCTATGCCCGCTGCCCATGGTCGGCGACAGAGCTTGACCAGGCTATTCTTTGGCAATCTGCCATTTCCAACATCTGCTTCTCCTTCGTCAAGATGGCCACGATCTTCTACACGAGCGCAAAGCGACGAAGTGCAAGGGGTTCTGAGGACCGTTGATTGTGATCATTTTCGCGCAATTCCAGTCAGCGATGGTTCTCACGTTATTTTTACAGACCCATCGAATGGATTACTGTGCTTGGGCAGCGATGCACCTCTGGGTGGCCCGACCAAGCTCATTCGGAAGGTTGTTTTTGCACCACCTCCCCATCCAGAAGGCACACAATGCTCTCCGATACGGTACACAGCCGGTAAAGCTCTTCCATGGGGCCTACGTATTGTTGCTGTCTATGACGACGGACAAGTCGTGCTTTACAACATACCGGCAGACCTGTTCAAACGTATGCAAGATTTGCATACCTCTGCCGATGTTTGGGACGAAACTTCTGGTGTCATTGGGCAAAGTGACCTGCTCATGGACTCTTGGATGACCAGCCACCCGAACGCGTCAATCGAACCTCAAACTGGCAATGAAGCTGCCAACAGTAGTGCAACCTCAGCAAGCAAACCACTTCAGATAAGCGGTGCGACATTGTTTACTGTTGAAGATGACTTCGTTGATGATCTTGCTGTACAAACTGATGGCGGTGGCTTGTCGCTTTGGGTCTTCTACAGAATTGGCCGAGCAGAACGATACAGCATCTACAGTCCTCGCGGTCACCAGAAGACAGTGAAACTTGTTGGTGAGAACGGGCTTGTCTACGACGTCACGGAGAAAGCGATGTCGGAGGGCAATGACTCGACGAAACAAGCCAAAGGGAAGGAGAAGGCAAAGATGGGAGTGCATGAAGCAGGTGACCGCGTCAAACGGAATGAGATGTCTGGGAGGTAAGACCTGATGGAGATGTTGTGATGTACTTAGAGCACAAACATCCCTTTCCTTAGTACTCAAAGCTCCCTTGAGATAATCAATCGCTCCCAGCCTGATCAGCTTGGTCGTGCACCCATTCGCGAATGAGAGTGCCTGTGCCGTCCACGTCATTTTCGTGACTCGAATCGCTAGAACTCAAATAGGCATCATGTTCCCCTTGATGATCAATGACGCTCCCAGCTCGATGAGAGTCGCGCTCTGCATCGTGATCGATAATGCCGTCCTCCAGATGCCGATCGCTCGAACCAGGTCCGTTAGAGCTCTGCGTAGAAGACTCTGTTTTCGACGGACTAGGCAGCTCGGATGCAGTGGCCTTGAACGCCTCGACGTCAAAGTGCTCCGGCCAACCACACTGCTGTGCCAGCGACTTGACCATTTCGTATCTGTTGTTGTTCTCGACCGCGTTAGCTGTGGTGGGTAAGTCACGACCACACAAGGCGCATACGCGTGCTTCAGCGACACTGTGCGATCGTGGAGGCAATTCGTCACCACAAAAAACGCATACTCGTCGTTCAGCAACATCGTCTTGATCGGTGATTGGTGCGAGGATGCAGAGCTCAAAGGGGATTTCCTCGAGATTGTAGTATCGGTTGTACATTGCGTCGAGGACCGCGCATGCATTTTGCTCTTCTACGGCGAGGACGTCGCCTTTGCCATCCCATATGCGAATCGTGCCTGCGATGATGTCAACATATCTGTCTAATGCGTAAGGGCGTGAGTAGGGGAAGGGCGAAGACCTACCTCGACTGATATCCACGACCAGAGATCGCCCGTGCTGACCACTCATAGTCAGAGAAATGAGTGACCCGTCGACTTCTCTTGGGCCGTCAACTGTACTTCCGGACACTGATGAGTCACAAAAATGGCGCGATTGTCGAATGCAATACTCGTTGGAAAAGTCAATGATTTCGGAGTTCTTGATCAAGTCGCCGGCTCCAGCCGTCGCCCAGGGAATCCTCTTGAGGAAATAAATGGTTGCGTCGTCCATGCCGACGCTTTCGCATAAGGCGATGTCAATTGCTCCTTCATCGTGAGGAGGGAGTTTGATGTCTTCGGGGGAGATGTATCCGATGGCTTGGAAGATCTTGTAGATGCGCAGGAGGCTGGCTGCAATATCGATTGTGGAAACCATGGCTGATTCCCAGATTTCGAACTCCATGATACCGGGAATGTTAGAGCAACAGCATAAGACTTTGGGTAACGAGGGAACAAGGAAGACGACGGTGGGGATGGAGAGCATTTTATAGCGGTGGCTCAGACAGGCTGGCAAACAGCGCCATCGATATGGGAGTCGACAGCAGTGACATGACAATCAACAGGACAGTCAACAAGGCAGTGACATGGCAAACAGGGACAACAAGAAGTACGTCAACCAGCATCTTGACTCTTTATGGCCGAGAGATATCACTTTGCGTTGGATCCTACCTGCGATATTTAATCAATGTTGGGTCATCACGCACAGCGATCGGACTGTCTGCTCTGCAGTCGGCGGCCTTGGTGCTAAGTAAAAGATAGCATACCATCATGGATATAGCGTGCTCGGTAATGCATGTCAGAGCCAAGTCGACAACAGAGGGAGTGCGCGCCCCATAGGAGCAGCGTTTGTGCTTCTGAGTACCCCGTAAAGTTGTCCATCGATGGCGCGGGTACACGTCGTCGCCCAGATTTTGGGATCATGTTATACGGAGTCGTTTCCGCCGGTCGACCGGACAATCACTTTGATGCGGCCTGACTGATGGCGAACAGAGGTACAACGATCATGTTCACCGGGTGAACACGGTTGCAGCGCTGGCTCGCGTCGGGAATGCCACCGGTTCGATAGCAAAGGCACCCAAGCCTCTGCGGGTTTCTCGCTGTGGGCAAGGACTAGAGCAGATAGGAGAGGGATGATACTTAGCATAGCTGCATAGGTCACCACAAAGGAGGTGCTAGTATATATCCATGTTATTGAAGACGGCAGGGAAACGAAGTGATACATTCATCTCGTAGCTCGCGCCAGAGATTTAGGCACTCCCAGATTCACCTGCCGAAGGCAATCCTTGGCAGGGGTTCCTCACACAGCGCCAAAAAAGACAGCTTCATAAGGAGAATTGAACCCTGGTAAAAATAAAAATAAAATACCAAAAAAAACTTGTAGCACTCTTTGAGAAGCGCTGGTATATGGTTAGCGAGTAATTACATTGGGTGGACTTCCTAACTCACTGTCATCCTTAGTGCAGGGGCCATGCTAATCTAGCAATTCAGTTAGCAATTTGATGGCGTGCAGGGAGATCGGAAGGCGAACCTTCTCTGTATCGTTTCAAATTGACCAAATGTCCCGAAGGACACAGTAATTCAAGGTTTCTAAAATATAAACCCTTATTTTCGTAGATCACGTGACTTCCGAAGTAGGCTGCTTCACACGCCTACGCAAGCTTTTCTTAGGACGAGGGCGCGACTTCTACTCTACTCGATTTCCTGTGTCCTACGGGACATTTGGTCAATTTGAAACGATACAGAGAAGGTTCGTCTTCCTCCCCTTCCACTGCCACTCGACAGTGACGATATAAAACCGAGGCCGGCGGCTTCGCCGCCTCTTCTCACGGAACGCTTTTTTCTTGCCGGTCTATGTACCTTGTTGCTAAGAGTCCTTCACTCATGGTCCAATGCTTGCAAAATGGTCTTGCTCAATCTCTCAACCTGTTCAGGGGTCGTGGTCAGACTTGTCATGAAGTATATGATGTCTCCCAACACGCGGGAATGGATACCACAGCCCTCGGAGTTGAGTAAGGTGAGTAGACGAGCCTGCAACGACGCCGTGGCGCTGGAGTTATAGCCGCCGCCCTCTGAAGCGACTTTGAGCACGAGCACAGTCCCAAGAGCGAAACAACCGGTCAAACGAGGGTGGTGTGACAAGGTCGTGACGAGAGTCGGTGGGAAGAAGGAATAGACCGGTGACGAAGAGGTCGAAACACTGAGTGTGGACGGAGACCAGGGTCGTTTCATGTTCTCCCAGGTGCCGTCATTGTCCATACGTCTGTACTCGTCTAGCGCCTTGTTGGCGACCATACAACCGATCGGATGAGCCGTGTAGCTGTGGCCATGCAGCAAAGCGTCTGCCTTGGACGAAGAGAGGAATGTCTGGAAGATGGACTCGCTGGCTGTGGTCAGAGCGAGTGGGAGAAGGCCGGCGGTGAGGAGCTTGGCGTGGACGGAGATATCTGGAGCAATAGAGCTGGGAAGAGGCGGTTGAGTTGAGGAAGATGCCGACGGGGTTCCAAAGTCTTCTGGGTCAGAGAGGAAGGACGACGAGCTGGCCCGACCGAGGCGGTAGAGGCCGGTGAAGACCTCGTCGGCGATGACAGGCAGGCCAGACCAGTCCGCCTTCGAGGTATTGGTGCTGTTCTCGACCGGATCGCCAATCAATTCTGGACGGGATCGGACCGTGCTGATTAATGTGCGCTGGAAGAGTGGGTCGACGAATATCATGCCTCCTGCTCCCATGAGAAGTGGTTCCATGATGAGGGCTCCAAAGCGTTTGCCTTGATCGCGCACGAGATTTGTGAGCGTAGCTTCAATGTGTGCTTGATACCGTGCTGCATCGTCCTTTCGCGTGGCAAAGTCAAAGATTGAGTCTAGAGAGTCGAATGTCTGGGTCAATTCGACGGCAGCCACTTCTTCAGGGATCGAGAGCTCCCACTTCCCTTTCCGCATTATTAGGGATGGTGGTTCAAACCAGTGGCCCCATGGCTGGTGCCAGTCGACCTTTTCGTTGTAGACATTAGGTTCGGAGCAGTTCATCACGCCGATGGTGTCTCCGTGGTAGCTGCCCTTCAAACCGAGAATGGCTACCGGCGCGCTTCCCTCGTCTTTGGCCCAGCCGTAGCGTAGGGACGAGGCGCGGAGGGCCATCTTGACAGCAACCTCCATACCCGTGCTACCATTGTCGGTGAAGAAGACGCGATTAAGACGCGGGTTTTGGAGAGTCGAGAGCAGATTGTACGAGATGTCTAGGGCGGGTTCGTGAACCGCGTGTGCGAACATGACGTGTCCGTAGCGGCCGGCGGCATGGGCTGCCGTGAGTGCGATGTCTGGGTTGCCATGGCCTAGACCTTGAGTCCACCATGACGCTGATGCGTCGAAGAGAGGCGTTAGCAAAGGTTTGGGAGGTGCATGTGCCGCGAGTGGTGTCAACCCTGAATGCGAAGGTGTAGGCGAGGCCAGGGCGTCATCAGATTCCTGGTTGTAGGCTTGGAAGTGGTCGCCGTAAGCAGAGTCGATGGCGATGATGTTATGAGGTATGCTGTGCTGGCGGAAAGGATGCCAGATCACAGCCTCGGCCTGGGAGGGCATAGAAGTGAGTTTGGAGGTGCGCGAGAAATGTTTTTGGTGGAGGTGGTCGACTAGGCTGGTGACAGCTGTCGATTCGGCACATTCCTGATAGTAGTCCGAGAGTACAGCCTCATCGTCTCTGGGATCCTGCCGTCTCGGTGGAGGGAGAGGCAGAGCGACCGTCGGAATGTCGTGTCTAGAGAAATGCTTCTCTAGATAGCCGTAGTTGCCCCACTGAGGATCATCGAAAACGATGAGCGACTCGAGGTCGTAGCCGCGAATGTGAAGTGATTCGAAGGCTGATATTGTTGTGGCAATGCCACCGAGCTTGCTGTCACCAATAAGGAGGGTCGGTAGCCTTAGTGGTCTGTACAGGTCGGCTTGCACTGAGCCGGATGGGCCTGGGGATAGGACTCCCCCAGCTGTCTCGAGGATAGCATATCGTCCTCCAGCTTGACTGTGCTTGGCGAGATGGTCTTTGACCTTTCTGACGATGTCATGATCGGATGCTGCTATCTGTCTCTAGTCAGGAAGCTGACGGGCTGTGACATGGTTCTTTAGGAAAACTACCGAAGCATCTCCGTCCAACTGGGCTGCCAAATGAGGGCTCAGCGGCTTTGAGAATTGTGAAATGCACTGTGAGACGATGCCTGGCACATGATGTCTGATATGCCTGTATCCCGGGGTTATGATGCTGGACAGTTTATGGTTGGGGGTTAATGCTGTGCTTACCTGTCATCAGCCTCGGCCTGGGGACCGGTGGAGACTGGCTTTAGGTACAACAGTCCATTCGGTGATGCTCGGCGCTGAAGAGCTCGACACAGTATGGTCGATACAATTGTCTTACCGACGTCTGTATTGGCGCCGTATACTTGCCATACCTTGAGATCACGCCAGAGCATCCCGCGGAGGCAACGTTCTACTATGAAGTAGATGTATGGTTGGATGTAGCATTCGAAGAAAGGAAGAGTTGATTGATGAATTGGGAATTTGTACCTGCCAAGCCTTCAAACATAAGATCCTCCGGGAGATCCCGGGCTCCGATTGGCGGAGGCCGAGGAACGACAAGATCGACATTTGACAGAAATACTTTCGACTCACTTCCTCTGAAGAATCAGACATCACCATTGCTGATCTCGAAGCTTGGTGCAAGCTTTGTCAGCGCCGTCATTCATCATGGGTTCAACTTGACAGCATCAACTATCAAGTATCGCCCCTCGTTGCATTGCTCGGAGTTCGTCTTTCATTTTTCAACGATGTCACCATCTCCATTGGAACGCCGTCTTTCTGCTCTGCTGGACAAGAGACGGTCACAATCCAAGTTGCGGACGCTGAAATCCACCCCAGCTGGCTCCGTGGATTTCTCGTCAAATGATTTCTTGTCTCTGTCATCGAACAAAGACTTTCAAAATAACTACCTGACTACCCTCAACAAAAGCCGGACCCCACTGGGCTCGACGGGCTCGAGGCTGCTGGATGGCAACTCGCAGTATGCCGAGAACCTCGAATGCGAGATTGCAACCTTCCATGGCGCCGAAGCAGGCCTTCTGACCAATTCTGGTTTTGATGCCAATGTCAGCATTTTCGCGTTCCTCCCACGAGAAAGAGATGTCATCATCTACGACGAATTGATTCATGCCAGTGTACATGACGGTATGCGGCAAAGCCGGGCGACGACACAAATCCCATTCAAGCACAACGATATCGACGATTTGAGCCGCATATTGGAGCAAGTGGCACCAGTGGAGAATTCAAGCCGGACGGTCTTCGTCGCTGTCGAAACAGTCTACAGCATGGACGGTGATCTAGCACCACTGACTGAGATTGTCGAGCTCGTTGAATCCGCGTTCCCTAGACGGAATGCTCACTTGATTGTGGACGAGGCACATGCCACTGGCATCTACGGACCCAATGGATCGGGCAGAGTATGCGAGTTGGGTCTTGAGAAGCGCATTTCAATCCGACTGCATACATTCGGCAAGGCGCTTGCATGTAATGGCGGTATGTGGCACCCTTTCAATTCTGTTGACGATGCTGATGTCCAAAGGAATCATTCTATGTTCTCCAATTCTGCGACTATATCTCATCAATTACGCTCGACCATTGATTTATACGACATTCATGTCCTACCCTGCTCTCGTCGCAATCAAGACAGCTTACGCGTGGCTGCAGATGGGCAAAGCGAATCTGGTATGGTCCCTCGGTCCCTCGGTCCATTCATGAATTGACGTTTCCAGCTCGCCGCAAACCTATATCATTTGATCCACCATCTCTACACGCAACTGCAGACTTTGGAGACTGCCATCTCGCAGGCGACCGGAACAGCTTCCACACCTCTCGTTACACTCCCCAAGACGTGTCCGGAGTCACCCATCTTCGCCCTTCTGAGCCCCTACCCGCGATCCCTGGCAGCGCATTGCCAGTCTGCAGCTTTCATCGTGCGCCCTGTCGTTTCACCCACAGTACCCATCGGTACAGAGAGGGTTAGAGTCTGCCTGCATTCTGGAAACACCGTCGAACAGATTGACAGCTTTGTGTCCTGTGTTAGAAGATGGCTGATGCAGGAAGGCATGTCTGGGAAGGAAGACAGCGCATCACCGCTCGTGGGCAGTCTCGAGGTAGGCCCACAAGCTGAAAAACAATTACTTGCGAAGTTGTGAACTCGGAAATACTTCGTTGGCTAGGCATACATAGCAGCCTAGGCAATGAAAGTCTGAAATGAACTCGAGGCTGACCGGACTGTCACGGGCCTCGTATCCGAAAATGTCACTGTCCAGAATGAAGCAATCCCCACACATAAGCCACGCCACAAGTCATGAGGAGGAAGCAGCTAGGAAGTCAAACGCAGAGACGATCGTATCGGACCTTTTCTGTCGTGTCGATTCTGGTGTTTGGATACCTCGCATTCTCCAGCATGCAGCGGATTACATCGACACTTCAGCGATGGATGCTGAGCGTGGTAAGGAAGAGCCTCATTTCTTCCTCGACGGCCGCCTGGATCGCAACGGCATGCCCGCCTGAAGGACGCGACGACCTCCTGTCCTAACGGGTGGACGATAAAGAATGATAGCAAAACTGGCAACAAAACCATTGAGAACAACACAATCGATATGCCGATGTCGCGCACCGAGAAGAAGGACATATCCAGAACATGGGAAAAACAAAAGATGAAAACCGCTGGGAATTGCATTGAATGAGTTGTTGTCGTTGACCCGAGCCAACGGTGCACCTCGAGAACGGGAAAAACAGGCTGTGAAATCGTCTTCTCTAGGGTCTAGAGTATATCTGGCGGTGGTCAGAGATCCATTGGCATCTACCTCGATGGCCGCCTGGTCTGCAAAGGTAACAATCTCTTGAAAGGCACGACAACCTCCTGGACTTCAAAAGCCACACCAACAGCCGTCACGCGGATGGACTTTTGGTTCTCAATGACCGGAGATTGATGAACAACTCGGTGGTGGGCATTGCGTGGAATGAAAGACACCGCTATTTGCATTCCAGAACCCGAACTATCCATGCTGCCCATATCTTTTCCAGTAGATCTTCAGCAACCTGGATTGCGCTGTAGTTCAAGTGTACCGATTTGACTTCGAGTGGCCGGACGGTCGGTACACAGCTGGGATGCGTTGGATGAATTGTCATCTTCGCAGACTGTCTTATCGTCGCTGAGGAAATGCATTGAGTCTTTGACATCTTTGGTGCCTGATTTGCCGAGTTCTGCTCCTCTGCATCCATACCAAGGGCACTGCCAATCAGCGCATGACTGTCCGCGAAGTTCTTCAAGAAGGGTTGTCTGGTCTTCGAGGGCGTGGAGAAACCAGGATCCAGTCTCGGGAGGTTTGCCCTAGGTGGATGACCATAGCTGGCGTCAGAGCCATGACCATGCGCGCTTTCTGCTCGTAAGTGAGGTCGAAACTCAGATGCGCCTCGAGTGCTACCTTCCGTCAAAAGCTGGAGCATCGAACATATCACTCTGTGCACCAGACTCTCCTGGCGCAAAGGCTGGCAGTTCAGTGTCGAATGAGAGCGACACTTCCTCTGCAGGAGCCGAGCGGAGGTCGCCGAAAGCATTCAAAACGTTGCCGTCGTCGGCGTCCTCATCATTGCCGAATTGCCAGGTAATCTAACAGTCAGGGGGTCAGTATTAGTCATGAACAGTGTGATATAACGTACCAGGTTTCGCAGACGCAGCCTGTTTCACTGACTTAGCAGATCGCGATCCTGATGGAGGGTCTCCTGTGGTCTTTCTCTTGGTTGATGTGGACTTATCCATCTTCTTGTCTAGTCATTGGTTGGGATGTCAGTCGAGGGCGTGCCGGCTGATCTTGTTGACAACTGACCTGTTGGCTACTCGTCAGATTGGTGCGCTATTGTCAGAAGGATCCTGCACGTACCTTTAGGTTTCTCTGGTGTCGTAATCGATGGTGAGCCAGCGACCTCTGTACTCAAGTGGTCAGTCCAGCACACATTTTGAGTTGTCTAGGCCAGTATACTGCTGGTGAGAGGTATAGTGAACGGGCCTTTCCGCTGAGTTGGCTTCTGATCTGTTGTTAAGACGTTAGCCGGGCGTACACTCACGGTGGAAAATATCACCATTACCTAGAGGCTGAGCAGATGGGCTTCCTGGTAGAGGCCTGCGCTGTTGGCTTCCTGTAGCAATATATATAGAAGCCGATGTTGTTGATCGACATCACTTCTCGTATCACATAATACCTTCTTGTTGTCCATATGATGACCGTCCTTCCTGTGAGGCTCGTGTTTGCGGTCCTAGGTCAGGAGACCACCATTTTCAGTCAAAGCTTGGATTTGATGAATAGATGTCGTCCTGAAGGCATCCACAGAGAAGGGCCAAGTGAACTTAACGGGGAAAGGAGTGGTTTCGTATCATAATGTGCAGTTCTTGCGGAATGTGCTTTGAATCCACGTTCGGCAGCTCTTTGGTGCCCTTCTTACCGAGCATATAGCGCTTTAAATCCTTGGGCATCGACTCCTGACTGCCGTATGCGATGACAAGATTGAAGCCTTTGAAGCCAATAGTCTCATGTGACCATTGTACCTGCAGATTTGCAGGGGCCATGAGCAGAATTGTGCCCTGTGGTGCGAAATTAGCGATAAAGGTCAAGAAGGCGAGCAGCATTCTTGTTTTGCCAAAACCCGTCTGGTCCGCCACAATTCCAGATTTGATCGCCGTTCCACGCAAAGACGCCAGAGCTTCGTCCACTCCTGGCGTCTCCAGGTGCCTCTTGGGGAGGCCTTCGTGGCTGCACAGGAGAAGAGCTTCCGTATTGTCGGCCCATCGGTGACATTCGTAAATATATATAATATGACCAATCGTACAACGCCGTGTTCTCCGGCACTGACTTGTGGCAACTGTCTGAGTGCAAGCCCAATGGGTCTGCTGCAATTTCCGATGGTCGTCTTGTTCGACTGACTGGATATCATAAACGACGTTCCAGGGTGGTACCGCGACGAGCGCGCCCGGACAGGTTGGTACAACCTGGTGAGATGCATTCAGGCCTTTCAAGTCGTCGCTTCTCAGCCTTTCTGGCTTCTTGACGGGCTTTGATCTTCTCGCCGCTCGGTGTTCGTAAATGCAGGTCCAAGACCTTTCGCACAGAAGGATCAAGGGGATTGCCCGTCGCAACTCCATCTATCTCCATGACATCTGTCACCAGCCGTGTGTCTTTCCTTTGAAGGACGAGATGGAAGTCCGGTCATGAGGTTCAGTTCCAGGCTCTCTGTCTGTTTGATAAAGACGACTCTTCGTAGCTGCCTCAGTTCAGGGATGGTCGCCGGATAAGCGCTCATGAGGATGAAATCGTTCAGCTGGTTAAACGATGGTGGGTAGTAGGATAGCTGTGAACCGACTTCTTTGCCGTGCTGGAGTGATGCCAGAAGGGCCTCCTTGGCCTCGATACTGTTCAACCAGCCGACATGATGCTCACCTTCGGCGTCTCCACGTCACTGTGGATAATACATATGTATATATTTGAAGTCTCCTCCAAGGTCTCATGAATCATGCTGACATTTTCGACTCTCCTTGTGAGCCGATCTGCCCAGGCCGTAAGAATGAGGGACTCGTGATAAGGGTGCATGCGTGGTTCGAGACCAAAATGCCATGACATGTTTCAACTCCACCATCTGGACATGCAAATCGGCATGAGTAGCTTCCGGAAATCGATGGAAGAATGATGGCCGGGACCTGCGGAGTACTGTCATTGCGTGGCGAGATCCATGATGGACACATATCATCCAGCAAGAGGTTATGCAAGGATCTGCAACTGAGAGACTTCCGCTTTTCAAGAGACATAAGTTCTTCCATATCGTGGAAAGCTGTCTCTATGGACCTGTTATAGCCTGACTGGCTGAGATCGATAAGAGCGCGTGTTGCGCATAGTAGGAGATCTTGATGCGGGGCAGATGAACTGGTCGGTAGGCTGGGACCAGCCGTCGTGGGCCAAGTATGCCAGCTCGGGTGCGTGATTAATTCTTCGACAACAATGCGGATATCGTTGTGGTTCAGACGCATGCAATATCGCAAAAAATAGCTCATCAACGCAAAATTTGAAAAGGACGACAATGATATGTTCAGACGCTCCAAAGCGTTATGTTGTTGTTCGAATGAGATTGAGGCCAGTTGTGACCGGGCTTCCGAAGCCAGTCGCGGTTGCTGTAGCAGATCATGAACACGGCTCCCAAAGGCTCGATCCAGGCGAATGGAATCGAATGACCCGTACCCAGGACCAATGAACACCGTCCCATCGTAAACATGTGTTTCAGCATAGTGGTCGAGGGAGGAGGGTCGAAAGCAGGTCTTTGGTTTCGCGACATTCGGTTTCTCAATCTCGAGACCAGGAAAATGATCCATGGCCACCTTCTTACTGGGATTATGCATCATCTTGTCGAGCTGGTTCGCAATCTCTTGTAGCTTGCGATCTGCATGCTGTTTTCGTGTCGAGGGTGTGAGAGATTCGTCTCGTTGTCGCGGAGAGCCCTGAAAACCTGGCGAGCGGCACAATGGTTCTCTCGAAGAGGTACTGGTAGGATGGATGGCCATACGATCCAGCATTTGCAGCCGTGCTACAAACTTGTACTGCTGGATGAGGTGCTGTGCCCAGGAGGCAATGAGCTGAAGACATGTGTATATATATGTATGATTGATTTGGTTTCGGGACACCGTTGAGTCTGGTTTGGATGATGGTTTTCGAGGGGGAAATGGTGCCTTTTTATGCCTGAAATCTCATGACTCACGAAAATGGGTGAAAGCCTGATGACAAGACCAGATGCACTCTGAAGCACGTCCTCATTCACCTTCTCAGACCGGACGGTCCTCGGCAGCACCTATCTGTCAGTGGTTTCATGAATTCAACATCAGAATTCACCTCTGACCCATAATTCTGACGAGACCAGATACACTCTGAAGCACGTCCTCATTCACCTTCTCAGACCGGACGGTCATCGGCAGCAGCCTATCTGTCAGTAGTTCCAGAAATTCAATGTCAAAATGCACCCCAGTCAAACGATGAACACTGCAATTGCGCATAAGTTTCGCATTGCAGACAATCTGGCTTTCCTGCTGTTTCAGCATTCATGCTCACCCGATTCACTAGTCACGGAATCAGGCAGCTCTCTTCCATACCAAAAACCTTGACACAAATATGCAAGATTAACCTTGTAAGGCTTATGTCAACCACCGCTGCGCAAGGCTAACTACAGGACCTGATATCGGTCTGTTCACTGTACATTCACAAACGCTGCAAGGCTGTGGGAGTCCAGAAGTTACAAGTGGCTGATCCTCATGCGGACTCATATTTCCGGGCGCACGTTCCCCCCAAAACAGCATCTTATGGCTATCACTAGCCGTGGGATAGTGGCGTGGGTGGTGGCGGTGGTCTCCGAGGGGGCCGCGCTACGGGGAGATTCGCGTGAATGACCTAAGGAAGTTAACATTTTATCCCACATGCGCCCGGGCTTCGGATACCGCGGATACCGGCGCCCAACGGTTGACCGCTCGACCTAATGATTGGCGTGGAGTTCATTTCCTCAGGGTGACAGAGTCTGTAGATTGTACTTCTGCCACATGTGTACTGAATCCTCCCGCGGAAATGCCCAACGTCGTGATATCTAACGTTCAGTTCCTCATGCGTTTGAATATTCTTGAATTTTGCATCCACAGCAATCTCACAGATCAACCTTCATTGTAACGATTTGGGACAGTTGATGCGCATGCGAAGCCCCAAAACTGCCACCCGCGGCCACGGACTTTTTTTTGTGGCTGCCATGCGCCTGTCAGTGCCACTTTGCAAGGTTTGCTTACTAGTGAATCAGTGATCGCCGAGCCATCACGGCGACCCCGAAGCCTTTGATGCCTAGACTCTAGACTTCATGTCTTTTGAGCTGCATCATACCTGCAAGGTACCACACTGTGATGTTTTCTCTCGTGATGCTAGCCTCCTCGAAAAGGCCGTATTTGTCAAGCATCCCAGTCTTCAGTGCGGGTGGACTTACTCGGGACTTGTATCGTTGGTGACTAGAGGCTGTCTTCGATGCCCCATGCAGTAATCCACAATTCCCAACGCGAGTCGCTGACTCCACGAAGTCGTGGTTTCCTCGAACGGTCGGGTCTGTGGCGAAACATATGTGGCTCTGCGATGGGTACTGGCGTCTCGTTGGCCTGGCTCCTTTTCATGTCAGCTTGAACCGTCGTTGCCCAGGCAAATAGTCATGAATAGCGCCAGATAAATTGAATAGTCGATCTGAATGTGTTGAGAAATATTGGCATGTGCCTTCATCTTGGGGTATCCAGCGCTTTTGACTGATAGAGAATATCAGAAACATGTTCTGACAATGCATACCTTCCCCAGTAATAACAAACCCAGACATCGTACTCGCTTGCCCATAATGCCGCTCCGGTAAAAACATCGCAAGCGGGAATCTCGTAAAATGTCAGGATAGAATCGAAGTTCGCTCAGATGATCAAACGCCAAAATTGACAACCAAAAGCTCTCTTTCCACCATGACTTGCATCCAGTCCACGTCGAGACTTTGCCCAGTGTTCATAAATCGCTCGTTCTGCTTCTCGTACACTGCAGCCAGTGCCTTGCGCGTAACCGTAGTGTTTCGGCCAATGCTGTTCTTCTCCATGGTGCGAATCATGTCCAATGCTTGCATCCTTTGTGCCCCATCGGTACTGGCAAAACCTGCGATAAAAGCAGGAAAAACAAGATATCGACAGTGGGCACGATCCTCGGCAAGTGCTTTTCTCATCATCTGCAGGATCTGACTCGAGGCAACCGCAATTTCGGTATTGTAGTCCGGTGAGGTCTCCAGTCGCTGTCCTGGCCACATCGACGTGTGGGACAAGATAATGCATGCTCGGTACAGGGTGGCAGCGTGCTCCAAGATCTGTTTCGGCCGATCCGGCATGCCATCGGCATTCTGGGTGATCATTGCTACTGCTGGTGTGACCCACAACTGCCGTAACGCGTCTTGAAGCTCGAAGATTCGAGATTGACGGGACCGTGTTACTTGTGCCCTCTGCTGAACGTTAGTAGCATTGAATGTGGTGTCTCTGCGATACTCGTGCGCCAGCAGTGCTAGTCGAATCGCCAAAATCGTCACTTCATAGTCGAGTGATAACACTATCGGCAATGAGTCCACTTCGTCACCATACACGATGCTAGATCCATCTAGACCGAGAGGGTATTGGTGAAAGCTGGGAGGAGGGATGTTGTCACTGTGTAGCATAGACCCAACGAATTCACCACGTCCTGCGCCACTGAACAAAGCGTCCAAATCGATCAAACAGATCCACCAGACGATAAATGGAAATCTTTCTGTGCCAAATACTTCGCGTCGTAAGAGGGATATTCGAAGAAGGGTGGAAAGGTGTTGTGACCATAGATTGGAGTGACCGGTCTCTGCTGCGGCAATCTACCTTTACGTTAGCTGCGCACCAGTTGATTAGTTTGTTACACACCTCGTAAACAAGTAACAGAAAATGAGTAAGAAATGCTCCATCTGAGGACAAATCGTTGGAGCTTTTAAGTGTGCTCTGTAATGCAGGAAGAGCTTGCTGGTAGTGCTGGAGGGCATCAAGCCTCTCATTTCCGCTGTGGCCTGCCAGACTGAGAGCAGCAACAGCCATCATGGCGTGGTATAGCTAGAATGGATGTTAGGAAAGTACCACAGCCTTCTGATGATGGCTTACTGGAGGAAACGTGTCGGCAGCACTTTCCAAGATCCCTACACTTGATCGATGCATGCCATCTCTTTGATCAAGTTCGGCAGGAACAAGTTGCCGCCAGACCACGTAGCGAAATTGTCGGAAATATCTTTCGTCCTGCCCGATGTTGATTCTCTCACTTTCGGTCATTGAGGCAGGCTCCTCCACAAGAACATTAGACCCTGAGCTTTCACTTTTTATTATGGTGCTCCTGGCGACCGGCGAGATGATCGGCGAATGGAAATCTCGAGAAGAACTAAACGTGCTGCGGCGAGCAATATCCTCAAACCTGGGTAAAACCACAATGTTGGGATCGTCAGGTACGGGTATACCTTCCACGGCAATGTCCCGGCCACCAGCACTAGCAATAGATACGGCCAGTGAAGGTCGACGTAGAGGTGAAACCAGCTCTTTCTTGATCTCGGGGTCATCGCTGTACTCTGGTAGGTTTTGAAAGCTGTCTTGGTTAAGAACAACATTGTAGGTTCCCGGACTGTATCGCTCTGCCTTCTTCTCGCGATCTTCGTCGGTGGTCAATAAAGCAAATGGTGGCAGGTCATCAATCGTCCCAGACCCAGCACTGGTTTCGGTCACAGTTGGCGAAAGTGCTGTAAATGCGTCAGCATAACAAGGAGCATGGCTGGACAAGATACGAAACTTACCATCCCAGACTGTGTTGGAAATCACTGTTACTTCCTGCATTCGTTCCCGTACGCGAGGAGTGTCATCTCGAAAAGCTAGCCGTGGGCTGTAATCGCAAGAATGGCCCAAGCGTGAGCATTGCCCACAAACAGGTCGTCCTTCATCACATTTTACTTTGCGCGTGCGACAGGTCCAACATCCAGTTCGTGATCGGGGAGGCAACCGGGCGCGCGGAGGAACACTCGGCCCTAGGTGGCCACTGCGGCTTGCGCTAGCTGAGGATGAAAGGTCATCCTTGGGAGCAATGACAGGTAACCGCGGTGGTTGTCTTTTGGAAGACTCTCCTCGTCTGTCTTCTTGCATCACCAGGGTTGTCGTTGTTAACATGAGGAAAGCAGAAGGTTGCGGTGACCAGGGCAGGGAAGGGCGCTTATGTGGACATGTCCAATGGTATTTGTTCGTGGTGTCGATGGCAGAGCTTCACTTTTTCCATACGGTCAGCCTTAAAGGGAAGAACCGAGTCGCAAATCGTGTGGTGACTTCGTGGTCTCCCTTCCGAGAGATAACGTGTGGTGAGATAAGACGCAGTCGGACCACGAACAGGTACAGCCAGCCAGCGAAACTGTGACAATGCGCATCCAGGGCCGATACGAGAAGCTTCCAGGAAAAGAAAATACTGCAACGCACGAGGTTGAGATGGTGAAAGAACTGGAAATGGAAAAGCCAATGGTCGGTGTAAGAAATCAATCATCTAACTAATTGAATGGACAAGGCACTATGTCATTGTGAATGTCCAAGGCTGTACAGTAGTGATGGGAAGTGCCACACCAAGATCCATTCCCCAACGGGGGTTTCCATGGCCCAAGATGATGGACAGGGAGTCCATGTGCCAGGCTAAAAAAGAGGAATACCCATAGTTCCATGAACCCATAGTATCTCGGCGGTAGCGAGGAAGACTAAGAAAACCCAGACCCATGACTATGGATGCGACGCAGGGGAAGGTCGGATAGCGAGGCATCTCCATCCATCATGAAGGGAGTGAGCAAAAAAAGATACCTGTACCTTAGTAGTAACGAAGGGTCCGAGGGTTTCGTGTTTGAGCCCAAACTCGACAAGACTTGCCCGGAGCGGAAAATAGTATGACCGAGGGATGCACCGGCCGCCCTTTGATTGGCTCTTTCATTTGCCTAGCGAGACGCACCGGTAATTCTCGCTGCCACCATCTTTTTTTCCTTTTCCTTTTCCTTTTCACGCAACCCAGTTTTTTAATCTGATCAACGTCGATTACTTCCTTTCAAAGTTAATCAAACATGCTAGATGAGAGACATGCCTCGTGCTCTCCTGACACTCCCTGACAACTGACACTTTAGTCACCGGCACTTTCCTCCTGTTTCTCATTGCTACCTGACCCAGGCTGCGTCACGAGAAATTTGAAGAAAATGAGATTTCTAATGGACGGCACAGGAGCGAATCACTACCCGTCCATTTCATGAATGCTTTGCCTTGCATCGTCTGTCACCCTCTACGAGGACTTCGGAAAACTGAATCTCCCCCACAATCCGATGCCTTTTTGCGATCTTGTGGGAAGATATTCCGCCCCGAAACAACCGAGCTGGAAAACCCATGCATAATTCCATGTTCGAGATTGAGTTTTGTGGGGAGCAAGGAACACGAGTCCCCAAATCATAAAATGCCTGTCAGCATGTGGCTACCGATCCACCCCCGGGGACTTGTATCGGGTACCAGGACCATTGGGCATCCATGTGGCACGGCTGCTAACTACTTAGCCTGAATGGTTCTCCAGAAGACACAATGGCTGAAAATTTGCCGGAACCGACACTGCAAGACCAGCAGCACCCCACATAACAATATCGCTAACAACGAAAAGGTGAACGAAAACGAACGCGATCTTGGAATCACAATTCCAAAACGGTCATGCAAGCCTGTGGACCACAGCATCAGTGACCATACAGAAGACATTTCACCGCTTTTCCGGCATGCACAATGATGAAGAGCGTCCTGTTCAATTCAGCCGACTTGTTCTATACTATGCCATACTCGTACCCCCTAATCCGAACCCTCGTTCCCTCACCGCTCAAAGAGAGACGTTCCATAGCTGAATGAGCTTCCACTACGGGACTAGTGGTTTCTCTTGGTCAAGAGCCGGGCGCGGTCGATGTCTTCACGTAAAGGTCTAGACCGTTCGGTCTGACTCCAATTGTCAAGGATCGCCGCTAACGGTACTGATACCCGGGGCCCTCTTTCGGCCAGGGCCACCGCCAAAGCCACACGGTCCCTGCGCAGATTTTCCGTCTCATTAGCTTGGCGGGCATCGTCACCGGCGAGTACCGCCAAAACGAGTGGCTCAAATGGCTCATGCAGGCGTTGCCCGTCCCCGCTTCCTGCCGAATCTCCCTTTGATGAGGCTGGTGCGACATCTGAGGCTGAGGCATTTTCCTTGTTAATGCCTTTCATTTCACTGTCCACACCAGCAACGTCTGCTTGTTTCCCACAATTGTCAACGAAGAATTTCGCGCCTGTGTATAGTGCTGAGTCGACTTCGCTTGATCGAGTGGCTTGCGCTTTTCGCACAATTGCAATAGTCTGGTCCAGAACTTCGGTTTCGGGATGTGAAGCTAGGATTTTGAACATGCATGAAACGATTGCGCTTGCCGTGACTTCATTGACAGTCCTGTTCCGCTATGGTTAGTGGGTGGATACAGCAAGCCTGAAGTGGAGGAGTCTTACCTTTTTTCGAAAGTCTTACCATTAGCCCCGTCAACGTCCATGGCATCCTCGTCGGTCACTTCATCTAGGGTGTCACTCAAGTATGGTATCAGGTCGCCGGTCAAATCCATATCCTTCCTGACGTCGGCAAACTCGCCGAGCGATCCTATCGCATGAGGTCGATAGGAGACATTCGTACGTTTGGCTTCACGAATTGCAATCTTCCTCATTTGCTGGCTGACCTTGTTGTCGCTCCACAACACTTGAGCTTGCCGCACAAACTTTGGGTAGACCTTGATGATATCTTCTTTGCCTTCCCAGGTCTTACCGTCCAGCGCTTCTTGAACTACCGACCAGACAATAGTCGCGCTTTTGTCCGAGTACTTCTCGTTGTTTTCCATGATCGACACCAGCTCGGCAACCGCGAAGCAGCAAGCATGTTTGATCGGCCAAAGAGGCGATTTGATATGTGTTGATATCAAACCCACTATCTCGCTCAGGTAGAGATTGACCGATCGTGAGCCACCAATGTTTTCTTTCCAGGGAACATCAAAACGTTCTGCGACTTCCTTGTCTGTGTCTCGCCGGCCAATGAACGCGAACGGGAGAAAGATAGAGGCCGAATTCATGAAGACGTCATTGGATGCTTTCGATATGGCTTGTATCATCTCTCCAGCCACGGATCGGTGAACCAGGTCCTGTGACTCGAAGTATAGCTTCTGCGCATACGAGCTGCTGGCTTGGACCTCTTTTGGCGAAGCCAATCTCATCAAATACCCCAGGGCTGTGCTGAAGGCTACACTGATAGTGGCGTTACGATCAAGAAGATGCTTTCGTGTCACCTGGACAAATCTATCCGCATAAGGTCGGAATGCAGCTTGGTGGCGGACGACTAGGGTGATCATGACTCTGCTCAGACCGACCTTGGATGGTAGCCCGATGGCAGCCCGGTAGGCATTGACAAGCCGCTGCATTGCGTCCTCCATAGGGGGCAAGATCTCTCTTGTTTTCGACGTCGGCGTGACTCCCTCCATTGCGTCGGAGGCGGTTTCAGGGCTGTCTGTGTTCGTTGTGATGCTGTCAAGACAACGTTCAATTGCTTCCGTGACAGGCGATGCATTGATGCTGGACACTCGCATCTTGTCCAACTTCTCCGTTGTCAAGCCATACTTGTCCGCATTCAAATGCAGGTAGTTGATACTCTCGTGCTCAAGAGAGCTGAGCGAAACCACTAACGTCTCCAAAATCAGAGGTGCGTAAGGCCGAAGAGATTTTGACGGGCACTTTTTGACGATCTCCAACAACGTTACAATGGCGTACTGCTGAACATCTTGTCCTGCTCCGCCCTCCATCTGCTGGATCAAGAAAGGCATGGCGTGGTTGAGCATAGTGGCAGAACGTTTCGTGTTTCCATCTCCCGTCTCGAGATTGCGGATTAACATGCTCGTCAACGTCCTGCAGAGCTTCATTGCAGCTGCGCGAACAGACTCCTTGACGTCGTCGAGCACCTTGAAGGCCACTTTCCAGATGTCGTCGAGGTACTTTTCGAATTTCTCGACCTCTCGACCCTGTACGAGATCGGCAATGGCTGCACAACTGGCTTCGCGCGCCCGCCATTCTTTGCCGGAGACAACACTCTTCAACAGGTCATCCATGATGAGGTCGAAGTTGTCACTTATGACGGCAGAAGTGTCTTTGACTAAGGCTCGCCAAATTTCGTTCATCGATCGCTGCACATTTGGATTCGGGTCGAATCGATACCGGAAGAGCTTGGGATAGAACTTCTTGTTCTCCGCCAGGTATGTCGAGTCGGCCAAAATATTGCCGAGCCCAAATCTGCCAAATGCCGCACGGCTGGACCAGATGGCGTTGCTCGAGGCCAGGTTCATGAACTTGTATACCAGACTAGGGTCTCCCATTTCCGTGGCAAGACTCACTATGTCTTTGTAAGTGGTCACAGATTGACCATTCTCTGTTGGAAGAGCGCCAGTTTCGAACAGCTGGGTGTCTTCACTGACACTACCCGACATTTTAGCCTTGCTTCCTGTGAAACTCTGAACAAGGTCCCTGACTAGGTCGTCCCGAAGCTGCTTGTCACCCTGCTCGTACACAAGACTGAGCCCTCTCGAACCTGTCTCTTGAACAATCTCGTCGCGATCATTAAGTAGCCTGGCGAACGTGGCTTGACAGTCACGCAGCTTTGACTTGATCGGTTCCGCTTCGCCGCAATACTGGATGATACACAAGAGCCAGATCGCCGCGGCCTTTTTCTGGGAAGGTTTGGTCGTCCTGCAATCTTCGACGACTCGGTCGAGAATGAGACTCATCAATTTTTCGTTGAAGCCCCAGCTCGGCAGGTCTGCATCGACGTCAAATTCTGTCATTGTCGATGACGACCGGAATCCAGCACAGGCAACAGCCAAAGATTCGCCCAACGCGAAGTGAAATTCCGCGCGTTTGACCTCATGAAGAGCGAGTATGCGATCGAAAAGTGATTCGAACTCTATTGTTTGACCTTTGGTGTACAGTATACCTAGTAGTGGGCCAAGAGCCGAGACAGCGACTTCGCTCTCCTTCTTCGCTTCAGCCATCATGGGTTTCAGGATCTCATCGTTGGCCGAAGGTCCTTCCGCCGTTGGTGTACATAGTGCAAGCTGGCGGAGACATCTAAATGCCGTTTCTTTCAATGTCTTGTTTGAGGAGGACTGTACGATGTCGGAAATGAGCTGTACCAAGTTTTGCTGACTGGAAGCTGCAGGTTCTGCACCACCTCTGAGCGCCCTTCTCGTCAGACAGAAACAGGCGCGCAGAAGATGTCCTTGGAATTTGTTCGCTACTTCTCCTACGGCTGTTTTCCAGTTCTGACAGTGTTCTAGCTCGGTTCTGGCAAGGGTTTCGACGTCATCTGATGTCGATGCAAGAATGCCGAATATTCGAGCAGCTCGTATCTGAAGACCTGCATTGGAAGCTAGCTTCGAAGCGGTCTCGAGGCCTGCCTGTTCCAAATAGGGCAGGACATCTTTCGGTGCAAGGGACAATAACTGCAGGGCGATCTCTAAACATTCTCCTGAGCCTTTCGATGCACCGCTCAGCGCTGCGCGGAGCAGCGTGAGTTTTGGCTCCAAGGCAAGTTCTTGCAGGTAGCCCCGGATCTTTACTCGGACGTCTTGATCATTGTTGACGAGAGCATCAATGCTTGAATGCCAGTCCGCCGACTCTTCCGGCTTGTGGGTCGTCGAGCTGAGCGCATTGCAAACAAGGACGTTGCGGCAGAAGGTCACGGCAGCAGCTAAGACAGTATGGCTGTCGTAACATTTCACCTGCTCTGGCTCTGCTTCGAAGAACCGTGTAACCAGCTGGTCCAGGTCGGGCAGAAGGAGCTTTTCATCTCTGGCCGAGACCCCGACAAGTCGTGCATTAGATGCGTGCCAGTAAGGGTCGAGCCCTCGGATACCTTCTTCGCTGACTTCTCTTCTATCTGAAGACGCCAATGCGAGAACGTTCATGAACCGCGCATCCACATCATGAAACGGCAGGCACTTGTTGGCGAACCTGACGGCAGGATATCGCGTGCTGTTGACTGTGGTGAAGTAGTAAATCGGGTCTTCCTGGCCAGGCAATGCCAGCACGTTCCAGAGGAGGAGCTGCTTCAATCTAGACATGGACTGGTCGTCGAGGTTTGTAACTGTATTCATGACGCGGCCAATAGCCTCTTCGACACTCCCTCGAATGTCCCTTGTAGTGTCGCAGCGTAGACTCGTAAATAGCCACGTGATCAAGTCGAGAGTACGAGTATCCGTCTCGGCATCGTCCCATGTGATCAAATCTTGGGTGCGATCTTTGACTTCGGGATCGTTCCCAGGGGTGTCCTTCTTGACGGCAGCTAGCAACCCTATACTCTCGTATGCCTTGGCGCGAAGTTCCATTTCCGCGGCTGAGGACCGATCGGTCATCGCTGGCCAGCCCTGTCCTTCGATGTATTCTTTTAGGAGGTCTTGGACACGGTGGCTGATGTTTCCGAGGTGTTGGCCCACGCGGACCACCCACGTCAAGTATGAGAACAGGGCACTGCGAAGCTTGGCAGCCTCCAGACCTGTTGCTGCTGCTGAAGAGCCATCGGTCATAGAAGATGGATGGAGTTGTTCTTGAACCAGAGACAGGACTTTTTCGGGACGGGTCGTCGATTTCTGGCTGCGAGACAGGAGTGTGAGAATGCGTGTCTGCAGTTTTGGCCGAGATCGATCGTACAGGGTGAACAAGGCGTCAACGTTTTGCTCGTCTTCGAAGTCGAAATTGAATTGCTTGAACATGATGTCGCTGGTGGTCAAAGCCGCGGCATTGGCGTCGACGGACATGATGACAGCAGGAATGAAGCGTTGTTGGTCTGTGAACAGTGGTGTGCACAGGAATTTGGCTAGCGGTGGGACGACCTCCGAGCGACGGTTGTAATTCGTGTTGTATACTGCTAGGATGTCTGCATTCTCGGGCTGGGTGTGTGGATTCTTGGGGTCGTAGAAGATGAAATCGTTGATGCGACGGGCAAGATGGTCTGTCTGTGGTGGTGTCAGGGAAAAGGTCTCCTTCAGCGCTATTTCTTCCTTGCTGCCTCGCTCGGGCAATTTCCACTGACGCAGGATTTCGAGCAGGAAGCCGAAAGCTATGCTCCACATTTTGGTACTGGTGGAATCATGACTGTCCTCTTTGGGAATGGAGAACTGTAGGACTCCGGGTAATGTCTCGATCGCCTGATCTGATTTTAGTCTAGGCAGACCGAGCTGGATGTATAGAAGACCGAATTGTGAGACGGACACGTTTGTCGCCTCGGAGTATGTCTTGACAAGGGCTGCGACGGGTAATTGGATATCCGTGCTGATTTTGAGGCGCTGATAGACATAGCTGCACACTTTGAGGGCGAGCTCTCGATTTTTCGGTACAGGTGATGCGAGCTTCAGCATGAGCGCCGGGAGGAAGCGCAGGAGGATGCTTTCCAGTTTTGTATCCGTCGAGGCCGAGGCGATGCGGAGCTCGAGTTGCGAGATGAGGTTGTACTCTCGCTCCGCATCGGCTGGGGCTGGTGAGGTCGCCGCCATGTTGAGTGATTCGAGGACACTTCAGTCACAATGCAATATCATGGTTTGGGTTCTTCCATGCGACTTGTTCTGGAGAGCGGCAAAGACGGTATTTTGAATGTGGCTCGAAGCAGTAGATGACAAAGCGACTGGGATTGTATGAAGAGGCAGGACTGTATTGTCAAAGAGTACAAGAAATGAGTGCAGACAATCCCAACATTATACTGGTCTTCACCTATATCACTCAACGCGTCGAGGAGGCAACAAGGGGTTCGTCATCATGTCATCGAACGTTGCGATTCTAGTATTATCTAAAACATCACGAATCGCCACGTCGTCGACGGAAGCCTTGCGGGCAAATCTACGCCAAGAACGTTCCTGATTCGTGGATTATGGATTGATTCTGGTGTCGACAAGGCTGAATATCAATGAGAAGCACCCCTAACTTTTAATCAAGCACATTGCGCACTTCGTATTACAGGCTAAGTCGTACTTCCGTGTTTCGGCTTATCAACATCTCGGGGGCAAGAACGTAAACAATGCGGGAACCTTGGGACGGGTCATGGGCCGCAAGATTGTGAAGAGTGCTGGGTAACTTTACGGCTGGAAGCCATGGCTGGAGGCGTTGCGTGCGATCATAACCCTTGTGCACCTGTCGTGGAAGGTGTCGCAAAGGACTGCTGAGAGGCAAAAACGTGTCGTCTATCCACGAGCATAAGACTGGTTGAAACCCATCGAGAGCTGTCATGACGATTCGAGGGTGAATTTGATTCAGAAGTCTGACTGGATCATGGAATGATATTGCGACGCATATCGATCGCTGCAAGAAAGGTTTTGCTGACCGTCGTTGACTTTTCGATTGTCCCTGTCAGACCCCATGGTCCTTCTCTCTAGTTGGAACCATGACCGACGCCTGGCTGCAGAAATAGCGAGCCTGGATAAATGCGCGAGTGACTCTCAAACACGTTCTCTTCCCACCTACCACCTGACTTCCGGAAATGTCGTTGTCTCCTTCATTTTTCTCATTCGAATCAGTCCTGAAATAGCTACCACCGGGACCCGCTCCATTTATCGCAGTCTTCTTGCTTCTCTTTCGGACTCGAGCAGGCACAGAATATCGTCGACCTTGACTGTTTCACGCATACTTGTCAGTACATATTTCTTTGTACACAGAAAGAACCACAGGCGTGCTTCGTACCTGGTCCCTTGACGTTACGGATAATGCTTCGGCTCGTGTCATCCATGAATTCGACTCTGACTTGTGTGACACCACCTCGCGAACCTGGGTGAAACCACAGTCAGCCTCTGTATCATTCCCAACTCTCTTGCATTTCTGTGCGCATACCTGTTCGGCCGAGGACTCTGGTGACCTTGACGAGCTTGACGGGAACTTTGCCGGCTTCCATCTTGGATTTTGTTTGGAATTGCGGGATGAGTATTCGAGGGAGAGCTATGGGTGAGTGAAAGATGCGGCAGGAGAACACTGGTCGGGTTGGAGTAATCTTCAATGTCGTCGATGTTCAAGAACAGAATTTTGGCCTGATTTGCGCAGTGGGTTGCCAAGACTGACAGAGTGCCAAGTCAAATCCCTGTCGAATCACGAGTCAGGTTTTCTAGAACCAATCATCGGGTATGACTCCCGTCACATCGAGCTCTTGCCCATAGGTCATGGCAACGAACTTTTTGCATTGCATACATACTGACTAATATTCGAAGGAAGTCTCATCGTTTATATCATTTTCACGGTGCGAATCTGGGAAGGTTGCGCTCGCACCATTTACGTGTCGGACGGCAACGATTCTGGGTACAAGAAGAATATTCCGGCAGAGAAAAAGTCTGCCGAAGCACTCTCAACTCCAATAAGAGTCACCAGGAAGAATATCCCACGGCGTGATGGATCTCGTCAATCACTTATCCGACCGGCTACTCTTCGCGGTTCCCAAAAAGGGTAGACTCCAAGCCGCAACCCTAGACTTACTGGCCGGGTCAGACATTCAGTTCCGGCGAGAAACAAGACTTGATATTGCGCTCGTCAAGAACCTACCACTGGCGCTAATTTTTCTGCCGGCAGCAGACATTCCGACATTTGTGGGCGAAGGCAAAGTCGATTTGGGTATCACTGGACGAGATCAGGTCGCCGAGCATGATTCACGACTAGCACTTGGCGAGCAGTCAGGAGTCGAAGAGGTTATGGACCTCGGCTTTGGGAAATGTAAGCTGCAAGTACAGGTCCCGGATAAAGGCTCGATACAGAAAGTCGAGGACCTTGTAGGCAGGAACATCGTCACGAGTTTTACAGGGCTTGCAGAGGACTATTTCGCGCGCTTGGAAGGTATGGGGAGCCGAAAGGAGAGCATCAACGGCACAGCGAGTCCAGTGCCCAAATTGAAGACCAAAATCAAGTTTGTTGGTGGCAGTGTTGAAGCAGCATGTGCGTTGGGAGTCGCTGACGGCATTGTCGACCTGGTCGAGTCTGGTGAGACAATGCGTGCTGCGGGTCTCAAAGCGATTGATACGGTGGTCGAGAGCACGGCAGTCCTGATCAAGTCGAGGTCTGTGTCGAATGAGAAGTTGGTCAACTTGATCGCTGCGAGAATACGAGGAGTCATCACCGCCCAGAGGTACGTCCTGTGTCAGTACAATGTTCCGAGAGCCAAGTTGCCCGCCGCCACAAAGATCACGCCCGGCAAGAGGGCGCCCACGATCACTGCCCTTGACGAGCCGGACTGGGTTGCCGTCAGCTCAATGGTGGAGAAAAAGAATATTGCCACGGTGATGGACGAATTGACTGCAACGGATGCAACCGATATCTTGGTTCTAGATATTGCCAACTCGCGGACGGGGTGAACTGAGGGTTTTCTGGCATGTCAATGGTTTTAAAAGGGCTAGAAGGGACCTGCGTCGAAAAATCGCATATCACATAGACAAAACCGTGGATCTGGATTTGTGGAACATGTAAGGAGTAATTGGATATATGGTGCCACGCAGAGAGCGAGCTTGAGGACAATAGATTCTGAGAATTGTATCGCTCAGTTCCTGATACGTTCCAGCAGGCACAGCATGCCATACCTACGGAACTATCGAAACAAATGAATGCAGTACATACCCCCTAGATAACCTTTTTGATACGTGTATTCCACCACCATTTGAGAGGTAGAACACTCCCAGCATCCTTGTCCTGCACGGGTGTCGAAGTGCATACTGTAAAAGGAGCTTTTAGCGTTGATTGCTCAATATCGGCCCCTAGCATAGCCGAAATACGAAGACTGACATCACACGTAGGTATGTGACTAAGCCACACTCCCTCGCTAGAAATGCGACCACCATCCCTCCATATCCGTAATGCGATCAGGCAACGACTTTCTGTACTCTGGCACAGTCGTATAAACACTCATCGCGAGTATTGTCGTCCGTCAAAGCATGAAACATTACAGCAAGCTCATCAGTCGTTCCCACGCAAAGCCGAGCGCATCCTGTAATGGCCAAAACAGCGACAGTCACAGAAGAAGTGGCCAGAGACCCTCTCATTGTCCGCTTGATAGTGGCACCGGTTCTCTTCATATCGTTCTTGATCTCTCTCTTCTTCATTGACCAAAAGACATATGGCGGGATCTTCGGCAATTCCAGCAACAAAGACGGATACTACCACTCCCACCAGCGCAAATTGGCTAAGCGAGAAATGGACGATGCCTTTCAGCTGCGCCAAAAAGTGATAGCTGCAATGTGTGTGTTGGCCGCAGTCTCTGTCGCCCTCGCCGCGTGGGGAGTTGAAGCGGTTTGGACCGTGTGGAGGGTCAAAACATGAGTGATTCGCCGTGGCGTTGCAATCTTCGAACAAGGCGTAGGCGCTTCGAGCTTTTGGATATTGTATGTGTGAAAGGTCCAATTGTTTCTCTCACTTTTCTGGCGCATCTGGAAGGTTAAGGTCGTTAGCAAATTGTCCAAGGGATATGTCTAGGCATGTCTGGGAGCTTGTAATGTTGGCGGACAACATGTGGCCACAGCAACACATGGACCTGGCCTCTTCTGCCATTCGAGTCCGATAGGGAAAACAGAACAGCCGGATTTTGATGATGAATATGCAGTTGGTACTTACCTGGAAGTCGTTCAATAACATATTTTCCTCTTGCTACACTCATGATAGGCACACCGGGGATCTTTCGAATTCGTCGCTTGAGATCTCTGTCGTTGGTCGCAACAATGTAAATCTTATGCCTCATGACTCGGTCGACAATACAGTCATCGGCATATGTGCCTTTGTGCCCGCATTTCAAGCGTTCCCAGCGTTCATCTCTCGCAATACGCAGCGCAATTCTGTACCTCTGACCCAGCTTTTCGAGCTCACTCATTACACAGTCGCTGATCACAGGGATACACTTCGCATAGAGGCAGTCCATCATGGTAGGTAGCATTTCAAGTTTCTTTTGTACCGTGTGGGAGAGAAAGTTCGTGTCGACAAGGACTTGGTAAGGAGGCACCAGAGCAGTATTGTACTGAAAGAACAGGGCTGATGACACTTGGGGTCTGTGACCTGTTAGCAGAAGTCGATTTCATATCCTGCAGGCGACTTACACCTCGCGTATTACATCGTCGTCCTTTTTCTTTTGTTCTGCGTCCTTGCCAGTCTCTTGATTCTTCTTGAGGCGAGCATCTCGCTGACCGATGACGCGCTTCACCTGGGCGAACTTGCGAGTCTTCTTGTTGACGCCCATTCTGGCCGAGACGAGGAATGGTGTGGATGTCTTCTAGTTGATTCGACTTTCTAGGAAATGGCAGTTTGCCGCAAATGAGAAATATTTTGTGACGCCGCGGCCTTAACCAAAGAGTCTCTAGAGTTAATGCCGGAACTAAACCGAGACAAGCGTGGAGAAATATGCCAAAGGTGAGTTTCCAGGCGATCCTGTTTCTCCAAAAGAAAAACTTCAGCCACAATAATTCTCACGTTAGTTCAGCCCCGCCCGCCCAAAATACCAGGCACCACAGGCACCAAACGGCTAGGGACCACTTAGAGTCTCAAATGTGAACGCGCACGCCCATCCATGATCCGACACACCCTTGCTTCGCAAGCAATGACCTTTCATAACAACAGACCTCTCTCCATTCTTCCTGTACATAGTCAACTCACACTCACTTTGCACGCTGCATATCCTCAAACATAATAGCCAGTACCTCAGTACCTAGAAATTATACAATATGGTTGCATCAACCAATACCGCCTTTCCCACGCTTTCGGGCGGCTACAATTATCCTGCTCCTACAGTGCCTCCGACGGCTGGGGCCCCTTACCTGGCTTCATCTCAACTTCCAGAAAACTTCGTCTTCATAGTCGTCGGCGCCGCACTGGCCTCCGTTGCGCTACTGATCTTCGTTTGGAGGGTAGTGATGTCCTGGTCCATCAATCGCGCCTTCAAACGTGACGCAAGGAGTGGTGCCGCAGGCGGCGCAGTGTCCTACACACCACTGGCGGAAGACCTCAAGAAGAATCCTGCAGCACAATCCGGGCATGACATGACAGATCTGAGTAAACTCCCTCGCTCGTTCTCGAATGTACCGAGTTTGTTCTTCTCCCCCACAGCAGAAGTCGCCAAACAGTCTCAACGGCCCCCTAGTCAACATCTGCCATCCGGGCATTATCGCGACGCATCAAGCACTTACCGTGGATGAGCCTTGTCCTTCGGTACTGTCATAAAACTCTGCACCTCTGGATATTCGAGGATGCTTGGATGGCCAGGTACGGACACGGGTATTCTTGCAAATGACTTGGGCACCGATTGGTCGTGGGAAGATGAGGAATGACAGAATCGTCGTTGGCCACAACGTTATGACAAAGACGGCTATTGGCCATACCAACATGCTTTTCCAATAAGTGGCTTAGATCTTTCGATGGTGATGCGGAGGCGATTCACCAGTTCGGTATAACCAACCAGGCCATCCTCGAGAGTATCGTCAGACATTGTTATCAGGAGAGGACGCCGCCGCGAACTCTCACCGACTTCGTTGTCGACTTGCATATTTTGCCACACCACGATACACAAGTCAACAGCGAAGGCCACCTTGGGTCGTGCAAAAAGTGGCAAAAAGTCTGGCTGGTCCTCTCGGACCCTCTCTAATTACCTCTTCCTGTCCTGCTGCTTTCCTAGGTCTCAAGACTGAATGCAAGACTAGACAAGTCGGACACGCAACACAACTTGTCTAGAAGAGGCCCAACCAGCCAGACCACGGCATCGCCATCGCCATCAAAGTGGGTGCCCACCATTGGTGTGTTGCTTCTTGGAATTATGGGCAAATGCATAGGGCAATCTCGGGGATATAAAAGATCAAGGCAGGATTTCAGTGGTGTGGCAGGATCAGAGTATGGGAAAGCGGTTCATGGCAATCAGTGTATGGCTTTGCATTATCTTGGACATTGACACTTGGACATTCAGCAAGCGCTCGACATCTTCTGTCACTCCATGGGAGTGTGTATTAGGACATTTAGCGAGGCGTTCTGGTATGGAAACATCTTCACGTAGACATGAAAATATCAATGGGATCTATTGAATCTATCAAGCTCGTCCACTCAAGATCCGGGTAGCAGAGAGTGCCTTCTCCCATACGGAGTGATATAGACAACACATTGTATGTGGTCGGGTGGACATGGTCGTCCTGGTGCGAACAAGGACTATACCCACACTGACCAATCAGAGTGGACCAGAAGCTTGCCGCAGATATATCAACATCTTTCGACATAATTCATTCCGTCTTCACGTCCTCCGCCCACGACCTCCCTGTCGCCGCTGAGTCAGTCATAATGTCGGCGACATCGAAATTAGCCATCCGACGTACGATTGACCTGTCGGCTACGCATATCCGGTGCCAGCGCCGATGGGCCCGCGTCCACGATGTCCGCTTTGTCACCACCCACCGTGACCAGGAGCGTATCATAGACAGGTACAAGGAGAAACTGCAGCAGAAAGCAAGGCAGTAAGTCTACACATGACCCAATGCTGCGAAACGCGGGGAAAGACTAACATATATACGAAGGGAGGGCCATGAATCTATTTCCTCGCTGAAAGAGGCATATCAAGATAAAATCAAAGAGGCGAGGCGTACTGCAGCGAAGCTTCCCACCGTTCCATCAAAACCATCCTCAACAGCAAGCGAGTCTATGTTTCCACAACCTCCACCTCCTCCGCCTACCCCACAAGCAGCACCAGCACCGCAGGCTAGCACGCAAGGCCAATCCAAGTCAAATGCTCCAGGCATCAAGCCACTGTCATCCTACCTCGACCTAGAAAAAGTGTCTTCTTTACCGAAGAAAGAGGTGGAATACATATGGAGACTGCGGCATGCCAACGATCCCTTGTCCCTTTGCGCCGTCGTCCCCCTCGAGACGTACCACCGACTCTACCGGACAGCCAGGACGCATCCTCAGTTTGTCCTTCCTTTGCCTCGGCCTGCAGCAGAAGATGGCAGCGGAGACGTAAAACAATCCCCAAGTGGCTTTGAAGGAGGCGAGCGTTCCGCCGCAGACATCCACTTCCTTCAATGGGGTTTCCATCCTCCTGCTGGCACTCCTCCCAGTCCAGAGGTCAGGACTGCGAACAACCATACCAGTACCGTCCTCTTCACACACCTGGCTGCCTACAAACTCCACGGGGCATATGCGCAGCCGCACACCACCATCACCCACCATCTGGACCTCGCCGACTCCCATGGGATTGTTCTGCTCAATGGCTCGGTCGTTGACGGCCGCGGCGTCAGCGTCGAGGAAGGCAGGTGGCTATTAATGTGCCTCCAAAAGTTCTATGACCATGAAGGTCACGGCGCCGGTGTTGGTGGCGAGAAGCGACAAGGACTGCTGAAAAAATTCAGCAATGGTGACCAAGGTTTCGACCTCGAAGAACTGGTGGATGAAGCTGAAAGGATCTCATAAGGATATTTCTTCCGCCTTGCGTACTCCATCAGCTCCAAAGCTCGTCCCGCTTGACGTCTGTGTCACCCCGCTGGACGTTCTCTTTCCGGCGACCTTTTAGTACCTCCTGGACCAGAAATTCCCAGATAGCGTCGAAATAGCCCGCCTCTGCAACCGTTGAGTTGTGGTCGCCATTGGGGAACTCTTTCCAGATCTTTCTTGTGGGACACGTCTCGTACAGAGTCTTCATCATTGACGGCGGCACGATCTCGTCCTTGCGACCGGACAGAAACAGAATTGGAATGTCTTTGTCTGTCACTTTGGCCATCAATTCCTCCGAGTTCCACCTCTGATGGCAGAGGTATGCAATAAACTTGGCTGGTGGCATCACACTGGGGATCAGTTTCCGAATAGACAGGAAGGTGTTTTCTAGGATCACGCCTGCGATGTCGCCGGCCTGCTCGTTGGTCTGCAGCAGCTTCACAACAAGCGCACCACCCAAACTTTGGCCATACAGAACGATGTTTGTCTTTCTCAGCTCTTCATGGTTGCGCACATAGTCCAGTGCTGTCTGTCCGTCGATGGACAGTCCGTTCTCATCTGGCGAGCCAGTGGACAAACCATAGCCTCGATACTCTACCATGAAGACGTGGCAGCCTAGACTTTCGGACAGGACTTTGCCAATGGGGAGTCGATGGCCGACATTTCCGGCATTGCCATGGAAGGTTATGAGAGTGATATTCTTCTTCAGCGAGGGAGTCGGGGGTCGAAGGAGATAGGCGTGCAGAGTCTCACCGTCGGGCGTAGGAAATTTGATCGACTCTGCTTGTGTGATGTTGAACTGTTCGGGCGTGGGCACGTTCGTCCGCGCACCAGCAGGTAGATTTGCGGGATAGATGAGGTCGTTCTGTTTGAAATAGAGGAGACTGCTGCCCAGAGCGGCGAGTCCAGAAGAAGCGAATATAGGAATGCGCAGATAGGAGAACATGGTAGTCAACGGGTTCGACATGAGGACGCAGGGTGAATTAATTGTCTTGATCACGATAAGGGGTTGTCCGACCAGCGTTCAGACCCCAAGAAAACAGCGAACGACTAAAAATGTAGGATTGTTTGCAGTCAGGGATATGAGGCGCCTTCTATCGCAACGAGAGTAGAAGGTGTTTGCTCAAGGAACATGAACAACAAACCGGGCACATGAGTGGCGTAATTCGAGGCTCGAGCGAGGATAGTCGGCGGAGAGCCCCAGCCGGGAACTGGAGCTAACTTGGTGCATCTGGTCACGCCGCTTTGGCTGAAGCTTCAATTATCGGAGTAAACGCGTTCTTGGGTGCCTTTCCTGTGTACTGACACTTTCCAATTCATCGTCCACACCACCTCATTCCCGACTCGCCATCCTTCATCTGCACCTGTTGAACCCAAATCTGCGTCTCGTTCCTCTCATCTTCAGAAGCACATCAGCAATTTGACTCGGTCGCCCTCCTGCAAGCCTCGTTGTATCTCTGCAATCATGATCGGACCCGGTACGGGCATGCTAGGCGAAGATGGCATTCACGTGGACATGAATCATCTCAAGTCGGGAGAAGTCAACTTGGGAACGTCAATCATGGCAATCAATTTCAAAGACGGAGTCATACTGGGAGCAGACAGTCGGACAACCACAGGCGCATATATCGCAAACCGAGTGACGGACAAACTCACACAAGTACATGATACCATCTGGTGCTGTCGGTCAGGCTCTGCGGCAGACACACAGGCTGTTGCAGATATTGTGCAGTACCATCTGGGAATGTACGGCATCATGAACAACGAGTCACCAACAACACAAACGGCTGCTGCACTGTTTCAAGAGCTATGCTACGAGAACAAAGACCAACTGAGGTAAGGATACTCATACCCGCAACTCGGAAATACATACTGATAGATCCCCAGCGCCGGCATGATCATTGCTGGCTACGACAAACGCAATGGTGGCCAAGTCTACTCAATACCTCTTGGTGGCTCGCTGCACAAGGGACCGTATGCAATTGGTGGATCTGGTTCGACCTACATTTACGGTTTCTGTGATTCATACTGGAAAGAAGGAATGACGGAGGAAGAAGGCATACAATTTGTGAAGAGTGCTCTAGGAGAAGCCATCAAATGGGATGGCAGTTCTGGTGGCGTGATTCGAATGGTGGTTCTCACAGCGAAGGGAGCCCAGCGGCACTTGTATCTCCCAGATCAAGATTATCGAGGACCTGGAACGAAATAAAGAGGATGTGCATTGACGGCGTCAAGGATCATTTGGGCTCATGCATTCAATCGGGCAGGAAGGTTGTGATACATTAGCATACCCAAGCAAAAAGCAACGGACGTCAACACTAGGCGGTAAAGCCTGAACCTATCAGTTGTTCGGCCAGAGGGACCTCTCAGCATCAACCACGGTTACAAGCCAGCGGCCTGAATTGTAGTGGGCGTAGTAGTCTTGATGCCATACGTCCTCGTCTTGATCAATTTTGGGGGGGTTCTACGCGATGCAGTACCAATATATTATTATATTTGGATCATAGGTACCTAGGTAGGAGTGGGTATCGAGCCCTCATGCAAAATGACGCCAGCAGCCTTTTTGGCGGCACAGGCGGTAGCCAGGCTGGCACTGGCAGCTGGCACAAGCCACTATTTGACGACCCTCTTTTGACGCCCCAGCGACGAATCCTCGCCCTTGCAATGCCCCCGTCGCCCGGCGTCCATCTGCTGGTTGTAGTTTCACGATCCAACCCGTTAGTTGGTTCTTACTCCTTGGTTGTTCTTACCAGATTCACTATATCATTCACTCTTCCCTCTCCGTTGCTGTATCGGAGTCCTTGTCTCGGGTGATCGAGTTACACGCGACAAGTGACCTTCGAACACCCCAGACGACCTCCGGCATGTCTTTGGTACGTTACGAACGATTCGTGTCCCCCGCGTTCATCAAGCACATGCTAGCTCCCACCCTGCCCAACCGGCCGACGTCCAGGTGCCTGCCGCATGTTCAACCACAGCAAAAGGGAGTGTAGTCTGCATCTTAAAGCCTTGCAGTGACACGCTGCGTTTTCGCAGCTGCATGCAGGTGAAATTGCTTCACGCCCCTCTTGTGGGTCGACTTGTCTGCGACTGCACTGCCTTTGCGAAAAGACACTCTTGATCGGGCTGTATATTGTCAACCGACCTGGCATACTCGTTCTGGATGGCACAGCTGCTTTGGCGTACCCGATGAAGACAGTCACTGACATACCTCATTGCAGACAATAGACGCGACCGGTTGAGATGGGCTCATTGGTGATCAGCCAAGTGGCGCCGGCACTCGGTCAGCATCCCTATCACCACATGATGGTCGACAGCAACTCTCATCCAGACGAGGCCTCGACTGGTTCGTCGCGAGCGAGAAGCGCATCTGCTTCTACGGCAATACGCCAGCGAGACGAAAGCGCCGCATCAGCCGGCTCAACCACTCCTACTATCCACCAACCCGCGGAAGATACATCTACCCCAGTATCGCATCCTACAGAACATGAGCCAAGAAGTGCTCGGTCCTCCGCATCCCCTCAGCCCTCATATCATCCACAAGATGTCAACCAACACAGCCGCGGCTTCGATCAGTCAGGCTTTCCTCTATCGAGCGACCCCAGAGTCGTGACAGCCTCACCACCCTCGCCACGATTACAGCCCACATACCGATCGACGAGATCTCTAGGCGGCTCCGAAGCCACGTCCCCTAGCCGCATCAAAGTCAGGGACCTATCACACATACGCAGTTTTGCGAGTGAGGAATATCTGGCGCGGCCTACGCTTGGACGCTCGTCCAGCACATTTTCGGATTCGGGAAGACAATATGAGATCAGTGCAATGCCAGTAACGGACATCATCGAAATGGTCGCAGGGCTGCTCACGAGAATTACCACCACAAACGACAGGCAACACGAGCATCATCGACCGATTCCGCTGACGGAAGAACAAAGCCACCTAAATCCCCATGCATCTTGCGTTTTGGCATTTCACGGGAAGAATGTTCCAGGAATAACTATCCTGAGTTATCTGAGCCGGATACATAAGTACTGTCCGACCACATACGAAGTCTTCCTGAGTCTTCTGGTCTATTTCGACCGCATGACAGAGATGGTCAACCGAGGCCTTCTGGGACATGGTAACAGACGACCTAATGATTCGCCTGCGACCGCTCCAGAATCATCGACACCGGCAGGCCGTTCGCCCATGCCCATGAACGTCGATAGTCCTCAAGAACATCACGATATCAGTGCCCCAACCTCAGCGACCTCCACTGGCCCATCAAATCCATCCTTATCACAACAACCTGGTACACCAGGCGACTTGTCCCAATTCTTCGTGGTGGACAGCTACAATATCCACCGCCTAGTGATTGCTGGAGTCACATGTGCCAGTAAATTCTTCTCAGACGTCTTTTACACGAATTCGAGATACGCTAAGGTAAGTCTGACAAGCGCGGACTGCGTGTACAGCAGTTACTGACATTTCGACTACAGGTCGGAGGTCTGCCGCTGGCTGAACTTAACAATCTCGAACTTCAATTCTTGCTTCTCAATGACTTTAGACTATCGGTACCAGTGGAAGAACTGGAAGCGTATGGCACCATGCTAGTTGAGTTTTACGCAAGAGAACTCGTCGCGCAGCAGCAGGCTGCTCAAGCTGCACAAGGTGCGGCACCGTCACCAGCGCATTCAGCAGACGGCATGTACATGCGGCCACAGGCTGGATCACGATCTTAGCCGCACCTATCTGCACCACCGAAAGCACAAGTCATGGTTGTGCGAAATTCATAATGTTTCGAGTCCATAACAACAACGGTGCTTCATGTATCAGCGAGCTTGGATCTTTTTTACGCTTATCGCTGGGGGACTCGCACTACCACTGCGATATCATCACGACCTGCGCTTACTCCGAGTCGATTTCTCTCAGTCAAGTCAATCAGCAATCAATATGATCAAAACTCAAATCGATGTTCGTCTTCCTCATGGCTCTGGTTTCGGCTCAGTCGCGTTCTACCTCGATCCTATCGGGTCTGGTACGGAGCTATGGCTCTTCTGGACAACATCTTTGTTGCCCTATCTATCCCACATGCCGGCGTTCGCGATGTTTACTTACGCTTATTGGTCTTTTTCCGCTCACTCAATTTGCTTCTTGGGCGGCACGTCAGTGGCGAAGCTTCTCCAGACGAGTCCTTGATAGAGTTCTTTCGCACGCAGTTATCGCCTTTCTTGTGTTCTGGGGCGCGGGGTCTTTGACGAGCTGATATGCTCATACGAGGTAGCAGGAGCGCCTGTCTGGGCGTGGGCTGTACAGGGAGGGGGTTGACGGCGTGTGCCCCAGGGTAATGAAATGTCTGGCACGCACATGCTGATAGAGCGGTGGAGCAACGAAGCACTCTTCGGTGGCCTGGCCGATATGACAGGCACCAGGAATCGTGGAATGGACGACCGAGATGAATCAAACTACATAGAAAGAAATTGGAACGAACTTTGGAACTTCGTTACTGTCAGTCCGATGCGAAACGTCTCGTATCACCCACCGAGGCACGATAGACTCGAATGGGGCATTTGTGATATGGTTTCTACTATGCCTGCCTCTTATCTTGAGTATGTTTTGCATAAGCTCTAATCGCTTTTTCTTCATGATACACTGGATAAAAGAATAGAAGGCACCAAGCCCAGCACAATACCGACCCTGGCCCACCCCGATGAGTAACGCAATCCACTCATAGCCCTTAGACTCCCATGAAGATATAGTGTACAGCTTCGTTTGCTGAATCATAAAAAAGCATGATCATCATGACTCGTGGCACATTCGAGAAGCAGGAGCCTGCAGCGCCCTCTTCCACATCATCGCTAGCACCGTCCGTGTTTATCTGAAGGGATTCGTCTAACTTCCCCGGAACAAGAACTGCATATCCTCCGGGGTCAGCTTGTCCAGAGCGACTTGATCATTGTTGACGGTGCCGTTGATCATATTGGCCTTCTTTTCCTGAAGCAAAACCATTCTGGATTCGACGGAGTCTTCGATGACAAGGCGAGTAATGACACAAGGACGGCGTTGACCGATTCGGTGGCAACGATCGGCAGACTGCCATTCCGCAGCTGGGTTCCACCATCTGCGAGGACTGTTAGTGATTGATGAACGCTGAATGACAGAGAAAAACTTACGGATCGATGATGTACACTCGACTGGCTTCAGTCAAGTTGAGTGCGACACCACCGGCTTTGAGCGACACGAGAAAGACTTCGACGTCAACGTTGTTCATGAAGTGATCAATGGATTTCTGCCGCTGGGCTGGACTCATGCTGCCATCAAGCAGAACGGTGCTGAAGCCAGATTTCTGGAGACGCCATTGAACGAGCTGCAACATCGATGTGAATTGAGAGAAGACAATGCTCTTGTGGGTTTGTTTCTTGCTTCTGAGCTTGTAGAGGTCGTAGACGAGCATTTCGATCTTGGTCGACGAGGTCCAATCGTCCATCTTAATTCGATTGATGATTGACGACTTCTTGACGTTGTCTTCATCCTGCTCGATTTCGGGTTGGTCCCAGTCGATGCTCAAGGCAATGTGGCATCTTGGGCAGTCAGCGTCGCCTCCTCCGCCAGCGAAGGATTGGACATATGACTTGGCACATTGACGGCAAAACTCATGATGACATTTGGATCGGATAGGTTCTTCGGCAGGTTCATCGCAGATGCAGCACACTAGGATGTTCTGGCCACCTTCGGCGTGTCTTCGAAGAATCAAGTCTGGATGATTTGCAACTTGTCTCATCTGCATGATCAGACCAAAGATGTTTGCATAGTTGTTCAGCATCACACCTTGAGAGACATAGGTGTCGAACTTTCGAGCGGAGTTTGACATGATACTCTGAGAGAAGTCGCGCTCAATTTCACCAAAAAATTCATTGTGAATGATGACTTCTTTGGGTGGAAGCTCCATGGAAGATGTATGATCGCGCTTCATACGTCGCAACATGATGCGATCAGTGATGAGACGCAATTTCTCAAGACCTCGCTTTCTCTCCGTATCATCGCCCTGAGTTATAGGGTTGAGAATTTCTTGGTTGAAGACGGAAACGTGGTTGAAGCCGCTGTGCTTACACATGTTGCACATCTTGGTAGTCACATCCTGACTCCAATGAAGTTCTTTACATGGACACTGCTTGCAGAAATAGCAAGCAAATGGCAAGACCTCAAGGAAGCGTAGCAAAGAGAAAAACTCTCCAATTCGGTTTTGGACAGGAGTGCCGGACAAACACCACTTGTGGTCTGCTTTGAGAGCAAAGCATGCCTTGGCCACACTGGTAGTTCTCTGCTTGATGCTGTGTGCCTCGTCCAAGATGAGTCGATGGTATTTGATGGAATGCAAGATGCTGTCCTCTTTGACGATTCCATCGCCGCGACTCCAACCTTTGTGTTGTTTGCGGAACATGGACTCGAGACCGGAGTAGGAGACCATGATAACATCGTACTTCTTCAGATCCTTTTTGGTGAGAAGTTTGCATTTGGGGTTGGCAGATACGTGGTAGACGAGGACTTTGAGCTTCCCACTGGTGTAATCATTGATTTCGGCTTGCCATTGCATGAGGGCGACAGGCGGCACCACGACGAGAGAAGGGTCTTTGGCCGGCCAGTCGGACATTATCAAACTGACTGCCTGGATTGTCTTGCCCATACCCATCTCGTCTCCTAAGAGACCTCCTTTCCATTGAGATTGTTCTTGTTTGATCATCCAATCCAGACCTTCGAGCTGGAACTTTTTGAGTGTACGATTGATGCCGGCAGGTTGCTGGGCAGGCACAGGTGTGATGGGTGCAATATCTTTGAGATCGTCCCACATGGAATTGATTTCCGGATGAGCCTTTTCGAGCTTCTTACGCTCTCGCTTCTGGCGTCGTTTGGACGGATCCCATTCAATAGGAGAAGCTGCACGTCGTCTGCTCCGCTTTTTTCGGCCTCCAGCGACAGGTGGTGGCATGGCGGCCCGGTCTTGATCTTCGTCTTCTACATCCTCGCTGGCTTGAGAAGGCGTGACCGAGTAGTCGACAGATTCATAATCGGACATTCCAGTTTCGTCCAGGGATGCAAGCGAAGAGAGTTCGGAATTCCCCCATGACGGCGGTCCAGACACATTTGGCGGGTTAGAAGGTTCATAAGCCAGCCTCGTTCTGGGACGTCTCGCAAATGGTAAATCGTCGTCGCTATCGTCGATTACCATGGCTTCGTTGTGAGACGGTTGAAGACCGATGCGGCGGCGTTTTGACAGTGGTTCACTATCCGAATCCTGGCTAGCGTCCACCATGTCGTACTCTTCTGCTTGCAATAATGCAGCGAGTTGTGCGTCTACATTCTCTTCCTCATCGTCAAGCTGAGTGGCAGTTCGCTTTCTTGTGGATCGTCCTCTCAAAGCAAACTCCGATGACTCCAGCTCTGCAGCACGAAGCGTAGCACCGATTTTGGATCTTGATGCAAGTTGTTCGAGGGCACTCGGAGTAGGGACGGCGCTTGTATCCGGCGTCTCGTAAAGAGCGGACTCAAGGGAATCGGCAATGGAGGAAGGAGCAGTCGAGTCGGAGACGGCTGCGCTAGCATTAACGATTGTCGACCCATTGCTGGGGACGAAGACACCTTTAAAAGTGCCTTTTGAGACAGAGACTGAGGATTTGACCTCTATGATCTCTTCGAAGTCATCTGAGTCTGGGATTTCCGTGACTTGTGAGGCTCGGGTGCTGCGTTTGGTGGTTCGTTTGAACGCTGGCAGGGATGGCTCTGGGGTGGCGATCTTGGAAACTGCGAACTGTTAGCACGAGGTAATGAATAGATCGGTGTCAAAGAGACTCGCCGGAATCGGCCTTTGAGGTCGACGACCTCACTGGCCGGCCTCTCGCACCCATTTTTGTCTGATAATTAGAGTAGAATGGTGAGGCGGGATGGTTGAGGAAAAGGGAGATTTTTGAGTCTTTGATATCGAGGATCGAGTTCAGGGTCCAATCAGGCAGTTCCTGGATCGGTGCCTGGAACGCGTCAAAGAATGATGACTGTCTGACAATGATGTGAGCTGCCGATAAAGGGGCGATAGCTGCGTCTGACACCAAACTGGTCACGGGGATTCGCGAACCGGGCTAATCATGCATTCACTTTATCTCGCGCCGCCTCCTCCGGAACCCTGCAAGATCGGATCAAAAAGTGAAAGACCCAGTGGGGCGCTGCCTGCATTGTACTTGTACTTGTACAACCATATAGATCAACTGCCTCAGGCTTTCTCGATCAAGTCTTTTCACAATTGTCGTGACCTCTTTTCCATCCTTTACCACTTGATCTACACTGTAGAGTTTCTCTCCATAACAATCTGTGGACAGTGCCGTGTTACGGTTGCCACCGAGCACAATGTAAGTTCTTTGAACTCCGAGGTGCAACCATTGTACAGTACTTACCGACCTTAGGGCGAACCGACGTGCTGCTGCCGCGAACCGAATTCGTGGGCCTCAATCGGCACTCACAGACTTCCTTGCGTCCCACAATATCTCCGCGCAACAGATTCATCTTGACTACCAGCGCCGTCTGCAAGATGCTAATAATGCCGAGCAGCAAGAAGGCCAGACAGAGAACGAGAACAAGGAAAATGAAGAGGATGATGATGGTGAAGATCCTGTCGAGCGTCAAAAGCGCAAGAGAAAGGAAGAGAAGGCTTTGATGAAAATAAAGCAAAGCAAAGAATTCAAGCGTCGCAAATTCGAGCAAAAGCAAGAACTTGGAAGTGACTACGAAGACGATGACAACGAACTCGCCTCAGCCATGCTTGCAAAGTCGAAACCGCTCCCTGGACAGCTCGACAATTGCGAGGTTTGTGGGAAGAGATTCACCGTGACTCCATACAGTCGAACAGGCCCTGACGGCGGTCTCTTGTGTACCAAGTGTAGCAAGGAACTCAAAGATGAAGAGAAGAAGGAGGGAAAAGCAAACAAGAAAAAGCCCGTCGCACCAAAAGGCAGACGTCGGCAAACCGAGAGCGACCGACTGATGGGTGATGTCAAGTCTGGGTCAAAGAGCCTAGTTGACATTTGTGTCCGTCGGGTGGCTAATGTGGTCCATGACATTGACGAGTTTGGTGATATGCCACAGAATCTCCTGGATCGATTGAGTCAGATTCTGTCGAAGCAGAGAGTCCTCACACCGCGTGTCCTCGAACTCTTCCTTCGACAGGACGTTGATCGAATCAATGTCTACGACTGCGGCAAGCTCGAAAAGGAGGACTTTCAGAAGATCTTCGCATACATGCCCAATGTGGAATTCGTCAATCTACGATTTGCAGGTCAATTCAAGGACAATGTGCTTCTGTATATGGTCGATAAGTGCAAGCAGATTCGTCATTTACAACTTGGCGCAACCAACCTTGTCTCAGATGATGCCTGGATCACACTCTTCCGCACACTTGGGCCTCAGCTGGAGAGCTTGAAATTGTCAGAATTAAACGACTCACTGAGACACGATACCGTCAAGGAACTGGTGAAACACTGTCGAGGATTGAAACGACTCAAGTTGAGGTCCTGCTCACATATGACCCAAGAGTCGATCGACGCTCTCTGTGGTCTCACCAGCCTGGAGCATTTGACCCTCGCCGTGGCACAGGATACGTCCGCAGAATGTCTTGTTAAATTGATCTCTACAGTTGGTCATAATCTTCGCACACTCTGTCTCGAAGAGTATTCCGAGCTGGATGACACCGTCCTTGAAGCTATCAAGAACATATGCTGCAAGTTGAGCAAACTTCGTATTCGAGGAAGCAGTCTGTGCTCTGACGAAGCCTTTGCTGGTCTTTTCGACGACAACAGTCCTTTCCCACCACTAGTCCATGCCGACTTCGCAGATAATCGAGACATTGACAACATGAACCCAGAAGGCCCCCAGGACAATCCCATCGGTTTCGGCTCTCTGGCACTAGCGGCATTGATAGCACACTCTGGCTCACGTCTAGAGCATCTGGACCTCAAGTCGTGCCGTCATATCGCTCACACTGCGCTGCTGGATGTCTTCGACGGGCTCAAGAAGTACCCAGAAATCAAGGACATAGACCTCTCATTCGTGACGCAAGTGGATGAGGTGGTCATGATTGGTATCTTCAAGAGTTGTCCCAAGCTGACGAAACTGGCGGTTTTTGCCTGCTTCAATGCAAGACGTGCTGTGATCCCGGCGGGTATTGCTGTGGTCGGCTTGCCAAATGCGCAGGATAGCATTGTCAGAGAAGGTGACGCTTACATGGAGATGTGATCGAACATGCACTGGTCACGACAATCTCCGTTGGCATGAAGCAATGAGGGTGCGATATGTATCAATATGACGACGGCACGAATGAGCGATGGTGTTTACTGTGCAGCATCGGCAATGGGTGTTGGTGGATGGTTTCACGAAGCATGAGACGTCAAGGTATACCATCAAGACGAAATTGCCATGCCTTGGCATTTGCTGTGACAAGGGCGTCGAGCCTATAGACATGGCAGAAATGAACGATGGAAGTATGCAGACACTCTAGACATGCAGCTCTCTCTATTGAATTTGCTCTTCAATCGTACTATCGTACTATTACTCACTGCAAATACAGACTCATAAACCCTATCTTCTCTTGATGTCGAATTGTCCTTCAGGAGGGCAATACCAATGCTCCTTCTCCAGCAAGACCGTCTGTCGACACAAGCGCTACAAGTGCAGCACTCACAACATCTCGATCCCCTCAATGACCGCGTCCAGCCTATCCGCGTCGCTCGACTTGTCTCCAACAAGCACGCTTGCCAGCCCAGCCATCTGCCTCGCCCTCGTAGTAGTCTCAAGCTCAGCACTTTTCCCCTTTGCAACCTCAATCACCGACTCGCTGATATTAGCCAACCTCGCCACATTCAAGCCGTAACTTCTATGGGCAACGCCCTCGCCAACCTCATACAAGAACGTGACATTCTCATCATCTTCCTCCGTGAACCGCATATGCACATTCTTCAATTCACCGGCCGGAAATCCCGACGCCATCCGTGCAAGCATCTGGTAATGCGTGATGAATAGCGTGAGACAGCGCTTCTCGCGGACCAAGTAATCCAACACGCTCGCCGCAATAGCGACACCGTCGTGCGTGCTGGTCCCGCGGCCCAATTCATCAAGCACAACGAGGGATTTCTCCGTAGCCAGCTTCAAGATGTCGCTCGTCTCGCTGAGTTCGACCATGAACGTGCTCTCGCCGGACATCATGTTGTCGAAGGCGCCCATTCGCGTGAACACTGCATCTAAGATGCCCATGGTCGCCGAGCTGGCAGGTACAAACGATCCGATCTGCGCCATGATGCTGATCAGCGCCACGGACCGTACGTACGAGGACTTGCCGCCCATGTTGGGCCCAGTAACCAACAAGGCTCGTGTCTGATCGTGCGCGATGGAGATGTCGTTCGGCACGTACGCGTCGATCAGGAGCTGCTCGACCATCGGGTGCCGAGCGCCCTCGACGTCGAGCCTGATCTGGTCAGTGAGGGTTGGCCGCACGTAGCTGGGTTGAGACGCGACATTGGCTAGCGACAGGAGACAATCGAGCGTCGCCAGACTTTGGATCGTGTCGCGAAATAGCTGGTATTGCGTGCTGATGTCCGCTAGTAGGTCTTTGAATGCTTTGTCGCACTCTGCTGCGAGGGCTTCTTTGTGCTGATCTCGTTCTCGAATGAGTGTGACAATATCAGGTGGATGGAATCGAGACGACTTTTTCGTGCCCGAGATCTTGATCCACGATGCAGGTACTTTCTTGATGGTGGCAGAGTTGTTGTCAACTTCGATCAGATAGTCGATTCCCGCCACGGTCACATAGTCGATTGGTCGCTTCTTGCCCAGTTTTTCAGCCGCCGCTGTGCGAAACACGTCAAGATCATGCTCGACACTAGCGATGCCCATCTTGTGCTCGGTAATGGCGTCCGTTTCTGCAGCATCCTGGAAGAAATCGTATTTATCATCTGACTTTGCAGCTTGCAGATTGATCTTCTCAAGGTATGCCAGGACTTCGGTCAGTATCAGCGGCAGCGAAGTCATGGCTGACGAGATCAGGGGAGACTCGAAACCAGTGGAAGCTGCGTCAGTCACATATGCGAACTCGGTGGCCAGGAACTGCATTGACTGAAGAACGTTCAACAGCTCCGGTCTTGCACATTTCCCGTAATATATTCTTAGAAGGCTCTTCTCCAGGTCTGTCCGGATCTTGGACAAGACCCGTCTCAGTTTGTCGACGCCAATTGCTTTGTCGGTGTCAAGCATTTCCTCGACCGCATCCAACCGCTCCTCGATCAGTCGACGATCTAGAAGGGGCCGGCCAACCCACTTCCGAAGCAGTCTGCCGCCAAACTTCGTGTGCGTCCGATCCATCATCCAGTAAAGACTTCCCTTTGTGCTGTGATCAGTTTGGTTCTGATAAATCTCGAGACTCGTCAAGGTATTGCCATTCAGCAGCACGTGTGAGCGTGCAGAGAATGGCTGGAAATACTTCGTAAGCTGGAAGACATGCTCAAGTCCATAGTCGGACAAGTGGTTGATCATGGCCGACAGACAAATACAGACATTTTCAGGAAGACCCAAGATCTTATCGAATATCTTCGCTGCTTTGTTTTGGTCAGATTGACTTGCTCTCAGCTTCTCGGCGTAAAACGAGGATATGTGATTGTGCGCTTCGGCGGCCATCGTCTTCCCCTTCGCAACTCGCTCAACTCGGATCTTGTCCCCGAATACATTGGTCTTGCTCCCTGACAGATGCAGAACCAGCTTCTCCGTCGCTTTTGAAAGGTCGCCAACAATTAGAAACTCACAAGGAGCGATATGTAAAAGTCGCGTCTCGATCTCGCTTCGCATGAAACCGTCTTCGAAATCGTCATAGACAATGTCACCAGTAGCTGGCTGAACAGCAAGAAGACCAACATGGACCTTTTCATCGTTGCCATAGCCCTTGACATTGATTTCTGTCATGCACAATAGGAATCCAGTCGAAGGAGACTGAGGAGCGGGGCTGGCTCTGGTATCTTCCTCGATACCCTCAATGTCGTCGATGTAGGTACCTTTCGTGTACAAATTCGTGAGCTTTCGGACGAATGGTGCGTTCCTGTTGTCGCCAACAGCTTTCAAGGCAGCAGTCTCAAGCTGACGTACAACGCCCACCTTGTGACCTGCAGCTACTAACCGCTTGACATGGACGTGCAGTCGATGGACCGGAATACTGGCAGAGGCGAAACGGTCCAGATGCGCTTCTGAGGGATGTTCGTCGTATCGAAACTTTCCAGGAATGCAGACGATGCCCAGTTCTTTGGCCGCTATCCTGGCATCTTCGCCGAAGAAGCGGAATTTGTAGCCAACTTCGACGACCAGCAAAGTATCCATATGAGCCTTCTTGATCTCGATAACTTGCTTTTCCATTGGTGTCAATTTGTTGCCGCCCCTCTTCGTACCAACTCTCGACCGAGCTGAAGCCTTTGGTGGCTCTTCCACGTGCTCATCCTCTGCATCTTCATGTTCGTCGTTGCCAGTGTCCTCTTCTAATGCACGATTTCGCCTTTTGATTTCAGCGATGCTATCAGGTTTGCCCAACTTCTTCACGAATTTCCGATGAAGCTCCTCTCTGCGGCGCTTCTCGGCATTATCAACCACTTCGACATCATGGTTCTCCTGTAGAGGCGAGGATGAGAAGATGTACTTCGAGGTTCGGCCTGGGGTTGGAGGCTCAACTGCGGTCGTGGCATTTATTTGACCATTGGCAGCTATCGGCCGCAAGGTTCTCACAGGCTCTTCGTCGATTCCATTCTCTTCGTCGTGAAAAGTACGTGGCAAGTCGGTGATGGGCGATATCTTCCGTCTTTTGGCCGTGGGCAGACAGATATCATCGTTGCCATCGGGAAGCGGAGACGAGGCAAACGGTGGCGTCGAAGTCGGTTTCTTGAAGAACGAGGAGAGAGTCTGCTGCTTCTTTTGTAAGGGTGCCATGAGTCGAGATGCTCATACTCGTGTCACCGCTGTGCTTGGGTTTACGGTAACCACCGTACACAGAAATCGATACATATCGTCGTCACTTAGAGTGCAGTATTCTTGTGACCAATGAGACCGCGTCAATTGCGGCAGACGCGTCCAGTCGCGTTTCACGAGGCGAAAAGATAAATCGATTTTGAGACCGACAGTCGTACACTTAGATGACTACTATATGCTCGTTGGATTCTCTACGTGAATCTCTATCTATGTCTCAATGACCAAATACTAAGCCATGCTTCAAGATATGCTACCACCCAAGAATTGATACGCACTCTAGGTTCCCAGTCACCATTCTCTCAGCTCTGGTGAAGATGCTGCCAAGCAAGGAATACTGAGATTTGCATATCTTCCAAGAGAGCGTGAGCCAGTTCAGCTTATGTATGCCGCCTATATCCTGTATGTCAGGTGGTAGTATCGCAGACCGCAACACTTGCAAACGCGCTTCAGTATGGCTGCTCTATCTCTGTGGAGTGTGACGGCCGCGGATATAACGCGCGCTACTTGAGGTCTTGCTCTGCCAAAGTCTCGGCACGAGCCATTGGTAGCTTGATGTCTGGTTGAGACTCTTCCTCGTCGAAGTGTTCCAAGGCCTCCGCCAGAGGATTTTTGGCCGTCACGAAAGGGTCGTCATGATGTCCTCCGAACGGGAATAGATTGAACAAGTTGCCAAATGGCGACTCTGAGGGGGTAGCCAAGGCTGCAGCGTCGTGCTCGGGAGATCTCCATGACAACGGGTTTGCATTGACTTCCCTGTGTCCGGGATAGAATGAACCAAAGGGTGCAGCATTCTCCTTGGAACTGGCTGTTTCGCAGAAGCTTTGGAGTCCCTGAGACATGGGTCTATGGGCTGCGTAGAGTGTGGTGTGTTGCAAGGCCGATTGGTGTTGTGGTCGAAGCCATGGTGCAGATACCGCTGGCAGCTGTTGACGAGAGCCGAGATGATGTGCTTGAGGTTCAGCTTGAAAGGGATTACGATGATGGTTTAGCGGAGTGATTGGACCGTAACCCGGACTTCCGTCTTCGAAAATCGTGAAGTGGGCTGAGCGCTTCCGAGAGGAGCCATTGTTGACGGTAGATTTGAAGTCCACGTAGTCATCTTCAGTTGCAGGGAAGCGAGATCCGAGAGCAAATGAGTCGCCCGTCGAAGAGCTAGGCAGGTATGGTAGCGATGGTATTCCAGGGCCGAAGGGCTGTTCAGCTCGTTTCTTTGGAGACTTGCCTTTAGTTCTTCGCTTGACAAGTCGAGGAGCGTTGGCGTTCAACTCTGCGAATGGCTGTCTTTTGCGAGACGGGACCTGCTTCGGCTTCGGGAGAGGGGTTTCACCATCAATGAGGCTACTTGCGTCTTCCAGATCGTCAATATGCCTTGCTTTTCTGATGTTGCCGCCTGGTGAGTAGACAACTTCGGTGGGTTTGACCAGGGCTGACAGCCGTTCCATTCGTCTGACCACGGAACCGTCCTTTCGTTGATTCCTCTTCTTCCTCATTTCTTCTGTTGCTGCATCAAACAAATCCATGCCTGGCCAAATGGTTCCTTTCAACTTGGTGTGCTCCGGGGTGGCAAGAGCAAGTGGTTCATATCCAATTGGGAGATCGTCATCGAAGGATTGGGTCTCTTTGACAGGTGATTTGGTGTAGGCTCGTCGTGGCCTGAATGAGGTACGGCTTGTCAGTATGTATCCATCGCCAGGAAAGCAGAACCACTGACCTTGACCGTTTGACAGGGCTATACTCGAAGTCGCTGTCATGATCGACGGCTTGTTTGCTTCGACGGCTGCGGGCCTTCTGCTGGCTTTGGGCCCGGCTTCTCGCGGATCTTTTCTTCGGCAAAGCCTGCAGCAGAAGTGTCTGATCTACAGGGATAGCAGGGGTACGGTCGGTCACATATGCACCTCTGCTTGTGGCAGCTTTTCTTCTTCCAGCCTTCTTGGTCTCTTTCATGACCATGCGTTCAGAGAGCAGTCGGGCAAGGCCATGATGCTGGTACCATTGATTGTATGTTGCCAATTGAACACCAGCCTCAATTTCCTGATGGCTCCGAACCTGAAGTTTGTGTAGATGAGATAGGTGACCCTTGGAGCCAACATGAGTGAGCAAGTGGGAGGTATCACTGAAGGAAGGATTTTTGGGACAAATACTGCAAACAAGCAGATCAAGGTCCATGACCAAGAACAGTCAGGGCGAGGAGGATGTAAGGAAACAGCAAAGCAAGCTCGAAGAAGTCAAATGTGGGAAGTCAAGACGCTCAAGAACAGACAATGAAAACTTTGCAGACTGTCTTCCTCCTGCAGCACAAGCAGGATGAAGAGGAGAGAAGGGACAATGTAGAGTAGCAAATCGAGTAGTGGTTGGAAAGGTGAAAGAGACACAGGTATTAAGGAAAGTAGGAGTTGAAAGTAAGTGGAGAAGGAGAAAGTCAGGCGCGTTGGAAAGTGCACTTCACGGTATATTCAGGAAAGCACGCCCTCAACCACGAATCACGGCTTTCTTCCTCATGCAGCAGCAATACTCTGACATCGACATCTACCTAGGTAGGTAGAAATCTCCTCCCCAGAGGCTTTACTTGCCGTTATGGTGTTTTGTATGTAGGAAGGTGTATCACCATGTCTATGGTTCCTCCAAAGCGAGGAATGTGAGGTGTTGAAGCGGATATAGTTCATGGTAGACTGTTGTTCTTCTCTTGCCTTGTATCCCATCTCTCAAGCAGTACTTCAAGTGGGTTATTAGATTGCAAGAGGTGCATTTTGCACCGCAGCATACTCAAGACTGATGATATGGCAACGCCTTTATCACTGCCCGGGGCATACAACTGTAAAGATGAGGTTAGCCTATACAAGGAATATGTCTCCTTTCCACTTACTAGGTCGGATCAACCTCTACTAAATCTGGATATTTCAGCAAGCTCAGACCTGCAACTCCGAATACGGTATGAAACACGTCCACCATATCGCCTGGTCTGTCTGAAATGCCACCTTCTTCCGAGTCTTGACATCTGAGGATGAACTTGGTCAACGCCTCGGCATCGATCCAGTGTAGCTTTCCCAGCATGGCAAGGCTACTCAAGACCCACCAGCTGTAGCAGACGTCCTCGAGTTTTTCGGGGCGACCATTGAGCCCGCCATTAGGCCGTTGTCGTTCGCTCAGCCAAGCAGTCAGACGGCCAACGTCCACCAGATCAAGTCGTCGAGCTATGGTCAAGGCGCCCACACAGGTGTAAATCTGTCCAGCATGAGACTCGGCACCCGGGGACGTACCGAAACCGCCATCAAAATTTGCACACGCTTGGATGTGAGAGATGGCCTTGTCAACGTCCACGAAGTGCATCATATTGAGAACTGAAAGAGCGATGAATGCACAGAAAAGAAACCGTGTATCAGTTTCGCCCCATTCATCTCCAGCAAAGGTGCCAGTCTGCGTATCTTGAAGGCCGGCGATATCTGTAAACATGAAATGAGTTGTGTCTGACATATCCGAGCTACGCGATACTCACATTTGGCAACCTGCTCCTTTCCCCTTCTTCGTGCAGTGTCGAGTTCGGAAAGGGCATCAACTGTCGCCAGGATCTGAATGGCGCTCGTGGTATACAGCATATGGGAGTCATGTCCGGGTGCAGCGCCGAAACCACCATCCTCATTCTGACAGGCAAAGACGAACTCGATGGTCTTATCACGAGGCAATGCATCTGGACGGCGCAGAAGATGAAGGGCCGTTAGGCCCCAATACACGCCGTTGAGTCTCAAATGCTCCGTCAACCAGTAGTCGAGTTCATCCTTTCGCTGGCCAGAGATCAATAACTGACGGTTCAAATTGACTTACACCGACGCACTGTGTCTAAACTCTGAATATATCTGACATGTTTCTCAACGACGAGACTTAGCTCTGCTGGTAGCTGATCAGTTGATGGGCGGGTTCCACCAACGCCAGGCCCAGCTACAAGAGCCATGTACTGGATTGTGATGTTGGCAGAAATGAAAAACAAAGATATGAAGGCACAAGCGACGGCGAAATGTCATGGCAGCACCTCATCTCGTTGAAGTCCAGTACTTTTAGCCTTCTTTTTGCTTGGCGCTGGCACAGACCGGCGCAAATCACTGCAGCCTGTAAGTAACCCGGTAGGCTAGCCTAGGCCGCGGACAGGTGCATTGCCTAAGGTAGGTGCCCAACTTAGGTATTCAAGAGTGCAAGCTAACCCCCTCAATCCACGTCCCGCATGATTTTACATTTTGGTATCCCTTCTATCTCATCCCAAAGCACCCTGCTCCTGCCTTGTGCATTTTTAGTCGATGCATCAGGGTCAGCCTCATATCTTTGAGGTTGGTTTGATTAGTCGCTTAATCCTCAATCCGGTTCCTTTACGGCCATACTCCAATTCGGCGACGAACAAGGCCCGAATCCTATCGGGGCTCCTACCCTCGAACCAGTCCCGACTTATATCGGCGTGGAAAGCCATATATGATCCGTCTTGACTGATTGCAGGTCCACCCGGTGCATATAGCTGCACTCCAGCCCCATCAGGCTGCCTGAATATGCCGGTCCTCAAGAGCAGATCGAAGTGATTTCCAACACCATCATTCAAACCCAAAAATGACTGACCCCAGGATTTGTAATTTTCAGGTTTCATCGCTGCGAAGCGGCAGTCCCGGAAGAAGGGGACATATGTTGCATCGTAGCTAGCCCACTGCGTAGATACTGCGTTCAGTTGAGTTGCTCGACAGACGATATGCTCGATGCGATAAGACTCGTCCGCAAAACAGCCAGCGTTGTAGATCAAATGATATGCTGAATCGTCACCAGCAGCAGCGAACCTTCCCATGGCGTCTCCCCTGTAGAAGATCTGGGGGCTTTCTATATTTGGTCCATCGCTTTCATCACTGAACAAAACCCAACTGGCATTGCCAAGAGGATTCCAACTATCATTTCCAATGCGTGTTGTATAGTCCTCGTTGTCGACTATGTTGAATTGGAATGAAGTGGGCGTGTTAGGCCAGTTGCGGTTGGCGCAGGCGCCACCAGAGCCTATGGCGTTACCATCATTTTTGTAGACGACAAAGGAAGTGTTCTGTCGTCGGTCATGGATGAAAGTCGGGTCGATCGCGCCGCCTTGGTCGAAGGGACAGGTCAGTGGCTCTTCTACTGGTGTGTATGGGCCAGTCACATTCGGAGAAGTGGCAGTGCCCACGCAATGGAAACGACTGTTGGCCTGCGACGCGGCCGAGAAGTAGAGAACAAAGTTCCCATCAGGCTAGCATGTCACGCTGTTAGCACAGCAAGAGTCAGGTGGGTTTTCAATGGCTCCTCCAAGATCGGTAAAGTATTGCAAGCCACGTCCTGTATCTTCGGGTGATCTGAACTTACCCTTTGCACAACCTCAGGCGCCCATACGGCAGCATCACCTTCTTGCAGAGCCCATTTCGGCAAGGTCGGCATGGCATCATATCCCTCATGCAATGTCCAGTCTGATATGTCCTTTGCACTTGCAACCTGGACATGTAGTGAGGGGTTCGGTCTCGTTGCAAATGCGTAGAACATCCCATCCACGCTCAGCAGACATGGGTCCGCGAAGTTGGACGGTATGACAGCATATTCAGATGGTGAAGCCGTTTTGACGTTTGAGGCCGAGTGCGGAATGGCAATGATTGTTAGGAGAACCAGCAGGACAAACACGACAATACCTGCTCCTCTCAGGAAGGCAGCTCGAGATCGATCAGTAACGAAAATCGACAGGCGTAGCCATAGGTCAGAAAGCATCGTAGATGTGAATTGCAGTAAGGAGTAACTGGGCCTTTCGGCGTCTTCAGCAATCAAGACAGTATACCTGACCATAGCGGTAGGAAAAACCCTCAAGTCATTTGCCCTCCTTCATGCTACTTGGGTTTACGTGATGAGAAACAATGAAATCGCCTACCTTATAGACGATTCTGACCGACGCGTGGCTTCTCACGGAATAGATGTGGCTTGATAATGCACCTGGTGATGCACCGCTCGAACTCCGGGGGCACGGCGACAAGTGCTGAGTCTTGGATCGACAGAGAGTGAGATTCGAATGACCGCTTCAGCCTCGTCTTCGGGATGTCGGCTTTCCTTTGCACGAGGTGCAGCCACCAGAGCCATTGCAGATTGGGACTGTGGCCATGATGGTGCCCATAAAGGTAGGTTGTTGCCGTCGATGCTGAACGTCACTGAAGTACCTCATCTCTCTTAGAAGTAGACGTAGCTTGGCGGAAGTTGGCGCGAGCATGGACTTGTGTTGACTGCACATCATTGCAAATCACTGCTGCCTGTGCACGCGGGTGCATTAGTTGAATAATGCAAGCTAAACCCCGACTTCACGTCCCACCTTTCAAGGCAGATACCGAGGGCTAGGGAGGCTCCCTAGGCTCAGTTTCAGTTTCAGGTTGCCTCAAAACCCACTGCACCGCCGGGGAAACATGCTCCATTTTGGCTTGCTGGGTGCCTGGGTCGGGAGGATTCCTGGCAGTAGTACCCACATGTGGTACCCCTGTTTTTTGCTGGCTCTCGATTGCGCTAACATGATGCACATCGCCAAACAAGTACAGACTTATGTACTTCGTACAGCAGCGATCTGTACAGGTATTGCATGTGTTGCTCTTCAGTCTTCTGCATCATTGTATCAAGAACCAGGTAGATCGCTGCTCGACGGTTTTGTGTCGTCGGGTCCAGCCGTGGCTGGCTTCGCATCGACCTCTGGGAAGGTTTCTGCCCCTGGCTTGTCTTTCACGCACCGTGCTGGCCTAATCCGAGTTTTGCGAACGCCAAACATGCCAGTTCCTGGTGTGTGCTTCACGTCTCAGCCTAGCGAATGAAGACGGATTACTCGCACCAAGCTCGTTGCAACAGTGACCACAAGTATTGCTCATAGGTCCTGTATAAAGACCTTTATCAAACGAGTCGCGCAGAGTACTCCATAGTCGTAGTATTGCAGGCGACAACCCCACTGAACCGCGTCTTACGCAACATCCACCTAACCTCCTCCTGCAGGTCACTAAAGCCTGGCTGAAAGGTAAACTTGCAGTATACCTACGCACGCAGTTGACACTTCCCACTACCTGGCATCAATTCGCTTCCCTACGGCATATCATTGCACAAATACGAGTGCACGGTCTATAGTGCCATACCTGGTACTCTCCGCTGATGGTCTGCCCACAAGTATTCCACCTCCTTTAACTTAGGCGACTTCGGATACCGCAGACAGAAACACGCGCAGGCGCTGGGTCCTCATTCCAACTCACCGCTTCCGCTTGGGTCTGAACCTGACACCACTCCTCATTTTTGACCGCACCCTCCACTTCCCACGAGCACGTTGCCAACACACGCATCCACCCTTCTACTCCGATCAATCAACCACACCATTATTACTATTATACTCTCTATAATCACTGTTTGTTGGGCTGGGTTTGCGTCCTATTCATCTTTTTGATTGTCGCCGGCATTCTTGCTGGGTCCTTTGGCCGCCTGAACTATCGGCAGCCTTCTCTTCTGTCGCTCCTTCAAACCTAAAACAGATTCCTCCTTTGTTGGAAACAAGCGCTTTTCACGCAGCCTCCCAACGTTGTGGCAGTCTGGCTGCCTGTGACACCTCTGCGCCTTACGCCTTACGATGAATGCTGTGCCGTCGCAACAGCCTTGACGACCGTGGCCTTGTACTTCCGCCGCAATTCCAGAGGCATTTTGGATCAGCCTCACTAGGATATAACGACCCCAACACCAGAAAATATCACGATTACGATAAATCAAGAACCATTGGATAAATACTGCCGCCCACTCCCACTCGGAGACGACCGGACAAGCTTGGAAAGTCGGACATCAGATTTCGAGAGCAGGAATCTTGAAAGACAGCGCCGTCCCTACAAGAGACTAGTCGTGTCACGTTCCACGCCCTACCACAAGAGTCCTTGGAAAGCTAGGCTTACGGTCTTTGGGCTGTTGTAAAGAGGTGGTACAGACAGGCGATACATCCGACGGAGAATACCAAGTCCCGTTGATCTGGGGCACAGTGGTTACTGTCTGACAGGAGGCCGGCCGGCTACTTGCAGTCGGCCCTGTGAATGACATCTCAGGCGATACAGACATGCCTAGAGCCTCGGGTCTCCCGTTTCTCAACCTGTCCCCGAAAAACAATGAAGATCTCAACGGCTTGACTCCCGCGACCCTGAGTCCGCGGTCGACGGGCTCTCCCCATACTCCAGGTTCGGCACCGGGATCTCCATATCTACAAGGCCCGCCAACGCCTGCGTTGATGAGTCCCTTACCTGCATCTCCTGATGGCAGAAATGATGGTTATCGGTCGGGACCTACTTCCCCCAGATTCACAGCGATGCCCGAATTTCCTCCTTCGCCAGTACCACAGTCCCCAAAGCACGGACGGGACATGTCAAAGGGGTTTTTCTCGAATTTTATGGCTAGCAAATCCTCTCACAAACTACAGCCCTCTGAAGCCAACATCCAGGAAGATGCAGAAAAGGTGAACGTGGAGAAGGTGAATGCAAGGAGTAGGACAAGCTCGAAAGACAGATCGCTGCATTCGGTGAAGAAACAAGAGTCGACTCCAGAATTACCACAACTTGGACAGGTCAATGGTTCCACCAACAGTATCAATCCTAGTGTAGCAGAACCTACCATTCAACGAAACCCGCCTGAGATCAACCAAGGCCACAGAAAAGCAAGGTCAAAATTTGGAGGTATTCTCGCAAGAACAAAAACCGTTAGGCTGGAGGATACCACGACCCGACAGAGAAGTATAGTCCCAAGCCAGCTTCAACTCGAGACGAAACCCAACACTCGTGAGCAACTCGAGCCGTCACCAAAGACCGCTCCGCTCAAATCGGATTATCGCGACAAAGTCCTGGGAAATGAGGGTGGCATTGCCATAAGGAATCGCTCAGCAGATCGACAAATCCGAGAAGAGTCTGGCTTTGGCAGAAGAGACCGTCAGAATAACACTGTCCCTCTGTCATCCTCCCATTCGTCTTCTTTCAGAGAAGGCTCAACCCTACAGATCTTGTCCAACATAGGACATACTGGAAAAGGCATGGGTGACCGACTTGGTAAGGCCGGTAAAGGTTTCCTTGGCAAGATCACAAGAAGTGGAAGCAGCAATGAGCATGAGCCCCTTACCGATGACAGTTACGTGTGTACCACCATCAATCTGCCCCTGGTCAAGCAAACTCGCAAGACTAGGATCGCACGCCGTTTGGAGTTGTCTAAGGACAAGACGGAGTTTTGGATGCCTGCTCTTCCATGGCGATGCATCGAGTATGTCAACCGATCTATACGGAAATAGTGCTTGACTAACAACGAACAGTTATCTGAACATGAATGGCTCTGAAGAAGAGGGTCTTTACCGAATTCCCGGAAGTGGACGAGACGTCAAACATTGGCAACGACGATTTGATACCGAGTACGACATCAACCTCTTTGACGAGCCGGACTTGTACGATATCAATACAATCGGATCCATGTTCAAGTCATGGTTAAGAGAATTACCTGAAGAGATCCTTCCCAAGTCTATCCAGAACAAAGTCGCCACTCAATGCGCAGGCGCAACATCAGCGCCTCAGCTTATGAAGGACGAGCTTTCTAGGCTGCCACCATTCAACTATTACCTCCTTTTCGCGATCACCTGCCATTTGAGTCTACTTCACAGCTATGCCGACAAGAACAAGATGGACTATCGAAATCTGTGCATCTGCTTTCAGCCATGTCTGAAGATTGATGCTTTTTGTTTCCAGTTTCTAGTTATGGACTGGACGAACTGTTGGCAAGGATGCTGGACGGAGAAGGAATATCTCGAGGAGGAATACAGGTATGAACGCGAGGGGTCTGTCAACGAAAGTGAGGATCTTGCCGTGGACGACAGAGCCATCTCGTCCAGTGGCAGCAGTCAACAACAAGCGCCCGCGCCAGCGCCTCCTCGAAGCGCAGACGCGGTCGCTCAACGAAAGTCGATGGCGCCGAAGACGAAGCAAAGGAGTCTATCTTCAGGAGCAAGTGGTAGAGACAGATCCGACAGCGGGCATGCAACCGCCCAAAGTGTGCCCGCTGTGCCACGAGTGACCACACCAGAGCCTCCGAGAGTGTCCCTCGAGCAGAAGCTACCGGAGTTGACTGGGCTCTCACCAATCAGGATGTAAGCTGGATTGTTTTACTGTTCATTACGATACCCTTTTCTTTTCTGCTGTGGGAAGACGCGGCCGGGAATGATGAATATAGGTGTTCATTGAGGTGATGCATGTGCTGAGCGACTGGCGATTGGGGCTCACGGGCTGTTGGCCAGATTTTCTGTAATATCTAACGGATTTGGAAACCAGCATTGGAGGTTTCATGCTTGCATTGCACTTTTCGATTTAGGCGAAGAGTAGGCCATGGGTCAATTTGGAGAAGAGCAAAAGGTGAACTGAGGTTGAGCCTCGTTTGTATGATATAGTGGTCCAAATGAGGCCATCGAGATGCTTTGGAATAAAGTCACGGTCAACATCCGTGACAATGGGAGACGCTATACGATCCATTGACTTTTCCTTTCCAGTGCACACCGGCATGCTGTACTTTCGAGGCTCGCCGACTGTGGTCGAACCCCCTCCCTCCCAATAGCTCCTCGACCCTGTGTGCATTTTGTGTTGGTCATTTGCCCCCGCCGGTTCAATGTCTGTCTCCTGTCCAGCCGGACTTTTGATCTGTGCTTGCAACCAACAGATTCGTCCACAGTAACGGGGCCGGAAGCGAGACAGCGATCGGGTACCGCACATAGCCTCTTCTTCTCATGTTTACAACAGTCGGAATCCATGATAGGGCCGAACCAAATGTCCATCTTTTTTCCCTTTGTCATCACAGAATCGCGCAACATCTCAGCCAGCCTTGCCCTTTCTGCTCCTCCTCTCGTTATTTCTCTGCCGTCTATCCTGCCTCTTTATCTTCTCGACTCGTTCCTGTCGAGATACAGCTCTAGGATTGACCCCATCTTTCTCTTTCTGCTGTTTGTCATCGTCCAATTCGACTAACCACTCATTCTCGGCCTGCTTGTTCTTGCCCTTGTATCCCCATTTCTTGACCCACTCCCCGGACTCCTCGTCGTAGACTAGATTCTTCTTACGATCTTCGAGGGCGGCACCGCCCTTCAAGTTGCCTCCGAACTTGCCTATTCCCTTTTTACGAGCGAATAGTTCCCATTTCGTGGGCGCTTTGGGTTTCGGTAAGGGTTTCCACCTGGGAAGCGCAATTGTGGGTGGGGGAAGGGCCATGACGAGACCGTCGGGTGTTGATGTTATGGTGCATGTTGTCAAGAGGGTGTTGAGTAGGGATTGAGCGCCTTCGCGGGCGATGGTTTGGAGGGTAGTGTTGCGCTCGGTGAAGGATTGGGAAAGGAGTGTTGATGTGCTGGGGAGGGGGTTTGGGTCTGTGGCTGTTAGGTAGCCTGGGTCAAAGGTGTAGGGGGTGGGTTTGTCGACTGTGGTCGGTCTGGATGGCAGTTAGTACGGGGTTATGGCATGGCGGTAAGAGACGACATATGGGGCGCCAGGCTTACAATCTTTCTGGTTTCGAAGCGGATGTGGTTGGCAGGGAAGCGGTGGATGTTTCTGCCATGGTGGTGGATGTTGTAGTCATCGTGGCCGTCTATGAGAGCGGTCGTGTGAGGCGGTTGAGGGTTAGCAGTACAGTAGAAGTTGCGAGTACTTTTTCTCCGCAGATGTTGATGCCCTCGAACTTTTTTTCAATTCGCTGTTTTTAGATAAGAGATTACCTTTTTGACGGGAGATGGAGAAGACCATACCCACTTTGAAAACACTTTGCCGCCATTTTAAGCCTGCTTGGCTTCGCGAACGAGTAACCTCGAATACTAGTACTCCAATCTGCATTCCGACTGTCAATACCAACCAAAAGCACCTTCATCGCCAATCGGCAGCACCACCCGCTGCAACTAGGTTGCTGCCCTTCGATCTCCATGTCGGTGTCCATATGCACGAGCTGCCTTTCGAGGCTCCGCCTAAGCCAGGCTTTACCTAGCAGAACCGCCTTACCAGCGACACTGCAAATTCAAACAGCCTCCTTTCATACTTCCGCCGCTCGAGAAGCATCACCCATCAAGGCCAAAAATACAAGAAGTGGTGGACCGAAACACCGTGAGTCACAGTCTTCGAGACTGAAAAAAAAGTCCAGAGAACGCCCCAAGCTTCCCCCTGTTGGAGAGCGGCGAGCTCAACGACGCCGGATTGTGCTGAGCAACACGAACGCGCTTGAGGTCGATGGAATGGAAAACTGGAGCAAAGAAAATTTGATAAACCCTGAGTTGACGGGAAAAATGATGGGCTTGAACGGGGACTTGCTCGATCAATTGAGAGATGCGAAAGCATTTCAGCGAACACAAAACTGGAGCTTGTTTCGACGGCCGGCAACGTTGATCCGAAATGAGACAAATGCCGTTGGGCAAGATATCGAGCAGGTCAACCGTGCCCAGGATGGCAAGACTGTCAAACACTTGGTGGTGGGAGAAAAGGCTTCGGGAAAGAGTATCCTTGCGCTCCAAACCATGTGCATGGCGTACATGAAGGATTGGGTTGTTCTTAACGTTCCAGACGGTAAGTGGTTGACGAGACAATACCATTCATCGTCTCGGTGAGCTGACTTAATCCTCAGCCCAGGAGTTCACCAACAACACATCGTCGTATGCACCTCTAAAACAATCGGACAGCACACCATCTGCAGACGAACAGCTCTATATCCAACCGCACCTTACGCAACAACTGCTCACACGTGCCGTCTACTCGAACGGATCGGTACTAGAATCACTTAAACTCAACCACGAAGTCCCGAGTTCGCTCTCATTGAAGAAAAAAGCAACGTTGAAAGACCTCGCCCAACTAGGTGCTGACGATCACAACCTCGCATGGCCTGTCTGGCAAGCTTTCTGGCGCGAGCTCAACGAGCCGGGCGCCAATCCACGGCCACGAATCCTCTTCGCAGCCGACAATATCGACCACTGGATGGGTCCCTCGAAGTATCGCAATGCCGACCACGAGATCATCCACGCCCAGCAGTTTACGCTGGCTCGGCATTTCATGGATCTGATGTTCTCGAAACAGGATAGCACGCCCTTCGCGAACGGCGGCATGATCATGTTCAGCACTACTGGTTCCAACACGCCCGCCCATCCGACCTTCAATGTGCTGATCAAGCAGATGCGCGCACGTGGCCAAGGCATCTCCGCGACGTCCTCTGACTTCCCGCTTCCCACGCCATATAGCAAACCTGACGCGCATGTCCTGGAACTTGCGGGCGGGTCGCAGAACGTCAAATTGACCGAGGTCAATGGGCTGAGTGTGCCTGAGTCGAAGGCCTATCTGGAGTATTTTGTCCGGAGTGGCTTGTTGCAAGCTAATATTACGGAGGGCAAGATTGCGGAGCTTAGAGGTCTGAGTGGTGGTGGAGTGGTTGGAGAATTGGCTAAGTTGGGAAGCAGGATTAGGGTGTAATGTAGTTGCAAGGAAGTGACTCATTACACATAACAGAAGCTGGGGATGATGCTGACGTCCACTATACCCTCTATTCGTCAAGATGACTTCGGGCACGGCAATTCCCCGTGGCTGTAGACGCAAATCTATACGCATGCAGACACCCCTGTTTTTGAGGTCATACCCTGCATGAATCTCTTGTACCTGCATATATCATACGATTCATATCACGGAGCCGCAATATAGTCTGCGAATTTCTTCTCGCATTGGTCTTTGACTGTTCTCGTTCACACTACATGCTGGCCCTGTATAAGGTACACACTTTGCATCGCCACTCTGTGCTCGAAGGATCACCCCAAAGATGCACCACTATGAGCCAGCTCGCCCTCCTCGGCGCCGTGCTACAGCATGATTTAAAACAAAGCCAGAGCATTTGGCGGGCTTCCGACGGACCCGGGCACATTCAGTGGACAGCTCGTAAGCAAAAACTCGTAACGACCGGCCTTTTTGCAGTATTCGCCCAGGGCCTTTAAGTCCCATAACTCGCCGATGTTGAGGCCGAAGCCGGACAAGAAATATTGATGCAGAACTGTGCTCGAGAGATTAGCCCTCGAATAGTGCGATATCCAGCATGGAGAGGACGGATTGCGTACCTAACTCGCCAATGTTTCCTTCGCGGTTGTTCTCCTCCTCGATTCTGGGCGGTATGACCTCAAAGCCGATAGCGTCACCTGCGACGCCAGAGAAGTGGTGGTTCCACACCCAGCGGGCGGTCGCCTTGTTGCCTTCGACCCCGACGGTCCTGTGCGTGCCCAGCTTCTTCGCTTGATCCTCGGCAGAGGCATCGGTCAATTCGTCGGTGAAGCCAGATCGGACGATCAGGATATCGCCGTGCTTGAAGGTGGTTCCTTGGTGTTTGGCGACGTCTTCAAGGTCTTGGACTGTGATGGCGTGGGAGTCAAAGCAATCGTACTTGATACCTTTGGACTTGGCGTACTCCTTGTAATCGAGCAGGACACCGCGACCAACGAACCCTCCACGGTCGTGCCAGTGGTTCAGAGTGGGCAGGGCTCGATCGGCGTCAAAACTGCCATGATGCTGGACCAAGTCTTCGACAGAAGGTTTAATGCCATTGTAATTCAGCCCGGACGGTTGATGGGCGTAGTGCACGAGACCGTCCCATTGGGAGGAGCATTGGGTATTGAACTCGACTTCGTCGTCGAAGCAATGTATGCCCGGCAAATCTGCGCTCTTGAATTCAATGGGATTGTGGACGAGGCCTTTGCGAGCGAAGCCAGGCTTTGCCAGGGCGCCGATAGGCCAGTTCAGTGAGATGCTGACGCCTTCGCGAGCTTCTTTGTATGCTTCCTTGATGACGTCTGGTGTTAGTAGGTTGACACAACCAAGGTGGTCCTTTTTGCCGTCCTTGTCGAAGACGCCCCATGCACGATGAGGCACGCCGTCGATGGTAGGGAGGCTGTCGAAGTCCGGGAGGTTCTTATAGTCAGACATGGTTGGGATTTGCTGTGGACGCAATGGTGTCAGGAGCGAGGTGTAGCTGTCACAGGATGTTATACGCAAGTACAAGGGTGAAAACAGGTACTTGTTAGAGAATGTTGGTTCCTCTCCCTGATTTATAATTGTGCCAGTAATGCTTCTTACCGTTGGAGTTCGGCTATCATCTGCCAGCAGGAGCTCCAGGCAAGTGAACCTTGTACGGTACGCCTATGCGAGAGCGGGGTACGGTTTCCGTGTACCGAGATAAAGGGAGACCCTGAAAACCCTACTATGCTGTACCTGGGGAAACCTTTCTGAGTGATGTGCGCCGATAAAGGCCCTTCGGGAGCGGAGATGTTGGTGGTTCAAAAACCCTCGGTAATTGACGTGATGCTTTGGGGTTGTCAAGCACTTGGGGAAAGGCACGAAAGGTTAGCGTGGCCCCAAGTCATCATGAGAAGCCGCGGCTTATTGTACAGATCTCGATTTCTGCAGAGACCATAAAGAGAAGAGGACTGTCATTCCAGCGACGTTGCCAAGGGCTGAGAAGACGAAGCGATCCCGCCAAAGGTCTCTACACAAGATGCAGCATCATCACGGACTGCGGTCGGCCTTGCCCTGAGTCCACATTGACAAGAAAGGTGAAAGCACAAAAGGATCAAGCTTTCAAGCTGCTATCTAGGTAGGTATATATACGACCTCCGCAAAACGTTCACAAATGGGACTGGACCTGCAGAGCTGAGTCAGATTGCTGCCCGGAAACGGTCAACATCCACAACAGTTCTTTGTTCTTCTGTTTCACACAGCCTCACTCCGACTTGGCTGAAGTGCAGGCCACCACTAATCAGTGTTGAAGATGCTCGGCAGGTCGATTGCATGCCAGGTCTCGCCAATCGGACTCGGATCGTGACATACCTGACGGAAAAGTTCTTTCTCCCTTTTTGTCGTGCGAGCACACGACACCACGTCGACCTTTGTTTGACTGGATTCCGGACATGCTTTCTTGTTGTGGCGGATACACTGATTCTGCACGGAATCGCAAGCACGAGGACTAAATATGAAAGTCAGTATGGACTGGCTAAGAGGTCGCCTGAATACACCCTCGGAACACCGTCTCCCTGTTCGAGCAGTCGTATCGTACATCATCGACTATTTGATAATCATGTAAGTGGCCTGAGATGTTCTCTGTCGCACAGTCTGACAATGCGACAGAATTCTAGCCGTCATCTATGGCTTTCTCGACAAGCTCGTCACGCCTTTCGCCCAGCACTTCTCTCTGAACAACATCTACATTCAGTATCCCTACGCCATTCACGAAAGAGTACCCATACAGCTCGCCCTCATCATTTCGGGCCTCTTCCCAGCTGTGGTCATTGCCGTCTACAGCCTCTTCATCGACGGCCTCTTTTCTCATTACCGTGGCACCACCCGCAAGCGGTCCAGATACAGCTTCAGCGATCGACTATGGGAGCTCCACTGTGGCTGGCTAGGCCTCCTCCTGGCCCAAGGAGCCGCCTTCGTCATCACTGGCACTCTCAAGAATCTCTGTGGCAGGCCCCGTCCTGACCTCATTGACCGATGCCAACCAGGACCTGGTTCGGCTGACGGTGTGCCATATGGTCTTGTCACTAAGGCGATATGCACGCAGACAGATGCTGCAATTATGCAGGATGGTAAGCTTCAGGCAGACTCCCATTGCAGGTAGTTTCTGACTACCCCTCAAGGGTTCCGATCCTTTCCCTCCGGCCACTCTTCATCATCATTTGCGGGGCTGTTTTACCTATCGCTATATCTGGCAGCCAAACTACACGTTCTCGACCAAAAGGGCGAGGTTTGGCGCACCTGCATCGTCCTCGTCCCTACCTTGGCCGCCTCGTGCATTGCGATGTCACGTATTATGGACGCCCGCCACCATCCATTTGATGTCCTCTTCGGTTCAGCTCTCGGCATCCTATGCGCGTGGGGATCTTACCGCCAGTACTTCCCACCCGTCAGTCATGTGTGGGAGAAAGGACGGGCATACCCGATGAGGATCTGGGGCACGCCTGTCAGACGACCCGTGCCTGGCAAAGTCCTGATTGACAGTGACACACTTGAGGTTCTGCATGATAGAGTTCCCGCAGATATCAACCAAACATCTAGCTATGAAATGACAGGCAGAAATCTGCAGACTCGCGCGCCCAGGCAGGACTTTCAGTCACACTCTATCACGCCGTCACTTGACATGGATGTGGAAGCAGGCTATCAACTGGGTCAACAACCACCTGGCCCTCTCCAGCATACTGACAATGCATTCCGACAGCAGATGGAGCAGAATCGCCGTACTAGAGCAGGATATGCAGGCTCCAGTCCCGAACCTGAAGCCGGCGGAACTGACGATGAAGATGAATTCGCGTCGAGGAAGCCACTGCAGCCGTCTGGTTTGGGTGGTTGATATCTTAACATGGGAGCTTTTGTTCTACATAGCGGGAAGGGTGTCTATGACAGCGAGCATAGCGTAGTTCTCCACATTGAGTAACCATCTCTTTGTCCCATTGAATCGTAATGGGATTCTGCTCTCATCACCGATTTCTTGTCAATACTCAAGTCACGTGCTTGACCATTTCTACCGTGGAAAATCATCTCTCCTTTTATGACGTCTCTCCATCTCCCTCACAAAATTCAGCATTGCTCCGAGATACGCATCAACCTCATCACCGCCATTCACCAAGTTGTAAATCATGGCGCCAATCCCGGTGACAATTATAACGGGCTTCCTTGGGGCGGGGAAGACAACACTTATACTAAATCTCATTCCTCAATTACCCAAGGATTACAAAGTAAGTCTCTCATCTCCAGACATAACCTAGCCCACCCAACCTGACCAGACTATAGCTCGCCCTGCTCAAGAACGAATTCGGCGATGTAGCCGTTGATTCCCAACTAGCTGGCTCAGCCTCAATATCCGGCGTCCGTGAGCTTCTCAATGGCTGCATCTGCTGCAACTTGGTCGGCCAGCTGAATGATGCTCTCTTCCAACTCCGAGACTCTGTCAGTCCCAGCAGAATCATCATTGAGACTTCGGGCTCTGCTTTTCCCGCCACACTAGCCATGGAGGTCAACCGGGTCGCGCGCGAGCATCCAGGAACCTTCTCTCTGGACGGCGTGATCAGCGTCATCGACGTCGAGAACTGGAAGGGCTACGATGACACGAGCTACACCGCAAAAATGCAAGCCAAGTACACCGACCTGATTGTGTTCAACAAGTGGGAGCTCGTCGATGAACGCAAGTTCGATGAAGCCCTTGACCGTGTAGGCGATCTTGAAGTGCAAGTCGCCTGGGTCAAAAGTGACAAAGGTTGGGTCGATGTCGAACTAGTAATGGGCATTGATGGGGCTATGGTCCGATCACAAGGTCTGCGAGAAGCCATCGAGATCAACGACGAACATACGCACCACCATTCCAATGGCCACGGACATTCACACGAGCGTCATCAAGAAGAAGTCGAAGTCCTCAGTGTCGTCGTGCACAATCAGGACACGTCCAAACCGCCGCAGGGTGTTGTCCTCGACTCGTTCGAAGATTTGCTCCTCTCTGCCCCGAAAGACGAAGTCTATCGCATCAAAGGTCTTGTCTTGTCGTCGAAGCCTCCGCCCGACTCTACTGGCGCTCGAAAGCCAAGCATTGCAGTCGATGCCGAGGGCCAGAGCCTGTACGTTCTAAATTGGGCGTTCGGTCGATGGGCCTATACACCTCTCCCGGGCGAAGCTTTCAAGGCCATGGAGAATGCAAGCGCCAGATTGACATTTATTCTGGCGAGAGGAGAATCCACCAAGTGGATACGGAGGTTGGAGAAGGGCGACACCATTGCTTTAGAGGGAGAGGATGATACGGAAGAGAAGGCCGTCTTGAAGATCTCAAAGATTGGATGAACGGCGTTCAATAAAGCATGCGAAGTATGCAGTCAGTCCGGGCTACAAAAGGGCCCTGATCTCCCCCTTTCCACCATCATCCAACTCAAGGAACCTCACCACCTGGCCAAGATGATCAAACCCCCAAAACCCTTCGACCTGACCACTGGCGTTCTCGCAGTGGAACCACGGCAATCCAAACGCGCCATCCGCGAAAGCCTGCTCGGTCGATGCGACGAGCTGCTTCTTAACATCCGCATCGCCCATCTTGGCGATACACTCGCTCACGACATCTTTGCCCAGCGCTTTCTCCAATATCGGTCCGAAGACCTTGGGGTCGGCAATCTTTGATTCGCTCGGCTCGGTCCAGAGACTTGCATAGAGCGTGTCGAGAGCCAGAGTGAGTTTGTCCGGATATGTGACATGCAGCGCCGTCAGGAAGCGCTGGACGTGTAGTGTTGGGAAGGGGAAGTTGTCAGGCCCCTTTTTGGACATGGGGACATGGAATTGGTGTGCCCAGCGCAGACGCTCAACATGAATCCATTTGTCTTTGTTACGGATTTCGATCGGAGCGCGGTTGTCGCAGGATTTCATAAGTCCGCCGAGAAGGATGGGTTTGTATGTTATCGTGACAGGGCGAAATATGGGATGATGCTATTGAAGAGGCTAGGTCAGGGACAGAGACACCGCCACCAAAGCGGGAAGTGCTAACGGATATTTAGAGGGAGAACCCCCAACGAAAGAGCAATAGAAGGCATGGGTAGAGACGTAAAACGTGTGCGAGGAAGTTGTAACCAAGCAGGTCATGCAGTACGTCGTACTTACCCTCAGCACATAATATGCCAGATAGGCAAAGGGACTGATAACATCGACGTAGAGTGTGATCTTGGGGCCGCCCATTATTTCGACCTTGTGAACCTTGCTCCCGTATCTTACGCTTTTGGCACTGCTGATGTTGCCGCTCGTGCTTGTCTCCACGAGACCAGGCTGGATCTGCTTGATTGATGCAGCGGCGCTCGATCCGATAGGTTGCTTCGGTTTCCAACGCACAACAGCGGCGAGGCTGTGTTAGTCAAGGGGTGAGGGCGAGTTGAGTAATCAGGATCTTTTACTCCAGGTTTCAGGACCCAGATCGCGCCAGTGATCGTGATGGTGATTCGATATCAATTCGGTGTCACTATCATGTCCACTTTCTCCTTGTCGCGATGGCGTGATGCGCGTCTGATCCAACTGGCAGCTGTTCCTCAGGGTCGAGAATCAAGATGGTCGATGCGAATTAGCTCTTCGGCACGATTTCTGCCGGGGTAATGAATTCCAGCCTCTTCGAAGAAACCTAATCGATTTCCACTTCTCACTCCCTGTTCCGATCTGTATGTTTACACGATCTCGAGATTCTCACCGGGTTTTCAACAGGAACAGTATAACTGGAAGAACCTGTATGTGCAAGATCCAAAGACACTCACCTTTGTGGGAGACGTCCAACTCAAAGTCCAGAGCCGAGGTACAAAGTGTCAGCTCACGTGAAGCTCTATCTCGGCGCGGTATCGGGCCCGCCCACTACAGCAATCTTGACGACGGCTCCAGGACTTTGAAATGCGGAGAACACAAAGATCTGGATGCTCAATTATTAATATCGTGGCCACCTGGTCATTCCACGCGACCCTCATGCATGAAAGAACATGTGAGAACAAGCTTTGCCTTACCATGAACTCTCTGGAACGCAAGAATACATTATACCGTGGTGAGGGCTGCCGGACAATCTTCAAGCGACCAGCAAATACCTGGTTGAAGCTTTCCAACCACCCTGTCACTCCACGCATACCCTACTCATGCCGATCTTACGAGGCGTCCACCATGATCCCCGCAGGACTACTGTGGTGGTCATTTCCAGATGCTGGTTTTACGTCCACACAAGATCCCCACACAATTCAAAGGCCATTTGGCAGGCCGGCGGTCTATCACACACGGACTCTAACCACTTTCGGCATGATACCGGTGGTCCTCCAGACTATCCACACCGCTTTCAGTGTAACCTCCGAGGAAGGGTCACTCGTCCAAGTCCAAAATGACAGAAGGACCTCGACATGCCAGTGCCAGGGTACGCGTCATGCAACAGGCCGCTCACAATGCAGGCTTCATCAAGCGCGACTCTTGCTCGGGACCACTTCTTTACGTTGTCCTAGACATTGGCCTTACTGGAAGGCGCATGCTGACAGCCATCTCCGTGGAAAAGGCCGTTCTAGTAAGTTATGTTGTTGACCTTGTTCAACGGCAAATCATCTCCCAGATGCTGAGTCGATCATATCTGGTCATGTCCAAGTTCTAAGACGAAGGGACGTCTATAAAAGCATACTCATTTTGGCTTTTTCTCGGCTTATCTGGGATCAGCAACCCTTGGGATCTTCCATGTGCATGCTGTCATGTCGAGCTGGTCCCCATTGTCGCAGCATCTCGGACCGAGTATTGCTATGTGGCGAACCAATCATGAGGCCACCCTCCGGAAATCTGCCCAGTTCGAGCGATCAATTCAACTAAACGACATAGACTTGCTGTCCATTGACCCGCTGGGTGTGCCGCTATCCCATCAACTATCATAGTACTCCGCACGTACAAGGTACTACCCTCCACGTTTTTAGCCTGTTGCCCGCCTATCGCCCGCAATGTGACCCCAGGCGGATCTCCTCCAGAAAGGGGCCCATGAGCAGTACATAAAGCAGGGCACGGTAGCACTGATCGTCGACTTCTTCACTGTCTTCTTATACCGAAAAGGCTACAGAGAGTTTGTTCTATCAAGAACTTTCTCTCATCGTTGTCCCCCCTACTCCCATTCCCACTGATACGACGGGCAAAATACCAGTCAACATGGCAGAGAAGCCCCTCTCCTCCTCGGAGATCGAGGCACAGCCACAGCCCCAGGTCGAGCATGTCCACAATGGCGGCGAGAAGCTCGACTTCAACAGGGCGGGCGCGATCGATGCAGAGAACGCCGAACACAACATGACTGTGCTAGAGGCTGTCCGAGCCTACCCCGCTGCCAGCTGGTGGGCATTCGTCATGTCGGCCACCATTGTGAGTTCCGGCCCAGCAGTTGCCAGCGCATTCCTCTGACCGCCAAACAGATTATGGAGTCGTACTGTGTCTTTCTGATGGGCAACTTCATAGCCACGGCCAGATTCGCCAAGAATTACGGCGTATATAACGCCGCGCAAGATAAGTGGCTCATCGAGGCTTCCTGGCAGTCAACCTTCCAGTGTGGTGGACCAGTTGGTGCATTCATCGGCGTCTTCCTGGCGGGTCCCATCACCAGCTGGATCGGGTACCGATGGGCAACCATTGGCGGTCTCATTGCCTTGAACGGCTTCATCTTCATCTTTTATTTCGCCAACACCCAGGGAGTTTTTCTGCTGTCCCAAATTCTCGAAGGCATTCCCTGGGGTATTTTCATCGCCAATGCACCCGCCTACTGCAGCGAGATAGTACCGCTAAGATTGAGAGCTCCTGCGACACAGATGTTGCAGATGTTCTGGGCTATCGGGTCGATCATTGTGGGTGGCATCACCTATCACTACCAATCCAAGGACAGCGATGAAGCGTATAGGTTCGTTATGCCTCCCGCAGCTCTGATAGAGAGTCACTGTGCTAACACCATTACCAAGAGTTCCCATTGCCCTGCAGTGGCTGTTTCCGACCCCTCTCGCCATCCTCCTCTTCTTCGCGCCCGAATCCCCCTGGTGGCTGGTGCGCAAGGGCCGTCTCGCCGAGGCCGAGAAGTCGGTTATACGTCTCGGACGCTCGAGCGCGAATGCCAACCCCGCAGACTCGGTCGCGATGATGCGTCGCACGATCGAGCTTGAGAAAACGGAGAAGAAACCCAGTCTCATCGAACTGTGGAAAGGCACCGATCGCTACCGCACGCTCATCGTGTGTGGTGTGTACGCGGCTCAGAACCTGACGGGCAACTTGATCGCCAACCAGGCAGTCTACTTTTTCCAGCGTGAGTTTCCCACACCCCCCTTGCCACCTTTTAACAGACTGACACAAAAGCGTAGAGGCCGGCATGGCCGATAATACCGCATTCGCCCTCGGTCTCATCACTTCCGCCCTCCAGTGGATCATGGTCATGCTCTCTTGGGTCCTTACCACGTACCTCGGCCGACGCACCATCTACGTCTGGGGTTCGTTCATCAATTGCGGGTTTCTGGTCTGCCTCGGTATCGCGGCTTCGGTCGGCGGCGGCCATGCGGCGACTCAGGCGCAGGCGTCACTCGGCCTCATCGTCTCGGTCCTGTTCTGCCTGGGCCCCGCCCCGGCCTCGTGGGTCATCATCGGAGAGACGTCTTCCATCCGTCTCAGGCCATTAACAACCGGTATCGGACGTGGTGCCTACTACGCAATCAACATTCCTTGCATCTTCCTGGCCAGCTACATGCTCAACCCTGACCAGGGAAACCTCGGCGGCAAGTGTGGCTACGTCTGGGCCGGCACTGCTTTTGTCTGCTCGGTCATGGCGTGGATCTGGCTCCCCGAGATGAAGCACCGGTCGTACCGCGAGATCGACATCCTGTTCAAGCGCAGGGTCCAGGCGCGCAAGTGGAAGAAGACCGTCATCGACGTGCAGGACGACGAGTAGATGGAGGCCCTCAAAGGGGGAATTTGAGATGCTGGTGGTAGGACGTGACGTAAGAGCGATACATCGGTGTTGCGAAACGGAACAGATGATGGCAGCAATGACATGACTGGAAAAGTCGGTAACTGTGGAATGAGAAACACCATTATAGCAGCGGTCGAGCTTGCAGGTACACAGCCAACAAGGTCTATGGGCAGCTGGGTCTGGGCCCCTTTCAATGAATGACTGACCTGGGCAAAATTTGTTGATGAGGGGAGATTGTACATAGAGAAAATGGGAGTAGTCTGCAAATGTATCCCCAGCACGAACCAAGACTTGCCTCCCACCCGGTCGAAGGGACTCGATATGCAGTGCCATGAACGCCCGTTCACGGGATCTGCGTGCTTCTTTCGGATGAAGGTAGATGTATTCCTGATGTTGCCAGGGGCCTAAGGTTGAGTACTAGGACCACTGGAGTCTGGACTGCCCGTTATCAATACTATGCTAGGTGCCTCTGCCGATATCAGCGTTACCGGCCAATCCCCTTTCGTGCACGCCTGCTCTCGGTTCATAGCACTGTCATATGAGTGCTCTTGCTCCTTAGTCCAGCTCCCACCACGATACACGAGCTTTTCTCCACCGACTGGCTCAGTCATCCATGCAGATCTTGGTTGCAGCATCGACCGATGTTGGCTGCGTCATTCATCCTCGCTCTCGGTCGACCCGACTCGTCATGTTGGCTCTAAGTAGCTACTAACGGGACTTGTCTTGGATAGGGAAATCAGAGCCCGTGGTTGACTTGTCTGCGTTTCACCATCATGGTCAGCATACTGTATCGTACTGACTACCGTGGTGGAGACACCATGTCCACGAGGTATCAGAAGACTCACACTTGCTCCGGATGAAGTCACTGATCTGCTCGTCCTTCATTTGTTCAGCGGCCGACTCGTTGTTTTGAGGACCTTGACCAAGGAACTTCTCTTGAACGTAGTCGATGCCTGTATTCAGTCTTTTGTCAGCACAAAATCATCTCATCGTATGAAGTTGTGGAAGTCACCTTTGTCAAGCATGTCCTCATTCTTCTCACTTGTTGGTCCACCGCCAGCGGCAGCGTTGAGCTTGTTGCCTAAGCCGCCGAGAAAGTTGCCGCCGCCACCACCACCACCAGAAGTGCCTTGACCAGTCTGCTGTGCAGTGCGTCCGTTGTTGTCCATGCTGCCGCCAAAAGTGCCTTGGCCGGTCTGCTGGGGATATTGTCCATTGTCCGTGCCGCCTAGGACGTTACCACCGCCCGAGGAGGTAGTCTGACCGCCGTGCTGTGGGTTCTGTTGGTTGTTGTTGCCGCCGGCGAAGCTGTTGATGGCACCTCGAAGTTGATCCATGATTGGTGAGCTGTCAGTGTGTCAATGATGAGATAGAAGTCTGCTGAAGTACGTGAGTACGAAGGAATTGAGAAAGGATGCAGGAAAGGAGAAATGAAATAGAGTCACGAATGTAAGAACGATTCACGATGGGCTAAGTGACAGCCTGAGTTGCACTAGACGAGTGACACGATGACTGTGGTGAGGTGTACGTGAATGATGAGACTGAGTTTGACACAATGCAGCCAAGTCGCTTGGCTGTAACATATGGAGTGGATTGTGAGACTTGGTCACTTGGTTAACAAGCGTTCATCTGAGGGTGGAAGTGATACAAAATACCACAGGAAGGAGCATTGGGTCAAAGCACGCAAGCACGAGGGGGGCATTAAATATCAACAATGAAGTAGTCAGAGGTCTTGTTCAGCTGGAAGGTGTCGAGGGTGTCTTTCTGTCAGTAGATATTGTGACTTCCATTGCCTCAGGAGATCTTGCGGTGCTTTCCTGGCAGCTGAAGCGAAAGCCCTAGTTTTCTGCATCCCATCGTGCCGATAGTTGGTCAGTCTTACTCGCCCTCGCTATCCTTACTGACACTCTCCTCACTACCTCTCCTCTCAGCCTCGTCGCTTTCCTCCTGATCAATCTCCTTCTCCCAATCATCCACCACCGGTTCCTGCGCTTTCTTTCGCAGCTGCTGCTCGTTTTCCTGCTTCTTTCTCTTGGCTTCCGCCAGTCGACTACCTAGTACGGTATATACCGGTCGTTGTCCAACGGGCTTGACGTGGGGTACTTGCATAGGCGCCGACTTCTTTGCCGCGACTTGCGACCATCCATTCGTAAGTGCATTTGTAGGCTTCCCCTGTTGCGCAACAATGCTAGGCTCAAGACCAATGGTATCAAATTGACAGAGCACGGTCGATGCTGCTAGATTGTGCTTGGAGATTTCGCCGGCAACACTGGGTTGCAAACTCGTGAGTAAGGTGACTAACTGTTCCGGTGTTTCCCAAGGCATCGCCGGCAGCAACGCAACCCCTTCGTCATTGGGCAGGAAGGAAATGTCAAACTCGGTAGTCGGTGCTGCCTTCTTCACCAAAGGTCGCAGCTCATCTTCGGTCAGTGCAAACTTCGGCTTAGTGAGCAGGAGTCCGTTGTATTCATGTTTGACTTCGTCTGCTTTGCGTTCTGGTGTCGCCTGGACGGGAGCAGCGACATTTAGTTGAGCCCGCTTGATTCTGAAGGCTTGTGCTAACGTCTTCATAGGTGCAGCAACAAACTTTGGTGTTTTGAAAACAAGCACATGTCGATGCGGTTCCGGATCCAGGCTTTCTCCATCGAACCCAAAGTCTTCTGTCAGGCTATGTATGAATGCTCGTTGACGACTTTTCATGGGCTTGAATCGATACCTCTTTTGAGTGTCATCCGCCGCAAACAGCCTAAGCTCTTCCTCCTGCTTATGGGCCCAGGCCACGTCTTCGAGATACATCTTGAGAGTAGTTGTCGAGTACGGGACGTGATCGTCGGTGTGGTCGTCCGAGATATGCAGAGCAAGTGCGAGATTCCTGTTCCTTTCCAACCTCGCACATTCATCATCGCACTTGAGCGAGTTCTGTCGACCCGCATGTTCTGGCACACTAGCTCGAGCATTGCATCTCACCTCTTCCTTCTTTCGTTGACAGTCACACGTGATCATGACCTTGAATGGACATGGTTTCTCTTCCTTGCAAGCAGATGGAGCATGGCATGGCTGTTCACAAGGATGCCCACAACTCTTCTTTGCCTTGCCACACTCTTGTTGACAGTGTAGATGAGCATCCTCACATTCTCCCAGTCTGTGACAAGTCTTGCGGCAGGTGTGTGAGCCACATTTTAGAGTCTTCCCACATACCAATCCGCAAAGCACATCAGCCCGCCAGCAGGGTTGATTCTTCAAGGTCTTTTTGCCGCAAAGACACTCTTTCTCAGTCAAGAATGGACACTTCGGGCATTCTTCGTCATCCAGATGACAACTATGTGCCACCTGAGGATGACCGCAATCCTTGCTTCGATTGCATGGAAAGTTGCATGGTGGTGGCCGTGTCCCGCACGGCAGAGGCGCCTGCAGTACAGTCCTACCACATGCACAAGAGATGTCGTCAAATATGGCCTCTTTGCAGCTGCCACATGGTCCTCGATGACATAGATCCGGGCAACGGTGGTTGCCACATTTGAGGGTGCGTCCACAGGGACGCGTGCAAATATGCTCTGCCTCAATATTCTCATCAAATATCCTGAGAGCTGTTCCGACTGGTTTCAGCTTCCGTTTGGTAGCTTGACGCTCGGCTGCCTTCTTTTCTCCGGTACAGCATTTTTGGCCACACTCGTGGCGGCCACAGCTCAGATTTGCTTTGCAGATGCGGGCACACTGCGGAGGATCCTGTGATGCTTCGTTACAGATGACATCGAATGAGTTGCGACCGCATCGACATGTGGTGGAAATCTCCAGCATGCAAGGCTCGCATTCTCCGAGATGACAGGTTTGCCTGCATTCGTGTCCGCATGGCAACACTCGTCCACATTGCTTCTGGCAGGTTGGGATAGGGTCGGTACACGCCTTCCGGGGCTCAATATCTAAATCGGCAAGAGCGGTCTTTCCACAAGGACAACACTTGACCACGTCCACGGATTGTGGGCAATGCGGTATTGTAGCATCTTGAGGATGGCAAGGTTTCTCACAGCGGTGGATGCCGCAGTCCATTGATCTCTCGCACATCTGACCACAGTCGAAGCATCCAGTCCAATCCGAGCTCTCTTTCTCTTCGTCCCTGTCGTTGCATTGAATCATCTTCTCCACCTTGCCGCAATAGCAACGGGCATCTATCTCCACGGTACAAGCACCACAAAGACCTTCATGACAAGGTCTTTGACATGTATGCTCCCCGCAAGGCATCATATCCCCACAGATAGAGCCACAGCTCCAGCCTATCTCATAGTTCGTCTCAATGCAACGTCGTCTCGTTTCTTGTTTGCCACAAAAGCAGCTCTGGGATGGTCCCATTGCTGAGCAGGGCGGACACGGTCCAGCATGACATAGCAAATCGCAGGGATGTGGACATGGTTTGGGGACGGTTCGTTCGCGACCGCAGGTTTGCCCGCATGAATGTGGCGGTAGACCGGTAATTGACTTGGGATCCAACTCTTTCTCGCACCAGCAGGTATATGCAGATGGGGTCGTGTCTTTGGGCAAGTTGCAGCCCGGACACCTCCACTGCTTTCCTACTGCTGGACCGTCCTCCTCCTGACCTGCGGGACGATGTACCGCTGAACCTTCGTTTTTGGACCACCTCTTTATGCACCCAATATGAAACAATGTCCAGCAGGTTCGACATGACCAGACCTGGGATTGTCGAGTGATCTCGCTCGTGCAGATAGCACACTCGTAAACGCCATTGGATACGTCCTCATGAATGCGAGTGGCGATGTCGGGCGCTGTAGACCTGGACAGAGAGCCTCTCCTGGGTTGAGATTGCGGTGGATGGTGGGGAGGCGGTTTTCGACCTTGTCGTGGCGGTTTCGGGGGTCTCGCTTGAGAGGTAATAGAAGACGCAGGTGATACAGACGCAGGCACAAACACTGGAGCCTCAGCTTGGAGTTGTGTGAGTTGTCCGCCAAACGGCCTAGACCCAGCATTTCGGACTGGTGGCGTCGAGAGTTGACTGTTCGGTGGCTGTGCTCTTGAATGGTTTCCTCTTCTTCTATGTCTTTGTCCTCTATTGCTCGGACCAGGGGTCTGAGACACTGTAGTAGCCTCCATGGTATTACTGTCTCCTCGATACAGGCTTTGGGCAGTCGAACGCAATGTGGCGGAGGCAGGATGTGAAGTAGGGGCCGAGATAACGAGGCGAACTAAATCTAAGACGGTAGAGTCAAGGAAAATGGAGGGCTTCAAAAAAACAGCCCTCTGAACGTTATAAGCAAATGCAGAGTGAAAGGTGACCGCTGAAAGAGAGATTGAATGAGGAAGCGTTTAATAGTTTTCTGAGAGTAATACAATGTAAAGGTAGGTGATCAGTCATTGAACTTCGCTGTGGCGCTGCGACTTTCTGAAAGTTTCCCGAAATTCCACATCGGCGCGTCATTGCCGCAAACGACCCGATGGCTTTTTGAGTCACTACCGCAAGGCTGACCAATTCTCCTTGTCGAATAGGGCAATCTAGACTCTCAGCTTTCCGCAAGAATGGCTTGGAGTCTGCATATGCACCATTGGTGACTCTTGATTCATCACTAGGTAACATATACGTCTTGGAGCCACCAACACAGTTGGTGGATATTGCCTGTAGACAAAGCCCCAAGACAGCCCCATTGTCTTCACAACGTCAAGTCGCAAGACTCCCCTTCGCTCAACGCCATGACGCCCAGAATGGTCGATGCAACTCGTACATATCGCGTACCTTGGATCATTCTCCGCCATGGTCTATTGAGTCTGTGTACCATAGCCCCGAATCTGATCCGCAAATGCCCAGCTCTGGTTTTCAAGCTTCTCGTCCTCCTTCAATGCGACACCGTCTTTGGTAATCACCGCAATGCTGTATTTGTCCATACTCCTTGCATCTCGGTAGAACAGAACCTTCATGCACGCCTTGACAGCTTCGACAGCCTCCTCTTGCGTTACATTCTTCACACTCGCTTCGTCCTCCGGCATCAATTTTCGCAGCAGCGGCTGGGCTAAATGCGCGCCAAAACCGGTGGCCAAGGTCGGGCTTGAGAAGGTCGTGCCCAACAGGTCGACGCTTGCCAGGAAAGGCTTCTCATCCTCGTCCAGACCAGCCACGAGCATCATATTCCACAATGGATTGAAGTCGCTTCTCCGCTTATACATGACTTTGGACATATATGTGTGTAAATTCCGCGCATTGAGGGTATGTCCTTCTGAAGAGAGATAGTTCTCGCGAATGTCTAGAGACTGGAGTAACCGGTCGAGATATTGCATGTCTGACACATCGCCGCCGAACCCGATTACTGTGTTGGGAGGAAATGTTCTTAGACGCTTCACGTCCGTAAATCGTGCCAGAGATCCGTAAGAAGCTACACGAAGGTGTCAGTCACCTGTATTCGAAGGAAGAGATGAGTAGCATACCCAGGTTGTCTGCGGCAATGACAACACCATCCTTGAACTTGACACCTAGCACTGACGTTCCAGTGACTGCGGGGGATTGGGTGTGAGTCTTGGGCATCGAGGTCTGGAGGTAGGAGGAATCGTAAGGACCGTAGACATCATCTCGAGGCTGTCCAGCGTTAGCCGTGGCCGCAAGGATGAGGGAGGAGACTCACCCTGCCCCAAGCTTGAGGGTAGTGATTCATGTTGCAGGATCTGGAAACTTCAAGGAATGGTAGACCGAGGAATATCAGCGCCGGCTTTTTCACTTCGTGGGTGTGCAGAAGGCGAGGTTGTGGTGTTGAAGACTTGTACCTAGATGGGAAGCGACACAATCGGTCAAGTGCTGCCGCGTCAAGAGGTGCAGCCTGTCACGTGCCATCACTTATGTAATCGGACGAGGCTGAAAGGTGAAGCGTGGAGGCTTTTCGGCGGTCAATCTTCCAACGTCAACATGTCCACGTGCGATGTCGACTGCGTCGCCTTACTGATATTATGGCTATGAATCCAGTCATCAACATCTCTAGGTATGCAACGCCACGGCCACACCGTCTAGACGATGTTGTTTCGGGCGTTTGAGAGGGGTTGCGGATAGCGATCCAAATGCTACCATCAAATGCCTGCTTGGCGGATCAGCCCCTTGACGACATTTCGTCTGTCACCGGTGCGAATTTTGTAGAGACACTAAGACAATTGAGTCGCAGTCATAAGTCGCATACCACTATCAACGTCAACCGCAACGGCGGCCATCTCCATTGAGCCCCACAAAGCTACCTAGGTACACATTATCAGTTGGCTCGATGAGGAAACCAAGATAAGCCTTCGTTGAGGACTTTGGGCTACTTCTCGTAAAAGCATGCCATTGGCTTCTATGGTAACGTACGTCCATCGAATCATTACTTTGCTGTGTTAGTGGCTTCTGATTTCGACGCTGCATTAACCTGGCCAACGTTGTCTTATAGGTAAGGTCAAGCCTTCTTATCGTACAGGTATTGTGCCCATTTCTTCTCAGCTTGGTTCTCAGCTTTGTTGCCACTGTTTCACACCTAATCCTTCCACGTTGCTTTCATTCAAAACTTCTTCCAAGATGGTCAAAGCACCGTGGCAGGACGTAGCACAAATTGCTCAGGATCTACGGGCCAAGTCCATTGCGGACATTAAACCTGCCATTCCAGATGTACCTAGCCATGCTGAAATACCGTTGAATACGACATCTATCCCGAGAAAGTTGCTGGGAGAGGCCGAGCTCAATATCACCGAAAGCCCTCCAGAGGAGCTGTTGCGATCGCTAGCTTCAGGACAGCTGAGTAGCGTCGAAGTCGTTACAGCATTTCTTCGAAGGGCAGGTATCGCTCAAACGTTGGTATGCTCAAGCTCCGATGACCAACGCCGACATTAGCGAAGCACTGACATAGTATGCTGCTTAGGCGAACTGCGTCACGGAAGTTCTACCCAAAGCCGCCATTGAGCGAGCGACATATCTCGATGAGTATCTCAAAACCAATAAGAAACCGATAGGGCCTCTCCATGGCCTTCCTATCAGTGTCAAGGAGCATATTGGAATGAAGGGCCTTGGTCTCAACGGTGGTTTCGTCAGCTGGTGGGACCACGTTGGTAAAGAAGATGCCCACATCATCCAACTTCTTCAAAATGCTGGATGCGTGCTCTATGTCCGAACCACACAGCCGCAGTGTCTGATGCATCTCGAAACCGCAAACAATCTCTACGGCGTGACTGTCAACCCTTATAATCGCAACTTGACCTCCGGGGGTAGTTCTGGCGGAGAAGGAGTCCTGATCGCTCTGAAAGGCAGTTGCTTGGGTATTGGCACTGATATCGGAGGGAGCATCCGCGCGCCGTCCGCCAACAACGGTATCTGGGGCTTCAAACCGACTTCTTACCGTCTGCCCATGGGTGGCATGACGGCGCCCATGGCGGGATCAGAGCAGATTGTTGCAGTCGTCGGTCCAATGAGCGCCAGCTTTGAAGGCTGCCACGTCTTCATGAAGACTCTGATTGATCAAAAGCCTTGGCTGACGGACCCAGCACTCCTCCCTATGCCTTGGACATACCCGCCCAAGGAAAGCTACCTCACCAAACCGGACGGGAAGAAGAAACTGAAAATTGGCATCATCTGGAGCGATGGTGTGGTGAAACCACATCCGCCTGTAATTCGAGCCATCCAGGACTTGACCGCAAAGCTCAAATCGATACCAGAGGTCGAACTGGTCGATTGGAAACCTTACAAACACGATCTGGCATGGGATGTCATTTCAGCATTGTACTTCTGCGACGGAGCAAAGCAGGAGAAAGAGGCACTTGCGTCAAGCGGAGAGCCTTGGCTGCCCTTAACCGAGTTCATCATCAAGGAGCAACCACAGGTGCCGGACAGGGAATTCACCATTTCCGAAGTGTGGCAACGAACAGTCAAGCGCGACGAGTATCGCAAGGAATACGCGAAGGCGTGGAACGAGACAGCGCAGGACGGCTATCCTGTCGATGTCATCCTTTGTCCCGTTGGACCCGGTGCGGCTCCGCCTCTGAATCAGTCTAGGTACTGGGGTTACACTGCACAGTGGAACCTGCTTGATTATCCGGCCATGATCTTTCCAGTGACGCAGGTCGACCCCAAGAAGGATCCCGTGGAGACAGGCTATCAGCCACTGAACGCGAAGGACGAGTTCAACTACAAGTTGTATGAGCCGGAGAAGTATGTTGATGCGCCGGTGTCGCTCCAGCTTGTGGGCAGGAGATATGACGATGAGAAGGTGTTTGAGGCTATGGAGTTCATCCAGAAGTCGGTTGGCCATTTGCCATTGGAGTCATTCAAGTAGAACCGAGCTCGGAGAATATCAAAACTTCCAATATCAGCTTCAGCTCGAGATCTTGGTTCTCTTTATATGAAAATCTGGGCATGAACGCCCGATCGAGCCAGCATGACTTCTCCCAAAAGAAGGTAGACGAGACCCCTGTCGTAAATGCCTGTAGGTGACCCGTGGCCCAGGCACGGTTGGTACTTTTGGCCTTTGACTTATCGCGATAAGAAACACCCACCCCCACAATTCACTGCCTCCCCCGCAGCAGGACCTGTTCGTGCAAAAAGTTTCAATGTCCAGCACGTGGCCCAGCTCTTCCTACAACTCGCTACGACCACTCAAACCACTTCTACCTTCCTTTCTACAATCGCACGCCGGCAACTCGTCCTCCATACCCAAAGCACAACGCAAGGGCAGCCCATCAGACAGAATGGGTGCTTCAACGGTCCGCATCCTCATCATCAATCCCAATACCTCTCACCACATGACCGAGGCGCTGAAACCAGTCATCGAAAGCCTGGATCTCCCGTCCACCATCAAATCCACGTTCTTCACCTCCCCTTCCCCGGGCATCCCGAGCATAAACTCCCCCGAAGATGCCGCTCAATCCGCGGAAAACTGTCTGTCGAAACTCATCCCACTTCTTAAAGATCACGACGCCTTCCTAGTAGCATGCTACAGTCAGCACCCTTTAGTCCCGCAGTTGAAAAAAGAATGTGCCAAACTCGCTGCCTCCAACGCCGAGAGGAAGTTCGTTACCGGCATATTCGAAGCGAGCGTAACGACGAGTCTGGCTCTCGTTCCAGACGATGCCGGGTTCGGAATCGTATCGACGGGCAAGATATGGGAGGAGGCGCTGCAGACTGCGGTGGATGAGTTTCTTGGAACTAGCAAGTCGACCAGGTTCTACGGGTGCGAGACCACGGGGCTGAATGCGAGTGAGTTGCACGATTTGCCGGCCGAAGAAGTGCGTGTGAAGATGATGGATGCTACGAAACGACTTCTCAGACGGGGTATGACACGGCCAGGGGCCAAGGATTCGAAGGTGAAGGCTATTTGTCTGGGTTGCGCGGGTATGGTGGGACTAGACTCTGCGGTGCGGAGTGCTTGTATAGAAGAGCTTGGAGATCAGGCGGGTAAGCAGGTGCATATCGTTGATGGGGTCAGGGCTGGGGTTGGGAGCTTGTACGGGCTTTGGAAGGCTATGGGTGGATATTACTGATGACGTGCGAACAACAACACAGCAAAGAGTCGGGATACGCGATTCACACTGTTGGAGACAACCTCTTACATCGTCAACCGCCAAAAAGCAGCAACAAGTTTGGACGAGACGACGCAAAATGTACGGTTAGCCGATTAGGCGACCAACCTTGGCAAGAGAGGGAGGTCAACGGCCTTGAAGAACAACAAATCATCATTTTAAGCTAATGACAGCTGAGTCTGACGTTGCAATCTTGATGGAAGCCTTGATGATGTCGGCACCCTTTTCGGCCACAGCGTACGTGGTAGCCATGATGTTTCCGCTGATATGTCCAGGGAAGATCGAAGCATCGACGACGCGCAAGCCCTGTACGCCCTTGACCCTCAACTCATTGTCCACGACTTCACCAAGCGCACATGTCCCAATCAAATGGTACTGCGTGCTGATATGGTTCTTGACATATTCGACGCGCTCTTCCTCCTTATCCAGACTGGCATCTGGGGGTGGCAATTCGCGCTCGTCCAAAGATTTGGCAAGAGTAGGGTGTCTAGCGACGCGGTCCATCCAGGCCATGCCAGCGGCAAGGACCTTCGCGTCGACTTCGTTACGGAAATAGCCTGGGTCGATCTCCGGTGGTGCCAGGGGGTCAGAGGACTTGACGTGTACGGTACCACGGGATAAGGGGTGCTCGAGGCACATCAGCAGGGAGATTTGCTGTCTGCCCTCAGGCGGCGCCGAGAAGAATTGCGTTTGGTCGGAGCCTTTGGCGACGTCAAGCCGGCAGCCAATGCAGAAAGTTTGGAGATTTGCGAACTGAGGGTCGCTTAATTGATCGACGATGACCTAGATTCGCCGAGTTTTAGTGTCTTGTCCGAATTGACTGTTGGAATTATTGTACTCACCTTTTCTTGGGCCTTTTCAAAGTCTGTCTTTGCTAGAGATTTCTGCTTGATCTCCTTGATTGTGGTCTCCAATTCTTCCGGCGCCACGAGCGATGCGTATGAGACGAAGCCCATCATCATGCCGGGAGAGGCGTAAGGGCCCTTTGCTGTCTGCTCGTAGACATCTTGTTGCATCTTCATAAATTCTTCTCCATGAAGGGCATCAAGTGATGTGATACCTGGCTTCAGATAGTATAGTAGCCCTCCTAGAACATGGTCCTGGAAATTTGCTCCGACGCCCTTGTTCTCGACTACGCACTCGACCCCTGCGGCTCTCAGGACAACGGGATCTCCGATGCCGGACAGCTCGAGAAGCTGCGGACTTTGAATAACGCCAGCACATAATATCACTTCGCGAGTAGCATGCACGGTGTGCTTCTGACCATTGTGGACAAACTCGACTCCTTTGGCAGTGGTGCCGTCGAGTAAAATCCGCGTAGCTTGTGCTTCGGTCAGGACTTTGAGGTTGGGCCTATGAAGAATGGGTCGTAAATAGCCTGTAGCGGCATAAGATCGTTTACCTGGATCGTCGGTCCGATTCACAGCTCCCAGGCTAGAGTAAAAGCCCATGTGGTCGCCACTCCATGCATCATGAATGGTCTTTGAAGTGCCGGTCACAGCGTGCGCTGCTTCAACAAAGTCCACCTCGAAAGGCGAGTACCAGTCATTGAAGCTGGTGTGAATAGGACCTTTGTTGCCGTGGAACTTGTCGCCGCCTGCGGCAGGCATGAACTGAGGATCATCGTGTACAGGGGACTTGTCAAGAGTCTGGTGTTTGACGAAGTATGGAGCTAAACCTTCCCAACCCCAGCCTGGATTGCCCATGGACTCCCAGCCGTCTAGGTCACCACGACTTCCTCTCACATACATGAGGTAGTTGATTGCACTGCTTCCTCCGAGGACTTTGCCACGTGGCATTGAGTAAATCTTGTTGCCGGCATTTGGCTGTGGGATGCTAGTCATGCACCAGTCGTACTCCTCTCTGCCAATCTATGGATGGTTAAGTCTAGGTCAGTAGCTAGCTCAAACAGACTGATATGCGAGAAGACCAAGGACGTGACAAGTCTTAGACAGTCTGATCATTCTCTGACAGTCTCTTGTTTGCATTCAGAAGGTCGTCACTTACCAAGGTCGGATAAAGTGCTGGAGTTGAAACCTTTGGATCATCCATTCGATTCTGTCCAGCTTCCAGAACAGCCACTGTAATGGTCGGATCTTCTGTCAAGCGGGCGGCAATACACAGGCCTGCTGTTCCAGCACCAACTATGACGAAATCGTAAGTCTGAGAAACGAGCTCCTCGATGGTGCAAAGAGCATTGTGGGAAGTGCCATTCGCATGGCCATTGGTTCCGTTGGTAGTGGACATTTTGGGTGTCCCTGAATGCAGTAGTAACACTCGAAGCAAGGAGCAACAATAAGGGAAACGACAATATAGCCAACCAAGAGAACATCATCAACTCATTACCAACAGCGGCATGCTATACAAGTGCAGCACGGCCAGCCTCAGCTCGTCCCCCGCATTATGAATATCAAATTCCCGAGGGTGCCTTTTTGCGGGGTGGCTGCCAATCGGGTTGCTGTGCTTGAAGACCATCATAGCCTATAAGACCGACTAGAAGAGGAGAAGCAGCAGAGGGGGAGGTTAGCATTTCGGGATCATGGAGCGTGCCTCATTTATCACTGTCGGGGTAGTGCGTGTTAGGCACAAGATGAAGGAAACTGGTCGGTAGAGACTGGGTCATCGATGGAATGTCCAGTATCTCCATGAACCCAGGAAGCTGATGACTCTTGCGAAAGGACGTTCAGCACAGGATCAAGATGCGAGTTATTCATTGTTATGTCTCAGGTGATATGAACAGCAGTCGATGAAGTTGAATCTTGGGGCCAAAAATAGCCAACGCGTTGTCGGTTGAAAATGGCGTAGTTGACCGGCAACGATAGCGGGAAGCCATGTCAGCGCCATTGCAGTGGCTGAAGGGAAAGGGTCACTAAGCTTTGCCTCATGGGGATGCCCGTTCCGGGTGCATTATTGGCCTCTTCCAATTCCATGCCTTCTGAGTCTCTTTTTTCCCGAACAAATTCCATCGACAACGAAGACAGGTCGCATTGAAAATCTCAATTCTCATCTTCTTTTCATCCTCCATGTCTGGTCAACCAATCCCTCGCTTACCCTACCTTGATGCCGTCGAATGACATGGCGACATTGACACCTGGACGCACCGTGCATACCTCAGCTTATGACGGATCAGAGCGGACCGCAGCTCTGGGTGTCTCAGTCCGAATCCATCGCTTCCTTCTTGCCCAGGCGATTGAAGTGTTTTGTGGTCCCCTATGTCTCGAACTTTTGACGGACAGAGTCTCCGTACCGAATCCCTTGGGATTTTGATGCCCCAATAATGAGGTATGTCCACACCTACAGCCGCAAAGCGTTGCATGTGCATTTTCTGTTGGATATGTCGTCTTCCGCATATCGTGTCATACTGTGTTCGGTCTACCAAAAACAGCACCGCTTCCTTTTGACGTTTCATCACTTGCCCTGCATGGCGTTCTGTTGTCGTATCCACATGCTGTAACGCGGCGCGTCGTCGTCTATACAACCCACCACGCAATCTGAGAATCCGCACAATTGTAGATATATCTTGGCCCTTCTCCAGATGCTGCGCTGATCGCTCCCCGATCTCGACTTCTTTCTCCCAACATCCCACGCGGCCACTCCACGATAACCTTCGACAACGTCAGACAACAACAACCACCATCCCTCCATCTCCAGACAATCCACAATCTATAATATTTCAGGTACACCCACACTGCATACTTCTTGTGTGTGTCCGGGTCGGAATCTCCGGCTTCTGTCATCAGGATTCGTTGCCTACTTGTTCATCATATTCTAAGACCCTGCAACAAACTTCGTCAGCCGCCACTGCACGACCCCCAAAAAATTCTACATCAACATCGAGCAATATATTTGAGACGAAGGCTCCCTAGGATTTTTTTCTCCCGAACAATTCCCAAAGTCTCCATCCAGCGTGTCTCTGGCAGACATGTACAACTCACAATCATCAAATCGGTTCTATGCCAACTACGACCAAGGTGTGCAAAATTCTTCCGATCGGTCTTATAAACCATCAAAGCCCTCCCCACTATCATCGGCATCTTCCTCTCGGACCACCTCCACAGTCTCAGTCTCCCTCCAGCCCACGGAAGACATCGCAGAATGGGCACATGGAATACACCTGATACAAAACCGAAAGTACGAATGGTGTCAATCATGCCATTCTAAACCCTCGACGATACACATCCCTTCACAGAAAGTTTTGCAACAGCACATGATGAAGAATGGGCCCGGGCATGCGTATCAATGAAGACGACTTGTCTTGTGTTTTGGATGGAAATTTTCAGCGAGGCGTTGGCGGATTTCTGAGCGAAACTTCTTTGTTGTATCTTGACGACCTCATGATTGACGAACTTTTGTGTACAATATAGTGGGGTATAATGGCATGTTACTCCAGACCGGCAACGAGATAGAACTGGGATATAACTCTCAATGCCCGTTTGTGGCTCTCGTTTGCCCTGCCTTGAGCTTTTCGATCTGTTCACGAAACATGCTCTCGTATTCTTCTTGCCTAAATACCTGCATATTGTCAGCGAACTCCATCCATCACAGTCCGAGCATGAATCTTGATACCTTTGTCGCCTCAAGAGCACTAGGCTCACCCACTTCTGGATCGGCACCATTTTCCAGAAGAACCTTGATCACTTCGGCTTCATTCTTGAAGACCACACCGGCCAAGGGTGACTGGCCCCTGTCGTTCAGGCTGTTGGGGTCGGCCCCGTGCTTCAGCAGCAAGGAGACGAGTGGCGCATGGCCGTGGTAGGAGGCCAGCATTAACTTGAAAGATGCTGTGGTTAGATGAGACCGTAACAGCAAACCTACCTATCACTTACCAAGGTGTCGCCTTTGTCGTTGGTCAAGTTCGCCGGTAAGCCACGAGGCAGAGCTTGTTCAAACATGTCCATCTGGCCTTGTCTGGCCGCATCGAAGAATCTTGATGCTAATGCAATGGCCTCTGGGGGCAACTGATCGACGGACTGGGGAGCGCCGTTGGCTCCCATTGGAGGTGCAGAGTCCATATGTCGAGGTTACGGCGATGGATGGGGACAGGATACTTGTAGATGCCGGTAATCACAAACTAGGGATATTATATCGTCGTGAGATCAAAATGCCGCTACCTCCGGAAATGCATGTCACCTGTAGAAGAAGAGAGACAAAGAGCCAATGACGTCGACGACTGCTTCGCTAGGATGATACGGAGAATGTAAAAGTTGCTGACATTCTACGAGTATGCCTGTAGTAAGCTCGCGGTTTGCATCACTCATCGCAGCAAAGAGTCAGCAATAGGATTCTTCTCTTTTGCTGGAGGGCCCTCCTGATTATCCTTTTAATTATCAGCTCGAGGTACAAGGGGATTGTGAAGGCGACGAAAGGAAAGCGTTCAGTGACGCCTTCCACGTGACCCGAAGCCGTGGACGAGGCTGAGAATCTGGACTTTAGTTCAGCCGTCTCCCAATCAGGACGCGGCAGGTCAATTGCGTGATCGTTGCTCCCATGGTGTGATTGGGAATCTTCAACCAGATGGAGCTTTCTAGCAGACCAGCACAGCAAAAAGAGCTGTGAGAATTGTTTGGACCCCTCCATGGCCCGCTGATGCAATCATGCTCCACGCCATGCTATTCGCAGGCCTCGAGGAAATTTACCCTGGTGCAGGGCTCCAGTCCCCGAGCCGACGAGAAAAAGATTTGTCGCCGCCGCTTGCGCCAGACTGCTACAAACATACGAAATCGAGCCATACTTATATCTACCTCGCTGCCCCTCTCTGTGACCTGATACCACTCTCGTCCTCATTGCTCTAACAGAATCCTACCTGCTATCCCGTCGCAGTACCAAAGCACCTTTCCATAACCGAACGACATATAACACATTCACAATGGCATCCTCCGACCGTCCTGAGCCGTACGTTCTACACTCTCTGCCTTGTGGCAAGCGAACAAGCTTTCCAGCATAATCATTACTGACACGAGCCATGCTGCAGTCTCCGTCTCGGTTCAATCGCGCCCAACTTCAAGGCCGAAACCACCAAAGGCTCCATTGACTTTCATGAGTTCATCGGCGATAACTGGGTCGTCCTTTTCTGTAAGAGCATCGCAATTATGAGAGAGACATGAGGCTGACCATATCCTGCAGCGCATCCCGAAGACTTTACCCCAGGTTCGTGCTCGAAGCCTCCCCTCACCCACCTGTTCCAGAAAGAGCAAGTCGAAGGCGACATTGGAGAGAACACACGAGATGAGATGGATGCGCAGTGATTTTTCAGATGCTGACCACTACTAGTGTGCACCACTGAACTAGGAGCTTTCGCCAAGTTGGAGCCTGAGTTCACAAAGAGAGGCGTCAAGTTGATCGGTCTGTCCGCCAACACCATCGACAGCCACGGCGACTGGATCAAGGACATCAACGAGATCAGCAACACCAGCTTGAACTTCCCCATCATCGGAGACAAGCAGAGACAGGTCGCTTTGTCATATGACATGCTGGATCGTCAAGATGCGACCAACGTGGACTCGAAGGGCATTGCTTTCACTATCCGATCCGTCTTCATTATTGACCCCAAGAAGACCATCCGAACCATCCTCTCCTACCCTGCTTCGACCGGTCGCAACACCGCTGAGGTGCTCCGAATCGTCGACTCTCTGCAGACTGGCGACAAGCACAAGGTCACCACCCCGATCAACTGGGTGCCAGGTGATGATGTGATTGTTCACCCATCCGTCAAGACCGAGCAGGCCAAGGAGATTTATCCCGACTTGAAGATCATCCGACCATACCTGCGGATTACTCCTCTGCCCAAGGAGAAGACCAGCGCTGCTGTCTAAATGTCGAATGTGAGAATTGACCTTCACTCAGCGATTGTGAACTGGATCTCCTGACATATGGGTATCTGGCAAGCACGAGCAAGAATATCATGTAGACGAATCAAGGTGTTGCAGGTCAAAAATAATACATCTTGTCCAGTATATGGGCGCATATGCGGCGCTTCTTGTAGAGACATTTGCACGTGCTCCGATTTTGTCAATATGTCAATCTGGCATCGCGACACTTTTTGTATTCGCAATGCATAAGCCACTGAAGACCCTCATGCATTCACCACCAGCATCGACCATGCTCTGACATGTCAATGCGCTAGGTCTCAATCCTTGACCCATGTCCGTCTTCAGGTACATGATCTCGCATTTGCCTTGTCTGGTGCATCCTGCAGCTGCTGCCAGGAGCCGGCTTGGCATCGATCTTCTGCATGAAGCCTGTCTGGACCTTTTGGGGCACGACCTCGCTACACAAACCGCGTATTTTAATTCTCCTAACACCCAAAGTCTGCGTCGTACAGATCGCTTGAGTCCCCTCTGTCGGCCTCGGTTGAGCTTTACGCAAAGCTCAAAGATTGAGACACACGCGGCCACCGACAGAGGTATCTCCCTCGCTTACCGCCCCTATTTCTGACCGCCACGGGAGTGATACCAACCCGACGACCAGCTACGGCCAGAAAGTGTGATCCCGAGACAAGTTCTTTGTCGGTCGGTAAGCTCCCTTAATTCTCGTCCTGCGTCCTCTGCGGTGTCCCCTTCACCGATTCTGAACTCGGCTGCCTGCGGTCGTCATTGACGAGTGAGCTCGTGTTCGTCTTTCACCCACTGCAGTCGCAACACCCGGAGGTTAGTGACATGCTCAGTCATGTCCCATCTCAAATGTCACCATTCTATTCCCTCCAGTTTCTTGTCAATGTCTGCCATTTTATTTGACCCTGTCGTTGCTCCAAAAGAGATATCCTGCCCTTCAAAAGGTTGTTGGGCTCAGCTGACTAGCATGGGCAGGTTTCGACAAAAAAGTCCGGGAAAGCAAGGAGCGGTTCCTTTGCTGGGTGGCACACGCTTCTTGAGCTCGTATCTCGATCCTCCGTCACCAGAGGAGTTGAGCTGGCCACCAACTCCGCCATCGGCCACAGATAGCGGCCCTAGATCAATCCTCAACTCCTTCACACTCTGGCCAAACTCATCAGTCCGTTCAGTACCAGATCGGAAGACGGTCACCGGCAGACCTAGGCACATTCCAATTGACATTATCAAGTACCAACCGGTAAAGGCATCCACACATGATATCTTGCCGGATACCGCTACAAAGCCTCCCACCTCCACACGCTTGCCACGGTATGTGCCTATTATAATCCCACAGTTTGCAAATCCGTTTGCGCACGAACTCCGGTCTACGGCGTCGACTTCCGACATCGACAGCCAAATTTTCTATCCAAGTCCGACGACACCTATTCTGAGGCGCAAATCCAAGAGCTTGAAATCGACCGATGACGCCAGCACAAACCGACCTGCAACAACTTTTGACATTGACGGTGCCTTTAGGCCGATCGCTGAAGAGAAAGCTCCAGCCATGAATAACAGCCAGGTGAGCCTCACTGCGTCTGAGGCAAGCAGTGAGGCCCCAAATGGTGCTTCTCATTCTGTCAATGGCTCCAGTGGGAATATTGGGATTACGCCGGGAGTGTCCCAGCAAGGCACCGCACCAACAAATCTATCAGGATTAGTCTGCAACCTGCACCGGACGACGGGAGAAGAGCCGCATCCCTTGGTCGGTGCGACAACAACCATTCTCGGCGACATGTTGTATGTGTTTGGCGGTCGAATACACTCGCGAACAAAGCCTCAATTGACCTCGGACCTCTACGAGCTCGACCTCATCCATCGTCATTGGACCAAAATCGACGCACTGGGCGATATACCTCCGCCTCGTTATTTCCACAGTGTTTGCGGCCTCGGCGATTCCAAGCTAGTCTGCTATGGTGGAATGTCGCCCGCTACGCAAAACAAAAATGCTACGAATGCAGAACCCCAGCCCGAAGTCGTAGTGATGTCGGACATCCATGTCTTTGACGTGCCGACGCGAAAATGGATGCTCATTTCGGCGTCTGACAATCCTCAAGGACGATATGCCCACTGTGCTGCGATATTGCCATCGTCTGCAGTATTTACATCGGCAAATGCCCCACTTTCGGCCATACAACATAATCCGTCATCCTCCGACCCTCACTCCGGGACCCTGGGCGTGCAGCTCGATGGGACTGGTGGTGCCGAGATGATTGTTGTGGGCGGTCAAGACAGCAGCAACAACTACATTGAGCAGATCAGCGTTTTCAACCTTCGAAGCTTGAAATGGACAAACACTACGGCATGGGATCGAAAGTGCGGAGCATACAAGAGTATGGTGGCGCCAATGACAGGGATATCTGCTGAGCTTGTGGGACGAGGGATCCCACTGAATGACACTTCCTCTGCAAAGCAGGGGACTTCGATGCTGATATACTCAAATTACAATTTTCTAGACGTCAAGCTGGAGCTTCAGATACGTCTACCGGACGGATCTCTAGTGGAGAAGCCGATGACTGGCTCTGTGTCGCCGCCGGGTCTGCGATTTCCGAATGGAGGAATCATCGATGGTCATTTTGTGGTCAGCGGCACTTACCTGACCTCGTCCAAGCACGAGTACGCTCTATGGGCACTGGACCTGAAGACATCGACTTGGGCGCGTATCGACACGAACGGCTCGATCTTCTCCCAGGGAAGTTGGAACAGAGGAATTCTGTGGAACAGGCGGAATACCTTTGTCATCCTGGGCCACCGCAAACGCAGTCTGGTGGACGACTATAACCACCGCCGCATCAATTTCAGCCACGTGTGCATGGTAGAGCTGGAAGCATTTGGGCTCTACGACAACCCGAGAAGAGAGGCTCCTACGTCGTCGTACGTATCTGTTTCGGCGCCAGTGGTGCCCTCGTCGCTGCAAGCAAGTCTAGCCACGCAATTGGCAGGTGGACGGCCATACAACAGCAAGGCCGACCAACTCGGTCAAGCGGCATTGAGTCTCACTGAGCTCTCAGACATGGAAATCGTGGCACTAGGAGGCGAGAAGATCCCGTGCAATTCATTTATCCTCTCGCGGCGTTGGGGGCCTTTCTTCAACCAGCTTCTGGCCGAATCGGCGTCGACGCACGAAAGCGCTAGTTTTTCAGATGCCGCCACTCTACGACCCAACGCTGCTCGATCACAAGCAAGTCGAAACTCTTCGGTCACCATCACGCCTAGTCTATCCACGCTTGTAGGAGGATCCGGGTCCGCAGCTGGTTCTGGGACTGGTGTTGACGGGATACTCGACCCGCAACGCTCGTTGAGTCGATTAACGACCAGAACTCTAGTGGAATTGCCAAATCCGACGACACTCCCGGCATCGAGTCGACCTCGCTCGCTATATCTACCTCACATGGCGCCGACGATTCATCTGCTTTTGCACTTTCTGTACACGTCATCCCTGCCACCTGTTGGGTCGGCGTTGTGTACGCCGCACTCACTCTGCTCACTCTTGCAGATGGCGCGTCCGTACCAGGTCGACGGCCTGCTCGAGGCGACGGTAGAACGACTCCACGAAGCCCTAGACGGGCGCAATTCTGCCGCGGTCTTCAATGCAGCGGCCATGGCGGCAGGCGGCGGACGTGGGCTCGTCGGTGCTGTAGGAGGTAGTCTCGCTGCTTTGGGCCGAAGGGAGAGCGAAGCTACCACAGTCGTCGGCGAGCAGAGTCTTGCAGGTAAAGCGGCAGGGCTCAAGCTCACGACGAGTTATGAGGAGTCGAGGAAGAGAGGACACGGAAAGACGAATTCGGTGGACTCGTCTTCGACCACGACTTCGGCTTCAACGTCGACTGATGTGTCCCATACGGATACCGAAAGTTCCCAGCGCGAAGATAGCGCTGATCGGTATCGCTCTGGGAAGGGGGAGCGGGAGAAAGAGAGGGAGGCACGAGAGATGTGGACGGGAAGTGTGAGTTCGGTGATTGGACTCCAGAAACGAGGCTTGAGAGGACTGATGGAGGGACGACGTCTGAGGGAGAGAGCGAATACTGGGCCTGAATGAATGAATGAGAATTGACGGGTAACGGGCCTACATAAAGTGTCAGTGAGACAATTGTCCGTAACTGTGATGGATTTTCTGAGCAATCTCCTGGTTTCCTCTCGTTCGATTTCTTGCCCGTAGTGTTTCGGTAGAAGGGTGCCGGAAAAGCTACGACTAAAGAGGTTCTTCAATTAGGTCCAAACATTGGCTTATGATGCCGATATACCGTCTCCACTGCTGGGAGGATTCAGCTGCATTATCGCCTGCTCCTAGTCCATGGTTACTATGAGATGAAAGGCAGGATTCGTTGGCCCAAGATACGTTTCCTTAGGGATCCGAGTCCCACGAAGCGTCTCCAAGAGCCGGCTCCTGATCCGACTCCCACACACGTCTCTTCTGGCACGTCTCCTAACGCGTCTCCTTGATCCGGCTCCCACGGGGTCCGTCTCTTCAGAGTCGGCTCCTTACACGTCTCCTAGACGCGTCTCCCTAAGCGGCTCCCAGAAGATCCAACTCCCAACGGCTCCCTTAACGGCACACAAGAGATCCGGCTCTCTAAGCGGCTCACAAGAGATCCGGCTCTCTAAGCGGCTCCTAGTGTTTGACTCCCACGATCCGGCTTTTAACGCGTCTCCTAAGATTCGTCTCCCACAACAGCTCCCAAGAGATCCGTCTCCCAAGAGATCCGTCTCCCAAGAGATCCGTCTCCCAAGAGATTCGGCTCTCAAAGGATCCGACTGCTAGGAGCCGGCTCCGTGATTCGACTCCAAGAGATCTGGCTCCTTAAACCGTCGCCCAGATCCGTCTCTCAGACTCGTCTCTTATATTCACCTGTTTTCAGATACGGCTCCGCTAGCAGTCCCCGAATGCTTCTCCGAGATCTGGCGCCTAAGCTGAATCTATTAAGATTCGTGTCTCAAGACGTCCAGCTCTCACGCACGACGCTTGGATACACCTTCCTGATGCATCTCCCCCGTACGTTCCCCTTCGGTTTCTGACCGATTAGAGTGTAAAGGAGTCGATGTTCGGCATCGTCGGACCGGGTCGACTGTACTGATGCGAGGACGCCTCTCTCCAAACCGAGGATCTGCTAAAATTCGTCTGCTCCACTCCTCAAGGCGTCTGCTCCGCTCTTCGAGGTGTCTGCTCGTCCCCTGAAAGCGTCTTTTCATAGATTGCGAATCGGTAGAATGTAGATGGGTTGATATGCGCTCTCTTCGCACCGGTTTTGGTCCCGATCCTGGTTCGGTTGGAGAGATTGTAGGTTTAGGCCTGCCCTAGGGCTCGTGCTTTTCCGTTTGCTCACGATTTCGCTTTCTCTTCCTCGCCCTCTCATGGTCGGTCTGTGCCATTCTCTCCTTCGTGTTCCTTGCAATTGTATGGACTGGGGCTGCCAGTCTCCGCGGAGCCTGTGTCAGCGTAGAGATTGGCGTATCGCGCTCAGCGTCTTGGGGCCTGTCAGGACCACTAGAATCACGTTTTGGTGCCGAGGCGCTTAACGCGAGACTATAGACCACTTCAACAGGTGGTTAAAATCAGTGGGACATTCAGACTTACCTTGCGTTCTCAAGGGCAGCGAAGCTGCGAAATGACGAATCGGATGTCGAGGAGGACGGCGAGAGCAGCCGCAAAAAGGCTGGGGCGCGAGTCAGTACGTCTTTCTTTGGGCGCCGTAGGCGATCGTACAATACTCCCAGGACTTATCAACAAGACTCATGGATTCTTGCGCAGGATCCGGGGTTGGATGGAGGGCGAGTTTGATAAGGTTGTGATCGGACTAGTGCGCCTCTTCGTCAGCCACAAACAACCGTCGGGAACACAGATAGATGCAAAGACCCCACTCGATTTGGTCCTCATATTCAGCTGGCGTGGTGCGCGGCTCGGTTGTGGTGCAAGATTGGACGTTCGGCTCGATGGTCCGTTGTTCGGCGGTTGTATGGAAGGAGGCGCTGTGGCAGGATTGGCTTTGTAAACAACATTGAGGTTACTGGGCGTGTGGCCTCTTGAGGCTAATCGGAGACCGGGGATAAAACCTAAGTCGGCAATCGCAATCAGAAAAGTCGACCGACAAGAGTACTGTGTCGCTCACGTACATGATTGTACCACGCTGAAGAGGGTGGCGCCAGTGGGGTCTAGACGCTCAACAGCATCCATTGCATCGTCCAATTCCTAAGTATCTGATCAGATAAAGATGTTGGCCAGTGGGTATGGAGGGATAGCCGCGTACCGCGAGTAGTTCCTGTCGTGTCGGAGGTCGTGCAGGGAGTTCTTCCGTCATCTTGAGGCAGTGGGTATGCTGTCCTGTCGCACACAGTACAGGTGAGTTTCCAAGAGAGAGAAAGCGGGTTCACTAATGGCACCAGCGCTGGGGAAATCCGGGGAACGTGAAGTGACTGAAGTTAAAAAGAAGGGGGGAAAACAAGGCTTCAAGCGACAAGCGCCTGTTCCACCTCCCATGATGCGTGTCCCAGACGCGTAAGGTTGCCAACCACCTTGCCGCCACCCCCACCTTGTCGCCAATCGCATTTTGATGTCCTTCCTACCCACCTGTCAACTAAACTCTCATATATATCAACCAATTGCCCTCGCCGTCTCTATTTAAGATGGATAGGGCATCACGGGCCCTTGATCTCTTTCAGGAAGGCCGTTTCCGCAACGTATCGCAAGCCGCAAAGTGTATAACCACACTACGATCGACGATCCGTAATAGGCGCGACGGTCGCGTACCACGCGGTTTAGAAGAGCAAAAAAATACTAGGTTATTAAGGACATAAGAGGAGGTCTTATATCAATATATAAAGGACTCTTAGCTATAATACTCGCTCGTTAATACTACCTAATTATCTATTATCGCGCAAGCACTAGCGCGTTAAAGAGAGCCTAATACGCGCCTCGGCAAGAACTAGATTTCAAGATTCTTGAATCGATATCCTGATCTTAAGCGTAGTCGTAATAGGTCTTTCGAATAAAGCCGTATAATAGCGGCTATCCCTAGTATACTCGAGGGCTAGTTTTAGTACCTTGACGAGACTATTTCACGCTATAATATACGTCCGGAGGACCTCTAGAATATAGACGAGATCGGCTTTCAAATGAGTCACTTATAGAAAGAGTCTATAATCTTTAATCGACGTATAGGACCTCCGATATCAATTGCTAGTGGATCTACGAGTTGGGTTTCGATTATAGAGGCGATCTCTACCGTTAGCGATACGATACGATCTCTTATTATTTATCGCGGCAAATTACACTATTAACTACTTAATTATTAGTTCCTACCGTTAAACGAGTGCCCTAACTAGTATTGAGGCTTTATAGAGAAGGGCTAGACTAATAACGACTATACGCTCGAGTAGTTAACGATAGTATTTATCCTATAGTCTCGACGAGGACGTTATAAAGACAATACCTCTTACTAGCGAATACTTATCCTTAATAACTACGATAGTTACACTATAGGGGTATTTATCGTAGAGTATATTATAAATTAAATTCTATTGATTTATCTCTTACCTTACACCTCTTATCTTTATTAACCGTACGATTTAGGGCTATTTAGTTAGCTAAAGATATTCTACTTAAAACACCTTAAGAGCTATATTACCGCGGGCGATACGTAAGTAAATCGTACTTAATTTAATCTACTATATTAACTTACACGGGAATTAGGTATAACAACTTAATATATTAATACGAGTTAGCGCCGTAGTGGCCTTTAGCCTATCAACGTCAGAAAAGTACTCGATATACCTTAAGTTTCATAATATCGACACACTACGCTAAAGATCTTACCTCCTAAACGGCCTTATAGTTACCCCCTACGAGATACGCACGAGTATAGTAAGATAAACGAGGAACTAGCGGTAAGATTAAGTCGATTTGGCAAGGCTATTATACGATAACTAAATAGAGCTTACTACGAGGTCTCTAGCGCTTATCAAGTACTGTTAACTAAGCTTTCAACTATTAGGAAATACGTGCTAGAGGACGAGGAGCGAGCCGTATCAAAGAGACTTAAAAAGCAAGATGAAAAGCGTATCTAGGATACGATCGAAGTCATATAGGGTAGGGGGTACACAAAGGAAGATACGGCAGTATTATTAAGCGCACTGCCTAGCAGAGATATCATCTACGATATGGATAACTCGGCAGGTTCATAGGCAATCCCCATACAAAGTTATAGACTCTCCATCGTCAGGATGCATGAGTGGCTACCCTTTGCTACAACAATATACGAATTCATAAAATTGGCGACAAGGTGGGGGTGGCGGCAAGGTGGTTGGCAACCTTACCCCTGGCGCGTTCCGTGGGGGTTGCCGGGCACCTGAAAAAACCTGGACTTTGCCCTAACTTTTTTTCAGAACTTCAGCTGCTACGACCGGTCTCCTCGGCCCATGTCGCATACCGCCTGTACTCTTCATCCTGCATCAAGATCTTCATGGATTTCCTCGTCAAGCTTATCGCCACGTCCAATCCACCTTGCCGGCCACTAGTCCCTGCATCTTGGGCCTTCCACTTCCGGCCGAAAGCTGGCAACACGACAATAGCGCCGTCAAGGCCTTCATTGTGCACATGTCGCACTGTTTCGAACCTGATCTTAGTGGAAGATCTGCGAGTCGCATCGCGGTAGTATGAATGGTAGGTACGTCATGATGAAGGTGAAGACTTTGATGAGGATCAGAAGCACAATGGGTGGGAAGTCCATCCCGGCCCACACGCGCCTGCCGCCTGGAACATGAAGAAGATCTGGGTGACCAAGCTGAGGGGCCGTGATGGCGGCGAGAGTGTGGGTCAACTGCTGTCGATGCCCCATTTTGATCGTGCAACTGGAAAAGAGACTGCTCAGATCCATGTGCAGGTCACTTTTCATGTCGGTGGTCGTGGTCATGAGACGGGCTCTCTCGAACCATGCTTCAACCAGTCTGGCGGTACTGCTGGCTCCTGCGATCCAGTGGTGGATATGCACATGTACCACGAATCCGCCATCGATAAAGGTCAACTGCACCCAGAGGGCTGGGATTCCCTTTGCTGCATCTGGTGGAGGAGCTGTGACACCCGGTTCAAAGATAGTAGGTTTCAGCGGTTGAGGAGGGAAGCCTTGGTCGGGCTTCAGGTCGCTGAAGCGAGCCTGTGAAGATCGGTCTTTGACGATGAACGGCACCGAAGAAGAATGAGATACTTTCACTGTGAGATATCCTGTGCCGGGGTCTTCGTAGATCGTGCCCAGAAGTTCCGGAAGATTGTAGGCCGATGGCCCAGCTGACTGAAAGAATGTTGCGAGAGACTGGCTCAGTGTTCTTCCCAACTCCGACTTCTCCGAGTCGTTTAGCTGTGCAGAGAATATGTACAAGTAAGCACTGTCCAGCTGCACCATGAAACTGTCCGCAACGGTAAGGGCATAGAATGCTCTGAAAGGCCTGGAGGGCTGCAGCTGGTAGGTCACATCAACAGCCATAGCGTGCCGTAGGACTAGCTAGAGCCGATTCCGGTATGCAAATCGAGCCCGTCCAGAAGAGGAGCCGATGAAGCTTCTACTGCAACCAGGAAAGTAAGAAAGGACAAATGGGGATAATGCTGAAGAATCAGATGCCCCGTGAGCGGTATGATAGTGGCATGACTCGTTTCGATGTGACACAGCCACTCGATGTCCGTCGTGCTTATGGGAGAGGTCCACTACATTAACAATGCCTCGGCAGTCTGGTCAACGGAAACGTGCCGACTTGTCAATGTTCTCACTTTTGATGAAGTCGTACTTCACATACTAGACCCGAATCATAGAGGTGAACGATAGATATGGTGGTCACTGCAGATCATCCAAGCATCCGAACGGCAGACACCCGTGGCGCAATGTATAGCAGTGAAATATCGACGTCATGCGTTAGGCCGCCCACAACATCTGGGGAAAGCTCCACTGGGCTTCGCAAGTTGAAAGCTTGAATGAGTCAAGCGTTATAGGCCCATCTGGTACGTACGAAAGCTATGAACTAACCTCAGGACTAGTGTATCTCTTTGTTCACGTCGCTTGATTGTTGTCCACTGGTAATCTGGGGGACCAGCCTTGTTAGCTAATCAGAGCATGAGTCGCGTATATGGGGTGCTGCGCTTGATGCAGCCGGCATCCTCGTACGCAAGGGTGATCTGGCGTCGCAACTGGTTCAGTATGAAGATCCTCGTTGCACATCTGTTGACAGGGACGTCATCAAGTTTTGAGACCCCATGGACACGAAGTATCTCAATGCCCCAAGGCATGATAAGAAGAGAGTATGTGCAGCATTTCCTTCAGAGCCCAGAGACTTCTTGAACATACACTCCCCTACCGTCTTCCTCCCCCCTGAACAGAAATGCACGTCATCAGCTACGCCTCCAAAGCCGTCACGGCAGGGATTGGCGTCGCCTCAGAGGCGGTTGTTGAGATCAAGAATCGACGAAAATCTTCTGTAGATCAGCAAAATGGTCACTGTGAAGGTGACGACAAAGACCTCAAGGACGACAGCGAGAGTGACATGGATATTGACGAAGAAGAATGGACACTAGATGAAGCTGCTACCGAGTTTCAAGGCTTTGAGCCACAGCAGAGCCCGGACGATAAGATGGGGCCAGACGCCGATGACAAGAGTGCAGCTTTCCTTGTTGCCAATCACAGCGTCCCCAAGGCTGGCGAGACGCACACACGTCTGCCACAACCGGTCATTCTACCACAACGACGACCAAAGTCTGCAGCACGAGGTTTCATCCGCGCCTACGCACCCGTCCTCGAGTCTGCAGGGATCGACCAACAACTGTTCATGGGACTTCCTCAACAGTTTTGACAAGGCTTCGAAGGCCTCTCCTGTCTTCGATGTCGTCAACCTTGCTGCCCTGGGAGTGGGCTTGATTCCCAGCCCGATTACTGGACTGACCATGGGCGTGTCGATAGCCATTCAGTTTGCCAGCAACACTGGCAAAGAGCTCCAGTCGAGAGTTCGACGCAACACATACCTTGACACGGTGAATCGAGAGCTGTTCATGCCGCGTGGACTCTACTGCATGATCATGGCGTTCAAACCTGACAGTCCTTATGACCCTATCCTTGGACTCAACATCAATGCCAGGGCGTCGGACGGGGTCCTTACTGCAGCAGATGCAACTCCAGATGGAGATCAATACGCCGCCTCTGACACTCTTGTGAAAGAGCTGTCTCCAACCCAAACCCCTAAGATCAGATCGAGAATGAAGAAACTACGGCTGAACGCTGGCACCACCACCGGAGAAGCCTCTCTCCCCGAAGGTGCACCTCTGGTATATCCCGCACTTGAGACTGCCGACGGTACACCTTTGGGAAAGAAAGGATCGAATGGTATCAGAACCACGGCTGCGTTCCTCGATTCGTACCTTGATCGACGTGCACAAGCACGCTGGGCAGCTCAGCATCCAGACAGCCAGCTTGCGAGCATGAACCCGCCGTCGGAGAAGAAGTTTGTGAACCGCTTCTCCGATCCCAATCACCCCATCCACAGTGGTACCATCATCGGACCACTGACCGGCGGAAAATGGGACCCCGTCGCTGATCTTAGGGCCAAACGCGCCATACGGCGTGCTCGACGCAGAGGCGTAGAGTTGAGTGAGGCGGAAATATGGAATGCACGCATGGGAAGGTCAACGGCGACTGGAGTCGTCGGGAGAATCTTGCAGAGAGACGTCTTGTACATGATTGTGACGAACCTGCCGACCGAGGCTGAGATGAGAGCTGCTAACGAGAGTCTGGAGGAGGTCAAAGCCAGAGGGGAAATCTCGCAGCCGCAATGAAACATAGGCACTGAGGAGATAGTCGTAGACGTACATGGTAAGACTAAAGCCCTCGACGTACGGGGTAGGTCATCGTACTGTACATACTGTACCTGTATCTAAAGTCTAAAGTATATCCACAGCGGGAAATCGACCCACTGCTGCAGAAACATAAAGCTAGCGGATATCGAGGTTAACCTGCGAGTAATGCTCCAGACGTACGAGGTGTTCGTTGTCCGTAGCCGACCACGTTCCTGACAATCACACTTACATCGTACCATGTGTCCATGACCAATAGCTGTGGAAACGTGTGGTCGGCCTGATTGTACCCCAGGCTGGCCATATGAAGCAACATCCATAATGGGTCAGGACTCAGGAGAACGGCCTATGACCAGCCACTATTAAGGCCCATTCCACTGCAAACCCCGTTCTTGACCGCACTATTGCCCATGCGGTCAACCGTCTTGCGAAGTCAGACTGGTGATCATAACGGCAAGACCTCAGGAGTTGTCAGTACCTATGACATAAAGCAGCTCGGAGGAGACGGTCAACTCTTTCTCCGAAGTGTATAAAGAGCTGCAGGAGGCCCTTGGACATTTGTAATTCCATCCAACTCACCTGAAAACAAGTCAGCACCAAGCACCTCATAAACTCTTTCAACCTTCTCACCATCAATCGCCAGGCGTCTCTCTTCAGCCATTGTCTCTCTTGTTGCGCTCGCCACCACCTCACTGGCAACCCCAATTGTCGAGCGTGCGACTCTGCCAACGACACTGAACCTGCCTTTCAACTTCACATACCTGTTCACGGCCACCCTTGAAATCGGCAAACCATCCAACTACATCGCAATCGAGGGTGGAGTTCTGGTCAATGAACCTATCGTCTCCGGCACCATCACCGGCCCAGCCGTCAATGGAACCATCCAAGGTGGCTTTGCCCACCCTGCCGTATACAATAGCTCCTTGCAAGTCCCGGGCATCGACCTTTACGGCGTTACCAACGACAACTCGTCGTTCTATATTCATGAGACAGGCATAGGGTTGACGTATGAGCAAGTCACTCGTATTGTAAGAAAATTGTTTCCTCTGCGAAGTCAAGATCGTAACTGACCCCGAGGCTATGTAGGAGCTGTACGTCGGTGAGAGCAAATACAGCAGTCTGAGCAATGGCTTCATTCTTGCCACTGTCAACCCAATCTCGAACCGTACCTTGGCCTATGTGGAGGGTTACCTGGTGCAGAACACTCGCGGTCAGGTGTCGTGAAGGAAGAGGAACATGCAGAGTGAGGGAGAGCTGTACATACTCTTCAGTACTTATCGTCATTGTACATATCCCGTTGGCCACAGGACGCCACAAACGCAAGCATCATGCAGAATAACGTGACTCCTAGCCTCACGTGGGGAGGAGTTGCTGTGTCACCTGTATTCTACTTACGGAAATTGGGCGCCTTGAAAGCTGATGTCTATCAGCCTGATTCTTTCTACTGTGGTTCTCCGCCACCAGAAGCCCTTTTCTTGTTCATGCATACCTCATCGACCATAATCACCAGTCTGAGCTTGCTGAGCTCTTTCTCGTCAATGTACACTCGAACGCGTTTATGATTCGATCAACATGCATGTTGGTTCTTTCCTGCTGACGGGTCTGACGCCGATATTCGGGAAATATGAGTTGTTATCTCAATGTGCATGGTGGATTCGACTGTTGTTCCTCACCGTCTTTGCCTTGACGATGGTCCCGCTCATACTTACTGCTTGGGCACTTGTTGCTTATGGGGAAAGAGGTCCGGATCGTCGTCTCAGTTGTACCGAAAGACTGGGCATCGAAGGATTTGAGGGAAATTCCGATTTTTATGGCCTGGGCGTTCGACTGGGCCTCTACCTTCAATGGCTGTCAAGCTTGATTGCGAATCCCTTTCTGCATGGCGAGCGGCGAAGTATGGCCGGCGCATATCTTGCATCTTCGCTTGCGCTGACAATAGCGCTATTTATACTCGTTCTTCGACCTGAGTGCGTTTTCACGGCGGAAATCATGGTCATGTTGAACATCATCTGGGGCGGGACGTTTCAGGTAATGTCGCCATCCATAGCCGAGTTCACACATCGAAAAGATTTTGTCATGGATGGAATACAAGTCGCCTTGATGCTCGTCAACGGGAGTGTCATAAGCTTGTCAGCCTGGTTTTGGGTACGAATGGCGTCGGTTGGGGAGACTGACTTTGTGGCCACTCCTGGTGGAACCTCCTACTTCCTCTTCTCACATGTCAGAGGAGGAGACCTGGGTACTGCCAGCCGATTCATGGCATTTCTGAGTATCTGGTCGTTCTCCACCCCAGTGTTGGCTATACCCATCTATGCTGTACACAAGGCTGGGCTCGTAACATTGGCGTCGGTCCTGGCTTTGCTCACGGTACAAGGTTTCAGTCGTATGGCTGGATTGGTCTATGCGTGGATCTTCGGAGCCATACTCGGGGTGGTCCCTCCGTACATTGCTTATTTCACACATACGGTCGATAAGTGGCTCGCATTCCGGAAGGACATGAATCTTGGCAACTGGTGAATTCATTGAAGTCCGTTTGTGTCAGAACCGTGCTGATGGCTCTCAATAGGATTGTTGCGGGCGAAATGTTTCTCTTTTTCATATATTCAGTACTGAGCATTGAGCTCATCATAGCATGGAATGGGATCTCGGAAGTGAATGGTATCGATAGCACCAGCCAGATCATACTATTTGTCCTGGGGCTTGGACTCTTCACGAATGTCATCTGGAAAATGGCACGCAAAGAGAAGGTAAGACCGTAGCAGCTTGAATATCTTGGTCTACCACTCACCTACGCATCGTAGGAAGCTGATGTTGCAGAGTCTGGCACCGCTTTTCAGCAAGCTGATTCGACCTGGCAATAGTCATGAGAAAGTGAGTACAATACCCAGGACTCACTTATGATGTGCATGAAGGTCTTCGGCGTTTTTGTACGCGTTGGCAGTGAAGGAGCAGGTCAGGACTCAGAAGGGGCTTTTTGCTTGTCCTTGCATCGGCATGTTTGTTGATGGCCCGGATTTGCACATGGGAAATGCCTCGGCACATTTGTCCATGTCCATGTCATTCAGCCGCAACATGGCCATATGCCACCGATCATCTGACCCGGTAACCACGAATAGGAACAAAGATATTGATGGCTTAGGCGTCATTAAGCATTTCCGGGGTTGCAATTTCGTGGAGGAGCGTGACCACCGACGCAGACTCGAGCACTGTGCGCAGGCAATTCGGCGCCCGTCATCACTATTATTGACTTACTGGAGAGGTGCTTTTTGTGGCATGTGAAAGTCCATTCATATTGATTGCCCTTACACAAAGAGCACTCACTCCTTGCGCTCCACCAACTCTTCTTACTCCTTCCTACTACTAGCACCTCAATTACTTGATTCAATTCTCCTTCTGGATTGTACTTCTAGTCTTGTGTGCATTTAGACAACTTTCAATTCTATCCGCATCTTCCGACATTCAAGCGCCCATCATGTCCAAAACATTCTCCATAGCCGATGTGGCATCCCACAACAAAGCAGACAACCTGTACATTGTGGTCGATGAAGATGTCTATGACTTGACCAAGTTTCAGGACGAGCATCCAGGTACATTTCTATGCGTCGAAAGACACAAAAGCCAAGTACTAATGTGATCGCAGGTGGAAAGAAGAGTGAGTTCAGGCTCCCCATGATCCGGATCAGCTCGACCGATTGACCCTAACACAACCGACAGTCCTTCAGCGAGTGGCTGGCAAAGACGCCTCGAAACAGTTCTGGAAATACCACAACGAAGGCATCCTCAAAAAGTATAAGGCGAAGTTGCAGGTCGGATCATTAGACACCAAGAAGACTGCCGCACCAGCTACCCCTCCGGCTACACCTCCGGCGCAAGAAAAGAAGGAGAAAGTCGTGCCCCAGGCCGAATCTGGGACAGTCGCCCCTGCGCCTGGCCCGCTAGCCCAGGAAGAAGCTGAGGCACAGGATCCCTTTGGTGACCTCATTCCCTTTGGCGACCCAAGCTGGTATCAGGGTGTAAGCAGAGAGTCAAAGTATTACTGTCCTTTTCTGACCGAAACCTAGCACCATTCCCCCTACTACAACGAAACCCACGCTGCGCTCCGTGCTGAAGTCCGAGAATGGGTCGAATCCGAGATCGAACCGTATGTGACCGAATGGGACGAGGCCAAGAAAGTCCCAGACACCATCTACAAACAAATGGGTGAACGAGGCTACCTCGCTGGTCTAATGGGCGTGAAATACCCGAAGAACTTGGCAAAGAATACCGTCAAGAGCGTGCCACCGGAGAAGTGGGATCTCTTCCACGAAATGCTGCTCACGGATGAGCTCTCCAGGACCGGTTCTGGCGGTCTGGTCTGGAACTTGATCGGAGGGTTTGGTATCGGATGCCCACCACTCGTCAAGTACGGCAAGAAGGAGTTGGTCAACCGCATTCTACCTGGTATTCTTGCTGGTGACAAGAGAATATGTCTGGCCATTACGGAACCTGATGCCGGCTCTGATGTGGCCAATCTGACCTGCGAGGCCAAACTCAGCGAAGATGGGAAACACTACATCGTCAATGGCGAGAAGAAGTGGATCACCAACGGTATTTGGTGCGACTACTTTACCACCGCCGTAAGGACTGGTGGTCCCGGCATGAACGGCGTAAGTCTCTTGTTGATCGAGCGAGGAGAAGGTGTGAGCACCCGACGAATGGACTGCCAGGGTGTCTGGAGCAGTGGAACGACCTACATCACATTCGAAGACGTCAAGGTTCCCGTGGAGAACGTTCTCGGAAAGCCCAACAAGGGATTCCAGGTGATCATGACCAATTTCAACCACGAACGGATTGGAATCATAATTCAGTGTGTACGATTCTCCCGGGTGTGCTTTGAAGAGTCGGTGAAATATGCATCCAAGAGAAAGACGTTTGGCCAGAAGCTCATCAATCATCCCGTCATCCGCTTGAAGCTTGCACACATGGCACGTCAAATCGAGGCCACCTACAATTGGCTGGAGAACGTCGTGTATCAATGCCAGAAGATGGGCGAGACGGAAGCCATGTTGAGACTGGGAGGATCTATTGCTGGTCTGAAAGCGCAAGCCACCACAACGTTTGAGTTCTGCACCAAGGAGGCTGCCCAGATCTTTGGCGGTCTTGCATACTCGAGGGGTGGACAAGGTGGAAAAGTGGAGAGATTATATCGGGATACATTGGCCTACAAGATTCCTGGTGGGAGTGAAGAGATCATGTTGGATCTGAGTATTCGGCAGAGCATGAAGGTACACAAGGCTTTGGGTATGAAGCTGTAGGGGAAGAATAGGGGTATACAGTATATACACAGTAGGGCAGCATTGGTGTGAAACCTTGTTGGATGTAGGCCTATATCAAAACTTCATCACGTGGGTGAATGCTCGCACCCGTTACGACTGTCCGGTAATTTTGGCCTTTGCCTGCGCATATTTCATACTTTGGACTGATGACTTACGTGGACAACAGTGCTGATGATGCCGTGTGTCCCTCAGCAGTGGAGCTTTGGTCTCGGTCGGGATCAATTCTCAATGGCAGAGTTTCAGCTGCGGGCAGTAATGCAGGTACGTCACTAGCACCAACTGCCACCACAGGCCACCACAGGCCACTCAATGCAATGTTGCAGAGTTTTCCTCTTACTCTACGACTCCCCTGCATTGGTAAGTTGGAAGCGAACGGCACAGACAAAACTTCTATCGATAGAATGCCCCGGTTATCCTCGTCATGCACCGAATGAGAACCCCTCCGTTCTCTTCCCCCGGGCATCTGTCCCTCTCCCGCCGAACCCTTGAGTGGATGAACAGGTTTGAGTCTGCCCACCACACCACACCATGCGTACAATTGTCTAATGTCTATCCTGCGCCTCGATCTGGGCCGCCACTCCGGGCACAGAGAGAGGCCTTTTTTGGCCCTGCGCATGTCTAGTTATATAGCTGGCCCCAAGGTTTGTTTGTCTTCTTTTTTGCAGTTTTCATCATTTTCTCACAAGCAGTCGTTTGCTCGTGCCTGTACTATATCTTCTTTTTTCCTTTGGTTATAAGACTATCAGAGACATTCGTTCCCAGTCAACATGCGTACCTCGCAACTTCTGGCCTTCGCGGCTGCCCTTCCTTCCACCCTCGCTGCTTACAAGGGCTTCAACTATGGCTCAAGCGGTCAAACCGAGTCCACATTCGAAGCCGCCTTCACCTCGGCGCAGGATCTCGTCGGAACTAGCTTCACCTCTGCCCGCTTGTATACTATGATTCAAGATACAACCACAAACACTCCCATTGAGGCCATCCCTGCTGCCATTGCCACCAACACCACTCTGCTTTTTGGTCTGTGGGCTTCAGCTGGTGATGCCGATTTCGCCAACGAGCTTGCCGCCTTGAGCTCTGCCATTTCGACATACGGCAGCTCGTTGACTGATCTGGTCGCCGGTATCAGCGTTGGATCCGAGGACATTTACCGCATCACACCCATTGGTGTTGAGAGCGACGCTGGAACCGGTGTCGGTCCCGATGTTATCATCGACTACATCGGCCAAGTCCGATCCGCCATCGCTGGCACTGTTCTGGCTGACGTCCCCGTCGGCCACGTCGACACCTACAACGTCTGGACAAACTCCAGCCAAGACGCATTGATTGCCGCCGTTGACTTCCTCGGTGTCGATGCTTACCCATACTACGAGACCACAAAGGCCAACAGCATCGATAACGCAAACGCCACTTTCTGGGCCGATTACTCCGACACCACGGCGGTGAGCACCGACAAGCCTGTTTGGATCACCGAGACTGGTTGGCCAGTTTCAGGCGCGACCGAGAACGAGGCCGTCGCATCAGTCGACAACGCACAGACATACTTCTCCGAGGTTGGCTGCTTGGCCTTCGCTGACGACATCAACATCTGGTGGTACACTCTTCAAGATGCTGGCTCTAGCCCCAGTTTCGGTGTTGTAGGAGCTGGTTCGCCTCCTCCAACTACGCCACTTTACAGCTTGAGCTGCTAGACTTGATGAGAAATGCATTGTTTACGAGAGCAAAAAATGGGAGTTTTTGGATAAGATAAAAAAGGGCCTGATGAACTGGGTATCATCAGTATAGACAATGATAATGAAATGGATAATTCAATTCATGAATGGATCGAATTCAAGTGCATCATAACTTCCTGCACCACCCAAGATCAGATCAATCTTCGCCGATGATTTCCGCCAATGAGGTTGTCGCACGTGACGAGCATGAGCCCTAAACCTCTTTTGTGATTGTCAACATTCCTTATGTCAACAATCGACTTTGGAACACTTCAAAAGCCCATCTCCCCGCATTTTATACGTCCTGAGTGTTACTCATCTACTAACAACAGGGTGCTTGATCTCGCGTTCTGGACTTGACAAAACCCTTGCGTCAATACTGTCATTCTGCAGTTGAGCGGACTCAAATTCGTTCCGAGCGCGATTGAGCCTTTCAACATAACGAATCGACCTTATCCACGCCGCCTTGTCGATATTCTCCATATGGAGAGCTAGAACTTGACGTGGAGTTTAACATCAGTAAGAGCACACCTCTCGATATGGCGCCGAGAAAGCCTGCCAGTCCCGCAAAACCGCGGCGCGTTACCCGTGCTCGCGCCGCCAACACCGACACCGACAGCAAACCCGCACTCGACGATGCACCGAAGCGGAAAGCAGCCCTCCCCCAAGCAGTGCCGACAACCAGTCGAACCAAAGCCATCGAGGCACAGACGCGAATTACAAAGAAGACAGACACAAAGACGAGCACAAGATCTGTAAAATCGACGCCTATAGTCGAGGTGGATGAGAACAAGGAAGACGATGAGATCACTGTCACAGTTGCTCGACCAGCCAGCAAGGCGACTAGGGCAACACGCACCACGGCCGCACCATCAGCTAAGCCCGTTGCTTCGTCGCTCGCAGCAGCCCCGAGACGACGAGTCAGAGTTACTCCATTGGATACAACAACCTCAGAGCCTGCTCCTTCCAAGGAGGCAGAAGCAGCAAAGCCGGAGAAGAAGACATCCGCCAAAGAAAAGAAGGACATGACAGATGTCTCTAAGCCAATCATTTCACGTGCCAAGCGTGGTATCGTGGCGGCAACGGTGGAAGAAAACAACGATGCTGAAAAGGTGATGGCGGACGAACCAGAGCCTAAGAGACGTGGAAGAACGCGCACAACAAAAACAGAAGCGACCGAGATCACGACAGAGCCTTCGAAGACTGCGCCTAAGGGTCGAGGTAGGCCGAAGAAAGCTGACACGACTGCTGAGTTGACAAAAGACGTCCCTGTAACTACAAGACAGACTCGAGCGAGGACAGGGTCATCTGCTTCTGCGGCTCTGCCAGAGGCCGCCGTTAATGTGGTCGTTCCGCCTCGAAAGAAGGTGACTTTCCAGGATCTGCCGGACGAGGATGATGAAAAGGAAAACAAACAGCCACCGGCGTTGGCGAAGTCAAAGGCCACTAAGAAGGGAGCTGCAACAACAGCTGCGACGCAGAAATCCGAGGCTGCGACAAAAGGCATGCGTGCGAAGCCGATCCGCAAGCCCGCGGCGACCAAGACGACCAAGTCTACTCGAAATGCTTCGAAGACTGCTAAGCAGCCAGAAGTGGAGGAACCCGAGAAGCACATGCCCTCAGTCCTGACCCCAAAGAAGATCACACAGGTTGCCAAAGCTATGCCAATGGACAGTGAGGGCGAGGAAGAGGATGACAAGAGCCCTGTTCGCAATCTATCTCAGTCACCGAAGCGACCACATGTGCTTCCTCTGTCACCGATCAAGACCTTGGACTTTGCCCCTGCTTTGAAATCACCCGAGAAGCAGGAGGGTGCACCAGGAATCATGAGTCCTCCACGCCGACTGCCTTCGTCGCCGATCAAGGATGGCTTGCAAGAGTCTCCACGACGAGCACCAGAGGGTGTGACCGTCTTCCGGACCCAGATCCACGATCCAAACCACGCGGCACTGTCTCTGAATCCATCCAACATGAACAGTAACTCGCACCTACTGCAGTCTCCGAAACGAGGGATCTGCGACGCGATCACATTCCCTGCATCTGCACTCAAGTCACGCAACTCGCCAATGAAGAGTGCCCTGCTGTCTTCTCCGGCCAGACGACTTTTCTCGGCATCGAAGCAGAAGAGTCCCGCTCGCATGTCACCTTCGCCGCAAAAGAAGCAGGCAACCCCCACAGAAGAACAGATCTCGAGCCCTGGAGATGTTGATATCGTCATGTCGTCACATTTCAGATCTTCTCCCTCGCCGAAGCGGGCGGCCCGAGTATACACAATAAGTCAAGAAGAATTTGCACAGGAACACGGTTTGGGTGGTGGACTTGACTTTGACCAATCGATCTTGAATGTCCGGAGTCCTCTCAAAGTGGATAAGGTCAAGCCTCTAATGGATGTGTCTGCAGACGCAATGGATGTTCACATGCCGGAACAGAATGAGGCGGATGAGCAGCAGGACGAATCTAACATGGAGACAGATGAAGATAACCATGTTGATGACATTGAAGCGGCTTCAGCTTCTGAGATTGACAATGAGGAGACCGTTCTCGATCCTGCTCTGGACCATGAAGATGACCTCGCAGGTAACAACGATGTTGGTGATGTCGACAATGTTGAAACTCCTAACGCGCCGCCAGCTGCCACTACTGAAGAACTGCCAACCACCTCTGATGAGGCTTCTATGAAGCCGCCAAGGATGTCTGGTGCAATGTTTCGCCATCTTCGCGAGGTGGACGAAGATTCGGAGGATGAACTTGCGGCGAATCAAACTCCAGACAATCGCCTGCTTCGACCGCAATCACGACCCAGTCTGAGTGCTGCAAACATACGGTCTCGTCTGTCGATGGGCACAGGTGTTGTCCCAGGAAGTGCGTCTAGAAACCTGGGGTTCACTCCGCTTGCTGCTCAAGTCCGCGGATGGCGGGCAGCGAGCCCTGAGAAGAGAGCGGTGCGTGAAGACGCAGTCGATTCGTTCTCGCCTATTGCTCGACTGCACGTCGAAGGCGCAATCGAGGTGAATCGGCAGAGTACGCCCGCTCGAGAGGCTAGTAAACGAAAGTCGTTGGCCGGACGACTCTCATTCGCCCCTTCAACGACTAATAGTCCCATCAGACCAGATTTCTTTGGTGAAGCAGTCGCAGCGCAAGAATTTGAAGATCAGATGGACGACCATGCCGACGCAACGCCCGTGGAAGAGGAGGATCTTCATGATCTGGTACAGGATCAGGCGTTGGAAGTCGAGGATGACGATCAAGATGAAGAGTCAGACGAAGACACCAAGTCAACCAGTCCCGAGCGCGAACCTGGCGAATTGACGACAGACCTCATCAAGTTCACCAACGCATCGGATACTGCCATGGTCGATTTCAACGCTCTGGCGAACGAGGCTCAAGTATTGGCGGTCGAAAAAGGTGTCGGGGAGGAGGCAGAGACCTTTAAGCCACAAGTTGTACATGCCGGCGTAAGCGAGCTTCCAACCGTGGATGAACAACACTCCGTGTTGTCGACATCATCTGATTTATACTCGGATGAAAATGCTGCCCCTGTTGAACGGCCATCAGCAGCGAGTGAGACAGCAATTATGGCGAGTGAAGATGTTGGGGACGATGACTTGATTCAACCACCTCCACTGGTCGACTCAGATACTGAAGATGAAGTGGAGGAAGAGCACGACTCTAGCATCGTTGGCCGTCAAGGTGGAAGCGTCGAGAATTTGGATGGTCATCTTCCGACCACTTCGCCCGCCACTTTAGCCGACGTGCGCAGCAGCGTCGAGATCGACTTCAACGTGACACCAGTTCGACCAGACCTGGGTCTTCCACGAGTTGTGCATACAGTTTCCAAAGTCCCTCTTCGCCCTGAAGGAGACGTCCCCACCTTTTCGCCAGTCAAGATGCAACGAAAGAGACCAAGATCGATGTCTTCCTCAAATTCGATGGCTGCCAAGAGACGGAGCCTAGGACTAAGTCCTAAGGTCATGGCATCGTCGACCGAGCATGTTCTCTTGACACCGAAGGGTGGTCAACTGAGCTCGTCGCCACAGAGAAGAATCCGCAGCGCTGCACCAAGTCCTGCAGATTCGCTCGCCACGGGAACGACTACACCTGGACAGATGAGCTTCGCAATTGAGGATTTTGGAGACAGCACGCTTGATGGGCTCGAGCTCCCAGATGACGAGCTACTGTCAGACGAGGTCAATGCTGAAGAGAACACTGAGGAGATGAACGTTGACGATAGTGTCATGACCATCGGATCTACCCTGTTCAAGACTCCAATCGTCCCAACTAAATGTGCAAGCATGGCTCCTCCTTCGACCGGTCTATCCAAGCAGACTGCCACGCCTCACTATGCTATGAGCACGAGGTCAAGCAGACGCCGGAGCATTTCGACACCGTCACGCGCACTTGCTGTGGCGTCTACTAAAACTCCAGCGACAGCAAAGAAGACAAGCACCCCTCATACAAACCTGAAGAGCAAAACTCCAGCAAAGACATCCGTCAGCAGAACTCCCCTGAGATCTGTGGGCAGTGGCATTCTCGGCGGCGCAATCGTCCATTACGATATCCATACGAGCGAAGGTTCCGATGCATCGGCTTTCTATATCGAACTGCTCACGGCCATGGGCGCTCGCTGCGTCAAAGAATGGCGATGGAATTCACGGGCTAGCATTGCCGCGGAAGGAAGTGGTGAACAAGAACTGCCCGTGGGCATCACACACGTCGTGTATAAGGATGGCGGTAAGCGTACGCTGGAGAAAGTTCGCTCGGCAAAAGGACAGGTCCTCTGTGTGGGCGTCAATTGGGTTCTCGACTGCTACCGCGAGCAGAAGTGGGTGGACGAGACCAGCTATGCGGTCGACGCGAGTATCTTGCCGCGCGGCGGGTCTAGACGGCGCAAGTCCATGGAGCCGCGGACTCTGGTGAATGAGAATGGTTTGCTCTCGGCCACGAAGCATAGAGCTAGGATGTCCTTACCTGCAGGTTTGGAGCTGGCTGGTACGAAGTCTGCCATCGTGCAGACAGGCGCGGAAGGAAAAGTTGAGGTTGAGGTCGAACTCGAGGATAAGGAAAATCTAGACGAGGCTGAGATCGAAGACAAGCCTGTTGAAGAGGATGTCAACGACATCGACGTCTCGATGACCTCGGCCTATGATGAAGAGGATGATGACCAACTCGAAGACTCCTACCAGTATGAGACGGAGTACGACTACGATTCTCCCGCCGCAGCAACTGTCGGCGATGGCGGCGAGACGACAGGTCTGAGATTTCTCGCCGGGCACGGACAAGGACAGGAGCAAGACGACTCGGTGATGGGATCGGGCCTCGAGACCACAAGTATGACAAGCATGACCCCACCACCACTTGTCAAGGCAAGAGGTCAAGCTGCAGCAGTCTCTACGCCACAATCAGCATTGTTACAAGTCGATTACGATCCACGCACAGCAGCTACGCCTGTCACGCCGTTTCTGAGGGCATCAACGACAGCTAACAAGAAATCGACCCTCGCTAAAGGCCAAATGAGCGCGCCTGCGAAACAAGTCAATCGTTCATTATTCGAACAGGATGAACAGAGTGAGAGTGTCGGTGCCGGTGCTGGACCTGCAGCAGGTGGTCGTAAAGCGAAGTTCCAGATCAAGAACAAGATGACGGGCAAGGCGGATGCCAGACGGAGGACGCTTGGAGCGACGTTGAAGGATGTCGAAACCCATAAACCTGTTGTTGGGAGTCCTTTGAGGAGGGCTTAGTGAGTTTCCACCAGGTCTTGTCTCTTGGGCTCAAATGCGATGGGGTCATTGTGAAAGTAAAGGACATGGCATGCATGGCCTCGAGTATGGATGGGTACCGTTGTAGCGGGCGTTTTGGTGTTGGGCTTTTTTCCATCTTCGCATCTTGTGTCAGTTTGTCCAGTAAGTAAGCATGAAAGGACTGAGGAATCAGTCATGAGAAACTCTCAAACAAGCACCGAATGTAACATACATGTGGCTCATATACTTCAGATTGTCATTCATCGCGTAAGACTGTTCTACTCTGAGTGAGGGTGGAACTGCATTCGCTGTTGACCATCTGCTGAAACTGTATGCAAATCTCCTCTCAGGGTCATTGTGTCTTCGTAGATTTTGATCTCATTATACTTGCTCGACTATGTCACTTATGTGCCCATGGCCTTTTCCTTTGGACTTTGCAATTTTTCCCCTCTATGTCTTACAACTTCAACCCCATGTTCACGTGAACAGCCTTGGTCTGGGTATACGCAGCCAGACCAGCCTCGCCCAACTCCCGGCCGATACCACTCTGCTTGACACCGCCGAATGGAACGCGGAAGTCCGAGTCGTTGGAGCTGTTGATCCAAACCATACCGGCCTCAATTCTAGCTGCGACTCGGTGGGCACGCTCAATGTTCGTCGTGAACACAGCGCTTCCAAGACCGTACGTCGTGTCGTTAGCCATACTTAGAGCATCTTCTTCCGTCTTGAACGAGGCGATGACCACGAATGGTCCGAAGATCTCCTCGCGATAAATCTTCATGTCGGTCTTGACGCCCGTGAAGACGGTGGGTTCAATGAAGAAACCTTTACCGCCACCAACGTTCTTGTGAGGCACACCACCTGAAGCCAGCTCTGCACCTTCGGACTTGCCGCTCTCAATGTAGCTGAGCACGCGCTCGTATTGGGCCTTTGTAACTTGAGGACCTTGGAACGTGTCGTCCGAGAATGGGTCTCCGACTTTCGACGTGGACTTGACGACCTCTTTGAACAGCTCGACGAATTTGTCGTAGACGCCCTCTTGGACCAATATACGTGAAGTAGCCGTGCAGATCTGACCCTGGTTCGACATGATTCCAATGTGTGCCCACTTGGCGGCTTGATCGAGATCGGCATCGTCAAAGACCAGTAGAGGTGACTTTCCACCAGTCTCGAGGGTAATGTTCTTCATGCTGACACTGGCGGTCTTCATGATCTGCTTGCCTGTGATGGTGCTGCCAGTGAAAGCGACCTTGTCGATGTCAAGGTGCGAGGCGATAGCGTGACCGGCTTCTCTGCCGTGTCCGTTGACAATGTTGATCACACCTTTAGGGAAGACTTCTGGGATGAGGCTTGCGAAGTACAGAATCGAGAGAGGGGTTTGTTCGGCGGGTTTTAAGACGACTGTGTTGCCAGCGGCAATGGCTGGTCCCAGTTTCCATGCTGCCATGGCTAGAGGGTAGTTCCAGGGGATGATCTGACCGCACACTCCAATGGGTTGTTGAAGGGTATAAGCAAACTTTTGAGGTGTTGTAGGAATAGTCTTTCCCGTGATCTTGTCGGCCCAGCCGGCATAGTATCTGATTGTCGAGATGACCTCGCCTAGATCTTCATTGAGGGCGACTTGGTATGGTTTTCCATTGTCCCATGTCTCTAGGGTGGCCAGGGTTTCTCTGTTTGCTTCGATGAGGTCTGCGAATTTGTACATGAGGGCGCCACGTTCGGTCGCACCGAGTTCTCGCCAGGAAGGATCATTGAAGGCGGCTCGTGCAGCTTTGACGGCCTTATCGACATCGTCTGCGGATGCGGCCTCGACGGAGCAAATCTCTGTTTCGTCGCTGCCAGACTCGTCAGACGCTTCAGCTGTAAGATGTCATGTTCACTTACGAAGGATTTATGCTGGTAACCTTTTGTCCTGAACTGCCCTTGACGAATTCATTGTTGATGAAGAGGCCGGTAGGAAGAGTGATCTTCCTGCCGTTGGGGGCAGTAAGGTTGACTTTGAGGTCCGACATTTTGGAGAGACTGGAGAAGAAACGTATGTCTTTCTGTATAGGTAAGAGGGTGGTATTAGATCTGAGAGCAAGAGTGAACGGTCTTGTAAAGAACTTGAACATGTACAGTCAATTGTCACCAAAGAAACGAAGATCAACAAACCAATCCCGAGGCAGCTTCAAGAATTCTTCGAGGACTCAATTTCCTGATTGAGAGCTGCAAGCTTGCATACGACGGGGATGAGCGTTGCTGTGGATGGAATCAGTCAGCGGTTCAACCACTCGTTAAGCTCGGTGTATGAAGAGCGCAGTCAAAGGAGGGGCAACGGCAACATTGGATGGAGAGATAAGAAAAATGGCGGCTGTGGTTTCCCCATTGAGATTGGTAAGAAGAGGGGCGTTGGAGGGGTTGTACAGGTTGGCCAGGAATCCGAGCCTTGGATCCGAAGCCTTATCAATCCATTTAGTCAGTGCCGGGCCCGAGGTTCGTCCTCCCTTAGCTTTTCTCTCATGCATGACATCGCACCAGGGATCAGGGTATGACAAGTGGGATAAAACGGTCTAAAAAGGATAGATCCCTTTTCCAAGCTAAGGCAAGGCACCATCTGTGGCTGGCGTGGATGATGCATAGAAGAAAACCACGTGGGAGGGAGTCAATGCCGTGCGCCTCATGTGGTCCAGACTCGACAGAGTGTCAGTGATGGGCGGGAGCTTGGAGACATCCGCTGCAGGTGATGAACAGGGTGGATGAGGTGTATGACTGGCAGATACGAAAGGTGCGTGAAGGGCGGGTGATCGGCTTCACGTCCGAAATGGAGGGTCGACGTCGTATGTGTTAAGCGCCAATCCCGAAATGCTGGAAGTAGATCAGAACAGGATCAAGCATTCATAAATCTCCGAGCGATGTTTGACTCAATTTCTGGCTCCGAATATAAGCTGCATGAATGACCTGCAGGAGTCATGACAGGAACCTTGGATTTAAGAACTTGGGGCTGGTAAATCCTCCGATTTTACGTGATATTCCTTGCCCAAGGTTTGACTTGGTTCCGCAAGTTAGCGAATGTCTCATGTCGTTGAATGCAAGGTGGATGAGTGCAGTCGACAGGATCGTGAGCAGCAAGACTTCTTTTACCATGTTCAGTACGTCAGCAGCATAGAAGAAGATGCTGATGATTGGCAAGGCTGAGTCTAGCCCATATAGGAATTATGTCCAGCCTTGCGTCCATAGATCAGGGGGAGAAGTTGTCGGCATCATATTGCTCTTCTCTGCTTGCAATATATACTTTCAAGTTTGCCTAGCGGGACCTCCTTGGTTTGGTTGGCAGCTCAAAGTAGCTTTCAGACCTGTCAGACTCGTGGCCCTCAAAAATGCCCTTTTCTTCCCTCAAATTCATATCGTTTCAGCTCACGATCATAATGCCAGTGTGTCAGATCAAGCCGACCAAGACCTGAATCATCTTCGAAGTCGACAGAGCCTAGCCATCGATCCCAACCTCAGGCTCAGGAATGGAGATGTCGCTGAGTTCACTGACAACGCCGTCCGAAGGCAGATCTTGACCAGGAGTGTCATCAAGTCTCAAACCATCATCGGAAACTCCGTTCACCCCCTCAGTGTCAGCATCCGCAGCCGTCTCTTCGCCTTCTCCGTCAACGTCAGACTCATACCCATCTCTTGAAGAGCCGTGGCCCAAAGAAGGCTTTTCGCCGGCGACGTTGAGAACAAATCTCCACTCTGCAGGTGTCACAGTTGACACGCTTAGTCGGCTCTGCTTGAGCGTCTGCATATTCTCGAGAACGCCGCCATTGAGTGCATACGACTTCAACTCTTTCAAGGTAACGATCTTATCGAATTTCTTGACGAACTCCACATGCACTAGTTCCCATTTTGGCTTCTCGCGGTCGGACTTGGGGTCATAGTACGGGTGGTCAGGGTCGAAGGCGCTCTCATCGACACTGTGTTCGGCCACAATCCGCATGACGCCAGCAACTCCGGGCACAGCACAGTTTGAATGGTAGAAGAAGGCCAAATCGCCTTTTCTCATTGCTCGCATGTTGTTTCTTGCCGATGGGTTGCGAACGCCTAAGAGGTTAGCACTGAGTTCCAGTAGTATAGGTGATAGACATACCATCCCATCCTTCTGGCTCCGTCCTAGATGCGAGATCGTCAATCGAAAATTTGACGTCGTGGCCCTTCTCGATACGAGACTCGGGTTCAGCTTTCATGAGCCAGTATTGGATGTCCTTGTCGAGATCTTCCTCCTCGTTTGTTTTCGCCGCGTTGGCATCAACAACGCCAATGGTCGACTCTCCATTCAGAACATCTTCCGAGTCTGACTCAACGCTTTGGACTGGTTGAGAAGCTTTAGGTGGTCTTCCACGTCCCCGCTTAGCAGGAGCAGCCCTAGCTTGAACCGCCACCTTGTTTGCTGTAGCTGTAGCAGTTAGTGTTGCTCGCAGCACTTGACAGTCAATGCCTACTGCTTTTGACAGCTGTCTTCTTGGGGATGTCCTCCTTGTTTGCAGCGGCCTTCTTCGGTGGTCTTCCAGGTCCACGTTTCTTTACTTGCACTTCAGGTTTCGTGACCGGTGGATCGGCAGCCTTCTTTATTGTGCGAGATGCACGATGATTGTTGAAGTCGTACTGGGGCTCACTGACAGAGGTTCTCTTCGGACGACCGGAAGGGGAGATAGTAGGCACAGGTGCTGCATCTGGAATTTCGGATGTACTTCCTATACGGACTCTCTTCGCAGTTGTACCTGCTGCCGCCGGAGCTTTACGTTTCTTAGGAGGCATGGTAGAGAACAGCAACAGACAAAACAACAAGAGTATGAGATGGAAAGGGTTGCAAAGACGACAGTAACGGGTCTTGTTTTCGGCGCGATGATGAGTGTCTCCCAGATCGGTTGGAAAGTTCTCGCCGCAGTATAAAGTAAAGTGGAACGCGTCGCGCAGTTTGAATTGGAGAAGTGAATACCTAGTAGTTTAAGGTTTTGGAGACAGACAAATAACGGTTTTTCACCTCTCGACCAGTTCATCCTCACTTGTACCTCATCACACCTCTTAGCGAATCGCATGGCTGTTGCTATTGTTGTTGGAGGACGTTCAGCAAAGTGTAGCTCCATCTCAGCGTCGGCGATGATGCCCTCTGCCTGAGTCATGCTACGTACTTTTGTCGATGCGAATGACAAATGACATTCCGAAAGGTACTATGACCATTGCCTTTAGAACTAATAGGACTGCTGCTGAGTACCTGACACTCGGCCCGGAAAGCCAGAGGTACATCACATAGTACCTAGGGATCCGACTAGACATGGTATAACCGCTTGTCTCACTGATCGAATCCTTTACTCCACCAGGCTCAACTCTCTCCTACCACTACTATATGTCAGCCGGGGGTTATGTGACAAGTTGACAACTGACAACTGACAACCAAGGTCGCGGAAAGACTGTATCATCCCATGGCGATCACCTTTCCGTAGCTATCCGACATAACAACATGGCAGCTGTCAGTATATCTACGGTTACGATGTACGGAACTGCCAGAATCCTTGTTAGTCAGAAATGCCATATGCCATATGGGCGTTTGGCACTGGCACTGGCATTGGCGTGGTGGATTCCATCAAGGGTCGCCTCGGTACGAGCATTTGGAGCTACACATTTGGCGTTTCCTGTCACTTCCCGCGTGCTGCAGTCCTGCAGATCATTAACATAAAGAGGCATTAATCCTTTGGCGAACGCTACCTCCAAGTCTCTCATCAAGCTCTCCACAGGCAAGGCCCCCGAGGATACCGGTCGACAACAACACCACAAGATCCCGATGGATTCAACTACGACCTGACAACCTGACAAGTTGACAGACAAGGCATATACACCCACGTCGAGACATGCTGCGTCATGATAGTCAAGAGTATACCCTCAGAGCGACTCGATCGAACAAGGTATCCCACTTCTCACCTCTTTCTAAGGAGCCAAGACCCGACGCCTACATCATGAAGCCCATTTATGCCTCATGTCCTCATTGTGGCGGACACAAAAACATACTGCACATAACCGACCTACATCGTACAGAACGAGCCTTAAGCAGAGTCAGACCAAGCCAAATCGGCAACCGATTGCCACTGATCAGTGAATCGTTGATTGCGACGATCAGATGTCCTGCAGTGGCGCCACGTGTCGACCCGGCGCGCCCATCGAACCGACTCCAGCGAGTCAACCTAGCGTTAGTACTGTGTTACTCACAGTCACCATGATCCTCGTCAAATCGCCCTTGCAGCCACCACCACTACCCACTACCACTACTGTAAGCGTAAGGAGCCCTTCGCAAAAACCCCGAACTACTGAATGGAGTACCATAGTACGTGGTACTTGTGGCTGTAGTTTCTGCATCGCAAAAGGTAAGTTAAAGACCATGGGTACTACCAGTCTCCACCCTGCAACACAGGTGTGCAGCATACATACTGTACCGAGGTATCTAGGCATGGATGCGGTACAACCAAGAGGCTACATTCAACACGTATCCTCGATCTGACGTTGCCTCACTACACTACATCCGTAGAGGTGCTACTACCACAGTAGAGTGCATTAAGGATGCAGTCTCATGTCATGCAAATGCAAATGCAATGCAATGCAACCCCGAACCTTACCTACGAATCTGATCGACCATAGTATAGCACCTGCATATACCATGTACAGCCATCCACGCCAGACCAGAACTTTGTCCCAGAAAATCTGGTTTGAACCCTTGCTAGACAAAGCACGACAAGCATATCTTCTGGATGAAGTAAGACTCGCCATGTGTAGCCACCGTTGAACGGTCTATTCTCAAATATCCTCCGAGTGCAAGGGTCATTCGCTGCGTAGACCAAGTACACTCAGTCAACCCTTTGACCGCTCAAATCCGACAACGAATACTGTCCACCGCTTTGTATTTGCGTTTGAACCAACAAACTATATCTCTTAGCAAAAGCAACATCTACTACAATTACTGTACATACTACTCGTACATAGCTTATCGAAAAACGTGGGTGCCCGCGGAGATTTCCCCGCCTGTGCCCGGAGAATCGATCCTGTAATATGATACAGTGCGAGTAAGTGCCTCGTGTTCGCCCACGTGTGAATTGCCTCCCCTCAGTCTCGGGGACTACTGCAACTGCAATACTGATCCTTTCGACACCCGTGACCCTTGCTGCTGTTGCAGTTGCCGACCCGCACCCCCCATGCTGCACCATTGATGCACGGCTGATGCAATGCGTATGCAAATGCAAATGCACGCTGCCACGCACACCACGCATCACGCTCATGCACCCAGACGAATGGCACGAGATGGTGTCCGCCTTTCCCACCCGGGGCTGTTTCGCGTGACACTGCACACGTTGGTCCTTGGGCCGCCATGCAGCAATACATCGTAAGCCCTGCTGCAGGTGCGCCCCCTCCTCCCAATCCCACGATCTTTTTGACGGTCGAGTTTCCAAGTTTTTTTCCTTATCATGACTCCCACGGCATCTGACAGCTCATGCAGTCTGTCATCACCCCATCGATGTCCTTTCCACCCAAGTGACTTCGGACCTACCGATCTGGGAAAGGAGAAAAGACAAACGGTAAACCAGCCACATCATTCTCCTTTTTCATCGCCCAAGTTATGAAGCGACCAATCGCGCCTGATCGACCCGGAGACATTTTCCCAGCCCTGACAGAGAAGTCAAAAATACCTTAATTCTGCTTCACCGCTCATATCCGGGAAGTTACACGTGGCAAGCACGGACAAAAAGAGATATGAGAAAAATGGCCCAACATGTCGACGCAATCAGTAAGTGCATCGGGTAGCTCACCACAAGAATAAAATGGGCCGAGTCGTGAATGAGAAGAAGAACAAAGCCCCATTTTTGCAAAGACAATCCCCTCGAGATCTACCATGCACCTCTGATCTTGGAAGGTTGGTGGGACGATTACCTCGTGGTCGCAAGTCCCATGATCCTGGGCCAACCATCGCTAAGCACGCTCGGAACGAAGAGGAAGCCGAAAAGAAGAACCGCCCACCGCAAAATAAGGGACTGCAGCTAGATCTCTAGCTGTGATCTTGGAGCGAAGTGCACTCCGTAGTTAGCGCAAGCCTCCATGCGGCCAAATTGGGCCTTGTTTCCAAAGGGCTGATTAGACCTCCACCGTTCATCGCACCGAATGCGAATGTGCGATGTCTCTGAGATGGTTGATTGTAGAACGTAAGAAGATTTGTAGAACAACCAGAAACAGGATGATATCGAATCGAGCGTGCTCTTTCCAGTTGGCACAGGTGTCGTCTTATGTGCGATCTGCCGCCACCTCTGGCGGCATCATCAATCCACTTCATGACGCCTTTTCGTAGCCACTCAGTCGACGCCCAAGTGGGTAGAAACATCAGGTTAGATCCAGCTTTAGTCGTTCGGTTCGACTGTGCATTGTGATGGCGTATCTGATATTTACGCGATCCTCCAGGAGGCGTGAAGATCTTGGCGTTTTGATAAGCTGTCATTGTCCGTACCGAGGGCGAAGTCTAGCGGTGAGTCCGCTCAAAAATGGATGGCTGGACGCGTGGGATGTGTATCTTGCGGCCACGCCACTTTTCCATGCTATGGAGCCGCGAAGATCTCCCAATGGCGTTCCTCCATGAGTGCTGCGCAAGATACAGAGTGACGGAGCGGTGAGGTTCTCAGGAATGCCACACACGGACATCATGCCGTGGACAACCACTCGCGTGTAAATATGTAAAACAATATATGAGGAATAATGGGGTCATCGCTCATGGATACATAGACCAATTGTACAGTCACCCTCGCCATGGTGATTCAGATATCGCCCAAAACAACGCCAATCCAAAACCCCAAAGCCTTTCCTGCAGTGCTTGTGGCGTTGCAGCCCCCGTCTCTCTTTTGGTATCCCGATCCCATCGCGCAGATTAAAATAAAATGTATTACTCAAGAAACACAAGGTAAGTGGGGGTATCTTTGTAAAAGCTCAGCACAAATGAAAAAAGGGGATTATTAGTCCAAGAAAGATGATCCCAACATTGTGTCATCTCCCAACTTATATGCAAAGCGGCCTTGAAAATGTGCCCTTGTGACGACAGTTTGAGCATCCCGTGTTCATCGGTCATTCGTGAATCATGTCTCGCCCTAACAGGCATTGGATGCTGCCTCGTGAGGTTGCCCTCATAGTCATCGTTCTAGGTATCGTCGTCTCGGATATGAAAGAGAAATGTGTAGTGTTCCTAGGAAATGAAAAAAGTCTCCTGTGCATTATCGGCCGGAATGCCAGTTTGGATCGTAGGGATCTCTCCGAAAAGGGTCGTAGGATTGCGATCGGGTAACAGAAGGAGGTGGAGGTCCATGAGGCAGAGACCTTGGTGGTGGGGCGTAGGTGTTCGTCATAGGTGGAGGAGGCAGAGCATGGAGTGGTGCTGGTGGTTGGGCCATAAATCCTGTGGTATAAGCAGGTAGAGATGGTGAATGCGTGTGAGACCCTGCGAAGGACGGTTGATAGTCGCCTGTACGGCGTCGTTGGGCAGAAGAACCTGCTTCAGGATAATCGTGATACGGATCTTCTGAGATAAAAGGTTCGGGGCTCCCACCGCTTGTCGAGGTAGGGGCTGTCGACACTGCAGGTCGCAGGTGCTGCGGGGAAGGAGGACGTTGCAATAGTTGTGCAGAAGGAACATGCCTCGCTGCAAGGTCACGGTAGTAATTTCTTTCCGATAGATAGTAGTCGCGGTCCTCGATCAGATCCCGAAGCTCTCGCTGCAAACCTGAAATGGTCTGGGATGCCTCCTTCTCCTTTTCTTTCCTTCGAGCTCGGAAACGTGCAGAGGCACCTGCGTTGCGCTTGCGCTTTTCATCGGCCAAGCGAGAAGCTGACTGATCGTCTAGTGGTATCACCATGGGCACTTCAGTATTGACTTGAACTTGATATGGAGCTTGCCCTGCCTGGTACCCTTCGTGGGGGCCATGCATTTGAGTCTCATGGCCGTAACCTCCTTGTAGTCCAGCTGGGAGACCTCTAGGTACAGCCGGACGCTGCAATGGCGGCTGTGAATGCCCATAGCCATATATTGGTGATTGTTGCTCAATCCTCGGGTAGGTTGGCTGAGCTGTGACCAATCGATCGGCTTGATGGGATAATGCCCCCAGACTCCGAAGAGGACTTCCAGGGACAGGTCCCGAACTAGTCTGACTGCTGGACTCAACGTTTGCGGGTTTGGGCAGGTTAGGACCCGTAGCAATGGATAGCGAAGGTAGAGGTGGGATCTCTGACGATCGATATGGACCAGGATCAGCAGTGTATATTCGCCCACCAGGACTCCGCGATTGTTGGAGGGGTTGTACTGCTGAGTGAAACATAGCGTTCCTCCTTGCACCAAGACTTGCAGCACGGACCCCTGGTGATCGCGGCGTGAGCACGCGCCTCCCAGCACGTGCGCTACCTGGCTGAGCATGTTCCGTGGGCGGCGATCTTGGATCCGTGCGCTTTCGTATTTGGGGAGATCTCTCCGCAGGACTGGCAATGATGCTCCGTTGACCGATCGACCTGAAAGCCGGAGGTTCCCTCTCTGCTGGCTCTGCTTGCGGATTCAGAATACTATGCACGCCCAGCGACCGGGACGGTGTCTGAGTTGTTGACTCAGCGGATGGACGACGTGATCCGTCTCCCAACGCCACGTCTGCCACGGGTCTCCCATACGCGCTTCCCTCATGACTGCCGTAAGCCTCGGTCCTGGCAACACTGGCTGTACCTGGTCTGGAAGTGTCCCCGCCGGGCCCGAGACTCTCAAATATGGGATTTTGTGCTCCTGCATAGGCGGACGACGTGTTTGATGCCCGATCTGCTGTAGGAGAAGGTTTTGACATGTAAGTTTGACCCTCCGCGTGTGGCTGGTGCTCCAATCGCGACCATGGATGATGCTCCTGCGCCGCTCCTCCGCTACCCTCCTTCCGCCAGTGTTGAGGACCTGTGGGAGTCTGCGGGCTCGGTTGGCTGGACTTGTACTCCCACGGCTGTTGCAGGTAGCCACGATTGGCAGGTGACCTGGGATATGGGGGAAGGGGAGAGATATTAACGCCGAGGGTAGCCAGGATGACTTGCTTAATGTTCTGTTCCTGGTCAGAGAAGGCGAGATTCGAAGTAATCTCAGGCGACCCGACTCACGAGAGGACTTTAAGATGTCGACCTGGTCAGACGAGGGGTGTACAAAGAGGGACGGTGACCCGAAGTGAAGATTGCGCATTCCAAGGCTAGAAGCATTTGCGCAAGCGTCCCTAGGGCTTGAGAGGGTCGTCAAGATAATTCGTTCTTGATGCAAGAGAGGCAGCAAATGAGAGTCATCAAACGGCAACCCTGCCTCTGAGAGGTCCGTTCGAAAACCAGCGAAATGATGCCAGGCAGACCAGGAGTCGCCCCGGGCGGCGAAAAGAGAGCAAAAGGTGGTGATAATCTCAACAAGCTAGCCTGAGGTCAGCTCGTAATATTTCATCGTATGGGAGTCGGGTGTAAGCAGAAGGTAAAGTACATTGACTCGGTGGACTTTGCCTGCAATTCCTGGGACGGGGAGCGGGAAGTACTATTCGCTGGAGATGAAGGAGAGATTCTTCCCAGGCTTCTAGCGTTGGCAAGCTTTGGTTCGTCACGATCTGAGCCTCGTTACTCGAGCCAGGGACCATATTGTCTGACCTAACATCGGGAAAGCAGGAAATCATCGGTCAATGACTGAGGAGGGAATAGGGAAGTGGGTCCGCGCCGTCACCTGGAGCGGCAGACGAAAGGATCATGCAAGCAACGGGTGGATGAGGAACGCGACGCCAGTGATCAGATTTCGACGTTCGAGCATCAACGGAGAGCTAGGATGACTTTGTCCATAGCTTCGAGTATACTACGCAGCAGGCGTGTGGATGGCACCAGTCCAGCGGGATGATGGCAGCAACTGGGCACCAATGTGATAGCGCGACTTGAGTCTCCATGGCGCTGGTGTGGCGCTGCGGACGTCTCGGGGGCGTGGTAACTGTCTGTCAGGCTGTGGGGCTCTGTAGGGATGTTAATTCAGGGCCTCTTTTGGCTTCCCAAGCCGCAAAAGGTGCCAGGGGTTGAAGGATGAATGCGAAAAGTCAATGAAAGCATAGGTCCGTTAACGGCACGCAGTCCCATGACTTGAGAAAGTATGGCCCGTGATCAATAATGCGGACTGGTCCAAGGGGAAGTCGTTTCGGTCCACCCTTTTGTTGTGAGGCGGCGCGGGCAGAAGAATGGCGTTGACAGACGACCCAGGGGCCGAAGGTCTAGCGTGCAGGCAATGTCCGGCATGAAAGCTAGCTCGATTTGGGCGGCATTAGCGGCTCAGTCGGTGCCAGCTCCACCTACCTGTCTGCCTGCGTCGCCTGTCAGCGACGATGCCGGTCGTGAAATTTCGTACCGTGGGTACCAGTAAAATAACCGCTTTGGGTACAAGCAAGGCGACATCATGACCTGGGGTCCCTTACCAATCCACCACGTTATTGGATCGCGGGACTCCTACCAATTCGCCTGGGTTCAGGCATCAAACCTCCCTGGCTGTCCAATGTCCTGAGGATCTTTCTGCTTTGGGAACAATAGACATCCTAATTTGTCTGCACCCTGAAAGAACGACCGGGGTACTTGAAATGCAATAGCCGTGACAAGGGTCACATTCGTATGATTGCGTTGTTATAAATGACATTTTTGATCTCGCGGAAACTGGGAATGAAGCTGGAAACGAAGGACTTTCCTCTCTGGGCTGTCAGGAGAGGATTGTCCAGTCATGGGTACGTTTGCATCTCGCATCACACCGCTGATACAAAATTCTGATGTTGCAGGCCCAACAAGCCATCAGGGGCCTGCAAATCCCTTCTTTTAGACGTTGGGTGATGGCCTGCCGTGCGTGCTTCGGGAGAGCTTTCTAAGATTCATGACCCAAATCGACGGGTCTCTATGAGATACCGCATTGGTCAGAGGTGAACCTACCCCTCTGAAGTTGAAAAGCATGCATGGTGACGTTGTGGGATTAGCTTTCCCGGATACAAACCCATTAAGTAAGTACCCTGGACTGACTCGTCTTCGTCAGTGGCGGAACGAATGTGCAGAAGTAGCATTCCCAGCAGCAGACGAACCCACCAGTTCGAATACAGCAACACGAGTGTGCCGGCAGGGTAGGAGAAGCACGTCGGGCTCGGATGATCTTGTCGATCATATCCTTCTAGGGCTGAAATCTGTCTACCTCGAAACAGACTAAAGCATCGTGCCGGTGCATCGGTTCTTTCAGATGATCCTGCGTGCATAAGACGCGTGCTCGGGGATGCAACATTTCAAGTCATCAACGCATTAGTCGGAGTCAGTGTCAACATGACAGCTTGACAAGACCATTATAAAGTATAAGAAGTGCTCCATATACCATGGTATCACGAATGGTCCACTTCCCAAGATACATGGATCGCACCATTCACTTGGTGCTGGTTAAAGTTCAGCCAATCTGTATCGGGAATTCCCCGTGGCTGACAGGAGAGTGATAGCCATCAATAAAGGTGATTTAGGCGAGGATCTCTTTGGTGTCTTGGGGTGTATATAACTTTGTGTTTGATATGTCGACAGGGATCTCGGTGTTGATGACCAACGTTCTTGTTCGACTTAGTCCTATGACAATCATGTTGCACAGTACGGAGTAATGGTGAATGAACTGCAGCAAATTTCCTTTTGATATGGCCCCCATACTGAACGGGGCTACAGAGGCTTTCGGCAGCACCTGCTTGTTTGTGAAGACCTTGGAGCCGGAGCTTTGGCCCTAATGATAGGCGATTAGTCCGATCTGCCTGGTTTTGTAAAAAAGAAAAAAGAAATCAAAGAAAGCCACCGAATCAGGAGGATTGTACAGACCACGCAGGAGTTGCATACGGAGTATCTCAAGGATTGTGTGTTCCAACGTATGCGGGTAATGCGCGTAGGGGCTTGCTTCTCCTCTCGCCCGTCTCGAGCACTGACTGTATTCCACAACAGCAACCATCGAGAAGATTGAAGCCGTTGCATGCTTTTCGACAATAACGAAGAAACAATGAACGCGCTCTGCACATCAACTCCACAGAGGTTGCCTGGTTGCAGGTTCGGACTGTCGAACCGAAGGCTTAAACGCCCCTAATGGGCCATGGCACTGTAGGGTCCTCATCGGGCAGGTCGAAAAATAGATACAGCCTACAGGTCTCAATTGACAAAAATGTCATTTATAACAACGCAATCATACGAATGTGACCACTGGGGACAGATCTACAGTGTCAGCATAGATTTGAGTATCTTCGATGGGCTATGCCGCAACTGGCACACTGCTATCGCAGAGGTCTTGTCGGAGTGATGTTGCGAAGAGGTCTTGAGTCGGTCAAGTCCGTGATGATAGTGGGATGGTGAATGTGACCCTTGGTTTGAACTTCCCTGGCACTACGAGAAAGTGATATCTCTCTTGGAATGTCATGATTGGGTTTTACGTCATTCGTTGCAACAACGATTGTTCCATGGGTCGTCAAGAATATTCTTTCAGAGTATTGGCGACCTCACCTGCAGATGATTTAATGTGGCGGAATATACCCAGACCGGCGAGAGGATCATGTCGCCGACGGTGCGGTGGAATTGCGTCGGTCCATTGCTAGTAGTGGTGAGGTGCTAGTGAGCTTGATTCGCAGGTCCAAGCCTAGCGACGGCGATGGCGCAAGTGTGCCTAGCTTTTAATCACACGGCTCACACCGAGAGTATCCACGAGCCTTCCCAATCGAGATTGTGGGATGGCCACCTCAAGGGCAAAGACATTTCAAGCGATGGGACCATAGTGCTACTCAACATTGAGCAGTAATCCCGTGCCACTTTGGTCAAAGGACCTTCATGCACGCACAGACCTGCTGTCTGCAAGAGTGACGATGAGTAGGGAGGCTACTCATAAGTGGTTGCATGCCACGTGGAATGGACCTCGTATCACGGACCAGCAGACCCCTCCTTCGCTTACCACAGACCATGTTTTCGAGTCAGCCACCAGGGGCCAGCTAGCGATAGGTATTTCTAATATCGGTTGCAAAATTGCACCTTCACTCCGTACCTTTCCGCCAATTTTCGCCTAGGAGGAACCATCACCATGACCTATGGTAGTTGATGATGTCGATGGAGCCACTGGTCAGGCCGCTTGACGATCGTTCACATTGAAGTGGTCTCAATATGTTAATATGCACTAGAACACCCGACCTTGCTTGTGGTAGTGTGCCAATATTGGGCCGTTTTAAATGGGCAAACTGGTCAACGGGAGAGCGGAGATCCTGGTCGCCATCCTCTAGAGGTTAGTAGAGTCCATTGTTCGGTCGCAATTGAATCAACGGTGAGTTCTCCGTACTAGCGCACGACACAACAGCAATTGTCTGATTCTTTTTTCCGCCGGACAACATGTTGCTTGATTCGAGACGGCGACAAGTTTCCGAATGAAGAGCATGTCCCGCCATTAAGCGACAGAGCCATATATGCTAGGGCATTGATCAACACAACGCCAACCTCTCCGTTCACCGCCTGGAGCTTGTTGGAAGAAGATAACGAGGAGGAGGCGACCTCAAGTGTTTCCTGCGAAACTTCGTCGTCTCGCATCCATCCCGTTGTTTCCAGATCAAGAGACGGCACTTCGTACGGCCGATCCCGCGTGTCCTCGTGACGGAGGTAGGAGTGATATGGCAGCTAGATGCAAACGTGACATACAATCAGTAGCACGGTGAGAATCATTATTGTTGTGTTGACGACGCAGCCCAAGCAATAAGAGCAGAATCACCAATCTCGCTTGCTCGGAACCAGGTAAGGATGTCGCCCGGGACAGGGCTGTCTCGCTTGATACTTTCTGGAAACAAAAATTGTTCCATGGCTGAAGCCGCTGAACACCACTCCTTGGCTTTCGAAGATTACAAATGATACAAGTACGAGTGCAAATACTTTAGTCCTCAATCTCAATGGTATTGAGGCAAGGATCGCCATCTCGCTTGTCGTTCTGAGTTCAATCTTTTATGGTGAGGTCGCACTCGTTCATCTCTGGACCATGGACGACACTATCGAAGCAAGGATGGTTGCCTCGCTTGCCATTCTACTACTGTAAGCTCAGTCTCTACCGACCCGGTCATATTCACTCACCCTGGACCATGACCGACACTATCGAATCTGATGACCAGGGGCCAACGACAGGCCTCGTCCGCAGCACCATCGACCCTGAGTTCAGTAAACGAGTGACTAGCATGAACACCCTTGCGCAGCTAGATCCCAACACAGCGTACGTATATTTTCATATAGTCTGGGGACCGACGCCGGAGGAACGATCCCTTGACGTCCAAGTTTCAATATTTAATTTCCTGATACCTCCGACCTGGGAACACATCCAGGTCTCTAGAAAAATACGACACCCATCTAGGGCAGACGAGCACGGTACTTCGGCATGCCCTTCACACCGACGTCCACTCTGAACAAGTTTCCAGCAAATTTGGCGGATTCGGGATATTTTTCTGGTTCAGCCTCCTTCGCACTAGTGATGAACATCTCCGTGCCAGCAAAGGTTGGGCAAGTGATGTTGCGGGTGGGAAGGTGAATGATCCCGGTCACTTGTCCTTGAGGAGAGATTCGAATGACTTTCCATCCGCCATAACAAGCGTGCCAAATGTTGCCCTCGACATCCATGGCATGCCCATCGGGGTTGACTCCCTTCTCGTCTAAGTGGAAGAAGGTCCTCTTGTTGGAAATATCTCCGGTCTTGGGGTCGTAATCAAACTCGTACACGTTTTGGGGCGGTGAGTCTGTCAGGAACATCTTGTTGTCGCTGGCATTCCATGTGATGCCGTTGGGGATGGTCATTTTGTCGTGAATAGTGCGCAGCTTGCCATCGGGGTCGAGTCGGAACAAACAACCTTCTTCAGTCGGTTCAGCAATTTCGGGATCAACAAAAGCTTCGACCCAGAAGCGTCCTTGTGTGTCGACCGCGCCATCATTGGATCGCATCCTGGATTGACATCAGAGGTGCTTTTTACGAGAAGTGTCGATCAAGTCTCACCTTCTCATCTTGTCCTCAGCGTCAGAACCTTGCCAGTACTTGGCGACATATTCGTGCTCGCCAGTCTTCAAGTTGAACTTGGTGATACCATCCTTTGCACCGGTCAGGATGACCTCCGAAGAGTCAACGCCTTCGATATTCGCTGTCACTCCAAGCGGCTGCTTCGTGTCGATGATCCGAGTCGAATCGGGGCCTTTGGCCAGATCAATGATGTACAATTTCTTGTTGTTTATGTCCTAGATTTCGGCAACTCAGGAATTGTAACTGAGGCCCTTAGAAAGCATATGGTGTACTCACCATGTATCGAAGCTCATGGCGTTCTGGAGTGTAATACGGTCCTTCCCCCAGACTACATTTTGAAGGGTAATATGCCTGAAGGACATCAGCGATTCAGTAATGGCCAGACGATTCTGCTACTCACCTCCTTCACGGTCCACTCCTGTACACCCATCGCTTCTGGACCACTTAGTCTATCTCAATGAGATTTCAGAATTGCGGTGCTATGCTTTCGTAGCTCCGAGCAGGTAGTGCAGTTGCAAAAGTGCCACTAACCATCGAGAATTCGCGGCGGAGAAAGTCGAAGGAATTATATCATGATGGAGACGATATCCGCTGCCAAGACTATACCATCGTCTTCTGTTTATTCTACCTCCCTGGACATTCTCCTATCTCGTGATTGAAGATGATAATACGTCCGTAGTCCAACGGTCTACCGTGATAACCTTTACGTTGGGGAGTAACTTGACAAGATAATGCAGATCTATATTGTCGCTCCTTCCACATATGTAGACCTGACAGAGCCGAGGATCAGCCGCCACGTTAAAGAACTCGGAGATGCAGAATGAGCGCCTCAAAGACCAGCCAACTGTCCCCCACCTCTTCACGGTCTGACCTCCGGGCGCATGAAGCTCCCACATTCGTGATCTCCCTTGAGGTTGTAGCTGTATAGCAGTCGAAATTCGGCCTCTTCGCCGCAGTTACATCATCCCTGGTGGTCGCAGACCTGACAAGCCTGCTAGTTGTGGGAGGACTTGCACCAGGGAACGTCTCGCTCCTGCCTCTCGATGTTGTGCAGTCTCACAATCCTGAGCATCACCGTAAGCGAAGCTCGTTCGAGTCGGACTCTTGCCTCTGAGCTCCTTGGAGCTATCGGACATTGCCATGTCTCATTTCTCGACTCGTTGACGCTCGATACGTGATCCGAGGGCTCCTCGGGGTGACCTCGCATTGGAAGAAGCCCATTCACAGATTTTGTCGGTAGACTGTCACCATGTACGCTCATTGCTCGTGAAAATCCGGTTTTCGAAACCTCATGCTCGTGTTGGTGGTGCAATGAACGCTTTCACGGCCAGAATAGCATTGCCGTCATGCGACCGCAGTAGATCGGTAGCCTTTGTCTTGGACAAATCGAGTTCCTCAACCTGCACATTTATCAGCAATGGCCCAGCATTCCATTTCCATGCTAGACGAACCAGAAATCCGACGTCCTCAGCGGCAACCTTGACCTTCTTTTTCGTTTCTACCTCTTTCTTGCTCTCCGCCTTTTTAGTATCCTCCTTCTTCTTAGTGACACCGCTCGCGATCTCGAGTCTCGACATTGCCTTCCCCAACGCTTCCTGGTCGGCGGCGGAGTGTTGTTTGTTGGTAGTCTCTCCGTTCTCCTGGGACATCTCGTTTGCGTTCAAGGCGTTGAGAGCCGCCGCGGCCTTGCGGTCTTCGGCATTCGCAGGCAGGTTCTGAGTTTCATCGTCGCCAGCCTCGCCGGCTGTGGCAGCAGAGGGAATGGGTTCGGCCATTGCGTATGTGACTTAGACGTGTGTCGTAATCTGGTGGAATGAAGTGAAATGGTTAACACATAACGTCGATCTTCAAACAGTGGTACGCAAATGGACACACAAATCCCGAAAGGGAATGGTGTCCCGTTTGAATACCACCAGATATTTCTTGACTCACCACAGTTTCACATTTCTGCAAAGAAAACGATTATATACAATATAAAAGCAGTCAAATCGCGTCTTGAGCATCCGGAAAGGAGTTTGGAGTCATACTTTGCGTTGAATCGGTCTGGAACATTCAACGTTGACTAAGAAAAGGCCTCACAGGAATCTCCTTACCAATACCTCTCCCCCCCTACAGCACAGTCAATCTTGCATGGACTCGATCGGAGCCTTGCCCTCAAGAATGGCTCAAAACGGCGCTTCAACTGTGTGGACGCCGTCCAGCTGGAAGACCAAGCCTATAGTCCAATCTGTCTCCTACAAAGACACCGCTTCTTTTGAACAGGCTAAGAGCAAACTCAACACGCTTCCACCACTCGTAACGCCACGTGAGATAGTCAAACTGAAGAAGGAACTCCGCGAAGTCGCTTTGGGCAACGCCTTCCTTCTACAAGGTGGCGACTGCGCCGAACTCTTTGACTATTGCAACCAGGACATGATTGAGGCCAAAGTCAAACTCCTGCTGCAAATGTCGCTGGTTTTGATCTACGGTGCCAGGAAGAAGGTCGTTAGAGTCGCCCGAATGGCTGGCCAGTATGCAAAACCGCGCTCTTCACCCATGGAGACCATCGACGGCGTCACCATGTCCAGTTTCCGGGGCGATATCCTCAACAGCTACGAGCCAGACCCGGTTCTACGTGAGCCCGACCCCAAACGCCTTGTTGATGCCTATTTCCACTCGGCAGCCACGCAGAACTACCTCAGGGGAGCTCTTTCATCCGGTCTAGCGGATCTACACGCCCCTCTGGACTGGAGTCTGGGTCATGTCCGTGACCCAACAGTCCGAGACCACTATCAAGCCATTGTGGAACGCATTACAGACACCCTCGAAATGATGAAGACCATCGGCCTGGACACTTCAGGTGGTCTTGAGACCGTCGATCTTTTCACTTCCCATGAAGGCTTGCTCCTCGAATATGAGGAAGCCCTCACGCGCCTCTTCAAACATCCTTCTAACGCGTCTCCACCCACCCTTCCATCCTCCAAACCAAGTTTTCCCCAAAGCAAACCCCGCAAAACCTCGCTTCCTACACAGCTCCCACCTCCCTTACCACCAACACAAGGCTACTACGACACATCTGCACACTTCATCTGGATCGGCGACCGGACACGGCAACTTACCCATGGCCACGTCGAATTCTTCAAGGGCATCGCGAACCCCATTGGTGTCAAGGTCGGTCCCAGCATGCCGGCTTCCGACCTAGTCCCTCTACTGGATATTCTGAACCCCAGCCACGAGATCGGCAAGATTGTCCTGATCACTAGATACGGTCACGACAAGATTGCCGCACACTTACCCGGCCATATCCGTGCCGTCCAGGCTTCTCCTCACCGCGACACCGTGGTGTGGCAGTGCGATCCCATGCACGGCAACGGACGTAATGCGACGGTACCGATGAGTACGGCCAATGGGGAAGCTACCAACGGCACATCAACCTTCAAGACCCGCCGTTTCACCGATATCCTTTCGGAGCTCAAGCAGGCGCTGACCATCCATCGCTCTATGTCCAGCTATCTGGGAGGTGTGCATCTGGAACTCACAGGCGAAGCTGTGACCGAGTGTGTTGGTGGTGCCGAAGGACTGACTGAGGAAGACCTGAGCTTAAATTACACGACGTTCTGCGATCCAAGACTGAATGAGAAGCAGGCTTTGGAACTGGCATTCTTGGTTGCAGGCTTTTATCGGGAAGGTGGCGACAAGAAGAGTCTGAACGAGTAAATGCCTAGTGTTCAGACCTTGTTATCCCCTGCCACGTTGTCCAGCTCTTCCAGTTTCTGGCTGTCGATATGTGGCAGAGAAGGTGGTGCATTGAGCAGATTTTTTCCACCTGTGATCAAGTCACGCAGAGTCGCTGACACCACCACGATCCATAGTACAAGAACGCAGACCGATGTTATCTGCCCAATTGTCAATTTCAGGTATTTTGACGTTCACAGGGTGGGTTTTATACAGATCCAATGACTCTGAAGAACCTCGATGGAATCTCTTGGGCCAAAGCGTTACTCGACAGCGCAAATGTGCCGATCGGAAAAGTAAATCTGGAGTCTGTCAACATACGTGCAATTCAAAACCATGGCGAAGACTTTACCCCCACCACCCCATATTGAAGGGGAAATGTTTGCAATGGTGAATCGACGCTACGGCGAGGAACAACCACAGCAACGTAAATCCCCACATGATCAAGCACAGGAGGATTCCGAGGCTATACGCCAGATCACCAGCAAGTGGATGGATCGTTTTCGTCAAAGCAAAGATCCTCATCGCCACGTTTCCGAGTTTCGAGATGGCGAACCCGCCCATTCCCAGCGGGCCTATCGGCATGAAACACGACACAATAACTTCTCGGGGCGGAAGTTTATGGATGGCCAGTCGCTGGAAGTAGACGACCATGATGAACAGCGCTGAAGGCACGCCGAGACCCCAGAGGACGTAGCCGACGATCACAGTGGCGAGAGCTTGTTCGGGCCGAGGAATCACGTTGGCAACGACTCCCGCCGAGGCCGAAGCCACGACAGTCGCAATGATGGGAAACAGCTGCAACGCCGTGTATCCGGAAAGGGGCGTCTCGTTGGTCCTCTTGATCAGCAGGAAGGGCAGCCACAAGGCGCAGATCAGGGACATGACTGCATCGGCCATCCACAGGCTACACGTGTCCAATCGTCAGCATTTAGGACCGTCAGGTTGGTGTAATTGAGCCAGACAACATACCCCCAAGCAGTGTATACCACCCATTCGCCCCAGGCAGGAACACACACGAAAACCATCATGTTGATCAAGGTCGACATAGTCTGCTTCTTGTCAGCCACACAATCGTTTTGCACAGTTCGGCGTCAAAATCATGTGGTCTCACGGTAGGTATAGTGCTCAAATACAACGCCTGCGTCGGCTTATTCGCTGTGATCCGTCGAGTGCAAGGCCACATTGCGAATCGCAGTATCGACAACCCGACGAACAACATGAACAACGCGAAATTGAGCACGAAAACGATCACCGACAAACAGTACAGCCATCGCGCCTTGTAAGGGAATTGGTTGAGCAGGATCGAAACGATGCCCGTGCCCATCGTCACTGTGAACCAGCTGGTGGTGAAGAAGTCAGTCATCGCTACGTTGTGTCTAGACAGAACAGGACAGCATGTGTACCCACTCGATATGAGGGTCTACTTACGATGGCGTGAAATATTTGACGAACTTCCTCCATCCTGTTTCATCGCGATCATTCGAGACAGTGTGTGCGTCCGCATCTGCCATGTGCTTTGGCTGCGCTTGCGGAGGGCGATCATGTATGGTGCTTGGTGGTGGTATAACAGGTCCAAGATCCATTGCGGTACTACTACTGTCAAAATCATGCCCAGCGATTGTCCCCAAATCAGGATTCCACCGCTTGATATCGCCATGGTCACCGCTCCCCTCCGTCAACGACTTCGACAGAGCGAGGCCGTAATTTGTCACCATCCGGGTCAGGGGCCGTGGTCGAGGCTGACGCTGAGGCTGATGAGATGTATCGGTCATCTTCCCGTTGTCCTTGCCCGGGAGGGAGTGTGGTTGAAATGTGCCCGCGGCTTCTGCTGCTGAAGATTGCTCAGATAATATGTGTCAGAGAATCGACACCACTGGTCGTCCGTGGCCTTAGACAGAGCAAGGTTGCAATATCAAAGCCCGAAAAGCATTCGCCGCAACCGAACGGAGTACTGTATGACTTCCTCTACAAGTCAATGGCAAGGCGTGCAGTTGGTCGTCGTGCCCACTGTCCTTAGGAAAAGTGATACTGAAACACCGAATCTGCCAACAAACCTTAGAGAACCCAAGTGGCATTGCCAGGGCGTGATATATAATCCTCTGGGTTATATGTTCGTCAATCTCTAGCCAAACGCCAGTCTCTGCGGGTTCAATGACAGCGAGTCTAAAAGAGGCAGGTATCATAATACCAAAAAGGGAGCATACCGATCAGGAGTGGCTTACAAAGAAACTCGCTTACGCTGCACGGCGAAATGAGGAAATCAAAGTATCCAATAACATTTACTGCATAAGGAAAAAAGCACAGTACTCAATGAGTGGACTGGACTGGATGAGTAAGCCGCCCTCGTGTCCTTTTTCGCCGTCCTTCTTGCAGCTTTGTAGCGTGCAGGTAACGCGCCGTAGGATCCGGGAGTTGGTCGTCTTCTTCCTCCTGGTCCCAAGATGACATAAAAATCAACGACTCCGCCAAATGAGTGTAAGCTTGCCCGAAGACAAAGATGGTCAAACAGCGTCCGATGGACGGACCATCTGCCAGCTACCGCCTGGATAGAGCAGTAAATCATTCTTCCTTCCGCCCTTGAGCTTCCATCTTACTCCAACACTCCCTTGAGAATCTGTCCTCTGCGATAATAAGACCTGTCATCGTCGAGAAACCTCTCTGAGAATTGCCGAAACAATCGTGCAAATGTGCAACCAAGGGAAGAGACGCCTGCAGAACGGTAGTTTGATATGGTCGCCCTCGACAATCGTGGTTGGTGTCCTGTCCGCAACGTCAAAGATTATTCGACGAAGGATGTGGCTCCGTGTGTCAGTCAAAGACGACTACTGCTCGATGCATTGCTGCAAAAGAGATCCGGGTAGGTCTTTTCATTGTTGATGTGATTGTACCGTCGCAAGCCTGAAAATCTTGCGACCTCTGCAAGTGGCTTACGGCACGAATAGTCGACCTCTGCCTCGGCCTGAACCCGAACCACGCTCAAAACCACGGCCGTAACCTCCACGAGTGGAGGTCGTTCCACGAAGCCCTGCTGGAGGGTGGTTACCACGAGATCCTGATCCCGATCCCGATCCACGACCATTGGTGGCTTGGCTGGTGGGTTGATGGCCGTTGACGGCGACATTAGCAAGTGGAGTGCTACCTCGTGCGAAGCTGCCGCGGTCGAAAGAGTCTGGATCGATTTCCTCGACCGGGATTTGAGGCTTGGGCTGGATTTGCTGTGTAGGAGTGCTGAAAGAAACCCGTGGAGAACGACCATGATTTCCTTTGACTCGACCACTTCCAGTAGCGCTACCACGGGTAGATGGCGTGGCTCTGGCAGAACCTCGACCTCTCGGCTTGAACACAACTTCTTCATCATCGCTCTCGCCATCATGGTAGCTGAATAGTGTCTTTGGTTCGGACCGCGGAGTCTTTTTGATCGACTCCTTGCTAGCGCTCCCTTCACTCTTTGCATCGGTCTCCTCAATTCCCAATGCACTTCTCAATTGATGGATGTTCTTCGTTGGGATGCCGAAGTCGCGTGCCAGATGCATAGTATCGGCTGAATTCGTGAGGAAGACCAAGTCCTGATCTGCCGGCGCCTTCCTCTCGTGGACGTACCAGACCACAGGATTCAGTAAGGGTTTGAGCGAGGATGGGACGGGTGTTTTGTCATTAGCGATCAAAGTGGCAGACTTGACCTCGGGACTAGTCTTTGAGCTTTGCGGTCCAGATGAGGAAGGGGAAAGAGGTGGAGTTGAGGTTGGCGATGTTGCGGCTCGATCTGCTGCAAAATTGAGCTTGTCCAACAGCATCTGGGAAAGTGCACCTCCTGCTCCGTTGTTTGCCTTGATATTCAGCACAGCCTCTTCATCATGTGGTTTTGTCGCATCAGGTGCCGATACGTTGTTCTCCTGCGCAGCCAGGATGTCCGTGTCGTCACGCAGGTAATGCGCCTCCACTGCAGTCCAAGTTGGATATTCTTCATCGGGACCTTGTAGGATGACAGGATCTGCGGCCGAATCGTCGTGGGAAGACGTGCTGCGGTCGAGAAACTTGACAGCTTTGCGGGCATTCATACCGATCTGCGAAGAGTCTTTCTTGAGAACGTGTAGGCGGCCAATTGCTAAGCAAATTAGCACGAATGGAATCTCAGAACCATGTAGCCATACTGTAGAGGGGCACAACAAGACAGATTTTCCCTTGCGACACCCAGCTCTCGATTTCTGATATGTTTCTGCTCAGGATTGTATCGTCCACAATACAGTGGATGGGATTCTGTTGTGCCATGTTCTCGTCGTGGAATGTTATGAGGTGGGTTTCGAGTCTGCGCAAGAATGGTGAATCTCAAAATTCATTCGCGCGAGAAATGGAAGGCACGATAGCTAGGCGCTTCGACTGGTTGCTCCATGACATGTCAGCGTATGCAAAAGAAAATGTGCACAACAAGCGGCAATAGGTGCAGTCAAAAGGCAGGAAGCAGTGAAGGCGCAGTACCCTGAGTGATGATTGTGGCGTAAACCGTAGTAATAATGGTTGCGCATCTTCGCTATTGCCGAGTAAAGGTCTTGTGCTTGGAGCAAGAGGCCTGGATCATATGTGACGACATTTACAACACCGCTATAGCCAGACTGGTTGCTTTCTGGGGTGGTGAAGTGGAAGAGAGACCAAGTTTGTTGTGCGACGGTGGAGGTTGGAACTGAGGACCGCAGGGACACGGGAAACCCACTTTCTACCGCCGTACATGGATTTACTGACTTGCGGGTGGCCGCAGTAGTTCCAACACATCATCCATTCATCGCGCGCTTCTACTACCTAGTGCTGCTTGTGCTTATGGACATCCTCACAGGCTTGAGCGGGAACAGGAGTCACCGTCACAATCTGTGACTCTGGTGTATGGTGTATTGCGCTGGCTTACCCGTACACTCTGTCCAACTCTACCTAGAACACCGTCAAGCAGCTGACCGTGTCGTTCTTGAGCACTTCGAACAACATCCCTGGAAAGCCAAACAGCTCCGTGTTGCTCGTTCCTCCACCTATGTCGTCGGACTTGTTCTCGGCGCCTGTCTTGCCACGAGTGGGACTCTCTTCTAGATCGCCCAACAGCTCTATCGAACTCTCAGGGCTTTGCTCCCATCCTCTGTTGAGCACCATTCCTCGCTGCATTTGTTTCTCATCGTCGTCATCCTTATATGTACCACGCCAGATCTGTTTGAGTGACGACGAGAGTTCAGTGAAAGGCATCTCTGAAGTTAAGTTGGGCCCTTGACCCTCGCTAGAGGTTTGTATCACCCAGCGACTCCTTCGATGTCGGTTGAAGGAAAAGGAGCCTGGAATGTTTCCGTGTAGGAAGATTTTGGCGGCCACAAGCTGTGCACTTGACCATCTTGGAGGTTCGGTGCCTTGTATCCCGGGGAAAGGTGGTGACCTGGAAGCTGGGGAAGAGATGAGCACATCGAATCCATGGTGGAAATAGTTATAGAAACAATCGTCGTTCGAACCATCTTGTCGATTGGGGTCAACGTCTCCATCAATGTCGGACTCCTCGGTATAGCTCTGTATGGATGACTGATCAGTGTCTGCGCCCTGAGGGTCGAGAGCTGGAGACATGCTGGGCACCCTACGACCCGATGGCTTACCCGCAGCATGGATGGAGATCCGCCGGTCATGCTTACGGTAGATGGCATCCGGTGGGCCTAATTCTGCCACGAGATCCTGCGGGGTGGTCTCGCTCAGGATGATGCTGAAAGGTGGCAAGTTCCTCCGTACCAACTCGACTCGGCCAGCGCCCAGTACCCTTACCTCCTCAACCTCATCAGCAATCGTCTCTGCAGGTTTTCCCACTAGCGATGATAATCGTGGATAAGTCGGAGGTTTTGCGTAGAGATTTGTTCTCGCTTCAGTCCATGAGGACCCAGGGAAGATAGCCATGGATATTGCCGGCCCCGTAGCGTTGGAGGAAAGTATCGACACGAAATCCACTCGATCCGACCATGATTGATGCTGCACAGGAAATGTGAAGGCTAGTCCTGGGTATGACAGAACATATGTACCCGTTGCTTGTCCTGACTCAGGAGGCAAATATTCACCCGCATATGTCGGCCCAAAAAGTCGACTGTAGATGTGTCGAAATGTAGGACCGGAGGGAGGGGAAACGTCTTCGGAATTGGTTTCGTCAGAATTCTTACTTCGACGGACCAAGTCGGTGTTTTTGTAGACCAGACTAGTCAAAGAAAAATCCAGAACCTCAATGAGTCGTAGTCTTTGGTCTGGACCATCAAATCGAAGTCTCAGCCCATTGTAAGGGAGGCTTAGGATGACAGGTTGTGTTATCGGTTGTGAAGCAGCATATGACAGATCAAGGTTGGGATATGTCTGTGGTGATGCTTTTAACCTTGTGATAATGCTATGCATTGATGATCCCAGGGCTGAAGCGGTCAGCATGCGACGAGGATGCGGCAGGAGAATGCATACTTATCCAGCCGACACCCCTTTCCGGTTGTATCTGGAGAGCGAGCTTGGGTGAAGGCTCGTTCATTGTGGACGGCGCATATCGGAATAAGGGAAATCAAGTTGTGAGATGGACGAGGACGGATGGGTTTAATGACGACGTAAAGGTTTCATGTACTGTTCGGGTCACAATAGCTCTTGTGAAGGGAGTGAGGTTCATCATCAGGTGGACATGTAAATGAGGGGAAGGCTGTGCACACAAGGCTGCATCACGTGCCATTGACTTTTGTTTACTTCATCCGTTTTCGGTCGTCGGCTATTCGCCCAAGGGCTTTCCCTTGCAAACGCAACTGACGCAACTGACGCAACTGCCACAAATTCCTATTCATGTCTCCATGTTTTTGAACGGTGTTTCTGTGTCTTTCTGCATGTTTAATATTGGATTTGAAGACTCAAACGAGCCCCATCGCCCATCATGGGCGGGCCGCGAAGACCTACCATTACAGCGACTCGAAGTTCAATGCGCCCTCCTCCCAGACCAAATCTTCCCCAACATGCCTCAATGACTGGTCGCGCTCCGTCCCCAGCAGATTCAAGCGCTTCAAGTAACAATTCTGGTGCTGGAACGAAGAGGAAGGAAAGAGACTTTGAACAGGATCATGGAGAAGAGACGAACATTCATGTGGTGGTGCGATGTCGTGGGCGCAATGACCGGGAAGTCCGTGAGAACAGCGGAGTGGTAGTATCAACAACAGGAGTCAAGGGTAAAAACGTCGAGTTGTCCATGGGACCCAATGCGATCAGCAACAAGACATACCAGTTCGACAAGGTCTTTTCCCCGGCAGCAGACCAGGCCATCATTTTCGAAGATGTGGTTGCGCCCATTCTGAGCGAAATGCTTACCGGATTCAATTGCACGATATTCGCGTATGGTCAAACTGGTACAGGAAAGACTTATACAATGTCCGGCGACATGACGGACAGTCTAGGTTTACTGTCCGACGCCGCCGGTATTATACCTCGAGTATTGTCCACGCTCTTCCAGAAGCTCGAAGCAGACGAGGTGGAATGCTCAGTCAAGTGCTCCTTCATTGAGCTCTATAACGAGGAATTGAGAGATTTACTTGCGGCGGACGACAGTGTTAAGCTCAAGATCTACGACGATGCCAACAAAAAAAGCCAGACGGCGACAATGGTCCACGGAATGGAGGAGTCGTATATCAACAGTTCGTCAGCAGGGATCAAGCTTCTCCAGCAAGGCAGCTACAGGCGTCAAGTGGCCGCAACAAAGTGCAACGACCTCAGTTCTCGAAGCCATACCGTTTTCACAATCACAACCTACATCAAGAAAGTCAACGAGACGGGGGAAGATTACATTTGTATAGGCAAACTCAATCTCGTCGACTTGGCGGGAAGTGAAAACATTCAGAGAAGTGGTGCGGAGAACAAGAGAGCCGTCGAGGCTGGTGTGATCAACAAGAGCCTGTTGACACTCGGTCGGGTAATCAATGCCCTGGTCGACAAAAGTCCGCACATTCCCTACCGAGAATCAAAACTTACGAGACTGCTACAAGACTCACTAGGTGGAAGGACAAAGACTTGCATCATTGCGACAGTGTCGCCGGCTAGAAGCAATCTCGAGGAGACCATATCTACACTTGATTACGCCTTTCGTGCGAAGAACATCCGAAACAAACCCCAAGTCAATTCAACGATCTCCAAGCAGAGGTTACTTAAGGAGTTTACTGTGGAGATTGAAAAGATCAAGAGCGAACTGATTGCCACGAGGCAACGCAATGGCGTATATCTTACGAATGATCAATATGAGGTGCTTACTGTGGAAAGCGAGTCACGGAGGATACTCAGTGAAGAGCAAAAGGCACGCATTGAAACGATGGAAATCAGCCTTCGCAACAAAGTGCAAGAACTATTTAGCCTCACCAACAATTTTACCATGCTGAAACGAGACACCGAAACGACACGAGCAACATTGGCGAGTACCAAAGATGTGCTGGTGAAAACCGAAGCCGTGCTTGCGGATACTCAACGGTCCCTAGCGGAGGAGACTGTCCTCCGGGAAGCGCATGAGGCCACAGAAGGAAGGCTGTTGGACATCGGCACAAGGCTGGTCTCTACAGTTGGCATGTCCACTCACGATGTCAACGGCCTTCAAGCAGGATTAGAACGGCGGTCCAATCTTCACAACCAGAATCGTAATGCTTGGACAGCCTCGGTTGACCGTGTCAATGATGTGTCCGACCTAGTCGAGGCTCGAATGAAGAGCTTTCAAGCAGAAAACTCTGACATGATTCGAAGCAGTCGGGAGCGTATAGACACGTTCGTATCGACGCAGAAGATGCACCTCGAAACCTCAGCAAGGCTAGCCCTGTCCAAAGCATCGGACGTTGAGAAGAGTTGTGCCGCGGTCGAGGTCCAATCCGGCAAAGCCCGGGACGACATGAATACTGTACTTGAAGAGATCAAGGACCTACGCGAAAACGTCAAGGAAAAAGTGGCTGAAGGTCTTCAAGGACTGTCGCAAGCTGCAGCCAAGATAGCTGCAGAAGTCATTTTGGAGCTTGAAGATTTTCATACGCAGCTGCACACGTCCTACAGTGGTCTCGGCAAGGATATCAAGAATATGTTCGATGAGCTTACCAAGCAACTCTCTGCCCAGCGTGAGGAAGCGGATGCATTGAGATTTGCGCTACAAGCGGCGAATAGAGCGAACATTGAGGCTCAACTGGCGGCAGCTTCTCAGCTTCAGTCGGTTAAGGACGAAGAGAAAAGAGTGTCGAAAGAGGAGAAGGAAATGCTGAAGGAGCAAATCTTCCGCCTGATCGATTCATCTTCTCTACGACAGGAGGAAAGATTATCAGACCGTCTGATTAATGCTCAGACTAACCTCGTCGACGCGGCGGAGCAGTTTGAGAGGGCCGACAAAAGTTATCTAGAAGGAATGGACAAGTGGACAGACAATGACATTAATCTCATGACGAAGGTTGTCAGATGCAGAGAAGATATCAAGACCAAGATGAAAGGAGACTGGATGGTATGTTGTGTCTCACGGCAAAAGAAAAGCACTAACTGTGCCTACAGGCGGTTAACACACGAAGCAATGCCATTCAAAAGTCAACCAGAGCAATTCACGAAGAGACTGGCAAAATCGTTGATGCTCAGCTCGGGCGAGTGGCTACTCAGATGGGTGACTTGGATGAATTTGTCGGCAGAGCAAGATCTCAAAACGATTTGTACCACCAGCAGCGAACTGAGGGTCTGACCAGCATGGCGAGCAATGCTAGAGCTGGCTTCGTTCAGCTTGAGAAAGACTTTAACGACTGCAAGACGTCGACTGAGAGCTTCGGCAATGCGAACACCTCACATGGAGCGGACATGGAGGCACTCGCCGCTTCACTGGAAGATGATGCTAAGCCATTACTCGAAGATCTACAACACGTACTCGCCAACTCGATGTTCGCCGATTATAAGCATACAGGAGAGACGCCCCAGAAGCGCGAGTGGGACTATCCCACAAATCTACCACGGACGGAACGTCACGACTCTATCATTGCAAGACTTAGGGGTCTCCCTGACCCGGCCGCAGTCAGAAAGACGCCATTGACAAGCAAGACACCTGGCCGATCACCACAGAAGCAGACGTCTCCTAGGAAGGGATTCGGCTCTCCATCGAAAGCGCTGAGTCCAAGCAAGACGAAAGTCTTTATGGATGCTGAAGTGCCCGCTGCCAGAACCGAAGAGAGTCAGACTAGCAGTTTCACGGATCTGGGTGAGCAATCGAAAGCTGGGCTCAAAGAGGTCGATATCAATGTCATACCACGGGCTCCGACGACAAATGTGTCAGCCAATGCCGATGACAGACCGGTCTTACTCGACTTTAGTAAGAGTCTGGGTAGTGGTGCAGGACAGCCGCCGTTGAAGAGACATGCAACGACCAATGCGATTGTGGAGAGCAGATTGCCTACGAAATTGAGTCGGGCGAAGAGCACGGCTGCAGGGATGGCCATGGGTTTAGGGTTCGAGAATTTCGGGCGGAGTGTCGGTTCGGTAGCTGGTGGGAGGAGGTTGAGAAGTAGTCCTCCTAATTGATCTGATCGTGTGGGAGTATGTCTGGTAGCTTTTACAATGGCCGGGGGAAAGCGAGGTGTTGTGGTGGTTTTCTTTCTTTCGTTGAGTTGAACACTTCATGAGATACCCCCTTCTGCTGTTGGACACGGTCGTTGCTTGGATAGGTCAGGGAACAGAATGAAATCAGAATCTACGGATTGGAGTCGAGACTTCGCAGCACATGAACTCGACCATGGCAACAGTGACCTAGACCGTAGACAAGGAGAATGCCGCTCGCTTTGAGAGTTTGTCAGACTCTCTATAGGTTTATTAGTGGATGGGACGCAGTCCCTGTACAGTCTTGTATGGGTATATAGCAAAGCAACGTCACGGTCATCAAACACTGGCGTCAACAGCGGCTGCACCGCTGTCCCTCGAGCCTGTAGTAACACCCGCAGTTTCTCCTGCACCACCAGGTCCACCTCCACCCAGGGAACCAGCCTCCATGACTTGCCTGATGTCCTCGAGCCTACGCTGAAACCGCTCAATCATTTCCTCCATACTTTCCTTCTCAGCGGCGGGGGCATCGCCAGGTGTATTTCCCCGACCCTCGATGCGCAACATGAGCGAGGTATCGTCTTCGCCTGCGTCCCCCATCGTCGGCGCCGCGGTGATGCTCGACCTTAGCGCTTGCCAGTCTGCGCTGAAACTCTGGGCAGAAGTCACTTCGTAGGTCATTCTCGCACCCGAGGAGTCTTGTGGTGGTGGATGTGTGCGTGGATGCACGTCCAGAACTAGATAGTGTTCGCGCATGCCGGCAGTAGGAGCAGGGAGACGAGTGGCGGTGTCATCGTGCTCGCTCTCGTGCGCATGCTCGTGCTGTGCCACACTCGCCTGCTGCTGCTGCGGATCCAATGTCTCGAGTGATCGACAGGCTGCTTCGGCGATAATGTCCGAGTCATCATCGGCGAATATATAGTGCACAGTCGGGTGATGATGTTCGTTCGAGACGCTGTCCTCGATCAGGGTGAAGAAGGGCTGAAAAGAAGGTATGGCATCGGTCTTGACATCGGCAGCATATTGCTCGGACTCGTCGCCTCCATCCTCACCTTCGACGACCGCGTGCTCCGAGTAGTCGATCTGTGAGTGCCGAGTCGTAGCAGATGCAGATGCAGACTGGTGCGAGGCTACGATGGGGTCGTCCTCGAAGTGTGGAGAGGGAAGGAGGCTGCGGCTCTGGCTGCTATGAGGACCGCTGGTTCGCCGCAAGGAGGACTTTGACGGCGAAGACGAGTGTGTTGGGACTTGACGGGGCTGGGACATGTCCTGGTTCTAGATGGCGGACTCCGTGGCTACATTGTGATAGCCACGGTTGATGGACAGCGGGTAGGGACGTTAGTGGTGTGGGTTGATTGTTGGGCGCATGCAAGGCAAACAAACGGCGGAATGGACATTGGGTGTTGAATCATGCAGCCTCGTCTATATGATCAGATAAGATTAGATCATCCCGCAAGGCTGTCATCAAATTCTTGCCGACCTCCGCCGAGGGAATATGATTCATGACCACATCCCGTCTGCTTATATAGCATTTCGCCTCTTTCAATCATCAGTACATCTTACAGAATGTCAACATATCGGCCGATGACTTTCATCGACTCCTCACTTCAGACGTGATCAGATCAGCTTGCAACGACAATGGAGGGGAAGAAGATCGTAGTGGTCGGCGCCGGTCCTGTGGGCTCATTGGCAGCACTGTATGCCTCGCAGCGAGGTGCCGAAGTGGAAGTCTATGAACTTCGTGATGGTATGTTCGCTTGTATCTTGTCCATCAAACCAAGCCACTCCGTCTCATTCGCAGTGCACCGCTCCTTCTTGCGTCAGCTAACATTGCCTTTGTTGCACCAGATCTACGAAACGAGGAGACCACGCCTCTCAACTTCACAAAGTCCATCAACCTAGCTCTATCCGAGCGAGGCATCAATGCTCTTCGCTCGGCCGGTAATCCAGAGCTTCTGCAAGCTATTTTGTTGCAGACAATCCCGATGTATGGGCGCATGATCCATACACGCACATCAACCGGAGCACTTTCAAAACAGTCTCAACTCTACGATGTACACGGCCGATTCCAGCGTTCCGTGGACCGAGGTGGTCTCAATCGAGTCCTCCTCGACCACCTCGATTCTTTGCCCAATGTCAAACTTTTCTTCCAACACAAGATGACTGGCGCAGATTTCCGCAAGAAAAAGGCCTGGTTTGAGATCAAGGACCCGACCGATTCAGTCTACGACAGACCAAGAGAAGTCGAGGTGGACTTCGATCTTCTCATTGGCGCTGATGGGGCTCATTCGTCTACACGATACCACATGATGAAATATGCTCGCACGGATTACCATCAAGAGTACATCGACTGCCTATGGAGCGAGTTCACAATGCCGCCCAATGAGTCCGGGGACTTTGCCATCTCGCCTAATCACCTTCATATCTGGCCTGCCGGGAGTTTCATGTTCATTGCTCTTCCCAACCTTGACAAGTCTTTTGTCTGTACATTCTTTGGGCCTGTTGAGCTGTTTCAAAGACTAGAGAACGGCTCAGATGACGACTTCATCTCCACCTTTGACGAGTACTTCCCTGGCGTCACTACCTATATTCAGCCTGAGGACCTGGTGTCTCAATTCAAGCGCAACCCACACTTGCCGCTCATCAATATCAAATGCTCGCCACACCACTACGGCGACAGCGTTGTCATCGTGGGCGATGCCGCCAATGCCATGGTTCCCTTCTATGGTCAGGGCATGAACGCTGGCTTGGAGTCTGTCCGAGTACTGTTCTCCAAGCTCGATGAGAATTCAGACATTGCAGAAGCGCTTGCAGGTTACACCACGGAACGTACGACCGACGCACACACGATAGCCGAACTTGCCCTTGGGAACTACACCGAGATGCGATCGTCTGTGACCTCCCCATTGTACAAATGGCGCAAGTACATTGAGGAGACTCTAGACAAGTACTTCCCGAGCCTCGGATGGGCCACCCAGTATTCCAGAGTCAGCTTCAGCAACATGAGGTATAGCGATGTGGTCCAGTATTCGAAGAGACAGAAACGTATCCTAACGACCTTCTTCCTGTCACTGGCAGCAATCGCCGTGGCAGGTCCGAGCGTTGCACTGTGGTTCTATCTGTACAGATACAACCGGCAGAGACGCTTCAAGCTCTCATGGTCTCCGAAATCACTTACCGCCTTCCTCAACTCGACTTGATGTCTGAAAAAAATCATGTGCGGCAGAATGATGTCTCTGATGGGCGGTCAACTCACCTTCATCATCCCTCACCTATCTCCCACAACTCAGTGGCTCTTTACTAGGATTCATCCCCACCTCACCTCAACTCACCTCACATTGTCTCTCAGCCTCGGCCTCCTGCGTCAGCGGATCGCTTGTACGTCGTCGTCGTCACATCTGCTCGCCAACATGTCGATCGTGAAGAAACGTAACGTTCGACACGGTCACCCAGCTAGGTATCGCCTACGCTCGAGTGTCAGCCACGCAGCAGGAGCGGCACCACGCTTGATCAGGAGGAACACGGCTTTCGTCGTGTCTCGCGCAGTGAGTTGACCGCCGTCAACTTCCACTTCGACAGCTTTTTCTGATGACCTTTAGATACTCACCAACATCAGACCTGCTCGGGTGCGCCGAACTCGAAGTGGAGAGGCGACGGGACCTGACCCAGACAGACCAACAATCCTCAGTCTTCCGAACAATGTGCTCTTGGACGTCCTCAACTCTCTAGACGTGCCTTCAAGGATTTGCATGGGTCTCACCTCAAAGTTCTTCGCTCAAATGGCCGGTATGGTCGATACAGCTCTTGACGATCAAGCAAGCATTGTCAAATTTCACCGTCGTTGCCCACTTCCACCATGCATGTACACTACACACCTCAGCGACCGACGCATCTTGCTTCTGACCTTGAGGTCATACATGCCTTGGAATTACCGATTGTGTTGGAAGTGTGTCAAATATACCAAGATCAGCGATTCAAAATGGTTCTTTACCACCAGGATTCGGCTCGACGGTCTCGACGGTCTCAATCTTGATTCATTCAAGAATATCCGCTCAGACAACAAGATATGGGCCCATGCTGACTGTGTCATGTCTGGAACACACCTGGCTATGTGGGCCATCATGACACCAGGCGCCTGCGGCGGCTTCTGTAAATTTCTCGGAACTACTACACCATTAGTGGGAGGTCATTTGTACCACCATTGTTGATGCGAGACGGTTGATGTGCAAATGCGAAAGAATTAAATGAGTATGAAAACCATTGGACCTTGGCAAAGAAAGGAGTACAAAAAGGCCTTGTTGGGGCAGGTCTGCCGAGCAGAAGACGTGAATACAAAGAGCTTCTCACATGGTCTACGTATCCCAATAGCCGTTGGGGACGGTGGTCGTCATGCCTGCACCGGATGCCAAAAAAACAGGCTGCGGATTCTGGTTGTGCGACGGCGCCTTGAACCTAAGGCGTTCGTGACTGACATCGCTATGTGCTATTGCCGTTGCAAAGGGTCGTCACGCTGTCGCTATCGACCCCAACTCCATCGGTCGCCTTGGTGCGTTTCCGAATGACATCGCTAGATGCCGATATCGTTCAACGGGGTCGCCGCGCTATCGATACCGACACCTAGGGCCCTAATCACCATAGGGCGACGACCTACGGTAAGTCGTGAGATGTTTGCGATGGCGTTTAGTGCGTTCTTGAACCACACCGCCAGATACTATCTTCGTTCGAAGGGGTCGCCGCGCTAACGCTATCGCCCTCGATGTCCACCGGTCATTGTGCGGCGGCGACCTACGATAAGTGATGAGGTACCAGCGATACATGTGGTCGCCGTTTTGCCTATATCGATGAACAACGTGGCATGCTCTTGAATCATATCGCCAATATCGTGCCCGTTCGAAAGGGTCGCCATGCTATCGCCACCGCTGAATTATCTATGAACTGTTTGATACGTTCTTAAATCATATCGACAAATGTAGTGGCTATTCTTAACGGTCGCCGACCTGCTACCACCGACATCGCCATCGATGAACTGTTTGGTGCGTCCCCTGAATCACATTGCTGAACACTGTTGTCGTTCGCAGAGGTCGTCACGCTATCGTTATCGATCCCTTGCTCCATTGGTCGCTTCGGTGCGTTCTTGAGTCACATTGCCATTCATCGTTGCCACTCCTACGGGTCGCCACGCCGTGTCCACCGACATCCATGTCCAGCAATCGCCCCACGTTATGGCGCTTAAAGGAGAGTCTGCCTTACTGATTAACATACCATGCCATAGGGCGACGTGATCTCATCGCTGGACTTATCAACGCATTGCGAATTGCTATCGATTCACAGCAGAAGGCCATCACAAACATATTCCAGCATTCAGGTGACACAGGTCATTGTTCCGCCTGGCCGTGCTAAGACCCTAGACAACCGTCCTTACAAAAGAGGCTTTCTTGAGATCTTTCCCGCTCAAGAAGGTGCTTACCAGAGCCCCACTGAATGGCGCTGTGGACGAGATTGAAAAGAAGCCCTCGGACCGTCGTCCGCTTATACCCATAACCTTGGACTTTGTTCATTTGGTTTTGTGGATTCCGGCAGGAAACCGTATAGCTGAAAAGGCCACCTCGCTGGAATCTGCAGCGACTGGCGGCAAGTCGTGAGGCATTATACTGGACCCTGCTAACCACCCTTCCAGCTGCAAACCATACGGCGTGGCCAAGGTCGATGCAACCGCTAAGATTTTCCTGGGGTCCTGAGGGAGGACGCTTCACTCTTGCCAACATGTGAGGTTGAGGAGGAAGACGAGGAAGACAATAAAGGAGATGACGAAGAAAGCGATGACGATGAAGATAGCTCTACGAGCGACAACTCGGATGACACACACAGATCTGCAGTACCGTCGATGGGTTCACAAAACCCAGCTACATTACCTCCGCTGACCCTTGCGCTGACCCTTGCGCTGACCGAAACGTACTCCACGGACGTGATATATCAGATTCGTGATAAGTTCATAACGCAACTTGCCAGCGTCGATATCCACAAGGTACCGCACTTCTTGCACCCCAATAGCAAGCTGAAGGGCACGGCGCCCCAAGAGGGCAAATTCAGCGCTGAACAAATACGCTCAATCACCAACCTTATCTTCGTGGAAATGCTAGGCCAGTCGACTTTTAATCGCCTCACTCAACTGGTTAAGTGGTATAACCACACTACTAGTAGCGACCCCGGTGTTGTCCTTCCTGCGAAGAATACCGCCGTGGACCAGAATCTTCCGGAGATCTGTCGCTACCTCTTCTTGGCTTGGGCAAGAGCAGAAGAGTCTACTGTGAGGGAGAACAACTTCTTCCGGGCTATCCAAGGGCACACCGCCAGGTTCGAAATCAGCCACTACTACCGAAGCCTAATCAAGGCCGCCCAGAAGGACACCTATTATGATGTTAGACGTACCCTCGTCGAACACGGATACCATATGAAATCTACATGCGCCGCGTTGGTTCGACCATTCCTAGCTGTTGAAAGAACCGATGCTGGCCAAGACTTGCGCCGGTGTCCGCCTCTCCATCAAGCTCGCTGCTACCAGAAACGATTCGTTCCAACAACGCATCGAGAGTGCCATTGGAATCTACGCAAGGACCAACAGACAAGAGATGTCAGTTGAACAAAGAGTTGGGGGCACGGATCTATCAAGACCTCCCTGGCCATCTCAGGCGACTCATCAACGACATCTTCGGCCAAAATACACAGAAGATCGGCACCTTTTAGGAGAAGAAGCTTGGAGTTCGTGCCCCTGGAAAACAATGATGATCGTTACCTTAGTGGAGGCTGCGAGTGACATCAGCACTGCCAGTCACGATTCAAAGCGGTCGCCGTCCTGCCGCCATCGAGGCCTAGTTTGTTGCTACTAGAACATATCGTCAAATGTCGCTGGGTCATTACGCCGTGGCTATAAGCCCCTAAGTCCACTGGTCGTCATAGGGCGGCGACCTACAGCAACTCATAAGGTGTTAGCAACACTGACAAGGAGCACATTGTCTTCAAACGCGCATTGTGCAATGTAGATTGTATAGACTCAAGGCGGTCGTGAAACGACATCGATAGACGATGCGTTGCCATTCCACACGGTCGTCGCTATGTCACGACCAGGAAAGTGCTTTGTGGGTTCTTGCATCACATCGCGTTGTCGTTGAAATGGGTCGGTCTCCAATCTCCACCAGTCAGGAATAGTAATGTCATTTCTTGTTCATGCTATTGTGCTGCAAGCACCTAATCGCTATCAAACGACACACATAATGTCATAACCATAACCAAGCGCCTATCGCTATGCTGTATACCTTTGCGTGAAACACTCCAAGCTATGCAATGCACAGCCGTAATGATGAAATTGTTCCTCATGTGAGAATCTGCAGCTCGTTCTCACCTTTGTCTCCGTCCTTATCACCCTCAATCTTCAGCACTCTTCGCTCAACCTTGGCCGGCTTGATCTGATGCCAACAATTGGGAGCTTCAAGCACATATCGATTCATAGCTTCCCTGAATCGCCTCTTATACTCTTTCGGACTTGTGACGGTAGGTCTGTTCTTGCCTCCTCTTGCAAAACCACGATCCTTGATCCAACTCTCCAGCTTCTTGTCCCATGTATACGTGCGAATGCAATCGATGATTCCCACGACGAGCTCCTTCCGAACCTCATCGATCGCGACCATGAGACTGTAGTCCATCACGTTCTGGCGGGCAAGGAACAACGTGTCATTGTGTACAGATGATCGGATGAGTTTTTTGCTGTGCTCACGAGTGAAGAGCGGCGACTCGTATATGAACTCGACCATGTTCTCGTCAAGAAGCACTTCATTCTTCTCGCCAGTGGCATTGATCTTGCGATTCCGCATACTGCCTTTCAAATCGAAGATGCGCGTAGGCACCCTGTCATAAAACAGGTTTTCCATGAGTAGCAGAAACCAGTTGAACTCCACGCCAGTCACAGGATTCTTGATGATGATCTGGTAGAAGCCGAGCATTTTGGCAATGACGGACGGTAGTTCGTGGAAGAATGCCTCCGACATGATCTGAAAGTAGTTCGGGGCAAATTGAAGAAACGACTGCGTCTCGATCGGTGACAGCGATTTCAGAACAAATCGGTCGTCCAACGTCTTCAAAAAGACGGACTTGGTCTTGCCGCCTTTCGAATCCCATTTGGCACACCGGGATAGTGACTCCACGATTCTGTCAGCCACGCCACATCTTCTGCGTACAGCATCAAACTGCTCGGCGAAGAATATTTTACACAACATTTTAGCCGGACCTTCTTGAAACTGATACTTCAAGTGAGTGCCAGTCTTGCGCAACAGAGAGTGCATGACATCGGCTTGCGGATCGTCCGAATGTGCAGCCATTTCCGCAGTAACACTGTCACGCGCAGGTCGACTCTGCAAGTCGTGCAACATTGTCTGGTAATCATGGGATTCAAGGGCAAAGGCAATGATGGAGCTAGGTTCATCTTCACGGACAATGATGTCGCAGTCCGCAAAAATGTGCTCAGATGCGCCAAGAGGATATTCCAGAGCAGTCCACCCACTTGAGGAGCGTTCGGCCCAGAAGTTGGTCAACATCTTCATTAATGAAGTGCGTTCATGCTTGGGCAACTCTTTGAGGTCCATGTCCTCTTGAGACATGCGTAAGAGGTCTTCAGGTGAATCAGGCAAGTAGATCTCCTCTGATGCTTCATCAACCTCGCTCTGATCTTCGGCTTCCGAAGGGGCGTGACTTGAAACTTGGGCATCTGCCTCGTTCTCTGTCACATTTGCAAGTGCTTCGCTGGCCCGACGAGAGGAAATCTCCTCATGGGCGACGTTGACCTCCGCCATGCCTTCAACGGTGTCTGCCGTCTTCTCGACCTCATCGGGCAGTTCATCCGCACCGAAGACGTCGTCAGAGTCGCCTCGTTCGTCCACTGCTTCGTCAACATCTCTATAGACCTCCACAATAGGTTTTGACACGGCCAGTGGGTATATTCTGGATTGTCTGTTTCTTGCGGCCCGTTGTTTTCGTTCTTTGATTCGCTCTCGTTCGAACTCGCGACTTAGTTGTTCGAAATGCTTTGCGAGATTTGATACGCGGGACTCCTTGCGGGGTGGGATGGCCCTTGGGATCAACGACTGACTTTTGGTGAAGCTGCTCCTCTTGAGATGTGCAAGTCCAAGTCGCTCTGTAAGCTTTTTCTCCGGAGCCTGTAAGGTGGATTCAGGGTTGATAGGTGATATGGACGGGCTGAGCTTAGGGTGCGCAGCCCCAAACCCGTTCATTGCGTTGATCGCAGACAAGGTGCTGGAGCTCGCTTGACCAGCGTTCTGGCGGAGAGCAATTGATCCTGCTGGCTGAGATTGGGCACGTGCCAGGACAGGGGAACTCGCTTTGCCATCTGAAGTCCGCCGCATTGTGTAGGGCGCAATTGCCTCGTCGATGACTCTCAGTGGCAAATCAATTGCGTCGCTCTTAGGGACCGAGATGACTGTACCGGAAGCACCAGAGCTTCCTTCATTTGCCTCATGTTCGGAAGAAGCGATGGGAGATTGCCCTGGACTTGTATCTATGGCTCCTGGCGACCTCAGAGGCGCCGAGACTTCGACAGTGGTTTCACCTCCAGGCAGAGTCACTTGCTGAGGTGGCGATGCTATGGCCAGATCAAGATGCTTCACGTCTTCGATGTTTCTTGGGCCATCAAGCACAGAAGGAAGATTTTGCACTTCGGACCTTGTGACTTCGGGAATAGCCGAGGATTGCTCCTCTGGCGCTGGAGGGTTCGATCGTTCTTCAAGAACGGATTGGAGGACATCTTGCGTCTTCTCCGGAGACAATTTAGATCCCCTTCGAAGCTCGTTGTTCAGGAAGTGCGCCTCCTCAGTATTTCCCTTTTCGTCAGTAACCTCTTCTGCAGAAGGTGTTGTTGTTTCTTCGTCGTTCGTGGTCAAGGAGGTCACAGAGACATCACGGTCCAAGAAGATCTTTTTCAATTGTAGCGTAGCGAGTCTTCTGATATCCTTTTCGGAGGGGAAGAATTTACTTTCAAAATCCCCAAACACAGTGTCCCATTCAGACACCTTTTCTTGAGTCTCTCGAATGATTCCGTTGAAAGCGATTGTTTCCCAGTACCTGGAATTGGTATATCTGTCTTGAATCTGCTTGATAAGACTGGCATGCTCCTCATTAGCTTTCTTCGTCAGCTTCTCAATCTCGGCGCGGCATGCGTCAGCGGTTTCAGGAAGTACTGCATCGATGTTGATGTGTTTCAGACGTAGTTTGACGGACACCATGAACCGAGTGATTCGGTGCTCTAGACGGGTGTACACTTCGTTTTTGAACTTCAGATCATTGTCGACTTTCCAGGTGATTCTCATCCTCGGGACAATAATCTCCAGGAGATCAATCGTGTCATAATGCACGCGAAGTGCGAAGTCCTTATAGCCAAAGTAGCGTAGGTGATCCCTGTGTAGATCATGGGGGCAAATGCCGGCGCGAGCATGGAGATCTGCACTCCAGAACGATAGTTCGAGGTATTTTCCGAAGGAGTACTTCCAGCTGCTGGTTGACATGGGAGTCACGGTTGTCTCAACTCCACAGATCTTGCACTGACTCCACATCAAGATCGAGTCCTGAAAACCACGCATCTTTGCCGGATAAGGTTGGACAAAGACAGTGACTTGTGCCTCTCCGTGGACGTACTGACGATGGTGCTCATGCATCTTCTTTTCACATGCATCAGAGTGGCACTCTTCATTCGCTCGATAACATAGATCTTCGACATACTGTCCGAGTGTACAGTCTGCCTCGAACTCGGCCTCTGTTTCGTGTTCGTTGTAGAAGGCGAAAGCCAGTAGATCTGGACCAGAACATGGTACTGAAGTCTCTGTCGACACCAGACTGAACAGGACAACAATATTTTGATGAGCAAACGGATCGAATAGGTTACGATTTCCGGATAGATATGTTTCCCATTGCTTTTTCTGTGTTTCGTAGTTGTAAGCTGCCTTGTCATATTCGGCATCATGCACTGCATGAATGATTTCTCGGACTTTTCTGCTGGCTCCAGCCAGTGGCCGATGTACCATTTCAGGTTGAATCAGCGTGAATTTGGCAGATTTACCCTTGTCATCCATCGCTTGCTCGGTGGATAGGTCTTGATCTCGAAGTCTCTTCAGATATGCAACACGCCTTTCCAATTCCCTTGCACGCATGAGCAGGTAGGGTTGCGAGAACTTGACGAATGGGGAGGCAGAGAGTATTCGAGTTTCATGCTTGATCACAAGGTCTTCATAAAACATAGGCACGGGTACATCATCGGGGATATGCATCACTGACTCTGTGCTGTCCATTCTCACTGCCGGGACAAGATGACCTTCTTTTTCGGAGGAGACAACATCAGCATTCGAGACGTCCCCATCTGCCTTCGGTCGCGCTTCACTAGTGATCGTCTGCTCATCGGCTCTTCTGGACGGCTCACCGCCGTCCTTGTCTTGCATGGCAACCTTTTGCGCGAGATTATTCGGCGTTGTAGCAGTCTCGGCGCTCTGTCCGGTCGGTGCGCTTGGTATTAGGGCCCACTCATCTCGCATCAAACAAGTCTCGAGTTTCAGATTGTAGACAACATATACCATGAACTCGGTAACATGTTTGATCTTGGCGAGAGTTTGACGATCTGCTCCACGAAGGGCGATCGTACATCCAAGCTGCGGAGGGCAACCAGAAAGGTAGACGTATGTTTTCTTCCGTCCCTCCGCCATAAAAGTCTTGATCTCGAAGGAGTCGCATTGCCCAAACAAGTCCGTCTGCGATGTGAGTCTATCTATTGAGTGGACAACCCGAGCCTGAGTACATCTTGAGACTGCTTCCAGTACTCCAGACTTCACGTTGAAAATAGTCGTGATATTGGCTTTCTCAAGAAGTTCGAGGGCCAGACGAGAAATGTTCCGTTGTGCAAGTAGGACGTCGGGTTTAAGGGCAGCAATGCGACCAACAAGATTACCAAGGTACTCTCGCTCTTGCCTGATGACGGGATCTAAGCTTAGAAAATGCTGCTCGTGCCTGGCATATTCGAGTGCGAAGGTGATGACCAGAATTTTTGGATTGGCATGAGAACGGGCCATGCTTTTCAGAGCCACGTTCTTAGTGAACACCAAACCGGAGATGTAGGACGTGTCTCCAGGTTTGCCTCCAGGGATCTTCTTTAGTTTTACATAGTTGCGTATGTCGATGTCGTCCCCGCCGTGTACATCAGGATCAACGTCGTCCGTCGCCCTCAATAAGATAGGGACAAGCGCATCTTGCCAGCTGGATGCCTTCGGTATGTTTGCATCTTTCAGGAGTTGCTGAAGGAGCTTATGCACATGTTGAATACTCGCGCGATTGAGTTCCATTGCAGGGGCTGCCACTCCACGCATGGATGCACTTCGGATCATCCTCGACCGGCCTCTGGCATTTGAAGGCTCGGCCGGACTATCCTGTGTGTCGTTGTGGCCGTCCGGAAGCACAATCTGCAATCGTTCTTTGGTGCTTCGAGGAGTACGTTGGTGGATGCTGCTGGAGACACTAAGGTTGCGCTTGCGGGAACTCTTCAATGCATCAACATTGCGAGAGCTGACCACACTGGCATCGTCATTATCTCTCCCGAGACTCAATAAGCCCGCAATGCTCCGGTCACCGATGCGGGATCGACCTTTCCGAACAGCGGCGAGGAGGCCGCCAATAGCACTTCTATCGCTGTCAGGTACGCTGCGCGAGAGTTTGTCCGGGCTGAGTGCTTCATGAATGGAATGCTCATGCTCCTCTTCGCTGGAGGGATCGTCGGAGAGATACTGAGCAAGGTCCGGATCGATGATGCTGTCACGGTGAAATGCAGAAGATTTCCCTTCTTTGAGGACATCATCTGCAATGCGACGTTGAAATGGAACTCGGTCTTCATGATAAGCCTTGAAATTTCGTATGTGTTGATGTTTGGAATGGTGTCGCTTGTGGCCGTGACCAATAGAATGACTGGGCTTCAAGGACCTGGACGAACTGGGGCGCGGTAATGGCCGGTCACTTGTATCAAACTCTAGCACGGCAGATGTTCGATTCGCGCCCTCAAATGCCCGCCGTACTGGGAAATTCATCATCGGCGTTCTTGACATCTGCTCAAGTGATTGAGAAGTAACTGAAACATTGTCGTCATCGAATCGAGCCCACTGACGATTGTGAAGATTTGTATCCGGCGTCTTGGGACGAGTAGCTGAGTCTGGGACAGAGGCATCTTCCACAGAGTAATCCGAAGAATCGTCATCGTGATACGTGATGATGGAATCACACGGCTTGCAGACGCGCACTGGGCCGTTCGAGCCGAATTGCACCCCACCGATCAGGACTGTACATTTGTTGTCGAAGATCTGGCCACAAAGCCGACAATGGTGCTTTCGACGAAATGTCGTGAAAGGTTCGGCACACTGGAAACAGTCCTTCGCATTCTCGTCACGCATCCAGAACTCCTTGCTGAGAAGCTTACTCCGTGACTTGTTTACTGATCGTGCCTGAGCAGCGCTGTTAGGTGCATTTTTCCTGCTGCCGTCCACCGAAACATCTCGATTGGCACGTAGGCTGCTCATTGCCGCTGTAGAATCCGACGAAGATGTACGGGAAGCACGAAAGCCAGGCAATTTTGATTGGCTAATCTTTTGACCAGATTTTTCTGCGGACTTTTGCTCTGAGTTTGCGGAGAGAGGCGACCTGAGAGTGGGAGTGTCACTAGACCGTCCATGGATACCCGACAGGATTTTGGGCTGGTGAATGGCGTTTTCGCCCAGCAGGTCTAGAGGGCTGGGATGATGCTTATGACTCGTTGCGGTATCATGCCTGGCGGACGAGGCTCGTACGACCGACCTTTCGTCTGGTGTACCAAGGAGCAAATGCTGTGAGCTGCCCAAACCATCCACGTGACTGATCTGACTTTGCGTGGAAGTAGACGACAATCCGCGACCGTGGGAGATGGACGGTCCTGGCGCGTTTGGTCTTTGAGACGCTGACAGCCGAGGAGACGTGACAAGTCGACTGCCACGCTCAGTCATGGAACTTTCGTTGCCCGTTTTGGAGAAAACCCTCCGCAGACTGTCGCTGTCGCCGGATGCGGCCAAGCTCCGATCATGTGCAGGCGACTCAGGCTCGTATGCAGAACCTGTTCTTGAATGGCCTGTGGTTGCCACAGCATGGATATTCACTGATGTAACAGACGGGTCGGCTAAGTGTGATGATGATTGTGGGGGGGCTGTTGGTGACCTAATCGAAGGAGTCGAAGGTACTGATAGCTTAGCGACGCTTGTAGCCTTTGAAGACATTTTCGACAGTTGCGACGGTTGATCAACTGGCATAGGCGAGTCGAATGGGGTCAACTTTGGCGAGTGTGCCTTCGAAGTCAGTCCAGAACTTGGATTTAGACTGGCCCTCTCATCAAATTGGGCTGCTGTGGCTGATATAGTATGTTCTTCATGATGATCATCATTTTCCTTGGTGCCTCCCACACTTGCAATCAACTTGTTGTAGAGCCCTGTTATGCCACCTTGTATCTCGCCTGCCAACGTCTTATTCTCCTGGTTGAGTTCAGCATTCGGAGGTTCTGTGTAGTCGTTGAACACAGTCAGGTTATTCGACTGGGATGCCGCGGTGTGGATGGTGTCTAGAGCCTCGTTCAATGCATCTTGATCGAGCTCATGTGAGAGAGACGACCTGGAATCTCTTCTTGTTCTGCGTCCGAGTGGAAGAAAGAGGGAGGACGCGGAGGGACTCGGATTGTCCTTCTGAGAGGAAGGCATGGTGATAGTCAGTCTGGCGGCCTATCGGCCACAGATGTCCTGTGTTGATGTTCGGAAGACTTCATGCTCAGTGCCACATGTTGAGCGAGAAATGTACCCGAACAGTTGTATGTTGTCATAAATCAAAGTACAGGGTGGCCATTGATGAGAAATGGATTGCAATTGACAGCCTTCATGGGATCTGCCCAAAGGTCCCGCCCGTTGCACTTACCCGTACGGAGGGCGTGGAGTACCTACCCTTGCTACAGTACTTAAAGTACATGCCGCTTAATAAACGTCATGCTTGGCAAGTCGCGTCTCTGAACCGAATCGAAATCATCTCGACGCGGTTCTTTTCCCCAGAATTGCATGTGGACATTTTGACGTCCCCCAAGTGATCGCTATTTACCAAATGCAACCTTCGATTCCGACTCCAACCTTGCGACGTCAGACTGTTGATCCTCTATCATGCTAACATCCTCTCCACTCATGCGATCAACTCGCCAATGGAATACCACGAGCCGTGGTTGGCCGACTTCATTGTCTCTGGCCTAACAGAATACATACGGAAGCTGCGCACTGGCCAGCCTCTGGTTCAATACAGATCAAAGAGTAACGGCGGCGAGACCATTCAATTATGGCGAGGAGCACACTTTGAAGGGACGGTCCGAGTGGTTCAGGTACTACCACCTCAGTCACCAATCTCTCTTGCCTAACTCAGTCGCAGATCATTCAGGAACACCCTCTCAAAGGAGTGTTGTCCGATGGCAGACACCATATCGAGACGGTTTTCGGAAAGTCTGTCGAAGCTCAGCTGAAAGCATCAGGAGTGCAGATATCGGAGCTCACTAGTCCCTTTTTCGCTCTACGAGTCACCAAACCTACCATTATCGTCGACGGCGCGTACGGAAAACCGAAACTACGATTGCTCACCGTCGACTGCCAGGAAGAAAGGACTGTGAAGGTCCAAGGGACGATGCCTTTGGCTGAGGGCTCGTTGGCAGGTGAAGACAGAGTGATCAAAGAGAAGGTGCTGGAGCTTTTGCAACTGAATCCTGGGGAGCGGCGGGTAGCATCCATGCCATCTGACAGCCCACAATCGGTCAAATCGCAAGTTGCTTATGATAACGATAATCCTTCGGACTCCGAGGACGATGTTTATCAGGAGCGATTTCAGACGCAGATCCCCCAATCTTCTAGCTACCATCCCGCACCGAAACCGGCTCTGGCGAATGCTAGAATTGCAGCTACTGAGACATATGACAACAGCGAGCTACTTGCACAATTGCAGCGGCGCGGCCAATGGAAGAAACCGTCTGAGACTGCGGCAATCAGGAAGTCACCTTCGAAACCAGCACAGAGTAGCCACGAAAATTCCGAGCCTTACTCGCAGGCAGCGAACATTGATATTGCGCCCACTGTGCCTGGCTCCTTCAGTCCCTCCATGAATGAGCAAAATGCTGCCGAAGTCTCCTCAGCCCAGCCACTCAGGCATGATGAACAGATGGACGAACGCGAAAGCGGAGCCAACGGCCCGTCAGCCGTAAATGATGGAGATGAGTCAACAGAGGCGATACCCACGTCAAAGCCTGGTGTGTTGCAACCTAGCCTGTCAGCAATCGCGCCTGAGCTTCCTACTGGCCTAGTCTGCCACTTCGCACGATGGCGGCGGGAAGCACGGTCAGGAAAGTATGTGCCGCGGTACGTCCAAAAGATCCCCGAGGACCAGAAAACGCTCCTGGAGTCAGACGATAGCTGGCAGCCACCGCTTGTGGGACATGCTTCAAGACCAGGTCAGGTTCCATTGCCTTTACTAGAGCGATTGTGTCAAGCAGCCGACCAGAAGGCTCTGAGCCTGGAGGAGGCACAAGACGTCCCAGAACGACGGACTACTGAGCATGAGGCACAGCCGGTTGCCTCATGGAAAGAGTTAAGCCCTTCGCCTGGTAATGCTGAAAGCGATTCAGAGATCTCGCAGGCGTCATGGTCAGCAAGCCCCCCAACTCAGGAAAGGCGTGTTCGAAAGTTACCAGCAGACAGTCCGCCATTGGCTCCAAGACAGGCAAAAAGACCTCTATCCTCGCAAGAAAACGCTTTCGACCGGCGAGAAGATACCACGCAGCAGCAGTCCGCTTTATCCAATTCTCTTGACACCTCTCCCCTCGATACTGCTGCACAAAAGGACTCGCATGAAGGTCGTTGTCGCGAGCTCGTCAGTCCAGTCGAAGGAACTCATGAGACTTCAATCACGCAAAGTAGCAAGGAAGCACCGAAACTATCTGCTGACACACTGAAGTCCTCCGGTGAGTTGACATTCAATGAGGAGAAGGGCGCAAAGCCTAGCCAGCCGAGCTCACAAACACTCGAAGAGCACATGAATGCAGTCGCGAACCGCGTCCAGGTTGAAAGGACTCCTCACGTTCCCAAAGGCAACTGGTATCATGCAAGCTCTGATCTTATGGGAATCATTGATGATGCTGATTTACCACTAAGTTGCATACCTGCGACTCACTACGAAAACACCAACATGCATATTGATCAGTCACGCGCAGCAAAAACGTTGCACCCATCGTTGAGCAGGGAGAAGGAGCAGAAGAGAACACGAATCACGGATCGGATGCCTGCGAATGGCGCTGAAGCTGCAAACCAACCATTGGATACACAGACCGCCCAACTACACGGCGCCCGTCCCGCTGTAGCGTCTACGGCACCCGTAGGGACAGATACAGTCGGCATTGGAGGCCCGGAAGAAGAATCCCACGAAGCTACACAGGCGGTCAGTGAGACACGATTACCGGCACGCTCGCATGGATCACAGAACGCCCTCCTTGTCCCAATCCAATATGGGTTTGTGCCGGACGATTACGCCGCACCCGAGGGACAGTCCCCAGGAGAGGCGTCACCACCAAGATCATATCATCCACAACCTGCCCTCCCTCTATCGTCCAAACCTGATCTTGGAGCAGTCGAAGAAGCTGCGACAGATCGACAGGCACGAGCTGAGACGGGCCCTGTGGTTGAAGAAATCGTGGCATCTTTTGAGTTTGGAGATGCACGTGGGCGCAGTCCCATCCTTGCTGGAAAACGCAGACATCCCGAAGATGCATTCGGCCCAAGAAAGCGACCGAGAAGAGCCCAGCCCCTAGTGTCGGAAAGGAGTTTTGACCCAGCCTATGCATCTGTGTACAAAAGCATCGAGGAAAGGCGGAGGGCGCAACTTTCACGAATAGCAAAACCAAAGTCTTTGAGCGGACAGTCTGCCTCATCCTCAGTCAAAGGCTTTGACAATGCAGGTGACGCGTTACGAGAGTCGTCGTCTCCGCCCATGCACCTTCGAACTCCCGTCACTGCAGATATCTCCCCACGGGAATCGACGCCGATCACGCGAGTCACCGTCTACGCCGGCATCGACGGCCACAATAGCAAAGTGCGTCCAAGCGATTCAATATCTCAAACATTGGCGCCACTTCACATTGACCTGCCACCTGTTTTTGCACAATTTAAAGCTGCTTACGCGGATTACAATGGAGATCTGGACGATTTCGGAAAGTCGTATCGATTGTTGGGCAACCTCCTGAGACGGGGTCAAGCACCTCACCAATTTCTCTTTGACGACGCTATATGCCATCACTTTAATTCATATCGACGATACCTTGCCGAGGAAGGAGCGAATGATCCGGACCGGCCTATGGCATTCCACGAATACTATGCCCGACGAGTTCCAACCCCGACTCATCTGAAAAGCATTGTGACTCTCAAGATGTTTCAAGGGATCTCAAGTCGCCCTCACTCAGTGGCCTCAAGGCGAAGCAGTGGACGCGCAGGCAATAATTCTATCGCGGATATCCCGTCGCTTTTGAGCAGGCAAGAGATGTCCGTCGAGGAAAGGTCTGTTGCGAACCACGAGGCGAACCACGAGAAGGCAGACGACGAGAAGAACCTGTCTCAGTCGGATCAAGCAGTTGAACAATGGCGTCGTGAAGTCTCTTGCCCCGCATCGCCGGAGCTAGGGACGCGTGATGTTGACCGCAGTCGCTCTGACATCTCGATGATCGACTGCGAGGTGCCCGATCAAAACATGTCAAAGTTTGCCCCTGGGCCGTCAGACCCCGAGCCATCGAAGAAGAGGAGAAATGTTTCTGTCCAGGCCTCATCGGCAGCCATGACCCCGCCAATGGCCAAGCCCTCCAAGGCGCCCCAGTTCAAGAAGCCTTCAAGAACGTCAACGGGCGGAAGACATGTGCTCAGTAGCTCGTCCGCTCGGAGCGCAGTAGCTCAATCTCCCGCGGTGAAGAAGTTTACGAAATGGTGGGTGGATCCTGATACTCCGTTCAATCGATATGCAAATCACTATGCATCTCTGCCTCAGGAAAAGCTGACTCGCAACAAGGTGCAACAAACTGAAGGGGCTATAATTCCGGGAGGGATTGACATATCTTCTTGGAGGACATAGCTGGCCAGGATCTTTCACCTTTATCGACAAGAAGCTCGAATGAACAGTTTATAGTCGTTCTGCCAATCGTTGTGATGAAACTACTTCTTCTGCAACCGATGTCCTGTCTGCTGGCTTTTCGTGAATCTTCCAATGAAAACACGCCGTCCAGCTAGCATCAAGATATAAATGAGCCTATTGCGCCAGACACAATGCCTGCAATGCGCCGACCACTCCCGTCAGCGCCCCGGTTGATCTGTCTCCGTTCTTGAGATACCAAGCACTGCTAGCCCAGTACAGCGCCAAGGTCATTGCCAATATAGTACGGTCAATCGATGTCCATGTTGACGGGTCCCTCTGGGACAATTGATAAGTATACAAGCCTAGGAAGGGCGGTCAGTATGTTCTTCGCCGATGGTAATGCCCCTGCAAGGATGTACGACGTCGACATGTACGTACCGATGATTGTGAAGAAGGCGCCGCCCTGATACCAGCCTACGCGGGAGTAGGCGAAGAACAGTTTCGGTAATGATTTCCATTCTGGCTTAGAGAAGAGGTCGATGCCGAAGAACTGTTTGTGACATTGTATTGTTAGCTCGTTTGGATCCTGGCTGTTTGTGAGGTGATGCTGGATGGTAGGGACGTACAGTATGACCAATCCCTACGCCAATGTGCGCAATGCTTGTGGCTAGAGCGAGGCGGGACATCGTGGTCGAGCGCTCAAGAACTTCCTGGACTAGATATGTGGAATGTAGTATATTTGTTCGCACCGAGGCAATTAGCAGTTGGCAACCCTTGTGTTCATAGCAATATCTTGACTTGCTGTGCAATGCCGAGGTATGAGGTATTTCTATGTTCATGTTCATTGAAATAAGAAAACATGGAGGAAGGAATATTTCTCCGCAATTTGAAGCTTTCGCATGACACCGATGGATATGATACTGTTCAACGAGCAAATATCCTCCTCGACAAGATGGCACTAATTTGAGTCTCGAACCTCACCATGTGCAGTTGGATGTAGTGCCTCGATTACCTGGTAGCATTCTGGCGGTCTTCGTACACAAGGCTATACGTTCGTTCTATAACACAGGGGTGGCCACCAGCTCCATCGCCGACGGACCATCCATTTGCTGTGAGGCACCCACTGCCATCAACCCGCTCTTTCGAATCCTTCCACTCTATCCCGCACGGTTTGCTCTTCTCCTTCCCACATGTTGCCTCACTGGCAAGGAGGTGGTGTTGCCACGGCCAGAGAGCGCCCTTGTCTCGTTCCGATCAGTACTACCTCTGATGTTCTGAAATCGCACAACTCCTCGGTTGACTAGTTCTTCAAACCGAGCTAAATCGCCGTAATTAGAAGCGATCGTGTGCAAGGAGCTCTTTCTGAGTCGCAGGGGGGTATCAGGCCATTTGGTATCGTAGAAGAGTTTTTGGTAATCGTGTTCCCACCCGGGGCGGTTGTATCGTTTTCTGCGGCAAGCTGTTCCCAGCGCAGAAAAGAAGAGGTACTCAATACCTGGCCGCTCTTTGACCTCTTTCCGAAATTTGAGCTCTCTGCCGTGAAGGTCCCCGGATCTGAAAGCGCTGCTGTCGGTTTTTAGGACAACGTTGTCCAGCAGAGAGACAACCTTGAAGCGTCTCTGATCGTCGGCGGTGAAATCTGGCACAATCTGGATCACTGCCGTTTCGAGTGCTCTCTTGGCTTCTTTATGGACTAATAGGCCGTTGTCGGCGTTGAAAAGTGTTTGCCAGCCATCCTCTGCAGCACGTCCGAACAAGTAGGCACAGTTAGAGGCTCCCATTTCACATGGCACGAAATCAACGGCCCTCATGGCTTTGGAGTAAAACTCCATTCCTAGAACGGGACAGAGGTGTGTTGGGTCAGCCTCCGAGCCCTCGGCAAATGCAAGTGGGGAACGCTTTCTCAGGGCTTGACGAAAGTACTGCAGATCGTTTTCAGAGGCGTTTATCTTCGGTAACTCCTTGAGAAGATTCGAAAGTGTCTGAGCATAAGCCTCCGAGAGCACCTGGTGGCTTGCCGACAGCGTCATCTCCACTAGTCGTGGTAACTGCACTCTCAGCACGAGTTCGTCGGGGTTGATTGACTCGAGGGCAGTGTTGTTCTCTTTCACCTCTTGGCCGGTTATTCCATGCTCGTCCAGTATCTTGCGGGCTAATTCCAATTCGTGTCTGATAGACGTACACAGTTTCAGTCTTCTTTCGCAGTGACGTCTGATGATTCGTCGCTGATCGTCCTCATTCTCAAAATCGTTCATTTCGTGTCCCTCAAAAATGGCTTTCAGGCGTCTAGCTTCTGTTGCATTATGTTGACGCAATTTGGAGAGTTCCCCACTCAACATGCATGCGCGGTGTGAGGCACCGACCGAGAATATATCATGCGTCATATTGGAAGTCATGCTGAAACGACAAGGACAGTGGTGCGGTGGCACTCGGTGGGTTTGCAGGACGACACCGTGTGTAACGGCGTGCTGCTTTAGGCAGTTTGACGACCTGTTTTTTTCCAGACGGTCTGACAGTGGAGGGCACCTCGTTTTGAGACGATGTTCCAGACGATGATGCGCTCAGTGAAGCAGTGATGCTAAAGACGGTGCGTCTGTCGAAGAGATCCATAGACTTCGTGCTCCTATCGTTGTTGTTTTTGACTGAAAGTGATCACTCCTGCTCTTATTCTTCGGCAGACAGCGTACTTATAGGAGGTTGCTCCGGAAGATGCCGTGGAGAGGTCCTCAGTGAGTTTTGGGAAGTGGAAAATGTCAGAAGGTCGTAGGTGCAGTGGTTCCGTTGCGAATCCCAAGAAAAGTTCATGCTCTGTGACTCAGAATTCCGGACCTTGGTTAGGTTCCAGTGAAATGTCTTGCTGATTACGCTTGTGCGTGTGCCAGAAGCATGAGTCTTCCAGAGATACCAGGTACTGCCATAGCTTCCGCACAGTATCCTGCTGGTCCTCGTTGGCCCTCATCTTTACGATGCCAACTTCTCTTCCGCGATCTTGAACTCCTCTAAGCACACCTGATTAAACTCGTCCGGAAACTCCCAATTACACGCGTGTCCTCCAGTGACGGTGCGCCAGCGACTCCCCGGGATAAGGCTATGCAACTCCCTCGACAAGATGTTCGGTATCAAGATATCACCTTCGCCAGCAATGACATTGACGTGCATTCCCACTTCCGCCAACTTGCCAACTTGATGCCTCGTATCGAATTCAGTGATGACGTTCAACTGCGCCAGATAAGCGTCGAGGCCCATATCTTTGTCCACGGCCGCCATCTCGGCCTCGATTGCCTTCAGTTCGTCCTGTTTCGCCGAGTCGGCGAACCACGCCGGCGTAAAACAGTAGAGGAGGACATCGCGCATCACGTCGGCGATAGACATTCGACGTGCCATGTCGCCCCATAGACAGAACATACGGGAGCAGAATGGGCCCGGTGCGGCGTAAGTGCAGGTTGGATTTAGGCTGAGGATTTCTGAGGGTGATGATAGGCCGTATCTCAGGGCATATTGCTGGGCGATCATGCCGCCCATGCTTATACCCAAGATGTGGTACGGCGTTGGCACTTTGAGCGCGAGCACCAAGCTGCGGAGGTCTGAAGCCATGTCGTCGGCGGTCCAAAGTTCATTGGGGCTGCTAGGTCGTGACGACAGGCCGATCCCGCGGTTATCGTAGGTCAACACCGTGTAGCCTGCTTCTGTAAACGTGGAAATTTGTGTAACCCATGTTGTCTGTGGGTCGGCCAGGCCGTTGATGAGGATGATCCAGGGTTTGGAATGCCCCAAGGATGATGATGGGTTGTGGACCGTGTAGTTGATCTGAAGAGCCGGCGAGATCTTGTGATAGGACATGTCGATGTTGACTGACGTTTGCGATGGTTCTTGGGTGCAATGGTCACGTTATGTGCTCATCTCGCTCCAGGAGAAAGGTCTGCTTCAAAGTCATGCTGGAAGAGTGTCCTTCACAGATATACCCACAGTTCGCGGAGTAGTGCGATAGCGATCAAGGTAGTGCTTACCGGCTGACTAATCGAGCGGCTGTCGTCTCCCCAGCCTCGTGCCTATATCGATGGAATCATGAGCCTTCAACGATACTGAGTCCGTCAAATTTTAACATTATACTGTATCACATAGCAGTCTGGTTATACAGTCCCGTAACGTAGAATGCTCTGGCAGACCGGCTTCTGGCCAACAAACGCTTGCAAGGTACGCTCAAAATATCCCGAAATCGTCAGTCACGATCCTTCTCCCTCCTTCGTCCCTTCTGGAATGCTAATTGCATTCAGATTGCCCTCGTCATGCCCTTCACCTGTCCAAGTGTGACTCCAATATGTAATGGCATAGCTGGGCCAGTGGTCGGTGGCCAGAAGCAATTTGCATCTCTCTGCACTAAAAGTATCTTTGGTGGCCCAGCAGATCTCACGGACCGCTTCGCCGTCGCGCTCCCAAGAGTATGGGAAGATGTAATTGAATGGAAGCACCTCGATGGAGTGATCGAGGCCTTTACGTGGCGTAAACTGTGTAGCTGTTGGATTACTGGCAACATGACTGTCCAGCTTCTCTCCCTTGTATTTCTCGGTCGTGAAGTACTCCTTCAGCGTCTTGTACAACCGAGCTGGGCCGGTGAGATCCTCTGGTCCATTCCTCGATCCAGACATCATGGAATCCTGGACTGACTGTGATACAAGCAGGAAGAAAGGGTGACCTGGAGTGGACGCCATCCATGCGTTCGGGATCGAATTGGAGAATCCTGGGTCCGTGCCCATTCTTCCGAAGAAAGCCTTGCGGCCACTTGTGTGCAGACTACCACTCGAATGCGGTCTTGGATTAAGGTGTGGTACAGTTGAGACGTTATATGTGTCGAATAACTGATCGACAGGGCGGAGGCATTCGACATCCAAGTCGGCGTAGACACTGACCTTTGTTAGTTTCAGGTGAGGTGGGGGCTGGAGTATCTCACCCCCCGAACATGTACATGTACAAATTCCGCACCAGATCTGCTCGATATATCGTTCCGGGAAGATCTTGATATGTCTTCAACAGCCATGGAAAATGTCTTCTGACGAGCTCTTCATTATCTTCGTCTGTCCATAGCACCCACTCCCAGTCTGAATGTTGGTTTCGGCAAGTCGCGCTCCACCCCTCGAATTTCGCGGGTAAGTCTGTCGAAGACCAGCTCTGGTGGAACAGTTTTGGAATAGTTTGCAGGCTCTCCGTGATAGGTCTCTTCATCAACTCGTTCGGACTCAGATATCTGGCCGTGACTTTAGATGATCGCCGGAATGTGTTTGAGGTATAGGTCTGGGAAAGGATGCCGATGGTCGCAATTGCCGCGAAAACGAGGAAAATGGTCCATCGCGAAAACATCCGTAAGCTGTAGAATGGCTGGGGAGGGTAGACGTGGCGAGATGCGAAGTTCATGTCGTCGATAAGAACAAAAGACTTTGCGCAGGCCTGGAGCAGGGAGAGCTAGCTGTAGCATCAACCGAGGAGCCTGCGTACACGCTGCCTCAGAGGTGAATGGACGGGGTCGACCTGAAGCCCAGGAAGAGGGCACTGCTACTTCTGATAACATGTTGTTACACTGAGGTGTTTACTTTACCTGGTTTGGAATGCGATTTCCCTCATTCCCTCCCCTTGCTGGATTAATCCCTTGCGGTCGACGACAAGGATCAGGGGCAAGGCCCCGACTCTCGTTTCCACGGATAAGTAGGCGAGCGAGTGAAAAGGTGGGCTCGATTCTCATCTCAAATCTTCTGGTGTTATCTTGTACCCTGTAGATTCGCAATATTTGTGGATGATCGGATCTGAGTTGAATGATGGTGAAACAGACAATATTGAGCCAATCGTGGTTGAGCTCGCATGCATGTTACCACTTACCGTCGCCAGCTGGCTCCATGCAGGATGTGACCAACAACGACCCATTGACGACCCTCTGGGCCTCTTTTTGGTACACTTGGAGCCGTTGGACCTTGGACGTAAGATTGCAGTGCAACATATGGGATGATCCCAAGACTCGGGCGCAGATTGTACCTGCATTAGGCGCGGTTGATCACTGATAACAAATCCTTATTTAACAGCTTAAGCATGTGATAATGAGGTCTTTGTGTAAGTTCCATCTCCAGAAAATGGCCCTGTCTGACGGAGGAAGTCCGTCAAGATATCGCTTATCGGAGTCCCTTCTGGGTATCGGTAAAGGGTAGTGAGGTTCACCAGGGGCTAAGCCCCCAGCTTCAGACATTCAAATAAGCTTCACTGCAGAGAAGAGCAAGATGTGCCCTTCTGTCAGACAAAATGCCACATTTCCTCGCAAATGGCTCGGCGCCATTGAGGGAAAAAGCCACCCACGACATGACTCAATTTCATCACAATAGGGGCATCACGGGGGACTTCTCTTTCACAACAGCGAGCCTGTTTCTAGAAAGAATGGCACCGTTTGACCGGAAGTACATCAACGCTATAAAATAGTGATCCAGCAGGTTCGCGATAGAGGGTGCCTTAACTCTTAAGCCAGGAGCCGTATGTGGTAGAGGGGACGACTTTCACCCCAAGCAAAGGTGAACGCTATGTCGTTGTGTACAAAGGACTTCGGAATGACAACAAGGAACATTGAATCTCAGGAGAACAGCGGTCTGACAATGCCTTTTTCCCCACAAACCGGCTTGCCAGATAGATTACACATTTCGATCATCCTCCTCCGTCCAGAACTTCTACGTGGCCACTGGCAGATCCAATATCACTGATATCCAGTCGAGGCAGTGTAGGATACTGACTGTCGAAAACCGTCCTCCCTTCCAACAAGTTTGCGATGTTCAATCGTGTCGAGTACACCAAATATTGCGAATGAGCAGACCGGACAGTCCTTGTCGATTCATCCCCGTATCCAATGTCACTCCATTTACTACTGTTTCCCGTCGGTCGAGAAACACCGATGAGCTGCGGGAAGACAGAGACACAACTGAAGTTGTACCTCTTGTCCTTGCATAGCTCTGCATATCCCCAGTCGATTGCGTTGTTGAATGGCACCATGCTCATATGATAGAGGATCTTCCGGGCTCCTTGCTGCGAAACCGCATAGCCAGCTGTACACACTGCACCACCAGAGTTGAACACAATCCTCGTTGTGTTGTCACCATCTGGACCCTCCCAATAAGACATGTCCGGGCTGACAACGTTACAACGATACTGAGGTGGCTCCACGGTTGGATCATCTGGAATCACAAAGAATCGATGCTTGTCTTCAGCGAGAACCCACGTTCCGCAATGTCCTAACCAAAGTATGTCCCAGTTGTCACCATAAGGCGATTTTGGGACGTCGTTTTCGGCTGTCTGTGAGATGTACCTTGAACCCCGCGCAAACTGAACCAGCTGTTGCTTGAACGAGACGTCCCAGTCAGCATCGTCCTCAAAGATCAGAGCAGTCGCCACTTTCTCGTTCACCATCTTCTGCAGAACGTTGAGATGCGCACGCCAGCAACCGACCACGGGCGCGGATTGGTCCATGGTCTGAGGAACTGGGTCAGCTCGCACTCGAATAGAGTTTGAACCGGACTTACATGAGGAAGAGCCCTGCCTGGCACTTCACGTCCATCCACGCCGTCGATTTGGCTATATGTAATGCCCGATAGCGCAGCCTGCATTGCAAAAGCGTCCCTCTTGTCTGTCCGGGATGGCAAGGAGATCATGTACACCTCTTGGAAACCCAAGGTCTCATTCTGCACTTGATAAATCGACTGGTCATGCGTGTAAGCGTCGCGTTGAATGGTGTTCGAGATGGATTTGACCGGAGGTTCCAAAAGGTCGACGAGCTCCTTGTCCCGGGAATAGGGCGAGCGACATAACAGATTTAGGACCACACATATCAGAACGATGCTCGTGACAGCAATGATGACCCGTATTGGCAGCTTGGGCAGCATTGTCTGCAATGTTCACCGAAGGACATGTGGGCATGCAAGATCCTGTCATAATGCACTGGGAAAACGAATCGCCATTTTTAATTCAGAGAGTTCACGATGGGATATGGTCAGCCATGAGAAAGCCGACTGAACGTAGGACAACAGGACAGTGGCGGATGCGAACGATTGGGTTTGCTACCCAGATCATTCAAAACCCTGCCAAATGAATCAGACGGTTTGTTGTATGGCTCCAGCTGCTCCTTGGGTTGTCCCTTGACGAACTGTATCACCTATCAAGACCTGACCGTTGTACAGTGGGCGGCTGGCGGCATTTCTGGGACTGTGGGAAGCTCTTCTGGAATGGAACACATCAAGGGGTCACTCTGGAGAATTCTTCAGTTCAGATGACAATTCTAATTTGACGGAATCAGCCCGGTGCCGGCAAAATGTGATGTACAAGGGTCTTCCAGCCCTTACCGACGTCGAGCTCAAAGCCCGCGTCGTTAAGCATATGGCGGATATCGGTGCGTTTGAGCTCCGCCGCCCGGACGGTCTGTCGATAGTAGAACAACACTTCAATCATGGCCGCATGTCCGACGACCTTCTTATGGAAATTGTCCGTCTTGACTTGAGATGCTTCAGCCGTGGCTTACGCCTTGAAAAGCGAACGGTAGACGCGTAGCAATTTCATATCGGCGGTAGCTAAACGCGCCTTCTCCGCTACCCTCGGGTCACCTTTATCAGGATAATTGAACTATTTAATAAGGCGAGTAAGGTGGTTAAATACCACCGGGCCCTATATCTTCGCGAAGATATACTCTACGACGGACTTCGCCTCTACCTACGTTAACTTAAGGTTCTTAGTCGTCTTGTACTTAGAAATATCCTTATCATCGTTGACCAGCTTCCGGTATTTTGGTTTTGACAAGTCAATCTTGACAAGACGTGCAATGAAGGCCGTTCGCAGGTCCTTCATCTCTTCGACGCTGTACTCAGGCGAAAGTCCCAACTTGATGGACGTGAGTTTCATGGTTTGGACACGCTGCTTGTCAGCGCCGTTCGCTTCGTCTTTGTCGTTGTTGGGGTGGCACCGGCGAGGCTTCTCTGGAGAAGATACATATTTGGCAGCATGCCCAACGAGCCATTTTCCAGAAAAAGTGGCACAGTCTGACTACTGTAACTGGTCAGGTTCAAGTAGATACCATTCTTGTTGTCATCCCGGAGTCCTTCACACACAACGATACAGCGTTGGGCTTTGGGAGGTGGGAGGCCACCGGCTCTACCGTGCAGTGCTTCTGTCATGCTGTCGAGGCATCCACTGCTGTGAACCAGCTTGACTTCGAACTTGTGTCTTCGATATACACCCTGTTAGAGGGTGCCTTTTTTTCTGAAAACAGACTCGAGGTTTCCTACTCCCTGGTAGTCGTAATTTTCCCGGTGTGGAGGAATAATTCTGCTTTGGTGTTGCCCACCTCTTTTTTGAGCTTACTCGTCATTGCTTCCAGCTCGAGAAGTCAAGGCCTGGCAGACTATCAGGTGAGCTCGCAATATTTTCGAAGCTCAACACCCTCGCAAATGAGTGTTACGTGAAGTTTGGGCTTCCAGTGGGCTTCCTCAGGGGCCGAGGCTCTGGACTTTCGGGTGCCAAGGAAATCTAGGCCACCCCCGGTCTTTACGCTTACCCCTTTTTCGTCCTTTCGTTCCTTTTTGTGTTTGACCTCTTCTCCTTTTGTTTCAGCTCGTCTCCATCTTCTTCGAAACTTTTGCTGCCAAAGCGTCGAATATGGACATCAGTCGTGGCCGATGGGGCTGTCTATTGAGCGGCTCTCAATATCAATGGTTGAAGACAGCAGAGCCGCGTCTCTCTTCAGCCCAGGTTAACGCCAGCCACATGGCAGAAGACCGTTGACTGGTTTTGGCCCCAGTAACACTGTTGCAGAAGGATTCTTCGCGTCAGCTCTTTATTCGAAGCCCTGAGCAAGGCGTCCATTTGTTGATCAACAGAACTGGGGACATGCCTATGTCTTACGGTATTACCCCTGCTCCTCGATGTCCTCGTTTAACTAGGTTCTCATACTCCGCGTCTCGGCTTCTTGCTTGCAAAAGATTTTCCATTTTATCTGCTTGCTTGCACCTTCTCTATACTGTTGTACTCTCGTTTCCTTCTTTGCACAGCCGCTGACCCGGTGTCTTTCGCTCTTGAGCTGTTGACCGCTGTCACATTGTCTCTGCCTAACGAGCTGATTACTTGCACGTGCTGACCCGAGCACATATATCCATCCAGCGGGTACAAGAGTCAGCGTACAGAATATATCCTTTCAAAGTTATTCACAATGGAACAAGAAAAGAACCTCCGACTAAAGGTCACCGACATTCCCTCCTCGAATTCCTCAAATCCAGATACTATGCCATCACCAGGCCGGGACAGGTTCAAACCACTGGCACTACGAGCCAATACACACAATTCCATGGATTTCGAGCACCTGTTCGTTGGTCCTCGAGACATGAAACACCATTCAAAGGTGCCTTTCTTCCTCCGAGTCCATGGCAGTGTAGTTCCCAAGATGATCCTTCCACTCCTCTTTGTTGCAGCTTGGGCCACGGCTATCACCTGCATCAGCAAATTCGTCCACGATCTGGGTATCAATTCCGTTCTCTTGACGATCACCGGTTTCGTGGTCTCGTTGGCCTTGTCATTCCGTTCCACCACTGCATACGAAAGATACAGCGAAGGACGAAAGTACTGGGCGCAGTTGATGTTGACCTCACGAAGTCTTGCTCGACTGATTTGGATTCATACTGGAGAGCGTCACGATGTTAGTGAAGAGCAAGGCAAAGCCGATCTACTGGGCAAGTTGACGGCCTTGAACTTGGTCAATGCATTCGCCGTGGCCCTCAAACACTATCTTCGATTCGAACCTTCCGTGGAATACCCCGACCTCGAACCCCTCATCGGAAACCTTCACACTCTCGCTGGCGAAGCAGATCAGAGCGCTTTGGAGCCGAAGAAGCAGACGCCGTGGCATGAAGCAGGCGAATATCTGGGCGTCTCGTTCGCAGAGTCGAACCCGCGTAAGCTCATTAAGCGCTCCAAAGACAATCTGGGTAATCTTCCTCTCGAAATCCTCAACTATCTTGCCGCATATATGGACGAAATCATGAAGAACGGCCAGTTGACTGTGCCTGTCCACCAAACACATGTCATGGCCAATGTCACCTCTCTTGCCGAAGTACTTACCGGTACGGAACGCGTACTGAGCACGCCGGTGCCTGTCGCCTACTCGATTTCAATCTCCCAGATCACCTGGGTATACATCTTGACGCTTCCGTTCCAGCTGTACAAGTCATTGGGATGGGTGACGATCTTTGGCACCGTACTTGCCGCATACGTTATTCTGGGGTTGGCACAGATTGGCTACGAGATTGAAAACCCATTTGGGCACGATGTCAATGACCTGCCACTTGACGCCTACTGCCGCGAACTCGCTGCTGACATTGACGTGTTGACAAGCATGCCGGCCCCGACCGCCAAGAACTTCATCGCTACGGCGGAGAACAAAGTGCTATTTCCCTTGAGCATGAGCAACTACGCAACCTGGAACCAACGGTCGGTTGCCGAGATCAGGACAGCTCTGCGGAGGAAGGCCACCACCAAGGCCCTGTCGGTTGAACAAGAGCGTGTATTTGCCCAGAGTGAGAGTACCAATGAGGCCATGGCCGTGCCGCATAACATTGACCACACGGACCGCCCTGAAGGTGACCATTGTTGAAGGCTTCAGAATGGATTGGCATGTTAGCGACTGCAAATGTGCGAATTGTGTGAATTGATCTTTGCGTGCATATTTGTCCGGTTACTAGCGAAATGAGAAAAAGCGACAAAGGTTATACCATCACAGCATGGAAAAAATTGGTCCCACGACAACATCCCATCTACAGCATTGAGCATGAACATTGGCGAGATTTGCAGCATTTGCAGCAAAACATCGCAGCATTGCCTGAACACCAGACTAAAAGGCAAGCGGTATAACACCAAAATAAGACCCAATAAATTTTTTACATTTATCTGATATCACATTTCTCAGAGTCGATCTAAGCATCCTTGCTCTTACCTCCCAACTCTCTCTCCTTCTCCCCAGCCTCAGCCATCTCGTTGAGCACACGTTCGGCAATCTTCATGGCATCCACACCGGCGGGCACACCACAGTAAGTCGTGCAATGGAGAATAGCCTCACGAATCTCCGTCTCGCTCAAGCCATTGTTACGCGCGCCACGGACGTGCACCGCCAACTCCGGAGCGCGGTTCAACGCCATCAGCATGCCGATGTTTAGGAGGGAGCGTTCACGGCGTTCCAACCCGGGCCGCGTCCAGGCGTAGCCCCAGCACCATTCTGTGACGAGTTCTTGGCCGGGTCTCGAGAATTCGGTGGAGCCGTTGGCCAGCGCCCGGTCGACGTATGTGTTGCCTACGACGGAGCGGCGGACGGCGAGACCGGCTTCGAAGAGTTGTTCGTGGAAGGGGCGGAGTTCGGGGTCGACGGAGGAGGTCACCTTCTTTTGTGCGGACATTTTGGCTGTATGGGACTCGAGAGACTGGTTTAGGGTGTTGTACTTGATGTTGTTCGAGGAATGGGATCTAGTACGAGAACAGCTTTGTCTTGTTCTTGTAGACTGTGGTCTTGTTGTCTCTTCTTGTGCTGTATCGTTGTCAGTTGGAGAACCTCGGCGGACCTTGAGCGAAAGAGGCACGCACTTTGAGTGTATCTTGAACCTTTGAATGAAGGTTGAATTTAATACTGTATGGAACTAGAATTCTACTTCAATGACTCCCTGCCGAAGACACTCAAAAGTATTTATTTATTTGTAGATCTGCTGCTTCTACCCCTCCCACCCATCATCGCTGTACCAGAAAAATGACGCTCCGCATTTCGGAGAGAGATTGACCGGCAACTTTCCACCTTCTCCAAAATCTTCCAGATTTACCCCAACTCTCATCGGGCCTTCTCGCGAGTCGCTAGGGTGCATCATATGGTACATCTATCTAGTAGTACTGTAGAAGGCTACCGCATCAATTCAATTTACTGGCTGTAGCCTCGTCCGCGTCCTTCTGCCAATCCTCATTTCCACCCAGATATCTGAACACCACTCTCGAATCCAGGTCGTAGCATTTCGGATCATTCATTGCCCCCTTGTACGTCGCAAGACCCGCCTCACCCAGGACGTTCTTCGCACCAACTCTCTTCGCCATGTCCATGGCTAACGAGTAATCCTTGTGCATCAATTGCACTTTGAAGCCGTTGGTGTAGCCTTTGGATGACGGCGCCTCAGGCCACACGCCTGGTACAGGACAGAACCGGTCACTAATGGTGTTCTGGGCCGTGCCGGCATTGTAGACTTTGGCCAATACTCGAGGATCTAGCCCCGACCGCATCCCCATGTCCATGGCTTCGGAGACGGCGATGGCGATGGTCCCGGATAAGTAGTTGTTGGACAGCTTGGCCGCGAGACCTTTTGAAGGCCCACCGCAAGGGATCACATCCTTGCCCATCAGCTTCAAGAGGTCGGTGATGTTGGAGAGGTTAGGATCTTTGCCGTCACAGCCAAGGAAGAATGCTATCGTTCCTTTCTGAGCGCCGACCACGCCTCCACTGACTGGTGCATCGTAAAAGGACGCCGTGGGGAATTTCTCATTGATGTAGTCTTTGACAGCAAGACTGCTAGCTGTGTCGATGGTTGAGCAATCAATTAGTAGCTTGCCCGCGACATCACTCGACAAGATCGTGGTGGATCCTCCCTCGATATAAACCGATCGGACATGCTTGCCCTCGGGAAGCATAGTCAGGATGATTTCCTGTCGAGTGTGTCAGCAGTGTGCGACGGCTTCTGTGGAACGAAGACATACTGATTTGTCTGCCACCTCCTTTGCCGACGAACACTTGACCACTCTTTTGGGATGGTCTTTGTGGACTTGATCGACACTTGCCTGATTGATATCAAAGACGTAGACCTGAATGTGCTCGGGGAGCTTGGCAGCAAGATGGCCAGCCATTGGCAGGCCCATTGCTCCCAGGCCTACGAAGCCAAGTCCTGAAATCTTGGATAGATCCATGATGTTGCTGTGCTGGTTCAACAGTTGGATGGCGATATGATTTATGTGACGAGCACTGTATGTTGAGATGGCGTGTAGATGGATTGCGGAGAAATTCTATCAATTGGAACAAAAGATACCACACAGAGTCGTCTTACACCAAAAAAGGGACGGAGAGAATGTTGCAAGGCTAGGCTCAAGACCGGAATGCATCTCTTCGGACAGTGATCGTGGAATATGCGAAGCCCATGAAGACCCGAAGAGGCAATTGTGGAAATTGGGGTAAATTCGAGATGGAAGACCCCCGTAAGTTGGAGAACCGCGGCACAATAGCCGGTCGTGGTGGTAGTGGCAGTGGTGGAGGAACACGGACGATGATGCAGTAACCGGCTCGTTATGGAATTACGTTTTTCCTTTGGTGCTTCAACCACATACGAGTATTCCCTGAGCGGTTTCTCAAAATTGCCATTGCACGGGTCATCTGGTTGTTCGGCATCAGACCTGAGTGGGGACCACTCTGGCAAGGGAAGACCAGGCCGTGAACGGGTCGGCGAGTACCAATCGGAGGAGTAGATGGCCGCTGACCATGAAGAACCACTTCTGGAGTTCAAGGAAAGAGAATACTAATGTTCATGAGTGTCTTCACGAGGTAAGTAAGGTCGGCATGGCATGAAGCTGCTTATGAAAGCTGTTCTCTTCCCGCCGAAATTGCGATCTATTCAGGCCTTGTCACATCCCCAGCGTTGTGTCTATATCCCATCTATAAAATCATACACCTTCAGCCTGTTTCCGGGTCCTGTCAACATCCCTATATCATTGTAGCAGCCTCCCCCCCTGGCACATCAACTCGTTGGATCTTTCCATCATCCACTGTTTTGATCCATTTCAAGAACAACCCAACGTCCTTCGCGATCGCACCCGGCAAACTCATCTTCTGCATCCACATGGGCAAATTCCCCTTAGCATCACTCGCCGTCGCCATGACCCACTCAACCTCCCCTTCAGAGTGGTCCCTTCTCACAACCTCAACAGCAGCATAGACCCCCATACACACCTGTTTCCGCGACTGCGCGTCTTTTCCTTCCTTGACGTTCTTTCCCGAACTATAGAACCCATGAACCCCCAAGTCCACAGGCACCGTAACCGCGACGAATGAATCCTCATCCACACTCGCCGTCGCTACAAGAACGCTGAAACACCGCGGACTCAGTGGCGGGGGGATAGCATGACACATCTCGTAGATGCCCAATGTACACGTCTTATACCGTCCTACCCCACCTCTTTGTTCTAAGTCTTGCACGGCCGAATTCCAGTCAAGCACACAGTGCGCATCGTACAGTGTCGGAGTAAAGTCCGCTTCATGCTTACTATGCTCGTCGCGCAGACCGTACACGAACTCGGCGAACCGTGCGTGGCCTGGGCTAGAGGGGTCTTTACTCGATATGTCCTTGTGCACGCTGCGGCGGGCGAACCAGTGCTCTGCACCTGCGCCCAAGTTCTTGGGAGTACTGCGCGCGACTTTGCCCCCACCAGACTCTGACCAGGCAACTTGTGCCAGAGACGAGGCGGGTACGCTGTGTGTATGGATCTCGACGCGTGCGGCGGACGGCGCGGATGTCTTGGTGGACTGGGACTTGAAGGACTGCGTGAAGTTCGAGGGGGACAAGAAGGCTGTGCCGTCGTCGAGAAGGGAGATCAGAAACGTGGCTAGATCGCCGTGCGCAGAGGGTAGGTCGGGATGCGAAGGAAGGTCGCTGACTTGTAAGGGCGCGAGACGGACGAGGTTGCTCAGCTGTGGTTGCGCCATTAGGATTCAGTCACACTTGACCAGCGCACCGTAGAATCTGAACGAGTTCAGTATAACAAGGCAAGAGACGTGTTCCCAACGCCCGCCAATGAGGCGCTTCACATGATGACTTTGTGTGGATGTTTCTGCGACTATGTACGTTTCATCCGGACAGGGCATTTACCGGATGAGTCGATAAGTCATCTCCTTAGATGCCAGAGAGACCTTATAGGTCAGATGGACGCCGGAGGCCCGCCCGAGCCGGGGCATTGACTCGCAGAAAAGTTTTCATGTATATTATCATTACCCCTCCAGAAATCATGTCAAAACGTCCTCCAGACTTGGGCAGGTTTTGTAGTGTAGTGGTGATCACTCGTGAGTTGGCCTACTTTTCTAGACCTTTCATCATCTAACGATATCAGCGGATTTTGAACATGAATTCCGGCGACCCCGGTTCGAACCCGGGCAAGACCTTTGGTTATACCCCAACCTTAAATGTGTTGATTTCGAATTTTTTTTTCTTCTCATATTGAAACGTCCCCACGACTCAAATCGCTGAAGGTAATGAGATTAGTGCGACGCGAAGTTTAGAACAAGCGTGAGTCGTCATGTAAGCAGCACGCACGTGAACTGGACGATTCTTTTTCTCTCGTCTGAGGGGTCATGATTGAACATCGCAGCTCTCACAAGCATCATTGAGTCACGCAAGGCCGAGCAAATCAACGTCGCTATTCTCGCCTGCGAATACTTGAAGCCCTTTGTTCATAATACATACTCCAATGCTGTAAAGCTCGATCCCGGACCTCATCTAGACATAAAACAACCGACCCTCGTTAATTACATGCAACCTCATGACTTCCTAGGACTCATCTCCGGCTCTTCTGCCGCCTCAACCCGTACAAGTATTTCTTCCAGAAAGCCCTCTAAGAATTCAGTAACTCCTCCACCCATACCGACAGGACACTCTTCATCGTACTCCTGGATCTCCTGGAAGATCTGCACAGCTTTGCCAGCTAACCGTCTGACTTTCTCGTGAGTCTGCATTCTCTGCTGCTGCATCTCTGCGGCAACAGAAGAGCCTTGTTTGGTGGCTCGACCAAGCTCTTTCAGAGCGAAATTGCGCCGATGCATGGCAGCCTCAAGTGCTGGAATAATCACAGAATTCAGGGCAGTGAGTTCCTCTTCCTGTCTAGGGTCCTGCGAGCTTGTTGTGCTGGGTGTTACAGGCGTCGAAGACGATGGTTGATTGGTCTTATCTGTTAGAGGTGGCAGTCGTTGTTGATTCGTCATTGATGCGGTAGTCTGTGCTTGTGGGATAGATGCAAAGGAAAAGGCCGGAAGAGGGTGTTGACCTGAAGGACTCGAAGATGCTGTTGATGATGCTTTCTGAAGAGGCTCCCCTCTTCCTGGCTTTCCTCTGAAAGGAGGAATGTCTGGTATGACCATCTGGGGTTTCTGACCGGGCGGTGTTGGGACATGTCGCGATTGTGTTTTTGGGCTGTCTGCATTGTCTAGCTTCAAAAAGCCCATATCCTTCGCTAATTGAGCTTGAAACGCCTTGTTGTATTCCCCAGACCCAGGACTGTCTTTGGGCTCTCGAGATGAGGAGAGCTTGGAGATCAATGGAGCTGCCGGTGTTTTTGGGATAGCTGAGTTCAATGTGGTTGGAGCCTGAGCGGCAGCAGAAGAAACTGAAACCTCATTCGATGCTGAAGATGTTGCCTTCTTTGGTGAGGGTGGTAGTGGAACTTTGGCCGGGGTAGGAAATACCGATTTAACGGGTGACTTCTGTGGAGAAGAAGGTGCCTTGACGGTCTCATCCCAGTCCACCTTGCTCTTTGCTGCCGCCGGCTCTGCAGACGCCCTCGCGTTGGTATCCGAGTCGTTCATAGGTCGTAGCCCACCTGCACGACCTCCCACAGGTCTCACAGTACCGAAATCCCAGAGGTCTTCATTCTCGTTCTCACGTTGATGCATAGGTCTGTCATCTTCCTCCTCGTCGTCCGAAGACCGACTTCCGTGGCTAGCCATGTATCTCTCGTTCCTCTCGATCAGCTCAGTCAGATATGTAGTCTTTTTCGCCTTTCGTATGAAAGGGTGCTTCAACAGCTCTTTTGCGGAGGGGCGTTCTCGAGGATCTCGTCGTAGACAAAGCTCGACAAAGTCCTTGAAAGTGCGAGTGAAGTTCCCCTGCAGGGTAGGTGGTGGGTTCTTTGGAATTAGAAAGAGTACTTTCATGGGATGTATGTCAGCATAGGGAGGTTCTCCTTGCGCGAGTTCGATAGCTGTGATTCCCAGTGACCATATGTCTGCCTTATGATCATAGCCTGACTGTTTAATGACCTCTGGCGCCATCCAGAAAGGTGTGCCGACAAAGGTATTCTTCTTGGTCATGGTCGCCGACAATTGTCCAGATACGCCAAAGTCAGCCAGTTTGACTTGCCCATTCTGACCCAGAAGTACGTTGGCCGCTTTAATGTCGCGATGAAGTTTCTTGTCGCTGTGTAAATAGTCCAGACCCATGAGTAATTCTCGAATTATGATACAGATATAGTCTTCATGAATGAGACCAGGTCTCATGAGGTCTGAACAACTTCCCCCAGAACAGAATTCCATAATGATCCACAAGTCTGAGCCTTTGAGGAACGAGCCATGGTACTTGGTCACATAGGGAGACTGCAGTTCTGACAGTATGGAGATTTCTTGTATGATGTCCTCGACCTCATCTTCAGCATTCTCCACGTCGATGATCTTGATAGCTACTGCTTGTCCAGTTCGCTTGTCAACGCCTTTGTATACTTTGCCAAAGCTGCCTCCGCCAATGCAGTTTTGTTTTGTGTACAATTCTTCCGGATCCATCGTCAGGGCAGATGAAGAACGACAGGACGCTTGAGGCTGTATAATGTTGGGAGATCTGGGGCACTGTCTTGCCCAATGTATTCGCGGAGAGTAACAAGACAGGCGAACGAGGGGTTTGCTCCTTTTCAAAGAGTGTGAGGACAGAAAAGTGGTCGAGTATCGAGGGAAATATGCACTGGTCAGTTCTTTGGAGCGCACTGGGCAAGTGCCACTGCCTGTCTCATCTGCGTGGTTTGGTTCATGAAGGTCGTGATGTCGTTAATTCATGGATGTCCCAGGCGAAAACTTGTTCAATTATGTCTGTTGCTATGCATTGTGAAGTGCAAGGTCGTGAAAGAGGAGAAAGGGCTCGACTTCTGTTTACTCGTTTTACCGCATCTGTCGTCGAGGCCTGTTCGCTGCTCTCATTGGTCCGACGCGTCACTCGACGCGCAGATAAAACAATTTCCACAGCAGAAAAGCTACAGTTCACTTTTAGAAACACACACTCTTAAGAAGAGATCGCGACATGGTGTTGTATTTTCATTACAAGCTGCGGGAGACTGGTTCCCTTTCGGCACAACATAATGTCACCCAGGTGGTATCTCTAGTGTAGCTGGGCTTAGAACGCCTCACAATGACTCTCGTCGGCCCAAGGAAGACGGCATCTCTGCATCAAGCGGCATTACTCCACAAATTCCACCATAACGGTTCCGTTCTTCAAGCCAGCGGCTTCGATGGATTCTTGTCGAGAATCAATAAGGTTCTTGCCCATTGAAACCAGCTCAAAGTCTGCTCCGTCCCTGCCCTCCAAGGGTTCTGCCTTCAGGTATTCATAAATTCGTTGCACTGGGTCACCTTCAGCGAACCGTCGAACAACCCGGCCACCGGGATGTCGAATTTGCACCCGCGTGACGCCTGGTCCAGCTGAAGGCTCGACATGTGGGTGATCCGATGGTATTTGTGAGAATGGGGTCGCTTCTGCAGAGGCTGCACCGCCATTCGCGTCGGCATCAACATCCATAACATCGTCAATCGACGGACCTGCAGCGTGGCGCAAATCTCCAACGCTGCGGGTTAGATCGTCTGGATCTTCGGCTGGTGGCGATTGTTGCTGTTCCTGAGTCTGCGTAGCTAAACTTGCCTGCAACGCCCGCTCAAGCATCTCTTCCTCGCTCAACTGATCGACTGGCTTCTCTTTCTTTGTTTCGGATTTTCTTTTGGCGACTGGGTTGCGTGCGTTGTTCTCCAAACTGTATCTGTCAAGAAATTCGTGGATCTGCATTAAGAATTCCGGCGCAGAAGGTACTTTTCGTGACCAGAGTTTGATTTGTTCGCCTGTTCTTGGGTCGACGATGGCAACATGAGGATAAGCGTCTGGACTGCTATGGTCCTGGAAGTAGTACTGGATGTACTGTGTGGCTCTAGGGTCGTCCTTGTTGTACTGGATGAAAAGAAAATTCTCCTTCAGCGTATCAACGATACCTTCATTCTTCCACAGATCGCGGTTGAGAGCTTGACAGTCGAATATGGATGGATCTTGAATGTCGACCAATATCCACTTCTTGTGCTCTTTTCCCTCGTCTCTTGCATCATCCCACTCACCCTTGAACATTAGCTCCCATGGTGGTTGGAAAAGTCTCGCGAGCCTAGTAGACCTTGAAGACGCTTCGGACGCACCACCAGTTGCTTCGGCCAGGTAGTTGCGGGCGGGATCTTCATTCATCATGTCTCGATCCCAGATACTAGATGGTTCGTGTTGGTTGAATATTCCAGGGCGTGCTGATAGAATGTTAGCCACGGTCTTCAGAGTTTGACATTGGTACTAACGTTGGTTCCTCCGTCTTTGGAAAGCGAGCATCCGCTCTTGAATCGCAGCATCGTGATCATCATCTCCGACCCCCAGCCCGGGCAGAGCGTCAGCGCCTGGCCCTACCAGTGTCTCTGCTTGTCGAGCGATTGGCGCTCGGACAACACCCTCATCCAGACCGCCCTCACCATACATCTCCTCTTGTAACCGTCTGGCCATGGCCTCATCATCTTCGTAACCTGCGGCAGCCATAGGTTGTGAAGGAGCATCGTTCCGAGGTCTTTTATTGAAACCAGTAACCGCAGGGTCATTGTCATCTGAGATATTCTCTTCTGCATCTATATCGATAGGGTTTTCGGCGCCACCCGCAGGATGTGAGGTGGAGGGCGGCGGAGGTTGAGAAGATGAGCCTGTAAGATCTGCGCCACCATTTTCAAAGAATAATTGTACGGCTTGGTTGGGATCGCCGTCGGCGAGTTGAACGTATTGTGTGGCCAATTCAGTAGTGGTCCCGGTGACCATGACCACCGTGGCAATGGCTTCATCCATCTCGAGGTGTTGTGAGACGTATCAGAAGTTGTGGAAAAGTTTGGGTCGAGGCTGACAGATGGACAGAGAGGACTCGGGGATTGACTTGGACTCTGCAGAGAGTCTTCACCAAGTGGGTGACTTCATGCGAGAAGCAAAGAGAATATCATGTTGTTATGTCTTGCGGAATTAGTTGGCAGAGGGTAGAAGGTGTTTGATCTTGAATGGTGAGTAGCAGTATTTGCAGGCAAACACGAAACGTACATACAAGTCCTCGTTCACTTATTCTTGTGACGAGGTGCGGAAGGCGGTCGCGATGATGCAAATGCTTGGGCGGGTGGGTCACTGCACACAGGGAAGGCGCGATCAGTCAAACTCGCCAAGCTTGCAGGAACTAGACAAGGCTGTCTTCGACAATTCAAATGACAGAGAACTGCAAAGGGTAGACTACGGCGGATCATAGTTTCCAAGGCTTTGAGAGGCTGTTCTGTGGCTGGAGCAGTCCGTGCAAAACACGAACGCGTCAAGACGCGTTAATTAAAGGCAAGCGGAGCCGTGACCTAGAGTCGCGCCTTCCTTCTACATGACTCGCACCTTCCCAAGTTTCTCCAACTCAACATCTTGCAAGCAAAAGCAGCAACGACCACATCAATGGCTGCTACAGTTCTGGGAAAGCGATCTCGGAGGGTTCTGGAAGAAGAAGGTATGCTCAAGACCCTACTGTCTTTGCCAGATATTCACTAACGGGACGACTTTGCTCAGATATCCCGAGTCCTGTCTCACCTTCGAAAAGACAAACGCGACGCTCGGCACCTCAGATATTCGAAGATTCAACTGAACAAGATGTGTCGCGAAAACCAGAGTCTCCAGCCAGTGCTGTACAGACTGCACGTGTCGTTAGATCTCGGGGCGGACGGACGAGATGCACAGTACAGGACGAGGTGGTAAATGACCACACCACACAAAACACACCACTTGTGCTTGACTTACCGGTCGAGAATGTGCCGCCTTCAGCTGTCTCGACTCCGTCAGCTGTGCGCTTCAAGGATGCACTTGCAACACCTCCAAGCACGCCAAAGCATCGTGTGCGCCTTGCAGGGTGGTCGCTAACTCCACGATCGTCACGCACTTCCACGCCATTGAAGTCGTCAAATGTCTATTCTCAGGCAAGACAAGCTTTCGCCCAAGCGTCCAACTGCAAGATTATTGGGCGCGAAGCAGAACGCGGTCAATTGACTCAATTCATCTCCAGTGCCATTGAGAAAGAAGTCGGTGGCTGCACCTATGTTAGTGGGCCTCCAGGAACCGGAAAGAGCGCGCTGGTGCAAGAAGTCATGCAAGAATTCGAAATGCGTCCAGTCAAAGTCGCCACAATCAATTGTGTCGCATTCAGGACTTCTACAGAAGTTCTGACCAAGTTTGCCCAAGAGTTCGGCTGTGCCACTAGCAACCAGAAATCGACAAAGGCCAACCTCGCAAAACTATTCACAGGCCGAAAAGCCGACCGCACGATGCATCTTGTGCTGTTAGACGAAATCGACGCGCTTCTCAATGGTGAATGCGAAATCCTGTACACCATATTCGAATGGGCAATGCATCCGTCCTCGTCTCTGGTCCTGATTGGAATTGCCAACGCGCTCGATCTGACCGACCGCTTCTTGCCACGATTGAAAACGAAGAACGTCAAGCCGCAACTTCTTCCTTTTCTTCCCTACACGGCCTCTCAAATGTCGAAAATCATCTCCGAGAAGCTCCGCTCTCTTCTGCCAGCTGGAAGCGACGCAGCGCCCGAGTTTGTGCCCTTGATTCACCCGGCTGCGATTCAACTGAGTAGCAAGAAGATCGCATCGCAGACTGGCGACCTACGAAAAGCCTTCAGTCTGGTCCGGCGTGTCATTGATCAAACTGAGCAAGAAACAGTCGCAAAGTTGAGCCGAAGCCCAATTACCAGTCCTACCAAACAGCCTCTCACCGAGATCCGCAATGTCGCAGTGACAGCATTATCTGGTTCATCACCTTTAAAAGCAGAGGATCGTTCATCTCTGGGTCAACTGACCATGGAGACAGCACCACGGGCCACTCCTGCATATGTTGCAGCCATTGCTTCCAACATCTTCAACAATGCCACAACTAGTCGCCTGGGTGGCCTCAATCTCCAGCAGAAGGCCGTTTTGTGTTCATTGGTGGCATCAGAGAGTCGTCAACGGCACCGTGATCCATACAAGACGCCGTCCAAGTCGCAATCACGAATACCTACCATCAAAGGACTCTTTGAGAAATACTCCGTGCTGTGCAAACGTGATGGCACTTTGGTGCCGCTGAAAATCACAGAGTTTCGGGATGTCGTTGCTAGTCTGGAAACTCTAGGACTAGTACAAGAAGCCGTAGGCCGACAGTCCAGTCTATTGACACCATCAAAGACGCCATCGAGAAGTAGAAGAGCACTGGACGATAAGCCAGTGGTGAGCGCTATATCCGAGACGGAAATGAAGGAAAGTCTTCATGGGCCAGGAGCAGACTTGTTGTTGAAACTGTTTGAAGAACATTGATGGAAGGGTTTGTTTGTTTTGCATAGCATGTTGCTGGTTGTTGCATGAGCCATGAAGTTGACACGGACTTGTTTGTGATGGTTCAGGTTGATGCATGCATATACACGATCGTTTGATACAGGCGCTTCATCCTGATGATGAGCGACGAAACCTAGACCAGAAGAAGAATTTGATCGTTGACCAAACTTGCAAGCGAATTACCATCTACAGTAGCTTTGGACTTTTAGTCTTCGACTGGCGATGGAAGAGAGTTGGATGATGTCACTCGGGGCGACGTGTAACCGAAGCACATGTCTCATAGCGGTCTTTTTCAGGCGTTTCATAGCCAGCTAATCACCGATTGGGCTTCTCTTGGGAGTGGGACAGCCTGGAAAAGGGCGGACACCCGGGAAATTCGGCAAGTCTGGCAGCACGCACTGTGGACAATAATAACAAGCTTTTGCTCAAGCTTCTTCCCGGAGGGGGAGACAGGGTTGCACTTTGGACGATGTTTCGGGCTTTATTGGCCAGCAGTCGTCAGCGGCACCCGTGGGCAACCTGCCACTCCCCAGTCGACCGTCGCAATCGCATTGCGACTCGGATCCTTCCAAACCAGGTGCCGTCCTTCCTTCGCTCTCCTCTTACCTGCAGCCTACGTCCCTCAGACGATTTCGTGATCCTGCCCGGCTGACGTGCGAGTAAAGGTCTTGCTCGCACGACCCTTCTTACCCTTTTACTCTTGGACGGCTTACTTCCACGCCCAATGCGCTAAACTGCGTTTTCTCTCAGCTCCTACTCCCCAATTGCGGGATAGACGCGCTGCCTCCAATGGCGGACAATGACAACGATGGCGAAGCGCCTCAGATGCGCAGAGAGCATCCTACCGATAAGATAGGGCCTAAGCTCATCAAAGGGACAGACAAACTACAACAGCAATTTCAAGGGCATGGCGGTGGTAAAGACAAATCCGATGACCAGAAACAGCCAGCAGGAGGTTTCGACGACACTCCATTGCCCAGGCTACCGCCAGGATACACGCTCAAATTCACATTCCACAAAGCAGAGAACCTCCCTTTCGCAGACTTCAATACGCTATCATCAGACCCCTATATCCTTGCCGTCCTCAAGAGTGATGTCCCCAAGAGGCATAAACAGGATCCAGATCTCAAATGGAGGACCCCTACTATACACAAGAACACCAACCCTGAATGGAACGCTGAGTGGATAGTCACAAACGTACCTAAATCTGGCTTCGACTTGAAGTGTCGACTGTACGACGAAGATCCCAGCGACTATGACGATCGGCTAGGAAATGCCCATATTACAGTCAACCACATCGATGACAACTGGGAAGGAATCTCCGAAGGCAGATATGTATTGAAAAAGCGCATGGCCAGCAAAAGAGCGTACACAATCAGAGGCTGTGCGGCCCTGTTCAACAGGAACCTCAAGATGAACGGGCACATCATAGTCAGTGTTGAGAATCTGGGAAGAACAAAAGACGAAAATGGCGGGCGTATGTACACCATTGGACCTTTGCAGTGGACTCGCCACTTTTCACCCCTAATTGGTCGACTTGCCGGTACAAAAGATACAGAAGCCGGCACGAATGGAAAAGAAACGGAAAAGTACAAGTAGGTGTCGAGCATCCTGGAGGCAGAATTGTGACTAACCCATCTGCAGTTTCCAAGCAGTTCAGATCCAACTCCGTGGTCCGGTGCCCGCTGACCTATATCATCGCTATGTCGAGTTCAAGCCCTTTGTGGCTGGTATGTTCACATCTCACTCGCTCCGCGGTCGTCTGCTCAATCGGGCTTTGCATCACCAGCACGCTCGCATATACAACTACGACAAGAGTACGAAATATGGCTCCTTCGATGAACCAAGCATCAAGCTAACGAAAGTGTTTCTTGACCTTGTTCACTACGACGAAGGTGGCCGCATCTTCACTTACGTGCTGACCCTGGATGGCCAGCTGAGGTTTACCGAAACCGGCAAGGAGTTTGGCATCGACATGCTCAGCAAGCACACCATGCACAGTGACGTGAACATTTACATTGCATGTAGCGGTGAATTCTTTATCAGACGAATCAAGCATGCTCGCGAGCATCAGAAAGACAAGAGCGTTGATCCTGATCAAGGCACTCACGAGCCAGCACCTGAGCCGGAGGAGGAGCAGGAAGAATCAGATATGATTGAAACCAATGGCAAAGGACACTCCGAAACTGGCACTGGTCAAACCAAAGATCCCTCGCACTACGAGCTGATCATCGACAACGACAGCGGCACGTATCGACCGAACGCGAAGAAATTGCCCATGCTGCGCGACTTTCTCAACATGAATCTACCGGGGATGAAGGTCGTGACGCTCGACTGCCAAGGCGATGAAGAGAAGATGAAGAAGCTGAAGAATGAGCAACGCGAGCGCAAGAAGAAGACCGACAAACAGGTCATGTACATGCAAAACAAAAGCGACAGTTCACTCAGCTCCAGCGACGCGGAATACCTGGACGCTCGGGCCAGGGGGACCGATGCTGACGAGAGCAAGGCCAAGCGTCACATGCACAAAATGATGGATGGAGGGACCGATCAGCATCATAATAAATCCGCCGACGCTGAAGCGGCTGGTTCTGCGGAGAACGAGAAGCAGCAGTGAGTAGGGAGTACTCCGTGTGCTGCGTTGCTACAGTGGTTTTCTTTGATTTGTTGTCAGCGTGCTGCGCTCGTTCAGCTTGTGTGCGTGGAAAAATCCACGAGCAGTGCGATGTTATAATCATGGTGTTGCGGCGACAAGATTTTCTTCGCCTCATTGCGTCGAGCAGGCTCGGCGTAAAACCACCTACTGGAGTCCTCTCTATGGACTTTTGTTCTGTTCTTCTCAATACCCTGGCCGTCCTTGAACTGCCTTTCGTCGTACAGTATGGCCTATAATGTTTAAATGCAAATTGCTCGTTGGGTATATTATAGTATGCGATTCTTCGTCTGTGAACAGGTTCTTTTTGGATCATTGCGGTAGTGTTATTCATGGCTATACCGCGTTACTCTTGATCTTGAGTCAGTCGTCATATTGCCTCCCAGCTTGCAAGAGAGAGCAACAAGATGCAGGGCCAAGCAACGCCCTTAAAACGGAACGATCCCTGAGGCCCCCAAAGCTCCTCTACCTAGGTCGCTATCCAAAGCTTGCCACAAACGCCTTGCTACAGTAAATGGAATGACTTTGTCCGCCGGCTGTCTTCGCATCTTCCCAAGTCTTCGACCTCCCAACAGACAGCCTACACGTAAACATTCCTGAGTGTCTCAGTGTTCCGACCGTCTCTTCTCCTCTAGTTCGTTTAGCACTTCTCCTGTTGCCTCGACGAGCAGTCTCCATTCCGTCTCGTGTATTCTCCTTTCGAGGTCTTCTTGTGACTCGCCGGCCCTGCATTCGACTTCTCTCACAAGTACTGGTTCGCCCATGTCTACTTCTGCCACGACCTGGTGAACCATGACTCCTGTGTGGGTGATTTCTCCTCGTTGAAACGCCTTGTATGCACGACCGATAGCGTCCGCGCCATTGAATTGTTTTGGCAGTGCAGGATGCAGGTTGATTATGGGGACATTGGCGGCGGTCAGGGCTTTGATGAAGACAGGAGACAGAATATGCATCCAGCCGGCACAGACAACCAGATCGGGAGATGGGATGTGGGTGAGGATTGTTTGAGCGAGATCTGCGTCATATTGTTTCCGCGCTTCTTCGACGCCAATGTCCGTCTTGGGGTATTTGCTCCTGTAGGATACGAGGTTATGGTATGTGGTTGCAATGTTGGCGTCTCGAGCGCGCGTCAGCCCGTAGGCGTCCTTTCGATTGCAGATGACATGTGTGATCTCTGCTTGAGGTAGGAGGCGTTTCGGTGGAGGTTTCGTTTTTGACGGAGGTGTTTGACCGCAGGCATCGATCAGGGCTTGAAGATTCGTGCCCGAACCGGAAATGAGGACGGTCAAGTTGAACGAGCCCGAGTTGCTGTATGCTCGAGACTTGTCGGTCGAGATGGCTTTGGTGGAGGGCATGGTGATGTGGTCAAAGCTTGGTCATACGAGAAGATCGTCGGAGGACAGGGTCACAAATAAAGTCGAAGCCAACCTGTGAGTGAGGGTTTGGGAAGTAGCGCAGGTCGACGTGGTCGGTAACCCGCCAGGAAGAGTCGCACGGTGCAAATGCACAGCAAGAGTGATGTATGGCGCAGCTCGTTGGTGTTATGACATGGTGCTGGAGAGGGTTTCGAGCGTGTACAAGTCAGTGGAGAGGGCAGGGTAGCAGGTGCAGGTTCGGCCTTTGACGTTGAGTTGAGATAGGTCAGAGCAAAATGAGGAAAAATCCTCACTCTTTGAATCTTGAGAGTCGGGACGATTTGTCGCTAGGGATGATCTCCACGACGGCTGGAAGGGAGCAGCCGGCGCGCGCAGATGTCAGAGGGGGGGAAGACGGAGCAATGAGCAACGAGCAACGTCTCGGAGACCTCCCCCTCGAGTCCCCTTAGAGGAGCTCCTCAAACTCTCCCTCCATTCAAGGGCTCCCAAACTCTCCGCCTCGCTTGCTAATCCTTCTCGGATGTCGCTTCGAATTTCCGCAACATCGACAACATGTACGGATACTTCAGGTACAGGTCATGCTGAGGAAGGTTAGAACAGGTGCTGTTAAATGTCTGACAAACGATCGCTAGACAGATAAGATGAACCGTTATGACATGGTCCTTGCTCGGTTCGAGGCATCTCTTCCCCTCCCTGTCACAGTCACATCAAGCCAAATTCATGCTCGAAGCAATCATGTTACAGCACATGTAAGAGATGATCGTTATCACACTTCCTTTTGAGCAACTCGTATTGCTGGTTCTAGCACCGAAACGTCGATCATTGCTGAGTTCTACGACCCGAAAAGCCATCGCTTAACTATCCGGGTTGATTTTATCGTTCGCTATGCATGAATGGTACCCACCGATGCGATACGGGGATGCACGATCCTGCGTCCGGCGGGATTCGCCCACTGTGATACGCTTCAGGGCTGAAAGTCTTTCAGACGCTATGCTATTATGTAGTAGGTCGGTCGCCAGGCCAAGGTCCGTACAATCCTAATCCACGATGATGAGATGAGAGGCAGCTACATGCTCTACACAGGGAAGGCCTGATTTGAGTTGGTCCCAATCGTGTTGTCCGGTACCGGTGCATCTGTCAAGGAGTGTTGTTCCTGGAATCCCGCACTCTGGCACATACGTATGGGTCGACGACGGCTTATGCGTGCCAATCGAGTTGATTGCTATGGCCACTATGGCGCTGTCGTGTGTCCGCTTATGGCCAGAAGCTAGCTGCCCAGAAATAAGCGCACATGTGTGCCAGCGTCGTCGCAGTCCGCTTCGCAAATGGTGAAATGTGGTCAGAGTAAAGCGCCCCAAAGATTGCTACGAGACCGGCATATACTCGCGACCAGCTGACTTCTACTTAATGCGAGCAAGGCGGCATGGCTCGGAAGAAATATAACTCTAGGGGTTTGAACCGACTTTGACTGCTTGAACATGCTCTGCCGATATGCCCTCAGTCGGATTGCGTACGATGATCACCATCGCTCAGCCTGCGCTTAGGAGTGCTACTTTAGAGGCTTGTTTCAGTCATGGTGACCTTGACGGCTCTGAGGCAGCTTCAAGACGTCGATATCATGGGGTCCGTCCGTACCTTATCGCCTGTCAATTTAAATCTAGCATGGACGACAAGGGCTGACACAGCGCATCAAAAGTAGCAGTCTTCGGTCACAGCACGAGTCCGGGGTTCAGACGACCAAGTGGCACAGCCTGCTCTTAGTATGCATTGCCGAGCAACGGTATCGATCGACCCAACAGGTTTGACTCTGGGGTAAACCTGGGGGTCTTACTTCGGACGTCGCCTGTCAGTGCGCAGTTTTGAATGAGGAAGACAAGGACCACAACTCTTTAATGCTTGGAAACATATATCCGGGAAAGAGGATGAGGAGCTCGTAAGGTATGGAATGTCCCCGAGAACGGGCCAGCGACCACAATAGTCGCTGTGGCTGTGTGTGCCAAAGTACCATAGAAGGAGATGCATTTGGTAGGGTTCGGCAAGGCCTTTTGCACGGGAGCAAACATCATTTTCCTGACGGCTGACACCTGCGCCGTGGACCGTCTCTGTATGGCCCCACGCAGTATGTCTAGTAGAGGCACGATAGTCACGATAGTAAAAGGAGAGACGGAAAAGTATCAAGAGATCACGGGTAACCTTACAACCACGGTCGAGGAAGGCGTTCCCGAGAGTCTCTGGAAAGCAACGGGCTTGTCAAAGTTGAAGATAATATTAATTAGTGATGACGGTGAGATTTGAGTCTTGACTGCACGTCTTTCCTGTCCGTCGATAGTTTTGTATGGTCAGAATACCCCATAGGTGCCCCGTACTATTTCTGTTATTAGTAACATGTCGTCCGCACCCCGAAGCTAACACATTAGACATACCAAGTCAGTCCACTAGCAGTATATTGCACCCCCCTTTTTTCTTTCCTCCCCTGAATACGCCACTTCTAAGTCATGTTTTTGCCGACAGACCAACGCTCCTGAAGACTGTCATACCGCCAATACGCGCCTGATGTAAGATTGCGATCGAGAGCCCATCCCTGCCTTTGCCTCACGCGAGCAAGAACGAGCCTGTATGACTCGCTGAAGGGTGGTTCCCGACAACCTGGCGGTTCCCACCTAACTTAAAAATTCCCCCATATCAATTTATACTCGACAACCGACTGTAGCTGACACCAGCGCCTGGCATCGGAAGTCCGTCCAGGGTCTAATGGGCATGCCAGGCGCGCCCTTTCGACCACGATAATAGTGTAAAATTGAGTTGCAGCGTATCATGGTAGAGATGCACACTAAAACGGGAAGCTGCCTTCAAGTGTGGTCAGTACCATATTTGAAGCACGCGCTCCCCACTTCCTGCCAAACGCACCATCAACTCTACCTTCCATCCTCCCCATTGCTTTCACTTGGGTCATAGGTCGCTCCTCATCCTCAACCACACTTTCACTTGTCCAAGCCATGGCTGCTGCCGCGCCCAAAGAAGAACCACAGGCGACGACTGCCTCATCACCACCGTCACTCTCTAGCGTGGAGGCCGGTGCTGAGGCGGAAAAGTCTGTCGTCCAAGATGCAACCGTCGACCTCGATCGTGTTGGCGAGACCGAGGGGTACGTTCTCGACGAAGCTCAACTTCGCGCCCAACTCGGACTTGCTCCCGATGTTGCGCTGAAGAAATCCAATAAAGGAGTTGTCTTGATTCCTCAGCCCACGGCAGATCCTGAGGATCCCTTGAACTGGTCTCGGTTGAAGAAGACCCTGATTCTCGTCGTCATTGCAATCAATGCTTGTACTGCCGACTATTCAGCTGCCACAGGCGCAAGTGCCCTGATCCCACAAGCTGAGCAGTGGCACATTTCTCCCAACACGGTTAACCATGCGACTGCCGGGTAGGTCTTCATGTAAACGTCCCTTATTGGATCAATGGCTCATAGATCATCAGCAACACTTTCATGCTCGGTGTGGGTGGCTTGGCGGCCGTCTGGTTGTCTGCCTATTTTGGCCGACTCCCTGTGCTCTTTTGGTTCGGATGCTTGTCAGCCGGGATGGCCGCTTGGTCTGCTGCTGCCAAAAGCTTCGACTCTTATATGACGGCTCGCATCTTGCAAGGCACCTTCGCCGTGGCTGGAGCTGCCGGTGGCCTGATGTGGATCAAGGATGTTTTCTTCTTCCATCAACATGCCAAGAAGATCAACATCTGGTCGACAGCTATCATCTTGTCGCCGTTCCTGGGACCTCAATTCATGGCTGCAATTCTCAGTGTCAATACGTGGCGCGTGGGCATGTGGCTCAACTTCGGTCTCATTGCGCTGGGCGTCCTCGTCACCGCCACGCTGGGAGATGAAACGTTCTATCCACGCCACCTCATGCCCGACCGCATCCCTCAGCGCAAATCGAGGCTTCTTCGTGTCATCGGTGTTGAGCAGTACCGGACCAAGTACACCACAAACACATTTTGGGAGGCTGGCAGTCGATTGGCTTACACCGCCACGAGATTGCCAGTTATTTTGGTTTGCTTGTTCTACTTCTTTGACTGTATGATGATCAGCACTCCCTTCGCGTGACAACATCTTGCTAATTCTGCACAGTTCCGTGGACGATCGGAAACAACACCACCATCTCGGTCTTGATCATCCCCGCTTACAACTTCTCCTACCGCAACTTGGCAGCCATTTATACGGCACCAGTCGTGGGAGCTGTGCTTGGTCTATTCATCGGACATTTCCTGTTCGACTTCATCGGCAAGCTCTATGCCAAGCGCCATGGAGGTCGTATCGAGCCCGAGAGCAGACTGATCGTCCTGTGGTTAATCTTGCCGATCAAGCTTATCGGCTATAACCTCATTGGTACTACCCTTCATCATGCTCATACCTGGTCATATTGGGTCTTAGCTGTGGGTTGGTGTATGCACAACGCTGCAACCATTATTACTACCACAGCTGTCGGCGCTTACCTGCTTGATGCCTACCCTGAAGCCGGGGGAGAGTGCGCTGCGTGGCTCAACTTCGTCCGCACCCTTGGTGGATTCATTGTGGGATATATCCAGATCAACTGGGCGACAAAATCGGGCACTCAAACTGAGTACGGAATCCAGAGTGCCATCATGGGTGCGGCCTTTTTCATCGTTGTGCTTCTGCAGTTCTTTGGAGCTCGCTTAAGACATGCTCAAGGTCGACTAAATTTCAAGACGAACTGAAAGACAAAGGAGAGTTGCGTAGATAGGATTGAGTGCAAGCATTCAGTATCGTAGTGGGCGCAGGTATAATCTTGAATAGTACTCGTAGCAAATACGTAGTCTTGAAGCAGCAATATCAACAGGTGCGGAATTCTGGACGCGGGAGTGGAATTCGACGTCATTGCACCTCAGCTCGTTGATTGGCTCAACCGGCAGAGCTTCTTTGGTGTTGCTTCATTTTGCAGGAACAAAAGCTCCTGCGATATCGCCAGTCCTTCACCCTATTACACCGCACCCCTCGCACCTCTGCACAACCTGGGACTTGTGGTCTTACTGGACACGTATCTCGCCGGCAATGTCTCTAGCAAAGTCCACTCGCGGCGCCCAGGTATGGTTGCGATTCTTGCGGAGGGCAGCATCCGATAGACTGACAGGCATTTTCACAGACGCTGTTCCGCGCAGCCCAGCGAGCGAGCAGACAGCAAGCTCCCACTCCTTCGTTCGCAAGAAGTTAGAGATATACCGACCCTTCACCTACTTTCCAAGCTAATTAATGTCTCCTAGCCTATGCCTCCATTGAATCCGATATCTTCAAGCCTACGAAGTATGGTGGAAAATACACCGTCACCCTGATCCCAGGTACGACAACTTATCGATTGATCTCAGAGACTTCAGTTCCCCTGCTTACACAGCACGCTTATAGGTGACGGTATCGGCGCCGAGGTTGCCGAAGCAGTCAAGACCGTGTTCAAGGCTGACAACGTACCGATTGAGTGGGAACAAATCGACGTATCTGGTGTCGAGACAGGCGACAAACATTCCGAGGCCCTGTTCCGAGAGTCGATAGCATCGCTCAAACGAAACAAACTCGGTTTGAAGGGTATTTTACACACGCCAATCGAAAGATCCGGCCACCAGTCTTTCAACGTCGCCTTGCGACAGGAGCTCGATATCTATGCCTCAGTCGTTTTGGTCAAGAACATTCCTGGGTTGAAGACACGGCACGACAATGTGGACCTCTGCATCGTGCGTGAGAACACAGAAGGTGAATACTCAGGTCTAGAGCATCAATCGGTGTCTGGTGTGGTTGAATCTCTGAAGATCATCACTCGAGCCAAGTCGGAACGTATCGCCAAATTCGCCTTTTCTTTCGCCCTCGCAAACAACAGAAAGAAGGTCACCTGCATCCACAAGGCCAACATCATGAAACTCGCAGACGGTCTTTTCCGAAACACGGTCAAGAAGGTTGGCGAGGATTACCCATCATTGGAAGTCAATGACATGATCGTCGACAACGCCTCCATGCAAGCTGTCTCCCGACCTCAGCAATTCGACGTTATGGTTATGCCCAATCTTTACGGTGGTATCCTCACCAACATTGCGGCGGCTCTGGTTGGTGGACCTGGTGTCGTCCCTGGTTGCAACATGGGTCGTGATGTAGCCGTTTTCGAACCAGGCTGCCGACACGTCGGTCTCGACATCAAGGGCAAAGATCAGGCCAACCCTACAGCACTCTTGCTGTCGGGAACCATGCTTCTGAGACATCTCGGCCTCGATGATCACGCCAACCGTATCTCCAAGGCAGTTTATGAGGTGATCGCTGACGGGTAAGTTGGATATCTGGTCCACTTGACTGGATAAACCGTATACTAATTAGTTTATAGCAAGGCACGAACTCGGGACATGGGTGGCAACAGCACCACTCATGAGTTTGTCCGGAGCATCCTTGACAAGATGGAGAAGGATTTGTAAACGATATGCTTTGGGATGCCTAGCAATGGCGGCGAGCAAAGCACTTTTGTTGTTTGAAGAGTTGGTCAGAGCGGTTCAAGTTGTATTAGTTCTCAGAAGCTTGCATTGATGCTAGAAATGACACATTTGTACATGAACTCTCGTGGTCAAGTTAGTCGTTGGTGATGCTAGACATGTTTGTATCGAGAAAAGGACGCTGCGCCAAAGTGGAACCCCTGAACGGTCGGGTTGCGTGTGCCTCCGCGCTTGAAAACGTCGGTTTATGACAAAGTGGCAGGTCACCACTGCAGGTCATTATTTATGCATAGCATGTGAATTTCGTAAATTCTTCCCAACCAAATCACGGCCATGGACATACTGTTCAAGACCTCGCCGGCTGCATTCGCTGGCTATTGCCATCCACCATGATCTAAAATTTGTGACGATTTGCCCCGAATCTCTACATACCTGCGCTCCGCCGTCCGCTGCGGTGTGCCCTCCGGATGACTTCGCTGGGTCCTGCCAGAAGCGACGGTGCGAAATGCAGCTCTCAGAGCATCCATACTCGGACAACCTCATCCCTTGATCGTATTCCGCAACCCTATCATATAAGAGGCGACAGTTTGACAAAATCGACCGGGCTGTCCACCTTCACTGCTCCCGATACCCCGAATGGACACATTGCGTCCTCGTTTGGTCGCACGGAGTCGAGCGAGAGCGGTACAGAGGCCGACGATGAGAAGGGACCACTCCTCAAAGGGTTGCCTGCGCCGCCATTACGCCTGCGAAAGGGATTGCGTGGGAACTCGCCCGCAGGATTGACGCCTTCAGCCAGCCCTCTACCAACACCGCCGGCTTTCGTCGAAGCACGCGAGTTCGACTACTTTGGAACGAACCAGAAGGCCACGAAAAGAACACAGCAGACGGGGAAGCAGACCAGAGACTTCGAAACGTACAAGAGACGGAAACATAGAGAGATCGTCCGAAGATGCACGGAAACCGTGCTGCTTTGCGGCATTGCTGCCATCGTTGGGAGCAGTCAACGCCATTCAGCAGAACTGCGGAACTGGTCGAATGAGCTTATAGCGTTCCTGATACTCCCACCGTTGGTATACGCGTTTTATCCACTGAGGTTGTCACGCCGAGCTCATGCGGCGGGCAAGACATCACTACAAGCACTTCGCATCGGATTTCACATTCCCTCCAGATTCGACCCGGGACCACTGTTATATCCTGTGGCTCTACCAGTGATGATTGCAATATCACTATTCGACAGAAGTGCCGCGTTTCTCCCAGCGGCGATCGTGTGCGGCCTGTTGTCAATCCCATCATTGGTCACGGCGACAGCGAGAACACCAGCACTGGGGGACCATATACACTGGCTTGTCTCAGTGCTGCCATTACACACGTCAAATTGGCGGCTCTTAGACGGTGCTGCTCCAGTACCGCTGCCTTTGAAATTGGGACCGGACAGCCCGCTGTCGCGGGAGAACCTGATCTTGTTCTATCCCCTGCATCACGCACTGGTGTCTGTACTGGGCTATTTGACAACTTCGAGCCTCGACATCTCCGAACTACAACTGTTGTCGACAGCGCTAATCCACCTTTACGTCTTTGCCACGTCACCGCAGGCGGAGATTCTCAAAGCCATGCTGTGGCTCGGTGGTCTGTGTATTTTTATCTCCTGCAGACATTTTTTGACTTGGGAAGTTGCCCTGGCTCGCATCCCAACCTGGAAGCTTCTGCGCAGACGGGCACCTCGGGACCTTATTTCACAGATTGATCAATCAATTTGCGCGCTTCTCACCAGGGGAAGGTTGCAGCGGAAGCGTGGAGTCTCTTCTGACAGCGAAGATGAACTGCATGTCAGACCATTTCCTCGTATCAGAAATCTCCAGGTTAACGGAAGAGCTTCTACCATGCCCGCGATCGAGGCCTTGTCAGCTATGGAAGTACCCCTTCTTAGGGCACCATCGTTCGATACTCTGGGGTCTTCCCAACGGTCTCGACGGAACACTTTCACTGCGACCGGCCATCAAGGACGCAACAAGCTTCCTATAGGCATGAGAAAGGCACAGTCAAATACTGCTGGACCTCCTAATGCATTCATGTCCTTTACCCTGGAACAAGTTCGAGCACGGAAATACGTATATGCCGCACTTGCATATATTCTTGTCATGCTTACAATCTTAGGCCCGCTCCGACTGTATGTGGGCAAACGGGCTTCGTCGGGTCACGAGCCTTTTGGTTGGGCCTTGGGTTATCTGCTTGGTAACATTCCGGCATTCCGCCTCTGGGTGGTCAGCAACAACCTCGACAGATGGATTTGTCTACCGCCTCGGTCGGAGGTTGACGCTGTATTCGACCTACATATTTCCGTGGAAGACATCCGTCAGCATATCCTTGGTCCTGCCAATACACGATTGTTGATCTGCATTTACTGTGTTGCAGTGCTTCTTGTCGGAATCGTGGCAGTTTTCCGTCTTACGTCCGTGGTCGAGGTCGACACAAGACGCAAGGTCTTCCATGGGATTATGGTCGCCATGCTATTACCTTCCATCTTCGTCGATCCTTGTTTTATTGCCTTGGCGCTCAGTTTGGTCCTGGCTATTTTCCTCCTTCTCGACTTGTTCAGAGCTTCTCAACTTCCGCCGATTTCCAAACCACTGACGGCGTTTCTCGCACCCTACGTGGATGGCCGAGACTATCGAGGTCCAGTCATTATTTCACATATTTTCTTGTTGATCGGCTGCGCCATCCCACTTTGGCTGTCATTGGCCGCAGCCCCACGTTCCGGGGAAGGACCCTGGGCTGGATGGGACACTACTGTGCGGGATGTGAACATGGTGAGCGGCGTTATTTGCGTTGGCATGGGAGACGCGGCAGCCAGCCTAATAGGCAGGCGTTATGGAAAGACAAAATGGTGTTGGGCAGGGGGGAAAAGTCTAGAAGGCAGTCTTGCATTTGCGATTGCGGTTGTTTGTGGTCTTTCTGCGACCTGGGTTTGGCTCAGAATCGGCGGCTGGGCTTCCTGGCATGGCCAGTCAATTACTTTGGTATTGGGGAAATGCATCGTAGCGGGCTTGGGCGCCAGCCTGCTGGAGAGCACCTTAACCGCGGCGAACGACAATGTGGTCGTCCCAGTTGGATTGTGGCTACTGGTACGAGGCTTACATATATGACAGTCAGGTGGACTTGACAGACATATCTTGCGCAGCCGCAGTTAGCCTCGTTACCACAGTCCAGTAGACAAAGGAATTTCTGTATCACTTCCGTCTCATGGTCAGTCTAGGAGTGGCGTCCGGTCCCGGATAGTCCTTGCCGCAACAGTGGGTAATCTAGAGTTTGGCGGGTGGGTGTAATGATCGGCTGACTCCGTTCAACCCTAGATACAGAGGGACACCTGGTGATTCGTGGAGGGGAAAGGATTCCATTATCGGATGATCAGAATGGGAAGAGACAGCACGTGATCTGCTGTCTTATCACTTTCGTTATCGCGCGACACCTTTGACATGCACCATCACAAGGCGAACGATGCCCTGTTGACCTGCCATGACTCTTACTATGTTAGTAACCCGAGCGTGAGCGAATGTTCCCGTTCGCGTTGTTGGGATCTAGATCATTTCTTGCAACCATTTATCATTATCTTTCTTTCCTTTCTTCTGTTCAGCCGCATTGTTTTGTGTTCAAGGTGTTACAAGCCACGCCGAGACGCTCGGTCACACTGCGTCACTGGTTGACCGACATCCATCCCAATCCAGCGCCCATTCATCGACGTCGACCGAAAGTACCACCCTCGCACCCCATCAACAGCCAGATGAGCCCAATGTAAGCTCGCCATCAAGCAATCTGTTCGATCGTTATATCCTTTGCCGAGTCCGTGCAGCCTGTCCCTACTCGAGTTGCACAACATCACGGATTGCGCAGCCTGCCGTCCAATTGCGCCATCTCCACACTCTTGTGGCCTGCCGCCTGTTACCTCAGTCATCGACCTGTCCTCCCACAACGCCCAATCCTTCTTTCGACTTGAGAATACCCATGTCCAACCATATCTCCGCGGCCTCTTACCCGCCATTGACAAGATAACCTACGGTCTGCCTCATTTCTCCCAGATCGCGACCGGCGTTCTTCGACCGAAGTGGTGGAGGAGGTGAATATGGCGTCCACAACACCCCAATCGATCACACCGAGGAGGTCAAAAGATTCGGACAAGATAGGCAGTTTCCAACGTCATGAAGAGATAGGCCGGGGCAGCTTTGCCACGGTCTACAAGGCTGTTCATACGGTGAGTCGACATCATATAACGTCTATCCCATACATCTCATGTACTGACCAATCTACAGAGCGGATCGGGCACGCAGAGCATCGTTGCAATCAAGTCGGTCAATATGTCCAAGCTGAACAAGAAGCTGAAAGACAACCTTACATCGGAGATCTCCATCCTCAAGGGACTTCATCATCCACACATTGTTGCCCTGATCGATTGCAAAGAATCAAGCGCACATATTCACTTGGTCATGGAATATGTGGCACTCGGAGACCTTTCACATTTCATCAAGAGACGGGATCAGATCAAGGATAGCGAGCTCGTCGGAAATATGATGGTCAAATACCCAAACCCTCGACAAGGTGGTCTGCACGAGGTGGTTGTCCGACATTTCCTGCAACAACTTGCGAGCGCCTTACAGTTTCTGCGAGCTCGAAACCTCATTCACCGCGACGTCAAGCCACAGAACCTCCTCCTTAATCCATCACCCGCATATTTCCAGAACCACAAACCTAAGCCGATGCCTTACCAACCCAGCGATAACGCTCTTGAACCAGTGTGCGGTATCAGATCTCTCCCTATGCTCAAGATTGCCGATTTTGGGTTTGCCAGGTCATTACCGTCAACAGCGCTTGCAGAAACTCTGTGCGGCTCTCCCCTATACATGGCCCCCGAGATTTTGAGATATGAGAAATACGATGCCAAAGCCGACCTTTGGTCCGTCGGAACTGTTTTGTACGAAATGGTGACCGCCAGACCACCTTTCCGAGCATCCAACCATGTGGAACTGCTCCGCAAGATTGAGAAGAGTGAAGATAGGATCAAGTTTGGTGAAGAATTTATGGTTTCAGAGGATATGAAAAAGCTCATTCGGGCGTTACTTAAGAGGGACCCGAAAGAACGCCTATCATTCCCTGATTTCTTCAGCAACGAGATCATCACAGGGTCCATCCCAGGTCTGCATCCTGAGGATATGCCTGAACAACCCACACCACCCGAAACCGACCGCCGGCGAAACAGTCGCACTGACCCGACTGGCCTGGCTCGTCCTGGCTCCAGAAAGGAACCGGAGAGCCCTTATGGCGATGCTTCCAAGACTGTATCGGACGAGAATCTACCACGGCGATATTCTCTTACCCGAAAGCCGTCTGTGGCACGGGATCAACTTGCCATGCAACGACGACCGTCTGATGAGCGAGTGGCGTCCCCACCAAGCTCGGCAGAGCCTCGCCCTGCTTTACACCCACATGCTACGGCTCCAGGAAGACAAGAATTAGTATATCGGCCTTCTGCGACTCCTATGGCCCGGCAAACGAGTGCAGGTTCGCATAAGCTGCCGCCCTCATCGTTACGAGGCCAAGTATATGATGAAGCTCAGGGCATAGCTCTTCGAAAACAACAGCAACAAGAGGAGAAAGAACGGGAACGAGCTGCACAAGACATCGCATTTGAACGTGACTACGTTCTAGTGGAGAAGAAAGCGGTCGAGGTCAATGCTCTGGCGGATGAAATCGACGCTAACCCACGACTAAACAAGAACAGCCCTTCAGCACTCTCACCAAAGGCAGGAGCGATGGTACGCAGAGCAACCACCCAAGGGGCTCCTGGCTCCGTGACTGGTGCTCAAACCAGTGCCTCCCGTGCCGTTCAGATTGCTTCGGGCAGAAGGCCTGATGCCCTCCATAACCGACAAAGCTCTTACGAACGACGATACGGACCAAGTCCGAACTCAGCAACATCGGCCATCTCGAAAGCCCTTAATATGGCGAGCGGTCGGTTGTTTGGCGTCGGCTTCTCTCCGCCAGTCAACCTCGTACGTGGAGGAAAGTCACCTCCCATCACCTACAGTCCTTTCCCGACATATCCTGGCGCTCAAAGCAGCCTTGTAGTGGTCGGCGACGCCACCAAGACCCCTGCTGCCGATGAAGATACCAAATTCGTGCAAATCGTCGAGGAGATTGCCACTAGGAGTGACGTGGTGTACGGGTTTGCAGAAGTCAAATACAAGCAGCTTACCCCGGCAATTCCTTCGCAGCCCGGACTCGGCTTACGAAATACTTCCGGCGAAGGCGGTCAAGAGAGTCCATTCGGTGCGTCTAATGAAGACTTGACAGTTGAGGCCACTGTGATTGTTGCAGAAGAAGCTCTGGTGCTGTACGTCAAAGCACTGGCGCTCTTGGCCAAAGCTATGGACATCGCTGCTCGTTGGTGGCATCGCAAGAGCCGGGCGGATGGACCAAATGACGCTGGATCGTACCGGTCCTCTGCTGCCTCGGCAGCAGCTGGACAGAGGATGAATAACGTTGTGCAATGGATCAGAAGTCGTTTCAACGAAGTATTGGAGAAGGCAGATCTTGTTCGGTTGAAACTCATCGACAGCCAGCGGCGATTGCCCGAAGACCATCCAAGCCACCCCAATAACATCTCTACCACTACGGCTTCCAGTGCTGGGATGGGCACGTCGGCAGATCAAGTGGTGGTCAGCTCCGGCATCACAGCCGAGAAGCTCATGTACGACCGTGCTCTAGAGATGAGCCGTGCTGCTGCAATCAATGAGCTGACCAACGAAGACTTGCCTGGGTGCGAGATATCCTATGTCACGGCTATTCGTATGCTTGAGGCAGTCTTGGAAAGTGATGAAGACAACGTGACCAGAAATGGCAGCACCACGAGTGATCAAGATGAGAAGGAGGATACGGCGCCTATCAACGGACTTGAGGCTGAAGATAGGAGGACTGTGAAAAGCAGTAAGTTTTGTGCACACTGCTTCAATGTGTATGCTAACTCGTTTCAAGTGGTTAACAGTATCCGTGGAAGACTTACGATCATCCGACGAAAGCTTCAAGTCATCCAGAAGCGAGCATCAGCACCGTCGATATCTTCACCCAGAGCATCTCCTCCTCTGGGTCACCGCGGCAGCAATCCGACAGCTGCTCTTGTTACGCCACCACGATAACGATTAACATTTACGAACTTCAGCATTGCGAGTGTGATTTTGAGACGAGCATACGGTGGTCTCAGTGTGGGCGTTGATCATGCGAGGGTTGGCGTTGGTACCATCGGTCGACTCTCCGTTCATGTTCGAGTCTACACCCAGCATCGTGGACTCGTTCGATATGTAATTACTTTCTATTTTTATGCGTCGTTGGCTCCGGCGAATGGTGGGGAGCTTGTACAGGTTGAAAACGGGCATATTACGGCGTATTGGGCTTTGCTGTTCACAAGAACAGATTGAATACCTCCAATATGATGAAGAGACGGTCGAGCTTGTCACAGAGATTGGACATGGAAGATACCCCTGGTCATGGGAATGGAGACACTGGAGCTGGCGCCATGGGCGCTGAAGGAACTTCAAGCATGCTGCGTGACAATCTGTTGTGGTGTGTTTTTATGCGCTCATCCTCGATGACACCAAGATTGGGCATGGATGTTAGCCGACTGCAGTCAGTCGTGCAAGCATCTAGAATGATTAAGAACAATTGTTCATGACTTGTGCTATATGCGTAGATATCGCGTTTTGGAGCAATGCTGATTGATATGAAATGTCCAAGACAACTATGGAGAATCACCCACTGGGACTAAATGACTTCCTCAAACTTGCTGGGTTTTAGGTTGATATGGCAAGAAATGACCAGGCTGTGTAAACAGCTTGATTTCGTAAACAAATCAAGAATGCACGGGAGTGAGAGCATTTTGATGCCGGTTCTTGCGTGTAGGGGTTCTGGGAAAGACCAGCCTGTGCTTCGAATATACAGCCTTTCAGGATAGTGGCAGAGATTCATGACGCTGTAGATACTTTCGCTTCCTGGCTCACGAAAGGAAAAATAGCTTGACGGATACTGCTCTTTCCCGAAGATCTAGACAGGATGAAGACGATCTGGAGGCCTCCCTTGACAGTACTCTGTAGGTACTTTGTATCATCTTGATGACTTGGGCGGGAAGAGAAGAGAAGACTCGGTGTTGAAACAGAGATTTCTCCGCAGTTTGTAGAGGGTTCTTGTCTGTATCTCAGGCTGATTAAGGCAGGATTGGCGAGGCACCAAACGTAGTACCCACCGCAACTTTTAGGGGAGGTTAATTAAAGACCTTAACTAAAGGCACCTAAGCATCTATATTGCATGAACCACTACTTACACTGTTTCGACCGTGCAGTCGAGACCGGGTTCACGCGACGTTGGCCAAATGGTCATGTGCTGGAGACAGCTCTTGTTTCCAGGTATCACGCCGCTAGTATCCCCCCATCTACCGCAATATCTTCTCCAGTGATATATGAGCTTGCCTCGGTGAGCAAGAAAGCTGCTATACTCTTGATCTCTGATCGGTCCGCGAACCTCTTCATAGGAATGGGCTTCTCAAAGGCCTCCAGTAAGGCGACATCTTGGGCTTGATACCCTGGTGTCATTTTTGTGAGGAAGAACCCAGGGCTGATGCTATTCACTCTGATACCACTTTCTGCAAGTTCCACAGCCAGGGATTTGGTGAATCCTAAGATGGCACCTTTGCTTGCACAATAAACGGCGTTTTTCTGACCTACAATGCCCCCGTGGCCGCCGATGGACGATATTGTGACAATGGCGCCACCTGTGCCTTGCTTGAGCATCTGCTGTACGGCAAGCTGGGAGCACAGAATCGTCCCTGTGACCTTTTTTGGCATACCTCGTCAGCGCAAATTGAAAAAAGTTCGATAGAGGCTATGGCCTTTTGTTTTGGGACCTACGTTGATGGATATGATCCTGTTAATCTGGTCCATGCTGTTGTCAACGAATGGGCCACCGGTGCCCACGCCTGCTGCGGTCACAAGGCAGTCGATACTTCCAAAATGATTCTTGATATCTTCGAATGTACTTTCTAGTGATTTTTTCTGGGTTACGTCAACCCTACGGCTCAAGGTTTAGCATGTCGACCTCACGCTTCGCCAGTGGTTGTACTCCGAACGTACCGGTAATATTTGGTCTTAATCCCCGTCCCTTCTTCCAGCTTTGTGACATCGTCGGAGTGTTCTAACACATCCAGCACGGCAATATTGGCACCCAGCTCGGCGCAGCCTCGTGCAATGGCTAGTCCGAGCCCACGTCCACCGCCTGCAACAGGTGCTGGGTCAAAATTCTGGATCACAATGGACTTGAGTGACTGCCTTACCTGTGATTACCGCTGTTTTGCCCTTCAGTGTGATGAGATCGTGGACACTGTGAGTTCGATATGCATCAGTTTCTGCTACGAAACGCTCCATCTTTGGGGCTATGCAGTTGACGCCTGCTGGCAACAGCTGCAAATTCTGGAGTTGGTCAATAATGGACTTGCCAAATGCTGATATTGAAATGCACGCCGACCTGGTGGTGGCAACGAATATGGAACTTAAGTGGCATAAGTAGACAATGTGCAGTGTCAGTGATAACACGCGGTGCAATCTTGACCCAGTTTTGCGCCCAAAGCCGAGCTGTGGGGAACATCAGGGTCCAAGTGATGGTTGGGCATGCTTCTTGGCCGTTAGCCGAATGACTAGCAGGACATCCAAGTGGTGGTGTTGTTTGCACAAAGTGGATTTTGTGCGCCTTTCCCCGGGGTGTGAACACATCAGACATAATCCCTAGGTAACAGCATTGTCAATGGGAAGACGGCGAGGTAGCCGTTGGAGAATTGCTCTTCCTGGCTTGCACGCTATTCCTGGTTAATGTTTGAATTCCTCGCCAAAGCATAGATGATGGATTTCTGCAGGCTCCTTAGGACGGCCTTCCACCATAGTAGGCTTGTTTGTTTCTGAGATCCATGGTGATGTTGAAAAGAGTGGCAGCAATGCTATGCTGCACCTGCAAGCGCCATATGGAATCCGGCTAGTTCATTCATTCTTGAAGATGGCCTTGAGTCCAGCGGCTAAAGGGCGTCGGTCAACTCGTGCACGTGATTGAGGAGCATTGGAGAGTCCGCATGCAAATACTGTGCGTCCACATCAGGGTGTTCTGCTGTTGCATGGTTGCTACGCGCAATGCATTCCCGTGACTTTACCTCGATGGTCTTGAATTTGCTAGAAACAAAATCGCAGTCAATGGCAATTCTCGCCTCGCCGACGAGGATGCTGTGTTGAATGTACTATAGTAGCATGATTGCGAATGGAAAAGGTCGTAGATCTAGTTGAAGTCAGTGAAACGTTTATTTGCCGTGGTCATCACGTCGGCAAATCTCCGGAACATGTACGGGAATGGGCAATTCTGCTACTCGTACGGAGTACATTTCTTGGTGAGACAGCTTCAATTCGCAGCTAAGTTAGCGCACGAGACCTTTGTGATCCCTTACATTCCTTCCCGTTGCTCGGAGTCTGACGCCGTCTTTCTTTTCGATAGATGAAGCCACCTATACGTTCACTTTGGCGGGTTTCTCATCTTCAGATTCCTCGAACATCTGTCATTCGGCCAGACTGCAGACGGTCCATTCAAACTCTATCGACGTCAGCGGGTAGTCGTTCAATTACTGCCTCGTTCCTTTACTCAAGGCTCTCCCGCACCTCCTCGACTGCAGCATTTAAGCGCCCGACTTTGAGTCTTGTACAACCAAGGATTCCCAAGATGTGCCGGTTCATGTCTGATAATCCCGGTGCTGCCAATACTCAAGGCCGAATCGTACTTCCCACGGATGTCGTCCCCAAACACTACGATGTCACCCTTGAAGTCGACTTTGACAAGTTCACCTTCGAAGGAACAGCCATAATAGACCTCGATGTGGCGAAAGACACCAACTCGATCTCCTTGAACACAGTGGAACTCGAGATCCACTCCACGTCCGTTCACGCAGATGGCGCCCTTGTCACTTCCTCCCCAACTCTGTCCTACGATGCCGATACGCAAACGACGACCATTGAGCTGGGCAAGTCATTGAGCAAGGGGCAGAAGGTCCAATTGAAGCATACATACACTGGACAGTTGAATGACAAGATGGCCGGGTTCTACAGGTCGAAGAGAAGAGACGGGAAGTATCTCGCTGTCACTCAGTTTGAGGCTACAGATGCTCGACGGGCCTTGCCATGCTTTGACGAGCCGGCACTAAAGGCCGAATTCACCGTCACCTTGATTGCTGACGAGGATAAGACTTGCCTGTCAAATATGGATGTCGCTAAGACTGAGACTGTGGACTCCAAGATCACTGGTGGGAAGAGGAAGGCTGTCAAGTTCAACCGTTCCCCACGGATGTCCACGTATCTTTTGGCTTTCATTATTGCAGAGCTCAAGTCGATATCGACCGACAAATTCAGACTACCTATCAAAGTATGGATGACCCCAGAACAGAACGAGGAGGATGGGAAATTCGCACTCGACGTAGCCGCCAAAACACTTGCATTCTACGAAAAGGCATTTCAAGCGCCATACCCTCTGCCAAAGATGGACATGGTGGCGATCCCCGACTTTGCTGCAGGTGCGATGGAAAACTGGGGTTTGGTCACATATCGAGTTGTCGATCTCCTGTTCGATCAGAAATCCGCTGGTGCAGCCACCAAGGAACGAGTGGCGGAGGTCGTTCAACACGAATTGGCTCATCAATGGTTCGGCAATCTCGTCACCATGGATTTCTGGGATGGTCTGTGGCTCAACGAGGGCTTTGCCACTTGGATGAGCTGGTATAGTTGCAATGAATTCTACCCAGAATGGAAAGTCTGGGAGACCTTTGTGATTGACACCTTGCAAGGGGCACTCGGTCTCGATGGACTGCGCAGCTCTCACCCTATCGAGGTCCCTGTACACCGAGCGGAAGACATCAACCAGATCTTCGATGCCATCTCCTATTCCAAAGGTTCTTCTGTGTTGCGAATGATTTCCAAGTATCTTGGTGAAGAGACCTTCATTGAGGGAATCAGGAAATATATCAAGAAGCACGCTTGGGGAAACACCCAAACAGGCGACTTGTGGGCTGCGCTCGGTGACGCAAGTGGCAAGGATGTTGCACATGTCATGGACATCTGGACTAAGAATATTGGCTACCCTGTTGTCGCAGTGACTGAGAACGAAAAGGATTCCAGTATCACCGTCAAGCAGAACCGCTTCTTGAGGACTGGCGACGTCAAGTCGGAGGAGGATAAAGTCCTGTATCCGGTGATGCTCAGCCTCAGGACGAAAGACGGTGTGGATGAAAGCCTGCTGCTTACAGAGCGTGAGCAAACATTCAAGCTGAAAGACGGCTTGGACTTTTACAAGTTGAACGCCGATCATTCTGCATTCTACAGGACCAGCTACACCCCGGAACGACTGACGAAGCTGGGCGAGGCTGCTCAAAAGGGTCTTTTGTCGGTTGAAGACCGTGCCGGTATGATTGCCGATGCCGGTGCTCTGGCGGCAAGTGGCTACGGCAAGACGTCGGGTATTTTGAGCCTGCTACAATCTTTCAGTACCGAAACACAATTTGTAGTCTGGAACGAGATTTTGACGCGTATCAACGCCGTACGGAACACCTGGATCTTCGAAGACGAGTCGACCAAGGATGCTCTCAAGGCTTTCCAACTGAACCTGTGCTCTGCCAAAGCACATGAACTCGGCTGGGAGTTTTCAGAGGACGAAGACCACATTATGAGCCAATTCAAGAGCTTGATGTTTGGCTCTGCTGGACTTGCTGGAGACAAGAAAATCCAATCCGCAGCAAAAGAGATGTTCAGCAAATTCACGGCCGGGGACTATGCCGCCATACATCCCAACTTGCGAGCGTCCGTCTTTGCCATGGTGTTGCGTGACGGTGGAGAGAAAGAGTGGGACGCCATACTCGCTCGATACCACTCCGCACCAACCTCTGACGAGAAGAACACCTGCTTAAGGTCACTTGGCCGGGCCAAGAGTCCCGAGCTGATCCAGAAGACTCTGAAGCTGGCGCTGAGCGGAGAAGTCAAGACGCAAGACATCTACATGCCCATTGGTGGGCTTGGAACCACGTCAGGAGGCGTCGAGAAACGATGGGAGTGGATGACCAGCAACTGGGATGAGCTTGTGGAGAAACTACCACCCAGCATGACCATGCTCAGTAGCGTGGTCAGCATTTGCGCAGCAGGATTCACCAGCGAGAAGCAGCTGAGCAAGGTCGAGCAATTCTTCGCGGACAAGGATAAGAAGGGTTACGACAGAAGTCTGCAACAGAGCATGGACAGCATCAAGGCCAAGGCAAACTGGCTAGAACGTGATGGAGAGGATGTGCTTGGGTGGTTGAAAGAGAACGGCTACCTGGAGAAGGGAAAGCTGTAGAGATGTATCAAGTAGTAGCCTGGAGACGATACCAGTAAGAAAACACCATCGTCTACAAAGACCACTGTTAGAAGTAGTTATGATGGCAAAAGGGTGGTCTGATTTGAAGATGGAATCCTCCAGTGGCTCGATTCGGATCACAGCTGCCGGTGAGATTGACGTTGCGGGATGACACTGCTCCGCCAATCACCATCCCTTCGTACCTGCAGTTTATCTCCCATTTATTTTTGTTGGAAGATCTGGGAACAACCACCTGCGCCTCCTTGAGTTGTCCTACAGCGACAGCTACACACTCGTTTCCTCCTTTCCACATCTCGTCTTCAATCACTTCGTCCTTTCACTCCACGAGACTCGACTTATCTCGCCGAATTGCCCAGCATGGGCCTCCTCGCCACGATTGCGACGCCCCTTGAGCGACTCGTGCACACTCTGCCCACGTACCAGCTCGTGCTACTGGGGCTTGCAGCATTCATTACCCTCGCTGTCGGTTTGAACGTCGCTCGACAGGTGCTGTTGAAAGACAAAAATGCACCGCCAGAGGTGTTTTCGTGGTTTCCGGTCCTTGGGAATACGATATGGTACGGCATGGATCCCTTCGATTTCTTCTTCGCGTGCAAGGAGAAGTACGGCGACGTTTTTACGTTTGTTTTGCTGGGCCGGAAAGTCACAGTGTGCTTGGGCACCAAGGGGAATGAATTTATACTGAACGGAAAGCTGAAAGATGTGAATGCCGAGGAGATTTACACGGGCTTGACAACACCTGTGTTCGGGGCGGGCGTGGTGGTAAGTTGGCAGACTTTGAAAATGGAAGAAAAGACTAACAACAGCCATAGTACGACTGCGAGAATGCCAAATTGATGGAGCAAAAGAAGTTTGTCAAATTTGGACTCACGACGGAAGCATTCAGGAGTTATGTCGACTTGATTTCGGCGGAAACCAAGTCATTTGTGCAGAACAACAAGCTCTTCCGAGGTCAAACTGGCACAGTCGATATTGCCCCCGCCATGGCTGAACTGACCATCTACACTGCCTCGCGCTCGCTACAGGGGAAGGAAGTGCGGGATAAGTTCGACTCGACCTTTGCCGATTTGTACCATGACTTGGATATGGGTTTCTCCCCAATAAACTTTATGCTTTCGTGGGCGCCTTTGCCACACAATCGCAAACGAGACATTGCGCAAAGAAAGATGGCTGAGACATACTTGGAAATCATCAAGGCGCGACGGGCCGCTGGTGGAAAACGCGCAGAAGACGAAGAGGATATGATATGGAATTTGATGAACTGTGTCTACAAGAACGGCACACCGTGTCCAGACAGAGAGATTGCGCACATGATGATTGCTCTACTCATGGCGGGCCAGCACTCATCATCTTCCACGTCCAGCTGGATCTTACTGCGACTGGCCACTCGCCCGGATATCCAGGAAGAACTATTGGAGGAACAAAAGAAGATATTGGGAGAGGATCTGCCCCCTTTGACATACGACAACTTGCAGAAGTTGACTCTCAACGCCAAAGTGGTCAAGGAGACTTTGAGGCTGCACGCACCGATCCACAGTATTCTGCGAAAGGTCAAGTCTCCCATGGCTATCGTGGCAGATACGCCGACCTCGACTAAGACTTATATGATTCCGACAACGCATACGGTCATGTCCGCGCCTGGGGTTACGTCTCGAGAGTCGGCGTTCTTTCCAGAGCCCATGCTGTGGGAACCCCATCGATGGGACGAAGGGCATTCGCTCGCCTATGCGCAGCTGGGCCAGGAAAAGGAAGAGTTTGAGGATTACGGCTACGGCATGATCAGCAAGGGCGCCTCGTCTCCATACCTGCCTTTTGGTGCCGGAAGACATCGGTGCATTGGCGAGCAGTTTGCTTATGTGCAGCTCGGAACTGTCTTGGCAACCATGGTACGGTATGTCAAGTTCCGCAATATCGAGGGCAAGAGCCTTGTGCCCACGGATTATTCGAGTCTTTTTTCCCGGCCGCTGAGTCCTGCGGTGGTGGAGTTTGAGAAGCGGTAAGATGCTGTAGAAAGATGGGCCGTGAAGTCGTTGGCAAGGCGGCCTGACTTGTACATATCGGAGCAGGCGGATGGAAGCTATGTAAATATCTAGGCGCAGCGGTGTTACGGCGGTACTGCAAGACAAGGTACCTACCAGGTAGGTAGACAACGAGGCTCGGAGCCCCTAATTTCTAGACTGTTATCAGACTTTTACTGGCAGTGCTGGGGCCTGAACTTTGAAGGCCTGATTCTCCTGAACTGACGGACTTTGGTGGAGTGATTTAGTCAGCCAAAGTCTTTCCTGCACAGCTGGCTGTGTCGATATTGGCCGAATCGGACTCGGTATGGGCAGATGCCGAGTTTGATGGGGCCAGGGAGATTTGACAGTTCAAGACTTGAGGTCGATACGGACTTATTGATCCGTATGGGCCAGACGGCACGATATTTCGTCCGCATCGAAGGTGCTAGGTGTAGGAATTCACATACACAGGGTTGTCTATTTGCTTCAGCCTGCAGTGTTTTGCGAATACGATTGTCTTGATGGAGATCGTGGACGTCATGATTGGTGCATGTTCACATGCTATCTCGATCGAGAAATGTGACGGAGGAGTAGGAAATCAGTGTGCATCGTGATGACATTGGGATCGTATGCAGTGCCATGTAAAGACTCGCATCAACAAGCGTGACTAACAGCATAAGGTAGGAGAAATGGTTGGTGCCTGGCCTTTGCTGGACGATTGACTGAAGTTCAAGGCGAGTCAAGGCTGAATCAGGCAAGTGCAACTCCCTCATGAAAAAGGTGTTCGGAACGGATATGAGATATGTCCGGGCTTTGGTACATGGGTCATGGTGTTTCTCGAAGCCTTTTCAGTGGTTCATCCACATCTCCATCTCGGAATCTCCCCCCATGATCCCATCTGCCATGCCCATTCTCCAACGCGGGTCCCGATCTCTTTCGTATTATTTTCCGCTCGCAATTAACAACTTGACTCCCTGGAATTCGCCATAATAGATACACCTAGACTTTCTTTTCGATAGACTTGTCTTTTCGTTCTTTCTCTTCAGGCCTCTTTGCTTGACTATCTACACATTTATTACCATTCATTTCATGTCTGAAGTCGACATACACCCTTAGCCAAACAACATTTGTCGGGTATTCAAAAACCTCCGTCGTTGCTGGAGACAGGCAGGACGCATTCCTCCCTGCATCCGCACCACCAATTCCCTAAGAATTAATTGATCGATCCCGAATACCCTTTCCAGGTCGCCAACCACGGCCCGTAGACCTGATGGGATTCTTCAACAGAAAAGCCACCTCGACTGGCTCGGAGTCCGAAAATGTCAAGTCCGAGGCTACCACCGTTGTTCCCAGCCAGAACGTATCGAACACAGATCTCAACAAGCACCACCAGATGGACGAAGGGGTGGCAGAGAAGTCGGATACCAGTTTTGAGAAGGATACGGATACACAGTTGCAACAAGAATCCTCTGCAGATGTACCGATACAAAAGGAAGAGAACCACGCAGATGGTGTTCTGCCCTCAGCTGCAGACGAGGAGGCCCAGTATCCTCATGGTATCAAACTGGCTCTCATCACCCTCGCCCTATGTCTGTCCGTCTTCCTCGTCGCGCTTGACAACACTATCATCGCGACTGCCATTCCCAAGATCACAGATCACTTCAACTCGCTTGGTGATGTCGGTTGGTATGGTTCGGCATATCTTCTCACGACCTGCGCTCTGCAGTTGTTCTTTGGAAAGCTATACACATTCTACTCCATCAAGTATGTGTACCTGACATCCATCGCCATCTTTGAGGTTGGTTCCGCTGTTTGCGGTGCTGCACCGTCGTCAAAGGCGCTTATTGTCGGTCGTGCTATTGCCGGTATCGGGTCGGCAGGTATCTTCTCCGGAGCGATGGTTATCATCGCCTACACGGTGCCCCTCGTCAAAAGACCGATATATACTGGCATCATTGGGGCCATGTACGGAATTGCTTCTATTGCTGGGCCGCTGCTTGGTGGTGCCTTTACCGACGGTCCTGGCTGGCGGTGGTGCTTTTACATCAACCTCCCACTCGGCGCCATCACGTTGGTCGTCATCTTTTTCTTCTTCCAGTCTCCCAACAGAGCAGCCGAAACGAAAATGTCCTGGAAAACAAGAGCCTACCAACTCGATCTCGGCGGCACGGGGCTTTTCATCGTTGATATTGTCTGCTGCTTGCTCGCTCTCCAATGGGGCGGGTCGACTTATCCTTGGTCCGATTGGCGCATCATTCTGTGCCTGACCCTCTTCGGCGTCTTGACCGTCCTCTTTATCATTCTTCAGTTCTACATGGGAGATTTTGCGACAGTACCTGTCAGGATCATTCGTCAACGCAACGTCGCCGCCTCGGCCTGGTTCGTTTTCACGCTTGGCGGTGCATTCTTTCTCCTGGTTTATTGGTTGCCCATCTGGTTCCAGGCCATCAAGGGCGCCACGGCCTTCAAATCCGGCATCATGTGTTTGCCAATGGTCCTGTCATTGGTGGTCGCGTCATTGATTGGCGGCGGCCTCACAACGGCTATTGGACATTACTGGCCCTTTTACTATCTCAGCGTGATATTCTCGGCTATCGGCGCAGGACTTCTCACGACCTTCATGACGGACACGGGTCACTCGATGTGGATCGGATACCAGGTTATCTACGGACTTGGTGTCGGATTCGGCATGCAACAAGCTCTCGTGGCTGTCCAGGCTACCTTGCCGCTCAAGGATATCCCCACGGGTACGGCACTCGTCATGTTCATGCAGACTTTTGGTGGCGCCTTGTTTGTGTCGGTCGCTCAGAATGTGTTCAACAACCGGCTCATTTCGACCCTTCCCAAGTATGCACCGGGTATTGACCCGTCGATTATCGTGAACGTTGGTGCTACTTCACTCAGAAACGAAATCCCCGCGAAATACCTGCAGGGTGTCTTGTTTGCTTACAACCTCGCCTTGACGAATACGTGGTACATTTCCGTGGCCATGTGTTGTCTGCAGCTCATTGGTGCGATATTTGTCGAGTGGAAGTCTGTCAAGGGTATGAAGCCTGGTGCTGCGGCTGTGTGAGCATGACTTTGTTGGTGGGTGCTTGTTTGGGAAATGCGCGCAGCAAGAACAGGCAACTTGTTTGAGTGATCAGGAAAAGCATTGCCATGGTATGTGCTTGTATCTCCTCTCACGTCAGGTTGAGAAATACACTGGCTGTATGGGCATGATGAGTTGTTTGAGCATTTTTATTGTATATAATGATGATACCAACTCGCCATGATAATAGATTCATGTTCTCTTTCGGAGTGAAAACTCAACATTACTAATGAAGGTGGTGGGCATACGCATGACAATTGGAAGTCTTTTCGCAAGCAACGTGCATGGTATATACTGTACTATGCCCGACTCATGCATAAGTCGTGGCAAAGGCATCTCGCGGGCGACCCCTAACCTTAGCCCTTTCCCTAGATATTCTCAAGTGATCGTGGGGTCTCCTGCGTTGACCAAACTTAGGATTGGTGCAAACCTTGGAAGGCATTGACATCCGGCAAGCTCATCCGGTTTGCAAAACTCTCCGCCAAAACTAAAAGGTATCGGCCAGCTTAACTCAATGAGAATCGATTGAAACTCTTTACTGACAGCAGTTGAATGCTTTCTGGGCATGACGGGGCCATATGGCACGAATCACTCCGACAGCTGCACGTGGATATGTGAGTCCTTCACTTGACGGGGAGAAGTACAGTTACGACTCGGTGTTGGCCTGGGTAAAGGTGATTTGGTACTTGTATTCTGCCCCTCTCGCAAAGCAATCCCGTTCCAATGGCAATTTGCTTTCCCCACTTATCGCCATTGTATTGAAACGTATGCTGTTTACTCCATGATTGATGCGGCTTCATTCCATGGGAGTGCGGTGCCGAGCAGAGACCAGCGACCACAAAGTGGAACAATCCGGCATGTGCTCCCGAATCACCACGCTGGCCTTGGATAGGTGCGCATCATTCGAATGAATACGAGCTACTAGAAAAGACGTGGACTAAGTTCGGATCTTTTCGCCGGTGCCTTTCCCTTTGCCTTTTTCCACAAACACTGCACGGTCTTCACGTACAAATATACTTCGATCGGCCTCAGGAACGAGATCTCATTGCATCAACGGTGGACCCGTCCAAGGCCTATTACGTCTATGGCGGCAGCATGCGAAGCTCTCGCCTAAGCCGATCGAAGATTAGGCGACGACGGACCTGATACCTGGTGGAGTATGTGTATGTCAAGAACAACCAGCGAGGCTGCGATACGTCGTTATGAAAGATCCGAGTTGACTTCGTTGCGCAGTCACTACCCAGGTAGGCTATACTAGTCCACCCAAATTTGACAACACAGATTAGCTCGGCGAACAATATTGCCCCTTTGGGGTGTCTCGACAGATTTTCGTCACACCACCTCTACCCTGACCCACCACAGATCGGGGATCTATCAATACTGACTGGGTCTGCACCATGGGGATGCGAGAAGTCGATCGTTTGCCTCCCAAGTTGGCCGTTCCCGCAATGATGTGAGCAGCATCATCTGCTGAACATGTGATTGGTACCAGGTAAGCTGATACTCGTTTTCGTTCGCTCGAAGGTGGCTCCCTAAGCACACGCCATGGACTCGGCTACTCCTGCGCAAGTTGAGGGCGAGGTCCATATATACCCAGCATTCGCTGTGATCTCGGAGTTTCGCATCTCTGTCTACCTGTGGAAGTCCAGCGTGTGACCACCATGGCGTTTCAAATGCTCGCGCGGTCGAAGCTCGTTTTAACCGTCATCTCAGCCCTGTCTGCGTGTATTCAAGCTTCGCCAGTAGCTTCTTCTCCTTGGACTACTTGGGACCAGACGCCCAGCGCAAAATCTGCCGAATTTATCGTCATTGGAGGCAAGGTCTACCCGCCCTACACATAGACAGGTTCTAACGTGTGGAAACAGGTGGAACTGCAGGACTGACCATCGCAGCAAGACTGATACAGGCCAACTTCACTGTACTTGTGCTGGAGGCTGGAGGCTTCCCGGACAGCTATGGTCTGCCCTACGACTCCCCAGCCTTGACAGGAGATTTAGTCAGTAAGTAAGAGTGGAAATCTGGTACGTACAACTTGGCTAATGTAGTCTACCAAGGCACACCACTCGACTGGAACTTCTCTTCGCTCGCGATACCTGGTCTCAATGACCGCGTCCTCAAGCAGCATCGTGGTCACGCCCTTGGAGGAACCAGCTCGATCAACGGCCTCACTTACGGACGAGGCAGCGCTTCTGTTTACAACAACTGGGAAGCCCTGGGCAACCCTGGTTGGGGATGGGACGACATTGAGGAGTACTTCGAAAGAGTATGTATTTATGACATGGGACTTGAAGAAGCTGTTTTACTAACGCAGTTGAGACTTGGAAATTTCCAGCGCCCACCAATACCAGCGCCTACAGGACATACGATGCTTCGCTGTACACCAGTGCTGCTGGGCAGGGTATTCTTGGCTACACCAACTATAACCCTCCATCTATCTCTGCTTTCGTCGAGAATCTTCCTTCGATCGGCATCCCCATCGCAACAGACCTGAACTCTGGTGACAATATTGGCGGAAAGCACGAAGTCAGCACTCTCAATCCGGCTACCCAGACCAGAGTATCAAGTTACATCGCTTTCTGGGATCTTCTGTCTGCCAGCCCAAATTTCGAAGCCGTCACTTTCGCAGTTGTGGAGAAGATCCTCTTTCAGACGCCCAGCGCGTCCTCGACACCTGTGGCGTATGGAGTGGAATACACGGTGACCGCGAGCGACGGGACAACATCCACGCAGACAGCATATGCTGACAAGGAGGTCATCCTGTCAGCCGGTACACTGCAGACACCACAAGTGCTGATGCTATCGGTATGTTCGACCCTTTTCACACCCTCCTTGATCATATCTGAGTCAGGCTGACAACTCAAAGGGTATTGGACCGCGCGCAACATTGAAGTCCCTTGATATTCCGGTGGTGTACGAGAACGAGTGGGTGGGCAAGAAGTCAGTCTCAATATTCTGAAACTCCATTCCACTCAACGCGCTGACGTTTGAGTATCCAGCCTCCGCGATGCAACCTCCTTCTCCATGGTAGTGAAAGTGGCCGACGAGGCATCCACCAACAAGTTCCAGCAGAGCATGTCCGAACAACAGGCTGCAGAAATGGCGAAGACGAGCGATCCGACCAGTGACACCAACCCGCTCAACACAGACGACGGAAACACCGGACCGGCATTCTCGTTCGCAAAGCTCAATGCGTCAGACTTGGAAGCGGTAGGAGCTTCGTACCTGCTCGCCAACCAATCCGACCAGGCACATTACGAAATCATCTTGTGGACGTCGCTGTACCCCTTGCCCAAGAACCTTCCCACATTGGACAACTACTACGACTTCTCCAACCTGGCCGAAGAATCCTACGTCTCGCTCGCATCCTACATGTTGGTCCCGACGACTGGCGGCAACGTCAGCATCAACTCGAAGGACGCCTCGGCCAATCCTCTGATCAATTTACCGGTAGGTGCATCCCTTATCACCTCCATGTTCAGGGTTGTGCCCGCTAATCACGCCATTGCAATAGTTCTACGAGGCCGACTGCGACATGAACATCCAAGTCCTAGTCCTCAAACGACTTCGGACGCTGATCGCTCAGCCTTCTTTTGCGTAAGTCATTGCTTAGTAGACGGAATAGCATCCCACTAACCGTGTGTGCTAAGGCAATATACCGTCGGTCCAGCTAATGGTGAACTCGTGCCGGGACCAAGTGTCCAAAGCGACGAAGACATTATCAACTTCATTCGTGAGACCACCGTGTCGACCGACCACCAGTCCGGAACAGCGAGAATGAGCCCGCTCGACGATGAGGGTGTCGTCAGCCCAACGCTGGAGGTCTATGGCGTCCAGGGTCTACGTGTGGTCGACGCTTCGATCATGCCTGTTTTCGCGGACCAGCATCCGAGTGCGGCTGTATATATGATTGCCGAGAAGGCGGCGCAGATGATTGCGGATGAGTATGGGCATACTATTCAACTATAATGAGGGCACGACCTGAATGGAGAGCCAATCGATGATGTATCCCTGGTGCAGTAATCATGGGCATCGTCTGAACGAACAGTACATCTGGGACAAATATGGAAGAGCTTGCAAAAGGACGAGATATAACATATTATATTGTAATAAGGTCAGGAGCAATCTGGGACGTTGGAAAGTCTAATACAACTACGAGATCCGCGTGAACAGTTTCACATACATCTCGACCTACCAATTGTACCTGGACTGCTAACTTATTGTCATGACGTCGAGATGCTTCACAGCCTTGCGCAGGGGGATGTGTTGGGGTAAATAAAGGGGTCCGGTGCCGACGAAGACCCCGAACGGCCAAGATTGAACCCGGGTCCGCGCAGATCAGGCCAGCCGCGATGGTTTAAACCTACACCTCACTCACATACGTCTATAGGACGCGTAATGTACCTGTGTCTCTTCAATCGATGGCGATGTCGATGATTGTATCGGCTCTCTGGAGACAGATCCTAAAGGCCTGGTTGTTGTTTTCAGGATAGCCACTGCACCCACAGTTTTTACTTGATTGTACATGGTTCTTGAGGGGGAATTACCCCTCTCCTCAAAGCCAAGGGACGACGCTGGTATTGCGGCCGGGGGAGGCCACCATTTACTGCGTGAAATAGGCACGAGGACCAACCCAGGCTGTAGCTACCTAGGTATGCAGCGAAGGACTATAAGTACAAACGATTCCCCCGTCTAGTTTCGCCTTAGCGAGAAGAATCGGGGTTTTCACGTATAGGAGCTTAGACTCGTTTGGCAAATGGTTCTGCTGAATTTACTGATTGGCTCGCCAGGTACGTATCCATACCCAATCTGAGATGCTGAGACAAAGTTGTTGCGCGCGAACGCGTCTTGTACATTTTTGGCCTCGTAGGAACGCGTGAGCACGTGCGATATAGACCTCCCCGGTGACTTTTTCCGCTTATCAGATACCGTTATCAGTGTTCGACTCACTATTTGCGGCCCTTTATCAACCACGACACCTACTGCATTTCGCAATGTTTCCCCCTTTTTCATAACCGATGGCACGACCCAAGGTCCGCCCTGAAAACAGGCAAAGGGCGGCCAAAGCGTGCTTACCATGTAAAGCCTCCAAGAAAAGATGTGACGCACAACAGCCCTGTTCCAACTGTGTCAGGCGAAAGACTATCTCAACCTGTCACTATGCCGACGAAAGTCTTGTCCGGTCTGGAAGGACCAGTACGCAGCCCGCAAACCAGACAGACTTGGTCAGAGACAGTCGGTATGATACGCCTACCACAGATAAGCGCTCCAGATCACCTGCCACGACCACAAATCCCATGAGGCCTACTAATGGACGTCTCCTTCTCAACTCAAAGGGAGAGAAAGTGTATGTTGGTGGAGCAGCTTCCCTAACCTTTCTGCAATTCCTGCGCCAAACCATCAAGCAGCAGATGGGACCTTCGGTATTCACCGAGATCAATAGTCGAAATGTCATGCTTGAAGTCGGCAGCCCAGAGGACACCAGTGACAACTTGGAACCGGAGGAGAGTCAGAAACGTGCCTTGATCGAAGTCTACTTCGCAGCGACAAATGGCTTTCTTGACTTGTTCTCAAGGGAGGAACTCGAGGAGTACCTGACGAAGGCCACCCTTCCGACCACTAGTGGACGTGAGTACGAACAAGCAGCTTTGGATCTTACACTTGCCCTTGGTGGCCAGTGTCGCGCATCTGGCCCAAGCGACCTCCGATATGCGTCGAAATGCTTCTTGAGAGCACAAAAGGCTGCATTAGCTGGATATCTCGAAGACCCATGCTTGGACATGGTACGATGTTTTTTACTCATGGCCTTCTACATGCTCGGCGCTTGCCGAAGAAATGCTGCATTCATGTACCTGGGTATTTCCAGCCAAGCATCTTCTGCCCTCGGTCTGCATGTTACGGAGCAATATCGCCATTTCAACCAGCACGATCAAGGCATTCGGTAAGTGCCAAAGCTAAGGTCTATCGCTTTTGCTGATAGTGGTATATAGTCTCCGCACCCTCAAAAGTCTACGCGTCCTAGACGTACTTGTTTGCACGATACTGGGAAGGAACTATTCCACTCCGGCTATCCCGATTGACACTGCTTCCTTCACGAGTATGCATATCCATGTGGGCAAACCTCGTGATATGGCATTGAATGCGAGCTTTGGCGCATGCTCGCTTATTGCTGAGATCATGCAAAGCCTGGACTCTGATAGATCTATGGAAGTGGATGAAGCTCAGGGCTTTCTCAAACGTTTACAGCACTGGAGCTCTAGTCTGCCGAACGAGATCCGACACTTCTCAAAGGCAACGGAAGAGCCATTGACATTACCGGAGCAGGAGCAGATCATCGGCAGTATCCACGTATCTTGCGTCTACTACTTTGCCGTCATGCTCGTCACCAGACCGTTTCTGACCTCACACCTCATGTCACGGTTACCTTCGGCAATGTCACAGACGTCGGAGTCGATGCCGACCGTACCAGCTAAGCCCGAAGTCACGGGCCTGGCACAAGCGTGTATCGACTCAGCCATCCTCATGTCTCAGACCTGTCATGATGCACTTCAAACTGGCATCTTGCTCAACAACATGTGCATAATGAAGTAAGTGATTGAAGGACCAATAATGTCTCGTTGCTGATTCCGTTTCAGGGCATGGCTCTTTGCAGCTGGCTTGGTGTTGGGATTTTCCATGTTCGCGCAAGGAGAGTCCCCTTTTCACATGGATGAATCCTTCAATAGCGCCCGGGAAGTCCTCAAGAAATTGGCAGATCACAGTCCTCAGGCGGAGGAATACTCTGGGATACTCATTGCTTTTGCCGATGCCATACAACGCCATCGTCAACATCTTTCGCGCGAAAAGCGACCGAACAAATATGTTAGTCGGATTCTGTCGCTAGATTTCAATTCCGGCGAGTCCGGATCCCAGACCGATTTCTCGCCTCCCACCGCATCAAGCAATCTGGCCGATCAACACACGGACATGCCAGATGCAAGAGTTGGCGATCTCTCATCTTCACACTTGCCCACCGCCTCGGCTCTGCCACTTTTGGAAGAAGACGGCACTTTTGACGTGGGCTTGTTTGGCTGGGATAGCTTCGCTATGCAAATTACCGAAAACTTTTCGTATGACAACTACGATTCTACATGGGGTCTAGCTGAATGAAAGGCGGGTTCATTACTCTCCCAAAGACATAATGTATGTCTCACGCACAACATCGGCAGGAAGTAAAAGTCATGGGCGCCTGTCTGAAGCTAAGCTCTTCACCTGCGCCTTTTATCTCGACTTTCTATCCTCATAGTACTCGCCATATGTCGCTTGGTACCCAAGAAGCCACCGGCCCCAGAACGCCATCCCGATGAGGAACGCCCTGCTGACCCAAATACCCAGCATCTCGTTCGGCAATGGCAGGCCTAGTGGAGTGTCGGCCTCATGGAGAAAGACCAACAACTGGAAAAGGCTGGGCGCGACTTTTGATTTCCTGCAATCATCAAGATAACCGAAGAAGTTGCGAAAGAACTTTTGTTCTCTCTCATAATCTTCCGGATCAAGCTGAACGTCAATGACCAGGTCCTCTGTCACCGAGGCATTCTCAAATTTGTGATACCTCCGTGGTCCAACTTGGCCTGTGGACTGCTTGCCGGGCTCCGCGGACAATGTGATCCATGGTTCGGAACTGATGCCGCGCCACAATGTGGCGGTCCCTGAGCGGACTCGGAAACGTTCAGTCTGGTAAATGTGGTAGTGAAAAGGAGGTCGGACAAGAGAGGAGCCATGTTCTGGTGTGGTTGGAGGTATGGTGTGCGTCATCAAGTACTCGGAAGTGCGCGAGTGGAATTTGACATTGGAACGGCCATCTTCGAAGACGATCGGATTGTTCCCGGCGATGTTGGTGCGCGGCGGGTTCGCACCGCGAAGGAAGGAGAGCATGATGAAGGTTTGCGCAGGCTGATACTCAGGGTATGTAGAGGCCAGCAGCATCGGCACTGGGCTGAGAGCAGGTCCGGCATATATACGTGACGTTGCGAGCAGCCCGCTGTCTGATAAGGTGCTTACAGGTCAAAGACCTACCTATCATCTGAATAGTCAGGTATACCTAGGTAATCAATAAGTTCAGCTGGACCTAGTGTTGACTTGGCTGGACTTGGAGGGCTCGGAGCTTGTTCGTAGCAGTTGTCGAGTGGGATGTTGCACTGGACAGGTAGGGACGTACAGCTTGTTCCTTGTCGCAGTCGTTGACAGCTCGTAACCAAGGCTGACGAGGCTGACATAAGGTGGAGAAGACGTTTCTGATAGATTCGGTACATCTACGGTCGGACTTTGTACAAAAGAACATGTTACACGACGATCGGATCCTCGCAATGCTCTCGGCGAGCAAGTTTCTCTCATGTTGCAATCCGGCCGTATCCTCATGCTTCCTAGAGAAGCAGTAGCTTGCTGATGACAGCAAGCAGAGCCAGATGAAGGTGGCCATATGACAAGGCACTGCAGTGCGTCCATCAGGCCACGTCGACTACTTCAGCAAAGTCGGAACGGAGCGGGTATGTGTTGACAACAGAAGAAGACCAGGTTTCTCTTCTTTTGATCATGTTTAGCTGAGACAGCACATGTTAGTCACCACCCAATGACCCTAACAATGGTTGCCAACCCTGAAGAGGAATTGATAAGGGTCATTTTCCCCTGGCACGTGATGAGCTGATTAGCGATGGCAGGTGTAGGTGTAGGTGTAGGTGCAGGTGCAGGTGCGGGGGATTGCCAGGCGGTGCCTGTCAATGGGGAATCTGGCCAGAATATGTAAAGAAAAGTCGCGTCTATCGATTTACCCTGCGGTCTGCGCCCTCTCACCGCATGGTGATTATACACTGTTGAAGCCACGTCCACCAAAACAAGTTGCACCAAATTGACACCAGAAAGGTGAGCTGTCCTCTTCTGTCTCTTCCCTATATCACTCGCTGTCAATCCCTCCTATTTCCACCTGTCTATCTCCCAGCTCTAACTTGTCCTTCTCCGCTATCTTAGTCCAGTCTATACTTGATCTGACCTGTCACTCCGCAAAACCAATCAATCATGGCTGAACTCTACCCCGACCTCAAGGACCGTCCTGTGAAGGAGACCATCTGCCTCTTCGACGTCGATGGAACCCTCACACCCGCCAGACAGAGTGTCTCAGCAGAGATGCTGCAGGCCCTGTCCAAGCTGAGACACAAATGCGCCATTGGCTTTGTAAGTCCTCACCACACCGGTCCTAGACAAGAGACTGATATTCCCACTCACAGGTCGGAGGCTCTGATCTCGTCAAACAACAAGAACAACTCGGCACACCCTCCCTCCCCGTCACCACCCTCTTCGACTTCTGCTTCGCCGAGAACGGCCTCACCGCCTACCGCCTAGGCCAGTCCCTCCCAGCCAACTCATTCCTCCAATGGCTCGGAGAAGAGAAATACCAAAAGCTAGCCAAGTTCTGCCTGCGATACATCTCCGGTCTTGAAGGTCTACCAGCCATGCGTGGAACCTTCATCGAGTTCCGCAACGGCATGATAAACGTCAGCCCCGTCGGCCGTAATGCCAGCAAAGTCGAACGAGACGAGTTCGAGGCCTGGGACAAGACAACCAAGTGCAGAGCCCAGATGATCGCCGCCATCAAGAAGGAATTCCCAGACATGGGTTTGACGTATGTACTAATGCTTCTGCTGGCAAATCCCATACTAACCCGCACACAGATATTCAATCGGAGGCCAGATCTCATTCGACGTCTTCCCCCACGGCTGGGACAAGACATACTGCCTGACCCAAGTCGAGGCCGAGGCCGACACCTCAAAGGGTTTCTCCGGTGTCCACTACAAGAACATCCACTTCTTCGGTGACAAGGCCTTCCAGGGCGGCAACGACTGGGAGATCTACCAAGACCCGCGAACCACAGGACATGCGGTCAAGGGCCCTGAAGATACCATGGCGCAATTGAAGGAGCTTTTCGACGTTTGACTTGCACATGCACATGCTTTTCGGCTGTGAAAGCAAATGACACGAGTTTTACAGGCTGGCGACACTTCTTTTCCAAATTGACACATGGTCTTGATTCTTCGAGGAGAACAAAACAACAGTCCGGACGATAGACGCGATAGAATATTCCGGTAGGGGTCCGGCCTTCTACTTTCCACGAGATATTGGAGAGCCCCCTACGGTGGGATCTGATTTAATCAGAATGAGAATATGACGAAGGCTTCTGTTTCTCTTGGTGTCGCTGTTCCCCGTTTTGTCCTCCATTGTCATCCTGGCTGATGTTCCGCCGCACGTCACGTTGCGTGTTTCTTGCTAACGTCGAAGTGCTGCTCGTTCAAGCCTATTTGAACCAGATTGATACTCAAGCAGGCGAGTTTCTGGCATCCAGCTTAACTTAGGCCCGAACGAGCTTTCGGGCCAACAATGTGACGCTCCAGCCCTCAAAATTTAGCCGGTGATGTGCCTGGTATGCTACTTGACGAGGCACGGAAGCGGATATAGGCACGTCAGGGGCAAGGCTGCCCGTGGCTGCCTTGCAGTAGTATCATGCAAAGCCGTTTTCGCTTATCTCGATTATCAAATTAGGGCAAGGCCACTGCGAAAGATAGCTAATTAGTGACGACAGATATGCTCAGCCATGCTGCTCGTGGCTCTTGATCAGCGAGACAATTCTGACCTCATTCCTTACGATTGATTAGCACTCAGATACCAACATGAGATAATCTCTTCATGTTCTTTTCTCCTCAATACGTTCAAAGCCCATGCCGTCTTTACTGGTCATCGGATGAAACAATTATGCTGGACACAAACAAAGCTGACTTCTCGCAGTACGCAGTAAAGCATCCTGCCAATGTGCTCTGCCTCAACCACCAACAAGAAACGATGATAATGCAAACTATATGTAAGATTTGAGTCATGTAGACTGTACTAACGTCGACACGCTGGTCAGTCAACCACTACCTCCATTCACATGAACAGCGAAGCGCGACACGGCCCTCGGATCTTGTCATTATACGATCGATCCATGATGCGGATCTGGCCCTGTTCGGCGATAATGAACCTCAGCAAAATCCGCATGAGCGGGCTTGAGAGTCTCGTCGGTGTCCAGCAGATCTGTAAAAGGCGCCAGATCCGCTCGCTCCTCGCGGCGCCCTTCCTCTTTGGCATTGCCCTCCCTAGAAGAGGGCACTACTTAATCTGCGTCCGATGCTGTTGTTTCTTTGTTCTGGTTCTGTCGGCGGAAGATCGTCAAAATCTCTCCTTCCAGCATCGAGATCGACATCCCTGAGTTTCACTCCAAAGGACCAATCGCGAGTCCAGGTCTTCCAGAATAGGAACAACGCAATGACAATGGGTGCTGCGATATATGATTCGAAGAAGGCCTCGGCATTTGGACTGCCTCCAATGGGGAACAATGAGATGTAGAATGTCCCCATCAAACAGATCACCACCAGGAAGCAACCGACGTAAGAGCCGATCACGCCAAGTTGCGACTTGAACGGAAGGTCATCGACGCTGCGACCGGCGGCTTTCCATGCATGGCGAAATCGAATGTGTGACAAACAGATGGATCCCCAGACGAAGAATGAGGATAGACCGGTCAATGCGAGAAGCCAGTTGAAGACGGTGGACCCAGTCTCAGCTTCGTTGATGAACGCAAGAAGACCGAAGGCCATCTGGATGACAACGGGCCATACCGGCCGGCCCTTCTTGTCAATCCAGGCCAGCCATTTAGGACCCATACCGCCCTGGGCTAGAGCTTGCATTGTACGTGTCGAACCGTAAGTACAAGAGTTGGCGACTGACATGACCGAAATCGTTATAACAGCGTTGAAGACAGACGGTAGTCCCTTCACACCGGCGTATACGATTGCAAGGACGAAGGGAGACGCTTTGGTATTCGCACCGGATGAGTTGAGGAGATCGGGGGAACTGTTCGGTACGATGAGACCCATGATCAGGAGCGAGACGACGTAAAAGCCCGCAATACGCCAGAACACTTGCTTAGTGGCTTTTGGAAGCGACTTCCTCGGATCAGCAGCTTCAGCAGCGGCGAGTCCAACAAGTTCAGTTCCACCAAAGGCGAAAGCGGCGTTGACAAAGACAGAACAGAAGCCCTTGAAGCCTGTGACAGGTCAGCACTAACTCACCCGATTGAGCTGATCGCCACCTACCATTACGGAAAGCTACGTTGCCGTTAGCTGAGTCATTCCAGCATCGAAATCCAATATAGCCTCGATGATCGCCTGGGATACCTCCACAATCAACGATGATACCGAAAATGATGAAACCAAGCTGTCAGATGTTAACGTGTATCTAGGAGAGGGAAACGGCAAGAAGATGATGCTCGCGTAGGATCGTCGCAGCCCTTCAGGTTCCAGAACTTACGACAGCAACGACCTTGATGACGCCGAGAACGAATTCGACTATGATCGTAAGCAAAGTAATCATAACGGAACGAGGGTTTCTATACCTTCACCATACCCCCTCACGCCAAAAAATTGCACGATGATCAAGGTGGTCAAGAACACCACGATCCAAATGGCTATGTTGTATTCATGCCTGCAGGGTTGTTAACATCTCCGCAAGGAGACAGGCAGAACATGGATCCGCTCGCATGGTCGACGTGGCTTCACGGGGATGTATGGAACTCACCAATAACTGATTGTGATGCCGGCGGCCGTGATCTCGAAGGGAAGAGTGAGTAACCACCCTAAGTAAATTAGAGTGAAACGTGTCGAGAAGCGTCAGACTCACCAATCGCATATTGCCAACCCATGGCGAAGCCCCTTCAACGGGTGTCAGATTTCGACTCCGAAACTGGGGCTTGGAAAAGTGTCACTCACCATGCTGGATCGATAAACCGCACTCCATACTGATAGAATGCGCCATTGATCGGATACAAGACTGCAAGCTCACCCAGAGCCTGCACGGTGCAGAGTAACATGATACCAATAACGATGAAGCCAATCACGAGTGACGCAGGGCCGCCTGACTGCAGAGACGAACCAGAACCGACAAAGAGACCGGCACCGATAGAGCCACCTGTACAGTCAATCAGCAAGGCTTCATACATACAACAACAGCATCTGTACCAATGGCTATCATCTGCATGTGACGACCCTGGAGGTTACGAGCCAAACTCTTCTGTTCAGAGTGTCCATGCTCTACATCGTGCGCCTCAGGCGACCGCGGCACGTCCTTCTCGGCGACGAATTTTTCTCCTGGAGCAGAGGTAGCCATGTTGGCTCGTTTCAAAGTGTATGCTTTGGACACCGAGAGTGATGTTCAGGAGATGGAGCTCGAATATATGGTCGACGCAGAAGGAGAAATCCGCGACGCCTCGACGAGGCGGGCTGCTCCACCACCAACAGCCATCGAGTGCTCATTGTGCTTGGCTTACAGGCTGTCGCCATCCTTGTCGAGCGCATCTCAGTGTGACGCGCATTGCCCAGGCTCTTTCCAAAGCCAAGAGCACCAAGTCCACGCCGACAGAAGGGATGGAGCCTTGTTGGAATTCTTATACACGCTTGTCTAGCCATTCAAGGCCAGCGGATCCATGCAACAAACCTTGGCGGCGAACGTGCTACCACCTAAAACTCTTGGTCTTCGGTTATTGCTGGTCGTGAGGTCGTCTCTCTGGCACTCGAGATAAGGAAGATGCCTGTTTCTAACCAATCATCGTCGACATCGCAATCAAGATCTTTCACACCATGCTCCACCATCGCTTGACGACATCTTGGTCTCGAGTATAGCTATGATGTGCGAACCAGGTACTTGTGTATGATTGCCCTTCCCGCCCCCGCATATGGACCTGCCACGGCAGCCTGAGGTTACAATTACCGATAACAGAATGGGGCGCGGTCGCTCACGAGGTTCGTGGGTCGCTCGTTACATCGTCCTAGAGAGGCTCAGCCCATGGAAGACGTGTCGCTCGGTTAATTCCGTAATTGTTTCGATTCCACCACAGATTGTGGTGTTGCACGATCTTTTAGGCTTGTGTCTTCACGAAGATCAGGCGTGGTATGATCTCAAAGAGAGCTCCCGGGAGGACGCCGTTAAGATGCAGGAAAGGCGTAGAGTAGCAGAGTGTCGCCGATACGGACACGAGTCTTGGTCATGACAATGACAAAGGCTAAATGGTGTATCATAACCGACGGCGGGCTAGCGAGTGCTGTCTCCTTCGGTGGAGCCGACAAGGCGAAAGGTAGGTCCAGCAGCCTTGGCCTTCCATAGTTCTTGGGACGGTGTCTGAGGGGCGTGGGAGGTTGCAGGTCAGTCGGCGGAGTCGTGGCTAAACCTCAAGTCGTTGATCAATGATTGCTGGCTTGTGGTAAGGTAGATGGCAAGAATGACCTGAACGAAGGAATGCAGGCGGCGCCGACATATGCTCAGGCCACGTGATGGGAATTGAAAACACTCACACCGGCACAGTCGGGAAGAGGACTTCGCCTGTTTGACACATATGCAGCTTGCGCTATATATTTTAGACCATCAGGACCTGTGTCCCAATGGACGTCCTGCTAATTGTCTTTATCAATGACCTCGAACCATGTCACACAGGCACAAGTGTAGGCGTCTGCAGGCAAGCTCCCACTGTCAATAACAATATCCATAATATGCATCAGAATAGCAGCCCTCCCATGATTGTCTTGAAACACTTCAATGCTCCTGACCCTGCGTTGGGCTTCTTCAACTCGAAATCAACATTTCCGCCAGCGCCATCGCTTTGAACCAAAAACCCAAACAAGAAAATCAAAACAGCTAGGCCGTTACCGCTCGTACTGTGGCAGATCTGACCCAATATGAACATCATTCAGGGTCCGTACATTGTATTCGTCTTGCTCGTCAATTGTTGGGACGCTCGGCACCAAAGGCTCTGCGGCTTGGCTCCTGGAAGCCTGCTCCTCGTCGTCTTCGGGAGGAGCGCTTCTTTGTGCGAGCAGCCGTTGGCGCTCTAACTCGTGCTTGTCATCCGTCGGTTCGTCGTCGCCCTCAGAAGTCGGCATTGGTGGAGGAGATGCCGAATGTGGGCGTATTGTATCGCCAGACCTCCCTGACACGACTGAGGCAGCAGCATTGAATGTCGAAGGCAAAGTTTCGTCATTATGACCATCCGCATTGTCACCGTAGGCACTCGACGCAATGATTGGAGCCGTCGGAGCATATGCGACTGGATTGCTGCTGGCCTCATCGTCCTGAGGAGGTTCGCTTGGCATCAACAACTGTTCTTGTCTTCGTAACTGTGCCTTCTCATCCATATCTTCCTGCCCTGTGGGTGGGGGGATCAAATCATGCACTGGCCTGGGATACTCGGGATAGTAGCCAGAATCATAGCCATAATCGTAGTCATAGCCATTGTAGGGGTATCCGTTTTCGTCGTAGTACTGTTCTTCATGGTCTCCATGCGAAGGATAAGCATCATACATGCCTTGTTCCTGCCAGTCGGCCGGAGTCTCGGGAGCTTGTTGCTCGAAAGACATGTTTTGTCTGCTCCTTCTGGAACTGTCGTGAGTTCCGATCACAAGCGACATTGGAAAATCTATGACGCTTTTCGACATCCGCCGTAGCTGGGTCGTATCGAGGATGGTATTTGACCAGTCCGACGTCAATTGATTGCCGCTCTCGGCACTCTGCGTGAAGACAGGATCACCGGAGGTCAAGCGGGGCCACAGACGAGTTTCGCCTAACTTTCCAAATAAATCGACGATGACTTCGACGTGGTAGGTGAAGGATATCATTCCTCCGGGAACGTTGGAAATGGTAGGGAACGCCGTATCGGGGATCCTGAGGGATGTTTTGATATCTGCCGTCATAGTGCCTGGATTGACCACCATCATGGTAGAAGATTGTGCCAGATCCTTGCGAAAGACGCTGTTAGGAGACCCGGTGGTAAAGTAGAGTCCTCCTAGACCTGTACGAGACTTTCCATAAATATCGTCATTCTCCACCTTTTTGGTTCCCTCATTCTTGTCTTCAGGAAAGGTTGGCTGCATGTCGACCCTACATTGACGATACAGCGTGGCGATGACTATGCCTCGTACATCGGCCTTTGTGTGGGTAATGGTAATTCGAATAGGGACCGTGTCGCCCGGTAATGCACCATGTCGTGGCAGCTCAGTAGTTGCAGTGATTGTCTGAGCGGATGAAGAGGTGGTCGTGCTACGTGCGTCACTCGCTTGAGGGCTCACTTTTCGGATTGATTGATCCGCTGGCCGGGGGGCTTGATAGCTCTGCGTACTCGTGCTAGTTGTGGCAGTTTGAACAGTATCATCGCTGGGTGCTGGACTCAACGGAGGATCACCAGCGGAGCTGGTACTTCGACTTGTGGTACTATGCTGCGTGTTGTTCCTCGTCAAACGGCCGGCGGCCGAAAGGTTTTGGAGGGTCAAGGATGATGGCGGTCTCACTACCTTCACCTTGCCTCGTTTCGAGATCGGTTCCAGTGTGACGGATCTAGACTTTGGAGTGTACATGGATTCAATGTCGATGTGGTCTTGATATTTGAGCTTGGTGCTGCGGCTGACCGTCGGACTTATCGTGGTAGGACGGGTGACAGTGGCTGTTACCATGTAAGATATCGTTCCGCGCTCGAACTGTTCATAGTTAGCGCCGCGACGAGTTGGTGAGTTAAAGAGTCATACATCAATTGCGCTCGGTAAGCTCTGCGTTGGAAATTGTAGTTCGAAGGCGAATTTGTAGACGTGCTTCTTGAGAAAGCCACTTCCACACAATGTCTGCTCTTTCTGCCATAGTGTTGCTAGACCACCACCGTGATATTGGAATTTCTCGTCACCCTTCCAATTGAGGATCCCTTCCGGGATTGGAAGTCTTTCCCCAGGCGCAATCTGGTGTTTGTATACTTTGACATATCCTTGCAGTGCGACCACAAGGTGCGTAATGTCGAACCCTTTCGCAACAGTGAGTATGACATGCCCCTTCACGGCCTGTCCCGGAGAATAGATTCGAAAGGGGTCCTCCGGCTCGACAGCAAGATCGAACAGACTTCGAGCATTTTTGCTCAACCCTTGTGGAAACAAGGAAAATCTCGAGCGTAGTCGTGGCACCGCGGGTTTGGCAGTGGTAAGTAATGACTCGGGCGGCATTGCCCTGGAGATTCGAATAGGTGTGCTATTGCAGCGACGTCGACCAGTGCATCGTGGCTATCGCTAGAGGCGACTCTGAGGAGAAGGACGTCAACGCCAGTGGTGTCGATGTGATCACAGGATAGGATTCGGCGGCTGAAAGACTGAGTCAGCATAAGTAGCAGCCACGACATCTGACGCGCAATGTCCAAGATGGACACATCAGACGCAACGATGCCACCGACCAAGGCGCATCGAATGAGAGAGGGCAGGCGCCGACTGCGACATACCTGAAACCGATCTATCGTCTTTGCTGACTGGGTGCGAGCAGTCTCGAATGTGAGCGCAGGCCGGTGTAGTTTCAGTCAGGAGGGGTCTACGCGTCGCAGCGTCTTCGGGTATTGTCGGGCAATTGCAAGAGGTAAAGCGTACTTGGGAGCGAGATTAGGTAGCACAAGATCGGTCGTTATGAATGCGTCGTACAGATCAAGGACGAGGATGTTGGAAGGCCAAGCTTTGGTCAAAGTTGACGATGAACCGCTGCGCTGGAGAGGGATAGCGATGGGATGATGGAACTCGAAGGCTTAACGCTTGGGGAGTCAAGCTTTAGTGCTTGGCAGGTCGAGAACAGCGAGCGAGTCCGTGGGCTGATCAAGAAGAGGGGCGCTGGGGGGGGGCTTGCAAGCGTCGAGTCGGGAGGGCGGACGATAGAACTTGATTGGGGGTTAGACGGGAAAAAATCCAGTGGCAACGCAAAGACACGCCCGAAAGGGTTCGAGGGAAGACGTGGACAGGCCAACTAAGCTTATGATCAAAGCGGTAGCGGTATGCGTCCTCCGATAGGCAGAACTTTTGGAAGGTGGAGGCCCCCTAAGCGATCTTATTGTTCCCGGCGCGCCATCAATTAGTGCCTCAGGGCGCATTAAAGAGGCCACTGTACGAAGCGCATGTCGACGAGGCAAAGATACCTTCTGGCTGCCCACACTCACGGTCCTAATATTTACGGGTACGCCATAGTGCGGTTCCGACGTTCCATGTCTCTTCTCCGACGACTTCTGGTAGCATGCAAGTGCATGCATTGACCGCACCACTCATCTTCGATGACATATGCACGTATGACGGGCACTTAAAGCTTCCAGTTGTCAAGCTTTTCTGGGGACCAGACTGTTGGAGAGTTCGCAACCGTAAGTTACCCTGATCCCTGTAGATACATTGTGCCACGTCAATAATGTCTAGTATGTTCTCTCCATGCCTCAGCGCCTTTGCCGTTTGGCCGGTGACATGTCTTCTTCTTCAACATCGTCCTCGTCTGACGTATCAGTCGGTCTAGCCGCAAGCTTCACCTTTCCTTTGATCTGATGGCGAGTCATCTTCGTCTCTTCGACCCCATCTTCGAGTCCTTCAGGCTCAACAAAGACCATGTCTCCATTTTCTCCTAGTGCCTCTTTGACCGCCTCCTCTACCAAGATTCCCAGAGCCACAAGTGCTGTTTCATCCAAGGAACGGAAGTCGTTAGTTCCCTTGTTTGCCGTTGCAGAAGTGTAAAAGTCGGATGCGTAAGTATGAATTGCTTTGAGCAACTCCGACTCCGGCAGTTTGTTTCCCTGTGAATATGTGCCGCCTGGATCGTGCATATCATCAAGGAGCTCTTCAGGTATTCTTGTTTGCCGTAGTAAGTAGTCCTCGGGAGCAGCAGGCAGAAAAGTCGATGAATGTAATTGTTCCTCCGTCAAGAATCCGTTCTGCCCAGCTCTGCCTGCCACCGCGTCATACAGGTTCACCGAGCGGCGTACTTGGCCGGTGGGCGAGTCCTTCTCTGTATCCTCATTTCGGGCAATGCCTTCGGAATATTGAGACTCGCTCTCATCCATCTTTGCGTAGACGGCGGATCGCAGAGACAATCCGACATTCAAGGGTCCGACTGTTCTGACGGCCAACCGCAGTGACTACTGGCAAAGACAGATAGCCTCATGCTTTCGGGCACTGAGCGCTTGGATTTGACTCGCAAGTATATGCACAGGCGTTGAAGTTGGAGATCATAGAAATCAAACACTGCCCAGTATTTCACGTACCAGGACTGAACCCTGTAGTGAATTCCTCCGATGCCAAGATAGACTGACTAAGCATTACCGCGCAGTCAAGTTTGTCTTCTCATTACTGCCTGCAATTCGAGCGCCAGAGTAGCGAGGCAGCAAAACCTTGTGAGAGTGTGATATACTGTATGTGGAAGAGGTAGGGAGCACATTCTATCTTCGGAGCAGCAATGACTTGAAAAACGACATCAAATCTCACTTTTGTAAAGTACACTTATTAGTCTGACATATGATCTACTTGCAAGGCTGCAGCCCCTTTGTAATGCTACCCAAGCTGCCATTTGCCGCTTCAAAAGTATGCAATCAAAAGTGCCAGTTGACAACCCTTAGGAGAGCACTGACTCATTGACTGAGCGCGGATCCATCCCATAGGTCTCCAGCATACTAGAGATCCGGCTGTTCAAGGCACTGGCCAAAAGTCGCCCAATCCTCGTCGGTTTTCGATATGCCCATCAGCCATTCATCTGTCCATAGATCCATCTTTTTGAGAGCTTGGTCGACGCGGTAATGCTCCTCGGTCAGCGGCCCAGCTGGAACTGCGCTGCCATGCTCTTTGTCTTGTCCGTGTCCTTCTAGATCCACCAGCTTGCGGTCACATTCTTGACGCGCAGTTCCCAAACGCACTGGGTCATGGCCAAGTTTGACCGCATGCGCCGTGGCCGTGCTGCCTCCCTGAAGGTCTCCAATCTCGTCACCTTGAGGCTTGGTGCAATTGACGCACTGTTGTCCGTCCTCACTGATCTCTCCCTCCTCATGGCATTCACATACACTTTTCCCCTCTTCCGTAGAGATGATCTCCCTACCTTGTCGTTCGCCTTTCTCATGCTCCTGGTCATTTACCGCCTTTGTTTCCCGCCACCACGCTTTCAGCGCCGATCTAGGCAGCTCACCCAAATCCACCTTTTCCAAAGCACCAATGAATTGCAGCATGGCTTCTATAATCGTGCATTTCTGCCCTTGTGTGGGACCTCTCCTTGGGTGGTAGCCTGTTCGATTGTTTACCCCTGAGCCTTTTGGGTGCGTAGGTGGATAGGTATCTGCGAATACCAGAATATGCACGTCTCTTACCAGATCAGCAGACCTCATCTTCCGCTTGTAAGCGTTTGAATACACAGTGGTGTTGCTCTTGTATTTCAAGAGCTGCATATAGCATAACGCGTCAGCAACAACTATTTCGAACGTCAGTATCGATGGGGGTTGGATGGCAAGACGCGCATAGTCGATCTTGAGGTAGAGGGATGATAGCAGCGTCTGAAGATCAGAGTCGACATTGCGGTTTGGTCGAGTTCGCAGACCCCAAAACATGTTTGATGAGCTGGATTGACACCTAGATGTAAGTGGTTTCATAAGATTGAACAGTAGAAAAATTCAGGAGCGTTGGAATATATAAGTGCGATATCATTGATCTGGAAAATGGGGTGAGGCAGTACCTTGTCACCACTGCTTCAGGATTATCTGGGCAGTCCTTGTCTCTGCAACTTATCAGATGTCCAACAAAGAAATGTGATCCAGGCACCGATACTTGGGATACTTGCGTGATCCGTACGTCCTGCCTCTTATCCTCTGCTCTCAACTTGATACTGCCGTGAGCGGTCTAGTCTTGTAGGTCAATATCATGTTAGTTGTACTACTGCCTGCTATCATGATTTGAGAGCCTCTTCTGCAGACAAGTAGTCGAGCAGTTCTCGCTCGGATAATCTGCCGAGCACTGCCTTAAGCACATCATGTCGGTCCCATACATTGAAGCACCTCTCGAGTCCTGGATTACTGGCCAGTAACGCTCAACAGACACACAGACTAGTATGCGATACCGGTCAATTAAACGGCGTGGTGACGACATAGCAGCACACGTATCGAGCAGTGAGCCTGATGCGTGCCGGGGGTAAGGCAAGGATACTTTCTCAAGCGATTGAATAATACTGGACGAAGGTTGCTCAGGAGTTAGAATGAAAAGGAAGACTCCAACTGTCAACTACGTCATGCCAAGATAGGAGAGGGAGACCCATTAAGGCCCGGCCGTCCATTCCCAAGAGAAAGAGACGCATTCCATTGATATCCAAGACATTCTCTTTCCCAGTCTCGCCGCACTGATCACTGCAAAACATCATAGTGCTTGTTCCATGCCTCCAAAGATTATGTCTTCTGCAGGCAGTTTCCTACAGGCTGAAACCAACCGCCGCACACAGCGTGACTAACCCTGCAAAGATAAGGATATCCCAGGCTCTACCGACCATATTGCGCACGGCTTCGGACTTATAGGCCCCGCCACTGCTCGATGTCGTTGCTGATGCTGAAGCCGTAACCGTCGTGGTGTGGTCGGAATTCGTGGTTGTGGGAGCAAGGTTGCTTGTATTCATGGTGACCACAAAGGTTGAGTAGCTGGTCTTCGGACCAGGTACGGTTGTCGCGGTGGTAGGTGGCATGGAGGATGGGGTAGTGGCGGAACGTGCAGTTGAATTCGAAATCACCGACGATGTTGTGGACGAGCTTTGGGCAGACGTGGTGGCAGCGCCGGACTGAATCGACTGAGACTGCGTGCTGGTCGCGTTGGCGGTGTACGTTGTGGTCCACTACATCGTAGCACGTATTAGCATCGATTCAGTCCCAAACGCAAGTGGGAGACACCGCAGGACTTCTTACCTCAGCCTGTCCAGTCGCCTGCGAATCGAGTGCGGCTCTGTAAGTCTTGCCTCCCGACACTACATTGAAGACGACGCCATCCTTGTTCGATGCATTGCAAAACACATTGTTCCCGTACGAGATGAGCTCCTGAGCCGCGGTGCTGTTGGCGCAGGGTGAGCCGGTCATGCCCGTGAGGCAGACGGTGGCTATGCCAACAAGATCGGTACGGCGAGAGACACATACGCATTCGAGATCGTAGTTGCAGGCGCTCATCATACTATTGACGGCAAATGAGAAGCAGTAGTGCTGGAAACATGTGTCAGGAGGTCTCTGGGCATACAGAGGAAGCTCACTTACGGCGCAGTCTGGTAGGTCTGACCACTGGTTGTAGTCGGCGGTGGCTACGCGAAGGTAGCAGGCGATGAAGACCGAGATCAACAGCTGAAAGCGTGCCATCTTGTGGTTGAGCGGTCTGTTGTAGTTGATCAGCTGGAGTGGTGTGCAAGGTGTTGATGGTTTTAGAAGTCCAGAATTCCATGAAGATGAGTTAGATCGGACGCGGGCAGCCGTGTCCAGGCGGTGCTGGCCTTTGCTTTGCTGGGTGAGGCAGAATCAACTTTGATGGAGGCCGCAACATGAGCAAACAGTGAATCGATTTATGCGTTACGAAGGCTTCACGTGGTGCAGCGAAAACTCACCACTCAGAGGGCAGAAAGCTAACTCCAAGAGGGGAACTGACAAGACTGTCTCCTTATCGACATTGATGCACATGAGTAGGCAGGCATCGGGTACCTGCATTGGCTGATTACGCCCGAGGTGGTAGAAGACGAACTTTGCGACAGGGTTTTACACCAGTCCGTACGAGCATTCGTCACACGACTCACTGAAGCCATGAATAGCAAACAACCAACGGTAACACAGGCAGATACCTAGGTACCTGCACACCGTATTGTTGGCCAACCTGGCCCCAGCCAAACAGGCTCTTCTAGAAGTAAGCACATTGCTCAATTGACTCCATACGAAACCTAAGTGGTCCCCGGGGAATGGAGGAAAGGAGATGCACAGTGAGGAGTTCGACAGGTTTTATGCTCAATGAATAAGGCTGGCACGGGTGGTTTCCGGCCATCTCCGATTACCTGCTATCGTTCAAGCGAACCTCCTTGGCGCGCGTGAGGACAGCGTCGTCCTCTGACACTTCTAACTTACTCTTCTTCATTATCATTCCATTCAGAGCATATCGCATCAAGATTGCCAGGACGATGGGATCTCAACTTTTTGCTATTCATAACGATAGACTAATAATACAGGGTATAAACACTCAGTCAGCGCCGCACCATCCAACTCTTGCAGAACTACCTAGGACTCCGAAATCATTCCTCATAATGGTCATAATAAATTTCACAAGCATGAGTGCCCTTGTCATGTACGGCAGCCTTCTGATCCGAATGCGCTCCAAAATCCTCAGGCACTCGAATGTGCCACTCTTCCCCATACCTCGTCCGGGTTCGCCTTTCCTTTGCTTTCAGGGACAAAAGCTACCACGAAGGCACCGAAAAAGGCCGCGAGCGCAACAAAAATCCACCATACTCTGCCTTCAGGAAGTATATCGTTGAGCAGCGGGAAAAATTGAGCCACCAAGAATGTTGAAAGCCAGTTGCCTGCTAGTGCCCAGCTGGAAGTCGCTCCCACCGCTTCAGGCCCGACAAGCTCGCTTGGTAAGATGAATGGAACTGTCCCCAAACCGACGCCGAAGCTGCACACGAACAGTGTGAGACCGATGATGGTAAGCACTGTGAAGTCTTGGGTCAGACCAACAGCGAGCATGGCCGAAGCCGATCCCATTCCGGAGATAGACAACAATAGGCATGGTTTTCGGCCAATCTTGTCCGCCAATGGAGATGCCAATAAAGTGACGAGGACATTGATTGCCGAAACCGCGACGGTGATCAATGCAGCTTGCGTTGCCATAACTTGCCCCAGTATGGAGACGCTGTACATCACGACAGCATTGATACCGCACAGCTGTTGGGCCATCATTGTGCCAGTGACCGCAATAACAGCTCGTCGATATCTGGGACATCGGATGACATCAAGAAACGACTTGCCATGTTGCTTGTGCGGCCGAGGCCCCTTAGGAGGACCGAGCAGGCTTTCCTCTTCAGCTTCACCGGAAAGTTCCCAGCTGTCCATTTCCTCTCGGATGTTAACCTCTTCCCCTCTGATGCGTTGCAAGATTCCCCTTGCCATTCGTGGCCGGTTGTTTGCTGCAAGCCACTGAGGCGTCTCTGGAGCCAGCATGAGCCCAATGAAAGTGGCTCCGGCAACCATTCCGGCAGTTGCTAGGATCCAACGCCACTTGGTGTTCGTGGAGAGGAAGTACCCGAGAAGTTGCGCGAAGAAAATGCCCAAGTTGATTTGAACCTGTGTGAAAGCCCCAAACAGACCACGCTTCTCTTTGGGTGCCACTTCCGATATATAAATGGGGCATACAACTGTGGCAGCACCAGCACCAAGACCAGAAAGCAGCCTTCCCAAGGCCAGGATCCACATCTCGTGCGCGGATGCCTCTGCGATGGGTCCTATGGCAAGGAAGAAGGTAAGCCATTTTATGGCGAACAGTCGTCCATATTTCGTTGCTGTGGAGCCGCTCAAGAGCGCCCCGATGAGACCACCAATGGTGAAAATGGATTGAACGAGGCCCCATTGGCCGTCACTCATTGGGATGCACTCGGGTAGGTCGAAGATATTGTACTGGGATCCGGTAGGTAACTGATTGACCTTGCATGTAATGACTTTTTGGGGGGCATTCAGCTCTCCCTGAAGTCGTCAGCCTGTGTAACTACCATGCATGGGGAGGAAAGTGCTTACCAAGTGATAGCCGAACAAAAGGGGACCAAGTGTGATGATGAAGACCAGGTAAATGAGGAATGGCGTTACCCGTGGTGGTGGAGCCATGAGGTCGTCGGAGGGCTCGAGAGCCACGTCCTCCACTGACTTCTGTTGTTTGAGGGATTTATACCCACTGCTAGTTCTGTTCAGTATGGCTCGCTCCATTTTGGTTGATTCAGAGGAGACTATGTTGACAGCGAAGTTTTTGATACTGGGGGAGGAAAACAGTAGGCCATGGGGATCAGACATACCTTATATGGAGTAAAATGTGCCGCTAAATTGAGAGACGGTACGGGATGCAATGGTGTGGCTGGTGCGTCATGGTGCAGACAGGCAACAGAATTGTAAGGTTGTGTCTGGCTCCCAGAGAGAGTATCGGCGGCCTCCGATATGGAGGAAGGTAGAGAGGGACATAGGCATATTTCCCAATCGAGGAAAGCGCAGCCGCGTCAGAATACTCCGTTGTGTTTATAGGTTCCTGCCTCGACGCCAAGGGAGTCCTTGTACGGGATCATCGTCCTTCGTACATGCTATCTTCCACCTCACTCGATTGTCTTTTTGTTTGCCATGCTAGCGAATGCATTTCTTCCGTACACCTGGCCATCGCCGATAGCAATTATACTTTCCCATCTACATCTTGTTGTTTCTATAGGTGCAAAAGGCGCTCAACTACAACATATCATCTGCTGCAGGGGCGATCACAGCCTGGAATCTGCGAACGCCGTTCTCGTGGATGTCTGTCGTGCCTAGCCTCTCAGCGCCATATCTGTCATCACACCGAGGTCAGATGACATACTGTGTTGAGAAGCATTCCCGTCAATCATGTTGAGTTGCGAGTCGCTTGAGGACGGAAAGTTTTGGCTCCCGGCAATCGCCCACGTCTCATCACGATGTTCAACATGTCGAGACCGGGCTCAAGCCTCAACATCGCGCAACAGCTAAGAAAGACGACGCAGCTGGGCTTGGATGGTGAGACACAATTTGAATTCTGCCTCAATTCCCTTGGTTATGGTGTCCGTGGCCTCAGCTTTTGTGCCAGGCATCTCGTGTTTGCCTAGAACACCCCCCAGCCAATTACAATACTGACAGATTCGACCTAGACGCTAGCCGAGGAGGTGACAAGAGACCCTCGGGAAACAATTATACGACGAAGGTAAAGATTGGTCAAAAATACAATATCATCGGTTTCATCAGTTCAGGAACCTATGGTCGAGTATACAAAGCCGTGGAGAAGAATCCGAAACCGGATCCTTCCACCCCTGCAGGATCAACTCCGGCCAAAGAATTATATGCTATCAAAAAGTAAATGGTCGTCCTTCATCTTTCCAATCCAGCTAACGTCGGCCAGGTTCAAACCCGAGAAGGAGGGTGACAATGTCCAGTACACCGGTCTGTCTCAATCGGCCATTCGGGAAATGTCACTGTGCACAGAATTGTCTCACCCCAACGTGATTCACCTTGCAGAGATCATCCTGGAGGACAAATGTGTCTTTATGGTCTTCGAATATTGTGAGCACGACTTATTACAGATTATTCATCATCACACTCAGCCGAACCGACGGCACATTCCTGCCACCATGATCAAGTCCATATTGTTCCAGCTGCTTAACGGTTTGTATTATCTCCACCAAAACTGGGTGATACACCGTGATCTCAAGCCTGCAAATATTATGGTCACTAGCTCCGGCCACGTGCGCATTGGGGATCTAGGACTGGCTCGGTTATTCCACAAACCGCTGTCATCGTTATACTCTGGCGACAAAGTCGTGGTTACTATATGGTATCGTAGCCCAGACCTGCTTCTGGGCGCCCGCCACTACACTCCGGCGATCGATATGTGGGCTGTTGGCTGCATATTCGCTGAGCTGCTAAGCCTCAGGCCGATCTTTAAGGGAGAAGAAACGAAGATGGACAGCAAGAAGACTGTTCCTTTCCAAAGAAACCAGATGGGGAAAATTGTAGAAATCTTGGGACTGCCCAGACGAGAGACTTGGAAAGGATTGGCCGATATGCCGGAATACCCACAGTTGCAGTCTCTCGTTGTCTCTCGAGGAGGAATGCCGGGAGGTCTGTATCCCACTCAAACCAGCGTCATGAGGAACGCCGTCAACAATGGCACTGGCCTGGAAAGCTGGTATAATAATTGCATACGGCACGCAAACTACCCGGCGGACAAGTCACCTGGTCAGCGTGGATATCAGCTTTTGTCCGACCTATTTGAGTACGATCCCGAGAAGAGACTGACCGCCGAGCGGGCTTTGCATCATGAATACTTCAAGTGCACTGAGGAAGGACCTCACAAAGGTCAGATCTGGGTAACCAACAATTGCTTCGAGGGACTTGACGAAGTCTATCCACACAGACGAGTGAGTACCGAGACGAACGACATTGGCACGGGAAGTCTGCCTGGAACCAAGAGAGGCGGTTTGCCGGACGACTCTCTTCTGCCGGCTGCTAAGAGGAGATAGAAACCCTCTAAGCGGTAAATGCTGCTCACAGAACGAAACCGTATGGATAGGATTGAGTTTCAAGCTTTTCACGTTTATCATTTGGTGAACTCTGCTAGACAATCTTGGTGATCGGCTGCCAAAGTCGACACCATCTCCGCAGTACTGGTCAACCATTGTATGACAGTGATTTCTGCTGCTGATGGACCTCCGGCATGCCATGCGACAGGAAGTTTGGCGAAATCACCCGCTCCGCCTGACCTTCACCTTGACCAGCTGCTATTTCCAGCAAGCGATCTCACATTCACCCTAACCCATTCCTGCTTGATAATTTATGCCTGAAGAGTCTTAGCAGCGGCTTGCTGAGGGTTGACCTTCTTTCCGTCCTTGTTGTATCGGACTCTTGGGGGAGGAGCTCGGTTTCGTCGGCCTTCGCGCGATCGGACTCGGACAATCTTGCCGTGAATGGCGCAAGAGACGCAGTACTGCAACTTCAAGTACATCTTGGGGACGGCGTAGTCTGCGAAGACGGAGGCATCGGAAATATCACCTATACAGATAGCAACCTGTCAATATTCCATCCTTTTTCACCGAGAAAGAAACGCCACGATTTTCAGGATTTTGACGTACGAATGGCAGCCGACTCAACCATGTTTCTGATTGTGAATCTCTTGATGGCCTTGTCTTTAGGTGTGCATCGGGAACAGTTGGAGCATCGGATCGGCTTGACGTGCTATAAGGTCGTATGTTAGATGGATTTCGCGAATCTGACGGTCGAAAAAACGTACACCTCTGCCCTTCTTGTTACGTCCGCTGCAGATGAGGTTAGTGACTAAATTCGAATGGCGGCGAGCCTGTGGTGGTGCGCAACGGAACTCACTTGGACGCTCGCTTCTTGACCATGATTGCGGTTGACGAGAATCAAAGACTCCTGTGATATGCGACACAGAAGTCTAGATGCTGGCTCGGAGGTGGTGAGGGGTTTGGTGTTTGACTGTCAATGTCGTCGCAGCTTGACTGTAGGCGTTCGAAAAGACAATGTGCGGATTTCGAAAACTTGGCATTGCGGGGAAAGTTTACCGACGCATCACGTGTAATGAGTCGCGTAAGTCACACCCCAACCAATGAAAGATCTGGACACGGTCTGACAGCCACTTCTGGCTGGCACGAGCGATTTCTGGTGATGCAATCGCGATTATCCGTGTCTGACGAAAGGCCCCCTCATTCGGTGTAAACATTCGCTGGGTCGTTTGCTTTTTTGACGCGGCTGACCCTCTCCTGAAGTCCTGGACCCTAGCAACCGTGATGCCCGCTCAATCTCTCACATTCGGGTCTCGTCCGCCTTGAAATACAGCCCAATCATCGCCTAAACAAACAGCCTCTTCGCGATTCCTCCCATCCACACAGACCACCCTGGCCTTCCCCTTGCACTCCCACAACCTGCAAGCATGTCTGGAGTTGGTGGAACGTATCGTGGTACGCCCAAAGGTCGTGGTCAGATCCCAATCCCATTCACAGATAGCCCTTCGAATATACCCCGGCCGAAATTAGAATCCACGCCCAGCGCAGCAGCACCGAGCGAGATGTCGGGCACTTCGGCGGTCTCTGCCAGCCGGCAGAAGCAGAGCAAGAGAGATGAGGTATGCCTTCCACGGACAACGCCTAGCGCATAATGAGTGTGGTCTCCTAACTTGACTATTGAACAGGCCATTCGACGCAAGATGGAAGCAGATCTCAACAAGAAGAGACAAGTTCCTGCCCGCGCTCGACATACCCGCAAAGCACCTCCCGGGACCGTCCTCGCCTTGAAGCCCAGTCAAGCCCTGCAGATTAAACCCTCTACCACCGTCTCCGAGGCGGCTCAGCTGATGGCCGCGAAGAGGGAAGATTGTGTACTAGTCACCGACGACGACGATAGGATCGCAGGTATCTTCACAGCCAAAGATCTGGCATTCCGTGTCGTCGGCGCCGGCCTCAAAGCGAGTCAAGTAACCATTGAACAAATCATGACCAAGAACCCTCTATGCGCCCGGACCGATACTAGTGCTACCGACGCCTTGGACTTGATGGTCAGAAAGGGCTTCCGCCATCTGCCCGTGATGGATGAGAATCAGGACATCTCAGGTATTCTCGATATCACGAAGTGCTTCTATGAGGCCATGGAGAAGTTAGAGCGGGCTTACAGTTCGTCGCGCAAGTTGTATGATGCTCTTGAAGGCGTGCAGTCTGAAATTGGGTTGGGCCAACCGCAACAGATCATACAATATGTCGAAGCGCTCCGACAGAAGATGTCTGGACCAACGCTGGAATCTGTTCTGAATGGTCTGCCTCCTACGACGGTTTCCGTCCGAACGTCAGTGAAAGAGGCTGCACAGCTCATGAAAGAAAATCACACTACAGCGGTTTTGGTGCAGGATCAAGGCTCTATCACAGGCATCTTCACAAGCAAGGATGTCGTTCTTCGTGTTATTGCTCCTGGTTTAGACCCGGCAAATTGCAGCGTGGTCAGAGTTATGACGCCGCACCCGGACTTTGCGCCTACGGATATGAGCATTCAAGCCGCCCTGAGGAAGATGCATGGTAAATTGAGAAATCTCTAAGGGACCGCTCAATCGCTAACAGATCCAGATGGCCACTATCTCAACCTTCCTGTCATGAACGAGACCGGCGAAATCGTCGGCATGGTTGATGTCTTGAAATTGACATATGCCACCCTCGAACAGATCAATACCATGAACACTGGGGAGAACGAAGGTCCAGCATGGAACAAGTTCTGGTTGTCGATGGACAACGATACCGAGTCAGTGATGTCTGGAGAAGGCAGCCATCGTCCCACAACTCCTGGTCACCGTTCCGTCCTAGAGTCTGATCTTGCCCACCGACCGGGCATTGAGAGGGTCGATAGTGTCTTTCCCCAGGACTCAGCATCACATCGTGGCGACGATCAGTCTGAGATCATCCCTGCCCAGGAAGCTCCAGAGGACGTTCCCTTCCCATTCAAGTTCAAGGCACCCAATGGCCGCGTTCATCGAATACAGGTTGTGGCTAGTCACGGAATTGCAGAATTGGTCGATTCCGTCACAGCTAAGCTCGGCGCTGAGACTGAAGCCGTCGGCGGCGAAGCGAGCATTGAGAATGGCAAGTTGGGCAAAACCGGCTATGCGTTAAGTTATATGGACAATGAAGGCGATACCGTCTCGATTACGACAGACCAGGATCTCCTTGATGCGATACTACTGGCTCGACAAGGCAAACGGGACAAGGTCGACTTGTTTGTGCATGACCCTGCTCAACCGCCAATTGTCGCGACCATTGATCCTAGACCGCAACTCTCGAAACCTCCGACACCGCCCGCGTCTGTCCTTAGGGAGCCTGCAACCCCGGAAGCTGACAGCGAAGAGGAAGAGGCGCCTCCTCCCAAAACGAAATCAAAGAAATTCCCAGGAATCTCCACGCCATCGAAGGACGAAGAACAGATTATCGCAGGTGTGCCAAACGACCTATTATTACCTGGCGCCATCGTGACTCTCGCGGTTGTGATTGTGGGAGTTTTTGCCATCAGTCGCGCCACTTCGAAATAATGATATCCACGGCATGAAATGGGTTTATTGTGCTGTTCTGGACTATTTTATTTCATCATAAACACCACTCACTCCTGTCATTCCGATTCTAAGGAGGCGTCTAGATTAGCTACTAGCAATTATCTAGTTGACTTATGAATATTCTTTACATTCGTTAAGAACTTTTCCTTATGCTTTTCGCAAATGACACATCGAGTTCTACAGGACAGCATGTCTACATCAAACTCGTCCTCCCACCAATCTCTCTGCCGCCCTCACCATTCGGCATCTCGCCGTTCCTCCCGACCACAAACTCACGATATATAGCGGCCAACCTCCTCCTCTCGTCCGACGAGATCGAACTCCTGGTCGTGGCCAGCGACTTCTCAACGTGGCTCCACTCGATGATCACCTCTTCCTTGCCACCATCGTCGTCCCTGTTATTGCCGGTATTTTCTGCACCATCGTACAACGACGACTTGGACGTGCCTCGCGCATAACTGTTGCGTAGTGACTCCTTCTCCCGCTTGCGCGCCAGCTTCAGCTCGTCCAGTTTCGCAGCTATCGCGGACTTGGAGTCAGTCGCTGACGATGTCAGGACTTTCTTCGCCTTGGCATCCTCTTCGGCCGAATACAGAAACTGGATGAAGTCGTGCTTGTCGGTGTGGCGCTTGCGTCGCCGCCCGGGACCGACGTCTTTCGTGCCGTTGGCCATGCTCTGCCCTACCTTGTCCCCGCTCCCTGCCTTGTTATCGCCCAGCAAATCGTGGATCGCTTCAAGGTGGGCGTTGTACATTAGAGCCTGGAGATCGGCGCCGCTGAAGCCCTCGGTTCGCTGGGCCACGCTGAGAAGACGGTTCTCGACTTCCGGCGTCAGGCTGAGTTTATCGCTGACCGCCTTGAGTATGTCAAGCCGGTCGTTCATGTCCGGCATGTCGCATAACAGACTCTTGTCCAGACGACCTGGTCGGAGAAGCGCAGGGTCGATCAGATCAGGACGGGAAGTCGCAGCCAGGACGTACACTCCTTCCAAACCCTCGGCACCGTCCATTTGTGTGAGCATTTGATTGACTACGCGGTCTGTGACGCCTGTACTGTCGTGCCCACGCTTGGGTGCGATGCTGTCGAATTCGTCGAAGAATAAGACGCACGGCTTGGCTGCTTGGGCGCGCTCGAAGAGGTCGCGGACAGACTTTTCCGATGCACCGATGTATTTGTTCAGGATTTCGGGGCCTTTGACCGAGATGAAGTTCAGGTTACACTCGCCAGCGACAGCCGAGGCGAGCAGGGTCTTTCCACAGCCTGGGTAGCCGTAGAGGAGCAGACCTGAGCGTAGTCGGAGGGGAGATCGGGCGAATATTGGTGCGTACTTCGTTGGGTACAGGAGTGTCTCGAGGAGTGTGTTTCTTGTGGCGTGCAGACCTCCGATGGCGGAGAAGGTGGTGCTCGAGCGTGTCAATGTGACGTTGCGTAGGGATGATGGTGTGAAGTTCTTCAATGCAGCGTCAAAATCGGCTTTGGTGAGCGTTGGTGGCGCATCCGAGTTGTCATTTTGAGTAAGTATGCGGGTGAGCGATTCGCTCCTTGCTCGTGAGGCAAGCAGCACCAGGTCGGCTGGCATGTAGCCATCTGTTTTACCGGCGACGTCGAGCAAGTCTAAGGTATGTGACACCCGAAATCCTTCTTGTCGTGATGAAGATGACGATCCTGGCCTTGAGGGAACTGATGGGTCCATCCAAGAGCTTTCTGACACACTTTGGTCGCTCTCGTTTCTTGCATGGCCGTTCTTGGTTTCGGACTTGTCGCCGACCAGAGAGTGCAGAATGTCGCGTCGAATCCCTTTCGTAGGAGCCTTGATGGCAACGATATCACCTACGACATGGCCTCCGATAATGAGGTTGTGCAACGCATCCTTGGATTGCGCTGTGGCGAGGAGGGCGACACCAGAGTGAATACTGCAGTATTGTCGGACGGTGGCGCACAGGATCTCGGTGATCTGACGGCTGCGGCCGTTATCGTTTCCAACTTGCAGTTCTGTCTCGACAGGGCAGATCTTGTCCAGGTCGTCGAGGATAACCACCGATTGTCCCCCAAGCCTGGCGCACCAGGAGGCTGACATGAACAGTCGGGTCAGAGTCTCCTTCACAGTAGATACCCGTGTCTCGTCCGTGACCAGTCTCTGGCATGAGAAGTATGTTACATTGAAGACATAGTCTTCCCGAAGTTGTTGAGCAATACTTTGCACCAGAGAGGATTTGCCGGAGCCCACACCTCCTGTCAAGAGAACAGATGAACACAGGGTCAAGTTTGACATGCATTGCTTCAAGATCTCATCGACCCCTACCAGGTGAGTCACTTTGGCCGATATGCCATGAGCGAAACTGGGAAACATTGTGGTGAGATTCAGAGGTCGAGGGATTTCGTCTTTGACATCGAACTCCTGCTCTTGCTCCTGCCCGAGAACCCATAAGCAGGAATCGCTGCGTTCCTCGTCGCGGCTAGATGGAGCGCGAAACCTTAGAATTCCTCCGTCGAAGGAAGAAGTCGACGAGGCATCCCCGGACTGCGGTAGAATCATGCCATCGGTGATTGGGCCCAATAGCAGGCTTTCTTCACCACCGAGGGTTACACGTAGCCTTTCGACCACGGCCTGTTTTGCAGCCTTTGTGTCGCCACCGAACTTGAGGCCATCTTTCTTCTTCGAGTTAGAGGGCAAAAATGGATAGAACTGAAACTTTTGAATCGAGTAGCGCGATAACGGCGGTTCGGCGGCTTCGATGCGGACGATTTCGCCAACAAGGCCTTCCACTCCAAGCATCCTAGACAAGGATGAGGACAGTACTGCGTGTTTGTCGTCAAGAGGGTTGGGCCACGGGAGGACTTGAGCCACAATCTTGGATGCCGGTCTTCCAACCTCGCTGCTTTCTTCTTCCTTGAGTTGGTTGACTTGTGTAGAGTCTAATTGTGCTCGTAGGCCTGCTGGCTTTAAGATGGTGACGGTCGCCCACGTTGCCGCTTTGAGAGCCTCGGATGCAATAGCGTCTTTGCCGAGCCACACACATAGTTTATTGCTGACAGACGCATTTGAGGCATCGGGAAAATAAGCATGGGCGCAGACGCGATCAATACCGCGCATGAAGAGGGCAGACCTGGCCCCTTTCCGTGAGCCTGATCCGCGAGCATTGCTGACGCCACTTTTGCCGCTGCGTCTGCTTGCAATGCTCCTTGAGTCACCTCGTGTACTGCGATTGGACCGTGGCCGAGTCTTTGGTGCAACGATGACTTCTGCGTCTGGAGCGATTTTGGCAAACGGTGATGTGCTGGCAACTGGCGGCGTCAAAGACGTGACGACAATGTTAGCAGTAGAAGTCGGTGATAGATGCAACGTTAGCGGGTGACTGGTTTCAGCTTGAACAGCAGCTTTGTTGCTGAAAGCAGGATTGGGTAGTGCTCGTATTTGGGACAGAAGGTTGAGCTCGAGAAAGGTGGCGTGCAACTCAATAGCCTCCCAATCAGCCGGCGTTAGAGGTTCGATGTTGATACTGTGAGCTACTGGAGGGTCTAGATGGATTAAAATGCCAACTTTTTGACCCTCAGAAAGGCCAAGGACCTTTCCAAATGTGCCATCGATCTCGATTGATTGACCTTCCTGCTCCCTGCCGCCAGAACGAACGGAGGCCGGCCGAGTACGACTAGGCATGCCAGTCCATCCGACATATGCAGAGCGCTGGAATCCTGCACTGTTGCCGCTGGAGACAGCGCCTGTGGAGAGAGTTTGGGTCCGATATTGTAGCTCGACAACGACATTTTGAGCCGGCTGGAGTCAAGTCAGCGCAAAGACTGGGAATAGAGCAGGACTACCTTACAATATTTGCGTTGCTGATTAGGGCGATCAGTCCCGGAGGCAAGTTTACCAAGCAATTCTTCAGTGAAACCAAGGTCACTTCGGCTCGTACAGGAGGCGCCATGATCCGAGAGGGGCAGGAGTCGAGATCACCGCTTGTTGGACCTCTTGCTCTCTATGCAGACACCGACAAACAGTCATCAAGTACACCGATCAAACGCAAACAAGAACGCAGCAACGGCACAAGAATCCAGCAACTTTTCATATGCAGGAAGTTCTAGAGATGACAGTAGATGGCTTGTGAGTGAATGAACGGCTTCTGCTGATACTGGACCTCGGTTCTCTGTTCGCTTAGTCATGCTGACTATAGTGTGACATAGCGCATTGTAGATGCTATGCTTCTCCGAAGTACTTTAACGCGAGAAAACGCGTCGCGTTGACGCGCAAGTCAGTGCGGAATTGCTCGCTTGCACAATCGCAGCCCCCTGCTTTTGAATCTCGAATAAGCCCAGCAGACATTTGACCTGCACATCTTGCGAAGAGTTTCTACCATCAACCTCCGCACAGCCGTACAGCACCATGGCGCTTCTACAACATAAAGCTCTTGCAGACTACGCGAAGCAATTGGAAGCATTTCAATCCTTCCTAGAGAAGTTCGAAACTTCCAAAACCTCTTCAGACGCTGCCGCCGACGAAGCCATTGACGGCCTTCATCTAGATGGCGACCACACGAGCGACGAGTATGACTTTATGGACGATGTAGCAGATGAAAGCGCAACAAGACGGCGGCCCAAGAGAAAGTATATGGACATGCTTCAAGAGGTCGCAGACCGAGAGCGCCAGAACATCCTAGTAGAGCTGGATGACCTCCAAGAGGTGCGAAGCAATATGAGTTGAGTGTTGCATGCGCTAACCGTCCCCTTCAGTTCGAAGACTCATTGCCAGACGAACTCAACCTAAGACTAGTCGAGTCTGTCGCCAATAACACCAAGCATTATGTTGACCTTTTCTCGGATGCGGTCGATAAGATCATGCCAAAAGCCAGCAAAGACATTTCGTAAGCGTGACCATCGGACTGTGCCCTGCAGCTGCTAACACCATCTAGCTTCAAGGATGATGTGCTGGACATTATCATGGCGCAACGAGCGAAGCGAAACGAAACCGTTGCCAATGCTATGGAAGCAGATGCTGACACCACTTTGCCTGTCTCCACGTTCCCTCCCGAATTGACAAGAAGATACACTCTGAACTTCAAACCTGCCACGGCGACCGGATCTGATGCTGCAAAGAAGACCCTCGCTGTACGCCAAGTACGTGGAGAGCATTTGGGACATCTCATTACAGTCCGCGGCATTACCACAAGAGTTTCAGACGTCAAGCCAAGCATAAGGATACAAGCATATACGTGTGATCGATGCGGATGCGAGATTTTCCAGCCAATTACCTCCAAGAACTTTACACCACTACAGATGTGTCCATCAGAAGAATGCAAGCAAAATGACTCCAAAGGTCAATTGTTTGCTTCGACTCGGGCCTCGAAATTCTTGCCGTTCCAGGAAGTCAAGATTCAAGAAATGGCAGACCAAGTGCCTGTCGGTCATATTCCAAGAACTCTGACTATTCACTGCAATGGAAGTCTTGCACGACAGCTGAATCCGGGCGATGTAGTCGATATCGATGGCATATTCCTCCCGACTCCATATACTGGCTTCCGAGCTATTCGAGCCGGTCTGTTGACAGACACATACCTTGAGGCACAGAATATCACTCAACATAAGAGAGCATACCAGGATCTGAAGATGGACCCTCGCGTCATTCGCCGCATCGAATCTTTCAAAGCTACAGGCCATATGTACGAATATCTGGCTCGATCGATTGCTCCAGAAATCTATGGTCACCTCGATGTCAAGAAGGCACTCCTGCTACTTCTAATCGGTGGAGTAACTAAGACGATGGGCGACGGCATGCGCATTCGTGGAGACATCAATATCTGCCTGATGGGTGATCCTGGTGTGGCCAAATCGCAACTGCTGAAATACATCACCAAAGTCGCACCACGGGGCGTCTACACAACCGGCCGAGGATCCAGTGGTGTAGGTTTGACCGCGGCCGTAATGCGAGACCCAGTGACCGACGAAATGGTTCTGGAAGGTGGAGCTCTAGTTCTCGCGGACAACGGCATCTGCTGCATTGACGAGTTCGACAAGATGGACGATGGCGACCGCACAGCCATCCACGAAGTCATGGAACAACAAACCATATCCATCAGCAAAGCCGGGATATCAACGACCCTGAATGCCCGTACATCTATTTTGGCTGCCGCCAATCCTCTTTACGGACGGTACAACCCGCGCATTTCTCCGGTGGACAACATCAATCTGCCCGCGGCTTTGCTGTCTCGATTTGACGTGCTTTTCCTCATTCTCGACACGCCCTCACGTGAAGCCGACGAAGAACTCGCCAGCCACGTCTGCTACGTGCACATGCATAATCGTCACCCGGAGCGTGAAGGTGAGGGTGTCGTGTTTGCGCCCGAAGAGGTTCGCCAGTACATTGCCCAGGCTCGCACGTTCAGGCCCAACGTGCCCAAATCTGTTTCTGAGTACATGGTCGGCGCGTACGTGCGGATGCGGCAGCAGCAGAAGCGCGATGAGGGTTCGAAGAAGCACTTCACGCATACATCGCCTCGAACGCTGCTGGGCGTGCTACGTCTGTCGCAGGCTCTTGCCCGGTTACGCTTCAGCAATGAGGTAGTCAACGAGGATGTGGATGAGGCTTTGCGGCTGATCGAAGTGTCTAAGGCGAGTCTGTACAATGACCAGCGTGCACAGGGCGATCAGACGGTCAGTTCGCGAATTTACGATCTAGTCCGAGGCATGAGGGAGTCGGGTGCCGCGAGTGTCGGACGTGGAACCAGAGGAGAACTCAATATGAGGCGTGTAAGCGAGTTGATCTTGGCCAAGGGTTTCACGCAGGATCAATTGACGAGAACGGTGGAGGAGTATGAATTGCTGGACGTGAGTATCCACCTCTGTCTTGATTATGTGACGACATACGTACTGACTGACAATTTACCAGGTCTGGCAACTTGCCAACAATGGAACCAGGCTGGTCTGGATCGAGGCTGGCGATAGTGACGAAGATGATGAGAACATGGGTGATGGGGACGACTCGGAGTGAAGGGGTCGACTTCGTACTAGTTGAGGTCATAACGAGGCTTGTCTACACGATTGAATGCTTCTTTCACGCTTGCGCTCGCTGCTCCCGGAAGACTCCGCTCGCGTATTGTTGGCGCTGGGGTATTTAGGCTATCAGCCGGCATGCCGGGATTGTTTGATTTGTCTCCAGTTTGCATTTGTGCTGCCTAGCTGCCTGTTTTTCGCCCAAAGGCGCATTGGAGAATTGTTTTCATATCCAAAAGAGAGAGCGCTTTGTCAGCTAGCTCTGTGGCTGCGGCAGACAGACCTGGCGTATACTGGTCTGCCAAATGAGCGTGCGATAACAAGAAAATGAAATCTAGGGATCCTATCCCTCCAAATATGTTTCCCATTCACCACAACATTCAAGTTGACCAACGAATCCTCTACTCGTCGGCTCCATAGCCCAGCAAAGCCGAGGCGCCAGGTTCACTAGAGATGTAAAACACCTCATGATCATCCGTGTAGCCATTGAACTTGGTGGCCGAGCACTTTGTATAGGCGCCCATGTTCTCGAAGAACAGCCAGTCGCCGACATCGAGCACACCTGGAAGAAAGACCCGGTCGGCAATCACGTCGATACCGTCGCAAGTAGGGCCCCAGATCGAATATTCGACCAGCTTCTTGTCCACTGAAGAGCGCTGAAGTACCTGCGGAACAGGTTGCTGGTGGTCGAAAATGATGTTGGAAAAGTTCCCGTACACTCCGTCGTTCAGGTACAACATGTAACCCCTGCTACCGTCGTCGCCACGAACCTCGCGTCGGGCAATCACATGGGTGGCCAAAGTGAAGGCGTTGGAAGCGTAGTACCGTCCAGGCTCGCCGATGACGCGCACATGAGGTGGGAAGTGTCTTTCCAAAGCGTCGTTCAAGTTTCCTGCGAACATCTCAAAAGTCTCATCGACAAAGCCACCGCCCACATCGAGCAGTTTGAGGTCGAGCCCGAGCTCGGCAGCGCGGTCGAAGACGAAACGAGCGTCCTCCACAGCCTTGCCGAATGAATTGGGATCGCTGGCTCCCGACCCAACGTGGAAACTCACGCCAATGACATTCAAGTCCAAATCCTTCGCAAGAACCAGCAATTCGTTCGCCTCGTCCAGAGTGGCCCCGTACTTGGCGCTGAAGCGGCACAAGCTGGCTGAGTCGTCGGTCACAATTCGCAAAACCAATTCGGCTTCGGGGTAGCAGTCGCGAATCTTGTGGAGTTCATCGGTGTTGTCGAAGGTCATGCGAGTGACGCCCACCTTCCTCGCGTGTCGAAGATACGATTTCGTCTTGCAAGGTTGCGCATAAATGATCCGGCCGGCTGGCACGCCAAGACTCAGGATCATGTCGATCTCCGCTCGAGACGCACAATCGAAGCCGGTGCCCAACTTTGCGAGGAGACGCAGGACTTCTTTGTCGGGGTTGCATTTGACGGCTGGTAATAAGATGTCAGCTTTGCATCATGGCCACGCGGAGAATACTAACCATAAAATGGCTTGACGCGGGCGAGATTGAGCTTCCAGCGGAGATGCTGGCGGTACACTTCTCCTAGATCCGCCACATAAAAGGCATCTTCCTCCCCTGGTTCGCAGGTATCAACATCGATACGAGCGATTTGCTCCTTGAGAACCTTGTTGATGAGAGCCTTGGAGGCAAAGCCTGTCACATCGGATTCGACGCCATGCTTGGTGGTGTCAATGTAGTCGATTTTACTGTCATTCAAAACAGTGGTTTCGTTGTGGTCAATGATGGCGATAGCAGAAGGTGCCATTACCATCCAAAAGTTTAAGAGTTGAATTGGAACCACAGGGGGTGTTAGGGAGGCTTAGTGGATTCTGCTCCCCTGGGACGTTGGCTTTGCCTCAGCGACTCTCCCTCACGAGGAGGAAGAACCTCGAGTGGCGACCTATGCGGCAGCTGAAAAAGTGGGAGTTGTTCAAGGGGGTTGTCAAACTGAAAGGACGACAGTGGTGTTGCTGTAGCGAACTTCAGCAGGAGGTGGTCGAGTGTTGAGAATATGTCGATGTTTGCTAGACGATGCAGTTTGATGACGAAGTGCAAACGATGTGGTAGCCGTGTTAATTAGTTGCCTTTGGCATTCCAAAGGCAATGAATGATGCAATAGAGTTCAATGAATAGCAGCGTCTTATAGAGACACTAGATTGAGAGTTGCTGGTGTCGAGTTGAAGGTCAATTGTTGAAATATAAGTTAAGTTGGTCGTGTGTGAAAGAAAAAAAGGAACAGCTCTTCCTCGTGTGTTGTCGATAAGAAATAAAATTATTTTTACTGACGACAACGCTGGTGGGGGCAAATTCTGGTGGGCGGCTGGGCCGTTTTTCCGGGCGGTGCGGGAGGTAATTTATGAGTCGTGGGTATCCAGATCCGAAAAAACTCAAGGCTGCAAAGATGGAGGTGATTGTTGTTGATTTGACAGACGAAAATGTCACAATTTGCACCATGCCAGCGTCATTATTTTGTGGATGCGATGGTACTCGTACCCAGACATTGAAAATCATGGCAGTGCTGGTGCTGGAGTTTGGAGAGTTTTTCCGAAATGTGCGTCAATATCAGTGGCACGTGATCTTGTGATAACGGGGATATCGCGTCTTGTATCTCGGTTGATCCTTCAGTCGAGCCAAGAATTGTCCTGACGGATTGTCATATTGGAGCAGAACCTCGTGGCTTTCGAGGCACTCCGCTAGTCAAGAAGATCGTTCAGTCATCCTGGGGCGGGTCGGGTCGAAAAGTGTACGTATAAAATTCGGCCATTGGAGCTGCGGTATCTTGCTCGGTCATGGTGTGTGGTAGTGGAATGCTGATGGATTCTGTGACTTCAAATCGTGTCTGTTGCATTCGTTCGAAAAAGATGGTATCAGCTTCATGTCGTCGTTTGAACCCGACCAGAATCAGCACATTGGGTGTACGAGTGGCCAATTGCCTGAGTATCTCTACCAGATAAAGGCTGCTGTCCGGATTGTAGATACAGTCCGAAACCAAGACAACATCGTAATTCGCATTCGAGCTATCACCAAGGCCCGCGGCCCAGTCCAGAACCTCCGCTTTGATCGTAGACCCTGCCAGTGGCGAAGCACATTTAATGTTGCTTGCCAGAATCTCCTGAGCATCATCCAGGTCGGTAAGGACCATGTCGCATTTGACCAGTTGTGCAAAAGCAACCCCGACAGTGCCACATCCAGCTCCGAGTTCCAGCACCCTTAGTCGTTTTACCTTACTGGACTTGAAAAGCGTAGCGAAACTCGAAACGCCCTGGGGCGGAGATGTTGAGAGCGCTTGAGCGAAGTAGAGCAAGAAACCTAAACCAGCATCCCTGTTGCATGATGGTCAGCCCAGTCATTTGGCATTTGCAAGACACATACCAGACATGACGGGCGATGCTGTCGCCAGTTTCTTCCCACATTCGCACGCGGCTCCTGTTGGGTAAGAGCAATTGCCTTTCAACGATGGGCTCGGTTCGCTGGTTTTCAGACAGGGGAAAAATTTCACTCCAAACATCAAGGATCCTGGGCACATCCAGCGATTTCAAGGTGGACAATGTCTCTTCGGTGGTCACATGCAATCGCACAGGTCTTGAACGATACTTGCCAGGGCAACTGACTGTAAGCTTGAGTGCTCTAGAATGAGCTTGCCATTTTGCGGTCTCTGTGTGAAGGACGCCATGAGGACGGTTAGCTTCTAATACCGCAATGATGAGGTCAAGGTCTTGAGAGTAAAGCGCGTCGCCCAAATCTGTCGTGACTGCAATCACTGCAGAGACATCGATGGCTTTTGGCTTGACTGCCGTTTGAGGTGTCCGCAAGAAGCGAATATAATGGACCATGGCATCAGTCGTAGAAAGCGGAAGGGACGAAGGACGGAGGGAGGAAAGAATGATAAACAGAAAAAAGTGAGGCACGTGAAGGCTGCAGAGGAGGAAGCCCATTCGGCATCAAATTCTCCGATTCCGGGTCCTTTGCGTGTCAGCCCTTTGGGCTTTTACGCCCGGAGGTTGCACTCAACCACCGCCAAGTATGCTTAAAACCTACCTAGCGCTAGGCTCCTATTTACACGGGCCAGGCTACGCCAATATATCGGTTATTCATCACCCATACCTCCCCAGGTACTCCGTACCTTGTACTTTAAACGTCTTCAACGTTGTACACCTGGCTATCGAAGGAATCTCAGCCACGCTCTCTTATAAGATGCTTTTCCACTGTTCGGCGCGACCCAGCAAGGAGGATTCCGTACAGCGGGTACAGCTCCAATCTCGCCATAGCATTTAGCCCACTGAAGCAGCCGTGATGGCTCCTCGAAAAGCCCATCAAAAGTCTAGGAGAGGATGCGTGGAATGTAAGCGTCGTCATGTCAAGTGTGATGAGACGCGCCCGACATGTCAAAGATGCACACTATCAGAGAGACTGTGCACTTGGGAAGCCCTCCGAAACGTACATGAGTCTCGAAGCGCTTCCTCCCAGGCTGCCTCCGAAACTCACGCTCAGTCACCCGCACAACCTCAGTCTCAATCTCAGATTGCCTCTCGTCCTCCTTCTCCAGTGACGCACGCTATCTCGACCAGACCTCACAGTCCTAGTCAAAATCACGGCGGCTCCTCTTCGGATGTTCTCATCACGGGTCCGAGCGACATCTCAGTGAACATGGATCACTTGGAACTGATCTACCACTTCTACACAGAGACGTGTCAAACTCTGGTCAAGACAGAGGACCAGTTGAGACGTTATCGAGCACTCGTTGTCGAGCAAGGATTGAAACGACCCTTCCTCATGCATCAGATCTTGGCATTTTCGGCCCTCCATCTGAGTCTCCGTCGGCCGCAACGACAAGACTATTACCGCGAGATTGCCACCTCGTTACAGTCCAAGGCGCTAGCCGGCCTCAATGAGATCTTGCCACAAGTCGACGCTTCCAATTGCCTGGACGTGTTGCTATTTTCACACCTAATAGGCCTCCATGTTTTTCGGGATATCTTTACCTCGCTCAAGGATGATTTCAATGCTTTTATGGAAGCACTAGTAGGTTGCATCAGACTACTGCAAGGTGTCAACGTGGTGATTCGATCATGGAGGGACGTTCTCCGACGCACAGAAATTGGAAGCCTTATGGACGAGGCGGAGGATGCCAGAATGATGCAGAAAGATTCTCTTGGGGAATGCCTGCCACTTCACGATCTCGTGGATAAAGCCGACCTTAGTCGACCTTCTATCGATGCCTGTCAAAAGGCTTTGAACAAGCTTCAGGAGTTTTTCGACATTGAAAACGCCTATCCAGAGGATCGAACTTCATCTGCCAATGCCATATTCGGCTGGTTGGTTACAGCGTCGACCAAGTACACTGAGCTTCTGGCTCAAAACCGACAAGAGGCTCTGGTACTACTCGCATACTACGCCGTACTTCTGCACCGACGCCGGGAATCCTGGGTAGTTGGTAATGCTGGCCGACGCTTGTTCAAAGCTCTCACTACGCATCTAGGTAGTGGATGGGAACCATTTCTTGCGTGGCCTCGGTCAGTCTTCCATGAAGACGAAGATTTGGGACCAACTCCTGTCTTCACCAGCTCATAGGAACGTCAATGTAAAGACACACAAAACCACACCCTGCAATCACACAATTGTGGTTCTGAATTACTCGTTGTTTTGACGAGATCTCCCGGGAAGGAATCGAGCATCAACAATCGTAGGTACTCGCGCTTCCACGTATGGTTACGAGATCTACGTGATTATGACTAATGCTGGTTCAGAGAGGGCGAGATCCTTACATGAAGTCCTTCAGGAATCACCACTTGCAGGACTTCGCTGATCATCAATCTTGAAAGTGCAATTACTGGTCAATTATCCAACCATCGATGTCGCTAGTCTATACCAATCTACCAATGGCTTCCCTCCCAATCCAAGTCGTCGAAGCTCCCAACGCCAAGACGACCGTTCACCCTGCGCCCTTTTCCGTTCCTCATCTCTTCAAAGACACAACTCCCCGAATGCTACATATGGCTGGTAGGGCTCCCTTCACAGATACAGTCAGTGTCCCATCCAACTCCGACACACGTTTTCAGTGCCTCATGTTCAGGATCAACACCCTTGCTCAGAGCCGGACTCTTGTGCCGTCTTTATCAAGATCAAACAGCCGCCTTGCTTTCCCTCTCGTTCAATGGAGCGGGTGGTGCCACTTCAAAGTTGCATGAATACCATGTGAGGCACACGATCAGGACAAGTGCCATCTGCATTGCATCACAGATGTACAACGTCCATTCGTGCCTGAGAAGATATCCATCGGATCCCCAGGCATATTCGACGACTCGGAAGATGTTTCGCGCTGTGACCAGCGCACTGACGAGGTATAGCAAGAAGAGGTAACGCTGCCATGGTACTTGTGTCGCGGCCGAGACAGGGTTGTGGCGGGCACGAAGATGGAACCTGGCCGCAACAACGACGAAGAGTGCGAAGACGACGATTTGAAAGCACAAGCCCGCCAGGATAATATCTTCGCCCAAGTCGATGGTCTTCTGTGACTTGGCTCCTGACATGACACCACCACCTGCTCCTTGGATGATGAAACAGGTAACATCACCTCCGACAAAAACCTTGGTCATCCATTTTGGAGGAATCAAGGAGTGCTTCTCGCACTTGGTGGATCGAATCAGCCGGCCGAGGATCATGTAGATGGATGCTGCGAAGAGGATAGGACCAAGGAGGATTAAGAGAGACTGGATGGCGTATGGCATGGTGGCTTTGGTGTGGTAATGAGCTACGGCGCGGGCTCCATAACCAACAGCTTCGACTGCAACAATGTCAGCTCCACTATCCAACTGCATTGCGACCATGCCTGAACATACAGATGCCACCGACCACAAAGGGAATGCAGAAGCGCGCACGAGTCCGGATCAAGAAGAACAGATGTCCTGCCGTTACGATCGCGAAAACCGAGCACATCACCATGGCCGCGATCAGAGAAGGGGTGTAGTGCCAGAGCACATATTCGACTGCCATTGTTGTGGAAGTTGCGGATGGTGAAACAGAGTGGTCGATCGGCTGACAGGGTGTATTTTCGAAATAGGGCTTGAACTGGAAATAGTAGGTACTCCACGTAAGATGAGGACAAGACGTGAAGTTTGATGTGTTCTAAACCACTTGACAAGAGCGCAAACTGCCATCTTTATATACCTTACCTGGGCTTCCGTGCACACACCTGTATCACGGTACTTGCCGACATGACCAGAGACACAATAAGTCCATATCAACACGTTGGTGTCGCAAAAATTCTAACATTGGAAAATTTAGCGTTGAGAAGGAAGTCGTAAACAGTCGTTTCAGGCTCGTGAATGTCGGATAGAGGCCTCGTATTCGCGAATCGCATCCGTTTGACAATGCTCGGTGCATGAGAAAATTGGCAGCCTGGCGACCCTCAGCCAGAAGGCCCCGGAGTTGAGCCTCAACTTAAAAATTGAGTCTGCTTCATCGGGATCATGAACCTACCTGGTAAGTTTCGGTGCTTTGATGCACGTATTGGGATTTATTGTGTTGATACAATTGCCGGCGTTGCATCAGGTGAAATTAAGGTTATTGAAGATCTGCCTAGGCGCTACGGGAGTACCAAGACTTGGGTGACGCCGCCTATAAGCCCCCTGGCTCCTTGGCATCCGGCCTTACTTAGATCGTTCTCGTTTTCGTTTAGACTTTAACTTACTGTAGATAGCACTTACCTGTTCGATCAAAGCCATACTTGTACACCATTACACTCTGCGCACAGCGCACTGCAAATTGGCCGGCTTGGCACATTTGACCTTTCAGCCTTCTCGGATGAACTTGGATACGCGTACGAGTAGGCAGCCTTGACCCTAGGTCAGCCTCGTTCGATGTTAAGCCTTGATCAGTGGCGATCGTCGCGAATCCGTTCCCGATCTCATCTCGCAAATTTGGCTCACAAGATGCAACTTTATCAGATCCGCTCAGGCTCCATCATTGTTCCAAGATCACGCGAAACATGCTCGATACGGACGGCTTCGAGGACGTTAAGACGATGGCATCTCCAAAGGTAAGATCGACTAGATGCAAGCGCTGAATATATATCATCCGTGACTGTTGTTGATGCTACTGCGAGGTTCAGATATTCAATCTCCCCATTTACTGACCACCTATTTGACTTTGCCCCGGCGAGATTGATTGACTCGACGTCTGCGATGGCACGATATTTTTCCATCGTGGCCTTGTTGGCCGTCACAATGTCCGCAACAGCCGCACTGTCGAACACCTCTTTAGCAGCTTGTGATGAGCTGGTGAATCTCTATCCCGGACTTATCCTGTTCCCTAATTCGACAAACTATACTTCCCAGGCCACGAACTTCTGGGACAAGCGATCTGACCTTCAACCAACCTGCATTTTCATACCATCCGATGTCGACCAGGTGATTTCTGCCATGAAAGTCTTTCACGACAAGCAGGCACACTTTGCCGTTCGTGGTGGCGGCCATATGAATGTTGGTGAACTCAACTGTGCAGGACGAGCTAACCACCCTTGCAGTATCCTGGAGCCAACAACGTTGATGACGGCATACTTGTCACTCTGGCCAGAATCACAGAACGCAAGATCTCTACCGACCCTTCAACCATCGAGGTCGGCCCTGGTAACAGATGGGTCGACGTTTATACCGAATTAGACCCCTATGGTCGCTACGCCATTGGTGGACGGCTGAAGACAATAGGCGTCCCGGGCTTGACCCTAATCGGAGGGTTCCATTATTTCAACAACAAATACGGATGGGCCATGGACAACGTCGTGAGTTACGATGTCGTTCTGGGAAATGGCACCCTGGTCACGGCCAACTCCACGACCCACAACGATCTGTTCTGGGCACTGAAAGGTGGTGCGAATAATTTCGGAGTGGTGACAAAGTTCACACTCAAGACATATCCCATCGACCAGATCAGTACCACGACGCAAGCTTTCAATGAGAGCGCCGTGCCAGCTTTCATTGCCGCCGTATGCGACTTCGCCGAAGCTGACGATCCGACTTTGGGAGCGGGCGCAGTGATCTCGATCCAGTATAATGCCACCACCAAGGTTGTCGCCCCATCGATCTTGGGTGTGCAGGAAGGCACTGAATCCCCGCCCTCGCGCTTTGTCAACTTCTCTGCCATTCCAGCTGTGTCAATGGTTCAAAAGGTCACCACACCTCTGGAGTGGGCGTCCACCCTGGACACGCCAAATCAGATGTTCCGGTAAGCTTGACCCTCCCTGGAGCCAAGGCCGAGCCAGTGTGGTGTGAAATATGCTCACAGGTCAATAGGGTACAGTTCGGCCATCATACCATGAAGCCAGTCGCCGATGAGGTATATGGCCTTTATGAGATCTGGAAAGATGCAGTGGACCAGATCGCAGACGTGGAAGGCCTTTATCCGACCTTCGTATTGAACGTGATACCAAAAAGCGCCAACACTATCGCGAAGAACAATGGAATCGGCAACGTCTGGGGCTCAGATGATGATCAGTCATGGATTAGTAAGTACCACCTTATACACCCAAGTTTGGTTGCGAGCAGTCCTACGTTTTCGAGGTGGAGTAGTTGTTGACATCTTCCCACAGTATACCAGACGTCGACAGCATGGGCCTTGCCCGAGGACGATCTCCGCATGACCGCCTGGTCACGATCCCTCATTGAACTTATGCACACTTTGATCAAGGCAAAGGGACTGGCTTCGGAGTTCCTATACATGGGTGATGCCGGGGAATATCAAGACCCTTTTGCAGGATTTCCTGTCGAGAACGTGGAGAGGTTGAAAGCGATCAGACGAGACTATGATCCCGACAAGACCTTCCAGCGCCTCAATTGGGGTGGATTCAAGCTGGGGTTCTAGATTTTATGGTGCATGAGCTGTTCCAACGCATGATGGTTTGGTAAGGGGCAAACAATGAGGAAGCGATCGTGATGTAGTTGGAATCGAGGTGCTTCAGATAGGACTTCGCCAAATTCAGAGGATAAGTAATGTCTGGATGTGGCGGTCTGGTTGCTTACCCCTTCCACAAACCCCAGTAATCAGACCTCTTTTCACTCGATCATGCTTGTTTGATAGACTTGTTTATTACCTCTGATCACGATCTCGAGAAAGAATGGTTTCATAGGAAGAGAACTCTTGCCCTACAAGATTGTGTGGGCTGTGATATATCAGAATATTGTACCTTGACGCGGAATTATCTTGAGCAAACTAAAGAGCAAGGAAGATCTATATCTCTTCAGTCCAGTGCTCCGTAGATTCTCTTCCCAAATTCCAGAACTATAACGCCCAAATTGACCCCCAACACCCCGATGACAACGTCTCGTTACTATGTGGCTAACAATGCGAAGTCTATTTTTCCCTGGTCCCTGACGCCGATTCGGATCGCATTCATACGAGTACTTTCTGCGTATAATTCGGAATCGGAGTACTCGATCTCGAGGACTCTGCTAAGCGCTTCGCGGATCGTGCTTCCTGTTGGTATGTGTACGTCGCGATCTGATCACTGATTTGCTTCTTATGATGGAGAGGATTGATCATGTCGAAAGGGTGCTCATAATAATAATCTCTCGACTTATTGTTCTGTGCTGGGGCGGCTCGTGGTTTAGATGACTGCCGATGAAACAGTGATGTATTGAAGTATGTTTTGACATTAGGGTAAGGCGTGTCGACTCTCTTAGCCGAACACGGGGCCTTTTGCGTGTTAATATCGGTCAGGTCGATGTGCATTTGCTCTCTTGTAGGCATGGTGAGAGATGGTGCAGCTTAGAGCTCAAGGAATATTGTTTCTTCGTTTTTGTGATAATGATATTGTGCAAGAGAGGGTATGAATGCTGTGTCTTAACGGGGAAGTTGTGCCATTGAATGCTCCCGATATATAGTCTTCGATGCTTGGAGATCGTATTCATGAAAAAGCGAATACGAGATAGGGGTGCGTGGGCATCGTACGCGATATACCTTGCCAGCAACGGCAAGGGTTCTGCTCCCAGATCACCACTTAAACTCAGCTGCTCGATGATCGTACCTTTTCAAACTCTCTTCTCCGCGTATCATACTCAATATATCAAACTTTCACAATACTCTTACCACGACAGATCCACCTTGTGAAGAAATGACCTTTGCGCTCAATTGATCCTCCGCAGGATGCATCAGCCTTTTCGAGCTGCAATCAGGCAAGAGCGACATCGCCGACATGTGTTTGGAGGCGAAGCATCTTCTCCCGCTCTTGATGCTTCGTGGTGATGGGTTGAGATTTTGAGGCGAATTCTATCGTGAGACAAGTTCACGTAGGCTGTGCGGCACCCTTTTGATTCCTTGGTACTCGGCGTGTCAAAATGAAGGGTTTGGTGTCTGCACGTTTCATTTCGGCTGGTGGAATGTTACCACTGCCTTGCCTTGCCAGTTCGAATCGCTCTGGACCTACCAGCATAACATCGTCATCTTTTCCTACAAGATTGGTATGCGCAATCTCTTAGGCCTCGTTTGAATCTGGGAATCTTGGAGGACAATGCACAAGCTTGATCAGCTGGTTTCTGTCTCCTCTTCCTGGGCAAGTAGTCTACGTTGAGTTTCTTGCAAGGGTTCCCGTTGTAGCTCTGAGAGCACAGAAAGTGAGTATATAGGAGACATTGAGTATCTCAAAAGGCAGTTTGTTCTCATCACGAGTAGCCTACGTAGCAGGTCCCGCTACTGATGAGTGTGCTTTTGTTCAATGCCATTATTCATTCATCATGAGGTAAAATAGCCATACCCATCGGACTCCGTTGTCGGGTGTCAGACTCTCAGTCGAAGAACTTTTGGTACTTAGTTAGGTCTGGCTGTGTACCTTTCATCTGTCCAGTTGTATGTTCCATATATTTGAATACTCCCTCTTTCCATTCCAGCATCGCCTCTCGTATTTCGGGATAAGTCAATTTTTCGTTCCGGATTTTCTCCTGCAAAATGTGGATTCTCTGCTCAATAACACTCAAGCGATAGAGACTCCATTGCTTGAATAGGGGGTCCCATTCGCTGTTGCCTTTCACACCTCCTAGACTGCTAAGATCCAGCTGCATTGGATCTTTTGGACGGAGAGAGGTGACCATCGCAATGCGCTCGCCCCCAAATGACTTCAGCGCGATATGTTCGACACATCCACCTTGTAATAGATAAGCCCAGCCTACTCCTGGACCACGTTGTTTTACTATCGTCCCGTCACCTTTGCGGATGCCAGTCTCTCCTCCAATCATATTCGTGGTGTCTGAAAGCATCGTGATCAGAACCCATGGGTAACAGTCCTTATGCCAGGGTCCTGCAGCAGCCATCTGCGCTGCTTGTGCTTTTTCGGCTTCCTCAACGGTTGTCACCGCTGCGTGAGGTTGGGGAACGGCTGGCGGGATCATGGACGTGAGCGGTGTGTCATTCGTTAGCCCTTCCACCTGAACATTAATATGTGCCATTTCGTATTCGAAGATGACTTCCAGATCCACTCCGGCAGCTTTGCAAACTGCATCCATCACCTCAGGACTGCGCCACACCGACTCAATGAATGGGGCATGGTCGATGAACCCTCTTAAAGTGTAGCATCCAGGCTCCATCCTTTGATGGTATCCGTTGATGATTTTCTCTTGAAACATTTCTTCTCGCATTCGTCGAACGCAATCAAGGCTGAAAAGTGGAAAAGGGTCAGTTATAGCCAGAGGAGCTATAGCGCCTTCTTCCGACAATCCAAGATCCTTGAGCATGACATTTTCTTTGGGTTTCTCAAAGCATAGGTGCTGGCTGGGGTCGAATAGCGAGACCGACTTCGACAGGTTTGGCTCCACCTTTTCAAATGCCTTGTTGCCGAATGATGAGGCGTGGGCAGTTGTCGCAGTTGCCATAATGAGATATAATGATGATGCCCGCTCTGAAGTACAGAATAAGGGAAAACAGTTGTTGAATTCGACGTTCGACAATGTGAGCTCCTTGACTACGACATGTTTCATATACGTGTTTATACTGTAGATGTAAGCAGCCACTCCCGCACTCATATACCCTTTTCAGGTTCGCTCTTGGAGCTATAGCCCGCCTCCCCCTCCTTTTAGTGTATGCGTACTGACCCAGTACGACGGCGGCTGGGTGTACCCTAAAGCAACCTGGAACCCCAAATCATGCCTGTGCCGAAATCCGATCGCAGCGAGTGATTATCGAAGACCACTGGGACAAGTTTACTGAAGAGCCCTCACGAGCGCCCAAAGGAAAGATAAGGATACCTGGATATCCCCGTGCGCGGGTGGATGTTATGGGGACAAGTCCGCCGAAGAACCCCACAAGAGGTAGATAAGAATGATCGTTGTAGGTCTTTATCCGCCGATAAATGTGAGAGACCGCTGTTCACGGAAAGATAACAGGTTGTCGGCGTGTCAAAGTGGGAAATACAAATCTCACTCCTGCTCTTTTTGGCAAACATTTCCCAAGTCCACTATCACCACCGCGCAGTTACCGGAGTGTCAGACCTTACTGCTAAGTTAAGCTTCTCGGCCAAGCTTCCTAGTCAGTATAGTTCATATCTCGGTCGGTTCGGCAAGGGACATAAAAGAGGACATAGATCCTCTTTCGCGTCGGGCGTTGCCAGTGAAAATTCTGTTTGGTTTGCAGAAGCAAAGCTCGATACACGAAAGCAACAGCATCATGTCCAAAGACGACATACAGATGGCGCCTGCCGCCATTGAGCCGGCAAACCTACCAGCAGAGGTGGGCGACTTGAAGGATCTGAGTGCGGAAGATCGCAAGCTTGCAGAGCTGGGTTATGTGCCGGTAGGGACGTCAAATCGATGAGGTGGAGAACCACAAGCTGATCGTACGTTGTCTGGACATCCAGGTTTTTAGGCGGGAGTTCTCTACGTGGTCCTGCTTCTCCTTCGCAGTGTCTGCATCAGGTCTCTTCTCAAGTGTCTCGGCGACGCTTTCCTACCCACTGTACGCTGGAGGCGCAGCCTCAGCTGTCTGGTGTTGGTTCATTTCTGGAATGGGTTGCATGGCCATCGCCCTTTCTGTGTCAGAAATAGTATCGGCATACCCAACTTCTGGGGGCATGTACTTCACATGCAAGTATTTAGCACCCAAAAGATGGGTTGCAGAGATTGGATGGCTCTGCGGCTGGCTGAATGTCCTTGGTCAAGCCACGGGAGTCGCGTCTGGCGGATATGCTGCTGCTCAATTGATGCTGGCCGCAGTCAGCATGGGTACCGACCTAACCTACACACCTACTCCAGGCCACACCGTCGGCGTGATGGCTGCCCTCTTTATCGTGGGTGGCTTGGTCAACAGTCTATCCACCAGGCTTATGGAAAAACTGACTCGAAGCTATGTCGTTTTCCACATCTGTGTGCTTGTCGCTGCTATTGTTGCATTGCTTGTAAAGCAGGACAACAAGCATACCGCCTCTTATGTGTTCACCAACGTCGAGTCCGAGTCTGGGTGGACACCAGTTGGCTTCTCCTTCCTCTTCGGCTTTCTTTCGGTTTCCTGGACCATGACCGATTACGATGCCACCGCGCATATTGCCGAAGAGATCAAGGAGCCGGAGAAGAAATGTCCATGGGCCATCTCAACAGCGCTACTTTTCACCTACCTAGGCGGCTGGATATTCACCATTGTTCTCGTTATATGTATGGGTGACCCAGAGACCATTCTGAGCTCCCCTATCGGTCAGCCTGTCGCTCAGATCTTCTTCAACGTGCTCGGCAAAAGTGGCGGCCTGTTCTTTACGGTGGCAGCATTCCTGGTCATCAACTTCGGTCAGATCGTTGCCATTCAGGCCACGTCCAGAACGATATTTGCTCTTTCGAGAGACGAGATGTTGCCTCTTTCACGGGTGTGGTTGAAGATCAACAAGCATACCGGGACTCCTCTGAATGCAGTCTGGGTTCTCATCGTCTTCTGCATATTGCTGGACCTGATCGCTCTCGGGTCATACACAACAGTTGCGGCTATTTTCAGTGTTTGTGCAATCGCGCTCGATTGGTCTTATTGCATCCCGATCTTGTGCAAGCTGCTGTTTGGCAAGTTTGAACGAGGACCATGGCATCTTGGGAAAGCCAGCTTTTGGCTCAACATTTATGCTTGCGTATGGACTTTGTTTGTCAGCATCATCTTCATCCTTCCAGAGTTCAGGCCCGTCACCGCAGAAAACGTGAGTCCCGATCCCCTGCCTCCTTTCTCTCTACTCCTAGAGCAAACCATACTGACTGATGGAATTTCAGATGAATTACGCGTCGGTAATCCTCGCAGGAATCGGTCTCTTTGCCACGGTATACTGGTATTCAGGGGCTCGAAGGTTTTATCACGGGCCTAAAAGTCAGACGTACATTGAACCCCCAAGACAACTTCACGCCTAGATTCCCGGGGTATACCAGGAAGACTGATGGGGCAATCAGGTACACAAAGAGGTAGAGTATGATGAGGAGCTCTCACGCGCGACCCGTATCCATGATGTCCCGACAATGTGACACACATCTCATAAGGCATGGTAGTTAAATCCAACAGCTGCCATGGAGATGCATTCATTCACATGCCAAGTGCAGCCAAAAGCAATGCCATAAATATTTCATCGAACGCCCATGGACTCCAGACGCGACCAGCATGTCCGTAAGATTCGGACTCCTCCTTTCCCGTCCATTATACCACATGTGTTCTTCAACAGAAATCCAGTCTGGAGCTGCACCATCACGGAATGTACTTCCGTAGACATTCCATCGATGGAGGATGTCATGTGACCTTTCTCAGAAGATGAAAGTCGCCACCGAGGTCGAAACTAAATTGTGGTCGTAGGGGCAACATCAACATGAGGCGTAGGTGATTTGTTAGTGTCATGCACTTCTGCGTTCATTGCCGAATGTTGAGCCTCTAGGTCACCGGCCTCCGTTGAAGGCGCATTGCCACTCTTGGCCAACTGTTCTTGCTTGATCCTCTCGCGATAGTTGTCGATGATACTTTTCGCGTGGTTGACCGCCCGGTCTCTGTGCTCCTGCGAATCCAGCGCATCGAGTTCGGCGTTTTCGCGGGCGACACCCCTCTTCCATGTCCGGGGGAACCACCACCAGATGAAGAGGATCATTCCGGCGCACTGAAAAGTCAGCTCTGCACCCACAAGGGTGGCGACATGAGAAACACTGAGACTGCGGCCAAAGCAATGGCATCTGGCGAGGCTGGCATACTTTGGCATTGATAGAGCCAAGACGACTCAAGCCTTTCTAGCGCGCGAAAGAACAAAATGACTTCAGGATGTCTGGGAGCGGAGTAGACTTACGAGACCCCCAAGAACGCCCGCTGGCATGGCGTAACTGATTGTGCTAACCATGGCGTCGAAACTTGTTGATGGTTAGATGCTGCGTGCGAAAGAAGATGATGAAGGCGACTCGACGGCAGTGCGCGCGTGTCCCAGAATCTTGGGAACGATGGTGATGGTTTGGGGAAAGTAAAACCGCCAAGTTTGAAGCGAGCACGGTAAGGTCAGGCGTCCTTTTTCTTGGAGTGACCTTTTGATGAATGACGAGTTACATTCATGGGGGAGGGGGTGTTACATCCGCTTTTGCCGCGTGTCCCATGGGGAATCATTCGCGGACAATGAACAATAACGAGCTTCCTATTTCAGGCGAGAATGTGCTTTGTTGCCTGATGAATAACCCGCATGTCAGACGATGGGATGCTCTTGTTTTGCTTCGAAATTAGGAGTCGGCCTTTGTCAGACATAAGCTTTTGCTGATGTCCGCAAACGGCTTCATGTTGATGCATGCACTGTCTGGCATTCTGCAAGGTCAACTTCATCAATCAATTACAGCCATCACGCTGAGAAAATTCCAGACCACCCTTCTCAGCCTCCTACAGTCCTCTCTCTGCAATAGCACCTCCTTCGCTAGTCCGGAGCGTTCTCGCACCGGAATGACCTTGCGTTGGAAAGACCTCTGCTGCCACCAATAGGCCGTCCATGGATGCTTCCTTCGGTCCGCTGTCAAATGATGCTGCGGACCCTCAGAACGAAGAGCATAATGAAGAGGAAACAGCAAGGTCTACTGAGGCCGAAGGAGGCAACGCAGTCATGTCAAGAGATACGCAACGGTGAGGACGCGACGAGAAACATTCATCATCTTTTCATCAGGAGGACTTGTGACCTCGCGTGCTGAGGTCGGACTTCTTCGGCTCCCATCCCTGCTCGTTGCAACAGACCACCCGGCGCGGCCGCATCGCAGTCAGAATCTGGCACGAATGCTGTTGCGTTCTTCTTCCATACTTTGTCGTCGCGCCAGGGTTCGCTGGTATCATGACGGCTGTTGCCATCGAGACTCTTACCCTCCAAGCTCCAGAGATGTCTGATCGTTGGTTCGTATCCTGTGCGAAGCATTAACGACTGCACACGCCACCTCGTTCACCCGACATCTTCCAATGCCGATGTAAATATGACCTAGAAAACCTCCGTATTATCTGACGACGGTCATGCTGCTTCCAGTAACCAACGGGAAGGTGAGGTAGCTTTTGAAACGCCCTATTCATGATCTACTGATAGAAGAGTTGAGCACATAGGAAAAAGCAGTACTTTTGATTCATCAGCACCTGTATCTGGTATTGAGACCCATGGACACCTATCAATGCTGAAGAGAGACCTTGCGCATCTTTCACTGTCGCATTCAGGCAGCATGCTCGGAACTCCGCTCCTAGCATGTCGTGTCCAACCCAGAATTTCACGTGCCGCACTACAGCTTCCTCGTGCTAGCCAACTGTGATGCTAAGTGTCTTAATGGAAGCCAACACGAACTCATCATTTCCACAGGGGCATTGGGTATTCCGCGGACCCTCTCATCTCTCCGGTGGAAGACCGCGCTGCGTTCCTGCTATTCCATCAGCCCGAAGCGTGAGCAGAGGTTGCAGCTGTGTGCTTCGGAAACTTTGCTCAAGTTCGAGGACGCTTAGTTTCTCGATCCTGTGTTGAGGGATCAGGGAACTTCATGTCATACTCGGACCACACAGGAGGCTTTTTTGTGATGGGTGGCACATCCGGAATCTTCTCCCCCGAGCCAGCAGGAACAATGAGCTGACGCACAGTCGTCAGGTCACCATCGGCGTCGCCGTCATCCTCGGGACACTCGTCGCCGTGAGTGCAGTTCCTCAGCCAGCGTGTGCCATGGTCATCGATGAATCGACAGGCTCTGTAGCCATCACGTAGACCATTACAGTCGATCTCGTACCACTCGCCACCTCTTTCAAGCCATGCGCAGTTTGGCTGAATATGGCGAGCTGGACCCGAGACCTCGACTGACGCTACTCCGGCTTTACCGCGGACGTCCTCGAGGATGTGGCGCTTGCTGATCGAAACAAATTGATCCCTAGCCTAGTAAGTATTTCTGTGGGAATGTGGCGGCACTTTGTACATACGCTTCCATGTTAGTGTCTACCAAGAGCCTAACGACCAAGCCTTTTTCTGGAGTTATGTGGTCCTCCCCAGACCTGTGGTATCTTTTAGTTCTGGTCGTCAGATGAACGGGTAAGCAAACCAACAGAAGAATTTTGACGGTGGTGTCCTGAGAGTATGAGACGGTAAGTGAGAAGCCGACACCTGCTCTGGAATTTGATGAGCATCGGCCTCCAACTGGGTCTTATCAGATACTTACACTTCGTCCGCGTCATCCTTGTCGAATGAGAAGGTGATCAGAAAGTACTCGTTGGGTGGCGAGTCTTGCAACGACATGGCGCGCGACTGTTCTGATCTGATAACTGCAATCGGTCAGCCATAGATCCTTCAAAGGCATCGCTCTTGACCTACTCTGGGGTAGGTATAAGATCTGTTGAAGTTGTTGAATCTGATGCGGAGGATGAGGTTGACCAACCTCACAGGTAGGTCCCTGTCTGCAGAGATACGGTGGTAGATCGAGGCGTGATGTTTGAGGTGAGCGAGCCGGAAACTGACGAGCAGTCTCAAATACTGCATGAACAAGGTTGTTCCCAAATTGGGCGCGAGAAAGCAAGTGACGACTCCGGTAATCGCCGGTTACCATGCCATGATGGTGGAGGCCACCAATTTGATGCATTAGGGATACCTTTCTGAGCCAGCAGGCCGCCGAGGTCGAAAACGAAATCTCACCTAGTAAGTGACCAACAGGATAGCATAGACCCATCCACGGACGGCATAACATTCGAAATTTCAACGAGATCAGAGGCGGCTTACCGGTACTGGTGATGATGGCAGTTTGAGCGACTGCTAGGCGTGACTCAGAACATAGAAAGGCTCAACGACTGTGTGAGAGATTGGCGAGCGAAGTGACCCTCACTTAAACCAAGATGTATACTCACCATAGCATGTCTGTGGTAATTTTTCATCTTTCGACGTGAGTGTGATCAGACGTGGTCATCGCTAAATTGATAGTGACCTCCCCAATCTGCAGCCTTGTCCCACAACGATGGAGCCGCTCCGATTGCGGAGATGAACCACAGCCTTGCAACCAAATATTTTTCTCCAACATGCAATTCGCACGCGCCGCTGTTCCTAACCCGACAGTGACAACGATCATGGCTAGTCGAACATTGCGAATAGGTAAGAACAGTATCCTCGCATGGTTGGCCTGACTGACGCTTTTCAGGCCTCATCCCGGGCGACGGCATCGGCCGTGAAGTCATACCTGTACGCAGCGCATCCTCCCCTCCTATATTTTGCCAAACCGTCCACCTGAGCTGCGCGCAATCCTGACAATTTGAAGGCCGGTAAACGAATCCTCGAGTCCCTACCTGCATCGCTGGGCCTCAAATTCTCCTTTGTGGACCTCGATGCTGGCTATGAGTGCTTTCAAAAGACCGGCACTGCGCTGCCAGACAAGACTGTAGAGACGCTGCAGAAAGAGTGTGATGGAGCTTTATTCGGAGCTGTAAGGTATGTCAAACACACACCAATCTTGTTACTGAGGGAATGCCTTCGCTCCGGAGATGACACTCGCGACCAGACTGGAGAATGCAATGTCTCAGATATCCAGACTTCGCAGTCGAGCCATACCGAGAGCACTTTACGAGACTGCAAGCTGACCCTTCTCTCTACAGCTCGCCAACCACCAAAGTCGCAGGGTACACCTCCCCAATCGTCGCTTTGCGCAAGAAACTGTCCCTCTACGCGAACGTCCGCCCCTGCAAGACGACGGCATCCCCCGCCTTCAAATCCCCCACACCGCACCCGATCGACCTGGTCATCGTCCGCGAAAACACCGAAGACCTGTACGTCAAGGAAGAGAAGACCTACCCTGACCCGTCGGGTGAAGGCCAAATCGCCGAAGCCATCAAGCGCATCTCATCCAAAGCGAGCTGGCGCATCGCCAACATCGCAGGTGAAATTGCTCTACGTAGGCAAAAGATGCGCGAGTCCTCAAATTCGAAGAAAGGAATGGTCACCATCACACACAAATCCAATGTGCTCTCGCAGACGGACGGCTTGTTTCGATCCACTGCCAGAGAAGCCCTGGCGCAACCGCAGTTCAAGTCGATCGCTATTGAAGAGCAGATCGTGGATAGCATGGTATACAAGCTGTTCCTGCAGCCGCAGTACTACGATGTGATCGTCGCGCCGAATTTGTACGGCGACTTGCTGAGTGATGGTGCTGCCGCTCTGGTCGGCAGTCTGGGTTTGGTCCCATCCGCAAACGTCGGCGAGGGTATCGTCATCGGCGAGCCGTGTCATGGGTCCGCGCCGGATATTGAGGGCAAGGGTATTGCGAACCCGATTGCCACGATCCGCAGTGTCGGCGTCATGCTTGAGTTCTTGGACCTGCCTGAGGCGGCGAATGTCGTTTACGAGGCTGTCGATAAGAATCTGGGCGAGGGCAAGTTCGTCAGTCCTGATCTGGGTGGAAAGGCGTCGACGGAGGAGGTTCTCAATGATATTCTGAAAAATTTGTAGGCCAACCCTTCGAATGCTTCATAACAGTAGAATCGAGGAAAAGTTGAGGAGTCAGCATTTTCTCGAGATACCCTGCAAAGGAGTATCTATTCAAAAGTCATGTGTACCTATGATGTGGTTGTTTGCTAGAGATCATTTTGCTAGAGATCATTTTGCTAGCTATTCTGTTCCAATGCAATTTTGGTCTTTTTGACACCTACAATATTGTCCAGCCCATACCATACTGTAGATGAGGCTAAAGCATCCAAACGCCATTCCCATGCCAGTCCGTGTCCAGTGCCGCTCACAAATGAAACAAGTGTATGCCAACGCCGTGCTATGCATTGCTATGCGAATGCCAATGCAGACAAGAGAAAAGATGACCCGTCCGGGCTGTACACGGTACCCACTTCACAAATTCAGACCATCACATCAGCCTCATACTCAATATCCGCTTCAGAACTCAAATCGGGTGTCATGATATCGTTCGACATATCCTCTTCATCAGCTTCACTTAGCGAACCCATACCGATACCACTGTCGTACGATCGCCGATCACGCTTCATGATCCCAAGGCCCTGACCAGAAGCCCGACTGTGTTTCTTCCTGCCTCTCGACAGCTCGACACTGCCCTGGACATGGTCATCAGGATAATCGATGTCGGAGAAGCGCACGATACTCGAAGGCGTCATGGGCACGATAGGATCAGAGACGAGGTCGTCACTTTCCAGCTCCCAGTTGGCGTGTCGCACTTTCGCACCACGGATGTAACTCTTTCGCTCCTCGCCGGCCTTGGTCGCGCTGCGAATGAGTTCGTTGTACATTCGGTCCACAGAGCGTGTACCGTACTCGACTTCAGCACGGTAGCGTTCTTCCAATTTGGCATTGAGAGTTTTGAGCTTCTCGACTTCGGCATTTGCAGAGGTCAATGCGCTTGAGAGATTGGCTATTCTCGAGTTGAGCCCACCGACTTCTTCTTCGTGAGCACGCTCTGTTGACGCAAGTTGTTCGTGGTGTCCGTGAGTCGAGTGGCTAAGTTGCTGCTCCAACCTGGCCAATTGGCCCTTGACATCTTCTGCCTGTTGTCGTACTGTCGATAGTGCGGACTCGAGTTCATTGATCTTTCTCAGTCGGTCAACGGCAGAGTCTTCAGCTGCTCGTCGACCATGCGTCTCAGCGGCGACCTTTGCGTCCATATCAAAGATCTGTTGGGTAAATTCGGCTTCTGTGGCAGTTCGCACATCTTGAAGTCTGGATGCTTGTTCTGCTTCGATCAAGCCCACTAATTGTTCAAGACGCTTGACCTCCTCACGGTATTTCTCGATGGCTGTGATCAAGATTCGATTGTTTGACTCATTCTCCTTGGCTTCCCGTTCCCAAGCTTGCGCTCGCATCCGAATTTCAAGCATATCTTCAGCATTTTTATCGATGGTCTCTTCAAGCTCCTTCACGCGGTTGTTTGCCTTCTCGGCTGCGACGATTGCATGGTCGAAGTTGCCCTTGAGACATCGCTGTTGGTCTCTCATTGATTTCAGTTCACCTTCGCGATCACGAACTGACTGGCCAATCAATTTGATCTTCGCCAGCATTTCTGGCATGAGCTTGGCATTGTCGAACGAAGTCACTGTCTCCCCCGGAACAAGTCTCTCAAGTTCAATGCGCATCTCTCGGAAGTGGTTCTTGATGGCTGCAACAGATTCTTGAGCATTGTTACTGTTGCTAGGAAACCCCAAGCTCTGTATTTCGAGGTCCAGTGCTTTGAGCGCAACTTCAGCTTCTTCAGCACGGTTGGTAGCATCATTCAAGTGCTTCGAAACATTCCGGTGCGAGTGTTGAGGCTGTGATGGGATGTCCTTGTGTGTGGCGCTTGGACGGGCTGGAGAATCTTCGAAATGGACAACAGCATTTGATGAGCCTTGACTGGAGCGGAACAAGGCTTGCTTGGCTTGACGTGCGGATTCGAGTTGCAAATCCACAGCATGAACATCATCCTCAGTCGATTGATCCTCGTTTCCGGCATTTTCATCCTCATAAATGAGAAAACCACAATCGTCGTTGAAATTCCCCAATGAGCTATCACCATCCACTCCAATATCCTCGAAGGCGCCATCGTTCGAGCTGAAACTCTGCTGTAGCTGTTCAATTTCGGCCTGTACCTCATCGACTCGCCCTTGACTTGAGGAAACATCGTGGAGTGGATCATTCCGAGCCAAAGCTTGTGCCAAGTTCTCCTGCAGGTGTTGAAGTTCTTGGTTCTTGACTTCAAGCTCCTTCCGTAGTACCGCGTTGGTCTTCTGGTCGGCATAATACTGATTCATTTCCTCACTCAAGCCATGGCGCTTAATTTGTCGAACTGTGCGCGGCGTGAGGCACTCTCGAAAGGGAGTAAATTGCACCTCATCGTGGTCTTCGTGTCTTATTATTGCCGGTGTTGACGCTCGACGGTGCTTGGGAGTTTTCAAAGAGGCTTTTCCAACAAAAGGAGTAAGGCCAGTACTGTCACTTAGCAAAGCAGTATCGGAGAACCGCAGTTTCTTGTTCGGTCGCTTAGTAGCAGGCGTTGCTGACTGAATATGGGTAGGCTCTTGTGCTGGCTTGAGGGGCGAGATCGCCGAGCTCTTTCGCTTTGACCGGAGCTCCATGTTGGTACTCTTGTGGGGGTTTGGTAAGTTGAAGGAGTTTAGGAGATTCAACAAGAATTTAGAAGTCTTAAAGAACAACAATAAACAACAAAAGGCAGTTAAGCAAAGCAGTTGTGGTGAACATTCATTTCATGTGGTCGTCAAAAAGGTCGTATATGGATAAGTAAACAAAATAGACTTCCCTAAGCAGTTTAGTGGCTCAACCGCCTAAATAACGCGCCCAATGTGAACCGCGTAACTTAGAGTGCCTGGCTCGCGGGGCTGTTTCGCCTTGAGCTTTAACAACAGAAATCATTGGATCTCACTGCCTGCGGTTCAACTGGCTTCTGACTCTGTCAGCATTGCAACGAATAGATCGCCTTTGTGTTGATTGTGTCTGCCTTTGCCATTGAGGACGGTGCAACAGCTACTGCCGGCTTCTCGGAGCCGCACCTACTCCATCTCTGAAGTGCCTCTCGCCAGGTACCCTACAGAGGTGCCTTTCCAGTTGGAGCGACCGGTCATAATAGGAAATGAGGATTACTTGCCTGCAGTGACCGCGTTGAGCAGGTCTTTGCTCATTCCTTACCCACCTTGTTGGCCGGGCTCACTTGGCTGAAGAAAATAGTGTTCTGTCTCCGCCTGTGGTACATCATGTCCGTAACATCCAAGGTAGAAGCAAATTCCCATCCTTCATATTGTAGGATGGCATGCGATCCCATCATACCGCACCCCTGAATCTGAGGTGGCCAGTATGCGATCATGTGGCGACGATGATGGTGGTGATGAAACATTGGTTTTGACGTCATCCTGATTGTCAAGGAATTTACTTGCACATCTTACATTTTTGGAGGCACAAGACCAGAGACGAAAACCTCAGGTAAATAAGTAGTCTGTTGTTCTTCCCTTGCCTATCCCTCTCTCTCTACTTTACGAAACAATCATGACAGACACACCAACCTCTAATGGCGCCGAACCACTCCATCACACCCAATATCGCCTACGCGTCACTGCAGGACCAGCATATGACCCCTCAACCCACAAGATCGTCCCCGTCAATTCTCCAGAAACCCTCACCTTCGAGAACGACCATATAATCCTATCTCTTGCTGTACGAATACGCCATTTCACAGGCTACCCCGCCGACTCCCCGGTAACATCTTCCTACTTCGAACATGCCCTGCACAAAAGCGACCAGTATTCAATAAGCTTCTCCTTCGTCCCCAAAGTGGACATACCAGGAAGCGATCTCGTGTTCGGAAACGACTTCGACCGGCCGTTGAGAGACAGACTTCCACCAGGTGTCAACCAGGCGTTGAAGATCGTCAAATGGTGGATCGATCCCGGTCTAGACGGCGACGTGTACGCAGATAAACCGTACTTGTACGGTCCTGCCTTGAGCAGCTGGAACTTCATGCGAATAGGAGACCAAGTTGTCAAGAAAGATGAGGTGAAGGACAAAAACGCCTGGAAAGTCCCGAATGCGACGTCCTTCCACGAGACGGTGGTCGAAGAAGGAGCCGATGGGTCGGGCGAAGAAGTAAGGAAAGATGGTGGTATACCTGCAGATGCTGCTGCGCGCAAGAAGTATTTCCTGACAGAGAGTCACCGCGACGCTTTTGTCTTCGAAGCTGGACGACTCTACCAAGCCGACTTTGGCAACCCGTACCTCGACTTCAACGATTTCTCTATGAAACTGCCCGGGTTCAGCCTGAACGTGCTGAGGTACATTGATGCAAAAACGCATGAGCTTAGGTATACCTTGAAGAACAAGGCGACAGATGAGGTCTATGCAGTTGTGCTATTTACTCTTCTCTTTGGCGAGGAATTGGAAGAGCTCGAAAGGAAAGAGGGAAAGGCCAATGTGGACGGGGACGAGAACAACGATGATTCCAAAGCTCCCAACCAAGAGCCACCCAATGACGACGACGATGTTGATTGAGCGGGCATATTTTTCAATAGACGCTACACATATGCGATGACTAGACGAAGCGCAGGCGCAATGGACTACGTGTGATATGGGCATTGGACGCGTCCATAACTTTTCAATCGAGCTTTAAGTTGGCTCTCTGTCTGAACTATCATTTCTTGATTACAGCCGTTTGCTCGCTTGGATAAAGATCACAAGTCTCTTTCAACACCATCTCTTGATGGTTGATATCCTGTTTTCATCGTTGAAACCTCTGTTCACCATGCTCGACAATTTTCTGACTCGTCCTTCAGATGACAATGTCCGGCACTTCTTCGCGTGCACGAGCTTCCTGAGCATTTCTCTCCTCCAGTTCGGTATCCTCCTCGTTCATGCCCCAAATGTGTCTACTTCTGGGATGGTCTCGAGGCAGCCATTGTCTTGGAACTCCACCATTTTCCTTCAGACGAAAAGTCATATCTCCGAGCGCCCACTTGCGCATGATCATGCATGTAGCCAGGGTGGTTATGAGAAGAGCGCAGGCCAATTCGGGCAAGAAGCTCCATCCAAACGCATTCTCAAGGACTGCAATGCTCTGGTAGAACAGGTCAGGTGGGGTGTCGTCACGGAAAAATGTGTACCCTAGCATCAAGACTCGAGCATTTTCTGCCGTGGGTGAATAGTCACCAAGACCCTGGAAAGTCTGTAGCAGGGACAGCATTTTCTGGGTACCGAGTTGCATGAAAATCGAACCCGTGGTGGTCAGGGTCACCGCCGGGCCTAGCCACATGGCAAGGAGAATGAAAGACCGATTATGAAGAGGTTGCTCCTGAGTGTCGATTGGTCGGTAGATGTCCATGATCTTATGAGCGACGGGCAGAAGAATTGCAGACCACCATCCTATGCAGGCAAGGGCAAATTGTCTCGCGATCGTCGGTAGACCTGCGGTGGTCGGCTGCAAGGTTGGCATATCGATGAAGAGTATTGTTGTACCGATGAGGAGGAATCCCGAAGTAACGAAAGTCCACACACTATAACTTGGCCATGCTCGATATCTCGTGATTAATCCGCCGCCAATGAACAACTGGACAATGGGGATCGGGACGATGAATGGGCCAGTCAGGTAGAAGAAGAGATAGCATGCCGTGTCAAGTGCCAAGGGGTATCCGCGTGTGAGAAGTTGGTACAGGGCCGTGTATTGAAGCGCAGCGTGGAAAATGCCCGACGTCAGGAAGACCACAAGGAACAGCATTGCCGTCTTGAAGGTTCGAAAGTAATATGTCGGGACCAGACGGGTGTTTGGCGCAGTGTAGAACCGGAAGAACTGTTGCAAGACCAGCAAGATGATGAGACCTCCACCAATGCCCACGAGACCGTACAGGTAGCTGTTGGACCATGGAACAAGTGTCCCTGCCAAGTTGAAAGAGACAAAGAGCAGGACGATGCCGAGGAAGCTGAAGATGGAGCCCACGAAATCGAATCTTGCAAATCGATCATTCCACGTCAACGCATTGCCGTATGTCCATGGAGCCGTGGTTACAATATCCAATTTTCTTGGGAGCACAAATGCCAGGATGAGGGTGGTGATGCAGATGAGCATGAACATGGTGTAGAATGCCCATGCCCAGCCTCGATCTCTGTATGCGAAAAGAGCCCCAACCATTGGACCGATGACGAGGCCCAAGATTGAGCTGGCAGTAATGTAGAAGTCTCTGCGAACCTTGTCTTCGAAAGTACTGTCGCGCTCGAGAAAGACCACTGCTCCGAAGTGTTGTCCACCAATTCCTACGCCGACGAGGAGACGAATACCGAACAGGACTGCGACGTTGGGTGCAACACCAGCAGAGACGGTGCCTGCAAGGAGGATGCCAATGAAGAACATGTAGACGGCTTTGAATGGAAGAATGGCGTAAAGTTGGCCTGCCGCAAGGATAGTGGCAGCGGCGCCTATGGCGGGAGCCGCCAGGAGCCATTCGACCCCCAGGACGTCAAAGTCATACATGATGGTGGGAATCATAACACACATCATGCTGTCCACGCACATACTGAAGAGATTTAGGCATGAGACTACCAAGGCGATTCCCGCCCAAGTCTTGCTGCGGTCTCGGGTTTCGGAAGCCGTTTCGTTGAGGTTGAAGTCGTTCAGGGTGGTTGTGTCAAAAAGCGTTCTGGTCAGCTGGGAAGTCGCCGAGACGATGGTTGCTTGGTAACGAGGGCTTTGGTCCCCAAAGACGACATTTTCGGTGTCACCTTCACCTTGCTGTGGTGGATGTTGGTTGTGTGGCAGATCTTCAACCGTCAAGGTCTGCTCCACGACGATGCCGTTTGGAGTCGGAGTCGGAGCTCGAGTTGGGGTCGGGGTTGTCGCCGGGGTCAGCTTTGAGGAAGGCATGGTGTTTCGAAAGGTTGACTGTTGGCTGTGTGATGGTTGTATGATGGAGGATGAATTTGTCGAGAGTGATGACAAGATGAGATCCTGCAGCCGACAGAATTTTCATTTCGACGCACCCTTTCACCTTTTGGCGTCCAGATCTGGCGGGCGGAGAGGTTGATGATGTCGTCGATGATGTCGTCGCTATTTCAAACGACGACAAGGTCATGTCGTTTGAACTCAGATCGACAAATCAGGTTGCGCCGTTCACAAGCATGGCAACGCTCCATAGCGAGCAACTCGGACACTGTTTTGGACTGATAATATCATTTATATACAAAGAGAAGACGGTGTTGAAGAAGGAGGAGAAGAAGAAGAAGAAGGAGGAGGTGGAAGAGGAGGAGGGTGAGTGAGGAAGAGATCGAGAGAGGTGAACTGTAACGATATTTCGGATGTCGAGCAAGACCAAAACACCACCTTGTGGTGCACTCTTCTCGCCTCTCTTCCCTTATACCGCACTTCTTTCTCCAGTCGTCCTCCCGCTGCACCGTTCTTTGTTCTTGTCTTGGTCTTGAAAAGGCCGTCAGCATGTTATGTTCAGTGGTGAAGCCCTTTGCTTACCTGGCAGCCTTCCACACGACGAGCATAATCCAGGCCGGGACAGTCCATCCTACACCGTTACTCCTTCTGATCAATGTTCACCTCCCAAACCTTTCTCGTCCTGTCCAGCTCAATTTCAGTGCCTTCCTGGTACTGAAACAATGATTCTACGCTGCTATGTTGAAGGCTGAAACATGGCTGCTTTCTGCTTGCGCAGACACACACGGTCAATAACCCCATGAGAGGTCGATCAAAGCAAGATAAAGACGCTCCTTCCCAGTACAACAAAGCGGCATGCTCCTGTCGATTGCGGCCTTCCCAGACCACTCTTCAGGCAGCTGACATTTTCACAATTTCGCCTTCACGTCCTCTGGCGGTATTATCTTGACCGGAGTGAATGGAACCTGGAGATGATAAAAGACTTGGTCCCATCGATCATTTCCAAACCAGTCCCGTCTCTTTCCCTCCGAATTGACAGCTGTGATCCACGGAGCCCCAAAGGCACCCGTACCCATGGTCACATCGACAACTTTCTTCTTGTTTTCCGGGGTTACAGCATTTTTCATGATCTCCTTGATCTCATCCTCTGGAAAAATACCATCCAACGCTTTGACAACACCTTCGGGCTTGGAGATATCGATACCTTTACTCCAGTATGCCGTACTGAATGCTGGGAAAGTTGCCTCAAACTTCTCCGCAGGATAATGATCTTTTATCCATGTCGCAACACGCACAGGCTATCATACAATTGTTAGAGCTTCCGGAGTCGTTCTGCTCATGAAAAGGCAACTCACAAAGAGTGAAAAAATGGGCCAGATTTCCGGTCGCACAACCTTCAATCCTAGCAATTCTCCCGTCAGCTCCGAGTCTTGAGCTGCAAAGGCTTCTCGGAACTTCGGGGTCGGTTCAAATTTGTTGCCAGCACCTTCGCGAGCGCCGCCGAGGAAAAACGGGATTATCTCGACTGATACACCATATTTGTTGAGAAAGGGTCGATGTTTGATGATATTGGTGAAGCCGAACCAGGAATAAGGTGAGACTGGATGTCGTGTGAGTCCGATTGACCATTCATGCAATCAGCATTGCGCGGGATACATACCACAATCGACATAGATCTTGAGGTTTCCCCCTTCAGGATGGCCCATGTTCGCGACCTGGGGAACAAATCTTCTAACTGGAGGGAGGGAGAGGCCCCTGAATGATATCTTCCGAACTGTGGCAATTGATTGGTTGGTATTTACCGAGGTCTGTGATGATCAACAAGGGGCTGTTCAGCCTTTCCATATACACTGTTTTAATGGGCATGATCTGACTGCGAAAGATAAAGGTTTGATGATATTCATTGTGAATATATCTCCAGATTCCAGGTAAGCCGAAAAGTCGCCGTTGCTGGCGGGCTCTGCCGAAGAAGAAACCAAAACGTGGGTGCCGAGGGTTTGATATCACTAGTAATCATCTTACAGGTATCATTGCAACCTCGCTCATGCACACTCCACTACCATCGCGCTCACAGGGATATCTTCGACTTTGCCCTGTTCGGAGATCTGACACTGGGCGTAAGATGTCGACCAATATGGCAACTCTGCATTACCTTTTCCATTCAAGATATGGTCATAGATATGTTCCCTGGTCGCCTCCAGAGGGGGTTTCACAATGAACCTCTCAGGCTGCTCCCAAAGCTCGGACTCGGTACGGCCACCACAACAACATGCCTTTTGAGTCGGAACATGCTCCAATATCCATACCAAACGTAGACATATGGACATTCCTCTTCGAGCGTACTGACCGGGTCTTTCCAGACAATCATGGTGAGGCTGCTTAGGCATTGTCTTAGGCCGAAGCTAATAGTTCGACAGTCGTCTTGGTTGATGTTTCAGCCCGGAAGCAGCACACATTCCAGGATGTCCGTCAAACCGCCGAACGGTTTGGTCGAGGTCTGCGACACCATTGGAATTGGCAGAAAGGCGATGTCATGGCTATCTTTAGCCCAAACAATGTCGACATTGCACCGGTGACGTTCGGTTCTCAGTGGGCGGGTGGTGTCGTTTGTCCGTTCAACAACCAGTACACTGCAGCAGAGCTAGCCTCGCAACTGAGCTCTTCCCGCTCGAAAGCAATGGCGACTCATGTGGCATGTCTTGAAGTGGCAAAGGAAGCTGCGCTCCTCGTTGGACTGTCTATGGATCGCATCATCCTTGTCGGCGACCATGATCCCAAAGGACTAGTCAAGCATTACTCGAGCTTGCTCAATGACTCCACGGCCGTAACCAAAGCCACAATCAACCCGGAAGATGACGTCGCATTTTTGGTGTACTCCTCTGGAACCACAGGACTACCAAAAGGAGTCATGTTGACGCACAAAAACATTGTTGCCAACGTTTTGCAAGTTACTGCCATGGACCTTGGAGAAGTCGACTGGAGAGAGGATCGCTATGTTGGCTTCCTGCCAATGTATCATATCTATGGTAGGTGTAACGATTCTTTGGACACTGTTCATAAGTGCTGAGTCTTCCCAGGTCTGGCCGTGTCAGTTCTCGCTCCGGTATATCGAGGCCTGCCCATGTATATCATGCAAAAGTTCGAACTGGAGAGACTGTGCCAAGTCATACAAGACAGCAAGATCACAATGGTCTATATTGTCCCCCCAGTGGTTTTATTGCTTGCCAAACATCCAGCTGTTGCCAAATACGACTTGAGCTCCGTTCGAATGTTGCATTCTTCAGCTGCGCCTTTGACCAAAGACCTGGTGGACATGGTTTATAAACGGTTGAATGTACCCATCAAGCAAGGCTATGGACTGTCAGAAGCGGCGCCTGGTGTGGCATCTCAGGTAGGTAAGTCCCATTCGCTTAGTCGCATACTATCACTGACACCGGTCAGAGCTGGAGTCAATGGCAAACTAGCATAGGATCCGTGGGGAAGCTATGTCCTTCAATGTCTCTCAAGTTCGTGGGCAATGGTAAGGAAGTTCCTGTGGGCGAAACTGGTGAGCTCTGGATAAAAGGACCAAACATCTTCAAAGGCTACTATGATAACCCAAACGCAACGGCGGAGTCGTTGGATACTGAAGGGTGGTACCGAACTGGAGACATTGGGTACATCGACAACGATAAGAACATCTACACCACCGATCGTGTCAAAGAGTTGATCAAGTACAACGGCTTTCAAGTGGCACCCGCCCAACTTGAAGGCCTTCTGCTTGCAAATCCAGCAGTCAACGACGTGGCAGTGGTGGGAGTATTTAACGAGGAGCGAGCAACGGAACTCCCGAGAGCTTACATCGTGCCTGCACAAGGCTACAAGGCTGATATGAGATTGGAGAAGGAGATCAACGGGTGGTTGAATCAGAGAGTCGCGCCGTACAAACGTCTTCGTGGCGGGATCAGGTTCATTGATGTAATTCCGAAAAGCGCGGCTGGAAAGGTGTTGAGGAGAGTGTTGGCCGAACAAGCGAAGAACGAAAAGCCTCAAATGGCAGGAAGGTTGAAGCTATAGATATCGAACCACATCTTCGAAGGCATATAGGCTGACTCTCATAGCCATATTGAATCGTTCTACAACTTTGAAAACATGCTAACTTTCTGCGCCCTCACATCCAATTCCTGAGTCCACGTACTGCGTGGCTGAGTATGCAAAAACCAGTAGATCTGCGCCAGATCAGCCGGTTGTGAAAGATGTGACTCGACGTCCTCCAACTTCTCGGGCTCGCCATGTCTCTGCCACTGCCGTCTTGACCACCCACCAATCAACTTGCCATCAACTGGCGTGTCGACGATGATATGTGCTGAATGGATACCCTTCTCCTGGTACTCGCGCGTGACGATCTGCGAAAGTGAACGCAGCCCGAATTTGCCGGGCGAAAAGCTGGACAGGCCAGGACTGCCGCGCACACCACCTGTCGCGCCAGTGAAGAGAATCGTGCCCTTTCCGGCTGCTAGCATGTCCGGCAACACGCACTTTGTCGCCCAGAAGGCGCCGAAGAGGTTGATCTTGGTGAAGTTTTCGAACTCTTCGGAGCTGGTGTCGAGTATGGACCGGCCGTTCACTCTGCGTGCGCCCGCATTGTACACGAGCACGTTAATGGGGCCGAGCTCGGCTTTGATGCTGGCGAAGCTGGACTTGACGGAGTCTTCGACACGTAGGTCCGTGATGTAGTATTGGGCCGTACCTTTGCCGTGGTCGTTCTCGATTTCGGCGGCCATGGTCTGGAGTTTATCTTCGGTTCGCGCGAGGAGGGCGACGACGAAGCCTTCGGCCACGAAGCGGCGAGCTACGGCTTCGCCTATACCTGGGCCGGCGCCGACAACCGCGATGACTGGTTTCTTTTGGGCGTTGTGTGACATTTTGGTGTTCAACACTTAATTGGCGACGGCAGCAGTGTGTTGGTCGGCAATGTATTTATCGAGGTTGAGCCTCTCTGAAGCACCGACTTCCGCTGCCTTGGTTGATCACCTTGAGTACGGCTCAAAATGTTCTGTGTTGCGGGCGTAACGCAACCACAGGCGCGAGTTCGTTGCTGCTCCGCGAAGCTTGAACGTGCTACGTATGTGTCAAGGGTTTCTCGGGTGGGCATGGTGCCATTGTCTTTGTGTAATCATTGCTCACGCCATGCCGAGGAGGGAGCATTGATGAATGAGTAATCTTCCTGTCGTCTGAAGTTCCTCGGCGAAACGGTGTTTAGTCGTTTGGCTGGGGTTGACCAAAACTGCGGGGGAACCTGCTAGGCTCGGCCAACTAGTTAAGGGAGGAATAAGGGAGATGTGATGCTTGATTAATCCCCGGGGCCCCAACTAAGTCCCTGGAATGTAAAAGTCACAGCAACTCGCATAGACCAGGGATTCAGGGGTTGCCCATTGATGTTCATATGCAGCTGATCTCAATCTTTGGGCACAAGTCGGCGTTACATTCTATCATTGCGATAAAGGAGGATACGCACGTAAGAGTGTCTCATCTCACCGAAATCCCATGTCATCGCCCGCATCCCTAACCTAGACAGGTATGTCCCTGACTGCAGCCCGTCCAGCACCTATGCATGCAGCCTGATAATGCGCCTTGTCCTTTGTGCCCGAATGTCCCAGCATCCCGGCCATCATCATAACTTACTCTTCGCTGCAACCGAATGTCTCAGGTTCGCCAACACCTCATTTGCCTCTCGTTCGATGCGCTTGAGAAGTTCCGCGACCGTCGGAATATCGTGAATCAAGCCCATGACTTGTCCCGCATACCACACCTACATCCAGGTTAGCACTTGACGACAATGAAAGCCCAAGGAAGCAACTCACTCCTCGTTGAATATCGCCATGTTCAAGAACCTCCTTACCCCAGACGCCGCTGACAACAGGCGCAATCTCCGAGAACTCCCCCGTCTTGCTGCTTGATTCGATTTCGATAGCCTTGGCCGTCATATTGTTCGAGAACATCCGGCTCGTGTTCTTCCAGCGTCTCAGTATAAGCGTCGTCTGATGCTCATCACCGTCGACAATGGCCTGCTTGACGTTGATGTGTATGGGTGCTTCGACCGTCGCCATGAACCGCGTCCCCATGTTAATTCCTGCCGCGCCTAGACTGAGCGCTGCCATCAAGCCGTTCCCGTCTGCAAACCCGCCTGATGCAATGAATGGAGTGCTGCCGAGTTCTTGTCGTGCACGGCTGTTCAGGATCAACGATGCAATTTCCGACTCTCCGACGTGACCGGCACATTCGAAGCCATCGATGGACAAGATGTCCACTCCTAGTCTAATGGCTGCTTTTGCGTGTCTCACTGTCGTTGCTTTGTGGATGATGGTGATGCCCGCATTCTTGAGTTGCTTGATGATAGGTCCGGGACTATTTCCTGCGGTCTCGACGATCTTGACATCCTCATCAATAATGGCTTGTGCGAACGCCGGATAGTCTGGAGGATTGAGCGAAGGAAGGAGCGTTAGATTGACACCAAAGGGATGTTTTGTCAGGCTCCTGGTCTTTCTGATCTCTTTCTTCAGTGTCTCTGGATCGGGTTGCGTCAACGCGTTGATGATGCCCAGCCCACCAGCGTTACTGACCGCTGCTGCGAGTTCAGCGTAGGCAACCCATTGAAGGCCACCCTGGACAACTGGTATTCCAATGCCCAATTTCCGAGTGACAGGAGTATCGAAGACCATTGTTGCAGTCGGTGTTTCTGCAAACAGCGGGCAACAAAGAGACAGCCACTCTTCCTAACCACCAAGGACGATCTTCCAGTAATCACCTTAAAGGCTTTCGGTCGGACAGGATACTGGCGCAGATCAGATCATCAATATCCGAGGTAATCGATGTGAGACGGCCATTCATTGTTGGGTGGTGGAAGCCGCCAACGGCCGTAGCTCTGATATCTCCACCCTAGTGTCTGGTGGTCAGCCTGGGCCAGTCATATTATTGCGAGATACCCGATGATTTTGCATTCGCATCTGGGCTCTGTCCCGGAAGAGATTCTTCCTTCGATATAGTTTTGTGAGGTGGCTGCTCTGATGTGCTCTTGGAGCTAATCAGATACGGCAAGCAAAGTGCTGACCTTGATTACTGATACGAATCGATAACGAAGACAACCCAGGCCCGAACACTTGCAAATGAGGACAAGCAGGGTCGTCATCTATCGAGATGGTCAGGCCATAGACTGGAAGACATGGCGTTAGTGGCATCCCTTTCTCCCCACTTTGGGTCCGAATTTGACAAGGCTGCGCCGAATAGGAGTCTCAATATAAACGCCATAGGAATGGGGTCAGGACCACATATCAAACGCAGAACGTTGATGAGTGGAATGGTGTCGCCAGAATTTCTTCGTTCGAAGACGATGCTCTGATTGAGGACCGTGAAATCGTGGACTCATTAACCCCGATGGGTTGGTGCTTTGTCAAGGTAGAAACCAAATCTTTTCAGAAGGTTATGAAAATCATGCCCTCATTAATTGTCGTCAAAGTCGTAAACACCGTAATCCTTCTCCCAGCGTTACAGAGGCATTCCAACAGTACCCAGGTGACAAGCCTAGTTTCAAACTAGTCATCCAAGCCGTATTGTGACAAAAAATAGCTTCCAAGTGGGATCGGCAAAGCCATCAAGGACCCCTTCTTTCCAAAAATGAAGCCGTGGTCTCCAACTGTGCGTTGAACGACTTGATTCTGGCCAACATTCCGCCCTGTTCAGATGCACTACTGACATCTTGTGCAACAGTTCGAAGCAGGAATTCTGTCCCTTCGTCTTCGATCCCATCGGCACGGTCCATCTCAAGCTCAGCCCGCCTTGCAGCCTCGCTAAGTTGCCACTTCTGCCTGACTTCTTCCTCATATATCCAGTGCCGTCGTCGGACAGCATCGCATTTCAGGGCGATGCGCTCACGCTCTTTGCGTATCTCCATCCACTCGGCTTGTAGAGAGGCCTTTCCTCTCTTGCTCTTCCTAGCTCGTGCTTCCAGATTTATTCGATTCTCAACAGCTTCAGACAGCTCAAATAGCTCGTCATCGAGGTCTTGTCGAAACGCTTCAAGAGCACTGCGCTTGTTTTCCAAGGCTGCACGCTTTGAGGATGGGTTTGTTTCAGATAGGCTCTCCATCATATTTCCGATCATTTCGCGACAGATCTGGGCTAGGACATCTACCGCATTGGGTTGCAGGCGGTCATTGGTGGGAGGTGCTGCAACGTCCTGCTCACCATCGGACTCTTGCGCCTCTTCCTCGTCTTCCATGATAGTCGGTAAACCCGAAAGGTTCGTCAATCGGTGGGTAAGAATAGGAAATGTCGGCTTGCCTTTCTTGTCCTTGGATGGTCGTCTTTCGTTAGTCGATGCGATTCGGCGTCTGGGCCCGTCGGAAGTCTTTCTTTGGACAGCAGGGGTCTCTGGATCCGGTGAACTCTCCTGGATGTAGGTCTCATCACCTTCCTCATCCTCCTCTCTTTCAGAGCGTTCGCGACGGGCAGCTGGAGTTTCCTCCTCTTCAACACCACCGAGCACTGATGGTGCCCCTGTCCGGACAGGCGTTGATTGCGGCCGTCCTGGGAAGGGACGCTGCTCGGAACCCCGGGTGTATTCTCGATTTTTACGTGTTACAAGGCCATTTTCGCCTGATGCGCGCGTCTTCCTCCGAGTTGAGGGCCCGGACGTTAGCTTCTTCCGGCGTTTCTTGCGCGTGGCACCAGCCTGTTCGAAGTCTTGCTCGACCTCGTCTTCCGCCGTGAGTTGCGGTGTCTCACGTGTATCTGTTTGACCTCGGTCCATTGACTCTTCAGGATCACCGTCATCTTGCTCGACATCTTCAACATCCGCATTGGCCTGCTCCGCGATTCCAGTATTGGCATGCTCTTGTCCAGTAACATCGACGTCGGGGGTATCATTTGCAAAGTCCACACGATCGAATAAGAGTTCTTCTGCTTCTGGACCAGCAGGAAGCTCGGAACTTTCTAATCTGCCTGCTGGAGAAGTATAGCCCTTGGCAGACAAGAAGTCTTGGGGCGTATGCTTCTCCGTGTCCGACCTGGTCTCTGGAACGAACAGTGGCGAGTAACCTTGTTCTCTTAGTGCGGATGAACTTTCTGAATGCTCCGGCAGGCCTAGATTTGGTGCGTCTTCGTCTTCAGCTATCGTAAAGATCTTGCTACCACTTTTTCGGCGCGAGGATGAGCGCGTAGAACGAGAGTCTATTGTATGACCATTTACATTTTGCTGGGGTGTCTCGGTCGCTTGCGATAATCGCCTTCTCTTGCTAGGCGGTTCCCCAACGTCGAGCGGGCTTTCCAACTGTACGGTTTCATATTGTTTGGCAAGAGACCTGATTGAGGAGGGTTCGCGGCTTCGGCGAATAGGCGTCTTTGATGGCCGACGAGAATTGGATCTTCGCGATTGAGGTGTTCTTGTGGTTGAACGCAACGAACGTGCTGAACTCGGAAAGCTGATGCCAAAATCAACGTTTTCGATCTTTCGAGACCTAGACGAAGTTAGTCGCTGCTGGTGTTCTGCTCACGCTGTTCTTACGCAGCTCCTCTCTGGCGCATCAGCGCCTGTTCTTGTCTTGTTGAAGCAGCCATAGATACAAATCAAACGCATATCTACATGATGGCTCTCGCCCGGAGTTCACACGCCTTCATGTCGTCTGAGTGAACGTTTCGCGTCAACGGATATTGGGCACGCGTCAAGTAGCGTGTTGAAACCCGGGGACGCGCCCGGCCGCCGCAACGGGGATGCGTTTCCGATGTTAATAGGCCTTGGCGTGCAGCTGCGTAATTCCTATCTGGTGAATCTGAAGATACATTCGACGTGAAGCTTTGAAATCGCGACCATGGTCTTTCGACTCCCAGCACCATGACTGTGTCTGTACCGAACTGTCGTCGTTAGTCGAAATTGCGCTGAAGAAGGCCTAATGAAATGGGTTGGTTGTGGGGCGGGAACAAGACTCAAAATGATCCGGCAAAGGCTCTGGACAGCGATTTGAAGCAGTTTCTGGACGAACAGCAGCCGAGACCATACGTGCCAGCAGAGGTCCCTAAAGCCCCCGAAGCGCCGACTTCCAAGCCGGTCGAGCAACCTGTACCAGCTACCGAAAAGCCTGCCGAAGCCAGACCTCTGCCGAGAGAATCGCTTTTTCAAGATGGACGGTACAAGGACATCTGGAAGACTTATGTTCCGCAGAATGACATCGCAGTAGCCACGAGCACGCCTGTTGAGAGAGTGCTGGCGGCCAGGAAGGATAGAAGACAGACTATTCACAAAGCTGCATTGGAAAATTGCGCCTTTGAGGAAGAATTACAGCAGGAATGCTTCAAGTCAGACGATTTGACTAAAAGACTAAAGGGACGGATGACAATGTGTCATGAAGAGACCAAGGCTTTCAACCGCTGTTACACACTGCAGGCCAAATTTTTGCAAGCGTTGGGATATATGACGAGCTCGACAACAACTGACGAAGACGAAGAGAAGATCCAGATGCACGCGGACAAGCTGTACCACCGGATGATGGATTATGAGGCTGAAGTGGACGAAGCGAGAAGGAGCAACCGACCGATTCCGCCTCTTTCGTCTCTCTTCAACCCCAGAAGAGCGGCTCCAACAATCGAGCAGATGGCCCTTCCTAAAAATATGGAAGAGAAACTGAAGAAGCCCTTGAACGATTATCCTCCTCACGAACGTGAACTGGTTGCAAGAGCAGCTTTGCAAGAAGCCAAATTGACAGATCTCTATGCTGAGGATCTGTTCACTTATACCGTTACCATGAACGAAGATCGAAAGGCTCGACAAGCATGGTTAACCAGAACATTTGGTGAGGCGATTGGGAAGTTCCTGATTCCAGACCCTCCAAAGGATCCTTCGATCAAGTCTTATAGTATCGACCAGCTGGAGAGGGATATATGGCAGGAAGACAAGCCTACCAGGGCACAAAGTGGACAACCCGCGGAGTCGTCGGCGCGAAAAGGAAAATGAGCGCTCGATATTGGCCATCACGGGCGGGCTATATGATTCCCTTCGCATCCAAGAAGGCCGCCGAGTCAGCATATGCCGCGAGAACGTCCTGGGACCTCAAAGCAGGCATGCAGGACATCCAATGAGACGAGAGCGACATGCATGCGACCTGTGCATTGCGCAGCCGCTTGGTCTTGCTCGTGCCCTCTGCAGAAGCCGTATCTTCTGCGATCTATGGGCGACCATCATCATGAGTCATCTAAATGATGGTCTGGAGTTACCCTTTAGCGCTCGTGTCCGGATATGGGAAATCGAACATCACAGGGCCCGGAAAACGCCTTCGAGCACCATCGTCAAGCAAAGCGCTGACAATGTTGGACCAAGTCCAAAGAATCATGGAGGCATCTTAGTGCGCAACTGATTACTGCGGACGTACACATGAATCAGCGTGCATAAAAATCCTGGAGAAGAAAATGCCAGATCCACGGCCCGTTGGAGGAGACATGCAGTCGATGTCGCATCACAAAAAGCCACGCCGAATCATTCTTGTCGATGTAGGAACGCTGGTTCGTAGCAAGACCTTCCATGTTACATGCGCAAACAGCCTCTTGCTCCCACATTGTATGACAGAGTGAACCTCGCCTTCTTATATAGGTGTAGCTTGATGCCAGCATACTTGAATCTTGCATTCTTGATACTATCCTCGGGTGGGGACCTCCGAGGGTTGTTTGACAGCCCGGGAAAAGCAGTGCATCTCGACTTTCAGATGATCTCACATCACTTATCCTCACCTGCCACTTCGGTCCAAGTTCCCTGCGTAATCATTTCCACTTTGACCGACGGCACGCTTGTTGCTAGGATCGCGTGCTTGCCGTCCCTGCAATGCTTGTTTCTCAAGCCTTGGGATCCAGAGATCTTCATTATGGCTTGCCTGGGGCTGACAGTATCATTCCTCGGTAGAGGTGGGGGAGAACAACCTTGATATTGAGTCACTCTCTCTAAAGTCCTCAATCTTTTCATCCTCAGATGCGCCGCCACGATAGAAACAACCACTTACACAACGTGCACACACTCTCTGCCTGCCGCATGCATGATTCAGTGCCCCTACTTATGATTCCCCGTCCTCGTTGCCCTCAGCCGAGTTTCCTAGTTGTCTCATGATCTCAGGCCATGGGAATATTTGGACGCCACGTCGATACAGGCGGCATGGAAAGAGCCTCAACGCCTCTTCCATCAGATGCTGTCATAAAGATCGATCAAGATGCGCCTTTCCTCCGTCTACCTCCAGAGGTAATCTATCAGATTCTGAGCGACCTCCCCTGTCAGTCTTTGGTATCTGTCTCCAGAACATGCCGCCAGCTGCGCTCGATCGCACAGGAAGATCGACTATGGTCGAATTTTCTCCGACCGAACATCCCCTCGAAGGACTTTCCGGCAGACAGTCCATACCCATCCTCTTCATATCGCGATCTCTACATAACGCATCACCCATATTGGTTTTTACCGCGAAACAAGATATGGATATCAGACGACCCCCATGTTGGCAGGATCATGATATGCAGATTCGATCCCAGACGAGGTTGCATCGAAGGCTATCGACTGCTAGCGGAGAGGACACAGACTGATGGGATCCTGTGGCCGTACAAGCCCACCGTGGTCATCCACGGCTTTGAGCCTAGAGTTCATCTCTGGCTTGACGATCCGATCCTAAAAATACCGCACGAGGCTATACCCTTCAACTCGCGCCAGGGATGGTGGGAGGCAGAGATCAGAATGACCTTGGGCCTGCCCGGCCATCACACATCCGCCTCGTTCTTCCTGTGTCGGGATATACCAGAAGACCTACAAGATAGGCGCATGGAGCTTTGGCCGCCACGGACCATCCCGAGGATGCCTCGAGTACGGTCTGCCAGCGTTGACAACTTCAAAGGTTCTGGTCACAAGCCTCATAAGTATGAGGAGATCTCGCAGACGACGTTCAGAATACGGCAATGGTCTCAGTTCAGTGTTGGTATGACGCATTTTGGCATACGCATCGGCGAAGAAGTGAGTACTTGGAGCACCATCGATCCAGCTCTGTACACTCCTACGCTCGAGAAACCATACCAAGGCATTTTTGTCGGAGACTACGCGGGTCATGGATGTGAATTCCTCTTGGTGATGCAAACGGAGCGTGCGCCCGATGCACCATCTAGACCGGTGAGGAATTCGCACTTCCGCACACTGATAGGACTTGCTCAAGGTGACGAGGAGGACGACAGTGATGAGGACGATGAGATGGAAGAGACTCACGAGGTCCCTGCGACTACCGCAGCCATGGCGAACGAGGATGATGGTATTCATTGTGGCGCTATCGAGGCGGTGAAACTGACAGGAGATCCCAACATCCCTCGTGGCGAACACACATTTATTGCTGATGACATTGGACCAAACGGGCTGATCAGGATTGCGAACGAACAACCTTTCCGCGGGGCAAGAGTTGTCAAGAGTCGAGGACACGTCGCGCTACGCGGATTCCAAGATGGTAAGTTCATACTTTTCTTTGCTTGGTGGGAAGCAGATCACTGACAGACTACAGATGAGTTTATCCCCTCGCAGCTGATCATGATCAACCACAACAAGTTGGCTCAATACTGGGTTCCCTTCGGACACATCTCGTTCTATGAACGAGTTGACATAGACCGGCTGATGGATGACACCTTCCGGCGGCCGCCGTGAAGAGGAAATAGTGGCAGGATTGATGACCGTTTACGTAGCGCTCACGCTGGGGAAGCCTGGAAACAGGTGATCTTGTAATTCACTGTTGACAAAGGTCAACAGGACCATGATACCAATCATGGCCATCGCGCCCTCCCGGAGTTGAGTTCAAACCAGACCGACTCCCCAAGCAACTCCATCCTTTCGCATCCCCCCATAGAAATCCCACGCCGTAACTCCTCGTTGTGTAAATATATGTTAAAGTGTGCCCAGCGTCCAGGTCGAGGTGTTATGCTCATCGTCTCCGCTCAAAAAAGCTGCTACTTCCCATGATGGCGACCGACTGATCCATGACCCATTCGCCGACACCGAGGTATCGGTCGACCCAGCTTTGAATATCCTTACTCTCGCCAATTGAGGATGATTTGATACTGGTTGGTCTAGGGTTAGTTAGTCCGACCGCGGTTTCGGTAGAAGTGTGTGGATATGAAGAAATGTCGAGGGACATACGTGAGACCTGTGCTTCTCTTGACGCCTGCAAGGAAAGCAGAGATGAGAACGGCGTCGACGGCGTAGTGTGTGAGACGTCCCAACTGCGTATCGTTTAGTACGTTCCTGCGGCACGCTTAGGGCCACACTCACAACCATGATGGCGGTATGTCAGAATCGAGCAGACGGACTGCAGACGGGGTAGATGGTACAACGTCGAGGTGAGCAAGAAAGTACAAGGTACTGGATTGATGTTGTGCCTGCTCGCATGTAATTGAAATCGGACACCACGGTCGCATGAGCACGCCCTCTACAGCCTCCAGAAGAACCGAAATGGCCGGGGTGCGGAAAAACAGTTTCTGCGACGCCCCGAATGCTGCATGCCTTGATGCTTATCTTATCGGCAAGTGCAGTGGAACAGACACTTTTTGGACCCTCAAATCCTGTCCACAGTTTCCAGCCAACAAACCAGAAGAGCTAATCAGAGAGCATTTGACGCCAGCTGAGAAGCTCATCAACCTAATTGACAGACCCCCACCATGAGATCTGCTTTTTGCTTGAAATCATATTTCGTAACCCGCATGTGCCCTCCATTTCCAATCATCTATGCCACTCGCCATGATTGTAGGCGGGCTACTCGGCTTTATTGTCCGAGATACAGGTGCTCATTCAGCTTGGACCCAGCCCACCAGGTGCCTATAGCGTGTTACACGAGTAAAAGCGTAGATCCAGATAGGCGTGACGTGAGAGCTCCATCCAACTCGACAATTTTAGGACATATCTCAACCATTATTGCACTTTTTTCCTGGTAATACCTCCGTGCCCTCCAAATCTGTTGTTTGATTGCCCGACTCTTACCTGCAATTCAAAGCTCCAAAGTGGTACAGTATGTCTTTCCCGCGCCTCTTCTCCTTGCTTGGATTCTATTGAGAGCGTTGCTGACCGCATTCAGGCCTGCTTCGGACACCGACCGCTAGATACAAACACCTCCGCGCACCTAGCACTCCCTCACCTTCAACCAGATACAGGAACAAGAAAAAGCAAGAATACATCAGACAAAATGGGTGACGCTTTGGACCACCTCGCCAACCGCACCAAGCTGGAATGGCAGTGCAACCTCAATATCAACTACCAGCCAAAGAAGAACCACCGCCGTACCAGCATCATCTGTACCATTGGTACGTCACAGCGAAACACTCTCTGCTAGACAAAGGCCATGCTGATAAGCATTCTACCAGGTCCCAAAACTAACTCTGCCGAGAAGATTACCATGCTGAGAAAAGGTATGTTGGCACTATTGGCTCGAAATGCACAGTGAACTCACCGCATCGCAGCCGGTCTTAATGTGGTCCGGATGAACTTCTCCCATGGCTCTTACGAGGTATGACGATAGAATGAAGAGAGAAACGAAGACCTGTCCTGACCATGATCTCAGTACCATCAATCTGTCATTGACCACACGAGAGCATCCGCCAAAGAGTATTCCGGCCGTCCGGTTGCAATTGCACTCGATACGGTTAGTTGATCGCTTCAAAGCTCGATGTTTGACTAACAATCGTCAATAGAAAGGACCAGAAATCCGAACGGGCAACACTCCTGGCGACGCTGACATCCCAATCAAGGCCGGGCTTGAGTTCAACATTACGACGGACGACAAGTACGCTACCGCGAGTGATGACAAGAACCTGTAGGTGCCTCTATGACTGTGCGAGCGACATTGGCTAATTGAGTCAGGTACCTGGACTACAAGAACCTCACCAAGGTCATTGACACCGGCAAGTTGATCTATGTCGATGATGGCATCCAATCCTTCGAAGTACTGAAAATTGTCGACGACAAGACTATCCGAGTGCGGGCACTCAACGATGGGCAGATCTCGTCCAAGAAAGGTGTCAACCTTCCAGGCACTGACGTCGATCTCCCCGCCTTGTCAGAGAAAGACATCGCCGATTTGCGATTCGGTGTCAAGAACGGCGTCGATATGGTCTTCGCCTCTTTCATTCGTCGTGGTGAGGACATCAAGCACATCCGAAAAATTCTTGGAGAAGATGGCAAAGAGATTCAGATCATTGCAAAGATCGAGAACGAACAAGGCATGAACAACTTCGATGAGATTCTTGAAGAGACCGACGGCGTCATGGTGGCCCGTGGAGATCTTGGAATCGAAATCCCAGCAGCAAAGGTGTTCATCGCTCAAAAGATGATGATCGCGAAGTGCAACATGAAGGGAAAGCCTGTAATTTGCGCGACCCAGATGTTGGAATCGATGACCAACAACCCTCGACCTACTCGTGCTGAAGTCTCCGATGTCGCAAACGCCGTCCTTGACGGTGCTGACTGTGTGATGTTGTCTGGTGAGACTGCTAAAGGTAATTATCCCAAGGAGGCCGTGTCCATGATGCACGAAACCTGTTTGTTGGCAGAGGTGGCCATTCCTTATGCCAATGTGTTCGATGAATTGAGGACAAGCTGCCCTCGGCCCATTGGTACTTCAGAGTCTGTTGCCATTTCCGCCGTTGGTGCCAGTATGGAATTGAACGCTGGTGCTATTCTTGTTTTGACTACGAGGTAAGATGCTCCAAGCTGAACGTTCACGTCCCTAGACTGACTCTGAAACAGCGGCTCTTCCGCGCGGCTCGTGTCGAAATACCGACCTGTGTGCCCCATCATCATGGTTACGAGAAATCCTACCGCTTCACGATACGCTCACCTCTACCGAGGAGTGTATCCATTCCTGTTCCCAGAACCTAAGCCTGACTTCAACGGAACCGACTGGCAAGAGGATGTCGACAAGCGATTGAAGTGGGGTATTGCCAAAGCCATCAAGCTCGGTGTCTTGAATGAAGGTGACAGTGTTGTTTGCGTCCAAGGCTGGAGAGGCGGCCAGGGTCACACCAACACCATTCGCGTTGTGCCTGCTGAGGAGAATTTGGGACTCGTGGAGTGAATAGCTCTGCGTGAGTCAGTCAACAGACCTCCAAGCATGGAATTCTACTCGTAGCTGGGGCGTTCCACCACAATCGCCCACGGGAACAGATCGGAGCACGTTACAGAACGCGGTAGGGGCAATCGTCGGTTAATACAGCACTGTCGAGGTTTCCCCATCATGAAGGTATCCTGTCACCGTCCGTCCTATGATGAAGCAACCAGATATGGTTTATTCTTATGCGTGAACGTGACTGCCTGTTGTATGTGGTAGTCTATTGATGCTCAAAAATGACAACGAGGAAATTTATTCATAGAAAGAAATGAAGCCCTACCAACGGGTCATTCCAAGAGATAACTGCTACTGTCTGTAGCAGTGCTGTCCAACTGTCAATAGCGAAACTCTCCGGACTGGCGGGCAGGTCTAGGCGGGATGACGCCAAAGCCAGAGCTTATTCTTTGACGTGTTCAAGCATCTGTTCACGCGGTTTGGTTGGTTGGAGCGACAGAGGGTAGCAAGTAATACGAAAGATGGGGGCGGTAACCTTAAGGGACTGATCTCATCCCCATCCAAGTGCGTCTTGTACGCTATTCCTGGTCATCTTCAAATTCGTGTCTCAGATCCGACTTGCTCCTGGCTTTAGATCGTTGCAGGATTCCCTCTGGGTTGGTGTTGTTCTACGCATCGTGAACCTGATGGTTTGGATCTAGTGAGCCTTGGTTGCTCTACCCTGCCTCAAGAACGCTCTTCCACCCCTACGTGCCTGCTCGCCTATTGCGAGGCTGTTCTCCGCGCCTGCGCCCAAGGATCTGAATCTGCGCAACACGTCTCCGATCCCTGCCACTCCGGCAGCGAAGTCTCCTCCTCTTTGAGCCTATACCGACCAGGCTCCTGCGATCATGGCAACCGAGACAGCGCCTGCGCCTGCGACCAGGCCGAAAGGGATCGGCTTTGCCGAATCATTCTGGTCCCCGGATTATGCTGGCGGACTAGGGGTGCTTTTTCAGAAACTACAACAGGGCGTGGTAGAAAATCAGCAAATCCTTACAATCGCAAGTATGAGGGCAGATGCAGAAGAATTGTACAGCGATCGATTGGGAGATATAGCGCCCAGCATCGATCGAATGACTGGTGGCTTCATGAGGGATGACGGCGCAAGTGTTCGCAAGGTGCGCCTTTCGTCGCAAAAGGCTACAACACACATACTGACGAAGACAGGCCTACGAAGGAGTCCGGAGTGAAATGGTCGAAGCGACTAAGAATCACAAGAAGATCGCCGACAATATCCGCGAACTGGTGGTCAATCCATTCTCGAGGTGGTGCGATGCGCATGCGACAAGGATACAAAACTCACAAGACGACCTGCAATCGAAGATCAAAGCCCACGACAGACAAGCAGACGCAGCCAAGAAACTCCGAAGCCAGTACTTCAATAAGTGCAGATTGATGGAAGATCTGGAAGAGGAGAACAAGCTGGCATTCCAGGAGAAGCCTAACGGAAGTCCCAAGCCACAAAGTCCGCCTCCACCTCGAATAATTCTTCCAGAAGAAGAGCTTGACGAATTGCCCGTCGACCTAGGCGAGCAAACATACATGCCAGAACAGTTGAGGGCTCTCCTCATGGACATGCTTGAAAAGATTCCGCTGAACGAGCACAAAGTACCCATTCTAGGTACATATCAGAACGTGTCCGTTGGAACCGATATCGTTGACTACATCCAACGGCACATGAAGGCGTCGAGCGTAGGGTATGCTGAGAGAATCGGACAGGATCTGATAGACCGTGGGTTCTTGCGACTTATTGGCAGTGTGGGCAACACATTTGCCAACAGCTCGAGGATGAAGTATCAATGGAAACCCCGAGTGTTCCAGATAACGGGCGTGCCAGAGAAGAGGAAACCGATGGGAAGATCGTTTACGGGGACATCTCAAGACGGGTCAATTCTAGAATCGCCCACAGTCGGCAATATCACGGAAACCCTACAAGCTTGGAATCCATTGAACAATCCCCATCCGAACGAGACACCCGCTGAACGCCTCAAACGTGAAGCAAAGGAAGCAGATGAGAAATACAAGGCCGCTGTTCGGAAACTTGATCTGCTAAGATGTAGCCTGGAGGAGTCGATCATGGATCATTTGAAGTTCTTGGAGCGATGCGAAACCGACCGGTTGAAAGCCATCAAATCAGTGATACTAGACTTTTCTGGCACCATCAGCAACAGCATCCCGTCTTTCCAAAGCCAGGTCGACCATATGATGCTTTACCAGGAGACCATACAACCTCTGGGAGATTTGCGGTACTTCCTGGAGAACTACAGAACTGGAGCATATGTGCCCAAAGTTACACCATATGAAAACTACTACGGGAGTGTGGATGACCAGACCTTCGGAGTCGATCTAGAAGCGCGAGCCAGAGCTGACCGGAAGCGGGTGCCAATCATTGTCACTTCCATATTGACATTTTTGGATAGTCATTACCCTGACCTGGAAGGCGATGAGGCGAGAAGAAACGTCTGGCTTGTTGATGTTCCACTGGCAGCAACGCATCACCTAAGGAACCAGATCAACAACGGGGCTCCAGTCCCTCGGGAAGTGCTCGAGAAGTATGAGATACCAATTGTTGCAAGTGTGCTGAAGCTCTATCTGCTCGAGCTACCTGGTATGTACAATTTCACATGTGATTCCGCTATGACTAACCGACAGTACAGACTCTCTGGTATCTAACCAAGTGTATGAGATCATCAAGACCATATATGCAACGACTTCAGATGCCGGCCCGAATCCTATTTCTACCGATGCGATGGATGCCACACCTAGAGTCAAGGTATTACAGTCAACCCTGGGACAACTCCGTCTCAACAACATCGCCACGCTCGATGCTCTCGCGACACATTTTACGCGACTTATTGACCTGACGTCGGCCGATGAGGCATACGTCGTGACGCTAGCTCAATCGCTGGCGCCTTGTATTCTTCGACCGCGGACAGAGAATTCCCTCACTTTGGAGGAGCGACATGCATATCGGCTGGTCAGAGATCTATTCGACCACAAGGAAGCCATCTTTGGCGAGCTGAAGCGCCAGTCTTCAACTCTCGCGGGCAGCAACAGCATGTCAAATCGCCATCGAGCCGTCAGCAACGCCGATGAGAGTTCAAGACGTGCTAACATGGAAGCAAGAGCTCGAGCCATCACTGAGCAGAGGCAACGAGACAAGAGTCCTGGACCAGCAAATCGACACAGACGCGATAAGAGTACTGACGGAAGTGTCGGGCGGTTCCCTGTTATCGCCAGCCCCCGCACAGCCGATCACGGACGGAGCGTGAGCGGAGTTGGCATGTCTGCCACTAAACGAGCAAGCTTGGAGGTGCCCGGTAGTGCCGAGAGCTCACCTATCCAAGCTAGAAATCAGTCTGCCGTCGACAGAAACTCGACGGTGAATGCGGGATCGACTACTAACGGTACCAACGGGCAGATTGAGGCATCCCCGGACAGTCTACATATGCCGGGCATGTTCAGCGGTGGTGGACCGGGACCTCACATACCTCCTCCGCTCGATGATGACAGCCAGGAGTCGGACTCGCCGGCGCCGGCTCCCAGTGAGCAAGAACAAGGTTCCAAGATCGGCTCATTGAAGAGAAGTGCTGCAGGGAGTGGTAGGAAACCGGTGGCTTCAGGAAGTGGGAGCCTGAGCAGAAGATTGAACCACAACGCCGACGAGACGGACTCGCATCCTAGCTCTCAGGGTGTGCAATTGATGGACAAGCCGATGGATGATTTTTCATGAACAGCGCAGCGATTGGAGTTTGGGATCTACACAGATTTCGAGCCGGGCGAGACTTGACCCTTTCATGAGAGGACTACCGTAGCAAGGCAATGCCACTCGTGCACCGTCCTGATCTATCGTGTCTCTCAAGGCTTATCAATGCTCTAAATCTGCTTTTATGTTCTCTGGTGCCTCCGACGTTACCTAGCAGGTATCCTCGGATTTAGTGCCAAGATATCAGACGTTGTGATTGGTCTGCGGCGGGAAGAAGGCTGAAGCTGCGGCCGCATTGCCTCTTCTATCTGCAGGCCATACATCATTCATTGACCTCGAATATCTACAGCTTTACAACAACATCCATCAGACACCTTCAAAAGCCATGCATCTGTTAGGGCTTTGCGCTCTGGCGCTCGCCACTGGATGCGCCCATGGCTACCTTGACACCACTCCCTTCTTCATGTTTTCGACGTCAGAGTACGACCTCCGAGCATCTGCAATTCTATCGGCTTAAGCTAATGACATTTACTGCAGGCTCCTCAATCCCGACTCTCGGCTACAATCGGCGGACTCCCTGGTCTCGAATGTCGCCATTTCGCTATCCTCTTGCCCCTCAGAATATTACATTCTCATATCACAGCATGGCGTTAGCGGCCGAGACTACACGTCTATGAAATCTACACCCGTACTGGCCAAGGCAGTGTCAGAGAGGCCAAGCACGGGCATCCGGAGTAGCATCATCGTTCCAGATGTTGCCGGCACGATAGACTCCTCAAGCTGGATAGAGACGCTCAAGACGAAATGCGGCGTGCAAGTGACCGACATCGACGCATCAACGGGCGCCATCCCAGCTCAGATGCCACCCTCGCCACACGTCCTGAAAGTCTCTTTCCCTGCACCATCATCCTCCACAAAACAGCCGGACCTGTCCTCGAATGATGCCTTCTTTGCATCGATCCTCGATCTCCTCCCGAGCCAGAAGTACACTATTCTCTACACAACGACTCGCGCGAAACACAGTGGCTTCATGGCCACGCAGGTGGAGAAGACGGAATACGAGATGGAGTCGCAGATCCAGGATGCAATGCACAGTGACTTGAAGAGAGATTTGAGTGCGCGCGCGAGTAATCAGACAGAGAACCACTTGATTGATGGACCATTGTTTCACAGATATCAATTCTTTACGCCTGGTATGTACCGCCTAGCCTCTACAATGTTGACCCATCGCTAACGCTGCATAGGTATTTTCATGGGCTTCCTCGTCGGACTACTCCTACTGTCAATTCTTTATGTTGGCATCTCGGCCCTTGCTTCGTTACAGGTCACCTATGCGGCGTTCGACAAGGAAACCAGCCAGCTCGGACAGAAGAAGCAGTAATGAGAGATGTAGCGACTATCTTGATGTTGGGGCCAATGAATTTCTGGAGCTCACAAGCAGCAGGGTGTAGTATATAGTAATGGATCATGTCACACTTATCGGGTTCTCGGTTTTCTCTTGCTCAAACATCAGCTACCTTCAAGCACCTCTTCTCACTTACAGCTCGCCAGCGGTTTCTGCCGGCACTCAACTCCTCTCACTTCACTGCTCGCAATATCAGCGGTTGGCTTGGCGGAGGGATTGACCGCCCTGGATTTATTTGTGAGTGTTCATTGCTCGAATTGGGGAACGCGGGCTTGACTTCCACTGACGTTCTCTCTGCTAGCTTACTGTCGCTATAGCTCTTCCGCATTGACAGCTCGAAATCCTTCTCTGCGCTGTGCCTTGACTTCAATTTCATTGTCTCGTCATCTATTGTTCCTCTGCGAGAGTCTCTTCGGGCTCGGTCTCCCATGACATGGCCATATCGCCTTTTGCCTAGCCGATCCTGACCAAAAAGAGAAAACGAAGAAAGGTGACCGGTCGCCAGGAGCACCATGTCGGACCTCGAGACTGCCCTCTCGAAGCCGCCACCTGAGCAACGTGATGGCAACATTCAGTTTGAGTGAGTCTGCTCAACGTACTTGTGAGGCAGAGCTAACGGTAATTAGCTCACTGCATCCCACCATTCGTATCTCGGACGAGAGATTTCGTGGCGTTGTGCATGTTATCTACGTTGGACGCCGAATTGGATCTCAGGCCAACGAAGACCTTGTCTGGGCATCTGTGGAACCTTACGGCGTGAAATTCACTAGAAATAGGGTGCGCGTCAGCGCGGAAGAATTCTTATCCCGGCCTTACATACTCTCCAACTGGCTACATGCCTTGGTCAATAAAGTGTCAGCTATGGATCCGAAGAAGTGGAAGAAATGGCCGGATATGAGGGACTTTGTGCGAGCAGTTGTACGTCTTGTCTTGGAAGATTGCATTGGGGATTCCATGGTGCCTTTGCCGCAGTACGGATCACCGTCCCTCAGGGACGTGAATCGCACAAGCCACGCCTATGTGCCTCAATACGTCAAAGACATCATGCGGTTCATGCCGGGCTTAGAGCCTCGGTATTATCACCCATCCTACCCTAAGGACCAGTGTCCATCGCCGGTTATCAAGGAGGATGACATAGTTGAGGATGCTTTGCGACCTGAGGCTAGGAGTGAAGGACAATCTGCGCAGACATCAAAGCAGAACACTGGGAATGTTAAAAAGGCTGCTGGCCATGAGGTCGAGGATAAGGCCGTCGTGTCGTCAAAGTCGAGTTCGGTGCCCGCAGAGGCCGACTTACAGAACAGCCAGCCAGGAGCTTCGAATGCGACCACAGCTGACATGGCAATCCTTTCTGAGACGGAACGCATCATCATTCGCCCAGCGAAGGGAAAGGCATTCGAGACTATTGAAAGACAGCTTCGGGACTGGCAAGAAGGAAAGATCGGCGAAGATGCTTTGGAGAACACCTTTCAAGCGAACATGGCAGAGGTTCGGCTGGCTCGACAGATGCAAGACACCTGGATCGCGTCCAAGAATGCCGGTCAAAATTCACGGAAGCGAAAGGCAGACGAGGTCGACAATGAGGATTCTACAGGACGGTCGAAGACACCTCGTTCAAAGTGAGGCTGTGATTGGTTTGCCGAACGAGACATGATGCACTACCTAGGTAGCCACTGTACAGATGGAGGTGTCAACACCGGAAAGGGCTAAATGTTGACAACAGATTACACAGGTGGCTTTAACACGCGCGGAAGCCAAGGCCTTAGGCGCTGATATTGTATGCAATCAGATCTCTTCTCTCCCTGACCTGGCAACAGCATCGCCTCATGTACTTTGGCTCAACACCTTCGCTGTTAGTCTCACCACCATGGAGTCTTGATCAGTCCGCTTTCTGATATGATGAGCCCGGTAGAAAGGCGTATGAGCTAGCTTGCAGCTTTACGTATCATCTCCATGCGCAGCGTACAGAGAGCTTATGACCATCGTCTTGCCGAGTCAACATTCTTCACTCTGCTTACTATTTCAATGCTCACCTCAGATTGTAGTCGCCGTTCTCGCAAAGCAAGAGCACCTACGTCGAGGCCTGCAATCCGCTTCACCACACTTCGCTACTTGCCAAAGATATTCCAGCTGCCTGCAGGTTCCAGCGACGATGAAGAGGGTGGGCACCTTGGACTCCAACAATACTGCCGGGGATCGATGTTGTGTCCTTGTATGGCTCTGCGCCAGTCACTGCCCCTTTTTCCTGGGAACAGGCATCCCTACAAAGTCAACGTCTGCCTTCGCTTCCGCTACTCATGGCCAACTTCTCGTCCCAATCTTGCAGACAACCCAAAACACAGCCACAGAATGACCTCGTCTCCGCATGTCCTTACAATGTGTAGATGAAATCAGGTCGCTTGTCACCCAACTTCTCAATCTCGGCTTCACTCTTCCCTTCAGCCCAGTGATCACGTTTGCCATTCCGACGTTTCGCGTTCTCACGGCGGAGAAGAATGTGTTGAAGAATCGACCCTCCGAGCAGGAATAATGCTTCGTATGCCAGCACAACAGCGTGGCCTGGCTTGTACCGCGGCTTGTCTTTTGCGCGATAGATGTTGGACGACACAATACCTGTATGGGTAGATTAGTATGGTTTCACGTTTGAGGCTGCTCACTTTCAAGGCTGATATGCTTACCGTTGAGGTTTCCCCATCCAATAATGAATCCTAGTGAGATACCACGCTTGTAGACGCCTTCAATGTTATTCGCAGCCCAGGAAATCGTGTTGGGGACACAAGGATAGATTCCCATTGCTCCAAGGAAGACCCCAGCGTATTGAATATGCGGCGAACCCGATCCAAGCAACATGGCGAATCCTGCGATTCCGAACAGCGCCATCACCATGTTACAGTAGCCTTAGATTGTTAGCCAGGCGATTCCAGGTACTTGGCCTGGAAACTCACCTCTCCAACCTGTTCTATCGGCAACGAACCCAATGAAAATAGTCACGACCGCGGCGACAGCATAAGGTGGAACGCTGAGAAGCTGAGCATGGATGCTCTTGTAGCCCATTTGCGCAACAATTGTAGGGAGGAACAAACTGAAAGCGTATAAAGCTCCATCGCATCCCATGTAGATGAGCATGCCGGTCCAAGTTTTCCAGTCTTTCAGACTGGCCCAGAAGTACTCCATCTTGAACTCTTCATGTTCAGCACTCGACTGTTGATCGAGTTTCAAGCGTCGGATCACTCGGCGACGGTCGTCGTCGCTAAGGAATCTGGCGTCATCCGGGAAGTCATGCACCTTTTCCGTCAGCGTAGTGCCTCACATTCGAATGAAACATGCTTACCATAAAGAATGACAGGAACGAAATGATCACAGTGAAAAGCCCCTCAAGGATGAAGATCCAAGACCAGCCGGCCTTATCTGCCACTCCATCCATCTGTGCGCGCTTAGAATCCTATCCCTGCCCGTCTTGCCCTTTCGAGATCAACCACTTACATTTTCAATGGCCGCTGCCAGCAGTCCACCAAATGATCCAGCAAGAGCCGCGGCACTGAAGAAGATTGCTGCACGAATGCCGAATTCTGATCTGCGATACCAGCAACTCAGATAGTAGTTGACGCCTATGGGAATGGTCAATATGTGTTTTAGCCTCGAAACGGCGGCCAGGTTGATTTACCAGGAAACAATCCAGCTTCAGCCAGACCCAGAAACCATCTCGTAGCCAAGAGTCCGGAATAGTTATGCACAAGTCCCATACATGTCATTGAGACGCCCCAAAGAAACATGATCGCGGGGAGAAAAATGGAGGGTTTGAACTTCTTCAGGAGAACTTGAGTGACAGGTTCAAAGACGGAGTAAGAGATGAAGAAGATTGTCAATGTGTTGTTATACTGGTTGTTGGTCATCTTCAGGTCCTCTTGTAACCCGTCGATTTTGGCGTTCCCGATATTCGTTCTGTCAAGAAATGCAATAAGATACAAGAGCGTGAGCCATGGAATGAGTTTGAGATCAAGCTTCCACAGCAGCTTGCGATCCTGCAAATCGGGTTATTAGCGTCGACCTAGCACATATCGCACAAAGGGCATACTATATGTCTTCTCTCCTCTTCGCTCAAACCCTCATCGGGGTCAGCAATATTCAGGACCGCGACCGGAGCACCATTCTCCAGACGTTTCTCGCTCTCAAGCGGCGATTGACTATGGTCAAACTCGGAAGGCTTCTCCGTGGGCTTGTCCATGTTGTCAAACGATTATTGGCACTATGTGTTTGATGCGTCGAGGTTGAACACACGAAGAAGGACTGATTTGTTCGGGACGAGAGAATCAAACAAACCTGCAAGAAGGCCGGAGGGACGGTGACACAGGACGGGTACTGCGACCTGGAAGACCGATGATCCATGCTGGCCGGCACTTGTGGCCTTTTGATTGTAAGAGCATCATCGTAGTCGAAATAGACAGAAGACGTCAGGCTAGGCATGGTAACGCAGCAGTACCCCTGCTTGGTCACACGCACCTTCCCCTCAAAGACTAGTTGCATGGCCATGGAGGGCGGAGGATTGATGGGAAGAAGGAACTGAATGGCTGGGGGTGACGGGGCTTTCTTTTAGCTAGCCATTGAGGTCTTCCAAGACCATGTGCCAAGTGTTTCTACCCCTCCGGGGTGGGAAGTTTACATGGATGGTGACAGTCATGTGCGGTGGTTCAGATCGACCGCATAACCGGCGGAAAGCATCGGCCATCTACCGGGAGACGCCATACGGTGTCGACTGGGCGCCGCCCATGACTGCGGCCTTGATTTCCAAGCCTGTCCCTCCCTGTCGGGCAAGGGCCTGCGCTAGAACTTTTGATGCGAGGATATCTCGTCATCCACAGCCGGCCGTTCTGCTGGTCGAATCGCAGTACAGAGATATGGTGGCACGATTTTATCTCGCTTGGACGGGAAAAGGGAAAAAGAGTCCCTTGCTAGACATCTGACTGGTTGTTACTCCGGACTTTTACCCGGAATTGTCACTTCGGCATGGGATGAGCTTCGAAAGCTTTTCAATCATTCTTCGACCTTATGCTCTTTCCCGTGTCCTTGTTTTCTTTCTCAATGTCTGTCGACTTCAATACAGCAGGATTGCAAGTTAGAAGACAATGGTCACCGCGCACCAGGACTGTTCTCATGTTGCCAATGTCATCCTCAACTGGTCCATTTGTGCTGAAACAGGTCGTGCCAGCAGCAGAGGACGCTTATGAAGCCATCATGTGACTTCCTCGTGGGTAGCGACGAAGACGACGGAAGAGTTGCAATTCTGCGAAACAAGAATCATGTTGATTTGACAAGTGCACGGACCATGGCAACACCTAGCACATTGCTCTTATGCCTGCGTATAATGTTGTCACACTTCCACAGTGCGGTGAGTGAGGTTATCGTGTCGACACATTGGTCTGCTTTGCATTCTGCGTATTGACATCTGCTATCCGACGACTTTGCTGTGGGTTGCGAATGTTGAGGATGGACACCATGTTGAAAGGTGCAGAAGACGGACTCGGACCTGATGACCAAACATCATGATCAAGGACCATGGCGGTGATGGATAATCCGCTAGCTGGAGAAGCAGTTCATAGTAGGAGAAGTGAGGTGAGTGAGTCGAGGTGCGTAAGAGTCGTGCCTGCACTTCACGACGGAAGAAAAAATCATCGTTCTTTCCCTCTGGCTTGTTCTCTGACACCCTCCAACAACATCGTCTGTGTCTTGTCGGCCACCCTTTCAACATATTCAATCTTGATTGTCTCTTCATGGTCACATTCCTTTATCGTTTCGTTCACCTCATTTCATCGCATCATTGAGATCACCCTCTTCAATGCCTCCAACCAAGCCTTCTGAGCGTCTGCTCACATATCCTCCCATGGAGCGACAAGACCTCAACCAGGCCCAGCTGGGCAGCTTCAAGTTCACTCCGGTCGACAACATTCATTCTCTCACTTCCATCGCAACCAAGTATCTGAACCAGCAGCTTGCTCAAAACCTCGCTAAAGCTTCTATGCCCAAAACTTCAGACCGCACCCTCAACGCGTCTTTGGGACACAAAACTGCCGACGTAGCCACTCGGATGCTCGATCCTCACAATCATCCTCTTCCGGCTGATCCAGAGTTCTTCAATGCACATATCAAACCTCACCTTGGTGAGTCGCGCTTACAGTTGGGTCCTGCTGCTCTGAGATCGGCTGTAGAGGGAGCCGCCAGGAGTCCTGCAAAGAGACCTCGTCTGGAGTTTGATGGTATCCAGGTAAGTTCCTCTTCCCATCACAACCCTAGATATCAGTCACCTCTGATAGCCAACCATTGTCAACTGACCAAGTACATAGGCAAACACTCTCTTCCAGGATCAAAGTCCGAACATGGACCCAAATGCTGCTTCCTTTGTACCTACCACAGCCATGTCCAGCCCAATTCTCCCCGCGGCGTCTGTCAATGTCACTTACCCCGACTCTTCGACCGTCAATCAGTCTTTGTGCTTGGCCTTGGTCAATGAACAGCAGGCGCACAACTCGACCAGACTTGCACTGACCCAGGAAGTCCAACGTTGCCTGGGGTTGGAATCACAGCTCAAAAAGAATCTGCAGCAGATCTCTAGCTTGACTGCCACCGTGAACAACCTGGGCGCCATCATCAAGTACAACGTAAACAAGGACGGTGCGACCAAAGAGGAGACCAGGAAGAAGGCACATTCGTCGAGCGATGTGGAGGATGCGGATCTGAAAGCATTCTACCGCAATCATCCACGACTGAGAAGGAGTGAGGAAGAGCGAAAACTTCATGATGCGATTCAACGACAGATGGACGAAGTCGAATCAAAAGATCCATCAACAACAATCATAACAACTGAGCCTGTAGCCGCGGCGCCAAACGTGGTGAAGCTCGACGAGACACAGCTCTTCAACCTGGAATTGTTGAAAGACCCTAAATTCGACGATTCACCAGCATCGGCTTTGCGACGCACCCTTCGTAAACACTTTGCTATCGCCGACGACAACAAAACCCAGGACAAATCACCAATAACTCCTGTCAAAGCAACAGTCAACGGGAACAAACTCATCGACATCTCGCCTGAATCTCCAGAAGGAGGTCAAGATAAGATGGATAAGAAAGAACTCGCGAAAGGCTCAGGCCTCAGGGGTGGTCACAGTGATAACAACAAAGAGGACGAGATTGGAGTAGGTGCACCTCAGGCACAGACAAAGCCTCGTCTTCTGGTAAGATTGCGTTGTACTATACAAACGATGTGATTACTAACCATACCAGACAGCCGAAAACCCAGTACTTCGACTCGTACGGCCACCTTGCTCTTGTCTACACGTTGAACGATTCACTGGCTTCCACATAGCCAGCTTCGTTTCTCGCAAAGTATGGAAGGAAGTCTTCCTCGGGAGAAGAACCACTGCAAGACCAGGTATGTCACGAAATCCCCAGGACACTGCCGAGCTGACATACTATCACCAGTCAAATCAGCCGCAGGTTGGAGCGAATATTCCTGACATCACCAGCCTCCACGTGTCGACTCTAGGGAACGTCGGTTTTGAAAACGTGAACGCCAATGACAGAGATGAGAAGCCGGGAATGCAAACACGTGGTGTCGAGGACGCTGCTACAACCCCCACTGCTGTGGCATCTTCCGGTTGTGGCCCATCAGGACCTGTTCGTCTTACTGTCCAGCTTCCCAGCCACTTCGATGGAGAGCCGAAGTGGTTTGTCAACAAGAACAAGCCAATCTTCGCCGATGACGCCGAGCTTATGGAAGCGGTCGCGGGCGCAGACGCAGTCTGGGTCAGGAACAGCCCGTTCGTCGAGCACCCAGTTCGATACCTGCCTGAGAGTGCCGCCGCTACGCCAAACGCATATCGCACCGTCATGGTCGATCAAATTCCGCTCAACACTACGCTTGAGGATGTTCTGGCCGTTGTCCGCGGAGGATCGTTGGAGTCCATCGAGCTCCATGGCCCTGTCGGTCGAGCAACTTCCTTCATGACCGCTCGTATCGTCTTCAGCTATGAAACCGCGGCGAACACCATGTACAAGCAACAAGAGAAAGCTCCGTTTGAGATCAACGGCGCGACTGTCCGTACCTGGAAGCCTATCGATCCGACATACCCTTGCAATGGCGAAATTGAGGAAGCGATCTACGGCGATGAGCAAGCCACGAGGATTCTGTTGATTGGTAACATCAACGACGATGACTACTCCGTTATCCCACTGAAGCTGGCACGCCTCAACCTTTCTGGCAGAGTGATCGAGTACAGTTGGACTCACGACGGTTATGGCTCCCTCGAGTTCACTGATGTCAAAAGTGCATACAAGGCCATGAAAGAGTTGAAGAGAGATCGGGACCTCGTTGGTGCAATCTTCCGTTATGACGATGACTACACTATGAGTGACTATTAGTCGGATCAGCGACGAGAGAAAAGACAAGCGATCCACTTGCGAGCTGCTTTGAGGGTTGAGATGTGTGAAAGTTGGCATAGGCATACCGCAAAAACAAGCAACATTATCGGGTGAGCTCGCCACCACCAGGCACGAGCCTTAGTCCTCAATGATAGCACTATGAATAGTGGCACAGCCTTAGGATGGCAATCAGAGTCTTTATTTGCTTTCGAGGGCACCAAATCACACGGAAGAACGCTTGAACTTTTCCACGGGTCGTACCTCATCGTGACTCAGCAGTAAATTGTGGCTAACCCGATGAGACTCTCTAGAAATGAAATTGCCGCACGCCATACATAGACAAGGTCTATCCAAAGTGGAACAAAGTCTCGCCCTTCTTGGACTTTTTCCCTTTCTTCTTGCCCATGGCTTCGCCAGCACCACCGGCTTCACCATCATAACCTGCAGCAGCCTGTGCCGGGGTTGGTGCTGATCCGCCGTTGCTCCAAGCATTCACTGGCGTGGCTGTACCTGAGCCAGCAGGTGAATTGTGGCTCGATCCCATTAGCCGCCCGGATCCACGGGTATAGAAGCCTGCCATCAAGGTATTGGGTTTTGCAGCCGCGGGCAACGACGGGAACATGTCCTCCGTCTGTCTGGGAGGCGGGTTGTTCCGCGTCGATGCGCGGAGCTGTGATGCCGAGGTGACCGGAGCAGGCCGACTTACAGGCGTGGCGCTGGGTGTCGTGTTATTGATCTGCGGTGCTGGAGTATTGCTCCAAGCAGCTTGCGACGACGGCCCCGTCTTGCCACCCGGTCTACCGTTGGTAGCTGACAGGGCAGGGAACGGGTCGCGACTTGTGCCTGCGGAAAGGGCGTTACCCCATGATCCTTGTCTCGAGACGGCAGATCGAGACGACTGCGCTGTGCTTTTTTTCAACGTCAAGACACGTCGGCCAGTGGTTGCGCTACCACTGCTTACGCCTGGCAGTGTGCCGCTTGGACCGGGTAGGCTGGGATAGTCTTCGTTGATGCTACGCCAGTTGTTCCACGCTTCGAGCAGGGATTGGCGCTTGGTGTCATCGTCGTACAGATCGGCGAGTTCGCGGATCAATTTCCCCAGCTCGGTGCTGGGGCAGTCGAAGAGCGAGAAGAATGAGTCGATCAGGTCGTTTGCGGAGGTGGTGCCGCTGCGGTATGCGGAGACGTGGGTGCGGAATTGTGAGAGTTTGGTTTTGTCGTTTTTCAGGAGAGTTGAGGCGCGGTCCGTGACGGTTTGATGGCGGACGGCGCGTGCTTGTTCTTGAGGAGTCAAGTTGGCGGGCGACGGGGTGGAGGAGTCTAAAGTGAGGTTTTCGAGAGTGGGTGTGGAGGGTCGTGGTTGCTGTGCAGTTGCAGGATGAGCACGAGGTGTTGGTGCAGCTTGTGTGAGCTGTCCGCCGAAATTTCTATTGGACACAGATTGAGAACTGCTGATGGCGAGTTGTCTTTGATATGCAAGTTCAGCCCGACCGACAGGCTGGGCGCTGGACATGGGTAGTGGCTCTGCGTTCGGGTCCCGCCCTCTTCCAGCGCCACGACCTTCTCTTTCTCTGTCTCTTCCGCCGCCCCGACTTTCTCTCTCTCCACCACGACGTTGTGGTTGATACGGTGTTCGAATATCGAACCCAGAAAGATTGACCAGACGTGCGTCTCTGCGGGCGTCCTTGGACAAGCCGTTGGGGTGCTCTGACAGTTGGTGAGCTTTCAGGTCCATCTCTGATTCAAAGACGTTGGTCTTGTTGGCTTGACACTCAGCGTCTAGACAGACAAAGTGTACTGCTTCGAAGTGCTTTTCCAATTCTTGATAGTTCAGGTAGTACTGCGGATTTCTTCCGCCATTTCTTCGGTCGCAGATGTGGCATCTTTCGTGTTTCTCTCTGCAGTGGGTGTAGAGTTCGTCGTCCCCGTAGAATCTCTGCTTGCAGAAGCCGCACTCCGGATGTCCTTTAAACCCAGACTGGTCCACTGCGCCAGGGTTGTCGTCCCCGTACTTTTCGTGTTTTCGAAGTTCCCCGAAGGTAAAGAGTTCGTGCTCGTGGGTAAACACTTTCTTGTTTCTCGTGCATAGGTCGCACATCATCTTCCCGTGCTTGGTCTTGACGTGTCGATGCAGGTCGGGCCATCCTAGACAGGCAACATCGCAGTCCCTGTCTGGACAGTTGTATCGAAGGAGGAGGACTGTATCTTCCAGTATGACGTCCTTCTCGTATTTGATTCCCAAGTTGTCGTCAAGCTTGACAAAATCGTTGTCATGGAATTCCTCGAATCGTTTCTCCGGGTTGTCGGTGAAGATCACAAATGGCGCCTCTGTCTGAAGGTTGTTAGTCTGGCTTCTGTCTGCACACTGTTTGGATTTCTACTTACTCTGCAATGAGCACACGCGCGTGTCTTGTACAGTGCCCTTAACCTCAGGGAACAAATATGGCATGTTTGGTGGTTGCAGGGTGCAATTGAGACGTGCGCGATGGGGCTCGCACATATGAAACACACCTCGCCTTCCTCCTCTTGTTCGCTGGCTTGAGGTTGAGAGCCACTTGAGTCGCCTATGGGTTTCGAGGCAGCTTCGGTTAGGCGAGCACCGAAGCTGCCGCCAGGAGGTTGGCCAGAGCTGCCTTGCGCTGCGGGCTCAAAAGGCTGGGGTTGTGATGTGGCAGAGGAAGTATTTTCTCGATCATGGCCATTGCCATTTCCCTGGCCTCTTTCTCTGCCTCTTCTTTGACCTCGATTACCTCTGGAACCAGCACCGCGACCACGACCATCGTAGGTGTTTTGAGACCCGCCGCTCTCAGACTGATTCGGCCGACCGCCGCGCTCACGGTTCGCAGAGGGCCTGGAGGACGGACCGTCGAGACTACTACCTGGCTCAGACATGATACGATGCGCCCCGGTGGGAGGAATGTGTAGTAGTTCACCAAGATTTTGTTGCCGTTGAGCTGTGATCAACGATGACTTCACTGACCAAGACTCCAATTTGTTATGGGTAGCGGGACAAAAACTCTCAAGAGTCGTTGTGGGGTAAATTATTGTCTGATTAGGCTTTAAGATCGATCGCCAGCAGAAAGCGATCTTCAGGGACAAGACCACCTGCGGTTATTTGGATGACTCTTACACATGAGCTTGAGTCTTCAGGTCATGGATACCAGCACACATAATTGCAGCGCTGTTGTCACCATGTGAGTCACGGGTGTACGGTGCATTTGCCGCTGAAATGGCTGAACAAGAAGGATCCAGAATGAACAGCCAGTGTTGGAACACATTTAGTCAGCAAGGCTGTCCCTCCTGAAATGGTCATTAGAAGCAGAAAACTATCCGCTGGAGCTCTATACTGATAGCATTCATCTGCCGAACTTTCACTGCCTACACCGGCAATTGCCCCAAGTTCGTTATCTCGCTCTCAACCCTGTTGTCCGTTTGTAGGTATTCAACGCCAATCTCCATTGTAAGCTCATGCCGCTAAAATAAATCGGGTGGCTACCTTGAATCGAAGTAATAGGCACATCCCAGGCCCAAGCAATTCTTTTCCGCATTCGTAGATCATTCGTCAGGGTTGTACATTTGCTGAGAAACTAATTTGGTCATGGTGAACATATGGACTTTGTCTTGCCGAAAAACCTCCCGCATCTTCGAGTCGCAGAGAATGAATCGTTTGTCACTAGGGTCTTGCAGATCATTTCCCTTGATATATGCCCATAACCTCTTGGTTGTTTCAGGACGTGATAGCTGTTTTGACTGATTAGCAAATACTGCATTACAAGCTATACACGAACTTACTTGTGTTGCTCCATCGAGCAAGTTTGACAAGGCTGGTGAAAGGTTGAGTGGTTTCTGCATCTAGGTTAGCCATGATTGATGAAGAGAGCAGGCTGACGCACGTGGAACCCTGTCTCACGCTTCGGCTTCTGCGGTTTGTCCTCGTCGTCGATATCGGAGTCGTCGGAACCAGTGACCTTCTCCTTCTTCGTCTTTTTCTTCTTCTTGGCAGGTCCTGCCTTCCTAGTCGTACCGCCGCGCGTTGGACGAGCTCGTGCATCTTCCTCGGCCTGGAGACGAGCAGCATATGCTGCGTCGGCATCAACACTGGCCTTGCGCTTCTTCTTTGGCGGTGCATCTGCTACATCAGAGACACTTTCGTTCTTAGCTTCACGTTTTACAGGCGACCTTGAGGGCGAATTCGGTGTGATCGCATGGACACCATTGGTCTTTGGTGCCGGTTCTGTCGGCTCGACCGAGGGTATGACTGTGGCTTCTCCATTCTCCTTCGCATTGATGACATCGAATCTCTCGTTGATTAAGAACTTGATCGCCACCTGTGATCCATTAACGCTCAGCCACCTCTTTGATGCTGTGTGAGACCAACCTTATGCGGAGTAATATCGTATTCAACCTTGTCCTGGATCCCCTTGATGATATCTTTCCTCGTAATAGTCGTGAGATCGGCGCCGTCAAGAATTCCGTCGATGATGGCGATGTACTTCGCGCGAACGTCCGAGGGTACTTTTGGTGGTCAGTAGAATGAATAGTACTCGTTGCGTGACACTCACATGACATGATGACGACTATGGCTGGGCCAGTACACAGGCAATTGAAAGACAATTGCAGTTCCAGCAACGTCAAGTCCAAGAGTACAAGGTAACGGTGAGATCAGAGTCAAGTCATAACCATCCGGTCAATGCGACACAAAGGCATCAGAGATTGGCGCGTGCTTGGAGAGGCCAATGGAGAACCAAGTCTGAGGGACAGTCGGCTACTTGAGGATATGAGGGTGACAGGTAACTATAGAGGGCGGAAAGGGGACTGATGTGTTAAGAGGACTTCGAGTAATATCTGGGGAAAGACAGGCATGGGCCAGCAGAGGTTTCAGCACAATAAACATATGCGCTCAGGAAGGAGATCCGGGGTTCAGTGAAGCGCAACTAGAATACACTATTGCAGTCTTGAGTCACGCCCGAAGCACCAGAAAGCAGTCAATGACTCGGTGACTGCTACGCACGTGATCATTGCCTGCGATTCTTTCGCCTGCTTGGCGCTTTTTCCACAATCGACTGGCTTGTGGCCGGCACCAAGATCCCATTATTTGATGCCGGGCGACGACAACATATAACGAGAGCTTGTTGTCGAAATCGAGCCTGTCAGTCCCATCCTTCGTCAATACCGCAATCATGGCTCCAGGATTCGATCAGCTCTCCGACCATGACTACGACGATGACATCGAAGACATCGACTTCAGCGACCTCAAAGAAAGATATGATGTGCGCATGGAAGAAGGACTCGATACTTTTGTCGTATGTCTGCTGTTCGACGACATGCCAGCTGGTCTCCTGCTAAGATGAATAGGTCGTCGATGGTCTACCTGTGGTCAACGAAGAACAGAAATCAAAACTCATCAAATTCCTGTCTAAGAGATTAAACTCAGTGGGAAGAATAAAAGATGGCGAAGAATCTATTTTCATGCCCATGAACGACCAGGGCAACTCCGAAGGGTACGACTCCATGCTGCTCTTGATAGCCAGGCTACTAACACCCTTGCAGCTTCGCATTCGTCGAATACCAGACACCGGAACAAGCGGTGGCCGCCACCAAGCAACTCCACGGCGTAGCCCTTGACAAGAAACACACACTGGCAGTGAACAAGCTCACCGATATTGAAAAATATGGCAGAGAAGGGAGAATCGATGAAGAATACAGCCCTCCTGAGATCGAACCATTCTCAGACAGAGAGCATTTGAGATGGTGGCTTTTCGACCCCGCTGCTCGAGACCAGTTTGCCATGTTTCGTGGCGACAACGTCGGTGTATATTGGCACAACAAGAAAGAACCCCCCGAACCTATCGTCGACCGAAAACACTGGACACAGTTGTTCGTATCCTGGTCTCCGCATGGAACATATCTTGCTTCAGTACATCAGCAGGGTGTACAGTTGTGGGGCGGGTCGTCATTCAAGAGAATCAAGCAATTTCCCCATCCTTTTGTCAGCCTTGTCGAGTTCTCTCCTGGCGAGAACTACTTGACAACCTGGTCCCATCAGCCTATTGTTGTAGAGGAAGGCAAGGGTCCGCTCACACTTGACGAGGAAGGCAAGCATATCATCATCTGGGACCTTACGACGGGCAAACCGTTGCGTTCTTTTGTTGCCTATGACCTTGCTCCTCCACCAAACATGGACCCCAGTGCTATCCCGCCAAAAGCCAAAGTCCAATGGCCCGCTTTCAAATGGTCCGCAGACGAGAAGTTTGTGGCTAGAATGAAGCCAAACGAGAGCATCTCCGTCTACGAACTTCCCCGAATGAATCTCCTCGACAAGACATCGATCAAGGTTGAAGGACTTGTGGAATTCGAGTTTGCACCCGCCATTACACAACGTGAAGGGGTCAAGACGTACGAATCACTTATCAGCTTCTGGACGCCAGAAATGGGCTCCAACCCTGCCAAAGTCACTCTTATGTCCCTTCCTAGCAAAGAGATCGTCCGGACAAGAAACCTGTTCAATGTCACTGATGCCAAGCTGCACTGGCAGTCGGACGCCAAATTCCTTTGCGTCAAGGTCGATCGCCACTCGAAATCCAAGAAATCCCTTGCTACGAATCTCGAGATTTTCCGCATCAAGGAGAAGGGTGTTCCCATCGAAGTCGTCGATAGCTTGAAGGACACAGTCATCAACTTTGCCTGGGAGCCCAAGGGTGACCGGTTCGTGATCATCACAGCAGGCGAAGCCGTTGCTGGATCAAATGTCCTGGCAAAGACGGCTGTCTCTTTCTTCGTACCGGAAAAGGTCAAGGGTGCAGGCACTGGTGCATTCAAGCATGCCCGTACGTTCGACAAGAAGAATAGCAACGGTATTTATTGGTCGCCCAAAGGAAGGTTTGTGGTCGTTGCCACGGTCAGTGTCCAGCAATTTTCGGACCTTGACTTTTACGACCTCGACTATGAGGGCGAGAAGCCTGAAAGCGAGGCCCATCTCAACGCCAACTTGATGCTCATGAACTCCGAGGATCATTATGGCATGACCGATGTAGACTGGGACCCCACTGGTCGATACGTTACGACCAGTGCTAGTGTGTGGACACATCAGGTAAGCTTGAGTCCTCGTTCGTCATAGGGACCCTGTACTGACAATTCATGATTAGATGGAAAACGGTTTCAAGATGTGGACGTTCTACGGCCAATTGCTTCAGGACGCACCGACGGAGAAATTCAAGCAACTTCTATGGCGACCGCGACCACCAACGATGCTGTCGAAAGAGGAGCAACGCACAATCAGACGTAATCTGCGTGAGTACTCGAAGGAGTTCGAAGAGCTGGACAAGGAGCTGGAAGAGGGCGCCAACCAGGCTGTCATCGATGCTCGACGGAGACTGTACGCGGAATGGTACAGCTGGGTGGAGCAAGAGAAGGAGCTTCTCCGGGAAGAGAGGGAGGATATGGGCTTGCCAGACCCGGATGCCGAGTTGGAACTCCAGCGTACGAAGAGTGCCGATGTGGAAGGAGAAAAGGTGGTCGAAGAGGTTGTGGAGGAGGTTATCGATGAGACCGAAGAGATCGTGTCGTAGATCTCTGCATCTCGCTCGAGGATGTGCGTGTGTCTATGGGCCATGCTCTTAGATGGGCATTTAGCATTGGATGTTTCTCAGCATGAATGGCATGTGTAGCACCCTGAGTGTGTGGTTGATTGTGGCTACGCGAAAAGCATCAAGCGCAAACAAGGAGAAAACATGAACATCGCAATGGTATGGGACAGTGCCGGCCATTGATACAAGAATACTGGATTCTGTTCAACCCGAGAGAGCGATTACTGGATAATGTCTCCTATTGTTCTTCCATACCACGCCCCAAACCCATGGAACCGTTGCTTGAAATCCTATGAACACAAAACTCCGCGCAATGCATATGCCACTTCGGCGCAATTACCATACGCATGACAAGCCCCTACTCCTAGCATGTGCTAGCGAGACCTCCATTGCAAGATCAAACAGAAACAACTGTCCAGAATGAAGCTCAAAGTCGTAGTTCGCTGTGCTCCTTCATGCCCTCTTCAACGTCTCTTAGTTGGTCAAGGTTGATTCGACACTCCTCCATCTTCTTAGACCAGTAGAACAAATCCTGGCTCGCTGCTGCATGTTTCTTGCTGCTCAAGGGCGCATCAATAGCATCGTACTTTTCCCAAGCCTGATTATGTTTGCGTTTGGCCTCTTGGAACTGGTCGGTAAGCAACTTCTTGACGTTAGCAAGGGCCAGCCATGGCGAGATCTTGGGTCGCATGGTCGGCTCCTCTAGCATGGCGTCTTTCATGAGTTGGGTGATTTGCATGGTGAAGTCGGTCTTTTCGTTTGCGATTGCGTGGGTAGCAACGGTGTGCGAGGCGTGCGTAACGTGTTTGGTCTTTTTGGCCGTCAAGCGTTGACAAACTGCACATTTGTCCACGTGTTCGGGATCGTGGCGGTGCAGGACATTCTGAGCTTCCTGGGAGACGAGCTGTTTTGAAGACTTTGCAGGATTGTTGACGGTAATGTCTGGGAGAATGTATGCTGAGGTCATATTCTCGTCGAGATCTATGTGACGGCGTCGACGCGATGTGTTTGATGCTGCGGTCGGGTCTTCGATCATGCTGTTCTCAGTGTCATTGACGGCCGGTTTGTAGTAAGAATGAGATTTGTGATGGCCATTCAGGCTGGGTCTGTGCGTAGGTCTTTTGTCGGTAGGAGATGCTGGTCTGTTGGCAGAGATGGGAGACAGGACTCGCGCGTCGTTCGAGTCGTTGGTCTTTGAGGGCTGTTGCGTTTCGGCAGGAGCTGAAGAGGCGCGTCCAGATCTCTTTGGGGACTCCATCGACCTACTGAGGTCGAAGAGTTCCTCCTCAACGTGCGGTGTAAATCTACTCTTTTGTGCAGGAGTCGAGGACTTCTGGGATACGGCTCGAAGTAATCTCAATTCAAGCAGAGCTTCGTCGCGCTCGCGTGTTATGGAGTTGATAGTCTGCATGGCTTCGTTGAGATCGCGTTGAAGAGTACGGAGGGACGCGATGATTTGCTTTTCGTCGGCTGGGATGCTGTAGTGAAATTGGACACCGGGTAGCGAGCCGTGATCAGCCATGATTTGGGAGGTATTGGGTATGTTGTTGGGTAGCATGATGGACTGGCTGTTCTGGGACTTCGATGAGACGGCTCTGCTAAAGCGCGTGGATTTTTTCTGAGGCCGTTCGGCGGGTGGAGAGTTCCCTGGTGTGTACATGACCTAGAGACGCTGTGAGTAGATGATCTAGTATCGACGAGAAGAGTGAATGTACTTGGTAGTCGCCGACAAATGCATCTATGGAGTGAATGCTGCTGTAGTTGGTACCAGCCGTCCCCTGATCGAATCTCGAAGGAGCCATGGTTGCAGTGTATGATGTTGGTGGAATTATGCTTGGGGGATCAATGGGTGATGAGTATAGAAGAACAAATCTTCGGTGTGCAGGTGTTGATAAACATCCATAACAGGAAATTCTCCGCTCTCCGAGTTTCAAAGGGGCAATCGACCCGCCATGTGAAACTATTCACTACTACTATTTGATCACCAGCAACCTGCGATTATTACTATTAGATTGAGATACAAGGTCTAGCACGCTGCTGCTTGCCCGAGTCCATGTGACTGGAATACATATTTCGAAATGTTGACCTTCTCGATTCCAGGTGCTGTGCTTTTGCAACGGTGAAGACGCGTGTCATACTGCAGGGCGAAAACTCAGATCGATGCTGTCTTGGGACATGGCAATCGAGCCATTCCAGACGGTGCAGACTGGCTACTGAATCGGAGGTGAAAGGAATGATTGTCCATGTCTTTCTCAAATGATGCGCGTGTACAAATATACTTCATGATATGCTGGACTTTGCTATCAAGCATACCATAGCCACAATGCTAATACGATAGTTCCTGTCAAAGAGGGTCTCGGTATTGTTCAGTCGCTTACCTGACCTATCGTATTCTGGAAGGATGAAATAATCAGCCTGCGTGGATCCTTGTTCGTGTCTCAAAGTGTTGCGAGTCTTTCTGATCTTGTCGTTGGTGCGTGGCTTTGCTGCGGGCGGCGAGCATGCGAGCTGACGCACTGGCAATGCAACTCCAACCAAGATTCCAGGGCCGCCTGCAGCTCGGTCCATCCACCATCTTACCTGCATTTTGTTCAGCCCTTGGGCAGAATATCTGACCTCGCTGCCTCGATTGCCAACATAGTACAGTGACATGATTATTTCTTATGACTTACCGAGTATTCTGAGTCAACTTGGACCGACTAATTCCCTCTTGACAATTGGTTTGCAGCCTACACAACCCCGCCTATCCGGCGCTTCCAGCCCAGTCTGACAACTAAATGTCCTGGCGGCGAGGTGGCTCTTGATATCCCAGCAAGCTGAAACCCTGTTGTACAGCCAAGCAACATGACAGTCCTCCCTCACAAATCACATAACGAAGATGGTACTTTGCGGAAATCCCAGCTGCGTTCACGACAGAATGGACCGCCGACAGGTGAAGGTGATGGAAGCGATGGAAGTGATGGAGGCGGTGGAGGCAGTTCAGGCTTCAGTGGAAGTGCTGTAATAATAGGAGTGAGTCCTGTGTCCATTTACGAAAGCAGGCTCCTGATCATGGACAGATTGTTGTCGCCGTTGTGTTCGTAATCACCGCCTCGATACTACTTTATTCGTTCCTGCGCAAATGGAAGCTCCAAGGGAAAAACCCGCGCTACATCCCTACCAAATTCTTGAAACAGAAATGGCAGGCTTGGAATCCAGGTGGAAAATACTCGGCCGTTCGCAACAGAGACCTTTCGTCCAGCAATACCGCTTACACTGGCAACAACATTCAAGCAGGCACCGGGGTCGACCGGAACACCAGCGTTAGAAGCGTCATCACTCTTCCAGCATACTCGCGTACCCCCAAAGAATCAGAAGAGGTCATTGGCCGTGAGGGTGAAAGAGCAGGTATGGATACGGTTGTTGAGTTTCCGGAGACCGTAGACGAACAGGAAGCACAACGTGAAGACCAAATGGAATCCTTGTACCAGATCCGCGTGGCTCGCCGTCGCGAGCTTGCAGAAAGGGAAGAGCGAAGGCGTGAGAGAAGAGAAGCCCGCGAACGAGGAGACAATGCTCGATTGGAAGAGCTGAGACGAGAATCCCGACAGCGGGCCAGTGAAAGTGCCGTCTCACTCAATGCAGTCGCGGACGTTTCGGCTGCGACACTCATCGCAGAGCATCAGTCACGAGGACGCGAGAGCCGAGTTTCGAGTGTTGCATACGGCTCACTGGGCCAGGTTCGACACGACGGCACCAGATTGCGAGCCAACAGCAACGAGTCCGAGCGAGGCGGCTTGTTGAGTGGAGCGGCCCCGATGGGCGAGACTGCAGGACGGCCTCGACAGTACTCGGATGCTACTTCGATCGGCAATCTATCACAACCGCGTACTCGAGAGCGATCTATCAGCGATCTCAGTGTATCCACAAACGGCTCAGATCTCATTCGCCAAATTACACCAGGCTCAACAGTCATGGACGACGCAGCACGCCCGCGAAGCTCACATAGTGAAGGACAAAGCGGTACCTCGAACTCCTCGCCTACAGCGAACAGGTACACGCCGGCCGAGAGTACTGGTTCTGAAGATGTTGGAGAATCACGAATACCGCCACTGGATGTGGCCGGTGGCAGTCACCCTCCAGCCTATGAAGTTTCGGAATGGGGTGATGCTCCATCATACGAGGCTGCAGTAGCCCGTGCTGCCAGCAATGCCGCTGCTCGAGCTTCCGGAGAGCCAACTAGGGTGTCCAGTAGCGCACCGCGGTTGCCGCAGCTCAATCTACCCATGATCAGCGTCTCTGGGGCCAGCGAGCCAAACACACCCATTCTTGGGTCGGAGGATCGGTCCCCATCATTACCGAAAGCCACCTCAAGTTCGTCAGAAATTACCGCCGACCTTCCTGGAGGCTTCCCTTCATGATCAGCAGAGTCTTCTCATCCAGTTCGAAGGGAGATTTCTTGACTCGAAATTCGTGAGCAGATGCAGTCAAAAGAGCGTCTAACCGAGACGGGTGTATTCCAATTGTATACCACGTACAATAGTATGAGGCCGACAAGGCCACAATGTTCTCTCATATCAATCACGTGGGCCATTTAACAGCTTGTGTGAGCTGATGTAAATATGAGGATATATGACTGAGATGTGTATTGAAAAGCGTGGCGTTGGGGGCAAGGGATTGTGTGAAAGTCGGACATGCAATGCATCCAAGCTCATTGCTATTGGATTAGGAAAACTAAGTGTGTGTGTTTCAATGAACGCCTTTCACCTGAATAAGCGTACAAGCAACGAGTTGGCTGTTCATGCATTTCATTGAAGCATTCCTGCGTATGCAGAATTCATGCTTTGATACATAGCTGACAAGAATCACCTTGCTATGGACAAATCATCGCCCTTGCGCAGGGAATTGAACAGCTTGATCAGCCCTGACGACTCTGTCGAAGGCAGGCTCTCTCTGACCAAAGGTGACGCCGGTAAATTGTTCCTCATTTTGATGCTTTCCGCGCCGCAAAGTCTTTCTTGGTGCCCGCACTTTATCGCACGATACCCTCGAATCGACCCTTGAACCACTTAACAGTGTCGTCCTTGTGGACCTGGTGGTTTCGGCCAACCTTGGCCTGGGCCCGTCTTCGCTTCGCAATTCTCGCACCCGGTCGTGACATGCAGCAGTAGAAGTCCATTCCGTAGATACCAATGGCGGGATCGTACTTGATACCCAGATCGATGTGTTCCGAGATACCGAAGCCAAAGTTGCCGGTCTCGCTGAAGTTCTTCTTGCGGAGTTCGTATTCCTTGACCTTGAGGCCACGCTCGAGGATTTCTTCGGCCTTGGGGCCTCGGACGGTGACGTGGACTGCGATCTTTTCGTTACGACGGATACCGAAGGATCGGACGGTGTATCGGGCCTTGCCTGTTGACGAAGTGTCAGTACGTGGTCAGCAATATCTGTATGGGATGCGATTCGTACTGTAGACGGGGGTTTGACCGGACAGTTGTTCCAACACCTTTGCAGCACGAGTGAGACGATCGCCAGACTCGCCGACCGAGATGTTCAGGACGAGCTTGTCGATGCGCAGCTCCCGCATGGGGTTTGAGCTCTTGTCGTTGCCTTCCGCCATCTTGAATGATTTATTCAGTGGTGGGTTTAACGAGTGCGACAGAGTCTTCAAGGTGATTGCGGTTTGGTTTGTTGGTGTCTGATTGAACTCTGTGTGGATTCGCATCAAAATCGAGTCGTGCGCCAAAAACTGGTCTTGGCAGATTTGTCGGCGGTTGGGCACTAGTCCCGATTGGGCGATGGAGCTAGTTTTTTGAAAGCCTCGCGACCAAAGCATGCCCAAACTGCGCCTGGAGAACTTCAATTTGACACAACCACACCACTGCTATAAGCACATCAAACACACTGCTATTTCGAGCCTGCGGTTGCACTCTTCTCCGAGAGTCGCTGCAGCCATCGTTTGGCAGACGTAGTCAAGCTGCGGCTCTGAACTGCGTCGATATCACTTTTTTGACCCATTCAAAACACTTTCGTCTGGGGAGGTCAAGTCGCATTCGTGCGCAGAAACCGCCAGCATGGCCAACAAACAGGGTAAAATGGTGAGACATGGTTGTTTATTGTTTGGGAAGTCCGAATGCTAACATCGAACAGCAAAATCTGGTACGAATAATCAACGCTTCATGCGCCTCAAATGCATAAACTGACCAAGATACCAGATCAATTATCGCATGCGTGTAACGTTGAACGATGGTCGACAGATGACAGGACAGATGCTTGCATTCGATAAGGTACACTTTCTCCCGCTGTTTCCTTTTCGTTCACTTACTAATGTTAACCAGCACATGAACCTCGTACTCGCCGACACAGAAGAGTTCCGTAAAGTCAAGCGCAAGCAAAACCGACCATCTGCGCCTGCAGCACCCGGCTCAGCAGCAGCGACCGTCGAATCCGAAGAGAAGCGAACATTAGGACTGCTGATCTTGAGAGGAACAAATATCGTCAGCTGCAGCGTCGAAGGCCCTCCACCGTCTGACCCGTCGTCACGTCTTGGCCAGTCCGCACCTGGAGGTGCTCCGGCGACTCTACAAGCAGGAACGGGTATATCAAGGCCAGCGGGACGAGGGTTGCCAGTCGGCTTAGGCGGCCCAGCAGCTGGTGTTGGTGGTCCGGCTCCCCCAGGAGGTTTTGGATTCCCGCCTGGTGGATTTCCAGGCGGCGCACCCCCGCCAGGATTTGGAGGAAGAGGAGGACCAGGTGTACCTGCGGCAGGTGGTCCGCCGCCGGGCTTTGGAGGACCCCCGCCAGGATTCGGTGGTCCGCCAGGTGGCCCTCCTGCTGGATTTCAGCCGCCGCCGGGCTTTCAAGGTGGACCTCCGGGACAAGGAAGAGGCTTCCCACCACCAGGCTTTGGAGGTCGCTAGATGTCGTCATAAGCTTGCGAAAGATTCGAGCTTTCTTAGGAAGGAGCTGGCTACCGCACGATGATACGCTCACGAATAAAACGGTCCGCAGCTCGACTATGTTCGCGCACGCGTGACCGTCACCAACCAGAGTGGCAGGGGTAACCCAGTGTCAGTGAAGGAATCTCCCCCGATCGCGGATGTTTTGCAGAAGGGCACTTGGAGGCATTCTTCTGGCCGAGAACCGTGACTTGATCGTCGTATTGTTGCTGGGAGGATTGTCGCCCTGCGACACCTGCCGGCCCTACGGCAGCATCAACAAGAGGGAACAGACACCTCGATTGGTCTGTTCAAGATAAGGAGCTCGTTGCAAGAACCGGCCCGCCACTGAAGAGTCCCTCTAGCCATCAAGGCCGAAGGTGCTGGGACATAGCTTGAGCCGGAGGGCTTGTGATGCAAGTTGATTAAAGAAGACAGAGAGCGCAAGGAGTTGAACGAGGCCGGTCTTGGGCTTTGTGAAGCTGAATAGCAATCTCTATCATGCAATCAAACTGTTTGCTATTTCAATGTTTACTGTTTAGGTAGTCTGCCACACTCTTCATCTTCCGGAAACCCCTCATTCCTCAGCCTTGCCACTGCCAAAGATGTATCCTTTCAATTTCCTTAGGAGTGCACAGTGTCGAACTTGAGTTGTGGGGAGCATGCTGGAACACACTTGCATACTGTATTTCTACATAGCGTGTATGTTCGTCTTTAGGTAGTAACTTACTATGATACTCTCCATGAGAACGCAGATCGGGGTCCAGCCCCAGAAAATTCAGCTCGTCAGGCTCTAACCACATGGGGAATATACTGGCTGTCACTGTGTTGTGATCATTTGGCGAGCTTGGTTATACGGTCACCTTTCTTTGTACACGCATTTCAGAAGAGGTCGCAAAGTGGCTAGTACATGTCCAGTAGGCTGCCCTCATGCCCTTTGCCGCTGGAAATAAGATGCGCCGCGAATTGCGAAGATGTTAACAGGGGTTGCGTCAAGGGGTCGGGCACTTCGGGCTCTTCGCGACAGCAGCGCAACTCTGCACACACACAGGGTTCGATCTGATCCCCGAGGGGCCAAAAGTCCCTCGTGGTTCCTGTGAGTAATCTTATGGAGTCTCAGGGGAGATTTCAGGCCTTCCATCTTAAGTCTGATGGAGGAGCCTACATCGCCTACTATAAAAGATAGCCACGCTTGTGCTTGATTGTGGCCAGACCTCTCACGCAAACACCGTACCCAAAATGCAATGATGGCATCAGACCCAGCCACCAATGTGGCCAGCAATATGGAGAAGGGAGGAAATCTCAGTGATCGTCTGCCAAAGACGTCCGTTAATACCCTTTCTTGGTCGGATGTTGGGGCCATTGTCAAAGACCAGAAGACGAAAAAGCCATTGCCGATCCTCAGTTCGAACCATGGTATCGCTAAAGCTGGCGATGTTGTTGCGCTCATGGGACCGAGTGGAAGCGGGAAGACAACACTGTTGAATGTTCTAGCTCACCGAACGTCCAGTATGAAAGGCGAGATCCAGGGAAAGATTATGATCAATGGTCGATCTACAACCACCACTGCTATTCAGAAAATCTCGACGTACGTGGAACAGGAAGACGCTATGATCGGCATATTGACCACGCGAGAGACCATCGACTTCGCTGCACGACTCTCTCTTCCAGCAAACATGCCTAAAAGTGAGCGACTAAATAGAGTGAATGAATTGATCCAGTCCTTCGGCCTACAACGACAAGCCGATACCATCGTTGGCACGCCTCTTCGAAAGGGTCTCAGTGGTGGACAAAAACGCCGATTGAGCGTGGCCAGTCAACTTGTGACATCTCCGCGCATAGTGTTTCTGGACGAACCAACAAGTGGTCTTGACTCGGCTGCGAGCTTCGAAGTCATGAAATACATCCGTGAAGTCGCGAAGCTACATCATTTGATTGTCATTGCGTCCATCCACCAGCCTTCGACAACCACTTTCCAGCTCTTTGATCAGCTGATGCTCCTTTCCAAGGGCAAAACGTGCTACTTTGGACCTGCCTCTGGTGTTGAAGCATATTTTGCGAAGATCGGACATGTGATTCCGTTGCACACCAATCCCGCAGAGTTTCTCCTTGATCTTGTCAATAGCGACTTCATACACGGCGGAGAATTTGCAGAAGGCCGGCTTCAGCATGTCCATGATTCGTGGACGGCCTCCGACGAGCGCAATGCCCTGGAAGCATCGATCGCCAACTGCTGCGACAAAGATGTTGGGACCTCCAACATCCCGACCATTTGGAAGAACCCAGTCTATATTTCCTATGTCCTCCTGCACCGCAACTTTATCAAATCATACCGCGATCTTATCGCATACGGCACGCGAGTAGCCATGTACTTTGGTCTGGCCATAATGATGGGTATGCAGCCTTTACATCTGCCCTTGGCTATTCTTTCCCAAGACTAATTCAACAATAGGAACTGTCTGGCTGCGTCTGTCGTACAACCAAACATCGATCCAACCATTCATCAACGCCATCTTCTTTGGTGGAGCATTCAGTAAGTCGCACTTTTCCGAGAACTTGGTACTGACCATGCCATGATACCTTTTCGAAGGGCATTCTTCCTTACGGCCAATTGTCCTACCGCTTCTAGAAGCTGACCTGGTGGGCATTGAATAGTGTCCTTCATGGCTGTCGCATACGTGCCTTCGATTATTGAAGACCTACACTCTTTCCGGAAAGAGCGAGCGAATGGCCTCTACGGTCCCTTACCCTTCACCATTGCCAATGCTCTGGTCGGCATCCCCTGGCTCTTCGCCATTTCCCTCATGTTCTCCATTGTGACTTACTGGCTGGGTAACTTTCACGCTACAGCGAGCGGGTTTTGGATGTGGGTCCTATGGCTTTTCCTCGACCTTCTCGCCGCCGAGGGCCTTGTGGTCCTGGTTTCCAGTATCTTTCCCATCTTCGTGGTGGCTTTGGCAATCACGGCCTTTGCGAACGGGTTGTGGATGAGCGTCGGCGGTTTCCTCGTGCCCATGAACACACTGAACGTCTTCTGGAAATACGTCTTTCACTATATCGACTACCAGGCCTACGTGTTTCAGGGCATGATGGTCAACCAATTCAGATCTACCATCTGGAACTGCGAGAAGTTGGCCTCGGGGTATCAGTGCATGTACTCCAGCGACCTGCAATCTCAGGGTCAGATCCGTGGTACCGCCGTCCTGGAAGCGTACAATTACCCGCACACGGACAAAAAGGTTGGGGAGTGGATTGGGATTATGTTCGCAATTATCATTGCATACCGTCTGTTGGGCTATGGTGCCTTGTCCTTGAAGAGGCACTGATTGACTAGCAGCCCGAAGCCAATTGGCCAATTCGTGAAGCCTGGCGCACAGTGGGCTGATCCCCGAGCATTGGCATGTCGTGTCTTTCCATCATGCATCCGGCGATGTATGTATCTTTCCCCATCGCGATGTAGAAATCGGCACAACACCTGAATGCTTACGACACTCCGGGCTGTTCTGCCTTGCGGAAGTGTATTGGTATCTAGGTAAACATTCGGCTTAATGGACCAGTCACTTCCTGATTGCATACGAACAACTCATGTCTTCCCTGGTTGTTGTGATAACCCCAGGATTGTCGGGGTCAAAAGGTCTCTTTCACTTATCTTGGTGATTCCTTATCAGTAGATGGGAAACACACCAACTTCCAGCTCTCTTATGGGGATGGATTATCTCCTGCGCAGAGGTTTGGCGCTTTATTTCTCGGCATTCACGATTCACGTCAAGCTTCCCAACTTTGTTCACTATCTGTATGCTATCACCATACAAAAGATGATCGCCACTCGACACTCTTAACGAGCAAAACAAACAAGACTCATCTGAGAGCAGGCTGAACTTAGTCGTCGCCCAAAAGCTGAGAGAAAAAGGAAGAAAATCGCCCTACTACGGAACCAATGCGTCTGACAGCCGAGGCGCCTCCATTCGCTGTCAAAAGATCTCCTAGTCTACACCCCCCTGATCAAAGTCAAATCAGTGCCTTTTCGAGTACATTGCTCAATTCCTTACATGGACTTCTCGGAGAACGAGCAGGAGAGATTGCACAACACAACAATCTGCCACCATCACACGTGGTTCTCGTTGACGAGAACGTACCTATATCTTGCTTTCCCCGCTTCAAGGTCTAGGATCGCCTTATTTGCCTGCTGCATAGGCAGGTTCGTGTTCCATGTCCGCACACCCTTCCTGGCGAAAAAGTCCAACATCTCTCGAATCTCTGAGGGACTGCCGATACTGCTCCCTCCCATTTTCGCCCCTTTGGCCGTCAGTGCAAATGCATTGAAGGATGGTAGCGATTCATCTGGTGAGCCCAGCTGGATGAACTGACCGTTGACCCGAAGCAGTTGCAGATACTGTGTCAATGGTAGATTGGCGGATGAAACGGTGCACAGAATTAGGTCGAGCGTGTTGGACCAAGTCTTTGCCCAATCTGCACCGTCCGCCGTGGCCACGAAATCAGTCGCACCGAGCTTCAACGCGTCCTCCTTCTTAGCCGATGAGCGAGAAATTGCGACCACCTTGTCGCATTCCAAAGCTTTTGCACCCATGATCCCGAAGTGACCAAGCCCGCCTAGACCTATGATACCAACGGTTTTGCCCGGTCCGGCACCATACTTCTTGAGCGGTGAAAAAGTCGCTATACCCGCACAGAGCATGGGTGCAGCAACGTCTGATGGAATGGCGTCGGGGATCTTGACCACGAAATGTGATGGACCTCGCCAATAATCCGCAAAGCCACCATAGGATTTGGCCCCCCCTGGGTAAATGCTATTATAGGTTGGAATCATGGCATTCTGGCAATAACATTCCATATTGTTCGAGCACTGCTCGCAATCAGGCTGGAGGCAAGACATACTCTGTGCGCCAACGCCGACACGGTCTCCGAGCTTAAGCCCGCCCTCGACTTTCGACCCAGCACGCACAACTATTCCAACGATCTCGTGTCCCGTAACGCAGGGGTATAATGTCGGGCCTGGAGCAACATCAGTCCCTATTCAAGTGGTGCAAGGTATATCAATGGACATGCATACCCCAGCCAGAACGAAGTGTATGAACATCTGAGCCGCACACCCCACAATGTGTGACCTTGATGTCTACATCGCTTTCTTCAAGTGGTTTAGGTTCATACTCTTGAAACACCATGTTTCCATCCACCGAGCTTTCATCCAGGCCCATCCATCCTCGGAATTTGTAGTCTGGCTCATGATGATCGTGCGCCATTGTGGTTTGCTTGCCGGCGGTTGCCGGCGGTCTTGACAGTGGACTGTAGGCTCCAGGAGGGTGTTAGCCCTTCACTCACAAGAGCGTAGGGTCGACTTCAGACAATGGGCACCGTAAGACGTTGGTCTACTTATTTCTTCTGAATCCACGCGGGCCACTAGTTTGCCCGAGGTCAGTCGGCCAGAGACTGCCTGGAGTCGCATCTTCGGGCCATTCTATGGACCAACGCAATTTACCCCGAGCCTGCCGCTAATTCTCACCCAGAGAACCTATATAATTCTCAGCAACAGATTAGATCAACCCCACAGGAGACAGGAGCTGTTTTTTCCGTGTGGTCGGTCTTACAAGACTTGGCAAGGAGGCATGCTCTGGGGGTCCGGCATGGTTGCCCCTGGGCACCCGGCCAGAATGCACAGGACCGGGTGTGAAGATCGCTCCGTACGCCTGGATCAAGCACTGTACATATTCTTCCTTCATACTTTAGAAGCCTCCTCAGTTCTTGATGCTTTTGACACAATTTCAGCACGAGCGACCAAGCAGTCGCAATTTCTAGTCGAGGAGGAAAAACTACTCGTACAGGCACACGAGTCTGCATGTGCCATGAGACCAAGAAGTCAGAACACAACATTGGTCTTAAGCAAGAGGTCAGTCCAAACAAGAAATGAAGCTCGATCAGTCAGAAGATCATCTGGCCCGATCCGACAGGTTCGCTGCAAGATCACTACGATTGTGGTTGCAGCCAAAAGAAAGTTTGCGTTGGATGGTACCTGGTTGTGCGTGGTCATGAAAATCCTGCATGTTAGTATCCCGAAAGCCCGCCCCTTACAGTAGTCTACTCTTGTTTATGTACGACGCACCTAAAGTCGGAATCAGCAGGAGGGTGACGAGATGACATTGTACAAGAGAGTCACGGATCGATATCGGGCGAATAATCGAATTCGCCCGTGAGTGAAATCGACCGTGCCAACGCCGAAAACTGGTCTTGGGTGCGGCACGCTCTAACTTAGGGATAGCGCCTCCGTGATACTTTTGTTCCCAAGGATTGCTGAGGACTGTGCGCCGCAACCCCGATCTGAGTGACCACTGCGATATCACCTCAAATCGAGGTCGAAATGGGCGTGGCGAGGGTGATTCTCCCGAGATTGAATGCAATACTACGTAGGGAACCTCTATCTGCTCACTTGTGTTCTGCTCAATGCTCATGGTCTGCTGCCAGGGTCCAGGGGCAGTGGTCAGGTCAGCTGCTGTAAACTCTACGAATAGTGGACTAGCGGGCGCCTCTAGGATCCCATAAGTGGCTAAGTTAGTTAATTGGAGCGGGTCAACATCGTGCAAGTGCTCGTCACCCCAGGCCAACCCCAGTGACTGACCCGCTTCCCATCTCAGATCCTTCCCAACTTTTATGCCAAAAGGACGGATCCCAATTTTCTTCTTCTGCTTCGTGTCTTGTGAATCTGTCCTGCTTGCTTTCATGAGTTACCTAGGTCGCGAAAAGTCTGACGGTAGCCATATCTTCGTGCGCACCTGCGCAAACCGATCACTTCACTCAGTTGATCCTGCCCAATTATGCCGCAGACGAACAATTCGCTTGGCGCGATCATGCTGGGCAATCATTCATCATATGAAAATGCGGATGAGCCGGCTCGGGCTGAGTACTCGTGCATGTTCTGCAAGAAGTATGTACCTCAAGTGACATACATGCTTGCATCTCACACACCGCTATCCTGGCATAAAGCAAGCTCCGTTGAAATTTACCGAAGAGAATGTTCGAGGCTGACATTGAATCCTCATCAGGAGAAAGGTGAAATGGTACGTCCGACAGCCCGAAGACCAACTATTGTAGGAACGATTGGCTGAGTGGATACTGCTCGATGCAGTGATCGAACGTTGCCGTCTTGCTCGATATGTCGAAAGACGCAGCAAGAATGCCAATATCCCTCAGACGGAGGTAAACCTGGGCCAAAGCTTGGTAAGTTCGCCCATGAAGTATTGCTCCCACTCATGCTAGTGCGCAGGTACTACGCGACGGAAAAGGCCCAGAGCCGGCTCAGTCGACAAGCAGTCCAGTCGGAAATCTACCCAGGAGTGCTTTACTGCTCTCGCGTCACACGAGCGCGGAGCCTCCAATGTGGAAGCAGTCACGAATGCCACTCTGCTGCCAAGTGTTGCAAATGCAGATAACGAGCCTGGTGCTGCTGCCCAAAGCCCAAGTCAAAAACCCTATGAGAGCTACCCACTTACTCCTGCCACAACACCACTCGACGTACGCACCTTGGCTTATATCATGCATCCTTCTCACGATACCGCTGCAATTTCTCCGCTACTAAAAGATTTCGATGGGCCAACGCACGGTACAGCAAGGTGGGACGTCGGCTCTGGCACTGGTAACAAGATAGCCCAGGCCTGTACTCTACTAGGGATTTCGAGACAGTCCCTTCAGCCATAGTATGTTACCCCTCGTCAGCACTTGGGAGCTCTCAGTTTGAAAAAGATGGTGCACCTTATACGCGTTGGACGAGTGGACACCAGGCTCAGCTCTGACATTTTTACAGTCTCAACCTCTACTTTGATAACATGACCGCATTCTCGCTGTTTCACCAGCCTTCATTTGGGGAAACGTTGCGAAACATTGGTTCTGTAACTCAACTGGCGGCACTGCTCGCTTCCATGCTTGCATTCTCCGCACGATTCAGATCAAGCACCGAAGAGTGTGTCCAGGCAGGGCAACCCGACAGCCTGAATGACATGCTCGGACGGCCACTTCCTCCATTATATTTCGAGAATTTATCGCAATTGTGCGTTGATAAGGCGCTGGAGGAGTATTCGGATAGCACCCCGTCTCTGCCTGTGCTACAAGCCTTGGTGCTGCTCACCTTTCAACAACTGATCAAAGGCGCTCGCGGAAGTGCTTGGCGGCGACTGGGTGTCTGCATTCGCGTCGCATACGAGCTCAATCTCCATCACGTTGACCGATATAACACCCCGGAGGAGGATGACCCCCAAATATGGTGTAAGATTGAGGAGCGGCGACGTGCCTGGTGGGCAATTTGGGAAATGGATGTTTTTGCCAGTATGATCAAACGCTGTCCCATTACCATTGACTGGACCGACCAGGAGACACGATTTCCGGTGCCGGATGATGACTGGTACCAATTACGTTTCAGCTCCAGCTGCTTTCTTGAATTGAAACCAATGGATCGGTTGAAAGCGCTGCAACAATGTGGCACGCAAAGCCCGAAATCTTGGTTCATCGTGTTGGATTCTCTCATGCGGGACGGTCACACCCTTTCCAAGTTCAGAAGCCCTCGGCCTGGAATAGGCAAACCAGGTTCATCACGCAGCACGTGGAGAACTCCTGACAAGGACAATAGTGAGACACTGGCTATTCTGAACAACACATTGCGTTGTTTCTGCATGGCTTTGCCCAAAAGTCTACGCCAACCAGGTGGATCGATGGCCTTTACTTCCACTGATCCGGCTGCAGTGGTTGCAACCAGACGGCTCCAGAGCGCGCAGTACAGCATTCACGTCACGATCCAACTCACGCGCATGATGCTTCACCATCAAGATGCGTACTACGGCGCCCAGCAAGATTTACAGCTTACTGACTCGAGGTTTGCCCAAGAACAAGAACGACGAGCGGCAATCGAGAATCAGTCGTTGAGTCTTCATCTAGGTCCAACGAGAAAAGGCCTCCAGCAATTCATCGAGGCAGCTGATGAGCTGCTTCGGATCGTGTCGTGCAGCTCTGAAGACCATGTTCGATATGTAAATCCTTTCCTTGCAAGCATCATTTGGTATGGTGCAGTGGTACATCTTGGATGGAAGATCCTTGCACCACCAAGCACGAATTTAGACTGGGTCGAGTCCAAGTTCGCGGTCATGCACATGATATTGGGCAAATTTGCAGAATTCTGGGATTTGCCTCGTGCACTGCAAGAAAATCTTGCGTCGGTAGAGGAGAAATTAAGCCTGTTTACCAGACCGCAAACTCGCAAGCTATCGCGCGGTTGGGCGGCCGTGGATGGGCACAGCAGTAAGCCTGCAACTGGTGCCAAACGGTCGGCAGGTTCTCAAGAATCATCCAGCGAAGACAGTTCGATGGGGCGTCGTGCAGCGGCAGAGTCTTTCCCAACGGGTCGACATGGTTCTCAGCCACTACAATCCTCATCAAAAGAAAATCCCAGTATCGCAGAGCCAGATCCCAAAGACCGGACGCCGTTTGACTTCGACCCGCTTGATGGGAGAGACTCGGGCGTTTGCAGCAACGACTACGTTCAGGGCGGAGAGCAAGCCTTCGAACCGGGCCTTGTACCAACTCTCGGTGGCGATATGCTTGTCAAAGACAGCAGCTTTGACAATGGTGAGTTCCTGTTCGACGAATCCTGTTTGATGGATATGGATATAGTTACCTCAAACGGGACATCTGCTTCTGTGGCACGAGAAAACAACCCCCTTCGGCCCGGGCTATGGGACGATTTGCAATGGGACATGAATTCCGCAACCGACCCAGGAAGACTTCTACTAAACATCATGGACTATAATTAGGACTCATTCGGATTTGAAGTACTGCTGGTAGCGAAAGGTTGTTATACTTTGTACCCTGGAAGGTTATCAAGCTTCACATAAATATCCCCAAATGCCAATGGTTCTGCCGTTATTGATCTTTCTGGCGATGAGAGCTTTTCGTGTTGTTTCGGTTACACGCGAACTTGAAAGTACCAATATCCCGCCATAGCCGTCGCACCAGTAGCAATGGCAAAGCTATAGAGGATTGCAGGGTTGAACGCCGCCTTGTTCGCCTTCTTTTTGATGGATCGAGCAGCTGTCGCCGTGGCTGCGGACTAAGAAAAGGTGTGAATCAGCGAAGCGCCTTTGAAGTTGAGGTATAACTGAGAGGTAAGGCGTGCGGTGAGGCAGCCACAGGAGTAACCACATGACACCAGGGCGGAAACATGCACACATACTGCTTGGTCCAGACGTCCTAGCAACAGTTCTTCCAGTTGTTGATGAGCTTCCTTAGAATGTCCAACTTCATCGAATGCCTCGGTCGCATCTTTTCCAGCGTAGTCATTGATCACTTCCACTCCACCTCTAAGCATGGTGTCCATCTATTAGCTAACTTCCACGCTCAACAGGAGTCTCTGGGCTAAAGCACCAAGATGATTGCGCATACACCCTGAAAGTAGACACTTACGGGTGCTCGTCCAGGAATCGAGTGACATCGTAAACGCTGTTCTCATAAATCAGATAGATATCGTCGTGCTGAGCATGTCGCGCCACCTCAGCGATTGTGAAATGCTTTTCCCGCCCCATTGCACCGTCCAGCAGATAGATTCGGTCGCAAGCACACAATATGAAATTACTTCAACAACATGCGACTATGGCGGCAACTTGAGTACAGTTGGTTCAAGAAATGGCGGAGTTGTAGTAATTTCACAAACGAGCGCTTCGTAAGACTGAAGCTGACAAATGGAATGAATGGGAGCACGCTTGTATTTGGCCATTCTCTGTTGCTTGTAATCTCTTAGACCATATGGGGTGGGGCACACCGTGGCCGAAGAGAAACCGGCTTGTCTCCATCCTCGGCGAAAATGGCTGTACTGATGATTCTCGGACGACTTAGCTGAGTACGGGTCCGTGTCTGAGGAGTACCGCGCCGGCTATGTCCATCAAGGACCGTAGGCGGGCATAGTCCGACAGACAGTATCAAGAAACCTTTGACGTGGTTTGCTTCTCCAATGAATCTCACCGCTCGCTCAAAGACGCAGACGCCTCGGTGATTAGCCCGCTTTATGTACAGATACTTTCGAAGTTGAACGAGGGGATAAACCTCCTCACATATGATCCCGTGTTTCCCTGATATGACTGTACTATACTGGTCAGGCATCGACGGTTCTGGTGTTGCTGTCAAACCAATATCGAGCCTATAACCCAGTCACTGACTGTTCTATATGTTACATCGTCTAAAAAGAAGTCTGACGATATCCCGATTTGACAAACGTTCCATCGCAAGCCGACTTCATTCGCTCTCTTACGTGATCTCGAAGACATCAAGGCAAGCTTCCGAACAGGGGACTCAACTCCACAACATGAGTAGGTATCACAAATTCTGCATAGTAATCTTTCAAAGTGTCAATGCACTGCTGAAACCCTGGCCTCCTCTCGAATACTTCATGATGTGCCTGCAGCACAGATATTAGCGGTGTCAATCTTGGGCAGAGGGTACCAATTCCGGCATATGAAGCACAAAGTAAGAACGGGACATACACTGTGAGATTTCCAATTGATCAAAAGAAGTTGATCTTGGGGGTTCTCTATGAGCGGACTAATCCACCATCCGTCGCACCCGGGCTCTGCATCGAGTACCTTCGATACCACTCGCCTAAAGCCGTCGTAATAGCCTGCTACTCCGCCCTCGACTACCTTCGTCAAAGCAACTTCAACGCAAGGTGACTCAATCACTGATCTGAGATGTGCCAAGTCGCTCAAGTCCCACTGCCCTGCGGGAGCGTGCTGCTGCCAGGTTATTTTCCGGCCCCTGAGTGCTGGCTGAGCGACACGATTGAAGTCATTGTATGAAGGTGAAGTAAAGAAGGATCGCGAAGCCGAGAGATCTGACCACAGCAGTAGCAGAAGGATCGTATATTTGTCCTCGTGACGACGCCCTTGCCAGGCAGCAACGAGACCAGGAGCGCCCGTCAGGATGGAAAGGGCAGGGGCTAACTCCTGGTCAATCTCTGCAGAGGTTGGGGTCGGTCGATGTGGGATCGTGATGATCTGGAGGATCGGAGTACTCGCAGAAGAAGACATTATCGAAGAGACCGACTTTGAAATGGTGCAGGTGATCTGGCTTCACTGCTTGAAATCGTTCACAAAATCTGGCTTTATGGCCTGTCCCAGCTCTTGTTCACAGCAGTGCAAGTTCGCACAATTCTACTACTTCACATAATTCTTGCTCCGTGGGACTGCTAGATTATCACTCAACCAGGGCGGGAACAACAGTAGTATTAGACCACTGATCCACCAAATTGTAGGCCAGCATTAGTAATCGTTAATGAATGGGTGGATTCGTCCGAGATCATGGCGCCGGAAGCGGTGTTGCAAAGACAAAACATGGTCCTGTGTGTCCTTCTGAAATGGCGGATCACGGAACTAGTCGGGAGTGATCAAACACCAAGGACATCCATACGAAGGTCTTTCTTACTGCTAATGCGGTTTCAGTTTCATCCCAGGGCTGCGTCGCTATTCTGTCAGGATGGCCCGTGACGTTGAGCGAAAGCCCGCGACCGATGCGGAGTCATTATTGATCCGTCCGTCCCATACGTCTCCGGTAGTCAGCACAACCTTTCTGAGTTGCAAGGACCGATAGTTGTAATTCTTTGTGTCCTAGCCAAACCTGACGGGTTTGTGTCGATCGCACTCTCGATGTTTGCTTTATGCCCGGTCCAGGTCAGCTGCGCAAGTGGATCTATTGTCCTGCTGCAATAGCATTATGAGCCTTGCTTCATGAAGGGAGGCTCCGAGCTATCCCATGCTCGGACGCAAAAGCAACTCTGTCCTAACATGAAAAGTCAATCGTTCTCGGCGAACAGCGCGTCTGACCTACTGTGTCGAGCTCGGCGGTAACTGGGCATCAAATAAAGGATGGGTTCAAGAGTTGCTCTTGTGACAGCGTCTTCTGCAGGGCTCGGAGCGGCGATCGCAAAGTCCATCGTGGAGGACTTCCGTGTGGTGATTAACTACCACGGAGATGCAGCGAGGGCAGAAACGACCGTGGAACAACTTAAAGCCCTTGTGGAAACCAGGTCATCTCATGAGAAGCTATCTGACGAGGTGACCATGGCACCCGCCGAAGATCTCAGGACCCCCCGGGTTCTAGCCCTACGGGCAGACATGAGCAGCCGCACCTCAATCGCACAGCTTGTCAAAGATGTCGTGGACCAGATGGGACGATTGGACGTGGTAATTTCCAATGCTGGATGGACTCGAATAAGAGACTTTCAAGATCTGGATGACAACGTCGACGAGGAAGACTGGGATGAATGCTGGCAAGTGAACGTCAAGAGCCACCTTTGGCTGCTGCATGCCTCAAGACAGTATCTAGAGTCAAGCCCAAACGGGGCCTTTATCAGCGTAGCAAGCGTGGCCGGTGTGAAGCCTAGTGGTAGCTCCATCGTAAGTAGTTCCCTCAATTTCGGTCACTGTTTATTGGAGGGAATGCTGACACCACAGCAAGGCTTATGCTGTGACCAAAGCTGCCCAAATCCATCTAGTGAAGTGTCTTGCGGCAGTGGTGTCGCCTCTTGTCAGAGTGAACTGTGTGTCTCCAGGGATTCTTATGACAGTAAGTGACACACCACCATAGCCCGGATACCAACTAGGCTTCATCAGAAAACATTCTAAAAGGGGTACAGGACTGGGGTCGCCAATTCCCGGAGGATACGTTGACAGTTGCCAAAGAGAAGACTCTGCTGAAGCGATTCGCGACTGTACAGGTATGTTAGCCCCCCACAAATACCATGGTTGAATGAAGGCTCTTGTGCTCATTGAAGTAGGATGTGGCGGAACAGGTCAAGTCGATGGTTTTAAGCAATTCAATCACTGGCGTGAATATGGTTGTGGACGCCGGGTTCAGTTTGTGAACATAACTATAGATGGCCGACATGTTTCAAGTACCTCGTCAATAGTGTGGTTCAACGGTTTTGCAAGTAAGCATGCATAAAGCATTGAAATATATCTGCATGGCCTCTAGCCTCAGTCTTGCTAGGGTATGTGGTTACTCTGAGATTGATACCTAAGCATGGACGCCATTTGCTTTCGGAGACCCGTCAATCCACTCAAAGCTGTCGTGCAAGTACTTATATGCCCGTAAATCTCCAGACCGAGCATGGCCTTCAAAATTTTCGGCCCGTGCAGCGCGACCACAGAGCCTACCCAGACTTCCACTCTCCTGGTTCGACTTGACCTCCTGGTAAGTCACAGTCTTCAGGAACTTGCCCACCCATAAGCCCCCAGTGAACTTGGCCGCATTACGGGTGGGTAAGACATGATTGGTACCGATACACTACGAGTAATTAGCAAGCTCTTCTGCGATTGAAGGGATCCCACTTACCTTGTCACCATATGATACGCAAGTCTTCTCTCCTAAAAAGAGCGCGCCATAGTGTGACATCTTCTCAAGAGCCTCACGGGGGTTTTCTGTCAGGATCTGAACATGCTCACTGGCGAATTGATCAGCGAGGCGGTAAGCCTCGTCCAAAGAGTCGACGACAATGACTTCACCGTGCATCTTCCACGACGTGCCTGCCAGCTGCGCGGTTGGTAGAATTTCAAGTAGTCTTTCAACCTCTGATATGGACCTCTGTCCAACGGTCAGGCATGTTGTAATTAATACTGCCGGCGTATCTGGGCCATGCTCGGCCTGCGATAGTAGATCCGTCGCAATTGTGAATGGATCAGCTTTGTCATCTGCCACGATCAAAATTTCCGTGGGTCCAGCGGGCAAATCGATTCCGATCTCCCCAAAAAGCTGTCGTTTGGCTTCGGCAACGAATGAATTGCCTGGCCCGGCGACGAAGTCCACTTTCTTGATAAGTTCAGTGCCAACGGACATGGCTGCGACAGCTTGGACACCACCTAAGATGTAGATCTCGTCGGCACCGGCCAGATGCATTGCGGCGACTGTAGCAGCAGGGATCTTGCCCTGAAGAGGGGGAGTGCAGGCGATGACTCGTTGTACTCCGGCAGCTTTGGCTGTGCAGATTGTCATGTGAGCCGAAGCTAACAAGGCATAGCGCCCTCCAGGTATATAACTAACATCACCTTAGCCACAGTGGAGCGAACATTGGACCTTTGTACTTACGCGCCCACAGCAGCGATGGGGATATTCTTCTGACCCAGAGAAACACCTGGCCGTATTTCCATCTCAAAGTCGACCAATGATTTACGTTGCGCAAGCGCGAACTTTCTGACGTTTGCTTGAACTGTTTTGATGTCTTCTATGATCTGCTCTGGCACCGTGGCTATGATCTTCTCAAGCTCTGATAATGATAGTCGAAACGAGTCCGGCGACCACTTGTCGAATTGGATCGAATATGCCCGAACAGCCTCGTCACCACGGACGCGAATGTCATCGATGACGCCTTTGACAATCTTTGGCACGTCAAGAGAAGTCGACGTTGCAGCATCGGTCTTGTCGGCCGGACGCTTCAAGATTTGTGGCATGGTTGGCGATGATCTTAGCGAAAGTGCAAATATTGTATTGCGGCTGACCGTTTTCTGCTATTGAAGGAAGGCAGATGACTTCAGATTTGTAAAACTTCTGGGACCTTTGCAGGCAATGTAGCCGGTCACGGTGCTCCAAGTACTCGAGTCGTGATCCTAGAATGCTTTGGCTGCACCATTCTACCACCTCCACTTTCACGCACGGCGCGGGACCCCGATGCCAGACCCGGGGAACTGTGCGTTCGAACACGAGGCCGCCATTTAAAGTTTGTGCCTTGCCAGATCCAATCCAAATTGACCCGACAATAAACGCCCGAGTTTGCGTCCAAGGTCTATACAATGTCCGTCTATATTACTAAGATCAAGTTCAAAGTAGGGCCGAGTGCCGAATGGGACGCGGGGCGGTCAAGTTGATGTTTGGGGAAATCATAGTGCTGCCGCACCCGATTTTCTTCTCCGTTCTGCTCAACACGCCTAACCCTTGAGGGTACGGGGGAGGTGGAGGGGAGGGTACCCACCGATTGTCAGGTCAAATCAACCAATAACGTATGCCGTGATGCTGCCGTGCTATTGTGAGACCTGAATGATAGCCTGGCTGAGAGTCTCTATATTTCCAGGCTCCTACCCGCAACGGTATCTGGAGGAATACGAATATATTGCGGAATCAAATTCACGAGCCGTCTCAGTCTGTTCCATGACCCAGTCCTGTCTGCAGAAGCTTGTAGGGAATTTGGCAAAGATTCCTATTGAATTGCTTTACCAATCTACCTGAATCTTGAATATTCAGGCACTCTAAATAGTTGCAATATGCCTACGGTCGAGATTCCTGGTGGATGTCATGGGGAGAGACTGATCCCTCACATTGTCGACGCCTACGCTCATTCCAACCCAGAACGGGCGTATGCATTAGTGCCGTTATACCTGGATGGACGCATGGAATACCGAACAATCACGATGCGTGATTTGTCTAATGCCGTCAACCGTGCTGCCTGGTGGTTGAAAGAGAACTTGGGCCAGTCTACAGACTTTGAGACCCTTGCATACATGGGACCAGCAGACATTCGCTACGGAATATTCTTTATCGCTGCCATCAAGGTCGGCTATAAGGTACTTGTCGTGACGCATTTTGTTGAAATCCTCGCTGACTATCGTGCCGGTAGTTTTTGGTGCCTTCAGCACGTAATTCCGTGTCTGGCAATGTGTCTTTGTTTGCAGCCTGTCAGTGCAAAAAAATAGTTTGTGGCAACGACATTGTGAAACGGCTCGGAGCATTAGAATCACAGATATTAGGTCTTCAGCACTTCGTTGTGGAAGAATTGGAAGATCTGCTATCGTCAAAATCCCCAAACTTTCCATACAACAAAACGCATGCTGAAGCTGTAAAGGATCCGGTGCTCATATGTCATACATCAGGCTCAACAGGTCGGTGGATGGCTTTACTGACTGTATCCTTTGTTTGTAGCTAACGCAGCTTTAGGAGCTCCCAAGCCCATCGTCCTTCCCAACGGTGCGTTCAGTGTCATCGACAATCAGCGCAAACTGTCGAAGATCGAGGGCCGACAAAATATGGACTATTCTTTATTCGATCTTGATGGAAATTACTTTGTGAATACTTTCCCCGGATTTCATGTAAGCCTCGCTCTCGCTAGTCAAGGGCATGACTGACGATAACATACAGGTGGGCGGCATGGTAGCCATGGCGGCACTGCCGATCTACTACAACACAGCAATAGTAATGGTGCCGCATGACCAACCGGCAAATGGTCAGTTGTTAGCTCAAGTGCTGTCACGAGTAATAGCTCGCGCCATCTTCTCGCCCCCAACGGTGATCGAAGAGCTACTTGAAACGACCGATGGGTCCAACAAGCTTGCCAAGCTCGACTTCATCATGTACGGAGGTGGTCCACTATCTCCTATGGCTGGCCAAAGTATCAGCGAGTCTACTTTATGCGTATCAGTCATCGGCTCTACTGAGTGTGGCATAATTCCGGCTCGGGTGCCTCCTAAGGAAGCATGGAACTATTTCGAGTTCCATCCGGAATACAAAGCAGAAATGGTCCATATAGCCGACGACATATATGAGCTAACGATACCGAATCCTCCTCAGATGGCTTGGATACATACAATTTACCACACCTTTCCTGATGTTGAGGTATGGCATACCAACGATCACTATAAGCAGCATCCAGAGAACTGTAAGTTATTTACTTTCAGAGGTAGAGGCGACGATGTTATCGTGCTGAGCAACGGCGAGAAATTCCAGCCTGTCACGGCAGAAAGCGTCGTGCAGAGCCACCCAGATGTGGACGGGGCCCTTGTGGTAGGCACCGGCCGGTTTCAGCCTGTCCTGATCATCGAACCACGGAAACACCCAGATGACCCTGAAAGACTTATCAACAGCATCTGGCCGGCCGTAGAAGCTGCCAATAAAGAATCTGCAGCTCACGGCAGGATCTTTAAAGGTAAAGTCCTTCTTACCTCACCTGAGAAACCCTTCGTGAGAACCAGCAAGGGCACAATCATTCGTGCGAGATCTGCCGCTTTATACGAGGGAGAAGTGGAAGAGCTCTTTGCTGAGGCGGCCAAAAATCCAGACATTCGCGCTTTATCGCAAGAAGAAGTGCAGAGCTTTGATGCTCTCAGAAAAGCAGTGGGGCAATATATCAGGCCTGTCATACCAGACCTATCACCAGACTCAGATGGCGACGTCGAAGACTTTTTCAGCTTCGGATTGGACTCAGTCCGGACCCTTGAGCTCTCAAATGGACTTCGTGCTCTACTTCGGCCTCATGTCACCTCTAATGATCTTACAGCTATATCTTCCAGACTCATCTATGCTTACCCTTCCATCGAAACCCTTTCGAGGCAGCTGTGCAAACTTTTGCCATCACAGGATCTTGAATCCACTGATAATACCTCGTCAGAGCGTTCGACTCGCATGGCTGCAATGCTCGAACGCTATGCAGATGATCTACCAAATAGGAGCCCGCTGCTGCCAGAAAACAAGGACGTAAGCCTTGTCCACGTCTATGATCACGGACAAGGATTATGTATCGCCTTGACAGGTTCCACCGGCTCTTTAGGATCCCAGCTCCTGTGTGCCCTTCTCGCTGACCGGAGAATCGGAAGTGTGGTCTGCCTTAATCGAGCATATGATGGCCAACAGCGGACACTTCAGCGTTTAGGAGAGCTACGAACGACAATTGATATGTCCAAGGTCGAGTTCTACAAGGTCGACTTTGAATCGATCAAGCTTGGTCTGCAGGAGGATACTTATCACGCTCTTCTGGCCAGAGTCGACGTAATCGTCCACAATGCGTGGAGAGTAGACTTTAACCAAGCACTTCAATCCTTCGAACCTCAGATACGCGGCGTTCGTCATCTGATCGACTGGGCAGCAAATAGCGGCCGACGCCCACGTCTGTCGTTCGTATCTTCAATCTCGTCGGTCGCCCAATGGTCAGATTCATACCCCAACAAGCAGGAAATTCCTGAGAGCTCTTTGACAGAAGTCGACTACAATGTGGCGCTGCCAATGGGGTACGGGGAGTCCAAGCATGTTGCTGAGCGTCTTCTTGCTATTGCTGCAGACGTGGCCAGAATCACTGTCGACGTGCTACGCCTTGGGCAAGTTGCAGGGCCAATCTCACCGAACGCAGGCTCCTGGAATAGAAGTGAATGGTTTCCGGCACTCATCGAGACATCCAAATCCACAAATCGCATACCAGACAGGCTGCCGGAAGTGAATTGGGTGCCCGTGGATGTGTTGGCTGGCATTATTGTCGACTTGCTCCATCATGAACACGGAGGTTGTAAGACCTTCAACCTACTGAACCCACATACGCGGCCGTGGGAAGAGCTGACATCCACTATACAACGGAACATTGGAGGTAATGTGGTGCCATTCAAAGCATGGATCCAGGACTTGCAAAGCGTCGACTCTTCGGACCCTTCTGAAGTGAAATCTAAACCAGCGCTGAAAATCTTGGACTGGTTCGTTGGCCTCGAACAGTCAATGTCGTCTGGCAGGAGCCAACCAAGCTTCAGGACTGTCAACGGCATTGAGGCGAGCAGGATTATGGCAGAGCTACAGCCGGTCAGTGACGCATGGATGGAGCATTGGCTAAAGAGTCTGCCGCTGGAGAGCTGAGACTTAGTGGTGGATTTCGACGGCGGTTTGTCCAATAAGAGTCCAGGGTGATTGCAATACTTGTCTGCGTCCCTGGCTCCATAGAATCTTTATCTACCAATGAATGGAGCACTTCTGTAGTGATCCGACCAGTTAGCACAGCATGCCGCCGTCCACGACGGTGGCTGTGCCGGTCATGAAGCTGGACTCGTCGCTCAAAAGAAAACAAAACACATTTGCAGCCTCTGCAGGGTCGCCCATGCGATTCAACGGCACTCGTGCAAAAACCGACGACATGTTATCTTTGTCCAACTTCCCTATGGAGCCTACCATTGGTGTTGCGAAGATGCCCCTGTCAATTTGTTAGCCATGGAAATCAGGCTTCGATTAGGTCGTCTAGAGAAGGGAATCTCTTACGGGGCAACGCAATTTACGCGTATTCCGCGTGCTCCAAACTCGCCTGCTGCACTCTTTGACAAGCCGATCACTGCGTGCTTCGTCGCGGAGTAAACAGAGTTCATCGGGTGCCCTTCCAAGCCCGTCGTACTTGAGGCATTGACTATGCTGGCTCCGCTCTTCATAACTTTTAGTTGAGCGCGCATGCAATTGAACAGGCCTTTCAGGTTGACGCTTGTCACCTTGTCGAACTCCTCGTCGTCTATTTGTGTCAGATCGCCGACGCCAAAGGATTTGCCCAGAATGCCGGCAACATTAGCGGCGCCATCTATCCGGCCATAGTGTGATCTTGTCGACTGGACCCATTCGTTGACTTGGCTGCTGTGGCGAATGTCCACTGCCGATGTGGTGATTCTGCTTCTGCTGGATGATTGTTCTGAAGCTGTGATCTCTGGGATAGCCTGGTCCAACGCATCCTTGCGCACATCGCACAATGCCAGCAGCGCCCCTCGGGCGTAGAGGGTTCTGGCCGTTGCCAGGCCTATTCCGGAGGCGGCGCCAGTGACGGAAACAACTTTTCCTGCGAGCGATGCCATTCTCCAAGCCTTGTGCTTTACAGTGTGGATTGGATCTTCCTCCGAAACTTGAGTTGTCGGGACGCATTTTAGAGAGGAAGCCAGTCGTTCTTCGGCCCATTGTTCGCCGTGATGAAGTCATCTCCATCGTCCACCGTGACGGACGGATTTTCAACTACCCCGCAAGCCGCTTCTGCGTCCGGGGTCCCACTTCATATTCGGGTGAATTAGTTGCAAATTCAGTCAATGGCTTGGAAGGGACGCCCCGTTGTGGAGAGACGCTACAGTTCGAGTCCAAGAAGGACTAAGGCTATGTTAGAAGCCTGCAGGTAGCCATGAAGTCAATACCGCATGAAAGGGCTCTTCAACACCACCGTTCGCCTGGATAGCAGCTACTGTGTCAGGAAAAGATACCAAGCGCCGGAATACCGAGGAAGCTTTATTGTAGATAGATGTCGCCTGCTTTTCTCGGGCAATTGCCATATGCGAAGGACGGAACAGCCATTGGACTCACCCTTCGGAGATTGTCAAGCTGTTTCTACTGTGTACAATTATTCCGTCCGTTCATGATTTCCCACTTCAACCTGTCAACATAGTCCTTCGCGATAGTTGCCATGTGCACCAAGTTTAGCACCCGTCACTCAGTAACCGGTTACATTTTTGGGCTGATATGGTTCCTCAAGATACTCAATGTCTTCCTTGGAGAGTTGGAGCCTTGTCGCCTCGATAGCTTTGTCAATCCTTTCCCGAGATGACAGACCAAGGACGGGATTTAAACCTTTACTCAAAACCCACGCTGTGGCCACGGATGCCATTGGCACACCGATTCTCTTTGCGAGCTGCTCAACACGATCGACGATGGCTTTGTCTGCCTCGCTTTCTCGTGTTATCAGTGTGGATAAGTATGCGTCAGTACCTTCACGCTTGGTAGCAGCAGAACCCCAAGGTCTCCCCAATATGCCACGCGCAACAGGGGACCAAGGAATGACACCAACACCTGTAGCCTTACAATATGGTATCATCTCGCGTTCTTCTTCTCGATAGAGCAAATTCAGGTAGTTCTGCATGCTGACAAAACGATGCCAGCCACGGGCTTCCGCTATGTTCTGCATCTTTTGAAACTCCCACGCAGCCATCTGTGCACAATGTAAGAAAGAACGTAGCACGTCCGCCATAGACGGGTGGAAAGACACTTACGCTGCTTGCACCAATGTAGCGCACCTTGCCAGACTGCACCACATCATTGAGGGCACCCATGATCTCCTCCATGGGTGGGTCTCGATCTAGTCGGTGTATTTGGAGCAGATCGATGTAAGTCCCAAGCCTGGACACGCTTGCGTCGACTGCGTCAAAGATATGCTTCCGGCTTAAGCCCACTCGGTTGACCATAGGACCGTTATTGGTAACGCAATCTGCCAAGGGCAATTGATTTCCATCATGGCTCACACCGAAATAACATTTGGTGAGAATGGTGACGTTCTCTCGAGGAATTTTGTACGCCTTCAAAGCCTTGCCGATGATTCTTTCACTATCACCGTGGGAATAAAAGTCAGCCTGTCATAATCATATTAGACTTGCACAGTTGAGGCCTCAGTCAGTGGCCACGAGCCAAGTTCACTCACCGTGTCCCATGTATTTATCCCACAATTATAAGCATGTTCCAGGATGGGAAGCGAGTGGTCTTCGTCCATTACCCATCCTTCCCATTTCGGATTTCCAAAACCCATTGTGCCCAAGATTATTGGAGAAATCTTGAGCCCCGAGGTGCCCAACCTGTGTCACGAAGTGAGTCAGCTAGAGTGGGAGCTAACAACGAGCATGAGGAAGCTTCCTGACCTTGTGTACTCCATATTTCTTGTAGCTAGTCTCCACATAGTGAACGAATCCTGAGCAGGTTGCAAGTGCGCATGTCTCATGGCTATATATATTTCAATCGACAGGTAGACAGCGTGTACAGAGCACTGTCGGTCGTGGCTGCCGTGCAATACTCAATGATGCTAAACTGGGCGCCCACACAGCAAGTTCGGTGATATCTATTCTCGGGTGGAATGGGTGGCCCCGTGGCTCATGTGTTGTGGCCGAAAACCGCCCGCAATCGTCGTTGGAGATCGCCCGTAGGCCCATGTGCACATCAGGCAATGTACCCGTAGCCTTGCTTTGATTACGGCATCGTTGACATCAAGTCGATATATTCATATGGTCGAGTATCACGAAACTACACGGTCTCTTGCAACATTTTTACCTCGTCTCAAGATCAAAGATGTCGACATTTTTGTGGCTGATAACTGTTTTGTTGGCGGTTGGTGTATATCGTGTGTTGCAGATAGGCAAACGTGACCCACGCATGCCCAAAGGACCACCAACAATACCCATCCTTGGGAATGCACACTTAGTACCACCTGAGGGGCTTTTCAAGCAGTGAGAGATGATCCGATAACGGAATGATGGACGTGTACACATCTAACACCTCACATACAGATTCAGATCATGGGCGAAGGAGTACGGACCTGTCTTCTCGCTCAAGTTCGGACCATCGAACATGATCGTCCTATGTGATCGTAAAGCCATTCATGCGCTTCTTGATAAAAAAAGCAACATTTACTCTGACCGGCCGCATACATATGTAGGCCAGCTACTGACCAAAGGAGACATGATCGCTCTTGAGCAGATGGACGACCACTGGCGACTGAAGCGCAAGGTGGTAGCTCACAACTTTTCACCGAAACAGCTGGACGAGAAGCACTTTAAAGTCCAAGAGGCTGAAGCAACGATGCTGATGGCTGACCTTCTTAATGATCCCAAAGGCTTCTACAATCACATTCGCCGATATACAGCATCAGTCGCTTCGGTTCTCATCTTCGGCTCTCGAGGAGCAACATTTGACTCCTTTTGGGCTCATGGTGTATACGACGTCATGTCAAAGGTGATGTGGAGAGAATTAAGCTGGAATAACTACTTTATTAACTTTCTTCCAGTGGACTGAGGCAATGGAGCCTGGTGCAAATCCGCCGGTGGATGAATACCCCCTCCTGCAATGGGTACCACTGTGGTTGGCACCATGGAAGCGGCGAGCAATCCTTGCTGGGCAAACTATGGACAAGGTCTGGGGAGAAGCAGTCAACAGAGTCCAAAAAAGACGCACGCACGGCTTGCGCAGAGACTGTATCACTGATACTCTACTTGATGAGTGGAAAGATGGTATGCCTATAAGCCAGCACTCTTTCAACAATCTTGTCGGTGAACTTGTCGAAGGCGCTGCAGACACCACAGCAGCTCAACTTCTTACACTTGTCATGGCATTTGCCAAAAACCCACGTGTGCAAAAGCGTGCTCAAGAAGAGATCGACAAGGTTTGTGGAACCGAAAGATTCCCTCTGTGGTCGGATTTCAAGGATATACCCTATATCAACGCGATCGTTAAGGAGGGCATGCGATGGAGGCCTGTCGCTGTGACGGGCTCACCACATCGAGTGCGCGAAGGTTGGCACTGCCGATGCCCTCTGCGAAGACCACGCGCGCTAACAGCCGCTGTACAGATGATTACTACCAAGGGATGCTGATTCCTAAAGACTCGACCATCATCGTTCCTGTTTGGGCGTTACACCATGGCGATGAATTTGACGACGAGAATGAATTTAGACCCGAGAGATATGTGGGACACAGCAAACTAGCCAATGACTATGCTGGCAGTCCTGATTGGGCGAATCGTGATCATTATGGTTATGGCGCAGGAAGGAGAATATGCCCAGGTGAGCAAGGACATCCATACTGACAAAGATACATGCTTGCTAACTGAAGGAAGGCATGCACTTTGCTGAGAGAAATATGTGGCGCGTCACAGCAAAATTGCTCTGGGCTTTCGAATTCGCGGAACCTCTCGACCCTAAAACGGGAAAGGTTATCAGCCTGGACCCAGATGCATATAATCGTGGTATCCTACAGGCTCCCCTACCATACAACGTCCAAGTGACTCCACGGAGCCCTCAACATGTACAGACTATAAAGCGAGAGATTGCTGCGGCTAAAGAGTTTTTGAAACCATGGGAAGAGCTCAAAGATTGATGGCCATGCATGGTAAAGGGACTTTGGTCAACAGGCCTCCATGTCAATTGCTTCAGAATTAGAACACTACCTATGAAACTTCTGCCCGCTTGCAAACACTTGTTATGGTAGAGTTGGTGTTCTGTCAGCCGTGAAGTCTCTCTATCAGTTGCTGTGCTTGACACAGGCTCTTGAGTGTCAGTATCAATGACTATTTGGCCGAATGGGCCGCCTATTTGGCCCCACTTTCGCTTTGGACATGAAATCGGTCCGCCAAAGGCTGCTCCACTGTCGACCCCGCGCGGATAGGCACTTGGTTTACATATACGCTTTGTTCGCGTGTGTTCTTTTTGGTGTGCAGCCAAATCTCAATCGCTTCTGTCAGTTGTTACCAGGTCACGACCTCAGGATGGGGGCCCCTTCATTCCCGCTTCAGCATGATTTCGTTTTCGATCGTTTGTCACCAGAGGCCAAGCCCAACCACCAGCCATACGTCAAGTTGACTTTCTTTTTTAAGAAGAGAGCAGATATCAGTTACGAGGATTTCCACAAGCACTGGGAAACTGTAGGCTTTCTTTGCACTCCATCTGCCTCTGTTGTCCTAAGCACTGCTGGTGGGCAACCTTGCCTTTTTGCGGCACGCATTGATCCATTGTCTGGGATAGGTGCATGCTGATCTCGCCGTGGCGTGTGAACCGTTTGGGCTTTACATCGCGCGGTACACGCAGGTAAACCATCCGTTGTTTGACCCTGGTGTTAGCAAATTGGCTGACAGAGGCTGGGTATGCCATAGTATCACCAAACCCCTCAACTCAAGTCAGCGGCAGAGACTTGCGTCGAAGGTATGGAGCTATTGGATTTCGATGGATGCAGCGAAATTTTGGTCAACTCCCTTGACAACGCTATCAGTTTCTTCAAGAGCCCAGAATACGTGGAAGATATGAATCGTAAGCCATCTTGATAACCCACTACGCCACTGTCGGCTTCGCATGACATAGGAAACATCACTAATATGGCTTCACAGTTGACGAGGGAAACTGGTTGGAAAGGCCGGTCCGTATGATGATCGGCTACGACAACTTGATCTTTGGCCAAGCTTTACCGCTGCCAGGCACGAACAATGGACTCTCAAGTTCGGACCTGCAACGAGCGCTGCAGAAGCCGTGAATGGCTGAACGTGGGTCTATTTTTCATGGATGGCAACCATTTTGTGCTTCACTTGTGACCACACAGTCCTTGTGAACTAGCACACACAAAATACTCGTAGTATGATCTGTGGCCTGCTAAACAAGATAGCCAAATATTTCTTGAACAGGGATCGCATGAATCTGACGCTTTTTCGATATAACAGGCATCCTGCTAGCCTCAAAAGCTGGTAAATAGTGATTGTATCTGGAGATCGAAGCCTAGCTAATCATGCGATCAATTCTCGATCCCGCGGAAAGCTTTGAGTGGATCGATGGTACAGGTTGGATCTGCTTTCATGGTAGCCATCTCCACCGGAAATGAGACGTGCTCATGAATGAACTTCCAGGCGCCATCAATTTTGGCAAGCAGATAAGTAAGTCGATACGTCATCTCAAAAGGTTTACCATCATCAGACGTCCCTCCTACAAGACGCTGCATCATGGTGATATATCCCGTTGTCTTTGAGGTCGCCACAGGCTCGAGGTCTTTCATCTCAAATCTGGACTTCGAAAAGTAGTGGAACGTCTCGTTAAAGTGCTCCAAGAATGCTCCTCGAATAGTGTTGCCGTAAATGTCGTAAGTCATAGCATCGTCGAAAAGGTAGAACGGCCTCCCTGGTTCGATCGACTCATTGAAGAGTTTGTTCATCACATGTGACCAGCCGCAGATATGCTTTAGAATTTCTTCTTCTTCAGCAAGGAGCTCCTTTTTATGTAACTAGGATACTTTGTCAGCCCTAAAGGAAGGTACTTTTACTGAGGTTTAATCATAGTATGCTCACTTTGCTTGGCGGAAAGGTCATCTTCTTAAGGGCATCTTCCACGGTTGAATAATCGGTCTGCAAATGTATGAGCACGGTGCCCAACAAAGTCATACACTGGATTAGAAGAGCCATACCTCGACATACCAGCCCTCGTTCGAGGTTTTTGAAGTCATGGTGGTTGGTGATATTGGTTCACTGGATATCTTCTCTTAACCGAGTAGCAATTGGACGGCCGTGAAGGGGCTCCTTCGCACTTTTTACGCCGGACCTCAATCTACTTAGCTCGATGGCCTGTAACATCTCCACACTCTGGAGCGACGATGTTGTGACGTATATTGGGCGCTGTAGGGGAAATGGGTTGTGATCGTCACGGGCGGAGATTCTCCGTCCCCGTGCTTCTTGGTTCTGAGCCGACAATAACCACAGAATCGGCCGATAATGCACCGCGTGAATTCATCCGCACCCCGGACGCGACATCCACGACCGTCTTGTGGAGATAGGCCCGTGGTGGAGAGCTGTCTATTCGTATGATTCACGTGAAGCCGCTCTATTGCGCCGATGGTTTTCGTGTGGACATTTATCGGAACAACCACTTCCTGTCGCTGAAAGTTGTTCATTCTGAAGTCAAGCAGAGATATGGCAGCATTTGATCACCGGCACATTCTGGCCACGATGCCTGAGCTCACTCTCAGTCGAGTCTGCATCGCGCTTGTTGTTCTATATGGTGTTTACAAATTCTTGCGGATCGGCAGCCGCCATCCTAACATGCCACCTGGCCCTCCAACAATACCCCTACTGGGCAATCTGCACCAAATCCCCGTCACCGGGCTTTACAAACAGTAAGTTGTAACCTTGGTCCCTTTGTACTGGACAAATCCTGATCGAGTCTGTCCTAGATTTAAAGATTGGAGCCTCCAGTATGGTGGCGTCTACTCCTTGAAATTTGGACCGAGGAACGTGATTGTGCTTTGCGACAAGAAGGCAATCCATGACTTGTGGGACAAAAAAGGACTAATATACGCTGAGCGTCCGAAAAACTACGTCGCAGATATCATCACTTCGGGTGATAGCATAGTTTTCGCTTCAAACACCGTCGAGACCAGGGAGAAACGCCGAATCGCCACGCACAATTTCTCGGTAAGTTGGGGACCAGATATATGACGAGCAACGCTTCTAACAACTGTCCTTCAGCCGCGAATTCTTGATGAAAAGGCGGCTATTGTCCAAGATGCCGAGTTCGTTAAACAGTGATGCCCCCAAGTCCAGCTTACTGAGATTTCATAGGGTGACGGTATTGTTGCATCAACTTTTGACGGACCCCAAGAATTTTTACAACCATATAAGACGAACCACCTCTTCAATATCGTGTATCCTGATATATGGCCAACGAGGGCCGACGTTCGAGAACTTTTGGGGTCACGTAAGTGCCATTGAGTGCAACTGTGGTTTATCTCCTGCTAAGAAGAATAGGCTGTATACGATGCGCTCAACCTTGTTAGATTGGCTATCCTAAGCTTCGGGAAGATCTATTGACTGTTACTGCAGTTCGGAGAGGCTCTGGAGCCAGGCGCGAACCCTCCCGTGGACGAATACCCCTTCCTGAAATTAGTACCGGAGAGGTTCGCGTTCTGGAAGAGACGAGCTAGAACAGCCGGAAATTCGATGCACGCTATCTGGACGAAAGCTCGACGTTTGGTTGACGAACGTCGTGCCCGGGGAGATCATCGGATCTCGCTGGCAGACAGGTTGTTGGACGAGTACAGCGAAAAAGGTTTCCCCATGTCACAACATGCACTGGATCAGCTCTTTGGAGAATTGGTCGAAGGAGGAGCGGAGACCACGTCCTCTTCCATGTTGACAATGACTCTAGCGCTTGCTAAAAATCCTTGGGTGCAGCAGAAGGCTAAAGAGCAGTTGGACGCGGCGTGTGGCAATGAGAGGTAGGTTACTTGCAGAAGAGTCCTGTAAGGCTGTATGGGCTCATCATCTCCACAGAATGCCGGAATGGGCAGACTTTGCAAAGCTACCCTACATCAACTCAATCGTCAAAGAAGGCATGAGGTGGAGGCCAGCGTAAGTTCAAGTTTACATCTGCGTGGAGATATACTGAATCATGTACAACAGTGTAGCAACAGGCTTACCTCGTCGTACAGCCGAAGACGACTGGTATGAAGGCATGTTCATTCCTAAGGATTCTACCGTGTTCCTTCCGATCTGGGCAGTCCATCATTCCGAGCGGGACGGGTACGATGATCCATTCACGTTCAACCCAGATCGCTATATCAATCACCATAAATTGGCCAACGACTACGCGGGAAGCGCAGATTTTAAGAATCGAGATAAGTTTTCCTCGTCTTGTACATGGTGTTTGCTGACAGTCGCTGAACATCACTATGCTTATGGGGCGGGCCGCAGAATGTGCCCTGGAGTCCATCTTGCCGAACGAAATCAATGGAGAATTGTGGCGAAGCTGATCTGGGCATTCGAGATCCAAGAGCCGGTCGACGCAAATGGCAGAACTATTTCGCTCGACCCCGAGGCTTACCAGACAGGGCTTTTGCACGCTCCCACTCCTTTTGAGGTTGTTTTCAAGCCAAGGAGCAAAGCCCATGTTGAGATCATCAAGCGCAGCTTCGAGGGTGCGATGAGAGATTTGGCACCCTTTGAGTGAGGTTACCGAAGCTGCATCATAAGAGCAATCAGATTGCAAACCTACTGGGAATGTCGTATATATTGCATTGTCTCGTCTAATTGACAGCACCGAAACACTTCCGAGAAGTACAAACAGACACAAGCATTCTTTCCTAACCTACAGGTTACCGTGTCGAGGTTACCGTGTCCAAGTTCACGTAGAAGCTGGCAGGAATGGAGTCAATTCGTTCCCAAGCATCCATGGTAAACCTGAAAAAAACTTTATATTAGGTGTTCAACTGTAATCATCGGCCAAAGCTAACAGATCTATTAATAATGTTAGGGAACATAGTTTTGCGACAGTAGACTTATGGTTTCCGATGTCCTAATATACCAACGGCATATCGCCATCGAGTTGAAATATCGCGACAGTCTCTACCTGTTGGTATGAATGAATCATTGAACGAAGGACCGACCTGCGACAGTTAGGAAATACATGTGGTCTGACACCTCGATCGCGCGATGTTTTTGAGCCCGTAACCCCAAGGTTCGGGCAATGGCAAGCCGTCATAACAAAAGGACACGAGGCTGGCATGATACTCAGCGGCAACAACGCTTCCGGAGTTGGCTCACGGGTAGCTAACGTGTGCAGTATTGCCAACCGAAATCAGCCCTTTCACCACTATGCTCGTCATGCAGTGCTTTTGCCGAAAAAGCTCAGTCTGGTGTTCGATGCCATGGAATTCGGCCGATGAACGCCCGTCCTTCACACTGCTGTCACTTGTTACTGTGGTCTCAACTTGGATGCGGGGTCGTCTCGGACGAACATCATTTTCGATCCCGCTTCGAATCCCCGGACCCGTACTGAGGGCATAGCACAGAACTCAGCAACTGTTTGTGTTCCTACGCAAAACATCACGCGATACGGATCCCACAACCCCACCTCCTTTCTACACAGGTGCCGTAACTAGAAATGATTAGATAGAACGCAACCTTAACATGCGCTGCCACTTCTTCTCGATTGACGTTGCTGTTGAAGAACATTGAGCCTGTAAAGGTTCTCAAGCGCTGCCAGTGCTCTATCACCTTCTAACAGATATCCAATCCCTTTCTGTGATTCACTGTCATTACTAGCTTCTCGGCGTTTCAATAAGCATTAAACAATCCTCACTGAACTCCGACATAAAGCGTCATGGATTCCGCCTCCTTCACCGACATCCTGCATTCAAGGCTTGGCCCACGAGCCAACAACGATGTATCATCCTTTCTGTCATCCTCGCTCTCTTCCTTGAAGGATCCCACCATTTTCACTGTGCTAGCCCTCTTTCTAGTGTACGCGTTTTGGTCGTCCCGAGAAAGATTAAGCTCAAAGGAGAAGAACGCCCAGAAGGCATACGGCTACAGAAGGACGTTGGCGGAGGGGGAGACGCGAGACATTGCTCGGAAGATCGCAGATGCAGATAAAAACTGTGTTATCCTCTTTGGAACACAAACCGGAATTGCCGAGGACATCGCTGCTCGATTGGCCAAGGAAGGCCACTCCAGATTTGGTCTCAAGACGATGGTCGGCAACCTGGAAGACTACGACTACGAAACCCTCAATCAGATCCCTGTCGACAAGGTCGTCATGTTCATCCTCTCGACATTTGGCGAAGGAGAGCCAACAGACAACGCACAAGACTTTTATCGATACATTACTGCCGATAACCTGAATTTCGAGGACGGTTCTTCAAGCTTACCAAATTTAAGCTTCCTCTCTTTTGGCCTGGGTAATTCCACGTACGAGCACTTTAACGCTGTTTCTTCCAAGGTCGATGTCACTCTGGAGCGTCTAGGTGGTCACCGTATCTGTCCGGCTGGCCGAGGCGATGATGGAGAGAAAACCACCGAAGAGGACTTCCTTGCCTGGAAGGAAACAATGTGGGCAGCATTGGCAAAACATATGAATCTCGAAGAGAAAAAGGTCATTTATGAGCCGGTGTTCACTATCATAGACCGCCACGACCTCAATAAGGACGATCCAAAGGTCTACCTCGGGGAGCCGAATCAGTTACATCTACAAGGCATTCTGCAGGCCCCTTTCAACGCACATAATCCCTTCCTGGCCCCTATCACTGCCTCTCATCAGCTCTTCAAAGCGAGGGACCGAAATTGTATTCACGTGGAGTTCGACCTGGGAGACTCAGGTCTCACATACGAAACGGGTGATCACGTCTCTCTGATGCCAACTAACTCCAAGACAGAAGTGGACAGATTCCTGGAAATGTTTGGGTTGACCGCAAAGCGTGATACCGTGATCGACATCAAACCCCTCGAGAGGACTGCCAAAGTTTCTTTCCCTGTGCCGACGACTTACGACACCATCGTGCGGCACAAGCTGGAAATCGGAGCTCCAGTGTCACGTCAATTCATTCAACAACTGAGCGAGTACGCACCGTCCCCAGAAGCCAAAAAAGAAATGGAAAAGCTCGGAACAGACAAAGATTATTTCCACAGCTATGTTACTCAGCGGCAGCTGAATCTTGCGCAGACATTGCAGACCGTGAGTGGAGGCGCGGCTTGGAAGATGGTGCCGTTTACCATGCTGGTTGAAGGCCTTTTGACTTTGCAGCCACGCCTTTATTCAATATCGTCTTCTCCCGTCGTCACAAGCAATCGCTTCACCATTACCACGAAGGTCGAGACCCACGCTATTTTGGATACTGAATTTACCTTTAACGGCGTGGCAACCAAGCATCTTCTTGCGCTGCAGCAGATTCTAAGCGACGAGCGAAGCCCTGAGGTAGAGTATACTGGTCTCTTTCCCAACCAGCTTATTCGCAACTCTCGCCAGGGACTTCGAGTCCCAGCATACATCCGCCCGTCATCATTCAGGTTGCCAAACGATCCAAAAGTCCCAGTGATTATGGTGGGCCCCGGGACTGGGGTCGCGCCCTTCAGGGCTTTTATGCAAGAGCGTGCTGCTCAACACAAGGCGGGGAAGGATGTCGGAGTATCCATGCTGTTTTACGGTTGCCGCAACAAAGATGACTTCATCTATGAGAAAGACTGGGAGGTATGTGCCACTTCGATATGATCTACGGCCAGAGTGCTAAGTGAGATTCCAGGAATTTGGGAGAGTACTTGGTGATAAGTTCAAGATGATCACTGCGTTCTCTCGCGTCGACACAGGCAGCAAGGTGTATGTCCAAGACAAGATACGACACCGTGCAGCAGAGATTGATGCCTTGCTGCGAACCGGCGCAGCTTTTTACATCTGTGGTGATGCCACAATGGCCAAAGACGTCAGCAATCTTCTAGAAGGTATAATCGCCGAGCAACGAGGTTTGTTGCTTGTAGAAGCCTGCTCCATAGTGAAGGAGATGAGATCGGCGAACAAGTTGCAAGAAGACGCTTGGTCGTAGCTCGGTGGAATACCTCACTATGTTCTCTTGCATAAATTCTAGACAACGTTGAAGGCATAGTTCTATACATTTAGACCAGATGAACGGAGCTACTTGAGAGTGCTTCGGTGCTGGGCCCGTGATTTTCGATATTTAAAGCAGAAGTACCCTTCTACGGAGCGATATCAAGAATCTAGCTGTGGTATCAGAATGGTATAAGGGCTCAAAACATCAAACCAGCAACTGTCTCCAGCCATGGTCGAACTATCTAAATAGTCTGAGAACATCTTTGGAAAGTGATACCATGGTGTAGACTTTCACGGGCAGTATCACTCTTGGGTACATGATCACCTGAACTAGGGTTAACGCATGTGCTCTATTCGTTCAACGTCTACATTGCGTTCTATACGAAGAGTGAACACTCCTGCTTAGCAGGGTGTTTTTGCCGCTGCAGCTTGATGAATGTGCGAGCCAGAGTTGCACTACACGATCTCGTCGAATTTCCTACTCTTAGCTGTTGACATTCAGGACACCGAAGCATGGCTTGTATTATGTCACCACGAAAGGCTCTGTATATGTCATTTCTCATTCTATTGAAAGTCTGTAATACTCAACTTATGCTTCGACACATTCACTGTGCGTTATAGCCTCCATCAACCTATACTAACGTCAGCAGGTCTGGGAGATGGTTTTCGTTTTATTGTACTTACAGAGAGCACTGTTCCTGTAATGTAGCTGGCTCGATCACTTGCTAGATACACAGCCGCATCTGCCACCTCTTGGGGATTCGCCATACGTCCCATCGGAGTTTTGTCGATTTGTGGTTGAAGAAGCTTTCTGATAGGGGGAGTAACGAGAGGAGTATCAATGAAACTAGGACTTGTTAGTGAGTCGGTCCACTGCCGGTGCCGGGTTTCAGTATTCTCACCCTGGGCAGATCGCATTAATCCGAATACCCTTTGTCGCGTAGTCAACACCGTCAGTCCTCACCATACCCAAAATTCCTGAATTGAAGAGGGTTAGTTTCAGTCAGGTTTGTTATGATGCTTTGAAGAGCTCTGTGGACTTACCGTGCTTCGAAATGGTATAGAGCCCGTCCAGAGGCATGGCTCTAAGTCCCAAGAGCGATGCAACAACTACTATCGACCCTCTCACCGGAACTCTTCCGGTTCTGTACGCGTGCAACACAGTCAGCTCTACACGCAGAAAGGCCAAATGTTTTCTGTTTGTGCTGTTGAGTTCCGCAAAATGACCGCTGAAGGCTTTTGGAAATGCTCACGAGGACTCTCCCATCGGTGGAAGTGGTTCTTGCTTCATCATTTGTCTCAGCTCCTCTCGTTCACATAGCCATGTGCCCTTGAGATTAATATTCTGAACTCTGTCGAAGTCCTGCACCTCAGCGTCCCCGGTTGTTACAAAGGGCGACGCGATTGCTGCATTATTGATCGCATAGTCGATCCTGCCAAACCTATCCACAACCTGTCGGAACGCATCTGCGATCTGCCTTTCATCACTTATATCCACCGTGACAGGCAGAAATTCGATCTCTGGGACTTCGCTTTCCACAGCTTTGGCTGTTGCAGCCAGCCCGTTTTGCGATAGATCTAAGCCGGCAATACGTCTGACACCGTCTCGGGCGAATTGAAGAGCAATACCCCGACCAAGTGCCCCCCCAGCACCCGTTATCAGAGCAACACTACTCTGAAGTTAGGAAATACTATCATGCCACAGAGTGTAGACGTCGCCCTTACCCTTGGTTTCCAAAGATGGTCATTGCGCCGAAAGATTCTCTGCTAACAAGAGACCTGGAACTGGCCTTAGAGGCTTACTATTGGCTATCTCAACACCTTATAGATTCTACAGTGCGAAAGACAAACAACAGCAGTATCGGTACACTAATGACGGTAAAATTTGCAGATCATGGGATCCACCAAAGCCCCGGCGTGTTTGTCGGGCAATCCACATACGGGAGAATTCCTCTGCTCGGACGGGGCACATCATTTCCACGCATATTGACCTTGTGCACACGAAAGAAGATCCCGGCAACGACGCTAGAAATGACCGAATACGCCTCGCCTGTTTCGACCGGTGCATCCGCTGAAGGGAAGCCGAGCAAAAGCAGCTAAGCAGTTATGCCGTCTAGCCTGCGCGGGATGTTGGCGATTTAGGGGGCGCACTTTCGCCAAACTGTCCGGTAGCAAAGGATAGAGCTGCTGCGAGCAAAATGCTGACTAGGTTACCAAATGTGTATGTATTGTTTCATGCCGGTTCTTGATTTAGAATAGTTTACAATGGTATTCCGATCGTGAAACCGCCGTCAACCGCCAGATTTTGCCCTGTAATCCATTGTGCATCGTCACTACACAGGAAGACGACCGCTTTGGCTATGTCTGACGGTTCTCCTAACCTGGGCCAGGGTGTGGTTTTCCGCATCTCAGTGATAATCTCTGGAGTGCGGAAATTGATACCAGCCGCACCGCTCTTGACCACACCTGGACACACTCCATTGATATTAATGTAGTCCTTGGCGTGATCGAGAGCCACGTTCTGAGTCAACATAGCTACAGCTGCTTTGCTCGCAGCGTAAGTAGCCTCACGCCGAATTGCTGTACGCCCACCAGCAGCCGATGAGATACTAACAATGCGTCCTCGAGAGCCCGAGATTTCATCGATTGGCTGACGGAGGTATTGTTTGATAGCCTCTTGCATAGCGGTACGAGTACCTTTTGCATTGATAGCAAACATAGCATCCCATTGTTCCTCCGACTCCTCTACAAAGTCGCGTAGAGGCATCCATAAGCCAGCATTGTTGACGAGGATATCTAGCTTACCCCATGTCTGTATATTGGTCAGTAAGTCCATCGTAAATGCCCAATCAAAACAGCCTCACCTCTACCGCAAATTGTATGACGGCAACAATTTCCGAAGTATGACTAAGGTCGCACTTCTTGAAAACAGCTCTGCCACCATTATTTTTGATGACTTCATGCGTGGGTATTTCCTTGTCTTCCTCGAACCCGTCCGGACGTGCAGCCTCCCTCAAGTCCGAGCAGACAACAGACGCACCCTCACGAGCAATGGCCAGAGCAATCTCTCTGCCTAAACCAGAAGATGAGCCGGTGACAATGGCGATACGCCCGTGTAGACGTCCGGTGCCATCGAGCTTGTATACTCTGTTGGTGCTCATCGTGACGAGTGCTTCCAGTAACCGCGATCCTAGCCCTCGTCACTAATTGCCATTACACAAGATAAAATAAGTTTAAATACTGTTTCCAAGCGCAACCTCTCGGCCGGAATACCGATGCAGTCAAGCTCTGCCGCCGTAGACTCGGTGGGGGGTTGCGGCAGAAACTGTCAGGCTCAAGGCGGCTTGACACCGGACAGAAACATTAGGCCATTGAAGCAGCATTGATTGCCAAAAAACAAGCTTGCCGTTCAGCGCAAGACTTGTTTGAAAAGTCCTTTGCATCGGAAGGTGGAGACTTTAGGAATGTCAGATCTCGGGCGAATTCTGGATGGACCGAGGAATTGACCAGACCCTCCGTCGAGCCGCATCGCGGGGTCCCCAGACATGCTCGGTCGAACTAATTCGGGGTTCATCGTGTCCGTGTTTGCAACCGATATTCTATGCTGTCCTTATCTACTCGATACCCCTGCAAGGGTTGAAAGGACCATAGCATACGCATATCAACTACCACTCAATCGATCACGCACGCCCAAGGAAGCTACCGAAGTACTATCACACAGACAAGATGTTGCGTCTCACGTCCTACAACATCTGGATCGTTCTCGCTTCGGCACTGGGGGCATATTCCTATGGCTTCTCGTTCGCGGTGTTTGTCACATCTATTGGAGAGCCTGGATTCTTTACTTTCTTCAAGTTGAACCGTGAGTCACGTTGCTCGCAGTCTGGTGTATCGCGCTGACCTGGGGTCGACAGCCGCATCCAGCAAGACAGCCTCCATCCTAGGCGCCATCAGTGCATTATTCTGTGCTGGAGCCGCATTTGGAGCTATTCTGCAAGGCTGGACCTCCGATCGCTTTGGTCGACGAATCTCCCTTGCGATCGGAGGCGCCATCGCTACGGTGGGAACGACCGTCGTTGCCGCAGCCTGGAACATTCCCATGCTATTTGTCTTCCGCTTCATTACTGGCTTAGGAGTGGGCCAATTGTTGGCACTGGTTCCCCTCTACATTGCAGAAGTGGCTCCGCCGCATCGAAGAGGCCTCCTCAGCGCCGCCACTGGTTGCAGCTTCTCCCTGGGCTACCTCTCGTGAGAATCCAGATTTCCCACTTCTGATCCCATAACTAACAGCAAACAGCTCCGCCTGGATTGGTTATGGTTGTTTTTTCACCACCAACGATGTCGTCCAGTGGCGTATGCCCTTATGCTTGTGTCCTATTGCACCTCTCGGCTTGGTCATCGCATGTTACTGGATTCCTGAGTCTCCGAGATGGCTGATATGGAATGATCGGCTGGACGAGGCATGGGTTGTCATCCAGAAAGTACACCATGACCTTTCCGATCCCAGAGACACCGCAGCACATGCCGAATTCATCCAAATCAAGGCGCAGGTCGAACATGATAAGCAATTCAAGGCTACTTACCTTAAAATGTTCACACATCCTTCATGGAGAAAACGAACCTTACTGGCCATACTGGTCATTTTTGCCGTAGGGTCAGCCGGCATTAATGGCATCACGACCTACCTGATCTTGGTGGCGCAGTCTATAGGCTTCACCGGATCCAAGGCTCTTTTATTGTACGGCATCTATGTCATCATTGCTGTTGGCTTCAATTTCGTGAACGCAGCAGTAATCGACAAAGTGGGAAGGAGACCATTGATGCGTAAGTGCCAGACTTTAAAAATAGGGTTAGGAGACCATTACTAATGATCATGCCCGGCAGTTATTGGATTGGCCTGGTGTTCATCATGCCTGCTTGCAACGTCCCTCCTCATCTGGAAATTTGCTGAAACGCCCAACAGCGCAGCGAACAAGGCGACAATCTTCTTCATCATGATGTATGCATTTGGCGTTGGCATGTTCATCGACCCGACTCAGTTTGTCGTAAGTTTCCACGACATGTGTCTGTTCTCACCCCCTGGCAACAGCTGACCATGTTGCAGATTGTCTCAGAAATATTTCCCACTACGATCAGAGCGAAAGGTCTTACTGTCGCTCTGTTCACCTACTTCGTCACTACAATTATCTACACTGCCGGTGCCCCTACAGCCTTTGCAAATATCGGTTGGAGGTACTACCTGGTCTTTGTCTGTGTGACCGTCGCTTGTATGGTTGCCTTATTCTTCATGTTACCCGAGACGACTGGGAAGACCTTGGAGGAGATTGGTGCACTTTTCGGCGATGAGGTTGTGGTCCATTTTGCACAAGATGGACACGGACTTGTCGAAGTTGACGCCGATACCGCCTTCGCCTTGAAGAACGAAACTATTCACGTTGAGAAGATCCCTAGCGCCAAAGGTCAGGGCGAGCGAGCTGGTGCCTCGAAAGAAGAAACTGCTGCATGAGAGTATGACGGGAGGGCAGCACAACGGATGTGACACAGTCAGGACACATATTTGCCTTCAGTGAAAAAGGTAGCGACCCGGCCACTTCTATCGGGCAGGCCGAGAACGTTAGTCCTTCGGGGGTTCATATAGCAAACGGACTCCCTGGAAATGTTGGGTGAGAAATAGAGACATCCGAGCTGGATCGTGTTGTATCCATAGCCGCCATAGCTTGCAGGAGTAGCAAAAACAACCCCGGTTGTGACGTTAATTCCGACAGCCCACATGAAGACCAGGAAACTAAGAAGCTGTTAGCTGATTCAAAAGAGTCGTAAACACGAAGACTCACTATAAGATGGCAATCAATGTGAAATGTGGTTGCAGAATCACGAAGAGTAGTTCGCGGTATGTCGCCGAAACGGTGGAGAAGTATCTTTTGTGGTGTTGGATTTGCCACGCACCGGTTAGACGACCCAAACGACCAAAAGTGGTTTGAGATCTGTGCGGCTGCTCGTGGCTATGTAGCGTTCGGTTATACCATGTTTCGTCGAGGAAGAGCACCAGCAGCAGTAGCTGTATTGCCACACAACCCGCTGCCATCCAATAGACGTTGTGCCAGTCCAGCGTCTTTCCAACCACGAAGCTACCCAACTGCGGACCCAGATAAGGCGAAGCGGTGTAAAGAGCAGCCCAGAGGCCAATCTTTCGAGCTCTCTCATGGAAAAAGAAGATGTCTTTTAACAATGCCAGTGAGACTGTCTGAGAGGCAGTGAGGAAGATAGCACTCAAGACCCGCATTGCGAAGAACGTTTCGTACGTGTTGCACAGTGCAGTGCCCACTGTGAAGAAGAAGCCGATGACCTCCGTCCAGAACAGCACCGGCGCTCTGTCCCAGTAGGAAGACATTGGCACCCATATGAGACCGGAGATACCCCTTGGACAGAAAATAGTACTTGCTTGGATGCAATGAAGTGTGTAAAAGCACCCACAGGAGAAGAACGGTGATGGCGTTGGGCTGATTAGCCTTGTTGAATGACATTTGCCACTCTGCCGCCTGGAAGATGATAGGCGCTGAGCCGATTGCACCAACAAAGTCAGCACAAAGAGCGTCCCACGCAATAGTGAAGAGAATGAGGTGTTTTTTTGTCGTGGACCAGTTAAGGCAATCCGCCTCAGAGTCGGTTGGCTGAGGAATCAACACGGTCTGATGTGCAGAGACAGGTCAGCATGTGGATTGTGTCAACTAGGTAGAAAGGAGTATGCTCACATGGCCATCTCTTGACAACTTCAAGCCTTCAGTGCTGGCCAGGTTCTCTGTGTCAACTATAAGCCCACCCTCAACCTTGATAGGGTCAGGTAGAGGTTCGAAAGTCACTGCGCGGGTGAGATCCACCATTTCAGCAGGGCCATCCATAGGCTTGGTTTCGGAGTTCATAATGGATCAGGGCGAGAAGAATGATACGGTACTCTTCAAAAGTGAGACTGAGAAGCTGGATCAGAAGGCACGGAAGAATGAAGCTTCGCGAGAGAGCGTGATGGTATTAAGTATGTCTGGAAATCCTTCCGACTCCTGGCTAGGAATGGAGTGTCCGGGGGGCAAAGGGGATGGTGAAAGTGGGCGACGAAGTGGTAAGTCATCGAACCGTACTTGGCTATTATCCGGTTGTGGAAGTCAACTGGCACCATCTGAGTCGTCGATCGTAGAAGGTACTCCGTCTGTTGCTGTCCGAAGATATCAAACTCGCCCGTGTCAACCGCTCCTGATGACTGTATCTTATGGTGCAACGCCTCGATCTCCTCTTTCATCTTATCAAGCCGGTACAAAGCCCATTCTTGGTACAGGACACCCAGACCCGAGTAAGCTCTAAGGTTCGAGATGTAACTCGAGTCATAAGCCTTCGTCACATTAGGTCGATATGAAGTGATGGTTGTGATTCTCTCAGCGACCCCGAAAGCACGCGCCGCCAAGTGTTCCACCTCGCCGCCTTGCAGAACGCACCCATATCCCATCATGGGCCCTTCTACCTGAAACTCTTTAGTACATAACGGATATACTTGGATGGGGAAACATCTTGGTGGAGTGTGTGACGTACCTTTGAAATTTCTCCATCTCCAGCCTTTATGTAGGTCTCGCCACCCAACATGCCTTCTGTCTCGCTGATCATAAGAACACACACGTATGGATAAGAATCATGACTTTGGATTTCATGTCGAGAGTCAGTGACACGGAATGGCACAGCTTCTGGAGGTAATCACATTGGGATCTTTCCTTACTGCCACGGAATGATGGAGTTTTCGTCCAACGGTTTGTAATTCTTTTCTTCCTCGGTAAGTTTAACTTTTCCCAGTGACGGCTCCGGCCTCAACGAGGCTTTCATCTCCTCCAAGTTCGACCCTTTGGCCTGGATGTTGGTATGCGCAATTTCACCTTTCATGATGATCGAGAGTGGCACATCAACTATATCGGAGATGATCTTCATGGTTTCTTCATGGGTCCAGAAGTCGTGAACAAATTTTGAGATCTTCCCAGCACCTCGCAACACAAGAGTCCCTGGCCTGGGACTGACTGCACACTGGTCAATGACCTTGGGATCGAACAGCGCTTTCCGATAAGCCAGTACGCCTTCACCAGACAAAAGCTTGAACGGCAGAGAGCCGGCTACGGGAGAAGAAGTGGAGGTGCGAGGAAGTTTTAATTCTTCCATAGTAATTCTTTGCACCTTGCCATCGTAGGCAAGATGAATCTATTCGTGCGCATATTGGTTAGGAATCTGTCATTTCGGTGAGAGACGAATAGTAAAAAAACTTACTTTGGGGTCGAAGACAACATCTTCCATATGGCCATACATCGTAGCTGCTTACAGTCGATGATCATGGCACAACTTGTACAATGAAACAATGGTTTTTTTTCCCTTCATAGAACCTGAGCTTCGAAATTTGATGACTTGTGAGTACGGATTTGAGGATACAGTTCCCATACAAGCAAGTACAATCGGTGCTAGACCTTGAAGGGAGTAGTGAAGACCGTGCCGTCGACAGGCAGTGGCTCAAGGAAGCTGGGTGGGTTAGGGTTGATCTTTTTCCAGAATGGGCTATTTGATCCCTGGGTGCTATCGTACTGGGCTTGGAATAGCGACATGCACAAACTGGTCATGAATCTATTACTTGATAGTCTGCACTGAGAACTATAACGAAAGCCGGCTGTCAGCCCAAAGAGGCGGGAGAGGGGGCTTAGAAGGTCGGACGGGCCCCGAAAAGTGAAATGGACCCGCCTAAAAGTACTTACCAAGTCGGGCATTCCGAAGTCGGGCAGTCCGCGAACGGGTAAAGCGAAAGGCGAAGGGGAGACCTTGGGCATTGATCTTAATAGCAAAGTCGGCGAGCTCTGCAGCCTCTCCAAGACTCAATCCTCGATACCATCAACATTCGCTTCGCTCATCAGCTGAAAGGAGCCTGAGCACCTTGGAAAAATGCAACGACGTCGCTTCCGTTGACATATTCAAGGCTGACGACTAAAATGCCCCCTAAAAGGCAAGTCATGAGCGTCTGTCGCTCCAAGGTTGTTGCTTTGATATCTGAAGCAAGGCTTGCATCTGCCGTAGTCTTGCTTCCATCGCTTCTGTCAGTGGTTGAAAATCCTCGGATACGAAGCTTGACACGTCTTTCCATGATATCTGTCTTCCATTCCCCACGAGTACCACGATGTCAGAGAAGTGATCATCTCCTCCTTCTTGATCGTCCTCCATGCTGGTCCAATCTCATAGCTGCGATGGAGGAAATCGCTGCTGCTGTCGTCGGGACTCAACATCCTCACAAGGTCAGTGTTCCATGATGAGGAGGGTGTCTGTATGAGAAGAGTCTTGAAATCCGCGTCACACTGTCCGGACATACCCGTGTAACACGGACGACACCCCAACCGGATGAGGCAGGAACTCCGATTCCGACTCTCACTCTTCATGACCCCGCGGTCCGCTCGTGAACATTCCCCTCCTTTCCTCAACGCAAATACGCAGTCCAGTCTTACTTCTGCAGCATGCGGTCAACCGATACTGTGGCTCACGCGAGGGCTTCTTGTCATCGATGTCATCGCCGGAAGAAGAAGTGCGATCGCTCACTACCGCAATGTGACAATTGCCGACTCGCACGCGTATCGTGCAGTTTCCTCGACAGTGACCAGCAGATAGGATCTTACCCGATCGCGTGAGTGCCGTTACCAATTTTGATTCGAGGCATATGAGGTATCTAAACAAGACCTCATAGTTTTGTACAGGGGTTGGAGGCAAAAATTCGAGAACTTGAGAAGAATGCTGCACCAGCTTTGACATCACCAAACAATGCACTGGACTGGAATGCTGTGCCGGTCTTACCGTCAGCTAACACATTTGAGACGTCTAATCCATCCGCACCGAACGAACTATCAAATATCAATATCCTAGACGAACAACAACTAAATCTAGAGGATTTCCTGCTGGATATGGATATTTTTCACTACTCAGCTCCTGCCACTACCAGCATTGTTCTAAACGAGTGCGTTCAAGACTCGCGCGTCTCTCCCCGGCAAGCATCGCCAGTCTCTCTTTCCCAGGAGTTACGGTCACTTTCAATACAAGCCTTGGCCCAGGGGCACCTTGGGTCTTCCTCTGGTCTCTCTTTCGCCCAACTCACACAGACGGTCCTTCGCCGATTGTCGCCTGAGAAGGCTGATTTCGTGTTCAAAAACAACGGCGAGTCGGGAGGGCCCAACCCTTTGGTAGAAGGTGTGACCCCAACTCTCTCTGGGCTCACCAGCTCTGTATCGCTACATCCCAAATTGTTTGGTCTTCGCGCTCTGGGCGATGTAACGGAGCCGGAGGATGTCCTGTCTGGTTTACAATTACCAGACCAGTCGCACAGGAATCGTTTGGTGGATTTCTATTTCGCATGTTCTTATACACTCTACCCTATCCTCAGTCGGCGCGAAATCACATCGATCATTGAAGATCTTCTTTCTGATGACCAATCCCCTTCCGCCAAGTCTCCGTTATGTTTGTTCAAGCTGTGGATAGTTCTTGCGATAGGATCAGCAAACTATTGCGCGTTGGAAATGTCCGAAGAGTCTGAGCCCATGCTCTACTACAGCAAGGCTATGCTATACTTTGAGGCGGCCTTGGGATATGGGGATATGGTAAGTTTTCCAACTGCTCCTGTGCCAAGCTGCTGACACTGTCGGTAGGCCGCATTGGAAGTCCTGGCGTTACAGGTCTGCTACGCCTTCTTTAATCAATTAGGACCAAGTGGGTAGTATTCACCACCGTCGATTTGCGATGCTAATATAGTAAATCAGATACTTGGTTTCTTGTGGGACTAGCTGCGAGAATGGCGGTTGGCATCGGTCTGCATACATCCTCCACCTACGACTCCCTTCCCGTGCACGTCGCGGAAAGGCAAAAGCGAGTATTCTTCTCAGTATACATGATGGATCGGTAGGTTTGAAATCTTTGTAGATCCGAAAAAATATACTGACTTCTCAAGCGTTGTATCCTTGGCCCTGGGTCGACCGTTTGCTTTGAATGATGAAGATATTGACGTTCTGGTATATGGGTCCCCCTTATTTTCAATCGGTCACATCATCGGTTACTAACCTTTTTTCTAGCCATTCGTGCATGCCATTGACGAGAAATTGGAGGCGGTACTAGACGTGCCGAACCCTCTCCAGCCTTCCATTTTGGTGGTCCCTCTTCACATACTTGGCCTCAGAAGAATCGCCAGCAAAATTTCGAAAATGGTCTACTCCGCTAACACAGCCGTAGGCAAAAGTCTGGAAGAACGCGAGGCGATAATCAGGTTGCTACAAGAGGAACTCGTCGATTGGCGGCGCACCATGCCGTTCCCTCTACCAGACATTCACCCACGCGTACCTCAATTGTGCAGCAGCTGGTATGACTTTAACTTTTACACGCACCTTGCGATGCTGTACAGACCGAGTCCTCTCTCTCCCACCCTGAGCCAAGCGCGAGTCAAGATTCTCCTTGAAGCAGCAACAATGTCTATTCGCCAGGCCATGAATATGCACCGTCAGCAAAGATTTGCTTATAATTGGCTGAATCTTCTTGCAATATTCAAATCGTCGCTGTCTCTGATATATGCCGTCACAGCCCAGCCGAACAATCTCGTTGATGTCTTGAAGGGAACAGAGGTTGTACATGAGCTCGAATCAGCCATGGAATTGTTGGAAACACTAGGCATAAAATTCACAGCAGCAAAGAAGATCCGACATATGATAGGGGAGATCGTAGAAAGATATCAAGAATTATGTTGCAACTGAAGAAATGTATAATTGGGGTCGATGTATAGTACCTAGGTAGTATCTCCTAATTTACGCTAAGAGGAAGAGAGTATTGTTTGCGGTATATGTTCCTGGATACCGCGTACAGGACCACGCAACCGCTCGACTAGATTTGTCCTGCGACTCACATAATCCTTTACCGTGTATGTGAGTCATTAGAATACTGAATAGGGATTCAAATGACTTGGTGATAAAGAAATAGAGACAAGGCTGCTGACCCTGACGAGTAAGCAGCCTTTTGGGTTGGGAGACCTATCGACTGCATCGTGGGTCACAAGTCAAAGTCTAAAGTGGCTTCGAATTCGAATTCCCTTGATCATTCGGCCAAGTCCCTCATTTCAAGCGCTAGGTATTACAGGTATCTATGCTCGAACTATGTCGTCGGATGCTCCGCTTATCAAAGATATGAAATACGCAGCAATGCTCCTATCTCGTAGAATCGAAGTCCAAACGTCCTATTGACCTTCACTGGTGGGAGAATCAGGCACGTCTCTTCCTTTGTAGAGTACCTACGCGGCATAACCAATGCCGGTTCCTGTACGTTAGAAGTTATCTCTTCCATAGTCGGAGAGTCCGACTTTTTGGCACTGCGAGGATTAATCGTTATCCTCCAACTGGATTGCGCAATACGGCATGAGTGGTGAATGTTACTAATAAATAAGAGTCACAGTTGCATCGCTGGTTTTCACCTTCTCGTATTTGTATACTACCCCAATATTCATAGTCAACTATCGCGATGGAGGAGTTAACCGCAATTGGTATCGATGCGGCCACCAATCCCGAGTCAACGACGGAGCTCGGCGTGTCTAAGGCTGTGCATGGAGATATCGCCTTGAACTTCTTAGAGACGTCCCCTGAGGATTTCGTGGTCGAAAAGGAGGTAGCCAAACGAGTTCTCAGAAAGATTGATCTTCGCATTCTTCCCCTTCTCTGGTAAGATATTGTCTGAGGTTGGCTGTGGAATGTTATCTCTGATAGCAAGTGCAGCGTGACGCTCTTCTTACAATTTCTGGACAAGTCTACCCTTAGCTATGCCTCCATCTTCGGAATCATTGAAGATGCGGTATGCAAAACTCTCAGTCTTGTTCAGAATTTCACACATACTGACAATCCCTTGTAGCACCTTGTTGGAACCGATTATTCTTGGTTGTCGAGTATCTTCTACTTCGGTGAGATGAAAAATCTTCGGAACAAGACTAAAGCATGTTGCTCATGAGGATACCACAGGATATATGATATCACAACCGATTTCTGCGTATACTATGCAGCATTTCTCGCCAGCAAAATGCCTCAGTTTCAGCGTGTATGAACCTTCACCACGCTCCATCTTCTTTGCGCCGAGACTAACGTCAAGAACGCCAGGTTTTGGTGGGGAGTTATCCTTTTCATGCATGTTGTTTGCGATAGCTTTGCGAAGCTCATGGCGGTCCGATTTTTTCTAGGCATGGCAGAGGCAATGTGAGCTCCCATATCCCACGGTGTATTGAAGATTACTGACATGCCAAAGTGTGACACCGGCGTTTCTCTTGATCACGAGTGGCTGGGTAGGTACTCCTTGATGAATGTTTATTTGCATCCAGGCATGCGTCTTTGAAGGCATTCAGAGTCTTCGCAGCCTTCTCAGGTACATCGTGTGTTGGACAGAAACATCACGCTAACTTGGAGATGAAAATTTAGTATCCGCGAAGTATGCAGCCACTTCGCATGGGAGCATGGTATGCCTTCAACGGCGTCGCAATAATGTTCGGTGGTCTCATCGCATACGGGCTTGGTCATATTCATGTGGACAACATTTCACCGTGGAAGTGGATGTTCATCGTTCCTGCCGGGATGTCCATTCTATGGTCGATTGTACTCTTCTTTTGTCTACCAACTTCACAATTGACGGCGTCATTTTTCAATGATCATGAGAGACGCACAGCCATCGAGCTGATCCGCAGTAACAACACTGGCATTCACGGCAAGACTTTCAAGAAAGAGTAGGCGAAAGAGGCGCTACTCGACCCGATCACCTGGTTCCTGTTCTTCCTCAATCTTCTCTTCAATGTTCCCAATTCTATCTCATCAGTACGTTTGCCCTGAAAAAATACTGCAGGCTTACATTTACTGATTTCCTCTCAGTTCGGCAGTCTTATTATCTCCAACTTCGGGTTTGGTTCATTGGAAACCACGCTGGTTAGTTCTTGCTCTACTTGGTTTTTGGGCTTGACTAACATTGTCAATTCAGCTTAGCATGCCTGGTGGTGCGGTCGAAATCCTAACCATGACTCTTATCCCCTTACTCAGTATGAAAGTCCACAACTCTCGGCTGTGGTGTACGTTTGGCGTGGTTTTGGTAGCACTTCTTGGGACAGCCTTGATATTTGCTTTACCATACGGGGACAAGGGTGGCTTGCTTGCAGGATATTGGCTGGTAAGAATCTGGCACAGCTTACCATGAGATTCATCTCCGCTAATCTCATTGACAAGATCTTTATCTTCCCCACTGCCGGAATCTTGCTATACTCGATGTTAGGCGCCAATGTGGCAGGTCACACCAAAAAGGTCACGACGAACGCAGTGGTCCTGATCGGCTATTGTGTTGGAAAGTGAGTTGATCAATCTAATCTCTTGAGCGGCAAGTCTGACGGAAACCTTCCAACAGTATCATAGGACCACAATTCTTCAAGTCGGAGCAAAAGCCTCGATACAGTAAGCTACACATTCAATTCCAATACAACCATACCAGGAGTACTGACAACGCTAGGGTTGGCAATTGGTTCATTCTTGGTTTGTTGGTGTCTCATGCTTGTCCTGTGCCTACTGTTTCGCTTCTACCTCCGCCGGCAAAACAAACGCCGAGAAGCACACCAGGAGGCCACCACCGAAATCGAATACGAATCCAATATCGAGTTCCATGATTTGACAGATCGGCAAAATCCGAAATTCGTGTATATTTTATAGGACAGGCATGGAATGAAGTTCGATAGCATGGCGACTTTGATAGTATGAGTCGGATGCGCGCCATGAAGGTCATCAGCACGAAGGCGCCCAGAGGGCAAGGGGCGCCCGTGGAGAGGACAAAGCCTCGTTGGCAAGGCTGTCAAGGCACGTGACGAAAAGGGGGTGGAACCGAGCACGCAGTCTAACTTGCGAATATAACAGTCGTTACCAGGTAGATACAAGATCGAGAACACTGTACCATAGCCCCTGACAGCTCGGTGCTCTAACCTCGATACTCCGGAATCCCATCTTGCATTGTGTCACGTAACCCTTGAAGTGCTTCATAACACTTTGATTGCCTTTTCGACAGATACCACCCACACACCGACGTCATGGCATCTCGTTCTCACGCAAAGTCGCCAGCCGTATCGGTAATTTTGGGCTTGGAGAGTAGCTGAACTACCCACTTAGGTAGAATAGCCTTGAAGGCGGAACGATGTGAAGGCGGACTGTTTCTATGGGGTGAAAGGCCAAGCAGAAGCTGTTGACAGATTCAGATTGTCTACCGCCCCAAGCCTGACTGCCTAGCCGCCAAAAAGCCAAAGTGCTGTAGCCCACAAATGCTCGTCGACTTTTGAGTTGCCGGATTTGTCGGCCTTGTGCGACATTTTGGGGGAGACTTCATCAAGGGGTATTTTCCGTTGCGTTTTCTCCGTTGAGTGCTTGTCGTGGCTTTATGATTCCTTTGGGACCCGCTGGAGGGAAGAACCATCTAGACATCCATTAGTAAACTTCGTTCACAGGTAGATGACGGCTGTAATGAGCAGCCCGGAGAGACTTACGAGATATCTTCAAACTCATCCACACCTCTTGCCAGCTTTTGGGCTCGCTCGGCCTCTTCCAGGGTAAACCCACCCGCGAGCCAGGCAAATTTCATTGACGGGTCTGGACACAAGCTGACCCAGTCGAAATCCTCGTAGCGTTTGGTCAGGAGCAACTGGAAAAAGTGGAGGCGGGTTCCTCCGTGCAGCGACACCAGTGGGCCGTCTTTGACGCCGTTCTTGTACGTGCTGGTGCAAGGAGAATTGTAAGAGGTCTGTTCCAACCATGAAAGGCTCTGCCGTTGCCAAAATTCCACCGACTCCGGGTTTGGACGCACGTAGCCGTAATTTTCCGTCTGCAGTTTTCGTACGAGATCGGAAATGTACGCGGTGATAAATTCAATGGAGGAAATCATGCTCCCATGACCGACCGGTGCTCCAGGACCCAAGTATACAAAGTAGTTTGGCATGTCCGTTGTCGTCACTGAAAGATATGCTTGCGGATTGACGACCCATTTCTCTCGAAGATTGACGTTGTTCTGTCCGATGATTGGGAATCGTGGGGCGAAGGCGACGTTGAATCCTGTCGCGCAGATGATGGAGTCAGCCGAAACCTCACGACCATCAGCTGTGCAAAGCCCCGTTCTGGTGAAGGAATCGATCTCTCCCCAGACGACCTCCACCTTGTCCGAGCACAGAGCCTCAAGATAGCCATTGCCCGGAGTCGGCCGACGACATCTATTCCATTTGCACATCAGCTCAGGTCCTCCGTTAGGGTGATGCTAGGGGGTGGTTAACTCACCCTACTGCATACTCTGGAAGCAGAAGCTTAATCAGATCTGGCCGGCCGGCCAGTCTTTTTGACATCAACTCAGAAGTAGCCAACTTGGCTGACGCTTGTTCCTTGCCATTTCTGATGTACATGCGCATCCGAGAGTTGAGCTCGCTCTCCACCTCCACCCTGTATGCATAATATTCGTCCGGGTTCTCTGCCCATCTCTTCTTCTGCTCTTCATCAAAGGCGTAGTTGGCTCCCTCTTGCCGGGCAAACTTTTGTGCATATCCTCCACTGATCCATGTCGGCGTTCGAAGGAAGACGTATATTTTCTTCACTTGGTTCACAATCGCCGACAGTATTTGAATCCCACTGCTCCCATTACCTATCAGTGCTACGGTCTGGTTTGGGTTGAATCTGTGGTTCTCGGGCCAAATGGCAGAGTGAAGTAGCTCCCCCTCGAAGACTTCTCTGTTGGGTATCGACGGCCATTTCCAATCATTCAGCCATCCAGTACAGCTGATAAACACATCGCATTCGTCGATGAATCTCTCTGGCTGCTGATTCGCTGTCTCCCCAGCAATTGAAGTGCTCCTGTCACGGTGATGCGTTCTTTCAACCTCGACTTGCCATTTCATTCGCTCCTCGATCCACTTGGCGCCAACGACCTTATGCGAGAGCTTCAAATACCTCCGCAACCCATGCTGATCCACCACGTCTTCCAGGTACTGTCGAATCTCCCCTGAGGTTGCATAATAGTTCTCGAAATAGGGGTTCGGCGCCCATGAGAACTGATAGTTGTGCACAGGGATATCGCAGGCACACCTGTTCGGCAAACAAATCAGTTAGAAGTGACATCAAGGAATCCAATTCCACATGATAATAATTACCCTGGATACCTATTTTCATACCACGTTCCTCCAATTCCGGGGTTCTTTTCGTAGACTGTCAACGTGACTGCTTTCATCCTATTGCCAGCTTCAATCTCATGCGCCATGGAGAGACCACTGATGCCGGCTCCGGCAACAATCATTTTGATTGGCCGTGGGCTTTTGAAAGGTACCCTGGATAACTGGTATGCAAGTTGGTCGCGCTGCTCGTAGGCTGCTGTGGCAGTACCAAGTTGACCATCTTCGGCGACTCTCCTGAAATATCCCGTTGCTTCGTTTGCCATGTTGATACAATCTGTACACGGGTTGTAGAAAAGAAAAAATAATTAAAATCTATGTCGCGTCAACAAGGTCGAAATGAGAATGTCAGAATCTGCTGGCGAAGATATACGAGTATATTTGGGAACAATAATGATGATGGCCAAATCTACCATCGGCCAGAATTCTACCGATAAGGGTCTCCCAGGTAAAATCATGGTGTGCTAAATATCATTCTGATTAACGTAAGTCAAGTCTCCATCGAGGAGGGGAATTGCGCCATCCGCGCCACGTTGACGAAAAAGTGGAAATCTGTAGTCGGAGGCTCCGACATGTTATAAGACTACCACTACCACTCGTAGTCCGTCATCTCGGCCTCCTCTCCATCCAAAGTGAGCAATATTGTTTTGAATCATAATCATTTACAGGACGTGCCAAAGGAAACAATAATAGCGACAATGACTACACCCGAGCCCCCACCTGGATCGCAGAGCATTGAGCAGATACTGGCATCAGCGAGATCCGAACTCAAACGTCTAACACCGAAGGAAGCCTACGAGAAGTTGACGGGAAACCGAGATCCCCCGGCGATTCTGGTGGACATACGCCCGGCGGCTCAGCGTGCCGCCAAAGGAGAAATCGAAGGCTCCCTCATCATCGAGCGCAATGTGCTCGAATGGCGATTTGATCCTCAGTCCAAGACTCGCCTGCCGATTGCAGATCGGTATGATCACAACATTATTGTTCTCTGCCAGGAGGGCTACACGAGTTCGTTGGCCGCCAAAGCCTTGAGGGACATTGGATTGAAGAATTCTACCGACGTTGTTGGTGGGATCAGAGATTGGCAGGAGGCGGGTCTGCCGACGAAACTGTGATCGTTAGAAGTTTCAAGCGTCGGCACGAGATTTTGTTCTTTCAGCACCACAGCATGGGGGCTAGCATTCCTAAACTGGATACATCGAACATTCCAACAAATGTCGTATCTGCTTCTTGCCCTGCCAAATGTGATTGACAATACTAGTGAGGTGTCTCCCTTAGACGGCTCTTCCGCAAGTGATTACTTTAACAAGTCAAGCCTTGAATAGATAGTCGTGGGCGGGCCTTCCGACAACCAGACGCTTACGCACTAACTTTGATCTATCACACTCTAATTGTTACTACTGAAGTACGTTGGGTAAGACCTCGTCATGCCTGTTATCTCACGATTTCCGTCATGTCCGATCTCTCGACGCTTCCGACCAGTCGGCCCTTCCGGTCGTGGGACTTGTCCGATAGTTAGGCTTAGGCGCCGACAGGAGCCCACGTACCTAATCACGACAAGAAAGCGTCTCTCATGTGACCAGATAATCATCGTGTTACGCCGTATAAAACACACTGCTCTGTAAATGCGAGATATACCTAGGACAAAGGTAGAAGCGAACAACTTGGTCCCCAAACAGAATGGCGCAAAATCATATCTCTGCAACAACCAATGGTGAAAATGTTGAGAAGAAGAAAAAGATGATTTTGAATGCGTTTGTCATGAACTCACCCGGCCATCTGGCTACGGGGTTTTGGAAACACCCTAGAAATAAAACAACCGAGTATACTAAACTCAAGTTTTGGACGGATCTGGCGCAAATGCTCGACAAAGCCGGGTTCCACGCTCTCTTCGTTGCCGATGTCCTCGGCGCATACGACATATACAAAGGTCCTGGAAACCATGGACCGGTGACCTCTGCTGGCGCTCAATTTCCCATCAACGACCCCCTTTACACGGTTCCGGCAATGGCAGCTGTTACCAAGAATCTCACTTTTGGCATTACCGCTTCGACGACGTACGAGGCACCCTACGCGCTCGCAAGGCGATTTTCCACTGTGGACCATCTTTCCGAAGGTCGTGTGGCGTGGAACATTGTTACTTCATATCTCGAAAGCGCTGCGAGAAACTTTGGATTGTCGACCCAAATTGAGCATGATGAGCGATACCGCATTGCCGACGAGTACATGGACGTGGTCTACAAGCTTTGGGAAGGCTCCTGGAGAGACGATGCGGTTGTGAAGGATCTCAAGACCGGGCAATATGCTGTTCCGGAGCGCGTCCGTCAAATCCACCACGAGGGAAAGTACTTCAAGGTCCCCGGTCCCCATCTTTGCGAACCTTCTCCTCAGCGCACACCGTTCCTCTTCCAGGCCGGCACATCTCCATCTGGTAGAGACTTTGGTGCAAAGCACGCCGAGGCCATCTTCGTCTCCGGACAGGACCCCGCGAAGGTCAGAAAGTCGGTCGATGCTATTCGACAACTTGCAAAGGACAAATATGGCCGGGACCCTTCTCATGTAAAGGTGATCCTTGGTATGATCATCATCGTCGCCGAGACGGACGCGGCCGCCGAGGCGAAAATGGAGGAAATGCGGCCGTACGGCGATAGAGACGGCGCTCTGGCAATGTTTGGCGGCTGGACCGGGATTGATCTCTCCCAGTACCCCGATGACGCCGATTTCAGATTCAGTGGCCCGTCGCAAATCCAAGGCTTCGTCAACAACTGGGCGGCTGAAGTCCCCGGTAGCAACAACCTGAAGTGGACCAAATCAACAATCGCCGATTATCTCATGATGGGAGGGCTCGGAGCAAAGGCTTGCGGAAGTCCCAAAACGGTGGTTGATGAGTTGGAGAGGTGGATGGAGCTGGCTGACATTGATGGCTTCAATCTGGGTCACATCATCAATCCTGGCTCTTTCGAAGACATTATCGAATTCGTCCTACCAGAGCTCCAGAGCCGTGGGCTTTTCCGAACTGGTGTCGAAAAGGCCGGAGCGACAACCCGGGAGGTGTTTTTCGGAGAGGGTGGTGGTTTCTTGCTTGGAGACCATCCAGGCCGAAAGTTCCGTTGGAATCCGTGCGAATAACACTTCCCGTATCTTGTTGTGCCGATCTAACATTGAGACCAAGTTCAGAGACGACCCCAGCACAAGAACCAACTACAACGCTGTAAAGGTTGTCGATGGCCCAAGTCAGCAAGCATTGGTCGTTACCCGAGAAGGCCAGTTCAAAGTTGACCCATCGTTTCCAATGCCAATCATTGAGAAGGACAACGAAATCATGATCCGTAGCCGTGCGGTCGGGCTGAATCACATGGACTGGAAGTCTGTTCAGTACAACATCTGCCTTCCCTCGTTTCCATGGATCATGGGTCGAGAAATGGCCGGGGTTGTCGAGAAGGTTGGAAGTGCTGTGACCGACTTCAAAGTTGGAGACCATGTGTGGACCAGTACCTATTACCGAGATAGGAGAGCCGGATGTTTTCAAGAGTTTGTTGTTGTCCCAGAGCTTACAGTCAGTAGTATCCCATCAAATTTAACCTTCGAGTCGGCAGCCTGTCTCGGGGTGGGTGCCATCACGGCAGCAATGACCTTGTGGAAATGGCTCGAGGTCCCGATGCCTTCTGCCCTTTCGGTGTCGTCATCAGAAGAAGCAGCAAATGCCGAGCAATACATCTTGATCTGGGGAGGCTCTACGATAGTGGGCCAGTTCGCTATCCAGATTGCCCTTCGGGGTAACTTCAATGTCATTGCGGTGTCGTCAGAGGAGTCCAGATCGATTATTGAAGAGTTTGGAAATGTGCATGTTGTCACGAGATGCAATCGATCCAACGGGGAGATCATAGCCGAGATCCGCAAGATTGGAGGGGACCGAACTGTGAAGGCAATGGATCTCGTCGGGTCAGAAACCGCAGCATGCTGCATCAGAGCGTTATCAACCACTTTACCCAGTATTTTTGCACATCTTGTGACGATGCCAAAGTCTCTATCCATCCCGAGCAATATCACGGTCCGGGAGGTGGCAATGAAGAAGTTTGTTCTGGACGAATCGTCGAAGGCGTACTCGACTGAACTGAATGAAATCGTTCAGTCTGGAGTTGTCAAACTTCCACAGATCAGCATTCTAGAGGGAGGACTGAGTCGAGTAGACGAAGGTCTTCGAATCCTCCAGATGGGTGGTATGAAGGGAAGAAAACTCGTCGTCAGCATGTGAGAAGAAGGACAAGAACACCTCAGTCAGCTATTAGCCAGTATAAAAAAGTAACTCTTGTCAGATCTGTGTTTGCAACGTCTCAAAGGACGAAGACGAGAGAGTCGCACCAGGTAAATACGATCGAGGACTGTCTAAGGTACGTATATATGCCGGCGGTATTTTCGATGAACGAATGGTGAGATGCCGAGCGCGAGAAATGGGTCAATAAAGGAGGTAAACAGAGGCTGCCATATCCTACCTAGAAGAGTTGGACACGGGAATACAGTGGTAGGGGGAATTCTAGAATAACACCCCTTGCGCTTTCTGGTGGCCTCCTAGGATTTTCCCCCACACTCCATCTGATCACCACTCCTTCACGCATCAATGATTCCTGTTCCTTGACGCCATCTCGGTATTCTCAAGATAAACCTCGATCTGGTGTCAATGTTAGCAAATGCGATCGTGGCACCTGAGGAGGCATACCTTGTTGTTCATCTTTGCATCCACGTCTTTACAACAGGCTGAAGCAATGATGCCGACAACACCGAATGCAAGTGAGGTAAAAGCGACGATTCTTCTTTGCGTTAGTACAAGGTCGAAGGACGCTACATCATACGCACCTGATTCCATGCACAGTGGCCTCAGCAACTGCGTTTGCCACAGCAGCCGCGACCTTTGTGCCAAACTCCTTTGCCAGCGCCGAAGTGCCAACCACCTTCATCAAAGCAGCAATCTGTGACTCGGGCAATCCTGCAGCTACTGCTGCAGACGGAACGAGTTTCATAATCCAGGTGTTGGTGGTGTTGGTCAGGATAGTGGTATAAACTGCTGCGGCGACTGTGAATGCGTCAGTATCTCTCTTTTCCAGGAGGGATGTGACAAGGCCATACTGGAACCTGCTGCAAATCGGACGACCCCGGAAATCCCACCACTGATTCCAAGGTCTTTGTGTTCAACACCCATCTGGCTGACAGCGATAGCGAGGTAGATGGCCCATCCATATCCAGTTTGCGAGAGGAAAACGAACGCAATCATCAAGGATTTGTTGTGTTGAGTTGCCAGGGCAAGCAAGGATCCGAAAAAGACCATGAAGAAAACTGAACCAGTCAACTGCCACTGCCAGTTCCTGATGCTTCGACCGAAAATTGCTAGCGAGCCAGCGCCGGTAAGGATTGCGAAGCCTTGCGGCAAAGACAGCGCTATACCATATCTCCAATCGGCCCCCCCGTCGGTGTAGAATGTATTGATCATCGTGGGCCACAGAATGCTGCTGGAGTAGTAGAACATATTCACAACGCCTAGGGCGATTGCTGGGGCCGTGAAGTCTCTGCCGTGAGAGGAGGTGAAGACGTAGGTCGGGGTCAAGGGATGCTTCAGTTTGGCGAACCTCTCCCAGCAGGCGAAGCAGATGATGAAGAAGAATCCAATCACTAAAGGAGCAACGACGTGTGCGTTATTGGACGGAAAGATTGTGGTGTAGACGATCCCTATGAGCAAGGGAACTGCTCCCACAATGAACAAAATTCCTCCTAATCGAGCATGTCAGCATGATACTGGGAGGAGTGAGGCCTGCCTTACCGACATAGTCAATCTCCTTGACCATTTGGTGGATTGGGATGCCATACGGATGAGCAGGGGGAAAGTATAGAAAGAGGAGACCCAAGAACGAGAGGAACTGAGCGATCGCGGCAGCCCAAAAGTTCCATTGCCAGTTGCCATGCTCGATTCCGAGTCTGCCACTTGCTGGCCCGATAATGACGGCCATGATGGTGGTTATATCAGCGATGATGACCCCAATGTGCCTCCACTTGTTTGGAAGAAGTTCTGAAAGGGCAAAGGCCGCCATCTACAACCAAATCTATGAGTACCTTGGACTGAAATGTGGGTGCCCAAATACAAACCTGGCAGTTGCCTCCACCGAACCCTGATATGGCCATTCCTGCGACCACAGCGTTGGCGCTTTTACTGGTCGCAGTAACTATGTGGCCTACAGTACAGACCTAGATTAAGGTCAGTGAACTCAACGTTCGATGTCGGAAATGCTGCGCAACAAACCAGATTTCCAATCACGAGGAACCACCGTCGGCCGAGAAGATCTGTGTTGGCACCACTAAAGTCACTCGGTCAGAAATGAACTGCAAACCCACGATGAGGAATTCGTACCAGAGCATGAAGCAAGTTGTGATTGAGATCGTCCACGCCTGCCCGCCCGATTAGTCTGCCGGAAAGTGTCTCAAGCGACTTCTCTGTACCGGAATGATCCAATATGCCCTGCTTGGTTCTCCAAGTTCCGTAGCGACCAGGCTTCCGATGCTTGCCATGACAGGAATGGGCCAAAAAGAGAGGCCATAACCGCACGAGAGGATCTAGCAGACATGTCAGACGGTTCTTCGGGATAGGACGCGAGGCCTCCCAACCATAACCACAACCCACGTCTTGAGTGTAACGACTGGCTCTTCATCTTCCTCGGGGTCACCCGAAATCTGTGTCTCTTCATCTTTGTAATGAGCCTCATGTCTCGCAGTTTCTGCAGAAGGATCTGGGATGTCTTTGTCTACAGCCATGTTCTCTAGGTTGCGTGGCACAGGATGTATAATAGACCAAGGGGGATGAGGCTGAAACCACCAGCCAGAATATTGATCTATATGATATGAGTGGATGCGGGGGAGAAAACCTGGAGAATGATGTCCGTGCCTTACAAATCTCAATGCACACGAGCCGCATTCAGGGCCCAGAGGGAGAATCGATGCGTTGGTCCTGTTGATCCACGACATGGGACAATCAGGATCAAACCAGTCATCTAAAAATGATCGATTTCGTCACTCCTGCTAGATGAGGTCTCAAAGCACACCTCCGTCCACCCGATAATCTGCGGCGGTCGCATAGCTGCTAGCATCACTCATCAGGTACACCACTATTCCATTGAGCTCAGAAGGCTTTGCGATGCGGTGCATAACACAGTTGTCCTCGAAAAGTTTTCTGCGTGACTCGTCCCCCGTTATCACGGATTGCAGCATATCAGTCATCATACAGCTGTCGGTGTGTCAGAATCGTTGCATTCAAATCGTGCCAAAGACATACCCGGGGCTAATCGAGTTGACTCGGATGTTGTACTGTGCCAACTCGGCCGCCGCTTGCTTCGTGAAGCCACGAACACCGAATTTGGATGCCGTATAAGCAGTGATGGTCTGCGGCCACAGCGACTGGTGTGATGCAGTCGAGGCAATGCAGATTATACTGCCGCCGGACTTCTGCTCCTTCATTTTGGCCGCGCAATGCTGAACCGTATAGAACACGGCATTGAGCTATCATTCAAGGTTCAGTCGCTGCCCGTATTGCGAGCCTTCGAGAAATACCTACATTGACCGCCAATGTGCTGTCGATGTCACTTTTGGAGTGTTCGAGAAAAGGCTTGTCTCGAATGATACCAGCAGCTGGAATGCTTCGTTGTTGACATCAGTATAAGTTCCACAAGATACGATGAGATAGAAGAATACCATCCATTGATAGAACCAAAATCATTGGCGATTGTGTCGATGGTAGATTTTAATCCATCGTAGTCGGTGACGTCGGCCTGATAGTATTTGTGGTTACCTCCCTTTCCTTGGAGCTCGAGGAACGCTTCAGACGGCTTGCTGGCGAGGTCGATAACAGCGATGTTGGCACCAAATTGGGCCAGACATTGAGCAAAATGCAACCCCAGCCCTCGAGCGCCTCCAGTAATGACCACTGTTTTCCCTCTAACCTCGAACATCTTGCCGGGATCGGCTCCTGAGGAGCTCTTGTCCCATAATGCCATGTCAGCGACTAGGTATCAGAAGCCCAGATGCTAAAAGAAAGACCCTAGGGTGGATGGTTCAGAATAGATGATAGACTAAATGGGAGTAGGTAATGCACCCAGCTACATCCTTGTATTCAACCTCCCCTGTAGCTGCAGTAATGGTTTTGCAGGAATCAAAGTATGGAGAATGATCTCCGAGATCTCCTCATTTATTTGGCTTTCACTTTGGGACCTCGGATAAGAAGTTCTTGAGGACTCTAAACTGGGGATCGAAATCCGAGAATCCTAATAGGGTCTTATTCAGATTTCCACGGCCTCACAGAGCATATCGCCATCGAGGATGGAAGTCACACAGATCTTCAAACGTCTTGTCAGCACTGTCGTCAATCTGACCACTCTGCACCAGCTCTTCGGCACGACGGTCTCGGTCGGCATTGGCACGTGAAAGCATGAAATACACGATCACAGTACAAATGGCCGCCAGAATGTAAAAGCCCAGTGCGACGCCGTGACCCTTAAAGAACCGCGGAGGATGGTCGTACACCTGCGTGGCGATGATGCTCTCGCATTGGATGAAGATCTGAGAGGCCCAAGTGGTGGTCACGCGCTTGGTGTAGCCGCCGTGGAATGTGAAAGACCAGGCAACACTGATCGCCAGGCCAGGGTATGCTCCTGCGAGAACAAAGCATGCGCCAGCAACGAGGGCGACTTTGTTCGTCGTTGAGAGGAGGATGACGAATCCTGTGATGCTTGTGCAGAGACAACCAAGCAGTATGGGGAACTTCCGGTTGAGGCGGTCGGATGTGTAAGGGACGGTAATCAGGGTGAGTAGCCCAAAAGCGTAGGGAATCATCGAATATAGCTGAGTGTCCAATGCCGAGAATCCAAACTCCTTGATGAATGTGGGGAGGAAGACTGAAAAGGCACCGATACCAATCCCTTGAGCGCCGATGATGGCTGAACCTAGATACATCTTCGGGTCTTTGAGTGCAATAAGAATCTGGTGATATCGAGCTCTTGATCCTTCAGTATTTTGACCTATTACACATCATTAGATCATTCGACCACGCTGCCGTGTGTCATACTTACTTGCGACCATTCTTGCAGAGATCATCTTACGTTCGTCCTCATGTCGGAAAAAGAAGTTGCCTTTCTGGATGACTGTGTCTGGGAGACCGGGAAGAAGGGCAATAACGATCAAGCCCCAGAATATTGTGATGGCGCCCTCAATAATGAACAACCATTGCCATGAGTCGAAGCCCAGCACTTTATCCACGTGCTTCTCTAAGCCCCAGGAGATGATGCCACTAATAGCTCCAGCAACTGGACTCATTCCGTAGATGGCCGCTGATCGCTCGTCAGTATGAGCTCAGCGCATTGTTGGATCATTAGACAAACCCGTTCGAGTTGACAGTTCGTTCGGCCTATACCAGAGACTGATGTACAGATATGCGTTATTGACAAAAGCCTCCGCAAAGCCAATCAAGACACGGAGAACCATGACTGATGCATACGATTTTGCTGATGCCATGGCGCACGCAAAGATGCCAAACAACACCGCGTTCACACCGAGGACGAAGCGTGGGGGACATATTCGGAGCAGGAGACCCGCAGGTAGTTCCAGCACCATGTAGCCGAGGACTTTTGGGATCAGCAGGGGAGCCTGCACGAGCAGGAAAGAGAAACCGTACAGAACATCATGACACAGTTGTAGAACTGCTGGCTGGTCAAACGAAGGTCGACTTGCATACCCATTACGCGGGCGTTTCCGATTTGTCCTCGGTCCTACAATCGTCAGTCATACCAGACACGAAACAGAAGCAGAGTTCGTACCAGGTAGCCAAAGAACAAACTGCCCGACAGTAGTGGTAGAATGAGCATGTCTTGCTTGCGGACCAGACGTTTTTCCTCCCTGGACTTCTTGTGGCGGACACGAACGTCAACATGGGGGATCTCAGTCTTGAGGCTTGGTATATTGTCAAAGCACTCGGCTTGCGCCACACCTGACTTTTCGATCACCGGCTCGGGCATTGCATCCATCTCTGCGCAAGATTTCTGTTGGAAGCGATGTCGTGTCGCAATGAGAAGTCGCTCGAAGCCGTGCATGGCATCAGATTGATCGAGGTAACAGGCTTCTTATGTACTGACTTTCCAATATATCAGAGGCCGAGATCCTCCCCATACCCCGGTCCGCAGAAGGGGGTCCCCACGCCGCAATGGGGTAAGCTGGGCTGATTTGCAGGCAGGACTACTCCCCCGAAAGAAGGCATGTCCGAAAAAATTACCCAAAGACCGGTCACATGACCGGCGTCGACATTGGTAACGGCCAAATCTGACGAACGGATCACGTCCCATTCCTGAAGCGACATTCAAACCCCAGGGTCCTAGTACGTGTAGTATTCCTGAGCAGGGGAGAGAAATCGAGAGGCGTTGGAGCATGTCCACGTCCCAAGATCTGACCGAGGCAGGCGTGCCGATTCAATCTTGCATGCCATTTCGTCGAGGATAGCCCGCTCATCTTGCAGGGCGCCCATTAGAGATACTGACTGCGGGACGTCCTACCCGTAGATACGAGGCTTGTTCCTGCTGTACGCTCTCTTACTGTGTGTGGCGATGATAAGAAGCTGTTATGTGAGAGCTGCGTAGTTGATAGTATCAAGCATCGGCATTGGTCCTTCGGGCTCAAAGTTTGCATCGAAGCTCAACGGAACGTCCAAAGTGGCTAGCCAATCGTAGTCAGGAAAGGTTCCATTTGGTGACCAGGACGATGATAGGTATTTCGAGGATTCTGTGCCTTCGTCCGCTTGACCTAGTAACGGGGCAAGCTGGATCGAATTGGCTCCTAAGTTGATGTTATCAGTTACATTGTCAACAAAAAGTAATCAAAACCTACCGATGTCACTCTGTGTCTCCTTGTATGGAGTTTGTTGCCCGGCGAACTCCCTTCGCCACCGCCAGAAGCAATCGAAAACAACGCTCATACTCAACCTACTGCGGCAAAGGAGAAGAAGACTATCAGTAGTACCGTCCGACTTCTTGAAAGCATTCTTGCTCGTCCAAAGCTGAGTTAAGATGACCGTGGTTCTGGACGACAGATCGCTGTCTTGAACTGATATTTTCCGGAAAAGTAAGATGTTATCGAAATATGCCTGGCGACCTCTCTCGATATCCAGCAGCGAAGCGAGATGGCTTCTAGCGATCCGCAATAAGGCAAACGAGGCCAGCACTAGCATTTTCTGGTTGTACGCTGTTGCGGAGCTGCTGAAATCCTCGGTCTCATCCAAGCCTAGTGCCATTTCTATGACAGAACAAGCGAGAAGATACAGCTTGGCCAAACTGGCATTGTCCCTTTCTGTTGGCCCAACAAAGAAGTGAAAGCTGTGAACCTGGAGTCTGGCGCAGAGGAGGTGGAAACGACCTGACTTGTCAGTGGTGGTATATTCCACCCTCCGAGAGGACTTACTAAATTGGTCAGGACATTCAGGATCCATTTGCAGGAATTGCCACATGAAGATGTCGATCATAGACTTGACAGAGCTAGCTCCTCCGGACTCTTCAATGCCTTGTACACAGCGGCCCAGTTCCAAGATACAGGAGGCAAGGTTCTGGCTCATTTTCTTCCTGAACTGTAATCTAAAGGGCACCGTACCTGGGCTCTGCTCCGGGAAAAGCTTCGGGTCGTACGTGTCAAGTACTGTAGGTGGTGGAAGTCCGTTCGAGATTGCGGTGCTATCATCTGTCAACATCACATCGATCAATGAGAGATCGCCCTACCTCTGAGCAGCTACTGTGGACGCCACCCACAACTTCGCCCGGTGCGTGCACTCGTTTTCATCGTGCTCCAAAGTTGTTCTCGAGAAATCCTGACCATTGCCCTGAATGTGTAGCCCGATACTGACCGCCAAGCTCAACATTGCCCCTGATAGTACTGGGGAGATATCCTTGTGCATGGTGTCCACCGGCATCGGCCAGACACAGAGTATTAGGTACGCCTGGATGGTAGGCAATTTTTCGGTCTGGGAAAACAGGCTGTGTGCAGCAAGCTCTATGACTTTAGGACCGAGCAGGCTCAGGATCGTCGGGTCTTTGGAGTACTTTCTTGCTCCGATGGCGACGATGGTCCAGAAAAGGAGCGGAGATTGCATGTAGCAGGTGTTAGGATCGTTCAAAGAGTCGAAAATGTACAATTTCGGTAGATAATGCAAGGAGAAGCTGTAAGAACATCAGCGTCTGCATGAGCCGGCACGAGGGTGTCGGACACACAGTGCAAAACAGTCATCGATCTGGTTGCTCCCAAGTTCAAAGTCGTCCAGAGCCTGGCAGGATGTCATGCTAAGTCCACCAGCGCTTGTCGGACAATTAGTGTCTGGCGCGAAACTATTCTCTGGAAATGCTACTGGGTCATTTGCGGCAACACGGGAGATGCTGGCCTCGAATGGCATTCCGTTAGTTTGACAGTTCATCACGGTGTACCGGACAGTATTGTCGTTGCCTGTAACAGTGCTCGACGATACCGAGCTGGGCTCCAGGGCGTCTGATGTTACAAGTTGCTGCTTCAATTGATCCACCTCAGCCTGCAATTGAGCTTTCGTTTGTTTCTTGGTTCGCTTGAATGACTTCAACACCACGCAATTGAGTTTCATTCGCACACATCTCGAACATGGCTGAGAATAGTCTTTCGAGGCATCGCACCTGAGCTTCTGTTGGCGACAACCGGTGCATGATTTGACACGGGCGCTCAACATTGGAGATCTGGTGAGCGACATTGCAGAGCATGCCGGCGCGCAGCCCCCCCAGATGCACAACTGAATTGCAATTGGGGATTGGAAAAGGCTTTGAGAGATACGGGGAAGTTATGGAGGGCTAAGTTAGGGCTCGGGGTCAAGGGCCCGAAGATTTAACGTTTGGAAAGCATTCTCATGATTCGGGGAAAGCTAAGTAAAGCAGGCGCCACACCTATCGTCTCATGTGCCTAATTATTATGTTCTAGCTTCCATCATGGGCGTGTGCACGCCTGTATTATCTAAGCAAAAGTGTGCTGGCGCAATGGGACATCAAAGCAAGCAGACTTAATATCAAGTGACACACAATTAACATATAGGGACATTTCCGATCGCCCAATCCCAAGGCCAGCCACTGCATTCTTCATCTGAACCACTTGGTCTCCACAGTTCCAACGCGCTCAACAGTCACATTAGCTCCATCACCCTTCTTATCCCATACGGCGTTCCTGCCCGTAATCTTGATCCTTCCATGGGACCAGTCAGCGCTTGTCGGAGCATCCTTTGGCAAGTGTGCCATCTCGACTCCAGCTTCCCTAAGGACAGGACTCTTGTCAAGCAGTGTGTTGATAACCACCTTATCGTTTGGCACACAAAAGTAGAAGACGCTGCTCCTATTGTGACCGCGCTGATCGACAGGCGGCTCAAACACACGATGGATGGCAGCTTTGAAGTAGTTCCCAGTCCACCAGAGCATGGTCTCGCCGGCATTGACAACAATCGCTCCTGGGACATGCTTGACATATTTCCACTCGTTCGAGTCATAATCACGAACCTGGAGCGACGACATTGGCTGGCTAAAGAGAAGCGACAGGCTGGTGAAGTCTTGATGACCACCCAACCAGAGACCTCCGGTCACGGCCTTCTCCTCGGAAGTGTATTCATCGTAGTACTCCATGTATCGAAGCCAGGTTTCGTCGTGACCGTTATAGTCATGAGCTTTTACCAGGTAGTCCTCATCATCGAGCTTCAATGCGATCCCGAAGAGCCGAAGGAGCTTGTACAGGATGTCCTTGTGGGTATAGTCGATAAAGCTCTGGATTTCAGGTTGGAAAGGCTTCAGTGCCGCAGGCTGTTCCCGAAGGGACATGTCCCGGTAGACGTTGAAGTTCTCCACCTTGTCTCGCACATTTCCTGCATTGCGCCAGTGGCCACGGGGTTTAAAGCCATGGTATGAACCTTCCTCAATCCTGCAAGTTGTCAGGGGCAGTCCGGGGCGAGACGAAAGAAGATATTCGGCAGGGACTTACATAGGCGCCTTCAAACGCAACTTCTCTTCCTGCGGAGTGCGCTTTAGGATTGTATGACCAATGTCTACCTGGCGTGAGATATCCTTTTCAGTGATGCCGTGGTTGATGATGGTAAAGAAGCCTTGGGTAGTCATAGCAAGTCGAATCTCTTCTGCCAGCTCGGCTCGAGCTTCAGGGCCATCATCGTAACGGCTGAGGTCGATAGTACGGAGTGACGCAAAGTCGACGGGTTCCTTGGATGGTTGAACAGGCACAAAATGGTCTGCCTCAGGAAGGACTTTGGAAATCATGGCGGCGCTTAGCAGTCAAAGATAGTCCTGTTTGATGTGCCTAGCAAGGAAAAAGGGCTCGGTCATACAGGTACTTGAGCACGTCTATCCCCAGCTTTATCATTGTGGTGATTGTGCGGAGACCCCAACCCTGAGCGCCGTAATCGTATGGCAACAAGGAGTCGAAGTCGGTGTTTGGATCCATTTTGAAGTCTAACCCGAGTCCGATCTTGAGCTGAACTCCGGTCCTCCTTTGGCCTTGCGCGAGCAGACTTACCTTGAGCGAAGAGCAAGACATGGCTGATTGGAGTCAGGAGTCTGATGTCGGCCAGCTCCGGCAGTCGGCATGTAGGTACACGCTGGGAAACATCTCATCATCCAGCTCACCTTGCCCGTAACATGGAAAGATCTTGCAACGCGTTCCACAACAGTGATTGGTTCTGATGTCAGTATCAGAAGCCCCTTACCACACAGGTGCTGTCGATATGCATTCCTGCATTCAAAGCGTTGTAATGTGGCGACCAATTGCTTACGTCTTGATGCTACAGTGCCCTTCGTAGGAATTCCCGTTCCCGTGCATGTTAATGTCGGGCGTGTCGGACGATATGGGCCGCCGTAGAAGCCCCGGATCCACTGGGCGACTTTACCGAGTTTGCATAGTTTGCATCAAATCTTCCGCGGGCAAGGCTCGTCGATGCGGACAGTGCAGAATAAATTACAGCCGACCAGCCAGCAACACCTCAGGCTCCCATTCGGTTTTGGAAAGAATAGAAGATGCCGCCTCCTACGAAACGTCGGCGAACAGAGCCGACCGTGGTGGAAGAAATCACATTCGACCCCAGTGCACGGCAAGAATATCTCACTGGTTTCCACAAGCGCAAACTTCAGAGGGCGAAACATGCACAAGCGGCTGCGGAGAAGACAATGCGGGAGGAAAGGCTCGCAGCGCGCAGAAAGGTAGAGATTTGCCCTTCTCAATATCTCTAGCCTCATACTGACTGTGGCGCAGCTACGAGAACAACGAAAAGCGGACTTGGAACGACACGTGCAAGAAGTAAATGCGCTTCTGAAGCCACTCACGGCCTTGGACAGCTCGGAGGAAGAAGATCAGCACTCGAGACCGGAGGAAGACTGGTCGGGTCTATCTGATCCGGAGCCGGAGCCAGTCGATCATGAAGCAGAGTACATCGACGAAGACAAATATACCACCGTCACGGTAGAGGCCATGGACGTGAGCCGCGAAGGACTTTACAAGGCCGAGCAGGACGACAGCGAAGAGAAAGACCAGTCGAAAGAAGCGGAGGACTCTAAGCAACAAGACCCCCCGCCAGAGGAGAAGAAGAAACGCCCATGGGCCAAGGACAAACCAAAAGACGGTACAGACAAACCTAGGAGGAAAAGGAAGAGAAACTTCAGGTACGAAAATAAGACCGAAAGAAAGATGTCAAGGTCGAAACAGAAGGCCAGAAACCATAAGCAGGCACGAGAACGGAAAAGTGAATGATCAATCAATGCTGTTCGTCCATCAAACTGTCAACGCTCGCCCTGTATTGAATGCCCATGGTATCGTAGGAATGTCGTGGTCTAATGCATCGTGGCTTTCACTCCTTGCCAGATGTCGTCGTCGTGAGTCTCTCACACAACAAGAACAACAATGTGCCTCAATCCGATTAGATGTTTCCCATGCTCTGCTCCAATTCTTGCAATTCCTTTTGAAGGTCCCCGTGCTTCTTCGCCATTTCTTCGTATTTGGCCTCCCACTCGTCCCGGGCTTGTTCCAGCGCTTGGACTTTTCGCTCGAAGTGGCCTGCTTTGACATCGGTCTGACGAAGCCTGTGGAAAGGTAAGTATAGTTCAATTGGAATATGCGGTCAATCTTACTTCTCGTTGGTCTCTCTCAAGGTCTTGTCGGCAGCCTCGGCTTCTTCTTCGAGAACTTGGAGTTTGCGTGTCAGGTTTTCATTTGCGGTGCTGTGCTCGGAGGCTTCGCCAGCGGCACTCTTTGCATCCTTGATGGCAGTTTCAAGTTTCTCGACTTCGGCCTCGAGCAGTCCGTTGCGGTGTGTGAGGGAGGTGATCTCTTGTTCTTTCTGGAGGTTCTCTTGTTCCAAGGTCTTGACTTTCGCCTTGAGCTCTTCCGCCTTGGCCGCATTCTCGTCGGCCTCGATGCGGAGCGAGTTCATCTTCTGTTGGAAGTTAGCGAATGCTGAGGCCATGGTGGTCGATGATTGATTGTGATTGGTGTGGAAGTGGAGGAGTCTGAGGGAATTGTTGATGTACGAAGAATAGATGTGGAGAGTGCCAGTGGTATTGTAAACACGACCAGCTAAAGGCTGAAGTGGTGAGGCAGTATCGAGTGTGTCGTGCCTGGCACGAGGGTACACCGCAGTGAAGGCAGGTGCGAGTGAATCGGACGTACCTCCTTGATTCGATCCATGGTGAATTACGTGCAAGTAACCAAAAAATGAGTAAGATGGATTATGTTGCGAGATGAACAGGATAGCGGAATAATTGGGTCGCGTTGATATAGCAGTATAAGATGCTGTATTCTTGTAAAAGGAGAATCGACTGACTGGCGGTCACTTTGTGGTGTTCAACAGGAGTCAGCTGCGAACAGTGGGATGGGTATGAGGGGCGCGCAGTAGGCACTACAATGCCCGCCAATGGGATCCAGTGACTCTAATCTCAGACTCCAGGCTTCAACCGTTTGCGTTTGGGCCCGGGTCTCACATTTTCAGGGCACCCCTAACCTAAATTCTAAAAGACGTGCTCGTTGCGCGGCAACCATGTCAACATCTCAAAAACCATCTCTCCGCGTCAGATTCCAACGGTTCTTGCTCTAGCTACGCTAACCACTACCGCCAAACACAAGAGAGAAACAGTCGGCAGGAACATCGCAACCCATTCATGAATAGATCGTCATCATGTTAGCAGCTCGAGATCAGGAGAATCTCGTACACACACGCCAGACTGCCGCAGCAGGGAAACCATTGAACCAAAACATTCGAGCCCTACAAGCGAAGACGCCAGGAAATTTAAAGACGCCATTTCGTGCTAGTAAAAACGATGAGAATCAACCTTTCGCCTTCAAGGGACAGCAGAAGAACGGGAAAGATGGCCCAGGAAAGTTGGACAAGAATACATTCGTTACACCTCTAGGTCAGTGCATGTTATTACGATTGCCAGTGCACTCTTGCTGACTGTCGATAAGCACCACGCAATAGAGCACCCTTGGGGGCAAAGACGACCAACGCGAAAGCTCATGTATTTCAGACGCCTGCTCCGGCTCCTTTGACGACCAAGCCAAATCGAACGGCACAAAAGCAATCTACGGCCCGCAGATCAGGACGTTCCAAGATTGCAGTCGCCCAAGCCGAGCCTGTCGAGACCGATGTACTGGCAAAGAGACAGGAAGAGGAGGACGAACCAGACTATGGCTATGCACCTCCCCCACCAGTAGCGTTACCAGACCTGCCATTGGATTTCAATTGTGAGGACTTTCCACCACCTCTCACAAGACAGGAGCTTTTGCAAGAACTTGATGAACGCTACGCTTCGCCCAAGGACGAGAATGGCATCTCTTTGCGTCTCAAGAAGGAGGAAGAGGAGAATCGTAGATTTGAGGAGAAGAGAATAAGAGAAAGTCTCAAGGTCTTGGACACCCCTATCCTCCCAACAACCGAAGAATTGAACATACAGGTCGATGCAATGATCGCAGCAGGACCGAAGAGGCAGGGACCACAGACGTCGAGAGTCGACACAGCAAAGGCTCGCTCGGCGGCTGCAGCTCTGTCACAACCCCAGCCGAGACTTCCAGCTGCTGCCATGCGGCCGACTCAAGCATCTGAGCAGAAGAAAACAGGCATTCTTCCTGCAATGAAGTCCAAGGCATTGCCAGCACGGACCGCACCGATGCCCAGCCGACCAGGACATACCGACGTATCACGGAATACCATTGGCTTTCCGAAGGCGAAGAAGGCACCATCCATCATACCCAACAGCATCCGAGAGACAAGACCAGTCAAGGTTGATCAACACAAGATACACCCAAAGGAGTTCCGCGATCTATATGGCACCCCACCAATCGAGAGCGACATGTGGTTTCGACTCAGAGCCTACGAGTTGCTGGACGACGCAAACGTCAAAGAAGGGGCTGATGACCTTGCAGATGGTTTGTTCGAGGCGGACTTCTTCCCCTTTGAGAATTCGAGGTTAGATGACGAAGACTTCCAACTACCTATGCCGGAGTGAGGGATCAGGGAGCGGCGTTATCACTTCTATATGAATATTCACGAATCACGTACTGATACCCGACGGATACCACTGGAGTCGGAGAGCTTGGTGTTAGGGTCGGGTCAGATTGAAGGTGTTAGCATGCTCCAGTGAGCAAGACGCGCATCTCGGCACGGAGTTTGCACAGGCAGGGAGTCCTTCATGGCTACGAATGAAAAGGGTTGCAGCAGCCTGCATGGGTAACAAGTATTCAGTTCTGTACAAATGCTATTTTTCCGATCTCACTTTTATGAGGCCCCCTTTTATACGCAGAAGTCTTCTTGAGTCCGGCTCCTTTGAACCGAGGTGCCCTGGATTAGTACTGATCTGCTTTCGCGGACGCCGTATTGGTAGAGTGATCACGAGTGATACAACATGTCGTACTACGGCAGTTGATCCACAGCTCCGTTTGGTACGCCTTTTGAAGCAGCGGTGAACTCGCTCGGCGGTTCTGTCACAGTGAAATTCCATCCAAATTGATCCTTCACTTTACCCTGCTGAATGCCCTTTAATGTGGTCAAAAGCTGGGTGCAGACCGGACCGGGGTCCAGCTTCTCGTTGACGGGATACTCGAACTTGTCTTCTCGAGATTTCATGGTGATGCTCTTGATGGGCACGAGCGAGGCTGCGGTTCCAGCGGCCATGACTTCGCTGAACTCGGGCAATTCCTGGTACTCGATGCGACGTCTCTCGACGTTGTATCCGTAGATGTCCTTGGCGATCTGGCATGCGGACTCGGATGTCACGGACTTGATGACAGCCTTGCTGTCGGGCACGACGATGGTCGTCGTGTCGCCATCCTTGCGCACGCCGAGGAAGCCCGACGTCGAGAACTCGTCGATCTCGCTGCGCGTCTTGCTGTCGAGATGCAGCGTGATACCGAAGCCAGCGTTGCGGGCCTTTTCGCTATGTCGAAGGACAGGTGCGTAGTTGCCGCCAACCTTGGCGCTGCCTGTTCCTTCAGGCGCGGCACGGTCAAAGTCTTCTAAGATGAGGGCGTCGACGGCGTGGACACCGTGGTAGACACCCGTAGGCATGACGAAGACGACGAAAGTATACTCGTCTGGAGGACTTAGACCGAGTTGAGCGCTGGATCCGAAGAGTAAAGGCCGGATGTACATGGCGGCACCAGTCTCGGTGGGAGGGACGAACTCGGCGTTCAAGGCGACGGCAAGGTTGACTGACTCGATGAAAAGATCTTCGGGTACTGGAGGCACGCTGATGTACTCTGCGGAGCGTTGCATGCGCTTAGCGTTCTGGTCGGGCCGGAAAATGGTGATATTGCCATTGGGTAGGCGGAATGCCTTGATGCCTTCGTAGCATTGCACGCCGTAGTTCAGACCGGGAGCCATGCCGTGGATGGACAGGTGCGGAGAGGTGATGAAGCGTGGTTTGCTCCATGATGGGTTCTCGGAGGAGTAGCGGAAGGTCGACTCGATGTGGCCGTTCACTTCGCGGACTTTGAAGCCAACATTGGCCCAGTCTAGAAACAATGATTAGACATGTCGTTGAGTTAGGAGATTTTCATGTGGACTCACCAATGGTGCTGACTGGTGGAGGAGGGAATGGAGCCATTGTAAAAGAGACCAGCACAAATGGTTTCCAACTAGACTAGGACTCACTCCCCAGGGTAAGGACTCTTCCTCTTCGCAATATGTATCAGTTGAAGGATGGAATGCTTGACGCTGCAAAATTATCTTGTGGTCTTGTCATGCAAGCCCGCTGAGCATAAGCACCCAATACGATGTTGCAGTGGTCGGATTACCAGAATGTCAGTGTATGAATCTTTTGCGACCGGCAAATAGTTTTGTGTGTAAGATATTGCGATATTCTTCTTATGGACGTTATTTGATTCGATGGTTCGAGCAATGCTTTTTGCAGGGTGTAACAGCGAGATCGGAGGCCTTTTTTACTGTTGGATTGAAGTGACTGGATGAACAAACCGAGGTCAAGAGCGTTCCAGGCCAATACGAGTACTGTGGTACAGTACTGTAAGTTAGTTGCCGCTTTTGTATGATGCCTCTAATCCGGCAACCGTGTCACGCTGTCGCAATGGTTTTGCCATGTCCGTGCTTGCCGTGCATTGTATAGGTACCTGGTACTTTACCAATGTACCAGGTAACAATCACCTCAGATCAGTCGCGTGTTGTTCTCGTCTGCCGCAATCCCGCTGTGCTTCCTTCCTCCTAGGTTGACCAGTCTGTTCACCATGCCTCGGAGTCCGCCTCCCATCCTGATCCTCATCTCCGCTGTCGCCCTCTTCATCTGGTACGTAGTATGGACTGCCGGTCCTCCGCGTGATATGTCCGCCTTCTCCTACGCCGACAAGTTCGAGTCGACGCTCAAATCAAAGTTGGGCACAACAATCCCTGTCGCAGTCGGCACAGAGCATGTCAGCACAGCACCTTCCCTCGGCGAGCATGTAATGCCCAAACTTGGCAACGAGACGCTCAAGGCGGAACTCGGTCGCGCTGCATGGAAAGTCCTCCATACCACGATGGCGAGATTCCCGGACAAGCCGACACAGGACGAAAGCGACGCCCTCAAGGATTACCTCTACCTCTTCGCCCGGCTATATCCCTGCGGCGAATGCGCCGAGCACTTCCAAGGAATTCTCAAAAAGTATCCTCCTCAGACCTCGTCACGGTCCAGTGCGGCTGCCTGGGCCTGCTTTGTGCATAACTTGGTCAATGAACGCAAAGGCAAGCCGATCTTCGATTGTGCCAATATCGGGGATTTCTACGACTGTGGATGCGCGGACGATGAGAAGGAGGCCATCTCTGCTGCTGGAGCCAAGAGCAACGTCATTGCGCAGGGCAAATCGGTCGAGATCGAAGTCGAAGGACCGACAAGAGGAGGTTGAAAGGTCACAACCTTGACAATGCTATCGAAGATTTGATATTGTGGCATATCGGCTATAGACATACAGCATGCCGTCCAAAGTCATCAAGAACCGACATGAGGCTATCATCAGGATCGTCGAAATCCCAATACCAGCTCAAAAAGGCGACTGGCAATGATCTTCCAGGATCCTGCCATAATGCCCACTCGAACGATTCCCTGGGTCCTCCAGCCGACCAAACACGAATTTGCGGGATTTCGCCGTTTCCACACAACAGGGACTCGATAGGGGCCCCGACCTCCTTCTGGTGGTGAATCGTTCAACACAGGAAGTAACTCGATCAACGAGTCGTCTCCACAAACTTTTATTCTTCGTGGGCGATGTCAGCGTGGCTGACTGCGGGGGTATTGCCATCTCCGGTGGGATTTGGTCGTCGTCATGAGGAGCTCCCGATGTACGTGGTGTCGAAGTTCTGGATTTGTCCTCCTGGAAGGGATCTAAAGTCCGAAATCCGACGTCGATGAAACACCTGCTGGGAACGTACCAGTCATCGTCGAGGGCAGGATACTCGGAGCCATTGCCGACCCATGTCATCGATGCGCGTCGCTTGATGCACTCTTCGCATGGATGTCCGACGACCGTCGTAGCGTCTTGAATATGGCATTCTCGCACGCCGGCCGAGTCGCAGATACTGTTCCGGAAGCGCTTCGTTGCCGCGTGGCTGCACAGCCAAACGTATTGTACGGTCTTACACATTTTTGAGGAGAGGGCTGTGGTCAGGGGTTCGAGCTCGAGGAGGGAACGAGAGAACAGTCGCGTTGGTTCTGGTCACCGCATCGCAAAGAGGCTGCTGGCTTGTGAAATGATGACCGAGCACAGGACAAGATATATAGGGTAGATCGTGGTCATCAAAAAGAGTGGGAAAACCTGGTCCTCCCGACTGTGGCTCGAAGTCCTTGACAGAAAAGAAAAATCCGATCACTGAACCAAATATTCGCAGCATGGCTAGAAAGCGGCCCGAAAGACTTGACTCACCCTCCAACCAGACAATGATCCCTTTTCGTTTGTTTTGCTGGTTGTATTCTTTGTTGGTGCGGCCCTGAAATAGTAGGCCGCACAATCGCACTGTCCGATTAGCATGGCTTCACAAAGTAGGATCGACGGACAAAGGAAGGCACATGTCTGCAATGCTTCCATGTCGAGCAAACAGTCTGTTGTCATTCGAGGATTTGTCTCCGGTTTTCTTACGAGGTTCATTTTATGGTAGGGTAGACAGACACACGGTACCACGAGAACATCAAAAGAAACGGTGGGTAGCCTCGTGCCTGCCGCACCACCATTCTTTAAACACTAGAAGGCGATGGATTTTCACGTGCAAATCACCAGGACGGATCATTAGTCAATTGGCTGCCTGAGTCTACAATATGCAAGGCTGATGTCCCTGACAATACGCCCGGATGGCGCGCCTTAGGCTCGAACCAGAGATCCTGACTTTTTTGTGCATCTAACCATGTAGACAGTATTCATGGTGGAAGGACGGATCCTCGCTCGCCTGATCGGCAGTAGCAGGTTCCCCATAAGCCAATTCATATTCTACTCCTTGACAAAAGTCTTCGCTGGGGACGGATATGCGATCTGTGCCGTGGTCATGACCAGGTGTGAGCTCACACCGGTCTGCGCAGGGCTCGCGCCGACAAAGTTACTCGGGAATCCGACGTCGAAGTTGGTCTGACTCTCCAGAAACTCGATCTGCTGGGGCGTCAACTTGATGCTGAGCGCCTTGATGTTGTCCTTGAGATGTTCGACCTTGCGTCCTCCAATGATGGGGAAGACATTGATGGTCTTTTGCATGACGTAGGCGAGCGCGATGGCCGAGAGACTGGCGTCGCCGTGCTCAGAGGCCACTTTCTCCAGCGCCGCGCTGATCTTCTCTTCCTGAGAGGTCTGGTCGCCGCCCATCAGACTTCTCAGACCTTCGCCCTTGCTTTTGCGCTCCTCAATTTGCTTCTTGGACTGGAATTTACCGCCGCCGATGACGTCCCAGGGTGCAAGGGCCATGCCGAACGTGCGGGCCATGGGGATGATCTCGCGTTCGAAGTCGCGGAGCATCACGTTCCATCGGCCCTGGTACACGCTGAAGGGGGTCTTGCCGTGGGCGCGGGCGTAGGTGTTGGCCGCAGAGACAATCCACGCTGGAGTGTCGGAAATACCGAGGTATAGCACTTTGCCTTGCTGAACTAGGATGTGGAGACTGTCCATGACTTCCTCGATCGAGGTGGTGTGGTCCTGGCGGGAGTGTCAGTATGACGAATGACAGCGGGAAAAAGGACGGGGATCCTCAACTTACCCACCAGTGAAGGTACAGAAGGTCAATGTAGTCGGTCTGGAGCTTCTTCAATGAGTCGTTGACGGAAAGGTGCAAGCTCTTCTTGTGGTTGCCGGAGTAGTTGACTGTCTTGCCTTTGCCCAGCTCATAGCCGCGATAAGATGTTGTGAATCTGGGTTGCACCGTCAGTTACAACACTCTACACGGCTGATTTTATTCGCTTTATTGGGGGATGGCATACTTGGTGGCGATCACAATCATATCTCGGTTTTTCTTTTCTTGCATCCATTCTCCAAGCCATTTTTCTGATTGCTCGTCTTGATAGTTGTTCTGGTCTCATTGTCAGCCGCGAACAAATCCGATTGTCATGCTTCGGCGTGTGGTAGGGGAAGCACATGAGGTTGACTTACAGCAGTATCGATGAAGTTGCCGCCGGCCTCGTAGAACGCATCCAGGAGCTTGAACGAATTCTCTTTGTTCATGCTACCCATGAACTAAAAAAATGATCTCGTCAGTGAGTATTCTGGAAGATTGGTGATCGCAACCCGACCATCGGAGTTGGTTTCCACGGGATTGGCAAAAACATACCCCAGACCATGCGTCACCAATGGACATAGCACCCAGACATAATGGCGATACTCTGACACCGGCAGTACTAGACAGGATTCTGTACCGACCGAGCTCTGTCTCAGGCTCAGGAGCTGGCGCAAAGAAGTCGGCCATGGTTGCTGGAGTGTACGATGGTGGATGGAAGTAGGTGAAGTGAGGTCAAGAGATCGAGATGGGAATTGGAGATATTGGACGTAGTGTGAAGTACGAAAGAGAAGCTCAGGAATTGAAAGGAAAAGAAGATGCGGTCAATTTATAGTCTACGTTCACCTAGGTACCTAGCTATGAGTTCACGACCAAGTCTAAAGTTAGCCGACGTCAGGATTCTGAGATTCGTAAACTCAGTATTGTACAGTAGTGCGAGCAGTGCCAGCACGGAGCAGCTACAGTATTTTGACATATTTGCAGAGCCACGACTCCTCATGGCCATTCAGACATGGACCCTTCCCATCCCCCTTGAACTTACTCACAGTAGCTATTCCATGATCATCTAATGGTACTTAGTAGTTACACACCGCTGCCCTCTCATTGATGGTTCTTTCTCCGATTTGGCAAATGAATGGACAGAGCTTCTCCACCTTCCCATTTCGTGTGGCCTTTGCCGGTTGCTAGCCTCTGAAGGGGGTTGCCGATAAACAGGAATGGCCCTCAACAAGCTGTGATGGCTGGATATTGTTTCAAACCTCGCCAATCATGTCAAAAACTTCGATAATGCCTCATGCTATGGTCCTTGGTCGGCCGAACACCAAGGGATGTTAAGGTACATGTCTCTTCAAGGTCTTTGACACGAGCGGACGACTGCGGCCGACCAGCTTACCCCACACTGGTGATAGACGGGCATAAGATGATAGATCCGACGCTATACAAAGTGTACCTGACACTGAGTGGATTCACTATTACGGAGTACTGTGGGAGATATCCAGTCCACTCTCACACAACATCATACGAGCAAGTCAAGATGAAAACAACAACTTTTTTCCCATTGTGATCAGTGATCACTTCTGTGAACTAGTAGCAAGCCTGATCTAATGCAGCCAGCGAAGACCTTTTCCTCGTGGTCTCGTGAAAAACAGCTCATCGAAGCCGTGCTAGACATAAAACCCCTTGGGACATCCACATGTGCAAGTATCTTTCTTGAGTCTTGCAAATCGTAGATCCATCCCTCCGTCCAGCCGGCCTCGTCAAGCTCCTTTTTGATTGTTCATGTCGAAAGTTCTATCTATCATCATGTCCCATAGGTTCGAAAGAGAGCGAACCGCGAATAACTTTTGTGTGGAAGAAACAAGAATCTCGTCACCAAGCCATCATCTAGGCCCCTTGCTGTTGAGGGGCCCCTTTGGCCTCGTTGGAAATTCATCATCCCGTGGAAGGGAGCTGTTGCGCCTTGTCCACTCTCTTTCGTTGCAAAACCGACGCCATAATGTGTGCGGTCAGTTGCACACATCGTCCGTCCTCTGTCCGTATGAGGATGCTCGACATGCTGGGGTATCTGGAAAACAATCGGAAAAGTCAACGCTATCTATCTTGTATCATGCTGTGCTCGGTAAACTCGTCTCGAAGGTGTGTGCTCTGGGTCGTAGTTCGAATGGAGCAGGCTCATGCAGAAACGCCTGCCCGTTGCTCTGGTACCACCGGAGCACTCCTCGAGTGCATAAGGTCGAAAGGAAACTGAAAACGCCATGTTGAGAAGAAACGGAAATGTCGTATGCCGGAGTGAGGACGCCGTTGGCTGACCATCTACCACCAGGAAGATGGTCCGTTGCCACCGCCTGGGTTACCATAACTGCCTCCACCACCACCGGAATAGCCCCCGCCGTAGGCCCCACTGCCACCGGAACTGCCGCCCCAAGATGGAGCCCCACCGTAGCCTGAAGAAGTCAATATTGCGCCTGGAGAAAGGGAAACGAGCCGGGACTTACCACCGCTGCCGCCGCCACCGCCGCCGCTGTATCCACCAGAGCCGCCAAAGCCACCGCCATAAGAAGGTGCAGCGCCTCCCGTACCACCGCCCACGCGACGCATGTCACGAGTGGCAGTTGCACCGCGACCAGCACCACCGCGACCACGGCCTCCACGTCCACCACCACCAAAGCCAGAGCTCTCACGAGCAATGTTCTCCAAGAAACCAGGCAGCTCCTGGTGAGCTTCTTTGAGGAGTTCGATGAGATCACGGACAATACCACGGTTGCCACGGTTGAAGAAGGCAGTCGAGAGACCAGTGTTGCCGGCACGACCGGTACGGCCAATACGGTGAACATAGTCGTCAATGTCGGTAGGAAGATCGTAGTTGACAACATGGGTGACCTACAAATCGTCAGTAAATCGTGTCGGTGAGCAGCAAGAAGGGGGATACGGGCATTCGGTATATCAAGTCCACCTAGAGGAGAAGTCAGTAAGCAAATGAACATAAGAGTAAACAACAAATACGCGAAGGAGTGTGGGAAGGAGGATAGGCATGGGGGATTACTTACGGGCCGCGACAGCAGTGGCAACCATAATTGGGCAGCGACCGTTGCGGAAGAATTCCAAGGCTCGTTCACGTTCACGCTGGGTGCGGTCACCGTGGATGGCAGTGGCTGGGAATCCCTGGTTGATGAGGAAATCAGACAAGGTATCGGCCATGCGCTTGGTCTCGACGAAGATCAAGGTCAAGCCACCAGAGTGGGTGTGCAGGATATCGAGCAAGACAGAGCGCTTGTCCTGGTCCTCAACGTATTCGACCTTCTGGGTAATGTTCTCGGAAGTCGAACCAACACGACCGACCGACAAGAAGATGTACTCCTTGAGGAAGTCTCGTGCCAACAATTGGATGTCTCGTGGGAAGGTGGCAGAGAACATGAGTGTCTGACGGTTCTGGACGTTTGGCATGTCTTCACCCTCGACGATGCGACGGATCTGAGGTTCGAAACCCATGTCCAGCATGCGATCGGCTTCATCGAGAACCAGATACTTGATGTTAGCAAGTGAGATACGACCTCGCTCTATGAGATCGACCAAACGGCCAGGGGTTGCAACAAGCAGATCGCAGCCACGTTCGATGGATCGCAGTTGAGTGCCAATGTCAGCGCCACCGTAGACGACGCATGGTCTGACCCAAGAGCGATAAGCGAACTTTCGTGCCTCATCGTAGATCTGAGACACCAATTCACGTGTAGGAGCCAGGATCAGAGATGTAGGGAACGCCTTGCGCTGACGGAAGCCACTACCACCAGCAGCAGGGTTGACTGAAGGTCCAGTCTGGAAAGCTTGAGAGAGGATGGGGAACAAGAAACCACCGGTCTTGCCAGAACCAGTCTGAGCACAAGCCATGAGATCTCTTCCACCCATGACAATGGGAATAGAGTACTTCTGCACTGGTGTGGGAGTGGCGTAATGCGCAAGCTTGATGTTGGCGATCAGATGGTCGTCAAGTGGCGGGTTGGTGAAGGAGTTGACGGCCTCCGGGACGTCCTGACCGCTAGCCTCGACTGGGATATCGTCGTAGTTGGCAAAGTTGATACCAGTCTGTTGCTTGGTTGGATCGTTCGGGACACCAAACAACTCTCGCTCGACCTTGGGGTTGGCAGGGCCGGGAACGTGTACACCATCTCGCCATTGTCCATCTCCTGAACCACGAGCAGAGCCACCACCGTAACCACCAGAGTGACCGCCGCCACCGCCGCCATATGAGCGGACATCATGAGAGCCACCACCGGGAGCACCGTAGGCGTTGGGATTGAAAGGACGAGAGTTGCCCTGGCCAGCCCAGCCGTTGGCTTGAGGAGCAGCCGCTGGGGGAGCAGCACCGGGGACGGGACCAGGTGCGCCAGTAGCAGGTGCAGGCGTGAAATCTTGAGCACTCGCCCAGTTGCCATTGCTGTTACTGAGAAGTCAGTATATTTTCGTCCCAATATAGAGTCATAGTAGACTTACTTGTTGTTTGCCCATGCACTTCCGTTCAGACCAGCAGCAGCCGGGTCAGGACCAGCGCCATCCATCATTGGAGGACCGCGACCCTGGCCACGCAGGTGAGGAGGAATGTAGGCGGAGCGACCTCCAGGCATTGGTCCAGGACCACCTTGAGCGTGCTTGGAGTCGTTTAGGGAAAGACCATTCAAATTCAAGGAATCAGCCATGTTGGGTGTTTTTCGTATGAACCTGAGTGATAGCTAGAGAAAAGAGATGTTAGACACTGCTTCGCGCGAAGAAAGGCACGAAGTTCTACGGAATTTCCAGAAGGATCTTTCTTTGAGTCGGGGAAAGCGGTGTGTTTGTGATCTCAAACCAACAGGCAGGTGAAAGTTTGACCACGCCAACAGGAGCAGGCCGAGATGTACTCACGATTTGTAAAGGTCTCAGAAAGTTTCACGAGATGACGAAGTGATCGTGAAAAGAAATCGACGAATTGGACGATGCGCTTCGTTGAATGAAACGGTTGAGGCGTCTAATGTGAAGATTGCTGAGGCTGTTTGGTAGGATGCTTTCGTGTCCGCAGATAGGAGAGAGACACAGTACGCCTCTCCAAGTCTATCTGAAAATGAAACGAAAGGCTGAACAAGAAAAACAATGATGATTGTCAAGTGTTTGTGATGTGAATTGTGAAATTCGTGAGGTGGTGGAAGAGGAGGAGGTCTGTCAATTAAAAAGCGCAGGCAAGACTTTTTTTCGTTGCGGCCTTGGAGGCACTACATTGAGGGCCAACCAGTCAGCGTAAGGCGGCGATTCTCTGGAACAATCGACCGCCAAGTCGCGCCTAACCAAATACTGAATTTTCCAGGGGGGCTAGTGGCGATGGGCCATCATCATACTGGGGTGGCCTTTAAAGATGGCGATTACGATGCTGTCGGACATGGGGCAGTCGGTCTCACATCTCTACGACGGGCACGTGAAGGCGATAGCGTCACTGACAGCTTAGATGGAAACAAGGTCCTTCTTTCAGCCCAGGAACATCCGAGGCCTGACCTCAAGCACTATTTTATTTTCATCATTTCGTCTATGCCATGCTTTTCTCATCCATTTTATCATAACCAGCCCTGCGCCGCCTGACCACAAACAGGACGACCGCAATGATCAAAAGGAAGAACACTGCCTTCTGAACGTACGCTTGAGTGGCCATGGCTTCGGCAGGGGAGGATGTGTCCGCCGCTGCAGGGATGTCCTTTGCTGGTGACTCCAGCTCGGTCTCAGGCTCCTTCACCGGCGACACCGGCTCCTCCACTTCACCTTCGAAGTAGGGATGCGCGTCCGAGTAAAGAGGCTCTGTTGAAATGTCTCAGTAAGCTGTTCTGGACACGGCAATCCGAGAGCAGTACCCGCCCTCAAAATCTAGAGCTCGGCGTGAATACCTTCCGCAGGAACTTCCAGCTCTCCGCTCTTCACAATCTTCACTCCCTTGACAGGACGATCTGCTGCGCCCTTGGGAACGTTCTCGATCTTCTCGACGATATCGTAGCCCTCAAGGACCTCGCCGAAGACCACGTGTTTACCATCGAGCCAGCTATAGTCGTTAGGCAAGAGCATAATCAGAGAGGAGCTTGGTCGTACCTTGTGATGGCCGTAGTAATAAAAAATTGCGAGCCGTTTGTGTCTCTTCCAGCATTGGCCATGCTCAGCATGCCCTTCTTGGTGTGCTTCAACTTGAAGTTCTCGTCTGCGAATTTGTCCCCATAGATCGACTTGCCGCCAGTTCCATCTCCTCTGGTAAAGTCGCCGCCCTGGATCATAAAGTTCTTGATGACACGGTGGAAAGAGGATCCCTCAAAACCGAAGCCCTTCTCGCCGGTTGCCAATGCACGGAAGTTCTCCGCAGTCTGCAAAAAAGACGTGATGTTAACTCAGGATGATCCCAACTGCCTGCAGACAGCTTACCTTGGGGACTGTTTTGCCGTACAGACCAAGCACAACTCGGCCAAGAGGCTCATCACCGTGCTCAATATCGAAGTAGACCTTGGTCGTGATCTTGGGACCCTTGGCTGCTGATGCGGTCTGGCCCATGAACAGGAACGTGGCGGTCAAAATGACCATGAGCGAGATGATGACTCGCTGGATATTAGCCATCTCGAAAAACATTGACGCCTCGTGACTGTCGACGGATAGGTTCGAGGGGTATGACAAGTACAAGGTAGGTAGCTCGATACTGCTGCGACTTCAATGCGGAGGACACATTGTCTCAGACCCTAGGTTCACTGCGTAGTCCGTCACCGGCATAAAAGCGGCGCATTATTCGACCAGATTCGTCTCCGCTCCCATTCCAATCCTCACTTTTTGACTCTGCCGTCTTTCGCGCGAGAGATCCGGTTCATTACTCCTGTACGCAAAGATATCTGAGGCGGAGGAGGGCGCATCATGGTAAGCCATCTATATTGCCCAGTGTGTGAACCCGCTGACATATAAAGGTCTTCATCCTCGGGGTCAATTTCCCCGAACATCGGTTCCTCTGGGTAGGGACTGTTACCGACTATATCTGCTCGTGCATTGCTAATGGACTGAATAGCGCGCCCTCGAAACGTTCTTCGGCGTGGGCTCTCACACACGCGAACGAATCATGTCACGCTTCCATCTACACGAGACAATCAAGGTCGGCGAGCTGTCGCAAACCCAAACCCTAGATCTGACGGCGCACCTCGACTCAATGAAACTCGAAAATCACCTGAGACGGCAGATTCAGCAGGATATCCAACGGCTGAGGGACACGGGTACCTACAGAGGTCGACGACATGCCATGAACTTACCGGTCCGAGGACAAAACACGAGAAGCCAGATAAAGAATGCACGGAAGCTCAACAAGGTCGAAAGGTTTTAGAGATCATGAGGTGCTACGGGTCACGATTGATATATCGCAACAGCGGACACAGGTAATCAACGGCCGGCCTAGGGTCCGGACTATCCGGAATGTTCGACAGCATGGCAACAGGCGTTGGGCGTAACACGGGCGACTTTTCAGTCGAACCAGCTTGGAAGCTGTATGTCGTCCGGGATGAAATGGTATTGAAGATTAAATCGCATATGTACTACAAGAAAAGTATGTCCGTGAAGAGAGAGGACAGGAATGCTTGGTCTGTTTTGGAGCCAATCGGCAATCGACAGTCCAATGCACTTATAGATTTGTGGTAACAGTCATGCTGTTACTATGCACAAGCAAAGTTGGCGGCAGTCCACCAACCAAAACCTCCAAATCACTGACGTACCCCAAGCTATCAGTCTCGCTCTTGTAGGTCGCTTCAACCGGAGCAGGCAATGTTGTGAAGATGACTGCCGTGTCTTCGCTGTTCTGAGAGATCAGCTCGTTCAGGATGAGATGTTGTGCTCGGCTTGGAAGGTCATTAAAAGACAATGGAATCGACGCTGCAGCAGGATAGCCGGAAGTAGGTTTGGGGCGAATACTAGTCTCCCTTGTTCGCTGATAGATGGACCGACCGTTCGTCGGGGCCTCCTCAACAACCTTCGGGCGAGGAGGACGCGGAGTATCGGCAAACATGATGGAAGGGCCAGCCCCTTCCTCGCTCGCAACCTTTGTCAAGGGAACAGGGGTTGACGTAAAATTTGGTGAAGTGCCTCGTCTCGAACTCCCAAGCTGCAAGCTGCTACGTGGTGACACAGTATCCAGCGAATTATCGCCCCTGCTGAGAATGCTGTCGGTACGGCCTCGATGATCGCTTTCCCCAAAGTCCTGGAATGCGGTATGCATGCTCGACGGCCCTTCTTCCTCGGATTCAACGTTTTTCTTCCTCCGCCTGCGTTTCTTGGAACTGGCCAGGCTGCTTTTCTTTGAAGACATTTTGGGTTTCTTTGGAGATCTGAGCCCCATCGGAGATAATTCTTCATCTTCTGCCTCGTCTTCTGACCGACTGATTGCTGAGTCTCCGTCCTCATCGCTTTCATCTTCGTCCGACTGGGACATTTCGGAGTCGCTAGGGTGAGATGCGTGTCGACTGAGCATGTCGTCATCTAGGCGAGATGTCCTCATGGAGAGACTAACTCCAAGATTTGACAGATTTCCAAGAGAAGACCTTTTCCTAGGACGAGCCAGGAACTTTTTTAGGCCCTCAAGTCGGACCACGGAAGCTTCTCTCCTGCCATTGAAGGACGGGCTGGGCCAAACGATATCATCCGCCATGGTTAGCGCTTCAACGGCACTGACGTCTCCTGAGCGTGCTTGACCACGGAGTACCTGAAGCTCCTGCCACCATACCTCATCTTCCAAGACTTTATTGACCTCGTCCTGAACTTCCTGCTCCACTTCTTCACCATTGACGACAAAGTTGTAAGATTTGATAGCGCCACAAGCAAGCCAAAAAACCAGCACTTGGGCTTCAATTCGTAAGTTTCCGAGGAGGGAAGTCACTCGGACCCGCTCGTCTTCTACGTCGGATTCATACTCCACAAAGACTGCAACTCGGAGCTTGTACACCCGCTTCCATGAAGGCACAGTATTGAGAATACAGCCCAGTTGAAGGATCAGGGTGTACGTGTCGAAGTTGGTCGTGAGAAGGTTGCGAGATTGACCCTCCTCATCCGAAGTGATCTCCGCTGACATCTGTATTGGCCATAGGTCGATGTATTTCTTAGTCACTTCCTCGACTTCTTTCGGTAGCTCCAAATCAGCGAATCCGGCGGCGATGGCCACGTTGGTTTTCAGCTTGAGAATCATGTCCTCCAGCACCATGACATAGCTCTGGACGTCTGTACGTTTCTCGATATAGCAGGAATCCGTGGGGAGTTCTCTTTTCAATATGTTTCTGCTGGAACGTCGTTTCTTGACGGACCCGTGTTTTCGCTCTGGAGGAGGACTAGGCACGTCCACGAGAGGTTGTTCATTTCGAAATTGCTGAAGATTATAGAATCCGAACACAACAATATTCGGTCTCATGCCTCCCAAGCCTGCAGACAGAAAGATATTTCTTGCTCCCCATTCTATGGACGGGGATATGGCGACATTAACGAAAGCTTTGATCCTGGAGACGTCGATAAACTTGTTCCACGCGGCTTGTTGGCGGCGAGCTTCAGGTACAGAATCACCAAAGTTTTGCGTGACAATGACATGTCCAATGATGAATAAGGCCCCTTTCTTGAGAGAATTGCAGAATTGGATCAACTTGTAGCCTCGTCTTGGGTCATTGACGAAAAGAAGGATCTGAGGCCGCCAAAATTTGACATGCTCGGTCCTGAGGCGCAGAAGATATTTCCTGACTTGGTGATAGATGAGCACCTCTGAGATTGAACCCCAAGGCTTCGGCGGTGTGGTGTAATGGATTCCCACAATGAGGATCAAAAGGATACATACTGAGCCTGACGCCGCGATCCCGTCAACGAAAAACATGCTCGCGATGCTCAGCAAAGCACCCGCCGCTGCAGTCCACCAATTGAAATAATGAAAGGAAGGGCGAAAATTTGGCGCAGAACCGATCCTCAGCAAGAACGTTGCGACGTTTAGAGCGAAGAATGTCCTGTAGATCGTTAGTGATAAATGTCTACTATGTTGATGGAAAAAGCTTACATCAGATATGTCATGGTGATGAGGGAAGCGATTCGATTGATATCGAGCAGCAAGGTCAGCTGAGCCACAGCAAAAGTGCAGAGAAGGGCGTAGATGGGATCGTCACTCTTCTCAGTACCTTGACCAAAGACGGAGAGACCAGGGATCACCTTGTCGCGTGCTATCGCTTGCAGTTGCTTGGCTGGTCCGATGATACCCATGAGTACGGAGAAGAACGTCGTAGCGATCTCTCCAACCAGGATCAAAATGCCCGACACATTTGTGTCTTGCACGACGTTGACATTCTTGTAAAACGATTCCCGGGTGATACTGGCAGCCATGCCCAGAATGACCACGGAATACGAGATGAATGTTAGAGCAAGGCCACCCAATGTACCCCTAGGGATGGATTCACTAGGGTTCTTCAAGTCGCCGGACATGCTTGCGCCAGCCAATATGCCGCCCGTGGCGGGAAACAGAATTCCAAAGAGGTCCTGATAGTTTTCTTTGCCTCGAAGTTGACTTCCTGAGGCTCCCCGGGTGAAATGAGGCATAAGGTTTTCTCTCAGTGTTTTGATGCTGAAACCGGTGAAGCGGGTGAAGTGTTTGTCCGCCTGGAAAGGAGAGACAATGATCGCCGAGAAAGGTATGCTGAAGGTGGCCAGAAGAAGCACGAACAGTAAAAGGTTGCTTGCACGGGCAAAGATAGCACTGCCACCAAGACAGATAGCCAGACAAACCACGAGCACGACTGAACTCCAGAGGAACTGCCACCAACCTCCCTCCGGTAGAGTGTTTGCCCACTCACCAGAGTTGGACCCGAAATTGTAGATAAGACAGTCTATCAGACCGACTGCATTCATACCCGTGTTGAACACAAAGCCAGCGTAGGAGACTAGCCCTATGGCGCCACCGAACTCGGGACCGAGAGACCTGGCTATCAGGTAATAGGCCCCTCCACCCCGGACCGTGCCATTAGAGGCGACAGCAGAGATGGACATGGTGGTGAGAAGGTTGATAGCATAAGCAATAATCAACATTGCTAGCATACCAAGGACTCCACTCTGGCCGAGTATGAAACCGAACCGGATGAACATGAGGATACTCAGCACATTGAGACTGGTGGGCACAAACACTCCGGAGAAAGTGCCCAGCTTGTCCGTACCACCCACAGGTCGCGGCAACGACCCTATCTTGCGCGAGGCGGCCTTCTCAGCCGATTCGGCGCCATTGGAAAGGTCCTGCTGGGTGACGACTTGGTCCAGAACAGAGCCCTGGGTGGTGGTTTGGTCATCAATGAGGCCATCGAAGGTTCCATAACCACCTGTAGTGGAGACGGTTTCGGTTCGGGTCAAGAAGGGGCTTGAAGCCGCGGAACGTGCCGTGGTCGGCCTTGAGGGAGTTTGAGCAGGGCTGGGGTTGCCCTGAGCTGTAGATGGACGTTCTTGAGTGTTTGATAGAGTAGGAAACGAAGACCTTCTCATGAGTTGAGCAGCGTCATCGGTGGCTGTCCGTGCGGAAAATGTAGGGCGACTTCGTGGAAGGGTGCCACGTCCCCGATTTGATGGCCAGTCCCTTCCTCCTGTATCGGCCATGGTGTTGACAAAATATGTGCCTGGGATGAAGGTCCATAATCAATCAATTCTCGTGGTGATTATCGCACACGCATAGTGAGTTGGCAGAACCGTGGTTCTCGTTGCCCTTCAGTGTTCCGGCCAGCCGGTGACTTGGATGTGGGGGTGAGGTATGATGTCGTCGAATGCTTCACAGTGCCAATGAAAAAGATAAAAGGTCGCGACTGTGGTACAAACAATGCTCCTCGTCCCAATTAGTCTGCTAAAGGTAATGCCAATATGGCAATATGGCAATATGGCGATATGTTTCTGACAATGCAATGTGGAGTTGATTTGATGTTGCTGTTACGAGAAGAATACTTCATAAGGTAGAGTTTGGAGTTTGTTGTCGAGAATTTTCCAGGCTTGTCCGTAATTCCTTCCTCCCAATTACGTCGGTGCCAAAGTTGAGAAGTTCCAATCCCATTCATCAGTGTGACATTCTTATTATTGCCCACGCTCTCTATTGCAATTGATCACCTGGCACATTTCTCGATCCGGCTCATATCTTTGCATATCTCGTACTTCTTTATACCTTCGAGTCATCGGTCATGGTCATATCTTGTAATCTCATTCACTCATTCATTCCCTAATTTGTCCTTCCTGTACATCTTTGCTGTTTATTCGCAGGCCACAACAGTACTGTACTTCACTTATGCTGTACTACACAGTCTCATAACATCTCCTCCGAAATGGCATCACCCTCTTCCAAACCTCTGGACATACGTCCAAGACCGTCCTCCCCAGTACCTTCTACTCACTCGAGACATGCCTCCATTGCTCGATTGTCCTCCCCCGTACCATCCCAGCGGTTCAGTACGCCGCCAGTCCAACAGGTCCCGACTCCCCAGCAAATAGCCACGGATAAGACCGACGCTGCCCTACCCAAACTAGACACTGTAGGGTCTCTGCCAGGCCCCGGCCCGTCTGCCTTGTCAACTGCTCTTGCAAGCTCTGCGAGTCGAACCCCTCCTCGAACTGGCACGCCTCCCGTACTGGACGCAGCCTCAAGACAATCTATCGCGAACGCATCTGGGGGTCTCGGAAACCACGAGAGATTACCAAGAAGCAATTATGGTTCATTTGCTGAGGGACGGGAAATGGCCGGAAGTCCAGCAACCACAGAAAACCCAGAAGTCGTAAAGAGACACCTTGTTCAACCAGATCAAGGCTCAAACAAGTTCAAAGGGTCTCTCCGGTTGGACTTGAATGAAGCAGGAGCAGGCCTGGACTCGGAGGCGTTCTCCAGCCTACGGTTACAGGGGGGTGACATGACACGTGCTGTCTATCGGTGGACTCAAGAGCAGGAGGAGAATCAAGCCGGTCGTGGGAAGAGGAGCAAGAGCTTCAGTCTCGCGCGACCCGATCCTGAAACCGAAACCTTGGATATTAACAATATCAAAGTACCTGGTGGATTTCGTCGCAACTTCCTACGGCGGGCTGCCGGAAGCCCTGACCCATCTGAAAGGGTCCCCAATGTCAACGGGACCGTGGAGGATAGAGGTAGAGGCTCTATTACCGGGAACGGAAAATCTAAGCCCCAACTTTTCACCAACAACTTTTTGGAGTTCCTGACTCTGTATGGCCATTTCGCCGGCGAGGATCTGGAAGAAGACGACGAAGTCCTTGAGCCCGACGAATACTTCTCCTCCGATGCCTGGGAGGAAGGTAGTGACCGAGAACCCGGCGAGGACAGTGCTCTCCTTACACCTGGCACACCTGGATTGCGGAAGCGGAAGCATAAGGAGCGAAAGCACGGGGGTACCAACAGCAGCATGAATGCTGCCCTGTTACTTCTCAAGTCTTTCGTTGGCACGGGAGTACTTTTCCTACCTCGGGCATTCCTGAACGGAGGTATGCTATTCTCGTCTCTGGTCCTCCTCTTTGTCGCCGCACTCAGCTTTTACTGCTTTATCCTGCTTGTCAACACCCGCAATGTGGTGGAAGCCTCCTTCGGTGAGATCGGTGGCATCTTGTACGGCAAGTGGATGCGAGCCCTGATTCTGTTTTCTATCGTCGTCAGTCAAGTCGGCTTTGTATCCGCCTACACTGTCTTTACGGCGGAAAACCTGCAGGCGTTCGTGCTCGCTGTCTCGAAATGCAAGACTTTCATCGACATCAAGTTCATGGTTCTCATGCAACTGGTCATCTTCCTGCCCCTGAGCTTGATCCGGGATATAGGCAAACTTGGTTTTACAGCCCTTGTTGCCGATGCGTTCATCCTGCTGGGCCTCATATACTTGTATTACTACGATATCAAGACGGTTGTGGATCACAGCGGCATCGCCGACATCACCTTGTTTAATCCGTCGAGCTGGACCCTTTTCATCGGTACCGCCATCTTTACGTTCGAAGGCGTTGGTTTGATCATTCCCATCCAAGAGTCAATGAAGAGGCCGGATAAATTTCCCGAAGTCCTCGGCATAGTCATGGTCATTATCACGGTGCTCTTTACATCCATCGGCGCCCTGTCGTACGCTGCCTACGGATCCAAGACCAAGACTGTCGTCCTTCTCAACATGCCTCAGGACAACAAAATGGTCAATGCAGTACAGTTCTTGTACTCACTGGCCATTCTTCTCAGCACTCCATTGCAATTGTTCCCCGCCATCCGTATCATGGAGAACGAGCTGTTCACCCGCTCCGGCAAGTACAACCCATATATTAAATGGCAGAAGAATGGTTTCCGATTCTTGCTGTGCTGTCTCTGTGCGCTCATCGCCTGGGGAGGAGCTGGGGATCTGGACAAGTTCGTCGCACTGGTCGGTAGCTTTGCCTGTGTGCCGCTTGTCTATGTCTATCCGCCGATGTTGCATTTGAAGGCAGTGGCCAAAGGTCGCTGGTCTCGCGGGTGGGATTATGTTATCGCTGTTTTGGGAGTCGCGGGATGTGTTTATACGACTGCCCTGACGGTCCAACAGTGGGTTGCAGGCGGCGATGAAAAGGCCCCTGGATATTGTGATTCATGAAATATATGTCCTTGTCGGAGATCAAGATGTGTCCTGAGTTGACAGGGTTAATGGCATCGAGAATGCGGTTGTCGGAAAGATAGAGCTAGACTTAGAGACCTGGTGTGCAGGATTCGACTTATGTTGGATTATGACAAACTCTGCCAGATCAACAGATGCATTATTTTTGCCCTCACCGAAATTCGCTAAATTCATTATTTCGATGTGAACACAAATACCACTCCCTCATGTCACGACCGGCTCCATACTTCTGCCAGTTCCCTGGCCCTCTCGCCATACGTCGTCCGATACTGGACCAGCGTGTCAAGCGAGATCTTGCTGCCACCACAAACAATAATGACGACTTTCTTTTCCCGGTCGAAGTCGCGTAGGAAATGTGGAAGGCGGCCATCGTACGCTAGCGCGACACTCACACCACACGCGGGCTCGACAAGGATCCGTTCGTCGTCCGCCAGTCGCCAACAGGCCATGGCGGCCTCTGCGTCTTCCAGCGTCAGGCTAGTGACATTCTTGCGCGATAGCAGGTCGAAAGCTTTTTTGCACACCCTCACTACGCCTAGCGACGAAGCGATTGATGTGATCTTCGGGATGGTGATCAATTCGCCTGCCTTGGCCGACTGATGGAGCGAGTCGGCGCCTTTTGTCTCCACGGCAAGAACTTGCACGTCGTTGCCCCAGCCAACTCTGTCCATGCCGAGGTCAATGCCAGCAAGCATACCGCCTCCGCCGACGGAACAGATGATGGCGTCGGGTCGTTCTCCATCAGGCATCTGGCGATCGATCTCTTCGACCATGGTTGCGGCACCCTCCCAGATTGCCTCGTTGTCGAAGGGCGGAATGTAAACTGGAATCTCGCCTATGGCTTCTGCGCGAGGCATCACAACCTCTTTGAGATAGACATCGGCCTGAGCCAGCCCCTCGCCGAAAACAATGACCTCGCTTGCACCGTTCGTCTTCAGCTTCTCGGTGATGGATAACTCGGTTGGTTCAGGCACGACCACCGAAGATCTGTAGCCAAGAGCACTGGTTGCGGAGACGGCGGCGAGACCTGCATTGCCTGCAGAACAGGCGAAGAAGTGCAGTGGTCGTGTACTGCCGATGGCTTTATGATAGGCCTCTTCCGCAAGGACCAGATTGCCAATGCCTCGAGATTTGAAGGATCCCGACGGCTGAAGGTTGTCGAGTTTCAGGAATATTCGGCTGGTTCTGCTTGTTAGTCTAGCCTATCATAGGTGTGCAGGACATTTTGTACCAGCCAGCGGCACGTGAAAGAGTCGGCGACTCCAGTAAAGGCGTCTCGATCCATGGCTTCTTGCTGTTGACCTCGCATAAAGAACCCATTGCTTCTGGTATGGCAGCGTCAGTGCTGGACGTTGAGGATGTAGGCAGCAGGTTCCTTTTGAATGCGGGAGCGAGTCAGAGTTTGCAAGATCCTGGAACGTTCAACACATAAATACGACATTGCTGCGACATGCTCTGGTATCTTTTTTCGTAAGCATAATAGCGCTAATGCAGGAACATGGCGTGTGGTTGTTGGAGACTCGCGCCTTTCTCCGGTCGGACTTCAGGGCGAGGCTCTGAGTGATTGGTAGGTTCCCCCAGATTTCGTGATCTCTTCAAAAGGGCATGGACCACTCAGTGACTTGTACCACCTGATGAGGGCAACGATTCCATACAGCATCCGTGTTAGCATCATCGTCAGCTTGCCCTTATCTTGATCTAGCAGGGCTAAGATAAGCTTGATCGAGCTTTGTCCTTTGGTACGAGTACCATTATCGTCCAGGGAATTTGTTGCCAGAACAGGGCGTACGGTTCGGGGAGCCGGTGTCACCAAGACCCACCTGTCAGTGAAAAGTAACCAGATCAGTACATCATTCTGCGTGATCAATTGGCGCCTTCCCGAGACTAAGCGGCAGAGCTTGATATGGAATCCACTTCCTGTCATATCGCGCCTTGTGAGTTGGAACACAAAAAGTCTCCGAAGCCTGGGCCGTTTAAGTAATGATGAAAGCTCTTTCCTTCTGCGCACCGCCAGCAAGTTCGTGATGCATCAGGCTTTCATCACAGTATCATTGCATTTCCAGGCAAGCTCTCTAGTTGTCGGACAATAACACTGGAAATAACTGTTCAGCTGGCTTTCTTTTTCCGGGCTCTGGATCAGGAGGTAGGCATCCATATGTGAAATCTGCCCCCAGCTGAGCGTAGTTGAATGTCCTCTTGGAATCGTCCACCTCGATCATGTCAAGCGCCGTCTTCATCTTCTCGGGCATGAACGGCTGTAACAATATCGCGATGATGCGAATGGATTCGGCGCTCATATATACGCCATAATGAGCCAAACGAAGTTCCTTGGGATCCTTGGTCCCTATCAGACCCCACAAAGCAGAATTGTGAAAGTACTTGTTGGTATGTCGAATCAGTTCGACGATGTGATGGGCTGTTGTACGAGGATTTGGTTCTCTCATGGCTTTCTCGGTCCTCTCTCCCACAGCGCTCAGCTGTTTGGCGAGGAGCTTGATATTCTTGTGAAGAGATTGAAATTGTTCGCTGTAGCCCTCCAAGGTCTCCTGCGAAAGCAATTCTGCAAGCTCTTGGTCTTCTGCGACGATCTGGACCGACTTCTGGACGTTGAACTGTTTACTCTTGAAAACCCGTTGCAACAGGTTACCAAGACCATCTCTCAATACATGTTTGTATGTCTCTGCAACTCTGGAGTTTTCGTACATGGCGTCGTCAACGATGCCGCCGTTATATGCCATATAAAATCTGATGGTGTCCACGCCATATCTTTCGATGGCTAGAAAAGGATTCACACCGTTGCCGGCTGACTTGGACATCTTCTCGTTGTTGAGGGTCCAGTGAGCATGGGTCAGAAAACGTCTTGTCACGGGAAGTCCTATTGCCATCAGGAATGCAGGCCAATAGATTGTGTGAAATCGAATGATATCTTTGCCGATGACTTGACAGATGGGTGGCCAAATGGAGGTCGGATCATTGCAATCCGTTAGGGGATAACCAGTAAATGTCAAGTAGTTGATCAGAGCATCGAGCCAGACGTAGATGGTCTGACTTTCGTCGCCAGGAACGCGAATACCCCAGGATAGCCTGGATGCCGGTCTAGATATGGAGAGATCGCTGAGTCCGTTCTCAATCTCGTTCATGACAAGGGCCATGCGTTGCTTCGGCACGATTGCAGCCCCACTGTCTGTGTAGTGCTTGAGGAGTCGATCTCGAAAGGCGGACAGTCTGAAATGGTAATTCGTCTCTGAGGTCCATTCCACCTCTTTCCCCGTCTCAATTGACACAATTTTGGTGTCACCAGTCGAAGGGTCTAACACCCTCCGTACCTGGGTCTCTGGGTAGAAAGTCTCGTCGCTGACGCAATACCATCCCTCGTGTTTGCCCTCGTAGATGTATCCAGCATGATTCAATTCATTCCAAAAATGCTCCACTGCAGATTTGTGGTCTTCGTCGGTGGTCCGAATGAAACGATCGTAGCTGATGTTCGCAGCATTGCAGAGTGACTTGAATTGCTGTGCATGATGGTCACAGAACAGCTTGACATCGGTGTTTGCCTTCTGTGCCGCCTTTTGTATCTTCATGCCATGTTCATCAGTGCCTGTCAAAAGTTTCGCGCCGAGGTCGCCGCGGAGAATGGCCCATCGTTTGAGGACATCCGTTAGCACCAGCGTATACAGGTGGCCAACGTGAGGAGCTGTAACAGCAGGGTCAGAAGAGGACGAGCTTTCCGGAGCGTAGAAACTTGCCTGAGTTGACATAGAAGATGGGGGAGGTGACATAGTAGTGTCGCCTGCCCTCATCTGTGCCGGGCTCTTGCTTGACGATATAGGTTCGTCGCTGTGTGCCTCGATTCAACGGGCAGGAGCGTGGGAATGTGTAACGTGCAGAGGCTCGACATTGCAAGAAGAAGCTACGAGCACGGTGCTCCAAAGCGAGCATGGCTCAAAGCCTCTAATAGTTCCTGGAAGGACGAAGTTGCGCAAGAGAGATCAATAGCACGCGATGAGGAACGAAATTGTTTGCAGGGTCACTCGCAATTAATTTAGGTGCAAGTTTCTCCGCACCGAAGCACCGAAGGTCCCCAATTATTGTCAACCAAGCCCCTGCAAGGCTGCGCGAGGCTGCGAGGCTACAAGTCTGCGACTCTGGATGGCGTCTTTCCAGACAGCAGCAGGAAACTCGGTACACAAAGTGGACACGTACTGAGGGTGTTGATATAATGTCTGATAGAGCCATATTGAGTCATCTCGCCCCAAAAGCCGCAGGTGTGACCTGGTCACCGTAAGTCACCAAACATCCCCAGCCAAGCACTCGGTCGATAGTCCTTCACAGCTGCTATGGAAGTGCTGTTGGCATAGTCGCCCTCTTGCGTATTTTTTGGTGTAAGCAGCAACGTACGACCGCCGAGGGAAGGATGTGATGGCGCTCTCTAACTCCATGGGGCCCCTTTGTACGCTCCTGCATTTCAAGAAGGGCTTGAAGTGCTCATTGCCAACGCCTTATCCATATGTCAATGCCATCCTAGTCGTTCGATTGAGGACGGCTTGGCTCGTCTTGCCTTGACTCAAGATTCTGTCTTGGGCTTCATGTTCGCTTTGACTCTCTCCAGAAGTTCATCCCGAGTCATCTTCGAGGCCGGCTGCAGGTTGCGCTGTCGCTCTTGTCAGTACTTCCTTGTTACAGCATTGCAGCAGCCTGTAAAAAATCCTAAGGATATGGCACGTACCAATTTCAACCAGCGCCTAAGCTCCGTCTCGGTCCAGTACTCCGGATCTGTAACGCACATTAGCACCATCTTACGTCTCGTGCGCGCGCACATTTTCGGAGATATTCAAACATACCGCCCTTAGGATCACCTTCAGCAGGGAACATATCACCTCCCCACGTGCTCCATAGTGATGCGACGGTCACCAATCCTGCGAAGCCTATTGGTAGGTACGGGGTCAGTCATCAGTATCACAAGAGAGGCAGGCCTTGCAAGCAGGCGTCGAGCGAGGTACTGAACCGTCTCTACGTTTACAGCAGTGCACGGAGAAGAGCTTTATAGCATACCCAAAAAGAGGTTCTGCGCTAGAATTAGCATCGATTCGGCTTCATGAGATTGCGCAGTGAGCATAGACGAAGTAGAACCTGGGCTGCGAGGGTTGCGTGATGTAAAACGATTCACGAAAAAGAAAGTGAAGATGCCACATACACGAGATTGCAACATGCGATCAACGGGAGTAGGCATTCTCTGGTTGACCTGCTGCCTGTTTCAGGGTTTCTGGATCCGAGTATTTGGCAATGGTAGAGACCAAGGGCTTAACGTGGTAGTCCAGCACTTTTTCCGGTTGAGTGCTGTTTGGCGATCCTGCAAAATCAAAAAGCCGGTTCAGACGTGGTAAGTTCGGGATGGGAGACTTTGGTAATGAAAAGAAGGAATGAATGGTTGAGGGAAGGAAGCAATGATGCCTGATGAAGTGTTACGAAGTTGGAAGGGAAGACAATGCTCAATCTGATTGGGCTGCGCGTCAAGCCGTCCATCTAAGGTCGTCGTTCAAAACATCAATCTCTTCTGACTTTGCCCAACACTGCGCGAAAGACCATGTCTCGATTTACGAATTCACCATTCGAGCCGGTCATCACTGATCAGTCTGACATTGAACCTCTCATCGCCTTTCCACACCTTTCTCGCCGAATTGCAATCCGCCACCACCTCACGTAAATCAGACAACATCCCACCAGGTCCACTGGAAAAGACTGAAGTCGAACCACGTACTGTTGAGCTCACAAAGTCGCGCACCAAAGATCGCAAGTCGGGGTGTCTAGATTCATGCTGCTCTCCATCCGCGGCGGGAGCTTGAACCGTGATGAAACCAGGTTTTGAGTCCGACGGCATCTTGATTGCCCCTTCCGAGGACGACAGCCAAGGCTTGTTGCAAAGCACTTCGTCGGCACTGGATGTGCTGCACTCTCTTGTGACGAAGATCCGAACAATCAAGCCATGGGATGCCTCGGCTTGCCGGAGCACATCGAGTTCTGGCTTGATCCATGCCACATCCCCAGACCTTCGAACTACCCATATTAGTTGGATCCTTCTGTTCGATCGAGTTGTGTTCTTGACCAGCTGTAGCAGGACAGGCAGTACGAACGTCACTCCCGTGCCACCCGCTACGCACATCACGTTCGTGTCAGGCTCAAGGTGGCTCAGGATCGACCCTCCGTATGGCCCAGCCACTATCACGGGTGTAGTCGGTAGGGCGGGTCCAGCAGACACTTTTTCGCTGTTTCGAGATACCGTTTTGGTAGCAGCCAAATCAGCCAGCACCTTTGTCGCGCCGCTCTTTGCCCTCAATATGTATGAATGCATCTGTCCCTTCGAGCTGTCGCCGGGGAGACTGCATGGGGTGAACGGATGTGCTTGCCAAATACTCACTTCGGGAAAGCAGAGGTAAAAGTGTGCACCAACGTCCCAAGGACCTTGCGGATGTGTGAAATCGAGCCGCACCACATCGCCGTTTTTCGCGTCAGGGAAGTAAGTAATAGCAGCACCTGCACTCCTGAAACCCATACTTGACCCGGCCAAATAGTTGTAATGAATCAATCCGGTCCTTACCAGTCGTACACCTCGATCAATCAGCCACAAAACCAGCGACGCTATCAGGTAACAATCAAGTCGCGACCAGTGGCCCCAGCAAGCGCCAATGTACAACATTGCTACAACGTAGTGCGATTTGCGGAAGAACTCGTACCCTGTCCTGCGGATAGCCCAAGGCGTACTGAGGATGAAGATGATGGTCAAAAGGAACATGGCAACGACACCCCATATCATGTATTTCTGCGCGATCCATTCGAGTCCTGTTTGTGGCTGAGGCTGGTAAAGCCTCATCTCAACGACGCACCATCCGATGGTGTGCAACGAGCCTTGTAGGAGCATGATGTACCCCAGCCAACGATGCAGGAAGTTGAAGTGCTGGTAAGGTATACCCGTGAGAAGCGAGAGGAGAGACTCTCGACTGGAGAGCATGACTGATAGCGGCGTGAGAGCATAGGCTAGAACGCCGACGCGGTCGGCCCATGGTCCAAGGCCTGTCCGCGTGTTGTATGTTCCAGGCATTCCCTTGACGGGCGTGATCCATTGCTTGTAGGTGATGCCAACGAATGTCCATACTGCAAGGTATCCGGTCAACACGGCTAAGATAACAACTTGAAGCCGAGTTGTCCTTCCGAAGACAGGCCTGAGACAACCGGAAAGCAGATAGCGTCGGCCAAAAGAGGCAAATGTGTTCTGCAAACGATGTAACCCATGTCGAGACACACTGCTAGGTCTCCCCTTCTCTGGCAGTGTGACTGGATGCATCTCTGAAGGCTGGAAGAAACGTCTTGCGATAGCCCAAACGAAGAGGATCCCTGCAATCGTCGACCAAAAAATGCCACAGTACAACATGCCCAGGTCGTGAGAGTGGTAGACGCTGTCGAGATACGCACAGGAGCCTGCATCGTTCGTGCAAGGAATGGCCCTGTCCGCATACCCCCAGTGATGCTGCAGAGCTGTGGCATCACTCAGATTCTGAATATGCCGGGCAGGCAGCATGTTGAAAAGGGCGACCATGTTGACGCGAAGAGAGTGAGGCGAAGAGGGTGAGGCGATCAATGGTCTCGTCCAATTCCCCAGCCATGAAGGGCTGGACGGGTATAGATATTGAGGGACTTCGAGGCCAGGTATTGACGCCTCCCGTGGGCCGCACGAGGCTGGGTAGGGGGTGACCTCCTGGGCCGCATGGTCGACTGGAGCAGACTGGATACCAAACTTTGAAGATTCGCCTTATGTGTGAATGCCTAGAAATCTGCTCGCACTCTGAACAGATGAGATAGAGCTTGACAGCGTCGCCAAGCCTGGTGAGCAGATTTTCATGCATCTTGAGCAGATTCTTGGGGCTTGACTGCAATTGAGCGTATTGCGAGATCTTTGCAGGATGACCCTTGGTTCGCGAAGGCTAATGGGACTATGGTCGTTGGCGATGTGTCAGCGCATTTTGATGGTATCCCGGAGTGAGCAAATTTCAAAGAGGTCCTCACGAAACCTCACAGCGTAAACGCTAAATGCCATGCACATACTTTATATGCTCAAAAGGTGCTCCCGGACACTATCGTAGCGGTCCAGAATAAAGAGAGTGATTCAAACTCCCTCCTCTTGGACTTGTAAAGAGTCGATCATTGCCCTAGGAACAATACTTAGCCTTCCTTTGTCTTTCTCTGTCTTTCTCTGTCTTCTTTTGAGCATCACCTCTCAACCTCGAGTCAATCATGACGAGCTCCATGACAATGACAATGTCCGACATGGAGAGTATGACTATGTCGACGGCCTCCAGTACGGCAGCTGCGGCTACGGCGACGTCGACAGCAATGAGCATGAGTATGGGAGACAGTTCCTCTTGCAAGATCTCGGTGAACAAGCCTTTCTTTGGTGACCCATGGAGTTCAAACAACTGATGGTCCGTCATAGATGCTGTGGAACTGGTACACCATCGACGCGTGTAAGTGTTGTGGCCTATATTATAGTGTCGCCGATAGCTGACGTTTCAAAGGCTTTCTTGCGCAAAGCTGGCATATCACAACTAAAGGCGCATTTGCTGCTTCTTGCATAGGCGTCATGCTCCTCGTCGTCAGCCTGGAGCTCCTGCGACGAGTCGGCAAGGAGTACGACACGTTCATCCTGCGTCAATTTCAGCGTAACATCGCCCTTGACGGAGCAAATCTCAAGGGTCAAGACAACTCGGGCTCCTGTCAATCTGGGCCGCAGATTGTCACCTTCCGAGCATCGCCGCTTCAGCAGCTCGTCCGTTCCGTGATACATGCCATGACTTTCGGGTTAGCATACATCATCATGCTGTTAGCGATGTACTTCAACGGGTTCATCATCATCTGCATCTTCATCGGCGCGTTTTTGGGCAAGTTTCTTTGTGATTGGATGGTGCAGCGCGTGCCCATGGGAGGTCTGCTGGAGCAGTCAGGCTCTCAGGCACTGGAGGAGCCTAGTGTTTGCTGCGGCTAGACTGTACAGTGAATATCGTTCAGGTCTTTGAGGTGACGGAGAAAGAGGATTGAGAGATGCAAAGTCGAAATCCCTCATAGCTGGACGTCGGCTGGAGTTCGGCAAATCACCATACTGTCAGGTAGTTCAATACGAGAATTGGAAATCTTTGCTGGATGAAATATTGCAAGGTATGTTTGCCTATCTGGATGGGTATCTTTCAATCACTCAATCTATCCATCATAAAAGTCGTCATATGTGATGCATCCCACAAAATAAATGTACAAACCTCCAAAGAATTGCGTTCACATGCAATCTTCGAGATGATGAACCAGGTCAATCTGTTGCCTGGACTTAATCAGATAGCCCAACACCGTCGCTCTTGATGCAGAATTCAACTATCAACTTTTGCAAGTCCGAAAGCTTGTAAGGTTTGGTCATGAAACCCTCCATGCCGGTCTTGGTCGCACGGTTGATGGCTTCGTCGGTGACATCGGCACTCACCGCCAACACAATCGGCGCAGGTGTACAATCTTGGTTCGATCCATTCGCATTCTGGAACATTGCCAGTATGTGCTCGGTTGCTTCGTAGCCATCCATTTCGGGCATCCATAAATCCATCAAGACGACGTCCACCTTTTTATTCGCATGCCTGCCGATTGTACCGCTGCATGTCTTGTTCGAGCCATATAGTTCACGCATGATTCTCACAGCTTCTCTCCCGTCGAAAGCCTCATGGACGTTTTTATACCCTAGCTTGCCGAGCATGCTGACGAGTAACTTTCGATTGATCTTGTTGTCTTCGGCAACCAAGAATGTCAGAGGATGCTTTTGACCCAGATTCCTGTCATAAGAGTCCTTCCGCCGGGGCAGTCTCGGCGTGGAGAGTCTCCGAGGGCCTGCAGGCGCAGAAAAGTCGAAAGTGGGCTTCGGCAGTGTCAAAGCATGCTGGACTTCCGGCCGCTGTGCAGACATGGAAGGGCCACTTCCCAATTCAAGCATCCGTGACGGAGTTGTGTCTGGTCGATTAGAAGTCGTGGGCGGATGAGGTGTGCTTCTTGACACGTCTGGAGTTTTGCTCCGTGGAGTGTTCAAGCGGGTCGACGCATCGCCTGCCTCCATCGGAATTTTGATTTCAAACTCGGATCCTCGGTTTGGCCCAGAAATCTCCGATCTCACGAGGGTGATATCTCCACCCAGCCGTCGTGCTAGCCCTTTGGCAACCAACAGACCAAGCCCCAGACCCTCTTTCGACCTGGTCAAAGAATCGTCTTCCCGCGAAAACGCTTTAAATAGCTCCGGCTGGAAGTCTTCGGGTATACCATCTCCAGTGTCGTGCACGTTGAGAAGGAGATATCGCTGGTTTTGTGAAAGTCGACTGCAAATAGTAATCATGCCTTCCTCGGTAAACTTGATGGCATTGAGAAAGACAGCCGATATCAGCTTTGCCAAATCTCGCTCATCCGCCAGTACAGTTTCGGGCACGTCTTCAGCCACGGTCCAATCAATAATCTTCTGTGACACATGTCCGTTGGACGACCGCGATCTCACAACGGTCCTCTCGCCATTATCGATTGGTTCACCAACGGCAGAGTCTGGGCGACCTCCCACCCTCAAGGCCTCATGGATGACCATAGGTATGAGATTTCTGATTCTGCAGTTTTTCAAGCCAGGGGTGGGAAATGTATCACTCTCAACCGACAACTTTGTCGAGGGAGTACTCAGATCACCACTCGTCATTCCATCCTGCATGGGAGTGAAAACAGTCGAGAACCGTTCATCCGAGAATGCGGTCCGGGGTGTCGAGGATGGAGGAGGAGGGAAAGCCGATGTCCCACTTTTCGGAGAGACGTCCACTCGGGTAGAAGAGTCCAGGTGTCTCATTTTGGTGGCATTGCCGAAATGCCAGGTCGTTTGGCTGCTGCGTCGGCGCTTGAAAGAATGGTTGACATGAATATCACTTCCTTCTATCAATCGAGCGGGCTTGAAGTCGAAATATCCAGTATTTGCTGTGGCAGTGGCCGGAGTGTCATTCTCGTTCATAGGTGTCTCCGGTACCTGCATATTCATGTCATAGGCGTGGACCACGTTGTCTGCAGCCTCAACGGCACGTTTGGAGCTGTCTTGAACTGTCTCAATGTTCTCCTTCAATGTTTGGAATATTTGGCGTAGTGATGGGTTCGAGAGTATCTCTATCTGCTCCTGCACTGTCGCATGCATCACGTCAAGCATGCCGACCACGCCCTGCATTGGTGTTCTGAGCTCGTGCGAAAGGCTTTTGGCATAAGGCCTCAAAGACTGAGTAGTAGCAGTGATGGCTTCCCGAGGGATGACCTGACTTGGGCGAGGTATGCTGGTTGATCGAGGCTTGACGAAAGCCTGGCCGGAGACAAGTCGTTCTGTAATCATATCCTCGAGTGAATGCAATAGCAGCTCGATATAGGCCCAGGAGTTCTCTCGCCTGTCCAGGCCATCTTGCGTCCACATCAGACCAAAATGAGCGAAGCATTTTCCGTCAGCAAATAGTGGGATACCCATATACCCTTCGGCTGGGAGGGGAAGAGCATTGGGGTTTTCGGTAATAAAAGCGCTCATCTGCTCCGGTATTAAGAAGACCTTTTCATGCTTCATGTAGGCGCATGGCGCATCCCAGGCGTGGTATTTGTAGTCGCGGTGCATGGCTTTTTGCTTGTCACCATCATTGTAGTAGAATGCAACTCCGAGCAGACACGACCCAACTTCTCCTATGGGTGGCATTTCAACAGCCGACTTGTGATCGTCTCTGAGTATTCTTTTCGCCACGAAGCCATACTGTGCCTGGCAGAGGTCCGTCATACCCTCCATCAATCTTCTCCAGAATGTCTCGGTATCAGCCTCCCGCAGCTCCCGCTTGAGGTCCACCAGTCTTTCGAGGGCATTGTTTTCACTGGGTCGGAAGTGGTTTGCAATGTTCTTGACAAAGCCCTCTTCTCCGTATTGCGTGGGTACGCCGGGCTGAAGGCTTGGGAGGCATAACGACCGCCGTTCGACATGGGAGACTGAAGCCGTGTCGTTTTTTGGGTTATTGGCCATTACTGACGTGTACAATTGTCCTCCTCCTGGCACACCAAGGTAGTTGGAAGATTGTCATCAAAGAGTCGTTTAATGAACATCACCAACATCTATGGTTCTCGCATAACGTAGGGAAAGCCGATGTTGTATAGAACCCGCCGTCATTAACACGAGCATTCCTTGGTGTTCCACGCCGAAAAAAGAAGCTGGAAAGAAGTCGCTGTCGTCGCACAGGGTGCTGGAACACAGCGAGGGATTCTGAGAGGAAGTATGTAGGGTGTATTTTGCGGAACACGGCCGGGAAGGGTTACAGCGCAGGGACCAGAGAAGCGGATAAAGTGCCCGGACGAAAGCGTATATTATAGCGAGAAAACGATTGGTAGTGCGGATGGTAGAATTTTACGTTTGGACGGAGAGTATGGAAGCGCGTGGGAGGGGAAGAGGTCCGGTTCGCGAAGAGTTAAGTCAAAGGGCCGTGAGGGCACAGGACAAGCAGACAAAAGCCTGGCAGATTTGACGTTGCAAAAAAGTCTAAGGGTGGAAAGTGTCGGTGGGGGGATGAAGGGTCGTCAACCTTAGATGGGCTTTTTAGGCGAACGCAAGCCGGCAAGGCAAGGCCTTTGCTTATGCGAAGCCCGTGGCTATTGTTTGTATATGTCTCCCGATATCTTCTGTAGACCCTTGCAGTCGGGCACGATTCTCCAGCTTTGCCCATGGTACCTAGAGGGCGTGGGATATCAATGCCAACGTATATACAGGACTGCCCTCCTCTCGAGAGATCGCCAGAGACAGAACATCAGCAACGCGTTGACGGATGCATTATTCCAGGCGAAGTACGTACATATGCATCTAACCAGAAAAGCCGGTTCGCAAGTTGTGCATTGACACTTGCAGGCAACACCTCACTAATCACAATTTACATAACTACTGTGTACCTCGTACGACGAGTATTCGTAACGGTCTGGTCAGCCATTGACGAGGAGCACAGGAAGTGATAGAGACATGCAGGTGATTGTGGAGCGAGTATGGCGATATGCAAGGGTCTCAAAGGGTCTGGCGAAGAGTCCAGACCACCTAAAGATTTGTCTTAGAAGCCAATAGGGCCTTTGATTCGGGTGCCCACAGTTGGAAAGTCCCAGGCACCTGATCAGGCTTTCTCGGATGGAATCTGTCCTTATGACATGCGCGCAAATCACCCGTGCTTTCTAAATGCAACGATCGAACTCTACTACTACTGTTATGAACACGCCTGTGCGTCACAAAAAACGGTGTCTATTAATTTGACGTGTATCGTTTAAGTGGGATGAAATACTCGTAGTTGCTCCTGTTTACTCAAGGGGTGATTTGTGAAAGGGAGACTTGTAAGCACGGTGCAAGGATCAGCATGACTACTGCATCTATCAGGCCTTGTCTCGTGTAGATCCAATGTTCCAGACTGTCAAAGACCGGCTTGAAGTCCCTCGGCGATTTGTTTGCAGGGCGCCATTGACATCATAAATGCATGCATGGTTCACAGTCGTCGGCTAACGCGGCAAGATTGGCTTGTTTAGTCGCCGGCTGAGTCAGATCTGCGATCAGGCCTGTCAGGGTCACCTACTTGTCAGTGCCCAACGCGCACATTAGGGTTTATACTTCCGATATAGCTACCACAGCTACCATGTACGTTATTTGGAGCACTCAATCCGAAACTCCGCAGTCCTCACACGATAGTTACAGTACGAGTATTATTTGTGTTGTTAATGACTCGACACATCTGGCTCATCTACGGCATGCAGATGTTTCTAATTTGCCATACGCTCGGAGCCACTGTCATCGAACGTCTTTGAGGTGTACTACTTCCATAGGCAAGACAAGTTCATTCGGAACGATCTTGCGCACTAATCCAAGGCGCGAAATTCAAAGTCACACATCAGTTGCGATTGTGGAGTGGACGCATCCGCGGTACCTGGTAGTTGTGCTTGACCTGGATCAAGTCGTAGCGACACGAATGAACATTCATTCAGCTTCCCCCTGGGCATGCAACGCACACATTATGAAATCCAATGAACCTACGAATAACGAATACTACCCCGCTGTTATCGATATATGTTCTCCTTGTCAAGAATGTGACTCGTGATGCTTGCCACTGCTTCGTTCCTGCTATGGCTCGGGAACCTACGAGTCGTCTTCGCTGAATGTGTCTGCTACATGCTTCAGAAGTATGCCAGTCAGCTCATTTACCAGTCGACACCTGTTGCATTGTTGTTCATGGCAATCGTGCAAAACGAGTTCAAAGGTTCTATGCCTCCATGAGTCGAGACACTACGTAATGAAGCCACCTCATCGTAATCCAGGGCTCACCGCCATTGCCCTCCAGCAAGCATTATCAGTGCAGACTATTGGGAGATGGGCTGCTCGCGAACACGGAGTCGGGCGCTGAGAGCAGGCCTGTACCCATCTCGCCCAGGTTTGCATGTTATCAGAATACGATACCTGGATATAAGTTGTTTGGCCTTTGAAAAGATGCTGCTGGTCTGAATACTACTGGTAGGCACAGTAGGCAACGGATGCAGCATCCTTACTCTGCAAGCTAGGCAGTACGGGCATATCCGCCCATCACAAGTCTGTTATCAAAACCTCTTATCGAGAGGATCACTTTCCGTCATGTCTATGCCCAACGGCATGACTCGGTATGCGATAAGCGGACTATATGGCATTGGGGCGACTGGCTTGTTGGATAAGAACGTCTTTTTGTTAGCATCACTTCGTTGCTTCTCAGATTCCAGAGTTCATGTTTGTCTTTACCGCAGATCGACATCCCACTTTCTGCACTGCAACCATGGGCCATGCTTAACGACTTTTGAATTCAATGCTACTGTGCTTGGTATTGCAGCTCTAGCTTCCCTTTGCGTCATTATACTCTTGGCTTACCACGACGGTGCTTTCACTCTGCGCATGCGAGGAGGTCGCGTGCATCAATTCCTTTGGAGCTGCCATTACTGGCCTAGGCTGCTGTGGTCTGTTATGCCTTGTCTCAGGTGCAGGACGCTGTGACCTTGAAGGAGAAAAGGCTTACAAACCGAAGCCGGCACGATGGCTTCATTCGTTCTTTCAACGACTCTTCACTCTTTACCTGCTGGAGCTACGAAAACCTTGGGGTACCTCTTAGTCATGCTGTCGTTGATCCAGCTCGCTTGTGGCTTGGTATTGTCGCCGTTGATAAACCAAGCCAGCGCCAATCCTTTACAATATGCTCGACAGCAATATGCGCCCGGCCACCTGGGTGCGGTTGCTAGTGAGAGCAGTATTTGCAGCAACATCGGCATAGACCTATTGCGACAAGGCGGCAATGCCGCAGATGCACTTGTTGGCACGGTCTTTTGCATCGGCGTTATTGGTTGTTACCACAGCGGCATTGGTGGCGGAGGTTTTATGCTTGTTCGAGGTGCGAACGGCAGTTATGAGTTCATAGACTTTAGAGAGACGGCACCTGCTGCCGCCTTTCAGGACATGTACAACAACAATACCAATGCCAGCATTTTTGGTGGTCTGGCTAGTGGCGTTCCAGGTGAAGTCCGAGGTCTGGCGCATCTGCATAGCAACTATGGCAAGCTCTCGTGGAGTCAAGTGATGGCTGGAGCCATCAAGACCGCGCGATACGGATGGCCTGTCACAAACGACCTTGTCAATTATATGCGGTCGGCAAATGCGTCGGCTGCGGTCTCAAACTTCCTGGTCGATGACCCCAATTGGGCCATCGACTTTGCTCCCAATGGCACTCTGGTCGGGTTGGGCGACACCATCACCCGGAAAAGATATGCCAACACCCTTGAGACGATTGCAAACGAAGGGCCAGATGCTTTCTACACCGGGGCCATTGCGGAGACGACGATCGCTGCGTTGCAGGCTCAGAATGGCACAATGACGGTTGAAGACCTGCAAAACTATACCGTCGCAATTCGTCCACCGGCAAACATCACCTATCGTGGCTACCGAATGTTCAGCTGCAGTGCTCCTGCCTCCGGTGAAGTTGCGCTTTCAGTCATGAAAATCTTGGAAGGCTACACGGATTTCTATGCTCCTGGGAGGCTCAATCTCTCGACCCATAGAATGGACGAGGCGATGAGGTTCGGCTATGGGGAGAGGACTAATTTGGGGGACCCTTCCTTCTTGAAGAATATATCTCTTTATCAGAATGAGATGCTGTCCGCCCAGACAGCTGCCGATATTCGGAGCAAGATTCTGGACTACACCACCCTGAACGTGTCGGCATACGATCCTTCCGGCATTGAGTCGTTAGAAACACCTGGAACATCCCATGTCGTTGCGGCAGACGCATCAGGTCTGGCTATCACGTTGACCACAACTGTGAATCTGCTGTTCGGGTCCAATCTCATGGTGCCAGAGACCGGTGTGATCATGAACAATGAGATGAACGACTTCTCCATCCCAGGTTCCTCGAACGCCTTTGGATACATCCCCAGTCCAAGCAATTATATTCGACCAGGCAAGAGACCGCTCTCCTCAATTTCGCCGACGATTGTTGAGTTTCCCAATGGCACACTATACTATGTTATTGGCGCAGCTGGAGGGTCAAGGATCATCACTGCTACGATTCAAAACTTGATCCATGTGCTAGATCAGAATGTGACCACTCCTCAAGCACTTGCGCAGCCTCGCCTTCACGATCAACTGATACCGAATCAAGCCATGGTCGAGTACGCATATGACAATGAGACCGTGGCTTTCATGAAATCACTCGGACATAACGTTACCTTTGTGGCGCCAGGACTGTCAACGGCGCAAGGATTGCGTCGTCTACCCAACGGAACCTTTGAAGCTGGTAAGTTTGTGGTGTTCACATCGTCCTGAAGCCCTAAGCCGTCCACCACCGCAACTTCGCGAACAATACATCGTTCTTGTACTGACGCAATGTTCCTACCTAGCTGGAGAACCGAGGCAACAGAACTCTGGTGGCTTTGCCATCTAAGTTCCATTGGAGAGAAGGAACACCTGGGACCTTTTGTGGCTATGGAGACTGCCAGGAGAGGTGGTTTCGTGTTGCCACATTCGACCTGGACGACAACTGAGGCTCACCATAGACATATAGAACACCACAGCACCTCTGAGGGAATCAGTACATGCTCCTGGAGAAACCTTAAAGGATGGAATTGGTAGAGTGCGTCGAAACGAGCCCGATCGATCGAGGCACTGCAGCCTTGTCACATGACAAGGCTGAAGCTGTTATGCTTCACATGAAGTGAAGAATACACAGGTTCGACTCTTGTGGAAATACTCAAGAACATGGAAGGCTTCAGTAGGCCTGGCCTGCCCTCCGGGCTTTGGACTTGGATTCTCGTCGTGCGACGATGAGGGTCCATTTGGAGGGGAATCGTGCGACATCGCGTATACGACTCATCCTGGTGAAGCACCCACGAGTCAAACAATGGTACTACGTACATGCGATGCTGATGAAGAGGTGTCCATAGCCATCTTGATTTATCAGCCTACGAAGCTCGCCCCGGTGACTGTGAAAGGAATTGTCTTTGGTTGGAACTCTCATGGAGCCTCCATGGAAGAGCCCCCAGGTCTTTCGCAGGCTAGCAAACGAACTCCGGTGGGATCACAAATGCATAATTGTATGCAAAATGCATAAGATGATGTTACTTCTGAATCCAGTCGGATCGCCATCTCGCTCATTAGTGCTGAACCTGATATTGAGGCACACAACGCTTCTCAACCCGATGCAAGCAACATCTACACGACATGTACCTACACTCAACTTGTTTCGTGCTAGTGCGCAAGCCAGACGTCTTACAGGATTCATCGCCTACAGGTACTTTTGGTTATGCACAAAACGGACTTAAGGTTTAAGATGTTTTCGGGTCGTGTTTACCGAATGTCAAAGTGGGGGAAAATGCAGCCGCCTGCCTAAACAGATTGAATCGAGCTCGGAATGTCCATGGATCTTTTCGTGTAGCGAATAGTAGATGGAAATTGGCCTTGCCGGAGTCGCAACTAAATAGATCTACCGTGAGTTGAATAAAGAGCCGTCTTCTTCCTTTTCGTGGCATTCATTCATGTATTAAAGTACTGCTGTTGCTTTGTTGGTGGCATCGACAAGAAATTTACTGCACGCAAGGCACGAGCCCCCATCTACGCGACGCTTACATACTCCTCAGTCCCCTGCGCCGTATTCCGCCTAGTGGTCTGTCCGGAGGCTTGTAACCAGAAAGGCTATCTGCGGCCCAAACAATCGGTACGTTGCTCATGAACCCATTTTATCATACAATGCTACGAGCAACCTACGATCAACCCTGGCGACTGACGGAATGGCTGTTCAGGGCTTATGGCAGCCACAGAGTCTGCCCCCATTGCCGAGAAGCACCTCGAGCCCAATGATGCCCACAACATTCGACCCTCCACCGAAGGCTCCTCCGTCTCGGACAGGCACAAGAACGGCCGAATAGACCCAGATGTCGAAAATGGTATACCCGTGGTCGATCCAACTGAAGACGAAAACGAAAAGACACCTCCCGCAGTGACCACTCAGCAAGATCCCAATGTCGTCGATTGGGCAAGTCCAGATGACCCTGAAAAGGCTCTCAATTGGACTAACAAGAGGAAATGGGCAAATGTAGCAATCATATCAGCTGTTACCTTCCTGACGCCTTTGGCCTCCTCCATGGTTGCACCCGCCGTCCCCTTGGTCATGGACGAATTTCACATCACCAACGAGACCGTCGGCAGTCTAATTGTCTCAATCTACCTTCTGGGCTACGTTATCGGGCCACTGGGGCTCGCACCATTGTCAGAGGTCTACGGTAGACTGCCACTCTATCATGCTTGCAATGCCATGTTCGTCGTCTGGTCGATGGCTTGCGCATTGGCTCCCAACACTGGGGCATTACTTGTCTTTCGAATATTGGCCGGCATCGCTGGTAGCTGTCCGCTTACCATTGGTGGCGGGTCAATTGCAGATCTTATTGTACAGGAGAAACGTGGTGCGGCCATGGCGATTTTTGCAATGGGACCCCTCATGGGCCCTGTGCTTGGTCCCGTTGCTGGAGGCTACCTGAGCGAGGCCGCTGGATGGCGTTGGGTGTTCTGGGTAATCACTATCGCTGTAAGTTGTGGTATATGCATTGTCGTACCTCACTGACATGTTCCCAGGGCGGCGTGGCCTTATCTTTCTCGCTTATCTTTATGCGCGAAACCTACGAACCTGTCCTACTGGAGCGACGGACGAAGCGACTTCGAAAGGAGACGGGCAACCCCAATCTACGCTCCAAACTCGACCAAGGGATCCCTATGAAAGAATTCTTTGTCCGCGCCATTGTTCGTCCTGCGAAAATGTTGTTGTTTTCACCAATTGTCCTGCTGTTATCGATCTACATGGCTATCGTCTACGGCTACCTCTATCTGCTCTTCACTACTCTGACCACTGTGTTCGAAGGGACATACCACTTCAGCCAGGGCTCTGTCGGTTTGAGTTACCTTGGTATTGGCGTTGGGTCGCTGCTCGGACTCTTCATATTTGGTGCTCTTTCCGATCGCATTGTGAAGAAGATGTCTGCCAAAGGCGAAATGAAAGCAGAGTACAGACTTCCACCGCTCATCCCTGGAAGCCTACTCATCCCGGCTGGTCTGTTCTGGTACGGCTGGTCGGCGGACAAACACATCCATTGGATTATGCCCATCCTCGGAACATGCCTAGTCGGTTTGGGTCTTTTGGCAACATTCATGTGTGTACAAACTTACCTCGTCGATGCTTTTCACCGGTACGCAGCTTCAGCTATTGCGGCAAATACAGTCCTCAGAAGTCTGGTCGGCGCCTTCCTACCACTTGCAGGTCCAGCTCTTTATGCTTCCTTGGGCCTTGGCTGGGGCAACTCTCTGCTTGCTTTCATTGGCCTTGCGTTATCGCCGATGAGTTGGATCTTCTTCAAGTATGGCGAGCGAATTCGAAAGAGTCCGAGATTTCAAGTCCAATTCTAGATTACTATTGCTGGGAGTTTCATCTGGCATCTAGCGTTGCATCACAATTGGTGTTGGTCGAATGATTGCGACTGAGCGTTCCACTGTCATTTGTGTATGTAGGGGGCGTCAATATATAGAGGGCGTCAACGACATTTCCTCTCGGTTGGTTCTCATATAAAACCATGGCTGTACATGGGTTCATGAACCGCTGAATAGCCAAGTAAAATGTGCATTCGAGGCGATTCGAGGCCCAAAGTCAAGTGCACGACTTTCCTTCGAGTACCTCTTGAAGCCAAACTATGCAGGCACTGTTCTCGCGGTCAGATTTCGTTGTCTCTCTGGCGGCAGTCTATCCTAAAATGAGGGAACCTATCATGCCAGACCTGGCGTGGCCAGTGACATTGCGACTAAATTTGGCTGAACTCCGACTTCACACCGCCCATCATGATTCCTTGCCAGCAAAGAACTCTGACTCCTCTTCATCACACCCCAGTCCCACTCTGACCTATCCTCGATTTCGGTACACGTTTGCCTATCACTCGTTCAAGCACATCTGAGTTCTAAGAACATCAAGCAACATGCATGACAAAGGTTGTCCCAAGTGTGGTCAGAAGATCGCCAGCGGCACGAAAACATGTAGCTCTTGTGGCGCGGTAAGTGGTTCTGTCTTGCGATTCTTCCGTTACTCTGTCAATCTCTTGAAGCACGAGTCTGATAAATACTTCAGACTTGCCCTGTGTAATTGCGCATCTCAAAAGACAGCAGGTGGATGAAGACGCAAATGGGATACGACATGAATGATGAGATGCCTGGATGACAGCGGCTGACAGGCCTCAATTGGCAGTTGATTGAAGAAATGGCTGAGATTATTTTACTCGGACAGGTTGGCACCTGAAAACATCACGCTCGCTATGCAAATGAAAATGCCAACCACCACTCATGAGATTTCCACTCTCATCATTGCGGGATGACCTTCTCGAAGAATCCGAGCAGATCACGTAACTCGGCTGCACTTGTGGAATGGCCCATACCTTCATACAGGTGCTCCTCGATGTCCGCCTTGTCCACCCATTTCGACAACTCTTCTATGCCCTGGCTATACAACCTGCTTGGAACGAGCATGTCCCTTGTCCCGTGAACATAGAACCACTTCTTTACGCCCTTCTCGGGAACAGCGGCCTCGTCTGAGGTTTCTGCAGACCGTTCTTCGCGCAGGCTTTCGATCCTGTCACTCAGAGGGAAGTATCCACTCAAGCATACCATGCCTCCGACTTTGTGCCTGAAACGTCCTGTGAGACCCCAGGTGAGGCTCACCGCGCATCCTTGACTGAACCCTCCGACAAGAATCCTTTCTGGGGGTGTGCCTCTCCCAATCTCTTCTTCCACCAGCTTGTCGACGTAGTCCACGCTCTTGATAATACCCGCTTCATCATCGGATGCGTGCTTGTCGTCCTCATGACCGGGTACTCGTGGCTTCATCGCGTTGGGAAGTGCTTTAGGCATGTACCAGGCGCGTTCCATAGCGTCGTGGTTGTGTTCGGCATTAGGTAGAACCCACTTCAGCCACTGCATCTTGTTGTAGAAGTGGAACTGTTGGGCAAGGCCGAGCGGAAGTCCCTCGGCATCGTCGCCATAGCCATGCAGGAATATGATCGTCGCCGCACGATCTGGAGCTACAGAGGGAGCAGCAGGCGGCAAAATGTAGGGTGGTTTGGAGGACATGTTCTTGCCGCGTATCTGCAACGTTGCAATGGCTGGGTACGGGACTTTGCTCAGAAATCACTATGGAGACATACCGTTGGAGCGCGCTGACTCCGAGGACTCGGGACAAAGGAGGGGAATGCGGGTGGACGGCCGCACGTCGAGACTGCCCTGATAGTCTTCGTAGACAAGATTCTGCTTCCAGGAAGAGTCTCAAGTCATGCGGGCCTCACACGAAGTCGCTGTGACTTGGATGCAAAATCCAGAGCGCAACAGACATGGGACTGTCCTTTGCGTGATTGAGTCGAGTGAAGATATTGCGTTTCGCTACCACCAGGTTCGCCGCTCGTAACTCTTGATCCGCTGTACTTTATGACCCAAAGTGCACTTCGTGGGGAAGTCTGCATTTTGTTTTCAAAGATGGATTGAGATCATCATATTCCACCAGCAACTCGGCAGAACACGGCGGCTTCAAGTGGAGGATACAAAGCAGTCCAGACACCATGAAGAGCCTTAAAAGAGGTCTGGCGGCCGATCCAAGTGCGACCAACATCTCCAGCAAAGTCTTCGTCCGGTCCACGAAGAGCGGTCGAGTTCAAAAAGTTGTGAGGGAACAATATCTCAGGAAAGATATACCCTGCTCCTCGCAGCTTTGCTCGGCTTGTGCTTCTACAGCAGCAGCAAATGCAAGCGGAGTTGGTAAGTGTTCCGTATGTTATGGCTTCGCTCGACTTCCATGCTCATACCGCTACAGTCCCCAAATTCATCCTCTCAAAGCGACCAACAGGCACGAAAGCCTTTCGCGATGGCCATTACCTTATACCCGATACGAATGTCCTGCTCAGCGGCATGGACCTTTTCGAAGAGGCGGCACATTTCCACGATGTGATCATCCTGCAAACAGTCCTCGAAGAGTTGAAGAATAGAAGTCTTCCACTTTACAACAGATTGATGGCATTGACTCGCAGCGAAGAGAAACGCTTCTACCTCTTTTTCAATGAATTCCGATCCGAGACCGCAGTACGCCGAGACGAGGGAGAGACCATCAACGACCGAAACGATCGCGCTGTACGAAGAGCTGCTGCTTGGTATACAACGCATCTCGCAAAGGTGACGAAGAAGCCTCCTGCGATCGTCGTTCTTACGAACGATCAAGAGAATAGGAAGAAATCCAAGAAAGAAAGCCTTGTTGCTCTGTCACTTCGGGAATATGTGGGAGGCCTCGACGATGCCGACCGTCTACTTGATATGGTCAGCCAAGGCGCGGAGGGCCAAGAGGCCCGCGAAGCCCATGGCGAACTGTTCTATCCTGAGTACTATTCTATGTCCAGGATGATGACTGGAATCAAAGCTGGCACTCTACACCAGGGCAGCTTTCATGTTTCACCATACAATTACTTGGAGGGAACAGTGAAAGTGCCTGCGTTCGACAAGCCACTCTTGGTCCTGGGTAGAGAGAGCAGCAATAGGTCAATCTCTGGCGATGTGGTGGTTGTGGAAGTACTACCGAAGGACCAGTGGAAGGCCCCTTCAACTCAGATCCTCGATGAAGAAGCACTTAACAAGAACGACAATCCTGACGACGAGGAGCAGGAGCAAAGCGTCGTTACCGAGACTGAACGTCGCGCTCTCCAAGAAGACGTTCGACGTGCACATACGGCGGGCGCAGAGTCTCGTGCACAGCCTACATGCCGCGTTGTGGGAGTCATGAAGCGAAATTGGCGACAGCTCGTTGGAACCATTGACTCTGCTTCAGGGAACACATCTGGCAATCGGCAGACCACCGTCTTCCTCGTCCCTATGGACAAGCGCATTCCCAAAATCCGTATTCGAACGCGACAAGTCGATGAACTGATAGGCAAGCGAATCGTCGCGACAATAGATTCCTGGGATCGCGACACCAGATACCCTGTCGGCCATTACATCCGGTCCTTGGGCGAACTGGAGACTAAGGAGGCAGAAACTGAAGCCCTACTTCTTGAGTACGATGTACAGTATCGTCCGTTCCCAAAAGCTGTGTTGGATTGCCTGCCGTCGGAGGGCCACAACTGGAAAGTGCCTGCCGAGCAATCACATCCTGGTTGGAAGGATCGACGGGACTTGCGAGACCTTCTCATTTGCTCGATAGACCCTCCTGGGTGTCAGGACATTGATGACGCTCTTCATACGAGGAAACTCCCAAATGGCAACTACGAAGTGGGTGTCCACATTGCAGATGTGTCACATTTTGTCAAGCCCAACAATGCCATGGACACCGAGGCTACTTCTCGGGGTACCACAGTCTATCTTGTCGACAAAAGAATTGACATGCTGCCGATGCTTCTGGGCACTGACCTGTGCTCACTCAAACCTTATGTTGAGAGATACGCGTTCTCGACACTCTGGGAAATTACCCCAGACGCGGAGGTTGTATCGACATCCTTCACAAAGTCTGTCATCCTGTCCAGAGAGGGCTTCTCTTACGAACAAGCGCAAAAGCGAATTGACGACACTTCTGCAAATGATGAGCTTACTCAAGGTATGCGGGCGCTACTGTCGCTGTCGCAGAAACTTCGTCAAAAGCGTATGGATGCCGGAGCGCTGAACCTTTCAAGCCCAGAGGTCAGAATCGAGGCAGACAGTGAGACTTCCGACTCTTTGGCCGATGTCAAGACAAAAGCACATTTGGCCACGAATTCGCTGGTTGAGGAATTCATGCTGCTTGCCAATATCACGGTTGCTACAAAGATCCAATCAGTCTTTCCGCAGACTGCACTGCTTCGGCGGCATGCCACCCCTCCTGCTTCCAACTTTGCTGACCTTTCTGAGCAATTGAAACGCATGCGAGGCTTTGAATTGGACGTGTCAAGCTCCAGAGCCCTTGCTGACTCACTGGATCAATGTGTTGATCCTCAACATCCATTCTTCAACACTTTGATTCGAATCATGGCGACGCGCTGCATGACTTCCGCGGAATACTTTTGTAGCGGTTCTCACGCAGAGCCCGAGTATCGACATTATGGATTGGCCAGTGAGATCTATACTCACTTTACAAGTCCTATCCGTCGATATGGTGATCTGCTCGCCCATCGTCAACTGGCTTACGCGATCAACTATCAAGGCGAGGGGAGTGAGGTTGTGGATGATGGACTGAGGAATAAAGGTAAATTGGAAAGAGTTTGCCAGAATCTGAACTTCAGACACAGGAATGCCCAGTTGGCAGGCAGAGCAAGCATCGAATATTACGTGGGACAGGCACTGAAAGCAAGAGCGGAAAAGAAGCCAGATGCGGCCATTGATGTGGAAGGCTATGTCATGCGCGTGTTTGAGAACGGAATCGTTGTTTTCGTGCCTCAATTCGGCATTGAAGGGTTGGTTCGCCTCGAAGACTTCCAGTTGAAGGGCACGGCCGCGGAGTCTAGGAGGGAGAGTACTTTCGATGCCGACAGATATCGGCTGAGTATGTTCGAAAAGGACCATGAGGAGCAAGCAGTCACCGTGGAGCTCTTCCAGCAACTTCGGGTGAGGGTCAGTTCAGAGGAGAAAGGTGGCGCACGAGAGAAGGGTAAACGACGAGTCAGAATAGTCGTTTTGTAGAGCCCGGCTCGTCCGAACGTGAATTATGATGCCATCGATCTCTGATCTGCACACAGTCAATCTCGGGCGAACAGTCCCTTTTTTCTGATGTTTGTTGAAGTAAGAAGCGAGTATTGTGAAATCCGCTGTATCACTGCCAAGATCTAAATATTTTTATATTCAAGTTCCGCAAGCCTTACCTCGACCAAACCAATGACAACAGCGAAACCTCTTCATTTTCCGCCTACTGACCCTAACATTCTACATCTGCTGTTATCGACCTAACGAGCATCTGATCTGTCACGATGACAGGCCCTCCGAACAAACGGCAGAAGCGAGATGAGTACAGGAAAGCTCAAGAGAAGCTAAAGGCTGGAGTGAACGGCACCGAAGGCGGCAAAATCGAACTACCCAAGAAGAAATTCTATCGGCAACGCGCCCATGCGAATCCTTTCTCCGACCATGCTCTACAATAGTAAGGATTGCCAGCCCTGTTGCACACTGACCGAGGAGGTTACAGTCCCATACTGACTCTATGCAGTCCTGAATCTCCAGCCAACATGGACTGGACGACACATTATCCGGCATTCGTGGAGCAAGATACCGAGAAGAACATTGCGCAAGCCATGACCAAAGAAGTCGAAATTGCAGATATCGGGTGTGGATTCGGTGGCCTGCTTATTGGCTTGTCGCCTTTGTTCCCAGAGACCTTGATGCTTGGTAGCCCTCGTCCACACCAAGTCATGTCACCTTACTGACGCTTAGGCAGGAATGGAGCTACGAACACAGGTGACCGACTATGTGATCAATCGGGTTGCAGCACTAAGAGCCCAGAATCAATCCGCCACTGAGAGGTATACACCATACCAGAATATCTCTGCACTTCGATCGAACACAATGAAGTTTCTCCCGAACTACTTCCACCACGCACAGCTTTCCAAGATCTTCCTTTGTTTTCCGGATCCTCATTTCAAGCAGAGAAAGCACAAAGCCCGTATCGTTTCGGCGCAGCTCAATGCTGAGTATGCATTCGTCACGAAACCCGGTGGCCTAGTCTACACGATCACCGACGTCGAGGAACTGCACCAATGGATGGTGAAGCATTTCGTGAGTGAGGAGGCAGGGGATGCCAGAGAATTGTGGGAGAGAGTACCGGCGGAGGAGCTTGAATCTGATCCGTGTGTCAAGGTTATGAGCGAGGAGACTGAGGAGTCCAAGAAAGTCACGAGAAATGGTGGCAAGAAGTTCATTGCGGTATTGAGAAGAAAACAGGATCCGGAGTGGCCCAATTGACCAAGTCGAAACGCTAAACGCAGACGCTGATCGAAGCATACCCGCCACAAAGCGCTGACAACCAAAGGTCAAAGCTCCCACACCCGAAGGACGTGTGCCCTTACGGCGCCTCCTTCTCGATTTTCCCGTTGGTCAAGGTGTCTCCGCTGTGTCGCTCCGCGTTGCTGTCGGTGGGCGCCATGCCAACGACTTCACCACCTTTTAGAGCGTCCACGTCGATTTGAGGTCCAGTGTAATTCTTTCGCCCATCCACGAACCATTGGATCATCGAGACAATTAAGACGATTGCAAACGCCGCAATGCAATAATTCATGTTATTACCAGTTACTGGCAACGCCGGTGGGAACATGAACAGCACAGTTGTGAGCATGGCATAAGCGATGCCGATCTGCCACTGTTAGCATTCGGCGTGGCTGGTTGCGGAGACAGATCTTACCAGGTTGCATGTCCAGCCCAACCAGTTTGGCAGCTTAAAAGGGCGAGTCTCAGGCAACATCCTGCGCCCTCGGAGGCAATTTATAGCAGGAGGGATGGCGTAGGTAATGCCTAGAGCCACGACCGATGCAGAAACAATGGCGTTAAAGGCGCTGCTGGAGCCGAGGAAGATGCAGCCAAAGATGATGACAAGGATCAAAGTCAGCCAAAGCGCATTCAACGGGACATCGAGTCGCTTGTCGACTTTTGCGAAGAATTTTGAGGCTGGAAGACCGCGGTCTCGAGCGAATGCGTACACCATTCGACTACTGGTAGTCATGATACTGACTGCTGCGAACTGTCGGTCGATCAGGTTAGCTTTTACGGCGTTTCCCAGCTCCGAACCCAGGGTTCATCTTGGAGTGGCACTCACCAGCAAGCACACCAGTGGGAACATCAGCAAGCAGATGGACCCGGCTTTATTGTTAGTCGCGTCATAAAAGATCTGCAACATGGGACCTGCGGCGGAACTGATGACAGTGTCGAGATCGCTGGAGACGAAGAGCAGAACACTCAGATAGATGAAGCCGGTCACGACCCCGATCAAGACACATGCTATCATGATGCGAGGGCCGTCCACGATGGGATTATTCAATTCTTCGACGCAATGGGCGACTGCGTCAAAACCGGTCAAACTGAGATCGAGGAGTGAACGTTAGCACAGACAGTACGGAACGAAGGAGTTTATCGAGGCAGCACTCACCCCAAACCACCCTGCAGAAGCCCCAGAAGCCACGCAAGCCCATCTGGCCAGCCTGTCTCATTGATGAACTCCCGATACACCACGTCACCAGACTGGTAATGTGGTGAGGCGCATGCCAGAACGGTGATGGAAATGACCAGCCAGCCAGTGATGGACCATATCAGGGCTCCTTTCGTAACCCAAGGAAGCAACCTGGTCAGGAATGCGTTGACCAAGAAGGCAAAGGCGTTGTAGCCGATGTAGATCAGGAACTGGTGCCAGCGTTGGGCGTCGTATGAAGGTGTAGTCAGCGAGATAATCCCCAAGACGAGTTGACTACCCAGGAGACCGGCCGTGGCTGTTAATGCCACCCAGCCAGCTGTATTGATCCAGCCCGTGATCCACGATAGAATGGGAACCCAGCGTTTCCAGCTAATGACCGCAACCCAGTGGTATTGACCTCCTGCCGTTGGATACGCCGACAAGAATTCTGCCAGGGAAGCAGCCAAAGACAAATTGCATATTCCCGCAACAAGAAGACCCCAAATGACGGAGGTGGGACCTCCACTGGGGAGGGCCAAGGACATACTGGCTCCCAGAGCCGTCCAAGAGTTCAAGATGGCGAAAGCCAGGCCCAGCATGGAGAAGAGGGAGAAATTGCGCTCGAGCTCCTGCTTGACGCCAAATCCTGCCAGCTGGGCGGCATCTTCCTGGATGCTGGTCCGCCGTCGTGGAGTCTGTGAAGCTCGTCGCGAAGCTCGTCGTTCCTCCATGGTCGCCGACTGGACTGTGGAATTTCGTGTTACGCGTCTGTGCGAGGAAGTAACAACGTGCTCCAGTAGCCGGGAGCAAGGTGGGAATGAGCGAAGAGATTCTTATTTGTGGTGACTCAACCAAGCAAGCACGCGGCAGGTCTCCGATGAGAAGAGGAGGAATAAGCAGACTACGTCAGTGTGCGGATTATTGATTATAGGGTATCTTCTGTCCCAGTGCCTCCGAGCGTATCGATATCCTGGTCTGATGAGTGGACATTGGGACAAAATCTTACTCATGAGCCTTAGGTAACAGGAATCATGATGAGGTGAGTGGGCACACTGTGCTGGAATTGGCAATCCCAAGCAGAGCCTGTGGAGGATTAGGCGCGCAATGACTCGCCGAAGCCCATGCCTGGATGTCCGTCAACCCCTCAGAAATCTTCATGTTGCAACCCCCAGGTCACCATGTCAGACGCTACAAGAGACCGTCAGGAATCAATGCGAAGAACGATCGTGGTTTGGGATGCAAATCTTCGCCTTGCGACAACCCCGGATTTTAGGTGCACTTGGCTTGGACTTAGGGCGCGTCCTTAAGGACTCTTGATCCTAACTTGAGTTAGCATGCTTTTACCAAAGCCAGCCACCGATGTCACCGCCTACCAAGAACTTTGTTCAGTGCGGATCTGTTTTTCTATTTCGCATATCGCCACGAGCCGGTCGATCCGAAGAGGTTCTTGGTAATAAACCCAAACCTGCATGATATGTGGCTACAGCAAAGCGCATGTCAGTCATGTACTCACACCCAGGGTCGACATTCTTTGAGGCTCGGTGGCTAAGAGACACGCCCAGTTGCGACCTCCCAGGCACGATGATGTCAGGGCTGCAGGTAAAACACCCTGTTCGGCCTTCTCGGCCACAAACGACTTGCATCAGTCAGCCTTATCAGTTCAATTCAAACCAGACCTCAATCCCATAAGCAAGGCAGCTAATGATCTGGAATGAGATGGTACCGATTCCGGTTGGTGCATGTGATCGGATACTGTTTTGGGCCGTGGAATGTCCTGCCCCTTCTACACAATGAAATCCAGACGTCGCGTGCTTCCCTTGAAAAGGGCCTTGGACTGATCTCAACCTGACAGTGACAGACAAAGAGTGTGGAATAAATCTCGTTGTTCTGACAACAATGAAGCTGCTATTTTTCGATCACTTGTCCCATGTGCAGGAGCCCATATGAGCTGGCCAACGAGCCTTTCCAGCATGGACGGCCACCAAAGTGCTAACTCGGCCTGTTGGAGATCAACAAAATGTGCGAATCGCACACCATATACCATCTTTGCGGCCATGTCAAGGTCAAAACCCTCGTGCAATGCGCCGAAATGATCGAAAAACTGATCGCATCGAAAATGCAAGTAACATGCTCCCACCAGCTTTGCGCAGACGTCAGCGACAACATCCACATCTTTCCGGATATTTGTGTCAAATGCGAGGAGAACGGAGTCATTGGAGAGTTTCTGAACCAAGATCCGAGTCGCAAGCTCGAAATACTGCGAGACTGGAAGAAGCAGAACAAATTGGACCACGAATCAAAGTCGACTTTGGGAGCATCGGCAGAGAAACCTTCAGCTACGGCGACCGACAGTGACAGTAACGATGATGTTGACAAGCTGGAAACGCTCGAGGTCCTTACCGTGGCCGACATTACAAGCTCTTTGACGACGGAGACCGAGAGTGAGAGGTTGCCCAGTTCCACGTCTCCGGAAACAGTGGCATCGAGCGTCACATCAGTTGGAGGCTCATCAGATCTCAAAGCGATCAAAACTCGAGTGACCGCGTTGAGGGATTGCACAGAAAGGCTGTTGTCCAAGATTCGCGCGCAGAAATCAGTCCAATAGGCAGGGCACAACGCCTGTAACAATGAACTGGAACGTGTTGAATCTGGTGGATAGATTTACGCTTTTGATCATTACGCGTCGCGTGCCGATGGCGATGCGTGTGGGTTTGGAATATCGGCACGGTGGCACCAACCGGACCCAATTTTAGGCTTCCCGCATATAAGTGTCCAGTGAAAGCCTGTCGCTTGAACTAAGCTTCGGGATTCAAGGATTGGCTTCTTCTCGCCCGTGTTTGGTGCCTGGGCAAAACTGGGCAGATGCTTGCCCTCATAGCGTCATCGAAGAAACAGGGAATTGAAGCCTTGTCACCTGCTCTTCTCCACCATCGACAGCAGATGCCAACGTATAGCTTCTTCTGGCTGCTTCTATAGCTTTTGTATCTTCATCTTGAATTCACGTTGCTGAAGCCTCTTATTGAGCGTACATCAAACTACGCTTGCAATTGCGAGTCTTGACTTCCCCGCGAATTGCCGTTGCCGTCGCACATCTTCAGGGTCCGTTAATGCTGCTTCGTTGCAGCGTCACAAGCCATGGTTGGAAAACGAACTTTCAACAGAGCTGGCAGTGAGCCTGAGGATGATCGAATGCGGAACAATGACCTGGAAGCCGGTGCCCACAAAAAGAAACGGTTCGGTGGTTTCAAGGATGCTGTCGAGTATGCCATGGACCGCAGGACGACGGCGGCCTTGAAAGAGCAGCTGAAAGCGGGTGTGCTTCAGGGAAGAGAGTTCGAGAAGTCAAGAAAGAGTGATGAAGAGGTAATGTCCACCACAAAGCTCAGACACAGCAGCTGACGCATCTGTGCCAGTTGAAAGGCATCAAGGACAAAAAAGTGCGCAAGTTCTACGAGAAACAAAATGCCTCCTTGGACGACTGGGCCGAGGTTGACACCATAGTCCTCGCCATGGCCGACGATGTCATGGAGAGCATGAACCTCGACGCCGACCACGATGGGGTCAGGGAAAGAGAAGGCCGACTGCAAAACGTGGAGGAACGTATCGAAGACATGTTACCAGACGACGTGCAGCAGAAAAGAGCCAAGGCAGCACGGAATGCGCGGTGGTGGATCAATATCAATGTCATCGCAAACATAGCCCTCCTCATCGCAAAGGGAATCGCGGCGCTCAAGTCAAACTCCCTTTCCTTGATCGCATCGCTCCTGGACTCGGCATTGGATCTTTTGTGCACAGTCATAGTGTGGTCGACCAATCGACTGGTCTCCTGGAGATTGTCGTCCCTGGCAAAGAAATTCCCGGTCGGTCGTCGACGCCTCGAACCCATTGGCATTCTGGTCTTCTCCATCATCATGGTTATTTCATTTCTTCAAATCCTGCAGGAGTCCATTCAGAGACTGCTCCCCAGCGGAGATCATTCGATTGCCACCCTGCCGGCAGTTGCAATCGGAGCAATGGCCGCCACTGTGGGTGTGAAGGGCCTGATTGGACTTGGTTGTTTCCGCATCAAAACAACTCAGGTGCAGGCCTTGGCTCAAGACTGCAAGACAGACGTGTACTTCAACACACTTTCATTGCTCTTTCCTCTCATCGGCAAGCAGGCGGGCGTTTGGTGGCTGGATCCGCTAGGTGCCGCCCTGCTGTCCCTGTACATTATTTACGACTGGGCTGACACTTGCGTCGAAAACATGACTCGGCTCTGTGGATTGACAGTCGACGAGCATCTGCTGAACAAACTCACCTTTCTCGCATATCGTTTCAGCAACTTGGTCGCTGGCTTCAAATCGGTGACCGCATACCATGCGGGCGACGGTGTTTGGGTCGAGTATGATATCTTATTGGATGAGTCAACGCCGCTGCGTCGTACCCACGACATTGCGGAGACGTTGCAGTATTGCTGTGAGGCTTTGACTGAGGTCGACCGTGCCTTTGTAACAACAGACTGTAAGTGCCCGAATGAAGACGTGTGTGAATTAATTGCTGACAACTATATAGACTCTGTGCAGAACCCGGGTGGTCATACGCGAGACGGGATGTAAGATGAAGCATGTATGAAGTAATGAGTTAGAGAATTTTGTTCAGGCAGGCCCAAGGGCAAAAGTGTTCATAGCGACGGCGCCTTCCTGGTGGCCCATGTTTCTGATATAGCGAGCATTTCAAGGTTCCGACCGATGCTCAGATTTCCTAATCACATCGTTTGTAATCTTGAATGAACATCGTACACCGAAGCTTGTTCATGATCGTAGAACGATGGGGATTGTGCTGAGTACGAGCATGAGATCCTGCACAAAACCCAAAGGTGAGAAATTGACTTCAATCCGGCCCCAGTTGGTTCCCCCGCAAAAAGTCCCTTGCATGATTTTTAGTGCCTGGACTGGCACTCGGTGATGCATTCACTGCCTGCAACCACTCAGGACTTTTGCCACCATCTTCCCTTCCGCCATTCATCGACACAAACACCTGCACTTGTCAATCTTTTCGTGCCGCAATCGGCTTCCCTCTGACTACTCCCAGGGAGCACCTCTTCTGGAGCGACCAAACCCAGAATGCCTTCTACCGTGTCCCGCATTTCGCACGGTGGCGCAATCACCAAAACCACGAGACCGCCCTCGAAGACAAAGTCCATATCCAAGAAGCAGTCGTCACTCCACAAGCCTGATGGAGCGCGTATGCTAGAAGAGCTAGGCCACGATGCAGAGTATACACACAAACCCGTGGGGCAAGGACGAGCAACACCTTCCAAAGGCAAATCCATGAATAAAACATCTCCTACAGGCGCAAAGTCCAAGTCAACCACTTCGCCCAAATCCACCGCGAAGAGTCCCAAGCAACAACCCGAAGAGAAGCGCCTGCGGAGGTTTCGGAGCAAGCCTCCAGCCTCATTCCAGGTCAAGCTCTCACGAGCAAGGACGCAGCGCATGATAGTCCTAGGTCGCAGACAGGATACCATCGACGGCGCTCCAGCCGAGCATATCGACATTGTAGGCTCGACGGGCAATGTCTACGAAGTCACAATCAGCCACATGCCAGCCTGTACATGTCCCGACTCAACGAAGGGCAACGAATGCAAACACAAAGTCTACGCCATGAACACCGTCCTCAAAGCGCCCGAAGACCTGCAATACCAACTCGCCCTACTGACCTCGGAGCTCGAGGACATATTCGCCCACGCGCCACCCATCCCGACCGACGTTGTCGACGGTGAAGATGAGGAGTCGCACGACGGCAAGCGCAAGTCCACCGACGGAGAGTGTCCGATCTGCTACATGGACCTAGATCCCGAGCACAACAAACTCGTCTGGTGCAAGGCTCAGTGCGGCCACAATCTGCACAAGTCGTGTTTCGACCAGTGGGCTGCCAGCCAGGCCGGAAAGGAAGTGCGTTGCGTCTATTGCCGCTCAACATGGGAGATGGACGTGGGCGACGCCAATGCTATCAAAAGTGCTGGCGAACACACTGCGGATGGGTATGTCAATGTGGCCGACCACTTTGGCATGTCCAGAGCCAGGGACTACTCCGGATACCATCAGCCATGGGTACGCAGGCAGATCGGCCTAGGCTGGTGAATGACGGAATATGACTTGAGGACGGTGCGGTGCATAAAGAAGCAGTTGAATGAGTAATGATTCTGAGATGTCAAGTGTGGTGCCAATCTCATTGACGTGCAGGACGGGATTGTGGTGCGCACCAGATTCGTGTGTGCATCAACAACGCGGCTGTGTCTTGCTTGTAGATTAATGATACCCCGAATCACGAATCAACAGCGTCGCGTCGACTAATGTGAGCCTTTGCTGCGTGTTTCTTCAATTCCTACCTGAGCAGCAATCACTAGTTGCCAACCTTTGTGCATTCCGAGGCATTCATTTCGAATTACTTCGTAGCAGTGCTGGCAAAGATTGTCTTCTTAAATCACTCATGAGCAAGAACTACGAGAGACCTCTTCTCCTAATGCCCCGTATGTTAGGTAGTACACACTTACAAGCCTCAATCATATACAACCCATCAGACAGCCAGGAACTGTTCTCCCGGAGAGCGTAAAGACCAATGTTTGCGTTCGGCGCCCACAATCAAACACAAGAACGCATTTGCCTCCGCCACAGATACCTTTGTAAAGAGTACTCCAAGCTGTATGCCACAGCATTAAAGAATGAGATATGGCCCCCCTGACACCCACTTCAGCTACCAGCCACTATACAAGCCGCTGTTGGCATGACCAACAAATCGACTGTCATATATCCGTGCACATGCATAGGATACCGCTGCAATGGCAAAATCTCCTCCCATAAACAAATGCTCAACGTGGAGCGAAAGGTGTACCAATTGCTCACGAAACACCGGTCGCTCCAAAACAAAATAGAAAACTGCCCCAAGGGTATCATGGTCGATCGTAGCCTTCATATAACGCTGTTAATGTACAAAAGAGTTCAACAAAAGATTATATCGTAGAGTTGTCGTCGCCTGCGTAGCATGTGTGGTCCAGCTACCTGACCGATTGCGCAACTCAGCTGGAAACTGGAACAGGCTTATCCTTCTGCAGCAGGTGAGTCCAGTTGAGAAAATCAAATTTGTCTTTGTCTTTGCCAGAGTGTGTTGAATCTGGATTTGGGCTCTTGTTTGGCCCCTTGGGCTCCAGTACGAGGGAGCGTCGATAGTGCAATTGGAAGCTCTTATCACCGGCCGACCGGACGCGTATCAATTGGTCTTGCATCCATGTTTGCAGTTCCGAGATCTCGGTAAATCGGTAAGGAATCTGGAACCGCTGGAGGTCGGAAATGATTTTTGCCGTACTCATGTGTTTGTCCAGGTTGATGACCGATATCTTGCCTTGATCAGTGGCGAGATCTCGCGTCGCAGGATATGCAGAGTCGACCATGGTGAGATCAGTCAAGTACACTCCGATAAAAGGTAGACATGGTGGAAGATGTGACTGGACGCGCTGACGTAGAACAGAATAGTTCTTTGACACATCCACGACCTTGCACAACTCGTCAAACATGCTCTTGGTCTTCTGTGGTACAGCCTCCCAAGTCTTCCTCATGCGCTTAATATTGGTTGAATCCAGGGCGCAGACAATTGCCATTACTGTATCGTAGTTGTGCATTTCGAAACATTTATCGGCGATTTTGATCCATTGTTTGAGGATGGCAGCTCGCTTTTTAGGTTCTTCCAATTGGAGAACCGAATCTGAGACGAGGTTTGAGATATCCGTGGACAGAGTAGACATGGCTCGGACGTTGACAGCAAGAGAACTGCTACGTTTCGTCCATTCCGTTGCAAGGAGCTCCTCGGGCATGATGGAACAAAAGAGCTTTGAGGTTTTTAGCGTAATTTGACGAGCAAGCTCAAGCGGATCGAAGTCGAGAATGCTGACACCAGCGCCGCCCATTTTCCATGCCCTCAACGCAGTGAGTTGGCTCTTTGATATGACCGGCGTCGGCATGGGTGCACCCGGATCGACGTAGGCTGCAGAAGACGTGTTTGTCTTTCCAATCACAGAAATCACTCTGGGTACCAGAGGTCGATTGGTTGACGAGACATGGTCGGCCAGCTCAAGGATCCGCTTGCCTGCACTGGGAAGAACCGGCGCCAGAGACTCTCTTGCAAATCCTACAATAACCGGGAGAGCTGTGTCATCACAGTCGTGTCTCCAATGCGACTCCATCCAGCCCTTGAGAACATTATAAACTCTGAGCCGTACAGGATTTGCGATCCTCGAGTTGTCGGCAACATAGTAGAATCGAAATGCAAGTGCCTTTGCAAAGTCTTCCGGTGTAGCAAACAAGCGGAAAGTCAGATAAATCGTGCTAATGAAAGAAATCTCGGGTGTAGAGTCATGGGCTGTCAAGCGCTCCACCAAAGCGTTCAGCGTACCGCCGACAATCATGCCCTCTCGATTAATAACAAGCTCCTGGGCGAAAGTGTGAATCAGAATCTCAGCTTCGCCATCATCGTCGTCCCCATGACGCCGCAGCTCGTCGTCGACCAGTGAGGGCGATGAGGACTCCGTAAAGTAGTCATGGGCGCCACCATGGAAGGAGGTGACTCGGGTAGATGCTGTGGACACATTGCTCGGAACAGAATGTCGACGGCTTGAGTCGGCGCTGCTGTCGCTTCTGGTGGTTGTCACGGCCAGTACCGTCGCCAATGGCTGCCTTTTGAGGCCTCCCGAGAACATATTGAGCTCTGGTGAAGCAGTAGTGTTCCTTGAATGCAGCACGGGTGGCGGTGGCAGAGGTACTGTGCGAGTGAACCTCGTCGCCACTTCGTCCCTTGGTGTGATGGGACCGCTACCAAAGTCAGATATTGGCGATTCAGTCGTGTTCACGGAAAGCGGAGGGGTCAGGTTGCCGCCGAGAACAGATCTTCCAGGTCGTCCATCTGGCAAGTGCGATTCTGCCCTTCTCGTGGAGGCCAGCAGCGTGGACCGGAGGATGGTGTCCGATTGACGATCATGGCTAGTAAGTTCTGGCGTGTTCGACCCATTTGATGCCCTGTTTGCAAACTGGCTCAGACTTTCCACTTCGAAGTCGCCAATCTCTTCCAAGGTCGTCTTCGTTCTCGCGACACATCGTCCTGCAGCACTTACACAGGCAGTGGCAGCTTGCACGAGGTTATGAGCCTCCTCAGGCAGGTAAATCAAGTCGTCTTCCATAGAATGGACAGGCTTGAAAACTTGTCGTGCAGCATGAACCAATTCGGTGATGGCGTAATACATGGCGTCCTTGGCCTGAATCAAGGGTCGCGAAGTGCTATAATCTCGCTCGATGACTGTCTCCACAATGGTGAAGAGTTGACGACACGATCGGACAGCATTCTGCGTGGTCAGGAGAAGTTCCGACGAGGACCTTGACTGCATGTGCGACCCCAGAAAAGAGGCCAACACGGTGAGGAAGTCGTCGTAGGCCTTATGCAAAAGCTGTGAAATCAGATTCAGATTCATCGGGTCCACTCCTCGACCGTAAGACATTCGATGTGTGGTAGACGACTGCCGGCGTAGAGGGGAGATCCGCGCTGGCATGTTGCGGCTGGTACGCTGGGAGATGAGCGTATATGGTGATGGCTTGGTTTCCACGGATGCTGGATTGCGCAGAATGGACTGGGTATGATTGGACAGGTTGGGGGACAGGGGCGACAACGGTTCGGTCAATCCCTCAGGAGGCACTGTCGGGCTCAGAGCTGCCGTGGTCTCGGCGGTCCAAATGTCGAAGAAAGAGACAGCGTGCGTGACGATCCGAAAGGCCTGAAGGAGCATGTCATCGAGTCTGGTGCCGAGGTCCGTATTGGGAGTGACGGGTGTTACAATCTGCTGTAGCTGTTTGGCGGTGCGAACAAGCAATGCTAGGTCTGATAGCAGGCTCTTCCGAGAACTACGGACGGCTTCATGCTCTTTGACCAAGGCCGAGTCCCGTGTCAGGCAGTCGGATCTTTCCAGCAAGGCACGAACTCCGGCGACCAAGCCTCTCATGTAATCCTGGTTGCGGAAAAGGCTTGCACTGGAGTCTGTGCCGGCTTTCACGATATCCCAAAACTCGGTCAAGGCCTTCAGCAGAGGTCGCATGGCAGCATAGTCGTACGCTTCGCAGTAGTTGGTGGGCAGCCAACCTCGAGCGCCTGTCTCCAAGACCGTCCCGTCGGCCCAGCCATTGACATGGACCGAATGGACCAAGATAATGTCTCCGGCATTGAGAGGAAGCGTGACGGTTGTAGAGGAGTGGGGAGAAGAGGGTTGAAAAGGATACAGGGCTCGCAGGTAATTGTGGAATCGTGCATGATCCAGGACTAATTCGTCGAGATGTTCCGAGTCCAAGATGGTCGTTGGGCTCGCATTGTTGGGCCCATACCCAGGACCATGGTCGTGGTTATTGTCAGGACCACCATTCTTTTGAATCCGCAAGGGCGCAATGAAGATGCTCGAAGGCTGATTTCCGCGCATGTTGCTGAGATTGTGTATCACTCATCCCGTACATTCTTGAAGCTCTTGCGCCTGTGGTGTGCTCGTTTCCATGTCCGCGTTATGCCCGGACCAGACGTATCGTATCGAAAGGGCTGATCGCAACCGCGAACTCGAGAGGGTGGGGTGATTGAACGGCGACTCGCAGCAGAGGTGATACAACAGCAGACTTGTACACAGTGATGTTATGTGTCCAAAATACCAAGGGGGGTTTATGGATGCGCGCCACGGCGGCGGAGCGAAGGGTGGCTGTCGTTTGACGCAAGGATCAGGAGGAGGTTGCGGCTCGCGTCACATCACAGTACGTCGGGGCGGACTGGTCCAAGGAGAGCAAGACAATCAAACAGCAAGGAGCAATGAGCTTTTTTGACAAGAACAACAATACAATACTGTGTGCAAGTGCGAAGGTGGATATTCAGAACATAAGACACAAATTGTGCGAGGAAGGTGATGAATGCTATTCCTCTTCTATCGTATATTTACTCGTTAATGAGGTCAACTTCCATTTCTCCTCCGAACACGAAAACTCTCTGCAGCCACTCACCTACAGTAGCGACTACTGTGTAAGGTAACAGCTAACCTGTCGCCCAATTTCACCAAAAGTGCTTGAAAATGACTGTTTGACTGCTGAGTACTGTAAGTACAGGGGTCCCCCATTTGCCCCAGAAGAGTCCAGGCCTTACTAGCCTCTTTAGTCAGTCTTTAGCATACACCTGGTACAAGAGTAGTGCAGTTAGGCGCCTTCCTAGGCTGTTAGGTAAGAATGCAGCTTTTCGGCGTTGCTGGAGATGCTCGCCAAAAGAACAAGCCGAATATTTAGGTACCACTGTGGTACCATCTAGCAAACTGTTATCGATCGCTTTTTCCACTCCTTGCCTTGCATTTCTCAAGACTGATGATTCTACCACACGATCGTGAAGAACCGACTCTCAAAATTGACACGCTGAAATTGCTTTCTCGTCATACAAGAGGCGTAACATCTGTGAAACATGCCAGTCGCAACCTGGGACGAAACATGCAACTCGGTCAGAACAACTCCTTTTCAGCCGCACGAAGCATGGCAACATGAATTGGGGCTACTGCTACTCGACAAGAGGGAAGTCACAGCATTCCTTACGTGACATTCTTCATAAGCTTGTGGACTATACATCCACAATGTCTCTACCAGTCCTTGAGCTTTCCCAGAGCGGCCTCCATCGTCTGCGTGGGTTTCATGTCCTACCGAACAATGGCAAAGGGTTCCACCGTACAATCGACCTCGATATTCACTCCCGGATAGATGACTGCTCCACGACCGATGGTCACATTGGCGCCAATCGTCACCCGCTTTGCCACCATGGCGGCATCGACGCCTTTGCGCTCATGCATATCCCGGCTCGCTCCACTGGTGAAAATGGTCACACCGGGCCCAATGTGCGTTCTAGCCCCAATCTCCACTCCACCGGCGTCGTCAATCGTGCAGTCCTCCCCAATATAGACACTGTCCATGATGAAGATGTTGTACCCATATGTGCACTTGAACGGCGGCTCGATCATGACACCGACGCCGAGCAAGCCCCTTGGCGGTGCCGACCCTAGTGGTTTGTGAACAGTGTCTTTGCTGGGATCAAACACCATCCACAACACATCCCGGATTTGCTCCTGACTGAGCGCGCAGTCAAGCTTGCAGAGATCGTTATAGCGCGCGACGGCTCGCTTGCAGCGATTCCTTTCATGCCGAAGAGTCACGTTATGATGGTCGTATGTCACTCCCCTCATCATCTTCGATCGTTCTATATCTTCTTGGTAGAAGGTCTTGGTGCCGGTCGTCATCCTTGAGGATTCGGGAAAGCTAGACATGCCTTCTGTAAATTTCACTGGAGACAGTGCTCCAGCTTGTGCTTGAACGGCAACAGAGCGATCCTCGCGGTGCTGTGGTGTAGCCCAAGGCGCTGGCATTGGTGTCTGAGCAGGGCCAGACGTGGGGGTAAAAGGTGAGGGAGTATAGATAAGACTGGACGTCGAAGGCGTACGAAAAACGTTGGCTGGCTTGATGGGGTGCGTGAAACTCGGAGTCGTGGGAGTACGATGAGGATAAGGAGGAGACATTTGTACATTTGCAGGCGGCTGTGGTTGAGTTTGCTGTGACTGATCAGAGAGCACAGAGGTAGCCGTGCTTTGCGGTCCTTGCCTCGCAGTAAATCCGCTCGTAGGAGGCCGCTCTTGAGGATTGAGCTCAGGAAGGCGAGGGAGCTGCTCCGGTGTATATGATGGTGAGGTTTGTTGTGGCGGCCATGATTGCTGGCCTGCAGGCAAAGGTCGGCCACCTGGTTTTCTCCGAAAGGTATCCACTGCATGATGTGGTTGAGTGGGCATCTGGTCCTGTGCAAGACGTGCTGGTTGGCGTGCAGCTTCATTCCCAGGATCGTTGGACAGGTTCTGTGGCGGATGAGGGTGAATCGGATGAGTGTGATTCGGATGACCTGCGTCGCTACCCCGTGTCCAGACTGCATGTGGTGAGGTGTCTGGCTGATTGGGTGTTTCTTGCTGCTGTTTTTGTTGATGTAAGTCAACCTGATGATCGACCAGAAGGCCCACGGCCACATGCGTAGGAAACGCACACACCTTGGGAGCATCGCCTCTGACGACATGGTCTGGCCGTTGCTCGAACACTTGATCAGGCCTTCTCTTTGACTGTATAGGCAGACGTTGCTGGCCTTCCCGGGTCTGCGTTGCCCCGGTTGGTGCTTTGGGTGTGGCATAGCCCTTGCATTCAAATCCCCCCTTCATACAATTAAGGCCTGAGCAAGTCGTACAGATTAGCCCTGGCAAAATAATAAGGCCATCTATGGAGGGCATCTTGACTTACAGAACGGACGCCGTTCGTCACACTTCTTTTTCCTTTGCCGGCACGTGATGCAACCTGTCTTCGTTCTATGGCTGAAGTTACGCTTTCTCTTCGGCCCCATTGACACGACCCCTGATAACATCTCTTGAGTATACTGAGGCGATGGTGCGCCATCAGCCGGCTGCCGTTCGTCATACGATCCTGCGGCCTGCCCAACGTGTCCGTTTATTCTGGGTTGAAGTACTTCGATCGTATCTTGTTGTAGTAGGTCAGCCAGCTGACCCTCACGCGGACCTGAACCACCGTCATTGACGTGGCCGTTTGGTCGCGCCAACAGAAGTTGGTCTTGCCACGTATGTCCATCTTGGCCATATCCGTTGACATCTGGGAAGTTACCACGCCCACGGTCGCCTGCGTTTCCGATGACACGGAGTGCGCGGTCGGCCAATTGTGGTAGTCCGCTTGGGCCCAAGGGGTCATGTTCGTATGGGTGCTGATCAATCGTGCCCTTGACTTCTATGGTGCTAGATCGTCTGCGTTTACGGTCACGCATAGTAGGGCTATTCGAAAGCTTGGGGGTAATGTCTGGAGCATAATAAGGCGACTCACTTCCCGATCGTGAGTCATGCCATGAAGACGAGCCTGGACTCGGATCACCACGATCTGCCGCTGTCTCAGGGTCAGATATTCAGACGAAGGAGACTGATGAATCAGGCGTGGCTGCGAATGTTGATGTTGAGAGCCTGGGGGATTGGAGCATTTGTACATACATAGAGGCAACGCAGCGACTGCTGTCATCATTCCCAAGGCACAATGCGCGGCACCTTCACTGAAAGTCCGCTCCAGTCAGTTCTTGCCCAGTATATGTGCTCGTGCGGTGACACTTGGCTGTTCCCTTGACTCCTGATTTCAAGGATGAATGACCAGCTGAGTGTTCACAGCCTGAGACGCCGTGGGCGCTAACAAGGGCACCCTTTCCTCCGAGATGACTGAAGAACAGGAAATGATGCGTAAGGCTAGGCCTTAGGCTTTTGTGACCCACGGTACGTCCAGGAGTTCCGACAGGGCCACAGGAGAGACGACGAATCGCTCTATACCAACAGGCGCTTACTCGCCTTACCCAGTTGGAGACAGGCAAGCGCCGGGTCGGCACAGATGAAGTAGAAGGTGCTAAGCGAAGACTTGGAAGACTGCAGGTGAAACAGAATGACTTCGTCACCACTTTGTCGGGTCGCACAGCATCACCGACCCAGATTGGTGGGTGCGAGCCGTTGACGTTGGAGATGGGTTTCGAGTTTAATCAGTAGCCGCGGGAAGCACAGGCCCAAGCGTGCGGAAGATGCCGCGAAAGTTGATTAGTGTAATGTTGGAGCAAAGCCTGAGGTTCCTGTAACGCAAAAAAGAATAAGACAACACTGCAAGGAAGCTGAAATGGCTGCAATTTCGTAGAATGTAGAGAATTGAGGAGGATTGAAGGTGTTTCCGAAGATGTGACCACTTACCAGACAACAGGAAGGAAAGTTGGAGGAAGACCTGGAGGGGCGGGATGTCGCATGGAAGCCATAAACTGTCAGGTCTCGGGGCGTGGGGAAAATAGGCTTCCCAGAGGGGTTCCAACTTTAGGCGCTGCCGCCCGCTTGCCATCTGCCGCAGCATCATTCTTTGCCTGCAATGCCCATTGGATGAACAACGACCGCCGGCGTCTGCAGGCAAGGAGGGCACCGCTGCACTGCGCGGATAGCGGATACGACACCCTTGTAAGTTCTTTGTAGTGCCCCGTCAAGTGTCCCTTCGGCGGCAAAAAGCCTTCGCGGCGGCCTTAAATTGATCGATGCTGCTTACACCTAAAAGTTGGCATGGCACTTGTCTGTAAAGGTAAACCCAACCTCAGTCGTTCAAACAAAAGCTTACCAACATTTAAGAAGTTGAAGAAGCCACATCATGGAGAAGGATAGAATGGAGCGTACATGTGATCATGCTAGCAAGTGCCTGTCGACGTCCGTAGCGGTTGGGGCCATGCGCATCACTGCCTGTGCACCTCACCAATGCTCCGATCTTGAGCACCTCAGGAAGCCAGGATGCGGGCTGAGACCTAGAAGAAGACGAATCAAGGACCCTGCTGAGATGGGCCATATCCTTGTACGGAGTCCCCTATGATAATCACGACATAGAGCTGGTCGTGACCACAGCTTCATTCCTTGTCATTGATCACTGATTGGATGCGGCAAGTCCAAATCCTGCGCGCGCATCACGTCGCTAAAAGAGAGGAGCAACAATCAACACTCGTCACATGATGGCAGCGAAACAGGAATAGGCAGTTTTCCAGTGGGTGACAACCTGGAACCTGTCCGACGCGCGTAAAGAAACAGGCGCGACAGACGCCAGACGCCGGACGCTTGCCCACCACCGGAACTCAACAAGCCTGATCTATACTACAGTCCGGACTACAACACACAACATAATGGGATTTCTTCATAGAGACTTTCTGAACGGTGTGCATGATTTTACCCACCTTCATTGCATCCGGTATCCAAGGGCCTGTGTACTATCTGGTATTGATCCAAGTTTCCCATGCGGAACGAAATCCAATGTGGCCTCCAATGGTACCATAATCATGTTCACCACCACTGGACGGGCCAAAGTTATCCTGAATATCCTCAATCTGGTCCATCTCACAGATGACTGTCGAGGTAGGACGTCCATGGGCACATTGAAACGGTAGGATACATGTGGACAGCCGCCGCACCAATTCAATGCACTCGTCCAAGGCCAAGTTGTCATTGAACATGATGGCTGTTCGACAAGCGCGCGACTTGACCATCTCCAACAGCAATGTGGGACAACGAGCAATTTCTGAGAGCCAGGAACTCTCTTGCTTGATCTGGTCTTGACTCACTGCTTCCTTGCAGACTGCCCTAGCCCGGCTGAGGTCCGACCAAATCTCGTCGCGTAGTAGATCAATCAGAAGTTTTGGGTCTGTCCGGCATCGCTCGACAATGAGAGGTGGCAAAGATGCAATCTCCACGAAAGAAGCTGTACTGCTGGGTCTCGAGTAGGAGCCGGCATCACCGCCAGAGGTGATAGCGTACTTGATGCCCCATCTCTCAAAGTGTTCTCGTCGCATTTCAAACAGAGCGACCTCATTCTCGTCCACCTCGAAAACCATTGATTTCTCAAGGCGGGTCGTGGCTGACTGGCAAATTTCCTCGCACAGTCGTTCGAACCTCACTCGCTCGTCAGCGGCATGCTGATCGATCAGCAGAAGCAAATGGCTTAGTTTTGAATCGCCTGAGGAGCTCACCATGGCAGGGGTGACGGCGAGCAAAAACTTCTGGTCGACCTGCCCGATGATCGTAGCGTCTGCAAGCGCTCCTCTGGTCGGGTTGCGGCTTGTGCTAGCACAGATCTCTAACAGTCCAGGTCCCCAGCCAGTTTTGTTGCTCATAGTTGTGTCAATGGATGTCACTGATGGGATCGAGGTTTCAGACTTCCTGAGAGTCAAGAGGTCCTTGTACTTTCGCAGCTTGAGCGGAGTGCCATGGTTGGAGCCGTCATTGCTCTGAGGCATTAAAGGTCCTGTCTGCTGAAACTTGACGGTATGATAGGCGGCAGAAGGTGGCTTCAGATCTGGCCGTAAGCTGGAAGCATTTTTGATGGGTAGAAGAGCTCCAGTGCGTGGATGGATGTGAAGCGTCCGGCCACCAAGAGGATTCTGCCATTGGACAGCTTCGGCATCCGTGCTGACCTCACATGTTGTCGCGTTGGAAGCCTCTTGCGTTTGTCCTTGTTTGGAAGCGTTGTCTTCCGTGCTCAGAGTGCTTTCGTCAACATCGCAGTTCTCTACCTGAGTATATCCGGCAGCATTGGTCTGTGCCTCAACCTTCGCACTGGGCGTGAGAATCCCTATGCCGTAGGTCATATCACGTCGATCATATGAGCGCCCGCTCTTTACACGAGGCCAATGGATTAGGGAACCGGGCGTTCCTGCAACCCCGGCACGCTCCGCCGCCACTCGCTGATCAGTATTTGTATCCAACAGCCCGTTGCCGGACCCCTTGCTGGCCAACCCTCCATGTCCTCCCTTGCTCATCCTTCCACGCTTGAATCCATTAGCACTCAGAAACTCGTTCAGCAGGGACTGCAGGGCATTTTTAAGATGCTCAAGTCCAAAGTGAGATTCTGGGCATGCCTCCGACCGTCGTAGCAGTTGGGTCTTCTTGTCACTTTTGGTGTCGATGCGAATATGGAACATCGGCCAGCGATCAACACCCTTGCCCGTTTTGACGTCGTATGATGCCGCAAGAGGATGTGCACGACGGCCGGTCGTGGACACGTCGGTGTCTTCGTGACTCGCAGTCATGCCAAAGTTGGAGGCCCGAAACACATCGTTTATGACGTCGAAGAGCCAATTATCTTGTTTGCTGCGCATGAGTGGCAAGTGACCGATCGAAACGAATTGAACAAATCTGGAAGGCGCAGGACTCATCGAAACAGCAGCCTGCATGCAGAATGCGCTGGTTCGGATGGATGCCAGTCTCCAAGACGCTGATCTGGCGTTGGGAAGAAGACCAGCCTGACAGAGGATAGAAACGGTAGACTCGAGGGCAGGACGATCCGAGAATGGTAGAACTGTCCCATCATGAACGTATCTTCGCTGCCCGCATTTCAAAGACACGCGCAACCCTTCCGATGTCTTCCATGCAAATAGATAGCCAACCAGCATCCTTTTGATCCGCTCAAATGTCTTATCCACTTCTGTGAGCGTCGAATAGCGCAGAGACAAATGTTTCGATCGCACTGGAATCTCCCCGAACAGGTTCCGAACATGGACATGTGTGCCACCTCTTCGCAATCCTGTGTCTTCGCCATTCAGCCGCAGCTGGCGGCAAATGGCCCGCCCCTGATGCAGAACGAGTCTGTTACTGTGAGCAGAGCCGCTACGCTTCGAGGTGATCGACAACAAAGACAAGGACGAGAGGCTGGCAAGGAACCGACCCTGAGAGCCATACAAGAGGCATGACGGATTGGACTTGGAAGTACCTGTACGTCTGATCAGCATTGTGCACCATCAATCCGCCGTTTACGAGTAGCTATACAATAGGTTTCGGCCAAATGGCCATTCTCAGAGAACTCAAGGCCGTCAATGCCAGTGCCGTCATCCTCGACGGAGATGTAACCTTTTGCCAGGTCTAGCTCGATGGCGATGGTATGAGCCTCAGCATCCAACGCGTTTCTCACCAGGCCTTCGACAACATCCTCGGACGAGACGATCTCGCAAGCAGACGACAGTGTTGAGCGGACCCCTTCGGATAGAGGGAGGATAGGCGGAGGGTCCGTCATCCTTGGGGAGGACGGTTCGTAGAATAGAGACGAAGTTGCAGGCCCAAGATCAGGGAGGTCGCCATGGGAGCAAGCAAAGAGGAAGGAAGGACCTGCAAAGCATGACCTCCAACACGTATGGACTTTGCGACCGCCTCGCTTCAATTCTCAGGATCAGGTGTATTATTGTCGGCTTGTATGATCAGCATTAATATCCGTATTGTAGGCCGCAAGCCTCTTGGGTACAGTGACTACGGTACTTAAAACAACCTGGAATTTACTGTCTCGTGCCGAGGCTCTCATGCCTGCGCGATGCCATAGGAATGTGCAAACATGCCAAGCTCGGCATCCACTGTTTGTTCCATTTGTTTACTTTTCGCGTCTGCACCGTTTGTGAAGATTGCACCTTATGAAGAACACAGCATAGAATCCAGACAATCCAACTGCATCGCCCAACTTTGTATATCATGGACGTACCAAACATGCCAAAACCGACCAGGCTGGTCCTCGTCTCGGGATGAATATGGCCGAAGCTAGAGTCTTTGGTTCGTTCTAGGGCTCGTTCCGACACTTGAGCATCTCTGCGATCTGACTCCTCCGTCTTCACCTTTGCCCCGCGTCGCCATGGCTATCTCCAAGGTTTCTGAACTGGTGCGCTACTGCCTGTTACGAAGAACTTCTGTTGACGAGTTCGGCACATTAGTGCAGACGTATCAGGCCGAATTCAGCGGCAAGCGACTTTTCGCAGCACTCATTGAATGTCGGTTCTCGTTTTGTGCACCGGGGGATCCTCTCATTTCACTGTATCTGGACCATGTCGGCACTACCGGTGTTGTCAGCATCTCCGATGCACTTGTTGTCATGGTCCGCAGATGGAACAGTGACAAAGGCGCCCAGGCACAGAATGCTTTGCAATTCTACAACCAAACATTGCAAGATATCACGATGGTCACAGTATCTAACAAGTACAAGACCACCCCCTCCGAAGCACGAACATCTATTCTTTTGTCATCAAGATGGCTTGCTACGCTTGCCCGTCAAACATCTCAAGACGTTGAACCAGCCCTTAACATCGAACACTCTCATGTCCTCGAATCTCTTGCCTTTCTGGTCGCGTCGATGGCGGCAACCGATGCTGGACTTGAGGCCCTTTCCTTGAACGCTACCTTGCAAGGTGATACGAGTGAGGTTGCAAGCCAGGACTTGCGGGCTAGTCTCCGGCAGGCTCTGAACCTATGCCTGCCCCTGTACTCAACGCTGTCAACCCATCTTATGGATCGCCTCAATACTGTGCTCAAACATATCAGTCTTTTGGAGCACGGGTCGACCCAGAACGGCGGTTCCTCTGGCCAATCTTCCGAGATCCAGGTGCTACAGTTTCAAGTCTCAATCCCGGACACGCACATGGTTGCAGCTAGAGCAGCTACAATCGCATATCTCGAAGCCATGGTAAGCTGCATCCACGTGCAAGATGACGCTCGGCTAACATAGCAGCTCACAATGGGGTCGACGATTGATGATGGCACCTTGATCAACTACTTGTGCTCTCGTCATCAGGTAGGTGCATTTGCATTCCAGCAAAACGCAAATCATTGACCCAAGCAAGAACGATTATCAAGCCGTCTCCGTCGATCTCCTTATTTCAGCTTTTCAAATCCTCAAGACAAAGTCTGTCTCTCCAAGATCACTACTTTCCTACCAACAATGTCGGACTTTTGTCCAGAACAAGCTTCCCAATATCCTCTCGATGCTGTCGGCCTCGTCGTTCAACAGTTTCGACACCCAGCAGACCATCACCGACGCGTGGACCCAGGTAGTCCCTCAGCTATCTGGCCAGGAGATCATGCTCATAGGGTTCCACTTCCTTCACACCTGCTCTCTCCACCACTTGCTTACGCAACAAGCTGCTATCCAGCTCGTGGGAAATGAAGAGGCTCTATCTGGCATGAGCAAGGGTTTATACACAAAAGATGACTTGGTCTCACAAGTCATGGGAAATCATACCAGGGGACCGAAGCTTGTGGAAGAGCTCGTCCGAAGCGACGGGAGCGCGGGCTTCATCAGTCAAGCCATCGTTGAGGTAAGACTGCTGTGGGTGCTTCAGACATGCACTAAAGGACCTCAGATCATGCACAATTACTGTCAGAATAAAGAAACTCAGTACCTCAAGGATTTGGCGAATGCAATCATCCGAAGACCAGCGGCGATCAACTGCATCTCCTTGTTCATTCGTCCGAGCTACTGGCTGGGTCCCCTGTGCACACTGCTGGATGAGTGGCGATGGGATGAGATTCATGGTGAGCTTACGCCTTTCAGGAATAACATGATGCTGATAACAAGAAGGCGAAGCTCAGCCTGTCTACGACGAGTTCGGCGCGGTCCTTTTGCTCGTGTTGGTGACCAAGGCACGATTGCAACTGCCGCAGTCCGAGCTGGGTATTCGTAAGAAAGATGGGTTTCTCTCCGAATATATGAACAATGGCGATTCGGAGCAAGAGCTGGGCAGCCTTTCCGAAGTGAGAATGGCACACCTCGGAAACTGGATCAATGCCCTTTACCTGGCCGAAGGCTTGAGCGACGAACTTTTCACTAACTGCAGTCCGCATGACTTTTACATTCTCATACCAACTCTTCTTCGACAGTCGATGACTGCTTACCAGCAGGACAAATTGACTCAGGACTCGTTAAAGGCCGGCCTTGACTGTAGGCTCCTGGCACGTAGGTGGCTTTTCTTGAGCTGACATAACACAGATCTCCTGGAGCCTTTTCTACTGCCCTCCTTGGCTTCCGCCCTCAGCTGGATCGCTAATATCCTTCACGATGAGGCACCCGCCGCTGCCGTCATCCTTGATGTAATCATGAAAGCTCCCGGGAATACAGATTCTCGAGATATTCACCGAACCATACTAGCAATGTGCGGACCTCAGCTCCAGAAAATCATAGACTCAATGCAGCCTGAACACGACCAACTCCATGGTGTACAAGCAATTCTCAAACAATCTCCTATTTTCAGCTTTTCTCCTGACCAAGGCGTCGAACACAGTCAGATTGCGTCCGTCTTGCAGGAGGGCATCGTGTCGATGATCACCTCCGCTGGTGCTTCTGTTATGCAAGAGCAGTCGACTTCCTCAGGTATACATTCCATGGTCAATTGTGCAATCAATTCTCTTGGATTACAGAGTGCTTTAAGAGTCTTGCTTGCAGTTTTGCTACAAATGAGCGACAGTCCGGACTTCCTCTTCGCCCTGGACACGGTGTCGACCATCGTTTGCACTGTTGACCGTGGCCTGCGGGAGACTCTGCGCTTGCTGTACACGAATTTGGGGACCCTCCTCAAGAAGGGAGACACGCTTTCTGCGGAGGCAGTGGTCCGCCTCCATCGTCAGGTTGAAGCATATGCAAACCTCCTCACTGTCCAGGAGATGGGCTTGGATGCATTTGCATTCGCTCAGCAGCTTACCAACATCGACACAGCAGATCCCAACCTGGATGCTACTACAGCCGTGTCAGGAGCTATGGACCTGCAAGGGGATCAAGAGCCTGCCGATGGTATCGACCAAGTCCTCGACGAAGTGGCTGCCATGGGCAACCTAGACTCGAACGACGCAGACATGAACTTTGATGCTCTTTACGGTCTGCAGAACACCGACATGGATCTGAACGATTTAGACCTCGATATGTTCTAGTGGAGAGCATTGACAGCATTCGTGGCAGATCAGTAGTTTCCACTGAGCCGGCGTGGTTGGTCTCCCACAGGACTCTTGTCTGGATCCCTGCGGCAACAAGATTTGGAAATCCATCCCAACCCGAAGGGTCTGGCACCCTTCTATGTCCATTGTTCCCTCGCAGATATCGCATCATCGCACGCGGAATTCGGCCCTTATCCGCCGCAAAGCCAGATACATGGCTTCTCGCTGACTAGGTTCAAGATACCTGAGGGTGATCAGGTAGCTCAAGGGTGCTAGAGTCTGCAAAGTTGCAGGCGTATTGATACCGCGATGGATCGTGGAGGCTCCATCGCTAAGGACTGGCGTGGGAACAGACCGCAGTCGCCCACATTCGTCCACATCACCAAATGCATAAGCCAGTACTCCTAGAAAGTCCCGGACATTGTCTTGCAGGACCGCAGTGTGCAGAGACACCAAATCATCTCTTGTTGATGTCTGTTCTACCGTAGCATCAGATGGAGACTGTTTCTCAATTTGGGCCAGGGCGTCAAGCAGCGCAGCATGCAAGCAGATTCTAGCGACATAATATCGGTTCCAGTGAAAGAATCCGTCCCAGCACTTGAAGCAGTGAAGTCGAAATAGGTCGTCGAAAGTCCACGCGGTGTGATATGTATACTGCGTGGGAGAATCCACGACAACCTCTCTGGGTTGCCACTCAGGTATGTCGCACCAGCCATCCAGCTTGTCTTCGAGTCTTGCTCCAGCTTTCAGATACGAGTCGACAAGATCGGATCGGTTGAGGGGCTCATTGTCAGCTATGTCGAGAAAGTTTTTGACCCTCGCACGCAGTTTCGAAACATCATGAAAGAAGCTGCGTAACCTTAAGGAGGCATTCGGGACGGCGCTGGTGGCCTTGGGAATTTGTGCTTCAAGGTTCAGGTACTCTTGCGTCGGTTCCTCACCTGCGAACAGTGGTTTCCAATGCTGCCAATTGTGAGCACAGTTTCATATAACGTTTTGACTTTTGACATACCATGGATGATAGTAGGGTGTGGTAAAGGTGGCGGCCTTCAGGATCGCGGAACTGGGTCTCTCCACGTAGGCGCAGGAGCATCAGGGTGCCGTCAACGTGTGTCTGCCGTGACAGTCCACTCGTACTCGTATGGGTGGCGCCGGCGACGCCAGCAAGAAGCTGCTGAGCTGTTAGATCCATGATGACGCGACATCTCGATGCCTGACCGTACCTCTCTTACACCAAGCAACCATACAGCAACCAAAGTTTCGTCCGTCAACCACTTGTCCGGGTGCGCTAGTGCTGCAGTGACTGCCGACACGGCGTTTGCATATTCGAAGTCGACGACGGAACGCATGTCGACTGTGGGCGACCGGTTGGCAAGATTGATCACGCCGACAGCCCTCATTGCGGCATAGAGATGGGAGTCGGTACCGGCCTTGTGCATGATTTCCGGCAGGAACTGGAATGCAGTATTCCCGTACAAAACGCGTGAGGTGGTGTCGAATTGACCAAGCGAGTACCAGACAGCGTGTTCGGTCACATCGCTTGGGACAACATGCAGGATTCCTGGAGTCTGCGGAGATTGACTGCCTGTCCGGATGTGATTCCTCACTCCAGCACCTGATATCGAACTGTGCGAGCTGATCTGTCCAGCAAGAGCAAGACTTTCTGTGGATGATGCGTTTGGGTTTTCGTTTTCAGGTCGGGGGACAAAGACTGTCTTTCGAATCAGACCATAGCCCGGTGCACGATACCCGGGACATGGCTTCTTGAGCCTCGCACAATTGCAGCAGCCAGGGCGTCCCTCGTCGCACTAAGGGTTGGTCAGCATGTGGGTTCGAGGCATTTAAGATATATCAAGCCAACCTTGACCCTACGCTTCCGACATAGACCACAACCTGTACTCGGCCGCCCAATGTTCCCCATCCAAGGTGCTTTGCTGCGATTGGCGTGTCAAAGGTGTGGTCAAGCGTACTGGTAAATGGTTGGGAAGTGTAAGAAATTGGATCGAATGTCGCGACTGTTTTTACGATGCGAGACGCATACCCGGCTTTACTGAAAGTGCCCTTGCGAAAGATTACTGACGGGTCTCAAGAGGTTCGAACACCTTGGTCACACATATAAATATATTTCTCCTTTGCGGCTGACGCCGTCGCCAAATTTTGAAGACCTTCAGAAGTCGTGCCGCTTCGAATGCTTTCTTGAGCAGGGGTGTGCCGGCATAGCAAAATGTTGCATCACACTTGATCGCTACGCCTGGACGTAAAATTTAGGCAGGTTGGTACTCTGCAGGGCGCCTAGCAAACAAGTGTTCAGTGTACGATTTCCGCGCCGTTGGCGCTCGAACGTTGAGAACCGTTTCCGCGGACCATCACTACGATCGAGGCTACAAAGCTTGTCTCGGAGCCAAGGGGATGAGGTGCAGAGCAATGCACGTCGCATGGCTAGCTAGACATAGTTTAGCAACAACCCCGGGGAAGCAATGCAGTGACCAATCCGAGTGCTCAGGTGCCTGTGGACGTATCGGCTGCCACGTGAAGGACGGGGATAGGCATTGGATAGCCGATGGGAATGGGGCTGCTGTTTGCTTATCAAAGCACCTGAACAAAAGCAAGACATGTCCAGCACAGGAAAGGAAGCTCGCATGAGGATTTACAGGTTGAACAAGGATAATCATTGGCATCATAGTAGCATTCCGTGGTTATTTCAGGTGACGCCGAGACGCCTCCAAATTCACTGCCAGTGCCCCCAAACCGCTGAAGAGGAATCGAGAAATGGGATGTGCAGGAGGACAATGAGGGGGGCGATGTTCTGAGTGCTTTTGCCGTACGGTCCGTGCGCACCTTCCGGATCCTATTCCGTATTTATTATGTGACCCTAGATTGAGGGGGTTTCTCGTAAACAGCCCTGTCGCCTACTGTACCATCTCTCTTCCTCTTCCTCCCAAAGCGGATATTCGGCTACTCTTTTGCCATGGCTCAGCACTCGATTTGGGATCCCTGGACTTCTTTCTCGCCTAACCCTGCCATGTTGGTCGATACAGGCTGACCACGTTGCGCGATCTCGCCTCTGTAGCTGGCAACGTTGAATTCAGCTAAATCATGCCGGTTCTGCTGGGATGAAACCATTTTCTTCCCGTGTTTTGGAGAGACACGTTGCATCACATCGCAACTTCTTTCCTAAACTCAGCGCGCCTACCAAAACCAAAGAGGCCAGTTGATTACATTCAGATTCCATTTTAAGCACATCGCGGTAAGTGGGCAGTGACTTGAGTTTGACACCACTAGTTACTCACGGACCATGCTCGTCCTCTCGCTGCGCCGATTTCAAAAACAAAGACTCCCTTTTCCGTGATGCCCAGCATACTATGGACGGGAGCCCGCGCGTAAGTTCATATTTATGCGACGTGTTTGGTTCTTCGAGGCCATACAAACCATGAGAGGAGGCCAGAATACGAGGATCGCCCTCCGTAAAGATGTTCCAGGCTTTATGTGGCGGCCTGTGCTGCCATCGGCCTGCCCTTGGGGGACGGAGTGCTAGAATGTGTATATTCTATGCCTTCAGGACCAGAAAAAGAACAACTCATATCTTCTTCTGTGATTGAGGGACACCTGAGACTGGCGGTTTCCAATCGTCAATCGAATTCGCACTGCTCGCCAGAATGAAGGACGACTTCGCCAACGCAGCCGTTGCTGGCATCGTCAACAATCTAAATGAGTTTAATATGTCCAGTCTCGCCTGGGGAAATGCCACCTTGATTGTGCCGACAAATACGACGGGCTGCTTGCGACCAGGCGCCATGCCCATTCCCATCTACAATTTCAATTGTGAGTGTTATCTTGCCAGACTGCTGTCCATGACGATTGGCATGCTGCCACTCAAGCCTGTCTCAGCTTCATGCGCTTACGACCACAGGTACTCTTGGCCAGATGCGAAGTGTGTCCGCATTCGAGGAAAACTACTGTGCGCCAAACAATACAAATGTCTGCCTTCCCGGGTTTTACTGCCCAAACTCGAATGCAACAAACCCAGCACAGTATTGCCCTCCGACGGAGGAATGCCTTCTCATCCGTAGCTCCAAAGGAACGTGCGGACCGCAAGGAACGTTTGAGCCCAAAGTCTGTTCTCCCGGCTTTTACTGCCCAAGCCCCGGAAAGACCATCATCGAATGTCCTAAGGGTTTCTATTGTCCTCAAGGAAGTGTACAGCCAATTCGATGTGCCCCGGTCTCGCTATGTCCAACTCGCAGTCGGCGACAAGTCGTCATGCTGCCGGTATACGTGACCGTGGCTCTCGACATCATGCTTATCTTCATCGCAGTTTGGTTTTACTTCTTCTCAAAACGTAAAATCCACAAAAAGCCACAAAAGAAAGTGAAAAAGGAGACACTGCGTATGCCTGACCACGAAGAGAACAATTTACATCCATTCCTCACTAACGAGCCCATTGAAGCTTACGAGCTGACGGAGACGCCTGAGATTCAACGCCTGATGCAATCGTTTCGCGAATGCATCGGAGCCGATAATGTGGGCTTATCTTTCACTTTTGAAGGGCTGTCGTTCGAGCCCGTTCCAGGCAAACAGATTCTCTCAGGCATTTCTGGTGCCATGCAGAGCGGTTCTTTCTGGGCTGTGATGGGTGGCAGTGGCGCCGGAAAGTCAACTTTCCTCAACGTCCTGATGGGCAAGACAAAGCACACCGGAGGCTCGGTTCTCGTAAATGGCCACCACGAGAAGATGAAGAAGTACAAGAAATTGATCGGCTACGTGCCACAGGATGACATTGTCCTACCAGAGTTGACCGTGCGGGAAAACATTCTCCATTCCGCTCGCATTCGTCTTCCTCGCAACTGGACCGACGCGAGAAAACAAGAACATGTCGACACGCTGATTGCATGTCTTGGCCTTTCTCACGTTGCGGACTCACTTGTTGGAGACCCTCGAAAACCTGTCATCTCTGGAGGCCAACGAAAACGTGTCAGCATTGGCCTCGAGTTGGCTGCCGCGCCTATGGCACTTTTCCTAGACGAACCGACCTCGGGACTCGATGCAACTTCTGCCGCGTCTGTCATGGGTCTGTTGAGGTCTATCTCATCTCTCGGTGTCACCACAATCGCCATCATACATCAGCCACGCCAGGAGGTTTTTGAGTCAATTGATAACCTTCTCCTGCTCGGGAACGGACGTGAGCTGTATGCTGGTCCGACCAAGGACGTGTCGGGCTATTTCAACAAGCTCAGTTTCACTTTTCCTCAAAATCGCAACCCGGCAGATGTTGTCATGGACATCATGACAGGCAACGGTCAACAGTATACTAAAGATCTGTCTTGGCGAGAGAACAGCGTGCAAAGCCTGATCGACAAGTGGCAGACGACCGCTGCCAAACAAGAGGTGGACTCTGAAAAGGACATGGGCGACAAAAGTGGGTTTCAAGCCCGAACTGAAGTCCACGCTGTCCCTTCGAGCGCGACCCAACAGGAGGCCATCCGCCGTTCCATTAAGAAGCGAGGGGCTTCATATCCGCTTCAAGTCTGGTTCTGCTTCCAACGGGCAATGCTTCAGCAACTCAGAAATATTAACAGCTTCTTTTTCGAAGTGGGCGTTGGTGCACTTGCGGGTGCAGTGATTGGGATGTCCGCTTTTTCAGCACACGGCCAGCTGTTCAGAGGCATCTATCAATTCCCATTCACAGCTTTATCAAGCGCTGTGGATTATCAGTCCGCGATCCAAATTGGTTTGCTGGGTGGACTAGCTATAGGTGAAAAAGCTTCCGTTTCTTCTGAGCAGTAGTATGCTGACAATTTCCCAGGACTTGCCGCCAGTGCCGCGGGAGTGAAGGTCTTTGGTGACGAGAGTAAGTCTGCCTTCCACTGCACGGGTTTGTGCTTACATTAATGATTTGCAGAACTGACGTACTGGCGCGAAGCCGCTGCTGGCCACAATCGCTACGCGTACTATATCGGCAAGGTCCTCTCAACATTGGTTAGGATGACATTATCCTGTCTTCATTTCAGCGTCTGCCTCGGGGTCCTAGCCACTCCTATGATGTCATTCGGCTCAATCTTTGCTGCGAACCTGCTATATTTCTATTGCATTTACGGCTTCTCGAGCTGCATCAGCATGGTCACGAAACGAGAGGATGGACCTTTGTTGGCGGTGATGGGAAGCTTGATCATAGGCATTCTTGGAGGAGTCGCTCCACCATTGTCCAAGGTCAAACTGTGGCATATGGAGTGGCTCTGGCGGATGTCTCCTGGTGTATGTCGCCTCCTTCGTTGTCCACTATCGCAACTGACCAATGATAGACGTGGTTCACGGAGATATGGTTCACAAAAAATGTGGCACCGTTGAAGTATCTTTATATACTTGATCTCGCATCAGCAGCGACGGGCTTCAAATTTCATCAATCGACTCTGGACATGTGGTAAGTCAATTTGGCAAAAGCTTGAAGTGTATTGGAAAGACTTGCTAAACCCAGTGACAGTATTCTCTTCCTGATTGGAACGATATATCGGCTCATAGCATGTGCCCTCCTGGTGCTTGTCAAACGACATAAGCAGAGGTGACGGTTCTGTCGGCAACGTACAACGATTTCACGATCTTGATAGTCTTCCGCACTTCCACGTTCCTTTGTTCTTCTGCAAGTTCAGACTGTGATCGGCCACGAGGCTTCATCATACGCTCTATACCACATTCGGTCGGAATGCTCTCAGAAGCTGAACTTGGTCCCAACAACTGACGGGGCCAGCCTTCCGGGCATCGTGTTCTCGATCTCGACCTTGGCTCGCCAGCCCGAGCAGTGACCGGGCATTAGTATGTCGGGATTCAGTTCCTTGAGGTCCGCGATTGTTGGTTTCAACCATGCCTCATTCGGGCCGACCAAGTGATAGCCGCCAATAACTGCGTGCAATTTTTCGGTACCAGCAAGTTGCAACGCATGTTTTGCGACATTCACAACTCCGGCATGACTGCAGCCTGTGAAGACAACGACCCCTTTTCCTGGAAGAGTGTGAGAGAAAGACCCTGTGCGGATAAGCGATGGGGTTCACCTTTGATATTGCACATAAGAAAACGCTCGTCCAGGATCAGCTCATCACTCTCCCAAGTACCCGTGCCTTCATCGTATCGCATTCCTCTTTTGAAACCTACTTCATAAGGAGTTACTCGCGGAATCTCGCCCGATACCAGGAACATGTCATCGAGAATCGTGTGCGCCAGATCATTCTTCACAACGGTGGCACCAGCTGCCTCGATCTCGTCGAAAGTGGGATCCCGTTCCAAGGCTACGGGACCAAAAGGCCCCTGGAATCCGCGAGATGCTGGCCGGTTGGGATGGAGATCAACAACAACACCATCTTTGGAAGATCTTGCCTGGTTGATCATAGCCACTGCTTTCAGCATACCTCCAGAGTGGTCTCGATGCCAATGAGACAATTGAACCCACTCAATTGAACCAATGTCAGCTCTCAATCGTTTGGCGTTCAACTCCCAAATGTGCTCCTCAGGCGCCGTGTCGAAAAGGACAGTATGACGATTTTGTCCTTTGATGGCCGTCTAGACAGTTGTTATCTTGAGTTGCTACCCAAGGAGGTTGTACCTACTACCATCAGTGACAAGCCGTGAGCGCCGCAACAAACATTGTCCAGCCTAATCTCGAATTTCGCTGACCCTCTGTCGTTGTCTTGCAGTGGTGCGCGAGGTGCGATGTCGGCTAACTGGCCCGAGACTGTCAATCCTGGAATGTTGTAAGACGAGATGGGGTCGACTTCGTTGTCGACGATGACTAGAACTTCAAGTGCGTCCACTTCAATCAACGAAGCCATGATAGTTTATGCAAGTTAAGTCGCTGTTATCAGAGTCGGACCGGCGCTTTCAATGCTATGATAGCAAGTACCGTCAAGGGAAGAAGTCTTCATAAGTCAAAGGTGATATGGTCTCCGGTACGGCCGTACCTGGCGACCGTGGTCAGCCTAATGCCTCGGCGCCCAGCAAGGCTGTATGTTCATGTGCATGTATGTACTTTTGCGATAAGGTACGAGTAAGACGGAATTTATTCCACTTGGACAGACGATTTAATTTGGCGTTTAAACCTCGGTTGCGGCATCTTCGAAATGACGTACTATACAGTATTCCATTCTACTGTGAACAATATTATGAACGCCGTCTTTGGCGATTGCCGGACATGTATCATGCCTCGTTCCTATGGTTGGTAAAGCTCGCAGCTTTGTCAATTCAGGAAGGGCCATTCTTAAACTTTTGCTAACGCATAGCTGGATTTTCCCATAAATCTGCTCTCGGCTAATGCAAAGAAATGAAGACATTCCGCTGACTATCATACCCTGCAGCCGCACACAAGCTGCACAACCGGGTATCCCGACGCAATGATCAAGACCAAGGAGCACTTGTGAAAGTCGAAATTCGATTGCGGCCCCTCTGTTCAATGGCGGAGCTCATCCATATCCGATCTTTAATCCTTGCCGGTGGACAGTCATCGCGCATGGGCTCACCGAAGTGCCTCCTTCCCTTCCCACGACCTTCCGGCGATATTCCACTGATCCTTCAGACCTTGCTGCTACACCTTGAAGCCGCACATACCAACAGAAAGCCCCGGACAAGTGCAATAATGATTTCTGTCAGGAATGAGGCACAAAAGAAGGAAATCGAGGATGCACTGAAGCCACATCTGGACGACCACCCCGTTCAAGTCGAATTCGTCTTGGATATGCAGGCCGATTGTGGGCCGGTCATGGGCCTGGTGGCGGCGCACAAAGTTGATGAGCAGGCACACTGGATGGTCACTGGTTGCGACTATCCATTGCTCGAGACCGCTTCGCTCTTGCAATTATCCGCCGAACACAGCAGTGCTCAAAATGCCATTACCTGCTTCCGCAATCATGATGGCTGGACAGAGCCGTTGCTGGCAATCTGGTCCCCATACGCACTGGAAAGATTACTACGAATGTCCAGCTCGAATCCTCATATTGGCCCCAGTCGCGTGATACGAGCATTTGTGGACGAGGAGAGGGGCCTTACAGGGCAGCCTGCATTCTCCAATGGAGTTGGAATGGTCAGTCCGCAGGACGAGCTGTGGATTAAGAGCGTTGATACACCAGCAGAGTGGGACGCAGCAAGGAAGAAGATCTACGCCGAAGCGGCTGCGCATGGAACTTGATGTGTACTGGAGAAGGTCCTGTCCCCGTGGCGGCCTCCAAGCTCCGGCGTCATGAACATGCTGGGTGTACAAATGGATGAACAGTCACTCTGTCACCCTCCACAACCGCGTTCACACCTTCTGGGACCTCGACCCAACAATTCGCGCCTATCAGATTGCCCACTTTGTATGACGACTGATCTTCCAATACTTCGACGCAGTCTGCCTGAGCCTGTTCCTTTCCATGACAGCACAGCTTCCCAAGCCAGAAGGCACACAGATGCTCGGGCTTTCTCCTGCTTCGGCCTTGATTGTCACAGCACTGTTCACCATTTGCAAGCCCGCTCGACATGGTGCGACCCGGCCCAAAGAAAGCACTGCAACGACTGGGACTGATAGGTACCGCTGTACCATGGAGACTCGCGAGATATGGCACCACAAAAAACCGGAGTGCCATGGCTGCAGCGAGAGGGTTTCCAGGCAGCCCGAACAATGCGGTACGATTGCGTCTCTGAGTGGCCGCGTCGATGCTGCCCATGTCAAGCCAAGCAAAGAATACTGGTAGGCCAGGTCGAACTTTGACTCCATGGAACACGACGGCACCACCCAAGCGCTTCTCCACAACAGGTCTGACAAAGTCGAATTTTCCCATCGACACTCCTCCAGTCGTTATCAGAACGTCGACACATCGCTCTTGAACGGCCGTTCGGATGCTTTGTTCCAATGCCCACTCCGTGTCCTCGACAACTCCTAGATGCTCCACTGAGTAGCAAGGGCCCATTTCACGTAATGCAGAACAAATGTACGGACCATTGGAGTCTGGCAGAGTTCCTTCGAGGACTTCCAAACCAGCGCTCTCTGGTGCCGACCTGAGGTCGACCAATTCAGAACCCGTCGAAAGAACCCCGATCTTCCAAGTTTCTTGCAGGGCGTGGAGGTCCAGATCTGACGCGACCACATCCAGCTCTGTGGCCACTTCTATGCGACCAAGGCCAAGACTGGCAAGTGCCATGATATGCTTTGATTCAATTCTCTCACCTGCATTGACTATGAGGTCTCCCTCCGCAATATCACTGCCTGCGTACCTCCTGTTCTGACCCGCCCGGACCGGCGCGCATATAGCAATATACGACGTTTCCGGTCCCAGCCCGTCCTCTACTATAACAACATCTTCCACCTTGATCACAGCATCAAGCTCTGGGTATGTTCTTTCAGGGAATTTCGCGCCGGTCATGATTTCCACACATGTCACTGGGATCTCGGTGCCATCGTTGGTCCAGTCTTTTGCGCGACGGTCCAAGTCTCGTTCCGGCTCGGCTTTGTCTCCTGCGGCTACGACACCAACGACTCGCAACGTCCCAGGATGCTCAGGAGATGCACCAACGGTAGATGCCGAGCAGACCGCGAAGCCATCCATGGCGGATGTGTCGTTGATCGGTGTCGAATGAGATGCTTTGATGCTATGTGCAGCAGGCTTTCCAAGAGCGTCCATTAGCGCTACCGTTTGCACAGACCCGGTATATTGCCCAGCCGTTGCTCGCCTTCTCGGATGAAGTTCTCCAGCATCGTGACCATTGTGAACCACCTGTTCTCGCAAAGTCGGGTCATTGGATGATACACCACAGCGATGTTGCTCGGCAATGATCGTCTCTCGCCTGATTGCGTCGCAGTACGAGATAGGTGCATCATGGGATCCAGATCTCTGAGTAAGTTTTGTCGCAACCTTCCCACACCCATTCTTGCCCACAAGAGGTCTTTCCATCTCTCGATGCATGGTTGGTCGTGGTACCCATTCATGTGCCGCGCACGAAATGATGAGATACACCTCGCGCCTCTGTCCTCACTCACACATTTTCCAAGAGAACACACCAGGCTTCAATTCAACGTTGCCGGGAGCCGACAACTAACCCGGAAAGCGAATCTCCGGTGCCGCAAAGTTCAAGTGGCAGCGCGCATCTTGTACCTTGTTGCGTTCTATCATGCAAGGCAGGCGCAAAAGTTCTCCTGGTTGTCACCAATTGCGCATCTGTGCCGTAGAAATGCTGCTGGCCTGTCACCTCTGACTTCCCCACATCTATGGAGTTAAGCATTTGCTGAGCGCATCTTGACATCACGCTTGGAATACTGCGATGTCAATCAGAACTTTCCTCTTTCTGACCAAATTCCTTAATTTGTCACCAGAATGCTGAAAGCGTCCAGCCGGGCCGTAAACGGTTGTCAATCATCAAGTAAGTATTGGCTGCATCAGAAGTCCGTTCCAGGTCCGCTTTCCTACACCGGACACGAGCACCTCTGACGTTGCCGAGCTGGGTTGCCTTGTTCAACGACGTGTACAACTTCTGTCTCATACCTCACACATGTGGACACTCCCATATTCGGCTACGTTGTAAATCATGGCTGTGTCTACACGAAATGCGGTTGAAGATATCTGGGGTGAGCGGAAACCTTACAAACATGTCTGGCCCGATCGAGTGGACCAAGTCACCATCGAGGAGCCAGAGACATGGGTTCAAGCTGCATGTGTGATGTGCAGGTTGTGTTCTTTGACCGTTGCAAGGGAATAATACTGATACTGATTCATAGCAATGGCTGCGGTTGCGATATTGGTGTCAAGGATGGAAAAATTGTCGGTATCCGTGGAAGAGCAACAGACAGGGTGAACAGGGGGCGATTAGGACCCAAGGGTCTTTATGCGTGCGTCTCTGGACGACTTTTGATGTCCTGCTATCTGATGCTATAAAGTTGGAAATCTCTACAGCACCCGGACAGGTTGAAATACCCCATGATACGCCGGAATGGCAAGCTTGAGCGCGCCACTTGGGACGAAGCCATGGACTTGATTGTCGAGCGGACTCGAGATGTCCAACGTCGCTTGACGAATCATGGTATCGGGTTTTACACGACCGGTCAACTGTTTCTCGAGGAGTATTATACTCTGGCGGTTGTTGGGAAAGCAGGCTTGAGTACTTTGCATATGTGAGTCAGGTGCTCTCTGCCACTCACTACAACACCTTACGAAACATGCAGGGACGGTAACACGCGTCTCTGCACAGCGACTGCAGCTGCTTCAATGCGAGAGAGCTTTGGCTCGGATGGTCAACCCGGTTCATACACTGACATTGACTTTACCCATTGCATTCTGATGGTCGGTCACAATATGTCGGCAACTCAAACTGTGCTGTGGTGAGCAAGCAATCCCTTTAGCAGGAGCAGCATCCATATTCTCAGCTGCATCGGACACTCTTCGGGACTGGCGTCCCTTTCCCACTCAATCCATGGTTCTAACAGTGAAGCAGGGCGAGAATATTGGACAGGTTGGAAGGGCCAGAGCCTCCCACACTTATCGTCATTGATCCCAGAAAATCCGACTCCGCGAAAAAGGCAACATTGCATCTTGCGCCCAGAATTGGCACCAACCTGGCTTTGTGGGTGTTCCATGGCTATGAATTCGGGCGACTAACAATTCATTCAGACTCAACGGCATCCAACACGTGCTGTTCGCGAAGAAATACATCAACGAGGAATACGTTTCCAAACATGTGATCCAAAGGGAAGAGTTACGCGACGTCGTGAAAGAATACCCTCCTTCAAAGGTATCACAGATCACCGGTGTGTCTGAAGCAGACATCATCGAGGCGGCGGACATCTTAGGAAACGCCAAGTCGCTCCTGTCAACTGCATTGCAAGGAGTTTATCAGTCCAATCAAGCCACTGCTAGTGCCTGTGCCATCAACAACATCAACCTACTCCTTGGCCACATTGGCAGGCCTGGCAGTGGAATCTACCAAATGAATGGCCAGCCAACAGCCCAAAACAACCGTGAGGCTGGCTGCGACGGCGAATATCCTGGCTTCCGCAATTTCTCTAACCCTGTTCACATGCAGGAATTGGCCGATCTTTGGAACATCGATTACGAACATGTACCGCACTGGAATCAACCCACTCACATTGAGAATATGTTGAAATACATCGCCGCTGGCTCGATTGAGATGTTCTGGATCAATGGGACGAATCCGCTTGTCAGTTTACCTAATCTGCAAATGACCAGAGAACTTTTGACAAAGGAAAGCCTCTTCGTGATCGTCCAGGATATCTTTCCGACCGAGACCACGGCAATTGCGGACGTGGTACTGCCTGCCGCTGCGTGGGGAGAGAAGACTGGATGTTTTACAAATGTCGATCGAACTGTTCACATATCGCACAAGGCAGTGGAACCGCCTGTGAGTAGTTGTGGTTGTTGTAGCGTGCAAGATGACGAGCTGACTCTGCTCAGGGTGAGGCCAAGTCCGACTTCGAGATATTTGCGGACTACGCCAAACGAATGGACTTTAGGGACAAGGACGGTGACCCGCTGATTACCTGGACCTATCCAGAAGAAGCTTTCGAAGCTTGGAAGAAATTATCCAAAGGTCGACCATGCGACTATTCTGGCTTGAGTTATGATAAACTTACTGGCGGGTCGGGGATTCAGTGGCCTTGCACGGAAAGGTATCCTTATGGTAAAGAAAGGCTGTTCGACGATGGGATATTCTTCACCGACGTCGAGTATTGCGAGTCATTCGGACACGACCTCGAAACTGGTGCACCATACACCAAGGTAAGCTCTTCTGAACGAAGACTTCTGGCGTCCGAAGCTTAATCTCGTGATTGTTGGAACAGGACCAGTACAAAGCCATGAATCCGGCAGGCCGAGCCATACTCAAGCCTTGTCATTACCAACCAGAATTCGAAGGTGTCGACCAGGATTATCCACTGCAGCTGTCAACCGGTCGTCGGCCACTTCATTTCCACACTCGAACCAAGACGGGCAGAACGAAAGAGCTTCAGGGAGCCGATCCCGAGCCTTATGTCCAGATCTCTGAGAAGGATGCGAAGAAGTATAAAGTCAAGGAAGGCGACCTTGTGGTCGTGGAATCACGCCGCGGAAAGATTGAAGTGCCAGCCCGGGTGGGCTTGATGGCCGTTGGGCAGGTTTTCATCCCTTTTCACTTTGGTTATTTTGACGACCACACGGGGAGGTCAAGAGCAGCCAACGAATTGACTCGCCGTATGTGCTACATGTTGTTTGTGGTTTGCAAGTGCTGACGTACGCAGAACAATGGGATCCCGTCTCGAAGCAACCGCAATTCAAGTCAGGGGCCGTGCGCATCACGAAGGTTGATCCGTCTGAAAGGGAGAAAGTTCACGCGCCGGAGCTGCAGACAGCCGCAATCGAGGCCAAGGAAGAGGGCAACAAGGCGATTACTCAGCGTGGCGGACCCAAAGGTGAAAACGAGAGAACAGAAAGCTTCCTTCAATACTGGTTGGGGGCAACCTATGCGTCCATGGAGACACTGCGGGACATATGCGATCATCTCATGTCCCGCATAACACACTCGGACTATGAGATCAGCAGCGGCATGAAGATCATGCATCGCATCATCACGTCTTGTCTTGACAGACTTGGTCCGATCACGGTGAAGTATCGTAGCGAGAATGGTTATGGCCGGCAGACTTCGTTGGACTTGCAGAAAAGGCTGTTTCCCGACACAGACGTGGGAAATATTTCAGGATCCAATGCTTACGACATTTTGATGGCTCTGCAGAGCTTCTACCTATTCCTCGGTCATGTCGAAAGTCATATTATCACCATCTCGCCAGCGGCACAGGCCACCTGGGACCGCGAATTCATCGGGGCAACTGATTTCGTCAACACCCAAATCGGCAGGATGTACGGATGGACGAAGCAGCAGCTCGGGTCGAGAGGTCCTCAGACTCTCTTGGTGCCTTGCAAGGAAGCAGCCAAGCTCAAGGATAGAATGAAGGACGAACTGGATACCAAATAAAGAATTGATCTCGGACGGCCATATTGAATATCGCGCTACACATACAAAGCCACAGGAATGATAAAGTCTGCATAAGTATAATTTTCCTTAAATGTCATTCAACATCCAAACAACTAACTGAGGTGAAATTAAGAGTGAAATCGTTACTGTAGCTCGTGGCCAAAGAATGACCTCCCAGTCAGAATCTATGAAGAAAGGGGTGGAGGGGAAGAAGAAAGAAAGTCAGACAACGCCAGAACCACTCCGAGCTCCTGTTTCCGCAGTGCATGACAACGGATGCCGAGTACTTGCATCTCTCTAAAGAGCAAAGGCAAGAGCAGCGATAGCCACAATCGACAACTCGACCTTGGGCAAGGCGGCAGCACCGGTCCACACGGCGGGGGAGACGCTGGTGGAGGATGCGGCGGATGAGGATGAGGTGGCCCATGTGGAGGTGGCATCTGGGGTCTTGGTCGACACGCTGCTGGCGGCGGTGGAAGAACCCCAGTCGTCCCATGTGCCGTCGGTGGCAGTGGATGAGGAGCCGGTGGATGAGGAGCTATCGGAGGAGCTGACGGATGACCAGTCGTCCCAGGTGCCAGTGGAGACGGAGGTGACAGTGACTGGCGTGGTCGTGGCCTTGCTGCTGGTGGAGGCCTTGGTAGTGGTTGAGGCCTTGGAGCTGCTGCTGCCAGTGCTGATGGTGACGGTGCTTCCCCAGTCGTCCCAGGTCTCGGTGATGACCGAGGCGGTGGTGGAGCTTGTCTTCTTGCTCGAGCTGCTGTCAGTGCTGATGGTGACAGTGCTTCCCCAGTCATCCCAGGTCTCGGTGATGACCGAGGGCGTGGTGGTCGCCGGCTTGGTCTTGGTGGAACTGCCGTCCCACTCGTCCCAGGTCACGGTGATGATGGATGGGATGGTGGTCGACGGCTTGGTCTTGGTCGAGCTGCTGTCCCAGTCATCCCAGGTCTCGGTGATCATGGAAGGTGTGGTGGTCGCAGGCGCAGTGGTGCTGCTCGTCCACTCATCCCAGCCTGGCTCGGTGATGGTGATGGCAGTGCTCCATTCCTCCCATGTCTCGGTGACGACGTAAGGAGTGCTGCTAGTCGTGTCGCACGAAGTGGTGGCGGAGGTGGTCCAGTCACCCCAACCATCGGACGAAGTGGTAGCAGCAGTTGTGGTGCTGCTGGTCCAGTCACCCCAGCCGTCGGACGAAGTAGTGGCGGCGGTCGTGGTGGTACTGGAAGTCCAGTCATCCCATTCTCCAGTGCTAGAGGCACTGGTGGTCGCAGTGGTGGTGGGTGTCGTGGTTGCAGACGTGGTGCTGGAGCTGGTCCAGTCTCCCCATGCTCCGGTGGAGGTAGCGCTGGTGGAGATACAGCCAACATCGTAGATGGTGGACAGGTAGCAACCAGCAAGACCGTTGGTCGGGCAGATCTCGGTGACGGATGAAGAGCAAGCTGCGGAGGCAGAGCCAGCCAGAGCGGCGATCACGGGAGTTGAGGACTTCATTGTGAAACGAGTGTGGTGCTGCTGTAAAGAGCGACTATAGTTGGAAAGCGTGGGCGAGTGATGAGAAAAGAAAGCACTGGATGGGGTGGGAAACTGGGATATTTCTACCATCTGGGATGATCGCGAGCATCAGCTTCACCACCAAGCAACAGACCAACCTATGGACCGTGATCATTAGCGTCGTCGTCTCTCGATATCATTTTCGGGCTGACCGTCAGTGATTGGAGCTAGAGCTCCAGAACTCATCTCAACAACAAAGAGCTTCGATCGTGATCACGGACTCTGGAACACGTTCCGAGGGACACGAGCCAGGCTTCCCCGTCGGTGACATGCTAGATTGAGGTCTGAAGAGAATCTGCCATGTCGCTGATTGGAGATTGTACTCAGCTGTTGTGTAGATTGTACCACAACCAGAAATACCCATCATGTTATCTCGCACAATGCCCGATGCGGAAGTCAGTGCTTTTTTGGCGCGTTAACAACAGTTGAAGGTGGATTGTAGCTGTGCTTGAGATGAGAAAGTCGTGTGTTGACTGTCGTTGGAAGACTTTAAACTTGACTGACGTCGATAGAAAGGCCCGTTGCCGTAGCCAGGAAAGGTTTGACATGGAGATGACAGGGATTCTCAGCTTGTGATTCGGGGGTGGTTTGTTTATTCATGGTTCAAGCTCCCGGGCATGGGCCAAATTTGACAGCCGAGGCAGCCCGGACATTGCTTGACTTGCTTGGCTTGCTTTGGGTGACCGCCCACTATAATCTTATTAACCTCCTACACAATTCATTGTATATTGTTGACATTCACTGACACAGTGACACTCTCATGAAGCCTGTCAACTTCTATCATGCTTCTGGTTGCGCACTCTGCTCCAGCATCTTCCGTCCACTCATCAAACCTGAACACGTGGTCCAGTCTCTGCTGCGCCCTTCAGAACAATTCTTGATCATCTGTTAAGCTTCTGCATCTGCCCTGCGTGGCGTCCACCGGCTTTCCCAGTGTCATCAGCAATCAAACCAAATTTCACCATTTCTTGCATCTCCAAGACGTGGCCCTCATTTGATCAGGTCCAGACTGCACTGCTGTTGATTGGATCAATTTCCTTGTACAACCGCCACCGTCCACGCCGGATCTGAATCCAGATGGTCCTGTCCTCGAGGAGCTCCTCCCGGCATGCGTGGATCGCGTCAACGATAGAACCCGTGTGACATGCTAACTCCTGCAGATCCAAAGTACCTACTTGCTCCAGTCCTCGATGCTCGTGCCATTTCGCATGCTGTTAACCCTTGCGAAGCCCATGTCCTTTGTGTTACCTCCATGCCGCCCACGTATCCAAGTCCGAGCCATATCGATGATGGCGTATTCGGAACAACAGTCATATTCCCTGTGTGACCTTTTGCTATCATGGCGACATTGAGCGCGAAGAGCGTGGAATTACAAATAACCCCCAAAAGGAACAGCAGGTACTCGGTTTCAATCTACAGTCAAGACAACGAGAAACGATCCTTTGATGACGGCGCTCCCCTTCGCCATTCGAACCGAATCTCTTTGCGATCGTCCTTTACTTCGATTTCTGAATACAAATCGGATCATGCGCAGTTCTATCGGCCCAACGCGAACAAGACATGGGTTCTGTCCATATTTCTCCTTGCATTCGCCTGCTGCATCCTGTTGCTGGAGCTCGCGATCGCTGCACATCCAGATGCGTCCAGAGTACACGGCGTTGAAAGGAGGGGCCTCGACATACAAGAGATAGGAGTCCTTTGGGAGCGACAGGAGCCAGTGACATCGAGCTCGGTTCAGGACACTTCCGTTGTCTCAACTACTCCCACCACAACCGGCAGCATTTCATCTGGCGAGCAGGGCACTGGACAAACTGCTGCATCGTCATCGCTGACGTCCGCCACTGCTCCGACATCATCAGCTGCTGCGTCGGTCACGGTTGGACAACCGACATCCTCGGCGGAACTGACGCTGACCAGTGAGACATCACCCACGACCAATGCTGGCACTGCCTCGACCGACTCTGTCGTTTCCTCGACGCAGCCTCTTGCGACATCCTCTGCAGTGTTGGCCAGCACGACAGTAGCGCAATCGAGTGCTCATACCACGGCATCCAGCAGTGACGCTACTACACACGCCGACGCCACGACATCGAACACGTTTTCACCAATTTCATCATCTAGCGACCGATCATCGTCGTATGCAGTGGCTATCACATCTGCGTCGGCCTCTGGCTCCGGAACGTCTGGCAGTCAGGCGTCATCTCTATCTGTCTCTCAAAGTCCCACCAGCATAGTCGACAATGCCGCAGTGACATCAGGAGGATTTACGTCCAGCAGTGGGAACGTCCAGGCTACGGCAAACCAGGTCACCAATACTCATTATGTGACAACCTCATTAACGCCTTCACAGTCCGCAGCCGGGGTCATTTCCGTTACGACAACAATTAGCCCTGCGAATCAGGATGGAAACAACAGTACAACCACTTCCACCGTTTCGTCATCCACTACGGAAGCAGAAACTTTCACGCATGCGGACTTCTTCTTCGCCATGTATGTACCCACGTTGCTCGGAGTGTGTCTACAATCAGCCTGGCTCGTGGTCTTTTCAACGTTCAAACTCATGGAGCCTTTCTATCAGCTTGCTCGGCCTGGAGGCGCTACAGCGAGCATGAGCCTGACTGCTGATTATCTTTCACTAGGATTGTCCTTCACGTTTTGGAAGGCTTTACTGAATGGTCATTGGGTGTTGTTTCTTGCCGGACAAGTTCAATTCCTTCTAGGACTGGTGGTGGCTTTGGCAAGCGACGCGATGAATGTCAAAGCTACAGCATATTGCAAAACAGAAGTCTCCGCTCAACAACCATGCAGCCCAGTATGGGTAGTCAACATGTCCGTGGTACGATTCATCGAAGTATGCTTGATTGGTTGTCTCATCATGGTATTTGCCATCATTACACTGAATCACTGCAGAGTCAGTGGAGTCTTCACCGATCCGTCCAGGGTCGCAACGACAGCAGATCTTCTTGTCCACGAACCACTTGTCCAAGACTTACGGAGTCTGCCTTCGGCAGCCAATAAGGCTCAAATTCAGGCAGAACTTGAAGCAAGCCGATACGCCCTAGGTGTCTTCGAGGAGCGGGGGATTCGCAAGTACGGGCTGGTCAGATTGGACGATGCCATGCTACTCTCCAACACCCACAATCCGTCGCACGGCGCTCGGTATGCAAATATTACCAGCTCTGCCAGGACCTTGATCAATGAATTTACAGTCCGGCTCAGAGGCATACCTTTCTTGTCAGACGCTCTTTGCTTGGCTTTCATAATCATCCTTTCCGCGATCATTTTTGGGTATTGGTGCGTCTCGGCGGGCAGCTTCAACGATTGGATGAACAGTGGTCACTTCGGGCCCTGTACGCTCTTGACTATCATCGCTGTGGTTATTCAGTCCTTGATCAAACGCAAAGAGCAGCTACTGCGGATATCTTATCCTTATGCTGTCTTATCACAGAGCCCTGCAAAACCCGCATCGGAAACGATCCTCGCTGGAATTCAAAGAACACCATTTTCCTCGGTATACAAATGTTTTCGCGTCCGAGATCTTTCGTTGGCATCCATGTCTTCGGCAGCGATTATTTCAGACTTGATACTGGTCATGATCCCTGGCATACCGTTTACACAAGCACAGACCACAGATGTGTACAAGGCAAGCACGTGGAGCTGTCTCCTCATGTTGGCCCTGATTCTTGCGACCCAGCTCCGTATGACCTACAAATCTTGGAGGGGAGACGGCAGAATGAATGTTGATGCTCCGGCAACACTTGCAGAAGGATTAAGAAGATTGTGTGGGAGCAGGTTCGTTGCAGAGAATGCTGGGCATTCCCTTTCTCGGACCGTAAAAGAGACGCATGCTCCGGCTGAGGAGAAGCTTGGGTACGACCAGGAGCTGAAACAGCGACTTCAGTACGCTGGAGTCATTGGAGAAAAGAGATACACATTCGACTACATGCAAGGTCTTGATGGCGTGCATAGGTACATGGTCGAGGAGGAAGCCTATATCAGGTAGCTGCCATTGCTCTGCAATGTGTGCTCAGGTGGTCTTATTTGTCCATGCCTGTCGCACAAAGTCCGAGAAATCGTTCAACAATTCGTCAGGCTTTTCAACCGCCGCAAAGTGGCCGCCCTGTCCATCATGTCAGCCTGTGATCGTCGATCATGATGTCTGCCAACATACCTGATCGTGTTGTCGGTAAAAGGTGAGATTGCCAGTGGTTGCTGCCCACGCGCGAGGGATTGGGGCCAGCTCCATTGGGAACCATGAGTACCCGAATGGTTTGCCGTGCGGGATATGCCAGGCAGGGTTTTCATGCGCTCCGATAACGCCTGGGGTGAACAGCTGGAGAAAAGGTCAATTAATCCATTACGCGTTTGCGCAATGAGGCGATTCCGATGACAAGGCCGAAAGGAGCCAGTCCTGCAACGGAACGAAAGATGCTCACCTGTCGATAGGGCCACAATGCCGATGCCGCACAACCGGTCAGCCAATACAGAGTCACTGATTCCAGGATGACATGAAGAGGAGGCTCTTCGTCACTCCAGTCAAGAAATTTTTCCGATATCCTACATTGCGAGCGCAGCATCAGTTCAACGTTCATCCAGTCTAAGGCACCCGGTCAGAACATACCATGCAAGCAAGGCTACAGGATTACTGCTTAGCGCAAAGCCAATCGTACTGGGACGCGTCGCATGCTGCAAGGCATATGAACTGCCAAACGTTTTGAAGTCATTCGCGCGACGCAGGCCCTTCCGTTCAGCAGCAGAGATCGGAATGTTTTCGTCGATGTGGTCGGGTTCCGCCATGATGCAGAAGTTGACTGGGCGCTGGCGTGAGCAACGACCGAAATGACAACTGGCGGTTTGACTCTGACTCACTATGGATTGCTGAGAGATGGTACATTAGTTTCGAAATTCATTCTTTCCCACAATGATGCCGCTCATACCTTTACAGGCGTCATGCTCTGCGGCAATCACGCGAGCCACCTTGCTCCCGACGTCGCCTCCCTGCACGATGTACCCTTCGAATCCAAACCCGAGCGCAATCATCAACTTGTTGAGCAGCCGGGCAGTATCCTCCAAACACATATCTTTGTCGACTGACGCTGCGGTCGAAAATGCATATCCGGGTAGAGAAGGGACAACAACGTGGTAGGGGAACGTGTCAGGGCGGTGCTGTCGCCGCAGTTTGTCCAGTATTGGCAGGAATTCGAGGAAGCTCCCTGCAGACCACGATGCTCAGCCAAAAATCATCCAAGTATGAATGGCATCACGGTGGCCGCTGCTCCGTACGTACCTGGCCATCCGTGCAAGAGCAGCAGCGGTATGGCATCTCTTCTTTTGGAGAACAGTCCCACGAAATGTATGTCATAGACCTTGCCATCATCATCGCGAATGGGAGAAACAAAGTTGGGAAAGGAATTGATGTGTTCTTCAGACTTTCGCCTACGTTGGAAGTGGTCAATTGTCGTTTGTGGCATTCCAGCGGGGTGGGTTCACTCACCAGTCAAATTGCTCAGACCAATGCTTCACTGCATTTTGCAGCCAGTCAAATGATAGCCCTAGGCGGCGATCCGGTAAACTGTTCTCGTATGATGGCGGACCGAGTCTACTCAGGCGTAGTAATGTCTTCAGATTGTCAAGTTCAGTTTGGGGCGTGTTGACGGTAAAAGGATGGAAGCTGCCACTGGCACTCGGTGGAAGAGTTCCATAGTCTTGCCTCGATGCTTGCTGGTCCTCCATTATTCTCACGATTAGTAGGAGATGTGTTGTAGATAGTCGATTGTCGTGGTTGTTGAGATCTGGAAAGCAATTTGTCATGTTCGGCATAACAAGACACTTTGGATTATATTCTCCATATTTATATTCATTGTCCTGACAAGCTCTCCTGAGATTTCGATTACACCACTTCCAACATAACGGTCGCCCTGAATGCAATGCATCCTGACCCATGATGCAGTTATGTCGTGTTTCAAGGTTTCCATTCTCCAATCCGAGCACAAAGCAGCTTAGTTTACATGGAGTTGTCTTGGGAGTTGGCTCAAAAAAGCGGCAACGCCCTGGATTTGACATTGGATACGACGACGCCGCTTTTAATTAGCGACGCACCTTGTCCACTTGGGTCAACCGCCTTACACTTGACATCAGCTTGATCATTAGACAAAGTGTTGAGCGCTTGAGATTAATCATGTCATCAGCATCAAAGGCCGATGCTGCAAGGCCTTGACTAAAGTCGCGAAACCGCAGTAAGAAAGTGGAGTTTGAAGGCCATGGGTCACGATAATAACGAATTGCACACACCGCAGGACTGTTTGCGGGTGACGGCCCCAGCCTTACACACCCTTCGCCCTGGTATCACAGTGCTATGAGAATGGCCTTCTTATCAGCATGGAGATGAATTTAGCTCAATGACTTCAACGCTGCCTGCATCGAGTCGGCTGAGGTTAGTTGCTCTGGAAAGATCCTTGTCAAATTCAGGCGTCGACATATCGTGGGCAGCATGGGGCCCAAAACATTCAAGGTCCTTGTTGAACAGAGCTGCAAGGGGAGGAAGATCAACACTGGAATTGGCAGAATGTTGGGAAAGAGATGGCGCAAACATTGGTTGTGGTGCCAATGGTTGGGTCGTCGGCCTGGCACGATATCTCTTCCGCTGTGGTGTAGTCGGTTCAACATCGTTGTCATCATTGCTAGCACCAGGCTGCGACCGCTTCCTAGCTTTCGGAGCTTTCCGAGGTACAGCTTTGGTGAGACTTTTGCCTTTGCTGTTGTGCCACCAGGTATAGGAGACAGGTGCGCCATACTCGATCAGCCACCGGGGCAGCCAAGCGAACTGATCTTTAGATGGATCAAACTTGAAATCTCGCAGGTAGCCTTCTATGACGGGCTCGGCAGATACTTTCATCTGCAGTAACTGCTCCGGATTATAGAAGACCTTGATCCTTGCGACATCGTCCACTTTCGCTCTGTCAAGCCGAAAGCCACACTCAGGTAGTAGCTGCCGGGTATGGCGTTGCAAGCCTTGTATCATGAGATATCGCACCATTAGGGCTGGACAAATATTCTTGGCGAACTTGCGAGCGTAATAACGACCTTTCCAGTCGAAATACTCCTCTGTGTGGAGGCGGAAGCGCGAAACATTCATCGGCCGTACCCAGGCGTCCTCAGGCAAGCACTGTCTCAGATCGTTCCTAGGGTGTATGCTGGGGTCGAGATAGTGTTGGACAACGTCTTTTGGAAACCCACGAGACAGCTTCTTCGCTAGGTCTCCCGATCGAGGAATTGAGGACTGCTTCAGCTTCGTACCCAATTGCTCGCTCCAAGCGACAACCTTCTCCACGACGTCTTCCTCGGAGCCGAGTATTCTGTTCAGCTCTTCACCAAACGCATCATACAGATCTTGTACCGCGTTCGGACCGTAGCCTTTCAGGCCGTTGGTGTAGTCTCCTCCACTGACCAGAGCAAACAAAAGGCAAAAGCCACGGCTCATAGTGTTTCGGGAAGTGTAGACGTATGCTCTGCGAGGTTTGTTTCCCTCATTGTTGCAAAGATCTAGCACTAGGCTACTGCCAAAAATGAACGCGTCGCCATCTGTCGTAACAACTCCGTCAACCAATCCTGCTCGTTGCATGGCGCAGCATTCGGCCTCGGCCTCACCAGTTGCGTCAACCCAAGGCAGGCCAAGAATGGTGAATGTTTCTCTGGTCAGCTGAACAATATGTGCCAAACTCTGATCACGATCTTTATCCTCGACGGAACGCGTCGTAGATGATTCAGCTCTAGGGAGGAAACGCTTTGTTTTGGTGAATCGACGGTAGTCGTGGTATCTCTGCCGCTTGAATGCCGGCTTGCCGTCACCATCATAAACAAAAACAGGTTGAACGCCGGCTTCGAGGAAGTGCATAGCCAAGTAAAAGACATTCTTGGATGCGTGGTTCATGCCACCGCTATCTCGAATCGCATCGGTAGCACCTTTGTCCGCGAAAATTCGGGGGTAGACGTCCACGGCGACCCGAAATGGTCGACCATTTTTCCTCAGGTACTCTTCACCAAGTTGTGGCAGAGGTACAGTGTCTTCCTTCTCTTGCGGATACCTTGCTCGAATGGCGTCCCAGAGTTTGTTGACGCCCATCGCCTCGGCGGTCTTGGGATCAGGAAGGGTTCCGATGGGAGAAGATAAGGAAGGAGGACGGCTTTCGAATGCTGGGCCTGAGTGAAGCACAATAGCGCGTCAACGTCAAATCATCACGAACAGTGCACGCGATGAGCATACCAAATCAGTCGTCTTTCGCAAGGCCTGAAGTCTGCGGCCTAGTGTTGCTGATTTGTGGGATTGCGTCGGGTCAGCGCCAACGTGACATGGGACGTCGACAGACGGAAAGCTCGTCGTCGAGAGTCGAATAACATGTAGTCGGTCAAGACACTTGCATGTACAAACCTCTGGATCAACATCTTGACCATCATTCCTGCAAGCCACCAGATTGTGGTCCAACAGGTCTGCAGGAGCGAAGCCCCTAACTTAGTCGATTTCAGGCTGGTCTGACCAGGGTCGTGATATGGAAGCGTGTGTTGTTTATTGGATTATCCAAGTAACGCGTCGTTTCACGAAGTCAACGCGGTGTCATGTGATTTCGGGAGGCTGCCTTTGTTAAGGGCTTGGCCCATATGGTTTGCTGGCGGCGGTTTTGTGTGGTACCAGCGAGGACCTTGTCATTATTTGAAATTTTGTCCTTGGGGCTCGCAGAATTTTATTCGATCATTCCATTCTGCCCGAGCATACAAGTACTCCTACTCACTTCATCAACATGCACGTCGTTTCCCGACAAGCGACAAGCAAGCACACCCACACTGTAATCTTTCTCCATGGCCGAGACAGCACTGCCCAAGAATTTGCGGACGAGTTCTTCGAGAGCGAGGCGACCGAACCTGCGGAGCAACCACGCACTCTTCCAGATCTGTTCCCAGGCATCAAATGGGTCTTCCCCGCAGCACCGCTTCTTCACTCGAAACGGTTCGACACCACAATGTCTCAATGGTTCGATATATGGTCAGTCGAAGAACTCGAGGATCAAGAGGAAATCCAGCCCGAAGGGTTGAAACAAAGTATCGGTGGCCTCGTGGACGTGATAAGAGCCGAAGAGACGCTTGTACCTCGACAAAACATCTTCTTGGGAGGGATCAGCCAGGGATTTGCCGTGGCACTGTCTACCTTCTTCGCTGTCAGTCACAACTTCGCTGGCCTGATCGGCCTCTGCAGCTGGATGCCGCTTGCCAGCATTGTGGACAATCTCAAAGCTTCTTCCAACACCAGCGACGAGGAGCAGCTTCTACGTGCAGTCCACAAGACATACTTCGGTCAGCAGTCTCAAGGACAATTGTCATGGCAGCTTCTCCGGTCCACTCCAATCTTTCTGGGCCACGCAATCGATGATTGTATTGTCCCTGTCAAGAATGGAAGGAAGATGCGGGACACGCTTGTCCATTCCTTGCAAATGGATGCTCGGTTGTATGAGTATGAGGATGGCGGCCATTGGATCAATGAGCCTCAAGGTGTGGATGACATTGTTCAATTCCTCAATCAGAACATGCTGAGAACGAGAAACACTATGAAGGAAAGTTTCAAAGAGAGTCTTGGTCAAGATGAGGTGTGCTCGGCGAACCTGCCTCTTTAGAATGCACATTTATTGTCTAACAGCAAATTGGACAGCCATGACAGCAGACCCGTCAAGGTTTTCGGACCGTATTTTGCTCGGATCTCCGAAGCTTGCATTTTCTCCCGAGTAACCAGCAATGCACGTTTTTATCTGCGCCATCACTCTTTCGCCTTGCAACAGGTAGTCACACTCGGGTGCCAGCATGCCATCATCGTCCGAAGGGATACGGTGACGCCTCGATATCCAGCAAAGATGGACACATGTATCGATCATAAAAGCTCCGAGAGCTTCCTCTTAGAAGGAATCTCTTTCAAGGTACGAACAAAGCATTAGAATCGTCTACCATATCCCTTGCCAGCCCAACAAACAGGAAACAAAACAATCCAAGCCGATTCAGGAGTTGCCTAGAGTTGTCACACAAGCCTTCATTCCACAAGAGATCATGGCACCGTTGTCCATCTTGATCGTTGGTTGCGGCATAGGTGGCCCCACGCTTGCTTCTTTTCTGCTACTTTCTTCCCATGACTCGCAACAGAGACCTAGGATCACCATCCTTGAAAGATCTACAACACATGCACGGGGTCAGAACATTGATGTCAGAGGCGCAGGTGTGACAGTCATTCGCAAGCTTCGGCTCGAAAACGCAATCCGCTCAGCCACCACGGGCGAGGAAGGTACAAAATTCGTGGATGCAGACAACCGAGTATGGGCTGCTATCCCGGCAGACAAGTCTGGCCGTGTCCAAACGGGAACAAGCGACATCGAGATTCTGAGGGGACGGCTCGCGGATCTCTTATATCGGAGAAGCAAGGACGTGAGCCAAGAACTGGAAGATGAGGGTGGAGAAGGTATAGAGTATATCTTTGGCGATTCCCTGGAAGGATTGGAGCAGGACAGCGAAAAAGTGCATGTACGCTTCGCTAAGAATGGCGAAAGAAGGACTTTTGACTTGGTGGTCGGAGCCGACGGCCTTCAAAGTCCAACACGCAGGTTGGGATTTGGACAAAATGGTGACCACGAGAGGGTGAAGCAACTTGGGATGTATGGCGGATTCTTCAGCATGCCAAAAGGCTCCACGGACAGTGATTGGAGGCGCTGGTTCCATGCGCCTGGAAGGAGGGGGATAATGGTGCGACCGTCCGAGGTGAATGGTATGTCGACCGTATTCATGAGCATCATCAACGAGAAAGATAAAAGGTTCGCCGAGGTTGCAGTAGGCGGACATCAAGGCGTCGACAGTCAGAAGGCGTTGCTCAGGGAGTACTTTTGGGATGCTGGCTGGGAAAGTAGGAGGATCATCAAAGAGATGGAGGCCGCCGATGACTTCTACTATGCCATGGTGGCGCAGGTCAAAATGGATAAGTGGAGTAACGGAAGGGTTGTGCTACTGGGGGATGCTGGGTGAGTTCATTTCCTCGTTCCAAAGCTGCCCGACTGTACCTCTGACAGTGTGAAAAGATATTGCGCATCACCTATTTCAGGCATGGGCACAACATTGGCCATGGTTGGAGCATACAACCTCGCAGGTGCTCTGACCCGATTCCCCAGTGATCATACGGCTGCATTCGCCGAATACGAGGAGAAGATGCGGCCAGTTGTCGAACGGGCACAAAAGCTAGCTCCAGGTGCTCCATATGTCCTTGCCCCGGAAACAGCCTGGGGAATTTGGGTGCTGCATGCATTCTGCCTCATGATCAATTACTCCAGAATAGGCTTGCTGCTAGCCATGATCTGGGGCCCGCCAGCGAACGCGGTGCCCGTTGAAGATTATGGATTCAAGCAATTGGCTGAGTGGTCGCCTCAGACTTGAGCTGTTTCCTGCAGTCGCTCGTGGAGATCTACCAGACTCAAGGACACAGCACGTCGATTCGATATCTTGTTATGGCATTTACTGGTATATCACTAGCAGACTTGAGCGTTGTATGTCGAAGCACACGCCCATCGACTTGAACTTCAGCCATGATTCACTCGAACGACGCTATTTTGTCCTGAGGCCTTGATCCTCAGGCATTCTGACCGTTCTTGAGCTCACAAGTATCTCGTCTTTAGTCTCCTGACTTTAACAAAAGCTAAACCACATCGAAGCCCGCGTACCCGTTCTTTGCACATTCGTCGATGGTTTTATAGTACGTGGGAACACCTCCAAGGTATATCAACGGCTCTCTGACTTTGCCTGGGATATTATCGGCCATGTACCACTGTCACAAGGTCAGTGTCTCTGAAGAAGACGAGTAGTGATGAAGCTGTGCATAACTCACCGACTTTGTAGTTGGTAGCAGCGAAGCATTTGCAATTGCGTGGACACCTTTGCTCCACTCGTTTTCTGCCTGTTCCTGGGCGTTAATTGACTTTGATCCCTTCTCTCGCATGTGATTGAGTACACCAAGGATCCATTCGCCCTGTAGTTCGGCACAAGTTGGGCCGTTGCAAAAAGCAGTGGGTGCTTGGGGTCCGTAGGTGAAGAACATGTTTGGGAATTGAGAAACGGCTAGTCCAAGGTATGTTTTGACACCTTCGAGCCACTTGTCAGTAAGCCTGTGTCCAGACTTTCCGCGGATATCTATCTCGTTGAAACCACCAGTGACTGCGTCAAAACCCGTAGCGCAGATGACATAGTCGAACTCCCACAACTTCTCCGTGGTCTTGATGCCCTTTTCAGTCACCTCGAGGATTGGTGTGGAGTTCACATCCACCAAAGAGACATTCAGCTGATTGAAAATCTCGTAGAATCCGATCTCCAACGAACATCGTTTGCATCCAAAAGCATGGGGTTGGATCTCTGGAGCCAACATTTCCTTCACCCGCGGGTCATTGATCCTGGCTCTGACTTTGTCTCGCCAGAAATTGTAAGCTTCTTTATTGGCGTCCCTTGAGAACATCATGTCGTGATAGGTGGCCAACCAAAAGTGAAAGTCACCTTCATCCCACAGTCGTTGGTAGGTAGCTTGCCTCTGTTCTGGCGTATCGTCGAAAGTGGCCCGAGGAAGAAAGTTGAGTAATATGCCCCCAAAGCCCTGAGTCCTTTCGGTAAAGAACTTGGCATAGTTCTCTCTTGGAAAAGCCTGTTTGTCTGCAGCGTATTCAACTTGTTTCATTGGTAGTGCCATATTGGGAGTCCTTTGAAAGAGAACGAATTCGCCGGCCACTTTGCTGAGCTCTTGGCTAAGCTGGACACCCGTTGAGCCCGTCCCAACGACGGCGACTCGTTTACCTTTGAGATCGGGCTCGTTTCTTGGCCAATATGATGGATGGACCCAAGTACCTTGAAATCGATCAATGCCTTTCCAGTCCGGTATGTATCTTTTAGCCGCAAAGCCAGTGTTGAGGAGAAAGTACTTCGCACGAAAGACCTTTCCGTTGGCTGCTGTCACCAACCATTTGCCTTCTTCTTCATTCCATTCCGCAGCCGTAATGCGAGTACTGAAGTAGGTGTCCTTGCGTAGATCCCACTTCTCCGCGACAAAACTAAAATATGCTCGCAGTTCTGCTGAACCGGGGAACCTTTGAGTCCACGACCACGAGCGCCAGAGTTCGGGGTCTGAGAACTCATAATGAGGAATGGTGATGTCCACACGTGCTCCAGGAAAGCGGTTCCAACACCACACACCTCCGTAATCAGACGCAGAGTCGACCAGTTTTACCTTGTATCCTTCCTGGCGCAGCCGCCTCAGTTGATAGACTCCACCAAAGCCTGCACCAACTATGATAGCGTCAAGCTCTTCGACATCACCATTTGGGATCTCCTGGTCTGTGATATTAATGTTGTCCATTGTGTCGGTGAAGGTAAGCATCTGGCAAATCAAAGAAGGCAAAGTACGGCGAGATACAGACGAGTGGGTCAAATGTTATGAACCTGAAGAGGCAGGGAGGTGCACTGATATAAATGCTGGTTGCATAAGTGTGTTGGCCAGCGTCTGGGAATGGACAGCGCCTCAGGCATGCTTCTCCTGGAGCGTTCGGCACGTAAGCAACCTGCCTTACTCTTACCACAATCCATCGATCCTATGATCTTCATCTCCGATGGCAGCTTGTGGGTAAGCTTGTACTACTCGTTATGTTGAAAGGATGCAATTTGATCAGGCACCCTGCCCCGGAGTCTTTGTGGTGACGAAGCAGAGGTTCGAGTTTTGGAGACTAGTACAAGGAACAATTCTAAGTGGATGGAACTCTTTGTACTTTGGGCAGGCGACGGTTCGAAAGTGGCGTGCCGCATCCACCAAACTCGAGAGATCTCCGCTGCCCCGGCCAGGCCGCGAAAATTACCCATTTCGTGCCCTCGGTTACATTGGGCACATTTTTTGAAAACTCCGACGCGAACTAACAGTCGTAGCGATCAGGTCGAATGCCCTCATGCACAGATGATTGTAGAACCTGGGAAGCTGGAGACATGACTGGCTGAGGGCCCGGGGCCGAACCCACCAGAACGTACTTTTCACACCAAGCAGTAACATAGGGTTTGGGCGTTGTTGACACTCTCTGAGAGCTCATGTCAATCGCCCAAATAATATGACTTCTGCTCGGTAACACTATGACTCCCATTTCTTAAGGATTCTGTTGGCCACGCGCTCACCACTGAGATAAGCACCAGTGACCGTGGCCAAGTATGCTGCAGGGGCGGTATGTTCTCCCACGAACCACAACCCAGTGCTCTCACCTAATCCAGCGCCATCGCGCAGAGTCTCAAGGTCTTTACGTGCTTGAGTGCTTCCAGTCTGTATGTTCGTATAGGATCCCTTTCCTGCCAAAGGGTCGAGCTGCCACGATGAGCAGAAGTGTGAGATAGGCTTGCACGAACTATTGTGGTCAGAATAGTTCGCCAAACGGGAGTAGTAAGGTTTTGCGAATCCATCAATGGCTTTGTTGTAAGTATCGGAGTGCGGCTCCAGAGTCTCGACGGATTGTACCACTTTGGTGCCACAGGGGCCGTGAATATAAAACAGGAGGGTCGGCTGCGCGAAACCGTCAGGAAGATGAGCCAGCGATATCACTACCACGTTCGAAGGAAGCCCCGGTGGATGCTTCCCGTATGCGTTATCATGGAAATGGGTGAAGCATGGATATGGATCCTCCATTGTGGCGAGCGGATCTTGTGGCTTCTCAAGCCACCAGGCTGTCGGAAACGTTAAGTAAAGCTTCTCGAGTCGTCCGTAGCTGGATACCTTGTTAGAAGGAGCTGGTTTATCGAGTCTCACCAAACATACCCAAGGTTTTCGATCGCCTGCGAAATGCTAGCAGGCAAGGGAGGTGTAAATGTTTTCTCTTTGTTTGCTTTCAACCATCCTAATACAGGAAATGACTACCTCGTCGAATGTTTCGGAGATCCCCTGTAGTGTCTCAACCAGTATTGACGAATCTTCGCCGGTTGTCTCCATGGACATATGTTTGATCTCGGTGCCAAAATGTACAAGGTTTTTCTCGACCACTTGCTTGGCCATATAACCGAGAATGTCTCTGTATGTATTGGCCAAGAAGGCATCCGTTCCACCGGGCTCGTCCTCCATGCAAAGAAACTTCAAACTCTGTGTGGAGGTCGGATTGCCTATGAACTGGCCATACCGCTGCGCTTCATTCAGCAAGTCTCGGAGAAAGTCAGGATCCTGGCCGATTTCCATGGTCGCTGTCACCTTGATGAACTCCATGAGACTGGTTTCAGGGTCTATATTAGCAGCGTGCTGAGCGCTGTATTCGTGGGCTTTGTCAATGTAAGCCCAAAATCTCTCTCTGAGAGTCGCAGTTGTCTTAGCATCTCTTCTCTTCCCATCAGAACCGACAGTGGCTTGAGTAGAAGGACGCCAAAAGAGCTGCGTATTGGTTTCGTGAGCCAGTTGCAAAATTGGATTGGCATTCGTTGAATGGATCCAGTTGGCTCCCAAATCGACAAGATGCCCACTCGAGCGTATCTGATGAACGCGACCACCGATCCGATCACGAGCTTCAAACACTTTCACATTGGTGGCACCAGCACTGAGTAGTACGTCCGCGCATCTTAGTCCAGACACGCCAGCACCTATAATCGCCACGCGGGCCTTGGACAGCCTGTCTGAAGGCATCGCTGAGGTAGCTAGTACCTCAACACTGACAGAGTGACCAGGGAGACCTTGATGCGAGCCGCTTCATTCAAGTATCTGGGCAGGCTGTTCCTAAAGAAAACGTGCTGTAGGCTATGGAATCTGCTGTGCATTGGGTGCTTAGTAACACTCGTGCTCAACACTGCGAGTAGACCGTTCCTATTGCTCCAATTAAAAAGTTTGTTGACAGGGACCGGACTCAAAGGGTCCGTCCAGCCAAATCGTTGTTCGACATAACCCATAGACGTTAATCGTGGCAAGGCTGCGTTTACACGACTTCGTAGTCTAGCCAGTAAACTACCGATGTACCTACCCCATAAGTGCCAGAGTCTAGAGTACTTTGACGAGAGATAAGAACTCTACTCATCGCAAACTATAAGACTTGATGTAAAATTGATAAGCATGCAGGCTGTACTTTCCCAACTAGATCTAGTACATACAGTACTTGGACGGAAAGGACAAGTCCGTGTTTGAGATTCGAGCCATGAGGGGCCCAAGTTGTCCCAGAAAAGGACTCCATGTTTCCGGCAAGCCTGGTGACATTCCGGATAAGACGGGAGGCTCGGCAGAACTCCGTACCCGTACTAAGCGTCAAATTCCCTGATACGGGCTTTAGCTTTGAAGGATCGTCACGCTGAACCATGATTCCACGTTATGAATATGCCCTTATCTTATAAAGTATCAAGGACCAAGGCGCGACAGAATTGTATTCTCATTGTATCACCAGGGAAAAAGCCTATTTGCACAAGTGGGAGGGCAGCTTTCGTGAAAGATTGACAATGCAATGAGTGCCGGAGTCGCAAAGAACATCAAGTCGGCATTTCTCAAGGTTCAGCAAAATGTGCTGAGTGCTAAGCAAATCAACTTGCAAGTGATAATCGGAGATGGCATGACACGCTACAGTAACATTCAGAGTCCGAATCTCAGGATATGCCGTACATCGCGGAGTAGAGACCTGTCTCCTGCCAAGGTGCCTGGGTCAGATCAGATTGGCGACCGGCACTCCAACGGAATGTAGGTACATGGTTCCGTGGCTGATTGATACTTGATTCATAATTTACCGGGTCAAACATGGTGCAGCTGACACCAGATCCGGTGCTTATGAGATGAGAGAAGCTGGCAATACGTTTAGCTAAATAGGCATTGGAACAGGTCAAGTCTGATAGGATAGTTAACGTGGCATTGTAGTATTTGGTGAGTATGACAGCAGTAACAGTCATCATGGATGCTATGCTATGTAGGGAAAGTTCAGACGTTCTCGCATGCTATGCTGGAAGAAGAAGGTGCGACACTAGGTTAATGTCGCTTGATACTTACCCCTCGTTATGTCCCTCGCACCAATGCCTCTTAGCAATCCCTTCTTATCTAAGTGGATGTTCATCTGGTCATAGACTTAGAAAGAGAACTATCGCGAAAGGAGCAAGAGATCTCTTGTGATCAATCAATCTACTGGCGCGCCCATTAGGGTGGGCAATTCCGTCGTTATCTGAAGCGCTGAGGTGTTCGCGCCGAAGACTTCCTTATCTGCTACAATGTCATCCTCCTGCGGTCAACCATGGTCGTGCCTATATAGGGGTATCAACGGTACATGTCGGCCGCTTCTCAATCATTCCAGCACAACACCAACTCCTCGTATGAGCTTTCGCAATGCACGAACCTATTGAAAACGTCCAAGCAGACGTCTTCCAGGTCCACAACCCCGAAAGCCAGGAAAAGAAGACCCTCCTTGCCGGAGAATGTCGATGAAGCCTTGTTGTTTCTGAAGCATGAGCCCGCCACCGCTGGTGAGGTCACTTCTATCGATGATAAGAAGTTGTTGCGTAAAATCGACTGGCTTCTCATGCCTCTCATGTTCTCGGTATACTATCTCCAGTATACCGATAAGACTCTCCGTGAGTATTCCTTTGAGCACAGAAATGCAGCCGTCGTGCTGACAACCCATAGTTTCAACTGCCTCAGTCATGGGTGTTATCGAGGACACACATATGCCTGCCAATGGCTTCTCGCACCTCGCAATGACTTTCTACGTCTCGTTCCTCGTTTGCGAACCTCTACAGTCCACACTTATTCAGAAGTTTCCGACCGCTCAATTCCTTGGAATCAATGGTGCGTGTCCACACCGCTATTCTGAACCAGGAAAATAACAACTCTAGTGACCATCTGGGGTGTTGTGGTGACCATGAATTGTGTGTGCAAGGGTTTCGCGCCACTGGTTGTGCTTCGTGTCCTGTTGGGAGTTTTTGAGTCATGCGTTGCACCGAGGTTAGCTCTTCATCTCTTCCGTTGACGACTATTGAATGTATCATGCTGACTGGCTAAAAGTCTCATTATTCTCACCTCCATGTGGTATACGAGATTCGAACAGACCTTACGAATGGGTATCTGGTATCAGGGATCGTCCATCGCACCCATCGTTTCGACTTTGGCGTCATACGGATTCCTGTTCTATGACAAAAAACATGACCACGATCATTTCAAATCCTGGCAGATTCTGTTCCTTCTCTTCGGTCTGCTTACCATCGCTATTGGCATCTTGGTTTTCTTTTTCCTTCCCAACAGTCCTATGAAAAGTCGATTCTCTCATGCAGAGAAGGTGGCTATTCTTGAGCGAGTCCGAGACAATGAGACCGGTATCGAGAACAAACATCTCAAATGGAAGCAGGTAAAGGAGGTTCTACTGGATGTCAAGACATGGATGATGAGTCTTATCGTCATCTTGACAAATGTGCCGAACGGTGCAGTCAGTTCGTTCAACGACATCATTATCTCCAAGTAAGGCATCCGCCGAGTCTTGTCAATGCCGCTGATCTTTGTGCAGCTTCGGTTATAGTGATGCAGAGTCACTACTGCAGAGCCTTCCCGGATGTGCAGTAGCATTCTTCAGTGTCTGGTGGGGAACATGGGCTGCTGGTCGATACAACTGTCGAGGCCTCGTCATCATCGCTCTGATCATTCCGACTCTGCTTGGTGGAGCCCTGATGGCATGGCTACCTGCGAACAACAAGTCTGGTTTGTTGGCAGGGATCAACCTAATTAATACTGTTGGCTCAAGTATGTTCATGCGCATTGTTATCTTGATCAAAAAGACGCGTCTGCTAACGAGTTTTCCTTAGCATTGCCTCTTTTGTACTCTTGGGTTACTGCCAATTATGCCGGACACTCGAAGAAAATTACCATGAACGCCATTCTTCTCATGTCATTTTGTCTGGGGAACATTATTGGCCCTGAAACGTTCCAGGACTCTGATGCGCCGCAATACATTCCAGCCAAGATGACCATTGTCATCACTCTCGCAATTGCTATTGTCATTACACTTGGGCTGGCTGCAATGTACCATCTCGAAAACAAAAGGCGTGACCGGGCAGGGTACCAAGAAATGCCGGAGGATTACCAGTTCCTTGATCTTACCGACAAACAAACCAGGAATTTCAGATACCTCCTATGATTCTAGAGCCAGTATTTCGGAAAGATGGACGAATAGGCAACTAAAACATTCAACAAAGCGGTATCATTTTGTGTGTTGCACGTTTGTTGACAATGCCCTAGATGAATCTTTTTGGGCTGAACAAGATGAGTTGGATCGAGAGCACTAGAGGGGAGAAGACATACTGGTATGCTAGTGTAGTCTTACACCACTTGTCTATGGTGTGAGTTCTCAACCTGAAGGGAGGCTGACTGCACGCAAAGTCGCCATCAGTGGAAGCACGATTATGGTATAGCGGTTTTCGTCTTTGCAGGCTCTTGGATCAGTCCAGACGTAACAGGCCGAGATGTCGTAACAACGTTGCCAGTAATGTGGGGGTTATAATTGCGCTCGAGTTAAATTAGCGAATCAGAGCTGTCTTGACAAGACTTCCATGTGGTACGCACGCAGAAGTACATTTGCCACGTGTGGTCCTTACCCGCGGTCAACATCGTGGAGAATTCCAGCTCATTGGCACTTCCCCGGATGTGCGCGTTGATTACATGGCAAGAACCAAGCTGACTATCTCCCACAAGGGCAGATGCTCCTCGGAACCTCTCAGTCTCTCCACCAACGGCCATCCAATAAGGCTCATTTGCCTTGGTCATTCAGACTTTGTTCCCAGTCGATGACCTCCCAACTGTGTGAAGGAGATTTCTTACCTCTTCGGGATCGGGATCTAGATTGGAGGTACACAAGCGGGAGCGGAATTACAGTGTACGGAACACTGCTCTGTGGAAGCACAATACTCCACCATTCCATATTAGTGAGATCTAGTGCCGGTCTACGAGATTCTCGAACGCGATCTCACAAACCTCCGGTTATCGTTTTCCAGGTTAGACCCTGAAGCCCCAGATTCGTGGTCTGCGGCCTACCTGGGGTGAGTGGATTTCCCCATCTATCATCTCCAACAGATCCACTGTTTGTCAAATACTCTTCAAGTATTGCAGCATCCTCTAACATCAAGAACAACCGTTGCAATTACTTATCCATTGACTGTAACACCGAGCCACCCATTTTGCTGGCAAACATGTCCACCAAGACCACAGCCTACAATTTAGGCGTTGGGTTGATCGTCGCTATTGGAAGCTTAACGTATGGCTTTGGTAAGACACGCTTGATCGATGAGAATGCTCATCACGCTGATAATGATTCTCAAGGCTTCGCTTCAGTCGCAACCAGTATCGGCCAGCCTGGATTCTATCTTTACTTCAACTTATCGACGACTGGATCAGGTGCTGCATATACAAACCACATCCTTGGAGCTCTGAACGCGCTCTTCTTCTTCGGAGCAGCAGTTGGCGCACTCTCAATTGGTCCTCTAGCTGATGCTATTGGGCGAAAGAAAGGACTGGTATATACAAGTGTCCTGGCATGCCTTGGTGGCGCTCTCGCAGCTGGCAGCGTCCATATCGCTATGCTCATCGTCTTCCGTATCGTTCAAGGCTGCGGTCTTGGTTCTCTTGCTACCTTGGTCCCTATCTATCTGTCAGAAACATCGACGCCCAGAAAGCGTGGTATGTTGACGGGTTTACACGGCTTTTTCCTGGTCTGTGGCTACAACCTCGCGGCCTGGGTTGGAGTGGGCTGCTTCTTTGCCAAAAATCTCACTTTCGGCTGGCGAGCACCTATCGCTTTAACTGTCCTTCCACCTCTGATCCTCCTGATCGGCACATTCTTCGTCCCCGAGAGCCCTCGCTGGCTGATCATGAAGGACCGCTCCGACGAAGCATGGACCATCCTTAGTCGTCTGCACAAGACTGTTGGTGGGGATGATGATCCTGCGGCACGTGCAGAGTTCTACCAGATGAGAGAACAGATCGTCTTTGAGAACGCCAATCCAAGTGGCTATTGGGCCATCTTGACCACGCGAAAGTATTTCAAGCGCGCATTCTTGGCCTGTTTCATTCAATTTGCCGCCCAGTCATCTGGGGGTCTCACCATCAGCAGCTACAGCGTGATCATCTATACGGACCTAGGACTTACCGGCGTCCTGCCGTTACTCATGTATGCCATCTACACCTTGATTGGAGCACTCGGCAATCTGGGATCTCTACTCACAATTGATAAAACGGGACGGAGACCTGTAAGATGACTCGGTTACCTTGTTGTGTAACGTAGAGACACTAACGCGGAGCAGGTACTTATTATCGGCTTAGCAGGGTGCCTCGTTGCGTTGATCATTGAAACGGCTATGGTGGCTAAATACGTCGATGTCCCGAAGCCTAATCCTGGGGGCCAGAAGGTGGCTGTCTTCGCCTTCATGCTGTATGTTCTTCGGCCCTGATCCCCAGTTGGTGCTAATCATTCCTTTAGCTTTGTCTTCTTCTACGGTCTCTTCCTCGATGCGGCATCATTCATCTACTCATCAGAGTATGTTTCCATTTCCCACTGAGCCTCTCTAACAAAATTGACACCGTCTGCCTTAGGATATATCCGACAAATGTTCGTGCTCGAGGTGTGGCTCTCGCAACCTTCACGTACTTCGCATTTTGTATTGTGAGCATGGCGTCTCCTCCAGCCTTTGCTGCCTGGCTAACACGCTCTCAGGCCTATGTCACCCCAGGAGCGACTGCTCTTGCTGCAATCGGATGGAAATACTTCCTTGGTAAGTTCAAGATGCATCTTGACCTTCGTATTTGTACTTGAAGTCTCTCTGACAGTGTAAAGTCTTCGTCTGTGTGACTTTCTTCAGCGTCTTGGTTGTGGCATTCTTCTACCCCGAAACCAAGGGCAAATCTCTTGAGGATTTGGCAGAGCTCTTTGGTGATCCGGTTGTTGTGCATTTGACAGACCTGGACACAGCGGAGAAGTCGGCTTTGGAAACAGTCAACCAGGTGGAGACAATCAATCATACTGAGCAATCGAGCCAACTCGCTGCTGAACCTCGTCTCTCTGCTTGAGCCGACAGCAGATTATCAACAAAACCTCAAACGTTGAGGCCAAACCCCATTGTCCATATTGCCTGTACACAGTCACAAGAAATACAGTCTATAGCACTCATTCAATCTTCATACCAGGGACTGGATGAGTTTTTGCCCAATCCTCAATCAAAGTCAGCTTCACTGGCAGCTCCTTCAGTACCGGGTCCATGTCGATTTTAAACTCTGGTACTTCATTGTAGTATGTGTATGCCCTGTACATCTGATTCACGATTCTTTCCGTCTCCAATCCTCGACCTTGCATCGTTTTGCTTATTTTGTCACAGAAATCAGCAACGGTCTGATTCTCATGCTTCATCTTCGTGCCCCATCCCTTGCTCAGCTTTGCTGCCAGTTCTTCCAACACGACCGTTTCCGGCCCCCCAACCGGAATATTGCGGCCAGCAAGACTTGGTTTGTCCATAGCAGCGATCATCAGGTTTGCCAGATCATCATGACATATCCAGCTGACCAGCAGGTCTGGCTTATGGCAGTAAACCACTGTATGTCGATCCCTGATTGGGGGAAGCGCCCAGCCCTCAAGGAGGTTGTCGAGATACGCAACTGGTTGAATACTTATTACGGGCACTCCGGTTGCTCGTAACAACGTTCTCATCTTGCGCCGGTCATCTTGTGCTTGGATGTTCTGACATTCCTCAGGCACCGGCATACTCGTGTTGAAGACAATCAATTTGACACTTGCACTGTTGGCCGCCGCTCTTCCGATGGCTTCTGCAGCAGCAATTATTGGTGGACCGGGCTGAAAAGAGGTGCTAGGCAGGTTAAGAAAGATGACTTCAGGTCCCTCAAGCGCTCTGACGAGACCATCATTGTCGTTGAAGTCTAAGGCTATGGTCTCAATCTGTTGACCTTCGACCAATGACTTTGGGCTCCGACTGACTGCGATGGGAGCGTGGCCTGCATGCACCAGAGCTTTGACTTGGGCAGAACCCTGAACGCCGGATGCGCCGAACACGATTACGCGCTTCATGGTGTGGCCGAGATCTGTTCGACCCTGCTCAAACATTTCAAGGGCAGCGTTACGTAGGCTGTGGCTTTAATTTGCACATGAGTGTCCTTCTGCGGCAGTATTCAGGCTATGCAAATCCGAAGGTGGGTTGAAATTATGTACCCATTTCCCCGCGCGTACCTTGGGTGCATCCACCTCCCCACGGATGATGATTTCCCAAGCCTTTTGCGGAAGAACGTGAGAACCTATCGCATGGGCATCACGTTTCAAGCAAGGGTCTTTTTGTCGTGTACGCCAAGTCGATATCCAAAGACAATCTGTGTCAATGACCAAGAAACGGTCAGTCAAATCTTGATTAAACGATTATCCAACACCACCAAGAGAACAAGTACAGGCGCAGCTTCGCCCGAACTATGCTAACAGTCTCTCAGCAATTACGGATCTGTTTGAATCCTCCGTCTTCTCATAGAACTTCTTTGTCGATCGTCCCTTGACGGTGATCTGCATGTCTTCCCAGAAGCCAACACCTCCGTGGACAATGAATCTTCCTGCGCGAGTTTTGTCTACAAGTTGGGCATCGAAAAGGCGGAAAAACTTCAATTGCATGTCGTTAGCATGAGCAGAAACCGCAATAGGATTGCACCAACCTGCAGTGGACCTTTGTAGAGTTCCATGATCGCAATGTCTTTGCCGAGACAGACGCGGGAGCCATAGCCGAACGCAAAATTATGTTTGAGCATCTCTCGCGTTCGAGACTCGCTTTCCAGCCAACGCTCTGGTCTAAAATGATCAGCATCGGACCCATAGAATGCTTTGTCGCGATGCAGTAGCCATGGGTTGCATGTAATTTCTGTGCCTGGTGGAGCATATCGCCCGTAGAGATCAATGCCATCCTCTGAGACGAGTCGCGGGAATATATTGGGTGCAGATGGACATAATCGCATCGACTCGCGGACACAAGCCACGTAGTACGGGCAATGTGCGACGACCTCATCGAACTGGGCCATGTCGCTTAGAAAACCTGCCTGTGATGCCGCATCGATTTCGTGCATGACTTTGTCGTAAACCCGAGGTGTTGACATTATGTAAAAGAACATTGCCTGAAACGTGGTGGCTGTTGTATCTGCACCGGCTAGCAGTACCAGAAGAATCTCGGCCCGGATGTAGTCCATGTCGAGGGGCTGCCCATCCTCGGTGCGAGCATTCAAAAAAGTTTGCAGAAGGTCAACCCGGTCTATTTTCGCACCTTCTTCAATTTGCCGTAGACGTTCATCGAGCAGCTTGTCACGATACCGCATCAAAATACCGATGCCAGATTTGTCTTCCGGTTTGGCCACAAGCATTTTCTTTCCCAGACTTGTTGTCTTGATCCAGGTGGTGAAGGGATGAAATCTGGCCAGAAGACCGAACAAGGCCATGCCGTCGTGGAAACCCTTGATTAGCCCTCCAACATCATTTCCTGCTTCGACAAAACCAAAGGCAGCGCCAAACCCGAGCTCGGAGACGACATCATATGCCATGTATACAGCCCAGTCACACAAATCGAAGGATTGTCCTGTGCTTTCATATCTTTCCACCATCTTTCCTATCCAATGCTGCATTTGGCCGTCGATGAGGGGTTCCATCTTCTTGATATTGGTGAAGCTATAAGGTCCTGCTATATGCTTTCGAAACCTGGCATGCATTCGGTGATCTTTCATGTTGAAAACACTTTCTGTTATCCCAAACGAACCTGTAACATAATGGTCTGTCTTGTTCGCTTGGCGATGATATATCAGTGGCAGCTTCGAGGAATCGCTGACCAGTAGAAGGGTGGGCGTAATGCGCAATACAGGTCCTGAACGGTTTCGTTAGATGGTACAAACAGGGTGGTACTGAACAGCCAACCATATTTTTCGTGTAGCGCTTTCTCTGTTTCGAGCTCTGTCTGTCTCCAGCAATGCCATCCGATCCACAACCGAGTGACTGACGCCCAAAAAGGACCTGGAAAGTCTCTGAGAGGATGCAAGTAACGATAGTAGATGATTTGGGCCACGATCCTATACAGAATAAACGCCAGAAGACAATATGCAAAGCTTCTGATAGTGACAAGTTGTATAGCCTTATCCAGAAAAGCCATGATTGTGTGCTTCGAAGATTGTCACGACAACGTCGTGAATTCACAGTATGGCCAATACAACGTCCCCCCCGCACTTGCCGTAACACTCAGTCTTCCAACATATATGGTGGTTAGTTGTGCACCAAGGTTGATCAACGCACGAGTCATTGCAGGTGAGGAGAGAATCCCACTCCTGTCAGGAAGAACCCACATCATGGCAGTCTGGGGTGGTTTTGCGGGGATTCACTTATCCGGGTGGCGGTAGGTATCGTGGTCAGACTTTCTTATCAATTTTGGTTTCTCCAACTTTCCCCAAGAGGTAAAAGACTTGTTCTGTCTACATAGGGAGCCTTTGCAAGTAGAAAAACTTTGGATTCCTGTCTTCAAGCCTGATGCTGTAAGGCTCTATCATATGGACCTTGCCAGTCTCTCCAATACACTCGCAATTCTATGATTATGTACTTATACTATTCTTATAGGCCGCATCACTAATAAGAAGACAATTACCTTTCCTTAATATCGGAGCCAGCCTGCCAGGCGTTGATAGATTCGACAGGTGGCCCTAGCTTGAATTTATACCTGTAAAGGCTAAGGCCTAGCCATGACGTCTTGATAATGTCTCAGGATGTTGTCGTCGTTGAGCAGTTTTCATCTGTTCGTGTATCATCGCGGTCTGCAGCAATTGTGTATCTCCGTAATGTTGATTTACCGACGACAGGTCTCCTAGAGGAGTGGTGATCGTGTAGTGTACGCGGGCCGTTACATAAAAAGTGTGCCAAGTCGGAATCAGTCTATCTTGATCACTTATAAAGGCTAAGAGGTGGGTGTCCTATCCGAACGTCATGCCCCACGGAAAGAAATGTTCCTTTTTGGCAAGTCCAACCGAAGGTGCTCTAGACCTCCACTAGATCGCTACGAAACAATGAAGAATTAGCTTTAGAACACATATCACTTAGATCCAAAAGACCTGATCCATGAGAAACGCCATAGGGCGTCCAACACAAGTAATGACTGTCGTATTCGGGTTTTCAAGAATTCTCAAACATTCAGATACCTCAATACTATGAGATCCTAAACATCACTAACCTTAGCACGAGATTACGCAGACCCGCGCATCCTTCTCCCTCGGAGTCATATGGTCAAGAAGCTTCAGCATAATTACCAACATGGCAGCCGTGGTCGATATGACCCTACAGTGGCAGGACCAAAAGGTAGTAAAGGTCGATGGACGCTGGATGGTTAAAGAGTAAGCATATGTGAGAGACTTCGAAAACGAGATATTGACACGAAGTATTAGCCATCCTCTGAGCAAGCGCGAAACCGTGTATCAACATCAGCCTTCTAATATCCCTGGAATGACTCTTATCGGCGTGAAAAGCACCTTTCCAGTCAACGCTGCAGTTCCTCCTCATAGGCATGGAGGAGCAGCAGTCACTGCCAATGTCATCCAAGGACGTGTCTTGAACCAGATGATATGTGGTGATGAAAGCCATGGACCTGTCATACATTGCGCAGGAGAAAGCTGGTATGAGCCTCCAGGATGTCATCATGTTAGATGTGAAAATGCTGGGGACGAAGAAGCCGTGTTTGTGGCGAACTTCGTCATCGAGACAAGAAAACTAAAAGAGCTTGGGGTCGCTGACGCTTTGGTTCAGATTGATGCCGAGGAAGAGGAGAACAAGCGGAAGCAGGGGAAGGGAAACCAGTGAGCACCCACTATGAGAGCGACGACAAATGATCAGGTACTACGTTTGATTGCTACGTTGATAGTCGAGGTCTTCCAGGAATGTATGAGAAATCTTATCTCCGTGTATACGCACTAGACCAGGCAGCAAGAGAACACGAGAGCAATGATAGGAGACCACTACCAGGATAGAATGTTCATACGGCTGTAATGCAATGGCTTTGAATCGTACTCTTGAGATACCTTGTCTTGCGTGCCAAAATGCTGACATAATCCTCGTCTTGGTATTTTTGACACCTTTGAAGGCTTGCGGATGTTGACTCGATCAAACTAAGTTTAGCGGAATTTGGCGGACTGCGCGTTTTATTTGCGGAGTTGCAGAGCAGCTTCGTACATGATTTTAGTCGTTATCCGGAAAATCCGCCATCCATCCCACAGATTACTCTCAGGGAGTAAAGGTAATGGATCTTCTCGCGCTAATGGACAGCTTACCGAAAAGAAAACAAAAGAACTGTGACAACTGCGTCTCTGGGAAAAGGCGATGCGATAGACGAAAGCCCGTGTGCTCCAGATGTGCGCATAAGAGAGTATCCTGCATCTACGGCAGGAACATTCCGACTGGTCAGTTTGACCACGGCCAAACTGAGGCATCGATGCTCTTCATGAACGAGATAGCCTCAGAAAGCCCTACATGCTCTCCCGTGGCCCAAGGCCATCCGCCGAACGACGAGCTTAGGGATTTTTGCCTGGATCCTCGACTCGGCGACGCAACAACTGATTCTTTGCAAAACTTCATGATAAATGCTTGTTTCGACGGAAACGTTACCACGAATCCTTTCACCACCTTAATAGAGAATAACTTAACACCGAATCAGGATCCATGGCTCTTCCAAGTCGAGCAAGGGATTATGCAAGAGCGCTCCAGTAGTCCTGTGGATGAAGAGGTAATGAAGGCCTATGGGAATATGGCTGGTATCTGTGTAAGCTTGAACCTATTATAACTTACAATATGTATCGAAATACGACCATCATCCGCCAGCCTTGTGTCATTCTGTACGCGCTGCCGCTAACTGTTTCATCTTAGGCAGATGTGGAGCCTTGGCATCTTTATGATCCAACTACTCCTTTACATTACACCGTTAATCGCGTGAAAAGCTTTATCGACGACGTTGCTTCGCAGAATGCGACACCTTTCATGCACCGCTACCTCTACAGAGACTATACACCACCATGCATTCTATCTTGCTTCGCCACCAGTGTACTTTATACTCACCGTACACAGGCAAACACAAGTATGGTTATGCGGGCAATACATAACGGCGTGAAAAAACTTGTCAATGCTGAAACCGGCCATATACCGGCGACGCCGCTGGAGAAGCTTGCTCGAACCCAAGCACTCTTTTTATATCAGATTATTCGTCTTCTCCATGGGGATGTTACACTACGTGCACAGGGCGAGAGTGACATTGCATTGTTGCAGGCATGGTTGGGTGATCTTTGTAAGGTGCGCGAGAATTTGAGTGGTTGCGCGCAGTATGGCCACCGTGAGACGCGCAACCCGACGCCAAAGTGGGAGGTCAGTTTGACATGCGTCGTATTGCCTGCAAATCCCTTGCTAATAAATCCCGTCACTTTGCAGAGCTGGATATTTGCAGAGTGCGTGCGAAGAACCATTATCATGGCACACTCATTTTTGAAAATCTATGAGATGATGCGAGGTCCCGCACAAGGAGGTAGTAAGACCTTCACTTACCCTGTTATGCGGACCAGGAGCTGATGTAAGAGTAGACGACCAAGGAGTTTGGGCCTGCGTCCATCGCTGGACCATATCGCGACATTTGTGGGAAGCGAAATCCCCCTCTGAATTTGCTCATATGTGGAAAGAAAGACCGCAGTTCATTATCAGCAACTACTCATTTAAACATTTCCTCCAGCATGGAAGAGCTGATAGTCTAGACGAGTTCGCCGAGATTCTTCTCCGCGTGTGAGTACCTAGAAGAAGGGTGTTTGACCAGAAAACCTGCTAATTTTCTGCAAAAGTTATATGGGTGCTGATGCCATGAAGGAGTTTGTCTCTTCGAGATAATGATAAACTCGGCGACATGATTACAACTGTGCATGCTCCACCAAATATCGATCATGGACTGCAACCTGCCTGAGTCGGTACAAGCTCTTATCCAGCTATTATTCCTGAACAGGGAATCATCATACGTCAACACCAGACAGGTCATCTCCTGCTCTCCTTGATAATATGCTCGACAACATCCAGCTTAGTCATCCTCTTAAGCATCCCCTCAAACATGTTACAAGGCATCATACTTGCCATTCGGGCTGGCAATGCGCTCTCACCCCTCCAAATGACAGCTGGTGGATTCTTTCCCAGTAGTAGCGTCGCGACTTCAGAAGCCCATTGCTCCGCCGAGACGCCTATTTTCGACAGCTCCTGCTGGCTCATGGCCTTCTCAACGACCTCACGCGCTGGTTCGTATATCGAGCCCTGTGGCAGCCGCTCGCCCTTGGTATTGACGTTGTTATTGGAGATGAGATTTGTCCGTACCCCCGCCGTCTTGAGTTCGATAACACGGATATTGAAGGGAGCCAGCTCCAGTCGCAGCGTCTGGGTCAGCATGGCGAATGCAGCCTTGGATGAGTTGTAGATCCCCTGAAAGGGGAGTGCCGTTACGGATCCGACTGAAGTGTGGTTGACTATCATGGTCCGGTTTGCGGTTGGGTCTGCAGAAGATGCAGCAGACTGGAGCAACAAGGGCAAGAAAGCCTGCGTGACGGCAATCTGCGACCAGACATTTAAATCGAACAACTCTTTTGCCGAGTCTAAAGACGCATCCGCAACGGGCATTGTGTAGCTGCCTGCTGCATTGTTGACGAGGATATCCAAACCTTTCCCATCTGGTATGGAGGAGGATATGGTGGCCACGGCTGATGCGATGGACGATGCCGATGTCACATCTAGGCCCAAGGTCTTGATACCGCGCGCAACGAATGGGGCCAGCTTAGCCGGATTTCGAGCCGTTGCGAAGACATGGTGACCAGCATCGTGAAAGGTGATGGCAAGGGCAGCTCCTGCTCCGCCTGGAGAGCAGCCAGTTATCAGAATTGTGAGTCTCTTGACGGAAGCCATGATGTAAGACAATCAGTTGTTATCAACCAAAAAATTGGTGAACAAGCGGTTTATCGGAAGGTGCGAGGATCTAATGTGATCTTGCGAGCCTAGCAAGTGATGCCAGTTAGAGGCAATACTTCGAGTACTGGCGTGTTGAGAAGTGATTTGAAGAATAGATGCAACAACCACTGGACAAAATCTGGGTATTCGCCTTACCAGTCCAATATGTATCTGACTTCCTCTGCAGATCAGACGAGAGCTTCATGTAACATATAAGATGTCAGAACGTAATGGCAGAGACGTCACAAATTGCCTAAGTTTGCGGACTTGTAAATTGCGGAGTTCGGATATGCGGACATGGGTGATATAGAATTTTGACACCCCTATGACGGGCGGGATGCTCAGGTCTGGCAATTGAAACGGACTTTGCAGAGATCAAAATTCGCCGCTGAGTATAATGGCATAACGATGCACATGCCGATAGCCAAGCACCAGAAGACCGCTGTTGCGTAGGCTCTGATGGCATGTCTTACAGTCAATTGGTGCTCAGATTGACCTGCGTGGATTAACCACGCTTCCAGCGCCACGATCTGGATACGCCTGATGGTCAGATATACTTGAAGTATCTTGTGCGATTGGCCCTTAGATGCGGACACACTACTGAGGATGGCTTCCTTGACAATGCCCTATGTATTTTAGGCTTAAGCTACGCCAATCCTAACATGGTTTGAAAGTTGCTTTAAGAGCGGCGTACAGTCCCGAATATAGATGTACTCAAGCCGTTTCAGCGCGAGGAGCATCTAAGGAGCGTATAAGAGTAAGCATACATTATTCCAGTACCCACGCGGCCTCAACGAGGCTATACTTACTAACACTAAGGACGTCAATCTCAAAGAAGCGAGGGCGAGGTACATGATCGTGGGGATCCCCACAGAGCTCCTCGCGGAAAGACCGCGGGGTTGTTGCTGTTCCACCCAATCAATAGAGCTCTTCCCGATGTGTCTCCAGGTTCCGGTGTGCGACGCACACCACTTCTCCGGAAAACTTCGACGAACAGCGGAATAGATAAGCTCTATGCCCTGACCTTGAGTGGTACGCTCACATTGTTTTCATTTGTACCTTCAATACACTCGAAGGCGTCCAATTCTGAAGTCTGCATTTCGAGCATCGCTCTCGACCTTTGATCTCTATCAGGCGTCTTTCCCGTTTCCAATTGTGGATGCTCTAGCAGCGAATTCCAAGTTCAAGATGAATCCGGACAAAAATATTTCACAACACCTCGAAAGTTCTCATTCGGCTGGGTACGATGGAAAAGTGGATGCACCGTCAAAGTCCGAGGCGAATCCCGTCATGCTCCCCTACCACGGATCCGACACGGTTGACGGGCTATCGCCAGAGCACCGGGAATATCTTCTACGGGTTCATGGCACGTTGGATCTCGACCCCATCCCAGCCATGGACGATGCCGACCCTTACAACTGGCCATTATGGAAGGTTAGTGCCATTTGATTGCGTTGCGCGCCCCAGGTGCAAAATGCTGACGTTTTGCCTTTTGATTGACTAGAAAACGACCAACCTCGCCCTTGTCAGCTTTCATGCAATGATGGCGACCTTCACAGCCGGAGCCATCCAGTCCGCCTTTTTTGAAATCCACCTGGACCTTGGTGTCTCGCTCCAACGGGCCAGCTACTTGACTTCTCTTGTCATTGCCGTCCTCGGTGGTGCACCTCTGTTTTGGAAGCCCTTGGCCGATCGATACGGACGTCGTCCCATCTTCCTATTGTCACTGGTATGCAGTCTTGTAGGTAATATTGGGTGCGCTAAGAGCCCCTCCTATGCCACCATGGGTTTGTGTCGAGCCATCACAGCATTTTTTATCAGCCCTGCGCTTGCCATTGGTAGCGGCGTCGTCGCCGAAACATTTTTCAAAAAGCAACGTGGTCGGTACATTGGTATCTGGACAATTATGGTTACCATGGGAGTGCCCGTAGCGCCCTTTATCATGGGTTTCGTGGCCTACCGAGTCAACTATCGCTGGATCTACTGGATTCTTGCCATTGTAGGTGAATCCCGCTGCCCGCCACTTGTCGTAGGGACGGTATTGGAAGCTAGGCGGAAGCTCACATCTAATGCAGATAAACGGCGTCCAGTTCGTGCTTTACCTGTTTTTCGGACCCGAAACCCGCTACATCAGACGTACCGATGCAAATGGCATCCCGACGAATGCTCCATCGTCGGCTGTGAAGCGAGAGTACCTCTCCTTTGGCCGGATCGATCCCGCCCCTCTTACTATCTGGGACTTTCTTCGACCACTAGCGATGGCCGGCCATGTTTGTATTATGGTCCCTGCCGCCACTTACTCCATGGTGTTTCTGATCGCAGGTGTTCTTCCCACCATTGAGGTGCCGCAAATCTTCGTCGAGAAATTTGGGCTCAATACCCAGCAGATTGGTTTGCAAAACCTTTCTTTTATCGTCGGCGCAATTTTAGGAGAGCAAATCGGCGGCTTTCTGTCTGACAAGTGGATGCTGCGGCGTGAAAGACGCGACCTAAAGCGCCCCGAGCCAGAGTATCGCCTGTGGCTGAGCTACATTGGCTATCTTCTCTGCGTCTGCGGCGTGGTTGTCTTCTTGGTTCAGATTGGCAGAGCATCAGACAAATGGAACATCACCCCCCTGGTTGGAGCTGCTATTGGTTATGCTGGGGTGCAGATCGTCACAACCGTCATGATCACCTATGCCGTCGACTGTTATCGCGAGGAAGCCGCATCAGTCGGTGTATTCATCACCTTTGTCAGACAGACCTGGGGCTTTATTGGTCCTTTCTGGTAAGTCCTTTCTATCCAGCGATGATCCCGGGTTCTCCTATTGACGGACGTGCCATGAACAGGTTTCCTCCCATGATCCAGAACGTTGGCCTGTACGGCTCCGCAGGCATCGTCACCGCCCTCATCGTCATCGGCAGTATCATGCCAACCGTACTCCTTCAGTGGAAAGGACGATCTTTTCGCAATGCGAAGTGAGCATAGTTTGTGCTCCATCTTTTCCGAAAGTCAAGGGTTTACGTGTGAAGCTCTGCGAGCGTCAATTCCTTTGAGTGGTGCGGCACCTTACTAAAGAATACGTCGCCTGCAAGGGTGCTTTCGAGTCAGAGAAAACGCGGGTTGAGGCACCGTGAATGGAAAAATTGTATATGGTTGTATGCGGTTGTATATGTTCTGTAAGGCACCTTGGAGGATTAGGGAAGCGCATGGTTTTCGGTAGTCCGGAAGAGGTCCTTTGTGAGAAGCACCGTCATTTCTCGGGAAGCCAATGTGGTCTTCATGGAAATTAAGAGATGGGGAGTCGCCACTGATGGCCTTGGGACGCACACGCTTCTGACATTCTCATACCTCGCGAATGACTATCTGTATCTTCCATCTCAAAACCAATGTGATATCGAGAGAAATGTTGTGACAGACTGACTTCCCCATCGGACACTTCTCAAGCGGGAGTTCCCAACACGATGACCCTTCCAATAACGTGGCTGCTTGCACTTGTGCACCATCAGAGCCAGGCATTGTCACCATAGGACCCAAAATCGGTGTTGAGAAAGTCATCAAGACCGGCTTGCAAAAGGAATTCATCCGCAGACTTTCGGATAAATTCCGAGAGATCCACATCTCCGTTCACTGCTCCGAACAGTGGGACAATCTGCTGCTGAGCTTTCGGGGTTGGTTGAAACGTCAGTTCCAGCTTAGTGTGAGAAGCAGCGAAACGATCAAATAAGCGCAAGAATATATCGATTGCGCCATGCTCCGAAGGTGCATGGCTGAAGTACTCACCTAGAATGTCAAATGCTTCTAGCAGCTTTACCAAGCACTTGCGAGCCTTGTATGTCATTAAGCTCGTTCGTTCCAGGACTTTCATGTTATTCAGGCTAGATTCCAATGTATCCCGGATCTCTTCTGCTGAGAGGCCGAGTTGATTTTCCTTGTCAAGCCTCGACGTCAACAGTAGAACGAACAGATGGAGGCACACGGTCAGTGCTGTCCGTGTTAGCAACCCTCCGGCTTGGTTCGGGGAGGCACACTAACATGTATAATTGCAGGTATACCATGCGGCATTTGAATGCAGGAAAGGCTCTGCGGATGTAGTGATTGCATTTGTTATTGCACAAAGCTCTCTGACGGCGAACCAGTTGGTATTGGCCACCGGTGTGTACTCGTCCCACGACAGAGACTGGCCAGAGTGTGATTCGGCAACACCTTCCACGAGCACATTTGCAAAAGCAATGATTATCGGCCAGCTTGTCATCAAAAGTAGCCGATGGTAGTGGATGGACAAAAGAATCCGTAACCTCAGCGCCTCGTAACAGCCGTTGAGGCCGCCGAGTTCGGTGATGGATACAAGGCCGCCAAAGTGTGAGACCGTTTCACGCCAGTCTTGTAATCGCCGAAAAAGCTCGTTATAACCTCGTATCAAGTCTGACAGGGAGCGCTGCTCGGATGTTTCGACGTTATGGTTGTACATGAACCCAACGATTGAAGCTAGGATACCTGAGGAGGACCTGGTTCGCAAATTAGACGTGTCCAGGAATAAGCCAGACGGAATGCATGCCCTAGTGTAGAGAGATAAGCCTGTCCACCCATTGACTCGACAGAGATGAGGCCTGCCGAAAATTGTAGAGGTTGTTGTAGACCATCGTTCTGATAAGATTGGAGTAAGTGAGGATGCACGAGGCCGGGTCTTCCCAAGCCTGCTCCTATAATTCTGTAAAGATTTTAGCAGGTGGATAATGACGGGTGGCATGGATATTCACCCATCATCGAAAACTATACCGGTCCAGAGACGTTGCATGAGATCGGCATTGGTTTTACTCTGGCGTTGTCTTACACTGGGGGAGTGTAACCCATGCTGCAGAGCAGCCTTGACAGCCAAGGCATGGGTAGTCCAACTGCTTACCGAGCGTTGGCTATTTTGCTGGTAGGCCACAATCAGTAGTAGCGCTTGCACTGAAGCTGGGTTAGAAGGGCAACACGCTCCACAGGACGAAGATACTTGTTACTTACCAGTCTCGAGGCTTGATCCTCTCAAACAACGCGGACTTAGAACGGCCATCGCCCGCTGGTAATAAATTTCCGCATGATCATCCCCTAGAGAACTGAGTGAAAGTGCACAAATGATCGAAATCAGTGCGAAAAATCCTCGGCGGAAGTTGGGGGGATTTTGGCTCGTGATTTTGAGATATTGAGATACCAAAGTAGCCCTATCGACATATGGCAGCACGAACCCTACAGTCGTAAAGTAATGGTTTATCAAAAGGACTGCATCCTGATACCGAGGCAGATTGTACGAGCGGTTATTGTTCTGGGGATTATGCTCTTGGCCGCTTGCCTTTGCCATGTCAGCGTGTGTTGGAGGAGCATCATCGCCCCTCTGTTGCTCAGGCAGGGTCAATGGTGGACCTTGGATATTGGTTCCTTCAGCACCGAATAGCCGTGAGGCCTTGATAAAGACGTCTGAAAGGGAGCCAAACAAAGCATGGTTCGACGATAGGCCTGCCAGCCAAATTAAGCAACTGCGAGAGGAAAGAGCCGGAGACTCTACGAACCGAAATATCCCATATCCGCGTCAGAGGAGTCATTGAAGGTGGTGGTCGCGAGGACGTCTACCAAGCCATCATCATCTTCGACGTTCACCGTTTGTTCGTGCGGCCTCGCATGCAGATTTTGTGCAGAAGGCCCCGCCGATGAGGACCCCCTGGATACGTCTTGCAACGATAACGCTTCCCCATTATTGGAAGAGTTTCGACCCTGACCAAATGCTTCTCTTCGGATAACTGGGGAAGAAGTGGTTGGCCGGGTGTCGAAATCCCCAGACGAGGACCAGGGCATATATAATGACGGCCTAGAAGCGCTATCAGCATGTGCGTCGTTTATCGTGTGTGAGCATAATACCTGCTAAGACGAGCATCATGGGACAATCTCTCTGTGTGCGAGCTGGGCGTATATACACAATCGAGATGTTTACGGCGACACGTGCTACATTTCGGCCGGAGTCCGTCACACTATCACGTATCAGCACAACACCCTGGGCCGAGGCGACAGTGGCCGCGTGAAACGCAAAGAGCAAAGAGGAGGTCAGGCTTCGGGAAGGAGCCATACACCGTGCTTCTTCTGCCTGCAGGTAGTGCATGCTAACTCCGTTCGACGACGCTTCTTTGTGGGCGCATTTCCAGACATGGTAGCGGTAGACGTAGCGGTTTTGGGATGTAAGAGATCCTACGACTGGAGAAGGGCGCAATATCTGAGCTTCCACAAGCCTACGAGGTAGTTTGAGACTTACGGGGTAGTTGAAACCCCTGTGTGAGGAATCCACTCAGATGCCGCAGTCGCTGACGACAGCGGGTGAGGAGAAATCCTGGGCAGTCCGTGGGGACCTAGCCCGTTGGGGCAGGGGACAAGGTGATCTCGGGTGTGGAGATACCAATAGGGTCAGGGCTTCCCGACCAACGCCGTCCAGCTTCCGAATGATTTTCGTACATTACCACCCAAAGAGGTTGGGGTCGTGGGAGCCCGACCACGGCCCATGGTAGTGAGGGGCGTCGTGGCTCTTGGTGCTCTGCAAGAGTAGCCATCTGCCGACAATACCTACGGGATGACAAAAAAAGCGGCAAGGCCGATGGTCATTGGATGAACATGGCTTAACGATCTGCCACGATATCCGGGGCCACGAATGCCGGCCCAATAAATCGTACTGGCTATGCGATGGTATATCAGTAGAAGAACTCAGGTCGTCTTCGAAACGCCCCGTACACATCTTACGTTCAGAGACAACCACGAACTCCAGGACGAGAAACTACTCAAGCATCGTCCGCCTGCGATGATGCTGTTGTTTCGAGAAGTTGTTACCGATCCGCTACCATGGCTTTCGGCGTTGGCTGTCCTCTCACTGCTCGGATATGTGGTGTATCAACGCTTCCTACACCCCTTAGCGAAATACCCGGGCCCCTTCCTCGCGTCTTTAACAGATGTCTGGCAGGCCCATCAATTCATGACTCTTCAACAGCCATACTACTTGACCAAGTTACACGAAAAACACGGCCCGATTGTACGTTACGGCCCAGACAAGCTGAGCGTTACAGACGAGGCCTGTATTCCAATCATTTATCAGAAGTCGGGCAAGTCGATGCCAAAGACGGAGTTTTACGATGCTTATGGCGCAGCACACCCTAATGTCTTTGGAATGCGTAATGAGAATGTAAGTGGCCATTTATTCTCATGTTTGTTTAACGGCCTAATATCTCTAATGCAAGGGAAACGATAGATCCATTCCATTCGACGACGCCACATGTCTTATAGCTTTTCCAGTAGTTACGTCAAGGAAATGGAACCGTATCTCGATATAAACATCAAGCTTTTGAACGAAAAGATCATTCGGTACTGTCTCACAGGAGAGGTATTCGACCTGAAGAAGCTCCTGCATTACTATGTCATCGATGTCTTGGGAGAACTGGCCTTTAGCAACTCATTCGGAATTCAGGAGACCGATGACGAATCGCGAATTCCTCCTGTCGTCGACCATAGCTTGCTTGCAGCAGTCACCGGAGCTTGGCCTCTGATGACCAAGACACTGAAGACATATCTCCCGTTTGTCCCGCACGCTGGACTTCAGCAGTTGTTCAAGGGTCGTCAGGCGTGCGCTGACCTCGCATCGCGGAGCGTCCAACGGAGAATAGACAATGTGCAACTCCAGCAGGAACTTGATCCTGATGCGGCCGAACGAAAGGATTTATTGACAAACTTGATCTTAGCAAAGCATCCCGATACGGGGGAACGACTTACTCAAATGGATCTCGAGACTGAAGCATTTGGTTTCATGTGAGTTTGAATGTCTCCTCAGGTGTACGCGAACTGACACCATTCACAATAGCATTGCAGGTACACACACGACAAGCGCCACGACTACTTTACTATTCTACCATTTACTGCATAACCCTGGACTTATGGACAAGTGCGTCTCTGAGGTCGACGCAAATCTCCCTCCGCTGGAGAGAGGCCAAGAAGCGTATCCGCTTACGGTCGCCGAGGCGTCCTTACCTTATCTGAAGAACTGTATCAAGGAGAATTTCCGTGTCACTCCCGTTTTCACCATGCCACTTGCCCGACGGGTCATGTCTCCCGAAGGGGTTGTTATCGCAGGTCAACATATTCCACAAGGTGTATGTCTATATCCCTTCTTTTTGTTGTTTTTGGCTTTGGAGCCTTTGACAACACTACGCATAGATCATGCTGCTAATGTGTTTCACCATTAGACATCGGTAGCCGTCTGCAATCATGCATTTCATCATAACCCCGATGTTTGGGGCTCTGATCACAATGTCTTTGACCCTTCGAGGTGGGAGCGGCCCGAGGTGAATGCTAAATCACGTCTTCTCATGCATTTTGGCCTAGGAGGGCGCCAGTGCATTGGTAAGACGGTGGCGACGACAAACATTTATAAGGTCGTAAGCATACTTCTCAGAAAGTTTCGTTTCGAGTTACCGAATGACCAGGAAGCGATGGAAGTTGAGAGAGGTCTCTACGTCGGGAAGATACCAGAAATGGTAAGTGTGGGCATCAGTGACCTCAAGAGACCGCTGCTTGTGAAGGCGAAAACGAGGAACAAGCAGGAGTAAGGGAACGTCGCGCATAGTTTTCCGCCCGATCCTTACGACTGTGAAATACTACACATGAGTTAATTATGTAGTTCAGTAGCGGTACCTGTCTCAATTGAGTATGGTTTTATCACTACAACCAAGGTGACTCTTGAATAGTGTGCTCGACCCAAATTCTCGTCTATGTACTCTCTCACTTACCACCCCAGTCAGTCTTCACTTGACGGGCTTTGCTATACCTACTCGTCCACATATGTTGTTTCGCATACAAGAACGCTCATCCAAACACGCGACGAGCCAAATCCCTTTGTCTACCTATCCGCGGACACGCCGTCACGGTCGAAGGAGAAGCGAAGCACGTCATCACCATATTCGACCCAGAGGCAAACGCGTCTGGGAAGTCTTCGTGCTCGAAAGCATTCACGAGAAGGGCAAGTGGAATCGCACGACTGACAGTAAGTCACCCCAAAGACCCTTGAATGGTGCAAGCCGCTTGCTTCGGAACTGTTTAGTGCCGACGCGACTTCGAGATCGTCGGTGCGAATGTTGCCTTTCGGCCTGGACGCAGATACTGACCAGAGATAGATATGAAAGAGGTTGTGCTGGACGCAGTAAAAAGACTAGTCATGCATCACGAGTAGGGATACGCCGGTGGAGGGTAAGTGATTCCTAAACTTGCTCTGCACAGGTTGCGCTCTGCGTAGATCGTCCGGGGAAGTTCCAGCTCTGGAAAATACAACAATGGATATGAGAGTTCCTTCGGCTCTGCTCGAAAGGTGGTAACGTTAGTGGATGAGTGGTTCAGGAAAGAGCAGATCTCCTAGGACGGCTTCAAGTGTGAAAGACATGGAGGCAAAACCGATGAATGGTGTTACAAGACCAGCTGAAGCGGATTGAGGTTCTCCTTGCGACGAAAGTCACTGCATGCCTTTGGTGCGCCGTTCAGACTGCGGCGCTGCTAATGAAAACCAAGAATTGAAGGCAGGTGGGAACACGATCAAGAGTTCGGAAAGGAAGACCTTGGGCACTCTTACGACTCACTAATCACTATCTCCGACGACCATGGCGAGACACCTTGATCGGGAGGACTAGGGTTCCAGGGACAAGGTAAATGGAGTGGTCTCTACTCGCATACTGCTGCTGGCTTTACCAAGTCATGTGAGCCTCACTAATTTTAAACGGCTCTGCTTGGCCGCTCAGCATCTTAGAGAATCCCTTTGCCGCGGCAGGTCGCCGGCTCAAATCTCCAAAACTTCGACCAGCGGCCAGCGATCGCCGCATTATCCTTCTTCCTAGTTAAAGGCCCTAGATCTGCGAGCCATGATCGCTCAAGCCGTGGTGAGCATTAGAAGATCTCAACGACAAGACTTACACCAATCTACCCGGAGTATTCGCGCTAGGGTTAGAGGACGACGCGATCAGGAGACGACTATCTCGAGTACGAGGGAGGGCGAGGGGTCCGACGGACCGCCCCTCTAACGCGCGGGGTCGTCGACGATCAGGGGCGGCCGCTATTATCGTCGTCGTCTCGTCGACGCCTCACGGAATCCAAAATGTACGTATCACATTAGGGAGTACTAGAGTCGGTAGAAACTGCCGAGGAACTTCGTTTGTTACCAATATTGGCACAGGCACGGGTGCTTTAAAATAGTTTGCCTACGTGTAAAAACTCGGAAGTATTTACCGTGTATGAGTCTTTCGAAGATATTTCGTCAAGAAGCGATTGCTTACCTGTACCTAGTCATGGCGAGATGGTAAAACAATATCAGAGATAAGACACAGTACTCCCGTGAACATAGTAAGCATGGGGTACTGATTCACTATGTATAGCTTCATGACCTTCCGACCTCACCTATATATTGTAAATCCCACCCACAGGTATACCTATTAACCTATTGGGTCGCCACGTTCAACGGCCTCCCACAGCTTCTATGCAGAAGCCGGTAGGGCCTCAACAATTAGACAGAAAACGGTGCGCCTTACAACTTCAAAACTGCGTGCGTCTCGCAACTCTTGCTACTCTTGTTGTATAACTAAGATATCGACCGGTACCACGTAAGCCGGCGAGCTGAATCTGTCTACCGTTGCTGTGGTTTACCGGCAGTGGAAGCGTCGTAGAGCATTCTGATGGTTTTACAAGAGGTGCTATGGAGATGACGATCACGACGGAGCTTCCACTCGCTCCCATTTGAGGACCGTCCACCCTTGGGATCCATCCTACACGGTGTCGGTTAGTAATAGACATATTAGGACAGTTGAAGGGCCTTTCTGGGCAAGCAACTCACCTCGAGCACGATCGGGTCGACTGGCCGCAAAATCTTGAAATACTTGCCATTCTCTTCCACGTGCTGCACTCTCCGGGTTTGGTAGCCTCCCACCCGGGTTGGGTCACTGGCGACTTCGACCTTGGTTCTCCATGACAGACCCTTGTCGTCCTCGGACAGTTCCATATATCCGCAGTACATGCTCAGGCCGCGAGCGACATTGGCAATTTCTGCGTCACTCCGTTTGGCCCAAAGTATCTTTGAATCCATGGAGAACTGCTTGATCCGTTCAGGCTCCGCGAGATGTGCGGCCAGGTATCCATTGCGACTGAGATAACTTCGACCCAATGGATTGTCCCCATGAGGTTTGAAAAGCAGCTTGGCATTTGGGCCTTCTCTATCATACACTCCATAAGACACACATTTCCATCCACCTGCCAGCCTTTCACGATGTTTAAGCCATAGTTCTGACATTTTCAGTAACAGGGGGCGTATTATCGATGAAGTGATTCAGCAATCAAACGAAATCTTATGATGTTTTGCAATGTCTCTTCACTTGGCGGTCAGCGACACAGAATAAGGGTGTGGACTGATATCGGCATAATGTTATCGGATGGTCTTGCATCTCGAATTCGCAGACAGCTGGTAGAAACCCTAGTCCGCCAGTCATGTACCGTTACCTCGTTCATTGAAGAAACTGGAGTCGACGAAATTTGGTTGTCAGCCAAATTTGCTAGCCGAACAGCCGAATACCCGAGCAGCCGATCTCGCCTCCAAGGCAGGTAGGTCATCGTAATCCTTTGGACTAGTTTCTTCATCAGTGTCATTTCAACTTTACAAAAAAGACAATCGAAAAGTACTTCTTGGTGACCTCGGTCGGACTCCTCCAGTTTTGAAGGTAGCTTAGTCTGGTGTGCCGGCGCCCGAAGATGTCGGGCCCGGAACAGACGGCATCTGATCGCAACTCGAGCATTCTATAACTCGAAGAGATTTCATTGACGAGAGAGTCCCAGTGATTGGAAGTTCTGGTCCTGTCCCCGTGCTCGGATCTAAAAGCAATAGGATACCAGCCCCATCAGCGATCGTTAACTCTTCCCATATATATACGTCTTAGGAGACAAGCCAAAAATGCCTTCAACCGGGCGGACTGAAGATGGAGGAATGCCGAACGTGACCTACGGCTTTATTGGTATTGGAAGGATGGGATTCCCCATGGCACTCAATTTTCGAGCCAAGATGCCATCAAGATCGAAGCTGCTCGTGTGCGATGTCAATCAGTCGCGGGTGAAGGAATTTCTCCGGCAGTCCAAATCCCTGGGACCTGTGGACATGGCTTCGTGTCCCAAGGAAGTTGCGGAACAATGTGTGAGTGCCCTCGTTTGATAAGAAGACAGCCATGCCAATCCTGTCTAGGATATCATCCTCACGTCATTGCCACCCGGCAAGCCAGTCTTGCAAGTCTTTCTGGACCCGTCGACCGGCATCATGGCAGCTGGAGTCCGTGACAAGTCCAAACTTGTGATTGACACTTCGACGATGGACGTCCAGACCTCATTGAATGTCTCTAAGCAAGTTGTAGCTTCCGGGTTCGGACATTTTGTCGACTGCCCCGTCTCAGGAGGCATGATTTTCGCCGAGACTGGAAACTTGAGCTCCATGGTTGGAAGCTCCAAGGAACTCTTCGATCGAGTCAAGCCTATCATTCTGCCATTCTCGGATCCCAAAAAGATATATCACTGTGGGCCCGCCGGCGCAGGGCTTGCCGCCAAGATCATCAACAATTACGTTGCAAGTGTGAGCTACGTGGGCTTGTGCGAAGGAATCAATGCTGGTGTTCGTTATGGTCTGGATCCGGAAGTTCTAACAGGTGAGCTTTAACTGTTGTTGCTGGTTCACTGCTCTGCATCTTCTTGTGACTGAAATTCCGCTGATTTCGCGACCAGATGTCATTAATGCGGGCAGTGGCATGTGCTGGAATTCGTTGCACATGTGTCCCATCAAGGGAGTTCAATCCACTTCGTCAGCGAGTCGGGATTTCTTGAGTGGTCCAGATGGTGGACCAGGCTTTGACTTGGCGACCGAGAGTACTGAAATGACGATCGAACTGATGGATCACGTCAATGCCAAGTCCATCATGGCGCCCGTGATGAGAGATCTCTGGAAGCGCGCGCAAGCCAGTACGTTATGTCAGGGAAAGGAGTACAGAAGCGTGTATCGACTTTTCTCCGAGGAAGATGGTCGTGCATTGGAGAATGGCGGGCCTGATTGATGAATAGAATAACTTAGTCGAGTTTTCCCCGACCATCAGCCGCTGTCTATGACAGAATAGCAGTGCTACACGTACTAGTAGTTTAAACAGAAAAACAGAAGAGAAAAGTGACAAGGGACCCTTCCCTTAAGCGAAGGTACTCAAAAGCCGGGGCCCCGGCCATGATCCGCAGCGTGCCAAATGTTCTCCAGGATGGGGGGAAGCTATCAAGGGCAAACCATACCTAGGTAATTGAACAGCCGAACAGCCGGTCGACCGACTTTCACTGTCGTACTACGACATCCAAGATCACACACAGATGCCCCACAGAACGAATTTTCTGGGGAAGGATCGCGCTGTACTGTCAAATTTAGATTTACTGCGCAGGAGGCCTCGACGAGCAGTTGCCCAAAAGTCCAAGCACTTAAGCATCTCGCATTAGCCTGGGCCGAATTCCACCACAAATCCCATTCAAACTTGTTTTCTACCATCGAGGGCATTTCATTTTAGTGTCAACATGGGTAGTCTAGGGAAGACCGACGACGTGGCAATGACCGAGGTTCCCATTACAGAGGCGATACAGGTGTGTCAAGCCGCCCTTGAAAAGGCGGGAGGATATCCGCCCAGCGACGCAGAGATCATCACGCAACATTTGGTCGACGCCGAGTGCCGAGGGAGTCCTATGGCTGGATTGGCTAGGGCATTGAGCATCATCGATCACCTTCAAAAGAGTCCAGGTCCAACCAAATCCTCAAAGGACATCGAGACGACCAGCGAAGGTCCTACATCTGTCAAACTCAATGGCTGCAACGTGGTGGGATATCTGGTAGCTCACAGAGCGACCGAGCTGGCGATTGAGAAAGCCAAAGCATCGGGCATGGCTATTGTGGGCGCCAATGATTTCTGGTATAGCGGGAATTTGGCGTATTTTGCCGAGATGGCCACTAAACATGACATGATCTCGGTGATTTTCTCCAATTGTTCTCCCATGGTCGCGCCTGAAGGTGCGGTCGAGGGTCGATTTGGCACAAATCCCATGTGTATAGGGTTTCCTACCTCTCTCAAGGATCGGCCAGTGATATGGGATATTGGGACCAGCAATATCATGCACGCGCAGATTATGCGCGCCCAACGACTTGGGATCAGCTTGCCGGAAGGCGCCGCCTACACCAAAGATGGCCAGCCGACGACAGATCCGGCCACGGCCATTGACGGCGCGATGACGGTCTGGGGCGGCCATAAAGGTAGTGGTTTGGCCGTCATGATTCAATTACTGGGAATGGCTGCAGGCAGCAGTGCGAGACCAGAGGGATTGAGTGGGTTCGGGTACCTGGTCATGATGTTTGACCCAGCCGTTCTTCGACCGATCGATGAGGTGAAGCAGGAAGCGGACGAGTATGCCGAATGGCTGCGATCGGCCAAACCTCTGGACGGTGGACCTCCGGTGCGCATGCCGTTTAATGGGAGCTATGAACGTCGCAAGACTGCAGTCGAGCGTGGGACGATTCGAATACCGACGGTTCTGATGGAGCAATTGCGCAAGAGAGGTGCTACATAGGCTGAAGAAACATTTCAACTGCGTGCATGACATTGCATGACATTCCATGCTGCCGAGATCCCACCAAGGCTAACTTAAGTAGTGTTTAGATAAACCAGCTTGATCGGCATCTCCAGGCATCTATGTGAGCAATTACATCTGGTGTACTCTCAAGTGAACGGCTGGATGAGCAACTCAGTAAATGTCTGTCTCTCACGCTTCCACATCCCAAAAAGCTCTATCCCTCTTCTCGTGTTCCTTGTCAAGAACGTCAAAATACCAGACAGCGTTACCATCTGCTGACAACTCCGTTTCCGTGAACCCATTGCCCCAATAAGCATACCGATTGTTCCCCCAATACTCAATATCGAAATCCTCGAACCGTGGCTCCTTCATCACTTCAAAATAATGTAATCGACTTCCCGGCCAGATGGCAGTGACAGGCCCATGTTTCTTGCCGTTCTTGAACCAGCTGCTGCAGCTCGATGACCACGCTGTTCTTTTGAGGAGCTCATGTGTGTGGATCTGCAGTTCGTCAATGGCTCGTTTGGAAGGAGACAGGCATTTGATCGATGTCCGCTGCATGTGTGAGATCACTTTGAACATGTATCGCGTGTGCCATTCAATAATCGGAAGAACCGAGCCGTGCGAGGCCGGACCATTGGGACCAATCCAATCTAGACCCCAAGGATCAGCGTGTTGCTCTGCAAAAAGGCGACGGAAAAACACCTACAAAACATGTTTGGGAAACCTTCTGCCATGATTGACAGATATCCCTTGGGAAAGTCTGCCCATTCGTCGCCGAGGTTCCGGCCATTGCGGCCGATGATGTCGTACGAAGGCCTCGTCACGTCGAAGCCCGTGGCGAAGATGATGACGTCCACCTTTGTCTCTGTGCCACTGGCATCAATGACACCGTCTTCTGTCACACCGATGACAGAGTCTGTGATGACATCGACGTTCGGGCGACGCAGGGCGGAGAGGTAGTCCGAGCCTGGTGTCATTCGTCGGCATCCCAGAGCGTAGGGGGGAACCAAATGGTTTAACAGACGAGAGTCGCCGTCTAGTTGCTTGCGCATGCTTTCTGTCACGAACTCTCGCGACGCCTTTTGGTCATCGCTGTGCAGATGCATCTGTGAGAAGCCTTAGCCGGACATTCAATGCCTGCTTCCAAAGTTTCTCAACCCACCAAGAGGAATCGTTTGTTCAGCTCTCCTTCAAGGTCGCAACAGTACTGATTGTGATGACCGTCTGTCTTCCTGAACTGGTCTTTTTGGTCCTCGGAGTCTGTAAATAAGGTCAGCCGGAGGGATCTTCTGGCATGTATCAAAACCTCGGATCGTTTCGCACATTGAAAGTTCACTCCGCCCGGCGCCGCATATTTGGCACCGAATCCGGCCGTAATCCAAATTGGGGATCGTAGATACGGGATTAACTTCTTCACCCGGCGCTGGATGGATGGAATGATCTGAACAGCAGACGATCCTCCACCCACGACCGCGACAGTCTTGCCTTCGAGTTCGTAACTGTTGTCCCAGCTGGCGCTGTGCATCACTTTGCCTTGAAAATTGGCGATCCCTGGGATATCAGGATACTGCCATGTGCTATGGCAGAAACAAGGGAAGTCAGCGAGCGGGACATTTCAACGGCCTGCGTGGGGAAAGAAGGTCAATAGACAAGGACTTACTTTAACACCCCATGGCAACTCGCCAGTACTCTTCCCTCGTCCACCCATGATTTGCCGTCTCGATCCACGCCGTGCACTTTCCAGAGTCCAGAATCGTCATGCCATTCCGCCCTTGTGACTTTGTGCCCAAATTTGATCCGGTCGATCAGTCTGTTCTCGACGCTAAGTAGAAGTAAGCAGTTGGTTCACAATATCCGTAGTGGATATGTTTTCCTACGCCCAATCCTTGATGTATTGCCAAATCTCCTCGCTCCCGGCGTAATACGAACTCCACTCTGGACTTCGAGCGAATGTCCATTGATAGGCGTGCGCCGGAATGTCACAGGCGCAACCAGGGTATCGATTCTCCAGCCATGTCCCGCCGACGTCTTCATTCTTCTCATAGATAGAGAATGTCACTTGTCCAGGCGCGAATTGACGGGCTGCCTTGTAAGCAATGTTGAGTCCAGCTGCTCCAGCTCCGACGATGATGATGTGAACACGACTTGGCGTGTGAAGGGGAGACTCGACGATCGTGTAATCTGGTTGAAATCCACGGTACCATTCATTTTCGTGCACGTGGTCAGCTTGTGGCTTGCCAATATGACCACGAAGACCCAACGATGGGACAGTGTCCGTTTTCTGCTGGGCGTGCGGCATGTTACAAAGAGAATGATGAAGGGGGAAGTTAAGTCAGTAGATGCCTGACAGCGATGCAAGATAACTGGCTACCTAAGACACTCTGCCTTAAAGTAGGTCTCTATGGCATATTTGTATCTTTTTCAACATCTTACCAGAGCTCGTCCATGTCAGAGACTACCTTGCCTTTGGAGTGAGCGAGTTCTGCAGGCCACCATTTACAAGGGTGGATCCGCACAAATAGAGACACTCTGATGAACAAAGGAGATCATCGCATGGTTTCGGCTATGGCTGACTTCATTTTGGGATCTGTCGGTTGTTCGGTAAAAACTAGGCTGACTCAGACTCTCTATCATCCCTGACCTCGGGCGATTTTGTGGCACGTGTATGATACAAACTTCCATTTTAGGATGATGAGGAGCCACGGTAAGATCCGGGTGGGCGAGTGTCTCCTGAAAGCTTCGCCCGGATGAAGTTTGCCGTCGCACATGCTTCCTTACATTACTGCAAAATTCCGTCGGAACAACTTTGAGAGGAGTGCATGGGTGGGTGCGTTTGTACCTACAGAGCTATGGCATGGCAGTGCGTAGCTTATGGATCAAAAAAGTCCGCTGGTAGACTGTTACTTCACCCTTCGGACATGCACATCTTTCAGGATACCACATCCACTGATCAGCCTCAGTATTCGTTGATTTCGGGAACATGAATGATGATGTCTTGCCAAATTCAAGCTTGGATGGACTTAGGTCGGGAAACCAGCCTGGCTGGTCTCCACGAACTCGTTGAACTTGTCCAAGTCTAGGAAAGAGTTTAAGTGAAGATCAGAGCCGTTGTCACTGGCAGCCACAAAGCGACGTAGGTCAGTCCAAACGGCCATGCAGGCTCAGCCAAGATGCTTGGTAACTCACGGGTAGTCAATGCCATAGATGGAAAAGTCTTGTGGGTCGGCAAAGGTGAAGTCGAAAGTCAGGATATCGTCCACCGAAGGCAGCACTCTCTCACTCGGGCTAAAGTCGTTGGAAGCGGTCCGGTTCAAGGTCGCAGGGTCAGGATGCAACAATTCCATGTTGTTCGAAAAATCGGCCAGAGCCGTGCGTTCACGAGCTTCTCGCTCGGCCGCAATCCTTGACAGCTTCTCTTGGGCTTGCTGGAACAATCGAAACGCTCCATCCGCACCCCAGTAGGTATCTTTTAGTTCCGCTTGGAACATCATGCACAGCTGTAGCCTGTGATGACCCAGACGGGAGATTGAACGAGTCTGCGACTTGCAGTCCAGCAGGTGGATTTGCATCGCCAGGATCAGAGGGGATATACTAGAGCACGTCAACTGTACCGTTCTCGCAGCAATCATCGTATCGCGAAACAAAGGGTTACACTGAGGTGAGCTTACATTGCAGGACTTATGAACTCGACGAGATCCAAATTCATAATCTCTTCGAGAGTGTTGTTCATATTATTCGCAGCCGCCCTTGTTTTTTGAGTGGCTTCAGCCAGACATGATGACTGCGCTGCATCCACTGGATTCTGGGGATGAGAAAGGACATAAGGTCGGAAAAGCATGATCATGATGGCTCTAGATATGCCCATCAGTGAAAGCCCCCACAAGGAATCTTTGTACCTGAGGGCGGGAATTACTCATAATGAATGCGAACTTGACAGGCGAAGAATTGTTCGTATTGGTTCGGTGGTCGCTGACCAAAATTCGCCAATGTTGTGTACTCTTGCAGTTCCGATTCGTGATTTTTGACTTGTGCTTCGTCGGTTCGCCAGATATTCTTCGAATGTAATCGCAATATTCGGCCGAGCAGGATGCTGAGTCTGACAAATTTGCACCACAGCTCGCCGACCACAGTCGATGAGTATAAGAGACACTTGTTTTGGATGTCTTGGGGAATGCCGTCGAGGTCGTCAGCCACGTCCGAAGGCTCCGGGAGGGGCACATCGCAGTCTTCCAGACTGATCCTCATCGGACGACCTTTGATGAAAGCGAGCCATCGATCCCGGACAAGGCAACACCACCAGATTCGCCGGACGGTACGCATCTTATCGGCCGGCAGCAGCCCCCGGCGCCTGTCACCAAAAGAAGAACGATGGAGGCCCATGCACTGAGACATGGATATCGCGATGCCAGTCCAATGCCAAGCTTCAAAGCGATCCTGGCTGTCGGGATGCCAGTAACCGAGAATCAACACAGCCTGTACCAAGACCAGCCGGTCACTTTCTTGATTGTTGTCATACAGTAGCTTCGAATCGCGTCAGTAACATGCCCATTGAAACAATCTCTCCTCTTGCGTACGGACCTTGACATGCTGGTACATTGCAATCTTCATCGCCTTTTTCGTCTGAAACCCAGACCTTTTGACAATGTCCAGAGGCAAAAACTGTCAGATACTATCAGTTGAGGGTAACGATTACCACGAGGGACCACGTGAATGGGCACTGACACTGGCGGCGACATGTAGAATACTCCATAAGAGAATGAGGCTGACGCCTTGGCACCCACGCCTCGAGTATGAATCCAAGAACGACTTGGCATCGAGGACGGGCAGGAGCGGGTGAGCATTGCGAAAGTAGGCGAGCACCGCTGTATCGCAGACATCTTTGGGTGGGATGGAAAAGACCCCTTTGACGCGTAGGAACTCGAGCTCTTCAGGCGGTGTTTCCTTGACCGTGTATCCCGGGACCAAGTACGGTGGCTCGAAGGCGACAGGCTGAGATAAGTCGGTCGGTTTCAGCAATTCCCCTAGGGATCCTGCGGTCTCATCATCGTCTCCTGTGGGAGGTCAGCAAATGCATCTCGGGAGCGTGTAAATGGGGTAAAAATGCGGTTCAGAAGAAAGGGTTACCTGTATATGACAAAGCTGCGCGATTGACAGGCGCAGGAGAGCCGCCGTGCGAGCGCACGAGAGCAGCTCTCGTGCTTGCTCGCGTGGGATTAGAAGCCTCAATTTCGGCGTGGTGTCGTGGAACAACACCTTCAAAAACAGGTAGTTGTGACTGAGAGGGCCTGGAGACGGCCACATGAGAGTTGTCTCCGCTGGAAACTGCGGTTCTGTTCCTGTGGCATTAGTCTCGGTCCAGGGCGGCGAGATCGGCCCGGTAGCTTACCCTCGCGTCTTGCGGGGAACAACGTAGCATTGGACCCCGTCGAGCGAGCAATTCGCACATGGCGGCCCAACAGTGGCCACATTGCACCGCACCTTTCGCAAGTTGCAATTACGACAGGCTATTCTCGCTCGTCGACGCCCGCGTGCACCAGGATTCGGGGACACAAGGCTGGTGTCGGCTACGCGCGCATCGCTCATCTGTTTTTGAGGCGAGGTGTTTCGGCGAGACTGACTTGTCGGTTTATCGGAGCGCAGTCAAGAACCGACGGACCGTCTCCTAGATGGCGATGGAGGAAGGAGGTAGCTACCACAGATTGCTTGGTTGCGATTCGATGGCTTCGCCTTAGAGGTCGTCTGAAGAAACAACCGAGGCTTCGGTAGTTCGGTTCTCGACATCAATCAGTCCATGTCACGTGAGAAGTCACCATGATTCACTACCGTGGATCACTGACACACACAACTTCCCAGTTCCGAGTTCTGGACACAATATATCATCTGCTGAATAGGGTATACAGGGCAATTTCTGGCCTCAAGTAGAAGACAGTCTGAACAAAAGATGTAGGCTCGTGTATGTCTGACCATCATTCTCACCAGAAGTAACACGGCACAGAAGACTATCTGCAAGGCTCATCATGATACTTGACCCAGACAGCTAAGATACAGACTCCGTAGGAAGCCCCTTCTCTATATCAGCGATCCAGTTCCATCTCAAATCTCGACCTAGTCCTCGTTCATACCAGTCATTGATAGACTCGGGAAACAAAGGCATGTTGACATGTCTTGCACAGGAATCATGCGCCAGGAGCAACAACACATTCTCTTGCCCGTCAAATTCTTGCATCTTGCCAATGGAAAGAATCGCTTCGGCCAAGTCCGCGCCCCATTTCGGCCGCCATACAGGACCTTTGGTGGTCATTCCTCGAGACTTGTTCAGCTCCTCGAAGCGTGTACCGGGGCAAAAGGGATTGTCACGGTTCACCAATGGCAGAGGGTTGGGGAGGATCGAGTCGGGCAAAGGCAGATATTCTGATGGCCGAACTTCTCCACAATGATGGGCGCAGTCTCCTCCGAGGAACAGGAACGTCGACTCCGGACCTGTTGTCGTACGGACCAGGGCGCACAGATGGCCGACGCTGTGTCCTGGCGTGTCGAGGAGGTATAGCGATCCGTCATTGAAGTAGTCCACGGCTCGCAGTGATCCGATCTGTAGGGTTTCGGGGCCATCAAAGTCGATTTCTCTGACTTTGCGGCCTTTGATGTCTTGTTCGTTGATCCCTCCCACGCCTGAGTTGCCCCCATTGGTAACGAAGGTCTCCAAGGCATTTGGTCCGAGGACCAAAGTCGTCGACGGAGGAAACAAAGCCATGTTACCCTTGTGATCCCAATGAGTATGGCTGTGGTCCGTTGATCAGCTTTCGCACCAAATCATTGACAAGCCTCAAGCGTACCTCCAGATCACTGCATTGATGTCCTCCCGCTTGATATTGTGTTCTTCGAGCGCATCGACCACGTCTTTCTGGACTGTGATCTGGTGGCCGACCTTCTTCAATCGGTCAGCGACCTCCGACCCCAGCGTTTCAAGATCTGTCGGGACGCCCAGGTCGAACAACAACTTCTGCCCGGAGTGATGTTCGAGCAGAAAGCTGAGAGATGGCACCGCTCGCAGAACCTCCACGCCCTCAATTGGCGGATGGTAGAGATTGTTGCAATTCGACCCGTGGATTGTCACGAGGTCGAGTACCTTGGTCGTAATGGTGACATCCGAATATGGGATGACTAGACCTTGCTGATTGATTCGATCGATCATTGTGAAAATGGCGACGCTGTCTGTCTGAGAAGGCAAGAAGTCGTTAAATCAGTGGTGGCCGAGTGGACACAAACCCTTTAGATGACGACTTTGCACTCTGGTATACGATCTATTTTCTTGATCATACACAAAGTCTTCTCTTGGCCAGAGGAAGTCATTTGAGCAAGCCTTTGTGCAAGTCCTCGATAAGACCGGCTTTTTCGATGAGAGTAAGAATCCCATCTCAAGCCCTCAGCTCATCGCGGTTCCACTGTTTTCGCGGCTTTTACTTGATATTCAGGAGATCAACCCGAAAACTCGTCCATCCAGCCGAACAACCGACTTGCCGAGTTCATTCTTGCCTCCCGTAATTCATACCCCGCAAAGCTGAACAATTGTTGACCCCATGTCTCTGTCACCAAGCCACGAGGGTCATGACTGACTAAAGCGATAAATAGACCAAAATCCCTCTCTGACCCGTGGGGAGAGGCATCATCGTTCCAGTGCTTGTGATACCTTGAAGAGATTCAGTGGTCTTGCATCTCACTATGGTGCCAAACAGTCCCAAAATGGTCACGGCGGAGCAGGCCGACCATGTCGATGAAATTCTCCTCCAGCCTTGGTCACTCGAGAAGCGGCCAGAGGTCATCGTCCCTCGTGCGGATGGTCAGCCCGAGAACGAAAAGATCACCGGACGACTGATCCTCGCCTTCATTGTAGGTACAACTGACTGCCACGTCGACATCTGCAACCAAACTCCCCGCTAACTTGTTCGTGTCTGCACAGGCCTTGATCTCTCAGGTGATTTGCTATGAGAATACGCTCCTCATCCCGGGCTCGCTTTTGTCGTATATCAACGCGGATCTCGGACCTGATCCAGCTTACACGTGGATTTCGGTATGCTGGTCTCTTTGCGCTGCCGTCATGGTTAGTGTGGCTGGCCGCCTCGGCGATATCTTTGGCCGACGATATTTCATGCTGTGCGGTAGCGGTATTGCATTTGTCGGGACAATCAGTGCGTGAACGGCCTCAATCCATGCTAAAGAGCACAATTAGCTAACAAGTGTGTCTCTCCGCTTTTAAGTCGGAGCTACCGCAAAGGGCATTCCTCAGATGATTGTCAGCGGCATCTTCTTTGGCTTCGCGGCAGGCATTCAGGAGACCTACTACGCATGCCTGATGGAGTTGGTGCCCTACAATAAGCGGACTCTGTTTATTGGTAAGAACCGCTGCGAGCCCCACCATGATGGATGATGGATGATTGATGTCTCATCTACTAGGTCTTGGATGTATGTGCGGATTACCGTGCTTGATCTCTCCCCTCATCGCCTATGCTATGATGGAACACTCGAGCCTCGGTTGGAGAGCTCCCTACTGGTACATGACAGCGTGGGCGGGAATAGCCTTTCTCCTTTTGTTCTTCTTCTACAATCCGCCCAACTTCGACACCAAATACCATGGCACCAGACATCGCCTCGAGCTGGCCAAAGAGATCGATTTTGTGGGATTGCTCCTCTTCACCGCGGCCGCCGTCCTCTCTCTCGTGGGCCTCACTTTCGGTGGTGGGATTTACCCCTGGAAATCGGCCAACACCCTGGTTCCGCTCATACTCGGCCTCATCCTCTGGATTGTATTTGGACTATGGGAATGTTTCACCAAGTCGAAGCTCCCTCTGATGCCGCCGCGGCTGTTCCGTCAAGTTCGCTCGTAAGCGTTGATGACGTCGGTGAAGAAGAAAATCGGTTGGAATTACTGACACATCTTCCAGGTTCGACGTCGTCCTGGCCGTGTCATTCGTGAGTGGAATGTTCTACTACAGCGTGCCTATAATCTGGCCCCGAATAACGGCACTCCTCTTTGTCCCGGCCGACAGAATCATCCTGCGTGGGGCCTACGCAATCATTCCAAACTTGGGTACCTGGGGTGAGTCGGACAATCCACCCTACTTACTGGTTTCATGCAGACTGATCTTGAATCTTTAGGTGCCGGTATCTCGCTGGTTCTGATTTTCTCCCGAGTCAAGCATGAAAGATGGGTGATTGTCTTTTGTCTGGTCATCCAGATCTCTCTGATTGGCTCTCTGGCTTCTTTGGGAATTAACGACAACACCCAAGCCGTGGCCACCGTGTCCGTCCTGTCATGTTTCGTCAACCAGCCCCTGTTTCTGGCGTTTGTGATCATCTCCCTCCAACTCGAGAATCAAGTCGACATGTACGTATGAAGCCTCTTCATCTTGTCATTCAAGTCTCTTTTATGTCTGATCAAAGCTTTACAGTGGCATTGCCTCCGGGATTCTTTCTACAGTTCGTCTGATTGGTGGTGCCGTGGGAACGGCTGTCTACAGCACAATCCTCTCGGACGCCTATGCCCCACGTCTCAAGCAAAACATCGAACAAGTCGTGGCCACGACCGGGTTCCCGAAGTCCGAGACGGCCCAGCTTGTCAAAGCAGCGGCCGCGAACACGGCCATAGCCTATCAGGCGGTACCCCATATCACGGCCGAAATTATCAAGTTGTGTCAGGTGGCGGTGAAGAGCGGCTACATTCACGCGGCTCACATCGTCTGGCTGAGTGCTATGGCATTCGGTGGACTATCGCTGATCTGTGCCTTGTTCATTCGAAGCCCATCGGAGGCTCAGAGAACTGGCGCCAGAGCCGTTCACTTGCAGAACGAGTTGTCACCGGCTACTACGGACGAAGCAAAATGATCATAATGTGGACCCATGCGCTATTCAGACGGGCAAGAATACATGTCTCGATGCCCTCCGGAATGCTGGACCTGCAAACCTGCCCGACGGGCTGTAAGAAGAAGTCTGGACATTTGATGCCTTGGACGAATGCTCAGATCCTTCCTGAGGCCAATTTCTGCTTCGGCTGCATAGAGAGGTGTGTGCCAGACGATTTCCCGTAGTTCGCGCCTAGAGCTTATTCGCTGCTCTTCTAAAATGTCCATGATCGCTCCGGTGTGCCAGCACGGATCCGGCTTAGTAATCCATTCCAGGGGCTGGAGCCGTGTTACCAGAACGAGGCATGGGTTGCCTTAATCGCCAAGAATGCCGGCTGTAAGCTTGCTTGATGGTCTCTAGGACGCTGCTGTCTAAGCCTAGGGCCCTAATGAACATATGTGATATCCGGGAGGTTTAATCAAACCGTACGAAAATGCCATGACGGGCCTGGCCTTCAGTCAATTACAAAGCCTTGCATGAAATCTGTTTTCTGCTAAAGGGATCGAACAACCTATAACGATGCCAAATACGTCGTGGTGAGATATGCTGAGGTCAAGGTGTCACTCTTCTAAGAAGGCACACGGATTCTTTTCTTAGGCATATCGATCGAAGCGCAGAACTATGGCCTCATCCGAGAAGGGGCCGGTAATGCGGTCTTGCGGGCTATTCCTGTACCTCAACTCCGTGATGACTACATATTGGTTCGGACTCTGGCGATTGCTTTGAACCCGACGGACTGGACGACTCCTGACGCCGTGGGCGACGACGGCACACTTGTCGGTTGCGACTACGCAGGGATTATGGAAGAAGTCGGGAAGGCGGTCAAGAAGCCGTTCAAGAAGGGAGAACGCATTGCTAGATTCGGACACCGAGGTTTGCTTCTGCCGCGCGGGGTCTTGAAGCTTGCCGACTAGTCCTAGTGATGGTGTATAGGAAATGATGCTAATCCGGAAAACGGCGCCTTTGCGAGATATATCGCTATCAAAGGGAACTTACAAATACACATTCCGGATAGCGTGAGCTTTGAGGCTGCGTGCACAGTCGGCGTCGGCGTGACGACGACCGGGGTATGCACTTTACTATGTGCTCAAATTGCCGCTGCCGCCTGTGGCGAAGGTCAAGACCCACAGTGAGGAACCTGTTTTGATATATAGTGGAAGCACTGCGACTGAAACGATTACGAGTCAGTTCGCCAAGTTGTAAGTCTACGGCCTGCTTGATGTCAACGTGTACGGGATCTAGAGCAAGTATTCGTATTGACATGGCGACTACTTAGATTAGGTCTAAAGGTGGTCACGACGTGCTCGCCCAAGCACTTTAGGTTGATAAAGGAATTGGGAGCCGACCTTATCTATGATTATATGAGACGCTCCCTAGTATGGACTAACCTTTGCGCTGACTGCCGGCGTGCGCCCACAGCACGACACCAAAGTAGGGGAGAAGACTCGGGCGGCCACCGACGGCAAGCTGAAGAACGTGTTCGACACGGTGAACGTCGAGACCTCGACGGCCATCTGTGCCGATACTATTGGTCCCGATAGCGGTGTCTACTGCGATTTGCTCGGACTGGACTGTCCGCGGTTAGATATCTAGTCGACCTTCTTCCTGGAGTATAGTATATCGGGTGAATCGTATATTTTCGAGAGGGAGAAGTACGAGGCACGCTCGTAGGACTTTGCATTTGCTTACAGGTTCCTGGAGCTGGCCGAGAAGCTATGGGCGGCCGGGAAGTTTAGACCTTATCCGTAACGTATTGGACCTGAAGGTCTTGTCGAAGCGGTTACGGGAATGCAGGAGATGCGTGATGGTAAGGTCAGTGGTGAGAAGTTGGTCTATCGTGTTGAGGAGACTCCATGGCCGTCAGTTACCAAAGAGTGAGAGGGAGTGAGGGAGAGAAAGAGAGTTAGAGAGTCGGCTTTTTGACCGATATCTAATAGCTGACGCCGCTTTTGAAGCCACTACCTCATTAGACCGCGCCACTCTTAACTAGAAAACATCTGGCGACCAAACCTATCCTTCTTTCATCTTTAGTGATTGATATATTGAGTGGCAGTAACGTGTTATGGCATATCTATAGACTCATAGTCATTTAGCGAGTAACCTCCAATACCCTACGACTATGGCTTTGAGCGTCCTCTAGTCCCCGCGCTAGTCTACCTCACCTCGCCTATAGAGATTGAGTAACCAAGCGCACTTAGCTCGGGATCATCCCTGTTTCCATCGTAAGCGAAAAAGGCCCCCTATGTATGAGTGGACGAATACGAGTACGGTCCCTCTCCTAAGTCCTACCATTCATAAGACCGCGTATTCGGGTTCTAGGTCGCCTTAACGAACATAAGCTTCATAAGCTTTAGTAAGCGGATAACTTTAGATAACCTTCACTCTAGATACATAAGTCTAAAGGGAGGGTTAGGGTCGCTCTCTCGACGAAATTTATTAGTGAAAAAAAGTCTCTTAGTACTTTTAAGTACTCTCGACCTCGTAGTAGTAATTATAAAAGCGTAACCTATAACTATAATCTTATAGAACGGTGACCGTTCTATATATAAACTTATACTAAGAAGTATACTAAGGTTTAGGGTTAGTATTAATTCTACGTTAACTATTCTATATTAAATTTCTTAACTTAGGGTTACTACTATATCACGACTATACTATCGATAATCATTAAATTTATAGTTAGAAGTTAATTAGAATATTATTAAGTAGTCGTATATTAAATTTAAATTTATTCGACTTAGAGAGTAGCGTATAGCGTAAGTCGTCGACGCCGTAAACAATATAAGCCTAGCTTATAGCTTACCTATAAACTCTTCTCTAATACGATATAATTCTTTATACTTATTATTAATTTTACTATACTTTTACGAATCTTCGTAAATATCTTTAGCGAAAATATAGTATTAAGAGAAAGTTAGCGAAATAAATTAAAAGTTAAGTATAAAAGTAAAATATTAAGGATATTATTATTTACTTACTAAATTATAATATAGTAGTTCTAAAGCTATAGTATCTATAAGACTATATTTATAATATAGTAATATATAATTTTTATATAAATAGCGAGAAAATTATTTAACGATATATTAATAAGAAATACTAAATAAAGTCTCGAAGTAAATAGAAAGAGTAGCGAAAATACTCGAGGGTTTTACTATAATTCTTCTTTATTAAGAATCTCGAATATTTTATTATTAATTCGAGTTTTACTTCGTAACTATATTTAATAACTCGATAATTATCTATACTATATTAATTAGTATTTTCTTTATTATAATTAAGTTTACTTTTTAATATCGAGTTAATTTCTTCGATACTATCTAGTCGAATTTACGAAGCTATCGAGATATATATCTCGATATCGATAAATTAGCGAACTAAACTATATCTCTAAGATATCGCTATCGCTATAGGGTTAGGGTTAGGGTTAGGGTTAGGGTTAGGGTTAGGGTTAGGGTTAGGGTTAGGGTTAGGGTTAGGGTTAGGGTTAGGGTTAGGGTTAGGG